TCGGATCAGATATGTGCCTAAGCCTAACCTTAGGTTGAGTCAAAGTGAAGCCTAAGCCCAACCTAGCCTAACCTAGCCTAACTCAAGCTTAACCTAAGCCTAACCGAAGCCCCGAGCGCCTCTGGCGCTAGTGTAGACCGCAAGCTTCCGAGTAGCGGCACTGTCTACCGTGCTGGACTCAGCCTACAATCTGGGGTAAGTCTAGCCTAAGCCTAACCTAGCCTAACCTAAGCCTAACCTAAGCCTAACCTAAGCCCGAGCGCTTCTAGCGCGAGTGTAGATCGCAAGCTTCAGCCTGATATACCAGGATCATACATGAAAATTTTCCAGGAAATATTTTCGAAAAATTAACCCCCTTAACTCATTTTTTGCTTATTCTTTATCACAAAAAGCATAAAATACCCTAAAATTTTCAAACGTTAAGCCCCCTACCTCCGAATTCGGAGTCGCAGTTCATGTATGACCAGGATCCCCCCTCATCCACAAAGATGGTCCAAAATTCTGATCAAAGGCCGCGCGCGCGCTCGTTTCGCACATATGTTTTATAGTAATTATTAATGTCGCCCATTCTGCTGTGTGCACTGATTTGATATCTCAAAACCCTGCTGCTGTCTGCCTGGCCTGCCTGCACCCGCTGTTTTCTATTTCATTCATTCATCCGTCCATATGGCTTTTTTCGTTCGTCTGTCAATCTGCGTCTCCACGCTATCTATCTTTCCATTTCGTTAATTGCCAGAGACCTTACGCCATTTTCATTTGTTCATTCACTCACTTCATTGCCGCCCGCCCCTAATCAATTTGTTTATCGATAAAAATGTTATCAGTTAGGGGGCGGAGCTTGTTTTGTGATTGGCTGATGTTTATCAGCTTCATCTTTTTTTTATTTAATAACCTGTATGTTATCTGATTTTTATGATTTTTGAAATTGATAGTTATGGCTGTTCATTGTTACGAAATGTGTTTTTGTTGTTACGAAACATGTATTTTTTTAGGTTCAAAATTTTTTTTTCGTTTTTTTTTGGGTTGGAAGTTAGGGTGAAGCTTAATTTTTGTATGTAAAATTTTTTGATCGGTCATGTCGGCTACTTGAAATAGCAGCTCTCAAGGCGCGACTACTAGCCAACGTGAATCTCTAGACGCGACTCCTAGACAATCAGTATCTCTAGGCTTGGTTACTTGCCAGAGTTACTCTCTAAGCGCTGACCCTTGACAATCGGACTTTTTAGGCGCGGCTACTAGACCGGTAAAATTTATCCAAATCAATTTTTGAATCACAATATCCGATCCCAAATTTTAGCCCTGATTTTCAGCCAGATCAAAGTTCCATTTTTTGCCAACACAAATCGATCCGAAAACTTCAGCAAAGTCCAGTTTGTGTTTGAAATTCGATCCATTTCGTAATATTTACATTCGGCTACTCACTTTTCCCCGCGCACAGCTCCCTTTTTATCATCATGCGAGGTCTCATCTTTTCCATTTCTAATTTCGCTCCGTTGCTCCCCTCTCTCATTTCTTCTTCTTCTTGTCTTCTGATATCCAATTAACAACATCTCATTGAATTGGCTCACATCTCATCTCATCCTTGCCCTATATCGAGTTTTTCTATCTCTCTAACTCGTTGCTCATCAACCAACTGATAGATATATATCCATAAAAAGCCATTGCTCTCGCATTCTGCGCAGCTCTGCTATCTGCTATCAAAAAACGACAGAGAAAAAGCATTTTTTTGTGGTGTTGTGCGTGTATGTATGTGCCCTGTGTCTGTCTTTTTTGCCTTATTTGTTCATGCCTCTTCTGGCTATCTAGCCTATCTCTTTATTTTATATATATATACATATTTTCTCGAGCTCATTCATTTTCATTATTTTCATTACTTCATAGCCGCTGGGCATCTTTTCGCTGTTTGTTTGTCCAATCGGCTTCATCTTTTTCATATCAGTTGGGAAATTTGGAAAATTAATTTATGAAAAATTCAACTACTTCAGGCTTAGAGAATTTTTAAAGCCCGAAAATTTTCATCTAAAGTTTTTTATTGGGTTGATAAGCCTGAATTTTGCCTAAGTTTTGAAAACAAGCCTTTATCTGAATTGGGATCGGACCTGTTTTATCAGGAAGTCTCATCCCAAAACAGGCCTTAAATAAATAGGCTTAACAAACTTAACTAGCCTCTAGGCGCTGATCCTTGACACCTAGAATGTCTAGGCGCGGCTACTTAATAACTAGGCTCTCAAGACGCGGATCCTTGTCAGAGGGGATCTCTAGACTCGGGTCCTAGACAATTAGGTTATCTAGGCTCGGGGGCTTAACAACCCGGCTTACTAGACTTGGCTACTAGTCACGGGAGCTCTTAAGGTTTCATGAGTTAAAATTTTCAAATTATTTTAACTTCTCTGAACTTTATTGAGCTCCATGCACCCCCCCCCCCCAAATAATTTCAACCGATTTTCTTCCAAATCACATGACCTTTCATAATAACCTAATTGTCGTCGCCACCAAAAACTCCCACAAAGAGCCTCAACAATTGTGTGTCGATTTTTAACAAAACGTGAACAATAGTCGCCTGGGGTTACGGCTGATAGAATATTTAAAGAGTGGCTGGCCAGAGCGGGCACCCATTATTATTATCGAGGTTCTTTCTGCGTCTGCCCAGCATCCGGTTTTGCTTTTGTTCTGTTTTCATGCTCTCGAAGAAAAGGTTTTTGTTTGGTGCAGAAAATTTTTATTTATCATGACATAGAACACAAATGCGCTCCAACGAGAAAGATAATTTTCACGTGAATATTCAAAAAATCATTTTTTTTTTGTTTCTCTACACCTCTCCTCTCTCATCAGATTGCATTTATCACTAAGAAATGTGTGAAGACTAAAAACAACATCACAAAAAGGCGGGAAGATGAGATTTGGCAGGTGTTAAGGTGTGAAAAACGAACAGATTGTGGATACTTATTGTTAGTGTTATTATTGATTGGGGATTTTTCTGTATGTTGCGTAATTTGGGAAGATTAGTGGGCAAGGTGTTAGCCAATCATTGTCTTTTTCATCATTTATTCACATCATTTTATTTATGTTTGGTTAGACATCATTTTTCTGCATTTTTAATCGTATTTTTTCCTGCTAGCTTTTAAAGGAAATTTGAAGCATCTTGAAAAACAGCGCCCGTGGCTCAGTGGCAGAGCGTTTTGCTGTGGCGCGCAAGGCGCGAGTTCGATCCCCGACCCCTACAAACTTTTTTCTTCCATCATTTTTCGCCTATCCTCTATCCTATCGACAATCTTAATCTCATCACACTCACCATTCACATTCACGATATTTTTTCCTGACAGTAATTCCTGTCATATAAGATGCGGATTATCTCTCCTCTTCGCTTATTTTTCGCGCAGGTGTTGATATTATGATAATGAGAGCGTTGGAAGGATTTACGAGGAGAAAATTGCATTTTTAGGAGGGCCTATTTGGTTTACGACCATCTAGATATTGTTGTGGACAAGTTTCGAGGTTATTTGGAGAAACTTTGAATAGAAGATCAGGATTTTGTAAAATTCAAATTTTAGTTCTATCAAAAAATTCAGGAAAACTCTTCGATGCAAGTTATTATTTTTTTTTGAATTTTTTAAACAAAAATTTAACATTCAGTGATAGATATTTCTAACCCTCTTGTAAATTCCACTCAAAAAATCCTCATAACATTTCACGGCCTCTCAATTCGATAACAATCATTTTGGTGATTCGATTCCTCCTCGAATCGGGTCGCATAAAAACAGAAGAAAAGAAAGGCTATGTTGTTAACACGCGTGTTATAGGCGAAAAGATTGATATTAGATAACTCCGTTTTTTGCCTCCCTTTGCGCACAGATAGATCGTAATCACTCCGACCCCTTTTAGCGATTTGTAATCGATAGAAGATTGCTATCTCACACACAACATAACTTTTTTGTTTGGAAGGAGACAACACAAAACGACCCTCCTTTTTGATTTTAATTTATTTATATTACCGCCCTTTAGATATTCTGAGATAAGCCAGAAGAATCTTCATCTTCTTATGAAGATGAAGCTTTTATTTACTATTTCACATTTATAATAAATACAAGTTCATTTCTTCTCCCGAAACACCGCATAATTCGAAAAGGGCGGAGCTCGCAATTCGCATTTCGAAATCGGTAATTGTTCATGGGCGGCGCTTATCTGCAGGCCCCCAGCCACTTTACTCTTTTTTTTCTTGCTTGATAGATATATTTTTGGTTGTCGTTAGGCACACGGGATTTTTATTATTTATTTTCTCCCCTTCGAAATCTTACGGTAGTTTATTATGAATGGATGAGTGAATGGATATTTTTGTGGGGAGAAGAAGTTACTATGGTGAATGTTATGGCAATAGTTGATTTTGTATTTTATTCGTTTTCGTTTTCCGAGGAAAAATCATTTGAATTTTTGTAAGAAGTAAAAATAAAAAATTTCAAACCCGCAAAAATGCATTGATCGCTGCGAGACACCTCGCCAAATCTTTGTGTGCCTTTAACAAAAATACCGTACTCTATCGAAAAAATATTTTTATTTTTCTGCTTTTCTCACCTTCCCGTCGCGCGTTGTCAACACAATTTCCACCCTCGCCAGAGAGTGTATAAACATAAACCTATCAGATTACGTCCTTCTGCTCGCCAAGGACCACCCCCTTTTTATACCACCACCCAAAAATGATTAACATTGCCAGGTGGGTGGAGCTCGACCCCGCCCACAATTGCCTTCTTCCCTCTTCTCATTGTTGTTTCTCTCTCCTTACATGTCTTGTTTGTTGTTGTCTTGTCTTGATTTCGTCTATCTTCTTAATTTCTATTCATATCTTGAGCTCTCATCAAATGAAGCTTCTTGCTTTATCATCCATTTTCTTCCCTTCTTTTTCTCCATTTTTTCCTTTTTTTTAATATCCCACGCGGATTTTCGCCATAAATCCATCTTTCATTTTATTTTTTTTGTTCGCTTCTATTCAAATTCGTATTCCAGGGATGACACAAATCGAGTCATCATCACCAGCTTCACAATGTGCAGCGACATCGCCGATTCCTGTCGAAGATCCGCCCGCTGAAACTCCCGAATTAACAGCAGCACCTTGCGCAGGTTGCGTACAATTGCACCACGAAATCAAGCAGAACGTGCAACAAATGATGGATAAATTCGATTTGATGTATATGAGACTTGAGAGTTTTATCAGTGATAAAGAGAAGGATCGCATGTCAGAGATTGGAAGTGAGGAAAAAGATGCGCCATCACCATCAGGAAGTCGAAGCTCGCCAAATCTGCAAAATGGAACTGGAAAAGGTGGAGCCGGTTCGCGGAAGCGAAAACCAACCAAAGAATCGATTAATCGTGTTGGCGCACTTCTTGAAGCCGCGCAGAATTCGGAAAATTTCTTGAATGGATTATCAGATGAGAAACGACAGATCTCAACACCAGTCTCGGCTAGTTCACCATTTCCAGATTTTAACAATTTTGCAAACGGATTTATGTGTGAGTTTTTTAGGTTTACATCCTAGTCCCCCTGGATTATTTTTCACTGATATTTTTATTTGTTTCCAGTCGATCCAATGGCTCACCAACAACAAATGATGAATATTCTGGCGATGGTCCAACAACAACAAGGACCCGCTGAAAATGCTGCTGGAACTCCAGCCAAACAAGTGAAACAGGAGAAAGAGGAAATTATCATTAGACAACCGAAAATCGAAATTAGCGAAGAGCAACCATCGCAAAGTATTATGGAACAATTGACGGCGCATTTGAATGGGGTAAGAATTGGGGTTCTAGAGTCAAGACCTTAAGTGTAAGGCCCTAAATTTTTGAATAAACCAATATATCTTGGCTGAATAAATCTCACCTTATAATCTTTTAACACAGCCCGCCGCTCTCCCAAACAAAGAACATTTTTTGTTCGCAAAAAAGTTTATGTGACCCTCTATTCTAACACATTTATCTTTTTTTTTGGATAGATGTTTCACCTGCCGCCGCCGCTTTTTTTGTTGTTAGTTTTGCGAAATTTATCGCGCGCAAAAAAGTTTTGGGTGATAGGGAAATTTGAAAGTTTTGGGGGTTTTAAAGGTGGAGTTCGAGATAAAAATTGCATTTTTGCATTTTCTCAAGCCATTTTACACGGGTTTTCACTGTTTTCTTCACCTTTACGTAATTTAAAAAATCATCCCAAATGTTTTTTTTTCCAGAAACTCCAAGAAACCCAACAACCAACATCAGCCACAGCCAACATCAAAACATCACCATCGCAAGCTTCTGCCGCGCCAGCCACCACACCATCCACCAACAATTCAGCAGCCAACAATGCCGCTTCGAATAATGATGAAGATGAGTTGAGTGCGTCGTTGTCGCGATGCTCGAATTGTATGACGACCAAAACGACAGCTTGGCGACGCGATTTGACGGGAAAATTGGTGTGCAACGCGTGCGGATTATATTATCGATTACATCGGGTGAGCTTTTTTGAAAATTTTTTGGGAGAATCGGGGATTTTTGGATGAAATGGTGGATAAATAAGGATTTTCCGGTACAAATTTAAAATCATAAATTTTCAAATCTCCAAAACATATAATTTCTTGGCGCCTCATACATATTTCAAAAAAGATAATTATTATTAGGCAGCAGCTGATTGGTTTTTCTGCCTCGCTTTTTTTTCGAAAAAAAAAAGGTCGTTTCGACTAATTATCGAATTGAATAGGTTTTTTCGGGAGGTAAAATATGTATGTTCAAGGTTTTTAACTACCTTAGCCTAGACATCCAAAAAATAGCCATTAACAAAAACCTGGGCAGCTGATAGATATAGGGCTCTCTATTTGTGCACCTGTTCCCCCCATCCAAATCTACCGTATTTATATCCGCTTCAATGATAATTACTACCTCTTTTCCCCTTTTGTCAAGTCAATCACATACAGTACTCTCATTCTCTTTTTGTCTGTATATAGAGAAAGAGAGATAATTAGTGTGGTCGGAGGCGGCGGTAAGAAGAAAATGATTACCCATCGGGTGGAAATGGATGGATGATATATTGAATTGTGAAAAGGGGAGCAATTAGTGAAGATGACTGAGTGACACCCGAAACAGAAGAAAAGGTAGAAAAGGAAAACAATATGAATAAGAAAAGAAAAGAAATTATGATGAAGATGACGATGATGACTACCGACAGATGAACAATGTAAACACCTGCACCAGGTGGACGGGGGGAACTCTTATGGAAAGGAAAAGAAAAGTGCATGGATAAAAGGGTCCCCCGGAAATTGTCAGGGTTCAGAGAATCTGGAGGCTGTCAGACAAGCCAGAGTTTTGAATTTCAAAAAAAAAATCAAAAGGGTTTTTAGGCGATGTTACTTGAGAAGTAGGTTCTCTAGACACGGGTACTTGACAATTAGAATTTTAAGGCGCGCTTCCTTGCCAGTTTAAGTCTCTAGGAGACACTACTTGAAATATCAGCTGTATAGACGCGAGTCCTATACGATTTAGGTTTCTAGGCGTTGCTCCTTGACTTCAAGAATTTCTAGGCTTGCCTGCTTGACATGGAAGCTTTTAAGGCTCTGATCCTTGTCAGGGTCGATTTGAGGCCGCGGGCCCTAGATTAGCAAAACCTTTAAAAAATTTGAATTTTGATTTTCCAAAATTAAAAAAAATTGTATCTCCCACCAGACTTCTGAACTTTTCCACACTCCCAGCCCAAGTTACTACTGTACTCTACCTCCTTTCATTGTTGATTGACCTCAATTATTGTTATTTTTCTTCGATGTTAATAACAACACCGATAATTGAACCTAAGATCGAACCGAACATGATGATCACTCCGGCCGCCCGCCTTGACTCAAAGTTCTTTTTCCCACTAATTACCGAAATACAAAAGGTGGTACAACCTTGAGGCGAATCGTGCTAATTTACTTTTGATGCACTTTTGCAATATGATTCGATGCGGTCATTTTCTTTTCTTCCAAGATACTGTAGATATTATATATACCGACGGAACAATAGAATAGGTTAGGTTAGGTTAGAAAATAAAACGCAAAGATAATTAGAGGGACGGTGTTTTGCAATTTGAGACGAAGAAGAAGAAGACAGTGTTTTGGAAACGTTCTATTATATAACAACAGAGGGTTCCGCAGGCAGCGGATATTGAACTCGACACCTTGCACTTGACAGTGTCTACTGTTGCCACTGTGCCATTTAACCACTTTATATCCACAAAACCATGATTTTTATCGTTTGTCTGTTTGACACGGTTGTTTAGCAGCTGTCTTTGTGACATCCAATGACCTCATATTCACAAGATGACAACTAAGATAAGCGAGGTAGTAGTTACAAGAAAAAGGAAGGAAAGAGATGAGTAGAACGAACCAATTATAGTAGTATTAGTTGAAGAGGGTGTTATTAACGATATGATGATTGACTAGGGGCCGGTTTTGGGGAGGGCACGCGTGCGCACGCGGATTATAAGATACGGTAGATAATTGGGCAGGTGAAGAAAAGGAAAATGATGATGATGATGATGAAGAAGAAAAAATGTTTGGTTGACGACCAAAAAATTGAGGATTGATGGGGATTTCTAGGCATAAAAATCTGAAAATTAGGGCACAAAACTCTCAGCTAAATTTTGACCTGAAAACCGTAAATTTTTAGGTTAAATTTGGTTCTAAATATCCCCAAATTTACTCAAATTTGAGCTGAAACATCTTAAAATTGTTTTATTCAAAAAGCTTCAAAACTATAAAATCTTCTCACTAAAAAAATTCCTACCAATTTTTCAAATTCAATTTTTTTGCAGACTCATCGACCTGTTCATATGCGCAAAGATTTCATTCAACAAAGATTCCGCCGAAAAATCAAAGAAGATGATGTAAGTCACCCATATTTTCCATATGACTTTCCCTAACTTCTCAATATTTTGCAGGTATCAAATCAAAACGCAGTGTTCAGTCAACTTCTAGCCATGTCTCCAATGACATCTGGAAATGGCTCAAATACACCAAACGCCTTCTCATTTTTGGAGCAATTCAATCAACTCAATCAAGTTCAGGAGCAATTGAATAGCAGTGCACCCGTCTAATTAATTAATTAGCAGCTAACCCTAACACAAAAAACTCACTTAAAAATCAAATTAAATATTTATTTTTTCACATTCCCTCACCCACTATGAAATTTTTCCTTTTTTGACCACCGCGTGTTTTAACTGTGAGCTTTACTTTTTCAATTGTTTGTTTTGTGTGTGTGGCCCTTGTAGGGCTCTTTTTTGGTCTAGTGCAGGTTTTACTGGCGCATTTCCTTCCGTCCAATTTTGATCGTCATTTTTTCACTTTTCCTTGCATTTTTTCTCTCTCACACCCTTTCTTTTTACCATAATATTTCTCTCATTTAACGAAAAGCATAATCAAAAAACAACCCCAAACAGTAAGCAATTTCTCATTTTTTTCTCGTTTTCTTTTTTTCTGTAACATATCTTATGGTTTTTTTATTGAAATAATAACAATAAAATGCATTTTAAATTGAATTTGTGCTCATATTTGAATTTCAGAGGAAAAATTGCAGATTTTCTTCACGAAAATTTTTTTTTTTTTTTTTTTTTAAATTAAAAAATGTTATTTCATACACGCTGTCCACAAATGAAAAAACGCTGCCTTGTCTGCACTCTGACACACGGCATACTAAACTGTGTGTGTCTGTTCGCTCTCTCCGATCGCAACACTCTCTCGTCATCTTTTTTTCTCTCGGTTTCTTCAGCGGGAGGCGCTCTCTCGTTTTTTTCTTTTGAAAAAATTTTAGCTTTTTTTCATTGAATACTCTGAAAATCGTGGGTTTCATCAAATGAATTGTATATGAGAAGAAAGAGGAGCATCTCGCGAAAGCAGAGAAATACATTTTGAGAAACATTGACCACATTTTCAATCAGAAAATCGACAAACAAAATCAATGACCGTTTTGACACTGATTCTGAGCTTTCTCTTCGGGATAATTTGAAAAAAATACAATCAATTCATTTTTTAGGTTTTGCGCCATGTTAACTGACATTTTTCTGTAATTAGTTTCTGGATATAAACTCGAATTTATGAAACAACATTTATTCTCATTCAAAATCACCCAAATTTCGATTAAAATTCAACGAAAATTATAAAATTAATTCGATCCTGGTGAATCCATACGAAGCATTCCAATCTCAGAGTGTAATAGAGAAGATTCGAGTTGGTAGAGGACCTGGAAAATATACACTAGACAATGGTGATAAAGTTTGAAAAGTAGATTTGAAAACGAGTTTTCATGTACTTGAAACGAGACAGAATGTTATAAAAAACGAACCAATTCATAAAATAGTGCTTCTCAAAGTTCGGATAACGTTCATAACCAATAATCCATGGATCAGAAGTCTAACAATTTCACCATTGAACTTGACTGTTGTCTTTCTCTCCCAGAATCATAGAATATTGACACCAAACTCCATCCAATCTTCGATTTTCTCCATGATTCGTATTTATCTGACATCCTCTCACATTTCTTTGCATCAACTATTTCGATATTGAAAGTTCAGTATTGGTGGAAGCATCGATTTCAGTTCGAAAATTCCATTTTTTGGGACAACGCAAAGAGCTGTATTTTGGAGTTTTTTGATCGTTGAACACTTCTCCTTCTCAAGTTGTGCTTCTGTAGGTGTCCCATAACCTGTAAAACTATTTTTCTTCCTCAAAAATTTGAAATCAAAAAAGTTGAAAAAACACTCACTTTTCCGCTCGAATGTTCTCCTTGAATTTCGACTCGAAATAAGATGTTTTATATATCTCTGTCTTCCAAATCTCTTCTATTTTGAAGTTTAGCTTCGTATTAGCGCAGGAAAAATTCGTGGCGACCAAAAAACACGAAAAAATAAAGAAAAAGTTTTTTTTTCAATGGAAAAAAGTGAGTGCAGCAAACGCGCTCCATCTCAGTCAGCGAACGACGAGAGAGTGAGACGCAGACTTCACGCAGGTGTGGAGGCTGTGATTTCAAAAATTTACACCCCTGGCTGAAGAAAAATGGCCTAGGAACCGACTCGGCCAATTTATTTATTTTTCTTCTTTTCGCGAAAAAATGGATGTTTTTCGTCAATCGATGGACGAGGTTATAGAACCTAAAGTGAGCTTTTTCTCCAAACAAAAATAATAAATCAAAAGTTTTATTTAGTTTTCAAGACCAAGAATCACATGTGCTTATTGTGAAAAAACCACTTATGATCGCGACGAGATGACAATGGTTCCGCAATATACTTCTAACGATCTGGAGAAATGGGTGGATATTCTTGGTGGCACATTTTGGAAGAATATCAGAGGAATAACTCAGCGCTGGATTTGTAAAAGTCATTTCAGAGAAACGTGGAAGAATAAACGACCGCGTCATTGTTTGCCTTTTGCCAATTTGGGAAGACCTGAAATTGATACGGAACACAAAAAGTTAAAGACAGTGAGTTTTCTCACGAGTTTTATTTTTTCAATTTTTTTTTTGATTTCCAGGATTGTTCAAAATACAAATGTGCATTTTGTGAAAAAATCGATAAAGTTTGTAAAATGACAGTTGTTCCAACAAATGAACGATATTTCAATAAATGGGTTCATATATTAGGAGAAGATTTCCGCAAAAATGTTGTGAATTCGGAAAGAAGCACTTCGATGATTTGTAGATCTCATTTCGATGTTAAATTTCAAGTTCGGCCCCCATCTTTGCTACCAAAATCAGTGGGAATTCAAGAAAATCCAGTGAAAATCGAAGAAGAGGAAAAATATGAGCCAAACATGTTGCAATGTTGTTATTGTTTGAAAATTCGCGAGAGTTTGGATAATATGCGATTGATTCCGAAAACAATTCCTCAATTGATGATCAAATGGGTTGATATTCTTGGTGCGCAATTTTATGAGAATATTTCGAGAAGAAAGAAAAGTTATATTTGTTGGGAACATTTTACGAGTCGACGATCGCGCGTTTTTAATGAAGAAATCATGGAGGATTTTAGGAAGCGACAGATTTTGAAAGAACATGCGGCGAATGCTGAACAACTTTGTTCCGAGCAAAATATCATACCGAATTTGAAAGAGGAGGAAATTGAAGTTGAAATCGAGATGAAACCACATAATATATTGATTGAGAAAGATTATAAAATGGAAGTTGAAATGATGGTGGAAAATTTGGAAGATGAAGTGAAACCGGCGAAGGAAATCAAGCAGGAATGTTTAGATTCGTCATAGTTTTGTTCAAAGTTAGTTGTTTTTTAAAAATAAAAAACCTATCAAATTGAAAATCTCGTGAATAGATCTGACTGAAATTTAACACCCCAAGAAGAAAACATGAATTTATCTGTTGTGTGTAGATACAGGTTCATTTTTTATCCTTCTTCTCCTCCTTTTCCCCTTTGCTCTTCTCTCCATCATTATTAAAAATCCCCTTATCCACCTCATTCAATGTCTCATATTGTGGATCTTTCGCATCCGCTTTCGTAACCTTCTCTGGTGGTTTGAATTCCTTCTTCTTCACCTCTTCCTTCTTCTCCCCATCTTTCTTCTCCCCTCCATCCTCTTTGAAAACCTCTTCTCCCAATCCAACCAAAGTCTCATATTGCGGATCTTTCGCGTCAGCTTTCTCCACTTTTTCAGGCGCCTTGAATTTCTTCTTCGGATTCTTATCCGCTCCAAACACTCCATCATTATCCAAACCAACGAGTGTTTGATAATTTGGATCCTTCTTTCCAGCCACCGCTGCTTCATCTGTCGGTTTCTTAAAATCATCTTTTCCTTTCGCCTCTTCTTTCTTCTCCTCTTTCTTTTCCTCTTTTTTCGGCGCTTCTTCCTTTTTCACTTCTTCTTCTTTTTTCGATGATGTTTTCTTCTCTTCAGGTTTTTCCTCTTTTTTCGATGATGTCTTTTTCTCTTCCGGTGGAGGAGGTGCAGCTACAACAGTTTGTGGTTTCTGTTCAGAAGTCGACTTCGATTTCGTTTCTGTCTAGAAATATATATTTTTCAGATATCTTTAGAACCCTCTTCAAACCAACATTTTTCTTTTTACTTCCACATTGAACTAAAAATGGGATTCCAAGAGACGCAATCAAAATTGGCCAAAGGCTGAAGGATTGCATCATAAGAGGCTTCCAATTTATCTGAAAAACATTTTTGAATTAAACTAGAAAATCTAGAAAATTTACCGTATTCATGAGTGTTAGAACATTCGATGTCATGTTGCCAAAAAACCAATTCGAAACACACAAATAAAAGTATGGCTAATCGGTGGCGATGCTCAATTCTAAAATGGTTGACTCCCTCGAAATCGCCTCGGAAAAAATAGAAAAAATGGGTCACGGCTTGATTTAGTACACGTTAAAATAAATTTTGGTAAAAATTGGAATGAATAACATTTTTATTATCAAAAATAAAAATCCTCCGAAAATTAACTCGGCAACAATTCAGCTGGAGTTGGTGAACGTTGTCGTGTATCACTAGTATCCTCAGAAATCTGCTTCGCAAATTGCTGATACAATTGTTGCTCAATAGTATCGATTGATCGAATCACATTCAAATGTTTGTTACGCATTGTGAAACGCATCTGGAAAATCAAGATTTTTAGGTTTTTTCTGTCGAAATTTTCAAAAAGTTCATACTCGAATAATTGAGAGAATTGTATAAATCGAGTAAATGAAATGAACTTTTTGAGTGATTGCGGCCATTCGTTGTTTTCGAATATTTGTGAAAACCGCCTCGATCTGCAAAAAAATCAATTTGCCACGTCATAACTCTCATTCTCGACTCACATCAACAAATCGATTTTCCATCAAATGCGTATGCATCGCTTCGACAAACACAAAAACCGCACTTTGATTAACTCCAGTTTCACACTGAATCAAAGGCGGTGCATGTCGCTGATGTCTCGACAAAAATCGCTCGATTAACAATAGCACTTTAACACTTTCCGGCACCATGTTCTTCGGCCAAAATTGATAGCGAATAATGTGAACTTCATTGGCTCGAGAGGTTCCGATCTGTTTCAAGTCGATTACAAATATTGTTGGGCCATGTTTATGGGCACCAATTCGAACCGATTTGCAGCCAATTTGATATTGCCCGTATTCAACGTTTTCACCACGACGTGTTGGATAATAAATCGGATAATCTGGGCCAACCAAATTCGTTAGATTTACAATAACTTCCACATTCTCATTATACACCATACTCCAAAAATCGCCAATTGTATTTGGCAGAGGATGTTGTGAGGCGATAAATGCTTTATTCGAATTTTCGATTGATATATAATTGGCATGAATGTAATCCGACGCATCCGATTTATCCGTTTTCAATCGAACTCGCGTTGTATCCGTGCAAAACACATCGTTGTTTCGGTTTTTGGTGGGATTTTCGCGAAATTTCGTGTAGGTGTTGTCGTCCGGTTGAACATTTATCAGATTGTTGAGAAAATAGGCGGATAGCGTTGTTTCGGTTTCTGAAATTTGATTTGTTTTTGACTTTTGAAAATTCGAAAAACATCGTGGCCGAATATCCGACATTAGAAATTCGGCCACACATGTTTCAGATTTTTTTCATTTTTCAAAAAAAGTTGCGTGCCTGCTTTCCTCACCAATTTTCAAAACCTTCTCAACAAAATCGCACATTTTCAAATCAATTTGATTCGAAAAATCGGCGGCCCAATCAATAGCGATTGATCGTGTTAGCGACGCCCGTTTCGTCAATTCTCCACCGCCGTTGATCTTCTTCACTCCTCCCTTTTCATCTGATGATCTTATTAGTACACTTTTTGCGTCATTTTGCGTTTTCTTTTTGTTATCTTCTTTTCGTCTGAAAATCGGAATTTGTGTATTTTTTGGAGTGAATTTTTCCTCAAGACCTGTTATCTTCTTTATCATTTTTCTCCATCCTCGCTAAAATCAGAAATACGTCTCCTGTATCTCAAATTTACCCCAGATTTGGCCAGATCTAGGATGACGTTGCCTAATGTCACGTGGTTTCAAATCCACATCTAACAATAAAAATTACCTGGGTTTATTCATTTTTCTATCCCCCATTTGGTACTTCTCATATGATAAAAAATGAGCAAGTTTTTCGCTATTCAAGAAAAAAGTATTTTATTAGGTCACGTTTTTAATTTGCTCATTCATCACTTTTCAAAAATGCCTCAACCGCAGTCGTCGATTTTTTCTTCTCAAGTTTTGCACGTCGTTTTGCGGTCGTTGATGATTTTTTGCGCAACAATTTGACTCTTGTATCAACCGATGATGATTTATTCAATAAACACGGCATTTCAGTTTCTTCTCGATCTGTATCAGTGTTCGCCATTTTCTTTCGTAAAACACCTGCGAGTTTATTCAATTGCATTCGTTTTATTGTCGCCAAATTTCCGGGAACTAAAGCTTCGACGAGGAATTCGAGGCATTGTTGAATATCGATTCGATCTTCTGAAATTTTTTGAATTGGCTGTGAATTTTCTGTCGGCAACATTTCAACTCACCCGGTTTCTTGGTCCAAATCCCATTGAGCATTTCATCCATCTTCGGAGTTATTGATTGTACTCCAATCGTTGGCATATTTGCTTTTCTAATATTTCTTATAACAATTCCCGTATCCTTTTCATCTTCAAACGGTTTCCGTCCATCAAAATACACTTCATAACACAATACTCCAAACGCCCAAACATCAGATTTCGTCGAAAATTCCGATTCCTTCTGTATACATTCGGGAGCAAGCCAGGCTAATGGGGCTTCTTTGAGCGCCTCTTTAAATGCAGTTTGATTTTCCAAAAGTGCGCGGCTCAAACCGAAATCGGCGACTTTTATAAGACCGTCGGCGGAGATCAGACAATTTCGGGCGGCCAAATCGCGATGAACACATTTCTTCTCGTGCAGGTAGCGAATTCCTCTACAAGCCTAGAAAATCAATTTTTTGAGGGCATTATTGGGAAAAGTGATTTTTGCCGAAAAAAAATTTGGAAATTGTCCGAGAGAAATACACGAAAATGCAGTGGAATTGCGGAGTATCGTTGTTTTATTTTTATTTTTTCGCATTTTTTTCCGAAAAAAAATCCTCACATCTATCAAAATAGTTTGTTTTTCATATTCTTCCATATCTTTACCCATATTCTTCACCAAATTCTCCACACTTCCACCCGTACAAAACTCCATAACCACCAAAAACGGTGGGCTATCACAACATGTTCCATAGAGTTTAATAATATGTGGATGACGAATAGCTGTCAATAATTTGGCCTCAGCGAAAAGCTCATTTCTAGTCGCCATAATTGAGGCCGAATCAACATTATGATCGGTTGCTTTTGACACTTTTACAGCAATCTCTTCTTCTCGTCCATTACTTCTTCGCAATTTTCCGCGATAGACAAAGCAGAAATTGCCTTCGCCAAGTTTGCCTGCTTCTTTATCGTAGAATATTTTTGCGGGGTTTAATTGGTATTTTGGGCGAGGAATTGAGGCTCGAAGACGAATTCCGCATGCAAGACGATGATGACGATAATATTGAATCATATCATCGTAGTCTACAATTAGTTATGTTTAGTTTGATATGTGTGTCTTTACCACGTCACCTTTGAAAACCGGCGAATCCAGCACAATCTTTCCTTTTCCCTCCTTCTCAATTTCTTGTTTCACCACAAATTTCTCATCCTTAAAATCCAGCAAATAATGCACAATCTCTTGCTCGCCAATTTTCACACACAAAAAAATCCGCAAAACAGTTTCGGTTTTCATCAACGCCGATCTCAGACAAAAATCACCAATTTGACAGTCTCGCAAGTTATTTTGAACATCTTCGCGGGTCACAACGCCATGGTAAAATTGCAGTTTTTTCACATTCAGTTTTTCGGCCAACTTTAAATTCAGACTTTTGATAATTTCAGGTCAAAATGAAAATTGCTTACCCAACTTTTTTCCGGGGTTTCTGGCATTTTCGAACTCATATTTCAATCAGAAATGATTGTTTTTTTTTTTGAAATTTCAAAAAACACGTAAAAAATATAAATATTTATTATTTTTTCAAACCAAAACCAAAAAAAATCACAAGATCAGGGGGAATAAGTTTTTTTGTTGAATAGAAAATCTGGAAATTTTTCGATATAGAAGCTCAACAAGACAAAGCAAGAATATTTACAAACAAAAATGAAAAAAAAATAAAATTTGAGATCAGATCACACAAAAAAATCACACAGGGAATGCTGGTTGTTGTTGAGCTTTGATTCGATTTGAATTTGACGAGAGGCGGAGCATTTGGAGTTGGCGGATGGCTGCAGCAGCGTTGTAGGCCTGGAAAATTCAAAAATTAATTTTTCGCGCTCAAATGCCACGTGGCATCAAATGGCGCCAAATTTGAATTAAATGTTCTTTCAGTGAAAAAATCAAACATTGAATTTTTGGGCCCAAATTCCACGGGATGAAATAGGGTTCCTTTTTGTGGTGCCAAAAAAATTGAGGACAATCAAAAAAATCTACTTTACCAGAGATCAAAACTAAATCCCTGTCACATTTTTTCCTCAAAAAAATAAAGAACAAAATTCCCACTTGACTGAAACCCCGAGAAAATCTAATTATAGCAAAAAAAATGTATATAAATAAAATTCGTGTGATAGACACAAATAAACAAAACAAAATGACGAAGTCGCGGGTGTGAAAATTTAAAATCCACGTCATAAACCGAATCTACTTATGACGTGGCAAAGGCTTTCAAAAATGGAATTTCAACAACAAGAAATCAGGGATTTGAAAAAAATCCAGAACCTTCTGAATTTGAGTTATGACGTGGCAATTCAATTGGATTTCACCATACATATTTTGAAACCTAGAAAGTTCAAAGCCCCACCTTCTTCCAATTCCTCTTCGCCAAACTCTTCTTCAAATGCACCGCAACAGTTCCATGAATATCGTGTGTATAAGCAGTTCCACCACTAATCCACGGATGTGCCAAAGCCTGCTGGCAAGTATATCTCATATCCGGATCACAACACATCAAATGCGAAATGAAATCTTTCGCCGAATCGGAGATCTGATCCCAATACGGTGCATCAAACTCATATTCTCCTTTGATAATCTGAGCGAAGAGATTCGCATCACTTTCATCGTAGAATGGTGGATAACCGCATAGTAAAATATAGGCGATCACTCCGATTGACCAAACATCCACCGCTTTTCCATAAGGTCGTTGTTGAAGGACTTCAGGTGCAACATATCCAGGTGTTCCGCAAGCAGTTGCCATAACTCCCGAATCTTCGGTTTTTGATAAGCCAAAGTCCGAAATCATTATTTTTGATTCTTCATCTTGATTGTAGTAGAGAAGATTTTCCGGCTTCAAATCTCGATGAACCACACCATTGTCATGCATAAAAGCAACAGCTTCCAAAACCTGAAATTCTGGAGTTCCTGGTTATTCTTCAGCCTTGTTCCCAGTAAACCCTTTTCTCTTTAAAAATTCTCTATCCATCTTTAAAACATATGAGATCTCCTACATTTTTCAGAATTTTAAATCTCTCGGTGTTTGATCTCATCAAATATTCTTGCTTCATTAATCTGCACTTCCTTCCTCTTTCTAAAAGTCAACTCTCAAAGCTTGTTCCCTCAGCTCACCTGTCTAATCAAATGCGACGCATCCTTCTCTGTATACGATCCTTTCGCTACAATTCGATCAAACAACTCTCCACCGGTGACTAATTCCATGACTAGATATACAAATTGTTTCTCATCGTATGTGTCATACAGCTGTACAATGTTGTTATGACGAAGTCTGGAAAATCTGGAAGATTCGCGGAAACATTCGATAATCAGAAGAGCAAACTACACACGAAACAAGAACACGTGACAAAAGCTAGAATGGCTAGAATTTTTAGAGGGAGACGAACTTTAATCAAAATTCTGATTACAGTAACCCTGGAATACTGTAGCTTCTTCAAAAAGTGATAGAATTCAGTTTCCAAAATTTTGTAGATCAAAATCTTTGTGCCAAAATCTACAGTAATCCTGGGATACTGTAGCTTCTATAAAATGTTCAAGATTTAAAAAATGTAGATCAACATTTTTAGGCCAAGCTCTACAGTTTAAAGTTTGCTGAGTACGGTAGAATAACCTGCAGATCTAACTCGAGACGGAAAAAATTGAATAAAAAACCTGAACAAGTTAGATATGCAGACATTTTTCAGCATGTTCCTTTAAACTTGGCTGATTACTGTGTGATCCCTAAAGTTCTCAAAGATTACCTAAGGCTTTCCTAAAGTCTCTGAGGTTCCCTAAGATTCTAGGATCTCAAAAAGCCTTCTAGAATCCGCATTTAAATCTCAACAATCACCCGCCACTTCACCCGATATCCTTTTGGGGTGTAAAACAAGACAAGAAGGCCCGCACTCACTTTCTCAACACTTTAATTTCATTTTCGAGCGATTCCTCTTTGCCTTTAAGTGCTTTTTTGTCGATACATTTGACGGCAAACATATGACCGGGCTCACATTTTGATTCGGCCAAGAAGACCTGCAAAAAATTTTAGATCGTGATGAGACCCAGGTGTTAAAGGAACATCCATTTCTAATTAGACGAAATGGATATTTGGATGATAATCCTTTGGGATTTTGTTGGAAGATTAAAAATAGTGAATCATCATCTCGACTTGAACTAACTAACTTTCATTATTCATTTTAGCGTGAATAGAAAAAAAAACCCCATGGCAACATTGATTTTTTCTCCATTTTTAGCTAGAAAAAGTAGCAGCTGACTTTGTTTCGTCATAAGATATTTTTAAGACATTTGGGGGCTTGAAATAAATGTGAGGTTATGACGTGGCAAAAGGGCGCGTTCTGATCTTGAATTTTTTTTAGAACTCCTAGATGCCTTACAGCTAAGACGTGGGAAATTTGGAACAATTTTTGGAATTCTGGATTTGATTGGGAAACATTTTATTGCAAACTAGCGATTTTCAGAATTCTGAAAATTTTTGGCAGAAAATCAAACCTCAGAAGAGCTATGACGTGGCAAAAATGTGCCCGGAAATCCAAATTAACAAATTTTTGTTACATCAGAAGATCAATTTTGTCTAGACGCCCTGTCTCATAATTCCTAATGGCCCAATTTTTAATCTGAAAATCCTGTAGAAAATTTCAGATTTTCAGATTGAACAAAGCTGAAACGTCTTCAATTTCAAAAACTAGAAGTTTTGCCACGTCATAACACACATTTCTGACCAACCTTGGAAAACGCTCCAGTGCCCAACACATCTCGAAAATCGTACTTCTCGCGAATCGGCGAATTCGCTGCGGGACCCGCCGTATCCCTCCTTTTGAAAAGAGGCATTATCTGGAATCGGAAACAAATTTAAAATCAGGTTTTTTTTTAAATATTGTGCATTTCACGAGCAAGGAAAAAACGCAAAGAAAAAAGGAGAATGAAAAAAAAAAGAAGAAGAAAATGAAGCAGAAGCAGAAGAAGCTCACACACTCTTTTTCTCTTTTTGCCTCTCGCTTTTTTTCGTTGCTATATATGAAGAGATCGACAAAATTGTATAATGGATTGAGAAGGGGAAGAAGATGGAGAAGAAAAAGAGAGCAGAAGAAGAAGAAGAAGTGAGCCAGAGAGGGGCTCCGCCCATTTTTTCTTCTGCTTTTGGTTGTTATAGCCGTGTTATAGCCAACCGCATGACCATTGGGGTGATAGATTGAGGAATTTGAGAGGGTTCGAGAGGACAGGCAGTTAGAGAGAAAGGTCTAGACGGTTAGAGAAGGTTAGAGACGCAGAGAGAAGCGAGAGAAGTGGCTAGACGGTTAGACAAGGTTAGAGAGGCAGAGTATTTCTGGGAAAGCTTAACAATTGAAAAAAATTAATAGATCAAGGAATTGGGAGGGTTAGAAATAGCTAGAGACGCAGAGATGGAGAGGCAAGACTATAAGAGAAATTGAAAGAGTTCGAGAAGCGAGAGAGGTGGCTAGGTGGTTAGAGGAAGTTAGAGACGCAGAGGATTTCTAAAAAGAATAGAATGAAAATATTTAGAGAATTAGAAAAGAGATTGATCAGACGGCTAGAGAAAGTTAGAGACGCAGAGAGGAATTAGAGATAGAGAAACATATTTAAGTTTGGTGAGAGTTTCTGGGAAATTTAGATTTTACATATTTTTTTAAAATTCAATTCATCATGGACCAAGAAAATATCAATGATCTCTGAAAAATTTGAAATTTCCAAAATCTCTGAAACGTATATTTTCTTGGAAAATTCTCGAAGTAAAAAAACCGAAAATTATCAGAAAATTCTCACGAAAAATATTCTGAAAGTACTTTTTTTTCGAAAAAAAATCTAAATCTTCTACATCCAAATCCAAATCCACATTTACTTCTTCTTCTTCTTCTCCCCAATTTTTTATACACGCTTTTACAGAACAAATAAATTTTAACGAAAGTGAGCACTTTTTGTGTGCTCGGTCATGTGCTCGGAAAAGGTTTCAAAAAACAAATTGGATTTTTTTGTTGTGTGGCGGACCTGGCAAAGCGGTTTGTTTACCAGTTTCAGAAATTGGTGCCCCCCAATTCATCATACGTATTATTGTGCACTTTTTGAGTGAGAGAAAGTTTATTCGAACTTTTTTCGGTTGAGAAAACATTGGACATGGGGAATTATGTTTAGAAAAATAGAGTGAATGAGCTCAGAAAATAAGGGTTTTGAAAATTTTCGGGGCTTAGGCTAAAACATAAATTTGAGTTTGAGCCTGAGCCTGAGCTCGAGCCTAGAAAGAATCAAACTTACTTTCTGAAAAACCCATTTCCGAACAGATCCAGAACAAACTTTGGACCCAATTTCACTTTAAAAATGTATGAGAAAAAAGAGAAGCGTCACATATACATATTATTGTCTTCTTCGTTTTTTCGATGAATGAATTTTTCATAAACTTTTTTCTGTGCGCAATTTTTACCAACGTCATTCATCTCTATCTAATAAAAGTATTTGCGTATAATCTGGATTTTTGCCAGCCAAAAAAAAAAGAAGCAAAGTTCACCTAATCTTGGTTGGCTACGTAACAAAATAAAACAAAAATAGCAGGAAAGCGGAGTCGAACCTGGGAGTGAAACCCAGAAGGCAGCAGCGTACACCACTAGACCATGTGGGACTGATTTAGCGGGAAATTGTGAAATTCAAATTTCGGGCTTTTGAACTCCGAACAGAGGAAAAATGTTTTTTAGAAAAAAAAAAAGAATGAAAAAAGTATCTAGTCTAGTGGAAAACTCAATTTGTTTCGGGGCTGCCCACAAAAGAAAATGAGTTTTTTGTTCAGTTATCCTGGAGAGAAGAAGAAAAACATGGATGATTAATATTGTATGACTACTAGAAGAAGAAGAAGAAGAAAATTGTGGTCGAATTTATATTTTGGAGAGCACAAAAAATGTGAAAAACATATTCATTTGAAGAAAAAAAGAACGAAGATTATCTGATAAATATTTGAGCGAGAAGACGGGGTAGATTTCGAAATAAAAAAACAGATAAACATCAGTGACGTGGCAAATTTTGAAAAAAAAGATTCTATGAGCTCCAAATTGCCACGTGGGAAAAAAAAACCACACCTAATAATAAAACAGCAACGACGAAACACACAAATTTTTTATGAGAGTGCGCGAAATGCAATTTTTATCAATGGGGCGCACTTCCATTTTTACTTTTATTTTCTTGTTTTTTTTTTGTTTTTCGAAAAATTTTCATTCGTTGTTTTTCCATGAATTTGAATGAAACTTGTTGTAAACTTCATATTTATCTGTTTTCCTGGAACAAGTAACACAAGTTTAGGTGATTTTTGATAGTTTTATAGTAAAACTGGTGCTCAAAAAGTAATTTTATAAAAAAATGTACTTTCTTGAAGTTTTCTTTCGTTTAAAGTACTTGACGCATTTCTATTTTACAGGAAAAACGTCAGCGAAATTATGGAACCATCGAGACAATTTATGAAGCGAGTTTTGGTCGAATGATTTTCAATCACGTGGAAAACTGGAGCAGATGTGAGTTTTTAAACATTTTTTTTTAAATTTCCGAAAATCTCTAATATGAGCAATGCTTTTCTGCGTCTCTACATAAAAGTAAGAGACACAGGCATGTATTGCTCATGCTATACAAAAAAAACCACGTGGCTGTTGAGCCTATTTTTGTTGATAATCCAATCCACTCCATAAAAGGATTTTCTCACATTAAATTTCAAAATTCAAAAATCAAACATCAAAAATCTCACAGATGAGATTAACTTCATTTTTTTCTGCAAAAACCACAAAAAATATATACAAAATACAAATTTTTCATTGCTATCAGAGACGAAGAAAAAACGAACAAAATGTACATATATTTTATGTTGTTCAGAGCAATCGAAAAAATAATAGATTAGATTTGGACACAAAACATGGACAAAAATGGAAAATAATAAAATAAAATACAAAATCACCCGATTCCGGTGCGCGACTACCATTAGAGTACGGTAGAAGGACGAGAAGATGTCTACGTGGAATTTTTGAAATGGCGGGAACTTTTTTTGAAAATTCTCTTGTTTATCGTCGAGTTCCATCTTCGAAGAAGACACCACCATCCAAAGCACAGTATTTCGGGCAAATTCCTGGAAATATTTTGGGGTTAGGATTTTTCTTAAGCCTGAATCATGGGCCTAGGAATAAGCTTTAAACCTAACCTAAGCCTTGAGCCTTAAGCCTAAGCCTGAAGTCTAAACCTAAGCTCTACTCACCTCTCTCTCCTTGTGGTCCAGGAAGTCCAGGTTGTCCTGGTTTACCAGGTGCTCCACCCGGCCCAGTATTTCCAGGTGGTCCTGGTGGCCCAGGTGGCCCAGCTTGTCCAGGTTGTCCATCTCTTCCAGGTGCTCCATCATCTCCCGGTGCTCCGCTATTTCCAGCCTCTCCCGGATTTCCAGGCTCTCCAGGTGTCGAAGGTGTCGATTGTGCTGGTCGCCCAGGCTCTCCACGCTCTCCATCATTTCCTGGATTTCCTGAATCTCCTGGCGCTCCATTCGGTCCAACTGGTCCCGGTGTTCCTGGTGCTCCTGGTCGTCCTGGATTTCCAGGCCGTCCCGGTTGTCCAGATGGTCCTTGTGGTCCTTGTGGTCCCGGAGAACCTGGTGGGCAAGGATTGCATGGTGGAATGTCTTGCTCTTCGCAAACAATTGGCGGTCTTCCTGGTGTTCCTGGTCTTCCTGGAGCACCTGGAACTCCGGGCCGCCCATTTCGGCCTGGAAGGCCTGGTCGACCTGGATGACCTGGTTTACAGCAGCCTGCGCAACCGCCTGATTGACGTTTCGCGCGGATAGTTGTCAGGTTTCCGGCGATGGCGGCGACGATTGGTTTCTTGTGCGAAATTTCAGACATTATGTCACGAGCTGTTGACTGAAAATTGGGTGATTTTTGGTGGGAAGATTCAAAAATAGCTCATCTAATTTTAAGCCCTAGAAATCAGACAAGAGAATTTTTTGGCCCATTTTGGAAATGTTTTTTGATATCTTCTAGGTGAGAAAATTTTCAAAAAATTTCATTTTTCAATATTTTTCACGTGACCTCTGACTTGGCAATTTGATTTCGACAAATGTGAAATTCAAAATTCATTTCTACAAAAAAAAACACTTGGGATAAATCAGACCACAAGATCAAACTACAAAAAAGTGTTCAGATGATTTTTTAATCTTCCTAATTTTTTTTTCTATTAATAAAATAATATTATTACTATTATTACAACGAAAAAAATTCAAAAAAAAGAAAAAATCCGGTTTGAAATTCTTCGCGCACCTCCTCGGTCAAATAGCTGGAACACGCGCACTTAGAAGAAAAAGATGAATGGCAGAATTTTTTTCGATCAAAGGGAAAAAAGAAGGTTTTCTCACCTTACAAAATGTCATATCTCTTTTTGTTTGTTGATGAATTGAATCGACGAAATTGTAGACAATTGGCATTGATATGCATACTGCAAAAAAAATGGTTTTTGAGATTTGAATTCTGGGGGAAGACTGAAAATTCATGAAATTCAACGCTGATTTTTGGATTCAGCTCAAAATTAGGGTGAAAATGAGCTGAAATAAGTCTAGGAACAAGGCTAAGGGTTATTCAGGCTTATTTTGATCTGAATTTCGGGCAAAGACTAAAAATTCTGAAATTCAACGCTGATTTTCAGATTCAGCTCAAAATTTGGGCGAAAATGAGATAGAATAAGCCTAGATACAAGCCTAAGTCCAGGCTTATTCAGGCTCATTTTGACCCAAATATTGGGCCTAATCTGAAAATTCTGTATTTTTCAAATTCAGCTCAAAATTTGGGTGAAAATGGGCTGGAATAAGCCTAGAAAGACTCATTTTCAAAATCATTTTCAAATGAGTCATTTTGACTCAAATATTGCGCAGAATCTGAAGATTCTGAAATTTCCCGTTGAATTTTCAGATTTCATCTCAAATATTCCATAATCTCAACAAGCAAAACTTCAACAAAAAAAATTTTCAAAAAATCCACACTAACCTGACAAAATAGCAAGAAATGAAAAAGTGACAGCAGAATATGTGACAGCCTTATAGGCCTTTTCTCGTGGGTCCTCCATCCCCCTGAAAAAAAAAGCAAAATAAATTATTTCAGATATTTTCAGATAAGAAATCAAAGTCAAAAGTGAAAATGAAATTGAAAATTCATTCCGATCATATATAAATCATTTCGATTTCACAACATGAAACATCAAAAATGGGCGGAGTCTTTATGCAATTGTTGTTTTTTGTTCAAAGCCCACAGCGGTTATATATGAAGATGCGCGGACGCCGACGCGGAACCGCGCGCTTTGAAGAGACGCAGGCGGAAAAACAGAAAAACGGAGAGAAATGTAACCTCTTGGCTTATATACCATGTAATATGAATACAAGACAACTAACAAAAAAGGGAGAATTTTATATTTAATATAATTTATCAGTGTGGAAAACGTGGTGTAACTAAATGTGTTATGCATTCATTCTGAAACACTTTCAGATTTTTAAGAGGGATTTATCAACTTAGATACAATTGAATCGCTTCCTCGTTGGACACGAAAAAAAAGAAATAAATAAATAAAAAGCTTACTGTGTGTTTAAAGGAACATGTAGTTTGTGTGTTGGGTCTTGAGGGGAAGAGGTGTTTTGGGCGCACACTTTCATTTTCAAAAAAATATTTTTATTTTTTTCTTGGCCACACCCGTTCAAGCCACGCAATGAGTGTTTTCTACTGTAAAACAAAACAAAAAACTGTGCAAACACTTTTGTCTAATTCTCTCTGTTCGCCGTTATATTTCGCACTACAGTATTAAAGGAGCATGATAAATTTTATGCGTTGGGTCTTGTCGCGATTGCTAACTTTCTTCGCAGGACCCTAAAAATTTCGAAATGCGTAGTCTCACACAGATCTCGATGCGCTGATTCTAATGGTATATTTACTTTTTCTATTTGGTTATCAAATTCCTTTGAAAATTGTGGCGCAGTGTGAATAAAAGAAATTTCCAATTTTTTCATTGTTTGAACGGGTGTGTGGCAAACAAAAAACTTCATGAAACTCTCGTTTTTTCAGTTACTATTATGTTCAAATCGGTGAAACGTGCAAGATTGGCTTCAGAAACTTCGAAAGATTGGCTCGAAATGCCACCGGAAATGCGAGAAATGGTTATCAAAAGAATGGATGAGAAAACGTTGTGTCAATTTTCAGCTTGCTCGAAATTGTCGCGCGCTGGAGCCAAGCGATCAGGAAAATTTATGAGTGGTATTATCTTTGGAAATAATTCATTGGACATCAAACACGGTTCGCATTGTGCTTATCGTCTCGAATTTATTGATGTTCCTGAAAGCGCAATCGACCAAACAATGGTGCTGTACAAAACGTAAGTTTCTAAGTAGCTAATTAATTTTTGCAAATATTTTTTTTCAGAAGAATACCAGCAGCACCTGAACAATTCGGAAATTGTGTATTTATTGTGAAATGGGGCGAAGTTGTTAATGGAACGCCACAAGAACTTCGAGAAAAATATATTATTGATCATTTTCGAAAATACGGAGATAACATTCGAGAATTTGTAATCGAGGTATAAAACTAATCCAATAATACGTTTAAATATTACAAATTTAAGTTTTTCAGGATAAATCATGTGCACCGAATGGGATCGATTTCAGAAGTTTGAAAAATCTCGAAATAATTGATCTTGCATTCTGCGGCGATTTGTTCGAAGGAATTGAAATGAATCAAGTTTGTTTCAACGAAAAATATATTTTCTGCTCAATAAAAACACTTTCCAGCTTTTGAATGCGAAAAATATCAACTCATTCAATCGCCTCTTCACATTTGATCAATTCATTCAATTCAATGGTAACTGTGCTTCCATTAAAATGCATCAATTTAATGAAGAAACAATCACCAGATATTTGAATATTTTGAAAACTTCTGACGTTCATAAAAATCTCAAAGAATGCACGATTTCAATTGCGGACTCGAATAAAAGATTTCCGACTGCTGGATTTTATAAGGACTTATCCAAACATTTCACTATAAAATTTTCAAAAACTACTGAGTAAGGAAGTTATGCATTATTGAAAATATTTCAAATTTGTTTTTTTTTCAGAGACGAATCGTATCTGTCGATTAGCTTGAACTTTGCAAAAATATCTATAATTTTTTTTGGAGGTTTACAAGGAAAGGTTTTCAATGTTCCCCCAAGGAAAAAATCGAGAGTATGTGGAATGTTGAGGGTTCCCATGGGTAAGAAAAACCCTAACGGGAATAAGGAGAAAAATGCCTTGTTTTAGAAAATTTTGGTGTTATTGATTTTTGCCATGAAATTTTTCAGAAAAATCGAAACTTTTTTCAAAATTGATGAAAAATTTCAGTCTAAAAATCCATTTGTAGCGCAAACGGCGTACTTTAGTATTACTTCGACTAAAGTTAGGAATAAAATAATTTTGGTCCCAAAAGTCCACTAAATCAAAAATCCAGTTTGAAAAATTCATAGAAAATCAACGTTTTCGTTGTGAAGGAGAAGTTTGTGTGAATCGAGACTATGATTTTTGGATTCTACGGACCAAATTACGTCTGTTGACCGTCATATATTTTTCAAGTTCCGTTCATTTGAAAATGGAAAAAATTATTTTTTGTGTTTTTTGGTGACCATTTGATCAGAAAAACCCCGACTAAAAAAACCAAATTTCAAAAAATGTCTAATTTTTTGATAAAAAGTTTCACAAACACGTAATCGACCATTCTGAACAACTTCCACGACTCAAAATTTCATGAAATAGATTCAAAATCGAGTTACAGATGCTCTAAAAATCAAAAAATGGTGTAAAAATCGACCTAAAATACATTTTTCTCGAGAATAAGGCATTTTTCTCCTTATTCCCGTTAGGGTTTTTCTTACCCACGGGAACCCTCAACATTCCACATACTCTCGATTTTTTCCTTGGGGGAACATTGAAAACCATTCCTTGTTAGTCAGAATTGATCGCACAGAAAATAAATGATGATATGGAATGAAAAATCAAATGTGTTTATGACCAAAAAATTTTAAATTGGCACAATTTTCTTGTCAAATAAATATTTATTAACATTTTTCTTTGTCTAATTTATTTTGAAAATAAGTCTTCGAACTATTTCATATCTTTTTTCAATTTGTCAGATTTTTAGGGGAAAAGATGGCGCGGAGAGCAACTTCATCGCAAAAATGGTAATTATTTTGGGGTGGGGAGGGGAAAATTTGTCTGATAATCGAAAAACTGGCTGAAAATTCAAGTTTTTCTAATGAAAATTTTGATTTTCAGCTGAAATTTATAGTTTTCTTCAGAATTCTACAGAAAATAGTTTAAAAATGCCGCAGTTTTGTGGAAAATCTTCATTTTTAGTTGAAAGAATCTGATTTTTACTACAAATTTCAGCTGTAAATCACAGTTTTCATGAAATCTCACTGAAAATCAAGAAAAGTATGCTGAAAATAGCAGATAGGCTGTATTTCTGGTTGAAAATCCAAAATTTAACGAAAAAAAAAAGAAAAACTACCCGATTTTGCTATTTTCGACCCAGAATCATTTATACATTCATTGAAAAATTTGAAAAAAAAAATCAAAATCCAAAATTCGCCACCAAAAACAATACCAAACTACAGAAAACACTTCTACTCAAAACTCCTTTCGCTGGCACAATCTCGAAATCCATATAAAATCCGGTCGTATTCGAATCTCCTGTATATTGTACAGCCAACATGGCACCATTCACAGTCAAGCTACTCGCAACTTTATTCGAACTATTATAAATCGTGGTGACGTCACCATTCGCAATCATGAGTGAATTATTGCGAGACAAATCGAGTTGTCTGATGTTTAGCTGATAGCCAAGATTTTGAGATGTTTGGGGAGCGAGAATATCTGCTGTGATTGTTGGTGATGCTAATCCTGATGTTTTGTAATATCGAGATGCGATGAAACCTTTTCGACCAATGTAAGCATTTTGGAAACCAGCTGGAATTTTTTTTAAAATTAATGTCAAAGTTAAAAAATGTGCGTCGCGGTCGGGAAACAATCAATAATTCATTTTTCTTGTTTCCCAACCGCGACGCAGAGCCGCACGCGACACATTTTTTAACTTCCAAAATTCCCAACGCAAACTTACAATCAATAGTGCGTCTTCCCAATTTCAAAGTAACTTGTCCAGAAGTAACCACATAAGTTCTATGAATCCCCAAAAATTCCTGAGGCAACGAATTATTAACATTCGAAATATTATAGGTTGCAATCTTCCGATCACTGAAAACCGATCCAATATAAACATCAATTTTTGCATTAGCCGAAACATTTGCAGCTATCAAATATTCTGCATTTGTTGTTCCCATAGTTGTAATAAACCCGACTGGTTGAGAAGCACTCGGTGAACTCAAGCTCAATAATCGTGGCGCATTTTCCATGGATATCCCCAAAAATTTGCCGAACTTTGAAGTTATCGAATAATCTTGAAGGATAACTGTTCCGTAAGCAGAATAGGATGTTGAAGCCACGGTGTAAAGTGTGAGATATTTGCCACTGGATACAAATTGATTACCAGAGACATATTGATCGTATAAACTTCCGATGTATTTGGAGTTCACAGTTGGACCATCGAAGACTGCAGTTGCTTGTAAATATTGAACATATTGGGCGATTTGTGGAATTGTGACTAGAGATACACGTGTTGATGCGGTGAATGTTGTTGGTTGCAACATTTGGGTATTGAGATATAATGGATCTTTTGCCGATGATGAAATTGGATAATTAATTGGATATGTGTTATCTGAAACAAAACATCAAATAGGAACATCCTTCAAAAATCCAACCTACATTTATAATATTTGAATTGCAAATTGAAATATCCAACAGTGTTTGTAGTTTGAACATAAACATATCCACCAGGAGAGATCAAAAATGCTGGTTGTTGAAAAGCGGTGTTATACACTTTTGAAACATTTATCGAATCAACAACCGTCACAAAACCGTTGCCCAAACTTGCGGAGAACACTAGGAATACACTGTATCCTGTTGGAACATTGAAATGGAATCGACAATATTGATTGGGACTCAGGGTGTCGTTGGAGTTGGCTGGATATTTGGTGATTTGGCTGAGGTTTTGAGGAGCGTAGTATTGGATTATGGAGGAGGAGCAGTCTGGAAAATGGTTGGGTTTTTGGGGCGGGTTTTGGGAGAAATTTTGTAAAAATTCTGAAGATCAGCTGATTTTCTAGTTAAAAATCTAAAGAAAACTTCAAGAGATTGTTACCAGACTACAGTCTAGTTGGTATTAGTTAAACTAGACTCTGGTTTGTACAGATTCTAGTCCATTATCGAGCAACTAACTTAAGTCTAGTTAACCTACTGTCTAGTTAGACTAGAGTCTAGTTAGTACGGTTGGACTAAAGTTTGGTTTCCCTAAACCAGTAAAAACATCTAGAACTAAATAATTTCTAGATTTTTTCAAATTTTTTTCCCGAAAAACTCACTCAAATTCACTGCATAAACAGTTGAGAATACAAAAAATAAGAGCAAATATTTCATTTTGAATTTGATTCTTCGAATATTTGTTATCAAATTTTGATCGCTTTATAAGCATAGTTTGGAAAAGATAAGAAAAATGTCATCATTCTAACTCAAGCAAAACGTTTTTCACAATAGTCTTTTTAAAATGAGTCATGCAAAAAAAGTCCGGAATTTCAATTTTGCTGGAATCGATGTTCGTAACAGTTTTTGGAACCCTGTTTTTAACAAAGTTTTTTTTTACTTGAGATTTGAGTTAGCTTAACTCATGACTTTTTTATCTGATTGAACAGAGTTCCAAAAAATATGAGATGTGTTCAGAAGATACTTTTTTGAAACTCAAGATGTTTCTATTTTTTGTTCATAGTTTTTAGACACAAAATTTGAAGGCATAAAGATTATCAAATCAGAAAAAAAAGTGAGTTTTGGTCTTGATTAAATGTTTTATGCAGATTATTTATGATCAGCGTAAAGTTCAGAATTTTCGAAGTATAATTCATTTGAAAATTAAACAAATTTCAGGATAATTATGATATTTATTTTTAGAAAATTGATAAGATTTGTACTTTTTTGTGATAATAGAAAACGGCAATAAAAAATAAGCAGAATGATTTTTAAAAATTGGAAACTTGGAAATTACTTTCTCAAGATTATTAATGAAATCTATTTCCAGTAAAGTTTTATCCGCTGTTCACGATTTTTTATAATATGAGTTATGACGTGGAAAAATTTTCATCTGAAGTTAGTCATAGCTTCAATTTTCTTGTTAGTAAATCTGGAAACTCCACTCTAGTTTCATCCCAGCTTTTTTTGTCTAGTGAAATCTAATTTTGAAAATGAGAATCTGCAAAAAAGTAGCACTCTGCAACTTTTTAATATAATTAAATTGAAGATTTTTTTCTGCATCTGAAAGTAGCAACAGATTTTTTTCACTCTGCAAACTGAAACTAGATTTTTTTTTTGAAGAATTCAAATTTTATTTATGTTTTGAGGAAATTTGAAAAAAAATATTTTGTTCAAAAAATATATATGTATATATATATATATATATATATATATATATATATATATATATATTTCAGGCCTCAAGTCAGGCCCGATAGGCCTATTTTGATCCTAATTTCAGGCCTAATTTCAATTTTTGAAAATCCTAATTTCAGGTAGATTTAAGGCTCAATTTAGGGTAAAAACTACATTTAATTTATCTCAAATTTTTCAGTGTGAATCAAGTTTGAGATTCCCAGAACCCTCCTAATTTTAAAAGTATAAAAATTTTTCTAGAATTCGTACAACTTCCATTTCCATGTTGACCTCCCTCAAATCTACCTAATCTCGAAAATAAACACAAAAACTCCAAGTCTTTTTCTTTTTGTCTTCTTTTGCTAATTACACAAATCGAAAGATGCATAAGCACAGCAAAAATTTTGCCGCGCATGTTTACCTTCCGAAAACATGCAATCGTTTGGTGGAAGTGCAACAGCATGTCTTATTGCAACTTTTTTTCGCTCTACAGAAACTTGAGGCCTCTTTAGAGATTTTAGAAGGCCCCGAAAACTTTTATTTATCAATTTATGGTTTGATTTTGATTTGGTCAAGGTCACGAGTAAGAAACTATCATTTTTTTCATTTTTCTCCATAAAAAATTGAGAAGAAGAAAAAGAAGAAGTCCAATTTTGTTGTAAAAATATAGTATTTTCTGTAGTTTCTTCTAGTTGATTGGAAAATCGATTGATTGAAATTAATCAAGTGTTAATTCGATTTCATTAATTAATATAATATATATCTCATATATATTCATATCTTCTTCATTTTCCGAAATTTTCCCTATTTTTCTTTGTCTGATTTTTGACCCAAAAATCTTTGAAAGGCGCCGGGTGGGATTCGAACCCTGGTTTTGCAAACCGTAGGCAGCCGTGTATACCACTCGACCACGCTTTTGTACATTCTCGAAAAATCTCGGTTTTTTTTTTGCTTTTTGATTTTGATCTGTGCGGTTTTTTAAACCGATTAAATTTTTTCCCAAAAAAAAATCTCACGTATTTTTTTATTGTTTCAATAGTAATTTCCTTCTTGTTTTCATTAATTTTTCTTCAGAAAAATGAACATTTTTGGGCGTTGTCTTGAATTATTTTATCACAACTTTTGTTTTTTTGTGTGTGTTTCAATTTTTTTAGAGGAGATTTTTGATCTGGAACTTTTCTGGAATTTTCTGTTGGTTTTTGAGATTTTAGATAACTCATGTTCCTTCAAAATTTTGATACGGTAGATTGTTTTGGGTTTAGAAATTTATTGAAACAATTTCGGAAATTTGTTCATGTTCCTTTAAAATTTGTATCATTTTCATCATGTTCCTTTGAATTCAGGCTACTGTAGTTCAAAAAATTCCTTGCCTTCAAAGTTTCGTTTTCCAAATTTTGTAGATCAAATATGTTGATGTTCCTTTAATTACTGTATTTTCTCTGAACTCTCCAAAATTCTCACACTATTTTTGCAACCTCATCAACACAAGAAAAATGTGTATAACTATTTTCTCACACAAAATTTTAATTCATTCTTTCTCTACCCACACTCTCTCACTTTTCCACACTATTTCTTCTTGGTGAGAGTGAGCGTGAGACATAGAGAAAGAGAGAAAGAGATGGACAGTTAGAGAATGGTCAGCGGCAAAATGTACATATATATTTATATATGAATATAAATATATATATAAATGTATGTGAAAATCGCGAAGAAAAAGAAGAAGAAGAATGTATAGTTTTTGATTTTCTTTAGAATTTTTTTTTGTTATTTTTGCTTTTCTTTTCTTTGTCACTCACTCCGTTCTAGGCCAGGCTTAACTTTGGCTTAAAATTTTACGTTTTGTCATTTATATTCTTTTTTTTCTTCAAATGGTTCAAAAAAACTTCTGATTTTTTTTTGGAAAAAGTTATTTTGAGCGAACCAACCTTTTCCAAAAAAAATGTTTTCTTGGATTTTAGGCTGGGGTTTTAGGCTAGGCTTTTACGCTTGACATATATTTTCTCAAGGCGCGGATCCTTGATACACGAGATTCTAAGGCGCGACTCCTTGACATACACGATCTCTAGGCTCCGCTCCTTGACATACACTACCTCTAGGCGCGACTCCTTTACATACAAGATCTCTAGGCGCTACTCCTTAAAATATACGATCACAAGGCGCGACTCATTGACATACACGATTTATAGGCTCCGCTCCTTGACATACACAATCTCTAGGGTCCGCTCCTTGACATACAAGATCTCTAGGATCGACTCCTTGAAATATAACTCTAGTCGCAGTTCCTTTAGCTCGGCTCAAAATTTTCAATTTTTTTTTGATCACCCCGAAAAACGTTTATGTTTGAATAACCTATTTTGAACGAAGCGCACTTGAACTTGAACTTTTTTTCCAATTTCTTGCAAAAAATTCCCAAATGGTAAATTTTCGTGCGCCTGGCACACTTTTTTTCTACTATACATACGGCACCTGCTTTTCGGACATCTGCGATTTCGCTTTCAATTTTTTTTATATCATAGTATAAATAATTTTCCACACCTGCTTTTTGACACACAATGATTATGAAGAAGCTCTTCACAATTTCTTCTATAGAATTTTTTTTGGGTTTTTTATAGTTGGCCAAAGTCCAAAGTAATCGGCTTTGATTTCATATAAATTTGAAATAATAAAACTTTGACCTAGTTTTGTGATTTGAACAAAAATAGTTGGTGTAGATTTTTTGTAGTTTGGCTACTGTAGATCAGAGAATGCGCAGCTCCTTGACAGAAAATATCCTAAGGCTCGGCTCCTTGACAAAGATGATTTCAAGGAGAGGCTCCTTGTCATACAGCTTCCCAAGATGTGGCTTCCTGACAGATATGATCTCAAGGCACGGATCCTTGACATACAGGTTCTTAAAGTGTTGCTTCTTGATATGTACGTTCTTAAGGCGAGACAAAAACGATCACAAGGTCCGACTGCTTAACACAAATGATCTCAAGGCGCAGCTACTTGACAGATACGTTCCCAAGGCACGGCTCCTTGACAAACAGTTTGTCAAGGCACGACTAAAATTAAAAATGGTTTTTTTCTGAATTACAGTAACCTCTCCAAGTAGATCAATTTTTGTGCCCTAAAAGATCCCTAAGTTCTGAAGTAGCTTCAGAAGCTCTATCAAAATTCAGAGTTATCGTAACTGCCTCCTCAAGATCTGAACAACCTTGTTATTCAACAATTCCCTCTTCAGGTCACTGCCATTTTCCTCTCCGCCTCATCAATATCACTTTTAATGTTATGATTTTTCTTTTCTGTGTGTTCCACCTTCTCTTCTATGCTAATTTCATTTTTCATTCATTCATTCTGCCCCTTTTTTTCATTCTGAAAGCGAAAAAGCGCTTGAGGCTACATTCATACTACTTGAAAATTTTTTTTTACATCAGAAAAATAAGAAAAAAAAAATGAATGTTTTTTTTTTGCGCGCGCGGAAAAGTAATTTTCTTCCATGTTTTCTATAGAAAATCAAAAACAGGCGACTTAGCTTAACTCCAACAAAAAAACCTCATTTCAAAATCTGAGTCTTCTTCCGGTGAATGAAAAAAAACAGAGTTCGTGATTGGATTTAGTCAGAAAAGTTCCATTTTTTTGTTGGCTGGTGTCTATTTTCTTTTCTTCATTTTCACCACAAGTTTTTTTGAAGCTTTTTCTTGCTGGAGCCAAGAAGATTCCTAAAAGATGAGTCCCTTTGGGCTTTTCTTCATTTTGACACATGCATTGCTGTGATTTTTCTTTTTTCTTTGCATGTTCTGAAGTATGGCAAACAACAAGTGGAGCATTTTTTTTTCGTTGAATGAGACAATTTTTGGCGGGGTTTTGAAGAGATTTATGAGAAGCTTTGGTTTTTTTTGCTGAAGATTTTGGATTCTTGAGATATACAGCTGAAGGCGCGGACCCTAGGCATATAAGCCCACAAGGCGTGTCTCCTTGACATATGCAATCTGAAGGTGTCGCTCCTTGACAAGTAGCTTCTCAAGGCGCGGCCTCTAGGCATATATTATAGTTGGTCAACGACTCGACTCGACTAAAAGTCGAGTCGAGTCGATAAGAGAAAATGAAACGACTCGACTAACGACTCGAGTCGTTTAGTCGATAAGGCGAGTCGATAAGCAAACGACTCGAGTCGAGTCGATTGATTTTTTTCGACTCGACTCGACTTCATTGCTTGACTTTTTCAAAAATTTTTGTGGGGATCTGGAATATTTCAGATATGATTTTGGTGTTGATATCAGATGGCGTGGTGATGTGGTGAATGAAAAAAAAAATGTGAAAAGTCAAATTGGTGCATTTGGTGGAATAGTATGCATAATGTATTTTTTGAAGATGGTGCTATTGCTCCCAAAATTCCAATTGGTGCAACTTTTTTGATTGGTGCACATGGTGCTAAAGACGAAACTTATGCCGTTGGTGCAATTACAGCATCTTCACCAATTGCACCAATTTGACTTTTCACACCAATCAAAACAGCCACAATATATTCACCAAAAACATCAATTGGTGCAATTGGTGAATTTCCACCAAGAACAAAATATAGTGAAGATGGTGCAGTTGGTGCAACAGCTCCATCTTCAAAAAATATACTATGCATACTATTTCACCAATTGCACCAATTTGACTTTTCACATTATATTCACCCACCACACCACCGCGCCATCTGATATCAACACCAAAATCATATCTGAAACATTCCAGATCCCCACAAACATTTCTGAAAAAGTCAAGCACCGAAGTCGAGTCGAGTCGAAAAAATCAATCGACTCGACTCGAGTCGTTTGCTTATCGACTCGCCTTATCGACTAAACGACTCGAGTCGTTAGTCGAGTCGTTTCATTTTCTCTTATCGACTCGACTAAAAATCGACTCGACTCGACTCGAGTCGAGTCGTTGACCAACTATAGCATATATATATCACAGCTGGTGGGGAGTAGACCAATGGTTGACCCATGGGTGACCAATGAATTTTCACCCTCCGTTGACCAATGATGTACCAGTGGGTTAGACCCATGGTTGACCAACGACGGGTAAAAGCTATTTTTTTATTGAATGATAAAAAACCTTTTCGGTTTTTACTGAAGATTACAAAATTTATCTCAAGCCTGGCAATAGGCTTCCCAGAAATACCTTTATTCTCACATGCGCACGTATCTGAAGAAAGCTCGCGAAACTTTCACTGCACAGATGAAAGCCGCCTATTTATGTTTTGACAGCAGCGGACGCTTGGCGGGTTGTGCATGCCACCACTGTTTGTGTGGGAGTGGGCGGAGCCTATCCGTTCAAGGCGTTTTTTCTCAAGAAAAAAATAAGAAAAAATGAATTTTAAAATTTCCTAGTAATTTTCAGAGTAGGAGTGGAGGAAGGAACCAGGTTTTATGCTGGTTTCACATTGGCTTAAAAAAGCCCGAGTCAGGTCAGGTCTAAGTCAAAAACTGGGCCGAAAATCCGGGTTAGCAATGTTTTTTTTTGGGAAAAAGAGAATTTATTTTCATTTTTCTACTTGAAATAACGAATTTATGGTAATTTTCATGCGAGAACAACAAGACCGCCAGGTTTTAGGCTTCAATTTCGGCCTGATTGAAAATTCATCCAATTGGATTTAAAATGAGGCCCGAAAATATTTCCAACGTCTATTTGACGGTTATGCAACACTAAAAGCAATAATAAGCCGAAAAACATATCTCTTGTAGATTTTAAAGCGAAATTTGTATGTTTTTTGAATTTGTCAAATTTGGTCCATCATTGACCAATTTCGTGAACCGCCATTGACCCACCGTTGACCAATGAACAATTTTTGACCCATCGTTGGTCCACCATTGACTAATTTTCTCGATTGGTCAACCATGGGTCAACCATTGGTCTACTCCCCACCAGCTGTGAATTATATGATCTCAAGACGTCACTCCTTGACAGATGATTTCTCTACGCGCGGCTCCTTGGAACTTCTAGATGTTTGGCTGAAAATTTTTAGCTGAAATTAATTTGGCTATTCTAAAAATTCCAATATTTTTTTGTTTCTGGGGTTACTGTATGTACCTTTAATTTTCTCCAGATTTTTTTTGATATTGTTTTTTAACTGACAAACATTTTCTTGAGTTTCAAAACTTCTTGAATTCCAAGATTACTGTATGTGCCTTCAAAGATTTTTAAATATCAGGATTACTGTATCTTCTAATTTTTAAACGAATTTTTCCAAAGCTTGCGTAAGATCATTTTCAATTCGAAATTCTGAAAATCTTTGATTTCCCTCATAAATTAAATATTCCAGCTGCTTCTGAGAAAATTGCAAATTTCAAGGTTCTGAAATTTTAATTAAATTTGTCTTCTCAAGAATACTGAATAATTCGAGTAGATCAAAGGTTTTTGAAATCTGGAAAATATTTCTACAGTATCCCCCTGATCTCCCGATTTCATATAATGTGTTTTTCCGCCAAAGAACATCTCAATCTGTTTATTTTTTTTCTTACTACATATTTTTCCTCACCGGAAGTTGTTCCTTTTATAATCATTTCCGCCTTTTTTCCTCATCCTAATGTACATTTTTTCCAGAGCACTTGAACTGCAAAAAGTTTTTTTTCCTCATCTCCAAATATTTTACGGTTCACCGGAACCGCCCACCGACCTTTTTATTCACTTTTTTTCGACAACTTATTATAACCGTATTTCTCTCTATGTTTCTCTGCACTCTCCTCGGGTCACATGCTATTTTTTGGGGGCCACTTGACTTGACCAAACTTTCTTTCGGTGCCAATTGACCCTTCCCTTTTTTGACTTGATTTTTTCCTCGATTTTTTTTGTTTCCGAATTTTAAGGCTTAAATAGATGTACTTATTCCAGGCTAATCTTTTTCTGTTTCAGGCCAAGTTTTTGGCTTTCAAAAATTAATTTTAGGTCTAGTTTAGGCCCATTTTTCAGGCCCCAAAACTTGCTACCTAAATTTTCAAAAAGAAAAAAAATTATATTTTATTTTTGAGAAGATACTTGAGAAAAGATGACCGTTTATTTGTATATATGCAAATTGATTGATCAATATTTTATTGTCTTTCTCTGCGTCTCTCCCTTTCTCCCTCTCTCTCGCTTTTTGTGTTTGGCGATTTTTTTTGTATATTGTGAGTGAGTGACCACTGCTTTTTTTGTTTCATAGTTTTTTGTGGGAAATTTTTTGCCACGTGGATTTTGGGCCTAAAAGGTTCCTTAGGTTTCTGAAGATTTTTAGAGGTTTCCCAGAATTTTTGCTGAAAACTTTCAAAGATGATTTTTTCTGGAACTTTTTTTGTTGTAATTTTGGCGCCAAAATTTGATTTTTGAATTTTTACAAATTCAGGATTGAAATCTTGATTCTAATTTTTTTCAGCAAAATTTTGAACTTAAAATTTTCAGCTCTTAAATTTCCGATCTTTCAGTTTTCTCAGTTTTGAATCAATTTTTGAACTTGAATTTTTTTCCTGGTGTTTTGGCCCCAAAAATTTGAAAATTGACTAGTCGAAAATTCTGGAAAAAAAATTTGAATCAAAATTTTTCGTTTAAAAAATTCAAATTGGATTTTTTGACGCTAGAAATTGATCTACATTTTTTAAAATAATTTTTGAATCTAGAAAAATAATTTCTTGCAAAAAATCCCACAAATTTTCTCTCCATAAAAATCAGCTGCTCATTTTTTATTTTTTTTTATTTTTCGAAAAAAAAATCCCAACTTCCTCTATCTTCTCTTCCTCCCCAAAAAAGGAACTGATATCAAAAATTCCAAAAAAATTTTTTTTTGGTGAATTTTTGATCTCTTGCAAGTCTCTTCCCAATTTGTCAAAATAGATATTTTTGAGAGTAGAAAACAAGTGAAAAAACATTTGTGTGTGTGTGTAATTTTTGCTCGCACAAAACATTAATCTTCGTTTGTTCAGTGTCATTTCCAAGCCGTTCGCATTTTTTTTTCTGGAGCACGGATTTTTTTCTTGTGAGCCCACCAAACTTTTTCTTTGCTTGCAGATAGCAAACTTGTAAATTCCAGTTTTCTTGGGAGTTTTTTTTGAAATTTGAAAAAAATCTAGGAGTTATCAAAACTTTTTAAAATCTCTTTTTAAAGTTTAAAAACTGAAGTTTTCCAGTTGTTCTTTTGAAAAGTTTTCTGAAATTCGAAAGTAATTTCATTAGTTAGTCTAACTTGTTTAGGATTTCTGTAAGCTTCGAGAATTTTTTTTGAAAAATAATTGAGGCGCTAGAATTTAAAAAAATTTCTGTAATTTTTTAATAATTCAAGTTTTTGGGAATTCTGGAATTTTAGAAATTTAATTTTTTTTCTATAAAATTTTTTTGAGGAGTTACTAGAACTTGGACAAGTTTCAGTAAATTTCAAAAAGTTCCCAAAGTAACCTTAAGGTCCCCAAAGGCGTTCTAAGATTCCTTATGCTTCTCTAAGGCTCCCAAAAGTTCCCTAAACATAATTTTTCTGCAAAAATCCACGTTCACTAAAAATTATTACAATAACCACAATTTTCCCCTCCTATCTTTCTATTTTTTCTAGCTTTTTCAACAAAAAAAAACTATCTGTTTCCGCAATTTTTTTATATTTTTTTGGCCACAATGAAACTAATGTTAAATAAATAATGTTATCAATTTTCTATTATTTTTCTGTGAGACACCGCAAATTTCATACGATTTTTCCAATTTTCCCACTTTTTTGCTCCCGTTTTTTTTTGAAAAAGATAAAAAAGGTCATTTTGGTCAATTTTTTAAAATCGGATTATTTTTTTTCATTTTTGACACCGTTTACCATTTTTTTGAAACTAACCAATAAAAATTGTATATTTTTTCAGATTCAAAAATACATAGGATTTCAATTTTGAAAATTGTCTGAAGGTTTTCTAGTTTTGATTGGGACAAAAAATGGCGGCGCTGGCTTCATTTACTAGAAATAGTCGGAATTATGGACAACAACCGATTGATGTCACTTCACAGGTAGGGAATTTTGAGAAATGGAAAGTTGAAATCTGAAAATGAATTTTGAAAATCTGAAAATATTTATAAACATTTTTAATTTTGAGAATCTGAAAATGAAACTTGAATTCTGTAAATTTAAAAAATTGAGAACCTGAAAATCAAATTCCAATTTTAAAAAAACTGGAATAATTTTTCGAAATTTTCAAAAGCTCTGAAAAATATTCTTGAAAAAAATTTGACCAGAATTTCATCTTAAATCTTTAACTTGATTCATTCATCAGTCCTACAATTAAATTTTTTATTTTTCCACGATCCGAAGAAAAAATATTATTTTAGCTTCAAATTCACAAGGTTCAAATTTGAATTTGAGAAATTCTAGAAGTTCAAAAAAGTTTTGAAACTTCAGAACTCAGAATTTCAGAATTTCAGAAGATCTTTTTTTTCTAGTCCTGAAATTCTAAATTTTGAATCTCCCAAATTTTTTTTTCCAAAAATCCCAAATTTTTCCAGGGTCAAAGAGATCGGATAACTCTCGACGCACAAGGAAGATCAATTTCACAGTGAGTTGTTTTTTCCAATTTCCAAAAAAAAATCAACATAATAATAATTTTCAATGAATTTTTGTGGCGCACGAAAAAATAAAAATAAAATAAAATATTCCAATTCATAAATATGACTCATATATGTTTTTTTCTTGCGACGTCCGAAAATTTTCCAAATTTTTTACGATTTTTTGTATTTTTGTGGGGAAAATTTTGTAGAACGGCAACAAAAATTTTCTCACTGTTTTTCATTTTCCAAGTGTAAAAATCAATAAAATGTCATAATTCGATTAGGGTTTATCTGATGACGCAAAAAATAAGTACACTAGAAAATGAGATTTTTATTTATGTATTTATTTATTAGGTAGTTTTTGTAGGGCGCGGTTTGAACTATTTTTTTCTAAGGTTCCCAAGGCTTTCCAAAAAATTTTCCAAAAAAATGAAACTTTTCTTGCTCTGCGGACCAATCAAAGTCACCTGTCAATTTTTAGAGAAACTTTTTTTTCGCCAATGCAAACATTTCTTTTTTTTTCTCCTCGAAAGTGTTCTGAATGTTTTCAAGTAACAAAACTGGTTTTCTTAAAATCGTACTGTCTGAAAATTGATTCAATTTCTTTCTCGCAGCTGACCTTTTTCTTATCTTTTTTGTTGATTTTTTCGAAAAATAATAATTGGAAAAATAATAATGAGAAGTAAACAAAAATGTTTTTATTTATGATTTTTCCGTCACTATCACTTTTTTTTGGTTTCGATTGTGAAGGAGAAAAAACTATTGGGAAATTTTTGTGATTAAAATTTTTTTGGTGATTTTTTATAGGTTGACTAAGGCCCTAAGACCCTAAGATTTAGGAAGATTTCCTAAATGTTCCCTTGAGCTCAGAACTCAATCTTGGAAGTCTGAAATTCATTTTCGAAATTTTGAAAGTTTGTTTCAGCGATTTTTTCTGGAAATTCTTGGCTGATTTTCATGTGAATTTTCAGGCCCAAAATAATTTCGCAAAACTGTTCCAAAACCAAAAATCATACAAAATGTCTTCTTTCGAAATCGTTTTTCCTGTTTTCTTGAAACTGATAAAATCTAGATACCTTCATTCTCTTTTCCAAGAAATTTGTCTTTCTTTCAAAAACTTTCTGTAACTGGAAAGTTTTTAATTTCATTTCATTAAATAAAATACAGTACCCAAATTTCGTCCAATTTTATGATCGTATTTACCTTTTTTGTTTTGTGAAGATAAAAATTTTTAACAATCTTGTCAGTGATCATAAAAAACGTGTTTTGACTGAGACAACCTGGGGAATCCCCCAAAAATTTTTATTTTCTCAAGTTTATTGAAGTGCAATACTACTGTAGATTGCGCAACTATAAAACTTTTTCCTGAAAAATGAAATTAGAAACATTTTTTTTGTGAAACCTGAAAAAGGAACCCGGACCAATTTTGCAGAGATTTTTTTCCATACATTTTTTATTTCTAAAGCTCGCTCCCTTTTTTTCCTAGGAACAAATTGATTTGTTCCTACAAATTTTATCGGCTAAAATTATATTATTTATTGACTCTTCGTCTGTGCTAAAAAAATGACAAAGTTACCACGTTTACCAAATTCGTTCACCGATTCGGAAATTCATCGAAAGAAAAGGTAAAAGTTCCCAGAATTTCCTTCAGCTTTTTAAGGTCTCTTAAAGTTCCCTAACCTCCCTTAACGTTCACTGATTCGGAAATCAAAAAGGTAAAAGGGAAAGTTAATTGGCGAAAAAAGAGATTTCTCTCTCTCTCTTTCTATTTTTCTCTTTTTATACATATTAGAAGCACCCCCTTTTATTTATTATTATTAATATTAATAATATAATTTCATTCTCATTCTTATTCTTATTAATAATCCATTATGTTCGATTTTACATGCTAATGTTTTCACTTCACTTTACAAAAATCATTTAGGCTTTGTGGAGAACTTTTGTATTTTTTTGTTGGAATTTCGGATGACATTTTTAAACTTAGAGAATCACAGAAACCGTAAGGAGCCTTAACAAGTCTTGGGGAATTTTATTAATCTCTGGGAACTTCAGAAAACCATAGGCAATTTTTGTCACTCAAAAAAGTCCTAGATTTTTTCAACAAAAAAAATATCCACGTGACCTAGAAAATTTCAAACGTGTATTTTTTGCCAACAAATAAATTTTGGTCATTTTGAGATTTCTGAAATTTGAAAAATGACAACGTGGCAAGTTTTTTGGAATTTCAATAATGAGGTAAGATTTGTAAGGTTTCCTTAGCTAGAAATTTAGTTAGGGGAACTCTGGGAACCTTAGGAGCCTTAAGAAGTTTAGGAGACCTAAGGAATCTTAGGGAGCCTTAGGAACTTTTATGAATCTTTGGAAAATTAAGGGAATCTTTGGAAGCCTTGAAAACCTTTGAGAACCTTTTTATGACTTTAAAATTCTTTGAAAACATGTTTTTGTCAACATTCCCTCTGACTTGTCAAGATTAATTTTTCAAATTCATTTTTTTTTTCAAAAATAATATTTGCCACGTCATCACTTTTCTCATTGACAGAAAAAGAAACTGCTAAAATAAAAAAAAGAAAAAAAATATTCACGTGACCTAGAAAATTTTTCACGTGGACTTTTTGCCAACAAATTAAAATATTGGTCATTTTGAGATTTCTGAAATTTAAAAAATGATAACCTGGCAGTTTTTCTTTTGGAATTTTTGAATGAGGTGAGATTTGTAGGGTTTCTTTAGCTGGAAATTTGGGTAGGGAAACTCTGGGAACCTTAGGAAACTTTAGGAAGTCCTAGGGAACTTTAGAAAACCTTAGAAAACCCCAGAACGTCTTAGGAAACCTTAGGAAGCCTTAGGCATATTACTGAAACTTTAGAAAACCTTAGGAAACCTTAGGGAGCCTAAGGTATCTTTTTCCTGTGAATAAAACCTTTCTCTTATCAGAAATACGTTTTTCTGACTTCAAAATCAGTTTTCAGAAGTTTATTTGCAAAAATGATCAATTTTGGAAAAAAATTGAACTGAACATTTTTTTTCATTGAAAATTGTGCCAAAATAAATTGACGTGACCTAAAATTGTTCATTTTCTGATTTTTGAGCCTCCAGAACTTCTAGGGCTTTAGCGCCAGCTATACCTTCCGATCCGAATCAAATCTCCATTTTTTCCAGCGAGTGCCCAACATCCACCACTCTAGTCCGTCAACTCTATCTCCCCCAACTCCCACAATCAGCATCTTTCGCCGCTGCTCCAAGCTCATCCTCATCTTCAATCGGCGGCGGTGCACTTCACCCAACAAACTCTCTTCCACCATCACTTGCATCAAGTCAACATAATTCAGCGAGTAGTTCGAGTTTGATTTCACAAGCTGGTGGACATCGAAACCCGGCGTTGAGTTCATCGCATACTTTGAGTCGAAGCTATCATCAACCATCGTCGACAACATCTTCGAGTACAAATTTGTATGGAAATTCGAGTATTGCACCGTCTTTAGGTTGGTTGGTTTTTGGGCTTTGGAGTTTGGGGTGAAAAAAAAAATATTTTTTTGACATCATTTTTTTGCGGACAAAAGGATAATCTTCTCATGTTTTTTTGTATCATTTCACAAGTTTTGATTTTTTTTCTAGAAAAAAAGCTATTTTTTATTATGAGCAAACCATTCTAGCCTGAGCAATGTTAAAATTGACTAACATGAGCAATTCTTTTTTGTATTTTCACACTAAGTAAGTGTTGCAGTGATTAACGCCCAGCCAAACTCGTCACCACTTCATAATAATCACTATCACCAACACCTTCAACATCATCACAGTCACCACCAACATAATCCGTATCCGATACAACAACAACACGCCAATTCGTTTGAGCACGGTGAGTTGATGAGCATTTTGAGGGTGTTGGTGTGAATTTTAAGATTGTGTAGATCAAATTTTTTTGAAATTACTGTAGATGCTCTGTTTTTTTAAAATCTGATTTTGAGTTTTTATTTTGGATTCTGAATTTTTCTTGTAGAATCGACTGACTACTGTAGTTTGATATTATGTACTTTTGGAAATCCTCAATAGATTTTTTTTCAAATGATTACTGTAGATCCTAATGATTCCGGACCTGAATTTGATTACTGTAGATTTAGGTGTACTGTAGCCACGTGGTTTCTACAAATTTAAGAGCTTAAAATTGAGCATACTGTAGATTCGAAACATTCCCAAAATACAGTACTCCTTGAAATGTCTACAATACCCCAGATTGTTTGTCGTGTACTTCTCTCGGACAATGTACTTTTCACATATTTTTTTCAACAAAAAAACTAGAAGAATTAGGTCCTTTAGTATAACATGAGCAATGCGCTAATTATTCGTTTCAAAAACCTGTCTAATATGAGCAATCTCCCCCCGGAAATATCTCAAAACTATACAAAAATTTGTGGAGAAAAATGATTTGGTGTGTCAGTCAGCTGAACATGAAAATAAATAAATAAATAAATAAATAAATACAGGCAGGCAGAGAGCGAAAAAAAAACTAAAAATAAAATAAACAAAAAAACTACGGGCCTTAGATGAATTCTGGACGCGCATCAAAAAGAAACTGGATCTTCTTCAGCTTCTTCTTTTTCTTGATGTTGTATATTTTATTTTATTTTAGTTAGTTAGTTAGTTAGTAATTTGAGAGTTGCTTGACATTTTTCGCTCAACTTTTTTTTCTCAATTTTATTTATTTTTTGTTGTGTTGAAAAGTTGAAAAGTCCGAGAGAAAATTGAATTTTTGAATTTGCGCGCCACCTTTTTTTTGCCCCGCGCAGCTCTTTTTCTATTCATGCTCAGAGATTGAGGGCAACTTTTTTTTAGTAATCGATTTTTGAATTATTCTCTTCTCACGCTCATCTTTTTCAATGAATAGAAGTGGATTAGAGGAAGAAGAAGAAGAAGAAGATTTTTGCGGTCGACTTTTGATTTTTTTTCTTTTTCGCGCAAGTTTGAGAAGATTTTTGAGAATTTCTCTAAATGTAGTTTGGTCTGAATTTCTTGGAAGAAGTTTCTGGAATTTTTTTGGATATAGTTTGATTTGTGAGAAATGTGGGAAAAGCTTTGGATTTTATTTGAAAACTTTTTGGATAAGATTTTTCATGTTCCTTTAAGTTTTGGTTACTGTAGTTTGATTATAGAGCTTTGGAAAAGGCTTTAATATTGTATCTAGAATTTTTTGGATCAGAGTTTTTATGTTCCTTTAATTTTAGAATACTGTAGCTTGCTCAAAGAGCACTAGAAAAGTTTAGAATTTTTTCTGGAATTTATTTTTTTATGTTCCTTTGAGTACTGTATGTATAAAAAAACCTCTGAATTTTTCCTACAATTTTGGTTGACTTTTGTCATGTTCCTTTGAGTTTAGAGTACTGTAGATAAACTTTTTTTAGGAGGTTCTTCTGAACTTTTCACTAGATCAACTTCTTCTAACTGAAAGCTTCTATGTACCTTTAAATCTTGGTTACTGTAGTTCAGTTTAATTTGAAGCTAATACTTGGTTTTAGAGCTTCCAAAAAATCTAGAAATTTCGATTCATCTGCAGACCTTGATCCTTTAAATGTGAGATACTGTATCTCAAAAAAATCTTCTTGTTCCATTTTTCCTCAAAATATTGCTCCAGACAAATCTGTTCCAATGCTCTCGAAATTCCCATTAGTCTTGTCTTGTCTCAAATATCTCTCTTGACAAAAAAATAAATAAAATAAATTTGACTCGTCTGAAAATCCGAGATAAGTATCATCTTCATTTCGTCTCTGCGTCTCTCTATTAAATGTTTCCTAACGAATCCAATTTCCTCTTTTTTTGCCTCCCTTTTTTATCCGCATTTTTTCACTTGACTTTGCTTTATTTTTCCTAGAAATGTAGAAAAGTATAATATGAGTCATGAATTGAAATTTTGTTGCTTTGCCCGTTTTTAATAATGTTTATTTTATTGAATTGAATGGAAAAAAGGATTGATTTCACTTTTTAATAAAACTAATAATAACACATTGAAAATCGATCAAATATGTAGATTTTGATTTAAATGCTAATTTATTTTGTGTTGACCAATGGTTAGCCAAAAAACATTGTTTTTTAGGTTCTTGAGAGTTTTGAAAGTTTTCTGAAATTTTCTAAAGTTCCCTTAACTTTTCTAATGTTTCCTAACGTTTTTGAACATTCTTAAAAATCCAGTTGATTTCAACATCCCTAGTTCCAACTCCTATAGAATCCAGAATTTTCATATCTAAACTGAAATTCTGAAGCATTTTCTGATGCCAAAAAATCCTAAATCTAGAATTTTCTAGAAATATCTTTTTTCCAAAAAATTGAGAGGTTTCTAGAATTTTTTGGATTTTCATTTTTAAAATTTTAATCTCAAATTTTGAATTAAATTTTGATCCACGAAATTTTTTTTAGAATATTCCGAAACCTTTTCCGAAAATTTTCGATAACCAAATGATACTTATGTATGTATATATTTATTTAGTGTATCTATATTCAATAATAATAATACTATGAAAATAAATATATACATACATAAAGTGCCTATACATTTTCTTATTCTTTCTTCTTCTTCTTCTGAGCTTCATCTTTTTTGAAACTTTTTCTCTTTTTTTCTTTTTCATCTCCTCGATTTCAATTGTTGTTTGTTTTTGCATAATAAATACAGCCCAGAGACTCGTGAAAAATTTTCGTTTCTCTCTTGCTCGTATGTATTTCGTATCTCTTTGTATTATTTATATTTTTTCTGATTTTTTCACACTTTTTCAAAAGCTCAAAGATTTTGGAAGAATTTTGAGGCTTCTGGAATTCTGAAGAATGATTTTAGGAAACCTTTCAGTTTTCTAGGAACTTCTAAGCCTGAGAATGTTGTTGTGGTTCAAAATTTTCAAGTTAGAGACGCTAGACAACCAGAGAGGTTAGAGACGCAGAGAATACCGAAGTTTATTTTGTTTACAAAAAAAAATTGAGAAGTACTTTTTTCTGAACGTGAAACATCTAGTTCCAATACGATTTTGAAAATTTGAAATTCAAATTTTCTGCCATCATTTTTTGACTGGTCACTTTATGAAACTAGAAAATTCCAAAAAAAATTGGATCATTTTTGTTTTGTTTGGTCGATTCTACTAGTTTTCCATATGTGATCGGTCAATTTTTCTTGAGCGAAATTTTTTTGAGAAATTTTTCTGGCATCTTTCCAACCAAAATCAATTATCAAACAGGAACCTCGAGACATTTTATCAATTTTCAATTTATTTTTTTTTGCCGGAAGGAAATCCCAATCGGAAATTTTATCCTCCACTGCAAAAGCTGATTTTCAGCCTGCATCCTAACTTTTCTGCTTCTGAAAACCAAAAATAATGTTGTGTTTTTTGAAACAACAAATAATCGAATAATAGCGAAAGTAATTTTGTGTTGTGTCTATTTTTTTTGGAATGGTAAGTAAATAATACCAGTTTTTTGGTCTCTTGTCTGTTTTTTTTATTTTATACCAGTAGAAAAATCTATATTTTTGGATAGTTTATTGATTAGTTTGGAAGAACTCAAATTTTGAGACTTTTTGCACTTTCAATTTAATTTGAGAAAAAATAACAAAAAGTGCACTCGGCTTCTTCTTATTGACATTTTCAATTTTCGCTCAAAAAGTACACCTTTTTTCGCATGCTTCACCTAACTCATTGTCTTTTTTCTGGATTTGCCAGAAACCTTTCCATCCCTAGATTTTGAGCCAAAACAAAAATCAGTTGGCTGTTCGATTTTTTTTCGCGCACCCTAAAGGCAGTTGTCATAGTGATGACTTTAGGCTTCTCTAAAATCCTTCATTCAGAAAAAAACACATACACAGATATTTTTTTGCTTTATCTTTAACTTGTGTTATTTTTTATGGGCTGGAATTTTTGAATTTCGAAAATTTGGAGCGGAAAAGAGAATCTGAAGTTTTAGCTCTCAGAATTTTCAGAAAAACATTTTTTGATCGAAAGTTTGACTAAGGTATCCAGATAACTTTTTGAAAAATTTAAGATCCCATTTTTTTCAACCAAAAATCTCGAGCTTCTCAAAAATCATGCCCAATATATTTTCCAAGGCTTGAATTTTTGTGTCAACATTTTTTTCTCTCGTATTTACAGTGCTTATTTGTCTCGTTGTCGTCTATGTAAATACGCCGAAAAATGACGAAAGCACTTTTTTGTATTAGGAAATGGAGGACAATGTCCACGTACATACGTGTACTTTGGAGTCTAGCAAAAAAGTTTGCCCGCCGCCAAAAATTGAACTAAAGTGCGCGAGAACTTTAAAAGTTTTGGGGTAGACTAGAGATTTTTTTGTCTGATCGATTTTTTGTTTTTGTTTTTGAGGGATAAATCACATGTGTTTTTGTACGGTTCATCGGATTTTGGAACGATTTTTTGTTTGTGAAAATGTTTTCTAGCTCTGAAGTTCCAAATTTCACAGTTCATCCAAGTTAACTTATTCTAACTCCAATATTTTTCATATCTCCTTCCAGACTGCAAAAAACGCGTGCCAAAAATATATTGAATAAAAAATGAGACCAAGGTCCTACCTTATGACCTGGAAAGTGCAAAAATTCTAGAAAATATCAAATTTCGCAGGAATTTCTTACTCATAGGATGGATATCTATATATTTTTGGGCTTTTTCAAAGTTTTCTAGGGGATTTCAGAATCTGAAGTTTTAGTTTTCTGAGAGTTTTCAAAATTTCTGAGCTTCGGAATTTTTGAATCTTAAATTTTATTTCTGAAAGTTAGCAGAAATGTTTAAAACATCTATTTTGTCTGAAAAAGTTCTTGATGTGAAAATTTCGGAATCTGGAAGCTGAAGCTCACAAAAACCTTCAACTTTTAAAATTCTCATTGTTCTGAATTTTCAGAATTTTTTTTACCTCATGAAAATCCTAATTGTCTAGGAGCCGCAACTAGAGATCCCCTCTGACAAGGAGCCGCGCCTTGAGAGCCACGGTGGCTAGGTACAACGCCTTCAGAGTTTAGATGTCAAGTAGCTGATCCTACAGAACCTTGTTGCCTATGTACCTCAACTAGAGATTCCCTCTGACAAGGAGCCGAGCCTTGAGAACCTTACTGTCTAGGCTCGGTGCCTTGTGTTGTTTTTCCCTTCCCAGTCAATTTTTTTTGTCCACCAACAAGTGGACGAAAAAAAAGATTTCGAAACCATTGACTGTGTTTTTTGCATCATCATCATCACATGCATTCGTCGCATTTCCTAATACGTCAAAATCCCTGCGTCTCTCCAAAACCTATTGTGCTCTGCGGATAGTTTTCCGCGCGGCAACCGCTAGCGCGTCACACAACAAACAACATATTTGGTCAAACGTTCTGTTTGTTTTTCTTTCCGGTGTGTGCAGAGTTCCACCGCCTTTTTTGTGCTCTCTTCCTTGCTCCAGCCGTTTTTCCCAGGAGCTACGTAATTTCCGCGCGTGGTTCCGCGCGCGCGAGCGGCAAAAATCAAATGAGTGTCCCGCCCTTATCATTTTATCATTTCTCATGTGTTCTTCCCATTTTCGGTAGCTTTTCTTTTTTTGTTTTTTTGCTGGAAAAAAAGATTAGAAAGAGATTATTTTTTCTTTGAAATATCATTTATTATTTTATTATATTAACATCATATTTTTATCTCTATGTGTATTTTCAAAATACAATACCTTGGCCCAATTAATTATAGCCTAATTAATTGTTTTTGCAGGACTACCCTACGATTTTCCGAGTGCACAACAAGCTCAACAGCAACGTCGTCAGCAACTCGGCGGATCGCAACAACATTTAGCCAGTTACAATAACTTGAATCCGAGTACAAGTATACTTCGAGGAGCTGCTCAACCGATTGCTTCGTATAGTTATCAACAACCGGCTCCGCATCGACATCAACCACAGGTTTGTTGGGAGGTTTTGGGATCTTGTAGGTTTTGTAGAAGTGGCTGATCTTTCGGATGAATTTTTGTAGGGTCTTGTGAAGCTAGTAGGCGCATTTTCTAGATCTTCCAGGAATTTTTGAACTTCTTTTGTAGAAGCTTCTGATTTTTCTGATACATTTTTTTCAAAATCTTCTAGGCCTAAAAAGTTTGAGCTTGAGTTTTCTAGAATTTTCGGTTTTTTTTTGATTACCAGATGTTCTAGAATTTTTGAATTTTTTCTAGAAATTTCTGAAGTTCTAGAATCTTCAGACTTTTTTCTGATTCCTACAAAAGGTCAAAAAATTCTACAAAAACTAGTTCACTTAACAAATTTGACATCCTTGATTTTTAGTTCAATTTTTGATTTTTAAATCAAAAATTCTCTTAATTTTTTAAAACACTTGTTCCTTTAAACTTCTACCATGTTCCTTCAAACTTCTACAGTACTCTAGCCTAGATGTGTGATTTACAGCTCAATTTTAAGTCCATCAAAATCATATTTACTCTGGCATTTCCAGTTTTTCTTTGCTAGAAATGCATAACCTGCAATTTTCCAACCAATTCTCTGAATTTGATTTTCCAGCCAATAATTAATTTAGTTTTCCCTAGCCAAGTCCACTCTCAAAAAACCAAAAATCATGATTGGCTTCTGAAAATAATAAATCTAGATTCTAGAAAAAACATAATAAATCCAATTATCACCGCTCAGACACATAGACTTTGAACATTTTTATTCAATTTCTGAAATGAGTTTCCCACATTTTCTAGAAATATCCATGGATCATCCATTTTTAATCTGTGAAATTCTTATCGCTAGTCTGTTTTTCTTTTACACTTTTATCCTTCAAACCCCGCAAAAGTCAATTAAATTTGTCTTTTTTTCGCGATTTTTAAAACCCTCTATAAAACCCAGGGGCATCCCTTTAGTACTTGATAAAAAAAAACACCAACAGATTTTAATTGTTTCGGACACTGATTTTTTACAAGGTTTTATTATAGTTCAGATCGTAAAATGGGTGGAAGAGAATAAAATAGAATGAAGTTCATAGAACTTTCAGATTCAGTTCTTTGAATTTCAGGGTGTAGATTTGAAACCTAGACATTAGGCTTCGGGTTTCAGGCCTGAAATCTGGCTCTAGACTTTCCTTGAGATTTAGGCTTCAGATCTGATGTCTAGGATTTTTGTTTAGCTTTCAACTTTAGGCCTGAAATCTAGGCTTTCCCGAAGCTTGAGGCTTCAGACGTGAAACTTAAAAATTTAGACCAGACCCCTGTTTTTCCCATTAACAAATTTCAGCTTCATTAATTTTTCTCTCTGAAAATTTCCAGCCACCCCCTCAAATTTCCTTCCTTCCTTCCTGATATTGACACGAAGTAGAACAAGACAAATGTGTTTATATTGGATTAGAAAATTAATTTTTTTGCCCCTCTTTTCATAGAACGTCTAGCGGATTATTAATTGAACATGATGTATTTACTTGTTTGCGCAAAAGTGCAAAGATTTAATTGTTTTTCTTCGAGGTTTTTCTCACGCCGTGAAATATTGACGTGGGATTTATTTGGGAAAAGGGGAATATAATTGGATATTGTTAGGTTGTTTTTGAAATTTGGTTGCTGGGAAAATTTTCTTGTTTTGTAGAATTTTGGAAGCGGCTCTTTAAGTCAAAAAAATATATATAATCAGGTTTTTAGGCCCCCATTCCAGTTCTCAAATTTCAGTGAAATCAGAGTACATAAACTTTCTCTCCCCTTTTTGAAATCAAAAATCTCTCTTTTTAAGAAAAATATGTTTTTTTTTTCTGGAATTTTTGATTTACCAGGTGCAAATTTCTCGCATTCTCATCTCTCTCTCTCTTAAAAATTTTTATCATCAAAAAAATCACGTACCAATATTTCAGTTCTACCCATCTTCGCGCACCACATTCGATCAACATCACAACACCAATCTGCCAGCCAATCAAGTCGCACCACTGCTTCGCGCCTCCAAAACGATGATTGACGTTTTGGCACCGGTTCGCGATACACAAGTCGCTTCAGCGCAGACTGGATCGGCGAATGGCACGACGTCGGCGAATTTGCCGACACCTGCAACGAGTTCGGTTTCGAATGGTTAGTTGTTTTTGAGGAAGGGATGGGGGGGGGGGGGGGGGGGGAGGATTATATTTTCACTTCTGGACTCGAAAACCCGTGGAAAAACCTGTGCTGCTCATTTTTAGAGCCCTGGACCTTCTAGCTCAAGCTCTTTAACCTGAGAAAACAAAAATAATTTGGAGCAATTTTCTATATATATTTTCCGCCAGCCCGTTCCATCGTTCAAATATTTCTCTCTATCTCCACAAGACGCAGACATTTTTTTAGTTTAGTTTAGTTGTGCTCTCTCAAAAACGGAAGAAGATGACTGGGGTGGAATAGCGAATAGAGCGTGGGGCCCCGCGAAAAAAAGAGCTCGCGCGCGGAGAAGAAGCAGTTAGTCACATTCTCGTCTCGTTTTTTTTTATTTTTTCTTCTTCTTCTTCTGTTTGGCTCGTCTTCTATCTATATTTTTTATTTTATTATTTTACTGAATCGCTGATTAATCATTTGTTGGATGTATTCTAGTTTATTCGAATTGCGTGGAGGTAAGATTGGGATCTCACAGGGAATTTTAAACCGAAACATTGTACTCTGCGGCTCCCAGATTGTTTTTAAAATTTGTTGAACCCAAAATGCTCGTGCTTAGTGATTTTTACACGGCGACGAATGATTTTGTCGTTTCGTCGAAATATGTTTTTGCTTCGTTCTTCGGGGGCAATAAAAATGTTCTCCATCTATTCTTTTTTTTTTCGAGGGCATTTATAGAGAAATCTCAAGAGTTCTCTATTATTTTATTCTTCTTTGCTAAAAATTTCGTTACTAAAAAAAAGAATTTATGAAGTTGGCATTTTTCAAACTCCCTTCACATTTAAGTTCAAAAAAAGTAGGGAAGCCCGCCCATTTCTCCTCCTTTTGTCCACTTTCATTTTATTTCGTTATCACTAGTTGTTGGAGACAATGAGATAGTATTATCATGTTGAAAACATGTGCATTTTTGCGTACGGGGTTTTACAGACTTTTGTTTTTCTGTTCTTTACCCTTTTCTTTTTTATTATGGATAGAAACAAAAACAATTCCATTCCTGTACTTTTGTTATCAAACTATCTAGTTTTTTTATGTTCATTCTTCCGAAAATATCTTTTATTTCTTTCTCGCAATTCTTACAATTCTCTTTAAAAAACCATACCGATTTCAAGATTTCCGATGTTCGCAGCGATTCCGATTCAGCGGATTTATTCGTACGAAGAAGACTATCGAGGTTGGTTAATTAAATAAGTCTTTTTTTTTCGAAATCAGCTGCTTTTCCTGACACGCGCGCCTGCAAAAAAAAGAGAAGAATTTTCAATTTAGTTTTTTTCCTCGTTTTTTCGAGCTAACTAATCGAAAAAAAACACAGAGTAACACGCGAGGGACACATTTTTCCTTTTACTAAAACAAGTCCAAACATGAACTCAACAGATTTGGCGAATTCTCGAAAATTGGGGTTTTCGTGGAAAAAAAAAAGAAAAAACAATTAGCCCGATTCAAAAAAATTATTTTCGCGGGAATGCAAATGTGTGCATTTGTGCGTATTGCGGACCCCGCGAAAATATTTGTTTGAAAATCGATGCATTTTTTTTCTGTTTTTTTTCTTTTTTTCGCGAAAACCTGGGTTTCCCCTAAAAACGCATGATTTTTTTGTAATTCTCAGTGAAAAACACTATCATTCATGTTTTTTTCGAGACAACAGAATAGAAAACTAGGTCCCATCACGGAGGATAATTAGTATCTAGAACGGCTATTATATTATGTTTTTTTTTGTGTGCCAGGGTTTTTTCTGTGTTTAGCAAGGACATTTGTACAAGGTCACAACACGCTCCTTCTTTCGTACGTTCTCCCGCTGACATCAGTAAAAAGTAGTCAGTCGGTCAAAAAGAAATGGACGAAATTTGACACCAACGGCTCTCGCCTATTGCTCTCATTACTTTTTGTCTCTCTTTTTTTCCTTTTCTCATGAGTAATATTTTTTGTTATTATATAGTTGTACTCTTTCTTTTGTTAGATCGAAATTAAATAGGAAAAAGTGCGTAGGAAATACATAAAATACAAAGTTAATTATACATGTATTCAATTCAAAAAGTTTTCAGAACTTGTTCGTTTTATATTACTTTTTTTGGGTGTAAGATAAATTTCAATTCATCTATAGTTTAAATCTATAGACAAAAAAACTGTCTATGTTTACTCTGAATTAATAAAAATAGAGAAAAGGTCGTTTCCAAATCGCATTGCCCTCTGAAGAATTTTTTCTCGCGCAGAAATTTCCTTTCATCATCATCATCGTTTTTTTTATTTCATGAAGAAGAGTTCACTCATTGAATATGCAATTAGACGCCTATTTAACACTTCCTTCCTACGCTCTCAGTTTCATTTGAAATCACTTTTTTTTTCTTCTTGGCCTATTCATCTTCGCTCCCTGTAACCAATCTTTTCGCATTCATTCATTCCTTCATTTCGTTGTATTTACACACACACTATCAACGTGCGTCTGCGTCACATACAAAAAACCTATCCCAGGTGTATATGTATTGGCAAATATAAAAATATATTAGTTTTTTACGAACGTTCGAACGGCGACGACTTTTTTTGTGGTATTGTTATTGTTTTTTCTCGTTTTTTTCTGGGGAAAAAACATGCAATTGTCATTCTTTCTGACATTTTCAGCAATTCATGTAAGTAGTGCAGATATAGTTGAGCATTGTTCATTTTTCGCGCAAGTTAGCTTGGGTTTCAATCGTTTTGGTATGATAGACCAAGTTGAATGAATTTAGGTTACCCATAAGTGATTTAGTCGAAATCGTAACGTAAATTCATGCAAAATTATATGATTCGAGTTGGTCTATCATACCAAAACGATTAAAACCAAAGATTTCAGCTAACTTGCGCACTCCTGCAAAAATTGTTGCAAAACATTTTCACGTGGACATTAAAACGTCACTGGTGCAAAAAGCAAATCACTTTGAGTAGTATTAAACTGATTTTTCCCCCCTACCGCAGCTGTTCGACTTTTGGTTTATCCCATCGTTCTCCCTTCACTCATTTCTTTCTCGGAGTGCTTACATATTCTTCTTCTTCTTCTTCTCCTCCTCTTATTGGTTTCGTTAGTTTCCACACCAGATGGCGTATATATGCGAGCGCGGTGCAAAACCAAATAGGATTGACCTGGTGCCACCCAAACCAACACCATAAAAGAGAAGGAGAGGAAGAAGAGACGGGATGGTGTGTTTATTAACACTTTCTATTCTCGCCCCCCTCTCCGTCTCTACATATTCTCATGGTCAAAAAGAAGCTAAATATTTCTATTGCTTCCTTTTTTTTCTTTCTCCTTCTATACACCACCAATTTATGTATGAATCGATTGGTGTGACAGATGTGTAGTCAGTAGTAAAAAAGCAGTAGTCGTGGTCGTTTCGCTTCTTCTTTTTTCTCGTTTATCGATTTTTTTCTTCTTCTGGTCGCATGCATGCGCGTTTGTTACATTTCTCTTCTTCTTCTTCCTTAATTGGTTCACATATGTGTGTTCACTTGTTTCTGAAATACACTTTGGATACCCGTACTACATTTTTCAAATTTTGTAGTTGCTGACTACAACAACTGTTCTCTTTTTTGCGAAATTTTTGGACTAGTTGGTCAAGAGGCTTTTTGACGAGCTGAGCTGACTAGTTTTTCTTGTTGGCTTAGCTTTGGGTCCATGACGATTTAGAGATCTAGAACGCATCATGAAGCATCATAAATCTTGTGCACAGTAACCCCTAGAAACCCCTCTGAAATTCGACACCGTATTCATTTGGAGTTGAACTTTCGTCGCAGTGTTTGAGCTCATTTTTTCAAATTGCCCCGTTCCGATTCGATTTCTTTACCCCTCGGCGAAATTTTCCCAATTCTAACCATAAAACAATTTATATGATTCTCTCCAGATGTAAACATTTTGACGCGAATGAGAAATGTTTAATTTTATTTCGTTTCGCTTCGCTCTTAGTTTTTTGATTCAATTTTCCACCTGTCTTTCTCGATTTGCGCATTCGGAATTGAGTTAGCAGCTGTTTTATTGAAATAGGTATTAGCCTACGATAGTTATTGTTTTCTTTTTATTTTTCGCGATTTATTTCTAGAATATCCTCCCCCTAATCCTTGAAAGCCTAAGAAAAATGTTGTTTTTCATCTTCATCTCGATTTATTTTTTTCATTTCTTCTTCGGCTTCTAATCCCTTCCAACAATAATAAAAAATAATATTAAGATGGGAAAGAATAAAAATCAGAATTATTTTCTTCTTTTTTTGCTTCCAATTGGCAGAATCTAGATATTTCATAATCAACAAAAACAACGGATAAGATAACACGTAACAAGAAAAGTAAATAAATGCACATTGAAAATTATTACGTACGTATAGCAGGCCACTTGTGCAAAGTTTGTTCAAGTTTCCGCGCGGAACTCACTGACCGCCTTTTTGTTGGCTTTTCCTCATTGCTCTTTCGCTCACCTGTTCTATTCAATAAGAAATATATTATAGTTTTTGTTCTGCCAAAAAAGGTCAGGTTTGATTGGGAGTTGAATTCTTGGGTTTGGATCAGTTTTATAAGATTGACATGTCTAAGGTGATTCAAATGGTATAATTTTCAATGCATTTCCGTTACCCATAAGTGAGTTATCCTAAATCGCACAAGAGGAACCTAAATTCATTAAAACTTATATCATTTGAATCACCTTAGACCTGTCAATCTTATGAATTCGATTAAAACTCAAAAAATTCACCTCAAAAATACGAAATTGCCATGGTACAACTAAAATAGATAGAGTAACTTGTTCCTATGAGTCAGAAAAAGATGACTAATAATTTTTGCGAGGGCGGATTCATCGTAAATATTATGTTTTTCTTTTTTTATTTCCTGATAAGATAATCGTTTCCTGTGATTGTTTTAAATTTGAAATATCAAAAATATACAAAAATTATTAGTTTTCTAGTTTTGACTACATCGAACATCTGTCCTCTTTCAAAAATCGTACTTTTTATTATTATGTCGTTTTTTTTCTTTTTATGCTGCTCAAATAACAAAAAGTACTTCTTCTTCTTCTCGTCTTATCATTGTAGTTTTTTTCTCGCTTTGTTTGCCATCGTTTTTTTTTCATATTTGTACGTGTTCCAACTTTTATTCAAAAAAAACTTCAAATTTTAGCGGCTAGTCTAACTACACCAAGAAGGAGAAGAAAAGCGGGTAAAACTAACTTATTCAATTTAATAGAATTATAAAATAAAAATAAAAATGACACTTTTCGAACCATCCACATCGGGTTTTCGATTAGGTTATCGAGGTTTGTTTTTTCATCCGGGGGATTTGATATTAAAATCAGAAAACTAAAACCATGAATTCTTGCAGGATCATCAGTTTCGTCGTCTGGAGTTGTATCCGGATCATCGGGAGTCAGCAGCGGCGGACTTATGACACAATCCATAAATGGAGGCCCCGGCAAACATTTGTCCGCCTCACACTCAACCCTCAACACAGTCGATTCGATCACACAACAAGTGTCGAAGATGCCAAAATCGCCGAGTAACGAGAGTTTGAGCAGATCGCACACATCGTCATCGGGCGGAAGTCAAGGAGGACACAACTCAAATTCCGGATCAAATTCGGTGAGTTTTAGACTGGGAAAATGCTGGGGGCACATAAGTCAAGCGTGTTTCCGGTTGTTGAGAAATTGCGAAATAATATCTGGCAAGGAGATTTATGTTTTCTTCTGATCACGATTCTTTTGTCAAAAACTGCAAGCTCAACTTTCAATATGAGTTATGACGTGGCAACTTTCCGTGAGTTAACTAGTTTCAGAAAAATTCATGGTCTGAAACTTGTTAACTCCCAATTTCTGGAAGTTTGCCACGTCATAAGTCATATTGAGAGTTGAGTTTTGCAGTTTCTGACAATGGAATCGTAATCAGCGGCTCAAAAGCTACTCTACAACATATATTCCTTTTGTGAAACATCAAGCAGCACAAATCCCTGATTTTTATCATATTTTTCTTGACATTTATCAAAATCATCTCAATTATGAAATCACGATGTTTTTTGTTGTCTAGACTTTGTTTTTCTCAATACAAAAAATACGAATTTGCAAAATATGTGTGATAACTCGAAAAACAAGAGCATTGATGCAGAATTAAGTTTCAAAAAAAGTTGCTGAAATTAGAGCTTCATTTTAGTCGAAAACTACAAGATTTTGTTGAAGTTCATGGGGGTTTTCTCTGACGCAAATTACCGTAAACTTATTCGACAAACTCTAAAAAATCGCTCTGAAAATGTGAATAAAAAGTAGTGAAAAATACAATTTTTGTGGGGACTACTGTAGCTGTGTAGTTCTTGCCCACTCACTCTCACCTACCGCCCATTTTTATTCTCATTTTCATTTACTCATTCTGACTGAAAAATGCTGAAATTCCTAATTTTGGTGAAAAATTCGGCGAAACAGCGAGCTTATATGGTTTTCAGTAGAAAGTTGAAGAGACGGAGAAGAAAGGTAGAGAATTTTAATTTTTTTTGAATCTAGGAATTAAGCTAACTCTGAAAGTGAGTTGCCACGTCATAGCTCATATTCATAATTGAGTTGAGCGAAAATTTGAATTTCCCGCCTAAGGAACTTGAAAATTAGAATTTTAAGTCAAAAGTTGGCTAATGCGCTCTGTTGCGAATTTTTGAGAAATTCAAAATTTTAATGACTCTAAATCTTTGTAGAGAAAATCATGAAATATTCCCGGTTTAGCCTTATTCACCTTAAGTACACTATAAAATTTTTAATAGTCTAACTGTACTTTGGTAGCCGAATTTTCAAAAATCTATTCTGAATTAAAATTTGTTGCAGGGTTTCCGACCCGAAGACGCTGTGCAGACGTTTGGCGCCAAATTGGTGCCGTTCGAGAAGAATGAGATTTACAACTATACTCGAGTGTATTTCGTTGGTTCACACGCCAAAAAGCAAGCGGGCGTGATTGGCGGCGCCAACAATGGTGGCTACGACGATGAGAATGGCTCGTATCAATTGGTGGTTCATGATCATATCGCGTATCGTTATGAGGTTTTGAAGGTTATCGGAAAAGGATCGTTTGGACAGGTATGAATGGGATTCTCTTTTTTCTTTTTGTGGTTTTAATGGCCAATTTTTATTGACATTGGATGGGAGTGTTGTAAGAGATCAAAAAACCCTATGTTTTTCTAGGTTATCAAGGCTTTTGATCACAAATATCAACATTATGTGGCACTGAAATTGGTGAGAAATGAGAAGCGATTCCATCGACAAGCCGATGAGGAAATCAGAATATTGGATCATTTACGTCGACAAGATGCCGATGGAACACACAATATCATTCACATGTTGGACTATTTCAATTTCCGAAATCACAAATGCATCACATTTGAATTGTTGAGCATCAACCTTTACGAGTTGATCAAGCGAAATAAGTTCCAGGGATTCTCACTGATGGTTAGTTGTTTTTTTGTTTCTTATAGACCTCGACGCGCTGATCAAAATGCTCTAAAAATGTAGTCACAAGGGGGAATCGAACCCTTAACCTTCAGATGAAGACAAGATTTTTTTTTGAATTATTTTCTCGGCTCAAATAGGAGCTCAGAAGCGTGTACATTTTGATCAGCGTTCTATAAGAAGATCTAAAATTTCTGAGCCTCTTATCCTAAAATCGATATTTTCCAGCTGGTGAGAAAATTCGCGTATTCAATGTTGTTGTGCTTGGATTTGTTGAATAAGAATCGACTCATCCATTGTGATTTGAAGCCGGAAAATGTGCTATTGAAACAACAAGGCCGAAGTGGTATCAAGGTTATAGATTTCGGTTCATCGTGTTTCGACGATCAAAGAATATACACATATATCCAATCGCGATTCTATCGAGCACCAGAAGTGATATTGGGCACCAAATACGGAATGCCAATCGACATGTGGTCATTGGGTTGTATTTTGGCTGAACTATTGACTGGTTATCCACTTTTGCCGGGAGAAGATGAGAATGATCAATTGGCTTTGATTATTGAGTTGCTTGGCATGCCGCCGACAAAAGTTTTGGATCAGGCGAAGCGGGCAAGAACGTTCATCTCGTCGAAAGGATATCCGAGATATTGTACAGCTACAGCGATGCCAGATGGAACTATTGTTTTGGCTGGAGCAAGGTTTGTTTTGGGTTCGGGAGATTGGAGATTCGGGAAGAAATTTATTTTTTTAAAAATTAAAATCGAAAATTGTTTTTGAAAAATATATTATCTTTCTGAATCACTAAAAAAAAACACAAAGTTCAAAATGTCTTGTTTACACTGTTTCTTTAGTGTTTACATTGGCAGCATCTTTTAAAAATGCTCTTGATTTGAAAAAAACTGCAAAAATTGGTGAAGATCTTGAGAGATTGACTGGAAAAGTAGTCTCTGGTCTTTTTTTTCAATTATATCCGATGTTTTGCAAATTTTCCTAGAACTTTCATTTTTAGAACACATTTTCATGAAAATTCGGGACAAAATCTTGAGAAAATAAGATGACATCAGAATGTTTCTACAAAAATACATCATTCGAAATGCATCATTTTGTACCCGCTTCTCCCTTCAAAACCACGTCATAACCCCCATATTTCTTCCAGATCAAAACGCGGAAAGATGCGCGGACCACCGGCCTCTCGAACCTGGCAAACTGCGCTCAAAAACATGGGCGACGATTTCTTTGTCGATTTCCTGAAACGTTGTCTGGATTGGGATCCAGAGACGAGAATGACACCATCGCAAGCACTAAAACACAAATGGCTGAGGCGACGATTGCCAAATCCGCCAAGTCGTGATGATGTTGTTGGGGATAATGTTGAGGTAAGAGAGATTTGAACGGGGGGCCTTTTTCTTTTGCGATTTTTATGCAGCAAACAGCTTTTTTTCTCACTTTCTGAAATAGTTTTTAATACAAAAATACCAAAAAAAATGCCCAATTTGAAGAAAAAGAGCATCGAATCGTACAAAGAAATTGACTCGAATGCCAATATTTTGATGCGCAAAAAATATTGAGGTGTAAGTCGGAGTGTGTTTTTCTCTCTTCTCGTTTTTGGCTGAAATTCCCACTACTACTACTGTCCTCCGTTTTTCGCTTTTTCTAACATGGTTTCATTTTTTGGTTTTTGGAAATCTGCAGCTATTTTCAGTTAGTTTTATATGTATAGAAGCTGAAACTGCCCACTCCTTTGAAATGTGTTGCATAATCCCTTTTTCGAACAAGGGGGTGGAGTCTGGAATGAGGTTTTGATGAAAATTTGCCAGAAGCTTAAAATTAGCTCAGAATTTTGATAAACATTTTTTTAAACCAAAATTGCAATTATTTTTCCACGATGCAAAATTGAATTTCCAATTTTTCAGCACGAAATTCGAACTTTTCAAAATTTCCTTTCTAACCAAAATTCAGTATTTTACTTGAAATTATGATTTTTCCCGCATTAACCACATGGATTGAGTTTTTCATGACATTTTTCAACTGAGGATCTCGTTACGAATTTTTCTTGCAATTTTCAACCTTTTTGCCATCTTCAGCGTGCTTGAATTAGTATTACTAACAATTTTCATCAAAACTTCATCCCTGGATCTTGTTCCCTTGTCAATTTTTCTCATTACCAAATCAATATTCAATTTTTTCAGTAATCTTCTCGTCAAAATATGGCATAATAATTGTTTTATTTTTTCCAACACCCAAAAATACAAGTGTCGATACGGTTCCTTTCTATCAGCAGCCATCTCTTCATTTATTCAAAAATGATGTGTTTTTTTTTGTTTTTACCCCTTTCCTCCCCAATTTTTTTTTGAATATTTTTATTTATATTTTTTTCCTACTAATTAATTGCTGATTTCTTCAAAATGAAGTCAGAAATTTCATTTTTTGATTTATTATCCTATTAACTCCCGATCCTTTGATTCTCGTGTCGAAGCGCTTTCCTGAACTTTTTTTGTCTTGAAATTTTAATTTTTTCCCCGCTTTTTTTTCATGACTTTTTTCAAAATTTTCAATCCTTTGATTGTATATATTTTGGTTTTTTGAAAACCTAATCCTATTTTTTTCTTCATTTTTTGGTCTAGATGCAATTGTTGTAACATTTTGCGATTCCCAGAAAACAAGTGGAATAAACATTTTTCTTTGAAATCTATTTTTATTAACCGTATATTTGTTGGGAGAAAATCACAAGTTTAGAAATCCCGAAAAGTTTCGATCCCTCAATGCCTTCTTTGATGAATTGTTGACATTTCGTGTGATTCGGCTGGAGTTGGACCACCGCTGCTGTCGAAGATTTGTTTTCGACGGAGCGCGCCGATTCGAGCCTTTGATCGCCATTTTACGACTACCATTAGGACGGCTGTCAGTTTTCTGGAAGAATTTTGGAAGTTTTGGGGAAATTTCAGATTTTTGTTAAAATTTGCCACGTGGATTTTTCAAACAAAAATTACTGGAAAAATTTTCGAGCAGAATTTGATTTTTTTCAAAATTTCACAGTTTCAATTTGAAATTTGTGATTTTTTTCTGAAATTTTCAGATTTTCGCCACGTGGATTAATTATTTTCTGAAAAAAAAATTTTTTTAAATAAAAATCTGAAATTTCGAATTTTTCAGCACAACAATAGATTTTTCAAACAAAAATTATTGGAAAAAATTGCAGAAATTGAATTTTTTCAAAATTTTCAAATTTCTGCGTTAGATTTGTGCCACGTGGATTTCATGTTTTGTTGAGTTTGAATTTTCGAAAACTGAAATTTTTCAGATCAACATTTTCAAGTTTTCTGAAATTTCAGCCACGTGTATTTCATTTTTCTTTAAAAAAATGAAAATTTCACAAAATTCCCAAAGTTCGCCCAACTCACTGTGCATCGAGCTTCTTCTCCACAGTATATTGCATCAAATTCAATCCAGCCAAACCATGTTCCACCAAATCCGCGCCCAATTCTTCGTCGTATTTCGAAATTCGAAGACCAATCGGGGAATGTTTGACGGCCTGCGAAAAAATTTGATTTTGGGGGAAAAACAATCCTAAATTTTGAACAAATTTCGCTGAAAATCTATAATTTTTCATTAAAATCCTAAAAATAACTCACAAAAAGAATGCAAAATGAGCAAACCGCACTGTAAACCACAATAATTATCACAACCAACAATTGTAAGAACAGCAGGCCAGTTCCACCACCATATAATAATCCATTCACTTCTTCGGATGTCTGAAAATCAGGAAAATTTTACTCAAAGCTTGGAAATCAAGGAATCTATTATCTATAAATACCTGGAATGTGCATTCATCGGGTCCGAAATTCATTTCACGGCGAATCAGAAAAATGGCGGGAGCAATCATTCCCCAAATTGAGCCAACCACGTGGACTGGAACAACGCCAACTGGGTCATCGATCTGAAAATGAAAATTTGGCGTAACATCAAGTGTTTCGATGTGTGCAAACACCGCTTCGTTTTTTTTCAAAAAATCAAGAAAATACAACGACACTCCAGCTTGCCCGCTGTTTAGCGCAACACGAGCATTTTTTCATTTTTCGTTTTTTTTTGCTGGGTTTTCAGGTTTTCGGGGAAAATCAGTGGATTTCAGACAAAAATTGAATTTTTAGATGTTCTACAAGGCTGGAATCATCACTTCCAAGGGAAAATCCGAGGATTATCGAAGAAAGGTGGGTTTTTCCAGAGAAACACTGTTTCGATTGAAATTTTCGAGTTTTCAGGATAAAAATGATTATAAATGTGAGGAGAATGATTATCGGTTGAACTTGAAGCGAATTTTTGATCAAAAACATCGAATTTTATGAAAACTACTGGATTTTCACTCAAAAATCGATGGAAAATGAGTTTGGGTAAGATTTTGTTGTGAATCTCTGAAAAATAACTGGAAAATTGTTGTGAGACCCAGAAAGCCCTCAGCGAGCTATAGAAACAAAAATGGAGTTAGCAGAACTCAATGGCACATGAAAAATTCAAATTTTCTGATTTTCAGCTTGAATTATTGATGGACAATTGGATTTCAAAGTCAATTACGTGGAAAACTTGACGAATTTCGGATTTATCAAGGATTTTGATTGGGATTTTCGAATTTTCGATTATTTTTGTGTGATTTGTGAAATAGAAGCGATTGGTGAGTTTTTTGGGGACGGATTTCGGAAAAGTTGAAAAAATCGATAAAAATTATGATAAAAATCTTTAAAAATTGAAAAAAGTTAGGCTAACTCGTCAAAATCTTGGCCCAGAACTTCGCAGGCCAGTTTTGATCCTGAAACTTTAAAAGACACTTTTTATAAGAATGCAAAACCCACCGGACAAAAAAAAAAGTCATAGTCTCAGAATCAGCCCAATTTTTTTCAAGAGTTACCCCTATGGGTGGGGAACTTTTTCCGCCATGTTAGAGATCATGATATCGTTTCACCATTTTGGTGGGATAGGGTGAAGAAATCGAAAATTTTTCGAAAATCGATCATAACTATGCTTAGAGCCCATATTTTTTTTTTGATCAAAAAAGCATTTTGCTCGTCTTTGAACGCTCTACAAGCCTGAATTGATTATGAATCTTGAATTTTTTTGATTTCGATTTCTTTTTTTTCACCCCCTGTTTTCATCATCAAGGATACATTTGCGCACTTTTATATTGGTTTTAAAAGATTCCTCATGCCTTTTTACGTATTTTTGACCATTAACAAATAAAATTTGCGGTATCCTTCATACTAGAATATTCCCGTTTATAAGTTCAACTCGGGTCGGCGCGCGCGCATTTCCACACACAAACACACAAAATGTGTGTGTGTGTGCGTGTACTTACACGTGTGCATTTGTGTTTTTGTTTGTGTGTGCAATGTTTATGTTGAAAATTCTTTTTTTTTGAAAAAAAAATATGAAATAGTCTGAATAATACGATAACCTCACCCCGCATTTTTCAAAAAAAAAGCGAAAATTTGAAATTTTTGAAAAAAAGTTTGTTTTTTGAAAAACATGTCAAAGTCGGATACTAATTCATCCCTGAAAACAAATTTCAGATTTGGTACGCGCTGAAAAAAAAAATTGAGAATTTTCAAAAAAAAAGCCGATTTGCCAATCCGCATAATGATAACCTCACCCCATGTTTTTGACGAAGTCGTACTTTTTAGTCGGAGTTAGTCACCCAAAATGTGTTAATGTATGGTTGGTGAGTTTTTGATCTTAAAAAAACACAGTGCCACGTTTCCAACAAGTTGTGAGCATCAGATTTGGAGCATTGCGATGTAAAGAGCATTTTTCAAGCATTTTATACAAATGTTGCTATTTTTTCAATTTTTTTTCAATGTTTGACGTTCAAGACGATTCAAATGATCTGTTTTATGCTCATTATGTTTGAAAAATTGGAAAAAATTGAAAAAAAAAGAAGAAAACAATCGAGATGCGAATTTTGAATTTCGCGCCGATTGAATATTTTGAAAATTACTGTTTTTTTTTTGTTTTTCAAATTGTTTTCTAATGATCAATACTTTTCTAACATCCCACATCAAATTTTCATCCGAAATGCCGCGAGGAAAGCCTCTTTCTGATTTTGAAAAAGGGCAAATCACAGCCAAAAAAGATTAACGAATTTCAAATCGACAAATCGCAAGAGATTTAGGCCGAAGTCCACGAGTTATCAATAATTATGTTAACGATCCGCGAAATTATGGCACCGGAAAATCTCCTGGTCGTCCATATTTATTGTCTGAGCTTGTTTTCAGGGATGAATCAGTATCCGACTTTGACATGTTTTTCAAAAAACAAACTTTTTTCAAAAATTTCAAATTTTCGCTTTTTTTTGAAAAATGCGGGGTGAGGTTATCTTTTTTTGGAGCAGTGTAGCACATAAAAAATGCTTTTGATAGCCTCGCGTACCTCAAAAATACATGAATCAACTCCAATTTTGAAACTACTGTAAATTATTCAGACTATTTCATATTTTTTTTTCAAAAAAAAAGAATTTTCAACATAAACATTGCACACACAAACAAAAACACAAATGCACACGTGTAAGTACACGCACACACACACACATTTTGTGTGTTTGTGTGTGGAAATGCGCGCGCGCCGACCCGAGTTGAACTTATAAACGGGAATATTCTAGTATGAAGGATACCGCAAATTTTATTTGTTAATGGTCAAAAATACGTAAAAAGGCATGAGGAATCTTTTAAAACCAATATAAAAGTGCGCAAATGTATCCTTGATGATGAAAACAGGGGGTGAAAAAAAAGAAATCGAAATCGAAAAAATTCAAGATTCATAATCAATTCAGGCTTGTAGAGCGTTCAAAGACGAGCAAAATGCTTTTTTGATCAAAAAAATATGGGCTCTAAGCATAGTTATGATCGATTTTCGAAAAATTTTCGATTTCTTCACCCTATCCCACCAAAATGGTGAAACGATATCATGATCTCTAACATGGCGGAAAAAGTTCCCCACCCATAGGGGTAACTCTTGAAAAAAATTGGGCTGATTCTGAGACTATGACTTTTTTTGTCCGAGCCTCTATTACAGAGTTTTCGTTTTTATAAAAAGTCTCTTTTAAATATGAGTTATGACGTGGCGAAATGGGAAAATCTAGGAAACGCGCATGCGTAAAGCGGAGTGTCGTTGTTTTCTTTTTATTTTTTGAATTGTTTTTTTTCTTCAGAGCTGAATTTTAAGCTTTTCTAGTAGATTTTGAGTCGCTGATCACGAAAAAAAAAACTCTGAACATGAGTTATGACGTGGCAAAGTTAGAACATTTTACGATTTCACAAGGATGTAGCTCAAATAAAAGTAGATTTTTACCTTCAAATACTCAGTAAGTGGATATGTGGCAAGAGCAAGTGTACTTCCAACAGCTCCCACCAACGTCGCTTGCCATGGTGTAAAATACAAACATCCGCCAGCACTTGACACCAAAGATGCCATCAATCCATCAACCAACATATCCATTTGTATCTTCTTCGTCATAATTCTTGACAAGAAAATCGTCATCAAACCTCCACCAACTGACGCCATTATTGTGGCAACAGCTGATCTTGCACCTTCAGTCCATTGTCCATGAATAACTGCGTAATTCGATGATGTATTGAAGGCCAGCCATCCCCACCAAATCATGAGGAACCCAAGAATTGCTTTGGTTGGATCGCTCACTGTTCGAACACCGTCCTTGGTGAAACGTTTTTGACGAGGGCGGAGATAGAGAGTGGCGACGAGGCCTGAAATTCCGCCGACTAGATGAACTGCACTGCAACCTGCTGAATCGATGACGCCCATTTTACGGAAGATCCCTTCTTGGTCCCAAATCTGCAATGGAGGATTTTTTGGTGTCAAAATGTTTTTCTTACCCAATGTCCAGCTATCGAATGGACCAAAGTGATGAAAAACGAGATGAAACAATGGCTTCGCAAATGTATTCTTTCAGACATTCCAGATGAAACTATTGTGGAACAAGTTGTTGCAAATGACATTTGAAAAATGAAAAGTGAGTAGCTAATTCCTTTCTAAATATGAAAATCATACATTTAGTTTCAATAATTTGAAAATATTTTTATTTAAAAACTCACGGAGTCCAAACTTTCTTCATCTTCTCGTTCCGGATCGAAGAAAAAATGACTATAACCAATATACTGACCAAATCGATGTTTCGAACTTCCAAAAGTGAAACCATACCCAAACATCCAATATGCCAACCCTCCGAAAATTACATCGAAAACATTTTTGACCATCACATTCACCTCGTCTTTTGAAGAAACGCGGCCAGATTCTAGTAATCCGAAGCCTGCTGTCATTGTGAAAATTATGAAACTTGCGGTCATCATCCAGACTCCGTCGTCTTGCATTAGATTGCAGTTTGGAGTTGTTGTTGGAGGAAGTCCGGCGGAGTCTTGCGACATTTTGAGAGAGGTTCCTAGATTAATTATTTTGTTTTGAATAAGGTCCGGGATTTGTGAGATTAGGAAGTTCAAAATATTCACAAGTTTGGGAAAAAATGTTGAATTCAGAAATCTAATGTTTAGAATTAGTTAGATAAGTATTCAATTTAGAAATAATCCACGTACACAAATTATTTTTTGAACAATTAAAAAATTTGAGCAGCACAAAATCCACGTGACAATATTTTGTCTGAAAAAAATTTCCACGTGGATTTTTCAACGCAAAAGATTTTTTGAACCTGAAAACCTGACTGGTGACTAATAAATATCAGTTATCAAAAAAATGTTTTTATGTGAAAATTTCCAACACAAATGTGGCTATTTCGTAAAGTAGGATGAATACTTATATAAAAAATAATATAGAATATTTAAATCCGAAAATCAATGAGTGAACCAAACAAAAGCGGCTCTGCACGGAAAAAAGCCAGAAAAAATAACTATATAAAAAATTCTTCTCATTGTTGTCTTGGCAACAAAAAACACATATATATTTGGTCGAAAATATCGGAACCCCTATCCAAAAAAAATTGTGAGCTCGCCCAATTTTTCTTCCAAAATGTTTCCGCTTGACAAAAGAAAAAAATGTTTTATCCTCACAAAATTCCGCTACAAACTGAAAACAGAAGACTATCGGGTGTATAGGTTTTCCATTTTGTGTCGGAGATTTGTTGGGCGACGAAAAGTTGGTTGGAGAACGGATATCCGGGTGACCAATTGGTGAATTGCGTGTAGTTTCCGGAAGGCCAGTAGAAGGGTGTTGAGGCGGAGGCTCGTTGCAGACCGATCCAGAAACTGGTGTAGGTGGCGGCGAATTGCGATTGAGCGAAGGCTGGAAATTTGAAGATCAGAAGATGTGAAGGTTACGGTTAGGCTCAAAAGGTAGATCCGTATTCAAGAAAAAAATTCCACGTGTAATTTTAGCGTCACATTTTTTTACAATTATTTTTTCCTCTTGTCCTAAATGTTTGAACTTTTTTAACAAAATTTCCCACGTAGGTTTCTTGGAGCCAAAATTTTGAGTTTCTCAAAAAAAACCTGTTTGCTTTTCAATTTTTGATCCACAGTTTCTGTAATTCACCCATAACTTACAACTAACAAAATTAATTTGATAAAAATCATCAAAAACAGCCAATGTCTTCCCAATCTTCTCACAACTCTTTCTAGCATCATCTACTGATAATAACTGTCGATTAAAGCTATAACATCGATTCTCCAAGTTCAAATCCGTCTTCTGACAACCATTCCCATAACCGTTCCCCTTTGTAGTTTTCGGCCCTTCTGTAGTCGTATCATCCTCAATTGCATCATAGCTACAAATATACGGTAGACGTGTTGGTTCCAAAAGCGTTATCCATTGTGTATCAGATAATCTAGCAGCTACATAATCATAACCTGAAAATGGATAACCATCAGCCCAGTTCAGGAAATCTAGAGGATGTTGATCTTCCCATTGGAAGTTACTGGAGTTTTGATGGCGGGATAGACCGATCCAGTAGGAACCATAGGTTTCTCCGAATTTCTCGACAGCGATTGCTGAAATAATTTTGGATGTGATGTTATCCTGATTTTTAACACAACAAACATCCTATAAAATGTGCCAAGGTCAGATTCTCAATCCTGGTTAACGTGAATCCTCTAGATGTGCAGTTTAACTTCGCATCAATGAAACTTGAGGAATGATTATTGAACTGATAACATCTCCCAAATAATTCGGAATCTTCAAAATAACACGTGGAATATATAGGAACAGCGAGGAAAAGAAGAGCTAAAAGCATCGCGGAAAAATGAACTGATAACAAGGGAGGGTTTATTTATCAAGAAAAAAATGTTACCAAACAACAATCATATGTACATCAGAATTAAACAATTCCACTACAAACTGAAAAAAGACGAACATTATTATTATTATCAAAAGTTTTCCATTTTCCATTCGAAATATCTTGTCCAACAATCAGTTGACCGTTAAAAGGATAGCCGGGAGACCAATTTGTGATAGTTAGGGCTCCTTCGTTTTGCCAGTAAAACGGTGAAGCGGAATTTGAACGCTGTAGGCCAATCCAGAAGTTGCCAAATGTTGTTTGAAATTGGGATTGAGCATAGGCTAGGGAAACATAATGAAAATCTTATTGCGATCATTCTAAAAACTCACAAGTTATAAAATTTATCTGGCTCAAAGTATCAAACACGGCCAATGTTTTCCCAATTTTCGCACACTCAGCTTTTGCATCTTCTTGAGACAATTCATTGTTATTGAAACTGTAGCATCGATTATTCAACTTCACATCATTTGATTGACAAACTGTGGGAGATCTTGAAATTGTTGTTAACCCGGGTGTAGTTGTTGTTGGAAAAGATGTTGATGCTTGGATAGGTGAAGGTCTGGAGGTTGTCACTTCTACAGTGGACGCTTCGACTGTTGACTCAAAATTAGAATAATATGAGCATAAATACGCTTCTTCTGAATTCGAGCTAACTGTAAACCATTTGCCATTATCAATATATGCAAGAGCATAATGATATTGATCAGGAAAATCTGGCAACCAGTTGAGATAGTCTACAGCAGAACCATCATCATAGGCCCAGTTATTTGATGAAGTATAATATAATCCAAACCAATAAAACGTGGAATCTGTGCTGTTTGCTTGTCTTCGAACATATTCTGAATAACAATATCGGTATAGTTTTCTTGAAAAAGTATTTGTTACCTGTGATTTTATCAGATTCCGAAGAACTATGTATACTAGCCAAATAGTATCCTTGATTCCAACATGCTTTTCTTGCATCATCCCAATTCAAATATTGATTGTTAAATTGAAAACATCTTCCGTTTATTTCCAAATCATTGTCATCCCAACACCTTCCAACAACTTTCGAAACCAGAAAAATCAGAGAAATTAGTATAGGTATGTTCATTTTTGGTTTTATCAACAAATGATCGAGTTGAGTTTTCAAAGTTGTTCCTTTCATGATAAAATACTTTTTTAAGCGGAGAAGATCGTAAAATTTCAAACTGATAAAAACATTTTCCATTTTTTTGTATTAAAAAATCTTCATTCAAACAACAATTCCACTACAAACTGAAAAAAGACGAACATTATTATCAAAAGTTTTCCATTTTCCATTCGAAAGATCTTGTCCAACAATCAGCTGACCGTGGATAACCGGGGAACCAATTTGTAATAATTACGACTCCCTCATTCTGCCAATAAAATGGTGAAGATGAACTTGAGCGTTCTAGGCCAATCCAGAAACTTCCGACTGTGGTTTCAAATTGAGATTGGGCATAGGCTAGAAAAATCGTGTCGATAGGTTTTACTTTGGGTTAAGTAAACTCTAAGACCCATTCTCCGAATTTCAGTAACTCACAAGTTATAAAATTCATTTGGCTTAAAGTATCAAACACTGCCAATGTTTTTCCAATCTTTGCACATTCAGCTTTTGCTTCTTTTTGAGACAATTCATTTTCAATAAAGCTATAGCACCGCTTATTCAACTTCACATCATCCGGTTGACAAACTGTGGGAGATCTTGAAATCGTTGTTAACTTTCCACTAGTTGTTGATCCAGGAGTTGTGGTATCATCCAAAAAACCAGAATACGAACACAGGAAAGCTTCTTCAGCTGATGAATCAATGGTAATCCATTTTCCATCAGTGATATACGCAAGTACGTATGGATATTGATCAGGAAAATCTGGCGACCAATTGAAATAGTTTACAAAAGTTCCATCGTCATTGATCCACGTGGAATTTTGATAATGTAACCCGAACCAATAAAATGTTGAACTTGTTCCATTTGCTTGCCGTCGAACATAATCTGCGATTTGTTCAGATTCCCAGGAACTTTGTATGCTTGCCAAAGAGAATCCTTGATCATGACATACACGCCGTGCACCTTCCCAATCTAAATACACATCGTTGTTGAATTGCAGACATCTGTAACTGATGATATATTTTTGAAAAACTAAAAAACTTCGAAACTCACCGCCCGTTAATCTCTAAATGCGTAGAATTAATACAAATTCCAGAAACTTTCAAGATGAAAAGAGAGAAGGAGAGGACAATAATTGATTTCATGTTTCGCCTTTTTTATCAGAGGCGAAAAAATTGAAGTTGTTCCTTTACTGATAAGAATATGCTTATGGGAATTTATTTGTAAAACGGAGCAGAACATGAAGCTTTATAGCATACTGGAATCATCCATCAAGGCTATCTTAAGTTCAGGAATTCGAAAAAAAACTGATTAGCCTCCTTTATTTACAACAAACAATAAAATGTATACACTCATGTAAGACATCACGAAACTACTCCACTACAAACTGAAAATAATTGCGTATCTTCTGAAAAGGTCCTCCACTTTGTATTCGAAATATCTTGTCCAGCAACTAATTGCCCACAATACGGATAACCTGAATACCAATTCGTGAAACTTGTAGACTCTCCATTTTCCCATAAAAATGGTGTTGAAGAATTATCGCGCTGTAGGCCTATCCAAAAACTTCCAAACGTCGATTGAAACTTTGTTTGTGCATAGGCTGAAGACATCTATGTAAATAGCAAAACCTTGAAATACTAACTTACAGGATATGGTTTTTATTTGAGTTAAATTGTCGAAAATTGCCAAAGTTTTCCCATATTTCTGACATTCATTACTTGCATCTTCATAGGATAGCATAGCTTGATTGAAACTATAACATCGGTTATTTATAATAATATCGTATAAATCACAAGATATCTTTTCGGTCGTATAACCATAAGGATAATATGTGCAAACAAATGTTTTCTGCCACAAACCCCCTGTGGTTTGCCACTGATCTCGATCAGTTCGAATCATCACATATTCATTTGAATTTGGACTACCTTCAGCCCAATTGTAATAATCAACTGGTGAACCATCTTCCCATTCAAAACCGTCAGATGCATAATGGAGTCCTATCCAGTAGAAATTGTGGCTTGAAACAGTGAAAAACTTTTTTGCCGCTTCTGTGTGATAATTGAGTGGTTGGAGTGCACAAGTACATTTATGTGTAAAACTAACCTGAGATGAGGTTATTCTCTTCTTCACTGTGTATACTTGCCAGATTATATCCCCATGACTGGCATAGAATTGATGCATTCTTCCAGCCCGTAGTTCTCGTGTTGAAATTGAAACATCTTATGAAAAACACAAATAAGCCTATATAATTCTACTCTCACCTTCCTTTAATTTCGACGTCATCTCTATAACAAAATTGTGCTGAAAATTCAACGAGCACTGCCAAAAAAATAACGAAATTTTGCATTTTCGTCAGCAATACAAATTGTTATCTTCCTCTAGAAAGAATGTTTGTGATCAACAATTTTCCTCGGAGGTTAATTAATCCTCTGCCAAAAATGATAAGGTTTTCGGAATTCATAAAAAAATAGTTTTTGAATTTCATAAAAATGTGATTTTTATGTTTAAAATACACTTCATCCACAAAACTTTATTCAATTTTCAATTATCCAAAACCTCAAATTGAAAACCCTCAAGAGACTCGATGCGTAAATTCGTGAACTTTGTTCTTCTCCAAGCTTTGTATCTATTTCTCTCATATTCCGCACCCTGTCCTTGAACATTTGAGATATATGAAATATCGAGTTTTTTCTGCGAAAATGTTGGGGATTCCTTTGAAGCGATGTAATCATAAATTGCTCCATCTTTTGTGCAATTATGACGAAAACCAATGTGAAGTTCATAACTTCGGTTCTCAGAAATATAACCATCACCATCCTTTAAATTAAATCTGTATGCAAAATTTATGTGTTTTAAATCTGAGCATTTTCTTTTGAAGATTTTAACCAAGTCATAGTTAGCCAATTTCCCAATTCTGAAAATTATCCTTTCATTTATTTTCATGTAAATGCGAAGTCTAACCCACCCTTTGTCATGTTCCAAGACAAATTCTATTGCACACCAATGTGTATTCAAACCACACATGGCATCGGTTTGAAGAAGAATATCAACTGATTCCAGAACACCGAGAAGACTAGCGATCAGGAGAAGGCCTAACATTTCGATTGAAAGTGAGAGGATGATTGTTTGACTTGCGGTGGTTTTAAGCTGAAGTTGATTTTCTCATGGAACTTTTCCAGACAAAATAAAATTCAATTTCTATTTCAAGAATGTGGAAAAATATTTCCAATTTTTCGGATTCAGCGAAATTGCACAGCGAAAAAATATATTAAAATATTAAAAATACAACATTCAGCAAAAAAGGGGCGGAGTCTGTTCATATCCCTTTTTCGTAACGCGTCTCTTCTCTCTCATTTTCTCTCCCCTGAAATTGTAGAATCGTACCACTAACTTTGAAAAGACTTTATTCAACTCCTAAATATCAAATTGTTTATCCTCATAATCCTCAATCGGCACATTCTCAAACTTTGTCCGTTTCCAAGCTTTCATCTTATTCTCCTCATACCTCTCCCCTTGCCCATCAACAGCTTCTTCATTAACAAAAATATCAAACGAATGACGATCTGTATTAGCTGCTCTCTCTTGAACAACATAATCATGAACTTCCCCGGTTTTCGTACAACTATGACGAAGACCAACAACAAATTCATATCTGCTGCTGGCCATCAAATAACCATCGCCACCATCGATTTGATGTATGGATCGGAATGTGATTTTTCTCGAATTGTTGGTGCATTTACGCCTATAGACTTTGACAAAGTCATAGTTGTTCCAGAAGTAAAATCTGAGGTGAATAATAGATTTTTGGCAAAGTTAGATTCGTCTGAACTTACGACCAATCATATTCCAAAACAAAAACTTTTACACACCAATTTTTTCGCAAATTACACTGAACATTGGCTGTAATGTTAAGAATGATGGATGGGGCTCCAAAAACACTGGTGAAACTGGAAATGAGGATAAAAAATATGATCCACATTTTGTTAGAGGAAAATGATTTGGGGGTTTTTGGAAACCAAATTGATTTTCTCAGACAATAAATTTTCAGGAGACGAGAATTCATAGAAAAATTTGAATTTGAACACTCAAACATCCAAAATTAATTTATGAAAATTGAAATTTCTTGGAAGGTTCAAAAGAACCTAATTTTTCTACCCAAACATTTTTCAGCCAAAACCTTTATTCAAAAGTCCCAACCCCCTTCAATTATTTCCCCTTCTTCTTGATGAGCAAATCCAACGGAATATTTCCACCACCATTCGCACATCTATAACAAACACAAGTCGGTCTTCCGCCACGTTTTTCGCAAACTCCAGTCCCGCAATTTTGAAAACTGCAACTCGCGATGCACAATCCCTGCGCCGCTTTTTGCAAAACCGGAATATCCATTCTGGCGCACGTTGAGAAATCGATTTGGGCCATGGTGATGGTGATGAAGCTGATCAAGAATATATAGGTGAAAATGAACTTCATTGTGGAGAATGAGCTTTCTTGCTATAAGTTGAATGAAAAATTGTCCTTTTTATACCAACATTTTAATAGTCTTATTTATTTGTTCATGTAGGGTTATAGTTATTATTATTTTGTATTTTGCATTCAAAAATACAAAAATATACATACACCCACCTACAGGAAATGTTTTTTTTTCGAAAAAAAAAACACAAACTCAAAAGCGCTGTCGTCAGCGTGGATTCTCGTTGTATTCTGCAATGTTTTCCATTTTTTATAAAATTAAAATATTTATTACGACGATTTATCCCGGGGTTCTTTTCGGAAGTTCAATTTTCGCATTCGGATCTTCAATAAGCTTTCCACGATATCTCTGATAATCTTTCACAAACGCGTCATAAAAAACAAGCCATTTATACGATATTATACTCCCGTTGTCCTGTTTTTCTTGAGTGATTCCTTTTTTTTCTTGATGGCAAAACTCAAGAATACAAACAAGAAGAAAGAGTTGTAAAAGCGGTGAATCGATCGCACCATTTCGCATATTTCGAACATAAAAATTGATTCTTTCATTGGTCTTCGAATGATGGATATCATCATAAGATAATTGATAAATTCTAAGAAACATATCAACAGCCAAAAAGCAAGCAGATCTTCCAAGTCCACTGTCACAATGATAAACTTTTGGGAATTTTGAAGATTTTTTTGATAGCCAGCGATATAGTTCAATTGTCAATTTCGCATCTTCTGGTGCAGTTTTATCAGGCCACCAAGAAACATGAATATGATTCACTGTTCGTTTAGTCTTACCATCGGAATCAGTGATTTCTAGAATCGTCCAAGTCACACCTTCCACTGGATCTTTCTCTTTTTTCACACATCTCACTTCAAATTCCTCATATTTCTCAACGCCTCCCTCTTCCAATGGATAATATTGTGCACTTTGCTCCACACTTTTCTCAATAAATGAGCAAAGCATCACAATATATTCCACGTTTTCCTGACAAATCATCGCCCAAAAATCGGGAATTGTATTCGAAAGTGGGCCTTGTGTTAGAATATTCTTCACATTTTCATAGAACATCCACGTGGCGTTGATATAATCGTTTTTTCGATTTTTGAGAACAACTCTAGAATAATCATAGCATTTTGGTGCTTCGTAGCGATTTAATGTTGGATTTTTGTCGAATTGCAAGAACCATTTTCGTTTTCTCACATTCTCACAATCCGGTTCGTTGTTGAAAATCAAGAGTTCCCATTCGATATACTGAAAACAAATTTAAGGAAATTCGAAGCAGGAATTTTTCACAGGCTAGTTATTCCAATTCCCTAGGCCTATCACAACTAACCCGAGTCACCACAATCTGTAACCATTCGCTAAGCGGTTCGTATGGAACTTCTGTAGAAAAGTATTTATCTGGTGTCAAATCTATGGGTGGTGGAGGTGTGTCTTCTTCAACAATTTTCGATTCTTTTTTCGATTTCTCTCGTTTCGATGGTACAGGAGGAGGTGTAATATTTGGTGAAGAACTTGGTGATTGAGCTATTGATCGAGCTGTTTCCACGCGTTTCTTGTTCTTCTTTTTTGCGCATCCATGAATAAACGATGCTAGCAATAACCCGATTATAATTGGAATATCTAGCATTTTATTGATTTTTCAAATATAGAAATCAAGACTGGTTTGATAACGGGTCCTTTTATAGAGAATACGTGAAATGGATTTTTGGGTCACGTTGAATTTTCAAATATTTTTAATTCGAAAAAAAAATTTGTTTTGATGAAACATGTGATTTTTTCCAACGCTACAATTGTTTTTTTTTTCAGATTCGAAATTTTTTTTGAAAATTTTATTTTTTGTGTGAAATACACATGTTAACAATTCCAAAATTCTCGATTTTTTCATATCAAATTTTTGAAACATAACAAATCCTGGATTTTTTGGAGAGAGAATCGAAATCTCGAATTGAAAATAACAACAAAAAAAACTTGAAATTTTATTTCTGAACTCTCTGGAATAAATAAATAATGTTGATTGGCTCATTGATTAAATGATCTGTGGCTATTTTTATTTCTTGAAGAAGTGTCCTCATCAAAGCGCATTTTTTTCTGAAAAAAATGATGAATTTTAAGCCTAGAACCTGAAAAAAATCCAACGCACATCTCCAAAATAGTGTTGAACAACAATTCTGGCAATCTTAAACAACGCCGACAAAACACACATCAACAAACTATACCACCAAGTATCGGGTGATTGCAAATTAATCGGCTCACTGGCTCCCAATTTAATATTCCAAGTTTTATGAACACGATATTGTTCAAATATGATTACGGTAAATGTATAGACAATTGTGAAGATCGAAAAAAGAATGATCCAACTGTTTTTGATTCTTCCGAAATATGTATCAAGATCAAACATTTCAATGAAAATGAAGAGGATGAGGATTGTGCAACAAATTGCTGGTAGAATGAGGACGCCTAGAAAATTGGAATTGTTTAAAATGAGTTATGACGTGGCAAGTTCCACTCAAAACTCACACATATTTCTCCAAAACGCATAGTGCGACCAACTCATTCGATGACAAACCGTCGTCAAATGATTCAAATCCTCCAAATGCGCAGCTGGATGTGTTTGACACTTCTCATCTGCCAACAATGTGGTTTCCTGATGCTCAAATGTTGCACATCTTTCAGCTGGTAGAAATGCGAGACAAACGACGATTGAGACGAGACAAATTGCGTCAACAATTAATAGACTTCTTTGTAGTAACATTTTATGGCGAAATGAACATTGTGTACACGTTTTTCCTTTTCACGTTGAAAAAAGGTCACGCAGAAAAATATATTCAACTATTTATTTTCCATTTTCAAAAATGATAATTTTTAATTATCACATATTAACTTCATAGAAGGGCTCGCCAGTATAAATTGGCTGTAGAGTAGTAGTTAATTTGTCAAATAAAGGTACATATTCGATTTCTTCTACCATGTAGAACGGAGCACCACAATCTTTTGAAATGTTGTTGTCGTCTTCACGAGGAATGCTTTTGGCATCTGAAAAATATACAAACTTTAGGGCGGAAATGATCAATTTTAAAATTCAATATCTGAATAGGTAAGGTGCCTAAAGACTAACCCTGACAAGGAGCCATCTCTTGAAAAAACATTATAGCTAGGTGTGGTGCCTTGAGAACCACTCTGGATAGGTGTGGTGCCTAGAGAGAATCCTTCCAACAAGGCGTCGCGCCTTGAGAACTACTCTGGATAGGTGTCGCGTCTAGAGAGGACCACTCCGACAAGGATCTGCGCCTAGAGAGTCACAATCAACCCTCCCCCTGAACTTACCAACCAAAACGAAGAAAGCGAGGAGAATAACAAGTAAAACTTTCATCTTTCAGAATTTTCATGATTTCCAGAGATTTTCAGCTCTGTTTTTATACAAGTTTCAGTCTATTCATCTATTGAATTCATTTTCAAAAGAAAAATTCAAAAGTTTATTCATGTATCAAAAGAAACAGCAATCAAATCAATTCAAATTCTCTTAGAAAGCTAATGGTCGTCCAGTTGGTGGGCTTCCAGTTGGTGGAGATCCAGTTGGTCTTCCGTGTGGTCCTGGGAATCCGGTTGGTGGATTTCCAGTTGGTGGGCTTCCGGTGAAGTCTCTTGGTCCTCCGCGGCCTCCTGGGAATCCTCCTCTTGGTGGGAATCCGGTTGGTGGACTTCCAGTTGGTGGAGATCCTGTTGGTCTTCCATGTGGTCCTGGGAATCCGGTTGGTGGGCTTCCAGTTGGTCTGAATCCGGCTTGTCTTCCGAATCTGGAGGATTCTTGTTGTTGTTGTTGTTGGTTATTGTTGTTGCTGCTGCTTCCGAAGAGTCTTGACCAGAATCCAGATGAGGTAACTCCTTGTTGTTGTTGTTGTTGTTGGCCTCCTGGTTGACCTGTCGAATCTCTTGGTGGTGGAGGTGGTGGCGATCCAGTTGGTTGGAATCCTTGATTGTTTCCGTTTCCGAAGTTTCCACTAGATTGTTGGTTGTTTCCACCGAAGCTTCCTTGTTGTTGATTTCCGAAGCTTTGAGCACCAACTCCCAAAGCCAAACAAAGAACAACTAAACCAAATCTCGACATTTTGTCAAATAATGCATTCTCTTCCCCATCTCCCACTCTCTTTATACCGAATTATTGATGCAGACGTTTGGTTTGAACAAAAATGTTGTGTTCAAAATTTGCGCAGCTGTGCTGTAGGCCAAACTTTTTTTTTGCTATTCTCATCCTAAATTTTTGAGCCGTATCCGAAAATGTTCGATGATTATATCGTGGGAGGGATTGGATCGATAATTAGAGAACAAATCACACAGTGTGTATCTTGATCGCTTCTTTGATCTTTTGACAAAAATTGTGTATATAAACAAGCTGTCAACATGAAATTGTCACTTTATATTTCAAATGTCGAGGTGTTTTAGTCGCTTCGTAGTTGTGTTGTTGGCGGTTGGGGTTGTGGCGGCGAGAAGAAGAAGAAGTACCGATTCACCAAGTTTTGGAGGTTCGACTGATTCCCCATACTATAATAGTGGATCTTCTGCCTACCCAAGTTATGGTGGCTCTTCCAACTACCCGAGCTACGGAGGTTCCTCTGAATACCCAAGCTGGAATAGTGGATCCTCTGCTTACCCTAGCTATGGAGGTTCTACTGATTTCCCATACTGGAATAGCGGATCTTCAAACTACCCGAGCTACGGAGGTTCTACAGATTTTCCATACTGGAATAGTGGATCTTCTGCCTACCCAAGCTATGGAGGTTCTACTGATTTCCCATACTGGAATAGCTGGTCCTCTGTTTACCCAAGTTATGGAAGCGGCTCAGTTGGCCCAGCAATCGAAGGTTTCACACCAGAGAACAACGGATTAGGACCAGCTATCGATGGTCATACTCCACAATACGGATCCGGATGGGCAAGTTATGGTGAGTGACTAGGAGATTTTGGTATCGGTTGCGATAAGAAAAATAGTTACAGAAAGCGTGGGACCAGCCATCGGAGGATACACTCCAGAAAACAATGGACAAGGACCAGCTATTGGAGGATACACTCCACAATACGGCTCAGGAATGCCAAGTTACGGTAAGTATTTTGACTTTAATATTTTCTAACAATAAGGATATTCACAGAAGGACCAGCTATCGGAGGTTACTTCCCATGGGATGGTGTTTATGGTCCAGCCATCGGAGGATATACTCCAGAAAACAATGGACTTGGCCCAGCAATCGAGGGATTCACTCCAGAAAATAACGGTTTGGGACCAGCCATTGGAGGATACACACCACAATACGGATCCGGATTGGCAAGTTACGGTAAGTCATAGATAGAAAAACGTTAAGCTATTTTAAACAAATTAATTACAGAAAGCGTCGGACCAGCCATTGGAGGATATACCCCAGAGAATAATGGACTCGGTCCAGCCATCGGAGGATACACACCACAATACAGTTCCGGATTGGCAAGTTACGGTAAGCCATAGAGAGAAACACCTTAAGCTATTTAAAAAAAAATTAATTACAGAAAGCGTTGGACCAGCCATTGGAGGATATACCCCTGAGAACAATGGACTCGGCCCAGCCATCGGAGGCTTCACCCCAGAATCCAACACCGTTGGTCCAGCCGTCGGAGGCTTCACACCAAGAAGAAACAACCGCGGTTAGATAAAACACAACAATTTTATTTTTTGCTTTTTTTTCATCCCAAAACTTTTGTTTACTCATAAACTCCTTCGGCGCATACAAAACTTGTCACTTGTCTTCCCTGATAAAAAATCGTGTTGTTCTTGCATCGGAAATCGATGTCCTCAGTTGACAGGAGTTTGCATCCACGACCAGCGACTACGATCACCTAAAATTTATGAATTAGAACTCATCGAAAAGTAGAGGGAGGGTTACCATATATTCACAATGTGCACTGTACGATCCGCGGAATCCAAAAAGCTTTGGTTGAACCGATGACTCGATCAATGGTGGATCTTGATTCTTGGCACCGTTGAGTTGTGGACATTTGGATGCGCGATCCATGGGTACCCAGACATTTTTCTGACATCCTGTTTTATCGAATTCGTCTTTGACGTAGCTTGAGAGAACACTATCTCCTTGCTGGATGTTAGATGATACTGAAAAGATCGGAAATTAGAACTGGAGTAGGTTGAGATTGTAGTTCAGATCTGGAAAATTGTACGTCCAACTCACATTTACACTTTCTCAACCATCTGACTTTTGCTTCCGCCAAAACAAGAATTACTGTAGCTATGATCAATAAAGTTTTCATTTTCATTTCCTATCTTATTGTTTTTATAATAAGAAAATGTAATCATAAATGATAATAGGCCTGTTTTATATTCGGAACAGCGCAATAATCATAAAATGTTTGTTATTTTTGTTTTTTCGTTTTTTATATGTTTGGTGAATGGTTCCTACCGTTATGAAAATCGAACTATCGATTGCGATTTATCGAAAGATCAATGCGTTTTGACTGCGCCGGACACGAAGATCAAGAACCTAGATTTGAAAGTTCAATGTTTTCGGGATGAGAAGAAGCGGTTGAATTGTCCGATTAGATGTCCCAAGGAAAACGAAGTTCATGTAAGTAGTAACACTTTGAAAAATAAAAAAAAACCAACCCCAGGTCCTGTTCAAAATCCCATCATCCAACAAAAAATGCGTGAAATTCTATACTTATGGAAAACTCCAAGGCGAAACCGAATGGCTTGTTTGGATGATTGAACCGTGTCAAACTATAATCTCAACACATTGTCGATATTTGGAATGATTCTCTAAAATCAAAGATCCACACTTCAAAAATAATCAATAAAACATATATAAATAAACATATTTTTTGTATCCGATTATGCAAAACAAAACTTCATTTTTTCCTCTTCAAACAAAAGTTCAACACATTTTCACACAAACTTTTTCCTTTCCTCTCAATAAAAAATGACAAGTGTCTCTCCAGAAGATACAACAAAATCCGAAGAAGTTGTTCAAAACATCAAGCATATTCCGTTCTTTTTTCTATTCTTGTGCACACTATGTATGTGCTCAATTTATGCGAATCCCACGATTTATCAAACTACGATTAATTTTTTGCATGAGTTCAAGAATGAGTCAGCTTCAGATTGTGAGTTTTTGTGAAAAAAATTAAAATTTGCAAATGAAAAAAAATATTCAGTCTACGAAGAAATCGACAATCATTACGACGCTGAAAAATCACAAAACGTGGATGTTATTTTAAAATATGTCTATTATTTATCAAACCCTCAGAAGGAGTCGCTGATAACAGTTACACCTGTAGGAACTGTTTTAGCAGCTGCTCCGATAGCTTTTGCCTATAATAATATGGGATTCAGGTAGGTAGGGCTTTTTATTGTTAAAAAAATTTAAATGGCCTTCCTCTCGAGGATTGAGGTGTGCAAACACTGCGACGCACTTTTGCGTACAGTTCAGAGCGATAGTTCCCCAAAAATATTTTATTTTAAAAAACTTCCAGAAGAAGTTTCGTGATGGTCGCATTCCTCTCAATAATCCCCGCTCTATTTTACCCATCAGTGGTCAACGCCAAAACATACCTCCTCGCAATTATCCTTCGTATCATGCAAGGTGTCTCCCTGGCCGGTTGGATCCCCTATATCTGCAAACTTTCTGTATTTCTACCCTTCGATCATATCACCGTCCCACTTTTGGTATTCGCCTATTCTCATCTAACTGAAATATTTGTGCATCCGATTGTCGCGCATATGGCGAATTCGAGCTTGGGTTGGCATTCGGCGCATTATGGCGGTTGCATTTTTGTGGTTCTTGTGTTTTTGTTGTTTGTTGTGATACATTTTGATGAGGATTTTAAAGATCGAGCGGTTACGATCGGATTTTGCAATGTAAGTTATCTCATTTACTTCAAGAAACCCTTTTTTGTTTTCAGGCAATGTTTGAATATGAACGAACGCGTTCACGAACATTCGATCTACGAATCCCATACCTCTCAATCTACCAAGACTTCCGAATCTGGGTCATATTTTTCACATCCTTCGCCTACGGTTGTGCACTCCAGCTTTTCTATCAATTCGGTCCCACGTTTTTCCACAAAGTTGTGGGGCATTCAGAAATAACTTCAGCATATCTGACGATTTTCGCGCCGTTTTTGAATTTGGTTACATCGACGACGTCGATTTATTTGTATCAGAAGTTGGCGTAAGTGAAGTAGAGAGTTAGCTCAATTCTTACTGAGCTTTTTTCCAGCAACTCCGAGCGCAACAAAATGCGCTTCTTCAACAGTGTCGCCTTCGTCACCTGCGGTATCTTCCTCTTCCTTCTCGGATTCTTCGACCCCGTCAAACATCAAGTCATCGTCACCGTAAGCCACAGCTGAATCAACAATTTTGTTCAAAAAAAAAACATAATTTAGCTGATGTTCATTCTGGCTTCCTCCTTATTGGGATGTTCTTTCGCAGGACATCTTCGGATGAATCAATTGAGATCCGGACATTTGCATTTGTTCCTGCTGGTTAATATCTTTATTGTGAATTCGAGTGCAATGTTTTTCTCGTCTCTGCTGAATGTGTTGATTGCGAAAAACACGGATTATGGTGAGCTGACAGAGACAGAGAAGCTAGACGCATAGCCGCTAGGGACGCAGGGGGATACAGCGTGCAAAGCTACTAGACAAAATAAGAACATGTTCAAGTCAAAATTTCTGAAAAAAAAGTTTTTTTCAGCTTCCTGGTCTACCCTATTCATAGTGCACGCTGTATTCCTCATCATCGCAAATATCATATTTTTCTTCTTCTGCTCATCCGAAAGAGCACATTGGGCACGAGAAGGTTACGAAGACACGTCAATTCAACCAGTTCGAGACGAACCCCTCCCTCAATTCCCGCTATGAAAGAGAATGAATGTATTTTTATTATTTTTCACTTATGATGCTACATTTAGACACACAATCCAGATGATGATTCGCAAGATGTTCCACTTGGACATGCCGAGCAAGTCGAACCAGTTGTATAAATATATTGATTCAAATAGTTGCCTGGTGGTTTGTATTGACAAACTACAGCAACCTTGTTCATTTTATTCGAGTTATCGTAACACGCCTTGACTCCACATCCAATGGTTCCAGTCTTAGCCCACGCCATTTGAGTGGCATGTCCGATGCCAGTGTTGAACAAATCGACGGTCAACAAATTCGATGCCCATCCATATTGTTGGAATTCGTTGGCCCAGGCGGCTGATGCTTTCGCTCCGTATTGATTCAAATCTCCGAGACTGCCGGAAGTCCAGAGCCAGTAGAGATTCTCACCAACTCCATTGGTTCCAGAGTGACCGGTTGGGCAAGTGTTAGCGTAGGCTTGAGCTTGGGCTTGGAGGCTTGAGTCCCATTTCTGAATGAATGTTTTTTGTACTATGACTGATAAGAAATTGAGTTTGCGGTCAAAAAACGAAAAAAAACTTACCATTTTAAGGATGTTACTTCCTGCTGGCTTCTTGGTTCCTTTTGCGGTATAGGTTCCCTTGGCGATTTGACTTCTCAAATCATTGTGAGCATTTACAATACTGGCTTGGCCAGTAGAGCTGAATTGGGCATTGATGCCTGGAAAAATGATGGTTCTGTGAATTCAAAGAAAATTTATATTTAAACAAGTGCGCTCTAATGCAAATAGGTATTTTTCTTCACAAAAAACTCACCAATAACAACAAACGACAATAGAACAAGAACAGTTTTCATATCTGAAAAACTCATAATTATTAACGCATCACAAATAGGCTTATATACAGAAATTTGTTGTTGTGTGAAGTCAAAAAATTAAATTTGGCTTGTTTATTCAACTGTTGTGGTTGAGCAGCCCACGGGGCGAAAATGAAAATGAAATTGAGAAACCAAAGTTTGAACTTCTCTGGTTCCTCGTGACATAAATAAAGGTCAGAAAAAATGATAGGAGGCTGTGGAAAAAAACACAAAAAATTACTGATAGGAGTTATGTTGGGTCAGACCCGTGCTCTGTGAGCTTTTGTGTCAAGGGGTAGAGCTTTGAGGGTTTTGCTGTCAAGGAGTCGAGCCTTGATGTCAAGGGGCCGAGCCTTGTCGACGTCTGTGACAAAGGGTTGAGCTTTGTGAGCTTCTCTGTTAAGGAGCTGATGCTTGTTGTTAAGCAGCCAAGCCGAACCCACAAAGCTCGTCTACTTGTTAGAGAAGTTGACAAGGCTCGGCTCCTTGAGAGCAGAGCCAACAAGGCACGACACCTTGCCATACGAGTTGACAAGGCTCGGCTCCTTAACAGCAAGGTTCACAAGGAACAAACAAAAAACCAAAGTGTTCCTCGTGATAAACATAAAAGCTAATGTAAAAAATGATACGAGGAATTAAAAAACAAAAAACCACTGATATGAGTTTGGTTGTTAGGTAACCCGATTTATAAATCATTTTTTTCTCCAATTTTTTATCATGAGAATAGAGGAAGCTATGACGTTTCCGGTTATGGGAACTGAGAAAAAAAATGAATTTTGAACCAGAAACACAAAAAAAATGATTGTGTTTGCATAAAAAAGGCACAATTATTATGTACATAGTTTATGTGTCAATTGTAGAAAAATTGTTATTGTTGTTATTGAACTGGGAAAATGTTTTTTTATCGTGGGAAAATGATATGATATGAGTAATGATTTTTTGAAAAGGGCAAGCTTGAGGGAAGGCTGAAAATTTTGTATGACTAAAAAAATTGAGTACGTTTCTATGAGAACTAGGAAAAAGGCAAAATTGAATGTGAAAAAATATTTGTTTTTTGAGACAATGAAAAAATATAGTCAAAAAAAGTTTATTGAAAATATACGAAACGAAAAACTCGGGCACAAGACCAGTTGAAGAAAATTTAACTGCGTACGTTTGATACTCAGCCTGAAATTTACACTTTTGGGATGAATTTGGCTGCGTTTTCTTTTTTTAACACAATAAAAAAATCTTCATTGCTCATATTAGTACAAAATTCCACCGCTAGGACCTGGCAAATATTTTCCATTATTATATCGTTTTCGACCAAAGTGAAAAAGATCGGCGAGAGTTAGAGAAGCTAGAGCGAGAATGAAGAAAATTGGGTAGAGACGCATAGTTTTTTTTCGTTTTTTTTTGAATAAAAGTTTGAAATGTTTTTATAAGTGGATATTTTTCTCACAGACTTTTGGGAAATTTTTTTGATCTTTTCGCGTCTGAAGTTCAAAAAATCAGAAAATATTCATTAAAATCAGCACTCAACAACCGTATCTCTAAAAATTTTCCAATTTCCATCAAAAATCTTCGCCTGAAATTCCGAAACCATCCCATAAACCACACTTTCATATCTCAAAATCTGTTCAGAGTTTTCGATTTGCCACGTGGCACCTTGAATAGTTTCATGAGTGAATTTGGGATTCTCATTGTCCGGAATTTTCTCAACCAGTTCTATCCATTTGTCAAAACTAATCGTCGAATTTGGAGCATTTTTCCATTCTCGGGCACATTTTTCGGAAACATAGGTTTCCAGCGGAAAATTGATGATATCCTTGAGCATTTTGTGATTCTTTTCAGCAGTTGCTTGATAGAGTTTGTGGGCTAAAGAATTGGCCAAATTTTGAGGATCATCCGATTGAGCCACAGATTTTTGAGCAAGGAAAATTAGAAGAATCAAGAAAAGTTTTGACATTTTTTGTTGAGAAAAGGAATTTGGCGGGGGCATTTTTATGAAGGAAAAACATGTCTAGACATAATTAAATTTGGGAGTTTGGGCCAAAAGTTCGATTTGAAAATGAAACTTTTATTCAAAACCAAAAATTATTTTCAAACACAAAGTCCAGTTGCAGTAGCACAAGAAGTTCCATTCTCACAATCCGAGCAAGTCGGTCCAGATTCATAAATATTTTGATACAAAACATTTCCTTGTGGACTGTATTGACAAACAACAACCACTTCTCTAGGATAATCTTTCGTCCCATTGCAAGCCTTCACACCACATCCAATATATTCTGTCTTAGCCCATGCCATTTGAGTGGCATGCCCAATGTTACTCTTGAACAAATCCCATGTCAAGTTATTGGATGGCCATCCATCAACTTGGAATTCACTTGCCCAAGAAGAACATGCGGAAGATCCATACTGATTCAAGTCTCCGAGACTTCCAGAGGTCAACACATAGAACAAATTCTCGCCAACACCTTTTCTATGTGAATGACCTTTTGGACACGTATTCGCATATTCTTGAGCTTTACTTTGAATTTCATTGTCCCACTTCTGCAATAAATATTTTGAGCTCAAATTAATTTTTGAAACTAACTATTTCAAGCATATCAGTTGCTGGAGGTTTTTTCGTTCCATTAACAGTATAGTTTCCCTCAGCAATTTGACTTCTCAAAGAATTGTGACCATTCAAAATGTCTTGTTGAGCACTGGCATCGAAATCTGCGTTAGTCCCTGAAAATTTTGATGTCACAGTCTGAAAGCCTGCGCTAACTTTCATAACTCACCAATAACCACGACAATCAAGAAAATAATATTTTTCATTTTTGTGAATACTTGTGTGGAGCTCACTCACCTTTATATACGAATTATCATCAACAAAACCAGACAGTGTTTTTACAGAAAAACAACAATTTGAACTCTAGTTGGCTCGATGCATCAATCACCAAAAAAATTATGAAAAACAAAAGTATAATGCACGTAAAAACAACTAGTCAATGACCAGTGTTTATACAATATTGAAGTTTATGGTATGTGTTTCTATGTATATTTCTCGATAACATTGTATGTGGTCTAGAAGCTTTGTCACAGCTAGATCTTTGAACTGGATCACAATTTGTCCCTGATATTAATTTGGATTAGTTTGTTCAGCCATTTATTATTCTTTGTGCTCAATATGTTTGAGACTATAAAAACATTGGTCTTGCACTCAATCTTCACTTGATATTTCAAATGGCGAGACTTTTGGTGGCTTTGTTGTTCGTTGTTGGAGTTGCTGTTGCTCAAAGAGTTGTGAGTTGAACGATTGAATTCATTTGAAAACAATTGAATAGGCTACTGGAGTTCCAGCTCCAAGAGGACCAAACGGAGCTAGCCCAGCTCCAGTTTCTGGACGACCAGCTCAAAACTCTGCTGCTCCAAATGGTGCTAGCCCAGCCCCAGTTTCAGGAAGACCAGCTCAAAATTCAGCTGCCCCAGCTTCCCAAGGACCAAATGGTGCTAGCCCAGCTCCAGTCTCTGGAAGACCAGCCCAAAACTCTGCTGCCCCAGTCTCACAAGGACTAAACGGTGCTAGCCCAGCTCCAGTTTCAGGAAGACCAGCTCAAAACTCAGCTGCCCCAGCTTCACGTGGTCCAAATGGAGCCAGCCCAGCCCCAGTCTCAGGCCGTCCAAACAGACAATAATTGTGTTGTTTTTGTCTGATTTTCTTTTTCTTCACTAATAAAGTTTCGAGCATTATGATGTTTTTTGAACTGATTGTGAGAAAAAATTTTCGAACTGATTGTGAGAAAAAATTGAAATCGATATTTGGAGCGGGCTAGACTATGATTTAAAATACTTGTTTTTGAAAAATAGAGAAAAACACATCTTATTCAACACACTTTATTCTTTTTCAATTCTGAAATTTGGGAATTTTCAAAAATTAATGTCAAACAATGGAAGCTTGAAACCAACACCATGTTCTCCAACTGAAAATCCGAATCCCAATACTTCTACTTTGACTTTGTCTTTCGCAATTTGAACTCCGGTATCAACATTCAGACCAATTCCAAACAGTCCATCACCGCTTTCAAAACGAATCACTTTCCCTTCAACACCAGCATCTATCAAATTCCTGGGACCCAAAACTTCAAGATTGGCACCAGTCTTCAACGCCGAAATTTGAATATCAGTATCATCCGTCAACTCTAAACCAGCCACTTTTGCACCAACATTCAATCCTGATTTTCCGACATACGCTTTTCCAGCAATACTAACCAAACTCCCATCTTTCGCAACGTTAAACCCATTTTGATGGAAGTTCGTGCCAATATCACCATCTTTACACTTGAAATTTTTGACTGCTGATTCGCCAGCTCCACAAACTATAGCACCACCAATAGCTGTAGCAGCACTCGTCACCATAGGCATGCCATAAATTCCTTGATAAGCTGAAATGGCTGTCGATGAAGCTGTAGCTCCACCATACGAAGCTAATTTTGACTTATTATCACTCATTTTTATCAATGATGCAGTAAAAGAATTGAGCTTTCTTTATATACACATTTATGATTAGAAATATTTCTAATTTGACACAAGACTTTGATTTTTTTTTTCTTGTTTATTACCTCATTAGATAAGAAGTTTCCTTTTCTGTCAGCTTTTTAATGTTCTAAAATGAATATTATAATGCTCAAAACTTTATTAGAGAAGAAGAAGAAGAAAATCAGACATGCGAAGTGAAAACACAATTATTGTCAGTTTGGACGGCCTGAGACTGGGGCTGGGCTTGCTCCATTTGGACCACGTGAAGCTGCGGCAGCTGAATTTTGTGCTGCTCTACCGGAAACTGGAGCTGGTCTAACATGAAGGACAAATACATACAACAAATCAATACATATCCAGTGTGATTCATTGGAGAATCAAAGCTTACAGGATTTTTTACATTGTACATATATTAATCGTCGTGAAATTTCCACCTTACTTTAACATTTCCATGACTCTTCGGCCAATCAAAATCACAATTTTTATCCAACATGCTCCATCAAACGTTTAAGAAATATTTCCAGTACTTTGTTCTTTTCTAGAAAAAACGGTTTTTAGATTTTCGAATAAGTTTCGAATAGAAAAACTGTCTAATGCTCGAAACTTTATTAGAGAAGAAAAAGAAAATCAGACAAAAACAACACAATTATTGTCTGTTTGGTCGGCCTGAGACTGGGGCTGGGCTGGCTCCATTTGGACCACGTGAAGCTGGGGCAGCTGAGTTTTGGGCTGGACGTCCAGAAACTGGGGCTGGGCTAGCTCCGTTTGGTCCTCTTGATGCTGGGGCTTCGGAGTTTTGAGCTGGTCTTCCTGAAACTGGAGCTGGGCTAGCTCCGTTTGGTCCTCTTGAGGCTGGTGCTTCGGAGTTTTGAGCTGGTCTTCCGGAAACTGGAGCTGGGCTAGCTCCGTTTGGTCCTCTTGAGGCTGGTGCTTCAGAGTTTTGAGCTGGTCTTCCGGAGACTGGAGCTAGACTTGCTCCGTTTGGTCCTTGTGAAACTGGGGCAGATGAGTTTTGAGCTGGTCTTCCTGAAACTGGAGCTGGGCTAGCTCCGTTTGGTCCTCTTGAAGCTGGTGCTTCGGAGTTTTGAGCTGGTCTTCCGGAGACTGGAGCTGGGCTAGCTCCGTTTGGTCCTCTCGGAGCTGGAACTCCAGTAGCCTGAAACGTTTGTAACATTTTCAAATTCACTCAGCCCTTCAACTCACAACTCTTTGAGCAACAGCAACTCCAGCAACGAACAACAAAGCCACCAAAAGTCTCGCCATTTGAAATATCAAGTGAAGATTGAGTGCAAGTCCAATGTTTTTATAGTCTCAAACATATTGAGCACAAAGAATAATAAATGGCTGAACAAACTAATCCAAATTAATATTGGGGACAAATTGTGTTTGTGTGATGTTCTACTGAACGCATGTGATTTTTTAGCCCACGCCTCAAAGATCCGGTTGAAAACCCATCGGTGAAAGGAAAGGAGCTAACATTTTTGAATTCTTCAGTTTCCAAGCTTCCCTGTCTGAGTCACCAGTCGTTCTGGTTTGCCTCACTCGGAGTCGTGCTTGATCCTGTGCACTGACACATGTATTGATCAAAAATAAATTTTAGTAATCCTGTTGGTTGATGGTGTTTGGGGTTGTCGTGCTAGTGTTGATCCGGTTGCACAGGCCGGAAAACTTCCCTGCCTGGGTCACCAGTTAAATCCCAACCAGGTTCTTTCGTTTTGGTTGAGTTCTGTTGGATTTCTTTATGGTGAATGGTGGAATCTTCCGCTTCACGGGGGTGAAGAAGTACCTGTATCTTCTCTGGAGTCTCCGAAGTTGGTCGCAATGGATCTGAAGTCCAATATTTTATGCTGACTGGCTGGATCTTCAATTCATTAAATGTTAAAATAATTACCACTATATCAAAATAATCAAGATAACATTCATAATATACAGCCGAGCCTTAAAATAACAAAAAAAAAATAAAATATCGGAAAAATGTCAATCATAAAAATTTCTAAACTAATACGATTTACATGTACAATTTGATCTTCAATTATGCTAATATTGTATTTTTTCCTTTACAAAGTTTATGCAAAACAAGAAAAATTTTCCACAAACACGCCAACGCACACTACACTGACGCATTTCTTGTGTGCGCAAAAAAACGCTCTTCACTTTGCGTTTAGTTGTTTCCAAATTAAATTATGTTGTTGAAAAGCCCTAATTGATACGGTATCTTCAAGAAGATTTTTATAAATAGAAAAGAAACACAAAGCAAAACAGGTCGTCGCGGATAAAAAGATAAGGCGGGCACAAAGTTGAACGAAAACATCCGAAAGATATCAAATAGAAGTTCATTGTCTTCACAAGGTGTATTTAAACGTTCAAAGGTTAACGGGTTTTCATTTTGCATTTCATATCAATGTAAATCAGTTGGAAATGAGAAATCATCTCCTGTTTATTTTTATATTATACTTGAATATAAATTCAGTGCAATCTGACAAATACGATCTACAAAATCGCGGGGATGAAAATCTAGAAGCGGAGGAAGAGGAGGAGGATGAACAATCAACTGACAAGCGGTCAAAATCAATGTATGAATTTTTGTACAAGCGGATGAATCAGGATGTCGTGAAGAAAAAACCATTCAAGCCGAATATTTATATGATTCCTGGTGGGTTTTTGACGGATACGATTTGAATAATTTTTCAAAAATGCAAGATTTTAGGACCGCAAGATCCGTTACCTGGTCGATCTCATATGGGAGACTATTTCCCCGTCTTCCCATTTCAAAATCAATACTCTGGAGGTCTAGACTTAGATCCTTCTCCAGCTAGGGTAAATAAGAACCTTCATCTCAAATGAAACCTTGAATGTTTAGCACATCGGAGGCGATTTGAACCTGGCAATTCCATCCTGGGGAATTCTCGATCTCTACGGTCGCTACAACAATCGCATTCGTGATACGACCACAAAGATCGGGTATATGAATCATCCAGTGAATATGATGGATCTGGAGAAGGAAGATCTTGTGAAGCTTATGAGTGATCCATCGATGTTGCAGAATAGAAGTGAGGGGTTTTACTAGGTTTCCAAGTTGGCTTCCAAATTTTTCAGATGCCCAGCCCACTTTACCGATAGGAAAGTTTGGAAGACAATACGTTCCGATGAGTTGTAAACCACCGATGTGTAATCCATATCACATGAACTTCGGGATGGGAGTAAGTTAACCCCCCTCCCCCTCCTAACATTACTAAATTCCACCCTCTTCCAGCTCGACCACGATTGGGGAGGTTGGGATGGAATTGACGGAGATATCGATGTTCCGTTGCCAATCTCGAAAGGCGTTGCTTATCGCTTCCCATTTTCTGGAAACTTCTACACGGCAAGAGACAATATGACAGTGCATTACGGACAGAATTTGTCGCCGATCGAACCGTTCTCGAGTTTGTTTGATTATCAGAAACATCGAGATCCGGCGCTTCGAATTCCGAGAAAATGGGATAAGCGAAGTGTGAAAGAGTATCCGGAGGAACAGATTAGAAAGTATAAAGAGAGATTTGTTGAGAAAAATGCGAGGAGGAAATATAAGATAAGATCGCAAATTCCGCAGAATTTTTATACACCAATACCACTTCCGAATGTTCGCCAAATGTATCCGATTGTTAGGCAAGAGTCACAGTTCTATTATTATTCTTCTCAATTTCCATTTGGACATGCACAGTATTTTGAAAGACCAGTCAGAAGAAGAAGACCGTATATTATTTATCACTATTAAATTCAAAATTTGTGTAAATTTTTAATAATGTTTTCCAATAATAAAGTTTTTTTTGAAAATCTATGAAAGCTTTATTCGAGAAAATAAACGAAATTATTAGCCGCGTGAGACGATTGGAGCAGCTGAAGCTCCGACATTTCCGGAAGGTCTGACTGAATTTCCAGCGATTGGAGCAGCACTGTAGTTATTGACGATTGGAGCAGCTGAATTTCCGGAAGGTCTGACTGAAGAACCAAAAACTGGAAGAGCACTGTAACCGTTAACAAGTGGAGCTGCTGAAGATCCGAAAAGTGGGGCAGCAGATGATGCACTTCCCGACGGTCTGACTGAAGATCCGTAAACTGGGACAGCGCTGTAACCGTTGACAACTGGAGCAGCTGAAGATCCAGCGATTGGAGCGGCACTGTAGTTATTGACGACTGGAGCGGCTGAATTTCCATAAACTGGGACAGCACTGTAACCATTGACAAGTGGAGCTGCTGAAGATCCGAAAAGTGAGCCGTTTCCAGAAGGTCTGACTGAATTTCCGGCGATTGGAGCTGCACTGTAGTTATTGATGATTGGAGCAGCTGATGATCCAACAACATTTCCAGGAATTCTTGAGCTGCGTCTGACTTGACGCTTGTTTCTACGTCCTCCTCGTTGGCCTTGTTGTTGATTTCCTTGTTGGTTACCTTGTTGATTTTGTCCAGATTGCTGTTGATTTCCTTGTTGTTGATTTCCTTGCTGGCCTTGTTGATTTCCGGATTGTTGGTTACCTCCTTGTTGATTTTGGCCAGATTGTTGGTTTCCTTGCTGATTTCCTTGTTGACCTTGCTGGTTTCCAGATTGTTGATTCTGGTTTCCGGATTGTTGTTGGTTACCTCCTTGTTGGTTACCTCCTTGTTGGTTACCTCCTTGTTGTTGATTTTGGCCAGATTGTTGTTGACCTCCTTGTTGTTGCTGTCCTCCCTGTTGATTTTGTCCAGATTGTTGGCCTCCTTGTTGATTTTGGCCTTGTTGGTTTCCTGATTGTTGACCTTGTTGTTGATTTCCTTGTTGGCCTTGTTGGTTTCCAGATTGTTGATTTTGTCCAGATTGTTGTTGGTTTCCAGATTGTTGGTTACCTCCTTGTTGATTTTGTCCAGGTTGTTGGCCTCCTTGTTGGGTTTGTCCAGATTGTTGTTGATTTCCTTGCTGGTTACCTCCTTGTTGTTGATTTTGTCCAGATTGTTGTTGGTTTCCTTGTTGGTTACCTTGTTGGTTACCTCCTTGTTGTTGATTTTGTCCGGATTGTTGGTTTCCTTGTTGGTTACCTTGTTGGTTACCTCCTTGTTGTTGATTTTGTCCGGATTGTTGGTTTCCTTGTTGGTTACCTTGTTGGCCTTGTTGATTTCCTTGTTGACCTCCTTGTTGATTCTGGTTTCCGGATTGTTGTTGATTACCTCCTTGTTGGTTTCCTGATTGTTGATTTTGTCCAGATTGTTGTTGGTTTCCTTGTTGGTTACCTTGTTGGTTACCTCCTTGTTGTTGATTTTGTCCGGATTGTTGGTTTCCTTGTTGGTTACCTTGTTGGCCTTGTTGATTTCCTTGTTGACCTCCTTGTTGATTCTGGTTTCCGGATTGTTGTTGATTACCTCCTTGTTGGTTTCCTGATTGTTGATTTTGGCCAGATTGTTGTTGATTTCCTTGCTGGTTACCTCCTTGTTGTTGATTTTGTCCAGATTGTTGGTTACCTCCTTGCTGACCTCCTTGTTGATTTTGTCCGGATTGTTGGTTGCCTCCTTGTTGGAATCCAGATTGTTGTTGACCGCCTACTTGACTTTGTTGACCACCTTGTCCACCCTGTCCACCCTAAAATCACCAATACTCATTTTCAATCTAAAGTCCAACTCACATTTCTCTGCGCCACCGCCACACCAACAACAGCCACCAACAAAACTGCTACCAAAAGTCTGGGCATTTGAAATATCAAGTGAAGATTTCAACAAGCCTCACATTTTTATATGAAAAGTACAAAGATTGTTCTATCAAACAAGACGGCTGAACAAACGAATCAAGGAGGGCGAAACTAAAATAATTGTAGATGATTTGTGTTGTTCCGTTTTGTTGTGGAACTTTGCTTTGGAAATGTATTTTGATGTATTTATTCATATTTATGAATAAAAGAGTTATCTAATAAAATTTCCTTGGTTTTCCAAATTTCAAACGATTCATTTTCGCAAACTTGCTTTCCATATTCTGAAGTCGAGGTGGAATTCTTTGAATTTTGGGTCTTGGATAATTGTTTATAATCGCCTGAAAATTGTAAAGTTCCAATGTGAGCTCAAGAAAATAAGCACTTACTGGAAAAACAGGACAAATAAGAAAAATGAAAATAAAAAGCAGGAAAAGAAATCTGGCCATTTCAAGATGTGTCTTTGCTGAAAATGAAATGTTCTCCAGAAAATCTAGAGAAAGGGTCACGTGTTATATTAAAATTGAGAGAAATAATTTTTAGTGGAGTTCAGAAAATCTTTCTGAATTTTCCAGAAGCCAAAAATGCATTCTGAAGCTCCTAGGAGATTTTTATGAACTTCAGAAGCTCGGAAAAAACCCCGAAAGCTCAGAAAAATTTCGAAAAATCCTTATTTTTCAAATTTTTTTTGAATAACTGGAACCATTCCAAAAGACATTAGAAATTTTTATAAATGTTCATTTCAAAAAATTCCCCAAATCTCAGTTATTATTTTCTAGATGGTGCAGCTGTGGTAGTCTTTTGCTTCTTGGTAGTCTTCTTCTTAGTGGTCTTCGTCTTCTTGGTTGTCACTTCAACAACCGCAACTTCAACATCAGCTGTGTCACTCAAAGCATTCTGAACACCAATCGAAAAATCAGGAATCGTCGCATTATTACGATTGAAGAAATTTTGGAACATATTCGCGTTCAACCCAAACATCGTAGCGGTTGAATTGCCATTGGAAGATGCGCCGCTGAAGAAGTTACCCGCTTTTTGCATAAGGTTCGAGAAGCCGCCTGAAACTGCGCAAGTTCCAGCTTGTTGGAGTGCTGGTGGCAAAACAGAGCGATAGAGGATGAAGATGATCTAGAAGTTTGAGGTCATTGGATTCAGAATTGATTTTTTTTCAACTCACAGCTCTAGTATCATCATCCAAAGTGCTCATATAGTTTGCAGTCGCATTTATCATTTGAACCATTGTTTGATTTTTGTTATTTTGAATTGATTTAATGTTGCTAAGCACCAAGTCAAGGCTCAAAACAATTCTTGAAGCGTTGGATTCAGCTTGAGCGGTTTTGTTTTCCATTTGAGCGACGTGAGCGTTGTAGACATCCTGGAATTTGGGATAACTCTGTTTAACAAATAAAAGATTGCTGTGTCGGATCCTAGGCCACAACAATTAGTGTTTCTCTTCCAAGCAATCTTCAACTTACGGTGAGATTCCACGTGGCAGCCCAGTTACTCATCGCAACTTCATAATCAGCCACAGATAAATTGGACATTTGCGGAAGGAGAGCTGTGAAGGCAGCAGTTGCATTTGCAGAGGCATTCGCCAAAAATGGAATATGATTTGCGAGGAACATTTGTCCTTGGGTACTGTTTCCATTCATGCTGGAAGATTTTGGGATTAAAATAAACGTTCCTGAGCTTCTACTCACAAAGTATTGATTCCATTCATAACAAGATCTCCAAATGAGCTATTACCGAGATTGATTGTGTTATTGCCTCCGAGGTAATTGGCAATGGCGATTCCGAATGAGGAATTTTGAGCGGCGGAAAGCAAATTGCTGCTACCACTTCCGCTGCTACTGTTTTTGTAGTCATTGCTGAAAATGTATTTTAAAAATAAAAGAATCCTGATTGCTCAACTCACTATGTTTCAATACCATTCGCCACAGCTTGCCCAAAACTCGAATTCTGCAACTTGCCCAAAAGACTATCCGGAGCCACTGTAGAAGAGCTAGATCCACTCAAAAAATTCGAAACCTTATCCAGAAATCCGGCATTTACTTGTTGTGAAACAAGGAAAACCGCAAGAATCGCAACAGAAAAAGTGGCGCGCATTTTGTGTCGTTGGAAATGATCATTTTTGGACGATTTGGGGTCTCTTTTATCGGGACTAATCCAAAAATAATGATGATCAAAAAATAAAAAGATCAATCTGGTTTTTGTTTGGGTGGGGGTTAAAGTGAGTATGCGATCTTTGAGTACTATTTTTTGCCTGTTGAATAATAGTTATAAACCACAGAAGAAACACAAATACGATTCCGACTATAAAGTTTAAAACACACTAGACAATAGTTTGGGACACGATTAGACCTCTTGGAAAAGAATGGGACCATCTTAGATTTTCCGAAAACAATTCTGAATTATCTTGAAGAATAATCCGAGCCTGAATAGGCCCAAGCATAGGCCCACAGCCCCCTTCTTCTTTCATTCCCCTTCCAGGCCTCCAGGTTAAAAACCACTTAAAGAGCAGCTGGCACCTTTTAGTTTAGACAATTTGTTGGTCTCCCATCAATCAATCATCTAATCACCTTTTTCCACTTTTCACCTTGCTGGTGGCAAAAAGAAAAGATGAGTTAGAGTTTGTTTTGATTTTTTCGGGATGGGGTTTGACTTTTTTGTTTGTGATCCTATTTTCCAAGTTTCTGAAAATCCTCTGATTTCAAGTTCTCACAAAATAATTTGGGTGTGAACAAAAATTTCATGGGAAAACATTCCAGGAACTAATTTTTTTCTGAAAAAAATTCTTTTTTAATTTTCAAAAAGCTTTCTTGTGAATTTTCCAATTCTATTCTCGAAAAGTAATACCCTCATACACTTTTTTGCACATTTTCTCAAAGATTACCCGGTCCAAAAAATAAGATTGATGTTTCTCACTCAAGTCATCCAAAAAAAAAGTAAGCCTTTCCCATCGCATTTCACTTTTCCTAAATATTCCAAACTTTTCATTTTCTTCGAGAAGACAAAGAAGAAGATTTACGGCTATTATATGGATTATAATCATAAAGGTATGTGAACATACATCATTTATGATAAGCGTATTAATATTAATATTATTATTATTATCATATCATAAAGAGAAGGAGAAAATCGGAAAAACGAAAAGATGATGGGATTTTACGATTCCTCATAATTCACTTTTTGATGACTTTATCTTTTGTTTTCTTTTTTGCTTTTTTTGACATGAGAACCGAACCTTTTTTATTTCAGAACGTTTCTAAATTTTTTACACGTGCTAAAATTTTGAAAATTTCAGAAAAATCGAGTTCTGAAATCTCAAAAAGGTCCAATTTTCTAAATTTTCAGATAAAAAAAATCAGGATAATTTTTTTTGCATTTCAGAACTCTCTAAAAACATTTCTACAACATTTTAAGACCTGAATTTTCCTTTTTATTTCTCCTGGCTTGAATTTCTTTTTGAAAAATATTCAGATCAAATCTATAGATCTAAAATTTCTCAAATTTTTTTCTGGTAGATCAAAAATATTCTAAACATTTTTGATCTACCTCTTTTAATTCGGCTCTCTTTCAATTCAGCTCTCATGTTCAACTTTTCAGAATTAAATTCAGCTCAAAAATTTCCCCCCAAAAAAATTCCCAACATTATTTTTCCTCCTAATGAGCTGTGCTGCGAAAAAAAAACAAACTTTGTTGTTTGTTTCATTTTCTGGTTCGTCTTCTTCTCCTTGCCGAGTCAGAATACGTAACAAATTTTCCCAAAAACAAGTGTCAAAAAAAAAGTGTCCACTTGAAAACCGCGCACGGCAAAAATTATTTTGAAGTTTTCTATTTTCACACATTTCTTCTCACAACATCTTTACGACGACCCTAATAGATCCTAATCTAATCCACGTTTCGAGAAAAATATTTTTATTTTCGGGAATATAATTGTTATGATGAATATTAGGCGAATAATAATAGATAGATAGAAGAAGAAGAAGCTTGCGCACATTTTTTGATTCAATTTTCTTCGTCTCCTCAAAAATTTATTTCATTTCATTTTATGTGTTATTTTTCCATACACACACTTGTGGAAGAATTTTCGGTTCCCTATGGGACCATTAACTAACAAAAATAGAGATAGTCGCATGCGTGACTCAACCGGTTAGACGTTTGATTTCCAAACTTTATTTTATCCTCAGGTTCGACCCCCGCCGCCAGCGCATTTTTTTGTGGTAGAAAAAAATTCACCTGGAAAATTAGCTCAACAGGTTACACTCCTGATTTCCAATCTCAGCACGCTGGTTCGACCCCCGCTCCCAACCTTTTTTTTCTTTTTACACATTTTTGATGTTCCAAGCCCAAAAAAGGGAAAAAAAAAACTTATGCAAATTTGATTATCACAAAAAGCCTCTTGGCATAAATTTTGTGCGTTTCTCACGATAAGCAAGAAAGAAGTGACTATTATATACATATATTTTTTGTTCATTTTTTTTGTTTGAAAGAAAATTGGACGTTCGCCAAAAATGATTGATAACTGATTTTATCAAAAAAAAATTTCATTAGTTTTTTTCTGTCTCTCTAATTATCAATATCATTATTACATATAGGTTTTGTAGGTTTTTATTTATTTTTTAAAAAAGTTTGGGAATTTGAAACTTTTTGTCAAAAAATCTGATATATTTTAGCTTCCGAAACTTCTTAAAATTAATCTGAAACTTTTTTTCAGAATCTGAATTCGTACACATTTTTTAGACCTACTCATTTCACCCTTGTAATTGTATTTCTAATGAAAATTGGTCCCATAAATCTCAGCGCCACCATAATATAAATCCATCATTCTAAGTGGTCTACACCCTGTCCACCCACAAGAAAATTAGCCTTTTTAGTTGGCCCTTAGTTGCACCCAATTCTCAGGTAGATGTTCAATATTTGCGCAAAAAAGAGGAGCTCAAGTCAATATAAATATTTGATAGTTTTTCTTGCCTTTTTTTATAAGAGTTTATGAGAGCTAAATATTATTGTATCATTTTTTTCTTGAGATTTTTTCTAGGTGTTGAAAAAAATTCTGAATCGAAGGCTTCTGGGCTGAGTCTAGGCCTCTATGCTTCTAGGCTATTTTTTATACCAAAAAAAATTCCCGAAAATTTACGTTTCAAAATTTCTAGGTATTTTTGAAGCATCGAATTTTTAGTTGATTGATGTTTCGGTTAAAACTGTTTAATTCTAAAACTATTTCCCAGAAACCTATGATAGAAATTTTGAATTTTAAAAATTCCCAGTCAAATTTTTTTAGATCAATTTCTAGGCTTCTGGTGTTATATTTATAGGCCCAAACTTCTATATTTGAAAATTTTTTCCACGTGTGCAAGCTTAATATGAGCAATCCTATATCATTTTGTTTCCAAGTTCCCCCTCAAAAAAGTACACCTCCTCTCCAAAACCCAAACTCCTCACAATGATACACATTTTTAATCCATCTGCCATCATTTTCCTTCTTTTTTCCGTTCCAAAAACTCACCCTAAGGCACAGGAAAAAAAGTCATTTTTATTATAATCCCATCTTTTTTCCTCTTCCTTCTCAAAATTGTTGGTTTTGTGCTGTCAAAAACACGTAGGGACCTTTTAGGACAAAAAGAGATCGGACGGATATACTATCTGGGCAGGGCAAAAATAAGAGCAGCTTATGAGATAATCCTCTTTTCGAACTGAGTTATTATATTATTTTTATTAATATAATATTTTATTTTATTTTGGATTTATAAAATTTTGTATCTAGCTACTATACAGAACCTGACAATTTTTTATAAGAATGGGTTAATAACACCTGAACATGTATCAAACAAAAATAAATTCCTCGAAAAGATCTAGAAATTTTGAAACGTATATTTTCGGATTTTTTTACACGTGGATTTTTGGAGCCAATTTTCAAATACAGAAGTTTAAACACTCTCGTCTTGAAATTTGTTGCTAGAAAAAAAACCTGCCCTACATTTTTCCCATGATCACAAATGTTATATGCTCTTCTCAAAAGTGCTCCCGACAAATTTTTTCAAAACATCTGTTTTTGTTTTTGCTTGACCATCGTAAAATATGTATACTATATGATGGATCATAAAAATTATATTTGTTGATCTTTTTTTCGAAAAAAAAATAGTTTACATCTTGAGCTATATTTCATTTTGTATAATCGAAATCTTGATTATTTTTTGGAGGTCGCCGCTTTTGAGAAACTTTTTAATGAGGTTTTTGAACACTTTTTATTCTAAACAAACAGTAGAAGAGAAATTTTGGCTGAAAAAATTCCAGGTGGAATTTTGAGCTCATGAAAAAATCGATTTTCATAAAAATGCAGTTTTTTTAATTAGTCTATATCAATTCTTTTCACAATTCGCAAAAATTTGAAACTAATAAAAATCCACGTGTAATTTCAATTTTCAAATTTTCAAAATTCCCGCCTTTCAGAAAAAACTAATCCGAAAACCTACAATTTCTTCACACCCCGCTGCTCATTGAAATTATTTCATTTTCTAACTTCTTTTGTTTTCTTCTGGCCAAAAATGACTTATATAGTTTAGTTTTCCTCTTTTTCCACTACTCTCTAATATTCTTATAAACTTCTTTTTTTTACATTTTACTACAACTACAAATACCTTTTTTCTTTTTGATCGTAAAAAAGCCATGTTGCAATCTTTTTCTCATTTTACGCATTCTTTTTTATTTTTCCGATTCTTATCTTCAACACTCTCAAGAAAAATAAAAAAAGCGGAGGGTGCGCGTCGGCCTGAAATTTGATCCTCTTTTGTTTTTCCTAAGGATTTGTCCTCGCATTAAAAATATAGACATATAGCAGCAAGAAAAAATAAGTACATATTTTTTGTATGCATGTGTCGATTTAGCCGCAGAGATTTTGGCACGATTTATAATAGGAGAACTGGTAGGAAATTTTTGGGATTTATTAATGTTAGAATTTAGAAATTCTGAATTCATAGATAATTCAATTGTCAAAGGTCAGCGCCTAGAGAACCTAGTTCTCAAGTAAGCGAGTCTAGCGACCTTAGTGCTCAAGTAGCCAAGCCTAGAAACCTCAGTTCTCAAGCAGCCGTACCTAGAGAAGCTAGTTCTCAAGTAGCCGAGCCTAGAAACCTCAGTTCTCAAGCAGCCGTACCTAAAGAACCTAATTATCTAGAACCCGAACCTAGATAACCTGATTCTCAAGTAGCCGTGCCTAGAAAATTCAATTGTCAAGGATCAGTGCCTAGAGAACCTAGTCCTCAAGCAGCCGCGCCTACAGAAAATGAATCACCATCTAGCTTCTCCTTCTATACTTCTCCACCCAAAACATCTCATCCTCCCAATATTCCAGAATCCCCCTTGCCATCTCTCAATTATGTATATAGCTATTCAATGAAACCGCCGCCACCCCAAACCGCCACACGTCAACAATTCGAAGTTGAGCCGTGTCTTCGACACTCGCAAATTATGCGAGACGCGATTCGACCGAGTCGAAAATCGGATTTCGCTCGGAAATGTATTGCTGTCATTCTGCTACATGCCATATTTCTATTTGCGATTTTAGCCGCCTTGATTATTGGTCATTGGATTTCAGATGAGAAACCGTTTACAAATCGAACATCGGTTAGTTTTGTGACCTTGAGTAGAGAACTCAGATTTCCCTTGTAGCCCCCTTTACGTGTCTCTAATTTTTTTATAGTTTAACTACTCAAATGCCGGGTTTATGTTTGAAAATCTTAACAAAATAACAACAACAACTAACATTGTCCATCAATTTGACGCGCCTAATCCAACACTACTAACAACATCGGCCGAATATGCGAGAAAAAATATGCCGAGGGTTGTGGAACGACTAATACCGGTTTGCATTTTTTTGATACTGACAAGGGCCTAGGATTCCCCGACTTTCTAATGTTCATAAAATCAATGTTTTCAGCTCGAGAAAAAGAAGAACTACACAATATTGGATGTTTTTCCACCATCACAAGACGCAAATTTCGCGGTTTCTGAGCAGCTCCATGGAGTTAGGTCAAATCGACTGAAGACTGACGCATTGCTAGTTCCACTTCCCTTATACATCCTTCCTTATCACTATGATCTTCGGTTGGATTTTCGAGATTTTGATACGTTACTTTTTGTTAGAGTGAATATCACAATTCATCTTGAAAGTTTCGGAAATTCGACTGAAGATGAGATTCAATTCCATCTCGGTCCAAATATTCAAATCGAGAAAATGCGATTGCGAAAAGATGGGAAGAAATTGTACGCGGAACATTTTAAGAAAGAAGAATCGAAGAAATTGGGAAGATTGAAACTCAAAGACCCTCTTCGGAAGGGAAAATATATCCTTGAGATGGAATATAATATGACAATTTGTGATGAAGATATTGATGGTGTTCGATGTTCTCTCGATGTTCAGAATAATTCATCACTTTTGGCGACGAGTTTTACAACAAAGTTTGAGCCAACTTTGGCTCGAGCGTTTTTCCCATGTTGGGATGAACCTGGAGTCAAAGCAACTTTTAATATATCAGCGATTCATGATCCAAAATACAACGTGCTGTCTAATATGCCAGTAGTTCTTGGAACTCAGCAAAAAGGAATAACACATTTCCAACAAACGCCGCCAATGTCAACATATTTATTGGCTTTCGCAATCGGTGAATTCGTCAAACTCGAATCTCGAACAGATCGTGGAATTCCGGTGACAGTTTACGCGTATCCGGAAGATGTTATGTCAATGAAATTCACTTTGGATTACGCGCCAATGATTTTCGATAAATTGGAAGAAACTCTGGAGATCTCATATCCGCTTCCAAAAATTGATCTGATCGCCGCTAGAAATTTTCATGTTGGTGGGATGGAAAATTGGGGATTGATTGTGTTTGAGTACGCATCTGTTGCTTATACTTCGCAGAACTCAGATCATGTTAATGAGACTGTTGATCGGATGTATAATGAGTATCGGATCGGGAAATTGATTGCTCACGAGGCTGCACATCAGTGGTGAGTTCACACTATTTGAACTTGCGGTTCAAAACATTTTTCTTATAGGTTCGGCAACTTGGTAACAATGCGTGATTGGAGTGAACTATTCCTCAACGAGGGATTTGCCACGTTCTTCGTCTATGAACTAATGTCCTTCGAGCGACCCATCACAGCTCAATTCGAATATTTCGATGGTCTTGCTGTCCTTTTCGCTGCTCAAAGTGAAGAAGATCACAAATTAGCCCTGGTCCGTGAATTGAACACAGAATCCCAGGTTGAAAAATCATTCCACCCAACAAATCTCTATACAAAAGGATGTGTTTTTATTCGCATGATTCGAGATTTGGTTAGTGATTTTGATTTCAAAGCGGCGGTGAGGAGATATTTACGGAAGAATGCTTATCGATCGGTTTCGAGGGATGATTTGTTTGCGAGTTTGCCAGCGTATGCGGATCATGGAGCAGAACAGGTGAGAAAAAAAATCTGAAACAAATTCTTTCATCTCTAAAAGTTCCAGGAAAAATTATCGCAAGTCCTCGAAGGCTGGTTTGTCAACGAAGGAATGCCTGAAGTTACCCTAACTCGAAACTACGACAACGAGATGATGACAATTAGTCAGAAAAAAACAATTCATCACGATTATCGAAGTTTTCTCAAAGATCGCAAAGAAGACAAATTGAGACTTCGAGAAACTCGCGCAGCCAATAAAATAGATCTAGATGGAAGTACCCCGTTCGATGATTCGATGTTCGACGGATTTCGACCAAAGAAAAATGGGTCGACTACAAAAAGACATAGGACAACTCGGAGAAATAAGACAACTACTAAACCAAGATATCCAAGTGAAAGTAGTCGACGGGACGAATTGAGGAAGCCTCGAAGAGTTGGAAATTCACAAGATCTATGGACAATTCCAATCACTTATCAATTTGGATCTTTAAAAACCAGCGAGGGACAAGTTATCAGAGAATTCTGGTTGAAAAATCGAAGTGTTTCATTCGCAGATAACGAAGTCTCACCAAATCAAGCTGTTCTGGTAAATCCTGATTGGAAATACCCGTTCCGAGTCAATTACGATCTTTTGAATTGGAAACTTCTTGCTCGAACGCTTCATCAAAATCATCTTGAATTCTCGGAAAAATCTAGAATCCAATTGTTGATTGATTCCGAATATTTCTTGAGTAATTCGAATAATCCACATCTTTATTTGTATTTGTTAGGCTATCTCGCGCATGAGACAAATTTGGAAGTTATGCTAATTGGTATTGATTCTGTCTATAGATTCATTGATATTTACAAAGGAACATCGTTAAATCAAGCAATTGTAATTTATTTTGCCCCGGTGATTAGTCAAATGGACAATTTACTCCTAGAAAGTCAAACAGACGCGGAAACCGCAAGCCTATGGTTGGTGCGTCCGGAAAGATTGGCGAAGTTATATCAACTTCGATGCGCTGTGAATATTCCGAGCTGCAAAAATGAGTATCACACACAAAAATGGGCACATTCGCCAGATGATTGGACAGAAGATGTGCATAAACAAGTTACAGCTGTTTGTCATCAACTTTTCACGGGGAACAATGATGAGCAACTGAGGAATGTTGTAAGTTTTATTATTGACTGATAAAAATTCTGAAATGTTGAACTGTTTCAGCACCAACTCCTCCTCTCCCGCCTCAAATCAACCGGTGCTCAATGGGCTCTCACAATTCAACTAGCCGCCTGCTCACACGACTCCAAACTTCTTCGAAAAACCGCGCAAGCTATTGTCGCAACAAAAAATGCCGCAGTCTACGCATCCGCACTACAATCGGATTTTTCTCTCCACTACAATCCGGCGTTCCGGAAGCAGTTTTGGAGCGAAATTGCGAAGATGAGTATTGTTGAGAAGAGCGCGTTGTTCTCAACGAATTCTAGTGATATTTTGACGGCTTCGAGGATTTTATTGCATTCGGTGAAGACGATTGATGAGTTACAACAGGTACTGTGCGAACATTAAAATCCTACTGTACGCAAAAGTGCGTCGCAGTGTTTGCACAGCAGATATCAACTCATTTTTTGCAGGTCCGAAGTCTTCTGCCAGATTGGGGACCTCTAATGTCCCTACACTTTGAATATCTCGAGCGCTATCTTCTGTGGATCTCAAATGTCTCCCAAGGTGTTCTTCATCAATTTTTCGCCGCCGATCTTCTCAATTTCTAACTTCAAATTCAAATTCAAATTCAAACATTCTTCGGGTTCAAAAATCATCAAACGGGTATAGAAATCTCAGTTCCCTCCAAGTTCTTTCCAGTTATTTTAAAAGTATTTCTCATCTCATCTCGTCCCAAACAATTTTTCTGTTACGTTTGAGTAAATAAACAATGATTTGTGTTTTTTTTTCTTCGCTGTATCGTTATTTTGTTTGGATAAGCCGGCCGGCGGCGGACTGTCAAAGATGTTTCCGGATTGATTGGCGCGGTGTTTTTTGCAGCAAGTTGCCGGCTCTCATTAGGCTCCTCATTTTTCAGCAGGCGCGCGGCTAGCGTGTGAGGTGGTTTAGACAAATATTTATCGTTGCATTATGGATAAAACTCACAAAATCGCCTGTTTCGTTTCGTTGGGCTCGTTTATTTTTAGGTGAGTGAAGGTTTTTTGGGAGCTGAAATTATTTGAACTTAAATTCAAAAATAATCAGAGCATGTCCAAAGCTAAAATCCTGTGAACAAGTTAAAATCCAGCCTAACTACACTGTAGTCTGAATGCTATTTTCCAGTATCGTCTTCATAATCGCCTCATGCAGTTCAGACTACTGGGTCCGTTCAGAAATTATCGATACCAGAAAATTCCGTCCAGCTGGTTTTGTACATTCTGGAATTTTCAGAGGTGATCGACAAATTGATTATGGTGATGGTCTATATAGTTATCGATTTTCCAGTGAGTCTCAATTAAAATTAATTTTCATTCTTACCATTCTTGCAGTATTCTCGGAACTCCAAGAAGGTCACTCATTTTTCACACGAGCTGTTTGGATTTTTGTGTTGTTTTTTGAGGCAATGTCGCTAATTTGGTCATTGATGGGAGTGATTACTTGCATTTTTTCAATAACTTCGTTGAAAGTTGATGTTTCGGTGGCTGGGCCGAATGGGATTTATTTGTGGAGTTTATTGTCGTGTGAGTTTGTTATCGAGCATCAGTAGATCACAAGCTTTAGAATGAGTATAATGAAGCTCAAAAAAATTCGAGTTTCTTAATGGGCCTTATCCACTTTATTATAAAGAGGCCTAGAAATAAACATATGTTTCTATTCCAGCTGTATCGCATGGCGGCGCTCTCGCTCTCTTCTATTCCCAATTCCAAAGTTCACTGCGAACCTCAATGCTCTTATCGGAACACCTCGATCTCGGCTACACTACATTCAATCAAGCCTCATTATCCTACGCCTTTTATATGTCACTTTGCGCCTTGTTTTCTTTGTATATACCACCGCTTACATTGGTTTTATTTACCGAACGAATTGTTCAAATTGGCCGAAAATCAACGAGCTCCTCTTTTGATCCAACACTTATGTTGTATTGATGAAGATGAAATACAGTGTATTTTCACGAAATCGAGATGATTGTATGTATATAACATTTGAAAATGTGTGAGAAACGAAATATTACAGGGGTTCTTTTTTAGATTACGAATAGTTTTATTTATTGTTTTTGTGCTAATTATAATAAAATATTGATTATGACGTGACAAATTATTGGAGTCCCAACTCTGGCAAGAATCAGAGCCTTAAAAACAAAAAAAAAATTAAAAAAAAAAGAAATAAACATTCATAAAATAAGTCCGCCGAGCCAATTCACTGAGAATTTTTTGTGAATTATTAGCAGAAAACTGGCCAAGTTAAGTAGACACCTTTTCCATTGGAATTTAAAAAAATTTAAGCCCCTCACCCCGTTTTGGGGCCCATTTTATGTATGTTTTTGGGTCCCATTTTATGTATGTTCATAATTTAGACATTGCTCATATTATAAACCCCCATTACTCACTTCAAAAGTGACTAAAGCATTGCTCAGCTTAAAAATATCCCTCTAACCTGAAAAAATACCACCCCAAAATAAACTAACTTGAAATCCATGAAATCGATCAAAAAATCTCAACATTCCATCCAAAACATCCAAAACAATCGTGATTCTTTCGAGCAAATCTGAAAAACATTAAACATTTTCGAGCCAAAAAATTCCACGTCACAGATAAATATTGATTTTTCAAGAAAAAAAAGCGAAAACCGCCCAAAAACACCAAAAAAAATAATGACTATTTTCTGACTCTCTTCCCCCTACTTCTCTTGCACTCTCTCACTTTCCCACATTGTCTCCTTGCCAACGTTGCAAGTGCGCTCCACTGCAATTTCTATGTTTTTTCCTTTTTTTCGGTTTTGCTGCGAAATAATGCAATTTTCAGGATTCCAAGTGAAAATCGAGTGAAATTTGATTGTGGAATAGGAAAATGCACAATTTTTGAAGGTTATGATGAGAAATCCGGGTGAAAATGGTGAGGGTTTAAAGGTAAAAAGAATGATTCGTGGTTTCGGAGTCACTCCAAATTCCCGATTTTTAAATCTAGCTTAATTTAATGGATAAAAATGATGAATCATACAATAACTTTTTTAATTAACTCACAGGCTTTGCTGAATTTCAAGAAATAGTGCAGAAAATAGATGCGGCAATCCAAACGTTTTGAAAAATCAGAAATGAGCAAAAATAATTCACGTCAAATTATTTAAGCTTAAATCTAGGGCACAAAAGTAGGTCAAACTCCCTTCATTTCCAAAAAAAAAAGAAAAAAATATTCCCGTGAATTTTTTCCCCCAAAAAATACGTGGCAAATCTACGTGTCCCAATTTCCAACGCTATAAAAGCTAGCGGCTCAGCCAGTTTGCTCATTTATATTGGAACAACGACTTCAAGATTTCACAACATCCGAAGCGATTCGAAAATCAATAGGATTTGGCGCAAAATTTATACACAAAAATGTCGGAAACGAGAAATGAGAAAGATATGAAAAGTGACAATGATCCGGAACCAACTCAACAATGCACATTGGTCGAAGAAGTCAAAGAGAAGCCCGGCACCAACACCACCAACAACAACACCACCGACACAAGCACTTCGAATGAGGCGAAATGGGTGAAGACGCAAATGTATGCGAAGATGGGTACACAATATCAGCCATATCGAGATATTTCAAATGAGTTCAAGACATTGAAAGATTGGAAACCGTCGCAGTTTTCGAGTACGGCTTGGAAGAAGAATGCCGAAAAAAATCGATATGCTGATCAAATGTGCATGGATCAAACGCGAGTGGTTTTGAAGGTAAAGCTGACAAGTGTTGAACTTTTGATGAAACATATCGAAATATAGCAAATCGACCATGATGATCACCATTCCGAAGTCAAAAATTGGCACAAATGCATGTTAGCACTTTTCTGGAGCTCCAAAGTTAGAATTGGTTTTCGCCCATTTTCACCGTGTTCCTGGGTGGAAAATCAATTTTTATAACATGAATAAGGTTGTTCACCACATTCGAAAACATACCCACTTTTCAGTTTATCACAAAAATATGAAAAACCAGCTGAAAACTGCAATTTTTAAGAAATTCCTGAAAATACACAGAAACACACGTTTTTCAAAAATTGCAGTTTTCAGCTGGTTTTTTCATATTTTTTGAAAAACGCTGCTATGTTTTCGAATGTGGTGAACAACCTTATTCAAGTTATAAAAATTGATTTTCCACCCAGGAACAAGGTGAAAATGGGCGAAAACCGAAACTCAATGTTAACTTTTTTTGAGCTCAAGAAATGTGCTCACAGGCATTTGTGTCAATTTTTGGTTTCGGTATCGTGATCAGCATGGTCGATTTGGTATATTTCGATATGTTTCAGCAAAAGTTGACCTATGCAATTCCCAAAAAAAGCTTGTTTTCAAACCACACTTTTTCCAGAATCGAGAAGGCGCTTGCGATTACATCAATGCGTCTTGGATGGAAATGCCAGACGGCCGCAAATGGATTTCAACCCAAGGTCCCCTCAAAACCACCATCGAAGATTTCTGGCATCTAATCTACTCGGAAAACATCAAAGTCATCTGCATGCTGTGCTGTTTTCAAGAGGATGGTGTCGAAAAATGCTCCGAATATTTCAACATTGAGGGCAAAAAATCGGAGACTTTTGGTATCTACAAGGTTCGTATCAAGACCAAGACAACTGAGCCGTTCTCATCGATTCGTCAGACGGTTTTGGAAGTTGAGAAGAAGAATTCGAAAAGTCCGCCGGTTGTTGTGACACATTTGTGGAATTATGGATGGGTTGATCATTTTTGCCCAACTGATACCACGCCAACTGTTTGGATGTTGAAGACTGCCATGAGCATGGTAAGGAGCCCGAGTTAGAGGGATCTAGAAAACCTTTTGAAAATTTCAGACTGGCAAAACTCCAATCGTTGTTCATTGCTCGGCTGGAATTGGAAGAACCGCCACTTTTGTCGGGATTGATTTCGCTTGCCAAAAGATCAAACAAGATCCGGAGATCAAGATGTGCGATGTTCTATTTAACTTGAGGAGAATGCGGTAGGTTCCATGAATCTAGAAGCTCTAACCCCTAAATCTTTGCAGCCTTCGCTCAATCCAATCTCAACTCCAATTCGCCTTCCTCCATCAATGCATCGTCGAGTGGTTTGCTCAAGCCAATCTGATTGCACGTGACGAACAATTTGAAAAACTTCGAAACTGTTTTGAATCGGTTGTAAAGAAGATGATCAAGACACAGGGCGAAGCAAAGAAACAGTATTATGCGGCGAAAGTGACGAGAGAAGAGAAGGAAAAATCCAAGGCACAGCCATCCAGAAAGAAGTGATTTTTATTGTATGTAGTGTATTTTTTCGATTGAAAAAATGATGAATTTTTCTGTGTAAACCACGATCTTCTGCGTCTCTAACTTCTAGCTGTCTGTCTCTAACCATAGCCTTCTAATATAAAGCTGAAGTTCTTCATGACCGAAAAAAACAAACGCGCTCTAATGATAATAATTTTTCTATCATGAAATATTTAAAAAAAGTATTTCAAAACTTCTCACATTAACGATCTCTGTCACAAGACACCGAAAAAATTCCAAATTCCATGAATATTTGTTTGCTCAATTAATTTTTGTTATCTGAAAAAAAGTGAAAAAGAATCTGGTGATAAGTCGGGTCAAAATTCTTTTTGCTCTCTGTCTTATCACAGAAAAACCAATATAATTTTTCCCCGATTTCATTCGCCAAATATTATTTTTTGCATCGGCTGACGACATTTTTTCTGCTGCTGGAAAGAGAAACAATTGAGAAAATGGCATCGCACAATGAGAACGATTCGGTTCCTGAAATGATTGATCATCGACATTTGCAAATGTGGAAGTGAGTTTTGATCTAGGCCCCACGAACAATTAAATTTCTTTTTTTTCAGATGGCTCCATGGCCGCCAAAACTTTCGAGCTTCGGTCGTCGAAAACTCGCTGGAATCTTCAACAAGTCTTTCGACAAGTTTCGATTTCAGGTAAGTCGCATTTTCCAATTGAATTCAATTAGCAATTTGAAAGAAAAAGAAAATGAAAAGTGAAACCTGTTTTGGTCGCCGCGCAAAGATTTCTGGGATTCTTGTTTTATCGATTTTATTAGTGATGAAAACAAAAAGTTTTGCGGTTTTTTCTTGGAAAAACAGTGATTTTTAAAGCGTTTTTCTTGTTTTTGAGTGTTTGATCTGATAATTTTGGGTGTTCTGATAATTTTTAATGACGTGTGTTACATATGTGTTCTTGCCAAATTTTAGAATAGCTAGACTCCAGGATGTCTGCGTCTCTAACCTTTAATCTAGTGATCTTCTTGTGTCTGCGTCCCTATTACTCTCTAGCTTCTCTAGCTTTAGCTGCATGTCTGTCTAACAATCCTCTGTGTTTCCACTGCGTCTCTGATCTCTATTTCTTTATCTCTCTCCCTCTCAATTATCCATTTCTCTACCCTGCTCGTCTAGCGTCTCTGCTTGTCTGCTGCTACCCCCCTCACTCTCTGCATCTCTCGTTTTCCCGCATGTTCCTCTCCGTCTCTACCTTTCTCTCGCCGTCTAACCCTCTCTCCTTTGCAGATGAGTGTTCTCGGCTTCATTCTCCTCTGTCAATACAGTGGCAACCTGCTAGTTCAGCTAACCTTCTACATTCTTTTTGTTTGGATAAGCCGGCCGGCGGCGGACTGTCAAAGATGTTTCCGGATTGATTGGCGCGGTTTTTTTTGCAGCAAGTTGCCGGCTCTCATTAGGCTCCTCATTTTTCAGCAGGCGCGCGGCTAGCGTGTGAAGTGGTTTAGACAAATATTTATCGTTGCATTATGGATAAAACTCACAAAATCGCCTGTTTCGTTTCGTTGGGCTCGTTTATTTTTAGGTGAGTGAGGGTTTTTGGGAGCTTTTCATTGAAGTTTCATGGTCCGGCTCCAAAATAACGTTTTCCTAATTTTTAACCTAAAATTCAGGCCTTGTCTCATACAAGGGCGAGAATTGTCCAATCCGAGTCTAGGCCAGGATTCTGACAAGCCTCCAAATCCAGGCTCCGAAAATCTAAGGCCATCTCAGCCCTGTTCAAACGAGTCCCAAAAAACCAAACTTTTTGAGAACCCAGTGAAGTTAAAATCCACCCTAACTACACTGTAGTCTGGAAGCTATGTATTTTCCAGTATCGTCTTCATAATCGCATCATGCAGTTCAGACTACTGGGTCCGTTCAGAAATTATCGATACCAGAAAATTCCGTCCAGCTGGTTTTGTACATTCTGGAATTTTCAGAGGTGATCGACAAATTGATTACGGTGATGGTCTTTATAGCTATCGATTTTCCAGTGAGTCTTCGTTAATTAAAATTCATTTTCATTCTTATGTACCATAATCTTCTTGCAGTATTCTCGGAACTCCAAGAAGGTCACTCATTTTTCACACGAGCTGTTTGGATTTTTGTGTTGTTTTTTGAGGCAATGTCGCTTATTTGGTCATTGATGGGAGTGATTACTTGCATTTTTTCAATAACTTCGTTGAAAGTTGATGTTTCGGTGGCTGGGCCGAATGGGATTTATTTGTGGAGTTTATTGTCGTGTGAGTTTGTTATCGAGCATCAGTAGATCACAAGCTTCAGAATGAGTATAATGAAGCCCCAAAAAAATTCGGGCTTCTTAAAGGGCCTTATCCACTTTATTATAAAGAGGCCTGGAAAAAATCAATGTTCCTATTCCAGCTGTATCGCATGGCGGTGCTCTCGCTCTCTTCTATTCCCAATTCCAAAGTTCACTGCGAACCTCAATGCTCTTATCGGAACACCTCGATCTCGGCTACACTACATTCAATCAAGCCTCATTATCCTACGCCTTTTATATGTCACTTTGCGCCTTGTTTTCTTTGTATATACCACCGCTTACACTGGTTTTATTTACCGAACGAATTGTTCAAATTGGCCGAAAATCAACGAGCTCCTCTTTTGATCCAACACTTATGTTGTATTAGATGAAGATGAAATACAGTGTATTTTCACGAAATCGAGATGATTGTATGTATATAACATTTGAAAATGTGTGAGAAACGAAATGGTACAGGGGTCTTTTTTAGATTACGAATAGTTTTATTTATTGTTTTTGTGCTAATTATAATAAAATATTGATTATGACGTGGCAAATTATTTGACTCAATTCTGGCAAGAATCAGAGCCTTAAAAACAAAAAAAAATAGAAAAAAAATAAACATTCATAAAATAAGTCCGCCGAGCCAACGGGAATTTTTGCGAATTATTACCAGAAAACTGGCCACGTTAGACACCTTTTCCATTGGAATTTTGAAAAAATTTGAGCCTCTCACCCCGTTTTTGGATCCCATTTTATGTATGTTCATAATGTAGGCATTGCTCATATTATAAACCCCCATTACTCACTTCAAAAGTGACTAAAGCATTGCTCAGCTTATAAATATCCCTCTAACCTGAAAGAATACCACCCCAAAATAAACTAACTTGAAATCCATGACTTCGACCAAAAAAATCTCAACATTCCATCCAAAATATTCATCCAAAACACTCTTGATTCTTTCGAGCAAATCTGAAAAAATTGAACATTTTCGAGCCAAAAAATCCACGTCACAGATAAATATTGATTTTTTATCAAGAAAAAAGCGAAAACCGCCCAAAAACACCAAAAACAAAAAATAATGACTATTTTCTGCCTCTCTTCCCACTATTTGTCTTGCACTCTCTCACTTCCCCACACTGTCTCGTTGCCAACGTTGCAAGTGCGCTCCACTGCAATTTCTATTTTTTTTCTTTTTTTTTCGGGTTTGCTGCGAAATAATGCAATTTTCAAGTTTTCAGGTGAAATTCGAGAGGAATTTGATTGTGGAATAGGAAAATGCACAATTTTTGAAGGTTTTGATGGAAAATCCGGGTGAAAATGGTGAGGTTTTGAGGGTTTAAGGGTAAGAAGAATGAATCGTGGTTTCGGAGTTACTCCGAATTCCCGATTTTCAAATCTAGCTCAATTTTATAGATAAAAATGATGAATCTTAGAATACCTTTTTTAATTAACTCACAGGCTTTGCTACTTTTCAAGAAATAGTGCATAAAATAAATGCGGCAATCCAAACGTTTTGAAAAATCAGAAATGAGCCAAATAATTCACGTCAAATTCTCAGGTAGCAGCTTGCCCATGGACTGCCCTTAGGAAAGCGGTTGCCCCATAATTGCACCTTGGGCAAGCCCTAAGGGCAAATTTTTTAATGGGAAAAATAAATTTATAGCTATTTTTCATAACGTGACCTAGTTTTGATACGTGTCCTGTTTCGAAATCGGAATTTCTTCTCATTTTTGATATTCTGTTAGCCAAGAAAATAGCGAATAAATCAAACTATTTCGATGACGCTCAAATATCGACTTATTATAGAAGCAGTAACTTTATGCAAAACACTGTGAGAAAGTTATCAATTCAAATATAGTGAAGCGGATTCTGGGATTGTCACTGTGATTTTTGGGTGGATTTTTATGAATTAGATGTTCCAAAAGTATGATCAAGCTGAAGTGCATCTATCTCTCCATGTTATTTCGTTTAATAAAATTTTTACTTCTAGAAAACTTTTTTTTACCTCTAGAAAACTATCATGATTTAGCCTTCAACTAAATACATGATAATGTTTTCATGTGTTTAGTTAGTTGAAGGCAGCTTCTTTTTGATGAAAGCTGCCTCTCCAAACTGCCCCATTTTGGGCCTAGGCTTCATTTTTCCAACCTGAGAACAAGAAAAATTAGTGAAAATGCTTTTTTACGTGGCTTGAATTAATTTGAATTTAAAACGTGATGTTCTTGTTTAATTCAAATGCCCAACGATTGCCCCTTGAATGCTCCAATGCAGCCCTTAGAACCTGCTCTAAGGGCAGAGTAAGGGGCAGTCCATGGGCAAGCTGCTACCTGAGTTATTCAAATTTAAATTTAGGGCATAAAAGTAGGTCAAGCTCCTTTCATTTCCAAAAAAAAAGAAGAAAATATTCCCGTGAATTTGTTCCCCCAAAAAATACGTGGCAAATCTACGTGTCCCAATTTCCAACGCTATAAAAGCTAGCGACTCAGCCAGTTTGCTCATTTATATTGGAACAACGACTTCAAGATTTCACAACATCCGAAGCGATTCGAAAATCAATAGGATTTGGCGCAAAATTTATACACAAAAATGTCGGAAACGAGAAATGAGAAAGATATGAAAAGTGACAATGATCCGGAACCAACTCAACAATGCACATTGGTCGAAGAAGTCAAAGAGAAGCCCGGCACCACCACCACCAACAACAACACCACCGACACAAGCACTTCGAATGAGGCGAAATGGGTGAAGACGCAAATGTATGCGAAGATGGGTACACAATATCAGCCATATCGAGATATTTCAAATGAGTTCAAGTCATTGAAAGATTGGAAACCGTCGCAGTTTTCGAGTACGGTTTGGAAGAAGAATGCCGAAAAAAATCGATATGCTGATCAAATGTGCATGGATCAAACGCGAGTGGTTTTGAAGGTAAAACTGACAATGGAAGTGCATAGGTGTTGAAGTTTTGATGAAGCATATCGAAATATACCAAATCGACCATGCTGATCACGATTCCGAAGTCAAGGATTGCCACAAATGCCTATGAGAACTTTTCTGGAGCTCCAAAGTTAGAATTGAGTTCTGATGTTTGCCCATTTTCACCATGTTCCTGGGTGGAAAATCAATTTTTATAACATGGATTTCAGTTTTCAGCTGGTTTTTCATATTTTTTGAAAAACGCTGCTATGTTGTCGAATGTGGTGAACAACCTTATTCAAGTTATAAAAATTGATTTTCCCCCCAGGAACAAGGTGAAAATGGGCGAAAACCAAAACTCAATTCTAACTCTGGAGCTCCAGAAAAGTGCTCACAGGCATTTGTGGCAATTTTTGATGGTCGATTCGGTTTCGATAAGTTTCAGCAAAAGTTGACCTATGCAATTCCCAAAAAAGCTTGTTTTCAAACCACACTTTTTCCAGAATCGAGAAGGCGCTTGCGATTACATCAATGCGTCTTGGATGGAAATGCCAGACGGCCGCAAATGGATTTCAACCCAAGGTCCCCTCAAAACCACCATCGAAGATTTCTGGCATCTAATCTACTCGGAAAACATCAAAGTCATCTGCATGCTGTGCTGTTTTCAAGAGGATGGTGTCGAAAAATGCTCCGAATATTTCAACATTGAGGGCAAAAAATCGGAGACTTTTGGTATCTACAAGGTTCGTATCAAGACCAAGACAACTGAGCCGTTCTCATCGATTCGTCAGACGGTTTTGGAAGTTGAGAAGAAGAATTCGAAAAGTCCGCCGGTTGTTGTGACACATTTGTGGAATTATGGATGGGTTGATCATTTTTGCCCAACTGATACCACGCCAACTGTTTGGATGTTGAAGACTGCCATGAGCATGGTAAGGAGCCCGAGTTAGAGGGATCTAGAAAACCTTTTGAAAATTTCAGACTGGCAAAACTCCAATCGTTGTTCATTGCTCGGCTGGAATTGGAAGAACCGCCACTTTTGTCGGGATTGATTTCGCTTGCCAAAAGATCAAACAAGATCCGGAGATCAAGATGTGCGATGTTCTATTTAACTTGAGGAGAATGCGGTAGGTTCCATGAATCTAGAAGCTCTAACCCCTAAATCTTTGCAGCCTTCGCTCAATCCAATCTCAACTCCAATTCGCCTTCCTCCATCAATGCATCGTCGAGTGGTTTGCTCAAGCCAATCTGATTGCACGTGACGAACAATTTGAAAAACTTCGAAACTGTTTTGAATCGGTTGTAAAGAAGATGATCAAGACACAGGGCGAAGCAAAGAAACAGTATTATGCGGCGAAAGTGACGAGAGAAGAGAAGGAAAAATCCAAGGCACAGCCATCCAGAAAGAAGTGATTTTTATTGTATGTAGTGTATTTTTTCGATTGAAAAAATGATGAATTTTTCTGTGTAAACCACGATCTTCTGCGTCTCTAACTTCTAGCTGTCTGTCTCTAACCATAGCCTTCTAATATAAAGCTGAAGTTCTTCATGACCGAAAAAAACAAACGCGCTCTAATGATAATAATTTTTCTATCATGAAATATTTAAAAAAAGTATTTCAAAACTTCTCACATTAACGATCTCTGTCACAAGACACCGAAAAAATTCCAAATTCCATGAATATTTGTTTGCTCAATTAATTTTTGTTATCTGAAAAAAAGTGAAAAAGAATCTGGTGATAAGTCGGGTCAAAATTCTTTTTGCTCTCTGTCTTATCACAGAAAAACCAATATAATTTTTCCCCGATTTCATTCGCCAAATATTATTTTTTGCATCGGCTGACGACATTTTTTCTGCTGCTGGAAAGAGAAACAATTGAGAAAATGGCATCGCACAATGAGAACGATTCGGTTCCTGAAATGATTGATCATCGACATTTGCAAATGTGGAAGTGAGTTTTGATCTAGGCCCCACGAACAATTAAATTTCTTTTTTTCAGATGGCTCCATGGCCGCCAAAACTTTCGAGCTTCGGTCGTCGAAAACTCGCTGGAATCTTCAACAAGTCTTTCGACAAGTTTCGATTTCAGGTAAGTCGCATTTTCCAATTGAATTCAATTAGCAATTTGAAAGAAAAAGAAAATGAAAAGTGAAACCTGTTTTGGTCGCCGCGCAAAGATTTCTGGGATTCTTGTTTTATCGATTTTATTAGTGATGAAAACAAAAAGTTTTGCGGTTTTTTCTTGGAAAAACAGTGATTTTTAAAGCGTTTTTCTTGTTTTTGAGTGTTTGATCTGATAATTTTGGGTGTTCTGATAATTTTTAATGACGTGTGTTACATATGTGTTCTTGCCAAATTTTAGAATAGCTAGACTCCAGGATGTCTGCGTCTCTAACCTTTAATCTAGTGATCTTCTTGTGTCTGCGTCCCTATTACTCTCTAGCTTCTCTAGCTTTAGCTGCATGTCTGTCTAACAATCCTCTGTGTTTCCACTGCGTCTCTGATCTCTATTTCTTTATCTCTCTCCCTCTCAATTATCCATTTCTCTACCCTGCTCGTCTAGCGTCTCTGCTTGTCTGCTGCTACCCCCTCACTCTCTGCATCTCTCGTTTTCCCGCATGTTCCTCTCCGTCTCTACCTTTCTCTCGCCGTCTAACCCTCTCTCCTTTGCAGATGAGTGTTCTCGGCTTCATTCTCCTCTGTCAATACAGTGGCAACCTGCTAGTTCAGCTAACCTTCTACATTCTTCGCGAATACGTCATTGAGCATTTCGACAGAGAGCCGCCAAAAATATTCAATTGAAATTTGAAATTTTTTAAATAAAATTCAAAATTCTTGTCATATCAAAATGTCATTCCATTCCAAAAGAAAATATAATAAATGATTATTTATTTGAGTCATTGCCAAAAAATTTTGAAAATTCTCAAATTCAAAATTTTCGGGCCGAAATATATTAAAGGTGCATACAGTAATTTTTGAATTGTGAGGAAATTTTCTGGGGAAAAAATTTGAAATTTATTTTTGACACCAAAAGTTCCGAATTCAAATTTCAAGTTTTGAAATTATTAATGACGTCATCAAAAACATTCCAATACAAAATAATAAACGATTATTTATTTTTTGAGTCATTGCCAAAAAATTTTTGTCTATTTCCAGTGAAACATTTCTTCTCTCTTTAGCCAACAAAAAAACCGAAACCAATATTTTTTGAGGAACACACACACACACACACAAAGTTGTTTCCATTCGTTCGAAACCCGATTTCTTCTTGTCTGCCTCTCTCATTTCTCCGCACTCTCTCGATTTTTGTTCTGAAGAATGTTTGGAATTTTGAAAATGTCTATCACTCTCCTCTATTTCTCCACCCTCACTTTTTTCTTCTTTTTTTTTCATTATTATTATTATTAGAGTTGAGGAAAGTTGTGATTTTTCTGAAAAAATGTTGAACTACTGTAATATGCTAACTATTCCGGCGACGATTTGTGAGAAGTAAGCGGGGATTTTTGTTCCTGAAAAAAAATTGTGACGTAAAATAGCATTTAGCAAAAGTCCAGGGTCATTTCAAAAATGTCCAATTTCTAGCTGATTTTTTCCAAAGCCTGAAAATTAAGGTTAAAGAGAGTTTCGAGAATTTGGAATATTTTTTTTTGGAATTTTTCGAAAATGTTCATTCTCTGAATTTTTTTCGAGAAAAAAAAGTTCTCAAATTACAGAAGTTTTTCTGTCGGGAAAAAAAAACTTCTACACTTTGGACCTTCAGAATTTTTCAAAACTCATAGAATTTCAGATTCAGGAGCTCTGAAACGAAAAAATTAATTTTTGAAATCTTAAAAACCTATCAAATCCACGTGGCATTCGAAACTTTAGTTTGAAAAGAAGAATTTCCACGTAACTTCTCCCTTCTACAGTACTCCCCGCCCCCATTCTTTTCATCTCCAAAAATTATCAAAACCGCACGCACAACAAAAATGTGGGTCTATAAAAAACCGTTTCGCCAAAAAATTTTCCAGAAAAATTCCAGTTATCTCTCTATCTATCTAAAACAAAACATTATTATTGGTGATATCTAATCAATCCAATTTGGAAATATCTTCTTCTTTTTCTTCTTTCCTCTGTGTTTTCATCAAATATTTACCGTCTCGTCGTCTCGCTGCACTCTCTTAATTCTATGTACTCTCTAACCCTCGGTGATCGTAAGAGTGCGCGGAAAAACCGACACAGTCTATGTCGACAAACACACACATCTCTTGTTCGATTTTTCGAATTTTCCAAATTTTTTCCATGTTTTCTTCTGATTACATACACTTTTTTGTTGATTTGATAATAAGAATACGTGTTTTTCTGTAGGAGGATTTATTTTTATGAGACTTTTACAGTATAAAAACATGTTTTTCTGAAATTGCTATGTTTCAAAAAACCCATGAGATTTAGAAAAAATCAATTTCAATTTTTAAATTTTGAGAATGGCCCGTTTTTTTTTAAATCACAATCTAAATTGAATCTTTCTGGGTTCAGATTAGAATTAAGACTTTTTTACTGGTCCAATTCAATTAAGACTTTAAGAGTCCTAATTTCACCCAAAGTTTAAGTGCTAAATTTAATTCATAACCTGAAAGACCCAACCATTTTCTCCAGGGAAATTGTTTTTTTTTCAAAAATTATTCAAATTCAAATTCAAATGCAACAAACCGTGCGAACCTTTTTTCATATTTTAATTTCCTGTTTCGTATACGAAATTGATTTCAAAACGAGAAAAAAATTTCAAATTCAAAAAATCGCGCCATTCTCTCTCACTCTCACATTTTTTAAGATGATTAAAAACAACTTAAAAATTTTTGTTTTTGCTTTCGATTATGATAAAAAAATTCCTCCCTCCACCCTTTTTCCTCTTTTTTTTTTGTTGATTTTGAATACAAAAAAATTATTCATGTCAATTTTTCCGAACTTCTATAAAAATATACATGGACACTTTCGAAATGTATCCTTTAGGCAATTCAAAAAACCCCAGTCAACCCTATAATTTTGTTCGGGTACCTACACACAAATTTAATTGAGACCTCTACATGTTCATGTTCATTTTTGCAGTGTCGATATGTCGGATTCGTCGAGTTCTCGAATTTTGGCGCCGTCGCCAATGTCGAGTTTCGTCGTCACGCCGTCAACTTCGTTTGCCACGTCAGCGTCGACTTATCAGGGTTGGTTTGGGGGCGCTTGTGTAAACCGCAGGCTTGGAGCGAGCTCCTGAGAATCATTTTATCAAGCATCCAACCCTTGGCGTCTTCTATATGCCTCGAGCCCTTGAGACACATATTCAGTGAAATCAATTTTCCAATATTTTCAAATTTTGCCACGTCATAACTCGTAGTACGAATATTAGAATCGCGATCAGCAAAACTACTGGAAAATATAATTTATCAAAAATCGTTGTCTCATTTCCAGACATCTACACATCTCTAACAATGTCCTCAACACCTTCACCATTCCATCAACTTCACACAGCTCCACCTCCTCCACCATATCATTCAGCTCATCAACTTCTCCTGCTCCATAATATGGCAGCTCATCTCTCCTCTCAACAAGCCGTCGAAGATGTTGATATAGATGTTGTTGGTCTAACAGATACCACCAAAGAAGTCTCATTGAATGATAAAGAAGATGTTTCGAGTGAAGAAGGTGATCGTGATCGGCCATTGGATTTATCGTGCAAAACTTCTCCCCAACATCAACAACTTCAACAAAGACCAAGTGTGATAATTGACACGACGTGTTGTAGTCCATCAACATCTTCGAAACATGTCTCGGTTCGTCGATCAATGTCTTCAGTGTCGTCTTCGTCGTCTTCAGCGCGGAGCACTGCGCAAGATGATGTTGCAGCACATTTTAAGCGCAGTTTGTCGGGTAAATGGCCGAAACGGAATCCTTGCGATGGAGCGAGAAGTTCGCCGATCGTTCGACGAAGGACTTTTAACACTTCGACGACTTCGATGGTGCAACCAGCTCCTCAAACTATTATTAATCATCATTGCTCAGGTTAGAAACGGGAGGGCGGGAATTTATCATGAGAAATAAAAACAAAAATATTATTGTCGAAAAAAATTGTGTGCTTGCTTCTCAAAATTCCGTGGGAAAGAGTAAAACTTACATAAACTTGACCGAAAAATTTTTAATGAAAAAAAATAATTTTTAAAAATGTGTGCCGCAGTTGCAGAAATTGTGTGCGCGCTTTGCAAAATTCAAATTTTTTCTTTTTTTCGCTGGGAATTGGTTGCTGAAAACTGGTTTTCAATGTTTTTTTGAGGAAAATGAGCTAAAATTAAGAAACCTTCGAAAAATTATGTGCCGCGGTTGCAGAATTCAAATTTTTGTTTTTTTTTTTCGCTGTTAAAAGTAATTTTCAAAGTTTTAGAGTGGAAAACGAGCAAACCTCCAGGAAACCTAAAAGTATTCCATGAAAAATTCAAAATCAATTTTGCAGACACCTCAACATCCGTAGCTGATCATTTCCGTCGCGCGCTCTCCGGAAAACTCAGCTTCAAATAATTTTTCCCCCCATATTTTCTTCGTCAAAACCTGTAAATTCTGTACATTTATTTTTATTATTCTCTTTTCTTTTTATTTACTTTTCAACCATGACTACACATATTTTTTCATTCATACTTATATTTCTTATATATTTTGTCATCCCGGTAGAAAATGTTTTTTAGTTTTGAAGTTCATTTTTTTCATCGAAACCAGTGTTGAAAGCAGAGGCGAATCGGAGAAATAATATTGAGGTGATTTGCAAAAGCCACAGCTTTTTGCGCAGTAAAGTCGCAGGGCGGATTTGCTGGAACAAAGGATAGAGTTAAAAAGTGTGCCAAGGCGTGGCTGCTTGAGAAGCAGGGTGTCTAGGCTTGGCTACTTGACACCTAGATTCTCTAGGCGTGGCTCCTGAAGGAATGAGATCTCTAGGCGCTGATCCTTAACCCTCAGCTTCTTATTCACCCACCTAAAATCCTGCTCACAAGCTCCACTCTTCGCCAACTCTTCACACGTATCCAATTCATCTTTACACACCGACATCGTATCGATTAGATCATTCGGCGGCTGACAATATTCACAAGTTCGAGGACAATATTCATGAGCAACTGAAAGTTTGCAAGCACCTTGCGATTTGACTTCTTCACAATCGATTTTTATTGAATCTATGCATTGGAGGCCTAAAATAGAAATTAAATAGGCCGAAATAAAATTTTATCAAATTTTGGGCCAAAATCAACCTACCACTACAGTTCTTACAAGTCACCGGACAAAGTTTCAAATAATAACCAGGCCTTGAGACACAAGTTTCAGCTGTAATTTGACTGCAAACAATCTCATCTCTATTCTTACATCCCAGAAGAGTTATCAGCTTTGCCATCATTTTTGGGCTTTGAGTTGTGAAGGGTGGAAGTGTGGTTGTGGTTGTTGTAGAAGTTGTAGAAGTTGTAGATGGTTTTTCAAAGGAAGGTGATAAGTAGGGTTCCACTAGTGGGTTATGGTCCAAACTATTGAATTTGATTTCGTTTGGATGGCCCAATGGGATACTGTAACTACTGGAGTAGATTTAAAAAATGCTGAAAAAATTTGAATTTAGCTTAAATTTTCAGCTAAAGATACTAATTAAAATTTTTTTTTAATTTTTATCCAAAAATAATGTATTTCGAAAATGTCTGATTGAAATTTCAAAAATCTGAACCAGATTCAATTTTTTTTTGAAAATAATTCTAGAAAATTTTGGCTCTAGAAATTTGTAAAATTCCGAGGCTTCAGCTCAAAAGAAAAAATTTTCAGGAATTTTTTAGTTTAAAATTTTCAGCTATAAATATTGTAGTTCGAAAATGTCTGATTGAAGTTTCAAAAATCTAAATCAGATCCAATTGTTTTTGTTAGAAATTTTTTGATCCGAGTTTTCTGCTCAAAAACAGATTTGAATTAAATTTTGAAAAAAAAAATCAGGAATTTTTAAATTCAAAATTTTCATCCAAAAATTCTGTAGTTCAAAAATCCCCCCAAACTCACTACTGAAAAACTGGTTGATAAGAAGAATGCGATTGAAAAACATTGATCGGCTGAATTCTCATCGGCTCAGGCTCGGGCCAAATTCGTTGAGGTTGCGGCAGGAAATCCTCAAAATGCATAAAAAGTGCCTCGTCGATTTTCTTCGCCGCGTTTTCCTTTTCATTATTCTGATGATTTTGATTCTCGGAAAATTGTTGATAATTTGGAAGAGGTGGACTGATGAAAGTGCCGTTGGGCAGCATTTTTTGGGCGGGTTTTCGAGCGATTTTGCGCGTTAGTGTTTGAGTGACGGGAATGGTTTCTGGAAGAAATGTAGGTCAAAGCTTCCGCAGGGCAGACAACTTACTGGTCCTCTTCGGTCGATTCTGACACTTTCCACAAAGCTTCGGACAATAATCCGTCAACATATCATCACAGTCTTTCCTCCTCTCAACATCACAATTAATATATTTCGAATCCTCACAAAATTCCACACAATCCCCGCAAGTTTTCTTACAATAAACCATCGAATATCCAGGTCGAACTTTACAATCATTCTCATTACAGTATGGACTTTGATCAACACATGTGGAGATAATTTTCAGAAAGTAGAAATATATCACGATTTTGGAGCGGTCGAGCATTGTGACCAACAAACAATTAGTAGAAGAACATAGTAGTGCAGTGCAGTTAATTGAAATTCGATACTATTTGACACGTTTTTGTGCAAACTAAACTTTTAAGGGAAAACAACACACTTGACTAATTATTGGTAAATACAAATGGGGGAAATAGTACATTTTGATTTTTGAAAAGAGCTGGAGATCATGGAATTCGATCCTTGATTTCAAAAAAAAACAATTAATCGAAATAATACGTTAAAAACACCACGTTACACGTACTTTTTTCTTTCAAATATATTTTATTATCATTTCTCAAACAAATAAAATTGGAAAATGTCGTTGGAAATGACAATTTCATTTTCGATTCTCTTCGTATTTTTGGCTGCAATTGGTGGTGGATTGCTTTACTATAATATATCGGTATTTTGCTTGAAAAATAAGAAGATAAAAGAATTCGTCAAGAAAAAATCGTCGATGAAATATGGCCTTGGTATCGGAGTTGTTCTTGTGTTGAGTGTGTGCGCTGCTGTTGTTCTATTTTTTGGTGGATTTACAAATGGAGGAAGCCATTATGTTAATGATTGTGGCGGTGAAGTTTCTGGAGTCCAAACTCTTCAAAAATCCGAGAATCTTCTTCAAAGTTCTTCATTATTTCCAAAATCACAAATTGAGAGAATTGTGATAGATTTCAATCAAACTATTATATCAAAACTTAATAGTAGTACGATGAATAGTTTTGTCAAAGTAAGAATAATTCATTTTGAAACCAGTTCAACTTTTTCTTGTAGAATGTCACGGAACATAAAAATTATATGAAAGGAGATGCGAAGGAAGAGTTTGATTATGACTTGGGGAGACTTATAAGAAATGGTAATAAAAGCTGTGGTACTAAAGCGGAAGAAAATCTACGAAAAAACGAAAAATTTCTAAAAACATCAGATTTCGAAAGATTTGTCTCAAATATTCCAAATTATCTCAAAAAAATGGTCGAGGATGTTAGTGGAAAAACCAACGCTTTATTCAGAAAAGTCAGCATCCAGTCACAAATTATTACCAAACACGTTCAACCGATGAATGTGAGTTCAAAAAAATACATTTTACTATCATCTTGCTTCTAATGCGGTGTGGGAACCTCCGGAATTTCTCGGTTTTTTTGGCGGACGGTCGAAGTTTCTGATTTCATAAGATATGAGATAAAAAGTTCGGCCCTGTGTTCGCTAGAGGCCGATTTATTTTTTCAACACGGTATTTTATGTTTTTTTTTCTTCTAACTACATCCGCTCATGTACAGCAGATTAAAAATGACGTGACACATGCACACCAAACAAGTTGGCGAATATTTATTTTCCAAATAGACTTCAAATTTTTGCAAAGCCTTTTCCCCAGACCATTTTGGTTCTCTTTCATGGCTCTTATATTTTCGGATTGACAATAAATGAATACAAATGAATCTACTGTGATGATAATTTAATAGAAATGAAATTTAAACAAGAAATTCTGCTGAAAAAGCTAATTTTCTGAAAGTTTATCACACAAATATATATTCTGGAAATCCATCGCCCGAAAAAATCCAAAAAAATTTACAGCACATCCTATCAAAGACTTCATCAATAGCAAACAATTTCGATCGTGAAGTGAAAAAAGGAATATCATCAGATTATATTGGAAGTCTCGATTTATACGTCAACGTAGCCATGATAATTACAATTATTTTTATCATCAAACTTCTTATAATTACTGGATTGATTTTCACATACAAAGGAAAAAGTTGTATATTGAAATACGCATGCATGTCTGGATACGTGATTTACTTTATATTTTTATGTTCTTCCTTGGGAGCTGTTATTGGAAATGGTATGATGATTTCAACAATTGAATCATGCAAATTCAACAACAAAAAAGGATTAGCAAGTGTTGTTCACGAAACAGAAAGGTAAATTTGATATTAAAAATAAAATACTGTATTGTAAGTTTGCACAAAATGACGACTGGCTGAAAAAATTTAAATTATGAATACCTTATGGAATAAAACGCGATCATCTTGAATACTAATTAACACATCGGCAAAATGTCATTCAAATTGAAAATAATAAAATCACTTCAAATTTACGATAATGTTTATATATTTTCTCTAACTTGATCGTATCAAATTTCAATATTATCATTGATTGTTTCAAAATTGTCCCCTAAAAATCTTTTAATTTTAGAGATTCAGCTTGTCAAACTGGAAATGCAATTTTTATGATGACGAACACTCATATTGACATCTCGCCAATTCTTCAAGTATTGAAAAATGATGTGGAAAATCATAAGAGTGAAATAATTAAAATTGTTGATAAAACAACAACTGATGTTATAAATTCGATGAAATCTATATTAACTGATGAAACAAGAAAAAGAAGAGCATATTTGGATAATAATTATGATACTAATGGTTGCCAACCAATAGAGTTTGCCACTGCAAAAAGTATTGCCGATTCAGTAGAAGTGACTATTGAATTTTTCCAGGATCTAGTATCAAACCTTTCAAAAAATAAGAAACACATTTTGGCTGATATAACTGAGTTTCAAACAACTCTAACAACTTCGGTGACACAATATACTAGTTCAATGATTCTGGATATTCAAAATATTCTACAAAAAGTTAACGTAAGTCATCAACTTCTATATTATTTTCCAAGGTATCTTTCCGCATTTCAAGGTCGCTTCATTTCTTGTTTATTTTAATTTTCTTGTGGGATTTTGATAGAAACTGAAAGCAATTTTAAGGGTTCGAATTTATGAAATAAGTGTACTAACAAATAATAGATCCTAATGTGACCCAAAAATTGTAATTCAGCCTAAGCTCAAGGAAAAACTCGATCAACAGCGCATTTTTAAACTTTGATTGCTCTTTTCAACTGTTCTGGAGTAATGTTATCAAACTTCCAATTTGTAACATGAAAAAAAAATAAATTTTAAAATAAATTTTTCTGAAAAATAGACGGTGAGATTTATTTATAAATTGATGCATATATGTAAAACTGGACGAGGAATTCAAAAACATTAGTCTGGGTACATGCCGACGCCATTTTTTGGTCTAAAAATTATTCTTATATTTATAAAGATATATCTTATTTTTTAATATACAAAATTCAAAATTTGATAACAGTTCTCTGATCTAATTAAAAAGAGAGAAATTCAAGCTTTAAAATTATCTTTCGGTCCAGTTTTTTCGTTGAGGTTAAGCTGAATTACGCATTTTCAAAATTAGAAGATTTTTTTTACTTTTTGAAAGTTGTTCAGAATTTCAACCTCAGAATTCTCATGAAAGAAATGTTTACTTACAAAATCCATTTTGGATTTTTCATAACTTCTCATAAGACACGTATTTGAACTTTGCCATTGCTCGTTCCAAAATCAAATCAACACACGAAAATGTCGCCCTAAAATTGTCCCTAAACTCGTCAACAAACAAAAATGAGTTTCCGAAAATTTTCGCTCTGTAATTTCAGGTTCTGAAAGTGTTATGAATATCGCACCATTTGCAACCTTAAAGGTGGAGTCCGAGCAAAAATAAGTTGTGTGAAAGAGCATGTTCTAATTAGCACAATCCTAGAAGGATTTTCTCTGGAAGTTTCTCAAACATTAATTAAAAATTTACAAAATTCGAAAAAATAGTGAAACACCGTGTAAAATAGCTTGAAAGTTCATAAGTGCTGTAGCTTTTGTATGTTTGAGAAGCTGTCCAATATGTGTTTGTTTGCTTATAGCGTTATATTGGTGTTGAAACAAACATTTTGAAAACATACAATCATATTTTTTTACAGAAACTTATCGACGATGCAAATTTCAAATGTAGACCATTCTTGGATTCTTTTGAAAATTGTCATGTTGATATGTGCGGAAGATTGACAGATTTCAATAAATTTAAGGCAAGAAAATTGTATTGTGTTATTGCGATTTTCGGTTTGATCGGTGTTTGTGGTGCTTATGTTGGATTTTGGGCACAGTCTCTTTTGTTGAAAAATCAAAAAGATGAGAATGAAATTCCAGTGAAAAATAATGATGTAGAAGCAAATTCAAATACAAAATCGAAATCGAAATCAACCAACAAAACAGGAGATATCAAATCAAAAACTGTATCGAAGAAATGAATATGAGAGAGAACTTGTGATAACTCGGTGAAATAATGAATATTTTCATTTAGAAAGTGAATTCAGACGTTTTTTTTTATTTTTTTCAAACCGCAAACTCCAAAGAGCCCTCATTCCCCAAAACAAAACTCACATTTTCTGACTGAGTTATCACCGAGCTCACTGATAAAAATGCGAAACCTTACACTGTTTGTCACGTTATTTCGATGCCAAACACTTCTCAGCAATTGACTCTGTAGACTGACTGTACAATATAGTTGGACATGAGTGGTTTTTCAAATGGTTTGAGCGAAACCAGTTTGATTGGTTCGCTCACTCATTTGGTTTTGGTTCGCTCATTTGAAATGGTTTCGGTTTGGTTTTGGTTTTTGGTTCGCTCACTCATTTGAAAACCGGTTTTCGCTCAAATGTCAACTGGTTTTGGGGTATTAGGTATTGATGAATTTCGAGGTTTTCGGCTATGGAGATTCACGTGATGGACTTATTTTCACGTATAATCACTCTTAAAGGCACACACCAAGCAAAAATTTTTTTTTCGAAAAATGGGGTATTTGGGCACGATATTTCCGAGAAAAAAACGTATTTTTCACTCCTTAGGAGCAATATTTGAACTTCGGTCCAATGAGAAAAAATTTAGCTGACGACGAGCACGTCAAAATGGCTGTTGAAATTTTGAAAAAGCTCAAAAGATGACAGAGTTATGATCGTTTTAGTTTTTGTGTCTCGAAAATGTATAATAACCTGGCATGTGTCTTTAAAAGTCTGTTTTGGAGCGTATACCTCACCAAAATGTTCCCCGAGCCCAAATACCCCATTTTTCGAAAAAAAATTTTTGCTTGGTGTGTGCCTTTAAGAGTGATTATACGTGAAAATAAGTCCATCACGTGAATCTCCATAGCCGAAAACCTCGAAATTCATCAATACCTAATACCCCAAAACCAGTTGACATTTGAGCGAAAACCGGTTTTCAAATGAGTGAGCGAACCAAAACCAAACCAAACCATTTCAAATGGGCGAACCGAAAACCAAATGAGTGAGCGAACCAAAAAAACTGGTTTCGCTCGGTTTTTTTCGAACCATGTCCAACTATACTGTACAAATTGAAGAAGTGTGAATACAGCGGATGAACGCTGTACCTACACTTTTTCCCCGAAATTCGTAGATTCATTTCATCTTCAGCGTAGCTACGAAAAAAATCAAATCCGTAGCTACTCAGATGCTAAATCGTTAATATGCACACCTCAAATGCTGACGAGAGCTGCCTAGCGTCGCAGAATCAGAGATGAAAACGTACGTACAGCGTATCTCCGCTGTAGCTACACAATTCGCGGATAGAAATGAAGTGAAGTGACCGCTTTATATTATTTTTGAATCAACGAAATTTGTACAGTCAGTCTACAGAGTCGATTGCTGAGTTCTCCGAAACCATTTAATGAGCTCCCACTCATCACCATTACCCAGTACCATTCATAGGTACAGTTATATACATGAAAGATGTTTATTGTGCGTAAATATGCCGAAGGGCTCATGTCAATGGCCACAACATGAAGAATGAATGTCTCTAGAGAAAGGAAGAGACTGACGGACGACGATTTTCAGCAATTTTTTGTCAAAAATCAGTTAATATGTGTTCAATTTTTTTGTATTTCAAATCGGAAAAAAGCTGAAAATCTTCAGCTATCTGAAAATTTGAAGTGTTTTCATCATCAAAGACCTTCAAAAAATCATCTAGAAAAAACCAGAAAGTTTTTGGGTAAATTTTAACCCAATCGAGATTTTATTAAAAAAGGTAGATTTTTTTTTGATTTTTTAGTGTTTTCAACTTCAAACTGAAAAATATGCCCCACCCACTTTTTTAAAACTAAAATTATTTTTCTCATGGCTAGAGTTGAGCATGCGCTTCTACTACTTCAATTTTTAAATGAAAGTTCTAGTTGGATGGATTTAAAAATAAAAAATTAAATATTTAAATTCTACTCAGAGAAAGTATGGCTTGAACGGCGCGGTCCGCGGACGATTTTTCACCGATTTTTGGGTTTCGCGAACCGCGCCGTTCAAGCCAGACCTTCTCTGAGTAAATAAAAATATTCATTATAAGTTCTCTCTCATATTCATTTCTTCGATACAGTTTTTGATTTGATATCTCCTGTTTTGTTGGTTGATTTCAATTTCGATTTTGTATTTGAATTTGCTTCGACATTATTATTTTTCGCTAGAATTTCGAAATAAATAGGTTGGCCTTTCGAGAAAAATCCCATTTTTGAGATGATGAATTTTTGATAATACTCTTCCACCTTATGATAAAACAATGAAACATATAGCTGAATGATATGTCAAAAATTCCACGTTCCTTTTTTTATTTGGAACACGTTGATTTTTCTTCAAAATCGAATTTTTCATCATTTCTCAAATAAATTTTTCCAAAACATGTCGTTGGAAATAACTATTTCCTTTTCTATTCTGTCTGTATTTCTTCTTGCAATTGGTGGTGGATTATTTTACTTTAATATATCTGTGTTTTTCTTAGAAAACAAAAAGATAAAAGAATTCGTCAAGAAAAAATCGTCGATGAAATATGGCCTTGGTATCGGAGTTTTTCTTGTGTTGAGTGTGTGCGCTGCTGTTGTTCTATTTTTTGGTGGATTTACAAATGGAGGAAGCCATTATGTTAATGATTGTGGCAGTGAAGTTTCTGGAGTCCAAACTCTTCAAAAATCCGAGAATCTTCTTCAAAGTTCTTCATTATTTCCAAAATCACAAATTGAGAGAATTGTGATAGATTTCAATCAAACTATTATATCAAAACTTAATAGTAGTACGATGAATAGTTTTGTCAAAGTAAGAATAATTAATTTTGAAACCAATTCAACTTTTTCTTGTAGAATGTCACGGAATATAAGAATTCAATGAAAGGAAATGCGAAGATGGAGTATGATGTTGCCTTGGAAAGATTTATAAGAAATGGTAATAAAAGCTGTGGTACTGAAGCTGAAGAAAATCTTCGAAAAACCGCACAATTTCTAAAAACATCAGATTTCGAAAGATTTGTCTCAAATATTCCAAATTATCTCAAAAAAATGGTCGAGGATGTTAGTGGAAAAACCAACGCTTTATTCAGAAAAGTCAGCATCCAGTCACAAATTATTACCAAACACGTTCAACCGATGAATGTGAGTTCAAAAAATACATTTTACTATCATCTTGCTTCTAAAAAAATGTTAAATTGATTTTTTTATTGTCCGTCCAAAATTTTATGATCCTGGGAAAAACCGATATGGCCTAGATATTTAGTAGAAAAACAATTATGTCTTCTTTCAGTACAAAAGATCAAAACAGTTGCGAAGTCTACTGTAGTTTGGTTTTCTCTTCCACGGCTCTTATATTTGCGGATTGACAATAAATTAATAAAATTAAATTCTGAATCTATTCTGACAATAATAATTTACACGGGACCTTTTTTACTCAACACTTCAAATCGTGATGAAATTTTGTCCATAGACAGCTTTTGGGGTCATAAGAACACCCTAAAATTTTAGTCTCCCAATGGACCTCTGAGCCAAGTTCTGTGCTCTCAAAAACTCAAAAAATACCTCATAAAAGTCATCATAGCTCCATTTCAAAATTTTTTTTGGGAGAAATGAAGTTTCAGATATTGATCAGCATAGTCAATTACCTGAAAGAACATCAATAAAGAACTTTATTTCGAAAAATTTTGAAGTTTTTAATTTTTGGCTGAAAATTCATGAAAATTCATATGTGCCCCTGCTCATTCTTTTTTCCAAAATCAAAAATTTTTTCTGAAAATTCGATTTATTGATGCTTTTTGGGTAAATCGACCACGCTGGTCATCATCTGCTACTCAGTTTTTCATAAAAATGATCGAAAATTGAGTTATGATGTGTTTTATGAGCCAATTTTGGCAATTTTCGAACTTTTGAGAGCTCAGAACTTGGCTCAGAGGTCCATTGGGAGACTAAAATTTTAGGGTGTTCTTATGACCCCAAAAGCTATCTATGGACAAAATTTCATCATAATTTGAAGTGTTGAGTAAAAAAGGTTCCCTTGTTAATAAAATAAAATTGAAACAAAAATTGCGCTGAACAGAGATAAAACGCAAAGTTATTATAACAAATGAATTATAGGATTCTAAAAACGCGATTTTTCTGATAGTTCCAACCCAGCAAAACTGGAAACATTTTGTTCACCTTTGGACTTGATAAATTAAAGCTAAATTTTCGAAAAATCTCACACAAATATATTTTCTGAAAAACCATCGTCTGAAAAACTTATAAACATTTTTATCTTTCAGGACATCTTATCCAAGGCAATACAAATTGCATATCGCTTTCGATTGCCAGTAGAAGAAGGAATTTATTCAGATTATCTTAAAATTCTAGATTGTGATATTGAGACAGTTTTAGTTATTACAATTATTTTTATCATCAAACTTCTTATAATTACTGGATTGATTTTCATATACAAAGGAAAAAGTTGTATATTGAAATACGCATGCATGTCTGGATACGTGATTTACTTTATATTTTTATGTTCTTCCTTGGGAGCTGTTATTGGAAATGGTATGATGATTTCAACAATTGAATCATGCAAATTCAACAACAAAAAAGGATTAGCAAGTGTTGTTCACGAAACAGAAAGGTAAATTTGATATTAAAAATAAAATACTGTATTGTAAGTTTGCACAAAATGACGACTGGCTGAAAAAATTTAAATTATGAATACCTTATGGAATAAAACTCGATCATCTTGAATACTAATTAACACATCGGCAAAATGTCATTCAAATTGAAAATAATAAAATAACTTCAAATTTATGATAATATTTATATATGTTCTCTAACTTGATCGTATCAAATTTCAATATTATCATTGATTGTTTCAAAATTGTCCCCTAAAAATCTTTTAATTTTAGAGATTCGGCTTGTCAAACTGGAAATGCAATTTTTATGATGACGAACACTCATATTGACATCTCGCCAATTCTTCAAGTATTGAAAAATGATGTGGAAAATCATAAGAGTGAAATAATTAAAATTGTTGATAAAACAACAACTGATGTTACAAATTCGATGAAATCTATATTAACTGATGAAACAAGAAAAAGAAGAGCATATTTGGATAATAATGGTGATAATAATGGTTGCCATCCAATAGAGTTTGCCACTGCAAAAAAATTTGCAGCTTCTTTGCTCGCGACAATTGATTATTTGACAAGAACAAGATCGAGCCTTTCAAAAAATAAGAAACACATTTTGGCTGATTTAACTGAATTTCAATCAACTCTAACAACTTCGGTGACACAATATACTAGTTCAATGATTCTGGATATTCAAAATAATCTACAAAAAGTTAACGTAAGTGATATACTCTAGCTTCGAAATATTTTTGAGAAAATGTGTGTCCCTTTAAAAAATCCGTATTTTATTTCAAGGAACACACATTTTTTAAAAAATATCTCGTCAGGAAATTCATTTTTCGGGATGTTTTGGTAAAATACAATCATATTTTTTTAAACAGAAACTAATCGACGACGCAAATTTCAAATGTAGACCATTTTTGGATTCTTTCGAAAATTGTCATGTTGATATGTGCGGAAGATTGACAGATTTCAATAAATTTAAGGCAAGAAAATTGTATTGTGTTATTGCGATTTTCGGTTTGATCGGTGTTTGTGGTGCTTATGTTGGATTTTGGGCACAGTCTCTTTTGTTGAAAAATCAAAAAGATGAGAATGAAATTCCAGTGAAAAATAATAATGTCGAAGCAAATTCAAATACAAAATCGAAATCAACCAACAAAACAGGAGATATCAAATCAAAAACTGTATTGAAGAAATGAATATGGGAGAGAACTTGCGATAACTCGGGAAAAAAATGAATATTTTTATTTAGAAAGTGAATTCAGACTTTTTTTTTCGATTTTTTTTTCAAATCGCAAACTCCAAAGAGCCCTCATTCCCCAAAACAAAACTCACATTTTCTGAGTTATCACCGAGCTCACTGATAAAAATGCGAAACCTTACACTGTTTGTCACGTTGTTTCGATGCCAAACACTTCTCCAAAACCATTGAACACCCAACAAACTTCATGAACTGAGAACAATCCAAAGAACAAGCGAATAGACCCAACAAAACTCCGCCCATTTTCCTAGTCTCCGTCTTTTTTCTCTTCATTTTTTCACATTTCATCATTGAAACACATCGTATTGTGTGTGATAATGCTATTTCCAACATTTGCAAGTGCATCAGAATCGACGTCGAGTTCCACGCCTGTAATGTTCGCGACAAGTGAGTTTTGGAAAAAAAAATGAAAAAATAATATTCAAAAATAAATTTTGCCGCGTGTGCCAAGTGCGCCCCATTGACAAAAGTTCAGATTTTCTTTTCTTTTTTTTCGCCTCAAAAATTTTCATTTTTCTCATTTTCTACCTTTGTTTTCTAGTTTCCCATAGGTTTTCTATATCTACTTGTAGAGAATTTTATGACCATCATTAACCATCATGTGATTATGTTGAACACTTTTGATTTGTTGTTTTACAACCACTTAAAACTACACTTTTGTTTTTCAACATAAATTGAAAACATTTCATTTTAAATTGATGTTGTGTTTGAAAAAATCAAATCAACATTTTAACCCGATTGTTACATTTTCGAACTCATAGATTAATCTGTTTCCTTGCCACGTTCGTTTTTGTCAACGACAAAAACAACACTCTGATTATCATAACAATTCGGAGAGACGCAGAGACACTTGGTCACGTGGTCTATCGGTCAGTGACGTCAGAGAGCGATCGAAAGATGGGAAAAAGGGGGCCTGTTGATAGATGGATGGGGAGAAAAGTAGACATCAATGACTGACTTTTTCCTAGTTATTTGTTGTTTACTTGAGGTTTAGACTTTGAGAACAGCTTTTGAGAAAGCCACGAGTTTGTTTTCCTTCTTTCCCGATTTCAAAAAGGGATGATTTTTGTTCTCAAAAAGTTCAGGAATTTAGCCGGCTGAACTGAACAATTGTTCGAGTCTCGAAAATGATATAAATACTGGCACGATCAATTTTTCGCTTATTTTTTGCCTAGAAAATAAACAACTTCTGGTTTTTTGTTATTTCTAGATTCTTTTCTAGAAGAATTCCAATTATGTTTTTTTCTGTTATTTTTTGAGAAAATTATCATCTTTGGGCATAAATAGCTAAATTTGAATACTTTAAAATTGTTTTCTAAAAATTTAAAATTTTAAAATTGTTTTCTAAAAGTAGGAAAAGTTCACGTCAAAATGTGATTTAGAAAAAATTGACTACAAGTTCTAGTCCTATCAACACCATTGTGTCAGTTTGAAATTCACACGGAATCAGAAAACTAACACGATGTTCTATTTTGTTGATGGAGAAAATATGATAAGAGGATTGAATAGACTGTCACGTAAAATATGAGAATATCAGTCATGGAATGGTGATTTTTTGGTGTTAGAAACATTTTGGAGTGTTTTCGAGTCTGGGCTCCAGTGTGAAAAACTCATAGAATATTTTTTGAGATCGAGTTTTTCACACTGTCCCAAAAACACTCCAAAATTACTATAACACCAAAAAATCACGATTTCATGACTGCTATTCTCATGTTTTACGTGACAGTCTTTCTTATCGCATATTCCCATCAACAAAACAAAAAACACCGTGTCACTTTTCTGATTCCGTGTAAATTTCGAACACAATTCGTCCGATCATTGATGTGTTCAACTCTGCGTCTCTCGCAAGTTCATAAATTTCTTTTTCCGATCGAAACAGATCGTGGCATGACTATGCCCCCTTCCCGAATACAAAACAATGTTTTTTTGCCCCTCACATGTTAGCCTTTGATCGGCTGCCCAACACAACACATTTTACATTCAGCAAGGAGAAGTGCCCTCGTTTTTTGTTATGTGTATGTATTCGTTTTTTTTCGTCTGCTCGTCTGGCGCCTGCTCTTTTCTCTTTTATTTCTTCTTTAGCGCGAGACCATGTGACCAGCAGCGGCGCCAGAAATAAAATAAAATAGGGAAGAAATTCCCCTCCTTCCCCCCTCTTTTGCATTTACGGTATCTTGCACTTCTAGTCGAACAACAAAAATATTTTTTTCTTGACATCAATTTTGGCGGTCTTTCAGGATTATTCGGCAGCCCTGTGTCGACCTCTGTAATCGCTGAAAAACCCGCTGAAATTCAAGACAAAACAAAAATGCCACTCGATCCAATGGACAGCTTGTGGTATGTTGTTTTTTTGTTTTCGGGTTGTTTTTTTCTCGATTCTTCTAGCTATAAATAGAGGGAGTTCTATTTATAGCTAGATAGAATCTATCTGAAAATAGTAGAGATTTCGAAATGAAATAAAACAAGTCACCGTGTTATCTTCAAAAATATATAAATACCCATTGTCGATCAAAAGTCAATTGATAAGCGTATTATTTTATTTTGATCATTTTTGGGTAGAAAGAGAAGAACACGTGTCGATGAAATGGACAAGAGATTTCGATCTTTTAATGTGTTTGAAAAGAGAATAAGAAAATTTTTGGTTTTTCTTGGACAAGATGTGGGAAAAAACGGGGATAAAGATTTAGCTTATTTAAAAATTGAATGCTCTGGAAACCCAGAATTAATTATGATCTAGAATCAAAGTTTATCACCTGAATATACTAGTTTTGACTTTGGAAAGTCTCAGAGAATGAGCTCAAGAAAAATCAACAAAACTCGAAGAGGATTTTTGTTGAGCTCACAGAGCGTTTTTTGATTTTTCAATGTCAAAACTAGGATATTCAGATGATAAGCTTTAATTCTAGATCATAATTATTTCTGGGTTTCCAGATCATTCAATTTTTAAATAAGCAAAATCTTTGTTCCCGTTTTTTCCACATCTTGTCCAAGAAAAACCAAAATTTTATAAACTGGGCTGCGGACCATTTGAGCCTAACCCTAAGAGTCCTTTTTTGGGACCCAATATTCTTTTGTGCAAAATCGTTGTTTTTTTTTCACAGTTGCCACATCATTCATTCATTTTCACACAATAAAAACAACAAAAAAAACCAGATTTTTCCTAATCTTTGTCACCTGCCCAATTTGAAAAATCATTCCTTCTCTTCTTCTCCCTGTTGATATTTATTTAAAAATAAGAATACCGTAGTCTCCGCCCATGTGCAAATTCACGTGGTATCGCAAAAATTGGGAAAACAAAACGGTCGCAAGCGGCGTTTGCGACGGACGCCGGGCGGTAAGAGTACAAAGATTTTGTGGGGGGAGAAAAAAGGGTGTATAAAAGAGGAGAAATCGAATATTTTCGAACAAAAATAATAAAAAAAACAAGTAATCTCCTACTACTACTTCTACTGAATATTTTGCAGGATGTCGAAACCACCACAAGTAAGTGATTTGGTAGTTCAACCGAATGTCACCTTCAAAGCGGTGACTGGAACATCGCCAAATAGTTCACAGAGCTCGCCGATTCCAATTGGTGGAGCTCAAGAGGGTGTATGTTTTTTTATTTTTGAAAATTGGAATTCTTTTCGAGATCCGAAATGTCTGAAAGGCCTCAGTTAACAAGTTTTTATCCAAATTCTGCATAAACTTCGCTACGAGACCAAAAATTGGAATAAGAACCAGATTTTTCATAAAAAAGGGCTTACTTTCTGGGTTTCGTCGCGAAATTTTGAACAATCCAGAGTTTTGAGAAATTGTATATTTTCTAGTAAACTTTGACCCGCTGATTGCGATGTTATTGTCTGAAATTGCAAAACCCAACTCCTGGTATGAGTTATGACTTGGAAAAATTTGAAACTTTTTTGAAAAAAGTCTGGCTATAACCTGAACAAATCAGATTTTCATAATTTTTGTGAAAATCTGATTTTTTTCAAGAATTCCTATAGTTATAGCCGGATTTTCTGCAAGTTTCAAACTTTGCCACGTCATAACTCATAATAAGAGTTGAGTTCTGCATTTCAGACAATGGGACCGTGTTCAGCGGGTCAAAATCTATCAGACAAAATTTGTTTACCTTTGTTAAACTAAAAAAAATCCACAATTTTTGCAGATTCGCCCAGACTTTGACACCGATGTTTTGTGGAAGCCACCAACTCGCGGAAATCGCCAAGCTCTCAAAGAGCGAACAATTTCAATGGATTCAACTGATTCCGAAATCAATGGCGGACGAAAGCTCTCATCGATTGAAATCGGCACATCTGTCCCGAATTCCGCCACTTCGCCAATGGAAATTCAACCGCGAACACGGCGAATGTCGATTTCGGAAATGTTGTTTGGCTCGTCGCCAAATTCGTTCGGTTGGGGAATGAATTCGACGAATGGAAATGGTGGAGCACCGCCAGCTTCGCCAAATGATTTGGGAGATCGGAAAATGTCGATTACTGAGGTTGGTTTTGGGGAAATTCGGATATTATTGAAGAAACATCGGCAAACCTCACCCAACACCTGGAATTCCAGCTGGGCAATTTTTTTTCGAAAAACCTAGGTGGGCAATTTTTTCGAAAAACCTAGGTGGGCAAAAATTTTTAAGGTCTTTAAGGCGAGCCTCAGGTGGGCAAATTTTTTAGGGCCTTTAAGGCGAGCCTCAGGTGGGCAAATTTTTTAGGGTCTTTAAGGCGAGCCTCAGGTGGGCAAATTTTTTTAGGGTCTTTAAGGCGAGCCTCAGGTGGGCAAATTTTTTAGGGTCTTTAAGGCGAGCCTCAGGTGGGCAAATTTTTTTTACTAGGTGGGCAATTTTTGAAAATAAACCCAGGTGGGCAATTTTTCTCCCACCTCTCCAGGTTCTTGGGTGAGGTTTGAAACATCGGGAATTTTCAGTAATGGCTGAAAATTGAACAATTTTCGATATGAAAAATCAGCATTTTTAATTAAAAATTCAAGAAAACTGCATTTTCAGCTTTTTTTTTCACTGAAAAATTGAAAATTATCAAAAAAATATTTTGAGGATTTTTCAGAACAAAAAATCTTCAGATTCCAGAAAATCGTGAATTTTTAAAGGGGGTACGGGCTAATCAAAATTTTATGGAAAAAAATATACCATCTGAAAGAGGAGGTTTCGTTTAGTATGTTCCCAAATTTTTATAATTATTTTTCACGTTTGAATGCCATTTTTTCACGCGCAAAGACGAAAAAGTTGCGCTCGACCCCAGAGAAATAGCATGCAGACACGAGAGACACAGCGTATTTAGGCCCCGCCCCCTTCTGTGCGCTGTGTCTCTCGTTTCTCTATGCTATTTCTCTGAGGTCGAGCGCAACTTTTTCGTGTTTGCGCGTAAAAAATGGTACTCAAACGTGAAAAATAATTATGAAAATTTGGGAACATACTAAACGAAACCTCCTCTTTCAGATGGTATATTTTTTTCCATAAAATTTTGATTAGCCCGTACCCCCTTTAAATTTTTCTCAAATATTCCAACGTTTTATTTTAAAAATCAATTTTCAGTTCGAAATCTTCAGAAAAACCAAAATCCTTTTATTTTCCCAGGATCCACGCTTCAAAGACTTCATGAAACATCAAAGCAAAATCCTTGGCGACGACGGAATTTCGGGTTCTGGCTTTAAGCGAAGCAACTACATGAAGGACTAAAACTGCTCCACTCTTTTTCAATTTGTTGTTACCCATCGGGTTACTTTTCCCCCAATTTCCCCCCAAAACAAAATTTAATAACGGCTCTCTTTGTAAATATCACATTCATTTTTGAAGAAAAAATCACAAAAAAAAACAGAAAAATTACGGTTTGTGCCTTCTTTTCCCCGATTTTTAAAAAAAGTATTTTCCATTGTACATATAACTATTTTATTGTTCTTGGTTTGTTTGGTTAAATTGAATGAATAATGCGAAAAATTAAGGTAATTAGGGTTTTATTAATTAATTAGTGAGATCGGCCGAAAATGATGAAAGAAATTGGGTAGATTTAGGTACACGTAGGGGTTTTGGAGCTGAAAATAAATAGGGAATTTTGAAAAATCCTGAATTTAATTTTTTGAACTCACCATCAGTTTGAAAATCACATAAATAGAAGTATATACAAACAATAATCACGGTCTTTTCAAAAAAAATCAATAATCCTTTCTAAGTTGTAGATGTTGGTGGAAAAAGTGTCAAACTTCGTCTCGTCAATTTTCCCGCACAAACACAACACGTCATTCCGGTTGCTGTTACAGCACAAGTCATTTCGGAAGTGTCGAAATCTGAGCAATCCATTAGATCCACGTGATCACATTCTTCTGGAAAATTCGGAAATGTTTGTTGAGATTTGGGCTCAAAATCTTGCAGAAATTCAGAATTTTGCGAAATTTTAGGATTTTCAATTTTTTTCTTGAAGATTCAAAATTTCGAATTTTTAAACACAAAGTTTTGAAAATATTTTTTGCCACGTGGAATTTTTGGCACCAGAATTTAATTTTTCAAAATTTGAATTTCCGAAAATGGCGCCAAAATTCCATTTACACAGTATTTCAAATTTTGAACTCGAAAAAAGATTTTTTGAAAATTCCTGCCACGTGGCTTTTTTCTTTGAATTTTAGGAATTTTCAAAAAAAATTGAGTTTTTTTCTGAAATTGTGAAATTTTGTAGAATTTCAGAGCTGAAAAAAACTTTTGAAAATTTTTTTCAGCTTCAAAATTTGGGCTTTTTCAGATAAATATCAGGATTTAGAAAGAAAATGAGGGGATTTTCAAAGTTCTTTCTGATTTTGGAGCCTTCAAAAACATTGCTCATGTTAGTCCCTAAAATAATATTTCACCCAAAAAATCCTCTCTTACCTGTGTGTAAAACCACATTATTAATATGTCTTCTTCCCCTCGATAACTTCCTCAAAATCAGTTCATTTTTCGATTTTTGAATAAATTCATCAATTGATGGAAGTGTTGGTTGATCGATTTGTCGCCTGCAGAAAAAATACAAAATTTAAGAAAATCATGTAAATATTGACATCATTATTTAAAACAAGACATTTGTTTGTTTGTTTAGTGCTTGTTGCGGTTTTGGATGATTAATATGAGCGATGAACTGGTTTTGGAATTATTAGGCATTATATGATTTTTGAAAAACAGTTTTAAGTAACTTCTAGAGAATCTAAAACTTTAAAACTTCAAATTTTCAGTTTTAAAAGTTCCCTTTGGGACTTTTCGGAAATATAGAGGTTTTTTTGACACAAAAAGTTTTCTTGACACAAAAAGTCACTTTGAAAGAGCTTCAAGAATTTTTTGATGCTGGATCAAATTTTAAAATTCGCGAAATTAATTCATGAAAATTTTGAAACGTATTTTTTCGATTTAAAAATTTTCGAAAATTTCAGAACATTTATGAAATATCTAGCTGAAAATGAGCAAAATTCATGAAATTTCATTTTCAAAAGTTCAATCTCGAATTATTGAAGGCTTTTGTGCAGAAAATTTGAACAATTCATGAAATTTCAGTTTGGGAACTTTTTTAAGCCTTAATTTTCATTAGCCGAATTAAATTCAAACATTCTCGAAATTAATTCATCAAAATTTTGAAACGTAATATTTCGATGTTTAAATTTTTGAAAATTTATGAAATGTCTAGGTAGAATGGTGCATTTTTGAGCTGAAAATTTAAAAAAATTCATGAAATTTCAGCTTGGGAACTCCTAAAAACAAAATTTGGACCAAAATATTCAAATTCCCAAGCTCCCTCCCAAGTTCCCTTCAAAAAACTCACATCTGTGCGGTATGCCTGACAATCATCCTCAGCGTGCGAATTGTATCAGCTCTTCCCTGCACCAACATTGTGCCAATGCCATTCGCAACAGTCGCACACGTGGCAAATAATATGACCAGAAAATGGCGCATCACACTTCTCTTCTCTGCAAATACAAAAATGATGATGATTAGTCTGTCCGGAAGCGCGGAAGAGCGCGGAAAACAGCTGATTGCTCATATTTGGGCAGACCGCCAATGTCAATATTTTGTAGTTCGAAGATGAGTGGAAAACAAGAAATTTTGGCAAAAACGATGGGAAATGAAATGACGTGGCGGGAGCAGAGAAAAAATAAGGAAACTGGATCGCGTTTGGAAATTCACGTGATTTTTTTGGGAAAATCTGGGTACTGTAGTTTTAAGGAAGCTCTGCAGATTTCTGAAACCTAACAGAGCTTAAATTACTGTAAAGCAGGGTTACTGTAGGTTTTACTCATTGAAAATTGGTAGATCAAAAGGTGAAAGCTTACTGTAGCTCTAATAATCTTGAAAATGGTTTACTGTATTTTTTTTTTATAATTAGTAGATCAAAAGGAGAGGAGTACTGTAGAGTTAGATTTTGAGGGTTACTGTAGCTAAACATTTTTGTAGATCAATTTTTTTTCAAAAGATCTTGAAAAAATCAGGTGTTACTGTAGCTCAAAAAATCCCAAAAATAATCTCATCAAATAGTAATTTCTCAAAAAAAACTAAATATAACCCAACTAGTTTTTGTTTATTTTTAGGTTCTTCTTTTTTTTTTTTGAAATTTTCGCAACAATTTTTTATTCAAAAATCAGCTTGCGCTTCTTTTTTTTGTTTTTTGGAAAACAGTGTTGTTTGTATAAGGATTGACTTGCTCCAAATATGGTCTGGCGAAAAAAAGAAGAAGAAAAATGATGATAGAAATCATATGTTCAATAATTTAGTTATGGTAATTAATTAGCTAGAGCCTAAAGCTAATTAATTAAGAACTTATCATTGAATTATGTGAAAACCCTAATTTTGATTTTGATAAATAAAATTTGAATTTAAATTAGGAAAAAATTATCTTGAAAATTTATCATGAAAAAAATAATTTAACAAATAAAAATCCAGTGAACATCAAAACCACGTGCGTGAGAATTTATATACGTGAAAACGTGATGTGGGCGGAGCCCGAACTTCCGTAAACAGTTTGTTCGCTGAGCTGCGAGAAGCAAGAAAAAAATCCTGTAGTTTGAGTAAATATTGAATTTAACATGATCATATAAACAAAAAAAATACTGTATTATTTTGGAGTGGAATTAGAAGATCATGAGATGTAAATTTTTCTTTCAGATTTTTGTGGAAAAAATTCAAAGAAAAAATTGGCCAAAACAAAAAAAAGTCCAGACAAAACTCCATAAAAAATCCGTCAAAAATATACGTTTCATTTCCCAAAAAAATCTAGAGCACCTTTAAATATTCTAAAATCTCATTAAAATTTTCAAGATTTATTAGTAGCTAGCTAAATTTGACTCGAAACAAAAAATAAGGAACAAGGAATATAAATTGTGAGTGATGTCAAAGCAAACCCACACAAAATTTGACAAAAAAAAATTGGAACCTATTTTTTCGCTATATATTTTTATTTTTTGCCTCATCCGGAAATTTTGGCGAGAAAAAACAAATAAATAATAATTTTTTTTCGAGGTGATAAGCGGGAAAACTATTAATTTTAGAGGAGAAAAATAGAAAAGTACTGTATGTGCCTTTGAAAAAATTTCTAATTTCTGAAACTTTTTTTTAAAATTACTGTAGATTGCTGCGAGACCCATAGGATCTCAGAGTCGAGCAAAAAAATTTTATTTTCAAAAAGAGTACGGTAGGCGGCACAACCCATAGGCTCATAAAATTGGATTTTGATGAAAACAACACACCTTTTTTATTTTTCAATTTCAATTTTGATAAAAAGGTTGAAACGTGGAAATAGTGTGAAATTTGGGGAGGAGATGACACGTGTTTGAGGCGAAAATTAGAGTACTTTTGTTGCTGAGAAAAAAATAACAAAATACTATTTTTTATCAGTTTTTATTGTTTTTTTTTTTGAGAAAGAGAGTTAGAGATATTGTGATGTTTGAGCAGTTTCAGATTTTTGAGTTTTTTGAAATCTGAAATCTGAAAATTCTGGAAGGCTTCTTTCTAGGTTGAGATTTTTCACTTCAAACTCCCTTTAAGAATCCAGAATTCAAATTTTCAAAATTTTTTCTCCAAAGTTTCTGAATTCAAAACGAATTTTATTTTTGGCTGAAAACTTTGCTCTAAAACCCAAATTCAGAATTTTTCCAAATCCTCAAAAAATCCCAGAACTTTTCTGAATTTGTATTTCATCCTCCTGAAAATTTAGATTTTTGAAAATATTTTTGAGCGTTTCAACAACCTTTCCCGATTCAAAACTATCAAACTACAAACTCCCAATTTCCCAAGTTCACTCCAAACTTTTCTCTATTTCTCTAATTCTCTCGCCCACGTGTCATTGTTTTTCTGACGTTTGTTTTGGCGTCCGAAACTTTACTTGCGGATTAAAAGTGCGTGCAACCTTTTCTCAAAATAAAGTTTTGGTTTGGTTTTGTTTTGTTTCAAAAAACAATTTCCTTAATTGGAAAAAAATAGTTCCTCAATTTTCGCGCTCAAAGTTACCTTAAGTTCCCTAATTTTCCCGCCACGTGCAGTCATTCAAGATGATCAAAACCAGAAATGACGTTCCCTTTTTTGTGCAAACATTTAATATTGCAAGAGTCTTTCCTTGTATGCTCATCCACTTTATTAGTTCTGGTCACAAAAAAACTGGAGAAGCAGCAAAAAAAAAATTGAGAGGAAGACACCGAATACAACAAACATGGAAGATACACGTGACTAATTTGTGCTGCTGGTGATATTTGAGGGAGGGAAATCTTGAGCACGAGAATTTTTCTGTAACCAAGAAAATCGATTTTTCATACCAGATTTTTAGATTTTTTGATAAAGATAGATTCTCAGAAAATTGAAATTTCGCTGAAAATTCCAGTCAGAAACTGGAAGCTCACAATTTTCTTTGAAAAAATAATATTGCATTTTCAAAGCCTAGGTTTCAATTGTTCTGAAAATTTGAAATTTCTGAAGATCATACGAATTTTGTTTAGAATTTTGAGAGCGACAAAAAAAATTTCTGGAAAAATTTCTCTGAAGAACAAAATTACAGATGTTATTTTTGGAAAAACAGAAGTTGACTCTTGAAAAAGATCCATTTTGGTGAACTTCATATGACCTGAAATTTCCAAAAATTTGAAAGTAAAGCTTTTCATTTGCTGAAAATTTTTATCACTTTCAAAAAATCCATCCAAAATTCAATTATAAACTTCATAATATGACTTATGCCTCATTGAAGACCCTTTTTCCACACAAACACAACAAAATTCTCCAGTCACAGCCTTCAAGCATTCAACATGACTATGCCAAAAATCATCGCATTTGATCAGATCCGGACTATCACAGGTAGCTGCAAAAGAAATTATCGATTTTTTTCTGAAAAATTTCAAACCTTGATATCGCGCATACGAACTCAAATCATTAAAAATATTCGAAAATGCGAATTTCAGAAGGATCATGGAGATTAGAAGAAGACTATACATTTTCAGTTTTTGGGGAAAAAAATATAGTTTGAGTTGGGTTGAGAAAAAAGTGTAAATGGTGCTAAAATTTTAGGCAAATACCGAATGGGTTCGCGAAATGCCTCCGGAGGCATTTTCGAATGCCTCCGCAAAATGCCTTCGCGCTACCAAATCAAAAAGCCTCCGCGAATTCCAAATGACTCCGCGCTCGATATTTCAAAAATGTCGAAATGCCTTCGGGGCTTCAAAATGACTCCGCGCTATCAAATCAAAATGCCTCCGCGAATTCTAAATGACTCCGCGGTAAAAATTTCAAGAATGTCAAAATGACTTCGCGAACAAGGTGTACTTTTCAACACATTTTTGGCCAAAAAGTTGATTTTCAATGAGAATTATCATTTTCAAGGCGTTCACTAAGCCTAAGCCTAGAAACTTAGACGATAGTTTGGTTATACAAGTTCGGATATTAGGCTTAGGCTTAGTTAAACGCCCAGAAAGGTGCAGGAAACATTCAAAACTACATTTAAATACGTTAACTAAGCCTAGGCCTAAAGTTGGAACTTGAACAATCAAAATATTGAAAAAAATTTCTCCTTTTTTCAGACTTTAAAAAAATCTGGAAAATAACAATTGAAATTTGTAGCTCAAAACGTGTTGAAAGGCCTTGTTTCGCGGACCCATTTTGACAGTCTCAAAATATTCACCGCGAAGTCATTTAGAATTTGCGGAGGCATTTTGATTAGGTGGCGCGAAGTCATTTTGAAACCCCGGAGGCATTTCGACATTTTTGGAATATGAACCGCGGAGTCATTTTGAATTCGCGGAGGCTTTTCGATTTGGTACCGCGAAGGCATTTTGCGGAGGCATTCGAAAATGCCTTCGGAGGCATTTTGCGAACCCATTCGGTATTTGCCAAATTTTATGGGTTTTGTTGAATTTAATTGTTCAATTTCCACGTGGCATGAGCAGAAATTTCAGCAGAAAAGTTGAAAATTCCGAATTTTCATTAATTTATTCAAAAAACTGCGGGAAATCGATCAAATTATCGCTATGCGCCTTTAAAACATCTTCCATCATTCCAACAGCTTTTTCAATCGCTGAATTTTTCACGATCTCTCGATTTTCATCCTCTCGAAGTCCGATAACTTCAGAATAACTAATCATTGTTGGCAAAACCAAAATTGTGCAAATTGGAAACATTAATCGATAATTCTTTTTGAGTTGCTCAAAAGTGTATGGAACTTTCACGCCAGATATTTTGAGACTTCGGATAAGTTCTTCATAAAAAGTTCTCAATAGAAAATCCAAATTTGCTCTTCGTTTTTTGGCGGATAAAATTGTGATGAATAATCGGCACAAATCTTGAGCTGGTGAGCCGAAACTGACAGCTTGCCAATCGATAATTGCGCGGAATTCCAGATTTTTGGAGAACATTAGATTTCCTGACCATAAATCACCGTGAACTAGTTGAGGAGCGAAACCTGGAGAAAGTTTTGGGATTTTAAATTTTTCGCGCAAAATTTACCACAAATCTCTGGAATCTTCTCAATTCTCCGAATCATTTCAGGCGTCGTATACTTCCTATAAACTTCAATCAACTCCTCAACTTCCACCCGAAATTCCTCCGGAAAACTTTTCCGCATACAAAAATACGAATTTTCCCTCGTCTTCTCATCACTAAATTCCGCATAACTTTTCGCAAAAAAATCCGATTTTCCAGCAAATTCCAGACGATTTTCCGGGAGTTTCAAAGGCAAAGCTGAAAATCGGGCGATTCCTTGAATGACAGGAATAATTTGGGAGATTTCGAGCGAATCGAAAATTGAGAGAGGTTTTAGATCTTCCACAAATTCAGTGACTATGAAACCTTTCAGCGGATTTTCAGCGCTGATTTTTCGTGTTGAATAGATTTTGATGATCGGTGGAATCTGACTTCCATTTTCCTGATTTTCTTTTTCGAGTTCCAAAAAAAGTTGATAAGTTCCGACTTCTTGATTATGACAATTTGATAACATTCCATCAAAAATCCTCATTTTTTCTTCAGACAAATCGATTTGTGACCAGCTGGAGATTTCAATGAAAGCTAGTTGAGAAACAAGTTTGACAACGAATTTTTTTGGGAGGTTTTGGGATTCGGGGGTCCAATCTGCTTCGATCAATGCGATTCGGGACATAAAGCCCTGAAAATTGGGAGCGGTTTTTGAAGTTTCTAAAAATTTGTTAAGAAGAAACTTTATCAGAAAAATTTGAACTTTTGGAATTCTGAAAAAAAAACAGCTTTGTAGCTTTTGAATTTCTCTACAAAACCAGTTTTTTTCATAAAAAATCAGAAAATTTTTGAACATTTGAATTGCAGCTCTGAAAATGTTTTCAGAAAGCTGGAAACATAGTTTTGCAGCTCTTAAATTTCAGTACAAAACAAATTTATTCTGAAAATGCTCAAATTTCAGCCCCAAAACATTTGTCTCTTCACCTTCATATCTCCAATATTCGTCGCCTTCTTATTCGCCCCAAATCTCGCCTCAGTTCCCAAACTTAGCCTAACTTCATCCTCAATATCTTCCCAAGTCACATGAGTTCCAAACAAACCCGAAGCCTCTTCGTGAAGTGACATTCTGAAATTCAAATGATAAACATGTGAAACACTGATAAAAACTTACCTGTTCTGCGGTCAAAATGATGAATAAATAGTAATTTCCTTATCAGTTTTGTGAAGAGAGAAACCCGGAAAAATGACAGGATTTTTTTCAACCGGAGAATCCGTCAGCTTTATCAATTTTGTTGTACTTCAAACCTTTGTACCAAAATTTCATTCATTGAACATTTTATCGTTTTCAGACTAATTAATTTTATTGGTTTTTGATTATCAGCCATAAACATGAACACTTTAGACCTTCTGAAAATACAGAAAAACTGATAAAATTGAAATTTGAGGTCTTTGAAGGTTTAAGTTCGAAAATTTGTGTCCCACATTAAAAAAAGCCACGTCATCCTGAATACGACATGTAATCATTTCTAAATTTTAAGAAGAGCGACAAAATGAGTGAGTTTTCTTCAGATCTTTTGATTTATTCAGATTTAGTCAAAATCATTTGTCAGTTATCATCAATAATATATTGTTGTGGCTCCATCAGTTCCCATACTTCCATCATTGAAACTTCTAACGAGGAATCTTCTGGGATTAATAAAATATCATCATCTAATGTGAATTCACAAGGTGGGCGACCATATTTTTCACATCGTATTGATATTGGAATAATTCTCAATATTTCTCCATTTTTATCATCGATGATAAAAGCGAATCGCATTGTTTGGCTTCCAAGTGCCATTTTAGATCTAATAAAATAACCATTTGGTAAAAGTTCGCCATTTTCAATTGATAGATAAACTATTATATTTTCGCCATCATTCGATTGATAAGCATTGTGGATTTTCTGAAAAAAAATCACGTCTAACTTAAAAATATAAAACACTTGGACTTACAAAATGATTGCTTAATGTTTTATCACCATCAAAAATTAGTCCAAATCCATTCTGTTTCGATCTCTCATACTTTTCTCTTCGATAGAAATTGCGATTTTCAACATTCGGAAATATCGAAGTCTTCCAAACTTGTCTAACTGTTTCTTCACAATTGCTCACATAATATTTGACCAAATCGAATTTTTCGAATACGAGAAATGTTGAAGTCAAATCGTCAGCAAATATCAAAGCCGAACCGTTTTTGGTCAACATCTCGAAATCGCTAAAGTTTATACCGCGACGCTTCGGGGGAAATGTGCACGTTTGATCGAAATTGACGAGGGTTTCGGGGTTTTTGAGATCAGGAATTGCGAATTGATGATGTGAGAAATTTCCAGAAAATGAAGGATGTGATAATCGTGGAAATACATAGATGAAAGGATGATTCGGAAACACATGGATAATCTGAAATGATGGTGATTTTTACTCAAAAGCCGTTGTACATACTCACCTGATGTGTTTCATTAATAACAAAAAGTGGTCTACCGAATCTTGAAATTTCAAAAACTATTGGCAATTCTGACGATGATTCCTCATCTGTAATTCGTCTCGAATTCCCAACATTCTCCCAATATTCTGGAAACGAATATAGAAACAATCGAGTTCCCGATCGAATATGTAAAATATCTTGCTTCAATTCTAGTTGTGATATCTTTCCACGCCGAATTTTGTTGCACGCCTGAAGGAAAATGTTGAATTTTTGTTTTTGAAAAACAAGCTTACACTATGTTTCACCACAAAACTGGTCAAACATTCCAATGAAAGAATATCGAAAAGTAGAAAAAATGTATTATACGTTCCTCCAATTTTGATGCAAAGTGATTCATTCTTTTTGTTCCAATTCATTTCTCTGAAGACAAAGATTGAGTCTAGAATCGATATTTTATCAAAAAATCTTGATTTCCCCTGTAACTCACATGCACGTGCAATTTCTAATCACTGGCAAAATGAATTTTTTGATAGGGTCCCGCTGGTTCAAATTGTACACGTCAAACCTAAGTGATCGCAAAACAAATGCAAAGCTTTCCGTCCGATTATTCTGCTCACAATCAACCAAAAAAACTTTCCAAATTTCAAATGGCTCTTCTACAAACGAAAGATCAAAGTCTTTTTCGAATTTATTATAAGAAATCAGTTGTTGTGTCGTTTCCACGATTACTCGACGATTTTCCATTTTCAATGGAACAGCATTGAATTCTGTCGTAAGTCTTTGATCGAATCGATATTCTCGATGTTCCGAATTCAAAATTGTGCTTGACAAACTTCGACGGCCGTAGAGATTTTGGCCAAGTTCTAGGTTTTCGAGTTGTGAAACAATGTGCAAATGTCGCTTTTTTGATCTGAATAAATAATGCGTTTCTTCAAAATTATCCAAAAGAATCTGATTACCTCAATTTCAATCTCTCATTTTTTTCTTCCGCAATTCTTAAGCGATTATAATCGTACTCGTGAATGTCACCAAAAAACGCTTGACAAACTCCTGGTTGCTTCAAATGCGTCAATAAATCTTCACCGAAATACGGAAAATTCCGGTTGCCCAATGAAAAAGGTGTGGGAGATTTTGTAGACTTTGTCGACCATCCATAACTATGATAACTCCACTCGAACATTAAATCTGCTGACAATGTTTGAGAATGAGAAGTGAAGAAAAAGGTTTTCGATATCGATCAAAAATTAAATTTACGATCAGTAATGGTAGGTCAAATTCGTGTCACAATTTAAGGCGGCAAAATGTTGGCGAAATCTTTCGAACTCAGAAATCTTTTGAGAAAATGTTTTTTAAATCGCACATTTCCTAGCGTGTCCCAGATTGTGATTTTTCGGGCGGCCGCTCTTCATTTCTTGTAAATTTCCAGCCACAAAATGAGTGCGTTTTCTCTTCTGCCAGCTGACAAAAACCGGAAGAAATTTCAGGAATCTCTCAAATTGCAGTCATCATTTCCACAATTATCGTAACTGCAACTTCCACTGAACCTGAGCAAAGCAATGATTTGTTCACATGTTATGATGATCCAAGTGACCAAAAATGCCCACAATTTTGCGAGAAAAGGGAACTGGAACCATATGTATATAAAGATGATGATTTTGAGTGAGGGTTTTCCCGATTTTCTTGCCTTCAAAGCTTCTTTTCTCTTTGAAAATCCATATATTTTCAGAGTTCCAACAATCTTCTGGATGTTCCTGAGTTTATTGATTTTCTTGTATTTTGCGTTCGTTATCATGATATACACATTCGCCCGATTCAAACGTGAGTTCCTGAAATCTTCAAATTTACATTGTATTTCGAAAAACCCCTGTGAAAGAAACAACAAAAAAAAAGAAAATAAAAATTGGCTGGCTGGCCTAGAAACCGACTCGGCCATTGTTCATTTTTCAATCAATAATTCATTTTTTTGTCAGGCAATCTCAATTTGGTTCGTGGAAAGAAGCGGGTCGTCAAGAACGAGGAGGAATCTGAAGTGGAGCAAGAGCAAGAGCACCCATTCATTTTTTCAAAACCGAATTTTATGTGGTTTTCTGGATATAAGATGGGATAAACTTCGAAAGTATGTGTTTTCTGAAAAAAAAATGATTTTTTCTCAATAAATGTTAATTTGGTTTTCAAATTCTCTTGATTGCTAAAATCCAAAAATCAAGCAAAAAGTTTTATAAACCAAAAAAAAAAACAAAAAATAATATCACAACCTCAAAAATATTCAATTTGGGTTCAATATGAAAAATTCAAAATTTCAAAAACAAGAAAACCCGTTAAGACTAGTATGGCGAAAGAATTGAAGAAAATTGGGGGGAAAAAGGGGGTACACGTATATAGGAACAAGAATAGGAAAATTGCTATTCAAAAAAAATGTGTGGGCTCAAATATGATCACGTGGCATAAGTCGACTATTCGAATTGTAACCCAAACCAAGTGTCGAACTTTCATAATCCGTGGCAGCTCCACCTCGATAATAATCCGATTCCATCAATGCCAGCAAATCTTGAAGTCTTCCAGTTAATCGACTTGCTTGTGCATGTTCATTAGATTCTAGAGCATCCATAATACTTTCTTTATATTGATCGAGATATTTGTAGAGTTCATTTAACGCGGAGAATACGTGGAATTCTCCAGAATGTTGACGACTTTCGTTGGATAGAATTTGAGCCATTTCTTGATCATCGATTGGTTGCATTTGAGCGATTTCGGTGTAGTAGCTGGAAAATTTTGAAAATTTCAGATTTTCATTTTCTTTGCTCACAATACTTTTATTTTTTTTTGAAATTTTGAATATTATAAACATAGCTTCAAAAATTCAAAAGTTCAGGTTTTTTTTTGAAATTTGAGGTATTCTTTATTGATTATTAAATTCTAAAAGCAAAACAAAAAAAAAGCAATTTTCAGAAATTTCACAAAAACCCAAAAATTTACGTTTCAAAAATATCAGAAATTTGAAAATTTTGGTGAGAATTCGATAAATTGCAAACAGAAATATTAATATTTGGTGAAAATAAAAAAATCGATAAGTTCTACTAGGAACAAAATTATCATTTTTTTTTTGTTTCAATCCAGAATGCTCCAGATTTCAAAACCTTCCAAACTTTCTAATTCAAATTCTCATTCCCCCTCCTCCAAAAAATTAACCAACCTATCAACAGATTCTCGATATTGATAAATATCTTTTGCAAACAATAATTTACTCGACGGCGAATCCTTGGTCAATTGATGATCTTGTGTTGAGCAAGCATCCATGAGTGTTTGAGCGACAACTGATAAACAACCTTCGACTTTTGTCGGTTTTGGAATGTCGAATAGGAAATGGCTGGAAAAAAATTTGGTTAGGGATGTTTAGGACAAAATTAAGATAAAAAATTCAGTGAAATTTTGAAAGGTTTTAATTTTTATTAGAATTTTGAATTTGGGAGAAATTCTCAAATTATTTTCGGCTGAAAATTCAGGATTTTTCAGAAAATCGTTAAAATATTGAAAAAAAAAATGGTTTTTGAGAAACATTTTGCAAAAAAAAAAGAATCTGATATTTTTAACTTCAAAATGAATATCTGAGCCGAAATCTGAGCTTTAAAAAATTCCAAAATTCTCAAAATTTGGCTCTTGAAAGTTATCACAACTTAACGAAAAATTAAAAAAAAAATTTCCGATTCTAATGAGAAGCTGGGAAAACAGCCCAGAAATTTCAAATTTTGGATTAAATTTTCAGGTGAAAAAAAAATTCAGGATTTTTTTTGCAGAGAAAAAAATTCAGTATTTTTAGAGCCCCCTCCCTAAAACCCCCAAACTCACGGATTCTTAATCAAATTAACCCAAAACCTCAACGGCAACGCATTACTCTTCCAAGCATGCACAACTTCCGGATCACTAATCCCATTTTCAAATGCCTGATCATCCATAAAATCAAACATATACTTGATACACGCGGGTAAAGGAGAGGTTCTTGTGGAGAATATCGATTCCAACATATCATTGATGAATTTTTGCAAAGTTCCCTTCATCATCAGCAACCGTGTCAAATATATTTCCGTCACCATTTTCTCCTGACTATCCGATGGTCCGTGCTCGGTTGGTTTCACCAAATGATACAATTTATATCCATTATCAGTGTCAACCGATGCCGAATTTATAGTAGAATGATCTACGGCTCCCCAGGTCTTCGGTGATCCAACATTCTTCAAACTTAATGATGATTTCTCACTTCGATCCGACAAAATGCTCTGCAAAAATAAATTATTTTCAAAAGATAAAAAATTGATTTTGTGGACCATGGATTTGGCGCACGTCGATGAAAAATTCACCAGATTGTAAAGGGAATTGCTTTTTGCGATCAATGATAGAATTGCATTGTTCGGGACGTTGTAATGAGCCAAAGTGTTAAGTCTTTTCCAGGTTGAACCTTCGGATCGGGAAGTTGCATCAATGTCCTGGAAGAAAAAAGTTAGGCTAACTTTTAGGTGAATTTTTCTCCAGAAACTTAGATTTCTGATTTTTGGCATTTTTTTGGATTGTGAATTTTACATTTTCAAATTTTTTAAAATGAAACCCGAAACTTCAGAAACATTTCATGCTAGTTTGATACTCAGCCTATAAGTTAGGTACGCAGCCAAAATTTACATTTGATACTCAGCAAAGAAGTTGAATAGGAAAATCTTAGCTAAGCATTTTCAGAGTAAAAAAGCAAATGCGCTCCAGCGAATGAATCATGGCGGGAAGTTCAAATTTTTCAGGCCAAAAATCGAATTTTGAGATTCCTAAGGATTTTCGGGTATTTCAAAGTGATTGAGATGTAATTTTAATTTAATACTCAGTCGAGAAGATAGGTACGCAGCCAAATTTTTAACTAAATCTTAGCTAAGCATTTTCATAGTAAAAAAGCAAATGCGCTCCAGCGAATCATGGCGGGAAATTCAAAAATTCAAAATTTCCACCCACCTGCAAAATCATCCTTCCATTCAACCCGGTCTTCCACTCCAACTCCAAATCCGACGCCGACGGTCTTTCCGAATATCGATATCCTCTAAACTTCACATCCAAACACTTCTCCTTAACCTGAGTAATCGTATCGCAATCCAACACCCGTACTGCAATATCGCCTTGACTATACACAGAATCAGACGATGAGATGAATATCGTAATCTCCTTATATTCAAAAGTGGCGCGAAGCAGTTTCTCCTCAGATAGAGAATACCTAGCTTCAAGAGTTAGCGCATCTTGCGGTCCCTTCTCCATCTGTTGTTTAATCCCCCAATACAATTCATACAATTTCTTCCCGGCGTCAAAATTCCGCAAATGATCATGAAGCAAGAATGTGAACCAAGCGGCAAGCATCCGTTCCGCAATACTCTCACTTCTTCTAAACAAAATCTTGGGTTGGAATTTCTTCTCAACCGTCTTCTCAATCAATTCCCTCAACAATTGCTTCAACATCTCCGTACAATACCCCATTTTCTCTTGCAAAACCACCATCAACAGCGATCCAACATAAACCCGATCTTTGCCCACAAAATACTTATTCGCTTCCATAGTTCGAACCATTGTCAAGAAGAATGTTTTGTTCATCAAAAGCTTATGGAATTCTCGCAAACCGGCTTCGATAGTTTCCGCCTTATTCGTATCAACTTCCAAGTTTTTGAGAACCGGATGACTTTTTCCACTATTAGGGAACAAAACTCTTGCGCAATATTCCTTATATTCCAAAAACGGTGCGGTTGGTGTGCCAAGCGGAAGATCCGCGGTATATTGATTGAGTGATGTCTGAAGTTCGGCAAAAGCTTCCTTACATTCTGTGGCCACTTTCATCTCAATCGTGTCCATCTGTGTTTTCAAATATTTCATCTGCCGTTGATGAGTATTCGTTTTCCTCCGATACAACACAATCAAACAAATAATCAACATAATCATCATCACAATAAACGCAAGAATCACCAAAAACAAGAAAGACGAAAATGTTGGCGAATCATAGGACAATTCTCCAACTTTATAAGTCGCATTTCCAATCGTCACAACAACTTCCGGCTCGAGATTTCCAATTGATTTCGGTTTTTCCATCGGTGGTTGACACGTGAGAACTTTATGGGCCAACGCGGAAAGTGGGCACGGTTCTCCGCCAACAGTTATCGAAATATCTCTCTCCGATGCAACCAGATTCAAATTATTTCCAGTAATAGTCAAACTTTCATCTCCAGGTCTCATGAATTTGGTCTCCGGGAATAATTCAACACTTGGACTTGGCAATACTCTCATTTTCGATCGATGCATCTCAGTTCCATCAAAATCAAAAGCATAGTCAATCTCAGCTCGCGGATGTTTCATCGGAATAATCGGCGTGGCACATCTCATCAATTTATTATCCACAATTTTGCACAATGCTCCATAACTTCTCTCATCTCCCAATCCAATGAAAACCATTCTAGGTCTCTGTAGAAGCGAGAATCCTTCACCAAGAACATCGACAAGAATTCCACCGGATAGAATAGTTCTATCAGGTGAGATCGAATTGATTGCGGGTTCGGATTCCATTTCAAAATAAATCGAGATGTGTTGCTGCAAATGTCCATCAAAGAAAATACGAAGTGGAAGTGGCCCACTATTTTCAGCTTCTCCCATTCGACACGTCAAACTGTTAGAGTTCCTACTCAAAATCGCACATCCAACATTCCCAAATCGCACAACAACTTCAGATCCGGTATCCAAATCTTTTCCAAACAAAGTTACATCAGTTCCTCCACTCTTTGGACCTTTTCTAGGCTTGATATTTGATACATTAGGTTCGACATACGCGAAATTGTCGCTAGAATGTGTGAAAAATTTGGCGGCTTCCGCTTTATTCGCATTGGAAAACGTGACAGCAACAACTCCTCGACTGTTCGACCCTTTTCCCGGCGGTTTTCCAGTGATACACACAATTCTTTCCGATGGAATATATTCTTCGGGCACAATTTCACAAGGCACATTGGCAATTTGAACAGCGCGCATCACATCCGACACATGTCTTCCCAAGTTTACTCCATCAATTATGACCTTAGTTCCTCCGTGAATGGTCCCTTTTCTTGGCTGGAAATTCTCGATGACGGGATTCGCACAAAGTTGCGTGGAATTGAGCCAGGGAGACGGTGCTTGACAAGAAGTCGGGCGACTACATCGCTTCTCAGTCGAACACCAACCACAATCGAATTTTTCCGCGTTGAGCGTCAGGCATTTTCCGCAATTTGCGGCGAGCTTTTCGCACGAATAGACTTCGATGGCTAACGCGTTGATGTTATCGATGATGTGGGGTTTGCGGAATTGTTTTGATGACCAGATCAAATTGAAGCCGTATAGGAGAGAACCTTCGGAAAGTGGGTCATAGGGTTCGAATTGCATTTCAGCGCATCTGCAAAAAAAATCGATTTTTTTTTGAGAATTAGACCACGTCCGCTTTACTGCACGACTTTTCTGATCATTTTGATATAAAACAACAGGGCTCCGCCTCTTTTCTGCAAGTCTGGCACAGTTTTTGTGAATGAGAAAAGCGTGCCAGGTTTGCAGAGAAGGGGCCGGAGCCTGAACCACGTCATTTTTGATATCAAAATGATCAGTAAAACCGTGCGAGGCTTGCAGAATAGTGGGCGTGGTCTAATTTTGTTAGCTTCGCACAATAAAACATAACCGTGAGAGACTTGCAGAAAATATGGTTTTTGCCACATCATAACTTTTTCATAAAAATTTCAGATAATAAAATTTGAGCTGATATTATTAGCTTATTTTAGAAGTTATGACGTGGCAAAAATCAATTTTCCCAAATTTTTCCCCAAAAAAAAACTCACGTAATAGTATCATCAGAAGACCGAAAAGCTCCACGTTCCTGCACGGCATTTCCAAACCGAAATTCACATCGAAAATCGTGCATATAGGACATGTCGACATTCTCCACTTTCACACTGATGTTTCGTTTTTCTCCCGAAGCCACCGACATTTTTGAGACGGGAGCAACGACGTGAGCACATTTCGAGGGACCTTTTCGGCTCGAACTTCCATCTCTCTGCAAAAACTCATTTTCTAGCCAAAAATTTTGGTTATGGAAAAATTTGGTGATAATTTGAACCACAAACACTTCCGAGATTTAACGATTCCGCGATTCTCGATTTTTTTAATATAAAATTTTTGAAACATAAAAAATACAGGTTTTTTTTTGCATTTTTTGTGACAAATAAAGGGACCATTTTTGAGCCTAGAAAAGCCCAAAAAACTCCAATTTTCAGCCCGATAACTACTCACATTCAGCCCATTAACAATATGTTGTTTTCGACATTTATCCTCGGTCAATTTTCCAGCCACACATTCATTTGATTCAATACACCAATCACACGGGAATTCCGAGGCTGCACATTGTGAACATGTCGAATATCGATTACAATCATAGAATGAGAAATTCGATGAGGCAAGTGGGAGTTTACTTCCTGCAAAAAATTTAATGCAAGCCCGGCACAGTTTTTTGAACACTTTGATATCAAAATGATCAGAAAAACGTTGAAATTTCCAGTTTTTCACCCAAAAAAGGCCAAAAATCCCACCTTCCGCAACAACAGTCAACAAAGCTGGCAAATGGAATTGATCCTTGGCAATTTTTGGTAATTTATCCATGGTGGGTGTTGCGCACTTCAAACTTCCATCGAAATTCTGTGGATCAGAAGAGACTGTGTCGCCGGAATCGAATGTGAAAACGCATTGCATACGTTTTCCTTTGGGGGCTAGCAGATTTTCGATGGTCACATTCAAATAATCCGCCGTGTTCATTTGAATTTTGTCGGGTTTGACGGATTTGATGCTGGAAAAAAACAATTAGGACTTTTTTTTTGGAATTTGAAGATTTTTCACTAACTTTCTAGATAGTTTTTTTCTGAAAATTTCGAAACTTTTACAATTTTTTATCAAAAAAAATCGTTATTCTCAAAGTTTTCCGATTTTCCAGGTCATATTTGGTCTCAAAATGCTCTAAATTACAACCCAAAGAGAATGATGACCTAGAAATCCAAAAATCCGATTTTCTAGGCCAAGTTTAATATCAAAATGTTCCAAATTTCCCTCCCGGGTGGCCTAGAAACCCGCAAAAAATTTCTAGACCATACTCACATCGGACACTTGCTATTCTGAAAATCCAACCATCCTCTCGACGTATGCGGCACCTCTCGTTCACACGTCTCCTCTTGACTACAATGATTATTACTGACACACCAACCGCAATATGGATCCCGTTTCTCGAGACATCCAGAACACGTGGCAGACAGTGATTCACATCTCGAAGTCGCCATTTTGACAACACGATTCGGTGTGAGCACAAAAATAAATTTTCCATCTCCACTGAATTCCATGTCAGCCAATATCGATTCTCCCGGTGTTAGATCTTGTGTATCATACAATTCGGCCGAATCTCTTCGATCAATCAAAATCTTATGCAAACTTCCAGCTTGTGTTCCTATAAATGCTACCGTACTCGATCTTGTTGTATTGATTGCGATTGATGTGAAGAGTTCCTCGTTTCCCATTGTAAAAGTGGCGGTGCTGGAGATCGGCTCATTTCCACCGATTTTCGCGTTGACATCTTTTCCACATTTTACGGCTTCCCATGGAAGAGTTGTTGCGCGGCATTGGGTTTTTGAGGAAAACCAGGGGAGGTTCTGAAAGAAAATATGGGAATTTTGGGATGAACTTGAGCTTTAGCGGCAAAATTTGGCCACGCCCCTTTTCGCAAGCATCGCATAGTTTTTCTGATCATTTTAATATCAAACATGATATGGTTTAGGCTCCGACATTTTTCTGATAGAAAGTGTGCCAGACATGCAGAAAAGGGGTCTAAACCATGTCATTTTTGATATCAACATGATGAGAGAAACAGAATTTAAGCTCCGCCCCTTTTATGCAGGCCTCGCACGGTTTTTCTAATCATTCTGATACCAATCATGAGGTGGCTCAGGCTCCGCCCACTTTTCTGCGAGTCTCGCACGCTTTTTTCTAATCATAAAAAGTGTGCCAGACTTGCAGAAAAGGGGCGGAGTCTAAACCCTGTCATTTTTTATATCAAAATGATGAGAAAAACAAAATATAGGCTCCGCCCTTTTTCTGCAAGCCTCGCATGGTTTTTCTAATCATTTTAATAGCAATAATGAGATGGCTCAGACTCCGCCCCTTTTCTGCAAGTCTCGCACGCTTTTTTTTGATCGGAAAAGTGTGCCAGGCTTGTAGAAAGGGGCGGATGTCATATTTCATAACAAAATGATCAGAAAATCTGTGCGAGGCTTGCAGAAAACTGGGCGTGGCTTTACTTTTTATCTCCCCTCAAAAACAATTGAAAAACCAACCTTCTTCAAATCCTGTTCTCCTTTAAAACACTTCATAATATTCTGCTTAAACATCGCCTCAACCTCCTTCAACGTATACATACAAATGGCACTTTTTCCAGTCGGCGATTCCGATCGATAACCCGATCCCTCCCAAAACACACCATAAATCACCGTGTCACTAACAGAAATATCCATCGATTTTGCCAATTCATATCCAGCTTTTCCGACATAAACATCTTGAACTAGATTATAGTTGATACCATCAGAGGAGCATTCGAGTGGCACTTCAGTATAACTATAATAGAATTTGTCTCCAGTACAAACTCGAACCAATCTTGAATGAATTGGTGAATCTTCGTTGATTTCAGATCGCTGGCGAGTGACGAAATATGCATAGTCTCCAGCTTCGAAGCCATTAACGTAATCGATTCTGGAAGAAATTTGAGTTTTTTTTTTTGGAAATGGAAATGGAGATCGGGAATGACGTGGCAAGGTCACGTTCACGTGTAAAATTTGTTTAATTTCCAGAATTTGTGTTCAGAAAAATACTAACTGATAATTATATCGATTCCTACTGCTAAAATCCAGCGAAACATGAGTTCCCCCGTACAATCCAGGAAAAACGAGTTCAAACGTTTTCTGTCTCAAAAACAGCGTTGAAACCGACATCATTTCCATTTCTGAGTTGCCAGCAGTTGCTCCGACATATAAAACTGGTTCATTTGTTAGATTTGTGGGACCGGCTCCGACGAAAAGAACGACTGAGGATTGCGAATCATTGGAGACACGTGGTTCGGAGGCTTCGAAGAGGATTTCGGTGATGTTGTGGAGGTTTCGAAGACGGCATCGACCCTGCAAAATTTCGATGGTTTTGAGGGGGAAAGTAGGGGATTCCTAATGTGTTCTCAGAGTTTCTAAAAGCTCTAGAAGATTTTTTGAAGGTTCCTAAGAGCTTCTAGAATTTTCTAAACGTCCCTAGAGATTTTAAGAGTTCCTAAGAGTTTCTAAAGCTTCCTAAAGGTTCTTAGCCCAATTTTCAAATGTTTTATTACCCCATGATAAACTTTAAATAAAAAATTTACAACCGTGGGAAAACCTATGACTAATTTTTATTTACAACGTTTACAATTAGGTTCCCTTGTTTATGGCGCTTTTATGCAGAAAAAAAACGTAATGTAAATAAGAGCCCATAAAAATGAGCATTTTTAATGTGAATTTTGCTTTGATTCACATTGATGCTAATATTTTTTGACTACTTTTTGGTTTAAGAAACAATGTTGCTTTTATGTTTTTATTAAAATATTTTCTGATAAAATTTGAGTAAAATTATTATTTTTTTCCTGACAGCTTCAAAATTTGGCCAAAAATAGATAAAAATGTTAAATTTTTTACGATTACTTCAAAAAAATCAAAATTGATTTCGAGGTGAAAATTAGCAACAATTTATGAAACGTAAAAAATCCAAGAATAAGCATTTCCTGTTAATTTTTGGTCTCAAACCCCGCTCACCTTATACAAATTGCTACATTCAATAAGTTTCGAAGATTTATCATAAACCGCCATTGCTTTTGTATGTGAATTGGTCTTCATTAGAGGATGATTACAATCGAGTCGATTTCTGGCATCTAAACATAATGGATTATCATCCATCGGTCCAGTTCGAACATGTTTTCGAATCGATAAATCCGAGCTGACGAGATCGAAAATATTATTGACACCGCCGATGAAAACCCGTGTTGTTGATGGATCGATTGCCTGGAAAATAGGGAGGGTTTGGAGAACAAAAATTCAAAAGTTTTCTGGATTTTTAAAGCTATTTTTGAGCTCCAAAACTATATTTTTACTTCAAAATATCCCCCATTTTCTATTTTCTATTTCCTGCCTCATAATAAGAACCGCTAATTAACAGGCCTATGTACTTATTTAATTTCAATGAGACACAAACAAATCAGGTCAATATGTGTACTTTTCATGGTCTTTCCTCCTCTTTTTGTCGAAAATACGCATGCCTCATTTAAAAAAACGGACAGGGAGAAGGAATTTTTGGTTCAAAAATTTTGGAATCGAAATTTTTTGTTGATCAAATCATGCATCCAATGAGAATGGAATCACATATTTGATTTCGAAGAACAAATTCAAATAAATCATGAAACGAAAAAAATCCAGGATTTTTAAGGATATTTCTAGACGAATTCAGAATTTTTCTCTAAAAATCAAAAACTATAAATTTGATCTGAAATTATTTTTTAACAGAATTTCGTCTCGGTGAAGATTTTCATTTCTTATATTTTAGTGAAGACGTTAAGATGTGGAATCCAATATCTGATTTCGAAGAAAAAATTCAAATAAATCATGAAACGTAAAAAATTCAGGTTGCAACTTTTAGGGAAAAAAATTAGGTTTTTAAATTTTAATAGGTTGTCTAGGGTAATTCAGACAAATGTTTTGAATTTCCCGAATTCCAATTTTTTTCAATTTTTTTAAAGCGGAGCATCGTTCAAAACCCCAAAAATCTCACCATTTTCTCGAAAAACCCGCCATTCGCCACGTTGGGATTCTCAAAAACGACATTATCATCAAGCGAATAAACATCATTACATAACACTATTGCAGGACACAAGGATAATAGAAAAATAAATAAAATTGATAGATTGCAGCCTATCGATTGATGCATAGGAAATATGCGCGAGAAAATTGACATCTCATGTCTTCTATCCTGCCGCCCGATTCAAAAGATCTGCAAAAATTTGGGATTTAAATTCGAATTGGGGATTTTCAGAGAGATTCGAGAAAAAAAAAGAGACATTTCACATTTCTAGAAGATTTTAAGTTAGCTCAACTGAGTTATGACGTGGCAAAACATTTACTTTAAATCAAAAGCTTCATTAACTTTGCCACGGCATATTCAAAGTTGAGCTAACTGATTTTGTAGCAGTTTTAGCGTATCAAAATGCTCCAGATAATCCAAATTAGTCAGCTCAACTCTGAAAATGTGTTATGACGTGGCAAAAATTGGACAAGCAGACATTTGAAACAAACGTACAGCGACAGTTGCGCTCTATCGTAAAACGGCTTTTCCTCGTGAAAATTTGAAATTTTTGCCACGTCATAGCAAGGTTATATATATTTTTTTCGCCAAAAAACCGAATAAACGAAGAAAAAGGGTACAATGCAAATAAAATAAAATCATAATAAAAAGACGACGCAAAAATTCACATAATCATAAAGCAATGTCGCTGTTCCCCCCTCAATTAATTATAAATTCCGAGTAGCCACCCGTCAAAATGGGGTTGTCTCTGGTGTCTAATTAGTCATACACCCTCCACCCACACAAACACCAGTAGCACCATCAATCATTATTTTCTTAGACTCGCCAAAAATTGTCACATTAAAATTGAGTAAAATATTCAGAAAGAGCTCTGGAACCCGGCCTTGAATTAACTAGACATAGTTCAAAAACCTGATGTTTCGTTGGTTTCGGTGTAAGTAGCAAAATCTCATCGCATCCCCGTTTAAGAAGAAAAACAAATACAGGAATTGCTCATCGGATTAACAAAGGATCGAAATACACTAGGAACATATGTATCTCTATCTAAAAACAACAAAGTTTTATTTAATTCGATTAGAATCGTACAATTGTATTGCGAAACCGGCGAAACCAACATGTGTTAACAGGAAAGAAAAAGAAAACTACGAGACTCCAGGCGGTGCCTGTTGTTTAGCAGGTGGGGGAGGAAATTATTTTCGAAAAAAAGGTTTGGCGCGGGATTTTTCATGGGTTTCAAGTGAAACTGAGAAATTTTGAATTTATAGAAATGAGCTGGATCTAGGTTAGAAGCTTCAAAACTCATTTTCGACTCGATTTCAACTAGAAGCTCACCATATTGTTGGAAAACTTCAAAAATCGCGAATTTTACCCCAAAGATATTAAAAAGCTCACCAGTTCAATGAAATTGGTCAAAAATTGCATTTCATTAGGATTTTATTTCGAGAAATGATTTTTTTTTCGTCGAAAATTGATGACACGTCAAATTTTCACGTGATAATTCCAAAAAAATCGCATTTTGAGAGGAGAAAACAGTGGAAAAATGTGTGCATTTTTGCGTCACGGTGTACGCAACTTTTTCGCGATTTGTTTTGAAATTCAAAAAAACCCTTTGAATTTCCGGGAAAACTTCGCCTAACACGAAAAACTTCCACATTAGCTAAACAAGCAAAGTAAGTAGATAAATCCTTTATTCAAATTAGGGTCTTTCTGACCGCCCAACAAGAAAACGAAGAAGATAACTTATTTAACAAGAAGCATATGCTAATTCATTCGCTTCCTCCCCTTTGGCCCTTTCTTCACTAATGAGAAAATGGTGTGTGTCAGTGTTAAACAGCAAGGAAAAGGAAAAAGCCGCAAAAAACTACTTATTATTGTTTCCTCACAAGTATTTGAAACGAAACGTATTTGGGAGGAAATGAGAGAGGGAAAAGAGAGAAAAAAGAGGATTTGCAAATTTCTCAAGGGCACTTTATTTTCATTATGTAGATTATGAGGAAAGTGTTGAAATATGTATATTTTGGGGATTTCTGGATGGGACCACTGAAAAGGAGAAGCAGTTCGGATTTTCAGAAAAAAGTGAGACTCTGTCCATTTCGGAGATTCGATTCATAATTCGCTCAAAATTTGAAAACAAAAACCGAAACACCTGGGGTAAGGTGAAATCGAGAAAAATAGTTTTTATGTGGGAAAAGCTTGTGGAATTTTTTTTTTGAAAACAAAAGAAAAAACCTTGTAAAACGTTATGGGCTTGAGAAAATTTGGTATTTACAAAAACAATCGTGACAAAAAATAAAATAGGATTTTTTTGAAAAAAATTGGCGAAAGTACGGGCCATTGAACAATTTTTATGGGGTTTTGAAAAAAATTGCTATGATTTTCAGAAAAATCTGAATATTTATCTCTGGGATCTTTTGAAAATAGGTTGGAAAAATTGAAGTTTATCATTAGAGCGCACTTGATAAGCAGAAAAAATTCAAAATTATAAAAAAATATGTAGTTTCAATAGAGCGCACTTGAAATAAAAAAAATACCCAATGAAAAATCGAACATCAAAAAAAATCTTGTCAACTTCAAAGTAAACATTCCTCAATCTACCTATTGTTCAACGAAAAAAAAACGTTTTCATCACATTTCCCCACAAAAAAACCCTAGAACAATAACAGACACAGACTTGGTGCACTCACTTTCAAAGTAAAGTAAGTAAATAGGATATTTATATATTTATAAATAAACAACAAACAGTTGGGAAGAGAAAGAGTAGAGTAAGAAGCATATTGGTTACATGTAAATAATAGGGGAGAAAAAAGTTCTGCTGGCTGCTGATGATGACAGACCACTTGGCCCCGCTCTCACAGAAAATATAAATAAATCGAGCGATCGATGAAGGAAAGCAGTACTTTTAGGAATTCCCTCAAAATTATCAATAGAGCGCACTTGAGTATTTTTGCCTTCAAAGAATTGATGAAATTCGAGAAGCTTATGAAAACTCAAATTTCAACAAAAATTTTCTACATTTTCAATAGAGCACACTTGATAATTTTATTTATTTTCCAGAAATTCAAGTTTTATTCAAATTTTAAGTAAAATCTTCCAAACGTTCAATAGAGCAATTTTGCACAAATAAAAATTCATAGTTCAAACTAAAAAATTAAATTCTCAATAGAGCGCACTTGTATAATTCTCCCAAAAATCAGTGCTGGTCAACAAAATTTTTAAATAAATTTTTCTGATGATCTTAAAATTTTGGGAATTTTCGAAAATTAGTGGAAAACAAAATTTCTAGTCAAAAATTCAAAAGCCCTAGCACAAATCTCTCCTTCAGACTATAAAAAAAAGTTCCTGGCGCTCTTCCAAAAAAAAATCAATCGATAAAAAACACCACCACACACAGAAAAAATCCTCCCGCTTTTTTTATGAATCACACTCTTTTCTTACTCTTTTACTCTCTCACTATTTTTTTTTGGAAGAAAATAGAGATAACCTTCTCTGGGACAGAAACAGCAAAACGTGGTGTAAAGTGTGAGAGGAGAACATTTTTATTGGATTAAATATATATATATATATATATATCTATTTTTTCGTGTTTCCCGCCGGACCCGGGAAAATAAATATCTAATAATATTGAATTGGAAGAGCAGGAGAAGAACAAGATGAAATAGAAATTTAACAAAAAAAAAAGTGGGAGGGAATCGGGAAAATAAATTGAAAAATGGAAGATTTTTGAGAAAAATTGAGTTTGGCTCAAAATCTATACAGAATTTGGCTGGAAAATTTCAGGCTCACATAAAAATTTGAAAGAAATCTCAAAGCTTCCAAGTGCGCTCTATTGAACATTTAGGGAATTCGATTAAAATTTGAATGTTCGCAAGCCAAGCATTTTTTTGGGAAATTAGAACTGATCAAGTTTTCTCTAATAAAAATTTACAAGCTGCGTTTTTAGCTCAAAATTATAGAGGGCTGGAAAATTTCAGGCTCACTAAAATTTTTAAAGAAACCTCATAGCTTTCATGTGCGCTCTACTGAACATTTGGGGAATTTTTATTGAAAATTGAAGTCCAAAAGCCAATTTTTTGAAAAATCAGGAATAATCAAGTTCACTCTAATGGTAATTTTTTAACAGCTAATAAATTATCAATAGAGCAAACTTGATCGTTTCTAATTAAAAAAAAATAAAATGCAAGACTAGTAGACTAGTCTAGACTTGGCCTGTGAAAATTTAAATTTTGATAAAGATTTTCTGAATGTTCAGTAGAGCGCACTTGTAAGCCTGAAAGTTTCCAGCCAAAACATCTACAGATTTTGATCAGAAACCTCCCAAACTCCAAAAAAGTTCAATTTCAAATCAATAAAAACCCGAAAACCGAGCCAGAAGAGCGCAAAAGGAAAAGAAAAGTGGTCATTGTTTCAAATCGTAAATATTGCGACCGCGCTCGCTTTGTGCGTGTGTATCTGTCCAAAAACAGGCACAAATAAACTATATTATATTCCTATTCCTAACCCAAATCCAATAAACCCGTTGTAAAAGCCAAGTTAGTAGTTATAATAACATATTACAACACAAACACATTCGACAAATTTATTATCCGACAAAAAGTAGGTCAGATTTTACTTTACCACCACCGACCAGATGCAAAAATGGAAGAAAAACCCACACTTTCTTGGATCAGATAAGCGGCCACAGTAGGTGGTAAAAATTCTTGTGAAGAAGAATCGAATCGAAAGAAAATAAATAAATAAAACAAGGGAACGAGATAGATAATGTGAAGGTTAAAAAGGGCGGCGAGATGTGAACAAAACATGATATCGCAGAAATTAATGAAATCAAGTGATAAGTTAGGCTAAGTCATCCGAAATTGCATAGAGAAGGTTAGGAATTTGATTTTCACAAAAAAAAAACACTTCTGAGCTCAATCTCATAGAACAACTCGGATTTCTAGTAGGGACTACTGTCATAGAAGTTTTCAATGCAGTTCAGCTAGCCACGGTGTATCTCAAGGCGCGGCCCCTTGCCAGAACAAAATCAGGGAATTTCAAAATTCTCTAGAAATTCAAAAATAATTACAAAAATGCCTAGACTTTGAATAAATTCATTTTGAAAAAAATGAATGAAAAGTTTCACACCTTCTCTACTTTTTTCCCTATTACTTTTATCTGGGTTAGCGAGAAAAAACCAATCAATCGAAATCGAAAAGATATATTTTGAAATTGAAATTGCGGTTAAATTGAACATGCAAACGTTTTTTGTATGTATGTATGTATGTACATATGAGAAAATGGGCGGGGCCCCCAAGGAATAACGTAATCAAGGAATCGGAAAATGTCAAGTGTAAATATGGTTTTCCTATTTTTTTTTTGAAATATAAATGGAAAATGAATGAAATCGGGTCAAGAAGAGTATTTGAAGAAAAATTAGAAGGAATTAGATGAAATGCAAGTCTGGCACAGTTTTTTTTTCAAATTTTAAATTGCTATTTTCAAGCCAAATTTTGAAGTCCTAAAGTGACGAATCTTATAGGATTCAGAGCCCTTTCAAATCCAGCCTATGGAATTTTATTCAAAAATAAAAATTCACGCTTGATTCTGAAGCATCCCAAATATTTTCCGCAACATTTCATTCACCGAAAAAAGTGTTTGGTCACAGAAAAACGCCGTGAATTTCCAAACACATACAAATAATCGTTTAGTCCAACTGGTTCCAAGCTTGTGGCCAACTAAAAACAAAAAAAACAAAAAGCTGCCAACAAAAATTTTGAGGGAAGCAGTCAGGCAAACAATTAAAATGGACACAACAAAAAGTTCGTCATCGTCTTTCCGAAACAAAAAACAAGGGAAAATGGGCGGAGCTTCATGAAGGAGTTCGCAAAAATTAACAGGGAGCGATAGAGGTTAGAGACACAGAGAGAAAGACAGTACAGCTGCAGGCGTAATCTTCGAGTTCGTGAGAGGATTTGTACTTGTCTCGACCGCCTAGTCACTAAACATAACAATAATAATATTATTATTATTATTGATGATGAAGAACTCTCTCTTCGAACAGATACAATGGGCGCGAATTGCGCCGCGCGCGGGGGTCTTACACTTGAGAAAAACAGTAAACTTTTGTGTTGTGTACTTCTTTTTGAAAAGATGAGGATGAGGGAAAAAAACGATGTCAAGTTGAGTGGATCGGGGTTTGATTCGAGGATTCAGAAACCTAGAAATCTCAGCCAGGATCGTGGTTCTCAGATAGAAGTTTTGTACGCTAAACTGTATAGGCAAAAATCGTACGCTGAAGGTTTCCATGTCAAAAATGTACACTTCCATTAAGTTCGTATAAGTCAAAATCAGAATTTCAAGAAGTGGCCATCAGAAATATTTTCAAAACATTTTCTGGTTCATGATCTTCAAAATTAGGCCCAAAGCGTCCAAAAAGAACGTGAAATCTAGAATTTTCAGCCAAAAAAACCGATAAATTCCAGAAAACAAATTTTTTTCTGTCAACTTTGCTGCAGCTGTCCAAAATTTGTTCCACCACAGAGAAAAAACTTACTCCACACACACACAAAAATATGTCTTTTTTGGTGTATGGAATGGAGAATGTAGAAAATGTGTCCCAGAGGAAAATTACATCACGGCGAGCCACGCGAAAAAAAAAAATCAACATTGATTGAGCAAAAAACACGGTGTGTAGATATTTGTGTGTGTACAAAAACAAACACCTTTTTGACACCTTTTGACACACACTTCCGAGTTTCTTTCTTTTTTTGAAAATCAAAAATAAGTGGCGCGAAAAATTTTGAAACAAAAAATGTTTGCGCGGATGCAAAATGTGTTTGAATTATGTATGAATAATGAAATAGGCTTATTGTGACAGGGAAAACGAAGATGAATATGAATTGGGAAAAAAACCAATTTCAATTATGATTTATAGCCTGGAAATTGGTTGGAAACTGGAAAATGTTTCTTCTTGTTTAGTAGTCTAGTTGTCTGCGTCTCTAGACTCTCTAGATTTCTCGTTTCTCTAGATCTCTCGTCTCTCTGGCTTCTCTAACTCTCAAAATCTCTCGCTGACTTTAAGCTAAATTTTTGAAACCAAGATTTTCCAGGCCCGATTTTTAAAGTACATATTTTTGATCCTATCCATATAAGGTTACTAGAAAAGATATCAAAGAAGGTCCAAATTTGAGTTTGGACCATTCTAACTTCAAAAGATTCTAGGACTCTAGAATCCAATCAGGTCTGATTCAGAAAGACTGTGCAAAAATCCCGCCTGATCTCTGCAACTTGACGAAAAAAATCTTCCCAAACACTGCTAGAAAATTCTACCAAAAAAAAGAATCGAGAATAAAAAAATCGCGGAGTGCGTGTCGTCGAGAAAAAGTCTAACGAGCATCCGGAGGAAACGCTGATTTCTTCTGTGTGACAACAACAAGGCAAAAAAAGAGATAGTTAGAATAGCCAAAGGGGAAATGTTTAGACTTTTTAGTTGCAACTCTTTTTTTTTGCTTTTGGAAAGTTGCTGAGAATGATGAAGTTGTACTTTTAGAAGAAGTTAGAGGCATTCAGGAAGGAAGGAAAAAAGTTCCGGATCTCGAATTCTTCGGGATTTGGAAGATTTTGGTTGAATTTTAGATAGTTAGGAGGAGCCGAGCCTAGACACTCCTATTGTCTAGGACGTGTGCCTAGAGAACCACTCTGACAAGGAGCCAGGCCTTGAGAGCTTCTTTGCCAAGTAGCCAAGCCTTGATAGTTTTCATGCACAAAAAAATCAGAAAATTCGGAAAAAATGTTGAAAATTTTCTTATCACAAAAAATTAAATTCAAAATCTTCTGATAAAAAAATTTCAACGATCAAAAATTGGTAAAAATTTCCCATTTTAAATTTAGTATAACTATTGTCTAGTAAGATAGAGCACTAATCAGAACTTCATTGGCTCAGTGCCAAAATCAGGTGTGGTTGAAAATATGAAAAAAATCCAAACCGCAACGAAAAAAATAAACAAAATGCGACCAGATGTTTGGCAACATTCAACAATTTTCTTCATAAAAACGAACACCCTTCAACCGAAAAAAGAAGGGGGATGACCTTCAGAAGTAAGTATGCAAAAAAAATTCGATACCATCTAAAGGAGGAAACCTGTCTCATTTGAAGCGGTAATAATTCGAAATATGTACCAATATTATATTGAAGTTATACAAAACTGCATAAAAAAGTCCGCAAACACCGCTACGCAAAAATGCACAAAAATTAAATTCGTGACCTAACTTTTTGGGAAATTTGAAGCGTTGCCACGTGGATTTTCTTGCCAAGTTATCTTATATTTTTTCCAAAAAAAAAGTCTGACATCAAGAATCTGAAGGCAATCAGACGAGAAAGCAAAAATTGAATTTTATCTCATTTTCTTCTATTTTTGCTTTTCCTCTCCCTCAAAAGCCGTGAAAATAAGAAATTTCGAAATTTTTGATAAGAAAATTTGAAATTTTTCAAATTTTCCAATGTTTTGAGAAACTTAAAATTCTGTCAAATGCTTCTGAAAAATATTCTGGGTTTCAGATAAACCAAATCGTCAGCAAAAATACACATTTTTTTAAAAATTCATTTTCATCTGAAGACCGAAAAAAAGAAGAGTCGGGAGGCGAAAAATTTGCTAAAAATCTATGTCATAGTAATAATATCACTCATAAAAACAAGAAAAGTGGGATTTTTGGTGGGAAAAAAGGGTTGAAAAGAAGACAAAAAATTGAAAAATTCCTATTGCATCAAAAAAGAAAAACAAAACTCTTTGGAGACCCAAAAAAAAGACAACGGAACCGAAAAAATCACAATCAAGTTTGTAGAAAACGAAAAATAATAAATAAATAACCCATACCGGATGATTAGAGCAAAAAATGTAGTATTTGGATGAAAAATGAAAAAAAAAATCGGGGAAAGGGGGCAAGAATTATATTATACATCAAAAAATGAAATAAATACTAATTTTTAGAGAGGAAAAGGGGGCTAATTATTGATTTCTCGTTTTAAATGTTGCAAAAATTCAATGTAAGAATGAGTTGATTCGGTTCGATCATCAACAAGTCGACGAACAAACAATTCACGATTTGCAGCGTGTTCTCTGCAAAAAATCGAGTTTTGGAAGAATTTTTGGGATTTTCTCGTAATTTTCTTTGAAAAATTGACTCTAATTCTAGATAAAAAATCCAATTTTCAGCTAAAATCAAAAAATCAAGTTTAGGTTCATTTTGCAAATAATTTGAAGAGTTACAAAATGACTTATATTAACTTGTTAACTTGAAAATGTCAGATATCGGTGGTTTTCAGCTTAATTTTAAACCAAAAATTTCAAGTTTCAAAACCTCGAAAAAATACGTTTCAAAAATATTTAAAAAAAAAATAAAGCTTATAAAAAGGCTCAATTTGCCAACAATTTCAAGAGCAACAAAATGAATTTTAAATTTGAAAAACCTAGATTTCAGGTTTTTTTTTCAGCTCCAGATCAAACTAGGACACTAAAATTCCCAGAAAACAAAACCCACTTGATAATAACAATCGGTCCAAGATAGAATCGGAAAAGTGTGACATGTTTGAAGAATGCAAAAACTCGTCTCGACACATCATTGTCTCGTTCGATGAGCGAATTCTCGTGAATCTCTTGATAATTTCCACCAAATACTTGTTGCAAAAATTGTGGATCAGCTTGCGATGAGATATAGACATAGGCCGCATTTCCAGCTTCCAACATATAAATTCCATCGCGTTGGATATATTCAAAAGATAGTGCAAGTGGATGTGGCCAACTCGATTCATCACAACACGTTGGCAGCTGTAATTTTGGAATTTCAGTCAAGTTTTCAGACCGAAATTTTCAGTAAAACCTTCAAAAAACTCACCGCCAAATCGTTCAATCGATATAATCTCGGATAGATATCCGATAGAATTTGTTCGAGCGGCGAAAATCGGAGCATCATCATGGCGGCGGCTCGTTCATCGAGTTTCAATCCACGAGCAGATGAAAATGCCGGCTGAAAATGTTGAAATTTGAAAATTGATTTGGTTAATTTTTGGATTTGGAGGTTTCTGTGCTTTCTTAAGTTTCAAATAATCAAAAATCAACAATTTTTGATTGAATTTTTGGAAAATTCAGATTTTTTGTGCTGAAAGAATGACGGCTAAAATTGATCTGAAAAACTTGAATTTCAGCTTATTTTCGGCAGATTAATAAGCTATTGAAAGTTTAGCGAAAATTTCTCTGAAAATCCAGTTTTAAATCGAAAATTTCAGCTTGAGAACAACCCACCTCAAACATGCTGAAAATAAGCTGAAATTTAAGTTTATCAGACCAATTTTAGCCATTATTCTCTCAGCTCATTGTCAGAAAATCTGAATTTTCCAAAAATCATTCAGGTGGGGGTTGTTCTCAAGCTGAAATTTCAGATTTACAACTGGATTTTCAGACAACGTTTCCTTAATATTTCAATAGTACGCCTGAAACTGCTGAAAATCTGTCTGAAAATCAAATTTGATTTGATTTTCAGCATTTTTCAGGAGGTTCTCGGGTAAATTTTTACATTTCCTAATATGAGCAATTGTCTGAAAGCTCGGACTTGAAACTGGACGTTTAGAACACTTTCGAAACTGAAAAATTGTCTGAAAATTTTAAATTTCCAGTCACATTTTAACGTTTTTCTATCTGAAAATTGTCTGAAATTGAAAAATTGATCCAAAACAATCAACTCCCAAAAACTCACATGTTTCAATAGCGCCAGAACATAACTGGGGAACAATCTCAAATGTCCACTTCTCGGCACAAGCATACTTCCACCTCTCGACATTGCCTTCTGATATGCTCCTAGACTATCAACCACCGCATTCACCAACGCTTCGCGCGAATCCGACAATGCTCCGCCAGCCATTGCGCGATCAACACCAATTTTGGATAAATATGAGACAGTGGCTTTGAGATCGAAATGATTGTATAATTGGAGCAAGTCGCCAGTTGTTGGCAGGCACATTGTATGCACTCGAATTCGTCGATCTCCTTTACTTGATGTATAGAGCAATGCAGATTGGAAGCAAACATGTCCCGGCAATTTTTCTTCCAGCGCAACTTGCGCAGCAAGTGCTGAATCTGGATTCACATTTGCCAAGGCGAGCAAATCAGTGGATCTGACAAAGAAATTTCCATGGAATCCGGAGAGGCTCAATCCACGAGTTGTTCTGATTCTCAAGACTGCTTCGAATCCAATTTTGCGGGTCAGATATCTGGTGAACGTTTTTTCGAATCGTTTGACTTGATAGGCGTCTTGAGCAATGTTATAGTTGGGGAACACATAGACACATCCCGTTGAGAATTTTGCGACTTCGGCTGCAAAAACCAAATTTGAAGTTAGATAATTGAAATTTGAATATTGGAAACGAGTTCTACATATTCCAATTTGAAGATAATTTCAAAAAACCGGAAATTCGGGACCTTCGAATTTTTAGGTTTGTTTTTTTTCAAAATGATACAATTTTGTCAACGGAAGTATCGATTTGTTTCCGATATTTTCAAATTTTACATTTTTTTTGAAACGTATTTTTCCGAGGTTTTAGGAAAATTGTAACCTTTTTTCAATTTAAAAACTGTTAATTTTCAGTTTTTGGACCTCTGAAAATTCAGATATTTTCAAAAACTGTACTCTGGCCCACAACGATTGGTTTGAAACTTTCAGAATTTTGGACCAAAATTTATCAAAACGGTTTGAAAAGCCAAAAAAAAATTCTGAATTTCATTTTTTTCAAGGTCTTCTGAGCAAAATGAGCCCAAATTTGATGCTAAGAACTTTCTGGGCTGAAATCTTGTGAATTTTCAGATTCTAGAGGTATTTTCTAAGCAAAATGAGGATGTTTCCCTACCCGATGTTTCCCTACCCAAAAAACTCACAAAGCGTCGAAATATCAGCATACGTCGAATTAAACATAAACAAATCGATACAAACTTGATTCCCGGTGCATTCCAGCGATAAAGCTTTGTAGAAATCCGTGGCCGGACCAAGATTCTGGCCGCCTTTTTCACCCGGCTCTTCTCGATTTTTCAGCGCTCCAGGGCCTAAATTCGGCATACTGACTTGGAAAATCGATATCCGTCCTCCGATTTCAGCCTGAAATTTAGAGGACTTCAAAGAAGAGAAAGAAAATAAAACCTACAATCATTGAATGGACAATTTTGAGCGCTGATCCAACACAATTTCCATTTGAAGTTGGTCCAACAGAAAATATCGAAGGAATGTCTTTGATAAAAGTTCGGATAACATCTTTGTAAGTTTTTAATGGCACTAATAATGAGGTGGCAGTTGGAACGAACGCGTCTGGAATTTTTTTTGACTAAAAATAAGGGAACCTGAGATTTCCGACAATTCAACAAGACTTTCAGGAACCCAAAAATCACCTTCTAGACTAAAATTTAGTGCTGAAAATGATGAAATTCTCAGTTTTGAGCAATTTCTTCATTTTCAGCACAAAACATAACGATTTTTCTGAGCATTTGATCAATTTCTGACAAAATTGATGACCAATTTTGGATCAGAATTGCCCGGATCCCAAAAAACCGCCCCGCTCACCATCAATATCATCAACAACCATTTCCGAAGGTCCGCGTTTCGTCGAATTAAACGAATAAAAATGTAGACATTGATCAATGGCAATAAAAGCGATTTGCGTTCGATCATCTCCAGGCATTTGATCCAAATTCACGATGAGTTGCTCGGAAAACGCTCGAAGATAGCCAGATTGTATTGCAGAGATGCTGACATCGATGAGGAACACGTAGACAGCAGGTTGTGGTGGGCGAAGCATATATTCGGAAGGGGCGATGAATTCGACAGTGGCGTTTTGGATTTCGGGACGATTTCGTGGGTCGCCAAACGATTTTGTTGTTGGATCCCAGCAAAAATCATCAGGTACTGGAACAAGGGATTATTTTTATAATTTTTTTGAGATAAAAATTTTATTTTTTATCATAAAATTTTATTTCAAAACTTACAATCATTCCCCCGCGTACATAAATTACATCTCCAATGTCGATGATCAGGAAATATAACATATGGATTAATATAAGTTCGACAATATCGACATCTAACAATATTTGTAGTTTGAATAATATTCAAATTCTTGACATCTCTAAATGGATGTAAAGTGATTGCAAATGGTAGTCGACTTTTTCTTCAACAATTCTTCCGATTGTGGAATATTTTGAAGTGTTGATCGAAAAATTGCCGGATCAATTTTTGCCGATGGATTCGCTAATTGTGTAGGCAGCGAGACGTCGATATCTTCAAAACCATATTGTTGAATATTCCTTTCAGCCATTAGATCGATAACATCACTTCGGAATTGATTTGATGCTTGATTAGGGGCTCCAGGTCCTCCCATATTCATTTGTCCAAATTGTTGCTGCATTTGTTGTTGTTGCTGATAATTTTGGGGTTGCTGCATTTGTTGTTGTTGAAGCTGCGGTGGTTGAGGATATCCAGGTATTGGTGATGGTTTTTGGGGCTGTTGGAATTGTTGTGGCGGTGGTGGGGCTGAAAATTGTTGCGGTGGTCCAGGAGGCGCTGAAAATTGCTGCGAAGGTGGAGGTGGTGCAGAATATTGTGCAGCTGGCGCAAAAACTGGAGTTTTTTGCAGCGGTTGTGGAGGAGGAGCTGCGGCTGCACTGCCATTTTGGAATGGTGCTTGTGGAAAACCGGAATAATGATGGCCATTTGGTGCTGGAGGCTGGGGAGGCTGAGAATATTGTGGTTGATATTGATGATTGCCGTTTGGTTGAGATGTTGTTGGAAATGGGAAGGGATTTGCTGCGTATGTTGGTTTGGCAGCGGGTGTTCTGAAAAAAATACGATTTTATAGGGGAATATCTTGGGGGTTTACTCAATTCTGAACTTGAGTTATGACGTGGCAAAATTAGAAAGCCCTGAAGATGATTTTTATGTAGAAAAATCAATAAACATCAACGATTTCGAACTTTGCCACGTCACAACTCATGTTTAGAGTAGAGCTAAGCAGTTTTGAACAGCAGAGGGTCAAAATCTATAAATCCCTCCAAAAATTACCCATTATTCATCGGCGGTGCCGCTTGTGGCGGTTGTGCGAATTGCGAAAACTGTTGAACATGCTGATATTGTTGTTGACCGAAAGCCTGCGGGAATCCGACGTGTGATGGCGCCGGCGGCGGATTCGACATCCACTTTTTGCAATTGGTTACCCGCTGGAAATCTGAATTTGGCTGGAATTTCGGGTTGCAAGAGATGAAAGCGCGAAAAAAAGAAAAATGAAATGAACACTACGGTAGGCGAAATTTTGTGCAAACACGGTGACGCGCAACTGCAGAATATTTTTTCGGATGAAAATTTTTTTCATTTTTTTCCTTTTTCAAAAGTTCTGCTGTTACATGGGTCCCTGCTGTGATTTTATTGCCCAAAAAACTGAATTCGATATCTAGCTGAAAGTTCCACGTGTTTTAATCTATTCGAAAAACTAGGCTTGGCGCGAAAACCAAAATTTTGAAGGCGATTTGAAAATGATGAGATTTGCGGATTATTGACTCACCTTTTCTTAAAGTAAATAAATTTTGAAATGTCTAATCTGCCCAGGTATTTTTTTCAAGAAAAAAAAACTATAAAAGGTCACGCTAAAAAATTCGCAAAAATTACGCGTCATTTCAAGAAAAACGCGAATTTCAAGAGAAAATGATAATAAAATCGAAAAGTATATAATAAATCTGCATATTACATACACATTACATATATTATATAAATATAGTGCGGTTGGCAAGGAAAGGGAATACCGTAGTTAGATTCGCAGGCGCGTTGCGTTCCCCTCTTTTCTCCCCCTTTTCTTCTTCTTCTCATTGCAAGCCTCGATTTTTTGAACACACACATACACAACGATTTTTTCGTGAACGCTGCTATAATTTATTTTTTTTTCATTTTTGAAAATTCTAATCAAAAATTGTTTTTGTTTTTTTTTTCAGGCGGTTCACTGGTTAATGAGCCGTAGTTAAATGGTCAGAATTTATAAAAGGTGAGTATTTGTTGATTTGAAAAATTGAAAAATAAAAATTTAAAGAATAATAAATATCAGAGAATTTTGATGCTAATTCGATGAGATTTTCCAGTTTTCAGTGTAAAATAGAGACTTGTACCTCTTCTTTGAGAATTCTCTTTGTTAATTGATTTGTCATCATTTCGGAATGAATGTGAAGTGGAAGAATATCTCCATAGCTAGTAGAATTGTCTGAAAATGATTTTTTGAAATCACAAAAATTCTTGCGAATTTCAGAAAATACTGAATTTCTCTGAAGTCATGGCAACATTTTTGTGGAGAAAAACCAAAAGTATCTGAAAAGTTACAGCAACGATAGAATACTAAAACCCAATGGTATTTTTTTTTCGAGAAAAAACCCTTGAAGTTTTACTATTCCAACGTTGCTCTAACTTTTCAGATAGTTTTGGTTTTCTGCACAAAATTGTTGCCATTACTTCAGACATATTCGTTTTTTTTAGAATTCGCAAGCGTTTTTGTGATTTCAAAAAATCATTTTCAGACAATTCTAGTAGCTATGGAAATATTTTTTCACTTTCCAATAATTCCGAAATGATGTAAAATCGATTAACAAAGAGATTTTTGAATTAAATTATGAGAATATAAGAAATATATTGATTGAAAAACGCAAATTCGTGGTTCCCAGAAGTCAAAATTGTACACTAACTTTTGTCAAAACTCTAAAATTTGAGTTTTTGTCTCATATTTGGATATATTTTTTAAATTGTACTGTGGCTCACAACTAGATGTGGCTTGACCCAATTCCAAACCGCCAGATGTCCCCAAAAACCTTCTCTAATTTTTCCAGTGATGTCGATATGTCTAGTGGAGAATACAAGGATAAACAAGGCGGTGGAGCGGGTCTCCCGGTAACTAAAGGCGAAGTGAAAGATGGCAAGAAAATGTTGCCAAACGGTATGAGTCGAGTACATCGGGTGTATACTGAAGAGGAAATTGCGCAGGGAAAGAGTACTCGATGGACCGAACTCGAAATACATGGTAAGATATTTTGGATTTTTATTGATTTCTTACAACTCGGTCGTATCATTTAAAAAATGTAGTTTGGCCAAAAGTACAATTAGAGTTTGTAAAGAGAAAATATCGTTAAACACCTGCGCGCCACGTGTCCACACGTGTTCGTTCTTAGACCTTGAAAATGAGAATAGGGATATTTTGTGACCTTCAAATTTGAAAAAAAATAGGAAAAAATGAATAAAAACGTGACATACACTTAAACGTGGAAATTGTAGAAAAACAAGCATTTCGCATTTTTTTTCAAAACTAATTTTGGTGAGCTGGTTAAGATGAGAATTATGTGAGTAAAAAATTTCACAAGGGAACCTTTTTTACTCAACACTTCAAATCTCGATGAAATCTTGTCCAAAGACAGCTTTTAGGGTCATAAGAACACCCTAAAAATTTTACTTACCCAATTTACTTCTGAGCCAAGTTCTGGGCTCTCAAAAGTTGAAAAGTTGCCAAAAATTTTTATGAGTCAATTTTGGAAATTTTTGAACTTTTGAGAGCCCAGAACTTGGCTCAGAGGTTCATTGGGTAACTAAAATTTTCAGGTCGTTCTAATGACCACAAAAAATGTCTATGGACACAATTTCATCAAGAAGTGTTGAGTAAAAAAGGTTATCTTGTCAACGAAAATTGTTGGATAATTCTCAAAATTAATATTCATCGTGGAAATATCGAACTAATGAATTACTGGAGTTCCCATAACTCTCCCTCCCTCATAAACTCGATAATTACACGATGTTCTGCAATAGTTCATAGATTAGCGTCGCATATCAATTTTGATTTAAAAAATGTGCCAATTTTCAATATGTCAAAAAAAAATGTTGAACAGCTACAATAAAACATAAAGGTTTATAATTCGAAAAAAATATTCGAAATAATTATGAGGTACAAACAAACAAATCTAATAAAAACCAAAGCTTACAATTAATAATAGGTTGAAAATGAAATTGGTTTTTCAGGATTACGAATTCAGGGATTTTCGTTAAATGTAGAATGTTATAGATAACATAAAATTGAGAGAAGCCAGACGAAACCTTCCCTTTTCCCAAAAAAGTTCAAATTTTTGCAGGCCGTGTTCGAAATCTCTCGCCATCCCTTTGGAACATTCAACATTTGTCGGCCCTATTTCTAAACGGCAATCAATTGCAACGACTACCACCCGAAATTTCGCAACTCAATCATCTAACAATGCTCGATCTGTCAAATAACAAATTGCGTTCACTTCCAGCCGAATTAGGCGATATGATCACACTGTGCCATTTATATCTTAACAACAATCTTCTACGTGTTCTTCCTTACGAACTTGGTAAACTGTTTCGTGTTCAAACTTTGGGTAAGTTGAGGGAGGGAAAATTGAAAAATTGATTAAAATAACGGTAAAAAATTTATCCACGTTTCAAGTTTTTCAAGGTTTTTGGATTTTTTGCTGTGAAATTTTGAAAATTTTCCAAATTTTTTGACTAGAAAAATTAACAAATTGAACACTTCAAGAACTGAAAAATCCAGTACATGAAAACCTTTCTGAATTCCATTTTTTCAAAATCTCAAAACCCCCTTATTTTGCAGGACTTCAAGGAAATCCATTATCACCAGAAATTAGCAAAATTTACCATGAATCTAACGGCTCACAGCGAATTTTACAATTTTTGTTGGATCACTTGACAAGTGAGTTGTTTTTTCCCCTTTCTCAAAATATTTTATTTTATTTCAAAAAAAAACTAAAAATTTTGAGATAACACACAGTTTTTCTATAATTCCTTATCAAAATTTTGTTTTTCGTAAAAAACTATACAGTGGAGCAGTTGACAGGTCAAATTTTTAGTATTTTTTATTTGGTTTCTCAAAAGATTTTATCAAACCGGTTTGTATTGGTCCTTTGACACTTTTTTTCGAAATTGGGAAGGAGAAGAAGAAAATTGTAATTTTCGAACAAGAACAAACTTGTTACAAAATGATGATTGAAGTTGTTGTAAATTGAAAATGGCCAGGCCCAGAAACGGAAAATTTACTAATTAGAATTGGAATTTAATTATTTCACGATTTTCTTTCCGCTTGAAAAGAGACATCGTTGACGTCATGGTTTTCAGCTCCAAAATTTAGTCAAGCGTACGGCAAATTTATCTCTCATAGCCCATTAATTTCGTATTTTGCGATGAGAAAAGCGGAACTTTTGTGCTTGAAATCGAAGAAAATCTGTACAAAACACAACAATCATCGTCTTAACCAACAGAAAAAACATACTTTCTCTATTCATCTCACATATTTATAAATATGAAAACTGTTTATGAGAGGAAAAAGGATGTAGATATACATTTTTGTATAAATATTGAGAATAAGTTTTGAGACATCAAAGATTATGTTATTGTTATTATTATTGTTTTATTACTGTTACAATTTTGTGTGTTTTGAGACGAAGAAGCGGTTATTGATGACATCAAATAGTGTTCGCGAGAATTTTTTTCGAAAATTTGAAAGTTTTCTGAGAAAACAGAAGTTTGTTCAATCCTGGAATCACTTTAAAGTGGCAAAATTTGGTTCTTGACTTGTTGGATTGAGAAATTCGAACGTTTTTCCGATTTGTACGATAGTTTTTGCTCCGTAGCTTGTTCAAACTTGCTTTTCGTGGATTATTCGTAGCTATGTCGTGGTACTCCGGATTTCTCTAAATTTTGAAAAAATTAGAATAAGTCTCAAAAAACTGGGAAGTTTTCCCGAAACCTATCAAAATTTGGTCTGTGGCAGTATTTTGTTCGATAAAACCTGGATTTTGTCGATTTCCTCGAGCTTCTTCACATGGAATGGAAAATTGCAGCTTCCAAAAAATGTTGTACTTTTTCTGTTCGAAAATTGGTTTGTGTAGATTTCTTTGAATTTTTAAAGGAACTTTATCACGAATTTTACTGAATCTTTCATGAGAGGACACTTGTGAATAATTCTTGAGCTTGCACTTTTCGTAGGTTTTATATTATAATCAAACCTAGAAATTTTTGACTAGGGAATATTTCATTGTTCCCTCAGTCACTTCATTTTCGTCCAAGAAAGTGCAAAAAGCTTATAACTCAATCAAGAAGCAACAAATGTATGTTCGCGCCCTAAAAGTGCAGTCAGTTTGTCTCTTCTTCTTCTCGATAGTCGTTTTCCCCCCACACCTTTTTTTTCTCCAGCCGTTTTTTATTATCGTAATTGATAACACTCTCTTATTTTGCCATACATAAACACATGTTTTTCTCTATTTCTCTAAACTCTCATACTTTCCTTGTTAATAAGAAAAAATAGCAAAATAATATAATTCTCCGCCCATCGTGGGTTTTGAAACCGCCGCCGTCGCCGTTTGAATTCTCTGCTCCGCCCACTTTTTCCTCCCAGTTGTTTGCGCTTTTTTTTCGTTCGCTTTTCCCGGTTCTATTTCTGATTCCTCTTCGTTTTCTACCTGATGGAACATGAGGGCAGCACAAGTTCGAGACGAAATTCGAATGGAAAGCGGTTTGTGAGAAGAGCTAGAAGATGGGCTGAACTACAGCAAAGAAGGCAGGAAAAGAAGCAACTGGAAGAATCGACGTCTTTGCCGAAAGAGCAAAAATGGCGAGTTCCCGATCCGCCAAATGTTTATGACTATGTTGAAATGGCAACAATGGGAAGTGGAGTTGTCCTAATTGATGAACATCATAATTATTCACTTGTTACCGCCGAAGAAAGTCGGAAACCTCATTTGGGACCACGAAGATCATATCCATGCACAGTTTTACATCCACGACGACATTACGGGTTTGCACCACCGCCAAATTATCATTATTATACTGAAGCGATTAATGAATACGGAAATCCAACTTTTATATCAGTCTATCAAACGGGTCCACAAATCACTGTATATAACAATAACAACAATAACAATACTCGACGAACTGTTTCAACATCTGAAGATTCTTTGAGCTTGATTACTCATGATTTATCTAATACTAGTATTTCTGACTCGAGTTCTTCACCAACAACTTCTTCGTCGGAAGAAGAATTGTTTGGAGGAAGGGCTCCAAGACTTGGAGGAAAATTGTTTATTTCTAAACCTCTATATATTCCACCTGATTTTATTGGTTAGTTTTTTGACTTTTTTTGATTCCGGACGTATTTTTCTCTCTAATGAACATATAAAAAATCGATGTAAAAAACCAAAACTTGATAATGAATAGATTGCTATCTAGAACATGTTCCTGTCGGTTTCTATTTCATGAGTTAATTTTGTGACTGAAAACCGGATGACTATGAATGTTTCGTAGATTTTTGCCAAGTTCCCAGCCAGTACGAAAATGTCTGGAAGTTTGTATTGTCTCACAATTTTTCATGAATATTGATTTTTCTCACCCATTGAGCTTTGATTAGCAGAATACAGTAGAATTCTTCATGTTTTGATCCTTTTCAATCCATTGATTAACCAGGAAGAAATCGGTTAATTATTCTTCGCTTGACTTGCTAAAAACACCTTTTTTTGTCTATTAATCCGTCCATTCTTCATCTTCGATTGATCCGAAATAAATAATAGCTTATCAAAAACAACAGTGTTCTTTTCTTTTTTGGATTTATCTCTGTGAGGTAATCGAAGACGAAGCGAAAAAAAAGAAGAGAAGATGATTACGCCATTCGAATGGCACTTTCGATTGATGAGGGAAAATGTTTGCCATTTGTAGCATTATGTTGTGTTGTGTTGGTTCGGCTTTCTTTTTTTGTCTTAACAAGTTTTCGTTCGCTTTTTCTTTTTTGGTTGGTTATGAGAGATGATGGCCTTCTATGGGAGAGGAGAAGGAGGATAATAATGGTTTATGATGGGGAAGATGGTCAACGGTGTTTTATTTGGATTTGGAAGAGGGAAATTTTGAGGTAGATTTTTGAAAAACACGGAAATTTTGTTTGCAATTTTCACAAAAACTTTCGTTATGTGGTCAACAAAGTTTATCTCAAGTCTATAAAATTGGTAATTTCTCGTAATTCCCCGAATCTCGCTTCTAACTACTTTTACAAACTAAAGTTTCCAAAAATAGCCCCCAGGTGATTTTTGTTCACATGATACTACATATTTTCTGCTGTACTCTATGAATAGATTTTCGCCTGCTTCCAACATCTGCTAAAATTCTCAATGACCTTTTTGAGGGGACCACGAGTTTCAGGGACTATTGTTTTTGTGAATCATTCATCAAATATTCATATTCGTTCAATAGTGCAATTCTCGTCGTCCTATTCTAAAAATAAGAAAAAATTCCATCAAAAGTGATGAATAGGCTTAATTTATCGCGTGTGGTATCCATGGATATTTTTTGATTGTTTTTTGTTTCGCCGCTGCGCAGACAGATGTCGAATGGCGCGCTGATGGCTCAAAGAGCAATTCACGATATGTTTGCACACGGTTTCGGGGAAAATAAGAGAATAGTTGTTTTTATTTAGAACAAGCCATTGATTTTTCTCAAAAAGGATAAACTTTTGCACTTTTCTTCGCAGACAGTTAATGTATTCAGTCTTGTTTACTGAAATGAAGGGGACATGAACAAACAATGTTTTTCTATTTATGGAAATTTTTGGAAACAATTTCCGGATGACCTGCTGGTGGAGAACTTGGGAATGATGTCATTGCGGAAATTTGAGCCTGGAATTTTTGAGTTAGGTGGAATAGATTATGTAGATTTGGTGCATTTGAGATTTTTGGAGGGTTTTCCCTGGGAAAAGACAATTTGGCTCTCTGGAAAAGCTATAGGACAGAAAATTCCGAAAATCCAAAAAAACAACAAATCGTCTTGTCCTGGATTTTCTTTCTTTCTCCTCGTGACGATCTTTTGGATTTGTCTTCTCCTTGTAAACACACTAATAATATAAATCGTCTCCTTTCTCCATATTTGTCTAGTGTTTGAAACTTTACACATATATAAATATCTATGTATATTTGTCATAAATACAAAATCCTCCTTCTTCTTCTCGAAATCTTCTTCGACCACTTCACTTGATGAAAATGACGTTCCCACATTTTGCTGAGACCCTCTTGACACCGAAAAAAACCATGGTTTTGAGGAGAAATCCTTGTGTTAAATGAATGACGTTCATTTTGAAATGTGAACAATGTGAAAAGTCAATCATTTTAATTGACGAAACTTTGACATACTTTTCTTCCTGGAACTATTTATTTTGACCTGTTGGGAAACAAAGTACCAAGGATTTTCTTTGATGGAAAAAATGTTGCCAAATTTGGAATGCACTAATTAAAAAAGTATTCAATTACATCGCACAAAATAATTAAAATTGGGATCAAAATACAAACTTTAGATCTGAAAATTCGAATGGAACAGGGAAAGCTTTTAGATGTTTTACAAATTCAGATTTTGAAGAGTTATGACATGGCAACTTTTTAGGTACGATATTTTCTATAAATTCACAAGTTGATGAGAAAAGTTTATCTTCAAGAAAAATTCCGCAAAAAATAATTTGAACAAAAATAATTGTATATAAAAGTTTTAAAGAGAGAGAACAAAACAAAATTGAAGATTTTTCAAAATTTTAATCTATTTTTTTTTCAGTAAATACCGCGCCACCACCGGAACGAAGTTGGGTTATGCTTCGACACGCGGATCCGGAAAGGCCAATAGGTTGGTTTATTTTTTTCAAATTTTTTTGGGCTTCAAAAAATAATGACACAAGGAATCCACCCAAGATGTGCTTATTTTTAGCCACAAATATTTTTTCTCAACAAATCTGGGGGAGATTTGTTTTATTCATGAGCCCTGAACAAGTGTATGTATGTATTTGATTAATCTTGCTCCGCCGCGCGCGCGCCTTATAATATTCATTAGCTCTTTTTTTTGGATTAAAGATTATGGATATGTGTCACACGGGGGAAAAGGAGATTATGGGAATATTTTTAGACTTGGTGTAGATTTGTGTTTTGAGATTGGGAAAAGAGCAAGGAATGGATGTTGAGCAAAGTTTTTGGATTGAGAAAATTTAGAAGGAATTTGGGGAAAATTTCTGAAATTCTCAATAGCATTTGTGAATTGTGATCTAGAATTTTTGCAGCGAAAAAATTCGGGAATTTTGATTTCTCAGAAAATCTAGCCAAAACCCCGAAACTAGGAGATTTCAGAAAAACATGGTTAAAATTTTTTGGCAAAAATTCAATTTTTCAGCAACATTCACCGCATTGTGCTACAATGTCCTTTGTGACAAATACGCAACAGTCAATCAATATTCGTATTGCCCATCTTGGGCGTTGAACTGGGAATATCGGAAGACTCTAATTCTCAAAGAGATTCGAACCTACGAAGCTGATATAATCACATTGCAAGAAGTCGAAACCGAACAATTCCGAACACTTTTCCAACCGGAACTCAAAAATCTCGGCTATTATGGCATTTTCACACCGAAATCGCGCGCCAAAACAATGCACGAAGAAGAGCGAAAATATGTGGATGGATGTGCGATTTTTTGGAAAACTGATAAATTCGAATTGGAACGACAACATGTTATCGAATTCACGTCGTTGGCCATGAAAAAAGCGTCGAATAGTGAGAATATGTTGAATCGAGTTATGCCAAAAGATAATATTGCGCTTTGTGCGGTTTTGAAGATTAAGGATAATGTTTATGCAAATAGTGAGTTTTTAGGGGATTTATAGAGAAAATCTGAAAATTAAAAAAAAACTGAAGATTTTGTCAAAACGTCAAAATTTGAGCTGATAAAAATTAGGGGTTTTTTGACACCAAAAGTTTGAAAATTCAACATTTCCGACCATTTTTTCTTCAAGAAAATTTAAGATTCGGAATCTGAAAAATTGCTAAATTTGGCCCAAAAACTTCGGAAACACAATTGATTTACAATTTTATCTGAAATCCATATTTTCCTATGATTTTCTGTGAATTTATAGAATTTTCAATAAAAAATTCCACAGCTTCAAAATCTGAAAAAATTCAAATTTTTCATGATTTTTGTTAATTTTTGATCAAAACAAGACCCAATTCCTAAAATCATGTTTTCTTACAGTTCCTGGACGTGTAAATAATATCCCAGTCAATGACAATGTTGTCGGAAATCCTCTAGTCGTCTGCACAGCTCACATTCATTGGGATCCCGAATTTTGCGATGTCAAACTTGTACAAACAATGATGTTGGCAAATGAAGTGTCACGTCTGCTCGATGATGTCTCGAAGAAGTTCCAAATTCAAACCCAACAATGTCCAGTGTTGATTTGTGGTGATTTGAATTCGTTGCCCGATTCGGGAGTGTTTGAATATTTGTCACGTGGACAAATCTCGCGAAAACATATGGATTTGAAATTGTTCCGTGAAGATCCGTGCCTCGAGAAGTTTACGACGTCGACTGATCCGAATTTGATTACACATCCGTTGAGGTTGGATTCGGCAATTGATCAGTTGGCTATTCCATTCACTAATTATACGTGAGTTTTTTTGTTAGGGATACAGTTTGAAATTTGAAATTTGAATTCCGATGTTCAGATTCAAAAAAAAATTTTTTTTTTTGTCGAATTTTCAGTGAACCCTGATAATTTCCAGTTCAAATAATCATTTTTCTCAATTTACTCAAAACCACGGAAAATTACGTTTCAAAAATGCGTCTTCTAATGTGAATTGTTTTTCTTGTAATTGGCGAAGTAACGTTGCTTTTTGGAAAAAAACGTAGAATGTGTTTTTATTCGCAAATTCCCGAATTTTTGTGTGTTGCAGAATTAAAATGTTTTTTTTTCGATATTTCAGTGAATCCCGATAATTTCCAGCTGAAAAATACATTTTCTCAATTTTCTAAAAACCACGGAAAATTACGTTTCAAAAATGCGTCTTCTAATGTGAATTATTTTTCTTGTAATTGTTGAAGTAATGTCGTTTATTCCGAAAAATCCACGAATTTAATTTTCAGACTCGATTTCAAAGGAATGATCGACTATATATTCTCAACACCGCAATCGCTGGCTCGACTTGGTGTTCTCGGTTCATTTGATAAGAGTTGGATTCATAATAATAAAATATTGGGTGAGTTTTTTTGGGTTGGAAAAAGCAAGTTTCTGTGTAAAAATTAGTATAAAAATGTCCAGAAAATTTGAAAAACTACGAATTCGGTATAGTTATGACGTGGCAAAGTGGAAACATCACATGCTTATGATTAAAAAAAATTGTTCATGTAAAATTTCAAATTTTAATCTAATATTTTAATTTTCAAAAAAAAGAGGTTTTTAGTAATTCACGAAAAAGTTTTAGAAAAATCAAAGCTGCGCAAAACCCCAACCAATTTTCCAATTTCCTAGGTTTTCCTCATCCTCACGTGCCATCCGATCACATTCCAATAATGGCTCAATACGCCATAATTCCAACATCACATCAACGAGCTCCACCTCCACCACAAACCTCCTCCACCAATTCGTATTCGGGTGTGATTGGTGGCGGTTTGCCATCACATCACTCATTTTTGCGATAATCCATCCATCTCCAAGTCCAAATTCCCGTCCATTTTCGGCCCAAAACCTTTTTGATACCTCATTTCTCTCTCTCTCTCTCTTCACACACCAGCTACTTTTAATTCCAATTTTCATTTCTCATAATTTTTTAGTCAAAATTCGTGTTTTTCCTCGATTTCACCTACTTTTTTCTGTCGAAAGCCTCGATTGTGATAAGTAATTTTGGGCTTTTCCTTCTTCTTCTTCTCGATAATTTACGAGTTTTGGGTTCAAACTATATTTATTTTATTCTCTATTTTTTCGAAACGAACTTATTCTTCTTTTATTTTTTCAAAAAATATTTATTTATATTTTTTCTTTTTCTCGACACCCATTTTTTCTATTTAAGTAACCCATGGGGTTTTTTCCTAATTTTTTGTCATTTTTTGGTGTTCCCCTCGCCCTCTTCTTCCTTTTTTCCCAGTTTTTTATGCATTTGTTGTAAATTTTTCGACCACCACAGAGATTTTTTGTTTTTTGGTTGATTTTTCTTTTTTTGGAAAGTTGAATTTTATTCTCGTCTTTTTCTTGCAGGAAATGAAGAAAATTCGGATTTTGATTCATTTTTTTGTGTTTTTTTATTGAAGCTGTGTTGAATCAGTTTTTGAAAATTATTTTGAAAAAAATGTTTTCATTTTTTTTAAATTTTCAGTGAAATGGATTCTTCAGTTTCAAAATTCTGATAATTTCCAACTAAAAAATCATTTTTCTCAAAACCTTTGAAAATTACGTTTCAAAAATGCGTCTTCTAATGTGCATTATTTTTTTTGTCAATAATTTATTGAATTCTATCCTATATCTGTTCAAAATATATTTTTTTCGTGTATTTTGTATTGAAGCTGTGTTGAATCAGTTTTTGAAAATTATTTTGAAAGATACTGAAACATTTCACATTCAGAAAAAAATATTTTTAATTTTTTTTAAATTTTCAGTGAATTGGATTCTTCAGTTTCAAAATTCTGATAATTTCCAACTAAAAAATAATTTTTCTCAAAACCTCTGAAAAATACGTTTCAAAAACGCGTCTTCTACTATGCATAATTTTTTTTTGTCAATAATTTTTCGCATTCTATCCGATATCTTTTCAGAATGGGTTTTTTTTTCGTGTATTTTGTATTGAACCTGTGTTGAATCAGTTTTTGAAAATTATTTTGAAAGATACTGAAAAATTTGACATTCACAATCAGAAAAAAATATATTTTCATTTTTTTGAATTTTCATTGAACTGGATTCTTCAGTTTCAAAATTCTGATAATTTCCAACTAACAATAATTTTTCGCAAAACCCCTGAAAAATACGTTTCAAAAACGCGTCTTCTATTGTCGAATTCGAAAAATGTGGCAGCCGTAAAAAAGGAAAACCAGTGCAGAGCTGAATGAATGACAAACTCGTTACTTCGTCAGTCGCGTGCGGCTGTGCGTCGCGGCCGAAAAACAAAGGAAAAAATAAATAATTGTATGATTTTCGACCGCGACGCACAGCCGCACGCGACTGACGAAGTAATGACTTTGTCATTCATTCAGCTCTGCACTGTTTTTCATTTTTTACGGCTGCCACATTTTTCAAATTCGACAATACTATGTATTATTTTTTTGTCAGTCATTGTTGGTATTGGATCTTGTCAATAATTTGTTCGAATAATATACGATTTGCGAGTTACTCAAACTTCAAGCGCATCTAAACTTCTATTCAAAATTCATAACGAAATCTTACATAATATTGGATTTTTATGACTTTTAAAAATAAATAGCAAAAAATGATCTTGTTCTCAAATTATCATCGAAAAATCATCAAAAAAAATGCAGTTAGTCATAACTATGTATAAAGAAACACGCCAAAGCACACAATCCTTATCATTTTCAAAAAATCAAAGTTTCGCTGCATTCACTTAAAAAATGTTGTCATTTTTATTTGTACTTATTTTCTCAGCGAGTTTCGTGGCTCCGGATAATTTGAGTGAGTTAGCCTAATCTAAAAGTTAAGAAATTAATATTGATTTTTAGGTTGCCCTTCAAATCCCATCGCTTATTCCAAACCAGCTGATACTAACACAATATTTCATTATCCAAACACTTCAAATCAAATTTTCAACCATGGCAATACTTGTGAATTCAATTTTAATGTCCCATATGGTTATGCGATTTCCCTAACATTTTCAACAAATGGAAGTGCAACGGTGATAGATTCGAACAAGATTTCAAAAATCTATGAATCAAATGATAATAATCTTGTGTTTTTATTGTCTCCTGGAGGAAGTTTACAATTCAATACAATTGGTGAAATATCATATTTCAACATGACTTTCCAATATTTCACAATCTATCCAGAATATCAATTTAATATCAATATTTCTGCGTCATCTCGCGACCCATTCTCATCAAATAGTATCTTCGAATATCCGACTGTTATTACATCAGACACTCGAATCTCTTTAATAACAATTCCAACAATCGACGCGCCTTTGCCTGATCTTTCGGAATATGTTCAACAATTGAAAGCGACTGTGATTTTTGATGGGCCAAATATTAATTCGAGTTATATTGGAAGTTTATACGATCAGTATTTTTCGGAAAATCAATTGGTTTCAACAGGAAAAAGTTTGACAATTGTGACGATTGGAAATCCAAATCCAAATCTTCGAGATATTGCAACTATTGTTCTACAGGATTATAGCCTAACTTCAAAATACAATCCTTATTTTGGTGTTGCTTTGAAAAATAACCATGATATTCGAAATGTTCAAATAAATCTAGGAACCAACAATCAAGCGGCAGCATTTTTAACGATTATGGGAACCCGAATGGCTGAATATTTGATGTCTACAGATTTGAATCAAGGAAAAATCGATGTTTACATTGGCTCAACTTTTGATGAAAATTTGATTGCGAGTTATGATAAGGATAATGTGAAGAATTCGTTGCCTCAAGAAATTCTGGGAATTCATCGAACTTACGTGATTAGTGGGAATAGTGAAGGACATGTTAGTTTGAATTTGACAAGGAGTTCAGAAGCTTGTGAGTTTTTGAAGAAGTTCATGATTAAAAATTGAAATTCCAAGAATTCTGGAAATCTAAAAATTAGAAAAGATAAAAATTATTTTAAACGTGACCTCTTTTTTATCATTTCGAAAAAAAATTCAAATTTCATTTCAGCCGGTTTTTCGAACGCTTTCATTGGTCGCAAAGGATTCCTCGCCTCGAGATACTACAAATCGCCCCAAGTTCTATCCATCGATGAATCTGCTGATTACCTCAACTCAAATCTATCGCTCAACTTCAATCTCGACATCAAACACGTCGATTTAACCGGAAACAGTTCGCTATATGTAAATGCTGCATTTTTCAACAAGGATACTGCGAATCTGTGTTTCAATCGAACGAATCTGGCGCCAGCGAATTTGATTGTTCCAGGGTCGAAATTGCAAGTATATTATGTGACTGATTTGAATACGACTGGATTTTATTTGGATTATCAGATTACAGATAATAAGTCTGTTGGCTTGCCAGCGATTTTCACAATTTTCATTGTGATTTTAAATATAATGAATTAATTATTCATACAAAAATAAAAGGATTTTCCGAATGAGGTTCAGCATTTTTGATAGTTCGACTACAAACTTCTAATATTTTGACACATGGATTCACAAGTGGTCGACCCTTCTTCACAGTATCCTGATAGGATTCGAGTGGATAACCGAGTCGACAAGTTGTGAAACATGATCGAAATCTGAGACATGCGTTTGCGTATTCCATGCATCTTGCTTCATCCATGGCGGTTTCAGAAACTGCATCATCTGGAGCATAAATCGGATCTTTTTTGACGATACATTGACCGTTTAAACGATCACATAGACGGTTTTCAGCGTCGTTGACATCTAGGAAATTGCTGGAAATTTTAGGCGGATTTTTAGTAGCTTAGAGAAGTTGACTGACGCATTTTTAGTAGCTCTGAATGTTGCTGATACGTTAATTATAGCTCCAAGTTTTGCTGACGCATTTCTAGTAGCTCTAAACTCTGATGACACGTTAATTGTAGCTCCAAGTTTTGCTGACGCATTTCTATTAGCTCTTATCTTTATTACTGACGCATTGTTAGTAGCTCGGAACTTATATTCCACTCACCAGTTGACAACTCCAAAAATAAAAAGCAAAATATTGATTGATTTCATTATTCAAGAAAATTAAAAATGAATTAAATACAATTTTGTCCACAAAAAAAAATCCAACTTGTGTCACGTTTTTTCCAAAAATTAATTTATTAGATAAAAATTTCACAAAAATTATTACAATCTCAAATCCGCCGATATTTTCTTGGCCTCTGAAAAAATGACGTCATCAGTTGGAAATGAATCTCTGGAGCTCAAAAATTCGCATCTAATCAGAAATTCGACACTCGAAGATCGACATTTGGCATCGCGCCAGATGAAAAAGTTTGGCGAACGTTTCTCGATTTTGTAGGTGAAGTGGCCAAAACAGCTGCGATGGTTTTGAGGGCTGAAAAATATATAAGTGTTGAGTTTTGGAAAAAAATGGGAAATTATTTTAAGTTCTCACGTTCTTTTGATAAGATATGCTGTGTCGGCTCCTGGACAAATTAGGTTGCAATAATTTCGAGGTTTTCCATTAGCAGATTCCTGAAAAATTTAAATTTTAAGAAAAAATATATCATTTTTGACCCAAAATGTTGTGAATTCAAAAATTGGCCCAACTGAATTTATTGGGTCCATTTCAAAATATCCCATAAAAAATCGAGTCTTTGTGCAAAAATGAAAATCAAAGGATTTAAATTAGCAGACAAGAAAGACGAATTATTGAAATTTGAGACAAAATAGAGTTTTTGCTTCTTTTTTTCTGCATTTTCATTTTTCTGGAACTATTCATTTTACTAAACTGACTGACTAAAAATGCAATTTTTGAAAATTACTTTTTTTTAGCTTTGCCAGCACATGTGCTTGCTGAAGAGAACAAAAAATTAATTATGTGAATTTGTATTAGCTCTGATTTTTGATTTACTCGTTTTTTTTTTGGAAAAAAAAAATGAAATATCGTGTGAACTTCTGATTTCATTCAAAGTTAGTTCAAGTTTTTCTTGACAAGTCGAGAAAATTTGTAATTTTTAGTCGTTTTAGGTATGGTTGAGATGTTTTCTTGAGCAAAAATTAGAAATTCTGGGGCGGGAAACGTGTTAGTTTTTGTTCCAAAAAATAATGTACTTTTTTTTAATTAAATAAATGTTTTTTATTTTAAATTTTGCCACATCATAACATGTTTTCTATACATTCTGAAATTATAGAAAAATAAAATTGTAGGGGCCTAAAAGTCTATAAGGTCCTAATCCCCAAAAGTTAGCCTAAATCCTCAGCCAACCTCAAAACACGGATCAAACGGTGCCAACCGTGGATTCTCATCATGTTCCGATTCCAAAAGTGAGATTCGACAAGGCGAGGCGTCTTTCTTCTGAAGTGGAGAATCGCCCGACTTTTCGGAACATTGTAAAATTCGCCACTCTGAAAATTTATCGATTTTTGAATTTTTGAAGCTCAAAACTCAAAACTCACGCCAATGCACACTTTCAGCGTTCAAAAATCCAACGAAAAGTGAAATTGAAATCAAAACAATTTTCATTTTCGAAATGGGAAAAGTGAATTTATCATAAATTTATTTGTTTTTATTATTATATTATCCTTATCTATTTGGGTTAATAGAGAATGTGATTATTCTGGTTTTTCGGGAGAAAAAAAATGAAGTGAACTTTTTTTGGAACCAGGCCAAATAGAAGCTCGAGAAATTTGGCTCAAAACTTTTTTTTCGGCAAAATTAGCCTAACTTCAAGTAGATTTCAACAAAAAATTGTTTGCAAATTAATTTCTGAAACACTGTGAGAAAATTTGTTCTATGCATTTTTTCCAGCCAATTTCTGTTGAAAAATATTTTGAGAAAATATATTTGCAGCTCAAAAATTCTCAAATTAATATATTAGAGTTCACTTGAATAAGTTTGAGAAAAGTTAATGAGATCACATGGTGTGACGGAAAAAGAAGAAAAATTTAATATTAGACAAATTTCAGATTTCATGCTCAAAATGAAAGTTCTTTTTTTTTCAAATGAAAATATTTTCTAGATGGTTTTCAGTAGTTGAACTTCAGAAAATAAACTCTGAACATCCCTCATCTAGTAAATAATTCCGCATTTCAGATCTCATAGCCTCAAAAAACCATGTGGTTCGATGATTTGACACCGGTCGCTTGGCCTTTAAATGCTTGGTATATTATGACAATTATAAGTGTTCCGGTTTATTTGATTGTTGTTATTTGTTTGATCAGATTGAGATTGTGCTCCAAAACCTATAATACTACTTTTTATACAATTTTATTGCAACATGTGAGTTTTTGAGAAATTTACATTTTCAATATTGAATTGAATTTGAAAAAAATGGGGTTATCTGAAACTTTTTTTTCACAAAAACTTCTGTAATTTTTTTGAAAAAAGTTTCAGAAATTCTTCCACAAACATTTTATCTTTCTTATTCATAGCTTGAGCTCATTGAACTATCAGTTCACAGTTCAAACTGAACTTTGATGGTCGAAAAGCAAAAATTTTTATGTTAATTAGGAAGCTTAGACATCATGAGTCAAATTTCAAAAAAATTTGATCATTGAACCAATTTGGAGCAAAGACTACAAGACTCTAAACTCGAAGAGATGTCTAGAAATTTTTTTTGAAGTATGTAGTTTGAACTAGATAACTATTTTCACGGGGGTTCTGAGAATTTAAAATTTGAAAAAATCACGTTTACATCTGAAATACACATTTCTAAACGACGTAATTTTAACCATCATTTTTTCATGTGAAACCCAAAACATTTTCCAGAGCTTTGCCGATCTTCTAACATCACTCTTCTTCTTCTCATCTCAATATCCTCGAAACATCCAAATCATCCGTGAATTCTATTTCGAATATCAACATTACTACATAGCTCCAGCCACCTACAACTCCATTTATTATTTTCTATACGTCAGATGCTCTGGAATCATGTTGCTTTCTTTTCAAAGATATTTGATTATCGCATCACCAACTGCTAAATTTACACAGGTATTTCGAATTCAGGTTGCTCATTCATTAGACTGGAATTAATTTGCAGATTGTGCAAGAGGCTAAAAATTGGAAAATAGTTGTTGTATATTGGACGATTCCCACGTTGATTAGTTTGATTGTTTTGAAAGATGTCGATATTACTTTTGATAATTTGGAAAATATGTCAATTGTGGTGGATAAAAGTATTATTGCGGTAAGAATTTTGCCCTTGGGAGTTTTCGGGAGCTTTAGGAAACTCACAGAAGCTTTCAGTAATTTTAGACAATTTCGCAGCTCTCATCTAATTTTGTGATTTATTTTTGAAAAAAAGGAAGTTTGTGTGAGTTCGATCAAGCGGAAAGATTTGAAAGTTATCTCTATTTCTAGAAAATTCTTGTTGAAAAATAATTTTAACATCAAAAAATCACGTAAACCATGAATCCCCACTTGATTTAAATTCCAAAATTAATTCCAGAAATATTTTAGCGAAATACCCTGATGGCTCTAATCGTCACAAGTGTCACTTGTATTTTCTGCACTACCGTATACCTTCTACTATTCTATTATATCCGAACTCATACCGCGAATTTGATCAGCAAAAGTTTGCGACGAGAAATGCATTTGGCTGTTCAGGTGTTCATTCTTCTCATCGGACTTTTCGGGATTTTTTTGTATTATTCTTTTCAGAATTATTTTTCGAAACATAGTAATGTGAGTTAAACCTGAGGCTTCTGATTGTGAAAATCAGAATTAATTCCAGGCCGGTCCAATTTATTTCATGCGATCTCTCTACCCACTTCCAAACGGCATTCTATCCTACCTGAATCCATTTTGTATCCTATTTTTGAATCGCGATTTAGCTCGTCAAGTTTGGCGATCAGCGAGATGTGCGAAGTTATTGGTGAGCGATGTTCGAGCTTCAACTTTACAATCCACATCGAATCGACCAGCTGTGAAAATTACGAAAGTTCGAGCAATTGCCTAAATTATTTTTTTTAGTTATGTGGAATTTAATCAAAATTTGTTATTAGAAATAAATAAATTGAAAGGGTCTGAAAAATCGTCTCAAATCTGTCTGGAAGTCAATCTCGACTGAAAATTCATCTGAAAATTGATTAAAATTTCTCTTCGAAATCCCATTTTGGCTGAATTTTTGGACCAAAAATTAAGCTTCAAATTAATTCTATCCCGAAAAAAATCTGAAAATCTTAGCTCAAAAAATTGCTTGAAAAAATTGACCCTTTATTTCTGCAATAAGGAACTTGTTTTTTTTTTTCAAATGCCAGTCACGTTGTTGTTTTTTTCGGGATAAACAAGCACTTCTTCTTCTTCTTTTTTTCTTATTTTGTCTCATTTGTTATTAATTAAGTTCTCTTTTAGTTAGTCTGCATATTTCATTTATGAATGTTTTTTTCCAGAAAACTTGGAATTCTTTTTTCTCTGAAATTGAAAAATTAGTTTTTCACACGCTCTGAACTTTTTGTGTGGGGAGGGGTGGAAATACGTTTTCCCAGGGATGTTTGGGGGCTGAAAAGGGTTCCAGATCTATGAAATTTGTTATTTGAAAATCTGAAACTAGCTCCATTTTTTTGTCAAAAAATTAGCTCTCTTTTTCTCAAAATTTTTCATTGACAATAAAATCAGGTTTTTTTTTCAATTTTTTGAAACTCCGAATTTTGATGTTTTTAAATTAAAATTCCCCGATTCTAAAAGTTTTCATTCAAACTTTCAAAAAACATTCTTGTTTTTTTTTTCTTTGTGTTTTTCAAAGTTCCTAATTGAACTCCCCCCGAAAAAAGAAAAAAGTTAATCAAGATCTCCAGCTCCGCCCTTCCCCAATTTTTCTCACGATCAAAGGAAAACTTATGTTTTGCAGATTAATTAATTTTTTTGTTCTGTGGTAAAATTTGAATTTGGATTCGGTTTTGAGAATTTAGAAAATTAAATTCTTTGAAAACTCAATTTCAGGTTTCAAAATCTCAAAAAATTCCAGAAATGTCCTCGATCCCTTCCTGGCCACTGAATATTTATTACATTATGACAATAATATCATTCCCAATTTATTTTTTGGTTACTGTATGTTTGATCAGACTACGGTACTGCTCAAGTTTGTATCGAACCACGTTTTATACAATTTTATTGCAACATGTGAGTTTTTGTGGGCTTTGAAGTGTTAGGAGACCTCGAGGAAATCTAGTTATTCTGAATTTTATTTATTTATTTTATTTATGATGTGATTTTGTTTGCAACACAAGTTCAGACAAATAATTGCATTTAGAAGTAATTAATTTTTTTTAGAAAATAATTCAATTTTTTCTGGAAATATAATTTTTCAGAATCTGAAAATGTTTGAATTTTGAGCCCAAAGTTATTTATAGATAGGATTTAGGTAATCTGAAAAATATTCATCTGTTGTTATTTATTTTTTGAGCTAAAAAAAAATGACGATATGAAATTCTGGAATTAATTTCAGGCTGGGGGGAATTTTAAAAAAATTCGAAGCACAATTTTTTTTCAGTAAGAATTTTAATTTTGAAATTTGATTTAAAGATGAACAATGCCTCAAAATCAGCTGAAAGTAAAAATTCTGAGCTCAAAAAATCACAATTCTCCACTTTTTTTTTTTTTTTTTTTTTTTTTTTTTTTTTAGCTAACCTGAGCAATGCCTCAAATTCATCTTTAAAAAAACGATTCTGAGATGAAAAACCAATATTTTTGGCTAATAATGTCTCTGAAACTTAGAAAATAATAGTTTTGGTATAATTTTGTTCAGAATTTTTAACAATTCCTAAATATTTTGTATCAAAAATCCTAGAAAGTTTAAAAAATTCGTAAAATGAATTTTAAAATTCCAGTGCCTGGCTGATCTTCTCACAATCTTCATCTTCACTCTAATCTGGGCAATCCGAATGCTGCCCGGTCTCAAAGAATTCTATTTCACCTACCAAGAATACTACATAGCTGCCGGCACCTACAATTCAATTTATTATTTTCTCTACATTCGTTGTTTTGGTATAGTTCTTCTAAGTCTTCATCGATATATTGTTATAATTCTTCCAATGTCAAAAATCTCTCAAATTGTCCAACATCTTCCAAGTTATCAAATTATTCTATTTTATTGGACTATTCCAACTTTAATAAGTATCGTAGTTTTGAAAGACACTAATTTTTCATATGACTCAATTGAAACTATGGACATCGTTGCGGAAAGAAGTGTGATTACGGTATGTGCCTTTAACGTTGCCACGTCATAACTTTGTATTTCCAGAGAAACACATTGATGGCCTTGATCGTAGTTAGCCTAACCTGCCTGATTTGCTCAATTTCATACGGTGCACTATTTATGTTCCTACGAAAGCATAGTTTGGGCTTGAGTCGATCACTTCGTCGCGAGACCCATTTAGCTCTTCAGGTCTTGTTTCTTCTTCTCGCATTTTTTGTCATTTTTATCTATTATGCTCTTCAGAATTATTTTTCAAGAACGCAGAATGTGAGTTTATTTTTTGAGTGAATTTTGAAAGATATTAGAAATGAGCCAATAAATTTTGGAGCTACTAGAAAGGCGTTAGCAAAACTTGAAACTACTAGAAATGCGCCAGCAAATTCTAGAGGTACTAGGAGAGCGTCAACAAAGTTTGGAGCTTCTAAAAATGCGTCAGTAAATTTTAGAGCAACTAAAATTCTAGGCACATTTTAATTTTGACTTTTCAATTTCACTTGAAGCGTGAAATGTTTCAGAGAAATTCCAAAGACTAGATTTTAGTATTCTGAAATTCTTTTTTTGTTTCAAGTCACGCATGAATAAGGAAATGACTTTTAGTTTTTGTGTGAGAAAATGTGTGTGGGGTTCTATTTTGGAACTTTTGTTCCCTAAAGTATAAAGGTGAAATCATAGGGTGAGATTTTTGTGGGAAAAAATTGGATCACTAGAGAACCTTACTGAAGTTTAGCTGAGTTTTGGTGCCGGCAAATTTAGGGATTTGGATTCTGGCAAAAAAATTATAAAAATGAAGTTAGAGACACAGAGGATACACCGTACTTCGGTTGAACCTTCTGAATTCCCAAAAACATCCTGCCACGTGACAATCAATCAAATTTCCAGTCGGGACCAATCTACACAATGCGAGCAATTTATCCGATCGCAAATGGAATTCTCAGCTACATAAATCCCTATTGTATAATTCTACTAAATTCGGATTTTTCGAAACAATTCAAAAATTCACTCATATGTCGAGAAATCAAAGTGGTGGGTTGGATAGATTTATTTTTTTCTGGAAAAAAAATACATTTCAAAATCCAGTTTTCTCTCCCGACAAAAATCCGAATCCAAAAATAACGAAATTCCAGAGCGAGGTGAAACGATCAACCAATCAAACGCCGGCCACAATTATGAAAATTTGACAAGTTCAAGTACAGTAACCCGGTTAATTGCGTTTTTGTTGTCCAATTTTTGAAAATAAAAAAAATGTATCATTTTTTTCGGCGGGGAAAAGAATAATCGACCCGTGACTGGATAATTGTTTTTTGGTATGTCATGCGTGAAAAAAAAATACGCTCCACCCAGTGAAAATTGCCCCAGAAACTTTATTTTTTATTGTTGCCCAGTTATCCGGTGAATTTTGAATAACAAAAATGCGGATTCTGATTTTCGCAATTTTTGCGGTCGCCTTGATTTATTCGCTACCCGTTGGAAAAGATGTGGAAAGTGAGGAGAATCCTGCCGCCTCAAATCTGACGAATTCAAAATCAAGTTCGAAAGAAAATGAAGTTGTCGATGAGGAGCTGGTTTATGATGAAGAGCCGGAAGAGATCGAGGAAGATTTGGAAGAGAATCAAGACGAAGTTCAGGTAGATCAGAAGCGAATGAAACGTGGAATGTATAGTTCAGAAAGGCAGGAAGAAGTTATTGAGATTCATCATGGAATTCATAAGAGGAATGCTGAACATCAAGATCATAGAGTTCGTCGACATGATCATCATAATTTGGTAAGATCTAGCAGATCTTAGATAAAATTTGAAGCCTTTGAACTTCAGGAATTCTAAAAATCATTGGTTCAACCTCAAGCCTAACAGTAGAATTTTTTCTAACAAAAATCACTTAGCCTAAATTTAAGCCTAAAGTTATGTTTAAATTAAAATCCTTAGAATACAAGCCTAACAATGTTCCTAACTGTTAGCAGCAGATCCATTTTTGCCACGTCCTAACCACTTATTTTTTCCAGCACCATCAATCCAACACAACTCACAAACTCGTCAAAAGAAACACCGAGGAAAACAATCATCATCAAGTGAAGCGAAGCGTGAGTTCCGATAAGTTCCTCAAAAAAATCTTTAGAAACTTTTTTTCTCAGGATCACCACGAGGCTCAAAAAAGATCAGAATCTCATAGCCATCCAGAAAAACGCAGTGTAAGTTTTGCAATTCTGGAAATTCTAGAAGTTTCCATTTTTCAGAACGATCATCGAGTTAAAAGAAATATCGAAAATCATGAGCATCATGTTGAGAAGCGAAATGTACGTTTAAGAAAAAATAGGGTAACTTGAGAATTTTACAGGACGATCATCATAATGCGAAAAGAAGCAGCGATGTTCACGGCCATCAAATTGTCAAGGCAAGTTTTCAAGTTACTGTAACTAGGAAAATCGATAGGTTTTTCAGGATGAGCACAAAAACAATGTGGTCAAAAGAAACTCGGATGATCATCATGGGACTGTGAAACGAAGCGTGAGAAAATTTTCCATGATTTCTAACTGCCACGTTTTCAAGGTTTAAATTCAGTTCCAAAAATTTCAGGACTGCCACCACTCAACAGCCAAACGTAACTCCGATTCCGAACACCCTCCTCATCACATCATTACCAAACGCTCCGACGATGGTTTCGGACACATAATGCAGAAACGAGAACCCGGTCAGAAAACCGGCGCACATCGACAACCTCGCAGTGCCGATCAAGGACACGAGGAAGACGATCCGGCTGATGAGATTCGAGTTGATGAAAATGAGGAGCAAGAAAAGGAGGAGGAGAGAGAGAAGCGAAATATCGTAGCTTCTTCGGAGGAGAAAATCGCGAGCGCCAAATTTGCCAGCGACGTTGAACCGATCAACGAAAACTCAGTAGGTATATTTATTTCGAATTCTATCTAAACGGGTTCAAAGATGGCGGGTTTTGGTTGAAAACTCTTAACAATTTGGGCCAAGCTTCAAGCCGAACTCTAGAATTTCCCAAGCCTGAAAGACTCATGACTCAACTGAGGAAACAATGTGATTTAGCTTCAAGCCTAGCTCTAGCATATAGATTTTCAGAAATTTATGGAACTGTAAAATCCTAAGCCTAAACATCCTTTCACTCAACTATATATTTTTTTTTAATATGACCTCAAACTCGCTCGGGGGAAATTTTTTTTTAAAATGTTGAAAAACTCACATTTCCTCCAGTTTTCTTCAAAATTCAAAATCATTCAACTTCAATTCGCTTCAATAATTGTTTCGATATTCCATCATGTTGCTGACGTTTTTCCTGTAAAATAGAATTGAGTGAAATCTAAATAAGAACTCCAAAATGAAGAAAAATTCAAGGAAGTAAATTTTTTCATAAAACTACTTTTTGAGCACCAGTTCTAGTACAAAACTATCGAAAATCAACTAAAATTATGTTACTTGTACTAGGAAAATAGATAAATATGAATTTGACAACAAGTTTCATTCAAATTCATCGTAAAACAACAAAAAATACGTGAATGAAAAGTTTTCGAAAAACAAAAACAAGAAAATAAAAGTAAAAATGGAAGTGCGCCCTATTGATAATTACATGTCTCGCCACACACGTTCAAATGGTGCAATGAGTCTTACTGTTTGCAAACACTCTGCGTATCTGTGTGTATGCAGATTTTCCTTTTTTTCTCTCGCACACTCCGTGTTTCACACTCTTTTTTTGTCATGTTACAGTAGAATTTTAAAGGAACATAATGTTTTTTACGTGCGATATCTCGAAGCGATGGTGACTTTTTTCCTAGGGTGTTTGGTGAATCGGCGCATAGTTATTCAACTAGATTCGAATACGTAGATTTCGAATATCTAATCATATTTTTTTTCGGTTAAGCCATTTTGTCATAACAGGCGACACCGATTTCAGTTTTGTTTAAAGGCGCATTGCATCATTTTCTTTTGCTTGAACATGTGTGTCGCACTCTCTCAAAAAATGTGTGTATTTCGTCGTTGCTGTTTTATTATCAGATCTGAAATTTTTTGAAGCTTGAGCTCAATTAGAAGTCTAACATCCAACTGTAATTTAGGGAAAAAAATTTTGAAAGCGAATTTTAAAAGTACATAGAAGTTTATGTTGTATTTCAGATTCTCAATTCCCAAAAACTCAATACATCAATCAATTTTCAGCCGTTCGACGAGTAAAGCGGGTTTCGCGCGCGGGCAGCAGTCATAAAGTACGTACACTAACCAAAAATCGTGGAAATAGTAAAGCCGGTGGAAATGACACAACAAACAAAAACAATGCGCCAACTTCTTCTAACTCCTAAATAACTTCTCCCAACTCCCTCGCTTCTATAACTTATTGTTCTTGTTTTTTGTCTATCATTTCCAAGTGCTCCTCTATTTTTTTCCACACATTTTTTTCTGTATGTTTATTATATAAACACCTTGTATTTTTGAACATTTTATGCTAAAAAATCAATAAAAATCTCACAATCTTTCTATGCAAAATAATAAGTATGATATGAAAATTATTAGTATTTAGAAAATTTGAAAAAAAAAATTATGCAAGTTCGAGAAAATCAGAAAATGTTCACAGTTTTACCAGTTCGAAAATCAAAAAAAAAAGAAGTTAGTTTAGAATTTTTAATAAAATAAAAATGAAATGAGATTCGTGTTTTGGGGGGTGAAAATGCCAGAAATTTTTTTGTTTTGTGGGGGAATTCTAAGATTCAGAGTTACTTAGTGGAGAAATGTGGATTTGTGTAGGAGAAGTTGAGGAATGCTTCTGGGTCGATTGAAGCCAGCAGATTTTTGTCGTGGACTGGTGTCAATTGAGCTTTTTCGTTGGTGAAATCGTCGTCGAAATTCGATGCGTCGGAGGTGGATTTCTGGAAAAAAATGGATGAAAAGGGAGTTCACGAGTTTTCATTAAGAGCCCAGGATTTTTTTGGGCCGAAACAGAGCTGAGTAGTTTAGAACTTAATCTTTTTCTTCTAGGCGTTCAGGAACATTTTATGCTTTTTCAAGCCTTTAAGACTTTTTCTGGAAATTTTACAGCATTGCTCAAATTTTTATAATGTGAGCTAGTATCAGCGATTTTTCTCCAAAATTCTTCAATTCAAAAAATTCAAGCATAGCTCATATTAGTAAATTTTCATTCAAAAAAAGTGCTAAAATTCTGTGAATACCAAATTTCATTTTGAGATTATTGATCTAAACTTCTACCCCTTAAAAAAACTCACAATCTGTGGTTTGAAAGGCGGTGGAACTTGTCGGCTCTCAAACCTCTTCCAATCCACACCACGGAAAAAACAATGTTGTCGAATCGGACCATCCGGACATTCAGGCATTCCCAATCGAGTATTCGGATTTCGATCAAATAACGCGGATAGACATTTCGCCGATTCTTTGGAGATTGTTTTCGGGAAATATGGTCGTTCATTCAAAATCGAATCAAATAATTCATCTTCACCTTCACCGTGGAATGGTGATTGTCCAACCAACATCTCATACATCAATACACCAAATGACCAGAAATCAACAGCTTCGTTGTATAATTGTCCTTTGATGATTTCCGGACTGATATAATCTGGTGTTCCACAAAAAGTGGAAGCCATCCCATTTTCTCGATTCATCTCTGTTTTTGCCATACCAAAATCAGCTAATTTGATATGACCATCGCAATCCAGAAGTACATTATCGAGTTTGAGATCTCGATAGATTATGTTATTTGAGTGGAGGAATTGAAGAGCTACAACGATTTCGCAGGCGTAGAAACGGGTTCGAGCTTCGTCGAATTTTTTGACTTGTTGAATGTGATGCATCAAATCACCGCCATTCAAGTATTCCATCACGAAGAATAAATATTCCTGGAAAATTGGAATTTCAGATGTTTCAATTTTCAGCCTCAAGGGGAATTTCCAGGTTACTGAAGCTGTGAATCCATACATTTTCAGCGCAAACGTTAGGTAATTTTTTCAGAAAATTTTTTAGATGACGCAGAATTTTTAGTTTCACGTCCAACCTTAAGTTAGGCCAAGTTTGCCACGTCTTAACTAATTTTCAAAGATTATTCAAAATGATTATTTAGTTTTAAAGATAGCTTTTTCTGAATTTCTAGAATTTTAGAACTAGTTTAAATTGCCACGTCATAACTCAAATCCCCAAAACAACTTACATTAGTTTGAAATGAGCAATACAATTGGCATAAAAACGGACATTGACTGGCAAGAATGAGAACACGTCTTTCAATATATGTACATTCAGTGTCATCATCTTCCAAAATCACATCCTTCTTCAAACATTTCATCGCATAATACTCATTTTTTCCCTTCAATTCAACCAACATCACTTTACCAAACGAGCCTTTTCCCAAAACTTTGAGCAAATTAAAATGTGGTAATGCATATTTTCGAACCGGTCCGTCACCACTTCCACTCCACAAATTATCCATATATTCTTCTTGCTCTTTCTGCTCTTCTACACTATATTGATGAGTTCGGAAGAGGTTTTTCAATTTGTTCAAGCCATTTTTCGGAGTATCCCCATTTATATGCAAATTTGCAATGTTCGGTGGACAACTTGCTGTCGAATGTGTTCCTCGCTTAATCTCATGATACATTTCGGACAATTGTTTTTGATTCACTCCACATAAATTTGACATTAGTTTTTCGCATTTGTGATGACAAGCCACGTTGCAAACCTCACATTTGAGACCCTGTTTGAATAAACCGTATAGCATTGAACCGCAATGATCACAGAATGTGGGAGATTTGAAGTTGTAGGTCTTGAAGCGATGAGGGATGTCCACTTTGAAACGTTCTTTGAGAGCCTGCAAAATTTGAAATGAATTTCGGGGATCAAAAAAGGTCACGCCAAAATTTTGAACTTAATTTTTTTTTGAATTTTGAAATTATGGAAATATTTTTAGGTCAGCCCAATTTTTTTTTCTAAAAATGAAAATAAATAAATTTCATCAGCTCGAAAAAGGTCACGCGCGAAAAAATTCAATTTCAAAAATACATAAATTTTCAGTTGAAAAATTGTCTTTGTTCAAAATTTTGTTGAAATTAATAAATTCAAGGTTTGAAAAATGGTTGAAAGAAAATTCTCGTGACAATTTGTAATCATTTTTGAGTTTGGAAAAATATTTTTTAGATAAAAATAAGATTTGAATATATATTTTCGAAAAACATATAATATTTTTTTCAAAATTCTGAAACTTGTAGTTTTCGAATTTGCGTCATTTTTGGAAAGTTCATTAGGAAAAGCTAGATTTTTAGAATGTTAAGAATATTAGAAATTAAAATATTTTTGATCTACCAGATCACAAGGATAAAAAGAGCACTTCAGATCAAAAAAAAATTTTGCGGCTCCCAAATTCCCACCCAACACTAACCATAGTCTCTTTAGTATTCTTCGCACTTCCCGGACATTGCATAATCACTTTCTCATGACATTTCTTGTGTACAGCCGCTGAACACAACTGACATTGATATCCTTGTTTATTTAAACCCCACATAAAATCCGAACATAATGAGCAAAAATGTGGTTGTCTGAAAAAGGTGGCAACGAATTGATGGCCACGAATCTCGTGAACTCGAGCATGTTTGATAGCTCCACGACGTCGCTGAAGACCTGGACCAGAATTACTTCGACTTGTCATTATATCTTCTACTGGGTGATCGTCATCAGCTGCAAAATGAGTGGATTTGGGTCAGGAAAACTGATGAAATGTATTTTTTTTTCCAAAAATCACAAAATGAAAATGTTATCAGCTGGAAAGTTTCAAAAATTTTGCCATAAAGATAATGCAATTTTCAAAATCATGTGTATTCAATTTTTCAATGATGAAAAAATTTTGCCGAATTTTTTTACGATGCGGAAAAGTATTGAGTGGGAGAGGGACATTTTTGGAATATTTTTGAAAATGCGAAAAAAATTTTCGAATGCAAAAAGAAAAAAAAATGAAAATTTTCAAAAATTCACAACCCTAAATCACATAAAACCCCAAATTAAATTCAAATAAAAATAAATAAATCAAGACACCCACAAAATCATTATTGTTTTTTTTCATTCTTCTTTTTACACACGTATGTATCTACATAAATGAGAGAAGATGTTGATAAGATTTCTCCCTGCCTCAAAAAAAGCGAAGTCGAAAAACCGGTATTTTTTTCAACACACACCGTGTTTCGTCTCAAAAACGATCAATTTCAATGACGATGTTCTATTGTTCTTTTTTTCATTCGGCATAACTAAAATTGACAAGAGGAGGAGAATTTATTTGAAAAAAATAAGCAAGAATTTGAGTGGGAAAGTTTATCTGGAGTCTAAACTTCCAGATGTCTTTTTGAATTTTAAATTTTCGCGCGAAACATACCAAAGAAAATAAAAAAATGATGTGATCTACCAAAAAGAAGAGGAGTAAGGGTAAATAAATAGATAGGTAGATAGTTATTTGATGTTTACAATTAGGCTATCTTTTTCAAACAGAACAGAACAAAAAAAAAGTTTGACAAATGTTGTTGTTCTCGTGAGAGAGATTGAAAATTACGATATGATATCATTTTTTCGAAAATTAGTTCGATTTGCAGTCCGGAATACTGTAGGAGTTTTGGATCTTCTAAAAAAATCTGAGAGAAATTGCAGTTTGGATTACTGTCACCAGAATTCTCCCAGAATTAGAGGTTTTCGAGATTTCGGATTACTGTAAATATTAAAAATGTTCTATTTTCTAAAATCGCAAGAAGCCGGCAGTTCAAGTTACTGTAGGTTCTCCTGAAGGAAAATTTTCAATTTTTTTCTAGAAATGCCAGATTTTTCAGTTTTGACTACTGTCAGACTTTCAGAAATTTTCAAAATCCTTAGATCTTCTAAAAAATCATCAACCCTTCAGAAAATTTTGAGTTACTCTAACTTTCAACCAAAAAAAAAGGATTTTTCTCCCATAAAAACCTCCAAAAAACTTGGTCTACTGTAACGACAAAATTGGCAAGAACCCATTAAGATTTTCTTCTTTTCTCCTTTTTACATCTGAAAAGCGAAAGAAGAAATGCAAATTAGAAATGACAACACAGCCTTCCTTCCAGAGGCACTTTTCACAACGGATTAATAAATAAACGAAAAAAAAAAACGAAAGGCGGGGGCAAAAGAGTTTGTCTAACTTCTTCCGAACAAATCTTTGATTTTTTTTTGGGGTTGAAAGGCCATGGGAGATTTAATTATTTGGCGAAGAACAAGAAAAATTTGAAAAAAATGAAAGAAAAAAAATATGATAAGATAGATTTTTTTACCTGGAGTAGGTCAAAACACACATTTTTGAACAATTTGAATTCCAATTTTTGCTGTATTCCATTTTATTTAAATTTCAATGAAAAAATCCAAATTTTACGTGAGAAACCCTCCCAGTAAATTATACGTTTCACAATTTTCATAATATTTTTCGGATTAAAATAAATTCTCGTTTACAATCTCGGTTCGAAAAATATTCTTCAAAATGAATTAATTTTGGAAGACTGAAGGCTTGGAGTTGGAAATTTGCAACAAAAAAACTATAAAAATTCTGATTTTATTCTATTTTTTGGATTGAGAGAGCAAAATAAAATAAAGAAAAATATGACAAAAATGTTGATAAGGCTCATTTTCTGACCTGGAGTGGGTCAGAAAAGGGCGAAAAATAAACAAACAATTTTTCAGAGATAAGAGAACAGTTTCAGAAGGGAAATTGTGAGTCATGTGAATTTTTCTCGAAAAAAAATCAAGTTTTTGGCTCAAAGTGCAGTGATTTTGAATTCTGAAGAGCTTGGGAACTTTTAGAGTTTTGAGCAAGACACAGAAAATTCCAAATTTTCAGAATAAATCTGTAATTTTTGAGAGCTCCCAAAATAGAGTTTGTTTTTTCGACTTTCAAAGATCTCCAAATTTTTTTTTTTGAAAAACAAACAAATCAAATTTCTCAAAAGTTCATGTCATCAAAAAACATGTTTTTCCCAAGTTCGAATTTTTTTTGTCGAAAAAAATTTGGAAAAAAAACTCACGCGCATTCCTCAAATGTCTCGTTTGTGCCAAAATTCGCCCAGCCGGTTTTGTATTGATCCAAATGTGCGTGATCGCGTCAGTTTTGCATTTCGAAATTATGTCCTGCAAAAAAAACATTTTTTGGATTTTCAAATTTACAAATGTTTTCCGCTAACAAGGAAAATAGTTTTCTAGTGAATTTTGAGCTTTTGGACAAAAAATTTTTGAAACATCACTTTCAAATTTAAATCTGAGTTAGCTTATGTATAGCCACGTCATAACTCATGTTCAAAAATGAGCTGTGAAGTTTTTGAACGAAGGATCTTGATGAGCGGCTCAAAATCCACGTGAAGCCCCGTGAAAAAAATGGGAGACACAACATTTTCAGATTTTTTCTCGAAATATTTTTGTCAAAAAAAAATAAATAAGAAGAAGCGCCACACAAAAAAAGCAGGGGTGGGGAAAAACTTTTTTTTTTGGGTATGTGTTTTTCGAACCGAAATTGAATTTCGCGCGCCTCGTTTTCGCCCCTTTTTTTGCTCTTTCTATTTTTTTTTTGCTGCTGCTGCTCGTTTTTTTTGCTCGAGAAAGATTTCGATGAATGAAAAAAGGACCGGAAGAAATTCATTTTTTTTTCTAAATTTCAAAAACGAAAAAACGAAAAAAAGTTTCAAATTTCCTCTCTCCAGACGTCACAGTTGGATTCAAAAAACACACAAAAAATGTGTGTTTTTTTCTGGTGAGGGTGAGGGTGTATTCCCTTGGCGGATGTACTTTTTTTCAAGAAAAAAAGATGAAGCGATTTGTTTTTTGTTGTTGTTTTTTTGTAACTAAGAATCGAAAATCGGGCAATTTTATTTGGAAAATTTTGAAAACTTAATTCTGGAGCTCGTAGAGCTCAATGCGATGCCAAGAAAATAATACAAAACATTGTAACCAGGCGGTTAGTATATACGTCACTGAGTTGTGGGTCGCGGGTTCGAGTCCACCTAGCGACTCTTCGAAAAAAAATTGAGTCGCACGGTGGACTCAAACCCCTGATCTTCTAATCAGCAGAGCAGGCACTTACCGGCTACACCATTTGGCCGACTAATTTTCAACAGAAATTTTTTTTTAAAATGGTTTCGAATTTAAAATTTTAAAGAAATGGTTTTGTCTAGACATTTCTTTTGTCTAAAAAATTCAAAAAAACTGTTTTTTTCAAAAAAAAAAATTCCCAAAATTCGAATTTTCAGCCGAACAATTTCCGGAAAAATTTCGAAAAAATATACGAGAAGAAGCGAAAAAAATGATTGTTGGCGTGCTTGGGAAAAAATAAATAAAATTGTTATTCCACGAGAAAAATTGAAAAATTGGAAAAAAAGGAGAATTTGTTTTGAAAAAAAATCACGCTACCTTGAAAATCTGCTCCAAAATCTCATAAATACTTCCGAAAATATTCTCCTCCTCGTTCATTTTCAGAAATTTTTTTTTAGAAAGTCGTTTCAAGTTCAAATGAAGTTTCAAAAAAAAAGAGAAAAACAAAGCATCTTTTAAGCCACGCCCCCTTTTTTGAGGGGGGGTCTCAAATGGTGTAATTTCGAAAAAAAAAGGAGTGAGGAACTTCAAAAAATTGACATTTTTTGGAGTTGAAAGAACTCTCTGAGTTATGACGTGGCAAATTTTGAGCTTTCGAGAAAAAATAAATTTTGAATTCCAAAATTTTGAAAATAAATTTTTTGGAGTTGAAGTAACTCTTTAGAAAACATGAAGTTATGACGTGGCAAATTTAGAACTTGGAGATTCTATGAAAATTTTGTTGGGGCTTAAAAATTTCAGGCTTTCCGAGTAATTTCACTGGATCTCCAATTAAAGTCCAAACGTTTTTTCTAGAATTTTTTTCAAAGTTTTCTAATGACAGAAAAAATTTCAAACTAATTTTTGGGAAAAAAACTTTTTTCTGGGTTGCTTGGAGATTTTTTCTTTTTGAAAGAGGCGAGAGAAATTAGAGAGCTTTGAGCTTCAAAAATCAATATTTATGTATTTGAGGGTAGCCTAAGCCTAAGCCTAGAAAAAAGCCTAGAAGTCTAGCTCAAACTAAAATCGAGTTCTATTCTACGATGATGATGATGATGATGAAAAAAAAACTTGAGAAAAAATAAGGTTTGAATTTGGAGAGGAGCTAGAGCCTATATGTGTATATGTGTTATTGAATGAGAAAAGTGGGTGTAGAGTTCGAAAATCTTGGAGAAAGCACAAAAAAAAAATGAAATTTTTCTTCTATCTACGCTGCTCAATGAGCCATATTCATTGACGTAAAGAGTACTTTCCGGTTGGTCAAAAAAAATTGTCTGAATTTTTGTGGGTGGGAAAACTTGGGCTGCAGAAGTGAAAATGAAGATGAAAAATAATTTTGGGGAGAAATTATATGTTTTTAGTTTTTTTGTCAGGTGATGTGATGTGATGTGATTTGAGAACAGAAAAATCAAAACTCAAAACTCAGATGATTTTGGGCTCAGGCTTCTGGGCTTAGGCTTCAAGGCTTTTAGGTTCCTAAGCTTCTAGACTTCTCAAATAAGGATTGTCTAAGCTTAACCTCAACTCAAAAATAAATTGTCTCAAATTGAATTCAGAATAAATTTTTTTCAAAAATTGTTCATTTTCCCAAAATCAAAATTGAAAAGTTTTTCAGATCTCTTTTTTTTTGGATAAAGTTCAATTTCTCTCGCTTCCAAAAAATTTCCAACACAAAAAGTGCTTTTAAGAAAATTCACCAAGCAACCCAGAAAAACAAACAAAAACTTTTGCTGACGCAGGCAAATCCTAAAATTAGCTTGAAATTTAATTTTTTTTCTGTTTTTTTTCTTGCTGAAAAAAAGAGAGCCTAAAATTAGTTTCGTCATTAGGAAAGAAAGGGAACTTTTAATTTAATTTTATTTAATTCAAGTTTCAGAAAATAGTCTAGAATCTAGGGAGAATCTGGAATTTTCAGACTAAACAAAATTGTGCCTCAAATCTCTCTGAAACACTCAATTTCTGTAAATTTCAGCAAAAAATCTCTCAAACTCCACCCAAAAAAAGTTCAAAACGTCAAAAAAGATGAAAAATCTTCGTCTTCTGACGCAAGTCCAAATCCCGCGAGGCTTCAAAATGTTTCGCGCCAGTTTTTTTTTCGCTTCACAATCTTTCATTTCGCTCACCTCAAGTCTCATTGTCGCCTCAACAACTGGTGTGCTATTATACATTAGGACGATTTGGAGGATTCGACCATCAGCCACTGCGGTATCCCAACATTTTTCCCATTCTGGATAGAGTGTCTTCTTTTTTTGAACGAGACGGGATTCGCCTGGAAAAAAATGTGGGGTTTTTATTGTTCATTGTAGCTTACAAGGAAAGGTTTTCAATGTTCCCCCAAGGAAAAAATCGAGAGTATGTGGAATGTTGAGGGTTCCCGTGGGTAAGAAAAACCCTAACGGGAATAAGGAGAAAAATGCCTTGTTTTAGAAAATTTTGGTGTTATTGATTTTTGCGATGAAATTTTTTAGAAAAATCGAAACTTTTTTCAAAATTGATGAAAAATGTCAGTCTAAAAATCCATTTGTAGCGCAAACGGCGTACTTTAGTATTACTTCGACTAAAATTAGGAATAAAATAATTTTGGTCCCAAAAGTCCACTAAATCAAAAATCCAGTTTGAAAAATTCATAGAAAATCAACGTTTTCGTTGTGAAGGAGAAGTTTGTGTGAATCGAGACTATGATTTTTGGATTCTACGGACCAAATTACGTCTGTTGACCGTCATAAATTTTTCAAGTTCCGTTCATTTGAAAATGGAAAAAATTATTTTTTGTGTTTTTTGGTGACCATTTGATCAGAAAAACCCCGACTAAAAAAACCAAATTTCAAAAAATGTCTAATTTTTTGATAAAAAGTTTCACAAACACGTAATCGACCATTCTGAACAACTTCCACGACTCAAAAGTTCATGAAATAGATTCAAAATCGAGTTACAGATGCTCTAAAAATCAAAAAATGGTGTAAAAATCGACCTAAAATTCATTTTTTCTCGAGAATAAGGCATTTTTCTCCTTATTCCCGTTAGGGTTTTTCTTACCCACGGGAACCCTCAACATTCCACATACTCTCGATTTTTTCCTTGGGGGAACATTGAAAACCATTCCTTGTTAGACTATTGCTCATGTTAGCTTAGAGTACTTCTTATACTAGCCTACATTATTTCTCATATTAACCTAGGGTATTGCTCATTTAAAACTATTTTTGCTCCAATAAAAATTGATGTTTCATTGCTCATGTTTACCCAACTAATGTGTGTTGTAGAACTTATGTCAAAAACTATATAAAAATAGAAAAAAAAACTTTCAAATATATTTTTCCTAAAAAAATGTCGCGAAACTTTCAACTGTAAGTGCTATTTCATTTCAAAATGCTCAAAAAATTTCCAAAATTTTCAGAATTTTCGTGATGCTCTTAATTCTGATGCTAGCTCAAAACTCTTGGGCTCAAAATTGGTTCGATTATTCGAGTGGAGAAACGGCGGCTTCTGAAGGCGAATCTGGATCTAATGAATATGGAACTGATTATGGAAAATAAAGATTTTTTTTCGGATTTTTGTTGAAATACATATACTGCCTCAAGAATCGAGCACTAAAAAACATAGACATGTTTCATTGCTCATGTTTACCCAGGAACTTTTCTGGTATAAATAACACACATTTTCAAAAATCAACTTACAATTAGTTAGTCTAACTTCAAACATGTATGCCAAGTTTCTTGAAATGTAAGTTAGTCTAACTTGTTCATTATTAAAAAAAACTCAGAAGTAAATTTTAGATTTCTGATCTTCTCAATGATTTTTGCAATTTCGTTGGCTCAAAATTGGTATGATTATCATAGCTGGCCGGCTTCTGCTCCAAGTTCAGCTTCTTACGAGAATACGGATCCTAATGATTATGGAAAATAAAGAAATAAAGATTTTCTGAATTTTAAAAAGTCTAGAAATTATTTCCAGGAAATTTGAGCTCAATTCTGAATATGAGTTATGACGTGGCAAAGTTTGGAACTAAAAATAATTTTTATAGAAATTTAATAGAACGCAAATCCAGGACTTCTCCAAAATCACAAAACATTTGCCACGTCATAACTCATGTTCAGAGTTGCGCTAAGTTGTTTCAGACAACAATCAGCATCTCAAAATCTTGAAAAAAATCTCAGATCCCCGACCCAAATCTTCTAGACTTCCTTGATCTTTTGTTATCTCCGGAACTCTTTTCTTCCTCAACTGATGTCAGTTTTCTTCTAGAAACTCAAAAACCATGTGTTTCAATGATGTTTGCCAAAGGAACAAGTACTTATAAAAAGAGAGTTAGTGGAACTCAAAAAGTCAAAAGAAAAATGAAGACTTTGTTGAAAATGTGAGTTCTAAATGGTTTACTTATTGATTTTTGTGAATTTCTTAAAATTTCAGATTTATATTTTTGTGCCTGATTCAAATCTACATTTCGGCTGGAATTCCAATGTATGAATCTGGCGACTATCCGTCAAATAGTGTTGAAAATGAAGTTGTAAATTATGCCTAGCTAATTTTTTTTGCAATAAAATTTTTTCCCAAAATGCTTACCATTAACTTCGATCTTCTCCTTGACATTCACAGCTGGTTGCAAATCTGTGGGAGAACATCCGGCTGGGAGGAGATCAGCGGCAACATCGGCGCGCAGAAGTTTTAGTCTGCGAGATGATTTTTTTTGGTTTTTGGCAGGAAATCTTCCTCTCAACTAATTTAATTTTATCATCAGCCAAAGCATTAAACGAGTATATCAGAATGTATATGAATCCGAAAGATATTATGAAAATTTTGAAACGTATAATTTACAAGGTTATTTTCAGAAATGCAAAAATTAAAATTTTCAAAAAACTTGAAAGAATTTTTCCACGTGGATTTTAGCTTCGGAAGAAATCAGAAAAAAAATCGAATAAGAATTTTGTAGCTAACAAATTTCAAGCTTAACTTTCGTAGCCTAAATTTTTTGCTAACTTGGATTTGGAAAAATTCAACCTCAAAAAAATTCATCAAAATTCGAATCATTTTTTTTGTACTAAGAAAAATGTTTTAACTTTAATTTCTAGCCTAAAATTTCGCCACGTGGATTTTCAGCACTAGAAAAATTTACAACGCATTTCATTTCCTCAAAAAAGTTTCCCAAAAACCACAAACCTGCACGCATTTTCCGCTTGCTCCATAGCAAAATCGGCTTCCAAAGATGTTTCGGAGTTGGGCGGTGGATCGAGTGAGAAAATATCAACTGCCTGGAAACCAAACAAACTTTATTTTTTAGCTTCGAATTTCTTTTTCTTTGCTTTCTTTTCTGTGTGTGGTTAATTGGGTTAAAGGAAATCGCATTTCCTCTCGTTTCAAATTTTTAGAAGATGAAAAAAAAATAGAGAAATAGGGCGACTCAGGAAGAAAAAATTAATTTTAAATTTGGAAAAAAAAACTTTTTCTTGCCAAGGAGGTTCTGAAGGCATGAGCTTTTGTCAGATGAAATCTCTAGGTGGGGATACTTGTCATAAGGGCTCTCTAGGCGCGGCTCCTTGTCAGATAAACTCTCTAGGCTTGGTTCCTTAACAATTAGAATCTCAAAGCGCGGTTTCTTGTCAGAGCGTCTTTCTAGACCCCACTCCTTGTTCTCTTTTCCTGAATCACCCCAAAAACGAAAAAAAAAGAGCATATTTAAATTCTCAAAATAAAATGACGTGTTTGCGTGAAAAAGAAGAAGAAAAAATGGAAATTCACATTCATTTTCGATAGCTAGCCCCAGAATAAAATGACAGGTTTGTGCGAGAAGCGAAAAAAATGAAATGACAAAGGCTATAATTTATTTCAGAAACGAGAAAGTATGCGGATGAAGAAGAAACGGAGAATGTTTTGCGCGGAAAAAATGAGGAGAAGGAAAAAGTGACACAAATTTCAAATGGGTTCGGTTTTTTTGGGGGGCGGGAAAAAATCAGGGTTTATGGGAAGTTTCCGGCAAAAAAAAATTGCGGCTCAAAAGCATGGGGGAGAAAAGGAATTTTCAATTATACACCAAGGAAACGCGCGCGAATTTCGAATGAGATTTTTGGGAGCTTGTTAGAACGATTGGTGGGATTTGGCGGCGCAGAGAAAAAATGAGATGAAATTTGATTTTCCCGAAAAAACCGGGGATCAAAATAAAAATATTAGATTAAACTTTGCTGGCTCTAACAATCAAGACCTAAGGAAAAACATGCTATGACGTGGTGTACACTTTTTTCAGCACTAGAAAAATTTCAGACTAAAAATTTCTGAATTTATTTTTGAAGTTCAAACTTTGCCATGTGGGGTTTCAGCTCCAGAAAAAATTAAACGAAATTTCAAACTTAATTTCTAGACCTCACAGGATCCACATGGATTTTCAGCTCTATTTTTAGAGCTTAAAACTTTCTCACAAACCCTAATTGTTTTTTTCAGAGCCTCCTACTTGAAACACATTCTAATAATCTCAACCGCAGTTCTTCTAACTCTCCAATTATCCACGTGGTATTCCACGTTGCTCTCCTCACCCACAAAATCCACCCAAAAAATGGTCTCCACCAAAAGTCTGGTAAAAAATTGTGGATTTCGATTATCCGGCGAAATTCAACAAGCGATTCTCGATAAACACAACGAAATTCGATCGAAAGTCGCGATGGGCGAATATTCGCTGGGAGGAAAAAATGGCGGGTTTTTACCGGCTGCTAGTAGTATGAGCAAGATGAGTTGGGATTGTGATTTGGAGGCCGAAGCGCAAGATCGAGCTTCGTCTTGTGATCTTTCGAAACGAGTTGAGATTGAGAACCATCAGGATGGAAATTTGAGAGGGGAGAATGCGTTCTATTTTCAGACTGAAGATTCAGATGTCAAAAATGCGATTTTGGTAAGAGAAAAGGACTTTTTGAGCAGGAAAAACTACAGATTTCCGAAAAATAGATTAGAAAAAATTCAGCCACTCACAAAGTTTAAAGATCCGCAAAAAACGGAATTGCGATTTGCTAGATCTAATCCACTGGAACTCAGTTTTTCATCAACATTTTTGAGTGAAAGCCTTCCAAAATTAATTCTATAAAATTAAAAACTATTTTTTGCAGAAAGGAATAAGTGAAATGGGACAAGAAATTGAGAAATTCGGAATTGGTAGTGTTTCAGACGCGAAATATGATAAAAGAATTGGGCATGCTATGCAGGTGAGAAGGTTCAAGGATCTCAAAGAAAAAAAATCAATAATCGAAAATTCGCTGAAAAGTTCTAAAACCAATCAATAAAATAATATATTTCAGATAATTTGGGAAAGCACTCAAAAAGTTGGATGCGCAATTCAAGAGTGTAGCCTGAAAAGAGGAGGTCGAAAACTGTTCGAAACAGCCGCCGATTCGCAATTCAAAGTGGCAGTTTGTAAATATTATCCGACGTGAGTTTGTTTGATTTTTGTTTTGGACACGGGAAAAAATGTGTGTGTGGGAGGAGGAGAAGCTGACAATGTACATACACATACAGAAATCAATAAAATTCTATTGTGACCCCGAAAACATTAGATTTTTTTTAACCTTGGGAAAATTTTTTTGAACATACATTAGAATTAAAATTGTACTGAAAATTCCACATGGCAGTTTAAAAGTTTTGCGCTGAAAATTTTTTTCCAATACAAAATTCTGATCTAGAAAAGAAGTTGACTTTTTAAGTGAAGCCTCTTAAGCTCAGCTCTTTCAAAAATTGTCTCTTGGCTCAAATTTTGTGCTGGAAAAATGCAATTTATGGAGTTGCTCAGCTATTTCAACACAAATTTCTCATCTAGACAAGAAACTAACATTCTCAATTTGAAGAAAAAAAACCTTTTCGAAAAAAGTTAGAAAATTCTAATTTCCAACACTACAAAAATAGTTAAGAATCCAAAATTTCTCAACAAAAAATATTCCACGTGTCAAAACAAATCAAAAACTGAACTTTTTTCTAGCGGAAACATTTTCAACTCTCAAAAACCGACCGCAATCTACCAGCAAGGAATACCCGGTGAAAATTGTGCCGAAGCGGCTTTCGATCCAACAACTGGACTTTGTGTACACGAGGATACAAAAATATCAGAAAAGTGAGAAATAAAAATTGGCTCAAATTATGTTTTGTTTTTCTTTTCAATGGAAAATGGAAATGGAGCAAACAGGAAAAATTGATGGCAATTTTCAATTTTTAGTTTTAGTCAAGAACAAAAACAGAGAAGATAAGTAAAAATGTATTTAGTTTAGTTTAGTTAGGGAAAAAACGAAGAAGAAGAGAAGAAGACTATAATTGACAATTCTTCTAATGGCTTTGGCCAATTTGATTGAATTTTTCGGCTTGTTTTGTTTCTGGGAGTGAAAGAGAAGAAGAAAAAGGATTTAATCAAGTTCTAGAAGTTTTTTGGGGGTACTGTAGGGTTTTAGAAAACAGAATTTGGAATATTTTATGGGGGGACAGGCGTGGGAACATTTCTTCATTTATCGATGACGTGGAATTTGAAGTATTACAGTAAATCAGAAGAGTATTGTAAGTCAAAAAAATCTAGAAAAAGCACCGTAAAAAAATTTTAGGGTACTGTAGATTGTGAGAGCTTGATAGATCAAAAATCAAAAATTTTCAGCGCCAAAGGTGTTTCAAGAAAAAATTAAAACACAAAATTGTGCTCTACAGTACTCAAAACGTTTTTTCTTTCTCGATTTTTTTTTGAGAAATGGGAAAAAGAACACTGCAAACTTTTTTCGCACGCTTCTTTTTTCGTTGAAGAAATGTTTGCCACATTTTTTCGAATTGATTTTATTTTTTCCGAAGGTGAAAAATTGATGAAACGGGATTTTTGAATAAAATTAAATTATGAAACTTTTTTTTTCTTGAGAAAAAATGGTTGGAATTAGAGGAAAAGAAAAAAAGACGATTCAAAAAAAAAATAAAAAATAAAAAAACGAGAATTTCGTCTCTTCAACAGTTCCACTAAATATACATACAGACAGACACAGCAAAAAAAAGACAGAAATTTTTGTTGCCACAAACAAACAAATAATAAAATCGAGGGTGGAAATCGAGGAGAGAGTGTTGGGGATGGAGAGACGCAGACAGGGCGAGGGAGAAAGAAAGTTTTCGCATCGTGTTTGTTTCGATGAGAATTTCGCGAAAGTTTTGCGTCGAATTCCAAAAATTATACAGATTTTTTGGATAGAGACAGAGAAAGTGAGAGATGCAGAGAAAAATTATCATTAATTTTTTGAACTATATTAGAGATGGAAACTTTTTTGAGCAGAGCTCAAAATGTTTCAAGAACTTAGATTTACAGAGAGAGCGAGAGAGTATTTCAAAATTAGAGACGCAGAGAAAATTATCAATAACATTTTTTTTACACATTTTCCCATGCGCAAAAGAGCGTGATAAAATGATGTTAATTTTTCTTGTTTTTTTTCGTCCAAAAGTACTACACAAGCAGACAGCCTTGAGAAAACATGTGTTTTAAACGAAAAAACACATAATTTTTAGACTTTTTTTCGTGATCAACAAACGCGAGAAAATAGACAATGGAAGGATTAAAGTGGATTTTAGAGAGAAAGATGTCGGAATTTTTTTTGGACTTTGAGATGGAGTTGCGAAAAATTGATGTGGGAATGTTTTGTGTACGAAAAAATAGAATTATTTGCGTTTTGGACTACTTTGAAATAATATAAAAACTTTTTAATTTAGAAAAAGTTTGCTTTGTTTGTGGCTCGAGATTTTTTTTCAAAATTCTGAAGAAGGTACATTTGAATTTGAGATTTTTAGTTTAAAAAAAAAGCATGAATACATTTTTCTGAAAAAAAATCCCCAGAAAAATTTTGTAGCTTATAATTTTCTAGAATCCTTATAGTAATCCACCTCCCTCAAAATTTCCAGAAAAAAATCTGAAAATTTTCAATGACTCATGTTAAACTAATTTCTACTGACAAGCAAGAAAAAAAGTTTTTTCAAAAGTTTTTAGTCACCAAAAATCTTGAACTTTTCAAAAAATCGCCACACAACTCAAAAACACTATGAATAACGAATTTTCTTCTTTGCAGCTGAATTTCGTTTTTCAAGAAAAATTTAATGAAAATAAAATAAATAAACACGAAAATCTGGCCGACATCCGATATTTTTTCGAGTTTTCGTAATTTGAAATCGAGGATTTTTGAATTAGCGTAACTTGGAAGCCGAAAAAATTGGGGGCAAAATAAAAACCGAAACAATTGTTGTTTTCGAGCAAAATGTTACACATTTTTATATTTTACACGAAAAAATTTAAAATGTATTTTAATTTTAATTTTGTGCATTGCAAAAATTAATTAAATTAATTCCACCTAGATAATTTATTATTTGTTTTTAAATTTTCAAAAGTTTTTGGAGCAGTGTCAGAAAAATGTCTCAAAAACAAAAAAATGGAAAAAGTGTAAGAGAAGATGAGAAAAACTGGAAGCTAAAGAAAGTTTTCTTTTTTTGCATCCCCGCCGTTTGAAGATGTAATGTAATGCGAGAATATATGCACAAGTGAGTGAGAAGATATGCGCAACACAAGAAAAAAGTGCGCGATTTTTTCGAGGCAAAAAGGAAGAAACTCACATCATTTGGGTTGTTGTTTTGTTGCAGAAGACGATTTTTGACACCGAACACACGGAGCGAAAGAGCAAGAGAACGAAATTTCATTTGAGCCGAGTTTGGTTGAGATGCAAAGGGTTGCAATTAGTTTTTCATCTGGAAAAAGGAGATTTTTATGGCATGTGCAATAATTTCAGAAGGGGAAAGGGGAAAGGACAAAATTGTGAACGTAAGGGTTTAGCAAAAATTTTGTTAAAGTCATTTCAAAGGTCCCTAGCGATTTTGAGGTCTTAAAGGACTTTAGGGTCATTTTCAGGTGTTTTGAGATTCTTTAGGTTTGAAGAATTAATTTTTCAACATTTATGATTTTACAACAATCAAGTTTCCAGAATTTAAAAATAAATGACAACAGAAATTCAAGGTGAGCACAAAATTTAATATTATTTTTTTCATCTGACAAATCCAAGATTAAAAAAATGTTAAGACTATGACGTCAGATTTAGAAATCTAGAATATAGTTTTGATTCGAAAAACCTAGAAAAATCAGAAAATTCAGCTATGACGTGGTCACCTTTGTTTTTTAAAATTTTCCATCAATCTAAAAAGCCAAGATTTATGGAATGAGAAATAATTGTTGAATGCGAAAGGATTCTTTTTTTTCTATTTATTTTACGAATTTAGAAACCGTAAAATTGAGACCAATTTTGCAAAGAAAACTGATTTCTGATCACTAAAGAAAATTTGATCGAACCAAAAAAAATAGCTTTGGAATTAGAAAAATATGTGCTATGACGTGGCAATTTTCTATAGTTCTCCAACAAAAAACAACGAGAAGAAGCCAAGATTTATGGGATGAGAAATTATTTTTGAATGTGAAAAAATGGAGATGTTTTTTAGGAGGACGAAAAAATTGGAAAACAATTTTTCAAGAAAAATGTTTTTGTAAAAAAATGAATGATTTCGAAACATTTTTGCAGAAATGTTTTTATTTTTTGAGAAATTTAAAGAAATGGACGGGACCTCACTGCAAAAGTAAAAAAAATATAAACCCTCGTTTGAAAATAAAAAAAATTGCCGCGATTGTGTGAGCGTAGTGTCATGCGGAGTATTGTTGTTTTACTTTTATTTTTTTGTTTGACGAAAAAAACAGTTTATACATTAGATAAGTGAACATTTGAACGAATTAGTTCAGTATGACACTAAATTTTAATCGTTGTCTATTTTTTTATCCATGGAGATTATATTGAAAAAAACTATGAACTTTGTAAAATTTATAAGTAGTCTCTGGCTAAAAAAGGTAGAGATTTGAATTTTCTGGAGTGATGATTGTTCAGTCGAAACAAAATTTTTGCTGACATTTTAGACATCGAAGTTATTTCTAGCTCACAATTAGATTCTCCAAAAAAAAAAAATAATAAAATAGCAGCGAGTGGTTTCGATCCACCGACCTCTGGGTTATGGGCCCAGCACGCTTCCACTGCGCCACGCTGCTGACAAAATTGTAGCGCAACAAAAAACGCGTAGAAAAATAAGGAGAAAGGAAAAAACACGAACGATAAAATGATTATGGTGTGTCACGAAATTCGATTATTTCGAATTGAATTTGAGATTTGCGATTTTGCCAATGTTTTCTTGGAATTTTTTTTAGCAAAAATGTAACATACATACTTAGAAAAAAAGAGAATCAGGTATTTTTTCTGGAGAGCCGACGAGCAAAACGCGTGAGAAAATTATGCACACTCGAACAAAAAACTTTTTTTGTTCTTCCTCCAAACTTTTTGAATGAAAATGAAAATGGCGAAAAAAAAATGTTGAACCTTTCAAAAAAATTGGATATTTGAAGAAGGCGAAAAAAAATTGGCCAAATTTGGAGTTTTTGTTTTTGTTAGCGCGTGCTCGCGCGAAAATAATGTATCTATCAAAGATATTATATTATTTTTTATGATGAAGCAAAAAAAAAATGAGAAGATACGAGATTTATCACCCAGCCAACCAAGCAACCAAAAAATGCACTATTGACTAGGGATTTATTGAAAATTATCCGATATTCAGCGCGAGAAAAAATGAAACATGATTAAAAATTATTTTTGTGAGTCATGTTTGGTGTGTTCTTGAAAAAAAAACTGTGTGCAAACACCAAAGCTGCGTGCGAATGACAAATTTTCAAAAAAAAATATTTTTACGCGTCCAATCAGGTGTCTACACAGTTCTGTCGGGCCAAAAATAGTTTTCTAGAGAATTCCAAAGTTTTTTCAAACTAATTTTCTCGCGACTAAATTTTGCGCGTCAAAAAATAAATTTTGCGCCTCAAATCTTCACACTAACAAAAATTATTCAAAAACATTTTTTTCGAAACTTTTTCCATTCAACCCGGAAAAAGAAGTGTTTTTAAAAATTCCATGAATAATTTTTCCAACCGATTTTTTTCTGGCTAACATAAGAACCACAAAAACTTGAATAAAAAGTGCATCCCGAAAAAAACGACGATGTTGCCAAAAAAAAACTAATAAAAGGTAACCAGAGGACAAAAATAATTGAATTTATTCGCAGCTTCAAACTTTTTCAGGGTTTTTTTCGGTGCTCAAGACTTTCATTTTTCTTAGCGGAAATTAAAGAAATCGAAAAAAAAACTTTGGAACTTTCTAGAAATTGAAAAATGTTCACAATCAATCAGAAAAGAGGCGAACAAAAAAAATGAGATGAAAAAAAAAATGAAAATAAAATGCAACGAAAAGCTTATTAAAAAATCGCAATTTCAGTTTTTTTTCATCAAAATAAATTGAATGAAAGAGAAAGAAGCCAAGAAAAAAGTGGGGAAGGCTAGAAAAAAGTTGATTTTTGGACACACCACTGAAGAGATGCTTCTTTTCATTGGAGCGGAAAAACGACGCATCGTAAGAGAGCTTCTCCAAAAAAAGTACACTTTTCAGGAAGGCAGGAATGATTTATTTTTTTGGGGGGGGGGGGGGCTTATGAATTTTTTTTTCGATGAGCTGAACTTCTAGTCTAAACTGTGATTAAGTCATGCTCATTTTTCTGCAACACTGGCACGGTTGGTAATTTTTTTCCTAAAAATCACAAAGCTCAATGAGCACCTATAAAAAATTGTACCTTATGAATTGGCAGTTCGAAAATTCATTTTGGAGTTTAAAATTTGTCTAGACCTAAATTTGAATCTGAAAAGTTTCCAACTAGAATCTTAAAAATATTTTGAAAACTATTGTCAAACGTGTGACGTGGCAATTTAGAAATGAATTTTCGAATTTGAAATAAATTTATCTAGGCCTATCTAAATTCAGCGCTAAAAATTGGAACATTCAAAATGTTTTTCTGGAACGTGTGCTCGAAAAAAACAATGACTTGAGGACCAAAAAGTTTTTGTTGCTAGGATTCGAGATAATTTAGGATAGTTTTTTGAAAAAGGTAAAGTTGCTCGGATTTTTCTCTAAAAAACGACGCAAATAAAATGAGAAACGAAATTTCATGCTTCATTGATTGAAGACAGAAAGAGAAGCTAAAAATTGTACCTTTCCGAGAAAAAGCAAAAGCACAAATTGCACAAGACAAGAAATATTATAGTTTTGTGCCGCCGGCAAAAATCACTCTTTTAGCCTTCAAAACTAAGTAGGCACAAAAATAACAACCCAAAGACAAGATGAAAATGGAAATAAAAATATGAAAAAAACATAAATAAATTATGCAAAAAATAGGAGAAGGTGTAAGAAGTGTAAGTGTGCTTTTCTTCGTTTTCCTTTCTTTTTTCGCATGCATATAATTGTTTAAAATTGAAAATGAGAGCAGCCTCTCGACACAGCAAAAAACGATGGGGGGATAAGCGAAGAGGAGAGGGTGGGTGCACATATACATACATATAAAAAATATACATATAGATAAATATGATGTGAGAATGAATGAAACGTGAGAGGAACCGACAAAAAAAAAGAATTTTTTCGAAAAAAAAAGAATAGCAGCGAGTGGTTTCGATCCACCGACCTCTGGGTTATGGGCCCAGCACGCTTCCACTGCGCCACGCTGCTGATCGGCTCGCCATGATTATTTTTCATTCATAAAGTCGGGGAAAAAAACTGATGTGAGGGTGGTTTTGTTGTTTTGTTTTTTGTTGTTATTGTTGGAGGGTTCGAAAAAGACAAATGAGTGACAGTTGTTGATAGGTAAATAACAACAAGCAAGATAATAACCTTTTTTCTGGGGGGAAACAATTGTTTTTTATAGTTTGGTTGGAAAAATAAAAAAAGTTCAAAATCAGCTGATCGATCTTTGCGCGCTTTTCAGAAAATTCATGAATAAACTACATTATTTTTTGCTTTTCAAAATTGCTTTGAATAGAATAAAAATTGTATAAAAGCCGATGGAAATTTGAACTTTATACCACAGAAAAAAATGAAACTTTTCATTCTTCTTGCGCTGATCGCATTGGCTAGTAAGTTTAAAAATTTGAATTTTCAAATTTTTGCCAAATCTTCTTCAGATGCCAAAAGTCTGCTTCAAGGGGATTTCAAGAATTCGAATCTTGCTGGCGATGAGAAATTAATTGCTTCGAATCCTGTTGAAGTCAATGCTGATCTCTTGGGACTTTCTACAGAAATCGAAAAAGACTTTCTTCGGGGTACCAATGCTAGATCGGAGAAGCTTCTAGAGCTTCACGATAGGCCCCCAGGCCTTCCATAATTCAAATAATATAATTCAGAGCATTTTTAATAAAGTTTTCTGTTTCAAATGTTAACTTGTTTTTGGTGGTTTCAGAAAAAAAGTTTTAAAAATATAACAAAAAATTCATAGAAATTTTGAAACAGTGAATTTTTCTCATATTTTTTTAAATTTCAGGAATCAAGTTAAAATGAAGCAGTTGAGTCCAAAAGATAATATTATAAAAATTGTGAAACGTAAAATTTATTGGAGGTTTTTCACGTGAATTTTGCTTATTTTTTCAAAGTTAAATACAGTAATCTTAAGTTTAAATTTTATTATGAGGAAAACTCGCAGTTTCAAAATCATTGAAAAAAGTTTTAACTAATTAAAATAAATATCGCAGCTTTCAAAACATAATCCCACTCCGTTCGGATTTTTTTTTGAATATTTCCAGAAACACATATTTTAATGTTATTCGAAAGTTCATGGATTTTGCATTAAGATATTTCAAATTCAAATTTTATGTATGTTCTCAATTATTTCCAAACGTGACACCTTAATTCCACGTATAAAATTTTTGATCTTATTACATTTCCCACTTATTTCAAACAAAACCATGACTTCTGATGAAAAAGAGGCGGCACAATTAGAGCTTTTAGATATTCCAGAAGAGCGAGCCAAAAATCTACAACGAAATCAAGGCTTTGTATATGGGATCGCCACTATTCATTGGGTTCAGAATGGCCTAAAATTGGGCATGGGAATCAAGCATTTTCGGGTGAGTTATGCGGTTTTGCCACGTCGCAATTCTCTCTTAATTTCAGGGAAATGTAGTTGTATCCACACCCTTTCACGTCAATAGAAATTTGCAAAAAGCAAAATAGTGAGAGAGTGCAGAGAAAACGTGAGAAATTATCAACAGGGCGACGTTACATTATTTATTTAATTTTTAATTTTATTTTCTTCTTTTTTTTCGGAAACTGTTTTTTTCAGTTTTTGTTGTTTTTCTGTGTTTCTGGGTATGGTTCCTGTTACTTTTTATTGGAAAATGATGACTTTGACTTGAACAGATGAGATTATTGGTTGAAAATGTGTTTTCAAACCATTTTTTGCCGAAACTAGAATTTATAAGCATAGTTGGAGAATCTTTCTATTCGTTCTCTTTTTATACTCAAAAACTTTGATTTTATATCAGATTGACGAGGCGAAAACCAAATAAATAAGAATTTTTCCAACTTAATGAACAAACATGTGAGATATGTGTGAAATTGCCGAGAACCTCGGCTGAATTAGGAGCAACGGAATCATGAAATTATGAATCAGATTTTGTATTTATCAAATAAAACACTCCTTGCTCGGATTTTGAAAGCTTCATGTTTAAAGTCAGTTTTTTTTTCAAAATGCAACTTTTTATTAAGAGAAAGATGTTAGAATTATTTCTCGATTGATGTTGTTGTTTCCTCTCGATGTTTTCCTTGTTTTCTACTTGAGAATAATCTTCACAGGTCAAAAACATCATTTTCCAATCGAAAATAACAAAAATCATCCCCAAAAACCCTGAAAAACAACAAAAAACCGAAAAAAAAGTTTTCGAAAAAAAAAAGAATATAAAATTAAAAATGAAAAATATAATGAAACGTCGCTCTGCTGATAATTTCTCACGTTTTCTCTGCACTCTCTCACTATTTTGCTTTTTGCAAGAAAAAAGGGTGTGTATCCCGTGTTGATCCTGGATCGATATCCTCTAGATCTATCGCCGTCGGTGATCATTTAATCGATGTTGATGGAATTTCAGTCACAAACAAAGATGTTGCAAGAGATCTAGTGGTCTACAGTATTCAGGAAAAAGGAAAAGTCAGTTTTCTTGTCGAACGTCCGGATTCAGTTGAGGCAAAATATTCGGTGGATTTTGTGTTGACACATAATTTGAAACAGATGAAATGAATAAAATGTTTTTCTGATAAAATCATTTTCTACAGTATTCTGGACGTTTTTCGCCTCAAATTAGAAGACTTCTACAAATCTAGATTTTTTTTCAAAAAATACAGCGAGTTCAAACGTGACACCACGCACAAAATTTTTATATCCTCATTTCTCAACAATTTCGAACAAGAAAATGGCTTCTGATAAAAAACGGCCTGAACTATCACCAATCCCAGAAGGTCGAGCCAAGAATCTTCAACGCTATGAAGGTTTTAGTTATGGGATGGCTACTATGAAATGGATTCCGAATGGACCGAAATTGGGTATGGGTATCAAAGATTTTCGGGTTAGTTGGCTTAATAATTTTTTCCAAAGGCGTGTCGTTCAGGAAACTGTAATAGTATCTCGTTGTAATGCTGGATCTCTCTCCGAAAGATGTTTGGCTGAAGGGGATCTTTTAATCGATGTCGATGGTACTCCAGTCAATGACAGAAGTGTTGCAAAAGATCTACTGGTCAAAAATATTCAGGAAAATGGAAAAGTGACATTTGTTGTCGAACGTCCAGATTCAAACTTGGCGAAAAGATGGGTGGATTATATGTTGACGAGATATCCTTTCATAAAAATCAAATGAATAAATTTGTTCTTGTGTTCAGAAAACGGTTTTCGAAAATAAAATGGTGCTAAAATTTTTCGAAGCTTTTCTTGTCTGGAAATCATAAAAAATCCAAATTTTCGACATTTTTCATATTTCTTTTCTTCTAAAAAAAATGTTCCTCTTATTTCTCCTAACTTTCTCCAACTCCATTTTCGCAACGAAATCAGAACAAACTGATGTGGAGTATCTCACATCTGTGATAAATAATATACGATTCGAATTCGCCAAAAGATATGAAATCGAAAATATGAAAATGTTGCGGTATACCCCGAAAATGGCGAAAATTGCAAAACGAGTTGCCTCAAAACTCTCAGGTTCGGAAGTTTCTGAAGATGTATTAGATCTTGGAATTGTACCCTTTGAACATAATATTTTCGAAGTTTCACTTCACGATTTTTTTATTTCACCGAAAGATTTTGTCACTTTTCAAGAGTTAATTAATTACTCACTTTCATTATCGAAACTTGTTTTGATCAAACGGCTAGATAAAACGCCTGTTTATGATCGAGAGGAGGCTCGAAATAAACATCCAGCAGCATTTCAATTGATCTATTATAATGCTACTCAAGTTGGATGTGATTTCACGGAAGGAAATATTTTGATTTGTAAATTTGACAAAGCTCCAAAAGTTGGTGAACGAATTATTAAAGAAGATGGGAGTTTTGAGAAATGTGAAGATGGGTTTGTGAAACATAGAAATGGATTATGTGTTAAAACAAGACAATCAGGGAAACAGTCGGGAAAAGATGACGAATTTTAAATTCAACTCATGCTTTAACTTTTTTGAATAAATTTTCTTATTGAAATTGTATGTCTCTATTTTTGAAAAACAAATCTGTTAAACCAGAAAACCATTTTTTTGGTTCAGAAAGTCATAAACTTTTTTTAATATCAAAATAAACTGTGTGAAAACCAGCAAAAGCTGAAAATAACTTATCTTTACCCAAGTTAGGGTAAATAAAATCAATTTCAATTCGGAAGACTTTTTGTATCATCAGATGAGATCTGAATTTTAAATTACAACACTCGGTGTTTACACCACTGATAAACTATAATCATATTCATGTTCAGATCAAAAGTTTAGTTCAGGAAATCAAAAATTTCTTTCATTTTCACAGTCCGCCCCTAAATAGAATCCAAACTTCAAAAATACAAGAATACATAAATAAATACCAAACACCCTCTGACAATTTTCAAAATGATTTTTCAGATCTTTCTTCTTCTGCTCACAATCTTGCGATTCAACGAATCTACCGTAGTCAGTTTCGAAAACTCCCTAATCTGTGGATATTATGGAAGAAGATGGTGTGTTATTGGCATTTTTCTCGAGGCTGATGAGTAGGTTATCATTAACTTATAAGTATTTGTTAACACAGAAATTATTTCTAGAAATTTAATGTTTCGAAACTTTGACGAGATTTTGTTCACCAGAAGATACTGTAGCAATGGTAGAATTCATTTCAAAACTCGACCAACAGGAATGGATTTTGATGGACCATTTCAATCAAGTTATGAAGTTGTGGTTGGACTTCGGCATAATTGCACAAGAAATGGCGATATTTTTGATGCCAGGTTTGATCATGACGTGGCAGAATCAGATGAGTATGTTTGCTTTTATTTCTAGATAGATAGAAAGCTGATTTTCAGACCAATAACAATAATAACTCTAGAAGATTTAACTGATGTTGGAGAACGTTATGTTGATGATCGAGTTCGTGCGTGGAAAAGAACACATTTTCAAAATACTGTTGTGGAAGGTAGAAATCTGATGGATTGGGAGTATGACTATGGACGTTTTAGATGGAATTTTAGAACTTAAATGAGCTCTTTTTTGGGAAATAAAAGGTTTTTAGAATTTAAGACATATTTGGAGAGAAAGATACCGAAAACCATAGAGGAACTCATTCAAGATATTGTGTCTTTTCTCAAGAGAGCCAATTTGTTGCCACCGCCACCAAATCAACAACAAATTGCAGCCACTGCTCATTAATTATATTTTATTGATTTTGTTAATTAGACAAAGGTTAATTAGAAAGTTTCATATTCCCGCAAATTTTTTTTCATATATTTTTCAAATTTAACAGAATTTTTATCGATTTTTTCAATTTTTCCCTAATCCCTCCCCAAAAAACTCACCAATCGCTTCTATTTCTTAATTCACACAAAAATCATCGATAATTTGAAAAACCCCATCAAAATCCTTGATAAAAACGAAATCCTTCACGTATTTGACACTGAACTCCAATTGTCCATCAATATTTCAAGCTGAAAATCAGAAAGTTTGAAATTTTTATGTAGCATTGAGTTCTGCTAACTCCATTTTTTGTTTCTATAGATTTCGGAGGGCTTTCTGGATCTCACAACAATTTTCCAGCTATTTTTCAGAGGTTCACAGCAAAAACTTACCCAAACAAATTTTCCATCGATTTTTGAGTAGAAAATCCAGTAGTTTTCATAAAATTCGATGTTTTTGATCAAAAAGTCGCTTCAAATTCAACTAAACATCGTTCTCCTCACATTCATAATCATTTTGCTCCTGAAAACTCGAAAATTTTAATCGAAACAGTGTTTCTCTAGAAAAAAACCAACCTTTCTTCGAGAATCCTCGGATTTTCTGTTGGAAGCGATAGTTCCAGCCTTGTAGAACATCTAAAAATTCAATTTTTGATTGAAATCAACTGAGTTTCCCCGGAAACCTAAAAACCCAGCGAAAAAAAAAAAAAATGAAAATATTCTCGTGTTGCGCTAAACAACGGGCAAGCGGGAGTGTCGTTGTAAAAGTCAATCAATTTTCTATTTTTGTGCCAATATTTGGAGAGAATCTCGGGGTTCCCAACTGTTTTTTATTTTTTATGTTATCCTTTCTCAAAGTCAGAAATCATACGTTTCGAATTTATATTAGGGCGATTTTATTGTACTTGAATTTTGAAACATGTTCATTCACAAAAATTTTGGCGATAGCTTCGCTACCGCCCGAAAGCGATGCAACACACAAAACACGCGAATATATAAATTTCTGGGGTGCGCGACGGTTAACGGGTTGTGCGAGCTGCCATTGTTTGTGTGCAAAAGGGGAGGGGCTTAATTGAGGTAGCGCGATGAAAATTTTTATTTTTCATGCAAAAAATTGATTTTTGCATGGAAAATTAAGGTTTTCTTGATGTTAATCGACAGTGTAGATGTTCAGCTTGAAAAATCTTTTATATCAAAATTAATCACACGGTTTTCTAAATCTTGCACACATTATTTCCTTCAAACCACCAACTTCATAACCCATAAAAGTTGGTTCAGGCCAATTTTTACTATACTGTACCTATCCAGTGTGGTAAATATCGAATTTTGTTCGAATTTCGGAAAATCTGCAAAAACTGAGAATTTTGAATTACATAAATGAATTTTTACGATTCATATTCCGATACATGCTTTACTCCAGCAATAACTTCACGAATAGTTCCATCACCTGTGCAATTATGACGAATTCCAACAACGATTTTGAAATTGGACTGGAATTTGAAAATTTTAAATATAATTTCAAAAATGGGTTTGTTTACTGGAAAAAGTCCTTTTCTGCTTCTTTTGCTATCAATTGTAAAATGCTCAATCTCATCCGGCCCTTTGAAACATTTAAAATCCGATATTCCCAACTCGTTGTATGATTTCCTCAAAAATAAGTTCATTTTAAACTGCGATTTTCTCTTGAATTTTCAATTTTCCAACCAACCATTTACTAGTAATCGAAAGTTCAAAATTTTCTTCCAGATGAAAAATAAAGGCACACCAAGTGACCTTTGGAAAAACAGCTTGGCAATTAGCAATAGTTTTCATATGGAAACTTGTATTTTCAATGAAATTCAAGAGATTTGCAAAAATTAGGATTATTTTTGAGAATTTAGACATTGTTGATAGTTGAAGGTGTCTGACATGCTTTTATTCTGAATTTCAGGAGAAAAAGTCTGTGATTCCAAGTGTTCAAATAATTTGTCAATTTTCTCAGGAACCATGCACTTCGTTTCAACCCTGTGTTGGGACGAACAAATAGAGAAACCGCAGCGCAGACAAAAAAGAACCCCGTAAATATGAATCGTTTAAAGGAACATGGACCATCGCTTCAGGACCCATCAGTTGGCTGGTTGCCAGCCTTATAAAATTTCGCGGTTTCTTTCGCACTCTGCACGCTCTCTCTGTCTCTATTTGTTCGCCCTGAAACGAAGTGCATGTGTCAGACAAATAAAAACACAATCAAAAAATTTTCATTCAATTAATTTTCCATCAAAAAAGTGAACATTTCTCTTTTGGACTCATCAAACTTCCAGGCTCGCATTGAAAAGCTTTCGAAAATTCCGGCGAATTCTGAACAACTCCATTCACTCGAAATTTGTGCATACTATGAACATTCCCATTTTTTCGCCAACTTTTGATTTTTTCAGCTTTCCATGGGCTTTCGCAGTAGTGCTGAAAATCGAAAAAAATATTGGAATTTTTCGGGGAACAAAACGTACAAAAGCGAATCTCAGGAAAAATTGCTTGTCGATTGAGAAATTTTTGAGAGGACCAAGTTTTTGAGGATTTTTGAGTTTTTTGAAAAGTTTATAAGTCACGTCGAGGGCAAATTTGTCTGCTGAATCTTCGTATGATGTTTGTGAACCGTTTCCCTGGAATTTATAGATGAAACGGTGATTTTGAGGATTTCAGAAACTGAAGTTTGCTCAAAATTCCAAAAATAAATCGTATCCCGAAAACTCACAAAACTTCCATCAAAAAACTGCAATTTATCATATTTTTTGACAATACAATCAATTCTTTTCCGAAACTCTTTTATAATTTCATTGCTCATCTCAGAGCTCGAATAATTCTTGTTGCGACCATTTTCAACGAATCGTTCTGCATCAAATGCGTGACCAATTTCATGACCGAAAGTTCTACCAAGTGCAATAATTTGATTCCATTCTGGCAAGCCTTCGTGAATGTCTGGATAAGTTAGACGAAATGCTGGGATTGCTGGAAACAAATATTGGGTTAAAAATTCAGGAAAACCCACGTGGCAGTTTTTTTTGCCGCCAAGTTTCATTTTTGAAATAAATTAGAAGATGGATGCACTAACAAAAAGGTAAAAAAAAGCTTATTGTAACTTCAGGGATTTTTTTTTCAAAAAAAAAACTTTTACAACGACACTCCGGCTTGCCCGCTATTTAGCGCAACACGATCGTCTCGCGCGAGAATATTTTTATTTTTTTTTGTTTTTTTCGCTGGGTTTTCAGGTTTCCGGGGAAAATCAGTGGATTTCAGTCAAAAATTGAATTTTTAGATGTTCTACAAGGCTGAAATCATCGCTTCTAACGGAAAATCCGAGGATTATCGAAGAAAGGTGGGTTTTTTTTAGAGAAACACTGTTTCGATTGAAATTTTTGAGTTTTCAGGATTAAAAATGATTATAAATGTGAGGAAAACGATGTTTAGTTGAATTTGATACAATATTCGATGGAAATGGGACGAATTTTGAGATTTCCACAGGATTTTTTTGTCAAATTCATATTCTGGACATGAAACTTCGGAGAAAGCTGGAATTATCGATTTTTCGAACTGGGAAAGTCAAGAATTGAAGGAGCCGTCGTTGGAATTTTTATGAAAAACACTTGGGACTTTTTATGAAAATTACTGGATCAAAAATCGATGGAAAATTTGTTTGAGTAAGATTTTGCTGTGAACCTCTAAAAAAATAGCTGGAAAATTGTTGTGAGACACAGAAAATCCTCCGAAATCTAGAAAAACAGAAATGAAGTTAGCAGAACTCAATGGTACATGAGAAATTCAAATTTTCTGATTTTCAGCTTGAAATATTGATGAACAATTGCATTTCAATGTCAATTACGTGGAAAATTTGGAGGATTACGGATTTATCAAGGATTATATTTGGAATTCTCGAATTTACGATGATTTTTGTGGATTTGTGAAATAGAAGCGATTGGTGAGTTTTTTGGGGAGGGATTTTGGAAAAATTGAATAAAATTGATCAAAAATTCTGTATAATTTGAAAAATATATAAAAATAATGAAAAAAATCTAGGTAAAAAAAGTCACTTCCATTTTTACTTTTATTTTCTTGTTTTTATTTTTCGAACATTTTTCATTCGCGTTTTTTTGTTATTAAATTCATATTCACCTCTTTTCCCAGTAAAAGTAACGTAATTTTAGTTGATTATTGATAGTTTTATACAAAAATTGGTGCTCAAAAAGCTATTTTATGAAATCTTCGTTCAAAAAATTCTCCGCTCAAAATTCTAAACCCTCCCCCAAAATCACTTACTAACACGAAAAGATTCGGTAACAAAATTTGCCGAATGTCCCAAACCTCTTCCAAAATACGTCATTGTTTCGCCATTCTTAATCTTCAAAAATGTTTGTTCTGTATTCATTTTCAATAATTCTCTCACAAGTTCCAAAAAAGTTTCTTTGAATGGCACTTTTATTGATTTGTACATTTTTTCAATATTTGCTTGGTTTTTGTGTTCGTCTGGAACTCCGATGGTTTTTTGAATACTTTTCGCTTCTTTTATCAGAAATTGTTTTGTTTTCTGATCTAACCATGTGGATTTTTCGAACATTTCGATTGTTTCGTCTCGGATTTCTTCGAATAAATTATTGGCGTCTTCAAGAGTTCTGTCGCCCAAAAACCTGTCAGTGAAGATTTTGGATAGAGTTCCGGGAAATAGTTTTTCAGCCTTCTGGAAATTTTTCAACTAATGTCAGGCCATTTCTGAAGAAATTCATATAACTCACCTTACCACAAGCTTTTCTCTTTTCTCTTGCATTTTCCGGAACCCAATAAGACTTCATTTTCGATTTCCATTTTTCCTTCAAAACTTCTCTTGCATAACTCTCATTTCGTTGGAAAAACACCTCAAGTTCATCAAACTCTTCTTTTATCACAAAAACCTTCCATTTTCGCGAAGTTTTTCGATCACTTCTTGGTAACAAATATCGAATATATTTTGTCAAATCCATAAATTTCGTCGAAAATTTTCGAGCATCCACAAACTTCTTTTCAATTCCAGGTTCATTTTCAACTTTTTGCCTAAGCCCACTTCTCAAAACCAATGTCATTTCCAAATTGTTGAAATATATATCATTTTCTAGAAATACTCCAGAAGGTCTGATTTTTGTGACTTCAATCAATAAGTCGGTTATAGTTTCATTTGTCCAAAAACTATCAGTTTCTTTCCAATAACTCGAATCATCTGCCGCTGAATTGTTTTCACATTTATTAATAAACATCTTCAAAACTTTTTCAGATTTCGAGATCGTCTTGAAATTCCTCAAAATAAAATTCTGGAGTTTTTTATGATTTTTGTTTTTGTAATAAACCGTTTCCGAATATGCATGTTTGTTCTTCTCATAATTTCCACATGCAAATTCATAAAAATCGACACAAGCGTCAATTTTTGAATTCATAAACGATTTCATACAATTTCCAAGTTTTTTACATTTTTCAGTTACACACAAATTGAAATCTGAAGAATTTTTAGATTCTTCGCCAAGTTTTTTGGTTTGATCATATTCAGAATCATAATCATGTTTTGGATTCAAATAAAGATATACAACTATTGAAAAAGAAATCAGTAGAAATAATGTTGCATAAGAGCTTAGAAATATATAGGTTTTTGTATTTTCAGTCATTTCAAAAATGATGAGGTTTGGAATAATTTTGACGTGTTTTTGGAAATGTCACGTTCAAAATTCATATTTTTGCTGCTCAAATATTCATTACAAAAACCGATTATTATCCCGGTTTAACTTCCCAACCATCAAATTTCTTTTTAAAAGTCTTCCTTCTATTTTCAACAATGCTTCCCTGATTATAAAGTTCACAATCTTTGGTCAGAATGGCATATCTGAAAGTACGATTGAATAGCTTTTTTTATATAAAAATAATTACCCGTCATATCGTAGTACATCGAATTGAAAACATACAAAATCCCTCCATTTTCCATCATCTGAACAATTGTGACGATATCCGAGAACAATTGTATAGTAGAACTGCGAAATGAACATTAGAAGTAGAAGAATTTTGTAATTGTCAACTTACTGACCAATATTCATCGAAATTCCTTTCAAAATCAAATGTATAAGCTCCATCTAATGCATTCTCATAAATATTATTTGTCTCCAAAGCCCACCCAATCAAATCATAATGCCACCAATCACTTTCCAAAACAATGAATTGAAATCGCCAAGGTTTATTGTTGTTGGTCATATAACAAGTTGGTTGAGATGTTAAAGTCATTATTGTGAGATTTGAGAAATTCAAAAATGAAATGAATATCAATTTTGAGAGGAGTTGAAACATTTTTGAATTTGTTTTGGTTGAGAAATGCTGGGGGATGTTTGTTTTATTTAAGGAAAAGAAACTGGTCTGTGAGAAAATATATAAAAAATATTTTGGATATGATTGTGCTTGGAACGCTCAACCAAGATTTGATGGAAATTTGAAAAACAATTATTTTTCGGTCTTCATATAAGTCTTGTGCATTCGCTTTCAAAAATTATTAATAACCATTAGGCTTGTCGACGAACTGATATTCTTGAAAAATATCTCTAGAAAAATTCTCAAAGTCTAGCCACCATTAAACCAAAACAAAATTTAAACGAACCCTGGAATCGTCCAAATCCACATATCAAAATGACAATATTTCTAATTTTCCTCTTCACTTCCATCACTTCCGAACTAATTCAACCCGGTTTCGATCCAGAAGAACTTTTGCGAAGCTATATAAGTGCAACTGAAAATGAAGAATTCAAAACAGTTTTAACTGACGATTTTGCAATTTATAATTGTATAGGGAAACTAATTGGTGGATCTGATTTCAACATGGAAAAATTGAAGAAATTGACAGATGATGTACCATTTCGTCACTTTGAAATAATTTCTTCTGATAATCAAACTGGAATATTTGATGTTGAAATTGATTATTTTGGAAGCACATTTGAAGCAATTTATATAGAAAATGAAGGATGGAAGATCAAATCGGAACAATATAAAACATGCCTGGAACATCATCGACCATATCATTCTAGTTTATTGATTGATTACCAAGAAATATTTGCCAAGAAGTCACAATCTTTGCTTGAAGAATACATAAAGAACATTGCAATTGGACAATTCCCAAAACACTTTGAGTTCGTGGGAGATCCAAACAATACTATAATATCAAAATACATTGAACCTCTTGTGAAAATGATTCAGGAAATTCCAATAATAACAAACAATCGATATTTTATTGATGGAACTTCAGAAAGTGATCTTCGAATTTTTGTTTCAATCGATAAAACAAATATTGTCATACTAGATGTATTTATAAATCAAAAAGGAGAATTCGAAATAAAATCAGAAGGACACGAAGAATACTCGAATGATGATACAAAAATTCCATGGTTCACTTCTGCATTTATTGATTATCGACAAACTTATACAAGAATTGTTGAACAATTAGTTGAGAATTTTATGAGGGGTCCTGGAACATCGAATACTGAATTGATTCGATTTATTGTTGGAAATTCAGAGCGGAATTTAGAGTCTATTCGAAAAGAATTTGATACACGACATCGGAGTCAGAATTTGGTTGAATGGATTTCGACTGATACTTCGGGATCATACAAAGATGCACTTATAGCATTGATAAAAGGAAACAGAGATCAATAATATGTTTTTGCAAATAAATTTTTTGAAAGGCAAAAATTAACACAACAATATCTGGCTTCAAAAAACCCAGGAATAAAAAAACATTTTCATTTCTGCTCAAAAAATGTTCTAAAACGTGCCCCAATTTTTTCAGGCTCATTTTGATTTTTCAAATTAAAAAAAACCTGAAATTTGTCTCGCGTGACCTTTCGCAATGTTTCCGACGTGGCAAAAAACATGTTTTTCGTCCGAAAAAAACACAGAAATGCTCCTATATAAGAGCGTGAAAAAGATAAAGTTCTTCAATTCAAACTGACCTTTCGACTAACTAACCTGCTTATTTCAACCTGCTTATTTGACAACAATGTCCAGGAAATCATCAACTAATAAAAAATGTGAGTCTTGGGCGGAAAAGTACTGTACTTTAAGCACAGTAAAATTTTCAGCAACCAATGGAAAATCCGCCGAAAAAGCGAATTTCGATAAAACACAAAGTGAATCGCCGAATTCGGAAGCTTCATCGAAGAAGGAAGAAGAATATTATGATGAAGTTATCAAAATTGAAATAAAATTTAGCGACTTGATGTAAGTGTGGCCTAGGAAACCAAATAAATTAAAAATCCTCTTTCAGAAACCTAGAACCCCTTTTGAAACTCATCAAATTGCTCGAGAAGGACTTGGAACAACGCCAAAAGTCGGCGAAAACATCGGAAGAGGAAAATTTGAAGAGCGAGAAAGTTGTCAAAACAATTGCGCCAATTCCTACGGATAATTTGACGCCGAAGAAATTCGATAAAGAGAGAAAGCGACGCGAATATGTGAAAGTTAGTGAGCTCAACTAATTTTTAAATTTTTTATTTTGGAAATGAATATTACTCATGTGCAAAACAGTTTTCTGAATCTGAAACCTGTAGATTTGTCATAGTTTCATAAAATAACTTTATTCTTAAAACAACACAAATTATTGAGTTCCAGTTCCAGTTCCAGTTGTCATTGTTCCGCTTCCACCGCTTCCGCTTCCGCTCCCACTACTACTTCCACCACGCGATTTTCCAAATCCACCATTACAACAAAGCAATTGTTGGAAAACCACACAAGCCAAAATCGAGAAAACACATCCACCAACACTGGCAACCGTGAACACGACTGGAAAAAAAATATTTTCTCAATTTTTAACATGAGCTCACAACTCACTTGTGAGTGTTTTCACGTGACTGGTGAGACCAATAATCGCACAAACTACACACAAAATCGCAAGAAGAATTTGATCGATATAATTCAGGATGATCCACCATTTCGCGGGATAGAAGACTGTGACGATGGTCGCTGCGCCGACCCAAATGTAATAGACACCAAGCCAATGACCGTGCTCCGCGAGTATTCTGGAAAATTTAAAGGTTTCTTACAGTAGTAACCCCGAACTGCAAACTCACCCCAAGATCAACATAATCACACCCAACGCAATCATTCCAGCACCACTAGCCAATAGGAGCAACTAAAAAATCGCCTGATTTTTGCTCAAAAAACATCTGAAAATTTCAGCTCACCTTGGCCGACGCGCAGCAAACTTTCAATGACAAATCGTATTTCTGGCACATATTTTCTTCTGATTTCTGACTTCTGGATTTACCAAATTTTCAACGAGAACTGACGGAATCGTGGGTTTTTATAGCATTTTTTTTTTGGAATCTGGGGCAGGTCAGGTAAAAAAAAAGTGGGTCAATGTCAGGTCGAGACACGTTTTACTGTGGAAAATTACGTGGGGTTTTCGCTTTTTGCAGTTCTTGGTACTGTAGTGAGAGTATCCCGAACTGCAAAATGCTCAGCTGTATAGGTAATATTAGAAAATTTCAAACATACAGTAAACCGGGCTGCAAATCTGTAGATGTGGAATTTTTGTTTGAAAAAAACCTCTTTCAAAATTTTTCTGATTTGACTCAATAGTTTATTTCATCAATAAAAAATATTTCATTGCTTTCTATTGCCTTTAACCAACTCAATTAATGCATCTCGAAATCTTCCAGAAACATAATTCGAAATAAATTCAACCAAGTTCTCTTTTGGATGTCTTCTATCATAAACTTCTCTCACAGACTCTAAGTTTCGTTCCGCATTTCCAACAATAAATATAATCAAATCGAGTTCAATATTTTCCGAATCTTTAAAACTTTCAAGCTTATCAGCTAAATATTCCAATCGATCTTGTGTAATATCAATTATTATGTTGTAGAATTTTTGAAGATGTCTTTAAAAACAAAATTTGATTCTGATATCAAATAAAACCAATTTCACTTACGGTTGCTGCGAATAAATATATCCCATTGTCTGTCTTACTGTCTTCCCATATAATTCTAAAAATTTCTTGAACACCATTCTGAGTTGCACCAAGTTGGACTGAATAAAAATTTGCAATATAACTTTTTCTTCAGCGTTCAAGTAATGACCTGGATTTTCGATAACTTCCATTTTATTCGTTATTTCAAATATAGTTCTAGCATCTTCCAAAGCTTTTGTTTTATTTGTCACCAAACTTTGATCCCGTTTACCTTTCATTAATAGATTAATTGCATCTCGGACATAAACTCTAGAAGGAGCTATTTCTGGTAAGAATAATGAATTCTCTATCCAGATTTTCGAATCTAAATTTGCCTGAATATACTCAAATGCTTTCCTTACATCTTTAATCTCTTGCTCTGATAGAATCATAAATCGTTCAGTATAAAACATCGCATCAAATTCTGCTCTGCTGAATGACCAAGCATCAAAAACTGGTGGAGTTAATAATAAAACATTCATCAAAAGTTGGAAATCATTGTCTGTGAAATCAAGATGTATGTCCATCAAATGAAAATGTAGGTCATCACCCAATTTAACTCGATACATTGATTGATATTTTAAAAAAATAAATTCACGTTGAGATTGTGAGCGACGACATATTATTTTTAAAAGTTTATAATCGTTATCTGAAATCAAAGCTTCTCTCACTTCAATCGCATCTGCTGTCATATTAAAGTTTTCGTATGGAATGATCGAAGGCTTGTGATCAAACATCCCTGAAATATAATTTTTTTCAAATTCACAATTCAAACAACAAAAAAAACATACACCCTTTTCCAAAAGTGATGAATGGTTCTTCAGGTTCAAAATTATTCCAAGTATAACTCATATTGTAGTGTGGCTTATATCCATCATCCCAATCTATCAAATTCTCAAAATCATTTCCACAACGAATTTCCACGATTAATTCGTATCTTTTCCGATCGAAATTGTATTTCGCAATAAATTTCGATTTTTTATTTTTCATAAATTTTATATCACCATTCGTCTTGTCAATTGAAAAGAACTCAATGTCATCCCAATCACCAAAATCAACTATATTTCCTGGTTTTTTGAGTTGTTTTTCGAAATGTGCTAAATCCATGCATCCTTTCAAACATTCGCATGACTTGAAATTTTCATTAAAAAGATCTTGCAATTCAATTTCATCCGCCATCATGATATTCTTATATTCAACCATCAAATCATAAGACTTATCTTTATAAAGACTATCCAAATAATCTGGCCCAGTCAATTCTCCATCAAAATACAGATCAAATTTGTTATTTTTAAATACGAATTGAAATTCCATCAATCTCTCTTCAGAATTTCGAACCGAAACCAATTGTTTTTCATCAACATCTCCAAATATATTTTGATAAATTACAGAGTAAAAAATTGTGAATTGGCCGATATCTGAAATATCAATATTTTTTATTGAGAATACTTCATCCTCCATTTTCCTTGTTCTTATAGCACTTTTGAACTTCTCAACTAATTCTTCATTAATTCTTGTATGAGTTTTTCGATAGTCGATAAATGCTGAAGTAAACCACGCAATATTTGAATCAGCATTCGAATTTTCTTCATGTTCTTCCGATTTTATTTCGAAATTTCCATTTTCATTCAAAGTTACATCAAGTGCCACATTAATCTTTTCATCAATCGTGACATGAATTTGTCGATCTGTTTCAAAAGATCCATCAATAATATATCGATTTTTTGATATTATTGGAATTGTTCCAATCAATTTGACGAGAGCATTGATGTATGTTAGATTAATATTATTTTTCGATTTTCCAATAATTGTGAAGTTTTTATGTTTTGGAAATTGTCCAAGCGCGATGTTATTTATATATTCTTCAAGCAAAGATTCGGATACAGCGAGGAAAATTTTGTCGTAATCAATCAATAAACTTGAATGATATGGCTGAAGTTTTACCATACATACTTTGTGTTTTTCCGATTTTATTTTCCATCCCTCATTGTTGATATAAATTGCCTCAAATGTGCTCTCATAGAATTCGATTTTAAGATCAAATTTTCCAGTTTGATTATCAGAAGAAATTATTTCAAATTGTCGAAATGATACATCATCTGTATATTTCTTCAATTTTTCCATGTTGAAATCAGATCCACTAATTATTTTTCCTTTACAATCATAAATTGCAAAATCATCAGTAAGAACTTTCTTGTACTCATCATTTTGCATTGCATTAATGTATTTGTACAAAAGTTCGTTCGGCTTGAATTCTGAATTCAAGAAGAAAAAACCCAATCTCTTATAAGTTTCCGGATAATCAATAAATGCAGAAGTGAACCATGGAATGCTTAAATCCTTACTCGAAAATTCTTCATATCCTTCTGATTTTATTTCGAATTTTCCATTTTCATTCACAAATACATCAAGGGTGATAATATATTTTTTATCGATTGAAACAAAAATTCGGAGATCTCTTTCTGAAGTTCCATCAATAACATATCGATTGTTTGCTATGATTGGAATTTCCTGAATCATTTTCACAAGAGGTTCAATGTATTTTAATATTATAGTATTGTTTGGATCTCCCATGAATTCAAAATGCTTTGGGAATTGTCCAATTTTAATGTTTTTTATGTATTCTCCAAGCAAAGATTGTGACTTCTTTGCAAATATTTCTTGGTAATCAATCAATAAACTAGAATGATATGGTCGAAGATGTTCCAGGCATGTTTTATATTGTTCCGATTTTATTTTCCATCCTTCATTTTCTATATAAATTGCTTCAAATGTGCTTCCAAAATAATCAATTTCAACATCAAATATTCCAGTTTGATTATCAGAAGAAATTACTTCAAATTCACGAAATGATACATCATCTGTCAGCTTTTTCAATTTTTCCATGTTGAAATCAGATCCACTAATTAGTTTTCCTATACAATTATAAATTGCAAAATCATCAGTTAGAATTGTTTTGTATTCTTCATTTTGAGTCGCATTCATATAACTTTTCAGAAGTTCTTCTGGATCGAAACCGGGTTGAATTAGTTCGGAATTGATAAAAGTAAAGAGGAAAATTAGAAATATTGTCATTTTGATATAAGAAATTGAAACAAAATTGGGATTTTGTGGTTTTGGTTTTATGACGACTAGACTTTGAGAATGGGAAAGTTTTTCTTTGGGAAGAAATAATTTATTGATTTTCAAAAGTTCAACACCCAATTCTTTCACCAGAAATCAATTTAATAGTTTCCAAAAAAGACTTATCAATATGAATTTTAAATTTAAAATTTGGAACAAAGTTCAATGATTTGACAGTGATATTATAATACGAATGGAGATTCGAACCTTGATGCAATCTATGTGCACTTGGAATTCTAACACTTTCCAAAATCTCCGAGCTCATTGAATCCACGAGGTTTTCCAAGTAACCTTGAGAATCCAGTTCAGTTTTAGAGCAATCCAGGAATTTGAAATTGTTATCGAAGTATCCTGGATCTTTGGATTTTTTGATTGTTTGGAGGAATTCGATGATGTTGTTGTTGAAAACATCGTTGGCAAAGATCAAGGAAATTTGGAGGAAAAGGAGGAAATTGATCATGATTTTTTGGAATCTGAAAGGTTGGGAGGGGTTTTAAAAGGGGAGAAGTTCCAGACACCATAAAAATTTGGAAATTTTTTTGATCTACTATTTGCCACGTGGATTATTGATTTGCTTAAAGACTCAAAGACTCAAAACTTTTCAACCGGAAACATCTAATTTTAAAATTTCGAAAAACATCTAACCGTGTGTTTTTCGCGAAAATTCAAAATTCAGAAATTCCCGCGTGAATTTTCAAATTTCCCGCAACCTCTTTTCAACCCATTTACATGACCTGACCTCTCCATAACCTAATATCAAAATCCCCCTATAAAATCGGCCGGTTTCCCGCCAAAACCCCACAATCAAACCAATTTTTTGAACAAATTTGAGAAAAGAATCAATAAATCAGCGAAAAAACATGTGCGAGAGAATGGATTTGGAAGTTCCGGTGTGTTGTTTGGTGGGAAAAATGATGTTGTGGATTGTGGCCGGTGGAATGTTTGCGTTGGGAGTTGTTGAGCTGATTTTGGCGTGAGTTTTACTTAGAGCGGAAGAGGACTCCAAGAATTATTCTCTCTTCAGATTCATCGCTTCCCACGGTTACGTGTACGGTAGTTCATTCATTTGGGGTGGAATTTGTACAATTATTGTCACATTCTATCCAGCTAAATGGTTCATTATCTATAATTATATTGAACAAATTCTACTCGCCATTGGTTGTATTATTTTTTCAATTTGGGCATTTACTGATAAAAATAACGAAGATGTTGGTATTGGTATGTGAGATTTTTTTTTTGATAAGGGTTGGGCTGAAAATGAGCCTGGAGAAAAAAATAGTTCTGAAGTAGTCATGCCTAGAGTATTCAACTTTCAAGGATCCGCGCCTTGTGATCGAATTAGACAAGCACCTGCGTGAGAGCTCAAGTAGCCGAGCCTAGAAACCCGAGTTGTCAAGTAGTCATGTCTACAGAATGGAACTATCAAGGATCAGCAGCTAGGGAGCTTCTTTATTTTAAGTAGTCAATCCTTTGGAGCCTAGGTCTCAAGAAGCCTTGCCTAGCAAATTCAACTGTCAAGTATTAGAATCTAGAGAGCTTAATTGTCAAGTGGCCGAGCCTTGAGAATGTAATTGTCAAGGATCAGCGGCTAGATATTCAGGATGTCCAGGAACAGCGCCTAGAAAACCTAGTTCTCAAGTATTCAAGCCTTGAAAATTGAATTGTCCAGGAACAACGCCTAGAGATTCACTATGTCTAGGATCTGCGCCTAGAAAACCTATTTCTCAAGTAGCCGCGCCTAGAAATCCTACCTGATCTCAAACAAAAATTTTGCAGTTTGGATGGTGGTGTTCTTCTGTATGTGTGTTGGTGGAAGTGTTTTCTCAATTCTCGCTTGTGTTGTTTATCAAAAAGTTCTCTGTTGTAAATAATGAGCAAGATTGTTGTTACCTTACTCGGGATTTTTTTTTTGAAATAAATTTTTTCTTTTAAAAAATTTTGATTTCAAAAGTTTATTCATCCCAAAGATACGGTAACAGTTCCAGTTCCACTAACACTTGTATTCGCTCCTCCTTTATTATACAAAATCTTACAGTAGACCACCAAACCAGTGATGGCAAAAACACAAGACACCAAGCAGAAGCTGCCCAACACATACAAAATTGCTAAAAAAAAAGTTTTACAAAAAAATGCCGAATGTTAGTGACTTACTAAAATTAGTTTTAACCTTCTTCTCCTTATTTTCATCGGTATCGCCAAAAAACAAAGAGAAAAACAGGAATATAATTGTCATGGCTACACAGCAAAAAGATATGACCACGTGATTGAGTAACATTGATATAATCACCCATTTTGGTGAGTAGAAAATGGCCACAATTGAACCAATTCCAAGCGCAACCATATAAAGACCACCAGCCCAAATTTGATTGCCAACAATTCCCAAAACCAATACAATAATGCCCAGAACAATCATACCAATACCAACTACCCAGAGAAATATCTGAAAAACTACTTTTTTTTTTGTTGAGATTTTGGAGCTTTTTCCTACCGTACCTTTGTGCTGGTGCAGCATAGTTTCACATCGACGTCAATTTTTTCGCACATGTTTTCTTTGTCACTTTTTTTGCCTCGAAAAATTATCTGAAATGAGGAACTGATTTATTTTTTTCATGGAATTTGAAATCTGGAGCACGTCAAAATTATTTTCATTTTTTGGATTTTCAGAATTTACTGTACCTCGAGCTACAAATAGTACTGTAATTTAGAGTCTAGATTACGGTGGGTTATATTCAAATTCTAATTTCAATTACTGTAGTTTTCAGACATTTTTTAATTCACCTTATATTTGCAGGTTACTTCGAAAGTATTTCGAATTTTGAAGAATGACTTGAACTAAAAATCAAACTGCAAATTATACGGTAACTCAACAATCTCAAACTGCAAGGATTACTGTGAGCTGTTATATTTCAAAAAATTTTCCAGGCTGTAAAGATTACTCACGAACTGCAAAGCATACTGTAACTCAACGTTTTCAGACTAAGAAAGTTAGAAACTGCAAAGATTACTGTAGCTCAAAAATTTTATCTTTCAAAAAACTTTACCAGACTTCAAAATTTACTGTAGTTCCCAGACTGCAAGGGTTACTGTAGCCTTTTTTGGTGAAACTTTTTTGTGCAAACCCACAACTACTGTTGCTCAAAACATTTTCAATGTGAATTTTCTTCGAAATTAATTTTTGTTTTTTCTACAAAATCAGCACACGTCTGATAAATATTTCCAATTTACTTATTTAAAACAACTCAAACGCGCAAAAAGTGCTCTTATCAATCCCAAAAATCTAACGTGTCCCATTTTCGAAAGTGTTTAAAAAGAGCAACGAGTTTCAGTTAGTTTCAGTGTTATTCTTCGATCGACTAAGGAATTGTAGCTGAGTGAAGAATCAGGGAAAAACATGTGCGAGAAAGTTGATTTGGGTCAAAAAGCGTGTTGCACTTCTGCAAAGGTGAGTTTAACATGAGCAATACGGCAACAGCTTTGAGATCAAATATGTAAATTTCAGATGCTGCTTTTTGTAGTTGCTGGCGGCGAACTTCTAATCGGAATAGTGATTGCTATCCTTGCTGGTATTGCCGGTGAACGTGGTGGAAGTGGTTGGTATTGTGCTGCAGATTATATAACAATGGGAATTCTTACCATTGTTCTCTGCTTCTATTCTGCCAAATGGTTTGTAATTCTCAATTATATTGGTCAAATTTGTCTTGCAATTTGCGCTGTGACTATCACTGTTGTTCTTGGTTTCGCTATTGCAAGTGCAAATTTCTTGTTAGAAACTGGATTAACGCATAAAAAGAAAGAAAAAGAAGAATTAGAAACAGCTATTAGTAAGTTCGAGACAGTATTTTCATTTCGAACATGTTTATTTATTCAGCTATGTGTTACTGTATGATGGCCTTTTCGATTTTGGGAGCTGTTTTTTCAATCATGGCTGGTGTTGTCTACGCAAAAGTTCTTTGCTGCGGTGGAGGAGGCGGTGGAAGCAGCTCATTCTCGTCTGGAACTTCATAGACATTTTTTGAGAGTAAATGAAATTTTTATGATGAATTTTGTGTTGTTTGATTTTTTGGGCTGAAATTTCAGACTTGAAATATTTTAACAAACCATTTCTGAGACGCGGCGCACAATTACACACAACAAATTTGTCAGTACACAGTAGTTTCTGTATTCGCATAGACTTGCCTAACGTGGGATAAAAATTGAATTCTGAATTTTTGGGATATCCGTTCCAACAACGTTCCAGAATATTGTTAGCTGAAAAGTTAACTTCAAAATTCAACTTTATTCAAAAAAAAAATCAGAAGACACTGTGATCAATTCGATTTATTCTCCAAATTCTCACTGATCATCGTCAATTTGTCATTGATTTTCGTCAAAATATCCCTCAGATCTTTGAGATATGAATGAGTTGTGAAATCGGAGACATACTCAGCTGTAACAACTAGGAAAATGAATGTTAGCAGGAAAATCGGAGAAATATGCATCAAAGAGTGTTTGATGGAAAAATAGAAGATTTGGGCTATTTTCATGTGTTCTAGACATTTTCACACATTTTATTTAAATTCAATTTATAACTCTAAACTCAGTGAAGTATCAGGTGCAGCTCTAGCCAATTCTGTATCGTCTCTATAACCCTTGTCTTCTTGATTTGGACATCCTGCACAAAGCACAGCACATCCAAAAATGGACGAAATGCTACCAACAATTGAAAATATTAAAAAGCCGATTGTCCAACCTGAAAAAATGTATGGGTTTTTCAAAACAATTTCAAAAAAAAAAAGACAAACCCGAAAAATGTTTATATTTCTCCGGTTCGACAACAAAACAACTACTCGATATTTTACAGCCCCAAATCAACACCAAAATCAAGAGAGCACTATGAAGAACACTTATAATTGTCATTATAACATGAAGGATATAACAGAAAATAATCCAACTCTTGAAACGAGAAAACAATGCAAAAATTGAGCAAAAACCAATAAATGCGTACGCAAATGCACAACCAAAAACGAACTGTCTATTTTCTAATGGCGAGTACATTGCGACGAAAAAGAGTCCGACTCCAATAATGATATCACAAATAATAACAGCTAGAAGCAATATCTGTAAAATAAAATACAAATATATTTAGGGGAACTTGAAAGTATTTAAGTCTGCTAACACTGCGACGCACTTTTGCGTACACTACTTGTTATTCGCCCAGCAGCTTCGTGGGTGGTCCCGGTCTCTATGGACCCTCTTACCTTTCCATAACAACAGCATACTTTTTGATTCGAAATTTTATCGTACATATTTTTCTATGATTTTTCACTTCGCTTTGCTAGGTGATGGAAAAATAAAAATGATCGGGAAAATCTCTTTTTTTTTTCATGGAAAACTGAAATTGGAACACGTGAAAATTCAGTATTTTTTATTCAATTTTCACGCTAAAAATCATCTCATAAATCTTGAAAACGCGAAAAAAAACGCGCTCACTCTATTAAAACCCCGCCCCTTTTGCACACAAACGATGGCAGCTCGCACAACCCGTCAACCGTCGGTCACACAAGACATTTATATATTTGCGTGTTTTGTGTGTTGTATCGCTTTCGGGTGATAGCCAAGCTATTGTCAAATATTTTTTGAATTGAAAATATTTTTGACTGATACATAAACATCAAAATAGATTTCCCAACACTCCGAGTATAAAATTTATTCAATCAATAATTCACAAAATATGTAGATCTATCCCGTTTTTCCGGATGAATATAAAGACACGCTTTTACAGAACAAATAAATTTTAACGAAAGTGGGCGGAGCCTAATATATACAGGTATAGGCAGAGCGCAGAGAAACGCATCTTTCGTGTATATATCTGTTGTCTACTCATGCATGTATGCATGTATATTAGGCTCCGCCCATTTTCGTTAAAATTTATTTGTTATTTAACTTTTACTATATAAAGCTTTGCTTCTACGAGTTGTTCCAGGACTAGTTCCCGTATCAGTTCCAGTTGCAGGACTGTTTCCGGTATTTCCAGTTCCACCGTAAATTGAACGTCTTCGACCATCATTACAGCAAAGAAGTACCGCATAAACAACACCAGCCATAATTGTGAACACACATCCAACGATCAAGGTAAAAATCTGGCAATAAGCATAGGCTGGAAAAAAATGGTCGAGATAAATCAAGAAGTCAGGAATTACCTTGTACTTTTTTCCATGTTTTGTTGTCTTCGACCCCATAAGCATCAACTATAATCTCTCCAAATCCCACGTCGACTATCAATACAATACAAACAACGACACTTTCAATTGCACTTATAATTTGATCAATATAGCACAATATCATAAGCCACATTGCTGGATAGAAAACGACAACAATTGAAAAAAAACCAAGACACATGTACGACGCTGCACAAACCCAAACCCATGTGGCACTTGCGTGAGGAGTGATGGCTGCGAGGATAATCAGGATTATTGCCACGAATATTTCACCACCACCGATTACGAACATCATTATCTAGAAAATAAGTGTTATATGCAATGGAAGCCCAAGGGAATCGAAAAAAGTGGGCGGAGTCTGTTCAAATCCCTTTTTCGTCTCGCGTCTCTCGTTTTCTCTCACACTTTTCGCTGTGAAATCGCTGTGCAGTTTGTGAAAATCCAATAAATTGTGAGTTAACGTAACTCTTGAGCCAATTTGTGCAAAAGTCTCTATGGATTCTGATCTACAGACTATTAACCACAGTGACCTTTTTCAAAATCCCACCATAATCCTCAAGACTCACCTTGGCCGAACAACAGCACGTTCTTTGATTCATATCCACCTTCTCGCACATGTTTTTCCTTGATTTTCCACTTTGCTACAATTTTTGATTTGATAAAATTTGAGAACTGATTTCAAGAAAAAAAGTGTTCTCTTTAAGAAGACTTCCTAATTGGAACACGTAAGATTTTTGTGATTGATAACAGTTTTTTGAAAGTGAAGCCTTTTTTGAGTTAAGAAAGATCCGTAAAAAAATACAAAAATCATTTTATTCATTATTCTGTTTCTCGGTAGCTCCAACATTTGATCTAGTAGATAAATCCGATGCAAACGTCGATCCACTCGCACCAAAACTTCCACTGCTCGGACTCTTTTTCTCACTTTTCTCACTCTTCTTGCTGCTCTTACTGCTTCTACTCTTCTTACTGCTCTTATTACTTTTCTCAGTTCTTTTTACACTTTTCTTTTGACTCTTTCGAGGTACTTGATAATCCTGTGCTTTTCCTTTGCAGCAAAGAAGCTTTGAGTAAAGAACACAAGCTATGATTGCACAAAAACTTGCGGTGAACGAAAGTGCCGCGTAGATATAGAAGTAGACTGCAAAAAAATCATGGTCCGACCGTTCCAGCCTATCCCGATTCAAAATCTGAACTTTCTCACCTATTTCATCTTTAAAATCTTTCCTCAAATCTTCAATAGCTACAACCATCACAAAAACAATACCCATCAGAACACCAGAAAACGCGAGGAATATTTGATCGATCAAACTCCATACAACAATACACTTTGCTGGCCAAACCGCCACAATTAGTGTCATAATTCCCGAACACATGGCTGATATTGCGATCAATATTATGTGATTGGCGGCGACGAATCTGAGCAATTTTCTCTTTAAAATTTTTTTTTACAAAAAAAATAAACTCACCCAAAAACCAAGCCAATAACACCGACAATTATCAAAAGCCCAGCAATCACGAATAAAATAGCCTGAAAGTAAACGCGGAGCATCGTTGGGTTTGAGTTGAGTTAACTTACTTTTACAGAAGCACAGTATACTTTTTGACCCACATCCAATTTTTTGCACATATTTTTCTCTCGTTTAAAAAACTAAATATGAAAGCGAAGAGAAAGTGAGCTAGATTTTTTTTTGGAAAAAATTTTTGTAGGTCACGCAAGAATTCAACATTTTTTTCAACAGCCTTTTGCTAAGTTGTTTGCCACGTTATAACTCATTTTTTGAACTCTTATAAGTCTCTTCAAGATCAGGACCCCAAGAAAAAATTTCATGACGCGGGGTGGAATCGAACCCGTGACCTCTAAGTCGGCATTTTAAACTCTTACCACCTACAACAAAAATCAGATTTTTGGAGCAAATTTTCTTTGAGCTTTGAAGCTGATTTTCATCAACAGCTCTAATTTTGAATAATCTGCACTTTGATTATTAAAATTTAATCTTAATCAATTTTAATGCCAATAAATATCGTAATACTTGAAAATAGCATTTTGATAACTCAAAATACTAGATTTCTTCCCATTGTTATGCAAATCCTTATTTGGTACATCGATTGTCGCTGTCCTGAAAAACTTCTCTTCTAAAACTTTTATAAACAAGTTTTGAGCTCACTCCAAGTATTCTGAAACATCATAAACACCAGTGTTGAATTCTCGCATCGCCCCATTATCTGTACAATTATGCCGATAGCCAACAACTATTTCATATTCGGCTCCGATATCCGAGGTGTCACTAGCCTCTAGTGTGTATTTTGGAGCGGCGGCTCCTCTGTAACATCTGGGGCCGGTGTCTTTCAAACCATCGTAGTCACTGAATTTTTTGTTTTGAGATCAGATTAATCTACTGCTGAACTTACTCAAAATCAAGTTCCAAGACTAGAATTTGAACACACCAAACATCATCAATTTTACAAGTTACCTGAACATTAATGGTGAAATTGGTTTGAGTGGATTTGTCAAATCTGATGAGGAGAAGAATAATTGATAGAAGTGTCTTCATATTGAAGAATTGTGATATTTTTGGAAAGACTTGGTGTTTTATATGTGATTTTTTTAGATGTTCAGATTGTCTGGGGCGAAGTTTTTATTAGCAAAGAAGATCGGAAAATCAAAAATTCAGATTGTTTTTAGAATTCAAAAAAAATCCAAGATGGATGATCTAAACATCTTTGAATGACTCTCGAGTTAGGATAACTACACTAAACTACAGTACCGTGCATGTTTGCACACGCTAATTTTCACTCTCTCGTTTTCTCTCACTCTAGAAGCCTCATGTATGTTTTAATGGGAACCCTGAAATTTGTTAAATGTGATACAACTCCTAGTGAAAGGTATATTTCAAAATTTGAACTTCTGAACTTCTCAAAAAGCCAAATTTAGAAAATAGTTTTATTTGTCTAAGAAAATATCAGAAACAGAAAACACCAAACATGTTTTCTGGATAAAACCATCTCCAGATTCATCATTTTAACGAAAAAATGTTACTCATCGCAGTTTTTATATTTCTCTCAAAAATCGCCGAATCAAAAAGTCCTGGCTATGCACCTCCAACAAAATTTCATTTCAAGCCAACAATTAACTGCACTTTGGGTCTTAAAGGAACTTGGTGTATTCAAGTTTGGGGTTTAGAGGACGATATTGGGTGAGTTTTTTGTTTGATCACAAAACATTAGACTATTTTTATAGTATTTTTTCTTCGAATTACGACGAACTTGGAAAAACAGAAAGAATATGCCAACCTTTCTCAAAAACGGAGCTGGCGCTACATTTTGAAGGGGGAGACACGCATGACTACGGTGGTAGTTTTGAAGTTGTTGTTGGTTATCGACACAATTGCACCGTCGATGGCGGGATTAAAGAGTTTGTGAGCAAAATTCATGACCTTCCAGGAGATATGTATAGACCTCAAGTTGTAAGTGGAAACGCATTGCTGGATGATCACGGAACTCCTAAGGCTGATGGAAAATGGACCTCGAGAAAGTTTATGGGGTATGAAATTGAGGTTAAATAAATTTTGATGTTTTTCTGATAAAGTTTCTGATTCAATTCCACACGCTCGCGACGTTTGATGAAAAGCTGTTTTGTTCTCACAGACATCAGTTCCTTGCTTGCTTCATTCCACATTTGATTCAAAATGATACTATTCCTTTTTCCCCTCTTCTCTCTCCAAATCTTAACGTGTCTTGAATTAAATACAGCCACTGAACTGTTGCAAAGATTTGGAGCTGCAATTATTTTGCGAGACACATCCCTGATCTCAAGAAATGTTCATGACAATTATCAATTGACAACTTGTGGAAATTCGAGACTGAATAAATTGAAACTTTTGGAAGCGATTGAGAATCTTCCGATGGAAAATGTGACGTTGTATCAATTCAAAATCGAGAAAATAGAGGAAAATCGAAATTCGATATTCAATGTTCGAACAACGATTGATGGCTTTGAAGTGGTATTTGATGTTGTGAAACAGCAAAATGGCAAATATTTATTGCTTGGTGAACGAGACTACAATTGTGCAGAGAAGAACAGTTTGAGCACAATGCTCATTTCCTATCCACCAATGGCGAAAGCTATTGCAAAATCATTGATCAGAAAATATATTCGAGCTATCAGTGAAAGAAGTTACCCGAAATTCTGGGAGATTGCAGAGAATCCTTACATTCTTTATGGATGTGCAGATGGTATAGATGATCGAAATGTTGAATTTCATAGTTATCAATTAAACTTCCCTGGCTATCATATAAATCAAGAAAGAACTAAAAATTTAGTTGAGATTAGGAATGCACAATTTCGCGAAGGTACCAATTTGGCTCTTGAATTCTCGGTTCATGGAGGTGGTTTCAATAATTTCTTCCACGCGACAAGAGATGAAAATAATATCTATAAAATCAAATATGATCAATTGTATACATGCAGTGAAACACTTCCAACAAAACTGAATTATAATGAGATTCAATACGCTGCTGTGAAAGATGATTGACTTAAATCAAGCATTTATTTTGATAAAGTTCTCATAGATCACTAAAATCACAATGTTCATCAGTAGTTGCAAAGAAATCTCTCATCTGTATCCAAGATTCCTTTCCGCATTTTTCAATAACCAACCATTTCATACAATTGTCTTCCCCAAAGAAATGCTTACAATAAAAGCAATCGTAATTTTGCTGAAACCGCATTATTAAATTTCGAATCCAAAAAAAGTATTTTTTTACTCACATGACTTGTCCACTTATAAATCTGCCACATGTTCACACATCTTGTATACGAACCTTCGTGCCAATTAAACGTGGTAATTTCGTAATATTTTTCAAATTTACGAATACATTTATTGAATGGTCCTGCGAAGAAATCCCAAATCTTACATCCCAATTGAATTGTATCAGCTAACAAGCATTTGTATTTCGCGGCAATTGGCTGAATCTTTTCACATTCTTTCGAAAAATTCTTGTAGGCCTTGTAAGGCTCTGCAAAACCATAATCAATAGTTTCAGATCCATTTCTCAAAGTTGAGATTTCTTGGGGATCTGTTATTCCACATGCTTCCATTTCATCGTCGAAAGATGCTTTACAACTTGAAAATATTAATAGCAGAAATGAAAATACAAAAATCATTTGAAAAAATAAAATAGAATGTTTTGTGAAAATGAACAAAAAAAATGAAACAGATTAATCTCCCGGTTTCCCGAACTCATATTTTTCATATTGATCTGTCAGGTCATTTTTATTTGTTCAGCAGATATTTATTCACAAGTCAGTAAAATCGCAATGTTCATCAAATCCCGCAAGAAAATCTCTCAACTGTTCCCAAGATTCCTTTCCGCATTTCTCAATAGTCAACCACTTCATACAATTATGCCCGCCGAAGAAATGCTTACAATAAAAACAATCGAATGAATACTGCAAAAATCAATCAACAAATTGGATCTCACCAGAAAGTGACGAACCTTTCCCTGCCATTTATAAATTTCCCAACTATTCAGACAAGATGAATAAGAATTGTCATGCCAATCAGCAGCACTATAATATTTTTCAAACTTGTGTATACATTTATAAAATGGTCCCGCAAAAAAGTTCCAAATATCACATCCGGTTTCGATGGTTTTCGATAGAAAACATTGATATTTGGACGAAACTGGTAAGATGATTTCACACTGTTCTGCTAAATACTTATACGATTTGTAAGATTCATAGAATCTATCATCGATAGCTCGAGTTCCATTATCCAGGATTGAAATTTCGTGAGCATCTGTGATTCCACACTCTTCAATAGCTTCTTCGAAAGTCAGAGTTGAACATGTGGGAAAGAGAAATAGTAGAAAAACTAGAAACATTTTGACCAAATAACAAAGTTTGATCTCTACACTAACATTTTGTACCAAACCCAAACACAAACGGATTAGGGATCATTTGATCGTGTTTAGTCTCAAAATATGAGGAAAAATTTATTCCAAAGTTATTGACAAAGAAGTTTTCCAATGAATTATTTTCAATCCTTTGAAATAATCTTTGTTCCAATTACTTCCAACTTCTCCTTCATCATTCAAAATTGTGATTTTTTCAATTTTCTGTTCTCTGAAAATATCTTTCAAATGTACATACATAGGTGAACAGTTTGACTCACCCTGCGTAAACGCTTACATCTTCTTGTAAAGCCACGTATTCCCGGATAGAACCATCGGATGTACAATTATGACGATAGCCAACAACTATTTCCAAATTCTGATTGTGTGAAAGAAAAAAAAATGTTATGTGAAAAAATAAAGTATCTTACACCATTGAAAAATCCATCCCCATAAAATGTATTGGAAGAATTGAATCTTGGTGTATAATTCGGAGAAAAACATCGGAAAATATATCCAACGCCTTCATAACTTCAAAAAAAAACAAAGAGATTTTCAGATTCAGTTTTTTCGTTACCTGCTTGTATCCTCTTCAAGATAAAAAACTTCCACACACCATGAGGAATTCACAATTTGACAGACTGCGGTTGTATGCAAATCAACGTCCGCAAATAGATATTTGATTCCGCCGTGAAATGAACAAGTTTTTGCGAGAAAAGAGAGGAGAACAATTTTGATCAACATTGGTCTTCAGAAAATTCACGAATACGAAACACTGATGAAATTAAATATTCTCTCACATTTTATGTGGTTCAAATCAAAATTTTATAAAAAAGTGAACTATTGAACTGTGTCGGAAATAGAAAAAGAAACATACGTGAATCATTTTGCTCATTTCTGATTTTTCACAACGCTTGGACTGCCGCCTTCATTTTTTGAAATCTATCGTGAGTTTACTTAAAGAAAGGTGTGAATATTGGAAAGCTCTATTTAAAAGTAATAGACCTAATTTTTGGAAATAATCTATTTTTTGTGAAGTTGTAAAAACGATTCAATGAAAAATAAAACAAAATGAAAATAATTTCAAAATAAAAAAAGCTCGAAATTTTCGCGTGTACACATTTTTTTCATTTTCATTTTTTTGAGAATCCAAAAAATCTGGTGAATACATGGTATCTTCACAATTAGCACCCCAAATGTGATGACCCACTTTCGTCGAAATTTTCCTTTTTCGAGACCCCCCCCCCCTTACCCTCTAAAAATTTTAAAACTAAAATCCATAAAATTTCTAACCAAAAATCTAATCATTTCTCACATGTTTCCCCAAAAACTCACATTAATCAGCAGTCTTTTGTTTCTTCATCACATTCCATTTCCCGGATGATAATTCTCCAATCTGAAAATTCACAAATCAGAAAGAAGAAAAGAAAAAACAAAAAAAAGCAAAAAAAAAACGATGATTATTGATTTCTTCCAAACACATGGCCGAGAAAACCAAAAAGGACAGCCAGCCGGCCAAGCTCCACACACATTTTTTTCTATTTTTTTGTTTTGTTTTTTGTTTTTGTTTGTTCAAACATACTTTTTGTCAATTTTAAGCTTTTTTCACTTTGAAAAACTTCAGAACTAACGAAGTTAACGAAGTTCTTAAGTTTTTTTTAAGGTGAAAAAGCTTAAAATTGACAAAAAAGTATAAAAAAAGCAAAAAAAAAATAGAAAAAAAAAGTTGGCGGAGCTTGGCCGCGTGGCTGTCCATTTTGGTCTTCTCGGCCATGTGTTTGGAGAAAAAATCAATAATCATCGTTTTTTTTTCTGCTTCTGTTTGCTTTTTTTTTGTATTTTCTTCTGGATTTGAGTACCTAAATTTTCAGATTCGAGAATTGTATTCGGGGAAATGGAATGTGATAGAGAAACAACCGGTTGCTGATCTATGTGAGTTTTTGGCGAAACATTTGAGAAATGATTAGATTTTTGGTTAGAAATTTTATGCATAAAAAGGTCCGAAAAAATATTCCATGAACTTTTTTGATACCTAGTTTATGGAACATTTTTTCTGGGCGTTTCCAGAAAAAAAAACAGAAAAAATCCCTTTACTACTTTTGAAACTCACGATACATTTCAAAAAACGAATGTTGAATATATAAGAAAGAAGATCATTTAAAAAACCCGGCTGGTTCTGTTGAAATTCCAGATTTTTACAATTTCACTCTGAAACCCCCAAAACCTCATCATTTTCACACAATGTCCCACCAAAACCATCAACATTGTGCATTTTTCGATTCCACAATCAAATTCCTCTCAATTTCACACGATTTCAGCCTGAAAACTTGAAAATTTTCCAGCAAAAACCTAAAAAAAGAAAAATTAATAGAAATTGTATTGGAGCGCACTTGCAACAGCAACCACGAGAGAGAGTGGAAGAGTGAGAGAGTGCGAGACAAGTAGGGAAATATAGTCATCTTTTTTGTTTTTCTGTTTTTTGGGGCGGGTTTCGCTTTTTTTGTCTCAACAATGAAAATTGATTCTGTGACGTGGAGTTTTTGGCGTGAAATTAAATTTTTTTTTCAGATCTGCTCGAGAAATTCAACAGTATTTGGGATCTTGGAGCATTTGGAGATTGGATTTTTTGGTCGAATTCAAGTTAGTTTATTTTGGAAAGGGTTTTCATGGGAAAATAAGCAAGGTTAGTATAATCTGAAATTTTAAAGAAAGGGGGTCATGACATATGGGGTACTACCAGATGTATGAACCAGATTTTTTAGACTCTCAAAAAGTGAAAATGAAAAAAACGTGTACACGCGAAATTACGAATTTTTTATTTTTAAATTCTTTTCATTTTGTTTTATTTTTTTTATTGAATTGTTTTGACAACTTCACAAAACCCCACTGCAAACCGAAAACAAAACATCATCCAAATTAAAAGTCCTCCACTTTGTGTTCGCAATATCCTGCCCAACATAAAGTTGCCCACCATACGGATAACCCGGTGACCAATTTGTGACAACTGCCGAAGTTCCATCCTGCCAATAGAATGGTGACGTGGATGAGCTACGAAGGAGACCAATCCAAAAACTTGTGTAAGTTGTGCCGAATTGTGATTGAGCGTAAGCTGAAAATTTTATAATCAAGATTTCTTCTTATAAAATCAAAAGCTTACATGAAATATGGGCAATTTGAGAAAGTGTATCGAAAATCGCCAATGTTTTTCCTTGATTCTCGCATATTTTTTCCGCCTCACTTCTCAATAATTGATCTCGATTAAAATAGTAACATCGATTTCCAAGAATCAAATCGTTTTCTAGACATCCACCCGATTTTTTAGTGATTGTAGTTTGAGGATAGGCAACTGTTGTTGCTTCGAAATACTCGCAAACATAGGGAAGAACCTCTTCTCCAGGTGTTGTTACCCATTTATAATTATAGGTTGATGAAGCTACATAGGGAAATGAATCAGGAAAGTTGGGAGCCCAATTGAAATAATCGAGGGGAGCATAATCATCCCATTCAAAACCGATTGATGTGTTACGTAAACCTATCCAGAAATAATTTGGGTCAACGGAAAACTTCTGAAGGGCAGCTTCTGTAAAACTCGATTTGTGATATTCAACATGATCTGAATTCTATACCTCCAATCATTCTAGCTTCGTAATTACTTCTGACACTGGCGAAATATAAATCTTGACTCCAACATCTTTCCGACGCATTTGTCCATGAAACATAATCTTCGATGAAACGGAAGCATCTAAAATTAGATTTTTGTGGAACATTGTTATTCAGAAGACAAGTTACCTTCCATTGATCTCAACGTCATTATCTAAACAAGCCTGACAAATAGAAAATGAGAGGAAAATGAGAAGAAACTTCATTCTAGTGTCAACTGATAAGCCGTTTCTTGAGTTGATGGGAACACTTTTTATCAGTTCCCGTTAAACACAAAAAATCGAAGATTCGAAATATTTTTTTTGGAAAATGTAATAAACATTTATCTTTCAAACAACTTCACTACAAACTTTTGTTTCAAATGAGAAAAGTAGGCTTCTCAGCGAATGATGTGGTTTTGGCAGTCTTGTTAGATTTGCAAATCTTTGTTCGATAATTTGGCAATAAAACAATAATTGCAATTGGATCGATAATTGAGCAGAACGCATTTGATATAATTGAAAATTCAGCCGCTTTTTCAACTTTTAATTTGAGAATCGGGCTATACCATCCAAAAATTGTTGGAAAAAAACTAGCAACACATGGAATAATTGTTTGAACGACTAGGGATAGGAATAATTGAGAATGTTGTTTTTTAGTTGTTCTCGATATTATATTATGCTCTTGAAGTTTTGACATAATCTTGAAAAACAGTCAAAGTTGAATCCAAAAAAAAGAAAAACTTACTTTATACCCAAGGAAAACATAAGAGGATACCGCATATGTGGAAATCAATGTCAAACAAATCAAACCAGTATAACCTCTGGTATATAATTCTTTCGAAACATTTTCGTCGTATAAAACAGTGCCAACAAACGAAAAATCTCGCAAATTTGCATTGAATTTCTCGAAAAACGCTTTCTCATTATATTCCAACATTTCCTCATCGGGATACATCAACAATCGACAAACCGAACACCATAATACACCGTGTGATAAGAAGAATACGAAAGCTACGAACATCCCATTCCTTTGAGAAAATTTGAAGGATATTTGAGGTCTGTAATGTTCCGAGATTGGAAAAAAAACATGCTAACGAGTAACCTGAACAATACAATATATCTGTAGAGAAAATGAATGACGAGAATACCGTAGCCTAAACCAAAGAAGCTTCCACGTATTGCAACCGGAAGGGATCCAAAAGTTTTGACATCATCGAAAAATCCACCGGTGAGAAATGGGATTAGAGAACTCTTGTTGTTGAAAATCGCCATTGGTAAAACACAATCTACTAATGATAGAAATATGTTATAACAGGCGAATGATGCCAAGAGATAACGATAGGCTCCCATACAACTAGATTTATCCGAAAATATTAGATACATAAAAAATATATTGAAAATAGTAGAGAAGATGAAGAACACCTTTGGAATATATTCACGACTCCAGCTGATGAACATTTTTGAGCTATTCTGACATAATAAGATGTTTTCTGTTTGTGTATAATTAGAATCAAGATTATTATTTATTTAAAGTGCATGAAGAGACCGGTAAACAACTATTATCAACGTCAAAAAATTTAACAAAATCACGCACCTGAAGTTATCACAAATATCTAAACTGATTGTCAGAAATGTGAATTGTGTTCTGTAAACACATAAATGTAGATTATTCACTAACTTTTTCGATTATTGAGTTTACTAGGCTCATTTTGTCTGTGAAAACAGACAAAACTTTTCAGAGAATTATATTATTTTATTTATTCAAAAAACTAAACCAGAACAGTCGATGAAAATAACAAAGAGTTTTACAAGCCATGAACATAACCTCCTGAAATTTATCACATATCGCCTGAAAAATTATTTCCTGTATTGTTTTTCACAATGTTTAACAATAAATTCAGGGGTGAATTTGCAAAGATTTATCAACAGAACAGTAGAATCATACAACCCTCCTTGACCATTTTTTTATCCATGAATCTAAATCCACATCTTGCACATTTGCAATAGCATGTCTTATTTTTCCATCATCTGTACAGTTATGACGAATTCCAACAACGACTTTGAAATCTGATCCACCTTGAACACTTTTGAGCTCATCGTAGTGAACAAGAGTTGGTTTAGGCGAGCATTTACGTTCAGAAACATAAAGTTGCTCAAATCTGTCTTCATATCAAGATGAACATAGTTTTTGTAGAAAGTGATGTTGGTTTTTATTTTTGAAAAAAACAAACTGTCTGAAAGTTATTGATCGTGTGAAACTTGAACTTTTGATCTATTGAAAAACATTAAAATTTTAGATGTAATTATAGTCTGCCACGTCATAACTATTTCTACAAAATTTCAAGATTTTTGTCCTCTTAAAAATGAGTTGCAGGAAATAATTTGTTTATTCCACGCTGCTATGTAACTAATAAAACCCGATAATAATGTTAGTTACCACATTTTTCAAGAAAAGCCCCAAGAAAAAATGCAATTAAATTATGAATAACTCGATTTTTGACATGTGTATTATGTGTCTAACAAAACCACAAATTGTTAGTTACCTTTTGATTATACGTTGAATGAATATCACGTTGGATTTTGTTGGTATTGGTGAGTAACTAGACTCTTTTTGCACCTTATAAGGTGCTATATTTTCAGGAGAAATCGATTTTCCGGTTTACACAGATGAGGAATATTATGGGCGAGAAGTTCCATATGCGATTTTCATTGCTGTCTACACTACGTTAGCTATAATTTTGCAGATTCTAGTGATTCGAGTTTTCACGACAGAAAGGGAGATGAAGAAACTTCCAGCGTTTCAGATTATGTTGATGATCTCGATTTTTGACACGATTCAGCTTTTCATACATTTGTATGCGGTTTTTTATATTTTGAGCTCGGAGCCACATTTTGCAATGTGGGATTTTGTAAGTTACTGGACATAGAAAATTAAAACTGGATTTTTTTGAAGATAATTGGAGCTGTTATGAATGCATCTTGGGTTGTTATGTTGCTTTTGAGTATTCTACTGAATTTTAACCGCGTATTTTCAATCGTGTTCCATTTTCAAGCAAATGCGATTTTCTCGAAAACCATGATGAAGGTTTATTTGTTCATAACCTGTTTGCTTTGGTGTTTCCTAGCGAGTTTGAATATCTCCGGTTTGAGTCGAATGGTATACCTGCTTCCCGCTTACACGTGGCACTATTTAGCGGAAAATCCGCTGTCTGAAATTGTTCGGACTGGAAGTGCTGATGCGTCGTTGATTGATGTGGTTTTCTCATTGATTTCGCATATCATCATTTTTTCGTGGATTTATTTGAAAGCGGCGATTCTATCGAAGAAAGAATTGATTTTGACCATTCAAGTTCTGTGCATCTCGATTTTTCATGTAATTGGATATGTTACTTGGGAATATCTACCGATTCCCTGGGAACTTCCGATTGGTGTATTCTTGGGACATGTGGTCTGGATGGTTTGGAATTCGATTAACCCGATTTTATACATCTTGATTAATCCGTGAGGTTCCTTTTTGAAAACGGAAGAGAATTAATTTGATTTTTAGAAGAATACGAATGGGAGTTTTGGGTCAATTTGGAATTGGTCCAGGAGTTCAAAATATTACACAAGTTTCCGCGATACGAAGTACGGTTTCAGCTATTCAAAATAGTCCGAGGGTATAATTTTTTGTAGATGAAGTTTATTGTGAAATAAAATTTATTAAATGGAATGTACGAGAAATCAATTCTTCTTTATCTTTTTCTCCTTTATCCATTTTTTAATCTCATTTTTCTCGAAAATCCGAACTTGTTTAACTTCTTTAGTGTCCAATTTATCTGCCCCTCTCAAATCATAATGATGTGCTCCAGTTTTCAAAATTATCGATTTTATCGGTCCTTTCAACAAATTTTTTTTCGAATATCCATAAGCTGACCAAGGATCTAAATAACCATTCGAAAATATGATATTAGTTGCAGTTGGGAATTTTGAAGAGCCATAGTTTAGAGCAAGCGAATTTGGTCGGAGCATTCCTTTTTTGTAGCCAATTGAACCAAATCTGGTTTGAACGAGCCAATAAATACATTCGGAATTTTCTAGAAACTTACGTATTATTGCAAAAATTTTGTCTTCCCTCAATAGAAAATGGACAAGTATTCCAGAAAAAATCATTTGGAGGACCCATTGAACATGTTGGTAATATAACTTCGGTGCACGCCTGGAAGTACCAACCCGAAATATCTCCTAGATCTCCGTAAGGACCTTCGCAATTTTCATGATTAGCGCATAAATGTTCTTTATTTCCAGTGTAGTTGTAGTAGAGATTGAGAATCTGAGGAAGAAGTGTTTTTCAAATGTCGCCTGTTTAACTCACATTATACAATTGCTCTGCTGTTTTTTCATCACTCTTCTCAATTTTTCGAAACTTCTCGCAAACTTTTTTCACGGGCCAACCAGGAACATTAGCCAAAAATGTGTTTGGATAAGGGAAATTCACAAATGTCATTGCTACCATCGTATTGCTAATGAAACTTTTTAAAAATCCAACATCTTCTTTTTTTGAAATTAAAGACTTCTTTGGATCCAATTTGAAAATCTTGTTGAGTTTTGCTCTTCCATCTTTAGTTTTCGCTAACTTCTCCAAAACTTCCCAGCTTCTCTCGACCGCCTTTTTATTGCAACCAGAATCAATGAATGTGCGAGATGTTATCATGTAAAATTCACTTGGGTTTGAATTGGGATATAATACAACTGGAGCAGATGATGCGAGTGCTCCATCAACAATATGTGGGTATTTGATACGGAACCATGCAGCTAACATTCCACCCAAAGATCCACCAAAAGCTATGACAGGTGTATTTTTATCAGCGCCCGGGATGGTTTTCTAGAATATTTTTTTGAAAATTATGTTTTTGCTCTTAATGTTCACCCCATTTTTCAAATATTGAACTACAAATGCATAATCTGCCAATGCTTGTGAAGTCGACAAATATCCCAAATTCTCGATATTTGAATAACTCTCATTACCAAACGGTTTTGATTTTGCATAATATCGATGTTCAACAAAAACCACGGCCGCATTCAGTTCCGGTGCCAAATCCCACATGAATCCCTTTTCAAATAATATATCTAAAAGTACAGTACATGGAACTTACCGTATTATCCGCAAACTTTTCAATTTTTCCCTCGTTTCCCGGGTAGAACAAAATTGGCCCTGTCGGTATTGATTAAATATCTCAAATTGAATTCAAAATCAGTTCTGTATGTGAAATGATCTATGGGAACTTTGACATATTCTTCACGGTATTTGTATGGCGATTCCGAACTTTTTCGATGAATTTGAGAGGTTTCAAAAGTCACCGGGTCACGGAAGAATTGCCCCAAAGCAGCATCCAAGAAGAAAATAAGGAGAAAAATTTCCAAATTCATATTTCCGAAGAATGGAAATACATAAATCGAATCAACTTTATTTATATAGAAATTACACATCAAATTTATTCGATGATACAAAGTCCAACAAATACCTGCGAGAAATATCAGATAATCAAATAATTTCATGATTTTTCTTCATATTTTTCTCCTTGATCCATTTTCGTATCTCATTTTTCTCAAAAATCCGAACTTGTTTCACTTCTTTCGTGTCCAATTCATGTGTTCCTCTCAAATCATAATGATGTGCTCCATTTTTGAAAATTATCGATTTTATTGATCCATTCAATTTTTCCTCTGTAAATCCATAAGCTGCCCAAGGATCTAGATCTCCATTCGTGAATACTATATTAGATGTAGTTGATGAATCCGGTGATCCAAAAAGGTCAACGATATTGTTTGGCCTCATCATTCTCGTTTCATAGCCAAGTGATTCAAACCTTTCAATGTTTGATGTTACTTTAAATTATAAATATCATAAACTCACTTAGATTTACACCACAATGTTCTTTTTTCATAAGAATCCGGACAATTATTCCAGAAAAAATCATTAGGTGGACCTTTCGAACACAATAAAATTATCATTTCAGTGCACCGATGAAATGGCCAGCCAATTGAGTATCCATCTCCACAATTTTCAGTATTTGCACATAGAAATTTCTTATCGCCAGTGTAGTTATAGTACAGATTTACAATCTGGAAAATTGTGTTTTTTTCGAACTCACAATCAGCTTACATTATACAGTTGTTCCGCTGTTTTTTCGTCACTCGTCTCAATTTTTCGAATCTTTTCACAAACTTTTTTAACTGGCCAACCCGGAACTTTTTCCAAAAAATGTGTTGGATATGGATAATTCACATAAGACAATCTAGTCATCGCTTCCTTCACATATTCTTTCAAATTTTTAACATCTTCCTTTTTTGAAATCAACGATTTCTTCGGATCCAATTTAAAAATCTTATTCAATTTCCCTCTACCAGCTTTAGTTTTTGCTAACTTATCCAATACTTCCCAACCTGTCTCAATTGCTTTCCGATTGCAGCCAGCATCAACAAAAGTTCGAGTTGTAATCTGACTATGATCGGTTTGTTTCGAGTTGAAAAATAAGAGAGGAGCAGAGGAGGAAATTGCTCCATCAATAATGTGAGGATATTTCATACGTAGCCAGGCGGACAACATTCCACCATAAGATCCACCAATGGCAATTACGGCTGTATTCTCATCAGCACCAGGAATGGTTTTCTAGAAAAGGAGATTGTGAGATTCTGATCAATTCGATTTTTCTTACTCCATTTTTCAAGTGTTGAACTACAAACGCATAATCTGCCAATGCTTGCGAACTTGACAAATATCCCAAATTCTCAACACTTGAAAAGCTTTGATTACCAAACGGTTTTGAATTTCCATAATATCGATGTTCCACAAAAACCACGGCTGCATTTAATTCAGGTGCCAAATCAAACATAAAGCCCTATTTAATTAATTTATCTTTAAAAAATATAGTACACGGGCAAAATGAAATGGCTCCGCAGCGGGTCCGCTGCGGGCCCACAAAATGATTGACCCGCGGCGGACCCATAATGTGCGCTCTGATTTTTTCGGTGGCTGGTGGGTGGCTCTATTGTGGCTTTCTAGTGGCTCTGTAAATTTTTGTAAATTTTTTCACAAGTTTTGAAAAAAAAACATTTATTGAGGCTAAAAAAAATTATTTAGTCCGATTTTGTCCAATATCGATTGTTGGCAGATGTCAACTGAAGTCGACATTTTTGGTGTTGGTGGATGATGTCTGAAAAAAAGTTAGTTTGACATGTATAGTTTTGTTGACTTCTATGATTTTGTTTCTTTCCAAGTCTGAATAATATTCTGAAACTTCTGCTCGATTTCGTTATACAGTTTCAAATGTTTTGTAAAATGTAAAATATCGACAAGCAATGGTGATTCAATTATCCAAAGATTTCAAGTTTTCTATCATTCATTTTAATAAATTTCCCATTTAATTTCTATGTCATAAAATACGTATGGATGCTAGAGTCGGATGACACTTAGTCAAAGTTTCACCAAACTTTTATTAACATTTCACCCAATTTTGGGTTGAAAACTGGCTGAGCATTCTCCACCAAGACATATGTATGTCTTGAGAGAAACATGTAATTTTCTCAGCTCTTCACAGCCTTTTCATTTTGATATTGAATCTTCACTAAATTTGACACGTGTGAAACATAAGCCGATACTTCTTGCAATACACATGGTCAGACTTGAAGTTCACAAAATCATAGAATGCCGAGTTTGAAATTTACTCGCTCAAAAACAAAAAACTACTCACCAACAGTCCATTTCAACCGACCGATCCATTCACTATCGTTTTTCTCGCTCCTATAATTGCACTGTTTGTGAAGGGACCCTGAAAAATCGAATTTCTTTGATTTTCCTATTTTCATGATTTTTCTTACTTTTTTTTCGAAATTCTCCAAATTCCTCGTCATGCAGGTGACGTGTTGCCCATGGTAAACCTGTAAAATCATGTGAAATCATGTAAAACTTGGAAGAAACAAGAAAAAAGCGTAAAAATAGGACAAATAGGAAAAACGAAAAACAAAAATAAGTGCGCGTCAAATAAAATGTGTGTGTGTGTGTGTTTGCACACATTTCGCTCGCTACAGTAACAAATTCATTTTTTTCTAGTTTTTCAAGCATAAAATGAATATTTCCCAAGTAAAGTCGGTTTAAAAGAAAATTATGATTAAAGCAAAGGCACAAGTCATTGAATTTTCAAATTTCGCTGCTGAAAATCATTAATTAAAGTAATTAAAGAGTTTTTCCCGAGAATTCCGAAAAATGATAGAAAGGACTCCAAAAAGTCATCATATCTCGGCGGAAAACCGTTTTCTGTATAAACCGAGTACTGAAAAATGTTCACCGGTGTTAATTTACTAGAAAACTTTCGTTCATGAAAAAAATTTCAAAATTTCACATTTTTCGAAAAGTTAGAATTTGAAATGTGGATGGAACTAACCACGAGAAAACATTCGAGAAATTTTTCGAACTTTTTCACAAGAATTAATAATTTAATGGATTTGTAGTGAATTGTGTACGATAATTGTTATCCAATGTTCAAAAGTCTCAAATAAAGAATAAATTGAGATTTTTAAATTTTTTAAAGTTCTAATGCTTCGCTAACCGGTTTTGATTTTTTGGATTATTATTCATATCGGGTTAGTATAAAGTAAATCATTGAATTCATAAAACATAGATGTTCAAAATATTGTGTTTTCTACATTTATGCAGACAAAAATGAAATGGCTCCGCGGCGCCTCTTCGGCGGCTCTGCTGCGGGTCAGAACACTGAAAAAAAACATTTGGATTTTTTTTCAATTTTGAAGTCGAAATATATGTTGTCGACCCTCCTGAACAACCTCCCATGCTCAAATTTGTTTCAACTATTCGAAACAATGATAATTAGTTTGAAAAAAATCATTGCGTCACCAACACCCGCCGACGCCCCACCGGTGGAGCCGCCAACCAACCACCATAGCGATGTGTGGCTCAGATGTGGCCCCACAATGGCCCCGCTGCGGGGCCATTTGAGATGTGGGCCCGCAGCGGACCCGCTGCGGAGCCATTTCATTTTGCCCGTGTACATGGAACTTACCGTATTCCTCGCATATTTTTCAATTTTTCCCTCATTTCCTGTGTATAACAAAATTGGTCCACCTTTTTTGAAACTGTCAGTATTGATTAAATATCTCAAATTGAATTCCAAATCATTTATGTATGTGAAATGATCCACGGGAATTTTGACATATTCTTCACGGTATTTGTATGGCGGTTCCCAAATTTCTCCAGAAAATCGAGAGTATCCAAAAGTTATCTGGCCACTTAACTTTTGGTACAAGATTGAAAAACCAAATAAAAAAAATAAGAAGAATTATTTCCGCACGGGCAAAATGAAATGGCTCCGCAGCGGGTCCGCTGCGGGCCCACATCTCAAATGGCCCCGCAGCGGGGCCATTGTGGGGCCACATCTGAGCCACACATCGCTATGGTGGTTGGTTGGCGGCTCCACCGGTGGGGCGTCGGCGGGTGTTGGTGACGCAATGATTTTTTTCAAACTAATTATCATTGTTTCGAATAGTTGAAACAAATTTGAGCATGGGAGGTTGTTCAGGAGGGTCGACAACATATATTTCGACTTCAAAATTGAAAAAAAATCCAAATGTTTTTTCAGTGTTCTGACCCGCAGCAGAGCCGCCGAAGAGGCGCCGCGGAGCCATTTCATTTTTGTCTGCATAAATGTAGAAAACACAATATTTTGAACATCTATGTTTTATGAATTCAATGATTTACTTTATACTAACCCGATATGAATAATAATCCAAAAAATCAAAACCGGTTAGCGAAGCATTAGAACTTTAAAAAATTTAAAAATCTCAATTTATTCTTTATTTGAGACTTTTGAACATTGGATAACAATTATCGTACACAATTCACTACAAATCCATTAAATTATTAATTCTTGTGAAAAAGTTCGAAAAATTTCTCGAATGTTTTCTCGTGGTTAGTTCCATCCACATTTCAAATTCTAACTTTTCGAAAAATGTGAAATTTTGAAATTTTTTCATGAACGAAAGTTTTCTAGTAAATTAACACCGGTGAACATTTTTCAGTACTCGGTTTATACAGAAAACGGTTTTCCGCCGAGATATGATGACTTTTTGGAGTCCTTTCTATCATTTTTCGGAATTCTCGGGAAAAACTCTTTAATTACTTTAATTAATGATTTTCAGCAGCGAAATTTGAAAATTCAATGACTTGTGCCTTTGCTTTAATCATAATTTTCTTTTAAACCGACTTTACTTGGGAAATATTCATTTTATGCTTGAAAAACTAGAAAAAAATGAATTTGTTACTGTAGCGAGCGAAATGTGTGCAAACACACACACACACACATTTTATTTGACGCGCACTTATTTTTGTTTTTCGTTTTTCCTATTTGTCCTATTTTTACGCTTTTTTCTTGTTTCTTCCAAGTTTTACATGATTTCACATGATTTTACAGGTTTACCATGGGCAACACGTCACCTGCATGACGAGGAATTTGGAGAATTTCGAAAAAAAGTAAGAAAAATCATGAAAATAGGAAAATCAAAGAAATTCGATTTTTCAGGGTCCCTTCACAAACAGTGCAATTATAGGAGCGAGAAAAACGATAGTGAATGGATCGGTCGGTTGAAATGGACTGTTGGTGAGTAGTTTTTTGTTTTTGAGCGAGTAAATTTCAAACTCGGCATTCTATGATTTTGTGAACTTCAAGTCTGACCATGTGTATTGCAAGAAGTATCGGCTTATGTTTCACACGTGTCAAATTTAGTGAAGATTCAATATCAAAATGAAAAGGCTGTGAAGAGCTGAGAAAATTACATGTTTCTCTCAAGACATACATATGTCTTGGTGGAGAATGCTCAGCCAGTTTTCAACCCAAAATTGGGTGAAATGTTAATAAAAGTTTGGTGAAACTTTGACTAAGTGTCATCCGACTCTAGCATCCATACGTATTTTATGACATAGAAATTAAATGGGAAATTTATTAAAATGAATGATAGAAAACTTGAAATCTTTGGATAATTGAATCACCATTGCTTGTCGATATTTTACATTTTACAAAACATTTGAAACTGTATAACGAAATCGAGCAGAAGTTTCAGAATATTATTCAGACTTGGAAAGAAACAAAATCATAGAAGTCAACAAAACTATACATGTCAAACTAACTTTTTTTCAGACATCATCCACCAACACCAAAAATGTCGACTTCAGTTGACATCTGCCAACAATCGATATTGGACAAAATCGGACTAAATAATTTTTTTTAGCCTCAATAAATGTTTTTTTTTCAAAACTTGTGAAAAAATTTACAAAAATTTACAGAGCCACTAGAAAGCCACAATAGAGCCACCCACCAGCCACCGAAAAAATCAGAGCGCACATTATGGGTCCGCCGCGGGTCAATCATTTTGTGGGCCCGCAGCGGACCCGCTGCGGAGCCATTTCATTTTGCCCGTGCGAATTCATGTTTTGAATGAATGACAAATCGAATCGAATCAATTATATTTATATCGAAATTTTAAGACATAATCAATTTTGTTTTATGGTTCCAAGCGTGGGGAACCTGCCTGGCATGTTGGTTCAATTGACTTTACGAGCAACCTATTTCAGGCCATATGTTTTAAGGCAATCTTTCCTGACAGTAAGAAAATCAATGAAATTCTGTGAGACTGGAAATTTTAATTTAACACTTCATTCATCAATAAAAATTCAATTCTTCTTCATCTTTTTCTCCTTGATCCATTTCTTAATCTCATTTTTCTCAAAAATCCGAACTTGTTTCACTTCTTTAGTGTCCAATTTATCTGCTCCTCTCAAATCATAATGATGTGCTCCAGTTTTCAAAATTATTGATTTTATCGGCCCTTTCAACACATTTTTCTTCGAATATCCATAAGCTGACCAAGGATCTAAATAACCATTCGAAAAAATGATATTAGTTGCTGTTGAGAATTTTGAAGAGCCATAATTTAGAGCAAGCGAGTTTGGGCGGAGCATTCTTTTTGTGTAGCCAATTGAACCAAATCTGGTCAAATTGAAATTGAAGATTGAAATGAGCTAGAAACTTACGTGGAATTACACCCTTCAAATCTTTTCTTCATAGAAACTGGACACGTTTTCCAGAAAAAGTCATTTGGAGGACCTTTCGAACACATTGGTAATATAACTTCGGTGCAAGCCTGGAATGGCCAACCTAAATCATCTTCAGAGGAACCTCCACAATTTTCACTGTTCACGCAAAAATGAGCTTTATCTCCAGTGTAGTTGTGGTATAGATTGACGATCTGAGAAAATAGAAATGCGTCAAAGTTTCACTTTCTTCGACACGTGCCGCTTACACTATATAGTTGTTCCATAGTTTTCTCATCACTTGGTTCAATTTTCCTTATTTTTTTGCAGACTTGTTTGAGCGGCCAACCAGGAAGTTTTGATAAAAACGAATTAGGATATGGATAATTTACCATACTCATCGAAAACATCGTTCCGTCAATGAACCCTTTCAAAGCTTCTACATCTTTTTCTTTCAAGAGCAAAGATTTTTTAGGATCCAATCTGAAAATCTTGTTGAGTTTTGTTCTCCCAGCTTTTGTTTTTGCTAGTTTGTCCAATATTTTCCAACTTCTCTCAATCGCTTTTCTATTGCAACCAGAATCAACAAAAGCCCTGGTTTCAATCATGGCAGATTCAGTTGCGTTCGAATCTGGATAAACTACAACTGGAGCCGATGATGCGATTGCTCCATCAACAATATGTGGATATTTGATACGGAACCATGCAGCTAACATTCCACCCAAAGATCCACCGAAAGCTATGACAGGTGTATTTTTATCAGCGCCCGGAATTGTTTTCTAGAAATAAAAGTATTTTCCATACATATCATGATTATCTCTTTAAAATCATCTTTTTGAGTCAACTTAAAGGGGGGTAAGACGACAAAATTTTATTTGCTCAACGAATCGGGCTCCCTTCGAATAGTAAAAGCCGCAGGGGATTTTTTCCCGAAAGGCCAAAAAAGGTCCGAAAAAAATATTCCATGAACTTTTTTCAACGTAGCTATACGTTGTCCGAAAGTTTATGGAATAATTTCAACGTATCTATACGTGGTACCTAGTTTATGGAACATTTTTTCTGAGCGTTTCCAGAAAAAAATCCCTTGGAGGTTTTACTACTTTTGGGGAGCCTTTAACTTTGCGACAAAACAATTTTGTCGTCTTACCCCCCTTTAATCATTCCCGAAACTATTTTCACTCACCCCATTTTTTAAGTGTTGAACTGTCAAGGCGAAATCAGCCAATGCTTGTGAAGTCGATAAATATCCCAAATTCTCAATAGTTGAATAAATCTCATTACCAAACGGTTTTGATTTTCCATAGAAACGATGCTCCACAAAAACTACGGCCGCGTTTAATTCTGGAGCCAAATCAAACATAAATCCCTATAAAAACTGTATGACTTTAAACTTCGAAAATATTTATAGTATTTTTTTTTACATTGTAGACCTACCGTATTTTCTGCAAAGTCTTCAATTTTTCCCTCATTTCCGGTGTACAACAGAATTGGTCCACCTTTCTTGAAACTGTCAGTATTGATTAAATATCTCAAATTGAATTCAAAATCAGTTCTGTAAGTGAAATGATCAATTGGAACTTTCACATATTCTTCACGGTATTTGTATTGCGATTCCGAGCTTTTTCGATGAATTTGAGAGTTTTCAAAAGTCACAGGATCACGTAACAATTTCTGATAGGGAGTTGCAAATTCGAATAAGAAAATAAGAAGGAATATTTCCAAATTCATATTTTGGAAGAATGAAAAAATAATCGAATCAACAATTTTTATATAGAAAAATTCAAACATAATCAATTTCATTCGATGATACAAAGTTCAACAAAACCATGCAAAAGCTAAAATATTCTTTTGATCAAGGAAGTTTTGATTGCTGATTTGTGTCATACTATTTTGGAAAAAGTCCGACTATTCAAAATTCAACACTTTATTCATCAATAAAAATTCAATTCTTCTTTATCTTTTTCTCCTTGATCCATTTCTTAATTTCATTTTTCTCAAAAATCCGAACTTGTTTAACTTCCTTAGTGTCCAATTCATGTGCTCCTCTCAAATCATAATGATGTGCTCCAGTTTTTAAAATTATTGATTTTATCGGTCCTTTTAACACATTTTTCTTCGAATATCCATAACCTGACCAAGGATCTAAATAACCGTTCGTAAAAATGATATTAGTTGCGGTTGGCATAGTTGATAAACCATAGTTATGAGTAACGATGTTAGGGTGGAACATTGATTTTTTGTAGCCAAGATGTGAGAATCTAAAAATTATTTATTCGATAGATCAATTTATGTACATATTAGTATTAAAACTCACGTGGAATAACATGCTTCTCGCTTTCGCTCAAAAGTGTCTGGGCAAGTTTTCCAGAAAATATCATTTGGTGGACCATCTGAACACAATTCTCTAATAACTTCAGTGCATACTTGAAAAAGCCATCCGAGTGGATCCCCAAGAGACGAAAAGCCACCGTCACAATTGTTACGATTGACACAATGAAAATGTTTATCACCTGTGTAATTGAAGTATAGGTTTGCGATCTACAAAGAATTAAAATCAATTGGACAGGTGATGTGATTATTTTGCAATTCATATAATAAATCTGTTCGAATATTTTTCACAATTTCTCCAACTCACCTCATACAATTGTTCCACTGTTTTATCATCACTTTTCTCAACCTTTCTAACCTTCTCACAAGCTTTTTTTACTGACCAACCCGGAACTTTTCCCAAAAATTGTGTCTCATATGGATAATCCACAAAAGCCATTATAATAATCGCCTCTTTGACGTACCCTTTCAAAAAATCCACATCTTCCTCTTTCAAAATTAAAGACTTCTTTGGATCCAATTTGAAAATCTTATTCAATTTCGCTCTTCCAGTTTCGGTTTTCGCTAACTTATCCATTACTCTCCAACCTTTTTCAATCGCTTTCCGATCGCAACCAGAATCAATAAAAGTTCGGGATGTAATTTTGTAAAAATCGGTTGGTTTTGAATCGCCAAAATCTGGCGACGGAGAAGATGATGCAATTACTCCATCAACAATGTGCGGATATTTTATACGCAACCATACAGCTAGTTTTCCACCATAAGATCCACCAAAAGCTATGACAGCTGTATTTTTATCAGCTCCAGGAATTGTTTTCCCATTTTTCAAATGCTGAACTACAAATGCGAAATCTGCCAATGCTTGCGCACTCGAAAAATATCCCAAATTCTCGATATTTGAATAACTCTCATTACCAAATGGTTTTGATTTTCCATAATATCGATGTTCGACAAAAACCACGGCTGCATTTAATTCAGGTGCCAAATCGAACATGAAACCCTATATGTATCTAAATTTGAAAATAATATGTTTCCTTCAAAGCATACCGTATTATCCGCAAATTTCTCAATTTTTCCCTCATTTCCTGTGTATAATAAAATTGGTCCACCTTTTTTGAAACTGTCGGTATTGATTAAATATCTCAAATTGAATTCCAAATCATTTCTGTATGTGAAATGATCCACGGGAACTTTGACATATTCTTCACGGTATTTGTATGGCGATTCCGAAGTTTTTCGATGAATTTGAGAGTTTTCAAAAGTCACAGGATCTCGGAAAAATTGCTGGTATGAAATTGCAAAATCGAATAAGAAAATAAGAAGAAATATTTCCAAATTCATATTTTGGAAGAATGAAAAAACAATCGAATCAACAATTTTTATATAGAAAAGTTCAAATGTAATCAAATTTATTAAATGATACAAAGTTCAACAAAATCGTGCAAAACTAAACATATACCCTCGTACGCGGAAGTTCCAATTTCTGCTATTTTCTAATCAGTTCTACATTAAGTTTGATGAGAACTTCTGCTAACTTGACATAAAAACATCAGAGCATTCAACACTTTATTCATCAATAAAAATTCAATTCTTCTTTATCTTTTTCTCCTTGATCCATTTTTTGATCTCATTTTTTTCAAAAATCCGAACTTGTTTTACTTCTTTCGTGTCCAATTTATGTGCTCCTCTCAAATCATAATGATGTGCTCCAGTTTTCAAAATTATTGATTTTATCGGTCCTTTTAACACATTTTTCTTTGAATATCCATGAGCTGACCAAGGATCTAAATAACCGTTCGAAAATATGATATTAGTTGCAGTTGGCATTGTTGATAAACCATAATTATGAGAAACGATGTTGGGGTGGAACATTGATTTTTTGTAGCCAAGATGTGAGAATCTAAAAAAAAACAGTTTTCCATAGGACTACTGTGTCTGAACTTACGTAGATAAACATCCTTCTAGTTGTTTCTCAAGAGTGTCAGGACAAGTTTTCCAGAAAAAATCATTTGGTGGACCATCTGGACACATTTGACCAATTTCTTCAGTGCATGATTGCCATGACCAACCTAATGGATCTCCAAGAGACGAAAAGCCACCGTCACATTTTTCATGATTGGCACAATGAAACATCTTATCGCCTGTGTAATTAAAGTATAGATTTGCAATCTGAAAAAATATAGTTGGACTTTTTTGTAACCTTCCAACTCACTTCATACATCTGCTCCATTGTTTTCTCATCACTCTTCTCAACCTTTCTAACCTTCTCACAAGCTTTTTTAACCGGCCAACCGGGAACTTTTTCCAAAAATTGTGTCTCATATGGATAATCTACAAAAGCCATTATAATAAACGCCCCTTTGACATAACCTTTCAAAAAATCAACATCTTCCTTTTTCAAAATTAAAGACTTCTTTGGATCCAGTTTGAAAATCTTATTCAATTTTGCTCTTCCAGCTTTAGTTTTGGCTAATTTATCCATAACATTCCAACCTTTTTCGATCGCTTTCCGATTGCAACCAGCATCAACAAAAGTTCGAGTTGTAACCTTTGTAAAGTCTGTCGGTTTTAAATTGAAATCAAGCGAAGGAGCAGATGATGCAAGTGCTCCATCAACAATATGCGGATATTTGATACGTAACCAAGCTGCTAGAAGTCCACCGTAAGATCCACCAAAAGCTATGACAGCTGTGTTTTTATCAGCGCCCGGGATGGTTTTCTAGAAATTGAGAAATGTGAATAGGCAATAACTTCCAACCTAATTTTCTGAATACATACTCACCCCATTTTTCAAATGTTGAACTACAAATGCGAAATCTGCCAATGCTTGCGCACTCGAAAAATATCCCAAATTCTCGATATTTGAATAACTCTCATTACCAAATGGTTTTGATTTTCCATAATATCGATGTTCGACAAAAACCACGGCTGCATTTAATTCAGGTGCCAAATCAAACATGAAACCCTGAAATTCATTTTGAAAACCCCACCTAAAATCTTCTACGTTGTTCACTTCGAGACCTACCGTATTATCCGCAAATTTCTCAATTTTTCCTTCATTTCCCGGATAAAACAAAATTGGTCCACCTTTTTTGAAACTGTCAGTATTGATTAAATATCTCAAATTGAATTCCAAATCATTTCTGTATGTGAAATGATCAATTGGAACTTTGACATATTCTTCACGGTATTTGTATTGCGATTCCGAACTTTTTCGATGAATTTGAGAGTTTTCAAAAGTCACCGGGTCAGGGAAAAACTGCCCCAACGCAGCATCCAAAAAGAAAATAAGGAGAAAAATTTCCAAATTCATATTTCCGAAGAAGAATGAAAATAAATCGAATCAACTTTATTTATATAGAATTTTTTCAAATGGAAAATCAATGCAATAACAAATAAATACACCGGTTTCAATATTCTCCTGGGCATAGCGTTAGACCTTTTGTGTAGAAATCGGAGCCAGTGTCAATGGAGTTTTGAATCTGCGTCTTCCAACAATTCATTCCCTGAACACCTCCGAAATCCGCGAATTTTTGATCTACCCAAGTGTTGTTCAAATATGTTGTTGTGTAGTAGTCGCCAGGATCGTTGCCAAGAGTTGCGATCGTTTGATTTTCAGTGGATTTGCTAGAAAAAAAATTGTCTAGAAATTGGGAAAGTGTAGGATTCATGGTCTCACCTCGCCTTATGTTGATAAGCTTTGAACAATGCCACCAAAAAGTTCAACGCCGTCGATGGCCCAAAATTGTAACCCTTCTCCTGCAAAACCCTTGTCGCCGCAACAGTCGCAATATCGGGCATCTTCACCGCCTCATGAATAACATTCCGTGTCAAACTAGTCGTCTCCCCGTAGATCACCGGCTTCACATCGTACCCATAACCAATCCCGGCGACTCCGGGAGCCTTCCAAATTCCAGCGCCAGTTTGATTGGTGAATTTCCCTTTCAAAACATAGTCGTAGAATAGGGAGTATTGAGAGTCCGAGAGAACTACACGAGTTGGAGCGCCGTATCGAACTATATACCTGCCTACGGAGCTTATAGTTCCACCAGTTCCGGCATTATGGATAAAATAATCGGGAACAGTTGGGATTTTGTTGAGTTGCTTGAGTTGCACTAAAATCTCATGAAAAACATTGGTCGATTCATAAAGAAAGTTTCCAGATTCGTGAAACTCTTCAGCTTTTTCAGCATTCCCAAATTGATTCATATAAAATCCATGAGTCTTCTCAGCAGTCTCACGAGCCTCCTTATTTCTTTGGGAGACTGGAACCTTCTTCAGTTTTCCGCCAAAACTTTCGATTTGCTTGACTTTTTCGGGCTCTAAATTGTCTGCAACTACAGCAATGTATGGAACATTTACCAGGGTGCACATATAAGCTTCAGCTGATCCTGTATTTCCAGATGTCGAATCATAGACTGCTGATGTTTTAGAAGTCACTTTTCCCTCAGTTATCGCCCATAATAATAAAGCCCACGCGAATCGATGTTTTAAAGTTCGTGTAGGTGTAGCTGTCTCATTTTTCATATAAATTATAGTGTTCGGAAAACCGGGTGGTTGATATTTGATAAGCGGTGTGTGCCCCATCCGCTTTCTTTCCGTCCACAATTTCCGGATCGCATCCAATCGCCATTTTGCTTCCGCATCGCTTATCACATCCTCGTCCGCCAATTTGTTGACTCCGATTTTGGTGAGCGAGTCACCGACAACTGAAGAGAAGAGGATTACAGCGAGGACCAGTAGCGCGTTTTTCATGTGATATAATTTTCAAAAATCTGCAAAGTTTCAGCGTGTTTTATAGAGGTTTGAGGCGGCTCCGCCCCGGGGATTTGAGATTACGGTGGATTTTTTAGAGAGCGGAAAATGTTGCAAAACATAGGAGGAAACTAAACTATATAGTAGTCTAGAAAAAATGACGAATCAAAAATGTTTTGAAGAAAAAAATAAATAAATAAAAAAACAATGGGAAAATAACAATAGACGTAGAGAATCAGACAACCAGAGAGATGTGAGACGGTTAGACACTTGTCAGAGAGCACGAGTTTCAAAAATTAGAGATTGGATATAATGTAGAGACGCAGAGAATCAGACGGCCAGGTAGGAAACGAGAGTTAATGGAAAACTCAGTGAAGCAGACAACAAGTTCGAAAGCCAGACAGGTAGAGTACTTAGAGCATCTAGAGACGCAGACGATCAGACAACCTCTAAATGCCGTGTGAAGGTTAGAGACGCAGACAATAATCTGCTCCCTCAACATTCCATTTCTCAAACACCACATTTTGCTCTTCAAAATCACTAATCACATTTCCGATGACCTACACAAAATGACATCAAAACAAAATTTATTTTTGAAACAGAAAAAAATGATGCTAAAAAATGAATATATGAACTTGCCTAATGCGATTTTCTAGTAATCGTAGCAAGCATAATTTTAATTTCTATCAGAAATGAGAAATGACGAAGAATCAGATCCAAGAGAAGATAACGGGATTTCCCCCACCGAACCTGTTTCTCTGTTCACTCTCATCGTCTGCGTCTCTCAATCTCTCGTATTTACGGTTTTTACAAATCACGTAGATTTGCATAAGTGGTGTGTGTTCTTTATTAATTAGTAGATCACTAATTAGAAAACTATGACATCATTTTCCGGGAAAAATACAGACTTACGGAACGATGCGCTGAACACGATGCTGTGAAATTAAGCTACCCAGCTTCTTCCAGAGCCTTTGAAAAATATGACACCTTTATTTATGACAAATCGTTACATAGAAAACAATAATTTAGGCCTTAGGCTTCTTTAGGCCCACTGCTTTTGCAGCATATTTTGATAATTGGACCATCCTTCACTTCCAGTCGCTCTCATTTGCAACATCGAGCTGATTTTCAAATTTCGCTCTTTTTGAGCTCGCCGAATTGTGGCCAGGCAGATTAATGGCATCACAGCACAGTAAATTGGAGGGGTCTGAAATAAATTGAGGGGTGCAACCGCGCTCCATTGAACAAAATACTCACATAAAAAAGTTCGGTAATCGATTGCCAGAAATAATCGCGTTCTCCTGGCATAATAATACGCAAGGCATACATACTAAAGGCATAGAATAGGTAGATCAAAAGTTGAGCCATGGAAATGTGCCATAAAAGACGGGAGGAGGTGACGTTTTCGGAGAGTTGATAGCGAGATGAGAGACGCATATTGCCTTGGGCAGAGACACTGGAAGATTTGTGAATTCAAAATTTATGTTAAGTATAAATTTTAAAAAATGTGGATTGCCACGTGGATTCATGAATTCTAAGTTTCTTGTAAATTTTTCAATCGCAGAATTTCTGAATTCTAGCTTTTTAATTTTTTTTTCCATTAATTTTCATCATAATTCACTCATAAACCATGAAAACTTGCGGAAAAAACGCGCTCACACAATTAAGCCCCGCCCATTTTGCACACAAACGATAGCAGCACGCACAACCCGTCAACCGTCGGTCACACAAGAAATTTATATATTCGTGTGTTTTGTGTGTTGTATCGCTTTCGGGCGGTAGCGAGGCTATTGTCAAATATTTTTTGAATTGAAAATATTTCGCACTTTTTTAATTTGATACTATTATTGAAATCACATTTTTGAAAATACGTGAAAGCCATATGGTAAATTGGAAACGTATGATTCCCGGGGAATTTTTTCAGCACTTTTTTGAATAGAAAATATTTCGAGAAGTCAAAATAAAAGTTTTTCTGAATCCATTGCTAAAAACCCAACTTTTTCTAGCCCTCCCAACAAAAAAACTCACGCATCCCTCCTCTGATTATTCTTATACAATCCAACACTATGAAACAATGAGATCAGTAGAAAAACAATATTCAGTGTAAACATCTCATTCACCTTCGAAGTTGATATTGGTGTCGTCGCCAAAACAACCATCTGTGGTTTCGTGAAGGTTTCGTTGAAGTAAATGTAACCAACAACACCGATTGGATGAAAAATCTGGGATTTTTTTCAATATTCATAATATTCCCTCAATAAAATGCTTACCGTTAGAACTAACAGTCCAAATCCAATCTTCTTCGGTGCTTTTTCATAACATCGAAATAGACAAGAAGCAATAGTTCGTTCAATAACCATTGCACAAGTGGAAGATTCGATGCATATCATTGAGAAGATTAAAGGGACATTGAGAATGGCGTAGAGGTATTTTGGTATAACTATATCGCAAGGTTCTACAGCTAGAAGAGATGCTATCAGATGGTGGGTCTGAAATTTAGAATTTTGAAAATTAGGATCTTGGCGAGGTTACTTGAGAACTAGGGTTTCTAGAGTCGGCTGCTTGGTAGAGAAGCTCTCAAGGCACGGCTCCTTGTCAGAGTGGTCAAAAATTTTTCATTTAAAACATTTTCCAGTGACAAAAATATAGATTTTTGAAATTTAGCTGTGTCATTTCTATAATTTTCTCTTTTTTCTTCCGTCAGACACTTGCTCTTGAAAAAAGTGCAAAAGTTTCTATAAACATGCAATTTACGTGAACTTTTCTCAACTACAAACCACAAAAAGTTTCTTCCTTTACGCGTAATGAATTTTTCCTTTGTTTTTTCATCCTACAAAAATCTCTAATCAAAACTTTAAAAAAAAGATAACTCAAATTTTTTCAGACAAAAAAGTTTGGAAGGAAACTCAATTACACCTGCAAATATTTTTCGCGCGCAAAAAAAATTTATTTTTAGAACGATGCTACGCAATGACGGCGTTTTGAAATTTTAATTTTTGAAGCTGAAAATTTCTAAAATATTCATTTTCTGAACAATGCTATTTTTTCTAGAAAACTTCCAGTGCTCTATAATTATTCCCCAACAAACCTGAGCAATACCCAAATCAGCTGCATGAACAAAACACGCGGCAAATTGGAAAAAAGAACAAAATCTGCAAAAAATAGGGATTGCTCATATTAGATCTGAAAAATTATCCAACAAACTTTGACATTGAAATGAAAGGTAAGAAAATTTCGGAACTTCAAAAGAAAATAAATAATTGATAACATTGAGACGGCTGCCAGTATTATGTGATAGATTTTCACGAGCCGATAGAGGTTTGTTCGACCAGCGGGGAACCACTGAAAAAAAAAGATTTGGGGAGTTTTAGGCTCAAATTCAGGGTTAGTCACATAGGAATCAGGAAATTTTATTTTTTCAGAAATTAATTTTCAAGATTTTATTTTGGTATTTTCACAAAATCCCTCAAATTTTTATCAACATTTCCTGGAAAACTTAGGTTCCGGATTATTGCAAAGTTTATAATTCGAATGACAAAAATTATGACTCAACTCAACATTTTTTTTTCTAAATTAGGACTAATCAGAAAAATCCTTCTGACAATTCTAGACAATAATCTGTTTCAAAACATTTCCAAATTGTCGAGATAAAAATTCGTGTGGAACATTTTCAAGCTAAAAAAATTCAGAATTGAAAAATATTTTCCATGTTTGCAATAAGCAATGAGTGACATAAAAACATCTAGAATTTTCTTTTAGAAATTCCACGTGGCATTAAGTTTTTTTTTGAAAACTTTCAAAATCCTCTCAAAAACTTACGATTTCACAATATTCCGTAGTCAAATTCACATCATAAATATTGTCCAGCAACATTTTTTGTCCTGGGAAAAAAATGAAATTGAAAATTTTGAAACAAAATTAAATAAAGGGTCAAAAATTCAAAAAAGGGGGATCGCGTTTCGAAACAAAAATGTTTCGAATTTTGATGGATGAAAAAATTTTCCCCGCTGACAAAACAGAAAATGTCTAGTTTCAGAGAATCGAGAAAATGTGTGGGAAAAAATATATAAATATAATTAAAGGTTAGCTGGCTAGGTGAGCCCAGATTTCAGCTGCATTTTTTTTTGCGCGCAAAAAATCAGAAAGTTTTTTCACACGTTCAAACTAAAAAAAAAACTTTTTTTTTTTGAAGAGCAGAAAAATCTCGAAAACTTTTTGCCCGAAAATAAAGCGTTCTGAAAATTAGGTCATTTAGATGGCCAAACATATTTTTCTCATTTTTTCCGCGCAAAAAAGATTCAAAAATAAAATACAAATTTATTTTGAAATAAAAAAGGGACCACTCAAAAAAGTCTCTAATCTTCTTCATCTTCCTCATCAAAATTGGCGCAAAAATTGGTGAAATCGGCCGAATCCATGTCTTCTGAAAGATGAAATGTGGAAATTTAATTAAAAATTGTGGTCGAAAAAAATGTGCAAAGGATTTTTGTGTGTTTGGAGCGGAGATGATTTTTTGGAATTAGGAAAAAAAATGAGGAGGCAGAAAGTTTGGAGAGGTTTTTTTGTTTGGAACTTTTTCTGAGAGTTAATGAAATTTGACGAGAATTGAAGACCAAAAAGTTTCGCTTAATTTTAGATCTCATCTGATTTTGGGCTTAAAATGTTGGAATATGAAAATGAGAGCAAAAATTCTGAAAAAAAAGATTTTCAAGAATTATTGCATAAGTTTTTCGAGACCAAAAAGTTATCTGGAATTTTTGTCATCACAATTTTTATAGCTAATGTAAATTTAGGCTGAAAATTATTACGGAAAAATATTCTTTCAGCTGAAAATTTTCAAAACTGAATTTTAGTGATGAAATTTCCCAAAGTTATCATTTAAAAAATCAGTTTTTTCAAAACTTTTTCTTTTTTCGAAAAAAACTCATAATCATTAGTTAGCTGAAAAAAAAGTAAAAGCTAGAAACTATGATTAAAAAATCCAGATGTTCTAAATTCCAAAGTTCCAGCTGAAAAATATCCGGCTAAAAACTCTGCATGTTTTTTCAACGAAAAAAAAAGAAAATCTATTTTTTCACTGAAAATTATAAGCGAAACTCTCAAGTTACTTTGATTTTCTGACTAACGTAATTTTTTCTGGAAAGAGATTTGATAATTGTCTGAGAAAACATATATTTTTGAGCCAAAATGCTCAATTTCAGTCAAAATTTCAGATTTTTCCAACACTTTCCCCCAAAAAAATCTCCCAAAAACTCACCATTTCTAAAATGAATTGGTGGCGGAATCAATCCACGTTGCTCATAATGTCTTAAATAATTACAGAGGTGCTTCAAACGTCGCTCTTTGCTTCGTCGATTTTGAAACCAGACCTGCAAAAAGAGGAGCCTTTTTCAGAAGAAAAATTTGATTGCAGGCTCAAAATCTACCTGTATAACTCTCATGCTCAATCCAGTTTCCAGCGCCAATTTCGCTCGAGCATGTTTTGATGGTTTTGGAGTGTTGGAGAACATTTCATTGAGCACATCGAGCTGCAAAAAAATTTAAATTTTGAAAATGTTTTCGGAAATTGGAGGTCATAATTTTCACGAAATTCAGAACATCTGAATCAGAAGGCGTTCAGCAACTGAAAGTCACGATTTTTCAAAATTGTCTAACTCATAGGATCGAAATCAGCGGGCCGAAAATTATTAGAAAATTTAAATTTCATTAAAAAAATCTTTACTTCAACTGTTCCCCGTCCACATATTTTCCCACCTGATTCTGCTTGATCGTAGTTCTTGGTCCTCGCCGTTTCAACATTCTCGAATCATCATCGCAAAAATCAGCAAACGAGAAATGCTCAAAATTATAGCCATACGTATCGACCTCCTGAAATGTTTCATGTTTGGCTGAGTATTTAACGTACGCAGCCAAATCACCCCTTTCCAGAAAAACTCACCTTTTTGACTTGAAAAACGGGAAAACTTTCATCAAAACTTGGCTCAACTGGACCGCCCAAATCACTTGTCGATGGCATTTCACAAACATTTTCTTCGGCTGGAAAATTTTGAATTTTTGGAGCTAAAACTGTTTTGCACCAACCTGGTGGATAATGAATCATACAGGAGACTGTGCGCATGTTTTCATCCACCAAAATTTGCTCGCCTGGTGACAAATGGCGTCCGCAGACTGTGCAACAATGACATTCCACGTGGAAGACGAGATTTGCCTGTGGAAAAAAATAACAATAAAATATTTCTCGGATTTCTAGGCCACGGATTTCTAGGTCACGCAGGAAATCGATTTATTTTCGAAATTTGTGAATTTGCAAATCAGGATTTGCAAAGATTCACGAAATTGTTGATTTCTCAAACGAATTTTATTGGTGGCCTAGAAAACCAAAATTTCAGTTTTAAGACCGTTGCTTGGATTTCTCGGCCATAGAAGTCACCGATTCGGAAATTTCCAGAGAACCTTAATCGGAGAGCCTTAATCGAACTGAAATTTTGCTGGCCTAGAAATTTGTTTTTTGGTTTTCTAGGTCAAGGTGTGAACTCTGACCTAGAAAATACAAAACTTATTTCATAGTCCGTGTGTTGGTTTTCTAGGCCATTTGACGTGTTTGGTATCAATTTCATAAGAAAAATATCAGGTTTCAAATTTCGTTAAGGCCTAGAAAACCAAACCCTAATTTTCTAGGCCATGTACTCAAAACAGATCGTGTTTGGTGTCAAAATGATCAGAATAACACCACAAATCTCAACTCACCCTCAACTTGTACACCATATCACTCGGCGACACACCCTTCTTACACCCGGCACACTGATGAACACTATTTTCCGTGAAATAGTGTTGCGCGCAAAAAATCTGCTGATTCTTGGAATAGCACTTCTCATTTAAAGGCACATCACACACGCAACATTTGACGCACGATTCGTGGTAAGACCGATTTTCCATCTGGAAATTATTTTGAATTTTTTAGAGGGAAGCGGGTTTAGAGGAAAAGAAAAAAAAAAGACAATTTATTTACAAAAGCTAATTCAAACGACACTCCGCGTTAACGCAAAGAAAAACTTACCCGAAAAACGTAACGATCGAAAATTTGCTCAGAACAAATTGAGCATTTTGTCTAGAATTTAGAGAAAGAAATCTGTGTAGTTCTCGAGGACAATTTTGTTACCTGGTTATCTAAATCCACGCCAATCGAATCAATGACCATCGAAATCGCGCTAAGCGGTGGTTTCATTTCGCAAATTTCCATTTCTCGAGTTAGGATAAGTCTCAAGAGGAAATGCGCGAAAACTGTGCTCCCCTCAACAACAAAAAAACGGGGGCGTGTCCTGCCAATCGCCAAACATTTTTGGTGGCACCATTTTATTTATAACCTTCCTTCTCTCCTCGAATTTTTCGTTGCATTTTTGATTTGACAACCAAGTTTTGTGTGTGCTGCGCGCGCGAGAACTGCCTGCTGTTGGCTAATATGCATTTCGAATTTCATTGTTGTTTTTTGAGCACATACATATCATGGGCTCCGTGAGCAGAGCAGAACATGGAGGAAGAAGAAGAAGAATAATGGGGCGAGAAAATGGGAGAAGAAATATGAAGATTGATGGGTAGTACTGTTTTTGAGTAGGATACTTGTGGGGAATTTGGAATTTGAGAATTGAGGGATTCTAGGTGGTGGAATTTTGAAGCCTGTAATTGAGTGTTCAGAACTCTAGGCTCGAAAAAATGTTCTGAAATTCAGAAACTTTAGTTTTGACTTCTCAAAAATGTTTTTTTTTTAATTTTTAAATAGTGAAAAAATTTCCCGGAAATCATACGTTTCAAAATTATCATAAAGCTTTCAGACCTCTTCAAAATCTGATTGGCATTTGGTTAGCATTAAAAAAAAGAAATCTGTATTTTTTGAACTTCGAAAGTTAGTTAGTTATCTTTTTGAAACAAAAAATAAATAAATAAGCAAACACAACAAAACCACACACCAAATAAAACAATTAAAATTGACATGTTCATTTTTGCACCCACCACTAAATTCAGCTACAAATGTGTGTCACCATATGTCCCATTATAATCATCAATTGTCCCCCGAGAAGAGGGGAGACAAGAATTGATATAAAATTCAGATTTACGAGAGATTGACATACACACGATTTGGTGTCAGTGAATTATTTATATATCATTAGGCAACACTTGTCCACGAGAATTACACGGAATTGTTTATGGTTAAATGAGAAAGGGAAGGAGAAGTCTGAGAGAACTACACAATTTATTTGATTTCCAGATTTATTTTTTTTTTAAAAAGTTTGTCAGTTGTCCGAGAGTAGTACACCACCCCCTATTTGCCCTCTCCCGGGCAGCCACACTTTCAATAAAGTCCAAAAAAAGTGAAGTTGTCCGCGAGAAGTACACCGCGGTTCATCTGTCGTCCGAGAGAAGTACAAGAGATTAAAGGTGCAGCGATTGTGAAGTTGTGCGAGAGAAGTACACGCAGAAGAATTGAATTATTGATTTTTCGGAATCAGCAAAAACAGTACCGGTTGGAAAAAATGTGATTTTCAGAGTTACTCCAAATTTTTTGAATGGGCTTATTTTGCAAATGCTAGAATCTATGTAAATTTTTGAAATCCACTACAGTATTCTTCTGTACTAATTTTTATTCATGTGATTTTTAAAAATCCCCTCAACTATGATAATAGTTGGCTCAAATCCCGTGCCATCTTCTATTTTCCCCTCAAAAATTTCTCAACCGTTGTCCAGACAACAATCATCAAAAATCCCCACTGGAAATTCAAATCGCATGATCTATAGTCATGCAAAAATTAGTCATTTTCATTCTATTTTCAGATTTTCTATTCAAATACTCCGGTGAAATCTTGATCTTAAGATTTTCAAAGTTTATTGAAAATCAAGGTGTCTATTCATTTGACCCGAATTAGTCAGTCTATTCAATCCCACCTAATCAAAGTACGTATAAAAATGTGTTTCGTAGTTTATTTTCTCAATTTTTCAAAAGTTCCAGAAGAATGCTAACTCTTTTCCAAACAACTCACACCATTTTATCCACCCTTGGTGTCACCATAAATCTATTTCTTCTCTATTTGGCCCTCACCAAAAGCCCGAAAATAATGCGACCGTGTTCGGCTCTTATCACAAATAAGGCTCTCACTGATATTATGTCATCGCTGGCCAACTTTTTTGTGATGCAACAATTTGTTGGTGGCGAAATGGTGCCACATGGACCTTGTCGGATTTTTGGAGACACGGCGTGTTATGCGGGGTGAGTCATTTCCTCAAGTTCGCTCAACCGAACATTCAACACTTCCAGCCACATGTTAATGCTCAGCTTCCTGGAGCACAATCTAATCTGGCTCATCGCCTGCTATCTCTTTCGCTACTACATTCTCTACGTCTGCGATCCCAAAATTAAATCCATCATTTTGTCGGCAATTATGGTGTATACACCAAGTCTTGTCCACGTGGCTTTGTGGGTTAGGGCATATCATCATAATCAGAATCAGAGCCCTGATCCTCTTGATCCGGCCCTTGATCTTCTCAATGCAACCATCCCAATCAATAATGCCCAGATAGGACAAAATCAACCGAGAAATCCAATAGTTTTCTGGTCCCTTTTTGTATTCTTCGGTCAACTTGCGATAACTGCAATTCTCGTTGTGGCCTGCTATTTATGGATTCGAAACGTCCTTCTGAACTTCTTGATCGAAATGGGAATCCAAATCTCCAGCGAATGCAAAATCCTCAATCAACAACTAGTGAAAATCCTAACTTTCCAAGTTTGTATCCCATTCTGGATCATTCTCGGCATCGTAATCTGGACCCTACAGTACTTTTTGAATGTCCCAGGATTCTTGGGCTACTGTTGCACTGTATCATTTATGTTGGCGCCAGTGATTTCACCATTCAGTTATATTATTTTTGTGCCACATTATTGGAATTTTTGTAGCGGGAAGAAAACTGAAACATCTTCGACTTCTTGTGATACTGTGACAAATAATCATAATGACAGTAGTTGTCAGAAAAATTTCTGAATTTTTTTTTTTAAATTGGAAATAATGAAGCTCTTGTTAACTTTGGTTTTCTTTTTTTCAAAATGCCACGTCATAGTTTCAGAAACTGACAAAGTTCCATTTTCAAGAAAAAACCAATTTCACTATTCTCATTTTACGAAATTTTATGAGAAATCACTGTAGGACACATACTTCAGCACATGGATATTACTTTCACCTAACCTTGCTCAATTCATGGACCCTTCCCAAAATAAACTAACTTGAATTCGACCAAAAAATCTAATTTTTCCATCCATGATCCCAATACTGTACAGCAACGTTGCATTTCTCGAGCAGATCTGAAAAAAATGTATTTTTTTTCAAATTTCGCACCAAATCCACGTCAAACAATGATTTTTCATTGTTGAGACAAAAAAAGCGAAACCCGCCCAAAAAATAGAAAAAACAAAAAAAAATGACTATATTTCCTTACTTGTCTCGCACTCTCTCACTCTCCCACTCTTTCTCATGGTGGCTGTTGCAAGAGCGCTCCAATGCAATTTCTATTTATTTTTCTTTTTTTCGGTTTCGCTGGCAAATTTTCAAGTTTTCAGGCTGAAATCGTGTGAAATTGAGAGGAATTTGATCGCGGAATCGAAAAATGCACAAATTTTATGGTTTTGGTGGGACATCGTGTGAAAAAGGTGAGGTTTTTGGGTGGTTTCAAGGTGAAATTGTGAAAATCTGGAATTTCAACAGAACCAACTGGGTTTTTGAGCTCATCTTTCTTATATATTATAGGGGCTGTTAGCCCCAGACGCGACAGGCTCTTTTGTTAAGACTTATTTTTTCTCCCATCAGAAATTTTATTCCCATTCATTGAGCATGGAATGAAATCTGTTTTTTGAAGTCACTCCAAATTTCCGATATCCTCAGCCAACATATTTTTTATTTTTATTATAACTTTAAAACTCAGACTCTCAATTTTAGCCACTAAAATCAACTCACAAAAAACTGGTCCAAAAAAAATTTTAAAAATTATTTTCTTTAGACAGTACTCAATAAATGCTCACTAAATTTGAATTGCAATCAATTCGAGCCTAAAATCTTGAAACATTTAATACAAAAAAAAGAGATTCACAAAGTTTTCTTTTACGAAACTGATAAAACTTCTATTTTTCTTGATTTTTTTCTCAAAACAGAAAAATTCACACAAAAAATGTTGATTTTTGTTTTTTTTTTCATTTTCCACGTCAAAAAACACGTCATTTTTTTCCCCCCAAAAGATGTTCTCAAACCCTGTCATTTTCTATTCACAATGGAACAGGATCCGAAAAATGTGATCTCAAAATTGAACTCAAAAAATCGAATTATCGCTGATTTACAAGGTACAGTACCCCTACAGTACTACTCAAATGCAATATTTTCTAGATTGGTGCAATTATTCTCTCCACACTGCATCTTGCGATTGGTGTAGCTGTTATGACGCAAACTATACGGTGGGTGGAGGTCTCTCATTTTCGTACACTCTCTAACCTCTACCATAAATAAGGGTAGAGAAAAAGAGTCAAGTATGAGTTGATCATTTCGCACCGATTTCCCATGCGATCTCGTGGTGTAGTGGTTATCACATCTGTCTAACACACAGAAGGCCGGCGTTTCGAGCCCGCCCGAGATCAGACTATTTTTGTTTTTTTTTTCAGCGAAGCCACCGCAGCCAGTTCTTTGGACGTTGTTCTCGAAGCGACTCAAAATTCAAATTACAAAGATAACAATTCAATGGCTCGATCAATTTATCTTCCTTTCATTGTTGGCTCAATTGCAATGGCTTTCGCATTCTTCAAATATTTCTATATTTTGGGAGTTATCGGTTTCATGCTAATTATTGAAACCATATTCTTCCTCTGGTCATTTTTGGGCATTTATGTGATCAAATATGGAAATAAACATCTTTTGGAGTCGAAAAATGCGAAAATTGTGGATTTGTATGAGCAATTATTGGTGATTCTTGGGGAAAATCGATTGATTTTGATTGTTGGATTTGTGACAATTGCTACCAGTTTTGCACTTTTTGGGTGGCTTTTTAAGATTTATATGCCAGATTGGAAGAACACAGATTCGGAGGAGGCGTCTGTGAAGTCAGAAGTTTCTAACTTGGAGAGTCAGAAATCTGGACCCGGAACTGGAACTGAAACTGATTTGGAAAAATAAAGAATTTTGTAGTGAAGATTGCTCATGTTAAAACAACTCATCTATCATGAGCAATGAAATTAAAATATTTATTATTATTTACATGACTTTTAAGAATGCACATAATACACCTTCCAATTATCTCCCGATTTTTTCGCCCAAATCGATCTATTCGCCTTCTGATCTACCACAAAATCCACCCAGAAAACATCATTTTTTACCATATTCCACGACACTGGTTCAATATCTTGGCTCACTTTTTCACCGGACCATTTATCTTGATTACTGGCCGAATTCTCGATATAATTCCCGATCTTTTCCAATTTCTTATCTCTCAAACCGCTGAACAATATATGATCGTTATAGATTTTTTTGCAATTTTCGCGGGTTGGCTGGGTTAGGGCGGTTTCTGTGAGTTGCGCGAGAGATTTGGCTAGGTTTTGGTGATTGGGATCAGAGGAAGAAGTTAGGATTGGCAAGATTAGATAGAACACTAATTGTAACATCGTCGACAATTTTGATGAAAGTGAATTCGAAACGGATGAAAAATGTTCACACGGTCTAGACTCACAAGTCAGCCGATGAGAAAAAAAGTTTAGGCTCGTTCTTCATTGAATAATCTTTCGATGTTCACCATCCTCCCAATATTCTTATGTTTTCTCCCGTTCTCCACACAAGACAACGCGACTGCCAACAAGTTATCGAAACTCGTTGAAAGCGCCTTGACGCAACCATCAGACGCGAATTGTCGCAAAATTTTTGCTCCAGTTTTTGTGATGCGCGAAATTGGCGTGAGCGTGGAGATGTTCGATTTGTCCAATTTTATCAAAGACCGCAAACCATTTGAGAATCGTTGGTCTGGTGAAAAAATCGAAGAGATCAAGGTTCAAGGTTTCAAAAGATCGGAAGATCGAATTATGGTGATCTATGAGGTTGGACAGGGTGTCGAAAAGAGAAATCGAACATTTTGGTCGCAGAATGATAAGGTCTACTATGTTGAAAAATAAATATTGCTTTTGTTAATGTGGTAAAAAACTGTGTCAGGTTTGCAGAAAATGGGCGGAGCTTTTTTTTTTCGAATAAAGCAATTCGTATCTTTAGAAGCCTCTCCCCAAAATTTTCGCACATTTACAATGTCTCGCCAAATTTGAGCCTACATAAAAACAGACGGTGGAAAACATCTCACATCAGAAATATCATGATTCCCCTGGGTCTCCTTCTCGTGGTGGCTTTGGTCGATTCAAAATTGCAAAATGTCACTGCGAGGGGCAGACTGACTTGTAATGGAAAACCGCTCAGTGGGCATGACATAACTCTTTATGAGTTTGATTTGGGTGAGTCAGAATTCTTGGCTGTGAAGTCTAGAAAGCTTCAATCCTTTCCAGCCAGTCCAAACGACGCGCTCAACCGCACAAAAACCAACGCCAATGGCGAATTCAAAATCTATGGCGAAGAAGACGAGAAGCTCGCCATCAACCCATTCATCCAATTCCTACACACCTGCAACGTCGAAAAAGGTTGCAAAAAAGAGCAGCGAATTTACATCGGTCATAATTTCATTGGTGGAATCTGTGTGATAAATGTGGATTTGGCAAGTGATGATAGATATGGCTTGAGATTATTGGACACGTGTCATGTGGACAAGGATGAGAAGGCGGAACAGACTAAAGATCTAAGTGTTACTGGATTTTTGAAGTGTTATTCTTCTCCTCCTTCTGATTCTTCTCAGACATTGAATGCAATTGATGTTCGACTTATTTTACGAAGTAATATTACAGGACAAAATGAGATCATCGCTTCATCAAAATCCGATGGTTCAACTGGATTTTTCAAAATATCCGTCGCTAATCAAAACTTCAAATATGAGCCATTTGTGGAATTTGAGCATTTCTGCAAAGGTGAGAAGATCTGTGCGCGGCATCGCGTGAAATCCGAGTTCTTTGGGAAGACTTATGATATGAGCAATGTGGATTTGAAGAAGTATAGTGCAGAAGAAGAGGTTAAATGTGATGAGGGAAAAGATCAGAAAATTTGATTGGAAATAAATCCTTGTATTTAAAGACATTGCTCATATTAGGCCTCTTGCAAAAAACGTTGTAATTTTCCCAGACACGTATTGTCTGTCTATTCAGAAACACTTTCTGTTTTTTTTTCATTTTTCATTTCAAAAAATGTTGTGGATCCTATTTCTGTTCCCTACAGTAGTCTCAGACTCGGTGACAGTTGAGGGAAATCTACATTGTAATGCAGTTTACACTCATGGACATGTGAATCTTGTTGGGAAGGGGATTTGTGAGTTTGCTGAAATTTGGGCGGAACAAATATAGGTTAAAAATATTTAGCAAAAAACCGTGCCAGACTTGCTGAAAAGTGGGCAAATTTAGGTTCAAAATTATCAGAAAATGTTTTGCAGTCGGTCGCGAAGTCAGCGTCACCGATCAAAAACCGGATTCATCGGGAACCTTCAAAATTTCGCTCACAAATCTATCGCAAATCTGGAGGGATGAGGTGAAACTCGAAGTGGTCCACGATTGTGATGCTCCAGCGGGTTTTGTCAGAAAAACTGTTTTCCAAGTGCCAAAAATGTATGTGAAAAATGTTTATGAGATGGGCAAGATTTATTTGCATCAGTCGAGATTCAATGATTATTTGATGACGTTGGAGGGTTTTAAAAATCAGAATGAAGTTTGGACTTTGCTTTGAATAAAGAATGAATTGGGTCTAACATGAGCAATGTGGTTTTTTCTGATATTTTCAGCATCAGGTTTAAAATTTATCCCACGGTTTAGTGTCGTGTCTAGACAATTTGAAAGTTTTCAAAAATTCTTGCAAAAAAAATCATTTCATTCCAAAAATGATATGTTATCAAGCTATACTAACTTTTCTACATCTACTAATCCCTGTATATTCTGAAACTCCAAAAACCACTTCAGTTACCGGAACTCTAACCTGTTCAACAGCCCTGAACGAAGTCAAAATTCAATTAATGGATCAAGAAGGAGAAAAGGAGATTGCGAAGTCAGTTCAGAAAATTTTCGAAGTAAAAGGAACTGTTGAAAAAGGTCATGAAACGTATCTAAAAATCACACATAGTTGTGGCACCAAAAGTCTAGAGTGCAAAAAAGTGTCAATTTATCGAATTCCAAAATTTTACAATGGACATGGTGAACCCTATAAGATGGGTGAGATCAATTTGAACATTCATGAGACGTTCGAGATGGAAGAATGTGCAGATCCAGAAGCGATCGAAGCCGCAAAACATTCACTAAACGGCACATTTTTCGATCAACCTGGCTTTATGAAAGATCCATTAGAAGTTGAAAGCTGTGACGGAAATGTCGCAACCGCGTCGCATTCGCAAATCCGCAACATGACACGAAAGTTGGAAGAACTTGGAGTGCAGTTGAAAGCGTTGACACCGATTATGGTTGCGGCGAACTTTGCGAATGACGCGTCGCGTAAAAAATTATATTATCGCGTTGTTTATGCGATGACGGATTATGTGGCTGAATTGATGGACTCGGGGAAATATATGGTGGTTAAAAGTATTGATGTTTGTTAGGAATAAAGTTCGTGATCATTCTTCAGTTTGGATTATTAATGTTTAGAGACACAGAGAAGTAAAAGCTAGAAAACAGACAATTCAAAAAACTTTATCATCGCCCAAAATCATCCGAATTTCAATCATTATCATTATCATCATCGTCATCGTCATCGTCATCAAAATCATGATGAAAATCTTGACGAAAAGCCCAATTATATCGCGAATCATCTTGTTTTATCTCCGAAAATCTCAAATCCAGCCCTGCATCGCCACAATAGATCGCAAGAAACACTTTTGGATCTATTCTTGATTGAACAAGCTCCTTATAATGTTGAGAAATTCTATCCTGGTGCAATAAATCTCTATAATCGACTTCAATTTTCCGAGTGAGCATTGACCTTCTATACGATGCTTGAATTTCCAATGACTGGAAATTTGGATTGATTTTTCCATTCCTCCATAAATCGATAAACAATCGAATATTTTCCATTGTTAGAATCTCTCCCAAATATATCTTGATAATACTTGCTTTAACTTGCAACAATTCATCAAATTTAAAATTTGTAGCTGGAATTTCAATCAATCTAGTGATTTTTTTGATTGTTTCAAAATCGATAAAACCACATTGTATCAGATCTATTTGTCGTTGAGCATTCCAAATTATGAGTTGTTGAAGATTTTTATAATTGTGCTGTGCCAAGTTTAAATTCAAGACAAGAAGACTGCGAACTCTGCTATTCTGAAAAAAAAATTCTTCTATCTTCTAGAGCTAGGTTTCCAGGCTTATTACGTTTCTAGATTCAAAATGTTTCTCACCCCTGTTGAAATTTCGAATCTCCTCAATCTTTTTCCAATTCTATCCAAAAAATCTTTCACAATGGCCAAGCACACTTTGCCCACATTTTCCTCTCGAATCTCACTCCATAATATTTTCCGGTCATTCGATTCCCCATTTTCACCAAACACCAAACTTCGATTCTCATCGAGTTTTTCAATCACTATACAGAACTCCTTTCCAATCTTAATAAAATATTTGAATGGAACTCTTGTCACTCGATCATTGATATAATAATCTCTGAATACAATAGTATCAAAATAGCTGTTCGAATTTCTCGATTCCGTTTGACTCTTCGTGCATGTTCCTCCAAACCTCAATAAAGATTGCAACGGCATTTGATTCATGATGATTTCTCGAATTTCGAGTGGAATATCGAACCATCCGGTTTGTTTTGTGAGCATATTAAAAATATAAATGAAGGTGGATGGAGCCAGTGGAACAATTCTTATCGGAAATTAAAACACGTTTGGAAAATGCAAAAAAAAATTCGGCGTTTTTTTTTTGAACATTTTTTGATAAATGGGATAATTCGAATTTCAGCCATCTAAAATTTGTTGGCTGTGGAAATCGAAAATTCGACGTAACTCCAAAAATCAGATTTTCTACTTCAATCCTCTAAACTTTAAAATTTTTCCGAAAAAAAAACTTCTGGTAGCTCAAAAATATTTTTCTCTAACAATAAATCTCTCTTTTGCTCGAAATTCATCGATTTTAAATCCCACCTGCGCGAAATTTTTTCGTGTATTATTGTGAGGGGAAAATAATAAATAAAAATTAAATTTTAATTAAAAAAAACAACATTTCAATAATTAATTACAATTAAGAAAACGTAATTTAAGAAAAGAAGATAAATATTAATTTATTTCATGTGACCGTGTAACGTGAAAAATAAAAAAATCTTTTCATTTTGTTTTTTGTTAGCATTTGAAAAAGGGATGGCTCGTAAAAATGTGCGAAAAGTGAGGAAAACCAAATTCGAATGGACTTCGCTCCCCCAGCGCTTCAAAGAACAAATCATCGAGGAATATCTGGATCTGAAGTCAAAATTAAAATTTTCCCAATGCTCGAAATCTTGCTATGCTGAGATTTTAGGATCGCGAAACTTTTTGAAATATTTAATATTCACTGAAACTTATGCTAAATTCTATGAAGTCAGATATGAGTTTTATCAGGATCAACGAGAATTTCATATTGAGTTTGATACGCTTGATGCGGAGGATGAAGACGATGGAGCACTTTTCCAAGTTTCTTTTTATATGTAAGGTTTTTGAGATTTAAAAAAACGTGCATTTAAAATTCAACTTTTCAGCTCCAATCATCTCGAAGACGAATGGGAGTTGAAAAATATTGATGTTTTAAAATACACCATCGAATATTTTCAAAGACTTATCGATCATTCAACGCACTTGAAAGAAATCGAATTCGATTTTTTCCATACTCCGATTTATCGGAACATTAAGAATATCGAAAAACTGAAAAGTTTGAAAACATTTCGAATTTACGATTTGCGGAAAAACCGTCATACATTGGGAGATAGTGGATACGAGAATTTGGGTTTGGTAAGTTTTCTTTGCAAAAAATTTATTTTGATTCCAAACCTCTAAAATCTTGAATACTTTTCAGCTCTCGAAACTTCGCAAAAACATCATTTGTCCAATTCCCAGTTTGAATCTCGAAAACTTGCTCAAAATCACAGCCCGGAAATCAAAGTTATATGATGTTAAAGTGAGCCCGAAAATGGCAAAACAATTTATTTTAGCGGTTGGTGATGGCAAAATCGATGAAAATATTAAGAAGATCCGATTAATTTATGACAAAAATCAGCAAGTTTGGGATCCGGAGCTGATTTTTGATTGTGATTCTGATTCTGAAAGCAAAAATTTAAAAGTCGATGATTTCCACAGAGACGAATATGCATTATGGTTTGACATGGAAATCAAAGGAAAGCCGGAAAGATATGCGAAATTTCGATTGACTGAAAACTGCCTGTTACTAGTTGTCCGACTTCATGCAAAACGTCAAATTTATCGTCAACGAGCTGAAGAATATGTTGGAGAATTAGGCGACGATGGTGATGAATTGCGCGCGGACTCATATAAAGAAAATCCGTCGGACTTTGAGCGGTCTACGGGATATGGTGAAAGATCGGATTATGAATTCTGAATTTTTAGCTTCGATCAAAAAACTTGGAATTTTCAATGAATTTAGTTGTGATTCTTATTGTTAACATCTTCCGAGTACTTACAAAACGAAATAAAAATTAAATAAGTTTTTTTTAAAAAAATTTATCGATGACCTCATCCATGGCAAAATTAGGAAGCCTTCCTGATTTTGCCATGAGTCATTTTTCGATCAAAAAAACTTGAAATTTTCAATGAATTTAGTTGTAATTCTTATTGTTAACATCTTCCGAGTACTTACAAAACGAAAAAAAAAATTGAATAAGTTTTTTTTTGAAAAATTAATCGATGACCTCATCCATGGCAAAATTAGGAAGCCTTCCTGATTTTGCCACGAGTCATTTTTCGATCAAAAAACTTGAAATTTTCAATGAATTTAGTTGTGATTCTTATTGTTAACATCTTCCAAGTACTTACAAAATGAAAAAAAAAATTGAATAAGTTTTTTTTTGAAAAATTTATTGATGACCTCATCCATGGCAAAATTAGGAAGCCTTCCTGATTTTGCCACGAGTCATTTTTCGATCAAAAAAACTTGAAATTTTCAATGAATTTAGTTGTAATTCTTATTGTTAACATCTTCCGAGTACTTACAAAACGAAATGAAAATTAAATAAGTTTTTTTTTTGAAAAATTGATCGATGACCTCATCCATGGCAAAATTAGGAAGCCTTCCTGATTTTGCCACGAGTCATTTTTTGATCAAAAAACTTGAAATTTTTCATGAATTCAATTGTAATTCGTGTATTTACATTTTTTTTGTTTGTTTGAGTTACTGTATATTGAAGAAAATATGTTGAATTGTTGTATTATGCGTTTCAAAAAAGTATTTTGACGAAGAGATAACAAGAAAGTTGAATACAGAAATGAAAATCTTGAACAAATTGTTGAAAACAGAAGAAATTATCACAGTTTATACACCTTATAAAGCATATTTTTGAGTGGATACGACCGCCAGACTCAAAGATTTTTGGGCCAAGATTTTGATCAGTTAGCCTAACTTTTTTCAATTTTTAAAGATTAATTTCATATATTTTTCAAATTTATACAGAATTTTTTATCAATTTTTTTCAATTTTTTCGAAATCCCTCCCCAAAAAACTCACCAATTGCTCAAATCACACAAATTCATCGAAAATTCGCATCCCAATCAAAATCCTCCAATTTTCCCACGTAGTTGAAATCGCTTCAAATTCAACCAATAATTGTTCTCCTCACATTTGAAATAATTTTTGACCTGAAAACTCAAAAATTTCAATCGAAACAGTGTTTCTCTAGAAAAAAATCACCTTTCTTCGATATTTCTCGGATTTTCCGTTGGAAGCGATGATTTCAGCCTTGTAGACCATCTGAAAATTCAATTTTTGACTGAAAGCCACTGATTTTCCCCGGAAACCTGAAAACCCAGCGAAAAAAAAACAAAAAATGAAAATATTCTCGTTTTGCGCTAAACAGCGGGCAAGCCGGAGTGTCGTTGTAAAAGTCAGTGTGAAGAAAAAAATTGAAGAAAAAAAGATGAAAACGGAACATTTATTTTAAAAACGTGAAACGTGTGACCGTGACAGGAAAAAAGTCAAAAATTTATGCCTGTGTCATTTAAAAATTTATATTGATAAAAATGGTGGATTTAGCGAATTGAGCAAAAGTGAATCGAGGAGACTCAAAGATTTGGATCTAGAATCCAAAAAAGCAAGTTTGCTATCGAGGGTAAGTGTCATACATGCTTTTCGAGAGAATCATTCCCAATAATTTTTTAGGTTGAGCTTTCTCAATTCATTTTTGCAAAATGTGGAGCGGGTATCGATTATTTAGAAAGTTTAACAGAAAAAGACTTCAACAAATGCATCAAACCATTATACGAAGTGATTTATTTGAAAATTCATCAAATTTCAAGAGGGATAGGGAGATCAAGTTAATCTTTATATAATGTTTTCAGAGTCTCAACTATAAACTATTTTGTGGAGCTAACCTGCCAGTCTTGGATACTGCTTGCTTGGAGCTTGTCAAAATGCACAAAAATATCCTCCAAGAGTTCATCGAAGTATTTTTATCAGTATACAAAACGAATCCAATTGCATTGATCAGGCAATTACGAAAATTGAGAAATCAAAATGGCGTGACAGATTCGGACAAGGAGAGGAAAACCATATTGAAAATAGAAGAACACAGAATGATACGATTTGCTATGGACAAGAAAGTTCGAAAGGGGGTGGCGTCATATTTATTGATATATGCGTCGGAAGCTAATGAAATAGGAAAGTTATTGTTGAATTAAAAACACGTGAGAAATAAAAAACTAGGTCAAGTGATGTGGATTTAAAAACAGTATAGGTAGCCATGTCGTCAATTGCGATGCGGTTCTGCGTTGCGTGTTGACCTCGGTATTTTCCATTGGATTTGTCAAATTTTCATTTCTAAAAACGTGTCGCCCACACGCATCGCAACTGACGACATGGCTACCTATACTGTTTTTAAATCCACGTCACTTGACCTAGTTTTTTATTTCTCACGTGTTTTTAATTCAATAATAAATAGATTCTTGACGTGAGTAAAACTTTAAATACAAATACTTTATCCCACCTACTCAATATTTTTCAGGCAAAAGCCTAGAAATGTTCTCTCCAATTCAACGGCGTCTAAGACGAAGAAAATGCTAGAAGACTTTGAAAAACCTCCACAAAATGAATAAATTTTTTGTATAAAATATTTTCAAAATTTTATTTTTTGGCTTTCAAAATGTGCGATTCTCTACAAGACAGAGCTGGTCGGAATTGACTATTCGGAATTTTGGAAGTCACTTTTTCACTTCCGATTTTATTTTCGGGATTTCGACTTTTTATTCCGAATAATTTTTGATAGTTCGGAATCCCAATTTTTTCTTCCGACTTTTTTTCTCGGAATTTCGGAACTTCACCGTAGTTTTAGTCCCAAAACACAGTTTTTTTCTGGAAAAAAAACTTCCGATTCCCAATGAAAATGAATTGTTTTCTTTTCAAAAAATTGGTACATTTTTTAGAACTTTGATTACTGTACCTACAGCTGCTTAAAATATTCTAGTTTTTGAAACTAGAAAATTACGGTATATTCAAGAAAACTGGGATTTTCGACTTCAAAATCTAGATTACTGTAGCTCAGCTCCTAACATTAGAAACCTATCTGCGTCACTAACCCAACTGGCTGTCTAAATCTAGCTTCTCTGAGTCTCTAACCTTTTAGCTACTCTGCTTCTCAGCATCTCTTATCCCTTCGCGAAATCAGCAACAATTTTTACAAAAAATCTTCATTTTCAATAATAATGAATCAATCAATAGTTTCGCGTTTTGTTGTTGTCTTCACTTGTCATATTCAATAGGCGTCTGCGGCAAACAAGCCTCACTCGAGCTTCTCAAATCCTCTCCATCCTTCTTGAATTTGTGCGCTCTCGAGTTCTGCTTCTGTATGATCTTTCGATAATTCTGCTTGGCCTTCTGGAACGTCTCCCTGGGTTCGACCCAACAATAAAAGTTGCTGCAACCGTAGGAGCCGTCGTCGTTTTTGACGATTCCGTAGCAGGCTTTGCACAGAAGATGTTCGCATTTTCCGACGATCATCAGTTGATTTGACGGGAATTCGGCCATGCAGGGACCATCGCATCGCGCCAAAACCGGTGGTGGAGTCGTCTCTTTTAGAATGGGAGCTTCTGGAACTTGATGACGACCGGAAGCGCGGCAGCATACCGTGTAAGTGTATTCATCTCTGGAACAAAATAATTTGAGTGCGATTGAACGCTGTGATTCTACCGTACTTCTTGGTGACGGGATTCGAAACGACACTCAAATTCCAGCCCAACAACTCATCGCAAGGTATAAAAGACGGCACCATTCTCTCCGGCTTCTCATAACTTGTACTCGAAAATGTTCTGAAAAAAAAATTCTGAAAAAAAAGCTGAAAATCTGAAAAAAAGCTTCTGAAAAAAAAACACTGAAAATCAAAGCTTTTCTAGGCCAAAAACTGATCTGCAAAAATCCCCAAACTCACTCCGAGTACATAGACATTTTTTTCTCGGTTTGTTGTTGTTTTTCTTCGGATTTTGTCAGTGGCTCCACTTCGAGGCTCCACTTCGAGTCGGTCCCAATCCAAAAATCAGAACTGACTGATTTCGGGATTTTTCGGGGACTCGTGGCATTTTTTGGTTGACACAAAAAAAATTGGGTCACGTTTTTTTTTAAAGAAATTTTGAATTTTGTTTTTTTTTTAATTTCATTAATTTTAAAAATGATAAATGGAAACGTCAGGTATAAAATGAGCAATATCTATTCTGGAAATATTGTATCGCGTGGCCTAGTCGGTAAGAGCTTCGATTACGGTTTGAGAAGTCCTAGATCAAGTTCGGGAACTGGAAAGCTCTAGAAATTCTCCTTAAGAAATTTGAGAAGCTGAAAAATATCAAAATATCAACAAAAAAGTAGAAAAGGATCTGAAGTCCAACAAAATCTAAAAGTTCTGGAGAAAGTTTGAGAAAAATCTCAAAAAAATCTGGAAATTCCCGAATTCTTCTCAAACTGAAAATTTCCAGATTCATATGTCTAGACCTCATAAAACTTCCTTCGAAAAAATATTCCCAAAAATTTCCCTATCAAAAATGTTTCTGATTCTCCTGGCTCAAATCGTTCAGATCTCTGCGTCTCTTCAAAAAGTGAACATCAGTGGACAAGTGGTTTGTGAAGGAAAACCGATGGTTGCAAAAGTCTTTCTGATGGAATACGATTTTTGTGAGTTGGCCTAAATTCTCCTAGCCTACAAGCCTGAATTGCAGATAATTGGAATGATATCCTTAATGAAACAACTTCAGACAATCAGGGAAACTTCCATGTTTCTGGAGAGGAAGATGAAACATTGACAATTGAACCGTTTTTGCAAGTGGTTCACACGTGTCAGACAAAACCTGTGAGTTTCAGATTTCTTGTTGGAAATTTCAGCCCCAGGATTTTTCAGAATTGCTTCAGAACTCAACAATTTGCCATCCCGAAATATTTGATCGGAAAAGATAGGGGTGGATTTGTTTTGGAGGTGAAGAAGACAGAATCTTGGCATACAAATCAGTGTAATAATGTGTGTAACTAGAATGAAGTCTGAGAGCTACAATGCTCCGGGTTTACACCATACGGTTTTGGATTTTTAGAACATTTTTGATGTGAGATGTGAGAATTGACCACAAATCACATTTTGGTAGCATGTAACTCATGCTATGTTAAATTTTATCAAAGATTAAATTCACAATTTTCTCCAATATCTTTTCTTAACAAATTGACTCTTTTGAGCAATTTTTTGTATTGACTTTCTGATAAAAGTTATTCTATGAGTTAGAAGGCTACAAAGTCGCGATTATTCAAAATTATTCCATTTTTGGCTAATTTTCAGTCTTTCAGAGAGTCGTTCAACGAAAATGAAGACGCGATCTTCTTCAGCACAAAAAATTCATTTCTCATTGAAAATCGTCGAATTCCTCCGAATTCCACTCAAAATTAAAATTCACTATCCAAATCCCGCCCTCCGCTACATTTAGAAATAAAAACTCACTTTTTCCACTAGAAACTATCGACATCCCTCGAATCGATCGATTCCTCAAATTTTAATCGATTTTCTGAAAAAAAAATTAATGTATTTCATTTTCATCGAAAAAAACCAACCTTTTTATGAAATCCACGTTGTCGCCGTGTCGGCTTTTGTTGGTGCATCATTTCCATCCAAATAAACACTGAAAAAATCATTAATTATTATGTAAAACCGGCTGTAACATGAAAAAACACCGGAAGAGAAAAAAAAAGAAAAATTGAAAATAACAAACTGCAAACACGGCGACGCACAAGTGCACACAATAATTTTTGAATTTTTTTTTCGTTTTTTCTCATTTTGAAAGTTTTTGATGCTTTCCGATGTAAAATGTATGTTTTTTCAGTGTTTATTTGGATGGAAATGATGCACCAACAAAAGCCGACACGGCGGCAACGTGGATTTCATAAAAAGGTTGGTTTTTTTTCCATTTTTTCCAATCCATTCATTTTTTCAGAAAATCGAATAAAATGGGAGGAATCGATCGATTCGAGGGATGTCGATAACTTCTAATGGAAAAAGTAAGTTTTTTATTTATAAATGTAGCGGAGGACGGGATAGTGACTATTAATTTTGAATGGAATTCGGAGGAATTCAACGATTTTCAATGAGAAATGAATTTTTTGTGTTGAAGAAGATCTCGTCTTATTTTTCCCTGAACGACCATCTGAAAGACTGGAAATTAGCCAAAAATGGAACATTTTTGAACAATCGCGACTTCTAACTCATGTTAGAATAACTTTTATCAGAAAATTAATACAAAAAATTGCTCAAAAGAGTCAATTTGCCAAAGAAAAGATATTGGAGAAACTTGTAAATTCAATATATGATAAAAGTTATCATAGCTTTACGATAAAGAGACTTTATTTTAAACAAATTCATAAATAAATCCAAAGCTTCACAAAATCTACGAACAAAATCCGCAAGTTTTTCGGCATTGAACTTTCATCAACGCCAAATATACAGAATTGGTACAATAGGCAACACGATTTGGACAATCTGAAGTTCCAGTCGATGGATTTGTCAAATCTGCACAAGTTCCAGCTGATGTTGTAGATGTGGCTGATGTTGAAGATGAACTTGTTGAACATCTTCCACAAGTTTTTGGGCATTGAGTAGTCATTAAAGAGTAATAGACAGAATTATTGCAAAGATAGGCCTTGCTGGGACAATCTGAAGTTCCGGTTGATGGGTTTGTAAGATCTGAGCAACTTGTAGAGCTTGAAGATGTGCTAGAAGTTGAGTTACATCTTCCACAAGTTTTTGGACATTGTGTAGTCATCAATGAATAATAGGCAGAATTTGTGCAAAGATAGGCTTTGCTTGGACAATCTGAGACTCCTGTACTGGGATTGGTGAGATCTACGCAGCTAGAACTAGAACTTGAGCTAGAGCTAGAGCTCGTAGAATTGCTTGAAGAACATCTTCCACATGTTTTTGGGCATTGCACAGTCATCAAAGAATAATAGGCGGAATTTGAGCAAAGATAGGCCTTGCTTGGACAATCTGACACCCCAGTCGCGGAATTTGTCAAATCGCTACACCCAAATACCAAGGTGGATGACGAGATTGTGAGAAGCACAAAGATGAAGCTCATTTTTTGTTGATATTTTTATTGAACAATTAGTTAGTTTAAATAGTGGCTGGAAGTTGCATTGTTGTTGTAAATCCAAAAGCTGGACAAACAACAAAAAAAAAATGGTTTTTGTTGCGGATTTTTGTTTCAGGAATCTGAACCTTGAATGATTTATTTTTACAAATTAATTTTCAGATATTCAGAGAATCGAAAAATCCATAAGAATCCCAGTGGTATTCTCCCCATTAGTTCGATATAAAATTCGCAAAGATTTTCCTTGAGAAACTTGTCCAATTTTTGCCGGAACATTCTTCTCACTATAAACCCGATTCTCAACAACATTATCCGAGTTATCATAAGTTATAAATTGAAGAGTTGCTTTTCCAATCAGTCCTGAATCTATAATTCTAGTGGTATAGTTGAAAATTCCATTTCCATTTCCAGCAAAGAATTCTGTAACATCTTGATCGTATGAAACAGTTCCGAAGTTAGGTGAAGTCACAAATCCAACTCGATTTTTGGCAGAAGTTTGCCAAGATGTTGTAAGATTCTCATAAGATACTTCAAGAAGTCCGGTATTAGAATCCAATACAAAAGTCGTGATATAATTATTCAGTTTTTGAGGAAATCCAGAAGTTCTGAATTGATATGATTCCACGAGATTTGAAGTTTTGATTGCACCATAATAAACATCGAGGCTTGAAGTTGGAGCAATATGAACAGCTTTTAGAAATGATGTTGAATTTGAGATCAAGGAAATTGCTGATGTATTATAGGAGGCATCCAGATTCAAATAGCAACTAGAAGAAGTTGAAGTTGGGGTACAGATTTCCAAGCGATAATTTGCAAATTGCTTGACGTCTGGAAATATTTTCAGATTTTCAAAAATCGCTTCAGACTCACTTGAATACTCTTGAACCAATATCGAATTTCCAACTACAACTTCAGGCATCAAATTAACAACAATCAAGGTTTTTCCAGACGAGACCAGTTGTTTTCCAGAATCTAGAACCTGGAATAGATTTGCCAAAAATGTGGAATTCGCGGTGGGACCATCGAAAACCACAAAACATCGAGTGAAATAGTAGAAATCATAGGAAGCAGTTCTTGAAGCGATGAGGGAAACTTGAGAAGGAGCTGTGATTCTGGAGGATGTGGGATTTGTGATAACTTCAGGGTCCGATGTGGAGAGTGAGTAATTGACTGGGTTGAATTCTGGCACTGAAAGGGAAAAATTTTATGTTTTGAGTTATGACGTGGCAGAACTCGAAGTATATAATTTTCCAACTCACTTTTGACATACTTGACCTCAAATCCTAATTTCCCCACAACCAACGAGGCAGCTTGAAGTACAATACTGAACTTGGGGGCCACGAAAAAATAAGGAGCATTTTCAACATATCCCGAAACCTTATCGATTTTTCCATTCGAATAAGTCAATTGTAGATTTGAAGGTGAAGGAGTATCAGCGGAAAGTGATAAAAATACAAAAAATCCCCGCGGAATCTCAATATTCCATCGACAATTTTGATTCAATTGATAAATTGGAGCTGTCTGATTAACATTCCAGAAACTTGGATAATTTATAATTGAGTTCAAGTTGGCTGGAGCACTGATTTCATTGATCCCATTGCAATCTTAATTAGGTTTTTTTTTAAATTTTTTAGACCTCAGACTTACCATAAGGTTCATTAGCTAGAACTTGTGCAATCAGGAAAATTGAAAAAATCAAAAGGAAGTTCATTATTTGATATTTTATCAGTTAGTGTTTGCTCTTTTATACTTTTTTTCATGGAAAAATGTTTTTTTCGGGTCCACGACATGACGTAGGTTGACGCACTTATGACTCAAAATAATTTGATTGGAAGGTAGTTTTGTAGATCAAAAATCTAGAAGGCTGGAAGCCTGATCCTGAAGCTGAGTCTAGATCTAGGCTGGGCCTAGATAAGCCTGGAACTAGGCCTGTGATTTATCCGAAAAATCTGAATTAAAAAATCCTTTCTTTTGAGCGAAGTTCATTTTGTGAAAAATTGATAAGCAGCAAATTTATCTTTGAAAAATAAATATGACGAATTATTTTTATTTTAAATTTTCATTTACAATTTTTTTAATTAACTTTATTCCCCCCAAAAAATCAATCAATCAATCACAAATCGGTCCCCAAAAATTGAATTTGCGATCTTCCAAATTCAGCACTTCATTTTCCAGCAGTTTATTCGTCTCACTGGTTTTATAATAAAATCGGCTTCTCTGATAACACCCGGGTTTTTGTGTGCAATTATGACTAATTTCTATAAATGGATCCAATTCGCCGATTTCATCTTCATTTCCAGAAACTTCAAATTCACCTTTGGAATTTGAAATTGTAAAATCGAGAGAGTCATCGATGACTGGATATTTTTTTGGATTAGGCCTGGATATAACCTCAATCTAGCCAACCTGTATCAAATTCATGAAGCTTGAGTTCTATTTCGACTGGCTTTTTTTCGCATAAAACTTTCCCCCTGATGGTTATACCGAAAAGTTCAGCTGAACTCTGTGAGATCAGCACACAAATCAAAATCAGACCTGGAATTAGAATCTTCATTTTAAATTTGCTCGCAGTTTCAGATGGAGATAGATTTATACTGTTGGAATTTTTGTGACGGCTGGGATTTAGGCGTGGGAATTTGAGGTTGAAGTTCAGAAAAACATATCGAGGTTGCAAAAACGACACTTCACGATTACACCACACAAAAATGATGATTTATGATGTCTAGACTTTCCAATCCACCTTTTTCCATTCTATATTCGAAATTTCTTATCGAAAAAACATGTATCTACATCTTTTGGTTCTCCCAATTCTGATCAACGCCAACATAATCAGCGATGTCGAGAATATCACCCAAGAAATCGGCCACATCTTTGTGAAGTCTATGAACACAGCGAGTGAAGCTGCAGATGCTGTAGATGATGTTCAAGCCATTCCTCAAGTCTTCAGACATGTTCTAGACATTATTAAGGAGATCAAAAATGCCATAATCTATGAATCCGAAGTGCGAACGATAGCTGGAAATCTAACATCAGCCTTCAAAAATGTTACAAGTGTAGAAGATCTATCCAAGATTTTCAGCGATAAAATTGGGCTTCAACATTGCGACGGAACTACCAAACAACTTGCTCATTCAGATATTTTTGAGAAACATCAGGAGCTAGATGAAAGATTGAATTTGAACGTGGCGGAATTAAATGTGACCGAAGAATCGAAAAGCTTTAATTGTTTGCTGGTTGCGATGGGAGATTTTGAGGGAAGCGTTGGAGTTCGTGGAAGTCTTCAGGATGATGGAAGTTGGAAGATTGATTTGATAAGGCAAAATTGTTAGGGGTTGAATGAAATCTTCACCCAAAAATCTTCATTTACCCTTTCTTTTGAAAATAAAAAAAAACGAGACTCCGCTTTCAGAGCTTTGAAGTTCTATAATAGATCTCTCTTGGTTCCTCAATCCTCCTTAAAAACTCAAAAATCTGCTCTGTATATTGCTTGGGATATTTCCGGAAATGCTCAACATGCTGTGAATCTTTGAATCTTGAACTTATCACATCTCGATTTCCAGATTTTTCGAGAGCAGTTTCGAATTCATGGATAATTCTACATAAAAGCCAAAGGCAATTATTTAAACAAAAAAAAACAAATACAGAACCTACTCAGCATCACAAATCGAATCAGCATCCGAATAAATGAATGACAAGACTTTGGGAAGATTTGGATGATTTTGGAGATAAAAATATGCCGAGACTTTTTCCGGGGGAATTAGACCGGATTTGATTAGAAGCATGTCTTGATAAATTGTGTAGGCATTTTTGACAATTGCAAAATATTTGGAAACCTCGTAGAAAAAATTGATGATGAAGTTAGTGTTGATTTTCTAGAAGAAAAATGTTTTGCTGGAAAAAAAAATGAAATTTTCAAATTCCAAACTTTGCTATCATAAAAATGTTGCATAACAGTCGCATAAGCCCGAATGATCTTCCAATCCGCATTAATATTATGAATCGGGCCGCTATCGAAAAATATCCCCTGAGATCTTTCCATAATCTTCAAATCGGGATATTGCAAGCACAATGAGCAAAAAGTTAGCACTCCATTCATTGAAAATAGGTGAAAAATTAATTTCAGGTCAGGAAGTTCGCTCAAAATTTTGGAGAGCTCCGTGACGTCTCTGGAATTCTTCGTTCCCCATCCAGCATAATAAACTGGAGCCGTGTATTGGATTGTCTTGTATCTGAGAAAAAAAGTTGCTTATGACTTGGCGAAAGCCTCTAACCTACCCCTTATCCTCATAGATCTTCGCAAACTTCCCGATATTCTTCTCCGACGCTCCAGCCCAGCCCAAAAGCGTGACAACTTTTCCAGACACCATGACAAAATGAAACCACACACATTTTTTTTACAGTGTTTTATTGGGGCAGCTTAAAAGTTTTTTTTTCAGTCAAGCTGAAAAAAATTGTAGACAGACAACGGCGTAGTATCAGACGATTAATTGTACGATTTTTTGATATCGCTGAAAATGTTCTGATACACAGAAATAGTGTGACTGAAAAACTAGGACTAAAACTTGATAGCAAGTTTTGTTTTTGAAAAAAAAGTTTTTATCAACTTGTCCTTGTATTTTTGAACAAACACATTTTATTGATTGAAAATTATTCCATGGATTTTGGGCCTAGGCTTCCGATCTAATTTGTTATTTAATCCAGAAACAAAAAAAACTATCAAAAAAGTGCACAAAAACTCCAGTATTTGCACAGCCTTCCAAATGTGATCAAATATGACTGGGATTTACAACAATGGAACTTTTCGCGCTATAAAAGCAAACATTTTTGCTCTGTTCTCATCATTCAAAAAAAAATGAGCCTAATCTTTGTTCTCTCTTCGATCTTTCTGATGTCTAGTCGAGTTTTGGGATGTGTAGATCTCACCAATCCCAGCACTGGAGTCTCGGATTGCCCCAGCAAAGCATATCTTTGCACAAATTCTGCCTATTATTCATTGATGACTACACAATGTCCAAAAACTTGTGGAAGATGTAACTCAACTTCTAGCACATCTTCAAGCTCTACGAGTTGCTCAGATCTTACAAATCCCTACACCGGAACTTCAGATTGTCCAAGCAAGGCTTATCTTTGCAATAACTCCCTTTACTACACTTTGATGACTACACAATGCCCAAAAACTTGTGGAAGATGTTCAACAAGTTCATCTTCAACATCAGCCACATCAACAACATCAGCTGGAACTTGTGCAGATTTGACAAATCCATCAACTGGAACTTCAGATTGTCCAAATCGTGTTGCTTATTGTACCAATTCAGCATATTTGGCTTTGATGAAAGTTCAATGCCGAAAAACTTGCGGATTTTGTTCGTAGAATTTGGGAAGGTTTATTTATGGCATTTTTTCAATAAAGTTTTTCTAACATAAAAATGTGGAGTTTTTTCTTGTTATCTCACAGTTCAGCACAGTCTAGACTCATAGACCCTGAGAACCCTCCAATCATCACAAAAACTGAGTCGACATCGATTTGTTTTCAAAGCAAAATGTCAAAACTTCACATCCTTCTCTTGCTCTGCCACGTGGCAGCCGTCTACACTCAAACTATATTCACTGATGCAGATTTGGACAGAATTATTAAAGGATCCGGAATGTGAAAATAAATCAATTTTTTTTTGGTTTTGTAAAATAAATAAATATTCGAATTCAAGTTTTATGTTGATCTGACCTTCCAGTAAAGAAAACAACGATGCTCCGTGATTCCGTTAGAACAGTGTATTTCTGATTTTTTTGTGTTATCCATTATAATATTATAAAATTTGAGATCATTAGAAGAGTCGAAGCGGAGCTACGTAGTTCCTGGATTTTTTTTTACTAAAACAACGATGCTCCGCGATTCCGTTGGATCATAAAATTCGATTGATGTGTTGTAGCACAGATTTTCAAAATTTCCAGATTTTTTCTAGAGGTTATACAGTAATCCTTGCATTTTGCCATGTCATAGATCAATTTCAGAATACCAAAAAGATTTATTAATTTTTCTAAACATTGTCTAGACCTTGGGAACTCTTCAAATCCTCATAATAAAAACAATCTCCAATTTTAGAACCCCTAAAAATGTCTGAACTCTTGATTTTTCTCCTCCCAGCCCTCCTCATTTTCCACGTGGCAGCCAACAATTACACCCAAGAAGCGGCTGAAAATCTCTATTTGAAACTTCGAGCCGCAAACACCACTGATGATTTTCGTCAAATTTATCGCGATCCTCAAATTTCTGTACATTGTGAGGTGAGAATGAGACATCTCACAGGCGAAGATTTTGAAAATTTTTTGTACAAGCAATATGCTGAGAAAGAAAGAATGGCTGGTTTGGGATTTGTTGAAACTGGATATAGAATTTACAAATTTAAACGAACAGTGAATGAGAATGGATTTGTGTTTAGAGTCGCAGTTGATTACTTCAGACCATTGAATAATGGAACATTGACAATTGAAAAATCATATATTGCATCGAAAAAGGAGGATGGGTTGAAAATTCGAATGTCTTCTTCGGTTTGTGAAAATGGGCTTTGAATGAACTTTTTTTTAAGTTTGAATTTTCCAAAATTTCCAATTTTGAGCATTGCTCATGTTACAGCGAAATTGCTGATGTTAAATTTTTTAGCTCGTTGTCTGATTGAAACAACTGAATTGTCATTGCGAAGTGTCGTAGAATTTCGATTTAGAAATTTATCCTCCAACACTCCGTGTTGACGCTCAGCAACTTTGAAATGTTCAAAAAATCAAACCATCCCAGTCTAGACTCTAGACCCTGAGAACTTTCCAAGCAGTACAAAAATCAAGGCCAGATTCATTTCCCCCCCCCCAAAAAAAATGTCCACACTCATTCTCCTCCTCCCAGCTCTCTTCATCTGCCACGTGGCAGCCATCTACACCCAACAATCGGCTGAGGAAATATATCAGAAATTACGAGAAGCCAAAACCGCCGATGATTTTCGCAAGATTTTTCGAGATCCCTTTAACCATGTATACTGTAACAGACCAGCTATTACTGTATCCGGCGAAGGTTTTGAGAAGTTTTTGAAAGATCGTGAAGTTATTAAAGCGAAATACGATGCGGATGGATATATCACAACTGGATGGAAAATTGAAGAGTTTCAATTGAAAGGCGGTGATGGATTTGATTTTCTGATCAGACTTGACTATACAAAAGGTGAAGAAAGGGTCGTGTTGAAAACAGGATATCAGGTTTCGAAAAAGGATGATGGCTTGAAAATTGATTCAAGTGGTTCGATTTGTGATTAAAAAACAAGTTGGGGTTTTCGGAATGAAAATAAATTGAATTCAAACATTTTTGGCTTTTCTGGAACTTTTAGGATGAAAACGATTCGTCATTGTAGAGTGTCGTAAAAATTATAGGGTTTTTATAGGGTAGTTCATACTCTTTTTTCAAAAAACATCAAAAATTATCACTCCTCCATTTGTTGCGGCAAATCTTCTTCAAGTAGCGCAAAAATGCGCGGTTCACATTTCTCCGATTCAAAAACCCATCTCCCACGCAACTTGATCTGCGTAAACTCGCACAAAAAATTTGCCCCGTAAGGATTCACCAATTTGACATCAAATTGCTTCTTCCCATCAATATTCAATCCATAGTTCGAAAATGTTGCGAACAAATTCAGGTGTTTCAAAGTTCCAAAATATATTTCAAGATGTTTTCTCCTCGGATTTCTGTGTCCTGAGATCGTAAAAATCGGCGATAAAACTTCTTGCATATATCTTGGATTCTCAATCGATTTGAATCGCTCGTAGTCTTCTCTAGCACTCTCGATTTCCTGATTTAAATCCGGTCTCAAATATCGTTTCTCATCTGATGCCAATTTTCTTTCCGCGTATTCCTGAGCAATCTTCCAGGTTTGCAAAATCGGATCAAAATAGGCGTTGTAAATATAAACATCGGTATTTGGAGTGATCACTTGAACCTTAGGTTTCAAAAGTTTATCCATTTCAGATTTCAATTTTCGATGAACATCAACTTTTTTCGACTTGGGGAATTTTTTCTCTCTCCCTTTTTCACTTCGAAACACCGTGTATCTTATGTATTGTTTCTCAACATAAATGTTCACCTTGATTTGAGTTATCCTAAATTGCCTTTTTCCACATTTGAGCATGCATAATCAAAGTTCGACGATTGAAAGAATCCTCGGAGAGAATAGAAACAGGAAAATACCTGAAACTTCCGTCAACGCTGAAATTGTCCGAAACCACTTGCGAGTCTTGAATTGTTGACATTCTGTCAAATCGAAGTGCGAGATTTTGAGCAATATCGTATTTTTCATCAGTGTGGATGCAAATAAATAGATTCAGGTGGAACAATAATAACAAACACTTCATGGTGTTCATGAAATATCTGGGTATTTTTTTGAATTCATGTTGGCTTTTCTGGTGGTTCCCATAGACTAGACATCGTTAGTTGCAGTTTGGAGCAAAGTACGATTTTTTGAGCACAGTTCGATTTATGAGAAAATTCTAAATTTAAAACTTTTTGAATTCTATGTTCTTATTGTTAGTGGGACCAGAATCTAGAGAGTGCAGACAGCTAGACATCAGCTAGAGAGCAGAGATGATCTAGAGAGTGTAGACAGCTAGAGAACACAAATCCAGAAAGCTAGCTAAAATTTTCCCATGAGTCTAGACATTGTTAACCTCGCTTCAAAAAAGAACCAGCTTATTCTTCATTCCGAAATGACAAAACTATTTCTCCTAGTACTTTTAACAATATTTTGCCACGTGGCATCTAAACAAATTCCAAAATACGATCTAAACTCCGCTGTAAACTTATACACCCTTATTTCCAAAGCCAGATCTAATGTCGAACTTCGTAAAGTGTTTCGTGAACCGTTTACCACAATGGACTGTAACGGGAGAGTTTGGATTAAATCAGGATCTGAATTTGAAAGATTTTTTGAAATCTATGGTTGATGACCACCGTCAGAATCCTAGATTTGAAATTGAGGGATTTGAGTTAATCAAAAATGGTTTCTCGTTCATTGTTCGGAGATTCTTGGAGATAAACGGAAGAAAAATGAGCACAACATCGAAATTCTATGCAAAGCAGAGAAACAATGATGGGTTGAAAATTGAGGAAGGAGTTTGTGAAACCCTATTATGATTGATTTTGTATGTTGAGAATATAAAAATTTTGGGCTCGATTTAGACAAGCAGACATAGGGGAGAGTACAGACGATTAGACACTGTCTAGAGAGCATAGAGTATCTAGAAGAGCAGAGAAAATATTATTTAGAAAATTAGCTGAAATTTTCCCGGCTTAAATTTGGTCTAGACTTCCGTAAACTTCTCTTTCAATACTTCGGTTAGAGAACATAGAGTAACCAGAGAGTTCAGACAGCCAGGTTCAAAGAGCTAGTCAGTCAGATCTCTACACAGTGACTAGAGATCAAATAAAAATCAAAGTTTATTCAAGAAGATTAAAATTGCCCCGTGGATTTATCACAAATCATAATTCCCTTCCAAATTTTCAATGTATCATTTTCCATCGCCGCAAAATATGTGGCCTTATCAAATGTCAAGGTCCCACTCTCCTCTTCGATTATTTTCGCAATTCTGAATTCGAATCCATTATTGTCAATCGAATTGAATTCCTCAATTTTAAGTCCACGTTCCGGACGTTTTCCAAGAATTATTGCATTCAGAGTGTTTTCAAATTCGGGTCCATTTAACGTTGTGCTGTTTCCAGAGCAATCTACAGAAATCAAAGGCTCACGAAGAACTTGGCGGAGGTCGTGAGTTGAGCGGGCTTTAGATAGCAGTTTGTAAAGTTTGTGAGCGTCTTTGTCGGTGAAATGAGTGAATGCCACGTAGCACAAAATAGCGAGAAGGGTGAGGGAAAAAAGTTTTGACATTTTTTGTTGGAAAATCGAATGGAACATGGGATTTTAAAGGGGTTCAAAGTTCCCAAAGTCTAGACTTTTTGCATAGAATTCGAAAATCCATTGAACTTTTGGATATACTTATTTGCAGAAATTATACAGGGTGACTCATAATTATTGTCGCGTGAGTTGAATTCGTTCACCCGAGTTCTACATTTTCAAAACTAGAATCACTGTGGAGATGCCAGACAGCTAGAGATTGTCTAGACAAAACAAAGAAATAGGCTAGAGAAAGATCATGTAAATACGAGAGAGTGCATACAGCTAGATATTTGCGCATAGAGATCACAGAGTATCTAGAGAGCGAGACATCAGCTAGTGATCACAGGGTGATAGCAGTATAGAAATCTCTAAACACTTCTGTATATGTCATCTCTCACGACTTGATCATTGTCTAGACCTTGTGAATATTTTTATTTTTTAAAATTCAGCATTCTCAACCAATTTCATTTGAAAATGTCAACAATCCTTTCTCTCCTTCTTCTTCTTCTAACAATATTTTGCCACACGGCATCCGATCAATCCCGTCGAAAATACGATCAAAATACCGCTAGGAAATTATACGAAACAATTTTGAATGCCAATGATACTTCTGAACTTCGTCAGATTATGCGAGAACCTTTCACCACCGTAGATTGTCACGGTGCAAATGAAACTCACGAGGGAGAAGACTACGATAACCTTTTGACAGGTTTGATTGATGAACATTTTGAAAAGGGTCTGAGCCGTAAATTTACACTTGTTTACTCCAAATTGATCGATCAGGGAATCGAATTTATGGTCTGGAGATCGCTGAAAAACGACGAGGATAGTATACTCATAGGGTTCAAATTCATAGCTTTGGAGAAAAGTGATGGGCTGAAAATTGAGAATAGCACTATGACGTGTAATGTATTTGAAGTTGAATATTAACATTGAATGTTATACATTCATTTTGTGAAATTCTTTATTCAAAAACATTATGTTGATAAATCCTCTGAATCAGCTGTGGAATTATCACAATTCATAATTCCCTTCCAAATTTTCAGTTCATCATTTTCCATCGCCGCAAAATATTTGGCCCTATGGAATGTCGAGTCCCCACTCTCCTCTTCGATTGTTTTCGAAACTGTGAATTCGAACCCATTATTGTCAATCGAATTGAAGTCCTCAAGTTTAAGTTCACGTTCCGGACGTTTTCCAACAATTGATGAATTCAGCGCGTTTTCAAATTTGGTTCCATTTAGCGTTGTGATGTTTCCAAAGCAATCTACAGCAATCAAAGGGTCACGAATCAGTTTGCGGAGGTCGTCAGTAGTGTTGGCTTCAGATAGCAGTTTGTAAAGTTTGTGAGCGGCTTTGGTGGTGAAATGAGTGAATGCCACGTGGCACAAAACAGCGAGAAGGGTGAGAGAAAGAAGTTTTAACATTGTTTTTTGTTGGAAAATCGAATGGAACATGGGATTTTAAAGGGGTTCGAAGTTCCCAAAGTCTAGACTTCTTGCATAGAGTTCGAAAATCCATTGAACTTTTGGTTTTACCTTATTTGCAGGTATTATAGAACGAGAAGTACTGTTGAGATGTGAGAGAGTGCAGACATGCTAGAGATCACAGAGTATCTAGAGAGAGAGAGAGATAGAAAGACATCAGCTATACACAAAAGAGAAAGGAGGGAGTACAGACAGCTAGACATTTGCTAGAGAGCACAGACAACCAGAGTAAGAGACGCAGCCAACTGTAATTAAGTTAAAAATTCTGAATAGCATAATACACGGAGAGAATTACGCTAGAGATCACAGAAATTCGAGAGAGCGCAGACATTCCCAGACACATAAAAACCATCTCCACCAATTCGAAGCAAATCAGAAACTTCAAAATGTGTCTGATCATTCTCATTTTCCTTGAGTTCACCCAAATCCTTTGCCAATATCCCTATCAAATCGCAAATAGCCTGATCTTCAAGCGATATTTATCAATCAGTGATGAATTCGAATTGAATCGATGGATCTCTTCAATGTTCTACTTCCGAGATTGCGTGGGAAATGAGTACGATTTGCGAGCCACTGATTTTATCGATGAGAGAATCGCGCAGAGAAGAGCTTTTGAGAAAAATCCCAAGTTGTTGAATGTTCTTAATGCAAGTTTTGTTGGGGAGGATGTGACGAGTCTGAACTTTATTCTTGAAGATCATAGTTCTACTAGGAAGATCTCTGAATTCCACGCGAGATTTTCTAAATACGATGTTCTGAAGAAGGAAGCTTATTCGCCCGAACAAGGTTGGAGAATTGATTACGAACATGAGCAATGTTGACACTTTGCCACGTCATAGCTCAATTTTTATTAATTGAAATTAATTACAATAACAAACTTCACTTTGCCACATAAACATCCAACCATCTTGCTCATTAATCATATTTTCCGGTGGCATTTGTTTTCGTTGCTCAGCATAGACTTCGAAATATTTTGGAAAATCTTTTTTATTTTGAACTTTGAAGTGTAATTTGCCATCATGATCCGCGTCAAATTTCGCATCAAAAACTCGAAAAAAGCTGCGATCTGATTTATTTTCCACGAAAATTCGGTTCAATTTCTTGGAATTTTCGATGATTTCAGTCTTGCTCATTCTATGCTCACCTGAGCAATTTTTGTGCTGAAATTCTGGGTGAAAATATTGATTGACATGATCTTCCTCTCGAATATTCAAATAAACTTTGAAAATCAGAGAATTTGCAACTTCTATTGGCTCAAAGCAAAAAATCAGGCCTGGGAGAAGAATCAGAAAAATTAACATTTTTGGGGAGAAACTTTGGGAAACTTTCGATTTTTATGGGAGAATTTTATGTGTCTGGAATTTTTCAAACTGGGAAAATATCGAAGAGAATACACGTCGAGTTAGACTAACTGCAAGAAATTCAAAGAGCCACCCGGAAAATCAGAAATTCCACGTCATAACTCGAAATTTTTATCAATTAATTACAAAAACATATCTGATGTTGCCACATGAACATCCATCCATCTTCCGCACTAAAAATCTGACTGAAATTCGGAACCTCGATAAAAATCGCATAGAATTCCGAAACACTGCGCCATCCCAAAAACTTATTTTCAAGTGTGAATTTCAATTTTGTATTTTGATCATTTTCAAATCTCGCATCAGAAATTGGCAAAAATCCGCGATTCGAATCACTTTCCAAAAAATCGCGTTTCAGATTTTCAGAATTTTCAATAATTTCAGCCCTACTCATATTATAAACACCTGAGCAATTTTGGTGATGAAATTCTGGATGAAACCATTTTTCTACATGACTTTCCTCTCGGATTCAAATATACGTTGAAAATTAGAGCATTTGCGATTTCAATTGGGTCAAAGCAGAAAATTAGACTTGGAAAGAGAAAAGCGAGAATAATTGACATTTTTCGAAATTTTCTGAGGAGAATTCGGATTTTTAGGAGAATTTATGTGTCTGGAATTTTTTCGGTGAGCAAAAATCAATTGATTTTTGAAAATCAGACTTTAGAATCCACGTCATAACTTTCAGTGAGAATTACTCGGGAAAACATTCGCAACGTTGGCGCTAATTCGCGACTCGATTTTTCGTTGGCGCAGAAGTGCGACCGTTTTGAGCGAATGTGCGACACTTTTTTGGTCGCAGTCGTCGGCGCAGATCTGCTTAAAAGTGTCGCTAACGATTTCAAAATCTGCGACACGCTCTCTCGAAAACTCGAAATTTGAGAAAACGGTCGCAACTCATTAGCAGATTCGCGACCGCGGCCGCAAAATTAGCTCACTCGTTGCGACACGTTGTCGCAGATTCGCTGAAAATGGCTGCAGATTCGCGCCAACATGTCGCGAATTCAGCGAATCTCCGCCCGAGTAGGCGCTAAACGCATTGCTCATGTTAGACTAAGACGATTTTCAAATATCAGTATTTGAATCTCAATTCGTCCTACCGAAAATGCCACGTCATCTAATTAATTGCTCATGCTAAGCTCAAAAACCCTCAAAAAAACTTTATTGACAAATCACACCCTCGTGAAAAATTTTCAATTTTCCGTCAATTTTTTTCGCCTGAAACTGGCTGAAATATGTATTATTAGGCTCATAATTCAAAGTCCACTGCAAAATTTCGTCGGAAATCCACGTGGCACCTTGAACGTAATGCTCATTCATCTCGACACCCGTCTCGGTCATATTTTCGATTACCGATTTCAAATCATCAAAAGTTATCGATGTATTTTTGACGCCCGCACCAAATTCCGAGCATTTTTGAGAAAGGAAACCATTGACAGGGAAGTGCAAGATACTCTTTAGAAGTTCGTAATTTTTCTGATTTATCGCGTTGAAATAATTGCTAGCCAAAAGCCAAGCCGAATGTTGAGCATTTTCCGGATTTTCTCCGTGAGCTACAGCCAGGAAAATTAGACAAATCAGGAATTTTGACATGTTCGATTTTTTGTGAAGTTGGAATTTTGGGAGGGTTTTTTATTGAGATGAGTTTTATAGTGACTAGACATTTTGAAATGTGAGATTTCGGGCCCAAGAAATCGAAAATTTTGAAAATAATTTGATATTGATGACGTGGCATTACAGAAATTGCGTCAGCAACTATCTGAAATTTTGCTGGAATTTTACAAGCTACAAAAAACACGTCAACATCAGGTTAGATATTTTCTGACGTATTTGAAGGTACCGAAAATGCGTCAGCATAAATTCGAGTTTTTCAGGTAGGAAAAATTGTCTTCGAAATTTTGCTAACACATTTCCAGCTACATAAAAAGCGTCAGCTCAATACTAAATAAGTGCTGACGAACTTCCAGATACCGAAAATGCGTCAGCAGTTTCCACGTGTTTTTTTTTTCATTCAAAATCTCACGTTTAAATTTGTCTAGACACAGAAACCCCCAAAAAATTCTCTTTTTTTTCATTTTTGAAAATAAAATGATTAAACTTCAACTTTTCTCATTGTTTCTATTGATTTTAGCTCAAAATTCGCTGACCAAAAAATCGAAAAATGCTGCTCCTCGAAAATTGGCAATTTCTTTGGCTCACGATTATTTTCAAGCAATTCAAACATTAAAAATCAAACAGCTCGAAAAAATCGTCGAATTTCCAATTCGCTATTATTTTGGTGAAAAATGTGCGCGAACTTATCCGAAAATTGTCGGAAATTGGACGCTGAGTTCGGAAAATATCCAGAAGAATTTGGATCGAATGAAAAAAATGAATGGGCTCGAATTTAGACCCAAGATGGTTGTAAATGCTAAATGGATTGAAGAAAATGGAAACAGAATATTGCAATGGGAATCGGCTAAACAAGAGATGCATAAAGATCAGGAAAATATTATGGTTTCACAATTTCACGCCAAAAAGTTTCATGGAAAAATGAAAATTTTCGAATTTGGAAGTGTTTGTTGAGTTTTTGACTTTGAATAAAATATTGAACTTTTGTAAATTTGCTTCAAAATGATAACCTAAGCTGACACATATTTGGTATCTGGAAATGCGTCAGCAGGCTTCTACTGACACATGTTCAGTAGCGAGAAAAGTCTAAACCAAAAAAAGGATCTGACAGAATCTTAAAGCAACACCCTCGTATAACAGGCACTTTCTTGAAAAAAGCCCAATTGTTCCCATATCTTAGATTTAGCTTAGTTTTACTGTTTTCTAGTTCGGAGAAAAAATTCAAAACGTTTCAATAAGTAGTCGCCGAAATATGGAAGCCCATTGAAAAACTGAAAAAACTCAAATTCAAACAACGCGGGCTAGCGTCAACGCGGAGTCTCGTTGTTTTCTTTTTATTTTTTTTGCAAATTTTTTTCCGTTTTTTCGGAAAATGACAATTTGCATGGAAAAAACAGTTTTCTGGGTATGAAAAAAATAAACTGAAGAGGTATGAGCACTAAGATTCAATATTTCAGACGAAAACTGTTTTTTTTCAAGGGAAGTTGTGTTTTTTTAGTTTTTGGCCGGAAAATGCAACATAAAACTGAAATATCATTGTCAAAATGAAAGTAGAGATAGTTAATGATGTTCAGAAAACATTCTAATAATTTATTTCATTGTTTTCAGTGAAACAATTCACTTTTTGTTGAAAAAAAGTTGAAAGGGGTACTGTAGCACACAATTGTCGTCACAGTGTTTGCACAATTTCATGAAATTGCGGATCTGCACAATCTGCAGGCGATTTTCAAAAAAAAATAATTTTTTTCTCAAAAGTGGTCAAATTTGATCGTTTTTGAGTATTTCTTTCATATTGCTTGTGAGCATAGCTGAATAGGTTAATTTTATATATTTTGGTGTTTGAATGCATTCCGCAATGGCCTTATTATACGAGGGTGTTGCTTTAATCAATCACAAATCCAAGTTTTAACAATAACCCAATTATAAAAAATCAAATTCAATCTCATATGACTTCGATACGCCGCCTCAAAAAACGCCTCTCTATCCCTAACCAAAACTTCAAAATGCACCACAGTTTCCCCAATTTTTCTAGCCGAAATCAAGTTATCAGAAAACCTTGGTCGAAATTTGCTCCACATCTCATAAAAATTGTCGTGACTTATGGATATCGATTGATTTTTGTGGCAATAATCGATGATGAACGGATCGCCCACATTTTCGTAGACATATTTGAAGTCGCGCATCGTTTCGAGACCCGCTTTTAGATTTGAGGTGATTTTTTGGCGATTTGCCAAGATTCTTCATCGCGAAAAGGTTGAGATTTTATAGAGTTGAGAAAAATTAGGAAAGGAATCACGAGAAACATTATCTTTTTGATAGAAAAAGGATTTTTTGACGTTTTTTGATTGAAAATCGGTCTAGACTATGAGAAAATTCGGAAAAATGATGAATCGTCGTTTCGGAGTCACTGCGAATTCCCGATTTTCATATCTAGATCATTTTTATGGATAAAAATGATAAATCGTACGATACCTTATCCCAAGCCTGAAGAAAGAACGGAAAAAAAGAGTGTGTGTCAACACCGACTGCCCGCAAACACCAAATCCTACACGCAATCTCGACGCCAAATGTATTTATCTCGTTCATTTTTTTTCTGTCAGCAAAAAAAAACAAGAGAGAGAAAATAATATATTTTCGCGTGAACGTGAAATTTTCGTGGCAAATGTCATTTCAACGATGATTTTTCAGTTATTTCTAATTTTCGGCGAGCAACAAGACGACAGCAAATAAAGATGAGTTTTTCCCTGGGGTGCTCGAATTCCTAACCTACCGAACAATTCCACGTGTCTCTCCTGGAGTAAAGTACAGCTCAACTTAGCCGAACTCTGGATAGTGAAGCTTCTAAAGTTGAGCATTAGCCATTGCAATTGTCAGGAACCTCGACATGAGTTACCTTAACTTGTTTTGGGTTATACTCTCGACTTTGTCGACTTGATTTGGTTGGAAAAACCGTGAAGGGAGATATCGAGGTTCGCTTTTCAAGAGTTTTTTTTTTTGAAAAGAAAACGTGAATTATTCGAGGAGGAGGGCAATTTCAACTATTAGCAGGGAAAATACGATATTTCCAAGAAAAATCATAATTTTTTAGAAACAAACTCGAAAACCATGGAAAACCTGCCAGCACAAAACTACAGAAAACAAAGATTTTGAAATTTTCGGTGAGTTTTTCTAACCAAACAAGAAAATGAATGCGACAATCCAAATGTTTTGAAAAATCAGAAATGAGCAAAATAATTCACGTCAAATAATTTAAGCTCAAATCTAGGGCACAAAAGTAGGTCAAGCGGACAGATGAGCTTAAAAACCCGGCTGGTTCTGTTGAAATTCCAGATTTTCACAATTTTACCCTGAAACCTCCCAAAAACCTCACCATTTTCACACGATGTCCTACCAAAACCAGCAGAATTGTGCATTTTTCGATTCCACACTCAAATTCCACTCAATTTCACCCGATTTCAGCCTGAAAACTTGAAAATTTTTCCAGCAAAACCGAAAAAAAGAAAAATAAATAGAAATTGCATGAGAGCGCACTTGCAATATCAACCACGAGAGAGAGTGGGGGAGTGAGAGAGTGCGAGACAAGTAAGAAAATATAGTCTTTTTTTTTTGTTTTTCTGTTTTTTTGGGCGGGTTTCGCTTTTTTTGTCTCAACAATGAAAAATCATTCGTTGACGTGGATTTTTTAGCGTGAAATTTAAAAAAATACTTTTTTTTCAGATCTGCTCGAGAAATGCAACAGTATTGGGATCTTGGAGTCTTTGGAAATTGGATGTTTTGGTCGAATTCAAGTTAGTTTATTTTGGGAAGGGATTTTCATGAAATAAGCAAGGTAAGTATAATCTGAGGGATGTTTTTAAAATGTGTACATACAATGCGAGTTATAATATGAGCAATGCAGTTTATTTCTTTAATTTCTGAACATTTTTTTTGTTTTTTTTATAAATCTAATTTTTCATTCTAATTTTGGAGCCAAAAATCACGAGTTAGTTTGTTTATACATATTCCTATCAAAACTCAGCCCACTCAAAAAATCATCAAATAAATTGTCTGAAATTCGATCATTTTCAGTCGAAAATGAAAGTTCTCTTGATTTTTTCAATTATTTTTTCCTGTCATGTTTCCTATCAAGATTCAGTCGATTTTTCGCTAGGCGCCGTAAAATACGCACAAAATTCGTTTTCCTGGCTCAAAAGCTATCTGGAGAATTCTGAAAATGCTGAAAATTCCACCGAAATCCACGTGGCAAACCCGTTCATCATTGATTTGTGTCATTCGAATCAGAAAATCTATCTGCGCCCCGATAATTTCCATAGAATCTGGCGCAATATTCGCCCCAGATTTTCGGACAAAATTCTGGAGGCCAATTGGAGTGGCGAGGAGAATTTCGAGAAGTTGAATGTGACAGTGTATGTGAGGAAGGAGGATCGCGAGGCGTTTTTCGATTTGGAGTGGCGGAATTCGAGTTCGAGCTTCGTTTTTGTTAAGACTTATAAGTGTGATTGATAGGTTTTTGTGATAAAATTTGAGCTTTGGGTGATGTGATACGTTTTGATACCATATTTGAGTAATATGAAACGGCAAATTCTCAAAATTTATGTTGTCTAGACAGCTAGCCAATGAATATTTAATGACATTTTCCAACTTCATAACATCAAAAATGTGGATCACACTCCTGATTTTTTGTTGTCTCTCAGTTCCCGATGTCAATGGATTTGACGATTTCGCTGAATTGATTTATCTGAACTATTCTGCCGCAAAAGAGGCTAAAAGAATTGTTGACAAATTGATAGAAGTTTCCCGACTTCCTGAACCAATGAAAAATCCATTTCTGGAACACGTGAAATATTATCCTTGTGATAGTTTTAAAAATCTTATCGATTTGCTAAGCCACACTTCTTCGTCTCTAGTTAGTCAAGCCGCGTATGTTAACGGAAATCTGGAATTTATCATGCAATCTATCGAGTGCTATGTGCATTTCAAAACTGCTGGCGAGCCTGGCAATGAGCATGTCTCGTCTATAATTGGCCTAGATTACGAGACACCAAAAACTATCCCCAAGTTACATAGAGCAACAATCGATAGGATTTATCCGTTGCTCAAATATTCAGCTAAATATCGGGAGAATTTCCAAATGGAAACGTGTGACAATCGAACTTTAGGCCGGAGTGGATTTTTTCTAGAATTCATGGATTATGCAAGAGATATGAAAGTGATGGAAGCTTTCCAAGTTGATCGATCTTATGAGAGAACTGTTTTTCTGTTTTTTTCGAAATCTTTTAAAAGACACGGGTTTTTGGCAAAGGTCGAGATGACTGTTAAAGGATACTATCATCAATTTTTGCTTTCTCTGGATAGTGGTTATCATTTTGTTAATGGGAAACAGTGGTTGTGTGTTAAGCGGACATGAATAAATTGTTGGACTTGGGCTTTTTTCTTTGCTATTTTTTGATATCAAACGTAGTAGGATTTTGCCACGTCATAACTCAACGCTTGTTAAGCTCTTTATTTATGTAATGTTACTTCACGCAAATATTTATTAGTACCACTTTCGCTTGTTTCCGTCAATTTCTTGCATTATCACCAAATTCAAAATTGCTGAAATTAACAAAAAATTTAACATTGATTTTAAGTTAACTTAACTCACCCAGAAGCACAAAAATAGTAAAGATTCCAAGTGAATTTATATTTTTGTCATTGATTGATGTATGGGGTTTTTATAAATAAGCTGAAAGTTCCACATGATTTTTTTCCGCAAGTCTAGGAATCATAAAATGAAAATAGTTTCGATATTTTGATTTCTTCATTTTGAAACAAAAATGAAGCTTATTCTCATCCTTTTTTTGCTTCAATTGCTTAAAAAAATTGATACGAGAATCAATGAAAATGACGAGGAAGAGCTGCAAATAAGAGATTTGGAGAGAGAATTTGAAGAAGAGTTGCTTATGCAGCAAATTCGATTAGAAGATTTGGAATTGCCCCCTGATCCGAATTCGGAATCGAGTTTAGAACATGAAGCGGAAATGGAAGAGAGAATGTTACGATATTGGAAATGGTTTGGAGGTGGTATTGTTCATTATCAAAATGTGGCTCGAAGTACGATAGCGTCAAATGGAATTTGGTTAAGTGGAACAACAGAAAGGCTGAAGGCAGCGAATATGAACAAATTGGTTTTTGATAGAGATTTGATGATAGAAGCTCGTCAGATAGTTCGACAAAATCCAAGTTTCCCAACTTTAGAACATCGTAGACAAGGTGTTGTTTTCTTCCGAACTGTTCATCTTTACACAAATGATGAATTGCTCATTCAAGATGTATGGCAAAAAAATTTTGATAAGATTCTCGAGATAGTCAGTAATTGGTCTCCTGAATTTTATACACTTGAAATGTTTAGCGCAGCTGCTGACGCATTTCAAATGATGTTGGCGACTGCCACCAAAGTTGGATGCTATGGTAAACTTTATGATGGGACTCAAGCTGAGGCTGAGGATTTGACTTTTGTTGTTTGTAAATATGATCAGGCGGCGAGAGTGAGTCGACAGATTTTTAAACTTGGCCCGGCTTGTTCAAGATGTCCGAGTGGATTTTCCTGTAATGATACGTTAGGACTTTGTGATCGTCGTGAATAAATGATTTTTAATTGGCAATATTTTGAATTTAGAAAAAAATCTGGCACAAGAATATTTTTAGAAAAATACTGATTTTTTATTCTGATTATTTTCTATTTATTACGGATAAGTTGCTCTTCAACACAATAAACTTTTAAAATATCCGATCCTTTTTCAGCTTTCGCTTTGATAGTCATGTTTCTCTTTCTCTTTCCAATAATATTATACTTAACCACTAATTGATTCTTGTCCCAAACATAATCTTTAATTTCAATCTGCCCGATTTGCCGATCAGTTTCAGCCAACCTTCTTGTGAATTTCGCTACATCTGTTACATAACCATCTCTTTGAAATGTCAGATTTCTACTCTCGTAAATGAATGTTATTTGATCTGCCATTGCTTTTTGGCAATTTTCAGAAGTTGGATCGGAGTAGGCTGTCTCGAAGTCGAACGCGATTTTTTCGGCTTTGGTTTTGTAGAATTGTTCTCGTTGAATCGTGAGCCAATCATTTTGAGCGGTTAGATTTTTTGTTAGAATTTTGGATTGTTGAATTACCTTGAGAGATGATTTGAGGGAGGTAGACTATAAGACATTTCAGAAATACCATTCTATTTTTGAAAAATGAAAATATTTTGTTAGCGAGGTTTTCATGTGTTCCCACAGACAGTTTCCAGCCAACTTTTTATTATTGAAATGTTTCATGCAAAACTTGTTTGAAAACTTTGTAAGGTCTGTTGAGTTAAAAAACAGACCACCGTGGTCTGCAAATTAACTTTGTAAGGTGTGTTGAGTTAAAAAACAGACCACCGTGGTCTGCAAATTAACTTTGTAAGGTGTGTTGAGTTAAAAAGCAGACCACCGTGGTCTGCAAATTAACTTTGCAAGGTGTGTTGAGTTAAAAAGCAGACCACCGTGGTCTGCAAATTAACTTTGTAAGGTGTATTGAGTTAAAAAGCAGACCACCGTGGTCTGCAAATTAACTCTGCAAGGCGTGTTGAGTTAAAAAGCAGACCACCGTGGTCTGCAAATTAACTTTGCAAGGTGTGTTGAGTTAAAAAGCAGACCACGTGGTCTTCCCCTGATTTTTTTTCGAAAATATTTTTTTAGTTCTTGGTTATCAGGTTTATTTAAATCGACGCGAAAAATTAAAGTTGCAAAAAATAATAATATGAGCAATAGAAACATACTGGGCATTTAAAGTTGTAAAATAAGATGAAAATTAGAAGAAAAAAAACTAATATGAGCAATCATTATTTATTGCGCATATGGGTTTCGGTTTGGGTCGTTATTATAGTTCAAAGAGGTTCGATAAATGTAGGCTGGAGGGCACTGGAGTTGAGGTCCAAAAGTGTGACGCACATACCATGGTGTTGGTTGAGCTGGAAATTGTCCAGGATATCCAGGCATGACGATTCCACGACGCTGTTGATTTCTGTGGTGAAGAAAGCGGATATATTCATCGTTTTGGAATTCCCTTGCGAGACGTCTTTGATTTTCGTAATCAGGAGTTGGCGATGGAGCTGGTGGAGCAGGGACAGGATATCCAGGCATGACGACTCCACGTCGAAATTGGTTGTTTAAGGGAATAAAGGGGTTATAATCATGGTTATGGAACTCTCGCAACGGAGCAGGTGGAGTTTGTTGACCAATTCGCAATCGAGAAAATTCCGTTGCGATATCTTCACTTGGTTCGAATCTAGCCATCATCTCATGGTAATTCGAGCGCAGTCGAGTATATTCTTCGGAAGGTGTTTCATTTCCGGATTCAGAGATCGTTTTCATCAATTCGATTTTCTTGGAAAATGCTGATTTGGTCTCAGCTTCCAAGTTTTTGTAGATCTCCGAATCTTGGAACTTCTCAATCTCCTCTTGAGTTTTGAAACGCCCCATCAAAGGAATTCATAACACCGGTGAGCTTATATTGATTTGCAAGAACCACAATGTCCTCTTTTTGGATTTCCATGTTTGTTTTGAGATATTCCTCGCATTTCTCCAAAACCACTGGCATGTTATATTTTTTTGCCAATCTAATCGAATAACCAATATTTTTCTGATTGATCATTCCGGATTTCTTCCAATTCATAGGATCAATAATCTCCAAAACATCCGAGAATTCTTCGAGTTTTTCATCGATTCCAATAACAGCATTGATATCGAGATCGAGATTTTCGAAGTGGTGTGAATGTGAACGCAACAATGATTTCTTCACGAAGATTGTTCGATTGTCTGGGAATATGAGATGAATCAGATTTTTTCGAGGTGGAAGAACTAGAATTTTCCGAATTCTATTCTTTTTTTGTATCAACAGCGAGACTGTCAAAATCAAATCCTGATCTCTGCGAATCTTCGCAACTTCAAACATTGGAACATTGATTCGATTCTGATCGGTATTGAATTCCATCTTGAAAGTTTTAACAACATCTATTGTACTATCAGATGAGCATCTGATTATTCCATCAACATCAAATGTCTTCGAATTGTCATAATTCTCACAATGAACATAAAGTTCGAGCATTTGTGTGGAACTGTCGATTCCCATGAGCCTTAAACAATTGATTTTTCTATATAATTGTGAGAATAATATAATTAACATACCATTGAGTATCTTCAAAAGCTTTGGGAATTGAAATTGGATTGTATTGAATATTGAGAACGTCGGTAAGTTGGATGTATTTTTGGGGAATCTGAAAAATAGTTAATTTTTGGGGATCTCAGATACTCAAGAGCCAACTCAAGGGCCCAAAAATAATCACCAACCTCTTCCTCCACCACACAACCAATAGGCGCAAGCATTTTCACGTTTGATTTTTTTGGTCCCTGAAAAATTACGAAATATTGCTTGTCTAATGAAAAAAATCGAAAAAAAAAATAGAAACGGTTCAACTGGCATGAGAAGAATGAATAGGAATGGCGCGCGAAAACATTGTGTCTCCTCCCCTTTTCTCACTTTGCACTTTGGCCAGATGTGTCAGAAGAAAGAGGAGGGAAAAGCCAATATTTTTGGCGGTAAACTTTATTTCTCTAACATCAGATTTCATAACAAAATGATTACAAAAAAATGGTTTTGATTTCTTTTTGTTTTTTTTTTTTTGAGAGCGGATGATGAGTCATTTTAGAAAATTTTGGAAAATGGGTCTCGCCACGATCCGAATGAATCAGACATGTTTTCTAGTTTCGAAAAGAGACCACCCACGAAGTCGGAACTTTGAACAGGAATATCTCGGCTCTCAGAACTTCTCTTGAACCCGGAATTTACGCGTTGGATTAAGCTTCAAACACTGTTCGCGGTTGTTGTCTAGAATTTTTTCACAAAATGAAGGAATGCCTAACAGAGTATAACATGAGCAATGCCTTGGAATATCGATTTTAAGCGCAAATTTTTAATCTGGAAATCTGATTTTTCCCTAGAAAATAATAAGAAATTTAGATCAATGAGGTTTATTTGAATTGAAGTGAGAAAATAGTTAACATAGTTTAACATGAGTAATGGTTTTTATCATTTCTTCAATCTTCTGGATCTTCTTCATAGTTTTTGAGTTCGAATTCGCCAATCAAACCCGTGAGTTGGATCACCCGGGGCAGGATTTCGGCTTTGGAAAATATCAATGAGATACGTGGGAGGATGGTGTTGAGCTGGATGGTTTTGTAGTCGAGCCCGCTCGATTTCAATAATATCTTCACGAATTATTTGCCATAATTCACGTTGAATTTGATTTTCTTCGGGACATCGGACGCTGAATCCATCTGAACTTGCAGCTGGTAGTTGTTCATTGAATCTTGGATTTGGTTGATCCTGAAGTTGCTCCAAATTTTGTTGAGCTTCTGGATTAGGGCCAGCTCTAACTTCTGGATTAGCACCATCCTAGAAATGAGAAAGATTAATCAGGGTCCAAAAATGATTCTAGACCCCAAAATATTCACCAACCTTCTCTCGTTCCATTTCGAAACCTTTGGGCAAATTGATCCTAAAAATATTTTTTTCGTAAAAAATAGAAGAAGGATAAACCAAAATGAATAGAAATGTGGCAAAAACATCGTGTCTCCTCATTTTTTTTGCCCTGCAGCTGTGTTAGGAAAACACTTTGGACACCTGTGTTTCGAAATTTTGAGAGGTCACATCTTCCAAAAACTTGCAGATTTTGCCACGTCATAACTCTGTTAGCCTGAATGATACGCTTAACTTCACATCACTTCAAACTTGTTTAATATGAGCAATAACTTTGAACTATAGGCCAGTTAAGTGTTCAGTTAATATGAGCAATGTAGATTTGTATTAAAGTTTAACATGAACAATGATTGTTTGCCACGTCATAGATTTTTTAGATCTGAAAATTCTGGAGATCTAATGATTTTTAGAACGGTTTTATTTGAATTGTGTAAAAAATGAAAAAAGTTTAGCATGAGCAATAATTTTAAAAAATATGAAAAGCGGGAGAGAAAATTAACTTGATATAAGCAATCTTAATTTTTTATTGCGCATAAGGATTAGGATCTCTTTGTGAGTTCAGAAAATTTCGATAAATGTACATCGGAGGGTTTTGAAGTTGATTTCCAAACTTCTGAACAAAATGCCAAGGTGTTGGTGGAACTGGAACGTGTCCAGGAGCTCCAGGGTGAAAATTGCCGAGTCGAATTTGGGTTTGCTGATGAAGCATACGAATATACTCATCTTGTTGAAATTCCATCGCTTGAATTCGTCGAATTTCCGATTGTGAACGACGATTTTGAGATGGAATTAGTGGTGGAGCTTGCAATCTTTGCTGATGATCCACCCGCAATCCAGAAAAATCTTGACTTGGTTCCTCCCATCTTGCCATAGCTTCTTCGAATCTCAATGTGAATGGATCACTTCCAGATCTCATCAACAACTCGATTTTCCTTGCGAACCCTGCTTTGGTTTCAACTCCCAATTTTTTGTAGATCTCCAAATTTTGGAACTTCACAAGATCCTCTTCGGTTCTGAATCGACTCATTAGGGAATTCATAACACCTGTTAGTTTGTATTGATCTGCGAGGACCACCGCATCCTCTTTTCGAATAGTTGTTTTCAACGCATCCTCGCATTTCTCCAGAAGAATTGTCATTTCATATTTCTGCGCCAATCTTATCAAATAACCAATATTTTTCTGGCTAATCAGCCCCGATGTTTTCCAATTCTTCGGATAGATGTTCTCCAAAACATCGAGAAACTCCTCATATTTTTCATCAAGCGTAACACTGAACTTGAGATTGAGATTTTCGAAGTAGCGCGAGTTCAAGCGCAACAATGATTTTTTCACGTAGATTGAATGATTGTGCGGGAATATGAGACAGACTAGATGTTTTTGAGCGGGAAGAATTGGTTTCACAGTCTTGACATTGATGTTCATCGAAACTGTCACAGTTAAATCCTGATCTCCTCGAAGTTCATCTATCATTGGAACAATGATTCGATTCTCATCGGTTTTGAATTCCTTCTCAAAGATTTTACAAAAATGTATTCCTTCCGAAATGAAATAGATTACACCATCGACTTCATATGACTTTGAATTGTTGTAGTTCTCACATTCGATATAAATCGAGAGCGTTGGGTTGGTATTGTCGATTCCCATGTGCCTTTAAAGATAGATGTTTGTGGAAAGTTTGAAAAAAAAATTAAATAAATTTACCAATTAACATCCTCAAAAGCTTTGGGGTATGAATTTGGGCTTGTCTGAATATTCAGAATGTCGTGAAGTTGAAACGTTTTTGTTATGTTCTGAAAAACTTAAGGTTAACATTTGGTGTCTAAAATTCCGTACCTCCTCATTCATCTCAAATTCAGCAGGTTCAAACATTTTTTTTCGATTTCGTTTCGTGATTTTGATAATCCTGAAAATTACGAAATAGAATTTGTGAAGAGAAATGTAACAAAATCTTTTGGTTTTTTTTTTTGAGAGCTGATGATGAGTCATTCTAGAAAATTCTCGAAAATGGGTCTCGCAGCGATTAGACATAATCTAAAAATTTCTATGAAGTGGAAAATCGGCTATTTTTTCAAAGTTTAGCATGAGCAATACGATGAAATATCGATTTTCAACGCATAATTTGGATATAGATTTTTTTCTGAAAATTCTGGAAGATGAAAGATGAATCTTGAATTCATATCAGGTTTATTTGAAGTGAAGAAATAGCAAGTGAAAAAATCAATGGAAAATCAAGATATCAATAATATGAGCAATGATAAATAACATAATTAACAAAAATATTTGGACTTCAAAATAGCAATAATAATGCTTGAACAAAAAAATGTTGGTGAAATTGAGAATTTGAAAATGAAAAATGATTGTTTATTGGAAATTGTGAGCTCCCGAGGGTCCTCGGTAATTTTGCGGTCTTGGGAAAATAGGTGCTCCAGGATTTTGGAATCGCCATCCATAATTCGCACGATGTCCTGGGGAAACTTGAACATAATTTCCAGCTTGGATATCTCTCAAGAGATTTTGATAAATTCTGTTGCTTCTGTTCAATTTCTCTTCACGAATTCGTTGTTGAATTAGATTCTGCCATTGAAGCATTTCGAGATGATCTTGAGCGGTCGAACTTGGTCCATTTCCATAATTTCCATATCTTGCTCTGAAGATTGCCATTCTCTCTTGAAGATTTTTTTGCATTTCGTTCACACGATGCAACATTTGTTCTGCAGTTGTTCGATCATCTTGAACACGATTTTGTTGTTGATAGTGATTTTCAAATTGGAATCCAGCAAATTGGTCTTGAAGTTGCTCCAAGTTTTGTTGAGCTTCTCGAATAGGATCAGCTCCATTCCTTTGAAATTGGAATCCAGCAAATTGTTTTTGAAGTTGCTCCAAGTTTTGTTGAGCTTCTCGAATAGGATCAACTCCATTCCTTTGTCCTGTTTGAATTTGTTGAAGATTCGGTTGACCATCTGAGTTTGGTCCGATTTGTTGTGCAGTTCCAGTTCCCGATTCATTCATGAATAGTTCTGATTGCAATCTATCAATTTCATCTTCCAATGTTTTGAGAGATGATGCATTTTTTTGTTCACTTGATTCCAATCCTGATTCCAATTCTTGCGGTTCAGCTCGACGTTGCGAATTCCAATGATGTTCCAAATCAGTTTTATTTTGGTTCTCTGTTGGTCTTGGACTGATTTCCGATACGAAGCTTTCAAGAACATCTTTCCTTTTCAAAACCGCAGCTCGAGTCGCCGGTCCCAAATTGCTGTAGATCTCCATGTTCTGGAATTTGACAATGTCATGCACATTGGCAAATCTCGATAAAGCTGGATTCAAAACACCAAGCAATTTATGTTGGTCCGCGAGCCAAATCGCTTCTTCTTTTGAGATTAGTTTGCTGTACTTCAATGCTTCTTCACATCTTTGCATCAAATAAATCATTGAATATTTCTCCGCCATCGTCATCAGATATGCGATGTTGTTTCGATTGATTTGACCAGGTTTGTTCCAATTTGCTGGATCCAGAATTTCGATGAGATCTTGGAACGCTCTCATGTTTTCGTTTATGAAAATGTTATTGAATAGATTGTGATCCTGAATGAGATCTTGGAAGTAGCGAGAATTCAGACGCAACAAATCACGGCTGACGTAGAATCCACGGTTACCAGGGAATCTCAAATATATCTTATTGGGGATTGATGGAGGAGTTGGAACTTCAACAGTTGCACTGTTGACAGTGATTCTTATCGGAAAAGTAATCCAAAAATCCGAATCTTCAATTTTTGAAATTTCCACGGGAAAATTGATTTTGTTGTCCTCAAATGTGAACTCCTTTTTGAAATCTTTCAAATCTTGTTCTTCTCCATCTTCATTTTCCAAAATAAAAAATCCTTCGACTTGATAAGACTTTGAAGAATCATAGTTTTCCAGAAGCAAGAAAACCGAGCATGTTTGTGAGTTTTTGTCGATTCCCATGTGCCTTTAAAATAATAATTATTGATTATTTCTGAATTTCTTCAAATTTACCATGTCAAATCTTGAAAAACTGTTGGCTTGGCGATTTGCTTATTGGTAATGTTGAGCTTTTCGTGGAATCGAAAGGACAAGGGCTTATTCTGAAAAAATATAGGTTGGAAGAGTCTGAAATAACCCTAGAAGTTCAGAAAAACAGGCCCATTCACCAACCTCTTCCTTTTCCATTTCAAAACCTCCGATTCCACACATTGTTTTTTGATTTCCAATTTGAGGATCTGAAAAATTTCTTTTTTTTTGTGAAAAAAAATCGAAAAAAAAAAGAGAAACGGTTCAACTGGCACGAAAAAATGACAAAAGAATGGCGCGAAAACATATGCACTTCCCACATGTGTTGAGCGGGGCGGAGCCAGGGAGGAAAAAGGAGAGGAAACGCGATATTTTTGGCGGTAGACTTTATTTCTCTAACATTGGATTTCATAACAAAATGGTTTTTTAGGCGAGAAAAGGAACATTTGATGAATCATAGCATTTTCTGAGGAACATTCGAGAGAAATGGGTCTCGCAACGATTCTTCTCTAAATCACCCACAAGACCACCCACGAAGGCGGAACGTTGAATAGGAATATCTCGGCTCCCAGAACTTATTTTGAGTCAGAAATTGATGCATTGTATAGAGCTTTAAACACTGCAAGGGTTGCGTTGAGACCACGCCCACTTTCAGCGGGAATTTGAAAATATATATTTAGATGATTTTGAGCCAGCTGATTTTCAGCAACGCTTATGAAATCACAAAAACATTATTTTTCATTTGGAAAGTCATATGTTCATAGAACGAAAAGGAAAGTCTGCAAAAATAGCAAGTTTCCATGCAACATCATATATAAACTGTCTTTCTCGGTGATTTCGAAATTGATTATGACATTTCTATTGTTTGTATTTTTTGCCTTTTTATCAATGGGTTTTGCGTGTATTCCGACACAAAATATTGAAAAAGAAGGTTAGTTTGGTCAGAGACTTTTGAAGCTGATGTTCTAAGCTGAGATTTCAAAGAGTTTTTCAGTACCAATTTCAAAAATCCTTGATAGTTCCACTTCAAAATCGATGTCATCAACATCAGTTAAATCATCTAAAACATATAAAACATCTACCACAACAACAACCCTCCCACCTCTATCTTGCCCTTCTACTGATTGGATTTTATTCGATCGGGGAACCTACTCTTGGTGTATTTATCTTTACTGGTTTCCTAGCCCTGTCTATGGAAATTCTGCTCTTCCTTATTGTAAAACCCTCAACTCAGCATCAGTCGTATCCGGTTTTCAAAATAGAGCTGAAGTTAATAGTATTTTGAGTGTTGCAAATCCGAAAGGCTCGTGGCTTCAAATATTTATCGGTGCCTATCGAACTTCCGCATGTATGAATTCGCATCTCACATCAACCTGTAATCAATTAACAACGTTTGAATGGACTGATAAACATACAACTGGCACGGATGGTTTTGTATGGGAACCGAATCAACCGGATAACACGGGATTGATTCAACGTTATGTAATCTTGTGGACTGGACGAAATTTTATGGATGATACTGGTGGTATGGGAAATGGTGCGATTTGTGGAATTCAAGCCAAATATTTTTGATGATGTTTTTTGTCTTCATCAGTTAGTGTTATTTGTTGTTTAAAAATCTTTTTTTGAAACAAAAACTTTTATGGCACACAAAAAGTTGGCGCAAACACCTTTTTTCTCTTTGTTTATTCAGTTTTCAACACATGTTTCGGAAAAATGAACATAATTTATGGCGAGCTAACATGAGCAACAAAAAAACATTAACGAGCCCTGATTTTTTTACGGCGATACATTAGATGTCTGAATTTTTGCTGCCATTAGGATTTTAAACTTTCTCAAAATCTAACCATTTCCTATGGCGTGGAAAACTGTTTGAATTGTTACTAAGTTTAGCATGGGCAATACCATAAAATATCGATTTTCGATACATAATTTGGATCTAGAACTTTTTCTGAAAATTATGGAAGATGAAAGATGAATCTTGAATTTATATCAGGTTTATTTGAAGTGAAGAAATAGCAAGTGAAAAATCGAAATATCAATAATATGAGAAATATTTGAAAAAAAATTTGAAATTTAAACTTGTAATAATAATGCTCGAACAAAAAAAATTTTGGCAAAATGAAGAATTTTAAAATGAAGAAAAGATTTTTCATTGGAAATCGTGAGCTCCCTGGTGTCCTTGATAATTCTGCGGTCTTGGGAAAACGGGTGCTCCAGGAAATTTAGCTCTGAAAAATGCCAACTTCTCTTGAAGGTTTTGATTTCGCATTTCATTCACACGAAGCAATATTTGTTCTGCAGTTGTTCGACGATTCGGATGTTGATATTGATTTTGAAATTGAAATCCAGCAAATTGGTCTTGAAGTTGCACCAAGTTTTGTTGAGCTTCTCGATTAGGATCAGCTCCATTTCTTTGTCCTGCCAGGACGTAGTTTTTTCTTTGCCAAACTGCTTCTTTTGTCTTTGTTTCTAAGTTCCTAAAGTTCTCCGAATTTTCGAATTCCCTGATCTCTTGAATGTTTCGAAACTTTCCCATCGCAGGGTTCAAGACACTGCACAACTTGTATTTATCGGCAAGACAAATCGCTTCTTCCTTGGAGATCTGCGAACTTGTCTTCAGTTCCATTTCACACTTTTCCATCAACCCATTCATTTGATATTCTTTGGCCATTCTCATCAGGTATCCGATATTTTTCTTGTGAATTTGGCAATCCTTGTTTCCTTCCAGAATTTGAATAACATCCAAAAATTCGATTTTTCTTTCATTTAACAAAACTTCGCGAGATAGATCGAGATTCTGGAAGTATTGCGAATTTCGGCGCAACAAATCTCTGTTCACGAATAATCGATCACCAGGGAACATCAGAAGAACTTTTTGTGATGGGAGTGAAGCTTTGAAAGTCTTGACTTTGATCATCATTGAAATCAGAACCTCTACATCCGAATCTTCCAAAAGTTCACCTTCTTTCGTAATTTGAAGCTTGACAGTGTTATCATCAAATTCAAAGCGTTTCTCAAACCTTTGGGTACGTGGTTCCTTTCCCGATTGACAGAACACATAAAATCCCTCAACATCGTATGATTTCGAATGATCATAATTCTCAAGTTCAAGTTGAACCGATGGTGTTGGGCTGGTTTTGCTGATTGCCAAGTGCCTTAAAAATATTAAGTTATTTTTTTTAATGAACTTTCAACGTGGCAGTTTAGAATTAATTTGTTAAAAATTCACCATTTTACATCCTGGAATTCCTTGGGAGCTGAATAAGGCTTGTTGGTTTTGTTCAAAGTGTCGGAAATTTGAAAATACATTTGATTTTGCTGGAAAAAATAGAGTTAAGCTGGCCTAAACTCATTAAAAATTCAGACAGGCCCCAAAAGGTAAATGTACCAACCTCTTTTGCAGCAATTTCAGAGCATCCTGACCGAGCCATTTTTTCGATTTCTATTTGAGTTTTTGGTCCTAAATACAATAAATTATATTTTTTTTCTTTTTCTCTGAAAAAATATATAAGAAAAAAAGGGAAACGGTTCAACTGGCACGAAAAAAATGAGAAAGACTAGCGCAAGCCCTGCACTTTACACAGATGTGTCGAGCGGGGCGGAGCTAGGGAGGAAAAGGAAACGAACAGCTAGGTTTTTGGCGGTAGACTTTATTTCTCTAACATCGGATTTCATAACAAAATGGTTTTTTTTTGGGGAGAAAAGTAACATTTGATGAATCATAGCATTTTCTGAGGAACATTCGAGAGAAATGGGTCTCGCAACGATTCTTCTCTAAATCACCCACAAGACCACCCACGAAGGCGGAAGTTTGAACAGGAATATCTCGGCTCCCCGAACTTATTTTGAGCCTGGAATTGTTGTGTTGGATAAAGCTTATCCACGCACGGTGGTCTCGCAGCGATTAACATTAAAAGAAAATCCTTACCATTTCTGATCTTCTTCAATTTGATAAGACATCAGGTTCTTTCCAACTTACGACAAGAATATATTTATGTTCGATTTCAAAAATCTGAAAATCTAGCAAGTTTCTATCATATATAAACTGCCTATTCGCTCATTTTGAGATTGATTATGACTATTCTATTGTTCTTCATTTTTTCTATTTTATCAATGGGGTTTGCGTGTATTCCAACACAACAAATCGAAAAAGAAGGTTGTTTTTTTGATCACGAATTCGATGTTTTAAACTTGTTGAACTACAAAATTATGGTTCAGACTAGACACTTTTAGACCTTTGTAAGGAAATTTCCAGCAATATCCACAACACTTCCTAGAAGTTCGACAACCACGTCCACATCATCTAAAGCATCCACAACATCAACCTCATCTATCACTTCCACGACCACGACCACCACTACAACAACAACCACAACAACCACGCTCCCACCATTATCTTGCCCTTCCACAGACTGGCTTTTATTCGACCGTGGAACCTACTCTTGGTGTATTTATCTTTACTGGTTTCCCACTCCTCTTTATTACAATTCGGCTCTTCCTTATTGTCAAACTCTGAACTCAACAGCAGTTGTATCAGGTTTCCAAAACACCGCTGAAGTTAATGCGATCACAGCTATAGCGAATCCAAAAGGTTCGTGGCTTCAAATATTCCTCGGCGCCGATAGAACTTCCGCATGTATGAATTCGCATCTCACATCAACCTGTAATCAATTAACAACGTTTGAATGGACTGATAAACATACAACCGGGACGGATGGTTTTGTATGGGAGGTGAATCAACCGGATAACACGGGATTGTCTCAAAAATATTTGGTGTTGTGGACTATTTTCAATTATATGGATGATACTGGTGGAAAGGCAGAGGCAACTATTTGTGGAATTCAAGCCCAATATTTTTGGTGATGTTTTTTGTCTTGATCAGTCAGTGTTATTAAATATTGTTGTTGAAAACTCTCATTTTTCGATTTTTCGAAAAATGAAAAATTAGTTTTTAAAATTACACAAAAAAGTTGGCGCAAACACCCGTTTTTCTCTTTGTTTATTCAGTTTTCAACAGATGTTTCGGAAAAATGAACATAATTTATGGCGAGCTAAAATATATAACATGAGCAACAAAAAAATCATCAACGAGCCCTGATTTTTTGACGGCGATACATTAGATGTCTGAATTTTTGCTGCCATCCACCAAAATCCAATTTGATTAGAGCCAAGGCTTCCGGCGCGTCTCCGCCTCCACGCATTCGTAAAATTCCGCAAATCATTGCGCCTTCCGAAATACCGTAGTCATTGAAACTGTTGCCAAATTCGATGGATCTCGAATTGAAAAGCACACGATAGGCGTAGAGAGGTTGGCCAAGGTTTTCGAGGATTTTTGGGTGGATCGATGAAATTGGATCGGATGGATAGACTTCGAGAGATAGAGGTGGGCCACTGAGGCGGCAGAAGGTTATTGTGATTTTGGGTTCCGGTGGGAGATTCTGGAAAAACATCACTGAAAACATTTTTCTCTACAAATAAATTTTGTGACGTCATCTAATGTTTTCTACCAATTGATAACATTGATAAGAACAGAAAACTTGGCTGCTTGCCAATAAATTCTCTCACCTCCTGAACTCTCTCCACACTTGAATTCATAGCCTGATATTCATCACGGTCCATCAATTCACAAATATTCACATTATTCCGATCCACAATTCTCAAAAGTGGGTGATCTGGATGAATTTCTTGATTCTCACAAATATCACAAATCGCATAATTGTTTGGGCAAATTGTACATTTGAAAATATGAGTTATGATAACTCGATCACAATTTGAGCACATCGGATTCAGCGGGGAAATTGATTCATATTCATTTCGATCATTGTCGCGTTCCACGTGTTCCACGGGTATAAAATTCAAAACATTCTCATTGATATTATTTGTAATAACAGTTCGTAGAAGCCCGTGTTGTGAATGTTCACCCAAAATTTCACAATTGGCACATAATTTGAAATCAGCGCATATAGAACAAGTGAATACATGAGTCTGAATAAATTGTGAGCATGAAGAACAAACTGCAATACTATTCATCTAATAAATAAAGTGGACGGGATAGTTTCAAGTCACCTATGAAAAAGAGAGGAGACGCAGAGATGAAGAGAATAAAAACAATTGGAAAGAGGTGTTGTGAAATTATCTCTGCGTCTCGAGAAAGTTCATCTGATCATGGATATTTTTACTTTTAGATTCCAAAGCAGGCCAAATAAATTGTTTGCCTTATTATCAGAAATTCTTCCATGTTTGTTTCGCTGAACCTTTTCTTTAATCTCCCAAATCCTCAAAAGGTATATAAATGTTTGATAAGTGCATTCGTCTCATTATGTCACTTATCACTATACTTTTAATAAGTTTCTTATCATTATGTTACGCTTGTATACCAACACAACAGGTGGAATATTCCTCGGTAACATCTTCTAGTTCAACATCTACCACAATTTCTACCTCAACTTCTACGACGACCACAGCTCCACCAACTTGTCCTAACTCTGATTGGCTTATGTTCGATCGTGGCACTTATTCCTGGTGTATGTATATTCTTTGGTTCACTTCCAGTCTCTATGGAAACTCAGCTTTGGCCTAATGCCAAGCGATAAACTCTGCCGCAGTTCTATCAGGCTTCCAAAATCGTCAAGAAGTGTCTCAAGTTCTGAACATCGCTAACAATCAAGGATCCAATCTACAGATGTTTATAGGTGGATATCGTACCACGTTATGTATGCACCAAATGCTAACATCAACTTGTAATCAAAATACCTCTTTTGAATGGACTGATAAGCATACAACTGGTACGGATGGTTTTGTGTGGGGCTCAAATGAGCCGGATAATGTAGGATATTTGCAGTATTATCTGGTTTTGTATACGGGTTTGGGGACTATGGACGATACGGCTGGATTGGGAAATGGTGCGATATGTGGGATTCAGGCCGGCAATTTTTGATCTCAAAATAATTTGAAGTATTGAAATTTTAGGAATTCTCAAATTCCTTACATTATTCATAGTTTTGAAAATAAATGTTCCGCTGGTCATTCGGCAAACTTATTACATAACAACACTTTTTTTAAGACTTAAAAGTCTTATCATTTTAAGGACTTTTCGCGAAACGAACGCAAGCGAGAGAAAAGAGACGCAGAGAAATTAAGAGTTGGTGAGAGTGTTTTTTTTTTTTTTTGATAAATCTATTTATAGCTTTTTGAGAAAACAAATATTTTGAGCAAGCATCAATTTAGAAGTCCGTCTACACAATCTCTTGGATTAGTACAATTGTTTGTTGAATAAAACTTTTTGTTTAAAAAAAACAGTAACTGTAGCCCAAATTTTCATTCTTAACACATGCACACACAAATTTTCAAAGTTTAACATCAACCCATTCCTTCGCAACATATTTTTCATCAATCTTATCCCCTTTGTTATCTATATTTATATCACTTCTCATAGTAAATTGTTGCTTTCCAGTCTTTTCAGCTTTTTCAATTTTCTCAATGAACTTCATATAATTTCCATCTTTCTCACAATTGTGATATACTGCAACTCGAACATCATTTTGAACATCAGATTTTTCTTGACGTGCATAAGATTTGATTGAATAACTTGGGTGAGTTAATTCGATGAATTTATAATCAACCAAATAATTATTTGAGCCACTGTAGAAAAAACTCTTTTTTTAATTTTTGAATTGTCAGTTTTACTCACTTCTCATCATGTTGGTAGAAATAAATTGTTGCATTCCATTTCTGATTCAAATTACATCTCCATGTTGAATTGAAAGTAAACAAGGTATAAGGTTCAGAAGTTATTTGTTGGTTCTGTTTCTGTTTCTGTTTCTCTCGCTCAAATAGTCGATTTTGCAGTCTTATGTACTCTTCAAAAGAGATGTAATCAATTGAAGATGTCGCGATTGAACAACTCAAGATTGCCAAGAAAAGAAAAATGAACACAAATGAAAACATTGTTTTGTAAAATTGATGAATTTGATGATGACTATTTATTGAAAACAAGTGGACGTGTCAAAAATTGAAAAATCTTGTCTACAAGCAGTAAAATTTTTGAAAAAAATATTGAAAAATTCAGTCAGATTTTTGGATATTTTTTTTTGAATATAAATCAACAAACATTGATATTTTTATGAACGTTGTTATTAAAAATCATCAAGCGGTTAAAAAGAAGATTGAGTCCAGTGTTTCCGTATTTTATGTAGTTTGGTTTGAACGGTCTCATAGTTCAATACAAATTTCATTTGTTGCTCTATTCAAAAGCATCTCGAGCGCCAATTCTTATCTAATCTTTTCCCGAAAAAAAATCTAGTTCCCCTCTCCCTCTTTTCACTAATAAACTCTTCATTGATGAGCTATTTTTGTTCCTCATGTTTTCAAGTTATTGAAAAAGGTGGACATTTATTCAGCTGTAATATTTGTCCCGATTTCAATTTATGTGCTGAATGTGAGAAGTCGGGGAAACATTTGGAACACGGGCTTTTGCGAACTATTATTTCCAATGGCGATGTTTATGATGATACTTCTGAACTTGAGGGTGATGAATTTGAAACAATTCCATCGAATAATCCGATTTGCTCGAATTGCGATAGAGTTATCAGAAAACACATGTTCAAATGTCAGATCTGCAACAACAATTTTGTGATTTGTGATATTTGTGAAAATCAAGGAATTCATCCGAATCATCCACTTTTGCGAATTGCGAAACGAAATGATAGAAATAATTGTGTCTTGATAAACCAGGCCAAATTCGAAGTGATAAATTTGAATGTGAAGGTAATTTTTGTATTCTAAAGTTTTTTTGTATTCTCTTCTTCAGACGAAACCTGACTCAGATCAACTAACTGAAATTCTGAAAGAGGTGGCAATTGAGAATAATCGAATTAATGAAGAGTCATTGAAGAATCCGATTTGCTCGCGTTGCAATCAAGTTATCCTAACTCGCATCTTCAAATGCACAATTTGCCAAAACAGTTATTATTGTGATAATTGTGAAAACCAGAAAATTCATTCAAATCACCCACTTATGAGAATTCTGGACAGAAATAATGCGAATATTTGTGAATTGATGGATCGTGAGAATTATGAAGCGATGAATTTGAGTATAGCAAGGGTTCAAGAAGTTAGAGATTTTTTATTGATCTCAAAGTATATCAGAATATTTCAGGCACTTCCATGGCAATCAAAAATCCGTATAACTTTTGACACTATTTGGCAGACTGTCTCTATCGAAGTTTACCCATCCGATCCAATTTCTGTGATTCAACCAAAAGTTCTAGAAAATCTCGGATGTTCGATGTTTGCCTATCGCGCTGTTTTCAATTATAAATCTATGAAATTCGGCAATACATTCAGAGATTACGAAATTTCGAATGGCTCCAAGATTTATGGAGTTAAAAAATTCGGCACTGATGATGAAGTTGAAGATGAAAGTGATGCAATAGAACGTGACTTGATTATCACAATGACCAACAAATTGCGTTTTGATTTTCGCAAAAAATTATCTATGGTTTTTAAAAACACGAGACTTCGTAGAAGAAATGCGATTGATTCATAGAACTTTTCATTTTGTTATTCAAATATTTTATGGTTACGCTGTTGTCATTTTTGTTTTATGTATGTATGTACAAAGATAATTTTTCTGATTCAAAATGAATGCTTATCAGTTTTGGAAGCTTGCCAAAAAATTAATTCTATCATCTTTAGAGGCCACGCGAACACAACGAAACACATCAGGAACTTTATCTCCAATCCCACTATCAATCAAAATACCGTGAAAAAACGAACGGCAGTGTTTAGTTTAACAATTTTTCTATCATTTTTACATGGCTGGCCAGTTTAAGCTTATAATGTTCTTATTATTTTTCATAACATCTGTGAGTTGCTGCATTCCAACACAGCAAGTTGAGGAAGGTCCCATAAGCACTTCGACGACTTCCACAACATCTACAACCACTATTCCACCAGTTTTATCATGTTTGGATTCCACCTGGATCTTATTCGATCGTGGATCTTATTCTTGGTGTATGAAGATGGTTGAGAAACTCATATATGTTTCAGAAGCCTTAGCTTTATGTCAAGAACTTGATCCTTCTGCAGTCATATCTGGTCTTCAAAATAAAGCAGAAGGATCAACATTGGTATCTCTAGCCGCATCGGAAGGTATTTCAACTGGTGTCAATCTAATAATCGGAGCTAAACGAACATCAACATGCCTTCTCCAACCTCTCGATTCCACTTGCAATACCCTGAACTCATTCTATTGGACTGATGGCTATACAACTGGCACAGATGGTTTCAATTGGGTTCCAGGACAGCCGGATGATTCAGGGTATCTAACAGGAAACGGCCAGAATTATGTGCTATTTTTGATTGGCTCGGGATTGATGGATGATGGAAATGAAGTGAAGCGTAGAGGTGGAGTGTTGTGCGGAATGAAAGCGGATTATTATTAGATTATGTTTGTTTTCTTTTTCTGTGAAACATCAATGAATCATGAAATGTGTGGATTTTCTACGCACGTTTGTTTTTATCAAGTTTTATTATCATGGGGTGGCTAACTTTTTCAGATAGAAGTTTATTTTTTAATGTATAAATATTTTTTAAAAAAATTTAAATTCACAATTTGTTAGATTTATTTGACCAGTGAGTTATACAGCTAACATTCCACAAACCGCGCCATTTCCAACAGCCCAAGTTGGCCTAACATCATCAATAGCATCAAGACTAGTATGATACATCAAGTAATCTTGTAACCCATCGATATTATTTGGCCGCAAGTCTCGCCAATTCATAAATCCACCTGTTCCTGTAGTATGCCCATCTGTCCAGTAAAACGAGTTCAATTGTGTGCAAGTTGCGGTAACTCCAACCACTCCTACACAACCTGCGACTCTCTGCGCACCAATTATAATAGTCGCGTCGTTTCCAGAGTTTGCAGTGATTGCCAGGGTTTTTATTGTTGCGTATTCCGCAAGGTTTAGGACGCCTGACGTGAGTGCGGTTGGGGAGAGGGTTTTACAAGCGGCATCTGATGTTGCTGGAGTTATTGGGGATGTTATAAGGATTACGATGCACCAAGAATAGGTGTCGCGATCTAATAGTGTCCAACCATCCAAGCAAGGTGGCGGAGTGGTGATCGTGGTAGATGTTGAAGTCGTAGTAGAGGTCGAAGGGCTAGTTGAAGTAGAAGTTACAGGTTCTGAAGTCGAGCTAGACGTTATTGATATTGAACTGACCACAATACCTTGTTCAATTTGTTGCGTTGGAATACAAGAATGAACAAAAGTTATAGAAAAACCAATAGAGATCAAAAAAATAAGACCAAGCATAGCGGAAAATGAATAAAGATGATAAGGTTATGAGGATTTGTTAAACTAAACACTTGGGTTTTTTCAAGGAGGACGAAAGATAACGATTTTGATGAATAGATCTGTTTGGAACATCAGAAACAACACAAAGCTGAAAAGATCAGCCTACTTATGACGTGGCAGTTTAGCGAGTTGTAGAATACGCCTAACTGAGACAACACGTGGTAGTTCAGAGATCATATTTATTTCAACAAAAAAACATATCATATCTAATAATAATCTGGCAGCATTCCACAAATCACCCCACCATTCAACCCAAAACTATAAGCATCGTCCATCAACCCGGTTGTTGTCCAAATGATCGCATAACTCTGGCCAACTCCCGAATTATCCGGTTGCCCTGTGCGCCAATTGAACGCCTCTGTACCAGTTGTATACCCATCCGTCCAGTAGAATGAAGTCAATGTTGTGCAAGTTGCGGTAAGTGATACGAGCATACATGCTGCGGTGCGTTGAGCTCCGATTAATACCGCATTCAGGCCTTGCGACAGGGCGGCTGAAGATATTGTTGTGACTTCTTCCGTGTTTTGGAGACCGGATACCTTTGCGGCGGGGTCGAGAGTTTGACATGCGGCAAGACCTTCAGACGATATTACTGTGGTTTTTAACACCTTCATACACCAGTAATAGGTGGTGCGATCTACCATAATCCACGTGTCATCAAGACATGATAAGATTGGCGAGGTTGTGGTTGTGGTTGTGGTGGTTGTGGTGGTTGAAGTGGTAGTAGAGGTGGAAGTAGATGTAGAAGTTGTAGAAGAACTCGTGACGAGAGGTTCTAAAGATAGACTTGTTGAGGTAGAAGTTGTTGTTGTCACAACTTCGATAATACCTTCTTCAATCTGCTGAGTTGGAATACAGGCACTGACAAAAGTTATTTTGAAGTATAGAAATATGAAAATAAAAGTAAAATGGAAATGACCAAGCATGACGGATGAAAAAATGAAGAGGGATAGTGAAAATTGTTAAACTAAACAAATATGGATAGGAGTTTTTTGTGGAAATACAGATTTTTATGATTGATGGTGTAGGGTTATGATAACGCTAGAGGTGATTTTGCAGGCTTGAAATTGATTTAGGTTAGGGTTAAATTTGAATTGAGATCAGGACAATATTTGATCAGGCTTAAGCTCAAAATTAGAACTTTGATTAGACTTTATTGTCCGTTTGGAAATGAGATTCACCCCGCGAAAAAATAAATTTGAATTTGCTGCAGGAGACGCAGACAGCGAGAGAGTGCGCTGGCAAACAGCCAACGGGGGTTTTGTATGGGAAAGCGACCGCAACGCACACGCGTCGCGGGGGTAGGGGGAAATTAGAGATTTTCCCAAATTCAAATTTATTTTTTCGCGGGGTGAATCTCATTTCCAAACGGACAATACTAATTTGTAATTGTAATAAAGTTAGAAATTTTGATAGCTCTCAAATGTCGAATTTTCAAATAAATCTCAAGTGAGATCTAGCTCAAGTTAGGCCATATCATTTTTTTTCTGCTTTTTAAAATCACCCACATCATTTCTGAAAGCAAGCCCAAGTCTAGTCATTTATCATGATAAATGTTGCAATATGAAACAATGATTGATTGATAGATAAATTCAGCAAACATGATTGATTGCTTCAAGTCCAAAGAACAAAGCTTACTAGGACTTTGGATAATTGTTATTTTCATTCATTTTTTGATCTCATAATTAATGGTTTTTTCACATAAATACTTACAATTAGCTGAACTAAACTAAACAATCCAGAAATCCTCAAGAAAAAACGGAATATAAATGGCTAGCCGCTTTCGTAAATAGGAAAAGTTATGAACATTAACGTTTTTCTAGGCTTATTCTTTGTGTCAAAATTCAGTTTGTGTTGTGTTCGAATGCAAAATGTGCAGTGTGAGTTCTGGGGAAAACATTGAAAACTTGAAATCACCTTTTCCCTAAGGTCATTAAACTTGTCTTCTCTAATCTCATAAGATTTATATTTTGATCAAAATACAAATCTGAATACGATGTTAATAAATACACTTCTATTACTGAAACTAATGGTCATATTGGGTATAAAACTGATGTGAGAGACGACTTTTTAAAATAATATGTTATCTTGTAAGCTGTACATTTTTCTGAGCTTATTTTTAATGTTGAAATCGGGTTTGTGTTGTATTCGAACGCAGAATGTGGTGTGTGAGTTTCCGGGAAAAAACTCAGGGAAAATGTATCCTTGAATTCTAGGACCATACATTTTCAGACCCTGTTCTTCCTGATGAAGATGAAGAAACCACTGTTGAACCGTCCACCGAAGCTCCAACCGAAGCTCCCACCGAAGCTCCCTCACCTTGCCTCGATGGTTGGACCCTTCTGATTCGCGACCCCAACTCCAGATGTATCATGGTGATTATAAACCCAAACACCACTCCAACCGATGCGGACGCACTTTGCACTTCCGCAAATGCCGAAGCCGTTCCAAGCGGAGTCTACAGCACCGAGGAATATTCAATCATCTCAGCTCTCACCAAAGTCGCCAACAATGGAAACGACGCATTGCTCATATTAGGCGCCATGCGTACTTCTCTTTGTGAGGGAGAAGAGATAACTGCCACGTGTACTCAATTAACCTCGTTTACGTGGACAGATGGAACTCCAGGAATTGCTGGTTTTGCAGCGGAGAATTGGGCAGAAAATCGGCCTAACAATGGGGGAAAGATTCAAGATTATCTGATTGTCAACACAGCGACTAACACAATTGATGACGTGGAAGCGGCAAGAGAACTCGATGGAGTGGTTTGCGGAATGCCAGCCATGTGATAATTTATTGCTCATATTTTATTTTGGTTAACACTAAAGTTTTTTAAGTTAGGCTACCTTTTGCACAGTAAACGTCCAGGTTCGAAATCAACCTACACACAAAAAATCCAGAATTTCCCGAATAATCCCGAAAAAACAAAGTATAATAGGTTTTCAATGATTTTTAATAAGTTCAAACTAGAAAAAAACGGTATATAAATGGCTATTTAGCGAATATTAATTCATTCATGAATAATGTGGACATTCATTATTATGTGGCCTAATTTGTACTTTTTTCTTGGCTTGCTTTTTATTTCGAAATTGGGTTTATGTTGTGTTCGAATGCAGAATGTGGAGTGTGAGTTTTTTGCGATGAATTTTGAAAATTTTATTCATTTTCAAAAAACTTTTTTTAATCCGAGAAGCTTCTGAAAATCTTCGATTTTTAAACCTGTTACACTAGCTTCAGAAGTTTCAATTTGGAACATTGAAAACTATATTTTTCAGATCCCATCCTCCCCGATGAAGATCCCCCAACCTGTCTTGACGGTTGGACCCTCTTAAATCGCGACACCTACTTCTGGTGCATCATGGTGGTCATCAGCCCAAACACTCTTCCAACAACTGCGGCAGCCGTGTGCTCTTCCGCAAATTCCGCAGCGGTTCCAAGTGGTGTCTACAGCACTGCAGAATATTCAATCATCTCAGATCTTACCAAAGCTGCTAATGATGGAAAAAACGCGTATCTTATTCTGGGTGCTAAGAGAACTTCAGTCTGTGAAATGCAATTTATCACTGCCACGTGTAACCAATTAACATCTTTTACGTGGACAGATGAGACTCCGGGAAATGCTGGATTTGCAGTGGAAAATTGGCTAGATATGCGGCCAAATAACTGGAGAAAAAATCAGGATTATTTGATGGTGAACACGGCGAGTGGGGAGCTTGATGACGTGGAAGCTACGAGAGCTGTTGCTGGAGCGGTTTGCGGAATGCCAGCTACATAATTCAGATTGCTCATGTTATAAATAATGTAACTTTTTTTGAATATAACAAACTATCAATTTGAATAGTAGCGAGCAAACTTTCTTTCAAGAAAAAATAGGGAATTATAACATACATTTTTGAGAAAAAACACTTTCAGAATATTCCTTTTTTTATGTTACATTGTGATTGAATGTATGTTGAAAGCTTGATCAGTGTCGAGGGTGATAATTTCCAATGCAAGTTTATTTATTGCCGATAAAATAGAAATGTGAAGAAAAATCTGGATGTTTTTTCTCTACAATTTTTTAAATGTATAGGATTTCTTGACGGTATTTTGTCTACATTTCATTTTCTTTATCACACGTGTTTTTCTATTGCCCAATTCTATTGTTTTCCGAATATGTGAAAAAATGAGAGCGTATTTTCTTTCATTTTCCATACACTTGCTTTTTCTAGTGATTTTTCAGATAAAAAGCTGGTTTTCTTTTGAAAAACGAAAAACAGAACAAATACAATGTTTTTCTCGAAAACACAGGCATAAATTGCTGACTTTTTTTCCTGCTGGCTCCGCCCCTGCCACGATTACACGTTTCACGTTTTTTAAATATGTTTTCCGATTTCATCTTTTTTTTCTTCACTAAATTTCGAAATGCAAAAAATCAGAAATAATTTTTGCTTGAAAAAAACGTGCCGCACCTTGCCAAATAAATCCCGCCTCCCGATCCACGCGAGAAATTTTTTTTTCTGCGACAGGCATTTCTGAATTAAAAAAGTCAAGAATTTATGCCTGTGGAAAATACAAAAAAGTTGAGTTTGATAATGCAATTGCCTCATCAATTTAATTGTTCTGAACAAAATTGGCAATAGGAATTGTAATGTGACAGCATTTTACCCGAAAAAACACCAAAAAAGCAAGCGAAAAGAAAAAAAAAAGAAAATAAAAATCATCATTGTGCATTTGTGCGTCACCACACACACAAGTGTACGCAAAAATGCAGACATGATGATTTTTCTTTTTTTTCGCTTGCTTTTTTGGTGTTTTTTCGGGTAAAATGCTGTCACATTACAATTCCTATTGCCAATTTTGTTCAGAACAATTAAATTGATGAGGCAATTGCATTATCAAACTCAACTTTTTTGTATTTTCGAGAAAAACATTGTATTTGTTCTGTTTTTCGTTTTTCAAAAGAAAAGTAGCTTTTTATCCGAAAAATCACTAGAAAAAGCAACTGAATGGAAAATCTAAGAAAATACGCTGATTTGAGGAAAGAATAAAAACATTTCCATAAAACTTTACATTTTTGTGTTTTTGCAAAAAAATGTGAAGAAAAAAATGCCCACATTTTGTTTACATTTTTTCAAAAGGTGAAAATGTAAGCTAAATTGGCCCCAAAATTCTTATACATTTTTCAAAAGAAAATGTATATGATTTCGCGACAAAATAATTTTTACATTTATTCTTTGGAGATGTGGAAATCGGAATGAAACATTGGGAATCTGAACGATAAATGTCGAAGGATATGGGAAAAAATAGATAATCAAATAAACAATATACACACAAACAAAAAGTAATCAAAATGAGCGAAAAATTTCTGAACGTGCTTATCCTTCATACATTTGTGATGAAAAATTGCTCATTTTTTCTTGAAAGAAAGTTTGCTCGCTACTATTCAAATTGATAGTTTGTTATATCACCCGACAAGTTGTTTTCCATATATTTCTGATTTTTTGATCGATGTTTATAATCAATAAGCTCATTGTTAGTTCTCACACATAGGCTTTCCGTATTATTACACAGAGTCATTCAAGGTTAGGTTTAAGTCTAATCAAATATTGGCCTAACCTCACGCCAAACTCAAGCCTGATCTAATCCTATCTTAAATCAAGGCTGCAGAATCACCTCTAGCGTTATCATACCCCTACATGCTATCAATCATAATATGTGTATACTTCCATGAAATAAAAACTACTATCCATATTTGTTTAACAATTTCTCTTCATTTTTTCTCCGTCATGCTTGGTCATTTTCAGCTTATCCTATTATTCCAAAGTTTTCAAGTAACTTTTGTTATTGCCTGTATTCCAACTCAGCAGATTGAAAGAGGCAATATTGAAGAAGTGACATCAACAACTTCTATCTCAACAAGCTTATCTTTAGAACCTCTTGTCACAAGTTCTTCTACAACTTCTACATCTACCTCCACCTCTACTACCACTTTTATCATCACTACTTTTACAACAAGCACATCCACAACAACTACGACTACCAAAGCTCCGCCAAGCTGCCCCGATAACTGGACAAAATTCGATCGCACCCCAACATCATGGTGTATGCGGGTAGCCCTTCAACCAACCATGGAAGATGGAACCCTGGCAGTCTGCCAAGCTCTCAACTCATCCGCCGTCGTTTCAGGCTTTGAAAACCAGAACGAAATCTCAACAATGATGGCCTCTGCAGTCGAGCAAGGTGCTGATTCCAACAGCAATTTGTTTGTTGGGGCGAAACGCACCGATGACTGCACAAGTTCAGGGCTAACTGCAACCTGTACAGCACTGAACTCTTTTGAATGGACTGATCCTAGTACGACAGGAACTGATGGTTTTCAGTGGTCTGCAGGTCAGCCGGATAACTATATGGGAACTTCTGAATGTGTGATGATCAATGCTGTGACTGAATTGATGGATGATGTGAAAGGAGATGATACTAGACAGGGAGTTGTATGTGGAATGTATGTTGCGTAGATTTGAATATTGTTGATGTGTAAATTAATAAATTATTGCATTTTGAAAATTGTAGGCATTCAATACAACATATACTACTAGAAATAAAAAATCAGATTTTCAGACTTGAGCAAAATGATATTTACTTTTTAAACAAAATTTCGCTAGAAAAAAATTATCAAACTATAAAGTTTTGGGTTCGGAACTGCTTTTGGTTTTTTTCAGAAAATAGGTTCCACATACTCAAAAAAGACTTCATAGTTTGTTTCTTCGGCTCTGGGACCATAAAAAACGATGAATCAAATCAATTCACCTCAATTCCGAAGAATTTATCACAAACTTCTTTACTTGAACCTATTTGTGAGAATTTTCCGAATTCCAGCTTTTTTTGAAACAAGGCTGACAATTGTGAGATTGTGAGATTAAATCTATTTACACTCCCTCTCTTCATCGCGAAAAAATCAATGACTAGATTTTTCTTTTTCTATTTTATCCTATGATTTTTGTCAAAAACTTGCTGAGATCAGAACAACAAAACACATCTGCCAATCACTTTGTTACAAAAATGTACATAGCTTGATGACTAGAAAAAATCGGGTATATAAATGGAAATAATTTGGTCAACGAGTATTCCTGCAAATGTATTTGTCGATTTTTCTAGTTGGGCTAAGTTCGGCGTGTATACGCACAGATAATTCGGGTTAGTTTTTTTTGCTGGCCACGTCATAACTAACTTGAAAATGTTACAGTAAAAGTTTTCAGTCCCCATCGTTCCTGAGGATACAACCACAACTACCACTACAACTACCACAACTGAAGCTCCACCATCTTGCCCCGAAGGCTGGACACTTTTTGATCGCACACCAACGCCTTGGTGTATGCGAGTGTCCCTGCAATCCACGAATATAGATGGAGCCCTGGCAGTCTGTCAAGGTTTGAACTCCGCCGCCGTCGTGTCAGGCTTCCAAAACCAAAATGAGATCACGACAATGATGACTGCTGCAGTTGCGCAAGGCGCCGCTGCCAACAGCAATTTATTAGTTGGCGCGAAACGCACCGAAGCATGCCAAGATTCAGCAATCACTGCCACCTGTACAGCACTGACTTCTTTCGAATGGACCGATCCTAGTACAACTGGAACTGATGGTTTTCAGTGGGCTGCAGGGCAACCGGATAATTTTCAGGGAACTTCGGGAAGTGTGGTGATTAATGTGGGCACTGAATTGTTGGATGATGTGAATGGAGCGGATACGAAAGAGGGAGTTGTGTGTGGAATGAACGCCACGTAGATTTCGAATCATTTAATGAAAATGTAAATGAACATATAAATGAATAAATTATTATATTTTGCAAACTGCAGGTCACTCCCCTTTAAAACCAACTTTTCTTCTCTAATCTCATGAGATTTATTTTTTGTAAGATCAAGATACAGATGATGTTAATAAATAAAAATATATTACTGAAACTAATGGTCATATTGGGTATAAAACTGACTTGAGAGAATTGGATTTAGAGATGTTTTTGTCGATTTTTCTAGTCGGATTCACGTTGGCCTGTATTCCAACTGATAATTCGGGTGAGAATTGTTTCGCCACGTCATAACTATCTTTGGTTTTCCACATAGCGTAATCTATCTTTTTATATTAAATTTTCAGTCCCTATTCTACCTGAAGAAACCACAACAACCACGACTACAACAACACCTACACCAGAACCAGTTCTATCTTGCCCCGAAGGTTGGACAAAATTCGATCGTACTCCAACACCATGGTGTATGCGGGTGGCTCTAGGCGCGACTACCCAATCAACAGCTCTGGTAACTTGCCAAGCTCTCAACTCAGCAGCTGTGATTTCAGGTTTCCAAAACCAGAATGAGATTACGACGATGATCGCTGCCGCGCAACAGCAAGGCGCAGTACCCGCGACTAATTTGATTGTTGGCGCAGAACGGAAATCTGAATGTGATTCGGGGATTACCGCAGAATGCACTACGCTCACTTCATTTTATTGGACCGATGGTTATACAAGTGGAACTGATGGTTTCCAATGGCTTTCAGAGCAGCCGGATGGTGGTCAATTTGTGGTGATTTTGGTGGGATCGGGTTTGATGGATGATGGAGATGGAGTGAAGACGAGAGGTGGAGTTGTGTGTGGAATGAAGGCACAGTATTTGTGATTATGTGTTAGTTAATAGTTGATAAATTATTTGATTTTTACCTTAATGGTAGGACTCTGATTTTACCTCACGATCAGGCTTATGAAAAATAAATAAATAAAAAAAGCAATAATTTCGAAATCAATGAGAAGATTGCATTACTTTGCCCTACTCAACATGATCTTTTCAGCAATTTTCTATATTCTAGTAAGTCTTACAAGTTGTATTCTTTCGACGACCGGGTGATCACTAGAAAACATACATTTTATTAAAAATTTAGAGATTTCTCTTGTTAAATTTAACATGTTCACAGTTTAAAGTTAGGTGGCGGCCACTCCGCAGACCACACCATCTCTGCTGCCTGTGTCGTTTGTATCATCCATCAATTTACTACCAACAAGTATCACAACATAATTCGAAACACCATCTGAATTGTCAGGTTGACCCGTAACCCATTGAAACCCGTCAGTTCCAGTTGTGCTACCATCCGTCCATTGGAAAGAGGTTGTAGTTGTACAGGTTGCTGTAAGTGTTTGTCCGTCGCAAGCTACAGTACGTATCGCACTGATTATCATCTTCCAGGAATACGTCAAAAACATGTCTCATAGCAATAAATAATATATTTCTTCTCCTTCAAAATTTATTTTGCAGCAATTGTCCTAATTCTGTAGTTAGGCTAAGGACATCTTAAATATCACACCCTTCCGCAACGACCAAATATTTTATTCTATTTTCATTTTTTTTTTTTTTCGAAAAACTCGACAAATTTCGGTTTCACATGGTTGAACCCCGCATAAGACTATCTCCCAGGTTGCATAAAACGCAGTAGCTCAAATTTTCATAATCAACGTTGAAAAAACTCACATTTCCTCAAATTTTCCTCGAAAATCAAAATCTTCCAACCGGAATTCGCTTCATTAATTGAATCGATATTTTTCGCCGACGATTTTCCTGTAAAAGAAATGAGTGAAATACTCATTCTAAATAGAAGAATAATTCAAGAAAGTACGTTTTTTCATTAAAATTATGTTATCTGTACTGGGAGAAGAGATAAATAAGAATTTTACAACAAATTTCATTCAAACTAGAATTCCAGATCATACAGGCTAGAAACTAACTTTTTCATTTTCAATTCAAAAATTGGGCATAGCTTCCGCATTCCATCTGAAATTCCAATTGAAAATTGATACAATTTGAATTCCATCAATTTTCAATCAAAATTCCAGAACTTCTTCTTGTTTGGTTAGAAAAACTCACCGAAAATTTCGAAATCTTTGTTTTTTGTAGTTTTGTGCAGGCAGGTTTTCCATGGTTTCCGAGTTTGTTTCTGAAAAAATTATGATTTTTCTTGGAAATAACGTATTTTCCCTCATAAAAAATCCCAAATTTCCCTCTTCCTTGAAGAATTCCACGTTTTCTTTTCAAAAAAAAAACTTGAAAATCGAACCTCGATCTCTCCCTTCACAGTTTTTCCAACCAAATCAAGTCGACAAAGTCGAGAGTATAACCAAAACAAGTTAAGGTAACTCATGTCGAGGTTCCTGACAATTGCAATGGCTAATGCTCAACTTAAGAAGCTTCACTATCCAGAGTTCGGCTAAGTTGAGCTGTACTTTACTCCAGGAGAGACACGTGGAATTATTTGCAAAAAGGGCGGGAGGTTAGGAATTCGGGCACCCCATTAAAAAAACTCATCTTTATTTGCTGTCGTCTTGTTGCTCGCCGAAAATTAGAAATAACTGGTAAATCATCGTTGAAATGACATTTGCCACGAAAATTTCACATTCACGCAAAAATATATTATTTTTTTTTCTCTCTTGTTTTTTTTTCTGACAGAAAAAAAAAGATTTATTGACTTTTACAACGACACTCCAGCTTGCCCGCTGTTTAGCGCAACACGAGAATATTTTTATTTTTGGTTTTTTTTGCTGGGCTTTCAGGTTTCCGGGGAAAATCAGTGGATTTCAGTCAAAAATTGAATTTTTAGATGTTCTACAAGGCTGGAAATATCGCTTCTAACGGAAAATCCGAGGATTATCGAAGAAAGGTGGGCTTTTTTCTAGAGAAACACTGTTTCGATTGAAATTTTTGAGTTTTCAGGATAAAAAATGATTTTAAATGTGAGGACAACGATGATTGGTTGAAATTGAAGCGATATTCGATGGAAATGTGACGAAATTTGAGATTTCCACATGATTTTTGTGTCAAATTCATGTTATGGGGATGAAACTTTGGATTTATCGATTTTTCGAATTGGGGAAGTAAAGAATTAAAGGAATCGCCGGAGAACTTGTGAGTTTTTATGAAAAAAATAGGATTTCATGAAAACTGTTGGGGTATTACTGAATTTTTAACTCAAAAATCGATGAAAAATGGGTTTGGTTAAGATTTTGCTGTGAACCTTTGAAAAATAGCTGGAAAATTGTTGTGAGACCCAGAAAGCCCTCAGAAACCTAAAGAAACAAAAATGGAGTTAGAAGAACTCAATGATACGTATACATGAAAAAATCAAATTTTCTGATTTTCAGCTTGAAATATTGATGAACAATTGGAGTTCGATGTCAATTACGTGGAAAACTTGGATAATTTCGTTTTTATCAAGGATTTTGATTGGGATTTTCGAGTTTACGATGATTTTTGTGGTATTTGAGAAATAAAAGCGATTGGTGAGTTTTTTCGGGAGGGATTTTGGAAAAATTGAAAAAAATCGATAAAAAATTTGTAAAATTTGAAAAATTGAAAAAAGTTAGGCTAACTCATCGAAATCTAGGCCCAAAGGTCTAGTTTCCGAAAAACAAAAAGCAAGAAAATAAAAGTAAAAATGGAAGTGCGCTCTATTGATAAAAATTGCTTGTCTCGCACTCTCTCAAAAATGTGTGTGTTTCGTCGTTTCTGTTTTATTTTTAGAATTGTTTGCTGTTTTATTATTGTTGTTTTATTATTAAAAAGGCCTAGAACCCTATACATAGGCTACCAGGAGAAGTCTTGAACATAGTAGATCAAAAGATTATTTCCCCAAACCCCTCGAAAACCTGTGCGCGCGCGAAAAGATCGCCGTGTGCGCACCTATCAGCATCAAAATACAGTTTTTCGTGATCACGATCAGCAAGATGAAAAAAGAAATTCCAGTTTCTGGGAGAGTATTTGCAACGCGAAGCCACTGAGAGAGTATTTAGAATCGAGAGACGCTAGGATGAATTTTATGGATTTTTGAGATAACGAGGCGGTGGAAAATTTTTGAAGATGATCGGAACAAACTACAGATATAATGAATATATATCAGTGATTAAGGTGGGAGGCGAAACAAAACAAAGAGATTATCGGGGCAGTTTGTTAGGAGAAGATTCAGAATGTACATGTATTTTTGGACTTTTTTCTGTTTTGTGATTTTTGATAGGCTTATTGTTGTTTTGGGTGATAAATTCGGTGAGTTCTTTATTTTCTTGCCTAGACAAATTCATCAATATTCAGACATTTCCCGGTGTCCCAAATCTTGGACCCTGCTAAATCGCCCCAAAAATCACTGGTGCATCAAAATCTCAATTGGCACCATACCAATCGCCGCAGCTCACACCTTGTGCTCCCGAGAAAATTCAAAATCGGTGCTGTCAGGTGTTCAAGATTCCCAAGAGTATAAAATCATTGCTGATCTTGCCAGGAGGAACATCGGAAATCAATCTAGAATAGCGTTGGGAGCTCGAAGATCCACTGATTGTCGAGCTGGACGAGTTCGATGTTTTGAGTGGACTGATGATGTGACAACTGGGAATGATGCATTTGAAATTGAGAATTGGACAAAATCCCCTGAATCTTCTGATGTGGATTTGGATCATCTGATGTTTTCAGTGGAAGATCGTAGAATTTCCGATGTTGAAGGTGGAAGATCAGTTGATGGAGCATTGTGTGGAATGAGATCTCTTTTTTAGGATTTTAAAAATAAATTATTGATTTTTGGTCGAACATGAGTCGTAAAAAACTGTGCCGCAAAATTGCAAAAGCCCACGCCCCTTTTAAAGTACCTTTTTGTTTGAAACCTAACCCCACTTGAAAAAAAAATTCCGAAATTTTATTCAAGTACAATAGCTCTCGAAATTTCACTCATTATTGTTTCTCCCATAGAAGAAATGCTGTTGCTCATATTAATCTATGTTTCTTTCTATCCTCTTAAAGCTGAAGGGGAAGAAGATGATTTTTGGAAAGAGTTGACATTTTCAGTCAGGACTAATGTGGTAAGGTTAAGCCAGAGCCTTGGCCTAGTCCTAAAATGTTTTGTTCAGAATGGGACCATTAGATCGGCCCATATTTTATGGACCGATGAATTTGACGATAGTTTCGCGCAGGCTTACACCAATGAGAATAAATCGGATTTTGGATTTTATAATGACAAACCGGTCCCAGATGTTTATATCTCGCAGAATTATATCTTCGAAGCTTTTCAGACATTTCTGAAGTTCTACCAAAACCAAACAAAGATCGGAAAAGTTTCGATAACTATTCCAAATCTTCTAGAAGATATCAAAAAACAATTGGAACCCGCCGGGAAGAAATCGAAAAAATCTCAGATTCTGCGCTATCCGATTGTGAATTATATCGTATTTAATACTTTCGATTCGGATGTTTATTCAGCGTTTTTCAATATTGTCAGAGGAATTCCGGATCATATTCGAGTTTCGTTTTTCTTTTTTGCCGAGCGTACCCAAAAGATTTTGGATGGCAAAGTTTTGGAGGCTGTTCAGGTTCTTGTCATTCTTTGTTTTATTCCAAAATGACCCCTAAAATCCACATTTTTCAGTTTCGAAAGACCAAAAATCTGGATCTACGAGCCATCGAAACCGATCTTAACGATGATCAGTTTCATCAACTCGATTGCCAAATGGTAAATATACGCTCAACAAGTCTGACAAATCAAGGAATCAATCAAATGCTCAAAGAATGGCAAGATGGTTTTCGGGCCACAGAATATATGAAAATTGTTAGTGATGACATTCAGAAAGCTGAAATCATGGATGGCGTGACTAAAAAGACGTTGCAACGTGGCACGTGGCAGATCAGAAATCGATTCAATTCAACGGCGACAGTTACGATAAGTCGAATTCCTACCAACTTTTTTGATGCCCAACCCACTTTCGAGTTTTCTGTGAACTAATGAAAAGATCAACAATATTCTAGTTGTGTGCGTGTGTATTTCAAAATGATTTTTTATCAATCAATTTGGCAGCTAGCAAGTTTTTTATAGTTCAAGTTCAACAAATCAGAAAACAATAACTTAATTTTACATTTAAATTTACAATTTAAGCTAAGTTGCGTTCATCCCGCAGACTACACCTCCTCTGGTACCTGTGCCATCTGCATCATCCATAAGTCCGCTGGCAACTAGAATTACAACAAAGTTTTGCACGCCATTTGAGTTATCTGGTTGTCCTGCAAGCCATTGGAAACCATCAGTTCCAGTTGTACTACCATCGGTCCATTCGAAAGAGGTTGTAGTTGTACAGGTTGCTGTGAGGACTTGTCCCTCGCAAGCTGTAGTACGCTTTGCACCAATAATCAAATTTGTTGGTCCGGAGCCTGCGGCTATCGCAGCATTCGTCATCGTCGTAATCTCATTCTGATTCTGGAAGCCGGAGATCACGGCCGAAGGGTCAAGGGCTTGGCAGGTTGCCAGAGCTGTTGATTGGGTGGTTGCACCAAGCGCTACCCGCATACACCAAGGCGTCGGAGTGCGATCGAAAAGTGTCCAGCCATCGGGGCAAGATGGTGGAGCTTCTGTGGTTGTGGTAGTTGTGGTAGTCGTGGAGCTTGTTGTGGAGATTTCCGGAACTGGAAAAGGATCTTAACATCAACTCAACTGATTTGGTCTTAATAAGGTAACTTTGATCAAGCTAGATTTCCCCAGAAATCTCGAATTCCAAAAAAAATGGTAATTTTCTCTATCCCGAGAACCTAAACGGGTGCTCAACCTCCCCAAGTTGGGGACCCCAACTCACCAACCACTGGCACTGTCGGAAAGCACCCATCAACAAGCACCAATGAAAACGAAAAGATCAGCAAATGTTCTAGTTTCATCCTATCTGTTCGCTTTCTTTGTGTATTTTTAAAGCAAAACCCATCACTTATATTCACTTTGATCATTTTTTGCAGCTAGCAAGTTTCTGGAACTTGCTTTGATTTGTGTGTGTTAGTTTAGGGTTGTTGTATGTGGGGCAGGCAGTGTAAATTACAATAATTTATTCATTATACATACATTTTACAATTAAGTTGCGTCCATTCCGCAGACTACACCTCCTCTGGTACCTGTGCCATCTGCATCATCCAAAAGTCCGCTGGCAACTAGAATAACAGCAAAGTTCTGCACGCCATTTGAGTTATCTGGTTGATTTGGTAGCCATTGGAAACCATCAGTTCCAGTTGTACTACCATCCGTCCATTCGAAAGAGGTTGTAGCTGTACAGGTTGCTGTGAGACCTTGTCCCTCGCAAGCTGTGGTACGCTTTGCGCCAATAATTAAATTTGTTGGCCCGGAGCCTGCGGCTATCGCAGCATTCATCATCGTCGTAATCTCATTCTGATTCTGGAAGCCGGAAACTACGGCGGAAGAGTCAAGGGCTTGGCAGGTTGCCAGAGCTGTTGATTGGGTGGTTGCACCAAGAGCTACCCGCATACACCATGGTGTTGGGGTGCGTTCGAAAAGTGTCCAGCCATCGGGACAAGATGGCTCGGGTGCAACAGTTGAGGAGGGCTCTGGAAAACTGAGTTTTGATTACAGAAGTATTTTCAAAAAATTAAGAAAATTAGGAATCACTACAAATGCAATTTTCTGAAATTTCACTAGAACCTTCAACAAACCGTGCGGCAAAATTGCAAAAAAAAACGTCTTCTAGGAAAATAATCAATTTGAAACTACAACATTTTTAATTAATTAATTAATCAATCGACTACGACGCCTATCTTCTTTCTCTTATTTTCTATTTTATTTTCGCTCAAACAAAAAATTTCCAGTTCGATTTCATGCTTGTTTAGATCTAGAAGAAAAAACGAGTTTGTTCCGCGGAAAATCCAACATTTTACTGTAACAGAAAAGTACACCGATTTTCGTGTTTTAGATTCAGAGAGATCTTTATTGAGTTTTTTGGCCGCTAGATTTTTGAAAGAGATAGACTTTGATGTTTCGAGGAATTTTTGACATGGCAGGTTTTAGATAGTGTAGAATTTTGGATTAAACATTAGCTATAAAATGTAGGTACTGTGAAATGGCAGATTCAAAATAAAGCACAACACTTCAACTCAAAATAACATATTTCCCAACCCTGAAAATCATACGTTTCAAAAATATTGTAAATAGTAAATCGAAATATGAAAGAATGTTATATCGTGATTAGGCATTTCGCAAAAAAATTATACTTCATTATTTCAGCGTTTAATTTTTATTGTGAAAATTGCAGGTTCAAGATAGAGCTCAAAATTTGGGTTTGAAAAATGAGGTGAAAATGTCACTATGAAAAAATTACAGCTTTCAAATTTAGGCTGAAAATCAGTAGAAAAAATTCTGACTACAAATTTTGATCAAAGAACTTTATGGGGTGAGTCAATTTTAATTTTTGTAAATTAATTGACAGAAAACGTGAGTCTTTTTTGTGCGATTTTTTCACGTTTTTGTCGATTAATTCCATCTTTTTTTGCAATTAATTGCATTCAAAAATGAGGAATTTCAATACGAAATAGAATTTATTTGACCTCTTTTTTGAAACGTGTTCCAAATTCACTGCTTATTTTTTGGATTCATTTCGAAATGAAAGAAAATTGAGAGAAAACAATTTTTGTTGATAATTCCAACTCATATAGGTCACGTTTTAAAATATAGGTAAAATAAATTCTATTTTTTATGCAATTAATCGCATTTTTTGCCAAGAAATGAAAGCGAGGAATTGACAAAAACGTGAAATTAATCGCCCTAAAAGTCTCACTTTTTGTCAATTAATCGCAAAAAACACGTCGATTAATTCGATTAACTCACCCCATTAGAAACGGTGAAAAAATTCTGAAAAAATATTCCCGAATTTTCAAAAAACCCACCAGTCACAGGAACCGTTGGGAAACACGCATCGACCCAAAACACGCTGCCAAAAGCCAGACAAAAATAAAATATTCTGCTGATCATCAAAATTCTGTACTATAAATATCTCACAATAAATTTCACCAGTCAGCAGCTAGAAAAAATTTGGGGGGAATTGTCTATCTTCTTTTTATACCGTTTTTCTAGGCGCCTAGAAAAATGAAATGTCTCAAAAATTAGCCAGTTTTTCTCTATATCTATTCATCTGATTTCTGATTTCCCACGGATTTTAATTAGCAAACTTGATTTTTGCCATGTTTCTTGTTTGGCATGTTGAGAATTATTCATTTTTATTAATTAATAATTCACACTAATTGGGATTACTGTAGCTCGTTGTGTAGGAAATTTTAAGAGCTTCGTGATGACTATAAAAAACTTTATTCATTTTCAAAATCACAAAGATTATCACAGGATTAAATGTAGGATATTCTGGGAGAATAATTTCAAAATAAAAAATACAGTTTATCTTTTCCACGTGGAAGTTGTTGAATAATTGTTGCTGGGACCGTCGAACGACGAGATAAATTGTGATTGTTGTTGTTTTCGACTATTTCGGAGCGGTGATTCGTCTGAAAATTTGAAATCAGCGTGAAATTTAGGCCAAATCGGCTCGGCCCCTTTCAAAGCCGGAAAAACTCACAAGAATTCGCAAAACTGTAGTTGTTGCGCTCAATGGAAAAATTGTCATCTTTCGAGTTCCGCGTCGCATTTGTCTTATTTTTCCAATACTCACAGTAGTCCTTGGTGAAATTGGCACCATTATTCACATCTGCAAAAAAAATCGGGGGATTTCCGGTAAATTCGCGCGCAAACTTTGACCTACCGTTGGTTTTTCTGCGCTTCTTGTAGTAGGCATCGCATTGCGAGTATTTTCGCATACCGTTTCCCATCACCTGAAATTAATTTGGTTTTGGATTGGAAGATTTTTTGGAGCTCTCAAGAAAATCTGTTGGAAAAGTAGTAATAATGTGTAATGGGGGTGTCAGTTGTTTTTGAACGTTCACCAAAAAAAAAATTGGAAAAACATAGTATAGAGGGAAAAAGATTGATGATATATATCGAAAATTCCTGGGCTCAAAAAAATCAACTTTTACATCACAAGTTTTCTCGGAAAACTTTTTCGCAAATGTGGGCGTGGCTTATTTTTGTTTTAGAAGTTCTCAAAAATAAGATGGTTTTTCAAAAGACTTCCAAAAATCATATTGTTTGACCAAAACAAAGTGTACTGGAAGAAAATCCAACAAAAAAAAGAATAAACAATTTTCAAAGCTTGACTGAATTTTTTGTTCTAAAAATTGCCACAAAGGAAGTCTCGACGAAAAAAAGTTGTGAATTTTTAAAATTTCAAAAATCACTTTTTTCTCGGGTCACCGGAGTGAGAAAATTGGGCGGATAAATAATTTGTTTTTCATCAAAACAGTTGCTCAGGTCAAAAAAAATCTGGTGAATCAAAATTGGTAGATCAAAAATCTTGGCCCAAAAAAATATCATCTAGCGAAAAAAGTATAGTTATAGCAAGCAAAAAAATGGGCATAAATTATAAATGATTATTTTTTTCGAGAGCGAATTTTTGAGACATTTTTTCGCTGGGCTCCGCCCCACTTTTTCACTCACTCGGCTGAAAATCGACACCCGAAATTCGGAAATTTGTACAATTTCCTGAAATTCGACACCAGATTTTCAAGGAGGAGAATTGTCTCTTGACTGAGTATCAAATGTACACACACACAATTAAAAATTCACACTGTGCAAAAAAAATTGCGGTGGAAAAAATGGCATAAATTAGTGCAGAAAAGAAAAAGAAGTCACAACCAACAACAGAATAAAGTTTTTTTTTTGAAAAAAAAACCCGGAACTTTTTTCGGTCTGATTTTTTTTTCTGCAAAAAAATTCGCATTAAAAGTTTTTGCATTTTGTTGGACTCATGCCAAAATGGTCCCATAAGGCGAAATTTTATGGGTGAAAATTGTGGGGGTGGCGGGTTTTTTTGCACATTTTTTGTCTGGGATGGATATTAGATACTCAGTTAAGTACGCAGCTAAATTGGTAGATCAAAAATAATTCAACAACGTACGCAGCCAATTTTCTAGATTGATACTCTGTTAAGAGATACGCAGCCAAATTTGATGGACCGGTCAATGATCTTTTTTTTTCAAAATTCCAAGTCGAAAAAAAATCGTAAACATTTTTGTTTACACCAAGAAGCTCCGAAAAAGTTTAATGAGCAAAAGGATTAGGACAAAAACTTTTTTCTTTTTCTTTTTCGTGGATTAAAATGGATTTTTTGTATTCGTTAAATGTAGCGGAAAATCTCTTGCTACATTAGATACTCAGCCTTCCTACACAGCCAAATCTCAATTTTTCCCCTAGAAAATAGAAAATTTGAGATTTTTGATCTACACCTGCGGAAACTGACGATTTGGGTACAGAAAAATGGAAAAAAGTATCAAATTTCTTCAAATTCAGGATTTTTGGGGGCACAAAAAAAATTTTGTTGTTCAGTGAAAATTTTTGTTTAAAAATTTGCACGTGCGAGTTATGAGTGGTTTTTTGGAGAGAAAAAACATATGTGGGAAAAAGATCAAACATTGGAAGGAAATATTTTGACTGCGTACCTGAACTTTGGCTGAGTATCTAACGTGGTTTGATCTACCCGAAATCTAGAAGCTGAACTCGAGAATTTTAGAGGCTGCGTACATTGACTTGACTGAGTATCAAACGTGTGTTTGGCTGCGTACTTTCTGCGGCAAACACGCCCTTTTTTTGATCGCCGCCTTTTCCGGTCGACTTGTGAAAAAACAACAATTATATGTTGTTTTGTACTTTGTTTTTTTTTTTGGCTCCGCCGCCAAAAAACAGAAAAAAATATTGTTTTGCTGAAAAGAGACGCAGACAGAAATTCGCTGATGAATAGCTCTATAATTTTCAATTTTCTCGGAAAATTCCAGATTTTGATTTTGTACATTATTCTTTCGGAGATGAATAGATATCATAATTTTGCTGTCAGAAAAAAAAGGCGGCAGGATAATTTCAGATATGACTATGAAAAATGATATGAATATTTTGCCGGGGAAGGGGAAAATAGGAATTTGGCAAAAAGGGTACTTTTGAGTGCGTGGGAAGAATGTCGAACATTTGATACTCAGTCAGTTAAGTACGCAGCCAAATTTATAGTTTGATACTCATTTAAGCAATCATGTACGGTAAAGTAGTAGACCAAAAGATACCAAAGTACGCAGTCAAATTCATACTTTGATACTCAGCCAACCACAAAATGTGACCCAAAAACAAATCACAACTCATCTCAAAGAAAAATAGACCTCAAAAATCCTGACAGGAAGAAAAGTGAAAATATGAAACGGAAAAAAACAGTTGGCTGTTTCTAGTCGTCATAATATTCTCCTCGACACCGAAAATATCTCATTTCATTTTCTGTCATCGCGTTGTGGGGCGAAAAATAGGAGAAGACGAGCAACATGAGATTATCTGCGTTTTTTTACGACAACCCATTAATTCCAGATGTTGATGTTTTGAGGATAGAAGAAAATGGTTGTTTTTTTTTGTTTGGATTTGCGGGCACCGGGAATCGAACCTGACATCTTGTGGGTAGAAATATTCGATACATGAAATAAACGTTTTCTTTCCCCATAAATACAACTTTATTAACATGAGCAATGAATTATTCAAACAGCTTTGACTCCGCAAATCACTCCCGGATAGGTCAAAGTCCCATTTCCATCGCCTAATCCTTTTAGTTCAGTGTCCAAATAAGCGAAATTCTGAATAGTATCCCAATTATTGGGTTGTACACCTTCCCAAACGAAACCCGCAGTTCCCGAAGTCACACCATCTGTCCATCTGAACGAGCTCAATTTAGTGCAACTCGCTGTCAATTTTTGACCAATACAATTCTCGACTCTTTCAGCGCCAACATAAAATCTTCCATGAGCTCCAGAATTCGCTGCTCTAGCCTGAGCAATCATTGTTAAAACTTCTTGCGCATTTTGGAAACCCGTAGCTTTTGAGTTTGCGTAGAGGTTTTCACAAGTTTGCGCTGCTTCTGCCTGTTGAATCGAGGATATGGCAGTTTTCATGCACCACGAATAATTTTCCCTGTTGAAGATTTGCCACGTGACATCGGGACAGCCACGTTGAGGACAGGCATGAACTAGAATGATGAGAGAAAACAGCCAGAAAATAAACATTTTTTTATTTTTCTATAATGTTTTTGAAAATAGGACATTTTTATATTTTTATAGGAAAAAAATTGTTTTACGAGTTTTTTTAATGAGCAGCATAACATTATGAAAGGATCAATGTACATACATTTATATTAGGATGCAAAACACAATCTGTACGATACCTTGTTTTCTAGTCAGAAGATGTCAAGTTCGATTCCCGCAGCCTGCAAAAGTTTCTATCGAAATTATTTGTCTATTAAGATCTTTATCCATACGATTATTTGCAATCATATTTGATTGCTTCTCATAGTTTTTTGAGATTGACAAATGACAAATGATGACTGATTTTATCTCTATCAGATTCTATTGAAAAAAAATGGGAAAAATGCAGGTTCAGATCACATCAGATCTGCGCGCAAAATTTTTTCGTAAAATATGTAGTTTTGCGCACGCAACTTCACCTCTTTCTTTCTCTCATCGGAGATCATAAAAGTGTCCAAAAATCATCGCATGTTCGAAAAAACTGAACTGAACTGATTTAGCGGGTTTATATATGTCGGATGGAGATCATATAATTTCCACAAGAAAATGTTGAAGACCATCATTTTTCTGATCTATTTTGTGCGGTTTTGTGATTTTTGTATAGCGACGAATAGTGGAGGAGGATGTGAGTTTTAGTGGCGGGAGGCAGAGTTACGATATTTTTAATTTTTTTCAATAGTACCTGTGCTAGATGATGAGTTGGAAGAGGGACCGGGGGAACCTGAAGAGCCTTCAACTCCGAGCACAACTACTACAGAAGAGCCTGAAGAGCCCGGAGAGCCCACAACCCCAAGCACCACTACCACAGGAGAGCCTGAAGAGCCCGAAGAGCCTGAAGAACCCACAACCCCAAGCACCACTACCACAGAAGAGCCCGAAGAGCCTGAAGAACCCACAACCCCAAGCACCACCACTACAGAAGAACCGGAAGAGCCCACCGACTCTTGCCCCGATGCCACGTGGACCCTTTTCGATAGAGGAAGTTATTCCTGGTGCATGAAAGCGATAGTCCAATCGACCCAAGGCCCCACAGCTGCACAGAATTGCGAAAACTTCTACAGTGGCTCGAAACCGTCTGGCTTCCAAACCGCGACTGAAGTCACAACAATGATTGCTCAGGCTAAAGCAGCGAATAATGGAGTTGATGGTCGGTTTTATATCGGCGCTTATCGGAATGCTGCGTGTATTGGCAAGATGCTCACAGCGAGTTGCACGAAGTTGAATTCGTTTTATTGGACAGATGGCGAGACTTCAGGGACTGCTGGATGGATTTGGGATGGTGTTCAACCCAATAACTGGAACTCTGATCAGAATTATGTTTATTTGGATACAAGTGCAAATGGTATGGGTGATGCAAATGGTGCTGCCACGTATGCTGGAGTTATTTGCGGAATCAAAGCGACCTAATAATTATTTTAAGCATATAATTAATAAATAATTAATAAAGGCTTTGTTCCTTCCTGGACATAGATAAAAACCTGATCTTGATGATGATTCAAAAAAATAATAATAAATTAATGATCTAGATAAGAGTGCAGAAATTTTCCAAGAGAAAAATAAGAAGGTGTTAACATGAGCAATAACAAAATGTGTTAACTTTTTATTCAATCAATTTCCTCAATGATCACAGAACTTGGCGCTTCTTCAATCATTCCATAATTGGTCTGAGTTTGATTATAATCAAAGTTTTGATACATTTGTTTTAATTGACCAAAAGTTGGAATCACTCTTATTTTTGAGCAAACATCATCATTGGCTTTTCTCAACAGTGAAATATAATTAGGAATGTTTGAAATATCCTAAAATAAATCATTGATTAGACAATCAATTGATGGTTAACTCACAATTTGTGAAATCGTATTTTCAAATCTGATACAAGAATCAAAAACATCATCACATGATGTTCTCACAGAATTCAAAAACAACCATTGTCCTTTCTCTAAAATTTCCAGATAACTTTCCGATTCATTTTTCATCAGCTCTTTCTCAGAATCGACAGATTTCCGTAAAATTTCCATTTTTGAATTGATAACTTCTTCAGGTATCTCGTTCTTCTCCTCTTTTCTCCGATTCGCGATGCGTAACTGATTGTGAAAATAATTTCTGTTTTGAGAAAAGAAAAAATGAACTCACGATATCTTCCAGAAGCAAATGATTTCTTGAAATTTCTCGATTAGAAGTTCTCAAAAAATTCAATCGATTTGTGAAATAAGATTCCAATTTCATAGTCCATAATTTTTTCCTCATCATTTCTTGCATAAACTTCATTTGATCATCCAATTGTCTCTTCCGCTCCTCCCACATTTTTCTGGAGTTTTCTAATTCGATTCGAGTTTTCTCACACAACTCTTCCAATTCTTTCTCCTTTCTTTGCCTATTTTCCTCCGCCAATCTTAATTAATCAATTCATTGTGAGTTTTTTAAACATCACTATTAATTGTACCTGTTAAATTCAAGCATTTCATCGTTGATTTTTTGTCGTCTAAGTTCTGATTCTTCACTGTTTTTCTTTGATTCATCTTGAATTTCATTGATGATACTGAAAAAAGAGATTAGGATTGTGAAAATTTTCCAGGACTTTGAAAAAAAAAAACATACCTTTGAGTTTCTTCTTGCTCTCTCACCATCATTGAATCAAATTTTGCTTGATTTTCATGCATTATTTGGGCATGTATCTGGAAATACATTTTTTACAAAGGAGCTTGTAAAAAGTATTCGTTGAGCACAATGCTGAGCTCCTCGAATTCCATAAGACCGTATTTCTAAGTTTTTTGAGGCTGCTCATTCAGTTTTCGTAGCTCTACCTGTTCTTTTCTCTCCAATTCTTTCGCTGCACAGTATTCCATCTCCCTGAATCGATGTTCCTGTTCTCGCTGTATCTCGCTTTGTCTCAACTCATTTTGCCTTTCAATTTCAGCCATTTTTCTTCGCATACTCTCTTCCCGCTCTTTTGCAGCCATTTGGTTGATTTTCCGACGTTCCTCATTTTCTCGCGCTCTTTGTCTGGAAATATTTTTATCTCGGAAAATATTCTTAGAACATTCAAAAACTGACTCTCGCTCTTTCTCGTTCCTCAACATTTCCTCATCAAATTGTCGACGCCTTTCAGCTCGTTCAGCTGCGATTCGACGTTCCTCTAAATCCTCCGCAGCTTGTTTTTCTTCAGTATTTTTATTTTTGCTGGACGTGAAAAGTTTTATGAATTGCTCCATCTGAAAACAATAATTTTTAGAGTAAAACTTAACATATTTAGTTTGAAAAATATAACATTTGGTTAAAAAACCAATTTTAGTGAATATAATAAATAAAATACAAAATTTTCATTATTTAAAAATGTGGTTATTTCTTCTGAACAGCCGCCGATGAACTTGATTCAATCCTCGCTTGATTCTTCAATTTTTCTGAAAAATGTTACAATTAGTGAGTGACGTGGCGAATTAATTACTAAATCAATTATAAATGTACCAGTTAATTGTTGATAACTTTTTGTCAAATTCTCCAAAGTTTTATCGTGTGGCGCCATAACTTTTCTGATTTGTTGTTCATGGTTTTGAATCGCTTTGAAATGTGATTCAAATTTTGTTTTCAACCCTTCAATTTGTTTTATATCATTTTTATCGATTGCCATATTTGCAACACATTGCAATGTTTGAACCGATTGATATTCCGTCTCAATTGAGCCAATTACACTCTAAATTAGCAATTATGTAGATAAGTAACTGGATTATTCATATATTTACATTGATTGTCTCTCGTAAATCTTGATCTGCTGAGGTATAATTGTTCAAATCAGCGCGAAGACTTCTAATTTTTCCGACGTTAACATTTGTAGCAAGCGCCCATTCTTTCAAACAAACCTGAATTTACTGGCTGATAATTAGTTCATTAATTAACTAGAGTTACCTCAAATTTAACATTTGATGAAGTATTTTTCAAATCGCATATATAATTCATAGCCTTTTTCAAGCTTTCGTTGCCTTTCAGTATCGATGAAGCCAAGTTTTTTTGAAAAACAATTGCTAATTTTTGACTACTCTCCATTTGAGTTTTTATCATCATTAGATCTAGGTTACTTTGAAGATGTTGTGTTTTTATGGCGTTTAAGTGCTCTTGTTTTTGTCTGAAATGAGTCATAGCGTAGCGGACTCGCGATTGTTTCTTACCCCTTCAATTTCAGTTGTTCCATTTTACTTTCATGCAGATTTGCCGCTCGTTCTCTCATTTTTTCCTCATTCGCCTTTGATCGCTCAATTTCTTCCTTCCCAAACAAGTCCAATTGAAAAAGTCGCTTTTTATCATTCTGCTTTTTTTCCTGAACAAGAAGAAGTTTATAGAAATTGTACACAAAAAAAACGAACATTCTCGATGTTACCCATAAACTCCTCGAATTTTGTTCTCTGTTTTTCTGCCGATTTTTTGATGTTTTCAGTTTCAGTTGAATGTGTTTTCCCCAAGGATAGCATCTGGAAACGTGCTATTATGTAATTTGTTAAATTTTTAAAGTAATCTAGAGCGCGCGCATCAGAATCACCTGATTTTCTGCTTTTAAATTACACACATCGTTTTGAATTTCAACGCAGATCCTAGTGTGTGTTTGTACCGTAAAAAATCACCTCATTTCCAAAATCCACATTGATTTGTTCCAATTCTTTTTTCGTGGTTTCTTCAATATTTTGTCTATTTTTACTATGTTCACTCATCATCGTATTCATATTATTCTCATATGAATTTTGTGTTTCCTTTATTTCCGCTTCACGTTGTCTGTAAATTTTCATTTCTCACACACACACATAAGTTTCTTCTAACCTTGTATAATAATCATTGTTTGATCTAGTTTCTTCAATTTGACGTCTTCTTTCCAGCTTTTTCCAGTTCAAGTTTTTCATTCTCCCGGTCAGATCCTAAATTTAAAGCTTAAAAGTTGAGTTGTATTCGTGAACTTTTATTTTTCTAACTCACTTTCCCTACTTTCCTTCAATTCACGTTTATTCTCTTCTCTCAAATTTCTCAGTCTTGCATCGTTTCTTTCTTGTTCAGCTTCGCCGTTATCTCCAGCCTGAAAAAAAATGACAAAACTCATCGAACCATTGATAAACTTACAATAATATCAAAAACTGATTTAAGAAGATCCATTGCTCAAAAACTAAAAAATGCCTATCTCAAGTTGCTTTTATCGAATATTTTATGGGCGGGGCCTATGCTTTTTGTCTTTTTGTCTTTTTCTCTCTTACTATCTAGAATATTTATTATCAAATTGTAGTTCATTGTTTATTTTCATTAACAACAATAACTTCGGGATGAGTGATTCTAAACGTAAGTGTTTTTTGTCCTATAAAAAATAAGGTTTTGAATAACCTATGATTTTCAGAAGACGACTTAAATGTCTCCATCGATTTGGGCAGTGCTGTGAAAAGTACAACTGATCTTATAGGTTCTGCTATTGGACTACTAAATGCGTCAAATGGTAAGAATAGATCTCAAAAAACCAACAGTTAATTAGTTTTTGTTTCAGAAAGATCAAAACGCAAAGATGCTCAATATAATACTGAGCGCAGAGATATTAACACCAGTCATGAAGCTAGTATGAAAGATTTGAATAATAGTATTGTGGCGGAGAGAGCAACAAGAAAACATGAAATCGAATCGTTGGATGGGCAGTTGAAAAGACAAGAAGATCGGAGAAGCGAACAGGAAAAATTATTCAATGAGAGACACTCGAATTTGGTGGAACGAAATAATTCGGCTATTCGAGACACTAACATTCGTCACGGAAAGGAATTGGTTGATTTTCAGAAGGATGCGAATGCTCAAAAAGGTTTTTTTAATAGATTGTACATAGATGTTTTTATCCGAGGTGGCCCATTTTGATGTTGTTTCTAACAAGAAAATACACATTGTAAGAAAATACACATTGTAGTCCAAAGAAATATTTTTCTATTTCGAAATATTTCGGAACAATTTTGCAAAAACCTGCGTTATCGCGAACAATTTGACAGTTTAATGACATACACATTTGTTATACAATTATTTCGAGTCATAAAATTTAGAATTAGAAATTTGACGTCAATGTGTACGTGTCAAGAGTCATAAGTTAAGAAATTTTATAGAATCACTCAAAGATCGACAATCAACTGAGAAGACTTTGATTGTCAATCATCATAATGCATTCAAATTGGAGGCTGAAAGATCTACCAGAGAGTTTGATATTTTGAGCCAAAAACGAATCGGTGAAGAGCAACAGAATGTATGAATTTTAATTAGAAATATTTTTGATTAAACAAAAACAATGTTTTTTGCCAAATTTTCAGCTCGACAATGCAAGAGAAAAAATGATATTTGAGAAAAAAGATCTTGCAAAAATGGCAGTGGAAAACGAGGAAAATCACTTCAAACAACGATTGGAATTGGAGGAGAAAAATCAAGCTGTGATTCAAGAAAGTTTGTCTTATAGGATACTTATTAACATAAATATCATTTTTTTTCCAGCGAAATCCATTATGAATGATTTCGAGAATCGTGAGTCAGAATTGAATCATGTTCGTTTAGATGGACTTTCGAGAATGCTCGAAAGTTTGAGTACTGACGAGACGAACAAAATTAATCTGGAAACTTTTTCAAATCTGCAACGTGGTGCTGGTGAAATCAGAAATAATATTTTCCTGATGGCTGGATCGATTCAGGTTTCAATAAAATCGGGTGATGATCGGAGATTTTTCAAAGCTGCAATTAAGGCCCAGGTTTGGGACAGATATGAAGTTGTCCCAAAAAAATTGTGCATTTTCAGCTTACTATCGAAAAATTACAAATTGATATTGTCAAACTTCGAGAAGATCTTCAAATTTCGAGTTACACGCTTTTAGATGAAAACAAGACAGAAGAATGTTTGACCTACATTGAAAAAAATTGTGATCACTTGAATGAATTGGTCAATAATGAGGTTTGTATTCTTATCCTTTTTTCTCAAATATATAAAAAGATCATCGATTCTTGCAGGATTTGAAGATTGAATATGATTCCGAAAATATCGGAAAAGTCTTGAAAAAACTTCTTGAACAATCAGCAGAACTTGTGCAAAACATTGTTCTGAAATTCGAAATTCCGAGTGAAAACCGATTTTTGAAAACGACTGTTGAGGCAAATCAAAGACTTGTTGAAAAGTTCGATTCGGAGAAATCGATTGAAGCGAGTTCGTCGAGAATTCAGCCAATTTGCGAAAATACGCAAGAGTATTTGGAGAAAGGAGATCAAGATAAGAAAGAGGAGAAGAATGAATAATTTTTTTTTGTTCGCTTTGTGAACATTTTATTTTTAATCTGAACTATCGGATATTTTCAGCTGTTTTTTGTACCCAAAATTGATTCGATTCCTTCTTTCATTTTTCATGATCATAAATAGTTTGTCAATAAACGGTCACATTTTTTGGTGATAACGCAGGTATTTTTTCAAACCTGATCAGAAATATTGCGAAATATTCATATTTTTAGTTACTGATAATCAAAAAAATATAATATCAAACATTTTTCCAATTTAAGGGACTAATAAAACTGTCACACTTTTTTGTTCTTTCCATAATATTTCTTGCTTTCCGGTTTCTCACTACTTAATACCATTTGATTCATCAATTTTTATCAGTTTTCTGCAAATATGCGTGAGTTTTTCAAAGTTTCACAAATTTCCAAAAAAAAAATATATAACTTTTACAGCGAGTTGGGGAGATAAAGTTAAAGAAGTTGAGGAAGACATAAGGAGAGAAAGAAGAAGACATGAAGAACGATTGGATGATTCAAGAAGAGATCATAATTCAGATGCACGTCGTCTAAGAGATCGTATTGAACGTTTGGATAAAGAATTGGCAGCGGAAGAACGTTTGGAATATTCAAGAGATACGAATGGCAAGGAAATCAAAGTGAGATTAGAACAATCGGAAAACGAAGAAAGAAAAAGAAAAGAATATGCTGAAGAAGTGAACGATGTTAGAAAATCATTGAATGCTCAAAAAGGTTGGTTTTTAATTTTCAGTTTTACGTGGAAGTGGAACCGTTCCACATTTACAGAAAAACAAGTCGAGAGTCAAATAAAAGAAAAAACGCAATTTATGCAAAATCAGTTGGAAAACACATTGGCTGCTCAAAAATCGTTGACAACATTTGATATCACGAGCCGGCAACAAATTGCGAGTGATAAACAACGTGTGAGTTAATTATTTTATCATAATAATATATTTCAATTATCTGATTTTTTAGCTTGATGCATTGGGAAATAACTTGGCAGAAGAGACGAGAAATTTGGCTGATTTATCGATTAAAAATCGGGATGAACAATTTGAGAAAATTCTTCAATTGGAACGTGAGAACTATGAGGCGGTTGAGAAAAGTTTGTTTGAACAAAAATCGAATATCAAGCAAATCAAATTACAGAAAAAGAACTTGACGCGATGTTTCTGAACCGCGCTAAAATGTTGGAACAGGAAAAAATAGTAGGAAGAACTGAATTGTATAAGGCATCTCAATTCGATGAAGATCGGAATGCTCAAAGGAACGATCTTCTGACAGTTCGTCGGAAATTCAGTGCGATGAAGGGGAAAGTTGACGAGTTTTGCTTGAAATTTGATATGCCGATTGAAATGAAGGATGAGAATGGATTCAGAAGAGCTGTGCATTTAGCAACGGTACATAATCACTAAATTTCTTGAAAAATATCAATTTTCAGCTCTATGTGAAAAATTTGGAAAAACAAATTCAAGGAATCGATGAAAATCTTCAGAAATTGCAAGAAGAAAAAGCAATGAAATCTACAACAATAATCAATTTGATTTTATCGGTTATTAATGATATTTTTGAAACTGAGAAAAAGGTAAAAAGAATAGGATACCAATTTATTGAGATATGTGTTTTTTGTAGACAATCACAATCGGAACATCGACAAACATCATGGGATATTTGAACAAATTGAATGAGGAAACGAGAAGACTTGGAGAAATTATTGAATTGATTCCTGAAATTCCTGAATCTAGCGATTTCGCAAACGCATTGGAATCATCAAATCACATGATCGGAAGGTTTGATCCAAAAAATGCTATCGAATCAAGTTCGCAACACATTCGACAAATTCAATAATTCTAATTGTAAATTGATAAATTTTTGAATAAAGTGAAATTTGAAGAAAAAAACAAAATTTTTCTCTCTCTCTCTCTCTGAAATAGTTTTCAAAGTGAACTGGAAATTTGTGTAACAATTTTTATCAACCATTTTTCTCCTGAAAATTTTTCCGAATTCAGTTTCCACGTGTTTTAAACAGTCTAGTCAACAAAAAATTCTCATTTTCGCTTTTGAAAAATTATGAAACTGAACTATTCATTTTTTCAATGATTTTCTCTATTCAAGCATCAGATATTGAAAAAATCGGTGAGATTTTTATTTTTTTAATTGTAACAAAAGTTTTTTGGATCTCAAAACTCTTCGAAATGGTCCGCATGTGGAAAAGACGACGAAAATCATCGAAAACCTGCTAGATTTGGAGAATCGTGAAGATTTTGATGAAGATTTCGATTTCCACAAAGTAGAAATTCAAAAAACGATGACAAATGAGGGTGGAAAGTTCGCAGAAGCTTATCAATTTTTCGACTCGACAATTTTCAGATACACATTTGTTGAAAATCGAATTTCACTGAATTTGGATCAATTTTTGATTCAAATATTTTTGGAAAAACAATTTCAACCGGGCAAATTTGTTAACTTATCGATTGTGGATGATATTTATCGATTGAATTATCGAAATGAGGAAACTGGTTTGAGAACTTTGATTCATATTGCAAAATGGAGATTGGAAATTGTGCTAATTGCGGTTCACAAAATTCAGACTTGATTCATAAATTTATGTCATTAGTTTCATCTGAAAAATTATTGATTCTCGGAGTTTCTTTCCTGCAAAATGAAAAAAAAATCAAAAAAAATAAATGTTGACTACGGTAGCTCGCGTTGTGTGCATTGCAAAGTGTTTGCACACATTTGAAATTTTTAGGCCCGCTCATTCGCATTTCTTGGGTTTTTTCGTTGTTTTTCGGGGTTCTTTGGTGGAATTCGGGTTCTAGTGAAATTTTGAAAGTTCAGGAAGCTGGAAATTATTGTTTTCCAGTCTGAGAATCGAAGAATTTGTTATTTGTCGAGCTAAAATTGATTTTTGACGATTTTCAGTGAATTTAATTCGTAAATCAACTATTCTATCTTTTTGCAGGTGAAATTTAAGTTTCATTAGGGTTTTGAAGATTTAGAAAGCTGAAAATTCAAGATTTACAGCTTGAGAATCGATGAGGTCGTGATTTTTCGTGCGCAAATTGATTTTTGCCGATTTTCCAGGTTAAATTTCATTTTCAGTAGGATGTTGAAGATTCAAAAACTTGGAAAACTTGCTAATTTCTTCAAGGATTCATTTAAAATGGCGCAATTTTTAGTAGAACTATTTTATTCTGATTTAAGTCTCAATCCAAAAGTTTTAAAGTCTTCTTGAAGTTCCCTTATATTCATATTGTGTTTTCTGTTGTTGTTCCATACTATCATCTTTGGTCGATAACGACAAAGATTCACTAAGTGTCGATTTCTTCTTCTCCTCTCTCTTCTTATCTTTCAAAAAATTCCAAACCACCCATCACCGATTCCTGGCTCGCTTTTGATTTATTCACTTCCGTCATTTTTGAGGCTTCTTTTGAAGGGTTGGCTATAAAAACATTAGGGCTAATTGTATTCAAAATATAATTAATTTACCTGGTGATTCAAGAGCCGCTGGTTCTGCCGATTTTCCACCCAATTTTTCAGCTGATTTTGATGGTTGTTTATTTTTGGATGATTTGGCTTCCTTTGCACTTCTCAAATTCTTCTCCACGTCTTTATTTTTTGCAGAATTAGGATTTCTTTTGCTGCTTTTCTCATCTGATTTTTTTCTTGTTCTTATTTTTCTTCCAAAGAATGAAACCAACAACTCCGCAAATTCCCAACAAAATGATGACAATCACAATTACAACGATAATTATGATGAGAATCGGTGAATCTTCTTCTTCAGTTTTTGATGATTCTTGCGCAGAAGCTACAGGTGAATCTTGTTCAGAAGTTTGAATTGGTGGATCGGTTTGTGGAACTTCTGGAGTTGGGAGTGGTGCGGGGCTCGTTGAAGTCTTCTGATCAGGAGTAGTTGTCGGCTTCGAAGTCGTCACTTGTGAAGTTGAACTTGGTACTGAGACTGTGGTGTTTCCTTGATCTGTGCCGGCTTCGGGATGCGGAATCGTTACCGGATCTTGATTTTGAGTAGTATTCGGAATCGGCGTTTTTGTTGCAGGTTCCGAAGTAGTTACTTCAGTTGTGGGTGTTGCTTTCACAGTTGTCGATTCCGAGGTGGGTTCTATAGTTGCAGAAACCACCGTTGTCTTAGATTGCAATTCTGGTTTTTGAGTTGTATATCCCACACTTGTAGATTCCGATGTTGGTTTCTCAGTTTTCGATTCCGATGCTGGTTTTTCATTTGAAGATTGTTCAGCTGTAGATTTTGCAGTTGTCGATTCCGAGGTGGTTTCTATAGTTGCAGAAACCACCGTTGGCTCTACAGTTTTAGACTGCAATTCTGGTTTTTGAGTTGTAGATTCCACACTTGTAGATTCCGATGTTGGTTTCGCACAGTTGTAGATTCCGATACTGGTTTTTCAGTTGTAGATTGTTCAGCTGTAGAATTCGCAGTTGTAGATTCCGATGCTGGTTTTTCAGTTGAAGATTTCACACTTGTAGATCCCACACTTGTAGATTCCGATGTTGGTTTCGCTGTTGTCGATTCAGGTGTCGGTGTTGTTTTCTCGGTTCCCAAGACTTTATCGACGCTAAAAAAATCATAAATAATTCCCAAATCAAGTTTTCCAAACTCACAATTCTCCTGTTTTCTTGCGTAGTTCTTCGGAAGCATTTTCTAAAAAAAAACATTTATATGCTTTTTTAAAAATAATGTTGGAGATTACCTTCATCAGTTTTAACCCCTTCAAAATTATTAACGTTCAATGAAATATAATCACCGCTGGTCTTGTCATCGAATCTGATCAATGAAAACTTGAATGTATCTCTGTCCAAAGCAGATTCTTTGAATTTGTCATAATATTCGCAACTATCTCCATTGTGTGTTTGATGAGCAATCAATAAAACATGCTTGAAATGGGACACATCGTCTTTTTTCAGTGTTTCTAGATCATTTCCGAATTCGGCACAAGATCTTGCTTGTGGTGCATCTCTCTCAGAATTATCGTCGTTTTTAATCGGATTAGAATCCAGTTGGTTGATAATCTTAAGTTCTTGATCTCCTTGAACAAAAACCGCTGATGGAACTTCTGGCAACCAACAAATTGTTTGTTTCAGAACATAGAAGATCTCAGCTTTCTGTAAAAACCATATTTCATTGTTAGACTAAAACTTATCAAAACTCACATGATTTTGACCAAAACCCAGCATAAAAATAACTAATGTATCGTTTTTCGGTGAGATTCGAGGTGTTACTTGACACTTTGGATTGTTGTAATTATCTGCATTTGTATTGAAAACGGTGAGCAAAGTTACTATTATTGTTAAAATATTTTTAGTTTTCATTAGAAAATTTCTTTTTGCTATGTTCTCATGAATAGAGAAATGAGAAGATTCGGGCGGTTTTTCGGTCATCTGAAGCGTGGATTTTGTTGTGACGTGGAGGTCTCACGTTTTATTGATTTTTGGAATCGAGAATTTCTTATCACAGATTTTGTCTTTTTCTTGAGACTCATTTAAATTATTTCAAAATTCGACGCAAAAATCATTTTTTTTGTCGGTATCATCAAATTTCACAGAAAACTTCAGATTTACCTATTTACCTGTTCAAATTTTCAAAATCTATGAATTTTCTTTTTCTCAATGTTTCCTAAAACCCCAAAAATCAATAATTTTCAGATCAAACAACCAAAATGCTTTATCGCTAGTTCTACCTCACATATTCTTGAAGTTTCAGAGCTCCGATAATTCTTCTCAAGTCGCCCATTTTGAAATATGAGACGACTGGGAAAAATTATCAGAGCTCCACTTCAAATTTTCAAAGCCGATTTTATCAATATATCAGGTATCTTTTGATTTTCAAATCTAATGGAAAAGTTAGGCTCGAGTTGTTGTGGTGGAAGAGTTTGGGAGGATCCGAGGTTCGCCGAGATATCTAGCAGTGGTTGCCTGAAATTTGAGATTTCAAGTTGCGATTGTGAACTTCAAACCTCAATAACAGTTTGTGCTCTTGGTTCACTACCAAAAATTGGAACTTTCGATTTGCGCAGAACCTTAACCAATCCCTCTCGATATGGTGCGATGAAAAACATCGAGACAATCGGTGTCAACATCGGAATACAATCCATCAATCGGAAAGTGATGACTTCCGGAATCGGACCGGAAATGATGCCAAACTCAGCTAACGTGAAGATCAGCGATGCTACCAGCCAGAAAATCGGAATAGTCGCCTGAATTGTCAACGCCTTCACCAGTTTTCGATGCGATGTTTTGGCGAGTTGCGAGATGTTCAGTGTGTTTTCCGAGTCGCTGAGAATTGCCAGTGTTTTTCGACGGAGATAATGGATTGCGACGTAGATTGGGACACATGGGAGAGTCATGTAGACGATGGCGGTCACTGAAGGAAGGCTGAAAATTGTCAGATTTCCGCTGACGGTTAGATTTCCCCAGATGGTTTTGTTGGTGTAGTGGTAGGTTGGATGGAGGTTTGACATGATTTTGAGGAGTTCGTTGGAGTCGCCGCGGTCCAGAAAGTAGAAGAGCTGGAAATTTGAGAGTCTGGAAACTTTAGGTCGTAAGGGACTAGAAATCCTATATTCGAATTTCTAGGCCTAGTTTTGGTGGCCTAAGAAGCTTTTTTTGAATTTCTAGGCCACTGAACTCACAAAAACCACAAAACTGCACGAATAAACAGCAAATGACGCCGCAATCATTTGAAAAATCGTCATAACATCCTCCTTCAAAATTCGCCAGCGATAAATAAACGAAAACAACAAAATCCACTGTGAATGTGCCATCGAATGACACACAAAACAATGACAAAAATAGCACAAGGATGGTCCGAAGAATTTGCAAGGTCCGTGGAAAATGTAAGTCAAAGAGAAGCCCGAGAAAATTGTTCTGGAAATTTGGATTTTCCAGGTTTTCCAGCTCAAACTCACTTCTGACATGCAAAAAGTGAGGCTAAACACGTCCAAAAATCGAAAAATGCGAAATTTAGCAGCAAAATTGCATAGCTTTTCATGTACTTGGGAGTTTTTGTCAAAATCAAGAGAATTAGAATGAAATTTGCTAGAATTCCTGAAATTCAGTTTTTTTTGAAGTTATTAGCCGAATTTTAACTTATTAAAATTACCAGTTCCACAAAGCACTTCTGAAAGATGAGTTCCAATTGAATCAATAAAAAATATGGTGTCATAAGAGAAATTTTCACTGGCTACCATAGTTTTTTCTCGAATCAAAAATGAAAAATAATTAATTAATTTTTTTCGAATTCTAATAACTCCCACTAATTTCCCAACGGGATGTTTTACCACAAAAACAAGAAAAATCAGATTTTCTAGAAGGGGGAGCGGGGAATTTTTAATGAGATTGCTTAACTTTTTCAGCACATTGTCTAGCCATCACAAAAAAATCATGCGAATTCAAAAAAATTTATATTTTTCATCTTCCCCATATTTCAACAAATAGAAATGAATATTGTCTTTTCTCTTCTTCTCCTGATAATAAATTTTGAAGCGTTCCATTCGACAAGTTCAACACGGAACGATACTTTACAATTCGAGTTCGATCTGTATTGTAAATTCATGGAAACTCGGCCATTCTTCAATTTTGAAATGAAAATTGTGGAAGTAGATTTTGGTGAGAACGATGTTATTATTCCACCAACCAAAAAAAAATTTACTGATATCATGAGTTTTGTTAAATATTGGGGCTATCAATGTGGAGATGGTGAATCAACTGATTATTATTGGCTCGCATTTTTTGAACATAATTGTACAGAAAATGGACAAACTAGACAGGAGGTTTTGAGTCAAAATACGAAACAACATTTGGAAGTTGGAGTTGATACTAGAATTAGTTTCAAAATTGATTTATCGGATTTTGATTCGAATAAAGTTCAAAGCTCTATCAAGTATGAACGTTTGGAAAAAAGAAAAAATTAATGATTCCTTCCGAATTCAGATTTTTGTTTTGTGGTAAACTCATTTATAATTTCTTTGTATTGTCAATCCGAAAATAAAAGAGCCATGGAAGAGAAAACCAAAATACAGTAGACTTCGCGGCTGCCTTGATCTATTGTATTGAAAGAGGAAATATTTGGTTTTCTAGGCCATATCGGTTCTCTTCCAAGGGTCACAAAATTTCGGACGAACAATACCGCATTTCCTAAAAGTAATTTCAAATCCACATCCGGATCAAATTATTATTGAAACAAACTCTTTTACGGCTGTTTCTTATCATTTTTTAAAATATTGTCAGGTCTTCACGAAATAATGAATTTCGAAATATTTCTCGACAAACTTTTCAATTTTTTTTGAAAAGTGGCATTTTTAGTACGATAAAAATTCTTGAAAATTAATTTTCGACAAATTTTCTGGGTAACCCCAAACTGAAATGTTTCATGGCCGAACAACTCAAACTTTTTTTCGAAAATCCAATATTTATTCAACAAAATGCAAGTTCAAGATTTTAAACTTCGCGGCCAATCAAGAAAACGATAGCGACAAACAAGGCGATTAGAGCACCCGAAACTGATTTAAGAATCTCGTAACCGCAAAAAATGACCAAAACAAAAATTCCATCTTCTTTGCGTTGACGCCACAATTGATCGTTGATTTTTTTGCGAATCTCCTGAAATTTTTTTGTTGTTTTTAAAAATTTTCAAATCTCAAAAATCTCTGCTCACCGCCACGTTTTCAGCATTTTGTGCAAGATCACCCTGAAATATGAAATCATATTTGAAAATTATTTTTTTTTAGAAACTCACTTGGCTTTCTGCAAAAATTTTCAGAATAGAATTGCAAATGTCGTCGACGTTACTCATTTTTCTTCGGAAAAAATTGGAAAATGATAATTGCAATCAACTCTTTTTATATTTAGCACGGTGTTATCTTTTTCTGAATATTGAAGCGTGCATTTCGAAATATTTCTCGATTTTTTTTCAAAAAAAAAATACGTGTACTTCTCTCGGACAAAAAATCCCGCCGAAAAACATCGTAAATACAAAAAAATCCGAAAAACAAATATTTGGTGCCATTTTTGATATACATATCACTGTGTATTTTTCCGCCCCAAAAAAGGCGCGGAAACGCGGAGAGTGTGAAAATGCGGAGAGACGCGGACAACGTCCGGAAAACCTTTTTAAATCCCCGAAATTTTGATACACTTTTATCAGCAGCAAAAAAAATGAAGATTTTCGTGTTTTTCACAGTACTTTTTTGGGTTACTGTAGAAAATGCAGGTATGTTCCTTTAAAAAAATTGAAATTTCTTCGAAAATCACCGTGTATTTCTCTCGAACAAAATAAGTTTTTTAAAGGCGCATTGAAATACCGTCGGCTGGTCAACAAATGGTCTCACAGCGATTGTGTTCGACCGTGGCAAATTTCGATGATGACAAAACCGACGCTTCGGGTCCCGGCACGACCAATCGAATGTAATCCGGATGAGGAGAAAGATGAGGTACGGTAGGCGGGATTTTTTTGGAGCGGGAAGTTTGAATTTTTTAAATATAAATTTTGGGCTGAGAATCCACGTGGAAAATCTTCAAAATTCTGAACTTTAAATTTTTGCAGAACTGTCCAGCTGGTCGAAATTCAATCTGTCAATATTCACTCAAAACTTTGCGCTACATTTGCTGCGAGGATAAAAAAGACGCGGAAATTCCAAGTGAGTTTTTCCGCAAGCTTCCGCATTGCCTTCCGCAACCACGCCACTCTTTTTCCAGCCTGTCCAAAATATCACGAAACACTTCTGCTAACTTGCGGCGGAATTTCGGCAGCCGGTCAATGTCCGCGCGGTTTCCGCTGTCTTTCAAGCGTTCAAGATGACACCGTGAAGCTATGCTGTAAGCCGAATCGAACTTTGACCTACAAAGAACCTGAGAGCAGTGAGTTGACCGACAAAAGTCGATTTCCGCAACCTTTTTTCCAGCCTTCCGCGAAAACCGCATCGTTCCGCGTCTCCTTCCAATTTCACCAGCTCATGAATTAACTGTAAGCTCTATTTCTTAAAAAAAACATTTTTCAAACGACACTCCGCATTTACAGGCCTCATTCCAAGGCGAAAAAATCACTATGGGTCAACTTTTTGATGCTCAAAATTTGGAGCAACTTTCGGAGCCGCCTGTGATGTCATCTGCTGTCGAATTGCATGATGAGAAATTATATACGATTATTTTAGTTGGTGAGTTCGGGAAAAACTACGATGCTCCGCGTTTACACGGGGGAAATTGGAATTTCTGGGCAAACAATGCACTATGTAAACACGGAGCATCGTTAAATTTCTCAAATCTTGCAACTTCCCCGCCTCGTAAACCCGGAGCATCGTTGTATCGCAGATTCCACGTCAAAAACCGTATCTTGGATGGTTGCCAACATTGCCGCTTTCGATGGTCAACTCGAAATTCATCGCCGCACAAAATCAGCAGTGACATATCAGGCGCCAGATGTTGAGGATCAACCAGCAGGTGAGTACGACGCTCCGCGGTTACAGCGCAGAAAGAGTTACTCAGTCAAGTACGCAGCCAATTTCAGGAATTCACACAATGGTTTTGGCTCTATTCCAACAATCCGACACGTGGTCTCAACGCGATTTGTCGCGCATCGCCGCCGACGACGAATTCTCACTTGCCACGTGGATTTCGGCGAACTCGGAAATCATTGAACCTCAACCAATTGCCGCCACTTTCTATGGTTTCTCGACGAAGAAAGATGATCGACGATTTTTGTGACGATACTCCGCGTTTACACCCTTAATTAATTTATTGATTTTATCTGCCTGTGTACATAACAAGAATTTATGATAACAAATTTCAACAAACAAATCCAGTTTTTTTTCTTTAAAAATCGATTTTTTGACAAGAACTTGTCGATTTTTCGTCGTCCAAAGCTGGTGGCAAATGGAGAACTCGGATTTGGAAGCCTGGAAAATTGGGCTTGAAAACTAGGCCAAGATTGGGAGCTTCAAAATGAGGCCTGATTTAGGCTTGGCCTAGATTTAGGCTTATTTTATAGGCTTGAAACTAGGCTTCATAATGAGGCTAACAAAAGCCTAACAAGGCCTAAGTCCAATTTCAGGCTTGCTCAGACTTGATTTATAGATTTTTTTAGAGCAAGAAAATGAGCCTAACTAAGCTATATTATAGTTTCGGCCTAGCCTTGTTTAGGCTCATTTTGTAGGCCTAATCTAGACCTAAAAAATTAGCCTGCCTAAATAAGGCCTAGGCCTAGCCTTATTTAGACTCATTCCAAATCCCCAAAAAATCCCGAACCTTTCTGACTATGTGCCTCAAAAATCAGGTCCAAAATCGGTGGGCAAAAACTGCCAACACTTTGAAGTTTGGGTAAATTTTTCAGATAAAAATAGCCGTTTGCGTTGCCCAGAAATTTGTAGGTCTTTTTTCTCGTCCTCATCGAATTCTTTGAGTTGGAAATGCGCGTCGGCGATGGATTCGATTTGTCGCCACGTGGCAGGCTGCAAAAATCTCAGATTTTTGGGTGAAAAAAGAAAAATTCGCAAAAAACTCACCGCGACTTCCTCCGAACATCCAACCAAATAACAAACCGCCCAACTTTCTCTCAAAATCCTCCTCAAAATTGCTAAAAACTTTGCGCGACTCTCCACATCCTCCCAAATCGCCGAAGTAATCCCGCGAATCACCAATCGCATCAAATTCTTCGTCGCACCCTTTTTCGCATGCGTCGCTAGAAGCTCGGCGAGTTTTGCGAGCAAATCCGCAAAATTCGTCGCAGCTATCAGCGAAATTTCGGGATTTTCCACGTGGTTTTGGAAATTCCATGGATCCTCTTGCGACTTTTCGCTAACTTTTGCGATTTTCTCGTAGCGCCATGCGATTTTCATGTCTTCTTCTGGCGAAATTCGCGGTGCAACGTTTGCAGGAGTTTCAGCCGCGATTTTTCGAGTTGGGATCGAATTTCGCAATTTTTCCGATGAATCTAGCGGATCTACCAAAATGCAGTGATGTTTTTGGGAGACTCCTTCGGCCAGAAAATATTTGATAAGAAATTCGGAATAGTAGCGACTGTTGACCTCGTCTGAAACTTGGAATTTTTGAAATCTGGGTTTTGTCGCGAAAATATGACCTACAGCGTGTTTTTGGCGTCAAAACACACTGCAAATTCACTCACCAATCAACACCAAACTAGATCCGGTCAACGCGCCGCCCATCAACGTGTCCAAACTCGGACAACCTGAGGATGTCTCCAAAATTCGCTTTTTCGTGGAGCAACCCGGGATTTGCACTTGCTCTCCAATGTTGAACATCTGAACTGGTTTTTTTTTCAAATTTTTAGTTCAAAATTCATGAGATAATTAGTGGAATTTTACCATTCTCAAAATAATTTAAATTATTTACCAGAATGAACCAAATATGTGTTTATTTACAACAACAAAAAAACTAATTTCTAACAAAAATCCTGAATAAATTATCCAACAATCGCAATTTTCTTCCTGTCATCTCCGGAAAGTTGCAATTCCTTTCTTAACGCTTCTCTCGCTTCCATTTCCTGTCTTCTTCCCATCACAACTTGTGATTTTACAGCGACAAAAGCTCCAAAACCGACTAAAATGATGCAAAGGTAGGCGAGCCATGTATTTCGATGATTTTTGTCCAAATTATGACGACCAACAAGTTCCGATCGATAAGCCCATCGTTGCGTTTGTCCTTCGATTTGAAATTCGCGATTTTTCAACGCACTTTGTTGACGAATCTTCTCTTCCAGCAAATCCATTTGCCTACAAAAAATTACGCTATTTTTTGCACTCAAAAAGTTTAGAAATACTCACGTTACATCTCTTTGTCCTTCAGTTCTATGAAGATTTGGGTTCTTTGACGAGAATCGCGTGAAAACACGGAGAATTCGCGACATTTTTGGGCGAAATAAAAATAAAACAACGAGACTCCGCAGTGCCTGCTGTTTAGCCGTAAATCCACACCGCGGCAATTTAAATGCAATTGTTTTTTTTTTTTTGAAATTTTCTTTTAAAAGAAAGATAAAAAAATTCCAAAGCTTTTATGACTGTGTTTTCTTGAATTAGGGGTTATGACTAAGCTCTAATCTAAGCCTAGTTTTGATCAATAAAAAGAATCAAAGAACATGTGAGAGACGCAGAGAAAACAAATATATCTCTCAAGCAACTTTTTTGCTGTCAGCTGAAAAATTTCTTTTCTTTATTTTATTTACGCTGTATAGTTTTTGCTGTTCTACAAAATGGAGATTCCGGATTTGCAGCACATTTGCGCGGTTTCCATTTCCCGTTCACTGTTTCAAGTAAGCTCCAGCGTACTTTTCAGCGCGAAACACACAGAATTCAAATCTCATTTTCTCCAGAAACACATAAGATGGCGTAAATTAACGGATTTGGCGTTCGAATTTCGCGAAATCCTCGACGAACTCGCGCCGCAATCGCGAATTTCGCCAGCCATTCGAAAATGTGTCAAAGAGGCGATTGTTGGAGTTTTGGCAGAAGTTAGAAGATGGGGTGAGTTGAATTTTATTTATTTATTTTTTTGAAATATTGAAAGAAAAAAATAATTTTCAGATTCCAAACATTCGGAGATGTTTGTGGAGTCGAAAAAGCGGCGAGCGGTGGCAAAAACCGAAATTTTGCGAACTTTTTATTCGCATTTGGTGTGGAAGAGATATCGGTACGGTGAAAAAGTTGAAAATTTATCATTGGAGCGCATTTTCTAGTCCGAATTCAAATAATTCGAAAACAATTTTCACTTAAAAATTTCTGGTTTTTTTGAAAATAATACGAGCAATATTTTTTTAAATAAAAAAATTATGCCACGTGGATTTTTAGCTTTTTTCAATCAGTCACTAACATGAGCAATGCCCATTGAACTCGAAATTTGAGTTTAATATGAGCAATGTTTTCCTTAATTTTCAAACTTTATTTTCTGGGGGCTCTAATATGAGCAATTTTTTCGATTAAAAACATTGCTCATGTCAACCGAATTCAAAAAATTCGCAAGTTTTGATGTAAAATGGTTTATTTTCATGATTTTCTCATTGGAGCACATTTGCTCGTCCGATTTTAAAATAAATTCGTTTTAGAGTCATTTTTCAGCCCTGAAATCGATGACGTGGCAACATGTAGTCATTTGATTTCAACAGAACTCAAAAACTGGCCACTGATGCAATTTCAATTCGCCTGCCTTTACGCGAAAACCGAGTTGATTTTCGACGATTGGAAATTTGACAAGTATCGAAGAGCAACTTTTAAGTGAGTTTTCGAGCTTCCGCAAAGCTTCCGCGTCTTTTCCGCACCCCGAAAATCCCCGTTCCCTTCAGAATTCAACTCTCCGACCATCCTGTCTACGATTTTTGGCTAACTTTGATGGAATCCCGTCCGGATGTGTTTTTTGACACGGATCGACGTGTGGCAAATCAAAAATTGACACAATGTTTTGGATTTGCGATTCGAAATGGATATCGCGAATTGATGGAATTCATTTGGCAAAGGATTACGGATAGACATCGAGAGAGTGTGGGTGAGTGTGAGAGACGCAGACAATTTTTTTGAAATCTGATGGTGAAAGTTTTTTCTTCAAATTTTTGCGAAATTTTCTGAAAATCCAAAATTTTAAAAGTAATATGAAAAAAAGTTAAAATTCAAGTATACTGAGCAATGCTACAAAAATCGTGGAAAATTTGACATATGGATTTTTTGGAGCTAAAATTCAGGAATTTTCGAAATTCTAACATGAGCAATCTTCTCTATTATTGCCACGTGGATTTTTCAAATATAATATGAGCAATACTCTTTTCTTTCAGCTCTGATATGAGCAATGTTTTCTCTTGATAAAAAATCCAAAATTCAAAATTTTGCACAGGTCTTCTCGAATGGCGAACACAGTGTTTGCGAGCACGCGACGCACAAACCATGCAATTTTTGTGCCACAATTTGTGTCGAATGAATCCGGTGGGAACTGCGCGAATAGCTTGGGCCGCCTTTTTCGATGCTTTCCATCATTTGGCTTATGTAAGTTACTGGAAATGCATCAGCAGATGTTTGCTGTGTTCGCTAGAATTTCAACAAAAAATGAAATTTTGATTTTCGTTGAAAGAATTTCTAGAATTTCAACAAAAAATAAAATTTTGATTTTCGTTGAAAGAATTTCTAGAATTTCAACAAAAAATAAAATTTTGATTTTCGTTGAAAGAATTTCTAGAATTTCAACAAAACATGAAATTTTGAAAAGAATTTCTAGAATTTCAACAAAAAATAAAATTTTGCATTTTTTGCAGAACGAAAAAAGCGACATAATGGTGCCAGATCAATATCGGCGAAAATTCGAATTCCTGCTCAAAAACAGCTGCCCAATTTTACGACAAAGACTGCTGAAAATGGACAATTTCAGGTGAGGGAGAGAGAGAGACGCAGATATGAAAATCTCAATTTTCCAGACTTCTTTGCGACGCGTTTCGCCTGAATCTCAGCGACATTTTCTCGCTGCTTCTCAACTATTTGCCACAAGAGGATATTGCGACGGCTCGCGAATATGTCGATCGAATTTTCGATCGGAAAAAGTCGCGAGACGCGGCGACAATGCGAACGCGAATGTTGCGACGACAATTTACGACGGGGAATTGATCGCGATTTTAAAAATAAAAATATATATATTTGGACTCATTTTGCTCCAAAAATCCCAATTTTTCAGAAAAAATCCATTCATATTTGATGAAAAAATAAGTGAATCACAGAAAATTGATAAAATAAATATGTGAGAAAGAGAAATAAGTGGGGAAAGAGATCGAAAATGTGAGAGAAATGTGAGTGTGGCAAAACAAAGTTGACAAAAAAAATTAGTTAAAAAATGGAAACCCGTGAATTTTGCAGTAAGTTGTGGGTGTGGAGAAAAATTTAAATTTTGATTGTTTTGGCGCCCAAAATCCACGTGGAAAATGTTTGGAAACTTGAACTTAAAAAAAAAGAAGAAAAATCCAAGTTTTTTAATAATTTAAACCTGAAAATCTTCAAATTTCAGGTGAAAAACCACATTTTCTAGTTAAAAATTCCTCGAAAAATCGAATTTCCACCCCAAAACTTGCAATTCTCCACACCCGCAACCCAAAAAACCCAATGCCTATGACAACAAAACATCAATAACCAGCGGATCGAATTTCATCAAACTAAACACATCCGAAACTCTCGTCTGATTGTACAATGCTTTGATGGAACATCGAATCGAACTTGTGAATAATAGAACAGTTCCAGCTCTTTCGGCCGCATTTTCCGGACATTTTCGTTTACAGTAATCCATGAGTTCGACAAAACATCGTGAAAGAAGTGATTTGAGAGAGTCCGGTGATTGGCCAAAATGATTTTTGTCTGAAAAAATTCGGGGGAAATTATATAGTTTGGAGTATTTTCAGCTTTTCTGAGACTTCGCGCGACTCGCGTCTAAAAACAAAAAAATAGAGAAGAAATCAGAAGTTTCTCTATCCAAAAAACACAAAATAGTAGAAAGACAGTTCAGTTCAAAGGAACACACTACGAACAAAAAACCGTACCACGCGTCTGCTCAGATTTCGAGTTAGATCCAGAACCTGAAAATACAGGGCGCATGATTTTTTCAAAAATTCAAACTGTTTTTCGCAACTATCAGGTAAGTTTCCCTCAAATTTTTCAAATTTTCGGTCAAATTCAACTCACGTCCCAAAAGCAGCACAGTTTTCAACACGGCACACTCGAATTCATCAATTTCCAAATCTTTCATCGGATATCCGACACTTTCGAGTGATTCGTTGATAAATAATGGATGAAGTCTGAAAAAAATCGAAGAAATTTGTTGGAAAAAATGGACCGAGAAAAATACAAGGGTTTTTTTTGGCAGAAATTTTTGAGATTTATTATCCGAAAGAAGTAAACAGAATTTTATTTTCTGGTTTTTTTGTCCGAGAGAAGTACACGGAAATTAAAATTTGAATTTTTCTCCGAGAGAAGTGCACGGACTTTTCAGATGTTTTTCTTTTCAGATTTTTTGTCCGAGAGAAGTATACGGATTTTTTGTGAGACAATTTCAGGATTTTCTTGTCCGAGAGAAGTACACGGATCTTTATTTTCTGGGTTTTTCTTGTCCGAGAGAAGTACACGGAATTTAAAATTTGAATTTTTTTGTCCGAGAGAAGTACACGGATCTTTTCTTTTCTGGTTTGTTTTGTTCGAGAGAAGTACATGGATTTTGTAAGGCAATTTTAGGATTTTCTTGTCCAAGAGAAATAAACAAAATTTTTATTTAGTTTGTTTCTCCGAGAGAAGTACACGGATCTTTATTTTCTGAATTTTTTGTCCAAAAGAAGTAGTGGATTTTCCTTAGAATCGATTAGATTTTGAAAAAAACATTGCATTTTTTATTTTGAAATTTCTTGTCCGAGAGAAGTACACGGAATTTCTGGTGGCAAATTTGAAAGTTTCAATTTCTAGTGCAAAAAATCATGAAAAACAACAATTTTGCAGCTCGGATTTTCAGGATTTTGTTCAAATTTCCTTCCCAAATCTCAAAAATCACCCACTTTGCTTTCGTTTTCGCCTGATCCAGCTTGGCAGCATCCTCAGGCAATCCCAAAAAATAATCCTCATGCATAAAAGTATCATTTTGCAGTAGCCAGAATCCACGTTCGGCTCTTTGTGCAGTTCGATATCCTTGATCGACCAGCATGAATGTGAAGCCGAATTCGGTGAGAACGTGCTTTTTTTCGGCTAGTGGGAGACGGCGGAATGGCTCAAATTGATTGGCCCATTGGGCCGCATCGAGTAGGCCTAATCTGAGCATTGTGTTGACATCATGAGCTCGGGCTCGCCGGAAATTGTCGCCGTTGATCTGAAGAAGGAAAATTTAGAACTTGTTGATTAATTTCTTGAAGTTCTCAATGTTTTTGGATGGAAACCCAACAAAAATATATGAATTTTTTGAAACAGTGAAAAAAATGTTTTCTGATTTTTTACAATAATCATGGACCTAAAAGGTACTGCACAGGCAATAACGGAAGGATCCATAATGTGCACCTTATGGATCCATCACCTCGAGGGGGCTTGATGGATCCATAATGGATGCATAATGGAACCATTATAGATCCAGTATGGATCTATTATGGACACAGGCAATAACGGAAGGATCCATAATGGATCCATTATGGATCCATCAAGCCCCTTGAGGTGATGGATCCATAAGGTGCACATTATGGATCCTTCCGTTATTGCCTGTGTGTAATTTCACATTTAATGTAAAATGAAGGAAAGGATTTTTGGAACATTTTATCTCGGCCCATCAAATTCAGATTTTCCAATTTTTCATCTAAAAATCTCATGAAACGTAAAACTTTCGGGATTTTCTTCGGCATCATTTTTTGTGGAAAAATCAATATTTTTTCAAATTTCGAAAATTATTGATCTGAAAATGCTCAATTTTGAAATGTGGCATTGAAAAAAAAGGTAGATTTGTTAAAACGAATTTTTTGGTTATTTTTTTTATTCTAAAAATAGTGGAGCGTTCTTCCTAGACCCATCAAATTCAGATTTTCCAATTTTTCATCTAAAAATCTCATGAAACGTAAAATTTTCGGCATTTTTTTCGACATCATTTTTTGTGGAAAAATCAATAATTTTTTCAAATTTCAATTATTGATCCAAAAAAGCTCACAATTGTCAATTTTAAAACTTCTAATTTGTTACTTTGAATTTTTGTTATTTTTTGAAATTCTAAAAATAGTGGAGCTTCCCTTCTTGAGTAAATCAAATTCAGATTCTCCAATTTTCCATTTAAAAATTTGATGAAACGTAAAATTTTCAGAATTTTTTTCAGCATCATTTTTTGATTAAAAATCAATGTGTCTGGGATAAAAATCTAATTTCAACTCAAAAATCAAAATTTTTGGGTTAAAAAACCCCATTTCTACCCAAAAAACTCACTTTTCGATTCAGAATCGCAAAAATATCGCCGTTCATTTCCATTTCTTCGTGAGCCGCAAAAAACGATCGATGATTTCGAACCTGGTATTGTTGAAGTTTGACGAGAGCATCGATTAGGCTTGTACCAGAAACAGGAGATCCTGAAATTAAATTAGGTATTTCAGGTCCAAAAATTCCAGATTTTCAGCTCGAAAACCTCAAAATTTATCAATTTTCTGTCAATTTTCATGAATTTCAACAATTTTCAGCCCAAAAACCCATTCCTACCTCCAGTCACACTAACACCACTACTACTCGACGCATTCGATTGGCATTTCAGCATTGGTGTATCATCGACAATCTCTTGTTTGACAACGGCGGCCGTGGCCGAGTTTCCGGTGGCCGAGGAGGTTTTTGGTTTTCTCGGTCCCATCACATCTCGTCGCTGGATGGCTGACGCTTTCATTCCAACTGTATAGCATTTTTGGAGGCGGCAGTATCGACATATACATCGGGATTCTGCGGAAAAATTCCGAATTTTCAGTCATTTTCAGTCAAAAAAAACTCACCATTGGTAATTACACATTGTCCTCCCTTTAAACATTTATAAGTGACGTCATTGGTGACAGCTCTTCGAAAAAACACGATACATCCTAGGCAAGCCGGTGCACCGTATCGATTTCCGTTAACTCGATCACCGCAAACTGCGCAGCCTTCGAAAGAGGAAGATGAAGATGTGCCTGGTATTGAAGTCGGCATTTGCAGTGCGGATACTGTAAGCATACTGTAATTAATTAGGATTATTGATTGGTTTTATTTTAGAGAGAGAGTTTGGCAAAGTAAACGAAAATGTATCTAATTATCGATTTTCTGCTAAATGAGGACGAAATTAGTTGAGATTCAAAATTGCGATAAATTGCAAAACCATGTGGAAAAAAGTGCGGAAAGATTGGGATCTTTGTGAATTGCGAAGAGGTTTTCGTTACTTTTGGGTGATCTTCTGAACTTGCGAAAAACTCGCGCGAATGTGGAGAATCAGACGACTAGAGAAGGGCAAGAGACGCAGAACTGATGAATACGAAATTATCAGTCGCGGAAATTTGCGACTAAAAATCTCCTGCAATCTAAATTTTGCACTAATTTGATCTTTTGGACTGAAAAATCATGACTTTCGTCAAATTTTTAGTCACTGGGCGACAAAATCGCAAGATTCACGCGCGAAAAAATCGCCACCAAACCACAAAATCGTGTATTCTAAACAAGCACACTTTCTGATTTTCGATCTCTTTGCGAGCGAGAAATAAATCTATAGTACTTTTGTGCACAAACGTTTGGTTTGGGCGAAAAATGAAACAAAAACGGTCAGATGAACAAATAGTACCACTTGGACTGTCTGCGTCTCTCAATCTCTCGCCGTTTCTCTTTTGAAAAGAGGTTTGATTGTGAGGAATGTTTTTGTCTCTAGTTTGATGTGATCCTCCGCGAGAAGTACACGGGATTTTTGGAGTCAAGGTCAAAATTTATTTATAAAGATATACATCTTCCACCGTGTTTTGAACACTTTTCCTGTGAAAAACAAGATTCCGCGAATGCGGAAACGCGGAAACAAGCGACTTTGTCGCAGTGATTTTCTATTTTTTTGGTGGCGACGAAAATTGATAAGATACTAAATAGTGTGTGACCGAAAAAAAATCAATTTTGGGTTCAACAAAACTTTTCAGTCGAGAGAAAATACAAAGAGAATACGAAGTTTCACTAGCAAAAATCAATTTCCGTTCAAAAAATCATACGTTTCTCTGCGTCTCTCACTATCTAATTGAAGAAAAATGTGTAATTTTATATAATTTTTAATGCTATGAGGAGGGCATCAAAGAACACACAAAAACGAGGAGGAAAAGTGCATTTCTAGTTCGCGAGAAGTACACGGAATTTTGACTTTTGCAGGGTTTCTGATTTCAGAGATCTTTTGGTGGATGGAAATCAAGATTTTTCAGCGGGAAAGAATTTTTAAAGTAAATTCGGACCTCCTGCTCGTGGCAAAAATCGTCATGACTCATGTTAATTTTTCCACGTCATAGCTCAGCTATGCCTTGAAACAAACGGTTTTCCAGTGGGAAACTTGATTCGATACTTCGGATTAAAAATCAGATTTTTCTGCTAGAGAATCTGATTTTCTCGAGAAGAAATACTTGATTTCTATTCGATTTCTAGGATGAAAAATCACGAAAATTACGATTTTTGGATGAAAATTCGAAGATTTCAGCTAAGAAAAACTACACCTACCCTAAATTCGGTGATGAACAAAAAACGAAACAATACGATTTTTCGATGAAAAATCAATATTCTAGGCTCAAAAACCATCAAAATCCACAATGTTTCACACAAAAAAACCAGCAACAAAGTTCACAAAAAGGTCTGGTTATGCCTCGTTCATAAAACCCAACATCAAAAAAACGTATGTATGTGTGTAAATAGAGAAAAATTGGAAAGAAGAAGGAGAGAAAGAACATAACGGCGGTAGGAAACGCGAAAAAAGGACACTTTTTCGCCGATTTTTATTGATTTTTGGTTCGGTATTATTTTTTATCGATGGACGGAAAAATCATCGTCGTGATGATGTTGATAAAAATATAATATTTTTGTTGCTTCTAGCGAAGAGAATCGTGATTTTTGAAGAAGAGAAAGATTAGAAGGAAAGAGAGAAGAAAAAGTGAAAATTGATTTGGTTGGAGGTTTTTTTGTAGTATCAAAATATAAATACACTGGTTTTTTGGGTTTTGGCACGAAAAACACTCACAGAAATGACGTCACTATCGAGAATTCGTGTTTGCAAATATTGGAAATGAAAAATTAGGTTACAATTCAAAGAGTCACGTGAAAATTTAATTTCTAAAAATTTTCATCATTTTCAGATTTTCAGCCTCAAGAATTAGTGAGTAAATCGGAAGCTTTCGGAAATGGGAATTTCAGCATTTTTTAGCCTTTATCTAGGATTTTCAGCTGTCTGTTGTGTTTCTAGCTAGAAAAATTATTGAAAATCTGGCAATAAGCGGATTTATAGCGAAATTTTCAGCTGAAACTTGTTCCTTAAACTGAATTTCAGCCGAAAAACAATATTCAGACCAATTTTCAACCCTACAGAAGATAGTAGACTTTGTTTAGATTTCAAAAAAACTCACAGAAATTCGTCATTTTCTATTTGTCGAATTCGGAGAAATGAAGAAAAAATAGTTTCGGGCGAACAATTCGAGGTTATCACTCACGTGAAATCAAAAATGAAATTTTAAATTCATTTTGAATTTTTGCTTGGCTGAAAAGGTGACGTATTTTCAGCTTTGAGAGTGATTTTCAGCTGAAAGAAGTAATTTTTCACATTACAATCTAATTTTAATCAAAAATAACACTGCCAACTGTGAAAATCGTTAAAAAAATCCAGTTTTTGGTTAATTTTCAGCTGTCAGAATGATTTTGGACATAAAAATCTGGAAAAATCGTCTGATTTAGGTCTAAAAACTCTCTGGGGCTTGGGAATATTCTACTTTTTCAGCTTCTGGATGATTTTAAGCCGAAAAATAACAATTTTTCTGGCTTCTAGAGTAATTTCGGATGAAAAATCACCCCTAAGACCAAAAAAAAAATGGAAAATCAAGTTTCAGAAACTCCAAATGCGTCATTTCCCAAATTCCCACCGACTAGAAAACGGAACTCGACACTAATTAGTTCTATGTGCTCCAAAAACCAAAAAAAAAAATACACACAATTTTTCTCGCGCAGCAGCCAGCCAGCAAAATCACTCAGGGCAACCAAAAATGCACGAGGAAACGCCAAGTTTTACTGATTGACATTAGTAATTTTTGTCTAACATGAGAGAAAAGAGAAGCATCACATCATCAGTTAAACTAGACTGAAATTGAATTCAGACTTTGTATTTGATTTGGAACCAAAATAACAATATTTGTATTACTAATCCCAGGCTTAAGGTTTTATTGGCAAGGGGAAAATGTGGTTTTGGAAGCAAAAATTGGGCCTTTTTGGATACGGATTCGATCGAATTCAGGCTTGATTATTAGGATTTTACGGACTTCTGAAACCCGCCAAGAAAAATCCTAAAAATCAAGCCTGATTCTATGCATGATGCATCCAAAAAGGCCAAATGTTCGCTCTCAAAACCAGATTTTTCTTTGTCTATAAAACTATAATTCTAGGATTAGTATGACAAATATTGTTATTTTGGTTCCAATCAAAATAATGCTCGAAGAATACCAAGAAACCTCAAAATGCCACCGAAAACCATTAATTTTCAAAAGATCCAGACCAATATGTCTCGTCAACTGAACAAAAGCTCAGAATGACTCAGCAACAAATAAAAAAGTGTAGCAGAAAAATTATGTATATAGAATATTTGTCTTTGTATATGACCTACCTGGGAGGTTTCCTTTTCTCCCAGGGAAACACATACACACACACAGGCTGCTTGCCTGCCAAAAAATATGATCAACGAAACACTCGACCAACAAAACAAAGAATAAATGGGCGGAGATAAGCGAAAACAATGGGCGTTGCTTAGTATTTACAAAAGATCAATTGAAGACAGAAACCTCTCACTTTTTTCTCTCGTTTGCTGAAAAAATGAGTTCCTGTTTGCTTGCTTTAAATATCCCTCAGAATTCGAAAAACTTTTGCACTTTTTGCAGTATTATTTACAAGAAAGAGAAATTTCGATGATCGAAAATTATGGTGTTTTGCATAACAAAAACAGCGAAAAACACTTCCTTCTTGAAGATTTTTGGCGTTGAAAAGTACGAGAACGAAATAGAGAAAAATGTGATCTGTGTGAAACATGAGAAGTGTGTATTTACTTAAACTGGTTGGTTGAATCGATTTTTTGGGGTGTTTAAAATTCATTGAAACCGGATTAAGTTTCACCTAACGCGTTGAAAAATGCTGAAAATCGATAGAGTAACGTCAGACATCATTAATCATATGGCAAAGTTGGTATTAAAGCGATCAAAAGGTGTGTGAAAAGGAAAAAGAAAAAAGGAAAAATGGGGGAGGCGAGAAAGTGCGCTCCAGTAAGACGGGAGAGAAAAGTGTGCGGCGGTTGCAGATTTTGTGTGCGAGGGGTTGCCATGTTCATTTATTCTTTTCCTTTTCGCGTGGCCTAAAATTTTTCGACGGGGTTTTATTGATTTTCGCGGGTTTTGCACGGGAAAATCTTTGAATTTTATTGAAGGAATGTGTTTCTTATGGATTTTAACGTGTATTTCTTCTAGGAATCTTGAAAATCCCGTGGTTTTTCGTTGAAAACGAGCATTTTATGCAAATTAATTTTTTCAGGTAATTTCATTGAACTATGGACAAGCTCACCCTTGCTCGTGTAAGTTTTCGAATTATCGGGGTTATTGAAAGATGGGTTTTCCTAGAAAATCGTCAATTTTTAAATTATCGAAAAGTTATTTTGCATTTTATTTGGGAAAATGCTACTCGAAGTGGAAACTTTAGTGCATTTTAATTCTGTTAGGAATCAAATGCTTCACTTTCAACTACGTCAAAATCAATCAGTCTGATTTTAAGAAACTTGTGATTCTCGTGCTCATTGAAGTGTAATCATTTGTAACACATTTTGGCTGAGCGTGAGAATCTATGCTAGAAAATTGTAATAAAATTCGCATAAACTTGGAGGCCCGTGTTTTTTTAACGGCATTTTTATTGAATATTTTTGAAAACCGCCCAAAAAATTCTTGATTCGTTGGTCTACCAGATTTATGATGGGATTCTTTTCCATTTCGAGGTATTTAATCTCGTAATTGTACTGGACAGGAAATTGCACTCATGAATAGTCATTTAGTTTTGTCTGCAGAGAATTTTCATTAAAAGAAGATTGTCCAAATTTGTTTGATCCAGATTTTTTCGATGGATTAAGGCTTAAAATTAAAAGGGGAATATTTTTGAATATTTATAACTAATCCGATTTGAATTTTCAGGTCACCAAGGTCATCGGCCGTACCGGATCCCAAGGACAATGTACCCAAGTCCGTGTCGAATTCATGAACGACCAAAACAACCGTTCAATCATCAGAAACGTTAAGGTAAGCAGATTCAAAGAACGTTAATATAAAAGCAAAAATTGAGCCGGAAGTAATGCTCGCCATTTCGGATAAAAGGATTAATATTATTTTCGTATCAACTAGAATGTATCTTGTTATTTATTTCAATAGGAAATAAGCTTTTATTCACTTCTATGGAGGTGGAAAACAAACACACAATAACAATTTTTATTTTTCAGGGCCCAGTCCGCGAAGGAGACATCCTCACCCTCCTCGAATCTGAAAGAGAAGCCAGAAGACTCCGCTAAGCCGGTTTCATTTGTTGTTGTTTTTGAAATCGAATAAATTGTTTCACAAAACTCTGCTCGTTCTAACAGAAGTTGCACGTCCTTCTACAACTAATACTTTTCCTACAAATGTGGCTCTAAATATTTGATCGTTCAGCTAATTTTTTACGCGCTCTTGAAAATTCGGTGAATTCATGAAAGTCGTTACTGTAAGAAAAGGCGCATTCAAAAATAACAGACAGGTCTTGAAGCGACCCGCGAAAAAGCAAATTTTTCGGTAAACACGGCTCGCCCGGCGAAAACTTTCATTTTTCGAGTTTTCCAGTTTTAGAAGTGTGTTTATTTTTCAGACAGACAGATAGAAAATGCCGAGGCGAAAATCAAAGCCTCGCGTTTCACCAGCCGCCTTCTTCCGCGTAACAAAACGCAACACCGGACAAGCCGAAACAGTTTGGGAGCATTTGAGAAATCTGATGTCACGCGAACTGCACGAAGAAGTCATTTTAATGTACGAGGTGACGAATCTCTGCGACGCTGACAGTCATTTCAATCTGCCAACAACTTTCGAAGACACCGAAACATTTTTCGAAATCGGCCGCGCATATTTTCTCACTCATCGCTACGCACTCTGCGATCATATTTACAAAACAATGATCGAAACTTTCCCGATGCCGAAATTTCCCGAAGAACAAACCACTGAATCTGTAAGATTTTCATTTTCAGGAAAAAATCAATATTTAGAGAGCGCATTTCAGGATTTCTGCGAGCACACTGTAAAATACGCGCGACACGAATGTTTGATGAAAATGAAAAAGCTTTATGATGCTTATGGTAAGTTGGGTTTTTGGTTAAAATTTGGAATTTAGCCTTTTTCGGTTTGTGGAGCAAAAACTAGTATATTTATGCAAAATTTCCAGTTTTACTCAGAGATTCGCTGGCCAGCTGGTCACTAGGTGGGGGCGACTGCCCATCTGAAACTGACACGGACAACCACATCGCCCGTATTTTTTGCCAGACGACCCGGTGGCGAGGTGGTTCAGTTCATGCAGACCACCTCGCCCAGGTTGTCCACCTCGAGCCGACCTCGCGTCCAGATCGTCTCGCTTAAGAGAAAAAAGTCCAAAAAACTTGTGAATCCGAGCATTCTAGAAGAAATTGGCTCATTTTCTGTTTTTTCGGAGTACTAGAAACCTCAGGAAGTGAAAAAAACAGTAAAAAATGCACTATTTTGAGTACAAACCACCGTCTTGCTAGCTTTCCAGAATTTCAAACACACAGGCCACGTGGCCGGAAAACTCAAGGCGACCTGGTGGCCGAATCAAATTCAGCTCGTTTTGAACTTTCCGGCCACCTGGTCCTGATCTAGTGGCGAGCTGGCCAGCGAATCTCTGAGTTAGACCGTTTTGGACGTTTAAAAATCAAAAAAAGATTCTCGGAGCCCAAGAAAAACTCAAAAATGCACGAAATCAGAGATTATTGGTTTTTCTCGCTATGAAAATTCTCGCCGAGCAAAAAACTCGAATTTTTGAGCTTTTCTTGAGCTCGGGGAGCAATTTTGTTAATTTTAAAACTCAAAACTAGAATTCATGCGAAAATGTTCGTTTTCAGTGAATTTTTAGCAAAAATATGGCTTTGGATCTTTAAAAATCAAAAAACAAAATGCTCCGTAAGCCCAAGAAAAGCTTTAAAATGCTCTTCGAGTCGAAAAACATCGAGAAAAACCCAAAAATCATCATTAATTGTGCATTTTCGGGCTTGAGAGCTTTATTTTCAAATTTTCAGCATGTTTGACAACAATAGAAAATCCAACAGTTCCTCTGAAACTCAAAGCAGCCTATTTATCAGTTGTAAATGCGTCAGCAAAAAAACCACGTGAACGAAAAACTGTTTATAAATGGAAACCGGTGAAATTTGATGAGTAAGTTGATATATCTTTCAAAAAACCATAATCTCCCTGTTAGAAATCAATTCAGATCCAACAATCCGTCGAAAAACTGCAATTCATCACTCGGAGCCGCTTCGCAATTCGTCAGAAATCAAAAATCCGAAGTTCCTCGCGATTTTTGCGAGAAATTCGCGCAAAAATTTGCTGGCAATTCGGAGCGACACAACGTGGAAATGTGGTTGAAAGCACAACAGGCGGCTGGAAAACGCGATTTTTCGCGAGCCATTTTATATTTGAAGCGAATGACGCATGCGAATTCGCGAGTTCAGAGTGAAATGGGAAAGTTTTATTTCAAATTGGGGAGAAAGGATCAGGCGAGACGCGTTTTGCAAGCGGTTTTTGAGCGCAATGTTCGATGGGTTGAAGGAATGGATTTGTTGGCGTTTTTACTGTGGGAGGTTGGATTTTTCTGGAATTTCTGGAGCTTGGGCTGAAAATTTGACGAAAATTGATCTAATCATATCAAATTCAGAACTTTTTCACCATTTCTGTGTCAAATTTTGATCCAAAAAAAATACGTTTCAAAATTTTGATATAATTTATTGTCAAATATTTTTTCTTCAGTTCCTTTTTATCGTCAAAACCGAAATTAAAAAAATGCTCAAAACGTGGATGAAACTTCTGAAATTATCGAATTTGGAGAAAATCTCACGAAAAAAGTTATGACGTGGTCATTTTATTTTTTATTATATTATTTTTTTTATTATATAATTTGGCTTCATTTTCAAAATTCGGTGTCTCCAGAATTCCAATTTTTCAAAAAAAAAAAAAATTCAATTTCGCCACGTCATAATCAGTAAAATTTATAACAAACTTGAAAATCTACTATTTATTCTATTTAGTTTTCAGCTCAAATTCTCATTTTCACCATTTCTGAGTCAAATTTTGATCCAAAAAAAATACGTTTCAAAATTTTGATATAATTTATTGTCAAATATTTTTTCTTCAGTGTCGTTCCTTTTCAAAATACTGGGTGAAAATTTATCGATACCAAAATTTCAAAAAAAATCTTACGAAAAATGGAAAATGCTCAAAATGACGTGGATGAATTTTCTGAAATTATCGATTTTTCTATTGAAAATCTTGCAAATGTTGATATTTCATGACAAATCTCTCGAAAATTTTCGATTTTTCTAAAAAAAAAAATTCAATTTTGCCACGTCATAACCCTTTTTCTAGTCACAAAACCATAATACAATTTTTTCCAGGACGAAAATAAGTTTGGAAACCAGCTCGAACATCTCTCACGAAATCTTCTGGATCTCTGGCCAGATCGAGCCGAAACTTTTATTGCAGCTGGATATATGACGATCAGTGAGTTGTTTCAAAAGAAAACTAAATAAATAGCTGAAAATTTGTAGATCTCGATTGGTATACAGCTTATGAGCATTCTGCGCGAGCTCTCGGGGCAGCTGAAGTCGCGACAGAGCAAAATGCAAGAGCAATTTTGCTGAGAGCTCAATGTTTGATTAAAATGAGTGAGTTTTTTGGGCCTGGAGCTCTGAAATTCAAAAATAAAATTTTGGAGCTCAATTTCAATTTCAGAGCGTGCCAACGATGCGATGCGACAACTTCAAGAGGGTGTTTCGCGCGACAAAAACAACGTGGAATTGTTCAGAGAACTTTGCTTGCTCATGTTAGAGCATGATGAGTGAGTTAGCTTAACTTTTACCCTGCGAACACGTGATTCTGGTTTTTTTAAACAAAATTTTTGGATTCGGGAACATTTTCTGAATCTAAACTTTTTGTTTTAAAAAAAGTTGTTTTGAGAATTTGTCTGAAACTTCGAATTCCACGAATTTTCAGACAAGTTCCCAATAATTCCAGTCATCGAGAGGCGAAAAATCAAGTGACAAATCTGGTGCTGAACAATCCCAACGATTTGAACGCGAAAATATTGAAGGTGCATGTTTTTATCAGTGCAAATAGTCGAACACGGGAAACACACAATACAAATACGGTGAGTCTTTTGAATGAAATTTTGTATGGAAATTTCAGAATTTTAATGAAAAGTTGCTGAAAATTTGATTTATAATTTTGAAAAAATCAAATCATTGAAACGTGGCATTTTCTGAAAATTTGAATTTTGTAAGAAAACCTGAAATTAGAATTTTTTGTGCCAAAATTCAGAATAAATTCGAGAATTTCTTGAAAATTTGATCAATTTCGAGTAAAATGAAAAAAAAACAAAAAAAAAAAACTTGAAGCCCAAATTCGGAATACCAAATTTTCTTTCAAGAATCTACCACGTGGCATTTTCGGCCCCGAAAATGTGGATTTTTTCGGAAATATCTGGAAAATTTAAAAAATCAAGAAAGTTAACCTCAAATTTTATGAAAAATCTTGAATTTTCAGAATACGGTGAGTCTTTTGACACCAAAAAAGTTTGAATTTTCTATGAAAATCTGAAAAATTTATGAATTTCTTGAAAATTTTGGATACTTTTTGACAAAGATTTGAATTTTCTATCAATGAAATATTGTAATTGCCACGTGGCATTTTTTTTGCTCTGAAATTTGCAAAATTCTAGAATTTTTTGAATTTTCACCTCAATTTTTGGAGCTAAAATTTACCTAGGGCCTATCAGAGCCTGATCGGAATCGGAATATCGGAATTCCGAAATTCCGAAACCGACAGGTTTTTCGGAATTAGACAAACGTGTCTCGGAATCGGAATCTATTTTCTCGGAATCGGAATCATTCCGATGTTACTTCCGAAACTTTTTGGAATTTCGGAATGTGTTTCTCTTCCGAAATTCGGAATTTTTCTACCGAATTTCGGCATTTTTCGGAATGTTTGAGCTGAAATTAGTAAAAAATTCAACAAAAAAATGGAAAAATTGATAAATTTTACCTGTCATTTTCAAAAAATCTCTTTTTATCTTGTGATTCTCAAAAATGTAACTTTTGAGGACAAATTTTAAAGTTTTATATCATTCCGAAACATTCCGAAAAAATTCCGAAATTCCGAGGTAAAAATGTCGGAAAGGAGGTTCGGAATTCGGAATTACGATCTGACCACTCGGAATGAGTGTGCTCATTCCGAACCTTCCGACAAGGTCCATTCCGACCAGGCCTGGGGCCCTATTCGGCCTATTTTTACCTGGAAAATCCCGAAAATTTCAATTTTTCCCCTCAAAAACCTGATTTTTTCCTCAGGATATCATTGGAATGATGGAAGAAATATTGCAAGAATATCCACATTCTGTTGGAGATGTCATTGAATTATTAGACGAATATTACAAGTCGAATTTGACGGAACCTTGTAAAAATTTGATGGAACTTATTGAAAAAGTGAGTTTTCCCAGGGTTTCCTCCATGAAAAAACCTGATTTTCATCATGAAATTTCAGCACAAAAAACGGATTTTGCATGATAAAATGCGATTATATCACAATTTACAAGCGGAATACAATTTGCGGTGTCAAAAACCGACGAAAAGCTATAAACATGCGATTGCTGCGCAAATTTTGGGAGAAGATGTGAATGGAGCATATGTGAGTGATTTTTGAGCACTTTCAGAGGGAAATTCAGATTTTTCATGAAATTTGGGCCCTAAAGACATCTCACAAGCCTAGATTCTGAAAAGAACACAATTTCCATCAAAAATTTTGAACAAAAACAACATTTAACAAAATCTGAAAGTATTTTATTTTGGCTATCTGAAAATTGTTGGAATTTTCCTTCAAAAATCTAGAAATTATCCGTTCCATCATCAAATCAAAGAATTGTTAATATGAGCAATGGGTCAATTTATTGATTTTTTTTGTTGAAAATTTCATGTTTTTAGCCAAACTCTTCAAAATTCCCCCATTTTTTGCAGATGTCTCGAATCGAACAAGAATATCGAAATAATTGTCAACATCTTTTGGATGAGCAATTCTCGATTTGTTCAACACCGCCCTCTTCTGCAATCTCATCACCAAATCCAAAATCGTCAAGAAAACGCGGAAAAAGTTCGACTTCGAGTTGTTTTGAGAATACGCCGAGTTGCTCGTATAATTTGAGAAGTCGACAGTCGAGTATTGGAACACCGTGAGTTGAAGGGGGATTTTTTTCAGAGAAAAATCTGGAAATCCTGAGTTTTTGGGTGCAAATCTGGCAAAAAGTAGAAGAAATCTTGAATTTTCCATGAAAAATTTAAAATTTGATTTTTTTTTATTCAAAAAGTTGTGTTAAAACTTTTCAGATCATCTCAAAAATCTGATATTTCTGTAATTTTGAATCTATATTCATAATTTTATCAGAAAAATCTGAAAATTCCTAATTTTCATCTGAAACTGAAAATTTGTTCTTAAAATCTGGAATTTTTTTGCATGAAAGTAGTAGAAATCGAGAAATTTTGATTTTTTCATGAAACATTTGAGAAATTCTGTTTTTCTACTGAAAAATCAATTTTTTAAATTTTGTTTCAAAAAAAATTTAAAAAATTTCTGATTTTTAGAGAAAATCCGAAAAAGTTCAATTTAAAGTGAATTTCCCAAACTTTTATCAGAAAAATCTGAAAATTCCCAATTTTTCAACTCAAACTGTAATTTTGTTCTAAAACTCCATGAAAATCCAATTTTCCAGAGTTCCCCCAAATCTGAGCAATGAATCAATTGATCGCGATCTCGATCTCAACTTCTCAATGACAACTTTGACCGCCAACAATCTTCGAAACGATTTTCAAATATTCTCGCCCGATTTGGAAGAACGACAAAGTAGTAGTGGAGAAGAGGAGATGATGGAAACTGAGGAGAATCATCGTGTAGTTCACGAGGAGGATCAGGAAAATTACGATGATGAAGAATCGGAAGAGGAATTTGAAGTTGAAGGCGAGGAAAGTGAGGAGGATGAGTGAATTTTATGATTTTTATTGATTGCCATAATACTTTGTACTGTAGAAAATAAATTATTGATTGTACAAATTTCTTTTGAAAAACCGTGTAGTTCTCGAGGAGGAAAAAATTCCATGAAAAATCCAAATTTTCAGTGAATTTTTATCAATTTCATTAGTGCAAAACAAAAATCAACAATTAATCAAATCAACAAAAAAAAAACAGATGTGCCTTTAAAATTCCAAATTTTTCAATCTCCTTCTCGCTTCCTCGTCGGGATTGTCTTCAGAAGCGCAAGCGCATCCGCCAGAGTTTCCGCACGAATTTGAATTTTGGGGAATCGGACGAATTTTCGATGATTGTTAGCTTTTTCGTTTTTTTGGTCTGCAAAAAATATTTGATTTTCACAAAAATCGATTTGCAAAAAATTTGGCCCTTTGATTTGAAAAGCCACTGTTTTGCCCGAATTTTAATCAAAATTTTCAGTCCTAATTTTACACGTGGATTTCGCAAAAACTTTCAAGAAAAATCGATATTCCTGGTATTTTCCACGTCGTACGAAATCTTGTATAAAATTATAGAATTTCGAGAAAAATCGATTTTTAAACCAATTCAAAAAATTCTAAAATTTTACTTCATCAGAAATTTCATCAGAAATTGGCCAAAAAGCTGCGATTGGATGAATTTCGGTCAATTTTTGAGCAAAAAAAAAACAAGTTGGTGCACTTTTGGTCAAAAAATTTCTCACCTTTCTCACACCCAAATCCGTATTTCCCGAATTCAATCCCTCAATCAGCAAACAAGCTTTGCACAATTTCTGACTTGTGATATATCCACACCGTTGACACGTCATCAATTTGGGCATTTCGACTTCTTGGCGAACTGCCAGTTTTTCGCCACTTCGAATCAAATCCAAAATTGCGCGCGGTTGCGCTTTTTCCAAATTTCGCACGTAGATTCGCGCGAATCCACGATAGGAATTTGGTGCGTAGATGCATTCGGTGTAGAAATATTCGAGCTGATTTACACGGGCATACATTACGATGTCACGTTCGAAACAATATTTTAGGGGTTTGGCGCGGGGTAGATCACCTGGAAATATTTGGAATTTTTCGGGCATTGCTCATGTTAGAAATTGAGATATTTTTTTTGAAGTGAAAATCATTAAAAAATGGGTTATTTCTAGTCATTGCTCAGGTTAGACGCTTGAAAAATCAATTTTTCTCGTTGCTCATATTAGAAATATTTTTTTCAAAGTAAAAATTATAGAAAAATCGTTAAATTATGGAAAAATTTGCACATTGCTCAGTTTAGTAGAATTCTTGAAACATGAGAATGAAATGAGCAGGAAATTTTCTGTCCAAATTTGATGCATTGCTCATTTTAGTAACAATTTTAGAAAATATTCAACTAATATGAGCAACACCAATTTTCTCTATGAAAAATCAATAATTGCTCATGTTAGCAGTTTGTGGTTCAATTTTTGAATAGGAAAAATCAATAATTTTTCAACATTGCTCATATTAAACTCCAATAATTTTTCCCTAAGAAAATATGGCTTGTTTGGTGTCTTTCAAACGAAAATTTCACATAGATTTCAAAAATCGTGGTTTTTTCTAACATGAGCAATGCCCTCACCTTCTTCTCCTGTAATAATATTTGTGCATCTTTCCAATCTAGCAATATCCCCTCGCAAAACATTCATCAACACAGTTTCGGCCATATCGTCTGCATTGTGACCGGTCACCAATTTTTTGGCACCAATTTTGAACGCGCCGCTGGAAAAAACGTAGATTTGCACTGAAAATCTGAAAATCCTGCTGAACATTGATATTTTCAGTTGAAATTCGAATGATTCTATCAAATTTTTGAATTTTTAAATAGAAGATCTCATAAAATTTGTCGAACAATTCAATTATTGATTTTTGGCTGGAATTTTCAGATTTTTTTTAAAGAAAATTTGTCCTTAAAAACATCCCATGAACCTTATTTTATGAAAAAACCCTAAAATTTGAAGATTTTTAGCTACAAAGATAATTTTTCAGCGAATTCCCCCGATTTTCAGCCAATTTTCAGTCAAAACACTCACCGATCCAATGCCTGTCTCCTAAAAACCCCGCAAAATGTGCAATTATTTTTTTTGCCAATCTTCGCCACAATTTCGTCCATCGTCCAATTGTACAAATCACGATAACTCAGAATAGTTAGCGGAAGTCCGTATTCGACGCGATTCTTTTCGACTGCCTGCGAAAAATGTGGATTTTTGGCTGGAATTTTCAGATTTTTCAGGAAATTTGGGGTTTGAAGACACCTCATAAGCCTAGGAAAAAATTTTGAAAATTCAAATTTCTAGGCTTATGGATGTCTTTAAAATCCAAATTTCTTGAAAAATCTGAAAATTTCAGATTTTTCTAGGCTAAAAAACCCACCAGCAGCGAATCATCTCGATATCCTTTAATTCCTTCATCAATCGATAATAATTGTAGATCAAGACCGTAATCATGGCGATCATTCAGAGTTTTCATACAGTAGGCGAGTACTGTAGAATCTTTGCCACCAGATGCGCCGATTGCCACACGTTCGCCACGCTGGAAATTTTTCAGCATTGCTCATGTTATTAAAACTCCCGCTCACAAATCTATGGTTACCTTAAAAAGTTGATTTTCAACAATAGTCTGATGAACATCGTCCTCAAAACGTCGTGTAAAACACGGACCACAAAGTTGCGCTCCGTTTTTCGCCATTTTCACTTTTGCTGGCGAACTGCACTCAGGTTCTTGGCATTGTGGTGGACCTTTTCGTGGTGGGACCATTTTTGGCTGGAAAATGAGGGTGAAATTTGGATTTGGTGTGGAATTTGGGGGAAAATGAGATCTCATAAGAATGTTTAGCGACAAAAAATTGAATTCGAATTTTTTAACATGAGCAATGGCTCGAAAATAACAAAATTTTGTCGTTAGAAATGTACATTTAAAATTCTTTAACATGAGCAATGACTCAGAAATATCAAATTTATGGCTTTGAAAACTTTTAACATGAGCAAGGATCTAAAATTATCGAATTTTTAGCTTTCAAAAATAGAATTTTAAAATTTTCGAACATGAGCAATGGCTAAAAAATCGAAATTTTGGTTCTAAACTTTTGTCGTTAGAAATGTACATTTAAAATTCTTTAACATGAGCAATGGCTCGAAAATATCGAATTTTTGGCTTTGAAAATTTGTGACATGAGCAACAGCCTGAAATCATCGAATTTTTAGCTTTCAAAATTAAAATTTTCTAACATGAGCAATGGCTGAAGAAAATCAATTTTCGGCTCCGAAATATTAGTCCCGAATTTCAACAATTTTGAATCTGAACTTTTGGCTTCAAAATTTCAGATGCAAAAATCGATATTTTTGAGCATTTGCTCAAAAATTTAAAATTTTCTAACATGAGCAATATCTCAAAATTATCGATTTTTGCTGAATTTTTCCCCAGCCTTATTTGATATCTTTCAATCCCAAATCCCCTAAAAAATCTGAAAATTTCCTGAATTTTTATCCGAAAAAAAATAAAAACGAGAAAAAATCAACGTTTTTCAGGAGAAATTCCTTTAAAAAAATAAATCCGAGAATTTTATTCAAAAGAGTACAAATAAATGAAAAAAAAATTAATCCACAGGAAAAAAACGGGGGGAAATGTGTTAGAGCAATTTTCTAAAAATCTACGTAAAAAAGCGATTTTTGGCACAAAAACTGGGGAAAAAATGAAAAAAAATGAGGTAAATTATCGATTTTCTGGGCTCGATCCCAATTTTTGCACCAGAGCTCCCAATAAAAATGGTGAATTTTCGTTGAGAAGTCGAATGTTTTGGGCGAAAGTTGTGGTGAGTTTGAGAGCAAAATCGCAGTAGGGAAAAGAGGTAGAGAATTCCGCTGGGAACACTGATGACACCTGGAATTTTTCAGATTTTTGAGGGATTTTAGAGCTGAATGATATCCCATTAGCTTAGGAAATTATATTTTCAGATTTTTCATGGAATTTGGAGCTGAAAGACACTCCTGAAGCATAGGAAATTGAAATTTTCAGATTTTTGAGGCAATTTGGAGCTGAAAGATATCCCAAAAGCTTAAAATTGAATTTTTCAGATTTTTCATGGAATTTGGATCTGAAAGACACTCAAGCTTAGGAAATTGAAATTTTCAGATTTTTCATGGAATTTGGAGCTGAAAGACACCTCCTAAGCTTAGGAAATTGGAATTTTAAGATTTTTGAGAGAATTTGGAGCTGAAAGATATCCCAAAAACTTAGGAAACTGAAATTTTAAGATTTTTAACGGGATTCAGAGCTGAAAGATACCTCAAAACCTTAGGAAATTCAAATTTTAAGAATTTTAAGGGGATTCAGAGATGAACGATATCCCAAAAGCTTGGGAAATTGAAATTTTGAGCTAGAAAATACCCCAGGAAAATTCGTAAAATGAATTTTCGTCAGATATTTCCCCAGGCTTATTAGGTGTCATTTTTCGCCAAATTTCCCCGTCCCAAAATCCTTACCAGCCGCATCCTTATTAATAAAATAATTAACAAGAGGCATTAATTCATCCAAATCTTTTTTCGCAGTTATCACACCAAGGCTCAATTCTTTCGAAGTGCACGCCAAAAGTTTGTCGAAAAGTGCGTTTTGTGAGACGAGTCCCAATCTTTGTGTGATCGCAAGTTTTAAAGGCACATCATCTTCGTCGCGCAATAATTTGACAACAAGTCGCTCGGGTCCCGAAACGCGGTAGAATTTCACAGTGTATTCGGTTTTTTTGAGCGTCATCTGAAAATTTGGGTAATTTTTTTTTTCTAGAATTTTCCTACCAGATTTTCTAAAATTTTCCTATTAATATTTGGATTTTTCGTAAAATTTAGGTCAAAGTGACATCCTATAAGACTTAATTTTGACCCAAATTCTATGCAAAATCCAGAATTTCTAGAATTTTCATTGGAAAATTTGAATTTTTCGTAAAATTACGATCAAAATGAAACCACAAAAGACATAACTTTGACCCAAATTTTATGAAAAATTAATAAATTCTAGAATTTTCATCTGAAAATTTGAATTTTTCGTAAAATCTGGGTCAAAATAACATCCCATAAGACATCATTTTGACACAAATTTTATGAAAAATCCAGAATTTCTAAAATTTTCATCTGAAGCACCTTTCCCATCCAAGTCGACGCATAAATCCCATCCAAATCCTCAAAATTCCTGATCGCATCTTTCGGCGAACCTGGCGGTGTTGTAGGTCCAGTCGGAGACTTCGACGCGCGACGTTTCCGCATAAAATGATGCGCTTTTTCCGCCTGTGCCGTTGGATCCTTCGCAAAATCTACAAGAATCGTACGATCTCTTCCACCCAACGCAAATCCTTTCATAGCGCGACACGCGTCTTGTGCCGCATGTGTATCTTCAAAAGAGATGTACGCGAATGTCTCGCCTTCCTCATAATCAATTTTATCAATAAGTCCGTATCGATCAAATTCCTTATTCAACAGATTTTTGTCGCACCACGCTCCCAATCCGCCAACCCAAAGACGCCGCGAAACTTGACTTTTTCCATAACCGATTTTCATTCGCGAACCGCCTGTTCGAACTGGACGATCTTGTTCCTCATTTTTTGCTTCGACTGCATTGTTGACTTGCTGGAAATTGAAGGAGTTGCGGAAAATTTGGGCATAGCTTCCGCATCTCCGCGACTTGCCAAAATCATGAATCTTGCATTTATTACAGGATTCATCATTTTTGCAAGTCGCAATAGGAATTTAGGGGAAATTTCACAATGAGTTAGAAACTTTCCCTCTAGATTTTCAATGAGATATATGTTTTCTAGTAGTTTTCGATCAGCTGATAACGATTCCGCAGTCAAATTTCACGTATCTCAACTTCTAACATGGGTTATGCCGTGACAAAAAGCAGACATTTCTCATTTTAGAAGTTGAGATACGCAAAATTCGACTGCGGAATCGTTATCAGCTGATCGAAAATTACTAGAAAACATATATCTCGTTGAAAATCTACAGGGAAACTTGACAATATTCCCTTGTCAAAGAATTCTAGGCATTTTTTTTAAAGATTTCCAGACCACTGGCCCAGAAATCCCCGCATTTTTACCTGAAACATGACAAAAGCATAAGCGGCATCAGTATTAATTGGTGTCTTAATATCAATATCCTCAATTTTGCCATAAGCACTGAAAATCTCGCGAATTTCTCGCTCCTTCACATCACTTGGCATATTTCCAACGAAAAGTGTGCGCGTCGCCTCATGATCATCTTGTTTGAGTCGCCACGTCGACGGCTCTTTGCTTGGTTTATTCGCCCCGCCATTTGTGCCATTCGAGCCGCTTCCACGTTTATCATTTTGTTGCGCGCGATTGAAACGATCAGGAATATATTTTCCCTCTTGATCGCGTAGCACACCAGCTGGATCGCATTGCACTTTTCGTCCCAAAACTTCGCGCAAGCGACTCATTAAGTTGTAGCGAATACGACGAGCACAATCTTGCCGTTCGAAATTCACGTAGGCGAGTCGCTCATCTTCGTCGGGATTTCGCACGACTTTTATCTCGAATGGGGCGAAGCGACGGAATTCGTGGGTTAGTTTGGCTTTGATTTCATCGCGTTCAAGTCGCTCATCGAATCCGGAAATTCGCAAGTTTAGATATTCTTCTGGTGAATGTGAGCCGAATCGTTCTCTGATAATATTTATTTTTTATAATTTCCTCATAAAACCCCTTCCTTACCTGTAATAATTCGACAATCCATTACAATTCGACCGATAGGCACTTCTTCCTCTTTCCTCGCTAGCCATTTTCTCTTCTCTTTTGTCTAAAATCGCAAAAATCACTAAAAATACAGGAAAAAGTACTATAATTCATTATAATAATACTCATAGATAGATAGATAGGAAAGTTTAGTTTTTAGCAAAAAAATACGGATGCAAAAATTAATTCTAGTCTAAAATTTTCGATAGTTCTAGCTTTAGTTTTAGAGTTTAGTACAGTAAAGTCAAAATTTGCAGAGATTTTCAGCACGAATTCGAAATATTATAGGCGTTTTCCACGAATCAATCGATAATTGTGTTATTGTGTGCTTTTGTGCGTCGCCGTGTTTGCACAGATTTCTACAATACTCCGCCTGCCTGTTGTTTAGCAAAGAGCGGTCCAAGTATTTTGCACGTTTTCCCCGTGTTTTTGCTCATTTTCAGCGCGTTTTCAGCGGATTTTCAGATTTGTAAAGTAGAAAAAATTGTAAAATTTTGATTTCAGGATCATGGTTGCCGCTTCAGCCACCCGTAATATGCTCCATCAATATGGCCGCAAGGCTTTGGGCATTTCGTTCATCGCTTCGGTTGCTTCCACCGCTGTCTTCTTCTTCGGATACGTTCAACCAAGACACGAGAAATACGAGCGTTTCTTCGCGTGAGTTTGAATTTTTTGGTGGGAAATTTTGGAAAATTGATTTTTTTTTTTGAAAATAAGATAATTTTTAATTTTGCCACGTGAACTTCGCTAATATTTTAGAAATTAATTTTTAATAACTGTATTTTTTTATTTAAGATTTGTGAGCTTTTGATTTTAGAAGTCATCAATTTCACAAAATTTGTAATTTTTAATGAAAAATTTGCATTTTTTATTTACAGGACATAGATTTTCAATAATTTTTTAGGCTCAAAAAATATCATTGTCCTATTAGTTTTATATATTTTTTCTGAAGAAAATGTGAATTCTAGTTTCTAGAAAAATCTCAATTTCAAATTCCCAACTCGAATTTTTTGAAATGCAGAAAAATTGTTGTGTTCTAGAAAAATTTATTTCAAGACCATATCCCAAGTTGATTTTATAAGACGGACTTAAATTTCAGCCTTTCATACCAACAAGAAATCTGTAATTATATCAAAAATTTCCCCATTTTTTCCTCCTTCTTCCAAAAAACTCATTTTGCACCAGTTTTTTGTCAAATCCGAAAATACATCTAATCCCAATAATCATTCAAAGTATAATCTATTTGTGTAGGCGAAAAACATTTGGGATTAAATACGTCAATGAAAATTTTCGGGTAGTTGGGAAAAATCACGTTTCCCCCTATGAAAATCCAAAAAAACCAATCGATATTTCTTGCAGCAACTACGATCCATACACCCGTATGCGCGAGATTTGCGAGGCCAACAAGGGCTACATGCACACCTGCCCACAAGAATTGGCCAAATTGTACGAGGAGAAGGGAAAAACCATTGCCGATTTGTAGAGAGAGAATCGAATCTATAATTTTCCCACAACCCTCAATTATATTTTTTAGCCAATTTCGTTCGTTTTTTCTCCCAAATAAAACGTTGAGTTCGAAAATTTTATGTGTTTTCTTTTTTATTTTCTTCAGCTACACAGAAACCCCCATTTTTCAGAAGGTTCTAGAACAACAAAAAAAGGAGCGAGGGACTAGGTTTCAAAAGAACTCGGCCACGCCCCCTATTCCGCCCATTTTCACAAGGGAAGTGCATAGGGTTAGGTGTTGAACTTTTGATGAAATGTTCAAAATAAACCAAATCGACCATGCTGATCACGAATCCGAAGTCAAAAATTGCCACAAATGCCTGTGAGTACTTTTCTGGAGCTCCAAAGTTAGAATTGAGTTTTGGTTTTTGCCCATTTTCACCTTGTTTCTGGGTGGAAAATACATTTTTATAACATGAATAAGGTTGTTCACCACATTCGAAAACATATCCGCTTTTCAGTTCTTCGAAAAATATGAAAAACCAGCTGAAAACTGCAACTTTTAAGAATTTCCTGAAAATACACACAATCACACGTAAATACACACGTTTTTCAAAGTTTTTCGTGCATTTTCGAAAATTACAGCTTTGACCTGGTTTTTCATATTTTTTGATAAACTAAAAAGCTGAAAGGTTTTCGAATGTGAAGAACAACCTTATTCGTGTTATAAAAATTGCTTTTCCACACAGGAACATGGTGAAAATGGACGAAAACCAAAATTCAATTTCAACTTTGGAGCTCCAGAAAAGTGCTCACAGGCATTTGTGGCAATTTTTGACTTCGGAATCGTGATCAGCATGGTCGATTTGATATATTTTGAACGTTTCATCAAAAGTTCAACACCTAACCCTATGCACTTCCCTTGTCAGCAACAAAACTCTATCGCTCTCTCTGTCGTCTCTTCACCGCACAACACTATCTCGCCACCCTTTCTCTAACCGCTCTCCTCATTTCGTGTGGTCACTTTATCGCCACATACTCTCGCTCCTCACCTTGCCATTCGTTTTTCAATTATTTTTATATGTGTTTTTGACTTGAAAACTAGAATAAGACGTTTTTCGAGATTTTTGCGTGCGGCACGGTTTTGTGGGCGGGGCTTAGGAGATTTCATGCAGAAAATTGCTGAATTTTAAGCTGATTTCATGCAGAAAATTTTTGAATTTTGACCTTAGAGCTGATTGTGAGCTTTTTTCGAGATGTTTCAGAAATAGCAAAATGCGGCGCAGATTTGTAGGCGTGTCGAAAACCTTTGCAAGCACCGCACAGTTTTTCTGCAAACCCCGCACACTTTCCAACTCATTTGTTTTTTTTTTCAGTGATGCGAAATGCTGTGTCGCTCTTATTTCTCTTACTGACACAGACATTTATTAGCGGTAAGTTGCAAAATTTTATGGGCCTTAAAAATAAATGAATTTTTGCAGGCTACGATCCGATAGAAGAAGCCGAAAAACTATTAGAAGAAGATGTGATACCGGCGATACAAGCGCAATATTACAAATACCGAAAAAACCCGCGCATCAAGCCGCATTTTAATGTGAGCAATCTGCGAATTTGTCGCTGCACACCGTCGTGGAATTGTGGACTTACTGATGGCTGGACTTACCGTATCTTGGAATTAACTAAGCCGAGAGAGTTCTTGGATCGTTGGCGGGTAAGACAGCATTGTTTTGAATCGGGAAAAATCGTGCCGCACTTTGCAAAAAGAGGCGTGGTTTATCGGGCGAAAAAATATAGAAATGACAAAAATTCGGAATTCAATTCACGTTTTTCAAATCAGTAAATTTGACGTGACTTCACCAAGCTTTATTTAGAAATCATCATTTCGATCCAAAAATTGACACGAAAACCACGCCGCATTTTGCAAAAGGGGCGTGGCTTGCAAAATAATATTCTTATAGGAAACATGCGTGACTGATGGCGACTGTATCCAGGTGCAAGAGAACCGTGGTTCGCCAGCTTTCGGTTGCCTCGATTTGGGTAATGTAGACACGGATTTGCACGGTCAACTGAATTTGGAACGAGTCATTTGCCGAAATCGCACAAATCCGCAATTGAAGGAGGAACATTATTGGATTTGTTGCAATGATCGAAGTTATTGCGCGAATGAGACGGTTTTTCAAGAGGTGCGCATGGCTGATTTTTAATAAAATACATGTGGTTTATATTTGGACATCAACTTAATGACATTTTCATGTTTTTTAAGCAAATGAGTTGAGATATTGGGTTCTAATGTTATTCATATAGACTGGTCTAAGACGAACAGAATGATATAAATTTTGATGACTTTACGTTATCCATAAGTGATTTAAGGAGGTTTAGTCGATCGACTCGGCTTATCGACTTAACCTCGCTGAATCACTTATGAATAACGTAAAGTCATCAAAATTTAGATCATTCTGTTCGTGTTCGACCATTCTATCATATGAATAACATTAGAACCCAATATTTCAACTCAATTGCTTAAAAAACCTGAAAATGTCATTTAGTCGATGTCCAACTATACCGCTGATCACGATTCCGCTAGCTGAAATTGCAGAATTCGACTTCTTCTATGAGTTATGACGTGGCGATGATTTTCACGCAAATCTAATAGGAGTTTGTATGAGAATCATTTTTGAAGCTCATAAAATCCCGCCACGTCATAACTCATATTAGAAGTCGAGTTCTGCAATTTTAGTCAGCGGAATTGTGATAAGCGGGTCTAGAAAACATAGATTTTATCAAACATCTAGAGTGCTGTGTAAACTTAATTTTCAGGAAGTAACTACACGGCCGTCAAAACCCTTCAGTGTGAAAAAATACATCAAAGATAATGTCTTCTCGATCATATTAATTATGGGTATACTTTTGGTAAGCTTTAGACTCCGCCCACCTGCAACTCTCGCACACTTTTCTTTTTGTTTTGCAGGCCATCGCAGGAGGCACCGCTTTTCATTATCGCAAAAAATCAAGAGCAACTCACCAACCACTTCCTCCTCTTGAAATGCAATCACTACGACCCGATTCGCTTGTGCAACAGAGCAATGGAGATGCACTCGCCAGCGATTCGGATCACAGTCGACAATCAACACTCAATACGACGCCGGGAGAAGTTGCGTCAACTTCGAATGGCTTGCGTGACTATGCGAATACTGGATCGTCTGATGCGTCGCGGCTCGCACCGTCTATGATGACGGAAATGACGGGAGTTACCGAATCCACGGATCAGTAAGCAGCGAAAATTTGGGATTTAGTTCTCATAAACACGTGCCGTAAAATTGCAGAATCAACACACTTCTCAATGATCCGAAACTAAAACTATTACGAGATCTGGAATCAACGATGGGCTCATCAGGCGCTGGCCTAACACTACTTCAGCCCAAATCGCTGGCCCACCAAATTCAACGCGAAAAAGCGATTGGCGAAGGCCGATTTGGGAACGTGTTTTTGGGCCATTTTGATGGTGAAGATGTGGCTGTCAAAATTTTCAAAGTCGAAGATGAGGCGGCGTATTTGAAGGAGGTCTCTGTTTATCAGCTTTCTGCCCTGCGACATCCGAATTTGCTTCGATTTATTGGAAACGATCGATGTGGTGGGATATCAGGGAAACATTGCTCAGATTTGGGGTTTCTAAAAAATATAGGCTCCGGCCTTTTTCGCTTTATGCTCATCTCATCTAGAGCTTTTGTTTGACACCCAACATGACCAGCTTTCTAGAAAAATTTAGGCTCCGCCCCTTTCTGCTATGTGCGGCATGGTTTTTTGAAATTCATGAAATTGCAAGAAATTGATATTTTTCAAATCGGAACTTTTTTATAAATTCAGTATTAACAAAGGAAAATTGAAATCCTCGAAATTTTTCGGAAAATTCAAGATTTTGATAATTTCGAATCGAAATATCTACCGTACCAAACTTGTAGAAATAGACGTGGCCTAAATGTCATCTGATTCTTTCTCACCTCATCTAGAGCTTCTGTTTGACACCCAACATGACCAGCTTTCTAGAAAAATTTAGGCTCCGCCCCTTTTGTTATGTGCGGCACGGTTTTTTGAAAATTTCGAAACCGTTTGATTTTTATATTTTTCGAATCGGAAAAGCTACCTGAATCCAGTGTTGACAATAAAAACCAATGAAATCTTGCAATTCTTGCAGACATTGACGGCCGAACTGAACTGTGGCTTCTCACCGAATACCACGAACGCGGCTCACTCTACGACTTTTTGCAAGCGCGCACCGTGGACTTGAATTTGTGCTACGATCTGATCAGATCAATGGCCAACGGTGTCGCGTTTTTGCATCACGAATTTGTGACTGGCCGCTGTACGACAAAACCGAGTGTGGTTCATCGTGACATCAAAACTCGGAATATAATGGTGAAGAATGATTTGACGTGTGCGATTGGGGATTTGGGATTGGCGGTGGGTTTTTTGGGTATGGGAAGAGCTTCAGTTTGATACCCAATAAGGCCTAGTTTTGAGAAAAAATAGGCTCCGCCCCTTTTCAGTAAGTGCGGCACGGTTTTTTTAGAATTCTGAAATTCAATTTTTTTTAGATGATTCTATTTCCCATGGTCTCCTGAATCCATTTTTGACACTAACATCTTCAAAAAGTCGACTTTTTGCAGGTAACAATGAACAACGAGACTGGCGAAATGCTCTACAACGATACGGACAAATTCGGCACCACTCGCTATTTGGCACCAGAAATATTGGCCGACATCATGTCACCCAACACTTTTGAAGCCTTGCGAATGGCCGATGTCTACTCATTTGGCTTGTGTTGTTGGGAGGTGATGGCGAGATGCACAATGGAAGAGGCTCAGATTTTTGCGGGTAGGTGGAATGCTCACCTCTAGAGCTTCTGTTTGACACCCAACAGAACCTAGTTTTCAAAAATGTTAAGCTCCGCCCCTTTTTGCAAAGTGCCGCACAGTTTTTCTAAAACCAAATTTTTAGTTGAACCCGAAATGGCAATTCCATACGCCGAGTACGTCAATCGAGATCCAACATGGGAAGAGATGCGCGAAATTGTCTACGACAAACATTTGCGGCCAACTTGCAATCCACTTTGGTTCGAAAATGAGGTATGAAAGCCACGCCCATTTTTCTGTACAAATCGCACCATTTTTTCCAGAGATTCGTCGAGCTCGATCGATTGCTGCAAGATTGTTGGGGTGGAAATCCGACGTCGAGATTGACGGCGGTTCAAGTTCGCATGCGAATCGAACGAATTCAGCCAGATGTTGTTGGATTAAGAAAGATTGTGGAGGAAGAGGCCGCGATTTCAGGTTAGTTGCGTTTTTTTTCGCGGGCTGTGAAATGATACCAAACATGCGCCAAAAGAAAAGTGTGCCAGGCTTGCAGAATGGGGAGTGGCCTAAATTTTGCTGGATTCTTTCTCAGCTCATCCTGGGCATCAGTTTGACACTGAACATGACCTTGTTTTCAAAAAATAACTCAGGCTCCGCCCTTTTTCCCTATGTGCGGCACGGTTTTTTGAATACATATTTCTGACCCATTTGACTTGCGGAGAGTGATTTCGATAATGAAAATAGGATTTTAATCGAAATGGTTAGGCTCCGCCCCCTTTTGCAATGTGCGGCGCGGTTTTTGGCATCTTTCTAGTCGTGCTATCTTGTTTTTGACAAAGAAATTGTGAAATTTGCAATTTGGCGGCATATGGTGTCATTCCAAAGCTCTAAGCCCCGCCCACATTTCTGTGCCCTCAGAAAAAAAATCGATTTTTCCTCCAGATAATCCAGAAGAGCCACTGATTGAAAAAACCGAATAATTCTTGTAATTTTTTGTCTTCCTGTATATTTTTCTACTAACTCTGGGATATGTTTTTTTCCTGTCTTTCCAACTCACTTTCAAACTCACTTACATATCATTTTTTAGGTGATTTTTGACCCCGATTTTGATCTCAAGTTTTTATTTGATTCATTATTTTCTGTTATATTTATAATAGATAAAAATTCTGTATGTAGTTTGGTCATTTGCACTGGGTTTGAGCTCAAAAAAATTGGGGAGAAAGAGGGAAAATTGGAAAAAAATTAGTAGAATCACACGTTTTTCGGGTCGAGACCCAATACTGTAGAAAGAAGAAGTGGCGCGAAAATTGTGAAGAGATCGTGGTTTAAAGGTGCATACAGTAGGAATTATCGATTTTTCAAGGTTCATAGTTGAGTCCGCCGTTTTCGTCGCTCCCAGACCTCATTTTTACCCTGCAAAATTTTTGATTTAAATTTTTGGCGCGAAAATTGAACATTTTTACAAGCCAGGACACACTCTGACTTTTATAAATGTTGGAAAATTTTCAAAAAAAAATTTTTGAATTTCACACAAAATTTTACCCGTAATTGGTTTTTACGTTGATCTGCAAATATTATTTTGGGTACTTTTTTGACCCATTTTCAGGCTTCAGGCCTAATGTAAGCCTGAAATCTATCTCGGGCCCCCAAAAAAACTCACATCCATCGGTTTCCAACTGCAATACGGTAATGGTAGGCCATCCGGGCCTGTGGGACACGGTGCATCCAAGCCCGGTATTCCCTGATCTCCTTTTTCACCTGGCATACCGGGCCGGCCATCGATTCCCGGCTCTCCATCATTTCCTGGTGGACCTTGTGGGCCAACTGGGCCTGGATAGCCTTTCGGTCCTTCTGGACCTTGTTTACCCTGAAAAATGGGGATTTTTGAGGGTAGATATGATAGGTTTTGGGATTTTGGGCCTGAATCTAGGCCTAGTATAATTTTAGGCTAGTTTTCTAAGCCTGAATTGAACCTAGGCTTGTTAGATAGGCCTAGTTTAATTTTAGGCTAATTTTTCAGAGCTTAAGTTGAGCCTAGGCTCGTCAGAAAGGCCTAGTAAAATTTTAGGCTAATTTTCAGGCTTTTCAGGTCTTCCAGGCCTGAAAAAACAACACCAAAAAGGACAGCGAAATCACAAATGTTCTACAACAAACATGCACGCACTAGTTTTCCTTCCGGTCCAGCCGGTCCACGTAAACCCATCGGTCCTGGAGGGCCTGGTAGGCCTAGACTTCCAGGCTGGCCTGGAAGTCCAGGAGGCCCCAAGTCACCCTTCTCGCCAGGTGGACCTGGCAAGCCTGGTGATCCGCGAAGTCCGTCGAGGTTTCCAGAAAATTCGGATGATGAGCCCTGAAAATAAGCCTGATTTTGTAGGCCGGCCTAGAAAAAACAACTTACAGGTTGTCCGGGTAAACCGGGAGGTCCGATGTCTCCACGCTCTCCTCTGTCGCCTGAATGGCCTGGAAGGCCTTGCGGGCCTCGTTCTCCAGGAGGCCCAGCTGGTCCGTGATGACCCTGAAAAACATAGATTTTGTAACAAGTTTGGAAAGGTCCGGAAAGCCTTTCAGGGCCTCATAGATTTAGGCTGAAATTCAGGCTTTTTTGAGCTTGAAATTAGGCTGAAATTTAGGCTTTTTTGGGCTTAGCATTAAGTTGAAATTCAGGCTGTTTTGGGCTCAGCATTATGCTGTAATTAAGGATTTTCAGGCTTCAAGACCTAAATTCGAGCCTGCTAGTCCAAGCCTCAAAATTTCAGGCTTTCAAGCCCCTTCAAAACTCACCCTTGGTCCAATTGGTCCCGGCGGCCCTGGAATCACATTCTTCCCTCTGAGTTCCGCCAACTCCTCAGTCAACAACGGCAAAAGTTCGATTTTCAGCAATTTTTTCAAATCATCCGGAATTCTCGTCATATTTCCGGAAAGGAATGGTTTTCCCTGAATTTTTTGGATAGAACAGGATAGGATAGAAGGCTATGAGAAGCCCGAAAAAATGCACCACAAAGCTAGAAAAAAAGCATGCAAATCTACTCACTCGTCTGCCACGTTTGCCTGGAGCCCCTTCGGGGCCCGGAAGGCCCATATCGCCACGTTCACCACGTTCACCCTACAAAACTAGTTAGTATAAGTCCAAAAGCACACCATGCAGATAGGCCTATGAAGCCTAAGAAAAAACCTAGCCACTCACCTTCTCTCCTTTCTCACCGGGCCGTCCGTCACGGCCTGGTGGACCTGGCGGGCCTGCGATTATCTTGCCGTGGTGTTGATTTTGATTTGAGAGAGTTGCTGGGCCTGGCGGGCCTTGTGGTCCGATTAAGCCCGGTTCACCGCGATCTCCCTTTTCGCCCTGTAAAATGTAGAATTTGGTGTGAGATTCAAAATCCAGGTGGCAAATTTTTCTCAAACAACAAATCCACAACATCACCTACCTTTGGCCCAGGATGGCCTATTCCAGGTGGGCCTGGTGGGCCTGGCGGGCCTGAATTTGTCCCTCCCATTGGTACACGTGACAAATACATTGATTCACCCTGCAAAAGTTTCACATCACAATTCACAAACACAACAAAAATGTTCGCAGGCATCCGGACTCGATCCAGCGCCTTCAGATTGGTAATTTTCAACAAAAAAAATAAAAATTTGAATTTTTCTACAAAATTCAAATTGTTCAATGGAGCGCACTTGCCAATTTCCGATAAAATTTCAAGATTTCGCCTTGAAACCTATATCAAAATGTTGGAAATTTCACGCTGATTTCAGAAAAACCACATCCAACTTCTGAATTCCAGCCGGAAAAATTTTTCAGCCCCAAAACCAAAACCCCACCTTTTCTCCTCGTTCGCCAGGCGGTCCTCTAGCTCCAGGTATTCCATCTCGTCCCGGTTCCCCACGATCACCTTTCGGTCCAATTTTCGATTCTCCATCAAATCCAGGCAAGCCTCGATCTCCTTTCGGACCGGGCCGTCCATCTCGGCCTGGTAGACCTGGCGGGCCTGGGGGGCATGGTGGAAGCGGGACTTGTTGGTATTGTTGTTGTTGAGGTTGATGCGTTTGAACTGGGGGGCCATATCCATTATATCTATCGCCTTTCGGACCTGGTGGGCCTATCGGACCGCGATCTCCACGATCTCCTTTTAGACCTGGACTTCCAGGAAGCCCACGTGGACCATCCAAACCAATTGGTCCCTGGAAAATGGGATTTTTAAAGGGATGGGTTTTTTTTAGAGTTAGGAAACAAATTGATGTGAGAGTGTGTGAGCGAAGCATGCGTGAGGTTTTTTGGGTGGAAAATTTTGGATTTTGATCTACAGTAGGAAAAGCCACGTGGCTAAATTAAAAAAAAAATTTTCTTGGATAATCTGAAAATTTTCTGAATATGAAAACTTCTGGGGCGAAAATTTCAGGAAATTTTTTTTCTGAAAATTTCTACCACGTGGAACATTTTCAATGAATTTTGAAGATCAAAAATGTTTTTCTTCTGAAAATTTCAGATCCTAAATTTTGCTGGAAAAATGCCAAAAATCCACCCAAAACATTTTTTTTGGTGAAAAAAAAAGAACAAACCGGAAATCCAGGATATCCACGTAGTCCTTTGGTGCCCTGCAAAAAAAGCCATGCGAAAATAAAATTTTTTGCAAGCATGCGTGCGTCGCGTGTTGCGTTGCGGTCGTTTTTTTTCTACCCCGTGTATGCACAGTGTGCTACAGTAATTTTTAAAATAAAATTTGAATTTTTCTGGATTACTGTAGCCACTACAGTAATCCAAAAATGTTCTTGATATTTTTAAACAAAGAATAAGCATGCTTGCGTTGCGTGTCGCGTTGCGATTTTTGATCTACCATATATTTACAGTATACTACAGTAATCCAACTTACCGGTGGTCCCGGGGGACCTGGAAGTCCTCGAAATTGAATGGCTTGACCATCGGGAGAGTAGAGCATACCGTAAGCTCGCATTTTTCGAGATAAAGTTTCGTCCTGTAAAATTAGGGGGTCACAACATCTAGCTACTGTAAGGGGGCCTGGCCCCGTCCAGGCCTGGCCTAAAAACCTACCAAATTTGCCGAGTACGGTACTCGCGGTCGTCTGTAGTACGGTGCCGGTAAACCCGGAAGACCCTGTAAATATTTTGCCACGTCACAAACACAACCACCAGGAAAAATTTGAAAATTACTTTTTAGCGCGCAGATTTTTAACTTGTTAAAAATTAACTTAACTTAAAAATTGAACTTAGGATATTATTTCGAGCATAAAAAATGTTTTTAAAAAATTTTACCGGCCATCCTGGCGATCCGCGTAAACCCTGAGATTTTTTTGAATTTTAAAAATTTAAATTTGGCGCGAAAAAAACTGAATTTGAATTTGTGAAATAGACGCTAATAAATCCACGTGGAAAATTTGAAAATCAATTTTCCACGTGGCAATTTCGCCGCCAAAAAACTCACCGGCGGTCCAACAGGTCCTCGTTCACCTGAAAAAATCACAAAATTATTCGAAACCCCCAATTTCCCCTTATTTTTCCAAAAAATTCTCCCATTTTTCACTGCACTCTCCTCATTTCGCGCACTCTCTCCACTCTCACACAGCACAACGAAGACTAGAGAAAAGGGGCAACTAGAGAGAAAAAAAGGCGGTGAACATTTGTTGTCTTTTTCGGCACGGAGTGAGGCGTGGCCGTGTGGCCTAATGGATAAGGCGTCGGTCTCCTAAACCGAAGACTGCAGGTTCGAGTCCTGCCTCGGTCGAAATTTTTTGTTTTTTTTCGGGGAGGTGTTTTTTTGATCTACTTCGTACGTTTGATACTCAGCTATGACATTAGATACTTCGGCCAGTTAGGTACGTAGTCAAAAATATTAGATACTCAGCTATTGAAATTCCTTACGCAGTACGCAGCCAAATCCCTTACCCCTCAAAATTTCAAATTCAGATTCCTGCTCATCCGGAAAATTGTGTAATTTGTCATGTTCATCAAAAATCTTGTGGTCAATTGTCAAATTGACAAGGCAAAAAAAGTGTAAAAATAATTTTACGAAAAAAAATTATTAAAATTTTTGATCCCCCTCCCCCCAAAAAAAATTTCTCTAACATCTCATAAAAATCGTAAAACATGCGTGTGCAAATAGCAAATATTGTAAAATTACTATTTTATTGCATAATATGTATTTGGGACGAAAGTTTAGTTTACAACCTTATAGTAGTAGTAAATATGAACATTTGAAAGTAGCGGGCAGTGGGAGTCGAACTTTGGTATGAAACTTGGCTAGAAATTTGAATTTTAATTGGAAACTCTTGTTGTTCAATGGAGCGCACTTGCAATTTTTCAACAAAAATCTCAAGATTGCCTCACGAGACCTATGCCGTTTTGTAGGAAATTTTACGCAGATTCTGAATATACCCTAACTTGCTTCTTAATTTTGAGTTTAAGGGGCTGATTTGCAGTGGAGAAAAATCCCGAATTCAACTTACCAGGCGGACACATGCATGAATTCCTAGTTTTTCGAGACTTTGTCGATCCCTCGTGCTGAAAAATCCATTTTTTAAATATTTCCATTTTTTTTTCGTAAAAAAATTTGCCCTGGCTATCCCCCAAAAAATCCCATTCCCGCTCGTAATTCACCGACTGATTTATTATCTCGAAATTTACAACATAAGCGGCCACTTTTTATTGGTTTTAGATGAGAGAAAAAGAGAAAAGAGCGGAAACAAAAAGGCAAATCATACAAATTGTTCAATTTTTGCTTGTCCGAGAGAAGTACACGGGAATTGCGAGATTTCGCTTCAAGACCTACTCTGATACTGAATATACCCTAACTTATATATTAAATTTGAGTTTAAAAGATAATTTAGTAGTTTGCAGATTTGAATATTTTTCAAAATTTCTCAATGTTCGGTAGAGCGCATTTGCTATTTTTCAACAATAATTTTAAGATCTCGCATTGAGACCTACATAATTTTGTTGGAACTTTGGTGCTGATTCCAACTTTCATTCTAATTTTGAGTAAAATGAAAAATTTTCATTAGAGCGCACTTGCAAAAAATCAAAAATTTTCCGTGTTTTTGTGCTGTAATTTTGAAGAAAATACCCTCCCTTTTAAAGAAAGGTGGTCAACCATTTAGATTTTCGGAAAAGTATCATCCCCCTACAGTACCCCCTAATTATATTCGATTTACACATCTTCTCATTGTTATATGTTATATAAAAGGTGTTAATTACACGTTGTCACAATTTTTTCTCTTCCCAGAAAACATATGTCCCTTTAAAGGTAGCAATCCACGTGTCAAAAAATGTGACATAGATAGAAAAAAGTTTTAAATCCCTTCGCATAATAATCCAATTATAAATTATTATACAAAGAAGACCAAAAAAAAGAAGCGGTGGAATATTAATTTTTTCTTTTTTTTTCACACAAATGTCACCTGTCATAAAGTCAATTTGGCGTGACGCCAAGGTTTTTATGATTTATTGTATGGGTTTTCATTTTTTTTTCTCAAAAATTTGCTGAAAAAATTCAGAAATACCTGAAATTTGGGCTTCTAAACATAGAAAAAACGGGTTTTTTGCAAATGCGCTCTAATGCAAATTGTTCTTCCTAAAATCAAAATAATAAGGAAAGTAAGGGTAGATTCTGAACTACCGTGAAATTTCTAACGAAATGGTGTTGGTCTTGAAGCGAGATCTTGAATTTTTGAAGGAAAATAGCGAGTGCGCCCTACTGAATTTTTTCAATTTTTCAAGAAAATTCAAAATTTCATTTTTTTTCTTCCTCTGCGTCTCTCACCGTCTCGCCTCACCACAGGTGTATTTAAGCACACCTTATACACATTTATATATTTTCAAGTGGTGTGTGGCCCCAAATATGATATTTACATAAATAAACAGAAAACAGAAGAAGAAGAAGCAGCAGGTGGTACTGTAGATAGATAGATCTACAGTACCACCTGTCTAACTGTAAAAGATTCTGGGGCAAAAGGGAAAAAAGTAATAATTTTTGGGTACTGTAATTTAAAAATTCAAAAATTTTCGAAAAACTCAACTAACCTCTTTAAAAATGTTGTCTGCGAAATTCGCCGCCGCGAATTTTGCCTCAAGTCCCGCGATTCGCGACTCCTGATGTGTATACAGTAGACAAATCAATAAAAATAGAAAAATGTGGGGCAAACATTGAAGCGCGAATTTTTGGGTGATTTCGAATTTTGGCGGTGAGATCATAGGTGATTTTTTCGGCGGCGTCAAATTCAAATCCAAATTCGAATTCGACGTTTTTGGCGCCAAATTTGTGGTGGTTTGACCGTTTTTCTGGTGATCTACCACCATTTGATGGTGGTGCAATTGGTTCATAGGAAATTTTTGACTTGTTGCATAGGGGATCTGGAAAAATTTTTTTTTTCAGAAAAATTGTGTAGATCATTTTTTTCGCGGGGAAAATGAAGTGCTGTAGACGAGATGTTTCTGGCACGAAATTCAAAAAAAAATTTGAAAAATCCACGTGGCTTTTTTTCTTTGATAAAAAAATAAGAAAAAACTATGCAAACCCAAAAAAAGGCGGAAATCTCCAAAAAAGCTGACTCATCAATCACCTAATTTTTCTATCAAAACAAATATTTACTCTAACAACAACCTAAGCTTGCTTGAGTTAGCCTAATTAGCGCTCAGGTTCGATTCCCGGTGCATGCAGAAATTTTTTAAGAAAAAATGTGCCTATTTTCTGTGTAGCCCCCTTGGAGAAGTCATAAAAAGGTCAGAAATGTTATGATATATTATAAACAACGATAAAATCGAGCCACTTCCGACAATTGTTACGTAATCGCAAGCAGATTGAGATATTTGATAGTTTTTTTATTTAGGACGGGGTGAGTTATCTTAACTTGAGATCGATCAATTTTGGGTAAATAAACAAAGGAAATTGTGGGGAAGATCCTACAGTAATCCTACAGTAATCCTAAGGATTTTTTCGAAACAAAAATAAACTTTCATGTTTTGTCTCGAAAAAAAAACATTAAAAACCCATTAGCCTAAGTAGTTTGATAATAAAAACTTTTTATTATCAACAGAAAAATCTTTTTTTTTTCTCAAATTGAAAAATTTAGTGAGAAAACCTCCTCCGCTTTGGGGCCGAAAAATTCTAATTGTAAGAACGAGAAAAAATGTTGTCCGAGAGAACTACACACAGAAAGTATCTAATTAGCAACGCTTTTTTGGATGATAAAATCTGGAAAATTGGCCTGGCAAAAACAACAATGAGATTTTTTAATGAGATTATTTGGGGTCACAAAAATTTGTGGCCACGTGGCAACGATGATTTGAAAATTGAGAAAAATTGAGCTCTGAAAGTTTATGGTTTATAATTTATAGAATAGAATCGAATTTCAGTATCAAAAAACTTTTGAACATTTTTTGAAAATCTTTGAGCGCAAGAAAAATGAAAAAAATCCCGAGATAACAAAAACCGGTCAAATTTTATCCCGCCAAAAGAAAAACCTAAGCCTAATTAAGCCTAATTGGCTTAAATTAGGCTTAGGCCGCCAAAAAGCAAAAAATTATTATTTGAATAATTGAAAAAATGACCCAAAAGACACACAAAAAAGCAAAAAGCACGGTGAGAAAAAAAAATTGTGGGCGGAGCTCAGAATTTCTAAAGCTCCGCCCACTTTTTTTTCTTCTCGCTACTACTGACCGCAAGAAAAATAATGGGGCTGGTTTTTTTGGGGCGAAACAAAAAAAGAAGTTTTGGAAATAGTCACAAAAACATACGGTAATTGAGGAGATCCGGGAAAAATATTCAAAAAAAAAAAAGATTTTGGCGGGAAAATTGAATTTTGAAATTTGAAAAAATGAATTTAAAAAAAAAACTGACATGAATAGAGAATTTTGGTGACTTGGATTTTGTGGCGCTGAATTTGAATTTGAATAAAAAATTTAATCTGTTTCTGAAAAAATCGTGGCAAATCCGCCTTTCAAAAATTCGAATTCAAATTTTTCAACCAGAGCACAGAGTCATTTTAACTTAAAAGTCTCCACAACTAATTTTCACACCAAAATTATATTTCAAAATAAAAAAGTAGTATTTCAGGTTTGACAATCCGAACCTATCTTTTTCTTAGCTCAAGAAGAAAAAGCAAAAAAAAAGAAGAAGAAAAAGAGTTTGATTGAAGTTGACCGATGAGCCCAATATAAAACGGATATATTTTATTTTGTTTTATACACACTGTGTGACACACGGCAAAAACATAGGAGAAAATGAGAGAAAAGTGTCAAAATATTTTGAGAAATGTGTGAAGTTTTGCGGCAACGAATTTGAAACCTAATTTTACGTGGAATTTTAATTTTGACAATGAAATTTTTCCTCCTAAACTCAAAATTATGCAGAAAATTGGAGTTGATTCGAAATCAGCGAAAAATTTCCAACAAAATGGTGTAGGTCTCGAGGCAAGATCTTCAAAATTTTGTTAAAAATTGCAAACGCGCTCTAATGCACAATTTGAATTTTGCAATTAAATTCAAATTTTTAGCCAAACTTCTGTTTTCCTCAAAAATTAGGATTTTTCTAGAAAAAGAACACCTGCCTCAATGTTCGCAACATTTGATAGATTAACATACAATTTGTCAGAAAAAAAACATCTAATTTTCCGCCAAATAATTAATTGCTTGCCCTTGGGAAGTTTCAATTCAAACAGCAAGAAATCTTCTTCTTCTCCTCCAAAAGAACTACACAAATATTGTGGCTCACAGCGGGGAAAACGTCTAATAAGTTTTGTGTTTTTTGACGCAATAACATCATTTGGGGGTCAACCGGTAGCCGCAAAAAGGGGAAAAATGGGAAGAAATTGATTACGCAAACAAAAATATGTTACATAATATATTGGATTAGCCACAAGTGGGATGGGAACACCATTTTCTCGTGTTTTTAAAGAAAATAAAAATGAAAAATTCCGCAGGCAGCAGGAATCGAACCCGAGCTTGAGTTCTGAAAATTTGAATTTTCATGCAAAACTCTTGTTGTGCATTAGAGCGCGTTTGCCTTTTTCAAAATTTTTTTTTCAGAATCTACTCTAACATGAGCAATAATTTTGATTTTAAGGGGGACAACTTGCAAAGAAAAATTGAAAAAAATGTTAAAATTATTAGTTTTTACATTTTTACATTAGAAACACATGTCTGCAGATTTTTTTTAAACAAAAAAACGGAAAAAATCGGGGGAAAATCCAAATTTCCCACGTTTAATGTGGAATTCTCAATGAGAGCAATGAAATGAGAAACAAATTTTTTTTCAAAAAAAACATTTTTCTCAAGTGTGTACTTCTCTCGGACAAGTGAATAATTATTTTTTGTGGCAACTTTTTCGTATATTATTGCATAACTAAAAAATACTACCAAAAACAAAACAAAAATCGCGAGACAATGGAGAATGTCGTGAATTTTTCACAAAATCTTCCCGGGTAATTCTTTCTTGTGTGCAGTGGAGCGTGATTGAATAATTTTTTGGAGTTGCGAGATTTTTGAGGGGAGGGGAGGATTTTGGGGGTCAAAAATGAATGATTTTTTTTAAAGATTTTTTTTTCAGAAAAAAATTGCCACGTGACATCAATTGTTAAATTTTTGAATTATCCAGCCAAAAATCCACGTTGAAATTTGACTCCAAAAATTTTAAATTTTTTCCCAAGCAAAAATGATTTTTATAGTGTCTAGCCAGAATTTTTCTCCCAAAATTTTCCCAAAAAAATTGTTTCCATTTATTTTCTAATACAAAAAAAAAATGATATTTCTCCCAATTTTTCTAAATTTCCTTCTGAAATCCACAGTTTCCTGGGAAACTATAGAAGTCCTCGAGAACTACAAAATCGTCCTAAAAACTCGGAAAAATTTCGAACTTTTTCACGAAAATTTCACGCTGACTCAATGTGATTCGAAAGTTTTGCGCAAACAAGAATTCATCGAAAAAATTGCGGATTTTTCGGCTGAAAATCTGGAATTTCGTGATTTTGAAGTTGTGAATACGACTGAAACTTCGGATAAACTTGCGATTCGATATGAATTGAATGTTGGGAATGCGACGCGAGTTTTTATTGATATGCACAATTCGAAAATATATTCCGAAGTGCATCGAGATTGTTCTGAAATTCCGATTTTGTCTGGAATTATTGATGATTCAAAATATGTTGCGAATTCAATCCTGGACAAACTTCAGAATCACAGAATTTCCGATCTTCTTACTGACGATTACACTTACACAGATCTTGAGAATCTCACATCTTCGAAATCTGAACTTTTAGATTATCTAGATTTCCATGGCGGGGCAAATTCAGATAACATCAAGATCTATGATCTGAAGTTTATAGAGGTTCAAAGATCGTGGATCGAAAAGTCTATGGAAACAAATAGGCAAAGATATTTCTTCGAAATTCGATTGAAAACCGAAGATTTGGAGTCTGTTAGTGTTTTTGAGGCGAGTTGGGAGGATTTGAGAATTCGAGCGGAAAAATTGGAGGGGTTGGAAATTCGATTTTCGTCGATTCATCCAGTTCCGCCGTTTACAGGTGAGAAAAGATCGCGAGTTTTTGTGGCTGAAAATTTGAATTTTAATGAAAAAATCCTATTGTACAGTAGAGCACATTTGCTATTTTTCAAAAAAAAATTGAAAGATTTCTTAAAAGGACATATATCATTTTGTTGAAAATTTTCCGCTGATTCAAAATCTACTCTACATGAGCAATGATTTTGAGCTTGAGGGGCAAAAATTAAGAATTAAAAGTTATTTGAAAAAATATAAATCACGGCAGTTTCAGTGAAATATATATATTTTTTGTGACATAAGGATTCTGATGAAAATTTGAATTTCAATACAAAACTCCTATTGTGCAGTAGAGCACATTTGATATTTTTCAGCGAAAATTTAAAGATTTCCTTTTGATATCTATATCATTTTGTTGAAAATTTTCCGCTAATTCCGAATCTACTCCAACATGAGCAATGATTTTGAGCTGAAGGGACAATAAACATTGTTCATATTTGTTGCAGCCCTCATCGACTACCAGCACTCTGCCGAAATCGTCGGCAAAGCAATCGTCAAAGAATACGAAACAGCAATCAGACTCAACAGTCGCAAACTTTTCGCCAAACTTGTCGCTCCAAATTTCATGGTTCGATATATGTCGGAAGAGCCGATTCTGCTGACATCCGATGAATATTTTTGCGAATTTTTGCGCACCGAATCAGGTCGCGAATGGAATCGCATGTATGTACGCACACCATTTTTGAATATCACAAAATTCGGCGATTTTTCGTTCAGCATGGGAGAACGAACGTTTCCTGTACACTTGGATGTAACATTTTCAAGAGCCGATCAAAAATTTCTACTAACTTCCGAAGATCGCTTGACATTCAAACGTGACGAGCAATATTTATTCGAAAGAAAAATTCGACGAAACTTCCAGCGAGTTTTGGATGCAAATGTTGTGGCGAAGAATTCGCGTGATCCCCGATTTGGTGCGAGTGTTGATCTGGTTTTTGATGGATATGAGCAAAATGAGACGAAAGTCGTATTATTTGCACGCGAAAATCAGGAAAATGGATCTGTTTTCAAATTCGACGCCGAGTTTTTGAATGGCAAATTGGTTTTTGTTTGAATGAATTATTTACGATGCTCCGCTTTTACGCTAAAAAAATGCAGGAATTTTTTCCAACGATGCTCCGCAATTCCACCAACAAAAAAACCGCGAAATCTTCATTTTTCAAAAAAATCATTCAAATTTCCAATTTTCATCCCTCAATTCCTCAACCAACTTCCATTTTCCACCCGCAAATTCGGCGCGAAACTCGAGAACTTTGTTCTGGCCCTCAATTTTCGCCAGAATTTTCACCATTTCCTCTTTTTCTCCTTCTGGTATGATTTCAAACGATTCCAAAACCAAATCAGGCATCAATTCCGGATAGGAATTGTGCGAAAACGTCGCGGGAAGTTGCGAAAAGTCGCACGAATTAATCGCACGAACATAGGAATCGAGAAGTTTCTGCAGGTTTTTCTCGATTTTTTGAGCAATTTTTGAATCTTCTTGAGAATTCAGGCATTTTGTGATATTCGCAGCAGTTAGCAAATACAAATTATTGATTGATTTTGCTGAAAAAATTTCAGAATTTTCAGATAAAACATCTAGATTTTCAATCTCACCTTCAACAAAAATAAGTTCAATGTTTCCAGACAAAAACCAAAAATTGATTTTTTCTCTCTCCAAGTCATAAACCAAATCATAAATTTTTCCTTTAAATTCACCCAAATTCGAATTTTGAGCAACTCTCAAAAATTCTTCAGGCGACAAAAGTGTGCGATTTTTTTCGCAAATGTGAAGCTCGAATTCGCTGGAAACAGTTTTCGCGAGAATTTTGCGACTTTTGAAGGCGAAAGCGGTGGTGAATTGTCGTGCGAGTCGTGAAGCGAGATTTTCAATTGTGGATTTGTAGTCGATGAGGGCTGAAAGAAAATATTTTGGAGGATTTTTGGGATTCACTTTAAAAAAATTCTCACCTGTATAAACCGGTTGTTCTGGCAAACTTCTCTGAATCTCCCTGCGCAGCCTGAACTCTCCATCAACCCACCCGATTTCAAACATCAACAAGCTCCTCTTCCCATTCCAATTCCATTCCACATAACATCCATAATTCAGCGCTCCAGAATCCCAGGTTAGTGAAATTTTGAAATTAGAACCATCCCAAGTGACGATTCTCCCATAGCTCCGAATTCCAGCCAGAAATTCAGATTTGTTCAGAATCTTTCCAGATAAATCATGATGTTCGAAGTTAGGAAGGAGAAAAAGATCCAGATTTTTTCCAGGGTTCTGAAGTAGCTCCAAATAACTAGCTAAAGAATAATTAGCCGCTAGAACTTTATCATTAATTAGGCTAGTGCTAATTGGCTCAAAATTTGATTTACAGTCTCGATGAGTCTCGGACAAAATCAAGTTGTCATTTTGAACATCGAAAATTGTTGAAGTGAGATTTTCAAAAATCAATCGATATCTTTTAGTATTTCCAGACTGGGCCTCCAAATTCAATCGATAATTTTCATTAAACTCAAAATGATTCGCAGGAATTTTCCGGAACATTTGCGACAAAGAATCACGAGTTATCTGCGATTTTTTCGAATCGCATTTTGTGATTGTGAAGTTCTCGTGGAGAATTCGAAAAAGATCGGGGATGTTTTGGGATTTCAAAGAGTTTCTGTAGATTTCCAGAGTTTTCTCGAAATTTGGAAATTCTTGTTGACAGAAAACTTTTTGGAAAATATAGAGGAATAGAAATATTTTCATATTTTTTGAGAAAAAATAGATAAATGAGAAAAAAAATGAATTTTTGAGAAGAATTGGGAGGATTTTTATGAGGTCTGGACACAATTCAGATTGGGAAATCTACGTGGCACCAAAAATTTTGAGACCCGAAAACCACGTGGAAGATTTTGTGAAATACTGATTTTAAATTTTCGATATCAGCTAAATTGAATTCAAGTCAAAAATTTTAGCTAAAACTCAATTCCAAACTCAAAGTTGGTAGAAATTTCTGAATTTTCAGTCAAAAATTTTTGAAATTCAGCTAAAAATCCAGAATTGTATCATCCTCTTCTGATTTTTGATGTGAAAATCTGTCAGAACTACTATAATCATAAAAAATTCACGATTTATTCCCCAAAAATCAATCAATCAATATTCAATTTCTCCCATTCCTCTTCATATTTCTTAACCCAATCATCCTCTCGTTTTTCCTCAATCAAAACCAATTTTCCATCCAACCTCCTGGCCGAATATTCCAAATCCGTAAATTCGGCAATCGCATGAAATGTGACATTCAAATCTTTTTGTATCAAACTGCCATCGCGGATGATTAATTTAGGCATATTTTTGGGGTATCCGAGAGTTGGATAGGGAAAAGTTGCGATTTCTTCATAAATTGTCTGATTGTTCTGATTGATCGCGTCGACGAAAACATCTAGAAGTTCTTGAAGAGAATCGAGAATTGAATCATGATATTTCTTCAGAATCTTCACATCTTCGTAATCGAAACATCTCACACTACTAACAATTTTCCGATCTCTCCCAATATCATGAACCACGAAATTCAAACATTCAATCCAATTTTCTTTCCCGGCTTTAACGCAATTCTTCTTATATTCCATTTTAGGTGTATTTCTGAACAATCTGAAATATTCTTGAGGATCAATGTGATATTGAATATCTCCACAATAAACTTCGTAGTTTTCCTTGTCAAATTCAAGATCTTCAGATTTTAACCCTGGATAGAAATCAGCATCACAACTCAGCCATTGTTCTTCTGAAATCACTCTTTGATTTGGAGCAACTTGATAATTTATAGATGTCATAACTTTTGTCAAATCTTCTTCCAAAAAATCTAATGTGAAGCTAACACTTCCATCACGATGAAGTTCTTCGTCATTAATTAGAATTCGCTTGAAATTATCTATTGGGATTGCTCTTAAAAGATTCGATGATTTATGTTTCTTTTGGCCACATCCAACAACTTTTACATCATCGTGAATTTTAGGAGTGTAGATCAGATTTGTTGCGATCTCCAGAGCTTCATTGATAAGAGAAGTGTGAATTGGAATCTCGTCATCGCACAGAGAAATAATCTCCCCACTGATCTTCTTCAAATCTTCAGTAAACTCAAATCCATTAACCGTAAGTCCATCATCAACATCTAGCTTAACTTCTCCTGAAGTTTCCAAAAATGCAAATCCTCTTACCGGCCTGGTTCTAGATTTATCCAATTTGGAAATCGATTTTAGAAAAGTTGCCCGTGAAATCTTGTCGATTCCACATCTATCGATCTCAAAATCTTCAGCTAGAATGTCAGCCAAACCTTCGGAGTTGGCAGTTCGAAGGTATTCGATGTACTTGTTGACAAGGGCTTTTTTCTGATCTTCTTGGGCAAGTCCTAAACCCAAACTTAGACTTATTAAGCCTAAGATTGTCACAAGATACATGTTGATAGAAAAATGAAAAGATTGGAAAAAATTCGGGGGGAAAATTGGATTTTATGAGGACTAGACGAAGTTTGGAGTGAGAATCCAACATAATTTTGCTCAAAAACATTTTCTCATTTTTTTCTATCAACATGTATCTAGTTACAATAATAGGCTTGATAAGCCCAAGTCTAGGTCAAGCTCAAGAAGACCCGAAAAAGCCTTTTTCGAATTTATTCGGACTGCAAATTCCGAAGGTTTGGCTGAGATTCTAGAGAATGGTTGGGTTAAGAAATATGAGGAGGAATGGGAGAGATTAAATAATGTTTGAGGAGGGTTTTTGTTTGGAATAAATTCTGAATTGAACTTGGAGATGTGGAGAATCGGAAAAATCCAAGAAAAAATGCAAGTAATTTATTTCCACCTTCAAAAAAAACTTGGCAGGAAAAACGAGAGATTTAAAGCCCAAAAAAGTTTGGGCACCGTGAAATTCTGAAAACTTTCATGGGCCTGTGATCTACACTCGTAAGAAACCAACTTTGGTTGCAACACATCCTTAAGCCGGATAATAATCCGCCTCCATTCCACAAATCGCTCCATCCCTTCCATTATACGAATAATCATCATCCATCTGATTAGTCGTATCATCAATCCAAACATACGTTTGCTTCCTCATATAATTATGTATCCGGCGTCCCCGAACGCCATTTAAATCCTGCCGTTCCTGTCGTATGTCCATCTGTCCAATAGAACGAATTCAACGCATTGCATTTGCTTGAGAGGTACGCAGTCCAGCAAGCGGTGGTTCGTTTGAGCCCAAGGTAAAGTCGCCGCAACGCTTTGACTTCACTATAAGCTGTAGCCGTCATTGTCAAGAGTTCCTGCTTGTTTTGGAAGCCTGAACAAACCGCGGTGCTGTTCAGAGAGCGACAGAGTGAATCAGCTATTGGACCTGTAGTGTAACCCCAGTACACTTTCATGCACCAGTAGTAGGTTCCTCGGTTGAATTTGGTCCAACCGCTCAAGCATCCTAGAACTAGAGGGACTGTTGTTGTTGTAGTTGTAGTAGTTGTTGTGGTTGTGGTGGTAGATGTTGTAGTAGAAGTTGACGTTGATGTAGATCTTGTTGATGAAGACGCAGATGTAGTAGATTTGACCGAAGTTGTGGTCTCAATTGGTCTCGTACTTGTTTCAAAAGTGATTACACCAGTTGTACTCACCGGCTCTAGAAGAAACCGCAATTTTTCAATAATCCTGAATTTTTTCTCACCTCCAACCTCCACGATTTGCGTTGCAATACAACAAAAATATGCAGAAGTCAAAAAACCAAAGAAAATTAGATATCAGTTTTTCAAACATGACCGATTATGCAATACGATTATGAATCTTATATAGTTTTTTCAGCAAAAAAAAGAAGAACAGGATCATTTCAGTTTAAAGAGAACGTTTGAGATCTGAGAAACACAAAGTTGTGTGGAAAAAATTGCGAAATTTCAACATGCAAAAAATTCATCTTCAACCTATTTGACAAGATTCAAAACATCAAAACCCGTAAAAAAATTAAATTAAATTCAAAAAAAAAATATTTTTGAGCAAAATTATTCAGCGACTTTGGAGCGAAAAAGAGAGATTGCTATCGTCTAGAAAAAAATGACAGTAACTATTTACAAATTGAAAAAAATGGGGGGAATTTGCGTTTTTCCCAACCATCAGAGCAAAAAATGACAAGATCAGTTACAAATCGAAAATTTAAAAAAAAAATAAGACCCTAAAAAACTACCTGGTCTTATACCAACTATTCACAACATCGCCGTTCTCATTAAACCATGCAATATATCCGCAAGTCGCTTTTCCGCGAAGCCCAAACAATTCCAATTGATCGCAACGTTCGCCGGTGATTTTTGACGAATTTTGGGCCTGAAATTCGGGGGGTTTTTGGCTAAAAAATGCTCTAAATTGCTCCAAAATCATCCCAAACCTCACCTTCATATTAAAATGATTAATTGAGCAATCAATCATTCCACATTTGCCCACATTATCATAACGACAATAAATATTATGAGCCGTATTTGCACCCATCCATCTTCCGGACCATGTGCATTCTGATGGGTCCGATTTACAGCAAAATCGTTTGCTGAAATAATCGCCGAAAATTGTGGTGCACGGTTTGCCGAAACTTGGATCGGGGGAGCAGAAGCCGGACATCCACCAGGTAGAACATCTGGAAATTTTTGGCGGTTTGAAAAATTTGGGCATAGCTTCCGCATCTCCGCGACTTGCCAAAATCATGAGTCTTGCATTCATTACAGGATTCATCATTTTCGCAAAGTCGCAAAGGGAAATTTACAAGGCCGAAAGCTTCCGGATGCTTGCGGAAAACTCGGGCATAGCTTCCGCATCTCCGCGACTTGCCAAAATCATGAATCTTGCATTTATTACAGGATTCATCATTTTCGCAGAGTCGCAAAGGGGAATTCACAAGGCCGCAAGCTTCCGGATACTCGCGGAAAGGAAAAATTCGGGAATAGCTTCCGCATCTCCGCGACCTGCCAAAATCATGAATCTTGCATTTATTACAGGATTCATCATTTTCGCAAGGTCGCAAAGGTACCACACAGCTGACGCGGAATCTTGCGGCTCACATCCGTATACGAACCTTCCATTATGCATTCGAATGAAATCATAATCCGCCGGACACGGAAAATTGCAAAGCGGCGCAGTTCCAAACCACTCGCAACCGCCCTCCGAAATTCGCGGATTGAAATTCGTCAAATCGTTGACAGTCTTCGCCGTCATTCCAATCATTCCAGTCACCAAAGCGGTGGCAATTGGTCCCGACACGATTCCACCGTCGCGTTTCACTCGGCGCTTTTGAATTCGATTCGTCTCCAGCGAATTGTAGTGATAGTGATGTGCGAATTTTTCGCGGGAAATTTCGCCAAGTCTCTCGCGAATTTCGGCCTCATCGCTCCAATTTGTCTCCTCGATTGAGCGATTCGCAAAGCGACATTGTGTCGCACCCAAAATCGCGGCGAAAATCACAAAATTCGCCAACATCTGAAAATTAGAGAGTATGCAAAATGGAGAGACCGAGAAAAAAAACGGAAAAATGTTCAATTTGTCGAAAATGATGAAAAGTGTTCAACCTGACGAGATACGAGAGAGTGCAGACCTTTGAGAGACGCAGAGAAAACAACAGGGTGAATCATTTTGTGTATTATAATAATTTGAAAATGAAATGATGAAAACACGTTTTACATAAAGGCTTAATTTTTTGTGTGTAAAAAATTGGGTTATGACGTACTTAAAAATGTGGTAAAAATGGGATTTTTGACGGGAAAATCACATTCTTCGAAGCCGGAAAAACAGTTGGCTTCGCGAAAAAAGAAATTTGATACATGAATGACTCACCCCGTGTTTTCTTTGCTTTTTTTAATATCTTATAAGAAAAACATGAAAAGAACATCCGTTTTTATATCCCGAAAATCTGATTTTCGCAATTTTGAACTTTAAAATTGAAAAAAATGACTCATTTTTTCGCGAAATCCCTCAAAAACAACAAAACTTGGTTGCCGAGATTGAAAAAGTGGGTGGAAATAGAGAAGTAAAAGAAAAATAGAGATTTTCTTGATCAACGATCAAAAATTCTCACCGGAAATCCTTCTTCTTGCAGGAAAATTCAAACTTTGTGAAATCCACGTGAAACTTCAATTTCCAGCTTTTTCTCACAAGGAAAAAAACCCCGAACCCCAGTTTTTCCCGAAAAAAAAACAAAAATAAAAAATAATGTGGCCTAGGAAGCCAAGGCGGGGCCATTGGATTTCTAGGCCGGCAATAAATTTTCAAACAAAAGCTGCACAGTGCCCCCAACGCGTAGCCAGAGAAAAGTTGTGCGCATTTAAAAAATATTTTTCGTGCATGTACGGTAGAGCGCACAAGCCTGTTTGTCGGTTTTTTGAAAATTTAACACTAGGTTTTTTCTTGAAACGATTAGAATTCAGTTATACTTGCATGAAAACTCCCAAACTGAGCTATATGTTCTGGAGAATAATGAGAGGAACGTTTTGATATAAAAAATGTGAAGATTGGATTCAAAATAAGTTAGTTAATATCTTTTGAAGAAAAACAATTCAAATTTTATGAAGGAAAAATGTGATTCGGCACTTGTTTCATGATAAATATGTAAATTAGAATACTTTCAAGGTGTTTTAAGAATCATTTGATCAAAATAAACTTCTGAAATCTGGTTTTTTGTTCAATTTTGGGCGAATTTCGATGGAAAAGAAAATAACAAAAACGGCATAATTTTGAATTATTATTGATTCCACATACTCGAGGAGTCCTATTTCAATGTTTTGGAAGCAGTAAACTAGATTTTATCAGCTTTCCTGGGTCAAAAATGATGTTTTTGCACAAGGTATTTTTTGAAGAGCTCTTGTTCATTTCATTCTCAACCATTTTTCATGAAACAACTTGGAATAGCTTCAATTTTTCTTCCTCTGTCTTCTCCATATTCGATTTAGTTACAAAAATAACATTTCCAGCATTTTTCAGCAAGAAAACAAAAGCGCAAAAAAAGATGAGAGAGTGCGCTTTGTTGAAGAGACGGATGAGAGATAGAGAGAAAACGAGAGAGTGTGTGGAGTGTGGAGTGCTGGCGCAATACGCGTTCGGGACACTGTGAGCTGAAATTATCCAAAAAATCTCTAGATCTACAGTGCTCCACAAAATGATACGGTCAACATGAAAAATTCCAAAAAATCGAAAATCCGGAAAGCATTAAATTTTCATATTCATGGGGCTAAAATGGGCTCAAAAAGTTCAATTATTGGTCCAAAAACAAAATTGAAATTCCTGGTGAAAAAATGAGAAAATCGAAAAATCTCATTTTTAGGTTTTTTCCAATCCACAAAATGATACGGTCAACCATAATTTTTCTTAAATTTTCCAGTTTTTCGGTTAGATTTCAATGTGATTTAGTTTGAAATGGTGAATTTCGGTGATTTTAAAAGTTCGGTGTGAAAATTAGCATACCTAGCTAGGTCACGAGGTCCAAAAAGGACCAAATCAGGAAAACGTCTTTCAGAGTTCCAAAATCTAGCAAATTTTGAAACATTTCCAGGTTATGTCGACTAATTCGCCAGAAAAGGGTTAAATTTAGCCTTTCTGAACTTCATTGACAATTTTCCTTCCAGAATTCAGTGAAAATTGTGAAAAAATCGATAATTTTATTACGTCGACTTAATGAAAAAAGCAAATTTTCGAACTTTCCCAAGGAAATGAAGATCCCATGGCACGAGATGTTAAAGTTTATCCATCGGACACTTCGGAACATTCATCAGGTATGTCCACTGACACATGATAACCCAAAAAATTGAAGAAACAGCATCAGGAAAACGTCGTACTTGAATTTCAACATTTTTAAATTTTCAAAAAAAGTGGTTGATCAACGGAACAAGTGGTAGCAGTCAGTTTTGTTGATTAAAACACGATTTCAAAAAACCACAAGCCTTAAAACTTTTTTTCAAATGCATAAATCGATTTTTGACTTCATTACTCGCCTGATCTCGTCATCGAAGATAAGTTAAGTACATTATGGTAGGTTCCAAAGTGGATTTTCTTCAATTTTTTGGGTTATCATGTGTCAGTGGACATACCTGATGAATGTTCCGAAGTGTCCGATGGATAAACTTTAACATCTCGTGCCATGGGATCTTCATTTCCTTGGGAAAGTTCGAAAATTTGCCTTTTTCATTAATTCGACGTAATAAAATTATCGATTTTTTCACAATTTTCACTGAATTCTGGAAGGAAAATTGTCAATGAAGTTCAGAAAGGCTAAATTTAACCCTTTTCTGGCGAATTAGTCGACATACCCTGGAAATGTTTCAAAATTTGCTAGATTTTGGAACTCTGAAAGACGTTTTCCTGATTTGGTCCTTTTTGGACCTCGTGACCTAGCTAGGTATGCTAATTTTCACACCGAACTTTTAAAATCACCGAAATTCACCATTTCAAACTTAATCACATTGAAATCTAACCGAAAAACTGGAAAATTTAAGAAAAATTATGGTTGACCGTATCATTTTGTGGATTGGAAAAAACCTAAAAATGAGATTTTTCGATTTTCTCATTTTTTTCACCAGGAATTTCAATTTTGTTTTTGGACCAATAATTGAACTTTTTGAGCCCATTTTAGCCCCATGAATATGAAAATTTAATGCTTTCCGGATTTTCGATTTTTTGGAATTTTTCATGTTGACCGTATCATTTTGTGGAGCACTGTAGTACCGAGTGGTGTAGCTCGTTCTATAGAGAATTTCAAGAGCTACAAAATGCTACATAGGAAGCTTATTTTCAAAATCAAAAAAAAGAGAGAAAAATTCATTCAAAAGGCATAGAACGAATTGAACGCGTTGAACACCGTGTAGGTCGGCTTGAATTCGGCAGCAAATCTTCTTCGAGTGTACTTGATCGGCACTCAAAACTCCACCAAACCTCGCCAAACTTCGCCCCCAAAATCCACGTCATACCACAATTCACATACGGTAGCAAATTAACAACTACCGTAATCCAATGTGTCTCGCCACCAACCAAAAAATACCACCAAACATTGGTTGTAAAATGGGAAATATAAATTAGTAGCAGAATTTTTGACGTCATGATTTTTCGCTGATGAAAAATGAGGAGAGACGCAGAGAAGACAATGATTATTAAAGGGACAACCAGTTCGATGATCGCTGCTAGACCCGGAGTGTAGATTTGAGCGCGAAAAGGTACGGTACATTGGAATATTTCAAACATTATGGTATTGTTGTTGGCACGAATTGCTTGACCCAATAAATGACTTTCCAACTGAAAAATTTTTGAATTTTTAAATTTCAACTTTTTTCTCGTGAAAAAATTACCTGCGCACTTTCACCAACACGCAATAATATGAGCAATACCAAGACCAAAACGCTCATCAAAAATCCGGGCAAAATTGCAAAAATTTCGGGAAAACCCTGAAAATTTTTCAAAAATTTTTATTAAAAAATTTGACGCTAACAAAACCTACCGTAGCCAAGAAAATTGCTGAAATTGTGTAGGGCACCAAAGTTCGCCCAATTTGACCTGTGATTTCGGAGAATTGACACGTGGCACGAGAAAATGACCATTGTTTTGAGAGGATTTCCAGCACCACATATGGAGCGCCCAAGGAAATCTGGAAATTGGTTTTGGAGCGAGATTTGGGATACTGTAGGTCAGATTTGCGTACAAAGAATTTGATTTGAGTAACTAGAAACAGTTTTTGAAATCAAAATTCATCAAATTTTTGAAACGTAAAAATTTAGGGATTTTTGAAAATGTGTTTTTTCGGTTCCAAAAACTCACAAAAGCATTAAGAAAAGAAAAAAATGGCAAGCAAAATCTGAACCGGCGATTTTCGCCGAAATCTTCGATGATAAATCTGAATCGAAATTTGACTGATATTTCCGCAAATTCCAAAAGTCATGAATAAAATGTGAAAAAATATCAAAAGTAGATCAGAATCTGCAAAAAAATCTGGAATTTCAGTATTTTTTGGGTGAAAAATCAATACCTGTTGGCTGTTGAATCGGTGGAATAATTTTGACAAGCGGAAGCGTGGTATTGTCCATTTTTCTTTCGAAAACAATTTTTCCGTGTCTGAAAAATTTCTAAAAATAAGTACTAATTAGGGCTGGTGGTGCGGAAAATTGGATGGTTTTTGGTTCGAAAAATTCGTATTTTTTTCAACAAAATGTCTCAAAGTTTTTCAGCTGCTTTATCATAAAATCGACTAAAATAATTGGATTTTCACGAAAAAAGCCCGCAAAAATTCAATTTTCACATATTTTTATTTTTTATTTTTGAAAAAAAGGGGAAAGTGGAAATGATGAAGAATTTGTTGAATAATTACTCTTCTCTCAAATAAACATAGATATACATCGACACGAACAAAATTAATTAATTTATTTGCTCTCTTTCAGACACAGACAGAAAAAGAGCAAGATGAAAAAAAAAGTAAAAAAAAAGTTGCCTACTGCTGGAATCGAACCAGCGTCGCCACGGCCACAACGTGGAGTACTAACCACTATACTAAGTAGGCCGAGAGAAACAGCGCACAATTGCGTTGAAAAAGTCGGTGTGTTTTGTGCGCCGCGGGCAGGTGAGAGAAAGTGTGTAGGGATGGGAGAGTGCAGAGAAATTGTTGTGTTTTGAACAGAAAATGCAATATTTCAATGGTTTCCTAATTGAAAAGCTATTTTGAAGTCATAAAACTCAAATTGAAGAGAAAAAGTATTTGGCTCAAAAGAATTAGTAAATGTCAGTGGAAAAAAGAAACAAATCTAGCTTGATCTGCTTATAAATAAGTCATCCCAGGAAACGAATTCTAAATGTTTAATCTAACAAAAACCAACAAATAATGTTTAGAAAATTAAATTAGAAACCTACGAAAACCAGTTTTCCGGGGTTTGATTGATAGAAAATGTTTCTCACGAAAAAAATAGTTGGAAAAATAAAGATTTCTATTTTTTCAGCCACAAAATTCCCATGAATTAGTAGAATCAACAAAACCACGCAATTATATGTATATCAACAGCAGAAAAACGCATCAAAATTATTTTCTTGACAATTTTCGCTTGCGAGACCCGGGTTCAATTCCCGGCCGGGGAGAAAATTTTTAAATTTTTTTGACTCTTGCACTTTTAGCAAACCGGAAAGAATGGAAAAATTAGCGGATATTCAAGCTACTAATCCGCATGTTTTCATAAATCACACGTTTTGTTTATCCACATGAAAAACAGATAATTTATGTTCTCTTCATACCCAAAAAAACAACAGAATGCACTTTGAAAAAACCCATTATGACTTAGAAAATTGATTGTGAAAATGTAACAAAATAAGTAAATAAATAAATTAAGTTAGTCGAATTTTCCCTTTCTCAAAACCCTTCCGATTTTCGAGTTCTCTTCGAAAAGTTGACGAATCATGAAGACTTGAATTGCGGCGACGCCAAGGAGAACCAATGTGTGAAGAAGACTCCAGAATGTGACGCGATCGAAGTTGGCTGACATTATTGCGCGGTCTCGAGCTTCGTGTGCGCGAAGAAGGGCCTGGAAATTGAAAAAAAAAGTTTGTGGGGACTGGGGATCGAACCCCGGACCTTTAACTTAGAAATTTTGAAAAAAAAAACCAAATATCATTTTTAAAAATCGGAAAATTCCAATTTTTTTTTTTTTTTGACGTGAACTAAATGACGTGGCAGTTTAAAAAAATTTATTTTTAGGAATTTTTCGAACTCGAACAAAATGTGGAGAAACAACGATCCTCCGTGTTTACGCAGTGATAAAATTTGGAATGAAACCAAAATACTTTAGGGGATTCTATCGTAATAAAAAATTGCCAGAAAATCAATCTTACCTGATGATATTCAACCTTATTCAAATTATTCTTGATTCCATTCGCTCTTCGATGAAACTCATCAATAGTAACTCCCAAATCATTCATTCGAATCGACAATTCGGCATCCTGTCTAGCCAGTGAACTCAAATCTGATTCATCCAAATTGCCATTAGCATCAAAAAGGAAAATCTCGAAAAAGACCACTTTTCTCGTCTGATAACTGAATGAATTATCAAAGCACACTTGATAATCACCGCCTTCTGTCAAATCAATTCGATGCGATCCGTCGGTCTTCAATTGATCTTGTTGGAGCACATTTGCTCCGTGAATCAGCATGAAATTGATATTCAAATCTCCACCATCGATTACCTATAGATTTTCTGATTATTTTGATATCAAACAACATAACAACTCACCTGATAATCAACTTCCAATGTTTTATGCTTCGCAATATCCACTGATTGGAAGAAACATTCGAATTTTCCAGCTGGAACTTCTACAGTGAAATCGAATTCCCCTCCGTGAACAAATCCTAAAGCTAAGAGCAGTAGAACAACCAATTTCATTGTGTTACCTGGAAAAATGCGATTTTTAAATAGCGAGACACTTTTGCGAGACTTTTTTTTTTGAAAAAAAGAAAGTAAAAATGGAAGTGCGCCCTAATGATAATTTCATTTTTTCTGGAAAATTGACCCGGGTACCCTGAAAGCTTTGCTGATCATTTGAATTTCGGAATTTTTAGAAGCTCTAAATAGTTACAAAGCGTTTTTTATCGAAAAACAAGCAAAACCATACCAAAATCAAAATTTTTCCCAGGAAAATTTCCAATTTCTTCCCAACAAAGAAATTTTCGCCCCTAAGCCAAACATTAAGAAAAAATAATTGAAAATCGATGAAAATACACATATTTATTTTGTTTTCGTGGTCATCTAGTTAGCCCAACTCAGCAGTTCACACACAAAAACGCAACGTCATTCAGCGGAGTGTCGTTGTTTTATTTTCTTTTTTTTTTCTGTTTGGCGCCGAAAAAACCACATGTTTTTTGTTTATCGATCGATTTTTTGAGCGAAATTTGGGTTTTTCAGCAAAATACTAATATGAGCGATGAGCAACACGATCAATTTTGTAAATATATGCGAATTTTTTCGGGGAGATTGGTGCAGTCACTGGTGCAGGTGGGAAAATTGGAAATTTTCAGAATTTCACGAATTTCTCATTTTTCAGTCACGCCAAGGCGACTTTGCCGAGCAAGTTTGCGTTCCGGTGAGCCAGAATAAGCTCGGAAGTGACTGGTTCAATATGCGAATCGATGAAATCGGCGAAATTGCGGCGCATTTAAAGGCGCACGTCAAATCCTATCCACCGTTTTCAAAATTGACTGTGGAATTTGTGTTGTACACGGCGGAGGGCAAGTTTTTGCCGTTGGAAGCATGGTGAGTCGGTCTTGGGACGAAAAAAGTGGATTTTTAGCGGGAAATTTGGTTTTGACACGAAAAAACACGTATTTTTAGAAGGAAATTATAATTTTCATTGAAAAAATGGTCCTAACACGAAAACCCTCGATTTTTGCCGCCAAAATCTCTGAATTCAAATTTTTTCCAGGATTCTGCGAGTTGAGGAAAACGAAATCGATGATCGCATAAATTTGGACAGTCAATATCACAGTTTGAGTGTGCTTTTGAGGTAATTTCTTGAATTTGACACCGAAATTTCAGAGTTTGAGCTGAAAATTTCAGATCTGTCAATGTGGCGGCCAGAATGACACCAATGCACAGATTATATGTGAAAAAACAAAATTCGGACAGTTTTATTGTGATGTACCGAGTGAGTTTTTGAAAAAAAATCCAAGTTTTCATGCCAAAAATCCGCCTGCTAGCTACAGTACCCAAAGTTTTCTTCAGCTCTACACAACCGACGGAATTTCGGATATGGGTCCAAATGCTCGAAGTCGTCAATTGGCCAGACTTCCCTCGATTTTCGGTACCGTATACCTCGATTTGATCTACCGTACTTCGATGCATTTTGATGAGGCGGAAAAAGAGGAGGAAGAGTAAGCCACGCCCCTTTTCTACAATTTTGCGGTATGATTTTTCAATTTTGTTTTTCAGACAAAATGAAAATTTTCCCGGAAAGCCGACGCTAAAAGATTGTGAACCAGTTTTGCCGCATAAAGGTAAGTAAGGGATTCTTGATGCCAAACTCCATACAGTACCCTACAGTACTCCAATTGTTTCCAGTAAAATCCGAACCTGAATTATCGAAAAAATTGGCAACAAGTCCGTCAAGTCCCGAGTGTAGTTCTCTCGGAGAAACGCCACGATTCGGAATGGGAACCAGTTTGAAAAATGAGCAAGAGAAGAAGAAATCCATGGATGAGGTGGGCTTTTCGGGCTATTTTCAGGCCTATCTAGGCCCCTCCTACGAAATCTCTCAATTAATTTTTCTTCAGATCGATCTCCAAACAATCTCCGATTTTCCATTCCGCGCACTTCTACAATCGGCCTATGCTACAAAATCAGCTGAAAATCTGGCCGAAAGTCCATTTTCACCTGAAAGTCATCAAAATTCTGCTGCGGCTGCTGAAATATCAGCAATTCCTGAAGAAAATGAGGAGGAGGAGAAAGAGAATGGGGGAAATCGATTACAGAAAAGCGAGGATTCGTTTATTGAGGTTAGTTTGGCGCCAAAAATGCCACGTGGCACGGTTATTTCATAAAAAACCAGCGAAACCCACAAAAAATAAAAACAAAACAACGAGACTCCGCAATCCCACATGTCTTGCTAATATTCAAATACCGCGATTGCGGAGTATCGTTGTTACTTTTGTTTTCGCTGAAGAATTTTGAGAACACTTGGATTTTTGAGGTTTTTCGGTGAAGAATAACCGAAAAAAGCACTTTCAAAAAACCCGAAAATTTACTGTTTCAAAAATTTGATTAGAAAAAAATCGGAATATTTTTATTGATAAGTTAGCGTTTCCTTCAGTAAACAAAAATCGAATTTTTCGGATTACTGTGGCTTTTTTTGTGAATTTTTTCGCTAAAATAGTTTAAACAATCGATCTTAAATAATTTACCCAGTTTTATTTGATGTTTTTTGCAGCTCTGCGGATTCGGCACCAGTTCCAGCAATATCGAGTTAGGCGAACTCATCAATTCTCTCAAAATCGCTCCGGATATTCAAACTCACACTATTTCGAAGGAACAATTGGAAAATGAGGTAGTTTTGGAGATTTTCAGCCAAAAAATGCTGAAATTTCTTGCAGCTCGCCGCATTTCAAAAACAACAAGACGATTTTAAGGATTTTGTGGAGAAAATCAATAAAATCGAGGATTTTTAAACAATTTTTGTATTTTTTTTTGTATTTGAATCTCATATCATTTTGTGTTGTAAATAGGAAATTAATTTTTCAAAAAAAAGATTTCAAATCCAATTTTTTCGCGCCGCAAAAATTTGACGGCAGAAATAGTGGTATACGGTATAGGAGATGCCCAACAAACACGATAATCCAACGCAAATTATGGCCAATCTGAAAAAATTCAGGATTTTTGCCACGTGGCCCATTTTTGCGCGAAATTTGAGTTTTGAATTTGAATTTCTCCCGCCCAAAAAACCTACAGTAACCAAATTCGAATTCTCGCACAACATTTCACCGAATCCTCCTCATGTTTGCCATGTTCCTTTAAATTGTTTGCTGGAGCACCTTTGCAACATTTATAAAAAAAGAACATGGATTCTCTGGGGCACAAAACTTCTGGCCGAAAAATTTCCGTCGATTTTTTACAGTAACTCGCCGAGCCATTCGAATTTGTTTGTAAATTGTTGATAATTGCGGCGACGAGAGATGAGAGAAGTAGACAGGTCAGAATCAGACAGCAGAGTCGCATTGATGATGGTAAGACACATAGAGTATCCGGTTCATCCAGAACATACTGGAAAATTAATTAATTACGTGGGATTTCTACGGGGTTTCAGGGTATAAGAAAAACCTAACAAATCCTAACAGCCTATAGGCTTTTTTTCAGGCTTTAGGTTCATAGGCTACGATAGACTTAGGCTTCGAATTTTTAGAGAATTATTCACAACATCTAAACCAACAAAAAAATTTCCCAAATTTTTCTCTTATGAAAATTTTTGAAACAGTAAATTTTCGGGTTTTTTGAAGATTCATTTTTCATGATATTTTTTGAAGCCAAAAAAATTGTTGGAACATTTTGTTTTGCTAAAAAATTGAGCTATGACGTGGCAAAAATTCAAATAAATATATGGAATTAAAAAAATACTCCAATTTTTTCTCTTATGAAATTTTGGAAACAGTAAATTTTCGGGTTTTTTGAGGGTTCATTTTTAATGATATTTTTAGCAGAAAAAAATGAGTTATGACGTGCAAAATTTCAGAGCTATAATAAAATCCTCACCTGTCCGGGCACCACTTTTTTGCCCGATCTCAAACTTCTCAACGACGGTGGTCGCGACCAAACAACCACAGATTCGGGCGATTCCAACATTTCGGGGGGAAAATAAAAATTTTTGAGCTTTTTCTCCACTTGTCATTCATTTTATGATCGTCGGCAGAAAAGCAACAAAAACCACATGTTTTTCCAAGTTTTGCCCATAAAATTTAAGTATGAACTTTTTTTTTGAAACCAAAACGCAAGAATTTTATTTTTCAAGAAAAAATACAGAAAAATAAATAATACATTATTGAAAATTGATTAAATACTGTTTCGATAATTCAATTCCAGTGGAATGTGTTTGGGTTGACTTCGTCTTTTCATCATCCAAACAAAACGAATTGAAAAATCTTTGCCCATTAATTGATTGTCGCAAAATATGTCCAAATCTGAGTATTTGTTTTGATCGTCCCACAAGGAAAGTGCCAAATATCTGGAAATGTGCTATGACGTGGCAAAAATATTATTATCAACAAACACTCACTTTTTCAGCGTATTAATCGTAGTCATTTCACTTGTTCTAATAAAAGGCCGTGTAGTTAAAGGCAGATCCTTGCCAGGCACCAATTTCACCATAACCATATTATCATCTCTGTGATGTGACACAGTCGGATCGCCTCGATAACATCGATTTGTACCTGGAAAATTGAAAATTTTATAAAAATTGATAGATTTTCGGCTTAAACCTTGATTTTTATAATGACATTTTTGACTTTGAAACTAGATTTTCGCTATAGAAATACCATAGAAGGTCTGAAAAACTCATGTTAAACTCAAAAATCCATGAAAACAAAGAAAAATCACATTTTCGGCTGAAAAATTTGGGTGTTTTATCATTTTCATCTAAAAACCTGATTTTCACTATAAAAACACTCAAGTAGGTCAGAAAATTAGAATTGAACTTCAAAAACATCGAAAGTTCATGAAAAACAAGCAAAAAATTCATTTCCCGTCTGAAAAAATGCAAAAGTAAAACAACGAGACGCCGCAATTCCAGATGTCTTGGTAAACAACGGGATAGCGGAGTATCGTTGTTTTACTTTCATTTTTTTTGTTGAGAAAACTTGGATTTTCGAGGATCAAATTTTTCAGGATACTGTAGGGATCTAATTGTATTATTTTTTTCCAGAAAACACGATTTTGGGTCAAAAATCTTCCGATTTTCTCAATAAAAAAACCTCTCTTTCTCTCCTCCTCTTTCGCCTTCTTCTTCGCTTTTTCCTCTGCATGATTATCAACATTTCGGAACGAGTTCAAAAACTCTCGACGATTTTGTTTCTCCTGCTCTTCGAGGTCTGAAAATGGGAAAAATCAATTGTATATCAATTTTTGGCGAATTTCAGGTCTAAAAAACCTACTAGGCACCAATTTCATCACCAAATCATTAATCGCTCGATCAAAAGTGACATATTGTGCTGGATGTGATCCATGAATCAGAATTCCACACGTTGGACAAGTATTTTCGTCTTCTTCAAAATACAAAAGCAGACAAGATTTGCAAAATGTGTGCATACAATCGATGATTGTAGTCGCGTCGATTAAATAACCCTGCAAAATTTGAGGATTACTGTAGGATTTTCGTGGCGGGACCCAATTTGAATTATTTTTGATAGATTACAAATTACACCTACAAAAAAATCTCAAATTTTCAAAAGTGAATTTTTTGAAACAGTAAATTTTCGGGGAATTCTTCTATTTAATTTTCCAAATTATTGGTAGAAAAGGTGTTCTGTGGCTCAAAATTTGCAGAATTTTCGCTCCAAAACTCACATCACACAATCGACACATGACAAACGGATGAATCAGTTCCAAATCGAATTTGATGGTGCCTTTTTTGAAATTCTTTTTCACCAGAGAATTGGCATTTCGTTCGGGTTTCGGCAAAAAATCCTCCATTTCATCGCGTTTTCGACGACCTGATGATGACATTGGACCGAAATTCCATTTGCTGAAAATTGGGGGAATAAGCTATGCGAGAGTTTCAAAAGAGGGCGTGGCTTGTTTAGAAGATCATTTTGATAGTAAATATGAAGGAGTTTGTTATGAGGATACTTTTGGTACTACAAAGGGCCGGGAAACGTTTTTCCCTAGCATTTTTGGTATCAAAATGCTCCTCTTCCTAAGTCCCGCCCATTTTTTGCAATTCTGGCACATAAAAATCTCACTTATTAGCCGATGTGTCTGCAAAACATGATCGTCTTCCAGGAGCTTGCAAATAATCCTCAAAATCATCTTGATACACCATCTTCTTGCTCGCATATTTACCCTTCTTCTCCGTGGATTTTTTGGCGGCCGCCGCGGCTTCTTCGGTTTTTTTCGCGGCGCCGCTTGGTCGACCGCGTTGTGCCGGCTTCTTTTTCGGTGGCTCGGGAGGTGGGGATGGTGATGGTGTGGGAGTGGGTGATGGGGATCGGGGGGCGCGACGCGTTGGTGGCTTCTTTTTGGTGGTGGATTTGGCCGGAGTTGGTTTGGTGGGTGTTGATTTGACGGGTGGTGGTGGAGGCGCGGCGGCAGCCGCGGAACGACGCGTTGTACGCGCAGGAGGCATTGGTCTGCAAAATTATATGTGTGGATTTTGGGCGCGGTAGGAAATTTAGTCCTTATGTTAGGAAATCCAGGAACTAGATTTTCTACATTGCAAAACCTAGTCCCCGAATTTTTCTAGGGAAAAATAAACAGGGACTATGTAGTTTCACAAAATTAAATTTCTAGCCTCCTTGAAATCTGAGATCTCAAGAACCGGGGACTAGATTTTCTTTATTCGAAACCTAGTCCCCGTGTTTTTCAAGGAGAGGAAAATTCAAAAAATGAAAAAAAATTGGGACACGCTGAAAATTCTTTTTTTTTCCGCGTGACCCAATTTTTTCTCTTTTTTGAAAAAAATTTCCAATGTCCCTCATTTTCACAATTTGGAAAATTTCAAAATGCCTGACAATTTCTCAAGTGAGTTTTCTCCAAAAAAAAAAGATAACAATTTGGCTTCAAACCATTTCAAAAATCAAAAAAAAATCCACATAAAATACCCGTTTTATTACCGAAAAAAAGAGAAAAAACAACAAAAATTCAACAGTTTCTTATAAATAAAAATATGTTTTTTTTTTCGAAATCCAATTCAAAATCAATGTCGCATCATCATAAATCTGCCCTGCTCTTTTTCATCCTTCTCCCGTTGCTCGTGAGCCAAATGAGCAGTATTTGAGAGAAAAGCGAGTGCTCCTTTATGACATCGATTCGCATAATGACCTTTTTCACCGCATTTGTAGCATGTGACGTCGGACAGGTTTTTCTTGTCGGGAAACATAGAAAGATCGACTTTTTGGACGAATTCGTGCTGAAAAATGGGGTTTTTTATTGGTTGGTTGGGTGAAAAATTTGGGCATATCTTTGAAAAACTCACTCCTCTTCCAGATCCTGGCAAAGTTGGACAATGTGTCGCCTTATGTCCTTTTTCATGACAATTATGACAAGTTATCGTTTGCGCCACACTCGATCGATTATTGATTATCGGATTTTCGAATGATGGAAGATGGAAAGTCGGGTGAGCATATTGACATTCTGGACCGGATGGGCAAAAACCGGCGAGGAAGTTCGGACACATTACACGACGACGATGGCGATGTTTACAGTAGGGGCCTGGAAATGGGAATTTGGGTATAGCTTCCGCATCTCCGCGACTTGCCAAAATCATGAATCTTGCATTCATTACAGGATTCATCATTTTCGCAAAGTCGCAGAAGGAGCTTTAGCATAAATTGTGATCGTTTCTTATCTTTTTTTTCGGCTAAAAATGTACTAGATTTTTTTCGTAAAAATTGTACTTTTTTTTCGTAAAAATTGTACTAGGGAAAATCCATATACATATATTTTTCTAGAACATTTTGATGAAGGTGTTCATTACTATACGAATATTATGCAGGTAAATTTCACCGTTCCGCGCCGCAAAAAACCTTACCATGCCTACAAAATCCTCGATCATACCACGGACAATCCTTAATCTTGGTCTCCGGATCAATGTGTCTAAACGGGCATTCGCGATTACTGCACGCGCTAAACTTTGAGAAGAAGAAGCATTCTGGCATTTTTGTCAAATCATATTCGTGCAAAAATTCGCATTGATCTCCCTTCTTACACAATCCTCTCAACCAATGCTTGCAAACCACAGCTTTTTCACCGACAAGATGTCGAAGTGTGCATTTTTGACCGAACGGGCAGATTCCTAGATTATTCTTTCGGCATACAGCCTTTCCTGATCTATCTAGGCTTTTGAAGGGGGCTTCTTTCATTCCCTTTTGATTTAGAAGAGCCTCCTCTACGTCTGTGATTGGGGCTGTGACATGGGAGACGATTTCTGTTAGAGTTTGTGGTTTTGGCCATTGTGGAACAGAGGGTTGTTGAATTGGTGTGATGAATTGTGCCACAGCAATCATCCTGAAATTTTCAATACATTTTTTTAGAGGTTTTCTTTGAAAGAAAATAAAAACATGTTTTCAGCGCGCTTGAACCACACAAAACTAGAAAAAAACGCCGAAAAAAAGAAAACAAAAATAATATTGGCGTGGCCTAGAAAACCAAACATTATCGATTCGAATATTTCCTCGTCCGCGCGCGCACTGCCAACGTCACAGATGTTCCAAAAATATCAATTTTCCCACAAAAATCAACAAATTACAGAATTTTGAGCATGGCCAATTGCTCGTGGACAGTTCTATGGCTAGTTTGGATTGCGTTGGTCGGCGTTTTATTGTTTTGCCTTCGCGGACCGCTGAAAATTGTGGAATCCATCGAAAATGCATCGAGTTATTTTAACAATCTCACTCCGAAGTTCTATGTGGCACTGACTGGAACAAGTAGTCTGGTTTCGGGAATTATATTGATTTTTGAGTGGTGGTATTTTAAAAAGTGAGGTTTTCGGGGGGTTTTAGCATGAAAAATCAGAAAAAGGGCGGGGAGGATTACAAAAATTAATTTGTATTACAAATGTATTCAAAGTACATTTTAGTCATGCAAAAAGATTTGAAATTATGGGAAAATCAATAATTTTGGAGGGAAAGTTTGTAATTTTTACTAGTTTTCTCACAAAAATTAGGCGGGTCTGAAGAATTGTAAAAAAATGAAAATTTGAAATCCTCGAGCAAAAAAATGCTTATTGCTATTTATAATTATGGGAAAAATCGTGAAATGTTTTGCTCAAAAATCAAGTGAGCTCAAATAAGGGAGGGTGCTGACAAAAATTTGTATTTGAGAAGAGAAAAGTGCACTTTTAGTCATTTTCCACAATGCATTACTTTGTGGGCGCCAGAAAAGAGCTTCTGTGAGTTTTCAAAAATCAATCCCCTCCCCCCTCCCAAAAATAATATCGATTTTTTCCAGCAATGCCATCGAAACTTCAAGCGAAGATGGAAGTGATAATGAAGATTCGGTGGAATCCACAAAAAGTATGCCAGAATGTAAAGTTTGGCGAAATCCTATGGCACTTTTGAGGGGCTCGGAATATGCGAGATTCAAGAAGGAGATGAACCTGGAGCCGCTGACCTATTATGATATGAATTTGTCGGCTCAGGATCATCAGACGTGTTTTACGTGTGATGAGGATTCAGGGAAACCTGATTATGAAAGTGGGTTTTTTGTGAGGAAATTTTAGAAATTCAAATGTTTACAGTAATGCAAGTTGCATGGCGTGAACGCGACAGTTCGCAGCGAATCGGCGCCGCGAGAGCCGCACTCGCCATCAATCCAGAATGCGCACCGGCTCTTATTCTGCTCGCCGAAGAGGAATGCGATACAGTAACCGAAGCGGAAAATATGCTGAAAAAAGCGTTGCGAGCAACGGAATCCGCGTTGGCCGCTTATTCAAATGGTCCCGGACAAATTTCGAGTTATGGCGAACGAATGGGTGATATTTTTGCACGAAGCTCGCGACGACGCGATATTAACATGCAAATGTATATTAAGAGAAGGTTGGCGATGTGTGCGCGGAAACAGGGAAGATTGAGAGAGGCGATTAAGATGTTCAAGGATGTGAGTAACGTTTTTGGGGTGGAATCTGGATTCAGGAGGGTTTTTTGACTATTTTTTTGATTAGAGCACGTTTTTTGAAGAATTTTGATATCAAATATGCCCAGGGCACGGTTTTTTGCTAAATTAGGTGAAGCCACGCCCATTTTTGCAAGCCTGGCATGGTTTTCTGATGAATTTGATATCAATTATGCCCAGGGCACGGTTTTTGAAGTATTTTGATACCGAACATGCATTTCTGACACGTTTTTTCGGGGCCACCCATTTTTGCAAGTATGGCACAGAAAAATATCGTATTTAGTATCAAAACACTCTAAAAACCATTTCCTTCCAAAATTTTCTAACCCATGTCCCTTTAAGATGTCACGAGATGGTTCAATGGGTGCACTTCTAAATGTTCAAGAAAATTTGATCGAAGCTTGCCTGGAAATGCAAGCCTATGGAGATGTTCAAGCACTTTTGGTCAGATATGATGGTTATGGAGCGCCGTGTTCTTACGGTAGGTACAGTAAATATTTTAAAATTAAAATTTTTTTTTAGAGTTGAGAGAGCCGAGATCTGCTGTTTTGAGCTATACGTCGGCTTTGTTGAAAGTTCGAGCGGTTGCGGAAAAGTGAGTTGAGAATTTAAATTTTGGCACCTAAAAACACTGTATTTTTTTTTGCAATTCGAGGGAGACGCAGACTTTAACGTGGGCAGACAAATCTCTCGCCGAAAAGGGGAGAGAAATAGTGTGTGGCAGACACACATCGTGTCGAGACCAGCCTCTTTCTCTCTCTGTCTGCGTCTCCTCGGAATTGCATTTTTCTATTAGAAAAAAACACAGTGAAAACCAAGAGAAAATTAGTCCCATCCTATCCTAAGATAAGTGCACTTATTTCTTTTTCACATCAAAATGGAGAATAATGGGTGCTTTCAAGGCTTTTAGCGCAAAAATGTGTTTTTTTTCTCATGTTCAAAAAAACCTGAACATTTTACGTTTCACAAAAAATTTAAAAATTTTGACCCAAATATGACAGACAACTTTGATTAAAAAATCAGGTCGCAGAAGTTTTGAGCTCAAAATTAGCTGAAAATCACAGAAATTCAATTTCGAGGTCAAACATTTTGAAGTCGATTTTTTTTTGAAATGTTCATTGTTTCAAAATTTGCCTTTAACTTTTCATGGTTTTTGAAAATTTGATGAATATGTTCTGAAGGTGAAAAAATTTTAAAATTCAAACATTTGAATATACAAAAACGAAATTCAATCATTATTTTCTGTGAATTCAAATTTAAAAAAAATAAAGGTTTTTTGAATTAAAAATGTTCACTGTTTCAAAATTTGCCTTTAACTTTTCATGGTTTTGAAAATCTGATATATAGATTAAAACTAATATTCCGACTTGTATCAAATTTTCAAAAATAATAAAAAGTTATGAGCAAATTTTGAAACAGTGAATTTTTGAAATCCAAAAAATTGAGTTTTACAATTTTAGAGCTTGCAATTAGCTGAAAATCACTAGTCCTTGGTGTTTAAAATTCTTGTAACCAATAAAATTAGAAATAATTATTGAGTAGAGTAATTTTTAAAAATCAAGGTTTTTTAATTAAAAAATGTTCACTGTTTCAAAATTTGCCTATGACTGTTTATAATTTTTGAAAACTGATATATCAATAAAAGATAATAAAACAAATTAATTTTTAGACACTGCGACTATTTTTGTTTAATTTACCCATCTTTTCCAGCTTCCGCTGCTCGGTCGATTATTCATTACGTCGCGGATTATCATCCGCCGAACAAACTGCAATCGAAGCCCTAACCCGAGCCATCGAATTCAACCCACATGTTCCATTATATTTGCTCGAAACTCGCTCAATGATAATGCCACCTGAACACTATTTGAAAAGAGGCGATTCCGAAGCGCTGGCCTATGCATTTTTCAATATTCAACACTGGAAACGAATTGATGGAGCACTGCAATTGTTGAATATTGTCTGGAAAGGTGAGTGTCTGAATTATCGTTTTGAAAATTCTCGATTTTTCTAATCAAATTTTTGAAACAGTAAATTTTTTGGTCGAACAAAAATTTTTTTTGTAAAAATTAATGAACATTTTCCAAAACTACGCAAATAAAATGGAATTTATTAAAAGTACTGTATCTAAAAATGTATCTAAAAATTTATAGGGTTTTCAGCCAATTTTAGTGAGTACTGTACAGTCTATTTTAATGCCAAAAATCTCAAAAAAATTAATTTTCCAGATTTCTCAACAAGAATCTCAGCCAACAATTATTGTTATCCATATTCGCCACAACTCGAAACTGCAGATCGTGAACTTATCCCATCTTGGTATGATATCTCTGTGTTCCCCAAAAAAGAATCCACCCTCTGGTCACTGTTTCAAACTGTTGGATGTATGTTGGTGTGCGCTGGAGCGCTAATGATTCATCACTATCCGTCGAGTTCTAGTCATTTTGCTAATTCGGTGAGGGGGACATACATCAGTATCCCCGGATTTTCGTCCGGAGGGGGCCTGGCTAACTCTGGAAAAAAGGCGTGGGGACCGGCTAACTTTTTGAAAAAATAACAATTTACACCCCAAAAACCAATTTTTTCTCTCTATTTTTTGAAGGGGTCTGGCTAATTTTTGTATTTTCACATTTCGGGGGTGGCTAACTTTGAGGCCCTGACCGGGAGAAACTGATGTATGGAGGGGGAATTTGGGGGCATTTTTTGCCACGTTTTGCATTTGTTTTCAAATTAAAATTGCCTAAAATTTTTGAAACAGACGAAATTGTCGGAAAATCAAATTTTTCAGTGATTTTGGGTTAAATTTCGACTCAACAATACCACTTTTTCAAAAGGAGAAAGAATACGTTTCAAAATTTACATTTATTCAAACATTTTTGTTGTGAATATTAATGCAGAAAAAAAATGAATTTGAAAAAAAAAATGAAAATTCATCAATTTTTAAATTTTAAGAAAAATTAAGTTTATTTTTCTGAAATCCTTGTTTTTTTTCAAAATAAAATTCCTTGAAGTTTTGAAACAGACAAAATTCTATGTGAAAAATCGTTTTTCTATCCAAAAAAATTTATCGGAAAGTATAGGAAAATATTTTTTCACTGTTTCAAAAATTACACTAATTCAAAAATTTGAGTTGTCAATTATTGATCTAGAAATTCTCGTATAATATTAAAACTTATGAAACTTTTTTCTTAAAAATTAGTTTAGTTTTTCAATTGAAATTTAATTTTAAAATTCTAAAGCACGCAATTTTTTTCTAGGAAAATTCTTGAATTTTTTGAAAATTAAAATTCCTTGAAATTTTGAAACAGACAAAAATCTATGTGAAAACTCGTTTTTCTATTCAATAAAAAATTATCGGAAAGTTTTGGAAAATATTTTTCACTGTTTCAAAAATTGTTTTCAATGTTCTGGAAATTTTTTTTCAGAAAAATCTATGTAGAAAAAATAAAAAACTTTAATTTTTTCCAGATTCTTCTATGCTTTGTAGCAATCGGTGATTGGTTCCGAGAATTATTCAATCTTTGGGCACCTACAAATATCATAAGCCTTTTAGCCTCAAAACAAGTTCCAGTCACGGATCTTTAAAGGAACATATCTTCTATTTTTCTGCCAAAATTCTGCAAAATTCTATCCATTTTTTAATAACTTGATCTCTGTCGCACACTATGTAATTAGTAATTTATTCAATTTTTTCTATAAATTTATATATTTTTTCTTGATTTTATCACGGTGAAATTGGCTTTGGAAGGGTTTTGACCCATATTATCTGAATTTTCTGTTGAAAAATAAAAATTAGAAATTTTCAGATATTTTTTGGCATAAATGAATGGACAGTTAATTGATACGAAAAAGTTGGTTGAGGCACTTTTGGGCGATTTGAGATTGTTGTCACAGGAGGCGAAAAAGAAGCAGAATCATGTGAAAGAGGTATGGATTGTTTTCCGCATAAGCGGAAGCTTCGCGGCGATGCGGAAGCTATGCCCAAATTTTCCGCGAGTCTTCCGCTGAAGCTTCATCTAAAAACCTGTTTTTCCCCCCAGGCTGCCGAATCTGGAGTTGTTCGGATTCGAAACATCAGCACAGCATCATCGAATGAGCAAATCCTGATATCGAATTTGAGAGCCGCCTGCTCGGAACTCCTACATCCGCTGGTTTTGGGATGCGCGACACGGGTCACGAAATTGGTGCAAATTTCCCTGCAGGGAATTCAGCGACTTATACAACATCGAATTTTGAGCTCGGTAGGTGATTTGGACCATTTTGAGTCCAAAATTTGTGGTATTTGGTGTCAAAATGCTCCAAATTTCAAGCTTCTCCCTTTTTTTCAATTCTTCCACAGAAATATACCATTTTCGGTATCAAAATGTCTAGAAAACCCTGCCGCATTTTCAGAATGGCGCCACAATCGTCACCAATGAATTATGGGGGCTCGTCGAGCAAGAATGTGAAGAGTTGCGAGTTTTGCAGACGGTTCCACCATTGGTTTCATCAGAATTGGTGGTGACGGGAAACACATTGGCAAAAGTGAGTTTTTTGGCTGAAATTTGGTCTGGAAACTGAGTATTTTTGAGCTAGAAACCGGAAAATTGATGCTGAATTGTTTATTCTATCAGAGAAAAATGTTAACAATTTCTCAAGTCATTTTCATGAAACGTAAATTTTTAAGATTTTTGAACACTCAAAAAGACCGATTTTTTTCAAATTTTCAAAGATCTTTTTTTTTCGCGTCATTTTAAGCCAAAAAATCGATTATCTCAAATTTTCAGTGCATTGTAATGTGCTTCCGCCTTCACCACGCCAAAGATCCAATTGTAATCAACGCGGCTTCCGCCTCAATCCGCCAACTAGTCTCAACAGTTTTCGAGCGAGTCATCCAAGAAGACGGCATCTTCTCAACCGAACTACAAGTCATCCCACCAACTGGCCGAGTCGGTTCCTCGGCCCCGCCGCCAACACTTCGGCCATGCGCCGCTGATGCATTTATGCTTTTCCGTGATTTGTGTTTGTTTATCAATGGAGAAGCACCGATTTGGTTGATTGGAATTCGAGAAATGACACGCACTTTGGGATTGGAACTGCTCGAAAGTGTGTTGAAAGGATATCCCAGTGTTTTTATTAGGGTGAGATTTTAGGGGCGGATTTTTTGATACCAAATTTGAATTGGGAATGATTTTTGGAGCATTTTCATATCAAAAATTGCGTTAAAAATTCAAAAATTCTGAAAATTCACATTTTTAGCATCAGAATTTTCTGAAAATTTCGGAAAAAGGCAGATAAATACACGTGGCAAATTTGGGCCCAAGAATCTAATTTTAGAATTTTTTGAAAAATCCACATGGCTATATTTTTTCGAGCCCAAAAAAATTCTGAAATTTTGAATTCCACGTGGCAAACTTCAGGGTTCAAAAATTTACAACATTCAAAATTCTTGAAAAATTCACGTGGCAACTCAAAGAAGATGATTGCCTCTAAATTTTGAAACAAAAAATCACCATTTTTGCACTCAAAATGCTTCAAATTTCAAGCCCCGCCCCTTTTTGCAAATCTGGCACAGTTTTCTGATCATTCTCATTCTTAAATTTTCCAGCATTCCGAGTTTGGTCAACTCCTCAAAGAAGATGTTTGCCCCCTTATTATTCGATTATTTTCGCCAAGTTTGAAAGCGGTCAACGTGGCATCGCAACATCCAAATTCGAGATCACAATATTCGTCGTCAGGTCAATCTACAGTACCCGCACAAATTCAGCAAAGTTTTCCGATTACAATGCGACTTGTCAGAATTGTTACATTGATTTTGCAGTTTTATCAGAATATTTTGGTTGGTTTTGGGTTTTGGGATGAAAATTGAGAAAATTACGATTTTTGATTTAAAAATTCAATAAATAAGAGAAATAATATTGAAACCTAAAATTTTCAAATTAATGTAATTTTTGAAACAGTGAAAATTTTTTTTTTAAATTTTTGATTTTCTTTTCGAAACAGTGAATTATTTGAAAAATAAATAAGACAATGCGGAAAAATCTGAAATTTTTGAACAAATATGAATTTATTTGAAATAATTCTCTGTTTCTTAATTTTAATATGAAAAAAAAAAATTTAAAAATGAAAATTGCTGTATCTTAAATCCTAACTAGACTATTTTCAGCCAGATTTTCAGATTTTTTAAAAGAAAAACATTTTTGGAAGGTCTTAATCTAAAAATCCTGAATTCTACAAAAATTTAACGGAATTTCAAAATAAAAAATTCAGGATTTCCGTGAAAAAATTGAATTTTGAGGAATTTTTTGCAGCACACCGAATGCGAAATCTTCATCGCAACCCTTCTCAAATTCGTCGAAGGTGATCGTCGCGGATGGCAGCGACCACTCGCGTTGGAAGCGTTGCACCGCGTCGTAACTCGCGCCGATTTAGTCCGCTGGATGACCGAAACTTTTGATTGTCAAACGAATTCGACGAATGTACTGGAAAAAGTGGCGAACGGGCTGAGTGGAGTGGTTCAGCAATGTTTGACGGCGGCGCATATTAGCTCGAGCGGTGAGTTTCTTGAGATTTGGAGCGTTTTGACACCAAATACCATCATTTTTGGACTCAAAATGCTCCGAATTTTAAGCCACGCCCCTTTTAGCAAGTCTGACAGAGTTTCTCTAACCGCGCCACAAAAATGCAAAATTTCAGATCAAGATTCGGAAATTGATAGATCTCAAGAAGACGGAGGACCGGGATTTTATGTGTCGAAAAATTTGTGGATTCCCTACGTCGAACATCTCACAGCCAAAAAATCGATACTGTAAGTCTATTTTTATCTGCGTCTCGAACCTCTCTCTCTCTTTCTCTAGGCTCGATTCGTTGGATCGAATGGATGCTACAAATCTACCCGAAGGCTATATTTTATCACGATCACTTGTGGCCATTTGCGATATGACGCAAGCAATCTACACAACAATTGATAGTGTTGCGCAAGATGCGGAAAATTCGGCGGATAAAGTGGCGGAAATCGCGTATCGCAATGCACAACCTGCGATTCTCTCGGCGATTTCGTCGCTGCTCACAGCGAGCACTGATGAAGTTGTGACGGACCAATTACTTTGCTGCTTATCAACACTGATATCGTCGGGATGTTGCGTAAATCAGGGAGCGACGCGAGATAATTCGCAACTCCTCGCCGCATCTGTCTATACCCTTGCGACACTTTCCATGCCATCGCCAACTTATTTACGACAATTCGCCGCGATTACTGATATGCCTGCGATTTTCAACGCTGAACTTGATGCGTGGCCGTCGACGGCGCAAGTTATCGCAACTGGTCCACCTTGTCCATGCCCTTGTGTTGCGACAGAATTGTGGAATCGTCAAGTTCTCCTAACTTCCAAGAATATGCAAGCCGCGCGAACCTTCTTGGGAGCAATCACAACACATATGACGGATTTGAAAGAGCTGTGGTATCTCTGTCTTGCCACGTGTCAACATTTGACGTGGCTTTTGGCGATGAGACCAGGGCAGAATGGGATTTTTGAGCGGGAGACGAGAGATTCGGAAGGATCTGGGCAGACTATGGTGACCACTGCGGCGATGAGTGATATTGGAATGATTAGCTCGTTGATTGATAAAATTGCGCCGAGCATTGCTCATCTTAAAGATGAGCAATTTGTTGAAGTTATTGATGCGGTTGTTAGATTGTCGGATGAGAGTTTGGCAGTAGCGGTTGGTTTCTTTTAAAGGGGTTTTGAGGAGAAAATTTGTCTGGAGCTTATTTTTGAGCTAGAAATCTGAAAAATTTTGACCTGAAATTAGTCTAATTAAGGATTTTTAGATATTTTTTTTAGCAAGAAATCTGACCTAATTCCAGAAAGCTGAAATCCTATCGAATGATTTTTGTGAAACGTAGAATTTTCGGGGAGATTTTAAAGCTCAAAAAAATTTTGACCTGAAATTCGTCGAATGAAAAATGTATTTTTCTATTTTTGAAAAATTCACTGTTTCCAAAATTTGGATATTGAAAAAATCGAATAAATTTGAAATTTGGTTGATTCTGAATTCTCATTTTCCGATCGAAAAAAGTTCAAATACCAGAAAACCTCAAAAATCAATGTGAAAACTTGAAATTTCATAAAATCATTATTTTTTGTGAAACGTAGAATTTTCGGGGAGGTTTTTAAGATGAAAAATTCTTCTCAAATTCGTCGAATGAAAAAATTTATTTTTCTATTTCTGGAAAAATTCACTGTTTCAAAATTTTGATATGAAAAACTCGAATAAATTTGAAATTTGATCAACTGTTGATTTTCAAATAAAGAAAAAGTTCAAATTCCACAATGCTCAAAATAAACCCACCAATATGAAAATTTGAAATTCTATCAAACGATTTTTGTGAAACGTAGAATTTTCGGAGAGATTTTCAAGCTCAATAATGCTTCTCAAATTCGTCGAATGAAAAATGTATTTTTTTCATTTTTGAAAAATTCACTGTTTCAAAATTTTGATATGAAATTGGAAAAAATATTTTAAATTTGATTGACGCTGGATTCTTGTCTGATCAAAAAAAGTTCAAATTCCAGAAAGCTGAAATTCTATAAAACGATGTTTGTGAAACGTAGAATTTTCGGGGATAATTTTCAAGCTCAATAATGCTTCTCAAATTCGTTGAATCAAAAATTAATTTTTTTATTTTTGAAAAATTCACTGTTTCAAAATTTGGATGTGAAAGAATCGAATAAATTTGAAATTTGATTCACTCTCTGTTGACTTTTCTCATTCAAAAAAATCGCATCAGTAAGAAAATTCGAAATTTCATCAAACGATTTTTGTGAAACGTCGAATTTTCGGGAAGATTTTTAAGCTAAAAAATGCATTCTAGATTGATTTTAGGTCAAGCAAATTCGCAACTAACAAAATCCCAATTTTTGCAGGCCACCGGTCGCGAAAGTACTCATTTCCCACTGGCCCTCCTCTACCGTATCTGCTATCTGTCACTGCCCCGTCTCGAACTATTCTGGTCGAAATCCTCGTCGCATTTCATCAAAGTCTGCAATCACACATCTGTTGCGATGCGCGATTGGGCCGCAGTTGCGCTAACTTCGCTGGCGAAACAAGCGATGAAGGCGAAGACGGCGATGGATGTTAAGGTGAGCGAGCGAAATTGGCGTAACTCCGATTTCCCTTTCAGACCCAACAAGAAGCTTGTATCTCATCGATCTTGGCACTTTGCCAAATTCCACACTTTCAAGTTCGCCGAAGACAATTGGATTGTGTTATGTCTTTGATGCAAACTGATGGAACAGCCTTGTTGGAATCCACGTGGCCGAATATTATTCATATTATTTCGGCGATTATTGATAATGAAACTGGGTGGGTTTTTTTGCTAGAAAATTTGAAAATCTATATGAAATTTTGAGCTAAAAATCTGAAAATGAAGCTCGAAGTTCAGCGGAGCGATCTGAAAATCTAGCTCAAATTTGACACAAAATGTGAAAAAATATTTTTCTGAAATTTTGAATATTCCTAATCTGAAAGCTTTAGAATCTGACTTTTTTTCTGAAAATCTTTAAGAAATCGAAATCTTGCTTGAAAATTATGTGCTGGAATTCTGAAGAATTATTTTGAAGTCTAAGATTTCAGCCAGAAAATCTGGGGAGTTAGCTTAATTTTGAGTCTGAAAAAACTGAAAAATTTTTTTGATGCTCAAAAATCAGGGCTGAAATTATAATTTCAAACCTAAGTTTGAAGTCAAAGTTTTCAGCCAAAAAAGTGAGAAACCAGTTCAATTTTCAGTTGAAAAAATCTGAACTGATAGCTCCATTTTTAGCCAAAAATTTTAATTTTTCTGATGCCTAAAAATCGTGGCTGAAAATTTGAAAAATTCAAATTATAAACCTAATTTTGAAGTCAAAGTTTTTCAGCAAAAATTTGAAAATCTACGAGATTTTCTGGCAGAATTCTACAACACTGAAATTTCAGAATTTACCCACAGAAATCTACCCTAATCCCCCAATTTTCCAGATGCGAACTCTCTCTAATCCGCCAAGGATTTTCTGGCCTCAAACTCGTCTCCTCCGATTTTCTTCAAAACCTGCCCTTCGATAATCTATCACTTCTAATCGAATCAATTTCCAAATACGCCAAACAACACACTGATCAAAATATCAGCCTAAGTGCATTGGCTCTACTCTGGACCATCTCCGATTTTATTTATCGAACAAATCCGGGACCATTAAGAGATTCAACTTGGATGGTTTTGTATACTTGTTTGGCTGAATCTTGTGTAGATCAAAGATTTGCTGTGAGGAAATCAGCGTGTCAAACATTGCTTCAAATTGTGACCGCTCATGGGCACGCTCTTTTACCGGAGTCTTGGAATCGAAAAATTTGGCATATTCTCATTCCACTTCTTGATAAAGTTCGAGCCAATCTGAAATCTGCATCGACTGAGAAAATCGGCGAATCTGCCACAATTATCATGCATCACTCGCGCGACACTGAACAGAAACAATGGATTGAGACGTGTATTTTGACGATTGGCGCAATCACCAAGATTTTCAATTCGCAACGCGCGAATTTGACGCAACTTGCGGATTTCGCCGCGATTTGGGAGGCTTATCTGTCGTATTTGGAGTGGGCTGGATGTTATGAGAATGCGGAATTGTCGCTGGCGGCGATTCGAGCTTATCAAGAGGTTCTATTGGGAAAGGTGTCGAATCAGACGCTGAATGTGAATATGCATCAAGCGAGGTGAGCGCGGGGGTTTTCTGGGATTTTAAAAAAGAAATCTGCGAAATCTTTGCGAAGTATTTATTTCATGCGTTATGGTAACTTTTCGATGTGTTTTTTTTTTCAAAAAATCGTAGTGACTCCGAAACGACGATTTATTATTTTTATCCATAAAATTGAGCTAGAAATAAAAATCGAGAATTTGTAGTGACTTCGAAACGACGATTTATTATTTTTATCCAAAAAATTGAGCTAGAAATAAAAATCGAGAATTCGTAGTGACTCCGAAACGACGATTTATTATTTTTATCCATAAAATTGAGCTAGAAATAAAAATCGAGAATTTGTAGTGACTTCGAAACGACGATTTATTATTTTTATCCATAAAATTGAGCTAGAAATAAAAATCGAGAATTCGTAGTGACTCCGAAACGACGATTTATTATTTTTATCCATAAAATTGAGCTAGAAATAAAAATCGAGAATTTGTAGTGACTTCGAAACGACGATTTATTATTTTTATCCAAAAAATTGAGCTAGAAATAAAAATCGAGAATTCGTAGTGACTCCGAAACGACGATTTATTATTTTTATCCATAAAATTGAGCTAGAAATAAAAATCGAGAATTTGTAGTGACTTCGAAACGACGATTTATTATTTTTATCCAAAAAATTGAGCTAGAAATAAAAATCGAGAATTCGTAGTGACTCCCAAACCACGATTTATTATTTTTATCCATAAAATTAAGGTAAATTAAAAAATCGAGAATTCGTAGTGACTCCCAAACCACGATTTATTATTTTTATCCATAAAATTGAGCTAGAAATAAAAATCGAGAATTTGTAGTGACTCCGAAACGACGATTTATTATTTTTATCCATAAAATTGAGCTAGAAATAAAAATCGAGAATTTGTAGTGACTCCGAAACGACGATTTATTATTTTTATCCATAAAATTGAGCTAGAAATAAAAATCGAGAATTTGTAGTGACTTCGAAACGACGATTTATTATTTTTATCCATAAAATTGAGCTAGAAATAAAAATCGAGAATTCGTAGTGACTTCGAAACGACGATTTATTATTTTTATCCATAAAATTGAGCTAGAAATAAAAATCGAGAATTCGTAGTGACTCCGAAACGACGATTTATTATTTTTATCCATAAAATTGAGCTAGAAATAAAAATCGAGAATTTGTAGTGACTTCGAAACGACGATTTATTATTTTTATCCAAAAAATTGAGCTAGAAATAAAAATCGAGAATTCGTAGTGACTCCCAAACCACGATTTATTATTTTTATCCATAAAATTAAGCTACAAACAAAAATCGAGAATTCGTAGTGACTCCGAAACGACGATTTATTATTTTTATCCATAAAATTGAGCTAGAAATAAAAATCGAGAATTTGTAGTGACTCCGAAACGACGATTTATTATTTTTATCCATAAAATTGAGCTAGAAATAAAAATCGAGAATTTGTAGTGACTCCGAAACGACGATTTATTATTTTTATCCATAAAATTGAGCTAGAAATAAAAATCGAGAATTTGTAGTGACTTCGAAACGACGATTTATTATTTTTATCCATAAAATTGAGCTAGAAATAAAAATCGAGAATTCGTAGTGACTTCGAAACGACGATTTATTATTTTTATCCATAAAATTGAGCTAGAAATAAAAATCGAGAATTCGTAGTGACTTCGAAACGACGATTTATTATTTTTATCCAAAAAATTGAGCTAGAAATAAAAATCGAGAATTCGTAGTGACTCCGAAACGACGATTTATTATTTTTATCCATAAAATTGAGCTAGAAATAAAAATCGAGAATTTGTAGTGACTCCGAAACGACGATTTATTATTTTTATCCATAAAATTGAGCTAGAAATAAAAATCGAGAATTCGTAGTGACTCCGAAACGACGATTTATTATTTTTATCCATAAAATTGAGCTAGAAATAAAAATCGAGAATTCGTAGTGACTCCGAAACGACGATTTATGACTTCGAAAACGACGATTTTTATTTTTATCCATAAAATTATTTTGAGCTAGAAATAAAATCGAGAATTCGTAGTGACTCCGAAACGACGATTTATTATTTTTATCCATAAATTGAGCTAGAAATAAAAATCGACGAATTCGTAGTTATTTTTATCCAACGACGTTGAGCTAGAAATAAAAATCGAGAATTCGTAGTGACTCCGAAACGACGATTTATTATTTTTATCCATAAAATTGAGCTAGAAATAAAATCGAGAATTCGTAGTGACTCCGAAACGACGATTTATTATTTTTATCCATAAAATTGAGCTAGAAATAAAATCGAGAATTCGTAGTGACTCCGAAACGACGATTTATTATTTTTATCCATAAAATTGAGCTAGAAATAAAAATCGACCGTAGTGACTCCGAAACGACGATTTATTATTTTTATCCATAAATTGAGCTAGAAATAAAAATCGAGAATTCGTAGTGACTCCGAAACGACGATTTATTATTTTTATCCATAAAATTGAGCTAGAAATAAAAATCGAGAATTCGTAGTGACTCCGAAACGACGATTTATTATTTTTATCCATAAAATTGAGCTAGAAATAAAAATCGAGAATTCGTAGTGACTCCGAAACGACGATTTATTATTTTTATCCAAAAAATTGAGCTAGAAATAAAAATCGAGAATTCGTAGTGACTCCGAAACGACGATTTATTATTTTTATCCATAAAATTGAGCTAGAAATAAAAATCGAGAATTCGTAGTGACTCCGAAACGACGATTTATTATTTTTATCCATAAAATTGAGCTAGAAATAAAAATCGAGAATTCGTAGTGACTCCGAAACGACGATTTATTATTTTTATCCAGCAAATTGAGCTAGAAATAAAAATCGAGAATTCGTAGTGACTCCGAAACGACGATTTATTATTTTTATCCATAAAATTGAGCTAGAAATAAAAATCGAGAATTCGTAGTGACTCCGAAACGACGATTTATTATTTTTTATCCATAAAATTGAGCTAGAAATAAAAATCGAGAATTCGTAGTGACTCGAAACGACGATTTATTATTTTTATCCATAAAATTGAGCTAGAAATAAAAATCGAGAATTCGTAGTGACTCCGAAACGACGATTTATTATTTTTATCCATAAAATTGAGCTAGAAATAAAAATCGAGAATTCGTAGTGACCTGAAACGACGATTTATTATTTTTATCCATAAAAATTGAGCTAGAAATAAAAATCGAGAATTCGTAGTGACTCCGAAACGACGATTTATTATTTTTATCCATAAAATTGAGCTAGAAATAAAAATCGAGAATTCGTAGTGACTCCGAAACGACGATTTATTATTTTTATCCATAAAATTGAGCTAGAAATAAAAATCGAGAATTCGTAGTGACTCCGAAACGACGATTTATTATTTTTATCCATAAAATTGAGCTAGAAATAAAAATCGAGAATTCGTAGTGACTCCGAAACGACGATTTATTATTTTTATCCATAAAATTGAGCTAGAAATAAAAATCGAGAATTCGTAGTGACTCCGAAACGACGATTTATTATTTTTATCCAAAAAATTGAGCTAGAAATAAAAATCGAGAATTCGTAGTGACTCCGAAACGACGATTTATTATTTTTATCCATAAAATTGAGCTAGAAATAAAAATCGAGAATTCGTAGTGACTCCGAAACGACGATTTATTATTTTTATCCATAAAATTGAGCTAGAAATAAAAATCGAGAATTCGTAGTGACTCCGAAACGACGATTTATTATTTTTATCCAAAAAATTGAGCTAGAAATAAAAAATCGAGAATTCGTAGTGACTCCGAAACGACGATTTATTATTTTTATCCATAAAATTGAGCTTTCAGAAATAAAAATCGAGAATTCGTAGTGACTCAAACGACGATTTATTATTTTTATCCATAAAATTGAGCTAGAAATAAAAATCGAGAATTCGTAGTGACTCCAGAAACGACGATTTATTATTTTTATCCATAAAATTGAGCTAGAAATAAAAATCGAGAATTCGTAGTGACTCCGAAACGACGATTTATTATTTTTATCCAAAAAATTGAGCTAGAAATAAAAATCGAGAATTCGTAGTGACTCCGAAACGACGATTTATTATTTTTATCCATAAAATTGAGCTAGAAATAAAAATCGAGAATTCGTAGTGACTCCGGAAACGACGATTTATTATTTTTATCCATAAAATTGAGCTAGAAATAAAAATCGAGAATTCGTAGTGACTCCGAAACGACGATTTATTATTTTTATCCAAAAAAATTGAGCTAGAAATAAAAATCGAGAATTCGTAGTGACTCCGAAACGACGATTTATTATTTTTATCCATAAAATTGAGCTAGAAATAAAAATCGAGAATTCGTAGTGACTCCGAAACGACGATTTATTATTTTTATCCATAAAATTGAGCTAGAAATAAAAATCGAGAATTCGTAGTGACTCTGAAACGACGATTTATTATTTTTATCCATAAAATTGAGCTAGAAATAAAAATCGAGAATTCGTAGTGACTCCGAAACGACGATTTATTATTTTTATCCAAAAATTGAGCTAGAAATAAAAATCGAGAATTCGTAGTGACTCCGAAACGACGATTTATTATTTTTATCCATAAAATTGAGCTAGAAATAAAATCGAGAATTCGTAGTGACTCCGAAACGACGATTTATTATTTTTATCCATAAAATTGAGCTAGAAATAAAAATCGAGAATTCGTAGTGACTCCGAAACGACGATTTATTATTTTTATCCAAAAAAATTGAGCTAGAAATAAAAATCGAGAATTCGTAGTGACTCCGAAACGACGATTTATTATTTTTATCCATAAAATTGAGCTAGAAATAAAAATCGAGAATTCGTAGTGACTCTGAAACGACGATTTATTATTTTTATCCATAAAATTGAGCTAGAAATAAAAATCGAGAATTTGTAGTGACTCCGAAACGACGATTTATTATTTTTATCCATAATATTGAGCTAGAAATAAAAATCGAGAATTCGTAGTGACTCCGAAACGACGATTTATTATTTTTATCCATAATATTGAGCTAGAAATAAAAATCGAGAATTTGTAGTGACTCCGAAACGACGATTTATTATTTTTATCCATAATATTGAGCTAGAAATAAAAATCGAGAATTCGTAGTGACTTCGAAACGACGATTTATTATTTTTATTCATAAAATTGAGCTAGAAATAAAAATCGAGAATTTGTAGTGACTCCGAAACGACGATTTATTATTTTTATCCATAAAATTGAGCTAGAAATAAAAATCGAGAATTTGTAGTGACTCCGAAACGACGATTTATTATTTTTATCCATAAAATTGAGCTAGAAATAAAAATCGAGAATTTGTAGTGACTCCGAAACGACGATTTATTATTTTTATCCATAAAATTGAGCTAGAAATAAAAATCGAGAATTCGTAGTGACTTCGAAACGACGATTTATTATTTTTATCCATAATATTGAGCTAGAAATAAAAATCGAGAATTTGTAGTGACTCCGAAACGACGATTTATTATTTTTATCCATAAAATTGAGCTAGAAATAAAAATCGAGAATTCGTAGTGACTCCGAAACGACGATTTATTATTTTTATCCATAAAATTGAGCTAGAAATAAAAATCGAGAATTTGTAGTGACTCCGAAACGACGATTTATTATTTTTATCCATAATATTGAGCTAGAAATAAAAATCGAGAATTCGTAGTGACTTCGAAACGACGATTTATTATTTTTATCCATAAAATTAAGCTAGAAATAAAAATCGAGAATTTGTAGTGACTCCGAAACGACGATTTATTATTTTTATCCATAATATTGAGCTAGAAATAAAAATCGAGAATTTGTAGTGACTCCGAAACGACGATTTATTATTTTTATCCATAAAATTAAGCTAGAAATAAAAATCGAGAATTTGTAGTGACTCCGAAACGACGATTTATTATTTTTATCCATAAAATTGAGCTAGAAATAAAAATCGAGAATTCGTAGTGACTTCGAAACGACGATTTATTATTTTTATCCATAAAATTGAGCTAGAAATAAAAATCGAGAATTTGTAGTGACTCCGAAACGACGATTTATTATTTTTATCCATAAAATTGAGCTAGAAATAAAAATCGAGAATTCGTAGTGACTCCGAAACGACGATTTATTATTTTTATCCATAAAATTGAGCTAGAAATAAAAATCGAGAATTCGTAGTGACTCCGAAACGACGATTTATTATTTTTATCCATAAAATTGAGCTAGAAATAAAAATCGAGAATTCGTAGTGACTCCGAAACGACGATTTATTATTTTTATCCATAAAATTGAGCTAGAAATAAAAATCGAGAATTTGTAGTGACTCCGAAACGACGATTTATTATTTTTATCCATAAAATTGAGCTAGAAATAAAAATCGAGAATTTGTAGTGACTCCGAAACGACGATTTATTATTTTTATCCATAAAATTGAGCTAGAAATAAAAATCGAGAATTCGTAGTGACTTCGAAACGACGATTTATTATTTTTATCCATAAAATTGAGCTAGAAATAAAAATCGAGAATTTGTAGTGACTCCGAAACGACGATTTATTATTTTTATCCATAAAATTGAGCTAGAAATAAAAATCGAGAATTTGTAGTGACTCCGAAACGACGATTTATTATTTTTATCCATAAAATTAAGCTAGAAATAAAAATCGAGAATTCGTAGTGACTTCGAAACGACGATTTATTATTTTTATCCATAAAATTGAGCTAGAAATAAAAATCGAGAATTTGTAGTGACTCCGAAACGACGATTTATTATTTTTATCCATAATATTGAGCTAGAAATAAAAATCGAGAATTCGTAGTGACTTCGAAACGACGATTTATTATTTTTATCCATAATATTGAGCTAGAAATAAAAATCGAGAATTCGTAGTGACTTCGAAACGACGATTTATTATTTTTATCCATAAAATTGAGCTAGAAATAAAAATCGAGAATTTGTAGTGACTTCCGAAACGACGATTTATTATTTTTATCCATAAAATTAAGCTAGAAATAAAAATCGAGAATTTGTAGTGACTCCGAAACGACGATTTATTATTTTTATCCATAAAATTGAGCTAGAAATAAAAATCGAGAATTTGTAGTGACTCCGAAACGACGATTTATTATTTTTATCCATAAAATTGAGCTAGAAATAAAAATCGAGAATTCGTAGTGACTTCGAAACGACGATTTATTATTTTTATCCATAAAATTGAGCTAGAAATAAAAATCGAGAATTTGTAGTGACTCCGAAACGACGATTTATTATTTTTATCCATAAAATTGAGCTAGAAATAAAAATCGAGAATTCGTAGTGACTTCGAAACGACGATTTATTATTTTTATCCATAAAATTAAGCTAGAAATAAAAATCGAGAATTTGTAGTGACTCCGAAACGACGATTTATTATTTTTATCCATAAAATTGAGCTAGAAATAAAAATCGAGAATTTGTAGTGACTCCGAAACGACGATTTATTATTTTTATCCATAAAATTGAGCTAGAAATAAAAATCGAGAATTTGTAGTGACTCCGAAACGACGATTTATTATTTTTATCCATAAAATTGAGCTAGAAATAAAAATCGAGAATTTGTAGTGACTTCCGAAACGACGATTTATTATTTTTATCCATAATATTGAGCTAGAAATAAAAATCGAGAATTTGTAGTGACTCCGAAACGACGATTTATTATTTTTATCCATAAAATTGAGCTAGAAATAAAAATCGAGAATTCGTAGTGACTCCGAAACGACGATTTATTATTTTTATCCATAAAATTGAGCTAGAAATAAAAATCGAGAATTTGTAGTGACTCCGAAACGACGATTTATTATTTTTATCCATAAAATTGAGCTAGAAATAAAAATCGAGAATTCGTAGTGACTCCGAAACGACGATTTATTATTTTTATCCATAAAATTGAGCTAGAAATAAAATCGAGAATTTGTAGTGACTCCGAAACGACGATTTATTATTTTTATCCATAAAATTGAGCTAGAAATAAAAATCGAGAATTCGTAGTGACTTCGAAACGACGATTTATTATTTTTATCCATAAAATTGAGCTAGAAATAAAAATCGAGAATTTGTAGTGACTTCGAAACGACGATTTATTATTTTTATCCATAAAATTGAGCTAGAAATAAAAATCGAGAATTCGTAGTGACTCCGAAACGACGATTTATTATTTTTATCCATAAAATTGAGCTAGAAATAAAAATCGAGAATTTGTAGTGACTTCGAAACGACGATTTATTATTTTTATCCATAAAATTGAGCTAGAAATAAAAATCGAGAATTTGTAGTGACTTCGAAACGACGATTTATTATTTTTATCCATAAAATTGAGCTAGAAATAAAAATCGAGAATTCGTAGTGACTCCGAAACGACGATTTATTATTTTTATCCATAAAATTGAGCTAGAAATAAAAATCGAGAATTTGTAGTGACTTCGAAACGACGATTTATTATTTTTATCCATAAAATTGAGCTAGAAATAAAAATCGAGAATTCGTAGTGACTCCGAAACGACGATTTATTATTTTTATCCATAAAATTGAGCTAGAAATAAAAATCGAGAATTCGTAGTGACTTCGAAACGACGATTTATTATTTTTATCCATAAAATTGAGCTAGAAATAAAAATCGAGAATTTGTAGTGACTTCGAAACGACGATTTATTATTTTTATCCATAAAATTGAGCTAGAAATAAAAATCGAGAATTCGTAGTGACTCCGAAACGACGATTTATTATTTTTATCCATAAAATTGAGCTAGAAATAAAAATCGAGAATTTGTAGTGACTTCGAAACGACGATTTATTATTTTTATCCATAAAATTGAGCTAGAAATAAAAATCGAGAATTCGTAGTGACTTCGAAACGACGATTTATTATTTTTATCCATAAAATTGAGCTAGAAATAAAAATCGAGAATTCGTAGTGACTCCGAAACGACGATTTATTATTTTTATCCATAAAATTGAGCTAGAAATAAAAATCGAGAATTCGTAGTGACTTCGAAACGACGATTTATTATTTTTATCCATAAAATTGAGCTAGAAATAAAAATCGAGAATTCGTAGTGACTCCGAAACGACGATTTATTATTTTTATCCATAAAATTGAGCTAGAAATAAAAATCGAGAATTTGTAGTGACTTCGAAACGACGATTTATTATTTTTATCCATAAAATTGAGCTAGAAATAAAAATCGAGAATTCGTAGTGACTCCGAAACGACGATTTATTATTTTTATCCATAAAATTGAGCTAGAAATAAAAATCGAGAATTTGTAGTGACTCCGAAACGACGATTTATTATTTTTATCCATAAAATTGAGCTAGAAATAAAAATCGAGAATTCGTAGTGACTCCGAAACGACGATTTATTATTTTTATCCATAAAATTGAGCTAGAAATAAAAATCGAGAATTTGTAGTGACTCCGAAACGACGATTTATTATTTTTATCCATAAAATTGAGCTAGAAATAAAAATCGAGAATTTGTAGTGACTTCCGAAACGACGATTTATTATTTTTATCCATAAAATTGAGCTAGAAATAAAAATCGAGAATTCGTAGTGACTTCGAAACGACGATTTATTATTTTTATCCATAAAATTGAGCTAGAAATAAAAATCGAGAATTCGTAGTGACTCCGAAACGACGATTTATTATTTTTATCCATAAAATTGAGCTAGAAATAAAAATCGAGAATTTGTAGTGACTTCGAAACGACGATTTATTATTTTTATCCATAAAATTGAGCTAGAAATAAAAATCGAGAATTTGTAGTGACTTCGAAACGACGATTTATTATTTTTATCCATAAAATTGAGCTAGAAATAAAAATCGAGAATTCGTAGTGACTCCGAAACGACGATTTATTATTTTTATCCATAAAATTGAGCTAGAAATAAAAATCGAGAATTTGTAGTGACTTCGAAACGACGATTTATTATTTTTATCCATAAAATTGAGCTAGAAATAAAAATCGAGAATTTGTAGTGACTTCGAAACGACGATTTATTATTTTTATCCATAAAATTGAGCTAGAAATAAAAATCGAGAATTCGTAGTGACTCCGAAACGACGATTTATTATTTTTATCCATAAAATTGAGCTAGAAATAAAAATCGAGAATTCGTAGTGACTTCGAAACGACGATTTATTATTTTTATCCATAAAATTGAGCTAGAAATAAAAATCGAGAATTCGTAGTGACTCCGAAACGACGATTTATTATTTTTATCCATAAAATTGAGCTAGAAATAAAAATCGAGAATTTGTAGTGACTTCGAAACGACGATTTATTATTTTTATCCATAAAATTGAGCTAGAAATAAAAATCGAGAATTTGTAGTGACTCCGAAACGACGATTTATTATTTTTATCCATAAAATTGAGCTAGAAATAAAAATCGAGAATTCGTAGTGACTCCGAAACGACGATTTATTATTTTTATCCATAAAATTGAGCTAGAAATAAAAATCGAGAATTTGTAGTGACTCCGAAACGACGATTTATTATTTTTATCCATAAAATTGAGCTAGAAATAAAAATCGAGAATTCGTAGTGACTCCGAAACGACGATTTATTATTTTTATCCATAAAATTGAGCTAGAAATAAAAATCGAGAATTCGTAGTGACTTCGAAACGACGATTTATTATTTTTATCCATAAAATTGAGCTAGAAATAAAAATCGAGAATTTGTAGTGACTCCGAAACGACGATTTATTATTTTTATCCATAAAATTGAGCTAGAAATAAAAATCGAGAATTTGTAGTGACTCCGAAACGACGATTTATTATTTTTATCCATAAAATTGAGCTAGAAATAAAAATCGAGAATTCGTAGTGACTCCGAAACGACGATTTATTATTTTTATCCATAAAATTGAGCTAGAAATAAAAATCGAGAATTTGTAGTGACTCCGAAACGACGATTTATTATTTTTATCCATAAAATTGAGCTAGAAATAAAAATCGAGAATTCGTAGTGACTCCGAAACGACGATTTATTATTTTTATCCATAAAATTGAGCTAGAAATAAAAATCGAGAATTTGTAGTGACTCCGAAACGACGATTTATTATTTTTATCCATAAAATTGAGCTAGAAATAAAAATCGAGAATTCGTAGTGACTCCGAAACGACGATTTATTATTTTTATCCATAAAATTGAGCTAGAAATAAAAATCGAGAATTTGTAGTGACTCCGAAACGACGATTTATTATTTTTATCCATAAAATTGAGCTAGAAATAAAAATCGAGAATTTGTAGTGACTCCGAAACGACGATTTATTATTTTTATCCATAAAATTGAGCTAGAAATAAAAATCGAGAATTCGTAGTGACTTCGAAACGACGATTTATTATTTTTATCCATAAAATTGAGCTAGAAATAAAAATCGAGAATTTGTAGTGACTTCGAAACGACGATTTATTATTTTTATCCATAAAATTGAGCTAGAAATAAAAATCGAGAATTTGTAGTGACTCCGAAACGACGATTTATTATTTTTATCCATAAAATTAAGCTAGAAATAAAAATCGAGAGTTTGTAGTGACTTCGAAACGACGATTTATTATTCTTATCCATAAAATTGAGCTAGAAATAAAAATCGAGAATTTGTAGTGACTTCGAAACGACGATTTATTATTTTTATCCATAAAATTGAGGTAAATTAAAAAATCGAGAATTCGTAGTGACTTCCAAACCACGATTTATTATTTTTATCCATAAAATTAAGGTAAATTAAAAAATCGAGAATTCGTAGTGACTTCCAAACCACGATTTATCATTTTTATCCATAAAATTGAGCTAGAAATAAAAATCGAGAATTCGTAGTGACTTCGAAACGACGATTTATTATTTTTATCCATAAAATTGAGCTAGAAATAAAAATCGAGAATTTGTAGTGACTTCGAAACGACGATTTATTATTTTTATCCATAAAATTGAGCTAGAAATAAAAATCGAGAATTCGTAGTGACTCCGAAACGACGATTTATTATTTTTATCCATAAAATTAAGCTAGAAATAAAAATCGAGAATTTGTAGTGACTTCGAAACGACGATTTATTATTTTTATCCAAAAAATTGAGCTAGAAATAAAAATCTAGAATTTGTAGTGACTTCGAAACGACGATTTATTATTTTTATCCATAAAATTGAGCTAGAAATAAAAATCGAGAATTCGTAGTGACTCCGAAACGACGATTTATTATTTTTATCCATGAAATTGAGCTAGAAATAAAAATCGAGAATTCGTAGTGACTTCGAAACGACGATTTATTATTTTTATCCATAAAATTGAGCTAGAAATAAAAATCGAGAATTCGTAGTGACTCCGAAACGACGATTTATTATTTTTATCCATAAAATTGAGCTAGAAATAAAAATCGAGAATTTGTAGTGACTTCGAAACGACGATTTATTATTTTTATCCATAAAATTAAGCTAGAAATAAAAATCGAGAATTCGTAGTGACTCCGAAACGACGATTTATTATTTTTATCCATAAAATTGAGCTAGAAATAAAAATCGAGAATTTGTAGTGACTCCGAAACGACGATTTATTATTTTTATCCATAAAATTAAGCTAGAAATAAAAATCGAGAATTCGTAGTGACTCCGAAACGACGATTTATTATTTTTATCCATAAAATTGAGCTAGAAATAAAAATCGAGAATTTGTAGTGACTCCGAAACGACGATTTATTATTTTTATCCATAAAATTGAGCTAGAAATAAAATTGAGCTAGAAATAAAAATCGAGAATTCGTAGTGACTTCGAAACGACGATTTATTATTTTTATCCATAAAATTGAGCTAGAAATAAAAATCGAGAATTCGTAGTGACTCCGAAACGACGATTTATTATTTTTATCCATAAAATTGAGCTAGAAATAAAAATCGAGAATTTGTAGTGACTTCGAAACGACGATTTATTATTTTTATCCATAAAATTGAGCTAGAAATAAAAATCGAGAATTTGTAGTGACTTCGAAACGACGATTTATTATTTTTATCCATAAAATTGAGCTAGAAATAAAAATCGAGAATTCGTAGTGACTCCGAAACGACGATTTATTATTTTTATCCATAAAATTAAGCTAGAAATAAAAATCGAGAATTTGTAGTGACTTCGAAACGACGATTTATTATTTTTATCCAAAAAATTGAGCTAGAAATAAAAATCTAGAATTTGTAGTGACTTCGAAACGACGATTTATTATTTTTATCCATAAAATTGAGCTAGAAATAAAAATCGAGAATTCGTAGTGACTCCGAAACGACGATTTATTATTTTTATCCAAAAAATTGAGCTAGAAATAAAAATCGAGAATTCGTAGTGACTCCGAAACGACGATTTATTATTTTTATCCATAAAATTGAGCTAGAAATAAAAATCGAGAATTCGTAGTGACTCCGAAACGACGATTTATTATTTTTATCCATAAAATTGAGCTAGAAATAAAAATCGAGAATTTGTAGTGACTTCGAAACGACGATTTATTATTTTTATCCATAAAATTGAGCTAGAAATAAAAATCGAGAATTTGTAGTGACTTCGAAATGACGATTTATTATTTTTATCCAAAAAATTGAGCTAGAAATAAAAATCGAGAATTCGTAGTGACTTCGAAACGACGATTTATTATTTTTATCCATAAAATTGAGCTAGAAATAAAAATCGAGAATTTGTAGTGACTTCGAAACGACGATTTATTATTTTTATCCATAAAATTGAGCTAGAAATAAAAATCGAGAATTCGTAGTGACTTCGAAACGACGATTTATTATTTTTATCCATAAAATTGAGCTAGAAATAAAAATCGAGAATTCGTAGTGACTCCGAAACGACGATTTATTATTTTTATCCATAAAATTGAGCTAGAAATAAAAATCGAGAATTTGTAGTGACTTCGAAACGACGATTTATTATTTTTATCCATAAAATTGAGCTAGAAATAAAAATCGAGAATTTGTAGTGACTTCGAAACGACGATTTATTATTTTTATCCATAAAATTGAGCTAGAAATAAAAATCGAGAATTCGTAGTGACTCCGAAACGACGATTTATTATTTTTATCCATAAAATTAAGCTAGAAATAAAAATCGAGAATTTGTAGTGACTTCGAAACGACGATTTATTATTTTTTTCCAAAAAATTGAGCTAGAAATAAAAATCTAGAATTTGTAGTGACTTCGAAACGACGATTTATTATTTTTATCCATAAAATTAAGCTAGAAATAAAAATTGAGAATTCGTAGTGACTTCGAAACGACGATTTATTATTTTTATCCATAAAATTAAGCTAGAAATGAAAATCGAGAATTCGTAGTGACTTCGAAACGACGATTTATTATTTTTATCCATAAAATTGAGCTAGAAATAAAAATCGAGAATTCGTAGTGACTTCGAAACGACGATTTATTATTTTTATCCATAAAATTGAGCTAGAAATAAAAATCGAGAATTCGTAGTGACTTCGAAACGACGATTTATTATTTTTATCCATAAAATTAAGCTAGAAATAAAAATCGAGAATTCGTAGTGACTCCGAAACGACGATTTATTATTTTTATCCATAAAATTGAGCTAGAAATAAAAATCGAGAATTTGTAGTGACTTCGAAACGACGATTTATTATTTTTATCCATAAAATTGAGCTAGAAATAAAAATCGAGAATTCGTAGTGACTTCGAAACGACGATTTATTATTTTTATCCATAAAATTGAGCTAGAAATAAAAATCGAGAATTCGTAGTGACTTCGAAACGACGATTTATTATTTTTATCCATAAAATTGAGCTAGAAATAAAAATCGAGAATTTGTAGTGACTTCGAAACGACGATTTATTATTTTTATCCATAAAATTGAGCTAGAAATAAAAATCGAGAATTCGTAGTGACTTCGAAACGACGATTTATTATTTTTATCCATAAAATTAAGCTAGAAATGAAAATCGAGAATTCGTAGTGACTCCGAAACGACGATTTATTATTTTTATCCAAAAATTGAGCTAGAAATAAAAATCGAGAATTCGTAGTGACTCCGAAACGACGATTTATTATTTTTATCCATAAAATTGAGCTAGAAATAAAAATCGAGAATTTGTAGTGACTTCGAAACGACGATTTATTATTTTTATCCATAAAATTGAGCTAGAAATAAAAATCGAGAATTCGTAGTGACTTCGAAACGACGATTTATTATTTTTATCCATAAAATTGAGCTAGAAATAAAAATCGAGAATTCGTAGTGACTTCGAAACGACGATTTATTATTTTTATCCATAAAATTGAGCTAGAAATAAAAATCGAGAATTTGTAGTGACTTCGAAACGACGATTTATTATTTTTATCCATAAAATTGAGCTAGAAATAAAAATCGAGAATTCGTAGTGACTTCGAAACGACGATTTATTATTTTTATCCATAAAATTAAGCTAGAAATGAAAATCGAGAATTCGTAGTGACTCCGAAACGACGATTTATTATTTTTATCCATAAAATTGAGCTAGAAATAAAAATCGAGAATTCGTAGTGACTTCGAAACGACGATTTATTATTTTTATCCATAAAATTGAGCTAGAAATAAAAATCGAGAATTCGTAGTGACTCCGAAACGACGATTTATTATTTTTATCCATAAAATTGAGCTAGAAATAAAAATCGAGAATTCGTAGTGACTTCGAAACGACGATTTATTATTTTTATCCATAAAATTAAGCTAGAAATAAAAATTGAGAATTTGTAGTGACTTCGAAACGACGATTTATTATTTTTATCCATAAAATTAAGCTAGAAATAAAAATCGAGAATTTGTAGTGACTCCGAAACGACGATTTATTATTTTTATCCATAAAATTGAGCTAGAAATAAAAATCGAGAATTCGTAGTGACTCCGAAACGACGATTTATTATTTTTATCCATAAAATTAAGCTAGAAATAAAAATCGAGAATTCGTAGTGACTTCGAAACGACGATTTATTATTTTTATCCATAAAATTAAGCTAGAAATAAAAATTGAGAATTTGTAGTGACTTCGAAACGACGATTTATTATTTTTATCCATAAAATTAAGCTAGAAATAAAAATCGAGAATTTGTAGTGACTCCGAAACGACGATTTATTATTTTTATCCATAAAATTGAGCTAGAAATAAAAATCGAGAATTCGTAGTGACTCCGAAACGACGATTTATTATTTTTATCCATAAAATTAAGCTAGAAATAAAAATTGAGAATTCGTAGTGACTTCGAAACGACGATTTATTATTTTTATCCATAAAATTAAGCTAGAAATAAAAATCGAGAATTTGTAGTGACTCCGAAACGACGATTTATTATTTTTATCCATAAAATTGAGCTAGAAATAAAAATCGAGAATTCGTAGTGACTCCGAAACGACGATTTATTATTTTTATCCATAAAATTGAGCTAGAAATAAAAATCGAGAATTCGTAGTGACTTCGAAACGACGATTTATTATTTTTATCCATAAAATTAAGCTAGAAATAAAAATCGAGAATTTGTAGTGACTTCGAAACGACGATTTATTATTTTTATCCATAAAATTAAGCTAGAAATAAAACGAGAATTTGTAGTGACTTCCAAACCACGATTTATCATTTTTATCCATAAAATTAAGGTAAATTAAAAAATCGAGAATTCGTAGTGACTTCCAAACCACGATTTATCATTTTTATCCATAAAATTGAGGTAAATTAAAAATCGAGAATTTGTAGTGACTCCGAAACGACGATTTATTATTTTTATCCATAAAATTAAGCTAGAAAAAAAAAACGTGAATTCGTAGTGACTTCGAAACGACGATTTATTATTTTTATCCATAAAATTGAGCTAGAAATAAAAATCGAGAATTTGTAGTGACTCCGAAACGACGATTTATTATTTTTATCCATAAAATTGAGCTAGAAATAAAAATCGAGAATTCGTAGTGACTCCGAAACGACGATTTATTATTTTTATCCATAAAATTGAGCTAGAAATAAAAATCGAGAATTTGTAGTGACTCCGAAACGACGATTTATTATTTTTATCCATAAAATTGAGCTAGAAATAAAAATCGAGAATTCGTAGTGACTTTGAAACGACGATTTATTATTTTTATCCAAAAAATCATGAAACTATATGATATATTACTGTAGGATAAGGAAATTGAGTTTTTAGCTACAAAATCATTTTTTATCGAGTATTTTCGTCAAATTTAGGATGACTAGGATTTTTTTTCTAGTTGCCGTAACTCATAAAATAAATTTTTGATTACAGATTTCCCTAAGGCTTGTACCTAGCCCCAAAAAATCTCATTTTTCCAGCGACTCTGCATACGACATCCAACCGCCCGAATTACCGCAAGCCCAATGGGTTGAAGCATGGAAAACGTGGCTGAAAATCGCCAGAGGATTGGCCAAGCAAGGTATTTTCAGGGAAAATATGAGAGAAATTTTTTAGGTTGAGAATTTTTAAATTTTTAAAGAAAAAAATTGAAAAGTTTGGGAGTTTTCAATGAATATTCTGAAATTCAAAGGCACAACGAAACCAAATCTTTGACATTTTTCGAAACGTAAAATTTTCAATTTCAGGATTAATGTGTTTGAAGCTAAGATTTGATCTAGAAAAATGAAATTTTGCCACGTGGCTTCTTTTGAGCCGAAATTTCAGGTTGAAAATTTAATAACATTCTGAATTTTTAAAGAAAAATTGAAAAGTTTGGGAGTTTTCAATGAATATTCTGCAATTTTAAAAATATTCTCAATTTTTGGAAAAAATCCTGTTTCATAACGAATCTGCATCTCTGATTTTTTATCTTATAATTTTTTGAAACGTAAAATTTTCGGGATTTCTGTGTTTGAAATGAAATTTTGCCGCGTGGCATTTTTTAGCACAAATTCCGAAATTTCGTGCTGAAAATCCACGTGGAAAAAAAATTGTTTCAAATGAAATTCGAAATTTTCCAGGTGTCTCCGCGCTCTCAATGTCAACTTCAACTCTCGCCGATCGTCCCATGTTATCCTCCCGAACTTCCGCCTCATCTCTCGTCTCGCTTTCCGCTTCCGCTTCCGCAACCAACGCTTCTCAAATTTCCGGATACATTCCCGGACCATCGCATTTGACGGCGATTCTCAACGTTTTCCCGCCGCTTTTCAATCGAGTTGCCAAAAGTATTCCGCTGGATGATTTGAAATATGAAAGTTTGCCCGCTGTTTTGGAGGTATGTGGCAAATTTTCTGAATTTTTTGAATCTAAATTTGCCACGTGGCAAGATAATTATAAATTTTTTGGAAAAAAATGAGGAAAATCAGAGCTTTTCGTTTAAAAATTACAAATTTTATCATTTCTCGAGATTTTTTCTATGAAAAATACAGTTTTTCCCCTCAAACCCCATTTTTTTCTTTCCAGTCAATGATGAATGTTCCAATTCCATCCGAACAAGCTCCATTCGTCCTTCCATCAGCTTCCACCCATTTAACACCAACACAAGAAGCATTGGTGGAGGCGGTGAAAAATGTGTATGTCGAATGCACAATGTCTGGAAACACAACGACACTCCGCAATGCCGTACCCGATTTGATTCGATTGTTGTTGAGATTTGCGAGTTTGGCGACGGCAAGAATTGCACCGAATAAAGTGGCGCCTGGTGGACAGAAGAGCTATGTGAGTTTTGTTTCTGGGTAGGGGTGGAGCCTTGGAAAGAGGGTTGAGTAGGGTTGGCTGCTTGGGAGAGGTGTTTTCAAGAGTTGGAGCCTTGGGAAGAGGATTGAGTAGGGTTGGCTGCTTGGGAGAGGTAATTCTATCGAGCTTCGCTACTTGAGGATTAAAGCATTGCTCATGTTCCATAGGCAAATCAGAGCATTTGACAAAGATTTTATACTAGGCAATGACCCTTAAAAAGAGTGTTGGATAGGACCAGCTGCTTGAGAAGACCTATTTCTAGGCTTCCCGCCTTGAAAACTGGGTTGCATAGGATTGACTGCTTGACAAATAGTTCTTCAAGCAGTGTAGCCTTGTAATTATGAATTTTTTCTAGTGGCCAGGAGCTTCTTTTAGTTGAAAAGAGCGGAAGTTCTGGATCAAGAAGCTGGTCCTTGAAAAATATTTTTGTCAAGGAGCGGAGCCTTGATTTTCCAAATTTTCAGCGCGAATATGCTCTAACCACAATCGTGCCCTTCTCCGAGTACTCTCTCCGAATGGCCATCGAATTTTTCGTCTCCACAAGCTCCACCCATTCGCCGCCTCAAGAACTCGCCGCGATTTCCATGGAAATTGTGCGATTCCTAGCCGAACCCCTTCATCTAAAATACGGTTGCATTTCTGCGACCACGTGGAAATTGGCGGCGACTTCGCTGATGACGTGTCTCCGGACGGCGATTCCGCTTGCGCGATTGAATCGTGAGTTTTTTTGTGAGAAAATTTGGGATTTTTTTCGTTTCAGCTGAATATTTTGGTGAATTTTGGCCTGCGATTTGTGAGACGATGGAAAAATGGATTTTCACACCGAAGTAGGTTTCCGTGAACGCGGAAATGTTCCGCAACCTAAAAATTTCCAGCAAATCAACACGACTTGCGGCTGACGAAAGAAAACGTGATGAATTAATGGAGTGTCAAGCGATCGAGATAATCCGCGCGGAAATGCTGGCGTATGCCGCGATTCTGCCACCACAAGATGTTCAGCGAATAATCGCGCTCTTACATCGCGGATCGATTTCGCAAGTCGATTCGACTGATGTTTTGGGCTTGGATACACATACACAACGCAACGAACTCGCCAAATCCTGTTTTGACGCATTGCTCATGTCAACTGCGAGCTCTTCCGCGACCCAACAATCGCAAGAAGGGTTGGGAAATGTGGCGGTCGCTAGTTTGATGCAAAGATGTACACAAGTGATGAGCGATTTTTGCCGCGATTTTTCGTCGTCTGGTGATTTGCGACTTCCGAGATCGCGATTTTTGGAAATTATATCTGCACTTCAGGCGATTGATCAATTGATTGAAAGATTGGCGAGGTAAGGATTTGGACTTTTTGTCGCAGAATTGGAATTTCCTGCGATTTTTTCTCAAAAACCACGTCATTTTCAAAAAATCGATATTCATCCCGAAATTGGCCAAAATAATCGATCAAATAATGATTTTGTAGAAAAAGACTTCAATGTTTCAATAAAATTATGGGGGTTAGCCTAAATTGTGATTTTTCCGTTTCAAAATGTTTTTCGAGCTACATTTTGAAACGGAAAAATCACAATTCAGGCTAACTATCATAATTTTATTAAAGTTTTTAGCTACAAAATCATTTTTTGATAGAGTATTTTGGTCAATTTTGAGATGAATATCGATTTTTTGGGAAAAAACAAAGTTACTGTAACTTATGAAGGTTCGCATTTTTCCAGAGATCCCCGCCTCACCGAACTCTACTCCCAACTCGTTTCCCTTTTCCCAACCGTCGTCGACATTGTACCGTGTTCGCATAGCGACGCAGAACTCGCGCGACAACTCGTCGCCACCATCAAATCCTATCAAACCCTATTTCTAGTGCAGAAAATACCATAGTTTTCTGCGACAATTTCGCGCGAATTTCGTCTTTTCTCGGGTTCTCCATTATTTATTGTAAATTTATAGTGCCTTTTGAAATTTCTGTGATATGACGTCACTTTTTCTCCCCGTTTTTTTGTTTAGCCCCGCCCCTTTTCTTGTGTGATAGGCCTTTCTTTTTTGCTATAATAAAATTTTATGCACCTTTAAACATATTTGGATTACTGTAGAGGTTACTGTAAAACTTCTAGATTATTTTATGCAATTTTTTTTCCAGAAAAATTTGGAAAATTCAGGAGAATGTGGAATTTTCACGAGATTTTTGAGAAAAAATGCCAACTTTTTGCAATTTTCCGGAACTACTACGGACTTAGGTAATTTTTGGGCTTACTGGGCTTTTTAAGGGTCTAATGGGTTTTTTAAGGCTCTAATAGGCTTTCTAAGGCTCTAATGTGCTTTTCAAGGCTCAACTGGGATTTTTCAGGCTCTAATGGGCTTTTTTAGGCTCTAATGGGCTTTTTGAGGCCCCAATGAGCTTTTTGAGGCCTTCATTGCCTTTTGTAAGGCTTAGTCTTAAATTAACACCTCAATTAAGACCCTAATTTCAGAGATTGGAGAGTTAGAGGAAATTGAAACCGAAGAACAAATTGTTGATAAAATTTTGGAGCAAAGTGGAAGTTGGAGCATTGTTTATTTCAATGTGAGTTCTCAATGGGCCTTTTTGGGACCTTAAGAAGCCTTTAAATTTTTAGGCCAAACTCAAGTTGCTCTTCATTGGCCGTGATGTTTTTGGTCGTCAAAGTTTGGTGTTCAACTTTGCTGCGCGCGAATTCGCCGTCTCGGTGGCGAAAAATTCGCGCGACACATGGATCGAAGTGCCATTTGGACAGGTTACGGTGATTCGCGCGAATTTCTCCGCCCAAATGTATAGCTATCTTGACGAGTATCCGGAAGGTGTTTGCGAGGATTATGCGCAAGGATTCGCGGAATTTGCAAAAGCTGCGACGTGCGATAAAAAGTTGCGACTTTTGAATGTGTCGCGCGAAATTGAGGGAAACGTTGTTGATGATGCGAAAGAGCTGCGAGAAAAGTTTTTGGGAAATGTCGTGAGTGCGACGCGGAATCTGTTGCGCAACACGAATTCGTCGCATCTTGCAGTTTGCTTGTCTGGTGGAGTGGATAGCACATTTGTGGCGCATGTTGCGCATCTTTCCGCGACTCCGGAGACGCGGATTGATTTGATAAATGTCGCTTTCGGCGAGAATGCCGCGGCGTATGCGGCAGCTCCGGATAGAGCGCGAGCTATCGCCGCCACCGCTTCGCTTCGCACCGCCTATCCCAACCGCCAGTTTCGCCTGATTTTTGTCAATGTTAATTCGCAAGAATTGGAAGAGATGCGCAAATTATACATTGCGGATGCGGCACGACCCGCGACTTCAGTTCTCGATGACTCACTCGCATGCGTATTGTGGTTTGCGGTCCGCGCGAGAGGTTGCGACGCGGAAAACGGCGAACACGTGGAATCGCCGGCGACGACGTTGCTATTGGGAAGTGGAGCCGATGAATTGTTGGCTGGTTACGCGAGACATCGCACGAGATTCGAAAAGGATGGAGATGTTCGCGGTGTTGCGGAAGAATGTGAACAAGAGTTGCGGAGACTTGGAGCGAGGAATGGTGGAAGGGATGCGAGAGTTGCCGCGCAACTCGGCAAAACTATACTGTAAGTGGGAGGCTTTTTGGGCTAGAAACATGTTTTTAGGCATAAAACGACCCAAAAGTTCTACCAAATCGTCCTGAAGCCTTTAAAAAGGGAATTTTCCGGACTTTCTAGGCTTTTGGGCTATTTTCAGGCCTTTAGGCTTTTGGATCTTGTTTTTAGAGATAACATGGCCTGCAAAAATCGTCCTGAAGACTTGAAAAAGTCCAAAAGAGCATTATTACAGACTTTCTAGGCTTTTGGACAATTTTCAGGATTTTAGGCTATAGGTTCTTATTTTAGAGATAAAATTGCCTGCAAAAATCGTCCCGAAGCCTTAAAAAATCCAAAATAGCATTCTTCGGGGTTTCTAGGCTTTTGGACTATTTTCAGGCCTTTAGGCTCTAGGATTTTGTTTTTTTAGAGATATGGCCTGCAAAAATATGTCCTGCAAAAATCGTCCTGAAGCCTATAAGAAGAGTCCAGAAGCCTAGCATTTTGAGCAAGACTTTCAGGCCCATTTTATAGCTTTTAGACTTACAGGGGCCGAATTCATAAGAGTGGTATACCAATTTTACCTTTTTTTTTGAATTTGGTCCGTTCAAGCCTAAAATCTTTAAAAATGGGCCTGAAAACTGTGCTCGACATCCTAGGCTTCTGGACCCTTTTTATAGACTTCAGGACGATTTTTGCAAGCCATTTTATCTCTGAAAACAAGATCCTAGATCCTAAACGCCTGAAAATAGGCTAAAAGCCTAGAAAGCCCGAAAAATGCCCTATTGAACTTTCTAGACGCTTCAGGACAATTTTGTAGAATTTTTGGATTGTTTTATGCTTAAAAATATGTTTCTAGAGCCTTAAAGCCTGAAAATGGCCAAAAAGCCCGAACAAATCTCAATTTTTCAGCTCGCCGATCCTCGAAGACAATGTTGTCGAATTTCTCAACTCGCTTCCCGGCCCCTCAAAATGGGATTTGAGTTTACCACGTGGCATTGGCGAAAAACGAGTGCTCCGCGAGCTGGTTCGCGATTTGGGCTCACCCCACTCGGCTCCAAAACAAGCTATGCAATTCGGCTCGCGCATGGCTAAAATGAGCAATGCTGGCGATAATTCGATAAAAGGCAGTGATAAAAGCCCGCATTTGCACAGTGGAATTGCGGGAAATGCGGTGATTGTTGAATGAATTTGTTGTTGAATTTTGGGTGGTGGAGGTTTTTTATGTGAAAAATTGTAAGATATTTTGATTTTTGAATAAATTTGTTGATTTTTTTTCCAAAGTTTTACACGGATTTTGTCGAAAATTCGAATTCCTCGTTGAAAATCCTTGCAGAAATTGGGAAATCCATCATTCCTAGCTTCTCAAGTACGCCGAGAAACCCTAGAATACTGAATTCCACCAAAAATCCTGTCAAAACCCCGAAAATCCTACCAAAACGCAAAAAATCGCAAAAAATAAAATGAGAACTTCTCAAATTGTCCAAAAATTTCGGTGTGCGATGGAGCGCACATGCCACAGCCAACACTTATTTATTATTTTTTCACATTTTCCGGTTTTTCCACGTTTTTCTCGCAGTTTTCACTCATTTCTTCATTTTTCAGCGGCGAAAAGTGGTTTTATGAGTGTGAAATCGGTTTTGGGCGATTTACAAATCGTTGTCGAACGACACTCTGATGTTTTGAAGAACTATTCGGCGATTTTTCGAGTTCTGATTGGGTTACGGGTATTTGGATTCCTTTTGTCGTTTTTCTCGTTTGCTAGGAATATTTTATGGTTGCATCCGTATCAATTGGCTTCTATTGAGGTAAATTTGGAGATTTTGATGAGGGGTTTTCTGAAATTTTGGTGAAAAATCCAAATTTTCACTCAAAATATCAGTTTTCGTGAAAAGCTTAGATGAAAAATCAAGAAATTTATGAAATGTAACCCAGAAGTTCAAAAAGTTTCCCAAAAATCGATATTTTCATTGGAAAGTTCAGGAAATTCGATATTTTTATAGATTTTTCATTAAAAATCTCAAAATTTCCGAATCTTTCTCTGAAAACCTCAAAAATTTCACCAGAAATCCACAATTTTTCCAGGTTTGGCGTATATTTTCCGCCGCATTTTGCGGTCACAATTTGCTGGATTTGTCTTGGACAATTTGGAGTTTGCATTTTGCAACAAATTTGATTCGATTGAACAATTCAAATGAGGCGCTGCTCAAAGTTTATGCCATTACTCAGGTTAGACTTTTTTTGGAAAAATATATAAGAAAACCAGGAATTTTCTCGTGGAAAAATGAGAAAAAGAGAAAATAAGGGTTTAAGGCCCTTAATGGCCTAATTTTAGGGTTAAAAACCCAACATTCTTGTTTTCCAGGCCTTAACAACTCTAATCCTCGCTATTTTCGCCTACATCACCTACGTCCTATTCGATTCCATCAAATTCTTCTACGTCGAACCAATTGTGGGTCTCGTGCCGATTTGTGCTACCGTACTCGTTTTGATGAAACAATTCTTGCCGGATACAATTGTTTTGACGACACCAATTGGACGATTGAAATATACGCATCTTCCGTTCACCGCAATGCTGGTTGCGTTGATTTTGGCGCTTTTGAAGTTGACATATTTTGTGAGTTTTTAGGGGTTCAAGCTTGTGGAATACATAATTTTTAATAAAAAATGTATTTAAAAAATCCCGAAATTTCTACGTTTCAAAAAAATTCCAATTTTGTAGATCACATTCCTCCAAATCGCCATCGGCATTCAAGTTTCATGGACATATTTGCGATTCTATAAACCGCACGATACCGATGATATTTATGGAGACCAAAGTGAACATTTCACATGGGCCAGGTGAGTTTTGGCGCGAAATTTTGAAATTTCGGTCAAAATTAAGCATTTTTGACGATTTTTGCATCAAAAATCTGAAATTTTCAGTCTTTTTCCCATCGAGAACTCAATTGGTTTTCACACTAATCGGTCGAATTTGCTTCCGAAGTTTGGCGAAATTGGGCGTTTGCAAACGACCGATTCGCCACGTGGATTTGAATTCGTTGCAATCGGTTACTGTAGGACAGATCAATTTGCCGCAAATCGAAACGTCGGCCAAGGATTCGGAAAGAAGAAGGTGAGTTTTTTTTTGGAGAAGTTCGAGAAGATACCTACAGTAATCTGAAGATTTTTCCCTACAGTAGTAAACTTTTTGATCTACATACAGAATTTTTTCCAAAGTAGGTCAACAAAATTTTATCTACCTATGTATGACAGAAACCATTTTATGATCTACCTTTTTTTAATCTACTATTAGGTAGATCAAAAATTGTCGATTAGGACACTACATTTTCCCGCCAAAATCTACAGTAACCTAGGCAATTTCGAATTTCCACCAAATTCCAGACAAAAAGCCCTCCGTGAACTCAACGATCGTCTCAACAAAACGCGACAAACCGAAAATTTGAATTTCGGTGGAAATTGGGACGAAGACGAAGAAGATGAAGATGATACTCAGGCTGAAGCTCAATCAGAAATTCAAATTCCAGCTGAAATCCACTCACCAAACCACAACAACGATTCGCAAGCTTAAATTAAGGGGTTACTGTAATAATTATTGATTGATGTGTTTTTTTTTTGAATTGGGTTCTATTTACAATTTAACGATCTCTGGGTTCAAATATTTTAGTGCATTTGTGATTTGTGATTTATACTAACTTTAAAGGTTTCGAAAAAAAACAGAACAAATTTTTAACAATAACAACAAAAATAACAAGTCTACTGCATAATTCTTCCTTTTTTCGCCAACTTCTTCTTGTTGATCGCTTTTTTGGCAGATTTTTTGAGAGCTCGGCGTTCGTTTTGCTCCGTGGATCTGTAAAAATGATTCGAGTCTCGAGGGGAAAACTACGATACAGTAACCATGAAAAAAAGGGAAAAAAGTAGAGCTGCAAAAAATCTGCCCGCCGCTCATGGCAGTAGGGTAATTTGCCCCCCGGCCCGGCTCGAACACCCTCGATACACTATGATCGATTTGCCCGGGTAGCCCGCACCCGTCTGTCTGTTTGCCCGATTTGCCCGTTGCCCGTCACACCGTGCATTTTCTTCTCTTTTTCTTTTCTATCTCTCGTTTTTGTGCACTCTCTCTCACTGTTTTTTGTTTTCACACATGTAAACTGCACGGTGTGGCGGGCAAAACGGGCAAAAGAAGCAAACGGGCAAGTGTATGCGGGCAAACGGGCAAATCGGGTAAACGGGAAGGCGGGTGCGGGCTACCCGGGCAAATCAAAAAAGTGTGAGCGGGGGGGCAACGGGCAGTTTTTTTGCAGCTCTAGAAAAAAGTGTATGTTTACCAACGGAGCGAACGTCTACTTGGGTTCCGATCACACGGAGTAGCAACACTTCTATTTCGCACTGTAAATCACCGTCAACAATTGATGCTGTCACTGATTGTGTCTCGTGCTTAGAGAGCCCACCGGGCTTCGAACCCGCCACCACTCACTCAAAACCAGCGCCTTGTACCACTAGGCCATCTCTCCCTTTTCCTCTCCTCTCCTTTTTTTCGCGCTTTTTATAAGTGAGTGTGAGAGAGTTTTGCAGCGTATTTTTAGCGTAAAAACACGCTGGGAATTCGTATTTTCCCAAAATTTCAAAATTTACCTCTCTTTCTTCGTGGAAAACTTGAAATTCTCCAATTTTTTCGCATCTTTTGTGGCCGCCGCTTTTTTGTTATTCGCATTCGCATTTTTCTTTTTCGCATTCGAGATTTTCTGCAAAAAAAATTGAAAATTTAATTTCAGGTCAAAAGTTAGACGAACTCACATTAATTTGACCTTTTTTCATAACTTTTGTGATGCGAATTTCACGTTTTTCCATTTCGATTTTTTCCATTGAAAGAGCCAAAGAAGTTGAGGAATCATCCTGGAAATTTTGAATTTTGGAAACTTCGCGGGGCAAATTTGCAGCGTAAATCTAGCGTCGTGGGTTGGGAAAACACGCCGCAGATCAAAATTTGGCGCCAAATTCAAAAACTCACTTTAAAATTGACAAAAGCGAATCCTTTTCCTTGCCCAGTTTCTTTGTCTCTGACGATTCGAACTGCGTCGACAGGCCCAATTTGAGCGGTGAAGAAATCGTGAAGTGCATCTTCGGAAATATCGAATGGCAAATTTCCTGGAAAAAATTTGAATTTTTGTGGAGTGTCAATTTTCATCAAAAATCACGGTGTAAACGCGGAATCTCGTAGTTTTTTCTCCACTCACCAACAAAAACTGCCAAATCTTTGCCAAACTCCTTCTTCTGACCGCATTTATCGACGCGAATCGTGTGCTCTTCGATTTTTGTGCCATTTCTGAAGAAAATGTGGTTTTTTGGAATCAAAAATCCGATTTTTCCAAAGAAAAATTTAAAAAAAAACTCACAATTTCAGCGATTTCTCGACGGATTCTGCGTCAACGAACTTCACATAAAATGTCAAACTCGTCTGTTTTTCGCTGAATTTTCCAGTCAAATGAGCGATTCGTTTGGAGATTTTCGCATTTTTCGGAATCACATTTCGCAGGCGCACTGAATCGATCTAAAATTCAAAAAATTAAGAATTTTCAGTACGAGATTCCGCGTTTACATCGTGATTTTACAGTGGAAAACCATTGAAATACTACGACTGCTTTTACACTTAAAAACACGTCTTTTCACAGGTGTAACCTCGGAGCATCGTTGTTTTCAGAAAAATCCTGAATTTCGGCTCAAAATCTACCAAATTTCATTGCGTAAATGCGGAGCATCGTAGTTTTTCGCCGTAAATTACTTTTTAGCTCAAAATTCCCAGCGTAAACGCGGAGAATCGTAGTTTTTCTTCATCAAAAATCACCAACCTGTCCAAATTCGGCAAAAAGTTTTCGAACCGATTTTTCAGTAGCAGTCAATGGCATATTTCCAACAAAAATCGTTTTTGCATTGTCTTCGGTCAAACTTCGTTTAGCGGTCTTCGATTTTGTGCGATTTTCTCTGCAAAAATTTCAGTTGAAGGAATTTTGCGCGGGAAAACGAATAAACCTTTGTTTTGCTCTGTCGGTTTTCGGCGCCGGTTTTTCAGGATTTTCAACAGGTTCTTCTGAATTTTCAGCCGGTTTCTTTTCGAATTTTCTGCGTTTCGGTTTTTCGATTGTTGATGCTCCTTGAACCACTTCTTCTTGAATTACGGCTGAAAATTGGATTTTTTTATAGTTTTTCAGACAAATTCAATCATTTTCTAAAATTTCAGAACTCTTGGACTCATTTTCACCCATATTTTCTAGATTTTTAGTCAAAAGTGAGCCAGGAGCTAATTTTGATCCAAAACTTTCAAAATTTCGCAGACTTCGAGCTGAAAATCAAGCCTAGGCTCATTTTCAGTCAATTTTCAGCCAAAAAAAAATCACCTGAATCACTAGACACTCCAAAAAGAGTCGCCAATCCACCAGCCTGATATTCAGGCTTCGCAACTTCGGCCAACTTTCTTTTGCCCATCTGAAAATCGGATTTTCAGCCTGGGAAAAAATCTGTGGAAAAATCGATAATTTTCGGTCAAAACCGTACTTTTCATGCAAAAAGAACTTGGGGAAAACGAGGGGTTTTGGGGTGAAATTTTTATATAAATAAATAGATCAAAAACAAGACATTTTCAGATTTTCAGATCAGTAGTATTGTTGTTGATTTTGTTGATGAGAATCTTCGTGCCGATCAATTTTGAAGGCGGCTTGCAGGAAGAATTGCTTGGTGTCGTTGTTCCACATTGTCCAGAACTTTTCGGATCGATCGACTTCTCTGCAAAAATTGGACGGCTTGTTTTAGACCAAATGCGGCCGGAAAGGGGCTTCTCATATAGATATTTAATGGAAAAATGGCATTTTAGGCCCTTTAGGGCTTTTTTCTTCTCGAAAGATAGTAAATAACGGTGGCCATTTTCAGGCTTTTCTAGAGTTCAGGCCCAAAAATCTCACCTGGACGGAATTTTGAAAGCAATCGTCTCATATGGTTCAGCGGCAAACAACAAATATTGCCATCTTTTGTCTGGTGGATGGATTTTCTGCTCGAAAGATGACATAAGTCTATGACGTGGCACTACACCGTCTGCAATTTCGGGATAATCGATTTGGAAGAGGAGCGCGTGTTGGCCGGTTCCTGGATCGCGTTCTCGAGTGACCTGAAATTTAATTTTGTTAGGTTTTTTAATAGTAGGAAACTACGATGCTCCGCTTTTACGCGGTGAGAAATGGTTGGGATTGAAGAAAACTACGATCCTCTACGTTTACGGTGGTCGAAGTAATTCAATTTCTTGAAAAACCTCCTTATTTCACGGCGTAAACGCGGAGCATCGTAATTTCTCTGAAAATTATATATTTTTAGCTCAACATCCACCAAATTTCACGGCGTAAACGCGGAGTATTGTAGTTTTTCGCTCACCTTATAACCAGGCCTTCCGATTTTCACAAATTTCTTGTGCTCAACTTTTGCCGTCTGCGGAGCTGGTAAAAACGGCTGCTCGGAGGCTTCTTTGGCAGCACGTCGCGCCAAATTCGATTGATGCTTTTTTCCTGGAAAAATTGAGCTGTAAACGTGGAGTGTCGTTGTTTTGCTCATTTTTCACCAAATTTCTCAATTTTTGGCTGAAAAATTCGCAAATTTTTCAATCTTCTTACCCTGTGTATGTGCCAAATATGATCCTTCATTATTGTGCAAAGTTAGACAGAGTTTACATTCGTAGGTTCCAATGTGATTTCGCATAAAATAGGGGTCTTTTTGAAGATCAATGGTTTCGAGAGCGAGTTGGCTGGAAAAAATTGATTTTTGAGGAATTTTTCGGATAAAAATGAGCCCAGGCTCAATTTTAGAAATGTTTAGGCTATTTTTTCCAGCAAAAATCAATAATTTTGACTGAAACTTGAGAACTTTCTGGTTATTTTCAGGCAAAATTTGATTTTTTTCCGAGTTCCAGGCTCAAAGTGTTCCAAATTTTGAGATTTTTTGAGTTCTAGGCTAAAATACTCCAAATTTTCAGATTTTTCGAGTTCTAGAGTCAAAATGCTCCAAATTTTCTGATTTCTGGATCAAAATCCCGAATCCCCGCCCAAAAAACCCTACCGTAATCGTTCTCTTCGATCAACTCCAGCATCGGCGGCCGATGCGACTCCACCAGTTCCCGTTTTCCCGCCGGCACGATTTTGAAAATCCATCTGAAAGTATTTTAGGTGGAAACCTAGGCTTTTCGGGCCAAAAATCAGATATAAAACCGTTAGAAAACGGGATTTTTTCGAGAAAATGATGAAAATTCACAAAATTTCATAAAAATACACACAGATTGGGCAAAAAATGAGTATCAATTGGGAGGGGGAGCAAATCAAAAAAAAGGGGGCCGTTTTGAACTCAAAATGGCCTGGAAATCGGCCTAGTTTCGGGCCTAATGCCCATTTATGCATCCGTTTTGAGTGGGTTTCGGTGGGGTTTGCGATTCTTCCGATTCTTCATTTCGATGATATGGTTGCCAATTTTCGACGATTGATTCAAGTTTTGCCGGCAGCTCTTCACGATTCCAAATTTCTCTGAAAAATTTTAAAGTTTTTCCGATGAAAATAAGCTTTGGAGTGATTTTGAGTCAAATTTATGAAATTTGTGGTGGAAAATTGACTTGCAGAGTGATTTTTAGATCAATTTTCAAGGTTTCTGGCTAAATTACTGGATTTTTTCGCTCATAATAAGTCAAAACTTCGAAATTTCAGTCAAAAAATGAGCTTCTGGGTTAATTTTCAGTGAAAAATCCAAATTTTTGCTTTAAAATCAAACCCAGGCTCATTTTAACCCAAATTGTCAGCTGAAAAAGCTCCCCATGCCCATTTTCCCTCAAAATCCAAATTTTACCTATACTGCTCAATTTGATGCGTCATAACCGATGCCAATCGTTCAAATTCGCTCACACTCCAACCTTCAGTTTTCTCAACACATTGTGCAATCAACGCCAAAATCTCATCTTTTGAGATTTTCAGCACAAATTGCTCTTTTTCAGCAACAACAACATCTTCCGATTGGCGCGAACTCTGCGAAAATTTGTATTATTTTTCTTTTTGAGCTAAGATAAATAAAAACTCACCTCATTTTCATCCAAATCCATCGGAATTTCAGGTTTCTGCTCAGTTCCTGCTCCAGCTCCAGATTCCGAATTGGCTCCGTCCACATTTCCTGAACTTGTTGGATGTTCTTCGTCTTCCATCATTGTATCATCGCCAGTTTCTTCACCATCAGAGGCTTCCTCGTTTTTATCTCTGCAACAATTTTCAGATTTCAAAAACTTTTCGCTGAAATTTCAGAATTTATTCTGAAAAATGATAAAAATTAAACAATTTTGACTGAAAATAAGATTCTAAACCTGAAATTCCGAGATTTAGCTCTAAAAATTCTCCCAGATTCAATTTTTCCTTGAAAAATCCAAAATTTCCATCAGAAACTCTAGGCTCAAATTTTTAATGAAAATCTGAATTTTTAAATATTTTTGACTGAAAATCAGCTCCCGGACTTGAAAATCTGAAATTTTCGACTGGAAATGGAGCCCCTAATTTCGGTCAAAAATTTTCAATTTTTTAAAGATTTATCTCTAAAAATCCTCCCAGATTCAATTTTTGATTACAAATCCAAAATTCAGTCGAAAATCAGCTACGGAACCTAAAATTCCGAGATTTAGCTCTAAAAATCTTCCCAAATTCAATTTCTCATCAGAAATCCTAACCTGAATGTTTCTCTAAAACCCTCCCAGATTCAATTTCTCATTAAAAATCCTAATTTGAATGTTCCAGGGCTCAAAAATCTCTCAATTTTCCGCCCCAGGGATAAAAACTCACTCAGCTTGCGATGACTTCGGTTTTCTCTTTTTTTGTCCCGGAAAATTGTAGGATTTCGATCGTTTGCGTCGATGATGATGTGGTTTCTCAGCGGCATTTTCCGCTTCCGGTGACTTGGATTTCGACTTTGATTTCTCTTTAACTATATCCTCCTTACTTTCGGCAACTGAAGAAGTCGCAGGTGTCGCAGGAGCCGGTTCAAATTTCGCTCGCCACACCGCAACCTCTTTCGCCAACGAATTCTTAATACTCCACGGCGCGACGCGTTGAAATCCACGTGGAATATCCGATAATTTCTCGTCATCCGGTTTGACGGCAGCCTCTTTCAATAATCGCGAAGTTTCTTCGAGTTGTGCCACAAAATTCTCGTCGAGTTCCGAATCGAAGAGTTCTTCGGCGACGTCGCGCAAGCCAATCGCAAGGAAACGCAACGTTTTTCCGTCTTGCGTACATGCTGGATTGTATTCTAGAGCGTTGGCGGTGATTTGGCGAATATCGTCGAGGAATTGATCGGCATGGATGTATTTTTTACTGGAAGAATTTCGAAGATTTTTGGATCCAAAGTTTTTTGTGGCCCTGTAGGCCAGATTTTTTTGGACTTTAAATTTTTTTAGGCTTAAATTTTCAGGCTTAAATTTTCTGAGGCCTAATTTTCTCTGAAACTTTTCCCGTTCTAGGATTTTCAGACAGCCTAAATTCAGATCTTAGGCCTATTTTACACTAAAAATCCACCCAGATTCAATTTATCACCGGAAATCCAGAATTTTAATTAAAAATGCTTCAGGGCTCAAAAATCATTCAGAATCAGATGCAAATTGAACATTTTTGACTGAAAATCAACTCTGGAACTTGAAATGTCGAAAATTTACACTATAATATTTCTAAACCTCAATTTTCATCAAAATTTTGAATTTTCATATGAAAATCAAGCCCGGAATCTGAAATTCCAATATTTAACACTAAAAATCCTCCCAGGTTCAATTTCTCATTGAAAAAAAAATAAATTTCATTAAAAAATGCTCAAGTGCTGAAATCTCAACCCAACTATTCAGGTCCATTTTCAGCCCAAAAATCCACTTTTCCAGACCAATTTCCCTCCCAAAAATCGGCCGACTAACTTATCCAATTTATCCATCATATCCGTCAAACACATCGGCTTTTCAATAATCTCATAATAATCGGCCGCATCTTCAACATCAACCGGCATCACAAAATCCAAAAATCGTCGATCTCTCATCAATCGATTTAGGCGATCTCTCAAAAATATGCGCAATTGTCGCAACGCACTCAGGTACATTTTTTCGAGCTCACGAGCTTCTGCTTCTGATATTTTGCGCGGTGCCGCCGCTTGCGTTTCGGCAGTCACAATTTCGGGTTTATCGTATTGCGATTCGTCGAAAATCACGGGCGGTTCGTAGCATTTTTCGAGCACATGGTCGAAATATTTCTGACGCAAGATACGTTTTATGGGCAACATTTTGACGCAATTCGCTTGGCGGAACAGATCTTTCACGTATTCTGATGCATCGTCTGGAAAAACAATGGGTTTTTTGGGGGACTTTTGAAACTTTGAGGAGGCTTTGGAATTTTTTATTGTGTTTTTTTTTCTGAAAACTTGCTATCTCATTTCAAAAAATAGGTGTAGCCTATTTTATTTGCAATTTTGCGGCACGGTTTTTTTAAATCTAGAAATTGACTCCATCTAGTCTAATTCAGGCTCAAAATACTCCAAAAAATGAGTGTGGCCTATTTTATTTGCAATTTTGCGGTACAGGAATTGTTTTCAACCATATTCAGGCTCAAAATGCTCCAAATTTCCCGGCTCAAAAACCAAGACACTCACCAATCGACGAATCCAAGCTAGCCAGCAACAAAATCGGCGTATATCCAGTCAAACCATCAACACATGTGACCAACATATGTTGTACTGAAACCGGCACAACTTGAAGCCATTCATCAATCGAAGGCAAAAGCAGAATGGCGGGACCAGTTGAGGCGGCACGAATTGCACTTTGAATAATATTCGAGAATGATTCTTCAGGTCGTCCATCGGATAACAGGCTTGAAACAGACAATGAGAATACGGGAAGATGGTCGAGTTTGGATAAAATGGCTGGGAGAACATATGAAGTTTGTCCACCATCTGCTAGGCCTATAGTTCCTGTGAGAAGCAATCTAGTTGCAGGAACAACTGGGCCCGGATCTAAGGCTCGCACAACTTTCTCCAACTCTGATCTGGCCTTTGAAAAGCCGTCAGAAGCCCCATTCCGATATCCCGATGGAATTCTCATTGTCAAAATCGCATCAACCGCATCACCAATCAAAATTCTCGTTCGAGTTTCAAGTGGTCTCGATGGTATTGCAAGGTCACGCCGTGAAGCGGGTGTGATTCGTCGCATCGCTTTTCGAAAATGTTCGGTGGTGACTTTGATCGAATCGACATCGAGTCGCAACTTCTCAGATTGCATATAGATGTGTGGGTAGCGAGTTCGGAGGGCGATGAGAACCGCTTCGGTGCACAGGAATTTGAGATCTGCTCCGCAATATCCGGAAGTTTGCTCGGCGATTGATTCGATGGTTTCGGCTGATGGTTTGTTGTTGTTCCATTTCGAAGTGTGGATGTCGAGGATTTGATGTCTGAAAAACAGATTTTATATTTTCCAGCCAAAAATCAATTCTTGGCTAAATTTTCCAACAAATTTTTTGTCAAAAAATAGTCAGAATTTTTTATAGAAAAATCAGTTCGATCGAAATTCTCCTCACCTCGCCGTCAAATCGGGCAACGAAAATCGCAATTCTCTATCAAATCGTCCAGGTCTTCTCAAAGCCGGATCCAAAGTGTCCAATCGATTCGTGGCTCCAATCACAACAACTTCACCTCTTCCATCCAATCCATCCATCAACGCCAAAAGTGTGCTAACAATACTGGCATGAATCTGATCTTGTTTAGATGATCGAACTGGTGCTAATCCATCGATTTCGTCGAAAAATATGATAGAAGGACGCATCGCATAGGCTTGATCGAATAACAGCCTCAATTGCCGTTCACTTTCTCCAACCCATTTGCTTAAACAATCCGCACCTTTGCGCATGAAAAACGCAACTTTGCTTGCGCCTTTGCGGCATTCATTTGCAAGTGCGCGTGCGACAAGTGTTTTTCCGCACCCCGGCGGCCCGTAGAATACAACACCTTTTGGTGGATTCAAGTTGAATTTCTCGAAAACTTCTGGGTAGAGCATTGGGAAGAGCACAACTTCTTTGAGCGATTGAATGTGATGCGAGAGGCCTGAATAATTCAAAAAAATCGATAATTTTCTTTTCAGAATCTCTCCTTACCTCCAACAGTTTCAAATGTCACAGTCTCATCAATACTCATCGGATCAATATCACTCGATCCCTGTCCGCCACCAGTTTTCCGCATTCGCTCCTTCAACGTCCGTTCGACCGCACTCAACTCCTTTTCATTCATATTAATCGGCATGAAGCGACTGCGATCGCGACTTGAACTCGCTGCACCGCCGCCACCGCGACGCGATGAATCACGTCGTGGATAATCTTCGCCAGAAGTGTCGGAAGAAGAGGAGCGACGTGCGCGTCGCGATGGACGACGCGTCGATCCACGTGGCGCTGATGGTGGTGGCTCGCGACGTTGTCGCAATTGTCGCACTTGTTCTTGTCGAAAGGTTACGGTGGGGCGACGTTGTCGCAGGCTGTATTGACGCGGTTGTGGATCACTTTCACTTGATGTACTCGATGATTCTTCCTGCAAACAATTTTTCTGATCAAAATCTAGATTTTTGGCTTGATTCCAGCTTAAAATTTCGCCACGTGGATTTAGAAAAATTCCAGCTTCAAATTTTGCCACGTGGATTTTCTGTCAGAAAAAACCCCGCTTCAAATTTTTCCACGTGGATTTTCTACACTGCTCCACAAAAAGATAACCTCACCCCTCATTTTTCAAAAAAAGCGAAAATTAGAATTTTTTGAAAAAAGTTTGTTTTTGAAAAACATGTCGAATTCGGATACTAATTCATCCCTGAAAACAAATTTCAGATTTGGTAAGCGCTGAAAAAAAAACTGAGAATTTTCAAAAAAAGCCGATTTGCCAATCCACATAATGATAACCTCACCCCATGTTTTTTGACGAATTCGGACTTTTTAGTCGGAGTTAGTCACCCAAAATGTGTTAATGTGAGGTTGGTGAGTTTTTAATCTTTAAAAAACCCAGTTCCACGTTTCCAACAAGTTGTGAGCATCTGATTTGGAGCATTGCGATGGAAAGAGCATTTTTCAAACATTTTATACAGATTTTGCTATTTTTTCATTTTTTTTTCAATGTTTGACGTTCAAGACGATCCAAATGATCTTTTTTAAGCTCATTATGTGAAAAAAATTGGAAAAAATTGAAAAAAAAAGGAGAAAAAATCGAGATGCGAATTTTGAATTTCGCGCCGATTGAATATTTGGAGCACCCACGACGTAAACTTTTGAAAATTACTGTTTTTTTTTGTTTTTCAAATTGTTTTCTAATGATTAATACTTTTCTAACATCCCACATCAAATTTTCAGCCGAAATGCCGCGAGGAAAGCCTCTTTCTGATTTTGAAAAAGTGCAAATTACAGTCAAAAAAGATCAACGACTTTCAAATCGACAAATCGCAAGAGATTTAGGCCGTAGTCCACGAGTTATCAATAATTATGTTAACGATCCGCGAAATTATGGCACCGGAAAATGTCCTGGTCGTCTGAGCTTGCGATTTGTCGATTTGAAAGTCGTTGATCTTTTTTGACTGTAATTTGCACTTTTTCAAAATCAGAAAGAGGCTTTCCTCGCGGCATTTCGGCTGAAAATTTGATGTGGGATGTTAGAAAAGTATTAATCATTAGAAAACAATTTGAAAAACAAAAAAAAACAGTAATTTTCAAAAGTTTACGTCGTGGGTGCTCCAAATATTCAATCGGCGCGAAATTCAAAATTCGCATCTCGATTTTTTTCTCCTTTTTTTTCAATTTTTTCCAATTTTTTTTCACATAATGAGCTTAAAAAAGATCATTTGGATCGTCTTGAACGTCAAACATTGAAAAAAAAATGAAAAAATAGCAAAATCTGTATAAAATGTTTGAAAAATGCTCTTTCCATCGCAATGCTCCAAATCAGATGCTCACAACTTGTTGGAAACGTGGAACTGGGTTTTTTAAAGATTAAAAACTCACCAACCTCACATTAACACATTTTGGGTGACTAACTCCGACTAAAAAGTCCGAATTCGTCAAAAAACATGGGGTGAGGTTATCATTATGTGGATTGGCAAATCGGCTTTTTGAAAATTCTCAATTTTTTTCAGCGCTTACCAAATCTGAAATTTGTTTTCAGGGATGAATTAGTATCCGAATTCGACATGTTTTTCAAAAACAAACTTTTTTCAAAAAATTCTAATTTTCGCTTTTTTTGAAAAATGAGGGGTGAGGTTATCTTTTTGTGGAGCAGTGTAGCTTCAAAATAGTACCTTTCGGCTCAAATTTCTCGAAGACAAAATTTTTAGAAATGATTGAAGAAAATTTACGTGAAAAAAAAACAATTTTTTTTCGCGTGACCTTTTTTTGCCAACAGAAAAAATCACGTGTATAAAAGCAACAAAAACAATACGATCGTCAGTTTCTAGCGATTCAGCAACAAGAAGCAGTTGGCCAGTCAAATTCGAATTCATTGGAACATGTTGAGCACACTTTCGTTTAAAAATTCGAGCAAACATGGAAGTAAGAGTAGTGTGAAGGCCGAGAGCACTGTTGATCAGAAAAAAGAGGAGAAGATCAAGGACGCCGAATATTATGCTCGTAAAAAAGCGAGAAGAGAGAAAAGAGCCGAAGAGAAAGCGTTGCGAGAATGGAATCTCATCGCGTTTGCCGAGAATCATTTTCGTGTTGTAGCAACTGCGAATAAGAAACTTGTGAGTGAACAAACACATTTCTCGATTAGAAAACGACAATTTCACAGATTGTGTACAAAAAATACATATTATTCATTCTTTGCCAACAAGCGAAAGAGCAATTCATGAAGGATCAGATGTTGGTCGAAGTGAATGCGCCGTGCACAATTGTCGGCGATCTTCACGGCCAATTCCAAGATCTAATTCGTATTCTGAATCATGGCTCGAAGGTAAAACCCGACTTCGCGGATGCCAATAAACGAGACTTGGCATTCTTGCACAATAACTATGTCTTCTTGGGAGACTATGTGGATCGAGGACAAAATTCGCTCGAGGTCATTTGCACCTTGTTCAGCTTGAAGCTTCTTTATCCCAACCGATTCATCCTATTGCGCGGCAATCATGAAACTCTTACTGTCAACAACACATACGGTTTTAAACACGAACTTATCAATCGACTCGGCGATGAAGGTAAATTTGACAGTTTTTTGCCAAAAACTGCTGTTCAGAATGGATTTATACTTTTTTTAATGAGACATATATGTTTCTGTACGAATTTTTACGCTGAAAAATATCATGTTTTCAATTTTTGCTGAGCGGATCTCTGAAGATCCCGAAAAAAAAACATCGCGCTGTATTTAATTGTTGTTAATATCCTCTCTAACATGTGTTACGGGCTCTTCATAGAGAGCCGCTCAGCAAAAATTGAGAACATGATATTTTTCAGCGTGAAAATTCGTACAGAAACATATGTCTCATTGAAAATCTCCGGGGATTCATAACCCACTTCAACCGATTTGATATAACTCATCTTACAGACGGTTTTGAAGTGTGGCGCCGATTCAACGATTGTTTTGCATGTATGCCACTCGCTGCTAACGTTGGAGGAAAGATCTTATGCATGCATGGTGGCATTTCAGACAAAATGGAATCGTTGAATGATATTAATAAAGTATGTTCTTTTGAAATCTATCATTGTTCCTACAATCAGATTCAATTTTGCAGATTCCACGACCATTTACCGATCCCAAACCCGAAACACTTGCCGAAGATTTGCTTTGGAGTGATCCAGTGGATGCAAGCAGTATTCATGTGGTTGGAAAAACTGCGACTTTTATGACCAACAAAGTTCGCGGAGTTTCAGTTGCCTTCAATGAGCAAGCTGTATTGGATTTCTTGAAAAAGTATAAACTCGAGTTGATTGTCAGAGCCCATCAAGTTCAGCCGTATGGATATCAATTTTTTGCGGGCGGCAAAATGATCACCATTTTCAGCGCGCCCAATTATTTGGAAAATGTGAGTGATTTTCAGCTCGTCGAAAAATGACAAAAATCATTTCAGAACATTGGAGCGTTCCTAACTGTCACCAAAAGCGGCGCAGTCGAAATCCATCAACTCAAGTTTGTTGAACCGAAAGAGTATGAGCAAGAAGTTGGAAGAAAAAATGAGAAAAGCAGAGGGAGCAAAAGTACAAGCTCAACGTCAAGCTCAACAAGCAAAAGTAGCAATGCCCGTGGTGGACGTGGGAATGGACAAAAGAAAAAGAAGCGCGCAAAAAGCGAGCATATTGACGAGTCCTACAAACACTAGGTTTTTTAAAACTATTCTTACTATTTGAATTTCATTTTTCTGATTTCTGTGTCAACTTTTGGAATAAACCGCTTACATCTTTAACTTCTTCGTCATCATCATCATCCTCTTCTTCTTCTTCATTCCCTTCCAAACCATCGCCTTTCTCGTCATTTGCCACGTCATCGCCCTCTTTCTTTTCCCCCTCTTCTTTCGCATCGTCATCTTCAATGTGTTTATTTCGACGTGAACTTCGACGAACCGGTGAATCGTGCTCTTTTTCGACTGAAATTTAGATTTTAAAAGAGTATGTTTTGGAGCCGTGTCACCTTCATCCGGTTCATTCGATTTCGACATGCGACGCGAAGTTCGTCGCGATGAAATCGTTGGAATCTGAACATCCATTTCCTCATCATCTGGAATGTCTGCCGCGTTTTCCGCGGCATCATCTTCCGCCTCGTCATCAATCACTATACGTTTTCGCTTGCGACTTGGCGGCGCCGCGGTGGCTGCCAGTGATGCCGCACTTGCCGGACGCTCCCGTTCCTTGTGAACACGTTTCGATTCGTTGATGGCCAACATCATTTGTTGGCGAGTGGTTAACCTGAGCAATTTTTTTTGTTAAATTTTTCAAAACATTCCTTACCTATCTGATCTTCTTGTTCCAATATCTTCATCGTCTTCTAAATAATCTCCATAATCCTCTTCATAATATCGATTTTTGATAACTCTACCCGAACGTGAACGATGGTTCTGCAAAAAATTAGGATTTTTCAGCTCCTGGACTCAAAACGTAGCGAATAGTTGCTGTAGAAGCAGATTTACCATCTCCAAACCCCAAAAATTTACCCAATTTCCGCTAGACCTCGAACTTCTTCTCCTTCCATACCCGTCTTCTTCCTCCAAATAATCATCCAGCTCATTTTCTTGAAAACTGGAATAAAGTGTCGTTCGGTCGCGACACGATCTTCGCAAGTTTTTGTGCGGCGAAAAATTTTCGCCTCGAGGCATGCGATCCTGGAAAAAATGTGGATTTTGAATTGCAGAAAAATAATTCGACAAATTTACTTGAATATAATGAAAATCTATATTTTCCAGCTGAAAATACGAATTCCCTTGGCGAAATAAATTAATTGAATAAACCAAAACAAATTGAGACCTATAATTTTCTTTAGCTCAGGTATTTCTTTTTTAAAAAATTCGAAAATCCTACAAATATCCAATTTTTGTCAAAAACCAAGAACTCTATCGCGAAAAATTTATACTTTTCAATTAAAAACCTAAAATTCCAGGAGAAACCTGGGAAAATATAAAAAATAATATTTTTTCACAAAAAATTCGAAAGTCCTATAAAAACCCAGATTTTCGCAGGAGCCCATGGTTTTCTCTGGATTTCCTAGCTCAAAAATTTCTGAAATTTCATAATTTCCCACTGAAAAACACGAAATCCCCAAGCAAAACCCCGAAAAACCCGAAAAAGCCAAGGAAACCAACAAAAATCGGCGCGCACGCGTTATTTCTTAATGCACCAAGTGCGCTCCACCGCACACATCCAACAGGCGGCAATTCAAATGTGTGTGTTTTTTAAATTCGTTTTTTTTTCAGAAGGGTTTGACCGCGTTAGGTTCACTTTGAGACGATTTGAAATATATCATTTGAATCGTCTCGTCGAGCTTAACATGGTGGTCTACTGTTTTTTTAGAATGGGATGTGATTTGTCAAGTTTTTTTTTTCGATCAGCAATTGTTGTTCATTAATTTTTTTTTAATTATTTTTTCATCGTTGAATGTTGTTCAAAATTCTCAAATTCTCCAATTAGATCATTTGAATCATTCCAATCAAATTTCGAAGTTTTAGCTCAATTCTGACTGAATTTCCGATGTTTCTCTAGATCTTTGATCACATCAAAATTGACAGTAGTTTTCAGGAAAATTGAGTTTTTTTGTCAGGAGAATCATTTTATTTCTAATTTCGCGCAACCGGAATTTTCCCCTCAACTATTTTCCACCGCCAAAGGGCCATAGTAATTATGAGAACCGGATACAATTTATGGTCTGGAGATAGTAAGAGACGCAGAGGCCACTTCCGGGTTACTGTCATAGTAGATTTTTTGGCGCGATGCCAGAGAAAAATCTTGTTTTTCTAGACAGCACAAAAAATCGATTGCCTTGTTTTTGTTTTTTTTGCTGTGTTGTGTTGTGTTGCTTTTTTTTCAAAGGAAAAAACAACATTTTTCTGGCTGTGAGAGGAAAATAAAATATAGACCATGGGAAAATGAGAGAGGCAGATTTATTGGTGGATTTTTTGGTGGAAAGATTTGAAGTGGAGATAAATAGCATAATTTTTCTGAGTCTTTGAAATTCAGATGGAAAAGCGCGTTATGACGTGGCAACTGATTTTCAAACAAGTCTGGAAAGTTTTGGGGCCAAGCTTCAGTGAAGCTGCTTCACCCCAGATTTTCTGGATAAAATTTTCTGAAATTTCGTTTTCGACAAAAGTCTGGAATTATTAATGCTCACTAATTTTATCACAGTTCCTGATGAAAAAAAATGAGCAGGCCCGAAATTTCTGTGCCTAAATCCCTATAAGAGTTGATCTAGAAATTTTTCTGACAAAAAATTCACCGGAGCCTATCATCTAACATTCTTGCTCTAAGGTTTTCTCAACAATTTTTTTGAGATGAAAACTTGTGGATCAATTCATCTGACAGAAAATGTCACGAAATTCTGCCAAATTTATTTTCAAAAAAAAAATTAGATCAAAAGTTTAATTTCCGCTTCAAAATTTTCCATATGAAATCCAAGTGTTTTGCAAAGTCATAGGTCACACCAAAAATGGTAAACTGTGTTGTTTACATCCCCTAATTACACCCCCCCCCCTAATTCAAGGGGGAGCGGGATTGGGTAATTAATTACCCAGTCCCCTCCCCCATCCAATTTTCCACCTCACATGATCCTTTGTCCTTTTTCTCACTATTCTTTCTCCAAAAACATATTATATACATAAATAAATAAATGTCTAAGTAATCGAATCCTCTTCTCAACCCTAATATTTGTTTATTTCTCCCTTCCCGCTCCAAAAATATACAACAACCACAGAAAACTATGTACATTTTCAAAAATTCGTCCCCTCCCTCTTCTTCCCAATTTTTCACGTGACACACTAGCATTGTTTACTCCCTCCTCCCAATTCTATTGAACAGCTGGAGCTCCGCCCACTTTTTGGCAGCCAGCCAAAAAGGGGGCGGAGCTTGTGTGTGTGTGATGTAAAATAAAATAGAAAAGAAAAAGTCAGTCACAACAACAAAAACAACGTACCAAACATGCCAGCCGTTGCCGCCAAAAAATCCAAAATTTCCAAGTCGCCAAAGACACCAAAGGTGAAAAAGGTGAGTATAACTATTATATTATTTTATAGGCTTAGTCTTAGGGGGGGTAATTAGGGTTAAGCTTAAAATTAGGGGGTTTTGGGGAGTTGTAATTTTTCGGGATTTTTTAGAACCTTAACTCTTACGAACCTTGACTCTTTCGTTAGCTTTAGGGAACTTATCTAGTTTTTTTGGCTAGGTTAGGGTCTCATAGGAATTTATGAGATCTAATTAAGGCTTGAGGAACAATGTAAAGTTAAAGTTTTTCAAAAGAAAAACTTTATGTAACATGAGCAATGATTTTATGATTTTGAGGTTCAATAAATTCAGGATTTTTGGATTAATATGAGCAATTCTCTTGGATGTATACTAGGTTTTTGAATAGTTTTGAAGACTAGACAATTCTATAAAGCTCTTCGATTTAAGAATTTAAAATTGCGGAAATCTTGAGCCTGAAAAGCCCAAACTCAGGTCCACTTCCAATCTTAAACAAAACGTTTTCCAGGCTTCACCAAAGAAGGCCGCACCAAAGAAGGCTGCACCAAAGAAGGCCGCTCCAGTCAAAAAGGCCGCTCCAGCTAAAAAAGCGGCCCCGAAGAAGAAGGCCTCTCCAGCCAAAAAATCGCCAGCCAAAAAAGCAGCACCAAAAAAGAAGTAAACACAATAAGATTCTCGAAATTCCTTGATCTACACTACCTTATGATAAACTCAGTGAAGCTTTATTCCAGCATTTTTTTTGTAATTTTTTCGTCGATAATGTAAATAGATGAAATTTTTGTGTAAATTTTGAATAATAATAAATGTTTCTCTGCGTCTCCACTCCATCTCTGCCTCATTAAAACGCTTGCTGCGCGCGCTGCACGATTTCTCCCTCTTTTCAATATTCACACGACGAGAGAATCGAGACGCAGACATATTTTGGTCATGTGACTGAGTGCTACGCACTTTTGAATAATATAATCTATACATTTTTCAAGGAAAAGGGCAGAAGCTAGATACAAAAAAATGCAAAAAATGAAAAAAAATTTCTCCCCGGCCGGGAATTGAACCCGGGTCTCGCATGTGACAGACGCGGATACTCACCACTATACTACCGAGGACACATTTTTCGCACTCGAAATTTGCCAACATATTTTCGATGTTGATTTTTCGATTTCCTTGATTTTTTGAAGCCTACGTGACTTTTGTGAAAATACAATTTGACCCCAAACAACTAGACTCTATATAAAAAGGAAAGGAGGAGGTATAGGAAAAACGTGTTTTCTCACACACAACACAAAAAATGTCTAAAAATCTGATTTTTCGCCAACTTATCGATTTTGAAAGTTTCACCTATACTTATATTTTGGGTTGCGCTAAAACTCGAAATGCTGTGATTATTGATCCGGTTTTTGAACAAGCGAAAAGGGATGCTAAGGTTAGTTTTGGTTCAAGACATGGTGATCATTATGGGGTGTTTCTGTGGTGCACGAGAAATGCGCCAGCAATCTACTTATTGCTGACGCAATTTCTGTACCTAGGCATATTTGGTGTCAAAATGATCAGCAAAATATTTCCAGCTCGCCAAAGAACTCGACCTAAACTTGATCTACGGCCTGAACACCCACGTTCACGCTGATCACATCACCGGAACTTCGAAACTCAAGGAATTTTTTCCGGCGATGAAATCTGGGCTGTCGGGAAAATCGGGTGGTGTAGCCGACAAGCTGTTGAAGCAGGGAGATTTGCTGCAAATCGGGGATATCGAGCTGGAAGTTGCTGAAACTCCAGGACACACTGATGGTGAGTAATGCACGAGAAATGCGTCAGCATTCACTAAATGTAATGCTGGCGCATTTGTGGTAGTTGACCAAAAATAGTGATATTTGGGCTTAAAATGATGGGTATACCCTGTAGATCAATTTCCAGGCTGTCTCACATTCATATCTCACCAACTTCGCGCCGCATTCACCGGCGACGCGCTTCTCATCCGCGGCTGTGGTCGAACCGACTTCCAACAAGGATCTTCTCGCGCTCTATATCAAAGTGTGCATCAGAAAATTTTGGATGTTCTCCCAGAAGACTACCGTATCCTTGTAGGTCATAATTATGAGGGAATTCTAGAGAGTACGGTAGGCGAGGAGATCAAATTCAACCCGAGAATTATGAAGAGCGAAGAGGAATTTGTGAAAATTATGAGCGAACTCAAATTAGCGCATCCTAAACAAATTCGTGAGTGTTTTTTTCCTTTTTTGGAACTTTGACAGAAAAAATTATTTTTTCAGAACAAGCGCTTCCCGCCAATTTGAAAGATGGTGATATTTAAGTGTATTTTTGTAGATAAAGATTTTTCAACTACCAAAAATGCGCCAGTGTTTTTTCTCGAAAATTAATGCTGACGCGTTTTTCGTGCTGGCGCATTTAACAACAAATAAAGTCTTTTCATAGTAATGATTGATACAGTAGGCAAAGCAAAATTAAAGTGTTTCTCCTCCAGTTGAAGTAGTGGGGGCTACTGTAGATTGTACAGTACTCGAGCCATCAGCAGCTACAGTACTCGATCCAGCTGCAGTACTCGATCCAACTGTAGTGCTTCCACCAGTTTCTGTAGAATCAGTTGCGCCGGTTGCAGTACTTCCACCGGTTACAGTACTTCCCCCAGTTGCAGTGCTCTGGGCTACTGTAGTGGTGAAAAGTACGGTAGTTGGTGCACAAGTTGGTTGAATTGTTGGTGGTGTTGGTGTATCCCAAGTTGACGAATCTGGTGTGTCACATTTTTGAGGGCTTGTCGAAGATTTCACACATTCACAAGCATAACATGAGTCAAAGCAGGAATTTCTGCAAAAATTTTTTTTCAATCTACCTAGAATCTTCTCTTGAACTCACACGTAGCAAACACCATATGGTGTAGTCGAAGTTCCACCGCAAGTTCGATTTTGTTTGGTTTTGCATGGATTGACGGGTTCTGGAAATGCGCAATGATTTTGAGACCAAACATGCCTACTAAAAATACGCCAGCAAACCCCTTGGCGCATTTCTCGTGTGCTCACCTTCACAAACTGTTCCAGTCCACGCGCAAGCTTGACACTGACAGAATTGCTGTCCGGATTGTGAGACTTGACAAGTTCCACCATTTTGACAGACCAAATCGCAAGTGGCGGTTTCAAGGTAGGAAATCGAGAAGGCGATTGAGGAATAGGCATCGGCGAAATATTTGATGGTTGCACTGGTTGTCACATTTATCGAAGTGGGAGAGGTGGTTGATTGATTAAAACTGGAAAATTCGAGATCAGGAACATTTTGAGTATAAATATGGAGTGCTTCTATGATGCACTAGAAATGCGCCAGCACTTAAAATGCGTCAATAAAGACATAGTCAAGTAAACTAGATTTTTTTGGTATCAAAATTATCGTCATAAGGCTCTAGGATGCACCGAAAACACGTCAGCACCCTTCCTGGTCATGTTTGGACTCAAAATGATCCCCATAACTTTACGAACACAACTTACAGTGTAGTAATTCCAGTTCGAGTTTCAGTCACAGTCAAATATCCATTTCCAGTGATTGTGACAGAAACATTGAGAGCCAATGAATTTGTTGAAACACCAGTAACAATGACAAATGAGCAATCAGTGTTCTGAACGAACAGAGAAGCTTAGTTGATTTTGCAATCTGATTTTGTAAAACTTACGTAAGTTGCGTCAAGGTTAACGCTTCCAGCAGTATCCAGAACAGATGTCAAATTTCCTAGCGAACACGCTGTCGCAGGTTGCGTTGTTCCAGGAGTTGTAGGAATTGCGGTAGTCGGAACATCTGTGACGCAACTCGATTCCGCAAAGCAAGTGAATGTTCCGGAAGCCGCAGAAATTCGCGCATCAACTGCGGCTTGTTGCGTTTGAAGTGAGGCGAGTTGCGCGATGTTTGATTGAAGAGTTGAATTGGAGGCGGTGAGATTGGCAGAAATTGAAGCGAGTTGGGGGAAAAACGGGGAGTTTTGGGGGTCGGTGTCTTTTTGAGCTTGGATGAGTTGAGCGTTGAGACTGGAAAAATCGATGAGGGGTACTGTAGGGTACTGTAGATCAGATCTTATTTTGAGTTTTTCTAGGAAAGCTTGTGAATTTTTCATTTTTCAAGCAAAGGTATCTGAGTTACAGTATATTTTTTCAGTACTGTAGATTACTGTAGATCAGAAACTCTCAATTCTAATGAATATTAGAATGTTTTTTTCAGGGAAAAAGGACTTTTTTAGATTACTGTAGCTCAAAAACCCGAGATAGGTTACTGTAAACTTGAAAAAGCCTGAGAAATCCAAGTTTTGAGTTACTGTAGATAGACATGACCTAGGATAGGTTACTATACACCATGAAAATCTGAAGTTTCTCAGATTACTGTAGCTGCAAATTTCATAGGTTAAGTTAAATCAAAAAATCTCTGAAACATTCAATTTTCCCGTAGATCAAACTTTGGCGCCTAAAATTTGGGAAAATTTAGCTTCAAGTTACTGTATTCGTTTTTGACGCAAGTTCAAAATTTTGGAGAGAAAAAAGCCTGGAACTTTTTTTGCGCTCGGGAACTTTGTTCCACTCAAACATTACCCAAAATCCCACTTTCCAGGGCTATTTTACCCGTAGATCCCAAACATCCCCTTCCAAACTCACCTCGCAATCTGATTATTGAGCAAAGTTGCTTGTTGCAAAATCAATTGAGCATCTTTATAGGTCGCATCATTGCTCACTTGGAAAGTTGAGAGAATCAAAGGCTCAGTGGTTGGTGCTACAGTACTCTCAGCTACCGTACTTCCTCCGCTTGCTGTAGATCCTCCGGTTACTGTTGATCCAGGAGAAACTGTTGATCCACCAGTTTGCCCGGTTATAGTACTTCCTGGAGCAATTGTAGTTTGACCAGTTTGTCCGGCCACAGTGCTCACAACTACTGTAGTAGAGTCTGATGAAGCTACAGTACTTGAGACAGCTACCGTACTACTTGAACCTTGACAAAAACGAGGCACCAATAAAAGTGCCAATAAAAATTGGAATCTCATTTTTAAAACTTTTTTCTCCCAAAAAAGTCAAAATTTTGGTCGGTAGCTAATAAATCACTCAAAATGGCACAAAACTTTGATGATAAGACGGAAAATGGGAAAATTTCGGGGGCTTATCAGCTACAGTAGCTGGGGGGAAAAAGGGTGGCATCAGAAATATATTAATATTCCAAGTGCTACTGATAAAACAATGTCGAAACGGTTTTCAAATGACGTGGAAAAAATTCCTTTTGTTCTTTTTGATTTTTGTGTACGAGAAATGCGTCAGCACGCGAAATGCGTCAGCAGTTATCTATCGATTGTTGTGAATTCAAATTTTCCACAAAAAATGAATCATTTTGACATCAAACACGGCATTTTTTTTTGCAAATTCACTAAAAAATGCGCCAGCACCGCAAATGCGTCAAGAAATGCTTGGAAACTCACATATTTTTGATCTTCATGGTTTTGCGATTATTTTGAGACCCATATTGCTATACTTTCAGATTGCACTAGAAATGCGTCAGCACTGGAAAGGCGTCAACTAAGAATGTGGCTGGCGCATTTTTGTGCATTATCGAGAAGGGAGCCCATTCGAATCGCCAATGAATAACTTCGCGCAATTTTCAACAAGCCGAAACTCAACACTGACGCATTTTCAGTGCTGGCGCAAACTTTTAGCTATTCAAATACACACAATAAACAGTACAACAAAAAAGCCAATAAAAAAGTGAAAGCTGATCAAATAAAATGACCAAAAAATCCATATTTTCACCGCAAAAAACTGTGTGGCCATGAAAAAAGTGATGCAAATATTTTTGATCTACTTTCTACTGGAATTTTCGCGGGCTCAATTTTTCCTATGTGGCTCTTCGCCAAATCAATACTATTCTGAGCAAGGTGAGAAGCCAGGAAGCCTAGGCCTAGGCCCAAAAAGCCCCGAATTTTCCAGAATGTCCATCAAATCTGAAAACGTGTCCAAATGGCGGGCTGTCGCTAAACGTGGGTTGCCAACAGGATTTTCAATGTACACCCTACTCCACTCAAAGTGGTGCCACGTGTATTAACGGAATTTGTTGCACCAACAGAAATAGTACTGTACCTGCTACAGTACCTACAGTCCCAACTCAAAAAGAATTTGGAATCTGTCCGTCGGGCCAATTATCAGAGGTCAAATGTGGCGGGGCCAATTTGGTAGCATGTGCGATGGGGCAGATTTGCACAAATGGATTGTGCTGCACAAAAACGGGAAATGAGTGGAATTGTAAGTTTTTTAGGGGGTACTGTAGTGGGTTACTGTAGAAAAGTTTCCAACCTGTCCCTTGCTCTCAGGTACTGTAGTTCAATTTGCAAATTGAAAATATTCCCAAAAACTTCAGTGAAATATTATCCCAAAAACCTACTGTACCTTTAAAAATCCTATATTTTCTCACGAAAAATATTACTCTGGATTACTGTACACTCGAAAGTCTACAGTAACCTTTCAAATTCTTCAATTTTCCAGCCGCCTGTGGTGGTCTCGCCGCGCTCTCCTCGTGTAACTCTCTCGGACAATGTGCCACCGGTAGTGTCTGTGTCTCCTCGAATTACTGCTGTGAATGTCAAATCGGTCAATCCTACGGAACTTGCGCCAACTCAACAGGCGGTTCTTGTCCACGTGGATTCCAATGCAATTTTTCAACCGGATTCTGTTGTCCGCCAACACGGTGTGCTAATGGTGAAATGCCGCTTGGCGCATGCTCTTTGGATGGAAAATGTGGAGGTGGAAAAATGTGCCAACCTGGAAATATTTGTTGTTGAGCGGGCTGTGAATGAATTTTCGGCATTTTCCCCAGTTTTTTCTCAATTCCAAATTATTTTCCACGTCATTTTTTAATCTCATAAGATGATACTTTTTGGATTTAATTAAAATAGTTTCGTTTTGCAAACAAACAAAAAAAGTTAATTTTGGCTTTCGGCAAACTTTTTGGGTTACTGTAGGCGGATTATTTGAACTTTCTGAGAAATTCTGAGAAAAAAATTCAAAAGTTTTGGAAATTCAATTTTTTTCAAACAATGAAAGCTCCCAAAACCCGAATTTCCAATTATTCTAGAAGCCCAAAAGCCTAGAAGTTCAGAAGATTGAACCTAGAAGCCGAAATCTAGAAGCCCAGGCCTAGAAGCCTGAGCCTAGAAGCTTATTACTCCAATGCTTTTCTGAGCATTCCTAGTCATGTCTCTGCTCCGTGAAATTTGTGCTCAAAAAGTCCCAAAAATTTCCGAGGTCACAAATTTCCAGAAACCAAAGTCCAGAAGCTCCTGGAATCTATTAAGCCTGGAAGCCAAGTCAATCTTCATTTGGTCAATTTTGGCTCAAAAAATGCCCAATTTTCCAGCTCAAAAAGCTCACATCATAAATCTCTCAGCGCCGCCGAAAACTCCAGAAAAGTCATTTTTAATTTCCAATCCTCTTCATCATGTGTGTGCAATAAAGAATTTCTTCGCCGCTTTCTTTTTTTCCTTCGTTGTGCCTGGCTTTTTTCAGCAAGGCTCGGCTTTTTATCGATTTTTCTCGTGTTGTGTTTTTTTTGGTTCTTTTGCGCTCTCTAGCGCCCCTCCCCTTTTCTATTCTTTATAAGGAACATTTTAAGATTTCGCGCTGAAAATGGAGTCTGAAATTGATAGTGCCGCATTTTTATTACACGGTATGCATTTAGCGGTGTGCACAAGTGCGTTTCTCACTAATTTATTGCTATTATATTTGCTAACTCGATTTACCGGTGAGTTAGACAGTTTTTTTTTCGATTTTTGCAAAAATTTCCAGAAAAAATTATATCAAAATTTAATTTCAGTATTCCACCATCACATGAAAATCATAATGATAAATTTGACACTTTCGGTAAATGCCGCAGTGTTTTATTTGCTCATTAGATCTACAATTGGATTGGTGCAAATTTGGCGAAAAACTGAGAATGATGAAAAATATTATGAGGTGAGACTCGGATTTTTAATTTTAGAAATTGTTTTGTTTTCCCTAATCCCATCATATTTAGTTTCAAAAAATCCCAAATGTTCCATCCACCTATCACTTATAACACACTTCAGTAATCCAATAATAATTTCCAGCTGCCAATGGACCCGGCGGATTGCGCATTTTCGGAATCCGTTCCTCAAACTCTTTGCGTTCTTTTCTTCATGTTTCCGCTGATTTTGGTCACCGAGCGATGTTATGCTACCCAAAAATTCTGGCAATATGAAAATGAGCATATTCCAGCTGTTTTTGGAGTGGTTTGTGCGGTTTTGGTGAGTTTTTTTTTGAAACGCCAAACTCTGATATGGGAACAATTCTGGATTTTCAGTGGATCCCGACAATTGTCGAAGTTCTCTCGTTTCTTTTCCACCTCTCATTTCCCTCATCTCTTGCAATTTGTCAAATTTCAATGTTGCACAAAACGTTTCTTCAACGAAATATTTGGTTCATTATCGTTTCGACGTTTTGTCTACTTTTTGCAGGACTTTTCAAGTTTTTGGAAATGGTGCGATTTAAGCCAGCCATTTTTCTCAAAAAATTCAATATTTTCAGCAAAACAAGGCTAACGAAGACGACTATGTCAAAAATCACTACTCAACGATTTCGATACGTTTTCAAATTCGTGAAAATATCAAAACTTGCCGATTTGCAGTTAGCCTAAATTCCCTATTTTTTGTCTCATTTCTAGTCTTCTTCCTATTCGATCAGAATAATGGAAGCGATTTGGAAGATAGTGCAATGAGAAGGGTAGGTTTGAATATTTAAGATGAAAATTGATAAACTTGGTGTCAATATCACATTTTTCAGGAATACCTCTTTCTAATTTTTCCTATGTTTGCCCTAATTTACGCGGTCCATTTCATCACATCCCATTCCCAGCTCTTCGACAAAGCCAAAAGAACCCTTCGAAGTCTGATGCCCGGTCAGATCGGACTCAACAAAGAGCAACAAAAGTTTCTACAATCCTAAACGGTCAACAAAAATCAAGAAATATCGATCTCTCCATTTGAAATACGTGTAAAATAAAACTATTTTGAGAAAATCATGGTTTTTTTCAATAAATAGATACCTTTACAAATAAATACACTGTGCAAATAATGATTGTGAACGCTATTTTGTGGGCCAAATCCAAGTTTATGCTTTGGTTCTGATGTAGGAGATGAGATCAACAACTCTGTTCGAATATCCGTATTCATTGTCGTACCTGGAAAATGGATTTTTGGAAGATTTTTAAATGTTATTCCCGCGAAGTTTGTTTTTTTGACCTTTGGGTTACAAAAACCAATTTCAATTATTGATTTAAATTATAACCCGTGATTTATTTCATAACCTATAATTAAAATGAAAAACCTCGCCTTAAAATTTTATATTTTCTAAATGAGAGAAAATTCATAATTCTCTCAGCAATTCCCACAGGAGGTCCCAGAACTTGATAATTGAAAATTTATAGGAAAACAACTGGAGAGATCATTGATGTTTTGAACTTCAAGCTCCAAAAATCTAATTTAATTATAGGTTATATAAAAAATGAAAATCTACTTATTCATAGCCTATAATTAAAATAAATCATGAGAATTTTCATGAAATTTAGCTAACAAGAAGGACTTTTTGATAAAATTTGACAGTAATTTAAAAAAAATAGCACAATCGGTTTGAAAATTACACAATAGTTTTAAAAAATGAAAATAACAAATACACTGTAATTTCCAGATTCATACTGTGAAATCTAACTAAATTTATTCAGAATTGGAATTTTCCAGCCAAACTTCAAACTTGTTTACAGTTTACTTTGCTAATTATAGGTGGCGCTAATTATAGCTTGTGTATTGAAATTTTACATGTTCATAACCTATAATTAGCTAAACAAACAGTGTTTAGCTTCAAAAATTGTCAAATTTTTCATAGGAAAAAAGGTTTTTAGGCATACATAAAATGGGTCCCCAGAATCGGGGTGAGGGGCTTAACTTTTTCAAAAATCTGAAGGGAAGGGTGCCTAACTCGGCCAATTTTCTGCTGATAATTTACCAAAGTTCCCAGATTTGTCCAAAATTCGCTCAAAAATGTGAGGAAGGTGTTTAACTTTGGAAAATTTTCAAGGAGGGACCCTAACTTTGAAAACTGATTCGGGGACCTATTTTATGTATGTTTTTAGGATTTCCTATTTATTTTCAAACGTGAAATTTTGTTTCGAAAGAAAAACACGTTTCAGAGTTTCATTTTTAATTTCACTAAAATTAAAAAACACGTCGATTTTGCTAGTGGATTTTCGAAAAAAAAATGAATTCAAGAGGTATTAGGAAAACACTATCGAGATTGATAATTTTAGAAATTTCTGTAAGTTTTTTTTGTAAAAAAAAATTACCATGAGATCAATTTGACAAAGTTGGCGTTGAGAGAAATCGAAGCATCAGCGTCGAAAATACTCGAATGCGAATCGGTGACAAAATCCGACGAGACAACTTGATCTTCGGTATATCCCAAAATTCCCTTCAATGGTCCTTCAGCAGCCTCCTTCACAACTCGCTTGATTTCCTCCAAAGTGGCTGGCTTCTCAAGTCTCGCTGTCAAATCAACGACCGAAACATCAGGAGTTGGAACACGGAACGCCATTCCGGTCAATTTTCCGTTGAGTTCCGGAATGACTTTTCCAACAGCTTTGGCGGCTCCAGTTGCAGCTGGAATAATGTTTTGCGCGGCTCCACGACCATCACGCCACAATTTTCCAGAAGGTCCGTCAACTGTTTTTTGAGTGGCAGTGACGGCGTGAACAGTTGTCATAAGTCCCTCAATGATTCCTGTAAAAACATTCCTGAAATTTTTCAAAAACAAAAAAAAAGGAATTCGTGAATGGATAAAATCCAAAACAACGTGAACTTTCAAAAACAGAAACGTGCACACAAAAATATCTGAAAATAATTTTGAAAATAAAAAAAATCGCCATAATTTCCATCACTGTCACTATGAACTTCTCAGAATCACTTGTTGTTTGCCATTTACAAGCCTATGTCCCTGACTCTTTAAACCATTACCCATGCCAAAATGTGACCATTTTCAAGGAAATTGGTTCAGATTATGGGTTAGGAATAATGGGCTATAGTTTGTCTATAACTTTGACTTCGGGCTTTTTTAACCTTGGATTGAGACAGTTGCATAGATCGAGGATTTCCACTTCTGACGTTTAAATCTAGAAAATCCCATAATTTCAACCACTGTCACTATGAACTTCTCAAAATCACTTGTTGTTTGCCATTTACAAGCCTATGTCCCTGACTCTTTAAACCATTATCCATGCCGAAATGTGACCATTTTCAAGGAAATTGATTCAGATTATGGGTTAGGATTAATGGGCTATAGTTTGTCTATAACTTTGACTCCGGGCTTTTGTTAACCTTGGATTGAGACAGTTGGATAGATCAAGGATTCAGATTATGGGTTAGATTTGAAACAAAGTGAACAAATACAAATAACAAGACATGTGCAAAACAATTATCTATTGATCGTGTTACAGTTGTGTAGATTTGCTTTCCTCTTGGAATAAAACATACCAAATTTGTCATTGATAACCTTCGCCAATGGTGCCAAACAATTTGTTGTGCATGATGCATTCGAAATCACGTTGTCATTTGCGGCATCGTACTTCTCGTGATTTACACCAACAACGAACATTGGTGCATCAGCGGATGGAGCAGAAATGATTACTTTCTTAGCTCCACCTTGCAAATGTGCACCAGCTTTTTCTTTTGTGGTGAAGACACCTGTAGATTCGACGATGTATTCCGCTCCAGCTGATGACCATGGGATTGCGGCAGGGTCTTTGCTGTTGAAAACCTGAAGAAATTTTATGGATTGATCTAGGAAACTTTTCAGGGAAAATGACATACCTTGATGGTTTGAGCACTCTTTCCCTCTTTTTGAACAATCAAAGCTCCATCCTTGATTTCAACGGATCCCTTGAATCTTCCATGGGTTGAATCATATTTGAAGAGATAGACCATATAATCTACGGTGATGAATGGATCATTGACCGCGACAACTTGGACAGTATCTTTTTCCACAGCGGCTCTCAAAACCAATCTTCCGATTCTTCCGAATCCATTGATTCCAACTTGAGCTTTCGACATTTTCTTTAACCTGCAATGAAACTGAAAAATCTATAAATTTCTCTGCAAATAATATCTCTCGGTGTTAAACGAGGTTAAACATCAGAAAAAATAAGACGATGAATAATATAAGACTATAATTTACTTTCAATAAACCAAAACCGTTTTGTTATTTAACACACAAGAAAAACTACGAATGGGGTGGGGGATAACTGTTGAAGGACAAGAGGTTTATTCTTTTCCAAGAGCGCGTTCTTGCGCCTCGATTTCAGAAATGCGTTGTTGATGGCGTTGAAGGACTTTTTGATGGTTGTCGAGTTGCGATTTGTGGTGCTCGACTTCTTGTTGAATGTGCTCTCTCAATTGCTTCAATTGCTCTTTTTGTTGTTTGTAGAAGAACTCGTCTTCACGGGCGGCTTCCATCTTTCCGAAAGCACCTCCGGCATCGCGAATTGATCCTCCGGAACCACCTCCCGCGTCCAGCACCGTCGCCGGCTCCTCCGGAAAGCGATCGGGCGATCAATCTGGAAAACTTGATTGCTTTTTGATTTTCCAAAGTTCAGCCAGTTTCAGATTTTCTTCAACTCACCCCGAGAATCGGGAAGCATTTCGGCTAACACTGAGCATATCTGAAACAAACGTTATTTTGATTTAAAACTAAATCTTGAGCGAAACATGAAGGAAAAGCGTATGACTCAAAAAAACCGATAAAATCTCGAAAACTTCATAAAAACTATTAGTTTCCTAGCGAAAACTACTCACAAACATAGTTCTTAACATTTTCTATCGGCTGAAAACAATTTTGAAAATTAGAACAGCTGAAAATCGTGATTTCGCGCGCTCAAAAAAGAGAAATCTGAAAATGGGCGCCACCGCGGGCTGTGCATTTGTGCGACGTGTTTGTTGTTTACGTACTGGTAAACATTTTATCTGACGCGCAAGATTATTTATTTTTCTCGGGGAGTTTTTGTTTTTCCGGGTTTTGTGGCGAGTTTGGTTGTTTTTGCTATTTGAGTTATTGAAGATGATAGAAATTGATCCAATTTATGTGTATAACTTGAAAATTTTGAAGGTTTACTGATGTTCAGAGGAGAAATATGGTTTTTAGAGGAGATTGGTTTTTTCTTGAATTCTTGAAGTTTTTCGAAGATCTCACAATCAGTTGCTTTAATTTGTAGAAAAATTCAATTTTTAAAATAATTTTCTAAGGGTTTTCTCGCTTTCACTCTGAAAAAAGTAATTTTTCTAAAAAAAATTTATCTTTCTAACAATCTTTTTTCATCTTCATAATATACATATTATACATACATAAATATTGAAAGATGTACGGAAAACTATATATACATAAATAAAAAAGAAAAGGATAGAAAAAGCAAAAACATGTGATGCGGTAGAGTTAGAGACGTAGAAAACTGCAAGAGACGCAGAGAGACACGACCAAAAAACACACATTTTTCCAGAGAAAAATTGGCGTTTTTGCACCATGGGAAGACGATTTATTGGTAATTTTGGTGGCAAAGGGACGGTGTATAGTTGCAGAAATTGCGATACTTATTTGACATCACATGGCGAAATGACGAGCCCAAATTTTAATGGTGAGAGTTTTTTTCGTTGGTGAAAATTGGAGATTTTGGCAGATTTTTCTAATAAAAATTCGTCGCAGGTAGCACTGGCCCGGCGATGCTTTTCTACAAAGTTTGGAACATTGATCACGGCAAAATGGAGTCTCGAAAAATGACGACTGGTTGGCATGTGGTTCGTGATGTGGTGTGCACGGTTTGCAAAGTAAGTCACCTCCTGTGCGCTTAAACCTTAAAAAAATAGTTTCAGAGACGGGTTGGTTGGATGTATGAGATGGCTTGTGAACCGAGTCAAGAATATAAAGAGGGACAAGTAATTCTGGAGTGTGGATTAATCAATAATCGGACTGCTTTTGATGATCCGCTGGGAGATGATGTACAGTGAGTTTTTTGGCGTTCGCTTTTTCTTTAGAGTTATGAAATTTTGAAATTCTTTTCAAAAATCAACAGAGATTTCGAAACATTGCTTTTTATTGTATTTCAAAATATGTTTTCACTATTTCTGGCTCAAAATTATCAGATTTTCATGATCTACCCACTAAAATCTCCCAAAATTTTCCAGAGAACGCCGACTTTTGCCAATGATTCCCACACTGGAACGTCCACCCGGTCGAATTCACCATCGTCGCCGTCAAAATCGTGAATCGGAGAATACGAATCGCTCAGGTTCAGAGAGCAATGACTCGGTTTCATCGTTATCATCCACCAATACATCGGTCTAGGAAATCGATATTTTTGGCTGGAAAATCTGTAAATTTTGTATATATATTTTCATGTATTTTATGTCATATATCCCCTCATTTCCCTGTGTAATTTTAATTGTAAAAAATGTACATTTTTCCTCTGAAAAATCGCTTTTTTTTTCAACTCGAAAAGGTTATGCACCTTTAAATACCTACCTACAGTACGCTACAGTACTGAAATGAAATTAAATGTTTTTTCAGAATGGGCAAAGCATTTTACGATCATTTGGGTGGAACAAGTTTCTACACATGCGAAAAATGCGGAGTTTATTTGTCGAACAAAAATGAGATTTTGTCGACGAATTTTACAGGTATTTTGGGCGGGAAATTTGGGATTTCAAGCTAATTTTAAGTTTTTCCAGGTGTAACCGGGCAAGCCTACCTCTTCAAAAATGTCATAAATATTCGTTTGGGCCGTTGTGATCAGCGCGAAATGCTCACCGGACTTCATTTTGTTCGCGACGTTTTTTGTCAGAAATGCAATCGCAAAATTGGCTGGATGTATGAGTTTGCGATCAGTGATACGGAAAGATATAAAGAAGGTGATTAAATTTTAATTTTGGCCGAAACTTGAAATTTAAAAAAATTATAATTTTCCAGGAGCCGTCACTCTCGAGAAAAAATTGATCAAAAAAGTGGAGAGCTTCGAGGAGGAGCCGCGACGCGTTCAAAATTCAGCACGCGACGCATTCGACGAAACTCAAAACGAGAATAGCGCCAATACTTCGACCACTTCGACACACACAATTACCCGGGGACCTGCCGAACAACGAGCCACACGGAATTTCGGGCTTTTTGAGCCGATTGCACAGATCGAGGAGCGAATTCGACATGGTGCACGTGGATATCTGATCGGTCATCCGAGGGAGACAGCGGATCATGATTTTTTTAGAGCTCCTTCTGTATCTCGATATACGCAGAGAGAAGATTTGGTGAGTTTTTGGGTGATTTTTGGAGAGGGACTAGAAAGTATTAGATTACTAGGCCACCCGAAATCAATCAATCAATAAATTGTTCTTCCAGTTCCCCCCATTTCGTGCTCCACGTCGTCTCGACCCTCAAAACATGCCCGTCCACTTCCACGAAGAAATGCAGAATGCTCTCAACTTATTCGATATCCCGCAAAGTCTTCGAGGCTTCTCTCAACCACATTACGAACCGGAAGACAACGAACCTGAAGAAACATTTCCGGATAGAGAAAATCAAATTGGAATTATGTTACGAGAAGCGCTGAGAGAACGGGGGAGAGATGAAGCTGAAAGACGGTTGAGAATGGAAAATGAAGAGGAAGATGATGAGGAGAGGGATTTGGAATGGTGAAATATTGATTTTTCGCCGAAAATAAATAATATAATTTATCTATAGCTTTATATACGGAACCCTACAAACTCACAAATCGTGTACATTTTTTCTCACCCAAAATTGAATCAAAATAAATATTTATTTTTTTCAATTTATTTCTAAACCTTCCACCCGTAAGAATCGGAGTTATTCACATATCTTTCGAAAAAAGATTTTTAGATTTCCAGCATTTTTCATTTTTTTCAAGATGACAATTTTGCCGAGCAGCTCGAAGAAGAAGTGTGTTTTGCGCAAAATTCGCAAATCACCGAGACCTGAGCAAAGTTTGAAGAGATGTGAGTTTTTGGGCTCTAAATTCTTGGAAACCAGGCCTAGAAATCTTGAAAATCTGTGTTTAAACCTGAAAAAAAACCTGCCTAAGGCTTCAAAGGCTTGACGAGATCTGATAATCTTATAATTTTGCTCGATCCCAAAATCAAGCCTGTTTCCAGCTGCTCTCTCATCACCGCGAATCGAACCCGCGTCCAAAAAATCCGTGGCCGCCGGCGATTCTGCGTCAACTTCTGGCGGCGGTGGCGTCAATTCTGACGACGAATACGATGATTTGGAGGCGGCGTCGAATGATCAGGTAACTAACCCTGGGCTACTCTTGGACACATTTTCCCTATTTTCAGATTGAAAAAGAGTTTGCGGAGCGATTGGCGGCGCGTGGATTGATTATCAAAGAGATGATTGGTGATGGAGCCTGTATGTTTAGAGCAATTGGTAAGGTTTTTTGCTGGGCTCATTCCCCCCCCCCAACCTAGATTTGAAAAATCCCGTATTTTCCAGCCGAACAAGTCTACGGCGATCAAGAAATGCATTCGCAAATCCGACATCTTTGTATGAACTACATGGCCAAAAATCGTGATTATTTTCAAGATTTTATCACCGAAGATTTCGATAGTTATATTGAAAGAAAACGCGATGAGGCGGTTCACGGAAATCATTTGGAACTTCAGGCGATTTCTGAACTATTTGCGAGACCTGTTGAAATTTATCAGTATAGTGATGGTAAGAGTTTTTTTGGGTGGGAAATTTGGAGCATTTTGAAGCCTTGTTTTTGTGCTCAAAACGATATTCTGAATCTTCTTGAAATTTGGAGCATTTTGAGCCTACACATGACAAAGTTTGAGCTTAGGGTTTCCTAGCTGAAATTATTTTTTTTCAAATTCCTATTGGAATTGTGACCAAGTTTAGGCTTAAAAAGATCAGAATTTTTGGATTCAGCAAAAGAGGCAGATAATTTAAATCCACGTGGAAAAATGAGCATTTTGAGCCCAAACATGGCCAAGTTTAGGCATAAAATGCTCTCCAAGTGGGTTCCAAATTTTCACCAATCAAATTCAGAATCTTCTCGAAATTTGGAGCATTTCGAGATCAAAATCACCTTTTCAGAACCCATCAGCACTCTTCTACCACGCGGACTCAGCCCAAAACCAAGTCCAGACCAGGCCGGTCCATCACAATCCGATGTTCAGAACGCTCCAAACGCTCCAATTCGCCTCAGTTATCACGGCGCCGTTCACTATAACGCGATTTTGGACCCGAACAAGGCGACAATAGGTGTAGGCCTCGGTCTACCGGGTCTCAGCCCAAAAGCCGCTGAAAAAGCTCTGATGAGTTCAGCGATGGCCAGTTCTGAAAGAGAGCATATTGAGGAGACGATGCTCAAGGATAAGTTGGATATGACGGATTGGCAAAGAACACAGAAAGATATTGAGGAACAGGTGGGCTTTGGGGGAGTTAAGAGCGGAAAATTCGTAAATTTTTGAGCCTTATGGTCAAACATTTTAAAAATTGAGGTTAATAAGCCGAAAATTGCGGTTTTTTGAGTGTAAATGAGTTCAGGCTTGAAAATTCGCGAATTTTTGAGCCTGTAGAACTTTAGGGTCAAAAATCTGAGAAATTGAGTCTAAATAAGCCTAGGTCTCGAAATTTGCGGTTTTTTGAGTCTAAATAAGCCTATGGCTAAAAATGCAGAAAAATTCGAATACAATTTTTTTCTGAAAAAATTCAACTTTTCTCAAGATTTCTCGCGACTCCTATTTGACATATTTACGCGAAATCGAGAAAACCGACGAAGCGCCGACAACATCGGCGACAACTTCTGGAAATGCCCAGAAATCTGAAAACCAACCGGGATTGTATGAGGAATTGTTGGCTGCTCAAAGTTTGGGTAGGCCCGAAAATTCATTCAATTCAAAATTTCATCATATTTTTCCAGAAACTGATGAATGGGACGAAGATATGGCGATAGCTCAAGCGCTTTTGTTGAGCCAACAAGATTATTTGTCAACTCAAGGACCATCGACTTCTTCAAAATGAAATTAATAAATGAATGAGAGACAACTTGTATAATTATTATTGTTATGTACAGAGATCGATTCAATGAAGCTTTTGTGTCAGGAAAAAAAAAGTTTCGATCACGGCAGGATTCGAACCTACAATCTTCTGCTCCGTAGGCAGACGCGTTATCCATTGCGCCACGCGACCTCTGCTCGCTCCTCTCGCAAATTGCCTTCAAATACTTGCATGCGAGAGAGCGCAGAGATGCAGAGATAAACTGATTTTCAAATTTCAAGGTCAGTTTTGATTTCTAATTTGATAAAAATCTTTTTCAAAAAATATCAATCACTTCAATGTGGTTTAATTTGGAGATCAAACATTTATTGGCACTTGCCACGTGGCAATTTGCAATATTTTTTGCCGGTCAGAACACAGGCATAAATTTCTGACTTTTTTTCCTGTCGGCTCCGCCCCCTGCCACGATTACACGTTTCACGTTTTTAAAATAATTTTTTCGTTTTCATCTTTTTTTCTTCACTAAATTTCGAAATTTAAAAAATCAGAAATAATTATTAATTGAAAAAAAACGTGCCGCACCTTGCCAAATAAATCCCGCCTCCCGAATCACGCGAGAATTTGTTTTTTCTGCGACAGGCATTTCTGAATTAAAAAAGTCAAGAATTTATGCCTGTGCAGAATATTTTCGGGATTTTTGCCACGTTTATTCCTCCGAGTTTAAACCAAAATTGCTCAAATCCCCAAAAGTTCACGAAATTTCCCGAAAACTCTGAATTTTTCGAATCCGCCGCTGTGGAATTCGGTTGGATTTGCGGAAAATCGAAATATTATCGTGATCTCTTCTCGCAAGTACAGTATGCCGGAGTGTTGTTGGGCACCGTGTTTTTTGGCACATTGTCGGACAAGTACGGTAGGAAACCGGTGGGTACGGTAGTATTGGGTCTCGCCGCGATTTCCACGTTTTATACGGCTTTTGTTCGGAGTCAAGAGATGCTGTTTGGTGTGAGGTTGGTGAGATTTTGAAAATTGTTCTCAGCTCACCAAGAGCTTCAGTTTGACACCCAACATCACCAGATTTATTCGAGTTTTAGAATGCACGAGAAATGCGTCAGCAAGGCTTACAATTAGCTAGCGCAATTTTTGTAGCTCGCCAAAATACGGCTTTTACGGTGTCAAAATGAAGCTCTTGCTTTGACCAACAAGAATTCACGTGGTAGAATCAACAAAAAAAATTTTCAGATTCTTCGTGGGCCTTGCCACAGGCGGAATCCTCGTCGTAATCTGCACGTGGATAATGGAACTCTTGCTCGCCGAGCAACGAATGGTCCTTCGCGGCGTCTTCAATTGGGGTTGGACGCGCATCTTCCTCACCACAATTTGCTATTTCACCCAAAATTGGCGGCACGCCTCAATCGTCTGTGCACTCCTCACACTTCCCGCTATTTTCCTCGGTGCTCTTTGTGCTTCCCGAGTCGCCGACGTGGAAATCGCGCGACACTCGTCAAGTGCACAGTGTTTGGCGTCGTCAGAAGAATGCTCAGAATTTCTGGCGACGTCTGGTGACACTCTGGTGTATGTGGTTTATCGCGGCGATTTGTGGATTCGCGGTGGATTTGAATTCGGGCCGCCTGTCGGGAAATCTGTATTTGAATCAGATTTTGTTCGGCGCGATTTTGGTGGCATCGAAATTGGTTTTGCTTGCGGTTGACACCAAGTATCCGCGATTTAGTCGCCGGAAATTGCACCAGGGAGCGCAGATTGCCACGTGTTTTTGTTTTGCGGTGCTGGCTGCGATGACGTGGATTGGGTATCATGTGAGTTTCAAAATTTGAGCAGAATTCACGTGACTGAAAAAATCCACGGGACCAAAAGCGTTTTAAAAACTTCTCTTGAAGTAGGTGAACCTTGCAGTTCGAAATACAGTAATCCTTGCAGTCTTAATCAAATATTGTTTGCAGGGTCCAATATTCCTCGTGATCTCCCTACTCGGTACCGTATTCATCGAATACACGTGGGACGCGTGCTACCTTTGCGCGATCGAATCAATGCAAACGACACTCCGCGCTTCCGCCACCGGAACCTGCTCATTCTGGGCGCGAATCGGCGCGATTCTCGCCCCATTTTTGAATATGGCCACAGCCTATTGGTCTCCGGCTATTTATTGGGCTGTTATTGTGTTGGGCCTTGTGAATTTGGCAATTTCTTGGCGATTTTTGGTGGAGACTAAAAATGTGGACTTAGCCGAAGTGGATTTTGAGCACGATTTTGAGGAAGAACATTTGGAGTTGAGGAATAAATGAGTGCCACGTGGAATCTTCAGATTTTCAGAAAAAATTCCAGGTTTTTCCAAAAATAATCAATTTTCATTTCTGTCGGTTATAAACAAACAAAAGTCCTAAAAACACAGCGAAAACTACGAAAAATTGAATTTCCGATTCGAAAACATCGAATTCTGATGAGGATTTGGGGTGTGCGGGGCCGTATTCATAATCTTTGAAGACGTTGAACATATTCAAAAACATTCCGCTGAAAAAAACCGCGTTTTTTTTGCATTGCTCATGTTATATTACAAGCTCCCGCGAAAACCAACCCTATAGTTTCATGAGCTTCCGCTTCGTTAATATCACGATCGAGCTCTTGAATCGAATCGCTGCAAAAATTCTAAATTTGTCTGAATTTCTCGAATTTTCGACTTACTTTACATCAAAGGCTGTGATCGATTTTTCTGTCATTTTTCAAGGTGTGATAAATTGGCTGAATTGCTTATTTTCAGCTCGAATTTATAGCCAAAACTTTGAAAAAATGTTTATTTTTTGAAATTTTGAGAACATTGACTTTTTTGTGGCAAAAGTTCAATCAAAAATCGAATAGTTCACAATTTTCAACTGGAAACTTTATCTGGAAATTCGAAATTTCTCAAAAATCCATTCTTTCTCAAAATTAAATAAATTTTGTTTTCCAGGAAAAATTCCAGCTTCAAAATTTTTTTTATTTTCGCAACAAAAATATTGCAAAATCATCTCAAATTTCCAAAAATAAACATTTTTTGACTATAAATTCGAGCTGAAAATAAACAATTTTCAGTTGTTCTGAAAAATGGCAGGCTTAATCACTGATGATTTAAAGTAAGTCAGCAAAAAATGTTCAGCAAAAAATGGGAATTTCAGACTGGCGGTGGAAACATTGAACAAAACACTCATACCTGCGGAGGAAGCTCATGAAGCGATCAGGTTAATTTTTTGGGCTTAAGCTTAAGGCCTAGACGTGGGGCTTAGGCTTACATTAGGTCTCAAACCTCGTCCTAAAAAATCAGAATTTCAGTGATATGATCTTCAATGTATTCAATATATATGAGGATTATCAATCGAATAAAAATACGAAGCCCAAATCTTCATCAGAATTCGATGTTTTCAAATCGGAAATTCAATTTTTCGTAGTATTGACCATATTTTTAGGTCTTTTGTTTGTTTATAATCGACAAAAATGAAGCGATTAAAGTTTTCTGCAAAAAAATGTGATTCAAAAAATTCATTTCCACGTGCTCCAATTTTTCCCCGATTTTTTCGCGTCCAAATTTTCCCCCCTCCCCCCATTTCTTGAATGTCTCCAATAACAAAATACAAAAATAATCAGAATAATAATCAATGAAATTTCAATTGCATATTTTGCTTCTATTTTTTGGAGTCAAAGTCACTTCGGGTGCAAATATTTGTGAAAGACGCGCGGCTTATGAATCGGGTCGAAATTTTGGCAGAATTTTATTTTACCATATTCGAATTTCCGATGGAACTATGGTGAGTTATGGATGTTTGAGAAAGGCTAATTCAATTTTTCAGGATCCACGAATCAAACATCTACTGAGCCAAATCGAATGTTCGATTCCGAAAAATTCTGGATTTGAGATACAAAACGAAGATGTTACCGTCTCAGATTGTCAAAATTTCGAAGTTCATCTAAACAGCATCAAAAACAATGCAGAATATCCAAAAAACTATGATCGAATCGAGATTTTTGTCAATTTTCCAAGCATCGACAAATTCTACAAATGCGATTATATTCAGATTTTCAAAAATGTTGATTTGTTTGCCAATTTGAATTTGGTGAGATTTGATGAGGTTTTGACGCCTGGATTTAAATCGTTGAATATTCCTTTTGTTGCGTCGATTGATGCGAAACAGGAAATTGCCAGTGAACATGTTCAGAAGATTTGTTGGAAATTGTGAGTTCGTGACCAGCGTGAAATTCTGCGTAGAATGAGTATAAGATGAGAAATGTCTCATTCAATCTCAAATTTCCAGCATTCGTGAAATCCTTGGAATCCCCGATGAATCCGACGCTGCCTTCAAAATCACAATTCCAATGATGGCGACAGCTCTAATCGGATTTGCCACCGGACTTTTTCTCATGACCTTTATGATCCCATTTGGATGGTTACTGTGGAAACGCAGAAAATCTAAACTTTTGGAACAAAAAATTGTGGAATCTGCTGAAACTCAGGCGGTGAAGCCTAAGGAAAAGCCTAAGAAGTGTGGCGGACCAATCCCAAGAGATTGCTCCACCCAGGAAGCTCCGCCCACAGGAGCAGCGCGGGAGCGCGTGGATGAAGTGGCCAGATTATCGAGCGCCCCTTGTTGGCTAGCGGCAAGGACCACCGAGCGGAATCAGGTTAGTTTGGGTTTAGTAGTAAGAGATCATAGGATCACCAAGTAGTGAAGAGGTAGTAGCTACGGTGACCTACATTGGTGCATCGACCGGATCAAAAACCGGGTCAATCGAAAGCCAGTGGAACTCCGAAGGAACGAAGATCCTGCTAATCGGTAGGTTACCAGTGAAATCGAGTCGGGAAGTGGCAGTGAGCGACGAGACACTGGGGCAACCTTGAAGGTAAGCAAGGCGTCTTTCTTGGGCTAATTTTGTTCCCCTCTTTGCTTCAAAAATTTTTCAAGCAAAAATTTGTGTTTGTCAGTTTTCGTCTTTTGTTTTTGTCTTTTGGGTCCCAGGTTACAAATCAGAAGTCCCATCTGATTTGCCAAATCGTTCTGGTATTTTACCAAAACGAACCAACCACCCGAAGGTGAAGAATACTGGCATTAGCCAAAGACAAATCAAAACCCACCATTCGGTGAAGAAATCTGGCAAAGCCAAAAGAAATCCAATCTCTGGAAAATATTCGAATATCTCAAATTATTCCTTGTTGAAAAGTATCCACTTATCCAAACTTTCAACAAATTTATTCACTTATTTTACTCAACCTAAAGTTAATCAATTCATTTATTCAAGAAAATAAACAAAATTCAAAAAAAAATGGATCAAAAAACAATTTCTGAAATTCTTTCTGTCTGCAGCAATGAAACAGTCAGACTCAAAATCAAAATAATCACAAAATTAGAAAAATTGAGCACTAAATATTCGAAACCGTTCAAATGGGACAAATCTCAACCTGAAAATGAAGAAGTTATGAAATTGCAATATGAAATAATCAAATCCGAAGTTTTAGAAATGAAATCAGATTTCGAAGAAATGAAAAAGATCTATTCAAAGTTATCAGAAATGTTAGAAATTTTGGATAGAGATGATCAAAAAGAAGCAACCAATGTTGAGCTTCAAAACCAAAAAGAAGCACAACAACAAGCTATCACAGTATCCGAAAAAGAAACTCGTATATATGAGATTAAGACACAATGAACTGTTGGAAGCTTTCACCAAAAATTCTCTAGCAAATGAAGAACTTGAAGCAATTGATATAAAAATCTCAAAAATGGTCGATATGAGTAAACTCGATGATATTTTCGCCCAAATAAAAATCCAAAAAGGAGATCATAAACCAATAGTAAAAACTGAAAATGAAAGAACTACTGAAAATTCAGGTCAAAATCCTAGTCAAATTACCATTAAAAACTCAACTAATGAAAATGAAGAAAATATGGAAAACCCAAAAAATGAAGAAAATATTGAAAACCCAAAAAAAGAAGAAAATAATCAAGAAAAAACTGAAAATTCAACAAAAAATCAAGAAAAAATCGAAAAAATTGAAAAAACACAAAAAGATGAATCAAATAATGGAAATGAAAATCCTAAACATTTTTATAACACTGGAAAATTTTTGCTTAAAAAGGATATAATAGAAATTCCGCCATTTGACGGAAAACCTGAAAATTTCTCAACTTTCATTGAACTATTCGAAAATTTAGTCGATAAAGATAAAGATATGCCAAATGTGCTGAAATTTGCTGCTCTAAAAAGTCTGACAACAGATACTGCAGCAGAACAAATCGCAAGATATCCAGGAGATGGAAGCCTCTATGAGGAAGCCTTGCAAAAACTGAAAACAATGTTCGGAAGTGTCAACAGACAATATACAGCCATCTGGGAAAACATCAAAAAATTGAAACCGGCCAAAAATGATGTTGTTTCTTGTAGAAGAGTTCTCAACGATTTAGCAATTTCCATTCAGAAATTGAAGAGACTTGGTTTTGAAACAAATGGATTGCCGTATCTGGCTGAAATCAAAAGCAAACTTCCAAGAAATCTGTTATCCGAGGTCGTAAAAAAGGAAAGAAGATTACCAAATCAAAGATTTGGAAATGTTTGAATTGATCGATTTCATAGAAGAATTGATAATAACTCAAGAAGAAATTTCAGCAGCCAGCCAAATATCGGATACAGTAACCCTTGATTCAAATATTTTCAAAACTCAAACAGAAGAAAAAACAATAAATCAAAGTTTCGCAAGGGAGCAAGGAAGGAGTAGCCGACGGGACTACGGTAACCGAGACAATAGTCATAAATCAAGGATGGAGAACTTCTATAGAAAGAGAAGCAACACTCCATACTATTCAAATAATAAATCAGAGCCAGATGGCTACAAAAACAGAAGCGACAGCAGAAACAGATATGAGAGAAGAGAAGGAAGCAAAAGATCAAAAAGTTGGGACAAAAGATCATATGACAGAAGTAGAAGCTGGCACAGAAGTGGCAGCCGAAACAGAAGTCCAGAAAAATACAACAGAGAGAAAAGATGGGAAAGAGATGGAAAAGCAAGATTTGATAGAAGTTATTCGAAAGATCGAGACTATCGAAGAAATTCCAATTCGAGAAATCGAGAATATTCGGGATCGAGAGAAAGGCGTTTCTCAAGAGACCGAAAATTTTCAAAAGAATCAGATAGAAACATTGAAAAAAGAGATGACAGATCGAGATCAAACAGTAGAAACAGATATGTGAAATTTGAAGGAAAAGGCAAAGAATTGAAAACTCGTCAATTTAAAACATCTGCAAATGGCAACAATTTGTTGATTGCACAAGTGAAAATCCAAAAAGATCAAATGTCGAAAGATCAAGAAGAAGCAAACATTCTGCTTGACACAGGTTCAGACACAACTTTCATAAAATCATCACTTGCAAAGAAACTGAAATTGAAAATTCTGAAAAAAAGGAATCAAATTAAAAATCACACATTTTGGAAACACAGATAAATCTCATGTGTTGAGCAACAAGGTAGAATTGACTATTCTAGCTAACAACAAATTTTTCGAGATTCAAGCTTACACAGTTGATCAAATAACAGAAGAAACAAGAAAAACACAATTATCCAAAGACGATATCAAATATCTAGATGATCAACAAATTTACAATTTTTCAATAAACAAAAATCAAGAACCAGATCTGTTAGTCGGTCTCGACTACTTATTCGATATTACAAAAAATATTCGAACAAGAAAACTACCATCTGGTCTAACTCTAATAATATGTGCACTTGGTAATTCGATATGTGGTAAAAAGACATGACGAAGAAAGTGATGAATTGGAAATATATTTGAGTAAAACAGAGGAAGAAGAACTTGAAAAAATGTTTTTCCTAGAAGAAACTCATAGAGAAGAATTGGATTATAATGATGATGCTATCAGAAAAGAATTTGAAAACACTGTAAAAATGACAGACGAAGGAATATGTGTCAGATGGCCATGGAAACCATTTGGCAAAGAACAACTCGGAGACAACCGAGAAGTCGCCTATCGCAGATTGGTGAATATGGTACAATCCAAGAAAAGTGCTGAAAAATTGAAATCAATGAGAAAAATATTAGATGATCAACTAGAAAGAAGGTGTATAGAAGAGATATCTTTGGAAGAGATTGAAAATTCTCGACAACCTGTTTATTATATGCCAATCCAATTGGTCAGAAATGAAAATTCTGAAACATCAAAAGATCGTATTGTTTACGATGGTTCTAGCAAAAAGAAAGGAACAAAGTCTTTGAACGAATGTTTGGCTCAAGGTCCAGTTTCCATTCCTAAAGTTCATGGAATAATTCTGAAAGCAAGAACATCTAATTTGGTATTGACAGCAGACGTTGAGAAAGCGTTCCATACGCTAACACTTCATGAAGATGATAGAAATACAACTTTGTTCATGTTTTTGCGAGATATAAACAAACCACCAACAAATGAAAATATTATTATCTACAGATTCAGAAAAGTACCATTTGGAATAATTTCCAGTCCATATTTATTGAGCGAATCAATAAAATTTTCTCAAAGAGATTCTGTGAAAATGAAAAACTTGAGAAATGCATTGAAAACTCGCTGTACGTAGACAATTTGTTTTGTTTCCTACAGGAAAAATCTGAAATTGAATCAATGTACCAGGAATCAAAAAAGTTTTTCAATGGACTCCACATGAATTTACGTGAATTTGGAATAAATAGAGAGAAGCTCGAAGGAATTGTGAAACCAGAAGATTTGTCAAAAAGCAAAGAACACCAAAAATTGTTGGGGTATTTGTGGAACACAAATAAGGATACTCTTAAAGTAAAAACCATCAAAAATCTCAAAAACAAACAACCGTCGAAAAAGAGACGCAATTGGAGTATTAAGTAGTGTTTATGACCCCCTTGGATTCTTTGACCCATTGACAGCACAAGGAAAATTATTGATACCAGATGTCTTCAAAACAAAAGGCAAATGGGAGACAAAAATAAGTATTGAAGCTCATAATGCAATAAACGAATATTGCGAAAAGTTATCAAAGATGAATATGGAGGTACCACGAAAATCAGTGGAATTCAATAAAAATGATATTTATGAATTGAACATTTTCTCAGATGCATCCGAAAAATTATTTGCAGCTTGTGTTTATTTAGTCATCACAAATTCCAAAGGAAAAAAGACAGTACAATTTTTGATGGCAAAACAAAGATTGTCCGGAACAAAGAAAACAGTTTCAATGCCTAAATTGGAACTAGCAGCTCTAGAAATGGGAGCAAAATTAGCGGAATTGTGCATCGAAGAACTAGATATAAAAATCAAAGAATGTATTTTCCATTCAGATTCAAAAATTGCTCTGCATTGGCTCAAAAAACCAGAATTAAAACAAGTTTTTGTAGAAAACAGAGTTGAATCAATTAGAAAGACATCTGTCAAACTAAATGAATTGAAAATCAAAAATTCTTTCCGATACGTCAATACTCATGAAAATCCAGCTGATCACAGCACCAGAGGAATTCAAGATATTGAAATGTTAGAAAAGAGTAATTGGTTGACAGGGCCAGAATGGTTGAAATCAGACAAAAGTAAATGGAATGATGAACTTATCATTGAATCAAATGAACTATTCCAAAAAGTTAAAGTTGTAAAAGTTAACAAAATCGAAGTCAAAGTCGAAAAGATTGGACTTCATTCACAAATAATTGGGAAAAAATGAAAAGAACAACATCAAATATTCTAACTTTTATAAACAAAGTTATTCTACCAAAAGTATCAACAGAAAAACAAGAAGAAACTCCTGAAAAATATTCCAGAATTACAAATCTTTCAAAAGAAAGAGTCAACAAGAAAAATGAAACATGATGCAGCCGAAAGAGCAATCATTCGGTACCATCAGAAAAAAGAAGAAATTGTTGAAAATGGAAAAGAAGGATTAGTGAAAAAAGATGATATTGTTTACAAGAAAACAAGACTAGAAAATGCACTAAATGGAAAAAATATCCAGATGCTAATTGCAATGAAAGGCAATTCACACATCTCAAAAGCAATTATTGAACACTATCATGAAAAATATGGACATTGTGGCGTGAATGCAACAATGGGACAAGTGCAAGAAATGTTCTGGATGACAACTCTAAGGAGAACTGTGAAAGATAAACTGAAAAAATGTGCAACGTGCAGAAAACTAAACAGCTTGCCATATGAATATCCACAAGCACCTCATCTTCCAAGAGATCGGGTTACAGAAACAAGTCGGGCTTTCGAAAATTGCGCAACAGATTTCTGTGGTCCTTTCTTGACAAGAAATGACAACAACAGGATGAAAAAAGTATTTATTTGTTTATTCACATGCTCCACTTCACGAGCAGTTCATTTAGAAACAACTGGAAGTCTATCCACTCAAGAATTACTTCTGGCACTTACTAGATTTGTAAGTCGTCGAGGAGTGCCAAAAATAATGAGATCAGACAATGGATCGTCATTTGTTTTAGCAGCAGAAATATTAAATCACAATGTTCCAACCAAGGAAAACTTACAAAAATTGCAAAATGAAGCAGAAAAAATCGGAATCGATTGGAGATTCAACACAGCAGCTGCACCTTGGCAAGGTGGAAATTTCGAAAGATTAGTCGCACTAGTCAAAAAAGGACTTAATACCTGTATTGGAAAAAATATAATTGGAAGAGAAGTTTTTGAAACTACAGTTACAAGAATCGAAAAAATCATTAATGAAAGACCAATAACAGTGGCATCAAATGAAACTAATTCAAATTCTTGGGATCAAATTATCAGACCTATCCATTTGATATGCCCGAAATGGGAAATGAAAGAGTTGAATATTCAAACTGATTCTCAAGAATATGACGAGTACACCAGCTGGATAAAAAGCTGTGACTCATATGTAACAAAGTTTTGGAAAATCTGGAAAAATGACTATATTTTGAACAATGATTATCTGAAGAAACAAATCAAGCTAAAAGGAGCCAAAAATCAAATCAAAATACCCAAAGAAGGAGAAATAGTTCTGATAAAAAATGACAACCAGAAAAGGAAAGAATGGAGAATGGGAATAATAACAGAAGTGATAGAATCGAGAGACGGACAAATTCGATCCGCAAAAGTGAAAATGAATAATTTAAGAGGAAAGAAAATAATTACTCGACCAATAAATTTATTGATACCATTAGAAATCAGATGCACAGAAAAAATCGAACAAGAAAAAAGAACAAACCGAAGAGAAAAAAGAACAAAAACAGAAAAAAGAAAAAAGAACTGAGGAAAGAAAGACAAACACAAGAAAAAGTTCCAGAAACAAGAAAAAGTACACGGTTAAATAAAGGAATAATCAAAAAGTCACATTTATTATTGACAATCTTAACTTTGGCGAATCTACTACAAATGTCATCAGCAAGATTACTACAATCAGCTCCATCAAAGTTGAAGTTGCCAAGACTTCAACGGCCTGGTGCCCCCTCAAAAGATTTCTTTGTCCGACAAGGCTATAAACCAAACGCAAAAGAAAAAGAAAACGTCAATCAAAAAGAAAAAGAAGTTCTAACATCACAAAACATAAATCATAAAACAAAAGCCTTTATAATATGCACAAAGTACGGCGCTTTGTTGATAGACAAAGAGTTGGACCCTCAATCAGAGTACACAGTGTGTGCCGAAAACACATGTGTCAAAATGAAAAGTGATCACAAAACAGAACTTGCTCTGCCGGCAAAAATAACAACACATGAACATCTTATAACATGGAGAAAAAAGCAAATTAAAAAGAATGAACATCGTGAAGAATCGTTCAAATATACAACAATCAACAAAACTTGCCCAGCAAACGAGTTTTGCGAAAAAATTGATTGTTGGCTCTGCAAAGAAAAATGGAGTAATCCACAATGTCATCCAATTTTGACTTGTTTATTAGTAACAATTCTATTAATTATTTCATGTTTGTCAATTTTCAAATGCTCAAAACCATTTCTAACAAAAACAAAGAAAAAGTTATCAGACAAAAAAGTGAGGTTCAAAAAAGCAGATGAAACAATTGAGATAGAAGACAAGACGGAAGAAGAAGAAGAAGAAATCAAATCTATACAATCAAATAATTCAAACTTTTCTAATAGATCAATTCAACCTTCACGATTAGCAAATATACCTATTTTGATAACAATTCTGATGTTTATAATAAGTAAAGCAGAAGGTTGTGACATGATAATACCGATCAATCACAAAGAAATACTAAACGGAAAATTAAAATCTATAGAAGATATCTTCATGTCACCAATGACAACAGAAGTGTGTTTGAACATCAAATACAACAATCAGATGATTTCATCTTATAAAATCAAAAAAGTTCAAACAAAACAAGTATGCCTAGAAGGGAAAAAAATTGTTTATCAAAAATGCAACAGTGGAAACACAATCTGTAAAACATTGCGGATCTGTAGGAAAATGTTCAGGAGGAAAATGTAAAGATATCCACCCAGATACAAAACTAGAAGAATTAGAATTTGCGAACAACTTTATTGGACGAACATACTGCTCATCCAGCTGCGGCGGATGGGGTTGCGGGTGTCTGTCACTGACAGACGGCTGTATGTTCTACAGGAACTTCGCAATATATGATAAAAGAAAAACACTAGAACTTTTCGAATGTGCCGGATGGACATCTGAAACACATTTTTCAATTGAATATAATCACAAAACAAAGTCAAAAAATGCAAGTATTTCACTAAGAGAAGGTTTTTCAAAAGAAATTCAATTCGATGATAATGAAAAAATAACAGTGGCCTTGATATCAGCCGATGATGGAATTGGACTAAATTTTGTATCAAAACAATTTTTGAGGTTTGAAGACTCTCTAGCAATGGTAAAAATTGAAGAAAATGATATTGCAGTAAAATGTAATGAAAAGGAGGAATGCACATACAATGAAGTATGTAAGTGCACAAATGGAGAAGAAGAAGTATTTTGTTCATGTAAGGAAAAAGATTTCATTGGAATGCTTAATAGTTATGACAGTCAACTGCCAATAATCAATGAAAAGTGGACAATAGAAGCAGTAGCAGGTGCTCCAACAATTGTTACAAAAAGAGGCAAGATACATTTACAAGTAATAATGGAAGAACTTTTGGAAAACAGGATAATGTTTGAAAACGAGAACTGCTCAATAATTGATTACACAGAATTACAAGGGTGCTTTGGATGCGAAAAAGGAGCAGTCGCAAGTTTAACTTGTGAATCAGAAAATGACAGTCATGCATTTCTAGAGTGCGAAAATTTTGAAACAACTTTGACGTGTAAAAACGGTGGAGAGCACAATTTGATCCGAAGACATTTTTCAAAAAGCAAAATTAGCGAAACATGTCAAGTATCATGTGGTGATTTCAGAATATCAGTACCATTTGAAGGAACTTTACATTACATCCCACCAGAAGAGAACGAAAAGGAAAATGAATCTAACAAAGGAAAAGATAATTTTGAACCACATATCCCAAAAATACCTTCCCCAGCATGGTGGACTACAATAGACATTATTTTTGAAAACCTTCCAAAAATAATTGGAATGCTCATATTGGGAATTATTGGAATAATTATCATTGCGAAGTCAGTAACATGTTTACTGAAACTAATATAAACAAACCTCTAATTCTTAATACGATAGTAAAAAATAATCAAATGTACAAACAAATTAATATATCTATAACTAAATATCTGTAAAATTAAAATATCTGTAATTATACGAAATGAAAAGAGACATCTCTCAGAAGCAAATAAAACTAAATGTTAACAGGAAATTTATTCGCCTCAAACAACAAGAAATCAATAAAATAAAACAAAACAAAAAAATAACAGAACAACAGAAAACATAAACAAATGTTGAAAAATAAACAATATATCGAGGACGAATAAAAAGAGGAAAACAGATCACTTCTTCGAGGAAGTCGAGAGTGTCATATCCTTCATTTGACCAAGTGGTTGTGGTTCTTGCTTGTCCAAGGGACACATAGCAAAATGGTGGCACGCCTTAACGAGGACGCAGATGTCATGGCGACATCTATTGTCGAATCTCTCCCTACATATAATTTCGTGATGAGTAGCTAAAAATAACTCAGCATTACACAAGAAGTACAAAAAAAAAAAAACATACCAGAGGTGGGATGCCCGCACATTAAGCACAATTGGAATCGAGCAGCCGTTGCGGCTTTTACTTCTCCCTTTTGGGAACAATCAATAAGTTTATGCTCGCCCGAGCAGACAGCACATCGAGGGCGCCATTCGTGGTCGACTCGTCGACGCTTTTGGGGTTTCTCGTTTTTGACGAGAAGAGCGACCTTCGCAGCTATCTCATGGGTGTTATCCATCCGAAACTAAAAAAGAAAAGTAAATATTAAAGCAAAATAAATAAATAATAATAATAACAATAATAAGAATAATAATATAAGTAAAAGGAAACAAAGAAAGAAAAGAAAAATCGGTCACCTCGGACCATAAACTGCCTCAGCAGGAAGACTCCCCCGCATCATTTTGCGGCCGCGGGGAGTGTGGCGGACCAATCCCAAGAGATTGCTCCACCCAGGAAGCTCCGCCCACAGGAGCAGCGCGGGAGCGCGTGGATGAAGTGGCCAGATTATCGAGCGCCCCTTGTTGGCTAGCGGCAAGGACCACCGAGCGGAATCAGGTTAGTTTGGGTTTAGTAGTAAGAGATCATAGGATCACCAAGTAGTGAAGAGGTAGTAGCTACGGTGACCTACAAGAAGAAGCCAAAATCGAAGCCCAAGATCAAAGCTCAGCCTGCACCTGAGCCCACAAAGCCTAAGCCTATAGAAGTTCCAAAGCCTGTGGCGGAACCAATTAAAAAAACAAATGAGAATACGACAACAACAACTGGAGCCAACAAAATTTCGGAAGTGGAGAGAAAACGTGCTCCGCCTTTGGCTCGTCCTGAACTCGAATCGGAGCACGCTTCGGATTATAGCGAGAGCGCGTATAGAACTCGCAGAAAAGATGACTTTGACACGACTTATTGATTGAATGAATGAATGGTTTTTGATCTACAGTACTCCTTTTGGCGTCTTTAAAAATCTATAAAAAATTTATAAGTTTCCAGAAAATATTGTACACAGATTGAAAAAAATTAAAAAATTTTAATGATGGAAAAGTCGAACGCCGGTATGAATAAGTGTAATTGCGTGCTCATCACAAGCCTCTTGAATTTCGGCATCGCGAACTGAACCGCCCGGATGTGCCACGTATGAGACGCCGTACTGGAATTTAAATTTTGAAAAAAGTTTTGTTTTTTGGGATTCGAAGGGATTTTTGCTCCAGAATGATATCAAACATGAGCAATTTTTGAATTTTGAGTGAAATTTAGGTCGCCCTGAATTAGAATTTTGAAAAAGTATTAATTGTTCTGGATTTGGGAGGGGATTTGCTCTGAAATAAGACCAAACATGAGCAATTTTGTTTTAAAAAAAAGCAAGTGCGCTCCACTGCAAAAATCGAATTTTCAAAAATGTTCATCAGAGCAACCTTGCTCATCTTTTGCGCGATATTTCTATGGGGTTCTGAAAATTTCAATTTCGCCACGTGGTGTTTAGGATCATCTGAAAGACCGTGTTAAGATGATTCTAATGACACCAAACACTTCTAGAATTTCAGACCCCATATCTAGAAAACTTTGATCATGTTGGGTCTCATTTTAAAGCCCTTCTTGAGCCTCTACCCAACGACACCAAATTTGCCACGTCATAACCATCCTCACCTGTTTAGCGCAATCCACATTATCTCTAAACGGCAAAAATGCATCGCTACTCATCACCACACCCGACTGCTGTTTCAGCCAACGTTTTCGCTCCTCTTCCGAAAGCGGATCCACGGGTTCGTTGAAGTTTTGTTGCCATTGATCTAGCGAGATCTGCAAATTTCGCTGCGTACGTTTGATACTCAGTCAAGAAAAGAAAAAAACATTACCTCATTTCCCAAAACTCCACTGCACAAAACATCGATCGCATTTGATTTCTCCGATCTTTTGATCGCGGGTTTCCAGGGGAGCGAGAGGATTTTCGGGTGTTGTCGGAGCCACCTGAAATTAATTTTTAAATTATTTACTGTTGAGTTCCTTGTTCAGCTCGAAATTCCTCGTCGAATGAGAATAATATGAGCAATATGAATTTTTTAACCTGTGTGCGCCCTTTAAAGAGTCAAAAAACAGGATTGCTCATATTATACTCATTCGACGCCGAATTTCAAGCTGAACACGAAGAAAACGGATATTTTTCAAGATATCACGTGTCGATTGGGATTTTTGGGGGCGGAGTCAAAAATGTTCGCGCCGAACCAAATAAATAAAACAATTTGTCACTTTACACTGACTGATAAGAAGAACCAATTGATTTTTATTTCCCCATTTCATATCATATTTTTCTGTGTACTTCTCTCGGACAATTCTATTTTTTCGAATTAATTGAGAATAAAAGGTTTTTAATTTTTGAAAATTTAATTGATTCAATTCGCGTCCCAAAATTACATTTGTTTTTGTGTAATTTTTCAATTTTCAGGCTATTTTTGGACCTCTTATTCTATTTTTTTTGGAAAAAAGGGCTCAAGTATACTTATGAAATGTTCAGCACGCGAAACAAATTATAATCTTTTTTAACCCTTTCCTTATGACGTCAATGTGTACGTTTTTGGCGGTTTGATCGCCAAATTTTTTGAGAAATTTGTGATCGGCTCGAAATTCTGGGTAAAAATTTCATTATTGCCTGTTGAGGTCCTTTAAGAATTCGAAAATACACATTGCTCATATTATACGAAATATGGGGCACATTTAAACCAGAATTTCGAGCTGATCAAAAATATCATATTTATGGTCCTTTTCTAAAACACGCATTGCTCATATTATAGTCACACGAAATCTGTCTCGAATTTCTTTTGAACTTTGAGCACACAATGTGTTACGTGGGGTGACAAAAATTCGTGATTTTTGATATTTTGCGTACATTTCGTTTCTTTTTTCCGTTTGACCAAATATAGCAAAAAATTGATAAGAAGGTCTATTTTTGATTGACGTTAATTTACATGTGCTTTTGATTTTTGTTTGTGTATTTTGGAACAGCGCGTGATTTTTCATGAGGAATGAATGTGATAGCTTTGTTCAGCGTGAAATTTGGCGTTTAATGATACTCATATTCAGTATAACCTGAGCAATTCAATTTTTCGAGTTCTTAAAGGACCCATACAAGTTATAATGAATTTTCCAAAATCTCCAAGTTTGACTATATTTTTCATAATCATCGTGAAATTCCATGTCGAACCAGTATAACATGAGAAATACGAAAAATATTCCCTCTTAAAGAACCCCACCAGGTAAAATTTTTGAAAAAATTATATTGCTCATATTATACTCATTTGACGCAGAATTTCGCGCTGATCAAGAAAATCGTATTTATTTTTCGAGAAACTCTTTCAATTTCATCCAATCCTTCTTTTTTCTCATCTCAACAATAAATACATAAAAAACTATACTAAAAATGACCGCTCAATAATTGTTCACATGTACACAGAAAAAATTGAGATACTTAGACACATAAAAAAAGTGGGGCGTGTCCTCTATTTTTTCCTATTGTGTTTGGGAAAAAAGCCATTTTTTTCAGATTTTTCGCCATTTTTCAATTTCATCCTCTTGCTTTTCGCAGATGAAGAAGCCTCCGTGAAAGACCAGAAGAAATGTCAAAATTTTGTTTGATTCTCATTTGTTGCACCGCGTTTTTCGTTGAAGCTGATGCGGTTTTGATGTTTGGCAGAAGTGAGTTGGGCTTTTTTCGGGCTTGAAATTGAGAAAAATGAGGTAGATCACGATTATTGAGGTGAAAAATCAAATTTGTCGGGAAATTTGGTGTTTACTAATGGTGTTTGCAGACAAAACATCAATGTTGACCAAAATTTCGATTTTCGGGATCGAAGTCTAGTCCACGAGGTATTTTGTAGCGTAGATCTCGAATTTTAAAGTTTCAAGTCTTGAAAATCAGGTCTAGAGGCTGAAAATCAAGTTTGGGTCAATTAAAGACTCTAAAAATCATGATCTACATTTAGTCGCTCAAAAATCTCGATCTTTCGACCCAGAACAGAAAAAAATTACGCTGGTCTAAAATTCCACGTAGATTTCGAATTTCGATCTCCCAAAGCTCAAAAATATGTCCAAAATGAAGATCCTCCTAATTCCAGTCAATGAGACAAGTCCATGCCTAATTGCAATGTGTTACGAGGATTCGGATTGTGTGCCAGTTGGATGTGACGTGGATGTGTACGGTAGAATCGGGTGCGGATATTTTCGATTGAACAAGTATCAGTATCAGGTAGGCATGTTTTTTCGGCATTGCTCATATTATATTCATAAGGAGTAGGATATTCAACTGAAATTCCACATAAAATGAGCAATATATTTTTCCTAACAGGGTCCTTTAAGAATTAACATTGCTCATGTTATATTTATTTTTCAGCAATGTTATATGCCTGATCGTGGCGAATTGAGTGAAGAGGATGGTTGGATGAGATGTGCGCATAGCTATGAATGTTCGGCCACATGTATTAAGGTTGGTAAAACTATTGTCAGTATAGAGTTTGCTGGCGCAAATTTGGTAATCATTAAAAATTCCCTGAATTCCAGACAGTAGCCGCTCGTTTCCGCGTCAAATGTTACGCGAAATCAGTGTGCGAAACAATCGCGCGACTTCACGACGGCGGCGCGAATGGATGTCGCGATCGTCGCACAATCGAATATTGGAAGAAGGTGGAGTCGCGATGCGGCGATCAGTGCAATTCGGATCCGATTTTTAAGCGGCACTGATTGATGTTTTTTGGGAATAATGAATATTTATGATTATATTTTTTGAGGGTGTAAACATGGAGCTTCGTTTAAAATTGAAAAATTTTTGAAATTTCAAATTTTCCCGCACAGAAGTACAGGTGTAAATGCGGAACTTCCTTTGAAAATAAATCATTTTCCCACCCATTCCCTAGGTGTAATTGCGGAGCTTCGTTTAAAATTGAACAATTTTTGAAATTTCAAATTTTCCCGCACACAAGTACAGATGTATATGCGGAGCTTCGTTTGGAAATAAACAATTTTACTGCCCAAACACCCAAGGTGTAAATGCGGAGCATCGTTTTTCTACACACAACTCTTTGACCTACCAACTAGCCGCTTTTTCTCCAGCCAATCGCGTGCAATGAATTCGAGATTGTTGACCAGCTCCCATTCCGATTACCTGAATTTTTTGCAAATTAGATACTCAGTCAAGTACGCAGCCAAATAACAAACCTGTCCTCGATGCGCAAAGCAAACCGAATTCGATTGAGCGTATTTGAGTGCAATTGTGGCGACGATCAAATCATCGATAGATTGTTTGGGCAACTGTAAAGGCGGAGTGTTGTTTGGGTGTAAAAGTGGAGTATCGTTTGAACAAACCTCCTGACACTTTCCAACAATATTCTTAAAAGTCTCCTCATTAATCACCGCATTATTCCTCTTCTGTCTGAGTCTCATCCCAAAAACTGTTCTCTCTTCTGTTTCCGATGGCAAATAATTCGGATTGATCTTCAGAATACAATAATTCCCGTTCTTTTTTTTCGCCAGCAAACTCAAAGCGGCCGGCTCGAAATCTGGTGCCAAAACTCCGTCGGAAACTTCGCGATTTATGATTTTCGCTGTCAGCTCGTCGCATTTTTCGGAAAGTGCGATGAAATCGCCGAAACTCGACATTCGATCGGCGCCTGCAAAAAAAATTGGGGATTTTTTTGCCACGTGGCATTAAAAAAAATACTGTAGATTTTTTGATCTACAAAAAAAGCTGACAATTTTCTTATTTAAAATTTGAAGTTCCCACGTGGAATCTTGTGAAAATACTGTAGTTTTTTGACGTCACAAATTATTTTAAATACATTTTATCCCAAAGAAGCTGTGGTACTGTAACAATTCACCGTAAGCTGCTCGAAATCAATTTTTCTTTATTCAAAAAATCACAGTTTACATACAGTAAGCCACTACAGTATTCTGGTAGTACTGTAGGTTCTAAAACTGTAGAGAAGGAGATACATTAAGCTGCTGGACTACTACGGTATTTACGAGTACTAAGACGTGGGTACGGTACGGTATACGGTACAGTAAGACCCTACCAACAATTGGAAGAAATCGTTGAAGACGATCTTGGATGACCCAATCCTGTTCTGTTCAAGGGGTACTGTAGGGATTTGGGAAAGGGAGTACTGTAGGTGTACTGTAGATTAAAGGAGAGTAGGATCTATGGGGTAATACTGTAGAATCTAGATAACTATCAGGGGTACTGTAGTGACTTACCTCGAGCTCTGGCATAAGCTGCGGCCAATGTGGGTTTTTTGGTGTCGAGCGGCAAATCCGCAACCATACAACACGCCGCTTCCGCGTCGTTTAAAGGAACACCAATTGCAGCGCCTGGAAAAAAATTTTTAACTGGAAAAAAAAGTTTCGCAGGCAGTAGGAATCGAATCAGGACCTTTTGAATCATAGATTTAGTATCAAAATGTTCAGAATTTCAAGTTGAATGGAATCATTTAAAACTCAGAAGCTTTAAATTTGAGAAATCTAGGATACGGTACCTCCCTTTAAATTAACTCACCAGCCGGTGAAACATGTTTGAAACTAGCGGCCGCCGGCATTTTTGTCGCATCACTCAATTCTTTCACCAATTGCCAGCCATTCAGTCCATCCAAAATATTGATATAACCCGGTGCGCCATTGAGAACTGAAAATTAATTTCAGAATTTTCAGATTTTCCAGATCTGGAGCTTTGATTTGACACCAAACATGGTGAAGTTTGGTGTCAAAATGAAGCTCTAGATCTCAAGAAAAATCTGGAAATTTCAGAGATTTTCAGAGCCTACCATCAATCCAATTTTCAGACTGCTCGTCAGACATGAATAACAATAATATTTTTATTTATAGCCGTTTTTTTTTCGGGGGTCCAAAAAACTTTTTTATGGGGATCAAAAACATAACCATATAATATATATATATATATATATATATATATATAGAAGGAAGCTATGAATTTCAAATTATGGCGGCAAAAAAAAAAGAGTTGAAATGTTCAGAGATGATTTCATTTTCTGGCTAGGTGTTTTGGGGATTTCTCTGAGATTTTCAAGAATTTTAGAGTTTTGGGTGAGATTTTTGAGCTCAGGAGCTTTAATTTGACACCAAACATTGCATATTTTGGGGAAATTTGATTTTTGGTTTCAAATTGAAGTTCCTGAGATCAAAAATCTCAAAAAATTCACAAAATTCCAAGAAAATCTCCAAAACTCTCAAAATATTCAAGCAGCGTGATTTCAAATGAGCTTTCAGCTTCAAATGAATATTTTCTGATTCCCATGGGGTTTCTAGATTTTTGAGTGATGTCAACGTGTTTTTCAGATGAAAAGCTGAAAATTGACAGATTTTGAGATGAGGTTCAATTTTTTTGGGCTAAAATCTTCTAATTTTCATGAAAAAATATCATGTTTGGTGTCAAAAATTTCAGAAAATTCAAGAAAATGCTCACCTTTGACCGGCATCTCGTCCTCAGCTATGTACAATTCAGCGTCATCTTTTTGGTGTGGATTGGTGCCTAAAACGTGGAAATTTGGCCCCAACAGTCATACAATTTTAAAATTTGAAGCTTGGTTTTCGAGTTGAAAAATGGAGCAGGAGAAAATCAAAAAGCACAAAAAAATGAGGTCTGGTTTATTTTTTCTTGGGGGGAACCACCAACAAGCTTTTCCGGTCCCAGGGGAAATATGCCAAGATTTTTTTGTTTTGTTTTTTTTTTCTAGTTATTTTTGTCTGGCTGAAAATTACAAACTTGAGCCCCAAAATTTCAATTTTCGAACCTACCGTATCTTAAAGGGAGGCTACGTTCGCCGTTTCCGGCAAATCTTCGACGCATGAAACCGCTGATGGATTCGTCGTATGAAGTTGTATGTTCGAAAGCCTGAAAAAATTCGGGCTTTTCTTTGTCTTGGAGCCCACAAATTTCGGGTTACTGTACCTCCCTTTAAACATTCTGGTCAAGTGGATTTTTTTGAAATCAAACTTGACACTTTCCATGAATTCTAGGATACGGTACCTCCCTTTAAACCTAGCAGATTCACAAATTTTGAAATTAAAAAAAAAAACAAAAACTTCCGCAGACAGTAGGAATCGATCCAGGATCCTTTACCCCATAGTTTTGTATACCCAAATGTTCAAAATTTCAAGAGGAATATTTTTATACTAACATGCTCGGGTTCGAATAGATCTAGGATACGGTACCTCCCTTTGAACCTAGTTGATCCAGAAAAACACAAAAACAAAAACTTCTGCAGGCAATAGGAATCGATCCAGGACCCTTTACCCCATAGTTTTTTGTACCAAAATGCTCCACATTTCAAGCCGAATCCCATGCTAACCTTACTACGACTCGTCGGATACTGTATCCGACCATAAATCTTGTCAAAAAGTCGCGAATTACTCTGTGATCTACTCCTCTGCTCATCGTTCATATTATTTTTCCATTTGTGAGCCATCGATGATATTCGTGACATTTTTGACGCTGCAGGATTTTTCGAGTTTAAATTTTTTTGACGTAAGAAAATTGAGCAAGAAAAAATAAATGAAAGAGCACAAAGATCTGGTAGTAGGAAGTGTCAAATTTCAAAAATTTTTAAAAATTGTTGCAACATGAAATTTTCCGACGTCAAAATAAGTTCCAAGAAAAAAAGGGTGTGTAGGAAGAAAAAATTTCCGAAAAAAATTTCAAACTGAAATTTTCCGGTTCACTAAAAACATCGGAAATCCGCCCCAAAAAAATTTGGAAAAAAATTCGAAAATTGTTCAGTGGTGGATGAAAAAATCGGATTTCTTCGTCAATTTTTTTGAGAAAAAAAAACAGAAAAGTTCAAATTCGAGCCGAGAAAATTCAATTTTCCCGGTCATACTCAGGTAGAAAAATTCCCCGGGGGAGGCTGCTAAAATGTTGTAGTTTGCCCGATTTTTGGGGCGCCAAGAAAAATTGGATTTTGCGCTCCACCGCACTTCAATTTCCTGCTTGGAGCTAAAAAATTGGGAGAATTTGACACCGAAATTGCCACGTGGCAACATTTTGAACACATTTTAAATTTAAATTCAAAAATAATCGCAATCAATTTTTAAATGAAAAAATTCGAAATGAAAAACTGGCGGGAAAAAATAGTATTTTAAAATTCGAATTTTTTGAACAGAAACAAAAAAAAACAATTTTTTCTCATTTCTAGCGCCTCAAAAACAACAAGACAAATGAAGAAAAGGGATTAGTTCGGGACCGAAAAAAAGTACTGCGATTATATTTTTGTGTGTGTTTTTCGGCACCGAAAAAAAATTTATTTGAAAATTCATTTTTGACACCGAAAAGTCTCACAGGAAACTTCAAAAACCATCAAGGAAATTAGAGAAAAAAGTTTAAATTAAAAAAATGTCACATTTTTCTCGCGCGAAAAAAATGTTGTTCAATAAAAAAGAGCAAAGTTTTTCTTTTGACACTTGGAACATCTGGAAAATTTTTTCTTTTTAAAAATTGACGCCGAATTTTCAAAAAGAAAAAAAATCATTTTTCAAAAAAAATTTTTGAAATTTTTTTTGGGAAAAATTATGGGACACTTGGGAGTTAACCGAACTCCGAAATGTCGCATTTTTCATTATTTTTTGGTGGCGGCTTGGATTCAAATTTTGAAATTAAATATGAAAACTTTTAGAAAATTCATTTTTTTTCATTACTCAAAAAATTCAAATTTTGTTGAAAAAAATTCTGAATTTGGAATTGTTTAAGACCAGAGAAAAAAAACCTCCAAAAAACTTTGAAAAATTGGCCGTGTGGGTAGCCATCATCAGAAAAAAGTTAGTCACAACCGGCCGAAAAAAGTGGAGGCACGCAAAAAAAGATAGATTTAAATTCATTTTACGATGAGAAGAAGAAGAGGGACAAAAAGAGGGACCTAAAATCGAACTTTTTGCAAAAATTACTTTTTTTGGAGGAGTGCGAAAAAAATTGAAAATGGAAATTTTGGATGAAATTTTTAAAAAAATGAACTAAAAATTTATAGTCAAACATTTTATGATTTTTTTTTGAATTTTTCGAAATCCATTTTTGTAATTTTTCACGTGAAGATTTTTGACTCAAAAGCTACTTATTTCATATGAAAATTGAGTTTTTTTGAGCAAAATTTGGAGCTCATTTCTGCGGCTCGGACTGGAGCTCAGCAGCTAATTTTTGCGAAATCGTCATTAGCACGTCGAGTTACCTAATCGTAAGACTGAACTTACCTTATTTCAAAACCCGTTATCACCCATGCAAGTTTGAATTTTCAAATTTCCCGGACAAGTTCAGAAAAATTCAAATTTTCAAATTTCCCGCCCAAAATTCCCTCCATGTACTTCTCCCGGACATGTCTCAAAAATTTTTTTTTGAAAAAAACTCACTTTCAGTGCCAATTTTTGTCGTCTCTCCGTAGAAGTTCCACCAGTTTGAAGCTGAAAAATAATTATTTGTTTTTTTTAGAGAATTTGGGGACCAAAAAGCTTAGTCTTATTGTTAGCGCAAGAAAAAATCATAAAACCTCGTGTTTTCGGCGCCAAAAACAAATTAATAACCCGAGACGAAGTGGTCCCCAGGGGATGTGGACCACTTGTTCGCGGGTAAAAAATCACGCATACATACCTCTTTCAAAATCGTCTCGTAGTCTAGCGGGTCACAGACTACGGTAACACGTTGGTGATTTTTGGCGGCGGCTCGAAGTAAAGTGACTCCACCTGAAAAAAATTCCAATCCACGTGGCAAAATTCTGAGCTCGTGGCTCTGAAAAAAGCAAAAAATCTCAGATCAGAGAAATTTAGGCCACACCCATTTTTCTGCGCCGCCTTAAAAGCTCTATTGTTTTTGTCCCATTTTCTTTTCAAAATTAATTTTCCGGTTCACTGAATTTTTCCGGTTTGAATGAAGAAAGAGTAAAGATTCATATCTCCCTCTAGGCCACGCCCACAAAACCGCGCCGCACTTACTCACCAATATCAATATTTTCCACAGCGTCCGTCAAAGAAACGGCCGAATTTGACGTGACTTTTTTGAATGGGTACAAATTGCACACGACCACCGAGACTAGCGAAATGTTGTGTTTCTGCAAAAAAAACCTTAGGTGGTCCTTAAAAGGGGGCGTGGTCTATTTTGGACCGAAAGTTGAGAAAAAACTTAGTTAACATAGAAATAGGAATGAGAAAAAGTGCAAATTGGCTCTTTTTCGGGAAGAGGATTAGGCTTATCCCCTTAGGCAAAAAGGGGCGTGGCCTGGAATTTTGGAAGAGCCTAATAAGGTCTACTTGAAAGTCTGGATTTGGCTGCGTATCTCGTTAGATACTCAGCTATACATTTAAAACTTTAGATCTAATCCTAGCCTAGCTCTAATTCAGTGTACTTCTCTCGGACGAAATTCTCAAAGAAGGGGCGTGGCTCACCTGCAAATCTGCGGCATCGTCTTGAGTTTCGCGCGCCAAAATTCCACCATGAACAGCTGGGTGAAGGGTCTTGACACGGCCTCCTAACATCTCTGGGAATTTTGTGATGTCAGCAACGTCTCTGCAAAAAAAAAAGTGTGCCAGGGTTGCAGAGAAGCTCCGCCTCCTTTTCAGCGTACCTGACTTCAATTCCAGCTTCTCGGATGGCTTTCGCAGTTCCACCGGAGGCTACCAGGCCCAATCCGGCCTCCGAAAGCCCGCGGGCCAACGGGATAAGCCCGGTTTTGTCGCTGACAGAAATGATGGCTGGAAAAAATTGAACTTGAATTTTTTCGCTCCAAAATTCGACCTACCCAAATCCTCTTCTCCCGACATTTCGTTGACAAAATCGGCGAGTTCCGATACCTTAAAATAACCACCGGACATTTTGAGAATTATGTAGACTGAGTATCAAATGTGTGAGGTACGCAGCCAAATTTGGAGGTCCAAAATGTGTTGGCGAAAACAAAACAAAAAGTTTTTTTTGTTTTTTTGTGTGTGTGTGTATATTCTTTTTTTCAACCCAAAAATAGGGAATAATCACAGGAAGGAACAATTTTTTTGAGCTGAGAAAATCGCATTTTCGCTGCGTACCTCGTTAGATACTCAGACAACAAAAACATGCAAAACGTGCAGCTAAGAAATATAAAATTCACGAAAAATGAAAAAAAAACAACGAAATGAATTTTTTTTCTGATTTTAATGTAGATCAAAAAAAAAATTTTAATGTAGATCGAAAAATTTATTTTTTTGTCAATGAAAAACAGAAGTTTTTCAAAAGCAAAGAAAAACGATAATAAAAAATGTTGTTTTTTGGCTGATAAAAAATATTTGACCTTTTCATTATATATTTTTGATGGACATTTAGCAGACAAAACGAGCAAAGAACACATTCTGCCGAAAATTAGAAAAAAAAACAGATTCTACCGAAAATTTGAGCATTGCTCATGTCAAAATCATAATTTTTCAAACATTGCTCACACCGTTTTAATCTGATAATAAAACAGCAAAAAAAATTCTAAAATCCTCCCCTTATAAAAAACGAAATCACTGAAAATTTGGCGTCACATTAAATGTTTCCATCAATAATGTGCAAACACCGCTTCGTTTTTTGAAAAATCAACGCGCGTTGCGAGACACGGGAGAAAAATTGTGTGCACCTTTGATGAGGGGTACGGTAAAAGTATTCGTGAATTTTTATTTATTTTTTTCTTTTTTTGAGGGTTTGAGCGCTGCAATTTTTAGAACATCTAACACCCTTATTGTAACTTCAGGGGATTTTTTTCTTCAAAACGGGAACCCCCCCCTCTAACTCTGACTTTGAGAATAGATCACATCAAAAGTATAACAGTTGGGAACCCTGAGATTCTCTCCAACTACACTTCACGAAGAGTATACTAGTAATAAAACAGCAACGACAAAAACACACAAATTTTTGAACGAGTGCGCAACATGCAGTTTTTATCAATGGGGCGCACTTCCATCTTTACTTTTATTTTCTTGTTTTTGTTTTTCGAAAAATGTTTCTTTCACGTATTTTTTTTTGTTTTTTCATGAATTTGAATAAAACTTGTTGTTAAATTCGTATTTATCTTTTTTCCCAGTACAAGTAACATAATTTTAGTTGATTTTTGATAGTATTATACGAAAACTGGTGCTAAACAAGCTATTTTATGAAAAAATATACTTTCTTGAATTTTTCTTACTGTTGGTTTACTTTAAAATTTTGTCATTTCAGGAAAATCGTCAGCGAAATGGTCGAAGCATCGGAACAATCAACGAGGAAAATTTTGCTCAAATGATTTTTCGAGGAAAACTGGAGGAAATGTGAGTTTTTTTTGGGATTTTGAAAAAAATTTGATATTATTCAACAAAGACAGCTTCATTATATCATCATAATCATCATCAAAAAAGAAGAGATCAAACAAAAAATCCAAAAATACATTTTTTGGCGCATGGTGGAAAGAAGAGAGAGAGAGAGAGTGGGAAAATAAGAGAGCGACTAGAGAATCAGACGAAAAACATTTGAAAGTTATCAGAAAAGCAGTTGATCGAGGTCCAAAAGTTCGGCATTTGGGTCGTGTGATCGTTTTCCGAATCGAATATAACCGCTACGTTGTTTGCCTTGACGTTTTTCGGACAAAGAACCTCCTCGATCTGTAAAAAATGTGTGCGAGGGTTGCAGAAAAGGGGCGTGGCTTCATTTTGATACTAAATACTATAGGTTTTTTTTTAAATAGGATTGCTTCTAGCTTTCTTTAGACTCTGTGAAAAACTGTGCCGCAAAATTGCAAAAAAATTTAGCTCCGCCCACTTTCCCCCCGCTAAATTATAGCCAACATTAAATTTTAATTCGATACATTTTTCAAAACTCACGATATTCATTAATCGGAACTGACGTCACAAGGCAGAAAATCAAGGAGAAGATCAGGAAAAGCAAACATTTGAATTGCATTTTGTTAATGAATCACCTGAAATCAAACGTTTAACTGAGTATCAAACGTGAAGATACGCAGCCAAAAGAATACGAAGAAAACCCTATAATTTCTAGTGACCTTAGGCGACTAAAAACAGTCCTTAATTAAGTGAGTATTGAACGTGGAGGTATGGATTTCAAAAAAAGCCTATAATTTCTAATGACCTTAAGAAGGCTCTAATTAAGTTTCCTGGCTGAGTATCAAACGTGAAGATACGCAGCCAAAATACTGCTATACGACGACGACGATTAAAATAATCTCTTCTGGTCAGAAAGCACTCCAGCTGGAAAGGGGGCGGAGCCTCTCGAACAAGCTCCACCCCTCCACCACCATCAAAAAACCAGCAGCACAGCCTTTCAGAAATTGGAGCTAATCACACGAAAATGCACGTAGTTAGGAACGAAATCAGGAAAACGAACAAAAAAATTGTCGTTGGTGGGAAAACACAAAATAAATATTCAATTCATACATAGTAGTAATAGGACTTTTCAATGGCGAGAAAATTTTATTTTTGGAAAAAAAAGCGTGAAAACATGTTCTCCAAAAGTACACACAGTGTGTGGGAATTTTTGGGAGGTGATGTGGTTTTTTTAGGCATGGTCTAGACTTGATTTCGACCTAGGCTTAACGGATTCATGCTTTGTCAAAGAGTTTGTAGGCTTGATTTAGGTTCAGGCTAGATCGTAAGATGTTAAGCTTAGTCTAGGCTTTATCTAGGTTTATGGTTAGGCTCATTTCAGGCCTAACACATGTTAGGCTTCTTTTTCTTCAGGCATGTTTAAAGCCCTGATTTTAGGGGGTCTGTCTAAAAACAGTTAGGCTAATTTCAGGCTCGTCAAAAATATCTAGGTCAATTTTAGGCCCATCTAGGCTTTGCCAAAGTTATCAAGAGCTCTTAAAAAACAACTATACAAAAATATATATCCCCCGCTGTTCCAAATGTCCAAAAACTATCCGATTTCAAAAAAAAATCCCCCAAAAGCTTTGCTCCGCCCCCAAAATTTGACCTACTGCCCCCCCCCCCCCCCAAAACTTTCTCGTCGAGAAAACAACTTTTTCTTGTGTGTGAAATGTAAAATCGAAAAAGTTATTAGTATTAGTATTTATATTAATCAAACATAGTTTTTTTCCCGGCAGAAAAAAGAAGACCTTGACATTTTTGGCGCGAAAATTGTAACACAGAAAATGAGTTTGAAAATGTACAAAAAAAAGAAGGGGAAGGGTAATTTTCTGCACCATTTGATACGAACACATAACAATGATGGTTGGGGTCTTAATTGGCCTGAGACGGGCCTGGGAGGGCCTAATTTAGTACCTATATGGTTTTGAGACTGCCTATGATGAGCCTTAACACAGCAAATTAAGCTTAATACCTAGATTTTGAAAATTAATTTTTTGAGAGAGTCTACTAGGTCTTCTCGAATTAGGCCTACCTTTAGGCCTACTTTCAGGCTCACCGGCCCAAATCAGGCCTAATCTCATCCCACTCATCTCCCCTTTGATTATTGAAATCTCTAATGGACAAACTTCCGGATTATCAATTTTCTCTCTGCACAAACACACACTTAAAATGATGTAAATCTGACCTTGTGCAGCAATTTCTCTACGTCTCTCAAATCTGTTCTCAGGTGCTCCAATTTACTTAGCATAACTTGATTATACGCAGAATTTTCCCACGATTTCCGAAAAATTCTTGGAAACGGAAATAAATTTGACTAATTTTTTGAAGAAAAAAAAGTTTTTATTTATTGGCAAGAGCAAAAATTAATCTTTTTATTTATTTTTTTTTGTTCTCAAAAAATAACAATTCAAAAAAAATGAAAAAAATAAGGAATTTTTTGAGTCATCTGATTTTTTCAACAAAAAAAATTTTTAGCGATAAAAATAACCTAAATTTGGCCTTGGAAAACAGTTTTTACAACCCGTGGTTGGAACAAAAATGTGATGCTAAAAATATTTTTGAAAATATTATTTTTTGGCAATTCAGACTTGAAACATTTTGGTAGATCAAAAACTTTGGGCTTGCCACGTGGCAAATTCAAATCAAAGTTTTTATGGAATTTTTCTTTTCAAATTCTGGCTAAAAATACCACGTGGCACTATACTACATAGGACAAGAAACCAGATGTTCCCAAAAAAAAATAAATGCGAAAAAAATCTGAACATCTGTAATCACCAAAAAAAATGATGAATATGTAGTTAGAAAAAAAGAACATCTGGTTTTTTTGGTCAGCAAAAAAAATTGCGCAAAAAATGATAGCAAATAAATTTTGAAAGGGACTGGCCTGAAAAATGGGAAAAAGCTAAGCCTAAATCAAGCCTATTCTAACCAAGTCCGAGTTTTCCAGCAGCCAAATTTTTTCAGCAAGAAAAAAAGCATTTTTTTGGTCTCACTGAAAATGATTTTATGATCGTATAAAACCCGAAAAAGAAGCGACCGATAATAAAATTTTTAATAACATTTTCTGAAAATTCCGCGCATTTTTCGTGTCTAAAAACATTTAGATCGTAAAAATTTTGTGGCCTTGTAAAATACGGTGACTTGAGGAAAAAAACAGAAATTTTCTTATTTTTGAAAAACGGTGAAAAATAGTTGTAAAATTTCGAGCATCATTGAAATTTGGACCGGGACCAAAAAAAATGATATAAAATTTATGGAATTTTTGAAATCGCGTGTTTCAAATTTTGGTAGAAAATTTGAAAAATTTGGAAAAGTCAGGCCTATTTTAGGCCGACTTAGGCTTTTCAAAATCTAGGCTCATATTAGGCCTCCAAAACCCCAAAAAAGCCCATAAAATACGTGTTCAAATAATAAAACTCATCAAATAAATTATAAAACCTCCTCACAGCCCCAAAATCATAAACATTTTTCTTTTACAAAGGACTGGGGGAGGCCTCAATAATTTTTTTGTTTATTTATTTTTATCGCCTCCCCCTCCTGGAAAAGAAATATGTATTAATCCTGTGCTCTTTGCACTTTTGGAGCACAGCAAAAAATTGTGCAAAATGACAAAAAGTTGGCTCAAAAAGATGAGTCAGCAGAAAAATTGGCACACACACGGTGTAAAAATATTTGATTTGATTTGATATGAAACAATTTTGAGATCAAAAACAGAAAATTGAAAATCGAAGTCGATTTATTGCAAAATTTTGAGAGGAGCACTTGAAAATGGTAATTTTTTTGGAAATTTTGAAAGAGACGCAGAGAGAAATATTGCCACGTGGCAAGGAAGTTTTGGGAGTACTGTAGGAAGTTTTTAGGCTCATTCAGGCCCTTTTTAGTAAAAAAAAAGCCTGAAAAATAGGATTTTCTAGCCTCAAACAATCTCCTAATTTCTAGACTTGGTAAATTTTCAGTTAAATTTTAAAGACTGAAATGTGTATTAAGTGGTTCTTAAAATAATCATTTTTGTTTAAAAATTCGACATTTTTGCGTGTAAACGTGTCCACGTCATTGAGAAAAAATGCCACGTCACTCAGAAAAAAATAACAATCAGTTCGAAAATCAGCTCATTCTTATTTTTCTATCCGGCCAAAAACTATGAAAGTTTTAACAATTATTATCATTTGTATAATCACTATTTCTATATTTTCCCGCCAAATTTCTGCAAATCCATGCCAACTCCGAGAGAGGTACACGGGAAAAGTTTTTCCAAAAACTTTGTTCGTTTTTATTGCCGCGTTCAGTAATGGAAACAATGAGGTACTGATATATTATTCACTTTTATTATTAAGGAAAACATTTGAAATGTTTCAGATGCGTCAAGTTTTTCATGTGCTCCAACAAATTGCCTGCTCAATACCGCAAAATCAAGAATTTAGTTTTATGACTTATTCTCATTATAAAGAAGAATTCTCGAATTTGATTTACCTGAAAAACGGTTTGACCTATGATTCTAATCATTGTGGGTTTATTTCCAAAATTTTAGACATTTTGTTTTTGAAATTTGTATTTTAATACATGTTTTTTTTTCAGACGCTACTGGTATCAGCTGTGAATTTTATGGAGAAAAAATAAAAAAATATCATATCGAAAAAACTTTTGATCGAATCGAGATAATTGTAAATCTGCCCGAATCATCTCCAAATTATTGTCATGCCTCAAAAATCATCGAACTAATCAAAGATCTCGATTTTCACGTTCATCTCAATCTGATTCAATATGATTCGTCGGAAAATCCCGGATTCAAAACGCTTGTGATACCTGATCTTTCCAAGATTAAATATGATCAAGAAGCGTCGAATGAATTGAAAAATGCGGCGAGAAAATTGTGAGTTTTCGAGGGGAATCCTGAAATCAACAATTTGTTTCCAGCGTCGACGACATTCTCGAAATTCCACCCGACGATCCAAAGCCGAATATCGACACAAAAGTTTTAATTTCCGGATTGATTGGCTTCACAGTTGGAATATTGGTACCACTTTTGATTTTCGCCATAATTTGGTACAATTTCCTGAGGGAACCCGAAAAACCAATGACGCCGCTATTTTATAACGACAAGACTGAAAGTTCGGAAATATTCAGACATGACGATTTGGGTGACAAAACAACTGTGGTCACAACAGAAATTGCACCACAGAAGGCAACGCCTGAAAAACCGATGGAGAAAATCGTGGTTAAACAAGTTGCTCCAGAAATTCCGCGGAAAATCGATAAACCGGCTGAGAATTTGGAAACGCTGAAAGAAGAGAGTCATAATTATGATGATACTTATGGAACTGTGCCCAAAAAACAGGCTCCGAAAAAAGTTGCCCCAAAGAAGACGGCGCCTAAATTTCCGCGAAAAATCGATAAACCGGCTGATTGTGAGAAGGATTTTGAAAAATACAAAGAAGAGAGTCATACTTATGATGATACTTATGGAACTGTGACAAAAGTTGCTCCAAAAAAAGTTGCACCGAAGAAGACGACGCCTAAAATTCCGCGAAAAATCGATAAACCGGTCGAAGATTTTGAAAAACTGAAAGAAGAAAATCATAATTATGATGATACTTATGGGCCTGCGCCGAAAGTTGCGACTAAAAAACCGCCGGCAAAAAGCGTGCGAAAATCAAAGGAGAAGGACAAAGTGGAAGTTGTGGAGAATAATACGCAAACTCAAGAAATGACAAAAACAGTTGGCACAACTCAGGATACGACTCATTATTAATTAATTTTTTTAAATCATTTACTGCTTTTAAAATAAATTTTTTCGTCTTCTACTATAGATTTCACACTAGAATTCAATTAATTAGCAATTATAAACATCCGATTTCTAATTTTGCTTTTCAAAAATCAATAAAAAACAAAAAAACAAAAACTAGGCTCCGCCCCCTTGTCACACAAAGCTTGTCATCGCACAAAACCCGGCAAGCGTCGGCACCATAGGTGTTTTTCCCATTAAATTACCCTCGGGGTTAAAGACCTATGACGAACTCGAATTAAAAAGTTAAAGACCTATTTTACACTGAAAAAAAAAACCTTTTTTTACTAAAAATTTATTTCCCAGCATGCTTTCCCGAAGGAAGGAAAAATCTCTGAATTCACTTTTTCTTCAAAGATGCGCAGAGTTTCCTCAACAAATTCAATTCAATTCAAATTCAATTTTGCGTTTTCCATCACGTGAAATATATAAACGTCTCTCATCGCCGACAACTCGCTGGTACGACCACACGCGATCCTCCTCATTGCACCTGGCTCCGCCCACTTTGTTTTTTCTTTTCTTTTTCTTTATTTTCACAGAAAATTCGAATCAAAACCAAAACTAATATTCTTGTAGGCAACCAAATGAGCTAAAAATTTTCACAGCCCTTCTACAGGTAATTTCGCATAGTTTCAATCCAGTACATTTCATCATAAAGACCTCCAAAAGATTTAGGAGACCTCAGCAGCAAAGTTTAGCGTTTCACTAAACTTTCCTGCTGAGGTCTCCTAAATCTTTTGGAGGTCTTTATATTAAGCCGGTGGGTCTTCTAAACAAGCTAAATATCTTGAAGAATAACTGTGAAAATTTTCATCTCATTTGGTTGCCTACAACAATATAAGTTTTGATTTTGATTTGAATTTCCAGTGAAAAACAAACGAAAAAAAAAGAAAAAAAAGTGGGCGGAGTCACTGCAATGAGAGAGATAGCGTGTGGCGCTACCAGCGAACTGTCGGCGATTAGAGATATTGAAATATTCCTTGTGATGCAAAATGAAACAAGGGGAAATTTTTGTGGAAACCCTGCTCCTCTTTGAAAGAAGAAGCTGATGCAGAGGTAATTTTGATGACTTGAGAAATTAATAATAATTTTTTTTCATAAAAGTTAAGGACCTATTTTTCATGAAAAATAAAAAGGTTAACGACCCTATTTTATACTTTTCCGGACCAAAAACATGTATGGTCGGCACACTCGGAAATTTATATACACTGTGCTCTAGTTATGTTATCGCCCAGTGGCGGTGGCGAAGCTCTTGTCAATTTTTTTTTAAATTTTAATTTTCTCGTGTTGACCTGCCACGTCAAAACCCAGATCAAAAATCTCCCGCATTCCTATATTTCCATGGCATTGAAAACTATGAAAATTGGAACAATTACCATAAATATTGCTATACCAACTTTCTGGCAACTCCGAGAGAAATACATGACACATTCTTTTTTGAAAATAAATTTATTGATTGTAGTTTGTGTGCTTTGTCAAAAATCATGATCAATAGCTGACAATAAATAAATAATTTATTTATAAAAAAAAACAAAATTTTGAAGATTTTCGGCTATCCAGAAGAGATCAGGATCTGAAAATTCCGGATTTTTGGGTTATGACTTGGCAAAACTAGGGCTCACCACAACAATCAAAATCACACTGATCAAAAACATCAAAACACTAGCAACCAATTGAATTTTGACACCAGTTAGCGAAACTTCTTTGCCTTTCACATGTTTCATCTCACTTTTCTTCCCATTTTTCTTCGGTTTTTTGTCGTATTTCGAATTCTTTTTGCCTTTTCCACCTTTTTTCAGCGTTTTGATGGATTTTGAGCGAGTTTTGGTTTTGGTGGCTGATTTTGATTTGGATTCTGATCGCGACGCCGATTTCTTCTTAATCGCCGGATTCTTCGATTTTCTTGTCGAGCCTAATGGATCCGAAACGGGCGGTGGAGGCGCGGCAAGCTGTAAAGTTTGAATTTTTCGTTGAAACTACACAGAATGCGTCAAGACTGACCATAGGTGTTTTTCCCATTAAATTACCCTCGGGGTTAAAGACCTATGACGAACTCGAATTAAAAAGTTAAAGACCTATTTTACACTGAAAAAAAAAACCTTTTTTTACTAAAAATTTATTTCCCAGCATGCTTTCCCGAAGGAAGGAAAAATCTCTGAATTCACTTTTTCTTCAAAGATGCGCAGAGTTTCCTCAACAAATTCAATTCAATTCAAATTCAATTTTGCGTTTTCCATCACGTGAAATATATAAACGTCTCTCATCGCCGACAACTCGCTGGTACGACCACACGCGATCCTCCTCATTGCACCTGGCTCCGCCCACTTTGTTTTTTCTTTTCTTTTTCTTTATTTTCACAGAAAATTCGAATCAAAACCAAAACTAATATTCTTGTAGGCAACCAAATGAGCTAAAAATTTTCACAGCCCTTCTACAGGTAATTTCGCATAGTTTCAATCCAGTACATTTCATCATAAAGACCTCCAAAAGATTTAGGAGACCTCAGCAGCAAAGTTTAGCGTTTCACTAAACTTTCCTGCTGAGGTCTCCTAAATCTTTTGGAGGTCTTTATATTAAGCCGGTGGGTCTTCTAAACAAGCTAAATATCTTGAAGAATAACTGTGAAAATTTTCATCTCATTTGGTTGCCTACAACAATATAAGTTTTGATTTTGATTTGAATTTCCAGTGAAAAACAAACGAAAAAAAAAGAAAAAAAAGTGGGCGGAGTCACTGCAATGAGAGAGATAGCGTGTGGCGCTACCAGCGAACTGTCGGCGATTAGAGATATTGAAATATTCCTTGTGATGCAAAATGAAACAAGGGGAAATTTTTGTGGAAACCCTGCTCCTCTTTGAAAGAAGAAGCTGATGCAGAGGTAATTTTGATGACTTGAGAAATTAATAATAATTTTTTTTCATAAAAGTTAAGGACCTATTTTTCATGAAAAATAAAAAGGTTAACGACCCTATTTTATACTTTTCCGGACCAAAAACATGTATGAGACTGACGTATTTGTGGTTGTTTTTTCAAAATTGGATGGAAATTTTGTGGAGTTAGCTAAAAATTCACTGAAAATCTCACATTAGTCGGCACAAAAAACTCATAACCATCGTCCTCTTTTTGTGCACTCATATTTTTTTCGTTTGCACTTGCTAAAATCACATAAATTAAAAATAAGAGCGTTTGAGAAGTTGATTTGAAAAAAAATAATACAAAAAATATGTCACGTCAAAAATGATTTATTTTTTGTGGGATTTAATTCCAAATATAGTTTCGCAGCAAAAAATTCAAATATTTATTGTTATACAAAAAATACAGATAAATTCCAAATATATTCAGATATTTTTCAATAATCTCTACGTAAATCGATAGCTAATCGATTCCGAAGCCGGATGTTCTACCGTATATCTAATCGGCAAATTGCGATGTTGGCCCGGTGCCAGAACAATCGTCCACTCTAAATTATGATCTTTGTTGAGACGAGCCTCCGAATTACAGGCGTCGATGTGTTGTTTTTTGGCTGAAGAAGGATTCGAATTTGCACGGCATTCCGGTTGAACTACAGCTACTTTTATCTTGTCATCGTGACTTTTTGGGATTTGCTCTTTTATTGTGATTCTTACACTGTGTTTGACTTTGGCGTTTCGCACGCTGATTATTTGCTCGTGGCTCATTAGAGTGCTTTTTGACATGAAGCCTACCTGAAATTATTGTTTTTTATAGAAAAAATGCTGAATTTTCCCGTGGAGACCAAAATTTTTGGGAAAAGTTATGTTCCTTTGAAGCTCCTGGTCTCCACGCGAAAAAACCTTTAAAAACTCACTTGCTCATAGGTGACCGAAGGTGTTTTATATTCCACTTTGATCGACGCATCCACACCCATATTACATCGGAATTCACCGCCAGGTGGTACCAAGCGGAGATGTGTCTGAAACTTTTTAGTTTTGGTTAAGGGCTTTAAAGCTTTGGGTAGCTTAAGGTGCTTAAAGTTTTTAATTTAGAAAACATCAAGCCTTCAGGTAGCTTCAAGGGCTTAGAAGCTTTAGGATCTTGAAAGTTTTGGGCTGATTTTTCTCCCTCGAGAAGATATTCTCAAGGATCTTAAGATAAAGACACTACAACCTTAATGACCTTAAGGACTTTACTCACCTTAGTTACGTAACAATTATTCACATAAACCGCCGCAGGTCCAGCCAAAAGTGGAAGTTGTGAAGTGTTTGTAATAATCGCTGACAAAAAAGCGTGCGTACTCTTGGAAGGTACACTTTCATGACTGAAAGCACACGACAAATCACTTTTACTAATCAATAATTTATGTTCCGCTCCATTGCTCATAATAGTGACATTTCTCGGAATCGCAAAACATGTTGAAATCGAGCCGGTTGAATTTTCCACACCTTCTAGAATACTGATGCTATCACTTCCAGATTTTGTAGTCGAGTTCAGGTTGGTTAGACGGTGTAGTGCTGCAGCATCACAGATCTCATTGTAATCAAAGCTTCCAAAACCCATATCCTCTTCGCTGGGCGCACTTGCAGCTTTGTTGCGACGAGCGGAAGTGTGACGTCGCGCGAGACTCGCCGAAAGTGTGCCCAACGGGGGTGCACTTCCGCCAAGACTTGCGGAACATGTGGAGAGCACGAGTTCACAGTTTGTCCAATCGTCGCCAGTGTTTTGCTCGACTAGACCGTAATAGCAGAGTTGGACGGAGCTGGCGGTGGGAGGCGCGGTGTCATCTTCAGCGGTTGAGGCGCGGATATCGTAGGCAGGTTTCCAGGAGGCGCAATACACTTGGTAGGTTATATAGAGGTCGACTGCGTTGCGGGATTCTTCCATTTCAACGACGATGCTGATGTTTCTGGAATTTTTGCTTGGTTTTTGGGGTCTAGGGGTAAATTTTTTTTAAACCTTATCCTAGTACCTTAGTTTAGCCTTATCCTAAGCCTTATCCTAAGCCTTATCCTAAGCCTTAGCCTAAGCCTTAGCCTAAGCCTTAGCCCAAGCCCTCATGCCCTAGAAATCCAAAACCAAATTTTCTAGGCGACCAAACCATCTCCTAATCCCTAAAAATTCTCCAGAAAAATCTTCTTCCTTCTTTTTTCCAGCCAAAAAAAAAACAGTTTTCCACAAATGATAAGCGATATGATTTGTTTTTTGTTTCGCTAGAAAAAAAACTCGGATCAAGTTTTCTATCTATCTATCAGCTTTTGTCATCCGAGAGAACTACACAGTTTTTCCCCACAAAAATCCAGTCCTGGCAACAATCAAACAGCACTTTTTTTCAGCGCGCGGCTGAAAAAATCTGAAACTTTTTTTGCGTGTGCGCGGACGGGCGCGGCGCCACTCGCTCTTAGCAAGTCCGCTTAACGATGTTATATATATAAAGTGTTTGATGTGGGAATTATCGTATTTTTGTTTTGGGTTTGGGTTTAGAGAAGCCTTATTTAGGCCTTTGGTTTTCAGAGAAAAATGTTTAATTTTTTTTAAGCCTGAAATTCTCAATCATACGCTGTTAGGCTTCAGATTTTGGATAGCCCTAGGCCTGATAATCCTTTAGTCTCAGCCCTAAGCCTAGAGTATCCTAGTCAGGCTAAGATAACCGTATAAGCCCAAGCCTAATTTTTGTAATTCTTTGATTCCATAACCTCTAAATATTCATAGTAGTACTCGCTAGACTATAAGTTATCTCAAGGCTGGACTCCTTAACAGCTAACCCTGTCTAGCAGTCAGTGCTTGAAACACTTTCTTTTATCACTTTATCCCTTGACACCCAAACCTTCTCCAAGCTCTGCTCCTTGATCTCAAAAGCTTTTGCTTCACCAGACCCCTAGAGGTTCCCAGCCTCACTCCAAAATTTCCAATTTTCCAGATGGTAGACCTAAAAGAAAACCAGGCGATGAAAAAGTTCGCCTTCTTCGGTATCGCCGCCTCAACAGTCGCCACACTTACAGTTATCCTAACTGTTCCGATGCTTTGCCTTTACATGCAAAACATCCAATCGGGTCTTCAAGACGATCTCAACTTCTGCAAATCACGAACTGATTCGTTGCGTGGAGAGTACGCTAATTTGCGCGCCTCTTCGCAACAACGTGGCAAGCGTGCTGCGGCTTCTGCGGAAAAATGCTGCTCTTGCGGAACTGGCGCTGCTGGACCAGCTGGACCACCAGGAGATGATGGAGAGCCAGGTCCAGATGGAACTCCGGGTAAACCAGGAAACAATGGGGAAGACGCGAAACCTGATCAACTCCCAACACCCGAAGATTTCTGCTACAACTGCGCACCAAGCCCAGTCGGCCCACCAGGTCCACCAGGTCCAAAGGGAGCTGACGGAGATTTGGGAGGACCAGGAGAGCCAGGACCAGCTGGACGTCCAGGAAACAAGGGAGCTCCGGGACCAGTTGGACCAGCGGGAGCCGATGGGGAACCTGGAGAGACTGGGCCATCTGGAGCACCTGGAGTTCAACGAAACGTTGCAAGCCCGGTTGGCGAGCCAGGAGAGCCTGGAGAGGTTGGAGAACCTGGGGAACCTGGAGCAGATGGACGACCTGGACAACCGGGAAGACAAGGAGCACAAGGAAAACCTGGAGAGAATGGAAAAGATGGGGAAAATGGAAAAGATGCGGAAGATGGAGAGCCTGGAAAGCCTGGAGAGCCTGGACCAACTGGTAAGTTATGGTTTCTAGATCTTCCTGGAGATCGCATAGCTTGTCAAGAGCTCCCATTTGATAATGTATTTTTTCCAGGATCTTGCGATCACTGTCCACCACCACGTACCGCACCAGGATACTAAATCGATTTACCCTAACTTATTTTTGTCTATATACCATTTTTGTACCATCACACACCATTTTGGCGGGTTCTATATCACAACAACACATAAACCAATTATGCATAATTTCTTCTTTTTTTTGGGCCCAGGCTTTCAGGATCAGCAAAAATACTTCGGGCTTATAAAAACTCGACTCGGGCCCACAAATCTCTTGACAGGTTTAAGATTGTTCTATAGGCTTAGGCTTAGGCTTGTCAGAACCTAGACTTAGGCTTAACCCAGGCCACTCAAGTCTACGGCACTGGTTTAGGCTTAGCCAAGAGCCTAGGCTTATCCTAAGCCTAAGTCAATTTCCTAGACTTAGCTAGAACTCTAGGCGTAGGCTTAGGCTTAACCCTCCCTCCTTCATCCCCGAACCACAATCTCACCTCTTAACCGAATCATACTCTGCACCACATCTCAACTGATCAACCTGTCTCTCGATTTGCTCGATTCTCTCCGTCAACATCTCACTCTCCCTCTGTTTCCTCCTCAACTCGATCTTCATCTCTCGCACCGCATCTCCATAATACTTCAAAAACTTGGCCAGATTCTCCAGACTGTCCTGATTGAAAGCGGCGGCGCCGAAGAATCGTCCAGTTTCCGTCGCGGCCCCCGTAAAAATTCCCGGCGACGGCGGTTCATTCACCGTGTGTCGACGGGCTAGCAAATTTGGTTGCGATGCCACGTGGCATGGTGGAAGTGGTTGGAGTGGAGTGGGGGCTGAGGAGGCGGAGATTTGGGCGGCGACACCGTCTAGAACTTCGATGCGTTTTTGGATTGAGATACATTCGTCGTCGAGGCAGAAGCGTTCGGTTTCGAGGTCTAGTTTTTGGTGCTCGAGGTTGATTATCTGGAGAAAGTTAGGCTAGGCTTTTTAGCTCGAATCCTGTAAGCAATCTTGAAGTACCTGAGAACCGCAAGGTTGTTTGTAGGCTTAGGGCTTAGGACTTCGGATAACTTAAAGAGAAGTTTTAGTAGGATAGGGTCTTAAAGAGCTCAAGATCTAAGGTCAGTATACTTTCTTGAAGTTCTCAAGCCCCCTAACGACTTTAAGGCCCAACTTACCTTATCATTCTCAATAGTCATATCATTAGGCATTTCCTGATATTGCACCTCTTGAATCAAAACACCGTGTCCGTCCACACGAACCGATTGACGTTCAATTACAGCAGAAACATTCTGAAAATCTGATCTTTTTTTCGCAAAATGACTAATTTTCCTGCAAAAAATCGCTCATTTTCGCACGTTTTTCTTTTCATTTTTTTGATCGCGTGGGTTGCGACGAAATGCGATAAGGCGGCCCATTTTTGGAGTTGTTTTTGAGTTTTGAGCACCAAAAAGTGCACAGTGTGCAAATTTTGACATATAATCTATTCTTCTTTTTTTTGATACAATTACCAAACAAACAAAGTGTGTTTCATAAGAATCAGAAATCGGTCAGATTATGTCATTTTTGGTGCACTTTTGATATGAAAAAATTGGGTTACTGTAGATCTAAAAACTCTACAACTTTCGAGAAATAAAAATTTTAAAAAAACAGAAAAAAGTAAAAGTTCACGTTGGAAAATTGAAATTCTAGAAATTTCTGTAGATCAAAATTGTCCAAAATTTTTCGCGCCAGAAAGTTTTCATGAAATTCTGTAGATCAAGAGGATTTCAGAAAAATCCGGGATCCACGTGGAAAAAAATACAGTAACCAAGATTTATCAGATCTGGTAGATCAAAAATTCAAGGTTCTTGGCACCAAAAACCCAGGCTTTCAAAACAAAACTACAGAATATTTTAGATTACAGTAACCCCTGTAGATCAAAAATTCCCAGATTACAGTAACCCTCACCTGCACCACAATCTCATGTGTCCCTTTCACCAAATCCACCGTAACCAGCCGCTTCACCTCCGCTCTATCGCTATAAACAATCACAGATTTCGTGGCGAGACCCGACGCCTCGAAAATGTGCTGCTGCTCCCCGAAAATCATCATACTGTAGGAGGGGGTGGCGGTAGATCAAATAATGTTGTGAGCTGAAAAAATATCAGATTTTGAGCGGAAAAATTGACCATTTTGTACACACACACACTGTGAAAAACATTATGAAGGACACGACAAAAAAATGATAAGAGCCAGCAGAAAAAGAGTGGCCCTCTAATTATTATAATACTCAGGTTGCGATAAAATTTTCCGAGAAATTTGAGAGTAGAACGGGGGTCAAAAAAGGGGCAGGGCGAGAGAGAGAGAGAGAGATAAGAGAGTGTCAGACAGAGAAATATTGAGTTAGGCTTAGGTTCAGAAGGTTGGGCTTAGGCACCTTAACTTAGCGCCCTAAAGCCTTAAGATAGTCTTAGGCTTCTAGGCTTTGTCTAGGCTTAGATTTAAGCCCCTAAAGTTAGGCTTAGGGTTCTAGGTCTAGCAAAAAAAACTGTGATTCTGTTACGTGGAAATCTGAATTTTTCTGATTCGAACTATGACGTGTCAATTCTGAAATTACTTCTAATTGAAAAATTTTGATTTTCATTTTTTTTTGTCATTGAAAATTAAAATTTTGCACTGATTAAAAATTCCAAGAAAAAATTGCAATATTTCAAGTTTAAGAAATTTGAGTTATGACGTGGCAGTTAGAAAAAACTTGAAAAAAATTTAGCTTGAAATTTTTAAGCGCTTTTTTATAACGTGGCAATTTTTACAGTTCTACAGAAGCTTCAATTTTTTCTGAAAATTTATTTTCAAAAATTTCGAATTAATTTTTTCCCCAATCAAAATTTTGATAGCTATGACGTGGCAATTAGAAATCTACAGTACTCTAAAAAAAAGCAAGAGTTTTTCCTATTTTTTAAAATTCAAATTCAACTTCTGAGCTATGACGTGGCAATTCTACAGTACTACACAAGCTTCAAGTTTTTGTTTCTAAAAATTTATTTTTAAAAATTTCGAATTAATTTTTTCCCCAATCAAAATTTTGATAGCTATGACGTAGCAAATATACAGTAATCCATTATTCTGAAATTAATTTCTAAATTCCGAGCTATGACGTGGCAATTTCAGAGCCTACAGTAGCTATTAAGTGTAGAGCCAAAAATAACCAAATGATATTATTATGTTTACACAAAAAATGAGCCAAAAATCTGTGTTTCGGCCCATTTTTTGGGGCGATGATACCAGATTGATAATGAAAAAAGTAAACCAACACAAAAAAATTTTATGATGTAAATAAATAGAAAATGAATACAGTAGTCAGAAGAAAGTCTGGTTTTTGACCGAAATTTTGAGGAGTAAGCAGAAATAGTTATCTTGGAATTCCCGAGAAAAAAACATTTTTGGGATTTTTCTCTTGGAGGCTGAAATTAGCGCCTGAAAATGTTGGAATTTTTTTGAAATTTGACAAAAAAAATGATTGAAAATGAATTATTCAACTAGTAATTAGTACTTTTCTCCGAAAAAATGGTCAAGAGAGTTGTTCTGATAAAATCAAAAACTTTTCCCCTGATAAGACAAGAATTTCCGTACCACTAGGTACCATTTAGGAACTCGAAGGAAAAAGGAGGAAAAAAGTTGGGAAAGGTCGGAAAATCAAACACCGCTGTGATGTTTTGGACAGAGGAACACGTGGTTGGCCAATTTTCTGCAAGTCTGGCACATTTTTTTATTTTCTGATAATTGTTTCGTCTGGTATGTAGATCAGAACCGAAATGCCACGTGGCAAATAAGAGAAGAACGAAAAAAAGAAAATTAAATTAATAAACGCAATAACGTAGAGCCGTTTTTTTTTACCTTATCATCAGACAGATCTTTACTGTACCTTAAAAGTTATAAAACCTAAACCTAATCTACGCCCAAAAAAAAAAAGAAAACAGAAAAAAAATAATAATAAGAAGTCACCTTAAAAGGTGATGAAGAGAAGAGAAGAGTGGGACTAATTGTTAGAGACGTAGAGTAGGCGAGAGAGTATGGAAAATGGAGAGAGTAGACAGTGAGAGGAAGGAGACGAATATTCAAAAAATGAAATTATTTATCGAGCCAAGAAAATTTTATTAGAGTTTGAACAGATTAGATAAATATTTTTGAAATTAAATCGGTATTTTTCATTTATTCACAGTATTTCAACTCGGCAAACTTTTGACCCAATAATTATTTACTTCCATTGGTGTTCCGTTAATCTGTCGTCTACAGTACACCAAATCAATTACGGTATTTTTGTAGGTTTTATGAAGGAATAACATAGCCGCACTTCCAATAATCCCGTGTAAATTGACCAGAAAAATCGATAAATTTGTCAATTTTTGCCAATGAAACGTCGTGAAAATACAGAGAAAAATGTAGAAAATTGGAGGCAAAAGTGAGGCGGATGGAATCAATTTTTGAATTAGAATCGATTTGATGAATTTGCGCTGGAGCGCGATTGTATGTTTTGAGATGTTTTTCGAAAAATCGGAGATTCTGATAATTGACCAGGCGAAAAATATCGATTGAAATACAATGATGAAAACCGTCAAAAATATGACCAAAACTATATTTTTCACTTGGGTTTTGTCGGTTACGACCACGAAAAAATCCGGAATTTCAGCAAGGCAAGGGAGAAGCTGAAAATTTGGGACTTTTTGAACATATGTACATTTGCCACGTGGCAATTTTCACCTGAATCGCCTGAATTCTTCCCAATTTCTGATCGGGAACATAGACCACAGAAATCAATGGAAACGCGAATAAGAATACGGTATTTGCCACGTAGAAAATGACGCGAAAAGTTTTGCGCCATTTCGAAAACTCGAGAATTTTCAGACAATTATAGCGATTTTCGAGAAGGAAGACGAGACTGTAACCGGTGCCTGAAATGTACTGTAAGGTAGATCAAAAAACGACGATGAAAACTCACCGGCCAACACCAAAACCACCAAATACGGTACAATTCTCTCAAAACCTTCCAAAAATCCAAAAGCTCGAAAAGTGAGGGTTGGCAAAAAGAAAAATGGAGTTATCGCAAATCCCAAAACGAAATCCAATAAAAGGGACCATAAATGAAAGTTGAACAACCAAAAACGGACGGATTTCACGGATTTTGGAGTTTTTTGTAGAATACAAAAGGCACCAAAAATATGGATAAAAATCGATAGAATTGTGATGGTCCAGAAGACTTTTGGAACAGTTTTTGGAGAATTTAGAATTGAATTTGAATCGTAGCACATTTAGGCGCTTGTTCAGCAAAACACTGAATCAGTAAAACTGCCATAAAAATTCAGGGAAAAACAAAAAAAATCCAATTATTTTTTGGGTAATTCCATTTTTTGGATTTTCTGGAAAACTTGGTTTCCAGAAAGTAATTTTGATTTTTGAGCCAGTCTAGAATTTTTGAAACCAATAAAAATTTATTGAAAACAAATAACCCCCCTCAAAAATTGTGTCACCTTGTTTTTTTCATCCAATTTTTTATCAGCATTTGGTTTCACATTGAAGTTCATAGCTAACCACGTGGAATTCGTCATAAACCGGTTCCTGAAATGAATACATTTCATTTTTTGAATCTATGCTTGAAGCTTACATGAGCTGAAAATTTGAAACCAATGGTGACGCACTTCCACGCAAACAAATGTGAAATACCAAATTCGTAGGACACAATAATTTTCCCAGTTGGGACTGATTTCTTATCATAGGTTACATAACTTTTCCAAATATATGGCTGAAAAAATAGACTTCAAAATATGAATTGCCACGTGGAAAAAACTTACAGTCGTTTTCATTCCGGAATAATCACCAAATGTGAAACTAAGACCAGCTGAAATAAAAATTGAAATGAAAATATTTTTCAGAAATTTTTAAATATTTACCATCAGGTCCTTTGAACTTTGGGCAAATGCTACTTTTGTTCTTGTCTGCCAATTCCAGATATTTTCCATAAAATGAAGAAGTTCCAGTTCGACTGATCACTCGTGTAACCCTCAAAATTCAAAACTGTGTCAGATGTCAGTCATAGATCAGAACTCACTCTTTTCCAAGCAATTCTAGCAATTCATCGGCAGTTCTTTTAGTGCTTTCATAATGGTTATCTTTCCACAAATTGAATGGTGGACGGATAAAGATTTTTGCAATTCTCCAACCATGGAATCCACCAACATTGATCGCTTCAACTTCGAGTTCCCATGGTTCAACAGTTTTGGAGAGATGTTCGAAATGAACAATATATTGGAAGACTACATGATCTGGATCTTCAGTTATGACAGTGTAACGTGGACGAGTTCTCATATCGACGTACTGGAATAGAAATTCAGGTTGGAAATAATTATGGCCCCAAAAACTCACATCTGCTTTCCGGGTAACATATCGGGTATTAAATCGTGCCATATATTTCATAAACATATCCAAATCATATCTAACTTCGCTGTTGGTGTCGATAAATGCAACAAAGTTATTTGTGAAGAAGTGAAGTCTCTCATCGCTTTCATCAATAGCTTCAGCAAATGGAAAGCTGCCAATTTTTATTTTTAAAAATGTTTTGAATAAAAAAAACTTACATTGAGATGAAATGCTTGACATAATCCAACGGATGCGCGGTTTGATTGAAAACTCTTATCCACGAACTCTCATCTGCATCTGAATCAATGAATTCGGTATCCTCACATCCACCGCCAATTTCAATGCTGTCGATTTTGAATGAATCTTTCTCCGCGGAACTAACTTTTACCGTGTATTTATGAACTTGTAGTTCATAATACTGTAGAGAGTGTGATGGATATCGAATTGGAAGTCGTTGAAGATTCTCACACGGAATGGCTGAAATAATTTTGTCAAAAAGTTTTAAAACATTTTTTTGTCAAACAAACCCTTCTTCTTGATCCGTATCTATCTTCAAAAATATCAGAAGGAGTAGCTTGGAATCTTCTTCGCTGCAAATCCAAATACAACAAGAAATTGGCTGTAAAAAAATTTTTTTTGTTAAATTTTTTTTGCTAATTCTTCTCTCCTGACCTGTATCGACATTTTTAGCAGCTCCACAAAGATCAGCGGTGAATTTGTTTGGATTCAAACTGGCTATCAATTTCTGGACTCCTATGACATAGTCTCGATTGTCCATACTGGACTGTAAGTGAAACCTGAAACAAGTATTGGTAATTGCCACGTCATAACTCGTTTTCAAGAACTCACCAGCTTCCAACATTGTGAGCGAATTTTTCAATAGGACTATCATAATCGTCATTGTCGATTTGAGCATTGACAAAAGCTGCTCCGAGAAGAGCCAAAACCAATGATCTAAACATTTTTTGATGATTTTTCTGATCTCCGCTCTGAGCTTTTATGTGAGTTGGAACAACTTTCGTAGACACATAATCATAAAAATTCTGAAAATCTGATTTTTCAATTTTCGCACGCTGTACACCCACAAAAGCAAAGAACGTTTCGAAACCTTCACAGATTTTTTAAGGAGCTTACAGTAATCCTTGGATACTGTAGCTAATTTTTAATTTTTCAAGAGAAATCTGGAAATAAAATTAGTTCAAAAAAAAATTTTCATGAATTTCGCTCAAGAATCTGGAGTTCTAAAAATTTATCCAAAACAAATTAGAAGAAATATTTCCAGATTTCACCTGGAATTTATCTGAAAATTCATAAATTAGCTACAGTACCCCAAAACTTACTGTGAGCTCTTTCAAATTTAATTTCCATTTTAAATTCAAAAAATACTCTTCATCCCAAAAACCATATAATCAATAAAATAAATTAAAACCGGGGTATTATGAAACCTCAAAAATACAGTAACCCTTCTGGATTACTGTATGTGCCTTTGAAAATTGGCTTAATTCAATGGTTTTTCAGCCAAATGCCACAATCCGTCGTTCAAATAATGCACATTCTCGATTCCGTTTCCCTTGTTTATCGATTGAATTTCTTCGCTGCTCATTGTCATTTGACCGATTGCCAACGCGTTTTCTTTGCCCTGCAAAACAAAAAAAGTGTGCGGTGAAATTGCAGAAGGTGGGCGGGGCTTAGGACCTACGAGAAATATCAAATAAAAATGGGTTTCTGGAGGAAGAAAACCGTGCCGCAAAATTTTCGAAAAAATTAAGCCCCGCCAACAAAACCGTGCCCTACCTCAGCCATCACTGCCACCACAGTATCCTTGGGAACCAATGGTGTCATTTTGGCGCCAGGTGACGTCAGACCAGGGCACATAATCGAAGAACCATTCAGAATGAATTTGATCGCACCTTTATCGACCTGAAATTAATTTCAGGTTGGAATTTGGCTGGAAATCGCATTTTTTAGTCAGAAAACATGTTTTTGGGTCACGTTTTGCTGAAATTTTCAGATTTTCAGCCGAAAATCGCGGATTTCCAGGCTAAAACCTCACCTGTTGATGCGGCAAAATGAAGGGATATTTGTGTAAAGTGCGCAATGTGGGAATGAAGTCTGTGTTTCGAGTTTTGACAAATCTAACCACTCCAGTATGATCGGCTAATAATTCCACGTGATCTTTGCATTTGATGAGTTTGAAGTTTTCCTGCAAAAAAATTGGGGAGTACGGTAGTTAGGTTACTGTAATTCAGAAAATTCTCGATTTTTTAAGACCTAAATTGGCTAGGTTTGGGGTACTGTATTGATCTACAGTACCTCTTGCAGTCCGGATTACTGTAGCTCAAAAATCAACGAATTTGGTCTTAAAATATTCCTAATTCTCAGATATACAGTAATCCTTGCAGTTCGGGTACTGTAGCTCAAAATCAACGAACTTGGTATCAAAATTCACAGAATTTTCATGATCTACAGTAACCCAGCCATATTTCGTCTCAAAATGCAGAGCATTTCGTGATTTACAGTACTCTTTGCAGTTGGGGTTACTGTAGCTCAAAGGTCATCATATTTGGTCTCAAAATTCTGTGATCTACAGTACCCTAGTCATATTTCATATCAACATTTTTCAAATTTTATGAATTTTCCCAAAATTCCCCACCTTTTTCGGCAAAATCTCCTCCAAATATGGTTCAAGTGTCGGATAATTCTCGATCAACTTCTTTCGGATTCCCTTTTGAATACTAGATTTGAGTTGAGTGGTTCCGGTCACATCCTCTTTGTCGTCGAATTTTTTGAACATTTTTCGAGCTGAAAACTTTTTTCGCTGGGTGTTTTTAGGCAGAAAGCGATATTTCAGAGCATAAAACTCATTGAAAAATAGGTTTTAAAAATCGATAAAAATGAGAAAAAACATTTATCACAGTCATGGATTTTTGAGCAAGATCTAGGCAATTGAAAATTAAATTTTGGAAAAAAAATTGAAAAATCAATAATAAATACAGCGAGTTCGATGGAATGGAATCTGAAAAATGAAAATTACAAAAAATGTGCCAGCGAGACTCGAAGCTGACGCATTTCTAGTAGATCAAACCTTTTTCTCGACTTCCTCCGCATGAGTTCTTCTATAAACCCAAACATAAACATCAACTTCCATGGCTGGAACTTTTCGAGTTCCGATAAATTCGGAATCTTCAGATCTCAGGCGATCCATTTCATCGACGATTTCCTGGAAAAATGGGCGTGGCCTAATCAAATTTATATTCGTTTTGAAGCTCTTGCAAAAACTCACATCACATACAGCAATACTTGCAGCTCTCAACTCGACTTCTGGCTCACTTCCATTTTCGAGCCGCTTTCCTTCGCCAAGTTTTTCGAGCAAATTCTGAGAGTATTCTAGGGCTCCGAGAAACGCGAGCGCTTGTGGAACTCGATAATCCGCGAACATTGTTAGACTGCAAAAAAATAGACGATTTTTGTGTTGACGCAATTTTTGTAGGCTGCACGAGAAATGCGTCAGTGAAGATTTAATAAGAAAACCTCAAAAATCTCTAATCTTTCCCGGAAAAAACGTGACCTACTTAATTTTTCGGATTTTTTTTTGCTCCAGAAAAAAAGTCAGAAAACCGCCCATTTTTAGCTCTCGTCTCAACCAAAACTAAACAAAAAACTAACAAAAAGAAGCAAAAGAAGAAAAATGGAAACAATCGAAAATTTGGCACAGCGAATGATTTGCCGAATAATTCGCCATCGAAGCGTCGACGGATTCAGCAATGCGGAAGTTTTGCAAATTTTGAAACGCTCGCGGAACATCATGCAACCGTTGCCGGCAATGTTGGAATTGGAGACACCGATCACAATATTTGGAGATATTCATGGACAATTGGCGGATCTTTTGAGATATTTCGATATTATTGGATATCCGCCAAAACATAATTTATTGTTTTTGGGAGATTATATTGATCGAGGATCGCATTCTTTGGAGGTAGGCGTGGAAAAATGAATGAATTGATGATTTTTTTGTGAAAAAATCGATGGAAATCACTAGAAAATCGACAGAAATCAGAGAAAACCCTATATTTTCTTGTAGAAACCTTGAAGGACCAAAAATAACAAAAGTTCCAATTCAAAGCATGTTTCTGTACGAAAATTTGAAGAGAATCTTGATTATTGGATGAAAAATCGGAAAATTTCTTGAATTTTGGTCCAAATTTTGACGAAAAAGTGTCAGAAAATCGAATTTTCTAGTTAGAATTTTAAAAATCACCATTCTAAACCTAAAAAGTACGATAAACTGTGCTAAATTGATCAGAAAATTAATTTATCAAGTTCCGAGGAGAAAGGCTAGCTTCCAGGCCGAATTTCTCAGTCCAAGCCTAAAAATAGCGGGGAAAACTCAATTCTTGGTCGAAAACCCTCACAATCTCTTCCAGGTAATAATGCTCCTTCTCTGCTACAAGATCAAACATCCATCTCGAATCCACATGTTGCGCGGCAATCACGAATGCTTCAAAATGAATCGTCTCTACGGTTTTCACGAGGAACTTCGTCGCAAACGGAACACGTATTTGTGGAAGCAATTTCAGGATGTTTTCAATGAATTTGCACTTTGTGCATCGATTGGAAGGAAGATTTTGTGCATGCACGGCGGGATTTCGGGTAAGTTAGGCCACGGCCCTTTTTTGCAAGTCTGTCCCGTTCAAAATATACCATGTTTGGTATCATACCTCTCTCTTCTAATCTAGAAACAACATAAGCCACGCCTCGTTTTCAGCAACCCTCGCACACTTTTCAATTTCTAGAGCACGTCAAATCTTGGCAATCATTCTACGATCTCCGAAAGCCATCTCGACCCAAAGAGTGTGATCAAGGCCTAGCCCTCGATTTAATGTGGGCCGATCCAACTCAAGATAAATGCACCACATTTTCGATGAACACGTTGCGCAGTATTTCGGTGATGTTTGGTGAGCCGGCGGTTGTGGATTTTATGAAGATGTTGGGATTGCGATTGATAGTCAGAGCCCATGAGGTTTCACAGGTTAGATTTGGGGCTGTCTTGGGCTTTTTTTGATACCAAATAAGGCTGAGCACTGAAGAATGTGGACCTAGAGGCTTTCCGGGTCTTTTTAGATGAAATATTTCCCAATTTTTAATAGAAAAAAAGCCTAGACTTAAAAAAAGTTGGTCGATTTTTGATGAATTCTAGGACTTTAAGGGCTCTAGACCATTTTAGGCCCATTTAAGACCGAATTCGGGCTCAAAATGCTCGCAAAACTTTCAGGAAGGCTTCAATTTCATGTTCGACAAACGAGTTGTGACCGTATTCTCGGCGCCGTTTTATTGTGGAAACGATTCGAATTGCGGTGCGATAATGCATGTCAATTCGAGCTACGAAGTGTCGTTCACCGTGCTCCGCCCGCGAATCATTCCAAATGCTGACAATTTTGAATTGGCTCAACAAATGGAGAATAACTATAAGGCACTTTTAGCGCCGAGTCCTGATCCCAGTGGGTTCTTAGGCTTTCTGGGCTTTTTGTAATTCGTAATTTTTTCAGACCGTGGTCGACATTTACAACAAGCAGCCCAGAAAAAGGCCGAGAAAAGTCCGATTATGGAAACGTTGTCGCCACCCAATGAAAAAGCGTAGATAAAATTATTTTTTTGGAGAAGTTTTTTTCGGTTATGACGTGGCAATTTTTGGCCCCAAGGTACCTGTTAATATCCTCGAATTCGCCCATTTCATCCTTTCCCGCCAATGCACCATAACAATCGGCCACCAGAATTTGAGCTCTCTTCAAAAGCGAAATTTTTTGACCACGAAACACGGCAAAATCACGAAAGCTTTCGAAATTCTCGACGATGATTTCAAGCAAATTTTGAGCCGATTTCTGGGCGGCCAAAATTGCGTTATAGAAATATCCGTCGAATTTTTGGAGCAAAATTTGGCCAGAGTTGTTGATGGCTTTTACGCGCTCTTCGAGAAGGGGAATCGAGTGACCGGAATCTGAAAAATGGGGCCTTTTAGGCTTAAAATTCGAGATTTTTAGGCTTTGTAGTCCAGATGGAAGATTTGTGGTTTTGAAGAAGACAAAAAATCAGATTTTCTCAGACTCTATAGGATTCTGAAGCCTTTCTAAATCCGGACTTGAATTCTTCCGGATTTTAAAGCCTAGGAAGACTTCAGGACCATAAAAATTAGACATTTGATATTTTTTCAATAAATAAAAATGTTTTGCAATTTAAATTTGAGCTCCCCAGTGATTTTTCGATGATTTTTGAGTTCCGAGAGTTTCTTATGAGCATTTTCTGACCCAAAACCCTTACCACTCTTAAAAACCCGATCAATTTCCTCCAATCCCACTTCAGCCATCCATTTCGCATCCAAAACATTGATTCCCGAATCCAAAGCTCGATTCAAAGCCGCACAGCCCGCATAATATCCCGTGTATTTCTCGCTATTATAACTAACATCATAATGTTCCCCCTCATCGGGCCAAAACGAGAAATTCACCGTATCGATTAGAAAAACCCACTGAATCGCCGTTTTGTCGGCGGTTTTCGGGTGCAATTTATGGGCGGCGAATGCGACTTGCTCTATCGAACCATCTTTGACAGCTCTCAGGATCTGAAAACAGAAAATCTCTTTTTTTAATTGAAACTCGAAAAATACCTGTTTTGCCACATTTTCCACACCATTTCTATTGATTTTCACCAAGTTCCCGTGCTTCATCACATATTTCGCTGATTCTGACGGCCTCAAAACATCCGAAAACACCATTTTTAGGCGACACAACCTGGAAACCCGCGAAAATAAAAAATCGTCCGGGAGAAATACACAGCATGTCTTGTGCGCTGGAGCACGTTTGCTTGTTTGAACCGGTTAACCCTTTTGTTCGGCTACACTATGAATTAGGAACTTTGTACTGGAGCGGAAAAAAAATGGAAAGATAATGAGAGGTGTTATACTTTGAGACATTTCACTTAAAAATGCCTAGAACTGCCCAAAATTGTCATTTTTCCCGATTTTTTCCCCAAAAAATATTTATTTTCGCTCCGTTTTCCTTCCAAAAAAACTCATTTTTCAAACTCCCCCCAAGGAAAAAAAGATGATAGAAAAAAGACACAAAAAAAAGTATAAATCACGCCATTTTGTAAATCGAATGTTGATTATTTTTTGAAGTTTCACTTATCATTTTTTCGCACTTTTCTCATGTTCGCAGATATTTTTGGCCCGCGAAATTCTCGGATTTTTGAAATTTCAATTTTTCGGGCCAAAAAATAATGGCACGTGGAAATTGGGAATTTTTCGCGCGAATTTCAGAGTTTTTAAATTTCAGTTTTTCGGGCGAAAAACTGAATTTAAACATTTTTAGCGCGAATTCAAATTTTTGGCAAGAAGTTTGAACTTTTGAAACACAAATTTTTCGCACCAAAATCGTCACGTATCAAAAATGGGGCCATTTTTCTATTTACACGCAAAAAAACCACCCATATTTTTCTGTTCTTTGAATTTTTGATATATTTTTTCTGCAAGCTCCGCCCACTTTTTTTGCACTTTCGCCCCAAACAAAAATTATTTTTATCAAAAAAAGAATTTTTTGTATGTGTGTGTGATAAATCATTTTTTTTTATTTCCTAATTTTCTCGCTCAAAAACAAAAATGCCACGTGGCAGCAAAAAAATTCGAAACTTTTTGCAGGGTAACAAATTGGAGGGAAATGACGATTCCAACAAAAGTGACAGCGGCGAAAAAAGATCAAAACTTGCCAAAAATTGTGAGTTTTTTTGCTAGAATTTCGAAAATGTGACTGGAAATCCCACCAAAAATGTCCGAAAACCGAATTCCCAGTATTTTTCAGCTGAAAATATCAGATTTCCAGCCTTTTCTAAAGCAAATATCATTTTCAGGAGGTTCCAAAGCTTCCATCTGTAACTGATGTCAAAAATGCGATTCCGGAACATTGCTTCGAGAAAAATGCACTAACTTCTATCAGATATTTGATTCAGGTAAGAAAATAAAATTGAGCATCTCAGGTTCGAGTTTTTTGAAAATTTTAAATTAGCGCCAAAACTGTGGCGTGTTTGGTGTCAAAATGATTCTCACAGTCTCCCGAAATCATTCCAGGACTACCTAATTCTCGCCGGTCTCTACCTCGCTCTCCCAACAATCGAGGCCCATCTCGGCCTTCTCGGCCTCATCGCCTGGTACTGGGCTATGGGAATCGTTGGCTCAGCCTTGTTCGTCGTAGGCCACGACGCAGGTCACGGCTCATTTTCCGATCATGAGTGGCTCAATGATCTCTGCGGACACTTGGCCCACGCTCCGATCTTAGCACCATTCTGGCCATGGCAAAAATCTCACCGTCAACATCATCAATACACAAGTCATCTCACAAAAGACAAAGGACATCCATGGGTAACAGAAGACGATTTCAATAATCGAACTGTTGTCGAGAAATACTTCTCAATGATTCCACTTTCTGGATGGTTACGTTGGAATCCGATTTATACAGTAGTTGGGCTTCCAGATGGCTCGCATTTCTGGCCATGGTCCAAACTTTTTGAGACAACTGAAGATCGTGTGAAATGTGTGGTTTCGGGTTTGGCATGCGCGTTCTGCGCGTATGTGGCTTTTGTGATTTCTGGATATTCGGTTTGGAATTGGGTTAAATATTATTATGTGCCATTGTTGTTCCAAGGATTGATTTTGGTTATTATCACTTATTTGCAACATCAGAATGAGGAAATTGAGGTGAGTCAGACAGCTAGAGATATACCTCTCTGCGCCTCTAGCTGTATTGCATTTCACATATAGAATCGAGGAAGCTAGAGAATGTTAGACAGCTATAGATGTTAATATTTTGAGAGAGCGCAGACAGCTAGAGATTGTTCGAGACACGGAATAGTTAGACAGCTAGAGCTGATCGTGTTATTTTGAGAGAGCCCCGACATCTAGAGAACGTTCGAGACGCAGAGAAGGTATTTAGACAGCTACAACAATAGATATTTGTAGATAGCGCAGACAGCTTGAGAGTTAGAGACACAGAAAAAACAGAAAGTTAGAACCATAAGAATTTGAAGACAGCGCAGACCTCTCAAGACAGAGAAAAGTTAGACTGCTATAGTGGCAAGGATTTTAAGAGAGTCCAGACGGTTAGAGAGCTAGAGCTAGAGACTAGCGACGCAGACAAACTTTTGTATCTCCTCAACAATCCAATTTGATTCCAGGTGTACGAACAAGACGAATGGAACTTCGTCCGCGGTCAAACCCAAACCATCGACAGAAAATGGGGTTTCGGACTCGACACAATCATGCACAACATCACCGATGGTCACGTGGCACATCACTTCTTCTTCACCCGAATCCCACACTATCATCTACTCGAAGCCACTCCAGCTATCAAAAAAGCGTTGGAGCCACTCAAAGGCACACAATATCGCTACAAAAATGAGACAAATTACGATTGGTTCTTCAAATATTTGAATTATAATTTGAAATTGGACTATTTGACACATAAAGCCAAAGGAGTTCTTCAATATCGGGTTGGAGTTGAGGCCAATAAATCGAAATAAATCAATTTTTGGAAACATTCCGGTTAAAACTTTTTTTTCTTAAAAATTCTCAAAATAAATACATTTTAATAAAAAAATTTGTTTTTAAAATTTCACTGCGTCTCTAACCTTCTCTAGTTGTCTGGATTCTTTCAAGATCAAGGTGCCTCTAGCTATTTGTACTCTCACACCATTCTCTGATCCTTCTCTGCGTCTCTAAAACGCACATAACAAAAAAAAATTTGAAAAAAAATAAAATTAAAAAAAATTCAGGAATTTTCCCGTGAACTCGTTTTTTTCCTGCCACGTCAAAAAATCCACAAAAAAAATTTTAGGCGGCTCTGATGACGAGCTCATTTAGGAATTGCAAGCCGGTACTAAATTATTTTTGGCACCAAGATGAATCGCTGTGATGGAGACAACAACACGAATTGGCAACCGCCGCGCTACAATTTGAGGCCTCGTCGGGCCCCGTTTCAGGCCTATAACTCGACGGGCCTAACTAGGCCACGTGGGTCCAATTATCATCATAAGACCAATGTTTATGCGAGAGGAGATGAGCAGGTGAGTACGATGGATAAATTTGCAGTTCGGGGTTACTGTACATTTCGAACTGCAAAACCTACTCGTTTTGCAGTTCTACAGTACCCCTTTGAACTGCGAGCCATGATTCTTGAAAACTACAGTATACATAGCTACAGTACCCCCTCTCAGAAATCTTCTGTTCCAGAACATTCCACCTCTGCAAACACCAATTCCACGACCACGTTTCACTCAACCTCTTCAAACTACAGTAGCCCAGCCTACAGTACCCCAAACAACAGTACCACCAGTCAATCATTTCGTAAGTTTTTGATCTACAGTACCCCCTACAGTACCCCTAATTTCTGCAGAACTCTGTGATCGCCGGTTTGTTGCTCAAAAAAGGCATTGACATTTCGGAGGGCTCGAAAATCGGCTCGGGAAGATATAGCAAAGTGATCACTGCGAAATTGACCAACTCCAATCATACGGTATGTTCCTTTAAGCGGAGTACTGTATGCAACTTTTAATATCTTCAGATCGCCATCAAAATTATCGACAAATCGCAAGTGGCCGACGATTTTCGCACCAAATTTTTGCCGAGAGAAGTGGGTTTGCGGCACGGTTTTGTGGGCGGAGTCAAAAGCCATCGAATGACACCAGAAAAATAAGCCCCGCCCACAAAACCATGCCGCAAGATATAGGCTTGTTTGGTGTCATACGAAAGCTTTCAATCTTCTCTAGAATATAAGCCACGCCCCTTTCTGCAATTTCGCCGCACACTTTTTTTGCAGCTCGAAATTTGGCAACAACTCAAACACGAGAATCTCGTCCAACTCTACGCCATCTACACTTATGAATCGCGTGTGTTGATTGTCAACGAATTTGGGAAAATGGGAAATTTGGTAGGCATACAGTACTCCTCCACCTACAGTACCCACTTTGCAGCTCACTCACGTTTTGTGCAATGGTGCCACTCCCGAGCCGATTGGCGTCAAATGGGCCGAGCAGATTTTGTGCGGTGTCAAGTATTTGCATGAGGTATAATACAGTATCCTTTTGATCTACAGTACAGTACCTCTTTTTCAGAAAAACATTGCACACCGTGATATCAAATTGGAGAATGTCATCATTTTTGATGATGGAAGTGTGAAGATTGGTGATTTTGGATTTTCGAGAATGGTGAGGAAAGGGGCGTGGCCTAATTTTTTCTTGCAATTTTGCGGCGCGCTTTTTGTTGCTCTTGATCTACTCTCCAAAATGATACCAAATAAGCCACGCCCACAAAAATAGTTCCCATATTTCATAGTCATTTTCAAGCCCCTCCTCCTATAAGCCCAGCCCACAAAACCATGCTCCGCAACTTGCAGCTCGAACCCCAAGAGCTCTCGGAAACCTACTGTGGCTCCAAATCGTACATTGCTCCCGAAGTGTTGTCAGGCCGCCCATATAATCCACTAAAATCGGATGTTTGGAGTGTCGGCGCCGTGTTTTTTGTGATGATGACAAATCGGATGCCATTTAGCGAAAATCAATCGAATCAATCGTTGATGGAAGCGCAAAGGTGGGCTTTTTGGCTGGAAAATTTTGAATTTTGGTGATTTTCAGACGGTATTTTGGTCTAGAACTTGAAAATTTCAGACTCAAGCTTAGCCTAACTTTCTTCTTAAGCTTAAGCTCAAAATTATCAGTTTTCCCCAAACTTTAACTCAAAATTATCGATTTTTTATTTAATTTTCAAATTTTCAGACAAAGAACCTACAATTATCCACCACAATTGACAATTTCCAACGAATGCAAATCAACCATCGATTCTTTGATGACATTTGATCCATTTCGACGTCCAACAATTCAAAAAGCATTTTCACTTCCTTGGATTCGAGCATTTTTGTTGAGCCAAAAAGCATAATTTCTGATTAATTAAGGGATAATTAATTAGATAAGGTAGTTAATTAATTAATTACCTAAGCTCCTTACTTTTTGTATTTTCTTTTTCAGTCCTCCCAAATTTATTTTCTATCGATTTTTTTTGTATTGTGAAATAACATTATGTGATACGTGTTTTTGCAGCTGTAAAATGAACATTTTTCCTGAAAATTCTATGCGCCTTTAAATTTTGGAGGTTACTGTAGAACTGCAAAAACTGGCTTACTGTATTTATTTCGAGAAAAAATTGGGATTCTAAAAAAATTCAGTGCCTTAAAATTTTTAATGTTACTGTGGAACTGTAAAATTTTCAAAGTTCAAAAAAATCCGGATTACTGTAGATTCCAGACTGCAAAAATTCCCCTGAAAATTAACCAAAAATGGATTTTCATCACAAAAATACTTTTAAATTTCAATTTTTCGAAAAAAACGGAGAAAAATACATTTTTTTACAAGAAGAACATTAAATTTTGAATGAAAAGGAAACACGTTTCAAAAAAACTCAGAGATTCGCTGGCCAGCTCGCCACTAGATCAGGACCATGTGGCCGGAAAGTTCAAAACGAGCTGAATTTGATTCGGTCACCAGGTCGCCTTGAGTTTTCCGGCCACGTGGCCTGTGTGTTTGAAACCCTGGAAAGCTAGCAAGACGGTGGTTTGTACTCAAAATAGTGCATTTTTTACTGTTTTTTTCACTTCCTAAGGTTTCTAGTACTCCGAAAAAACAGAAAATGAGCCAATTTCTTCTAGAATGCTCGGATTCACAAGTTTTTTGGACTTTTTTCTCTTAAGCGAGACGATCTGGACGCGAGGTCGGCTCGAGCTGAACAACCTGGGCGAGGTGGTCTGCATGAACTGAACCACCTCGCGACCAGGTCGTCTGGCAAAAAATACGGGCGATGTGGTTGTCCGTGTCAATTTCAGATGGGCAGTCGACCCCACCTAGTGACCAGCTGGCCAGCGAATCTCTGAGAAAATGGGGGAAATAATTTAAATTCAAATTCAGGTTTTGAGAAAAAAAAAGAAAGAGAGTTAGGCTAAATTGGGATATGGTTATTCTATTTTCGGATTTTAAAGGGACAGGGGAAGAAGGGATTATTAAAATATGTAGGGGGAAATCGAATTTCGTTAAATTTGGGTGCTTAAAAATTAATTATAGGATAATTAATCAATAAATTAATTACTTGCTGTAATAAACACGATAATAAAGAGTTTTGGATCTCCAGAGCGAGTAGGAATTGTCGAATTTCAGCAAATAGACACCGCGGCCTGGATAACGATGAGATCCGGCGTAGACCTGCAAAAATGGGGAATTTTGGGGTAAATCTGGAATTTTCTTGAATTTTCATCTAGATTTCCACATTTTCCATTAAAAATTTCAAAAATAAAACCAAACCTCTTCATGACAATCTCTTCGATAAATCGGAATAATCTCATCCTGTTTCGGCTTGTTCGGATCTTGTGGGCGACTGCAAAAATACAATATTTTCAGATGAAAAATAATTCTAGCTCAATTTTGGCTCAAAAATCCTAAATTTTCGCCCAAAATTACACCAACCTTCTCTGAATTTGTGCTCCGCTTTCAACATCGCCCGCTCCTCCACCATTTGCACCCAAATTACCTCCGCCATTTCCAAGTGCTTCTTCTTCGGCCTGTTGCTCATCATAATCATCTTCGTCGTCGGATTCGGAAATGTGAACGGAAACCTGGAGAAAAAATGGTTTTTGTGGGGATTTCCAGACATTTTTCGGCTGAAATTTCCGTACCTGATTCGAATCCGCCAAACTCCACTCGAAATACACACCAAATCCAATATCATAGTGATCGGTGGCAAATTCCCAGAACAAACAACTTCCATTTTCGTGTGTGGGTACTCGGACGGTGACAGTTTCACCGTGTCCAACTTTAATTATGCCCTCGGCTCCATCTTTTTTGATGGTCGCCTTGAATTCGTTGATGTCTTGACGATTCCAGAGTGAGGCTGGTGAAATCGCAGGATTTGCTGGAATCAGTGGATTATTTGGGGGCCTAGAATGGCTTGGCCTAACTGGGGCCTGAAATTTAGGCCTAGGCGCGAATTTTCTGGTTAAATTTTCAAGCAATTTTTCACAAACACAAAATATTGACAGGGGAAAGAAAAATTTACAAAAAAAAAGCATGCGATGAAAAATAGGCTCCGCCCCTTTTGCAAGCCTGGCAGTTTTTCCAGGGTGAATTTGGGATGAAGCTCTTGAGCTTCTGAAAAAGGGGCGGCGCTCATTTTCTATTTCAGGCTTGTTTAGACTCAACAAGAAGCCTGTGAGCCCGAAAAATTGATCCGGGCTTGTTTGGGCTCAAAATAAAGCTCTTGAGCCCAGAAAAAAGCCCCCAGGCATATTTAGTCTCAAAATTACGATCTCGGGCTGAAAAAGCACAAAAATCACATCACTTCGCATGCAAAGTTCTACTTTTTTAATTTAACATACAGTGACAGAAGAGGCCCATGTGTGCATGAATCGAAGACACTACAAAGTAGATTAGAATCGGGAAAATTGGAAGGTGTTAGAAGAATTAGGAGAGGTTAGAAGGAAAAAACACTCTGAAAGTGATTTTTTAGCTTAAAAATCATGAAAAATCGTGAATGTTAGGTGAAAAATCATGAAAAATCGTGAATTTTTGGTAAAAAATCACTCACATGGTAAATCCTCTCCAGCTTCTTCATCCGACAAATCCGAATCATCGTCTCGTTTGGTTTGGTGCTGAATTTGCTCCTCGTTGCTCATTTGAGATTGTTCGCCATTTGGTGTAGCGGATTGTTGAGCGTAGACCTGCAAATTTCAGATTTTTGGTTGAAAAATGAAGAATTCTGGTGAAAATTACAAATTTTGGCTGAAAAATTGCTCATTTTAAGCTAGAAATTGAGATTTTTTGAGTTAAAATTGCTCATGTTAAGGTATCTCCGAATTTCAGGTGAAAAATCCATATTCAAATTGAGAAATGAGATAATCACGACTACAAAATAAGATAATCATTACGTGTCATTTTTTAAATGTGATTAATTACAGTAAGATGGTGAAATAGATAACATATCTCTTCCCGAATATAGACTCCGCCCCTTTTTTGAATGACCTTTATCACCTTCTAAAACATATTCATTTGTATATTTTTGTATAACTGTATCTACACTACAGTACTTTAGTATTGATTTTTAATGATCGTGAGTTTTTCCAAAAATATTTTTTGAACAAATTTCCATTTTTTTTTCACTGAAACTCATTTAGACCAGCCAACAAGAAAACGCGGACAAAATTTGGAGAAAAATGCGCGGAATATCTCAACACTACAAATAAAACTGTACAAATCGAAATGTTTCTTATCACCTACTATTTTTGATAGAATAAATTAGTTTTAATATTTCTTTGAACAAAATAGAGATCATTTTCAAGTTAAAAACAGGTCAAAAATCATCAAATTTCAGCTCAAAAATTGCTCATGTTAAATTCCAGAATCACCCAATTTAAGGCTCAAAACTCTAATTTTCTGAAAAAAAAATATCCAAAAAATTCACCTGCGACATGTATTGTTGAAAATGTTGCTCTTGGAGTTGTCGAATCAAGTTGGTTTGCTGAAAATTTTCGGAAATTAAGCCACGCCCCTTTTCGCAACTCTGGCACACTTCTTACCTGCTCAGGCTCTCCCGGAAATTGTTGTTGAGCGTAGGCGGAAAATTGATGAAAAGTCTGAGCGTTGAGCGCTTCCTGAATTTGTTTTCGCTGATCTTCGTAGAGACGATGATCGACTTGTTGAAGTGAGGGATTTCGAGCCGATTGTTCGGTGACTTTGGCCGGCGTGAATTCTTTGAGCTCCGAGTCTTTGCTGGAAAAAAATTGGTTGGGAAACAGCTAAAAATCCAGTTTTGTTAGGTGGAAAACATCTAGAAAATTTTCGGCTTTAGCTCTAAAAATCCACGTGGAATTTCTGTCTAAAATTCTAGATAAAAATAGCTTAAAATCATCAATTTCCATCAAAAAATTCTCTGAAAAACGAGCACTCAAAAACGAGCTAGTAAAAATCGATAAAAGCCAATATGAGCAGAAAAAAAACGAGAGGAAAAGAGCAGGGGGAGGAGCTCTTTTATTCACATATTTCTTGCGGTGGGAAAAAACAAGAGGAATATTCTATTCTAGTAAAAAAAAAAGAAGAAGCGAAAACTAATGGAAAAAATAGGATTAGCCGGGGGAAAAGGGAATCGATAGACACATTTTTGAAGCCAAAAATCCAATTTTCTCAAATTTTCAATAAAAATCGGATTTCCAATCAAAATTTCGATTCAAAATCCAATTTTTACCAGAAGCTTTTTAATGAAATTCAAAATTTTCAAAATTGGATCATAAAATTTTGGAAACGTATTTTTTTTTTTTTTTGGAATTTTCGACATTTACACAAAAAGTTCTGGAGGTTCACTGTAGCAATTTTGAGCCCAAAAACCCTGAAATTTCGAGCCAAACCCGAATATTATATTTAAAAATCGTCAAAACCTCATTTTCCATGCAATTTTCTACAAACCTCACCCAAGAACCTGGAGAAGTGGGTAAAAAATTGCCCACCTGGGTTTATTTACCAAATTTGCCCACCTAGTAAAAAATTTTGCCCACCTGAGGCTGGCCTTGAAGACCCTAAAAAATTTTGCCCAGCTGAGGCTGGCCTTGAAGACCCTAAAAAATTTTGCCCACCTGAGGCTGGCCTTGAAGACCCTAAAAAATTTTGCCCACCTGAGGCTGGCCTTGAAGACCCTAAAAAATTTTGCCCACCTGAGGCTCGCCTTAAAGACCCTAAAAAATTTTGCCCACCTGAGGCTCGCCTTAAAGACCCTAAAAAATTTTGCCCACCTGAGGCTCGCCTTAAAGACCCTAAAAAATTTTGCCCACCTGAGACTCGCCTTAAAGACCCTAAAAATTTTGCCCGCCTGAGGCTCGCCTTAAAGACCCTAAAAAATTTTGCCCACCTGAGGCTCGCCTTAAAGACCCTAAAAAATTTTGCCCACCTGAGGCTCGCCTTAAAGACCCTAAAAAATTTTGCCCACCTGAGGCTCGCCTTAATGACTCTAAAAAATTTTGCCCACCTGAGGCTCGCCTTAAAAACCCTAAAAAATTTTGCCCAGCTGAAGCTCGCCTTAAACACCCTAAAAAATTTTGCCCGCCTGAGGCTCGCCTTAAAGACCCTAAAAAATTTTGCCCACCTGAGGCTCGCCTTAAAGACCCTAAAAAATTTTGCCCACCTGAGGCTCGCCTTAAAGACCCTAAAAAATTTTGCCCACCTGAGGCTCGCCTTAAAGACCCTAAAAAATTTTGCCCAGCTGAGGCTCGCCTTAAACACCCTAAAAAATTTTGCCCGCCTGAGGCTCGCCTTAAATATCCTAAAAATTTTTTTGCCCACCTAGGTTTTTCGAAAAAAAAAAATTGCCCACCTGGAATTCCAGGTCTTGGGTGAGGTTTGAATTTTCTACCATTTTTTACCAAAAAAAAATCAGAAAAACTCAATTTTTCACTGAAAATTCAAATTTCCCGCCCCAAAACTCACATCGCTCGATTTTTGTCGGCAATGAATCCTTTGAACGGCGGACATACTCGATCGACGAGAAACACAAAAGAGGCCATTGCTTCGTCGCGCGACAAATCGCCAAGTTCACGCCACTTTTTGCTGAAAATTAGTTTGGAATTTCTCGGAGAAAATGTAGCAAGTCTGGCGACAAAAATAGACTTTTAGCCAGCTTGCGACCATTTTTAGCAAGCTTGCTACATTTTTTCCCATTATAAAAATTGTAGCAAGCTTACTAAAAATGGTCGCAAGCTGGCTAAAAGCCTATTTTTTGTCGCCAGTCTTGCTACTTTTTCCCCGAGTTGGTAAAAATAATGATTTCAAGTCAAAAATGCATTAAAAATCGATAATTTCCGCTTGAAAAGATTGCTGTAATATTTTAATTCTCTAAATTTTAGCGCCAAAACAATTTTCAAATTTCAAATTTTCTTAGAATTTCAGCTCAAAAATCTCATTTTCAGCTGGAAAAACAGCTAGAAATTCAAATTTCTCGCTTAAAATTCTACAAAAATCTCAAATTTCCCTCCCATAAAAAACAACATCGGAAATCCGATATTTTGCGTTCCAAATCCAAAAAAAAAGAATTTCATCACAAAAATCAATTTTTCGAAAAAGAAGCCAAAGAATGACTAGAAAATTGTAATCTTTCAGATTTTTGAGAAAAATCTGAAAGTTCTCAATTTTCCGTCCAAAAAACTCAACAAAAAAACATGTTTCGGGTCCAAAAAATGCACATTTCCTGCTCAAAAAAGTATAATAGTAATAAAAATATCAACTTTTTATGATGACAAAAGTACATTTTTATGGGTTTTTTTGTGGAGTTTCAGATGATTTTTGGAGAGAAGTTGAAAAATATGTCTAGACTGAAAATCTAAATTTTCCGAAAAAAATGTCATCTGGAGACCGAAAAATTCCAAATTTCGGCTAAAAACTAGCATTGGTCAATGAAATCACAAAAATACGGTCCTGGGATATAAAAACCTAGAAAACCAAGATTTTTGGGTGTAAATTAGCCTAGAACATTGGTTTAGGAACCGAATTCCCAGATTTTTAAGCTTAAAACTGATAATTGGTTGAAATTTCGAATTTTTAGCCTAAAAATTTTAGGTGATTTTCAGCTAAAGATTTTTTGCTAGAAATTAGTCTGTGTCATACAAACCTTGCTCAAAAACATGGAAAAGGACTCAAATTTCCAGATTTTTTAGCTGAAATTCAAAAAAGTGGCTCGAAAACCCATTCAGAGCATAAAAAATAACTCAGTTCATCAAAAATCCAAAATTTCTGCATAAAAACTCAATTTTTATACAGACTCACGAGAGAACCTGAAAAATTCTAGATTTTTTGGCTAGAAAAACCCACAAAAATTCCCACAAAAAAAGTGCCAAAAACGCGGCTCTCTCAAAATTTTGTCTTTTTTGCCACATGCCGCCCCTTATTAGCATTCTTCTCTTCGCAGGCTTTTAGTCATCTTTTCTTCCTTCTTCTTCGGATTTTGGGACACAAATTCAATTTTCCGCTTCCCCCGGCCACAAAAAAACTAGGTCCCCCTACTCAATCTACAATTTTTGAGTCACCAAAAAAAATCAAGGGGTCCAGAAAAAAAACAGGAAAAAAAGTGACTAAAATTCGCTCGTCACAAAACGGCTGAGAGGAAAAAAAGTGTCCCATGGGTGTGTGAAAAATAGTGGGGGAAAAAGTGGTGAAAATTTCAATTCCTCATGATTTATGAGCGTTTTTTCACCTCGCCTTCGGAAAAAAAAAGAAAAATTTGGGCATAGTTTCCGCATCTCAGCCATTTTCAAGCTGGAACTATGCTAAAAATCTAGATTTTTGGCTGAAAATTCAAGAAAACCTCGAACTTTCAGTCAAAATCCTGGAGTTTCAGCATATTTCCAGTTTAAAAGAACCAATTTCAAATGATTTTTGAGCTCAAAATCGGGAATTCCAGATTTTCAGCTCAAAATGTCATTTTTCCATGGGGGATTAGAAAAAACTCATATTTTTTCAAGAATAAGGCTGTTTTCAAAGATATTTCTCAAAAAAAATAGGAAAAAATCAAATTTTCGTCACTCACTAAACTCTCAAAGTGTAACAACTCTCGAGAAAATCAAATTTCAAGGCGAAAAGAGAAAAATTCAATTTTCGCGCAGTCAAAAAAATTTTCCTCAATTTTTCTCGAAAAATTGTGTTTTACAAGAGGATTAGTGCGAAAAAATGGAACAACATTGTTCCTTTTTTGGTGGAATTTTTTTCTCTCAAAAAAGGACGAAATTCATTTCCTTTTGAAGAAACAAAGCAAAGAAAATTCAATTTCGTCCAGATTTTTTCCAATTTTCATTTGAGAAAAAATAAAAACACAAAAATAGAAATTTTTGTTGAAAAACATCGAATTTTCGAGAAAATTCAATTTTTGCGGCTAAAGAGGGCTCACAATAGTCGTTTTGAGAGGAAAATGCACAAAAAACTTGTTTTTCTTTGGCTTCTTAATCAAAAGTTGGGCTAATTGAATTTTATTGGGGGAAAACATACAAATTAGGGATTTTGGACGAGTTTTGAAGGGAAATTCGATTTCTAGACCAAAAAAACACAGAAAATCAGGTAATGAAAACTAGAATTCGCGATTTCCAGACTATTTGTTCATATTTCTAGCCCACATTTGGTTTTCTAGGCCACCAGAGTCTGAATATCCAGTTTCGAGCCCAAATTTCAATATCCAGGACAATCTTCAAACAGAAATTTCCCCGAAAAACTCACTTAACATCATTTCCAGTCAAATTGAACCATCCCGCATCATCATTTTCATTGGTGAACGCGCCATTTTGAATAAATTTGTTAAGCGCCAAAATCTTAATGCGCTCCTCATAAGGAACTGGCAAGCTTTCAGTTTTTGTGTATTCTGCAAGATTTTTCATTGATGTCCAGCATAAAAACGTGATTTTTTTTCCATAGAAACAAGAAAATACCTTTATAACATTGAACAGCGCCTTTGAAACAATCATCAAGCGGTAAACCGAATTCCGAGCTGATTAATTGAACTTCGCTCAACTTCACATGATTTTCATCGACCATTTCTGCAATTTTCTGATTTAGAAATGACGGAAAACCTGGGAGAACACCGGAAAAACGTGGAAAATAAAAAACAAAAATATAAAAGTGTGCAAACACCGCGACGCACAATTGCACATTTTCTTGCAGTTTTCCGGCCGAAATTTTTTTTTTCAGTTTTTTTGAGCAAGGCACACCCGCTCAAACAATGAAAAAATTAGCAAAATGCTGTTCTCATTGGCGTACCAATTTTAGCTACCTTAGAGGTCGTTATATGAAAAACTAAAAATACTATTAGAATCAGCGTCTCAAGATCTACATTAAACTATGTTACTCATATTTTTAGGGGTCCTGCGAAGAAAGTTACGATTTGCGTCGAGACCACGCGGTTAAATAAATACGTGTCCCTTTAATCTGCAACGTAAATCAATGAAATAGTTGGCGTACCAATTTTCGTTAGGAAAATAGGCGTTAGAGAAAAAATGAAAAATATCACGAGATTCAGCGTGTCGAGATCTACATTAAACCATAAGATTCATAATTCCTAAGAGCCCAGGAAGGCCAGCTTTTCGAGACCCAATAAATTAATAAATGTATGTTCCTTTGAACGAACAAAACAGTGTGAATTCTCAAGAGACGCAGAGACGCGGTGTTTGCACACTTTTCGATTGCGTACTACAGTAGAAAAACAGTCATTGCTCGTTTCAGCGGGGTGTGAAGGTTACCTAAAATTTCGCAATTTTCTATCGACTATATAATAATTTACAAATTCATATTATAGGTAATAATGACAACAACCGAAGATTTGCTATGGTTGGGCTTGTCAGCATCAAAAGCGGCGGAAACTTTGAAAAACCCAAAGTTATCTGAAATCATCGCGCAAATCATCAAAGAATCCAAAACTGCGGAAGAAGCGGAGATTTCGAAGCAAAAGGGAACTTTGCTCTATCAATTGGCTACTAAAATCAAGCCACAAATCGTTGGACAAATCCCGTTGGTAGTGAAATATGTGCAAAATGAGGGAATCAAGTCGGAACCTCAATTAAATGCCGCAATCGAATATTTGCTTTCAAATAGTGTCAAAGGAATCGATATTTCGGCTTTTGAGAAAGCTTCCGGTGTTGGAGTTGTTGTAACTGTTGATGACATTGAGGATGCGGTAAGAAAAATGAAATTTTTATCTGTTTCAAAACTCAATTTCCAGGTCTCTAAAGTTATCTCAAAAAACACAGATCAAATCAAAGCTGAGCGATATTCTTTCAATGTGGGAAAGCTTTTGGGAGAAATTCGTGCAATTTTACCATGGGGAGATGGAGCATATATCAAGAAAGAGGTAGATCTTCGATTCTTGGAATTGCTTGGTCCAAAAACCGCGGAAGATTTGGCACCGAAGAAAAAACCTGAAAAGAAACCCGCAGCTCCAAAGGATGCTCCAAAGAAGAATGAAAAAGCTCAAGCAATTCAAAAAGAGGAGGAAACTGATGGGGCTGAAACAATGGACGAGTTGCTGAAAACCCGCGCACGTTTCCACGAAGTCGGCGAGAATTTCAAAACTGATGGCTACGTCACAACTCCACAAACCGCTCGACTTTTAGCGGAACATGTGAAAAAAGTTGGAGGACAAGTTGTCACACGGTTCCCGCCTGAACCTAATGGTGTTTTGCATATTGGACATGCTAAAGCGATTAATATTAATTTCGGTTATGCTAAGGCTAAAGGGAGGAAAGTGTAATTTACGATTTGATGATACGAATCCAGAAAAAGAAGAGGAGAAATTCTTCACCGCTATTGAGGATATGGTTAACTGGTTGGGATATAAACCGGCTGAAATTACACATTCTTCCGATAATTTCCAACAATTATATGAGGTATGAGGCTGAAATCCAGGAATTTCTTGAAATTTGGAGCTTATAATATACTGAAGATTCTTTTTTGGCTGAAAGTTGAATTCCGAATTTCCAGTGTATTTTCAACTCCAAAATGCCTTTCCTGAAAATTAAAAAAATCTGGATCTAGTCAGTTTTCTGAATCCCTAAATCCAGATTGAAAAAATTGAAATTGTCATTTTCAAGCTGGAAATATGCTGAAAATCCAGGGTTTCGACTGAAAATTCGAGGTTTTCTTGAATTTTCACACAAAAATCTGGATTTCCAGCATATTTTCAGCTCGAAAGTGGCTGGAATGCGGAAGCTATGCCCAAATTTTCACCCGAAATTCCAAATATTTTCCAGTGGGCCGTAATTCTGATCAAAAAAGGACACGCCTACGTTTGCCATCAAAAAGTCGAAGAAATGCGCGGTTTCGAAGTTCAACTAAGTCCATGGCGAGAAAGACCAACTCAAGAATCTCTCCAACTTTTCGAAGATATGAAAAATGGAAAATTCGACGAGGGAGAAGCTACACTTCGACTGAAATTGACACTTGAAGAGGGAAAAGTCGATCCAGTTGCTTATCGAATCAAATATGTTCCACATCATCGAACTGGAAATCAGTGGTGTATTTATCCGACCTATGATTATACACATTGTTTGTGTGATTCTATTGAGAATATTACACATTCGCTATGTACCAAGGAATTCCAATCCAGGTAAAAATTGATGATTATTTGACCCAAAATTCCTATAATTTTTCCAGAAGAAGCAGTTATTATTGGCTGTGCAATGCTTTGGACATTTATTGCCCGGTTCAATGGGAATACGGTCGATTGAATGTGAACTACACTGTAGTTTCGAAGCGCAAGATTTTGAAGTTGATCACCACGAAAACTGTGAAGTTAGTACTATGACGCAAAAATCCTGGAAATCTCAAAGTTTTGAGATTTTCAGGTGGAAAATGCAAAAATTTGAATTTAATTGTGACCTATGACGTGGAAGTTGAGAATTTTGATCTGAAAATCTAAAAAATATTTAATTTTGAGAATTTTCGAACAAAATCGTAGTTTCTCGAATTTCGCTCTGAAAATCAAAAAATTTCCTGAAAATTCCAGATTTTTTTCAATAAAAATTCGGTTTTTCTGAAAAATCAGAGATTTTTTGAGCAAATCAAGTCCAGAAAATAAATTATAAAAATTATTAAGAAAACCTGAAATTGTCATTTTCAAGATAAAAATATGCTGAAAATCTATAATTTCGTCTGGAAGTTCGAGGTTTTCTTGATTATTTTTTTTCTGGACTTGATTTGCTCTGATTTTTCAGAAAAACCGAATTTTTATTGAAAAAAATCTGGAATTTTCAGATAATTTTTTATTTTCAGAGCGAAATTCGAGAAACTACGATTTTGTTCGAAAATTCTCAAAGTTATATATTTTTTAGCTTTTCAGATCAAAATCTAAACTGCCACGTCTTAGGTCACATTTAAATTCAAATTTTTGAAATTGTCATTTTTAAGCTGCAAATATGCTGAAAATCTAAATTTTCCAGCGATTGGGATGATCCGCGTCTATTCACTTTAACCGCTCTCCGTCGTCGCGGAATTCCATCAGAAGCCATCAATCGATTCGTCGCCAAATTAGGCCTAACAATGTCGCAAATGGTCATCGATCCACACGTTTTGGACGCAACAGTCCGTGACTATTTGAACTCCCACGCACCAAGAACAATGGCCGTTTTGGATGGACTTAAGCTAACTATTCGCAATTTCGATGCGCTCAATTTACCGGCGGAAATCGAGGTTCCCGACTTCCCTGAACTCGCGGATTCATCGAAGCATCGGATTTCAGTGGATCGTGAGATTTTCATCGAGAAATCTGATTATGATTCGGAGGGCAAAGAGAAGGGATTCAGAAGATTAATGAAGAATCAAAGTGTTGGGCTGAAATATGTTGGATTGGTTTTGAGGGTTGTTGAGGAGCTTAAAGGTGAGGTTTTTTTTTTTGAAAAATCGAGAAACATGGGCAAACCATGACGCAAAATTGCATTTTCCAGATTCCCAAGGAAACTTGACTGAACTCGTAGTCGAAGCCGAAGCTCTCAACGATCAAAATAAACCAAAAGCCTTCATTCATTGGGTGGCAAAACCGGTGACTGCTGAAGTTCGACTTTATGATCGATTATTCAAGAGCAAAAATCCGGAAGAAGCTGGATTTTTGGATGATGTTAATAAGGTAAGGTCAAAAGATGGATGCTAGGGATGATCTTATGGCAAGGGACGGCTCCTTGGCAAGATTCTATCTCAAGGAGCTGCTCCTTGAGGCAATATCATGATAAGGGACGGCTCTTTAAAAGCACCTGAGGCTCAAGCATTTCCTTCTGAACCTCAGCAATTTTTATAGGATTCCCTCACAATTTTGTACACGGCTCTAATCGACAAATCCATCGCCGCCTCCAAAATCTACGATCGTTTCCAATTCGAAAGAATCGGCTACTTCTGCGTGGACAAAGATTCGACTTCCGCCAAATTGGTCTTCAATCGAACTGTTATGTTGAAAGACGGAAATACCGCCAAAAATTGAGCATTTTTTATTGGTTAATATGAGCAACAAAAATCGGTGATTTTTTCTAATGCATAGATTTATTGTTTTTCACATATCATTGTTATAAAATTCTTGAGAAGATCTTGAATTGGTTATGACGTGTCAGTTTGAAACTCTATTCGAAAATCCTAAGTTTTTATGATGTCTGGAACATTGTTAGAATTGTTTTTCTATAAAATCAGCCCTCGAACATGTTGATTTTTAGTAGAAAAAATGTTCTACATATTTCTTCAATCTATTTTCATCATTCAAATTGCCTGCGTCATCAATGAAATTCCAAATTCATTCTGTCTTCAATCAATATGTGAACTTGAGACAAATTGTGGCTTGAATCTTACCAATTCTTGCAGTTACGATAGTCAAAACCGCAAGGTTTGCGGTTATTTTCGACTTAGCGAATATATGTACAAAAATTGTTATTTCGTAGGATTCAATCCAGAAACTGAATCGATTAGGGATGCATTCCATCGTTGCGCAAATAATTATACCTGCGCTTCGGAATGCGTCAAAAATGTTCCCAACATAGCAAAACACAAATGTAATGGCATCTCGAAATGTCAAAAAATCGCCATGGCACATTTTGAAGGAAGAGGGCCGTATGGTTGTACAGAAAAGAGTCCGGAAAGAATGGGATATTGGAGTAAGGTTGAGAAATTATCAATGGAATTTTCGAGACATTTTATGGTTTTGAGACAGTTTTTTGAATAAAAACAAAGGTTTTATATTTCACAGAGAGAAAAAGGCAAGATAAGAGCTACATGGAAAAAATGGAGCAAAAGAAAAAGCACCAAAAATTGTAGGGAAATTATGTTGAAAAGGGGCTAACCGTATAAGGGACAAATATTATGAAGAAAAAAACTCTAAATTCGATCGTAACAAACACAAAAAGTTGCCAAATAATAATTGCGATCGATAATGCAATGAGGTGTATTTCCAAATTTATTTACATGACTAATTGAGGCGAAATCCAGCTTCATCTCATCTTTTAACATGTCGTAGAAGATTGTGGCCTGAAATTAAAATAAATAGGGCTTCAGGCTTTTATTAGGCTTACCTCATAAATAGCAACTCCGGGAGTTGTTCTAATTTTTAATTGGTAATGTGCAAATGCAGCATGTGTATTTCCACTCAAATCCGGTACAAATCCATCATTATCTTTCACATTTTTATATGCCAAAACTCCGCTATCTGGTAATAATTTTTTCGAGCTCAAAATCTGAGCCAATTTTAATGGAGCACATAATTTGATTTCAGGTTCGAGTTCTTGATTGATTGCTTTAACAATTCCTTTGGCTAATCTTTCACTCAATTTTCGATCATTTTCATTTTCCAATGCATTTTTCCATAATAAACAAGTACACCAATGTGCTTCAATTCCAGCATTTTCACAATTTCGTTTTTCAGGAATTTTTCGGAATATTGATAAACTTCTTTGATTTTTTGCATCTTGTTCAATTTCAAATTCATTTTCGTCGATTTTTGATAAATTTAAAATATCCATCAAACTTGCATGAATATCAAAAGGACTTGTTAATTTCTCTTTATTTTCTTTCAAATTTCTCCACATTTTCTTTCCTTTTTCCGTATTTTTCAATGATTTTGGCAATGAAATTGAGAAAAATGGCATTCGTTCTTCTAATTGTCCTTGATGTGTTTCTCTTAATTTTGCAAATCGATGTCCATGATCAGCCATTAAAATAACAACTGAATCATCAAATAATCCTTCCTCTTTCATTTGTTTCAAATGTGCTGTCAGATCTTCATCTTCGACTTGAACTAAATTCACATCATCGTGCGAGAGAAGACTTTGATGCATCATTAGGAATCTGGGGATATCTGAGTAGACTTTCATGAATTTTCGAGCATTTTGGAACCACATCTGCAAAAAATGGGGGATTTTTTGAAGAATATAGAGGTTGGAAATCCACGTGGAAAAATTCTGGGATGAAAATTTATATTTTGAAATTTTAATCTGAAAATCCACGTGGCAAAATGTTTGAAAATTCAAAATTCAGATTTTTGAGCTCGAAAATCCACGTGGAAAAACTCGTCAGATTTTCCAATTCTGAACTTTGAGAATAATTAATATGAATTTGAAAATTTGGTATTTGGGTGAACTTCGAGCAATAATTTGTAGTAATTTCTTTAAATTTTGTGTATCGAAAATCATTGAGACCAAATTTCTGAGCTCAAAATTTTTAAACCAACACATTTGCCCTCAAAAAACTCCAAATTTCCGGCCAAAAACCAACCCTATGAAGAGGAATCGATCCAACACAATTCCAATCCGGATTCTTCTCCAATTCCTTGAACACAGTTCGAGTATAATGATCAGTTGGTTGATTTCTGAATCCTTTCAATCGATATGTAAATGTTCCAATATTAAAAGCGTCTTCCGCGTACATTGTAGCATATCCAGAATCCGAGAAATTCTTCCAAATAAATGGATAAACATCATCAACATAATTTGCATTCGAATATCTTTTTCGAGTTAGCGGAAGTTCAACTTCAGTTTGTGCTGTTAATATTGGAATGTAGGCTTGCGGAGTTCCATCACCAACTATATTGTAGCCATTCAAAACTACACTTTCCATGGTTTCCTCAAGGAATTTCACAGTGTTTGGAAGTTTTCGGCGGTATGACATTTGGCTAAGCGAATCGAAGCTGAAAAAAAATTAATTTTGGGAAAATTTTAAGGGGATTTTTAGAGTCATATTCCAAATCCCACTAAAACCGATTCGTAAAAGTTAGCCCAACTCAACTCACCCCAGAAAATACACATTCAACGACTTTTCCTCTGGATTTCTAGACACATTTTTCGCTCTCTCTTCAACTTCCGCAATCTTATTCACATCCCATAAAACAGAATTCCATTTTTCAAATCCTTTTATACATTTCACAGTTGCGTAATCACTTCCATTCATTTGAAATCCATCTGAAATTAATTTCAGTAGAAAAACAAGTTGTTTTCTAGACCACAATCTTACCAAAAATCTGAACATCATCCGAAAATCGATTTTCCTCATCATTCTTCCGCCACAAATATTTGATTTTACAAGAAGCCTGTTTCCTTTTCTCAGTAAATCTCAATTTTCCATCCATATCCACAAAAACCCAATTATCCTCAATCCGCGAATTTTTCCGCTGACATTTTAAAGGCGCAGGAGTTTTGAAGAATCCAATAACTTCAGTTCCATTAATATCGAGTTTCGGGATGTTGCAAGCTTGGTTTAGCTCTAGATTTTTGCTGGATTTGGTTTTGGAGGCCCCAATGTCTTTATCGCTGTGCAAAATGATAGTTTTCACGGGATTCTGGAAAAAAAAATCAATAATTTTTCGTTTAAAATCTCTGAAACTTACCGAATCCTCTTCACTAATCCTATTAGAATTGACAAATTCAGACGGTGTATTTTCAAATCCTAACGATAACACCAAAAAATAGCCGGCCACCAAAAGCACACCAACAATCACCAATTGACGAAGCCTGAATACCAAGCTCGCCATTTTCGCGAAGTAGATTCAAGAACCCTGCAAAAAAACCATGTTTTCCCCCAGTTTTTATTGATATTTTTATTATTTATATCAGTGAGAAAAATCCAATGTAAACAATAGAACTCAAAAAATCGATAAAACCACTTGAAACCAGGTATCGGGAAAATTTTCAAGTATTCATACTTTTTTTATTGAAAGCTTCCGAGTAAAAATCAATAAATTTTTTTAATAAACAATGAACAACTTTTTTTTGCTCGAGAAAAAAATTGGAAAACAAAAGCTTTTTTGTGGGGTTTCGAGTGGGAAAGTGCGCGGATTATCTCCCCGAAAAAGATTTGCATTTTCTATTCTTCTTTTTTTGCTTTATAGAAATTTGCTGAAACTTTTAGAAAATCCCCGTTTTCCCTCTGAAAACCACTGAAAAACAAGAAAAAAATAAATAAAAAATGTGATTTCAATGGGGCGCACTTGTTGCATTGGTGTCGGTTTCTAGGCCACGGCCAATTTTTTTGATGGTTTTTTTTTCAAAAAATCTTTTTTTTTCCAAGTTTTCACCGGGAAAAACGGTGATTTATGCAAATATGATTTTGTTTTCATATAACTTTTTTCACACATTTTTCCCCACAAAAAACGAGAGAGAAGTTTTGGGGTCCCTTGAGATTTCTAATTGCTAACTTTGGCCATTAATTGAATTTGAAGACCTTTTCGCCGCTCTTCTTCTTCTTCGCTTCTCTTCGCCCCAGAATCTCATTATTTACTTTGTGCCACACAATTTTTTTTGTTTTCATTCATTCTTTTTTCATTCACTTTTTCTGTTCCTGAAAGCTACTTTTTTTTTTCAAAAATTCAATTGAATTTTTGAATCGTTGTTTTGTTTTTCTGAAAAATTATTAATTATTTTTTGGTACGGTAGGATTTTGGGCAGAAAAATTTGAAATTGTATTTTTGAGCTTAAGATTGTGTTCCAAAAATTCCCCCATCCAACTTTTTCTCAAATTTCTTACTGTACATTTTTTTGGACGCCGAAAATTTCGAGTTTAGATTGAAAAGGCGGCGATTCATCAAATCAAAGAGTGTGTCACGCAATTTTTCTTCCGCCAAATTTTTTTCGCATTTTATTTTGTTCTACCCAAACCACCCATTTTTCCATCCCATCCGAAAACACTTCCGTTTGAAAAATGGCTTGAAAAAAAAATTTTTTTATTGTTTTTGGGGGAGGGATATAATTGCATTTTTTGGCGGCAAAAAACATGAGGTCTGGAACTAATTTTGTGTGTTTTTGAAATTGTTTTTTTTTTCAAAAAAAAAATCATAAAACCTCCTCATTTTCGTTCATTTTTTGAGAAAGTTCTGAACTTTTTAGGCACGTGGCAAAATTTTGAGCTCTAGAATCCACGTGGCAGATTTTTAGCTCAAAAATCCACGTGATAGAATTCAGAGCTCAAAATAAGCCACGTAGATTTTTTTCCATAAAAAGCAAAAAATTCTCAAATTTCCCGGAAATTAGAATAAATGGGAAGGGAATTATAATTTTTCTTTTATTTTTTTTTTAGAAAAAAATGTCTCAAGTTTCACATTTCCTTTTATTTGCATGTTTTCAGTCAAAAAATCAGGAAAAAAAATATCTGAAAATATTTTTATTCGAAATCACGTGGATTTCAAAGCTCAAAATTTACTTTCCCCATATTTTCGTGATATTATTTTGCAGCAGCCAGCCAACAAAAATTGTGTCTGAAAATATTTATTTCCAGCCCCATTGTTTCCGCTCATTTAACTCGAAAAATCGTGGCCAAAAATTGGGGGGAAAAAGAAAAATACTCCAATTTTTCTTCATATTTTTCTTTTTTTTCTTATTTTCGGGACCAAAACAATTTTTTTCATTGTTGTGCAATTTTTTTCGAGTTTTGGTTGGAATATTTTGAGTCCTGAATTCCAGAAGCTCAAAAATCCACGTGCACTTTATTTTAAAATTCCAGAAAATTTATTTTAAAATTCCAGAAATCAATAAATAATTCAAAAATAGTCCAATTTTATTAATAAAAAAAATGTTTTCACTCAAAATGTCTGCGTCTCTCACTCTCTCACCTCTCTCCATAAAATATTCTATTTTTCCCAGATTTGAAACTCGGATAAGCTTCGTTTTTTTTTTGAAAAAACATACGGCGAGTATTTTTTTCGAACTGAGCTCAAAACTTTTCCACGTGGATTTTTGAGCTGGATTTTCCGGCTCACAATCATTTTTTTTGGCAAAAATGTCAATTCCAGTCGCTTGACTGAATTTCTTTTTGTCTCTCATTTTTTTCGGCGGCAAAAAATTTCGTGTGCCCAAAAATGTCTTTATTTGCTCAATTATAAGTTGAGCAAATAAAAAATGAGCAAGAAAATTAGTCATTTTTAATGCGTTTTTCTATTTTTTTTTTGAAAAGAAATTTTTTTTAGAAAAAAATCGTCACTTTTTGCTCTGAAAATAACCTTGTATTTCCGTTTCATGTTAAAAAATTTATTTAAAAAAATAAAAATAAAACAACATTTGAATTTTCCAGAACTGGCGGATGTCATTCGACTTCGATTTGACGGCGCCTTTTCAGCAGGCTTTTACAGTTCGGGATCAATATGAGCATCGACATAAAGTTAGGCCAATTCAGGTTAGTTTTGTCTATTTTGGGGACTGAAATTTTTGGTTGAAAATTTGAAATTTTTATTCACCGGTCTGAAAATGTTGTGATTTTGAGCCTTTCTCTACAGGATGGAACTAAATTCAAAATGATTTAATGCTGAAATTTGGCTGAAAATTTAATGAAAAACTTGATATTCTCTAAACTTCTAACGATTTGTTCAAAAAATCAGAAAACTTTCCCAGAAAGTCTAGACAAAATAAAATATCTAAACCAATATTTAAAAAAAAGAGCCCACATCAATTTTCCATTAAAAAAAAATCAAAAATGTTGGTTATCCTACTTCTCCTAACTCTTCCGATGTTCTCAACTCAAGAACAAAATGTTCTCGAACTTGCTAAATCGGTATTTGATAAAATCATCAATGCCGTAACTCTTGAAATGGTTGAAAACGTTTGGGCTGTCGAATTTTCATCGACAGATTGTGAAAATGTTACCAAAAAATTCAATCACAGTGAAATATATCGAGAAATAAATATGAATTATAATCCGGAGGAAACACGAGAAGAATTCCCGAAAGTTTTGAGCGCTAAATTTCAGGATTCTGAAGAAAAAATTCTGGTTATCACGGTTCAGGATAAAGCTGATAATAAGACTGGAACTGTTCTGTTCGCGAAAAAAATCGAGGGAGATCGATTTGAACTTTTTGCCGAATTAGCTGTGTGTTATGAAAAATGATGCAAATGAATAAATTTTAAGTTTTCAATATTTTCTACAAAATTTTTTACAAAGAAAATTTGCTCTTTCTGGTTTTTCAGCCGAATTTTAGGTCTGTATGATTTTTTTCATAAGATGTCAAGTACATCATTTTGAAACCCTTGAAATTCTCTACAAGATAGGCTCTAGCTTCAAAGTTTGGAGTGCTGAAATTTGGCTGAAAATCCGGTCTGAAATTGTTGTGCTAAATTCTGAAAAAAACTAGGATCGACAACTTTGAGCACGATTTTCAGAACTTATTCTGTGAATAAACTTAGGGTCAAGTTTATCATTTTGAAGCTCTACAGAATGTCACTAGGCTCATAATTTTTAATGAAAAATCTATTGAAACACTTGATCTTCCAACGAGACAATGCTTCAGTTCAAAAAATCAGAAATTTTCCCCAGAAAGTCTAGCCAATATAAAAAATTCCTAAAATTATTTAAACCCTCCTCTCCCACACAAATCATAATTTTATCGAGAAAATGTTGATGTTCATACTTCTCCTAACTCTTCCAATATTCTCAACTCAAAGCTCACAACCTCTAGAACTTGCAAATTCTCTTCTATCTCAATACAAAGATGCAACAACTCTAGAAAACATCGCAAGATCCTTCAAAGCTCCATATTCAGCTACAGATTGTGACCATGAAAAATTTGATTTGTCTCACCAAGAAATGTTCGAAGGATATGAAACATATAAAATTCGAATAATCTTCCGGATCGCTCAAAAATGGCAGTCACAAGTGCCGAATTTTTGAACGAAAATTCTTTGAAATTCATTTCTCATGATAATGATGAACATAAGACTGGGACCATTCATTTTGCCGAAAAACAGGGAAATGGGGATTTTATTTTTGTGGCTGAACAGGCGATTTGTGGATTAGATAATTGATGAACCTGATTTCATTTTGAATTTCTCTATAAAATGAATATGAATACAATATTCCTTGAGGCTTAGGATTTTCAGCCAAATTTCAGATCTGAAAACTATCAATAAGTATATCATTTTTTAAAAAGCTCTTCTCGTGAAATTCTCTACAATCTGAAAATTTCAGATAATCGCTCCCTCAACAACTCAACCCGGAAAATTTCGTCTAAATGAAAGTGGTTTGAATTCGGTGCTCGGACATTCGGCTTGCGCAAATAAGAAGGTAAGAATAAAGAATTCTGGGGGATGACGTGGCATTTTGAAGAAATTGGAAATTCACGTGGCAGTTGAGAAACAAAAAGAAAAATCTCTCATAAAATCTCAAAAATTCAGAATTTTTCTTTTAAAAAATTTGAATTTTATTGTGAAAATCTGAATTCGCATTGGAGCGCACTTGTGATTTTTGAGCACAAAAATAAAAATTTCGCTTTTTACGGTGATTCTGAATCCACCGTATGTGTTCTTCATAAATTTCACGGTAATTCTGAATCCCCCAATTGCGCTCTAATGCAAACCCAGCGTTTTTTGATAAAATTTAAATTTTTAGCAATTTTAGCAACCCCAAAAAACAAAGAAAAACAATTTGGTGATAAAATTCTTTATAAATAAATAAGTTTGGAAGCTTAACGCCGTGTTCCATCTTCGAAGAAGATTCCTCCGTCCAAAGCACAGTATTTTGGACAGATTCCCTTCTCTCCTGGAGTTCCGTCGGCTCCGGCATTTCCAGGTTTTCCTGGTTGTCCATCTTTTCCTGGCTCTCCTGGAGTTCCTGGTTCTCCACGAGCTCCTGGTGCTCCTGGTGCTCCATCGATTCCGTTGCTTCCCGGTGGTCCTGGTGGTCCTTGTTGTCCTGGGGTTCCCGGTGGTCCTGGTGGTCCTGGAACAAGTGGCTCGCTCTTGGCTGGTGCTCCTGGCTCTCCTGGTGCTCCGGCTTGTCCTGGTGGTCCTGGTGGTCCTGGTGGTCCCTTTGGTCCTGGCTCTCCTGGCGCAGCATCTGGTCCCTTTGGTCCTGGCTCTCCTGGTGCTCCATTATCTCCTGGAATTCCTGGTGGTCCTGGTGGGCCAGGTGGTCCTTGTGGGCAAGGTTGGCAAGGTGGTGGAGTGATTGGTTCGCAAGGGGTTTGTGGTGGACGACCCGGAGTTCCTGGTTGTCCTGGTGCTCCAGGCTTTCCTGGCTTTCCGGGCTTTCCTGGTGTTCCCTGTGGTCCTTGTGGACCTGGCAAGCAACAACCGGCGCATTGCTCATTGTAGTTTCCGCCGGCGGCACGAGCGGTACGGTTAGCGGAAAGTGGGAGTTCCTTGATCGAGTAGACCGAGTTCCACACATCCTTGGCACTTCCTTTGCATTGGTGCAACTCTTGGTGCATTTGAGTGCGGACGTGTTGCACGTAGTTGTAAACCATTGGGAGGGTTACACATACCTAGAACATTTTGGAGTTGGGAAATTGAATTGGGATAGGCTTAGCCAAAATGAATCTGATAAGGCCCAACCTTAAGCCTGAACAATTATCTAGCTCAATTAGGCCTAAGATATTGGATAAGCCTGATTGAGGTTGACTAGGCTTAGTCCAAGCCTAGGGATTTAATTAGGCCTTAACTCTTGACTAGTCTAGCCTGAGGTTTTGGGTATGCCTGAGGTCTTGCATGATCTAGTCATGAATAAGAGAAGTCTTATGTCTTGGATACGCCTAAGGCCTTGCCTAAGCGTAAGGACTTTCCTAAGCTTATGATGTAGTCATGGATGAAGAAGCCTTTAAACCTAAGCTACTGGATAAAGAAGCCTCCACGCCTAAGCTACCGGATGAAGAAGTCTTTGAGCCCAAGATACTAGATAAAAAGCCCAAGCCCGAGCCCAGGTTCTTCTCATAAGATCTACTTGGGTCTAAGAACCCAAGTAAGAACAAACGGCAAAATACCTAGAGTTCAAAAAAGTCCACAAAATCCTCACCGAAAGCACAGCAACAGCCGAAAAGCAGACGGCAGCATATCCGACGAATCGGTATGCCTTGATCTTCGAATCAATATCCATTCCTATTTCGCTGACGAAGCAGAAATGTGGCTTATCGCAAATCCGCACCCCCGTTTTATACCGAATGATTCGATTTTTTGTGGGCGAGCCTGGCCTTAGCCAGTCCTTTCTTGTTTCCTTCGCGCGCTTAAAAAGTTCATCATTTTGTTTGGGAGAGATGATGATAGCCGATTTTTCTCTATCTCTCTTCATTTTTCTCTATTTCGCGCGCGCGCGGAAAGATTCTGGGGGAGAAGCGGAGAGAAAACTGGGTGTGGTAGGGATGCGGCGATGATGAAAAATATTAATGTTAAGGTAGTTTTTCTGTACGAGGATTTTTTGACGCCAAGAATTAATTCGAATTAACAAGAGTGAATAGTACTAGAACATTTACTCACTTGGATTTTCGAGCACAAAAATTCACAACCCATTTTTTGCAGGTAATAATCATCAGTGTAGCTGGAGCATATCGGAAAGGCAAAAGTTTTCTGCTCAACTTTTTCCTAGAATATTTGTACAGTTTGAATAAGGCGCAATCGGTGAGTTCCCTCCAACTTTATAAAACATATTCATCATCAATCTTTTCTTCAGAAAGACGCTGATTTGGAATGGTTAACAGATGATTGTCAATTACACGGATTTCACTGGCGAGCCGGTGTGAAACGAGATACAATAGGAATTTGGCTGTGGGGAGAGCCGATTATGATTCAATCGATAACCGGGGAAATGTTTGCGGTGCTATTAATGGATACTCAAGGAACTTTTGATAATAATACGACTTATCAACAATGTATGACTGTTTTTGCATTATCTACTATTATTTCGAGGTAAAAATAGTTCAAAAAACCCTTGCCAGGCATAAATCTCTAGTCCAAGGGTCGTAACTAAATTCACGACCACCCAGCCCTATTTTCAATTCACCTAATTTTTCTAGTGTTCAAATCTACAACGTCGTCGACAACATCCAAGAAGATGCTCTACAACATCTCTCACTATTCGTTGAATACGGTCGAATGGTCATGGAGCAACCCCACGATTTCGGAAAACCTTTTCAGAATCTGGTTTTTTGTGTGCGCGACTTCAAAAATGCGGAAGAATATGATTTCGGTGAAGGCGGCGATTTCCTTGAGAACGTTCTACAAGTTAATGAGACACAACCTGATGAAATTCGACAGGTTCGAGAACTCCTTCATGAATATTTTGAGGATATTCAGTGCTACCTTCTACCCCACCCCGGATATAAAGTTGCAGAGCGACAAAGTTTTCGGGGGCACGTGAAGGACCTTCGACCGATTTTTAGAGAAGAACTCAAAAAAATGGTGCCAAACCTGATAGCTCCACACAATATGAAGGCAAAAATGGTGAATGGGAAGGCGGTGACATGTCGAAAATTGGTGCAATACTTCAAGGAGTACGCCAATTCATTCGATGGCGAAAGTTTGCCAGAACCGCAGAGTATTCTGAACGCGAATGCGAAATTGATTTGTATTGAAGCGGCGCATGAGGCGAAAGTGAACTATTGTCGGGGGATGGATCGATCGACTTATGGGACGAGAATGATGCCGGAGAAAAAGTTGTTGGAGGCACATATTAAGCATGGTATTACGGCGTTGAATATTTATGATAAGTGTCCAAAGATTGGGTCGAAAGAGGTTCGAAGTTTGTTGTTGGAGAAATTACAGGAGGATATTAATGTGAGTTTTCATAGAAAAGACAGGGCACCACCAATTCTTATCGAAAAAATGTGTGCATAAAACGTTGGCGGAGCCTATTTTGCTAAAAAGCCATCTAGCAACACAATGAAACTTATAAATCACACAACAAACGTGCCTGACCTGCACAGGCGTAAGAAAAACCGTGCCAGGCTTGCAAAAAATGAGCTGACCTCATCAAAAAATCCCTCTATTTCTCAATTTCCAGGCCGAACTCGAGCGCTACAAACGTCTCAACGAAGCGAAACGTGTAACAGGCTGTGCTTCCGCAATGCTTGCCTGCGGCGATTCCGTTTTCCTTGGCATCGGTTTGGGAACGGCGGCAAGCGGTGCAGTTGCAGGAGCAATTGTTTCCTTGAGTTGGGCTAGTGTTAGTTTGGGTAAGTCGATTTATTTCCTGATTGTAAAGAACTCACGAATTGTTTTTGCAGGCGTCGTCGCAATCCCGTTTTCACTCACCACAATATTCATAATTTGGGCATACGTGTATTCGAAGCCTTGTTTCAAAAAACTGGGTAAAAAAGATAAATCTTGACTTGATTTGTATTTATATTGCATTTTCACTTTTCTCTTTTCAAATACCTGTGATTTAGGGTTGTAATAAATATGAAAAATAAATTGAAAATAAATAAATAAATAAATGTTTTCTCACGTGAAACGTGGAAAAAATGACGTGGCTTGGCATTTTTCTGATTTTCATCGAAAATTTCTCATTTCTCAATGAAAATGGCGCAATTTCCGGTGAAAATTCGAAGGTTATTGATTTTTTGCACTGTTTTCGTGATTTTCTATTATTTTGCGATGATTTTGGCAAAAACTACAACATTCGAAGAAAAACATGAAGAGGAAATCGAGATAGATCAGGTTTTGAATGTTTTTTGATCCAAAAAAAATAAAAATCAATTAATTCCAGAAACCCATAAAAATCATCATTTCGCATAGTGATAAAGATCGAGAAAATCAACAAAAACATCAGAAATCTAGCAAAAATCTGGAGCTAAATCAGGCTTGCAATATCCCAAAACTTGATATTAATGGAACTGAAGTTATCGGATTTTTCAAAACTCCTGAACCTTTAAAATGTCAGCGAAATGATTCGGGAATTGAGGATAATTGGGTTTTTGTGGATATGGATGGAAAATTGAGATTTACTGAAAAACGAAGAAATGCGATTTGTAAAATCAAATATTTTTGGAGGAAAAATGATGATGAGAATCGATTTTCGAAGGTGATCAGGATTTATGGTAAGGTTTTCAGAAAGAAATTCTGAAAACGTTGCAACAACGTTTTTATCCTGAATAAGTGAGAGTAAGACAGTAAATGGAGACGCAGACAAGAAAGCGGCAAGAGAATGTGTAACGTGAAGAGTCGCAGATATTAAAAATAAAAAAATGTGAACTCTCATTGTCGTTTTAAAATGCTGTGTTCGCCTTTTTCCATGAAAAAACAAAAAAAATATTTTTTACGCGTGGCCGAGAAACCCAACGGCCATTTCCAAAAAAAAAATCGATTTTTCATTTTTTATGTTTTTTAATCGAAACCCTTAATTCATGTTTCAGATGGATTTCAAATGAATGGAAGTGATTTTGCCATCATAAAATGTCTCAAAGGATTCGAAAAATGGAAATCTGTTTTGTGGAATGTGAATAAGATCGCGAAGGTTGAGAAAAGGTCGAAAAATGTGAGAAGAGACACTTGAGGAAAAGCCGTTGAATGTATATTTTTTGGGGTGAGTTGGGCTAACCTTTAATTGGAAAAAAAACCTGCACACATTTTTCTAGCTTCGACTCTCTCAGTCAAATGTCATTCCGTCGAAAACTTCCAAACACTGTGAAATTTCTCGAAGAAACCATGGAAAGTGTAGTTTTGAATGGCTACAATATAGTTGGCGATGGAACTCCGCAAGCCTTTATTCCAATATTAACAGCACAAACTGAAGTTGAACTTCCGCTAACTCGAAAAAGATATTCGAATGCAAATTATGTTGATGATGTTTATCCATTTATTTGGAAGAATTTCTCGGATTCTGGATATGCTACTTTTTATGCAGAAGATATGTATAAATATGGAGTTTTCACTTATCGATTAAAAGGTTTTCGAAATCAACCAACTGATCATTTTGCAAGCGCGGTTTTCAAAGAATTGGAGAATTTCGGAGATTTTACAAGCGATCGATGTATTGGATCAATTCCATTTCACAAAGTAACTGAATCTATAGAAAATTAATATTTTCATCAGTATTGTTTCCAGGTGTGGTTTGACAATGCTCATAAATTCATGAAAGAATATTCAGATATCCCAAGATTTTTATTGATGCATCAGGGAGTTTTATCACACGATCATGTCAATTTAGTGCAAGTTCAAGATGAAGATTTGACGGAACATTTGAAACAAATGAAAGAGGAAGGATTATTTGATGATTCAGTTGTTATTTTAATGGCTGATCATGGACATCGATTTGCAAAATTAAGAGAAACACATCAAGGACAATTAGAAGAACGAATGCCATTTTTCTCGATTTCATTGCCAAAATCATTGAAAAATACGGAAAAAGGAAAGAAAATGTGGAGAAATTTGAAAGAAAATAAGGAAAAATTAACAAGTCCTTTTGATATTCATGCAAGTTTGATGGATATTTTGAATTTATCAAAAATCGATGAAAATGAATTTGAAATTGAACAAGATGCAAAAAATCAACGAAGTTTATCAATATTCCGAAAAATTCCTGAAAAACGAAATTGTGAAAATGCTGGAATTGAAGCACATTGGTGTACTTGTTTATTATGGAAAAATGCATTGGAAAATGAAAATGATCGAAAATTGAGTGAAAGATTAGCAAAAGGAATTGTTAAAGCAATCAATCAAGAACTTGAACCTGAAATCAAATTATGTGCTCCATTAAAATTGGCTAAGATTTTGAGCTCGAAGAAATTATTACCAGATAGCGGAGTTTTGGCATATAAAAATGTGAAAGATAATGATGGATTTGTACCGGACTTGAGTGGAAATACACATGCTGCATTTGCACATTATCAATTGAAAATTAGGACAACTCCTGGAGTTGCTATTTATGAGGTAAGCTTTGTTTTACCTCTTGAAATTATAGAGGTTCAAAAATAAGCCTAAATTTTGAAATTCAAATTAATTTCAGGCAACAATCTTCTACGATATGTTAAAAGATGAGATGAAGCTTGATTTCGCCTCAATCAGCCATGTGAATAAATATGGAAATGCTCCTCATTGCATAATTAATCAAAATTATTATTTGGCAACTTTTTGTGTTTGTTACGATCAGATTTAGGATAAGTTACTTTTTGTTTTGTAAAAAATGGATAATTTATTTTAATTAAAGCATGACAACAAAAACACTCGTAATTCTTATTGGAAATTTACAATTATTATCTATCTGAATTTCGGCTTGAGTTTGAAAACTTTTTCATTCGCATCATATTTTGAAATTGTTGCCAGCATTTCTTTGAAAAAATACGAATCGATTCCGCCGAGTTTATCCGGTTGAAAATATTGATCGATTTGTTCGGCCGTCAATTTTCGACCGTGTTTGATGAAGGCGAAACGCAGGTTTTTGGCTTGTTTCACATTTTCGTCGAGCTGCAAAAAAACATGTGGGGTTACCGTATTTTTTTTTTGGAAAATTTATGTTAGGTTATTTTACCAGATTTTAATTGATGGTCTAGAACTCCAAGAATGAATTTCTAGGCCGTGTTTGTGGTCCCCTTAAAATCTCACCTCCTTGCTCCCATCATTCTGCTTCAAATTCGTGTGCACTGCATCCCAAAACGAGTTTTTCTTTTTCTTCTCTTCCTTCTTCCCATTTTTCGCTCCCTTTCCCAAACTTTCCGCAAACGTTGTCTCCCAATTCTTCCGTCCTTCCGCATGTATCAAAAACCGCGCGGCTTCCAGCGCAGTCTGCCGTGCATTGAGTCGCAAAATCATTTTATCCTGCTCATTTTTCACCGCCTTCTCATGGGAAATAATACAATTTAGCATATCTCCTTCGAAAAGCTTCTTTAGTGTTTTCTGGTCCTCAAATTCGCTCAAATCCTTGGATTTTACACGTTTCCTCTTCTTATCTCCGCTAGAATTTTCCCGATTTTCAGATTCCTTTTTAAACCTGGGCATCGTCTCGCCTTTCAGATAAATTCCAGCTTCAGTTCCTTTCAAATGTTTCGGAGCCAATCTGAACAAATCCCTCAAATGCTCTTTCGGAATAACTTCTTTGGTCTCCGCGTTTTTCAAAATTTTCGCCGCGATTGTTTGTTTGTGAATTTGTCGCATGTAGGCCTTCTCCTCAATGGTTCCACTACAAATCAATCGATAAATTGTGACGTCACGATTTTGACCGATTCGCCACGCGCGTTCTTTGGCTTGATCGTCGGTGGTTGGATTCCAGTCAGGGTCGAAGATTACTATCTGGAAAATTGAATTTTTGAGGAAATTTCTGTTGAGATTGCGATTTTTAACCATTGTTCAGCAAAAATTCATCATTTTCTTGGGTATTTTCAAGTAAAATTGAATTTTCAAATATTTTTCTCCCAGAAATTTAGAATTTTCGGATATCTTTGTGAAATTAACGTTTTCAGAGGCTTTTTGGATAATTTTCAGGCAAAAATCTGAAATTTTGAGATGAGAATAATCCAAAACCAAGTTTACAGCCAAAAAAACTACTTCCTAGGATTAAAATTGGTCAAAATTTCAAATTCCCCCTCGCAAAATTTCTCACCTTATTCGCCGCCGTCAAATTCAGCCCCACCCCTCCAACTTTCGTCGTGAGCAAAAATATAAAAACCTCTTCATCTTGCCCAAATTTCTCCACCAATCCATGTCTTTGTGCAATCGGTGTGCTTCCGGACATTGTGCAATATTTGTATTGATTTTTGTCGAAAAAATGCTCCAACATTTGAATGACTGACGTTTTTTGGGTGAAGATTAGAATCTTGTTGGAGGCGTTTGGCTCATTTTTCCAGGTTTTGAGAAGCTTCAGCAAGACAACGAGTTTTCCCGAATCTTTTGATGAGCCGAATTCGATTGGGCCGTTTTCAGGTCCTGGAAAAATCAGGGAGAATCTAGGCTAATATTAGGCCATTTTTATCCAATTTTTGGTCAATTTTTCCACACAAAAAAGTAAACATTTGAAAAAACTCACTATTATAAATCGCAGGATGATTACAAATATGAAACATTTTCGTCAAGCCCACAAAACCGTCCAATTTTCCCAGAAAAATGTTCTGAACCTCCTCGGATCGCAAATATTTCTCATAGGCTTTTCGTTGTTTGCTGGACAAATTGCAGAAGAGGATTTGCTCATTTTTTTCGGGGAGTTGCAAATTTAATTCGGCATCGGATTTTAGGCGACGCAGAATGTAGGGTTTGACGGCTTCTCTGAAAATTTTGCAATGCAAAACATGGGGAGTTTATTTCGTAAATTTTGAGCTAGAATTCTCCTTGTGGATTTCTAGTCCACATTTGGAACTAGGCCATATTTCTAGGTTTTCAGATAAAAATTCTAGGCCAAAAAATGACCTACAATTCAATTTTCAAGGTTTCTAGCTCAAAATTCAACATTTTCCCGCCAAAAACCTTACTGCAGAATCAATGCACACTGGTAAGCATTCTCCTTCATCTGACTAGTCGCATTCAAAAACGATCCCTCATGAATTTTCCGCGCAATCCTTTCCGAAAACAGTTCAAAAGCTCCAAGTTTTCCCGGAAAAACGAAATCCATAATTGTCCAGAGTTCCCCCAAGTTATTTTGAATAGGTGAACCAGTGAGCACAAATCGATAGGGTGTGATGATTTTTTTAATGGCGATGCAATTTTTCGTCTGATTATTCTTGATTTTATGACCTTCGTCGAGGAACACAGTGTGCCAGACGATTTTGTTGAGAACCGCGCAATTTTTGACATACATTGAATAAGTTGAGATAACTACACAACCAAAGGGATATTCTTTTTTGCGATTTGCCAGTTTCTCGAAGAGCTCTTGAGAATTTTGGCCTGTTGAACTGGTGGCATGAAGGACGAAAACACGGCATTTTGGAAACCATTTGTTGAGCTCGTCGATCCATTGTTTCATTACAGAGGCTGGGCAAATTATAAGGGATCTTCCAAGGCCACGACATCTGGAAAAATTTGAAGTTTTAGACATATTTTCTGATAAAAATTATACAATTTTGAGCCAGGAGAAAAACCAACCCCAACGAAGCATAATTGTCCCCGGTTTCCTGGATGGATCGTAAAAATACAATAGTTTGAATCGTTTTTCCTAATCCCATTTCATCCGCTAAAATTCCGCCGACCTTGTTCTCGAAATGATTTTGAAACCATTGAACACCAGTTTTTTGATAATCATACAACCGATTCCAACAATTCTCGTCGATTTTCCACGATTTTTTGGTTTTCTTGTTGATAATTGTGATAAGTTCACCTTTTTCATTCAAATCCAGACGATTTTCGTAGGTTTTTGTGTTGTTGTCATCGCAAAGTTTCTGGGATAAGGAAGTTGAGGCGGATGATTGTGAAATTCGTGATTTTTTGCGTTTTGGCTCATTTTCTTCGGAATCCTCTTCTGAATCCGATGTAGATGGTGCTAAATCCTTGTCATAATCATATTCTTCATCTTCTTCACTTTTTCCCATCCTTTAAAAACACCGTTTCAGTTGAAAAACGGAAAACAAAAAAAACTCGGAAAAAAATAGAAATGAAAACTGTAAACACGCCAACAAAAAACGCGTCAGTGTTGCGCGGCTTGACGCACAAAAATCAGGGCTGAATTTTTAAAGGTTTTCAAAAATTCACGTGATCGACTTAGGCTAAATTAGGAAACGTTTCTGGGAATTTGTTCTGGAATTAGAAACGTTAAATTCAATTTCATGGATTGGGAAGGGTCTGGAGGAAAAATTATAGTTTTGAAATGTAGAATTTTTGAAAATTTGATTTTTATTCAAAACAAAAAACAACTACAGAACAAAAAAACCGTAAAACTTTTTAACAACAAATTAACCTAATCAGAATCAGAATCATTCGAGTACACTAAATTTGAATTTTCGTCATATTTTTCCGATTTTTCATCAAAATTCTTCAATTCTTCTTCTTCTTCTTTGATTTTTTTCAATTTCATGGCAGAAAAAAAAGTAAATGCTCCAAATGTGAAAACACTGACAAATTGAGCAAAAATCAATCCCATTACTGTGATTTCAGTGGATTTAATGTAACTTAGGGCAGCAAACAGATGAATTGGTTTTTCGAGATTTGTTGCAATCGTGTCATCGTGTCGGAACATCAAGATGTTGATGATTTGATTTATGTAGTAATGTTGGATTGTCTGCGTAGAAATTAATGATTTTGAATTCAGGATTTTCTAGTTGATTTTTCGAATAACCCCAACTAGGGGCCGAAATATCTAATAAGAATGCATACGTTAAAAAAAAACTCACCGAAAGCAAAAAAATAAGAGTCGCCAGAACTTTACTTTCCAATAATGCATAACACAACAACAACATACACAGAGCAAAAGAAATACACATTGCATTCCACGAAACATTCGTATACAACTTCCAATCGCTATAAATCGTTTCTTCAGTGAAATCTTGCTTCAATCTAGCCAATTGATATGCGGTGATTTCTTCGAGAGCATGTTCGTAGTGGGTATAACAAGCCCAACAGATTACAGCGTGGATAATTGCCAGTGCAGCGGATTGAATCTGAATGATTCATATTTGAATTTGAAAGGGAATTCAGCCATTAATTTTCTACTGGAAACAAAAAAAAACTCACATCCCAATAATGTCTGCCCATTGATTCAATAATTAATTGATTAGTTAATTAGCCGAGCCAGGAGAAGAATAATTAGAATAATTGATTTTTAGGAATTGTTTACACGTTGCATTTTCACGTTTACACGTGCCACGCGTGAAAAAAAAAACAAAAAAACTTAATCGAGAATTTTGTGCGGCCTTGGCCTAGCAGCCGACACTCGGCCACGTTGAAAAAGGCGATCGATATTTTTTGTTTTCCACGTTTCCCACCCATTTTTGACCATTTCTAGATTTAGGAATGTTCGAAATAACACGACATTTTTGGGATGTAAGTGAGGTTCGAAAATAAAAGAGTTATTTTATTGAAAATTTTCAGATAGAATCGTCGATTTTGGCTGGAGCACATTTCATCATTTCGGCGACTTGTTATTATTTCTATCGAAACGCGTTCGATTTTCACAAAGAGTATTTGTATTCGAAGATGAGTGTGGATTTCACTCGCGAATCGGTGAATCGAGATGTGAAGATTTTTGGCGATTTGTGTTTTATGGCGGCTGTGATTTCGTTTACGATGAGCTGGTTGTCAGTGATTTATACGTTTTTTCCGCGCAAATTTTTCTCGGCACAAATTTTTATGTTGGCGGTAAGTCACGGAAAAAAGCTAAAAATTCTGGATTTGCTAGAAATATTAGGACTTCTGGCTGAAAATCACCTCAAATTTTTTTACTTTTACAGGTTTATCAACGTGGCTACCTGTACAATATCTGGGGAGTTCTTCAATTCCAATACGAAAACGCAAAACAAGCACATTTGCTCAAAAAATACGCTCATTACAAGCTCGATTTTCTATGGAAATCCGGAAACCTCATCTATTTTTTGATTTTTGCTCAAATTTTAAGCGCAATTTCGATTATCGCATTTCTGATTTGTTCGGGATTACATACGAGAGATCAATGGCGAAGAAGAAGATTTGAGGGAATTCGAGAAGAAGCGCGGAGAAAATATGAGGAAGTGCAGAAAAAATTGGACAAAATCAAGGGCTCTAGAAATCGAAGCTAAGTTAAGTTGTTTTTTGGGGGAATTCTTGTAAAATTATATTTGCATGTACTATTTTTAATGAAAATTTCTGTTAAAAATTCAAAAATAATTTATTTTCACACGAAAAAATATATAGAACTCTCTCTCAAAAAAATCAATAAATAAATAATAATATTTAGAAATCTGAACCAAAAATAACACGTCATGGATAAATAAGTATGATTTTGACTAGATAAAAATGGGGGGCCTGGCCCAAAAGAGTCCAAACCTAACCGGACTTTTTAGTCCGATCGCCCGGACAATGTTTACACGTGAACGGACAATACGATTTCATCACAAAGAAAAACGAGGCCCGTGTGCAGTATTGTGAAAAATGTGGGCAGTCGGCGAAATGATCCACACATTTTTCGGTCCCCGGATCCACGATTTTTTCAGGCCTGGTTACTGTAGCGGGCCGGCCTGTGAGCTTTTTGGAAGATTTTTGGGAGGGTTTGCATTGATACAATTTGTTGATCTGAAGGAAATTTCGCGAGTTATCGATTTTTTAGCTTATTTTTTACAATATCGATTTTTTTAAGCTTTTTCTCTGCGTATCTCACTTTCTCTCTCCCACCTTAACAATATCCAACGGTGATAAATCCTGTGCAGTTCCAATAACTTCCGTAAATCCATCCTCAACAGTCTCAATGGTATTTCTTCCGTTTCGCGAAAATGCCGTGCTATCGTAGTGCATTATCGATTTGTAGTCGTAGTTTTCGCCTTGAAGATCCTGTAGCACCGCGGAGATTTTGTCGAATTGCGATTTCATTCCCGGCAAAATGTTGTCCCATAGGATTTTGATGTGATCGTCGCGGTCTGGAAATTGCGATTTTTGTATTCTTCTTTGAAATTTGGCGTCGAAAGACACCTCACAAGCCTGTTGGGTTGCTGCTCAGCGAATTTATTTGTTGAAACGGAGCCCTAGATTTTCGGATTTTTCATAAAATTTCGATTCGAAAGACACCCCGCAAGACTCGTAGTTCTGAACAACAGAAATCCTCACTCTGTATCAATTTTACACTATAAGGAAATTTTGCTGCGTAGCGAGCGATTTTCCAATAGTGCCAAAAAGTTTCTAGATCAAAATTTTGTACCAAATCCAAATTTCCACATGAAATCTTACCAGCTCTCGAATGTTCGTGCCAAAAATCCCACCGAATGCATCAATTCGTGCACAATAATCTCGTGGAAAAAGCAACCGCGCCCCAGCGAAATTTCCTGTTTTCCGCCAGTTCTTCCGACTTGTGAGTAGCACCTTTAGATGATAGTATTTCTTATTTTTATTCAAAATAGGCTCCGCCCACAAAACTGTGCACCTACCCGTAGCCTTTAACAATATTCAAATAATCGGTCTGTCCTTCTCGCGGCTCGAATCGAATACACGTGGATTTTCGATAACTCTCGAATGCTTTTTCCAGAATTTTGACCTCAGAAGCGGCTGAAAATTGCGACTTCTTTGTTCTCTAACTGTCTGGACTCTCTCTCGAATCTCTGTGCTCTCTAACTTTAGGGGGGAAAAACTCACTCACAGAAAGCCGTGTCCATTTCGTAGGGAATTATACCGTTTTCCCAAGTGAGCTGTTTGTTTTTGAGTGCGTTGAACAAAACTGGACCTTCCTGAAAAATTTTAATTTTCCAGCTGAAAATTTAAATTCAGGTCGAAATTTTTGTTCTAAAGAGCCTAGAAATTTTAATTTTGGGATTATTTGACATCTTTAGAACCAAAATTCCATCCGAATTCAAAATTTCTAGAGTTTTCAATCAAAAATTTAAACTCAGGTTCTCATAAGCCTGGTCCTTTTTTTCTTTTTGAAAATTTGATTCTCGGCTTATGGGATTTATTTAGAATGCGAATTCCATCATCCCGAATTCAAAATTCAATTTTTTGAAAAAATTCGAAAAAACTTACCGGAAGTCGCAAGAGATTCGGATCAATTCCATCAATATCGCCTTGAAATTTTCCTGCAAAAAAAACAAATTTGATTTTTTGATCTACTGTCTCAATGTTTGTTTGTTTGTTTTTTGTCTTTCTCTGCGTCTCTCTATTTCGCTTCAAAAAACCAAAGAACATTTCAAATTTCCACCTGAATTTAAATTTTCAGCTGAAAATTCTGAAGTTTTGAAATTCAGCGTGAAATTTAGGTTCCAATAATATCCGATAAGCCTAGAATTAAATTTTCTAAAAAAAATAGTCTGGCCTTCTGAGATCTCATTTGAATCCAAATTTCAACCTGAATTCAAATTTTCGACTAAAAATTATGAAAATGTTGAATTCAATATACAATTTGGACTTTGAAGGACCTCATGAGATCTTCTTAAAATTACCCGAATTCTGCCAAGCATGATGTGTTGCACGGTGTTCTTCGGGAATATAGTTGGCGAAACTTCGAAATACATCTCCTGCCGGTTGACACCAAACTACAGATATTGAGGAGAGTATCAAGATTGGGAACATTTCCTACAAATTTTCGGATTTTTCATGAATTTTGGGGTTGAAAGATATGAAATAAGCCTATTTTTGATGTAGGGTTGCTGCTCAGCGAATTTATCTGTTGATACAGAGTTAAGAGGATTTTCAGATGCTGGAAGCTAGATTTTCGGATTCAGAATGGAATTCGGAGACGAAAGACACCCCACAAGACTACAATCTAGTTTTATCCTGGGAAATTCATGTTGTGTCGCTGCTCAGCGAATTTCAGCACATGGATACAGAGTCTGAAAAGACTCTTGAGACTATGGTTTCTGGATTCAGGACAATATTCTTATTCGAAGGATAATTCATAAGACTAGACTGTAGTAAGAACTAATAATATTTCCAAATTCGTATCCTACAGTAATAATTCGCTGCGTAGCAACTCGCAAGCACTTTTATAGTAGATCAAAAAAGTTTCTAGATCAAATTTTCGCGCTGAATCCAAAGAGACTAATAACAATTACTGAAAAAATTTCTGAAAATCCGAGATTAATCATGTATGTGAGCAAGAACAAACGGAGGCCGCAAAAGAAATAATGTCACTGGGCGGAGAGGAACATGGGAGCCAGAAACCGGCCGGAAAATAGCCGGATGCTTTTCTGCTTCTCTGCTGCTGCTGCTCTCTCTCTCTCGTTGTGTGCTCACACGTGTCAAAAATTTTGTCTTCTTTCTGTGTGCGCGGGAGCGACGCGATACACACACACACAGTTCTTTTTGTCTGTTGTGTTTGGAGGATTTTGCCTCGTTTGACACAACAACAAAAACACGACGAGTGTCAAACAGAATTTAATTTTGGGGGAAATTTCGAGGCGAAGAAGAAACTCTACTAATATTTGTTCTCACCTGAACTGTTGGAACACCTATTGGATTTTGCAAGGGGGAGTGGAGGTTTTGAGTCGATTTTTTCAGCTGTGAATTTTGAAAAATCTGAAATTTCAGCTTGATATTTGGAATTCTAAAATGTTCAAATTTTAAGTTAGGAATTCTGGAAAATTTGAATTCAGCTAAAAATTTAAGATCTGATGCAGGCTTGTGCGGAAACGGAAAACGCGTTCTCCGATTTTCCGACATTTTGGGAAAATTTCGGAAAAAATACGAGTCGGAAAATTTTCCGGCCGAAAAATTCGGAAAACTTTTGGTCGGAAAATTTTTCCGACGAAAATTTTCGGAAAAATTGTTTTCCGAAAATTTTCCGAGACTAATAATTTTCCGAAAAAGTGAAAAAATAGGTGATTTTCAGGAATTTTTGCTAATTTTATCACAAAATAATTTTGGTAATTGTGAAAATTATAGGAAGTTGTTAGTAATATTTAACAAAAGTGACAGAATATCGTGAAAACTGCCGAATTTGTTGAAAAAACTTCAACACAACTCAAAAACCAGCAAATAAGCCTATTATTTCTTCATTGAAATTTTTTCCGAAATTTTCCGATTTTCCGAAAAATTGAGGCGGAAAAAACAGTCGGAAAACTTTTTTCCGAAAATAAAAAGTCGGAAAATAACTTCGGAAAACTTTTTCCGACCGGATGATTTCGGAAAAACACGGTTTTCCGAAATTTTCCGAAAACCTATTTTCCGCACAAGCCTGATCTGATGATACTAAATAAGTTTTCGACTGGAAATCGGAAAGCTTCAGTTCAAATTATTTTGGGTGAGATTTTTAGAGTCTGAAATTCAAAATGGGATTTGATTTTGAGACCAGAATTCTGGAATTTTTAAATTCGGCTCTGGAAAAAATCGGATTCAGCTCGAAATTTGGGTTTCTAACCGTTTTCGAAGTTCAAAATCAAAATCAGTACAAAATTCTGCTTGCAACAACACCATATGGCCTAGAAACCCAAGGGTTTTATAGGCCATCTAAAAAACCTGATAGATCAAAATTGAGGTCCTAAATTTCTGAAATACATGGCCTAGAAACCCAAATTTCTAAATCCTAGTCCCCCTCCCCCAAAACATCCTATTGTTTTCAAAAAATTTCATAAATATTTGCTCTTGTTTTGCGCGCTAGGCCGTGTGTGAAACGACAAAATGTTCCAATTTAGAATACACCGGTTTCTAAATATATTGAACGACGACGCTCCCAGTGGACATTGTTTTTTTTTTTTTGAGAAAGGCGAGGCGAGACATTTGATCTACCAAAAGGCTGAGAAGCTGAGAAAGTCCAAAAAATTGTTCCGGAAGAAAAAGGAGAAAAGTTGACGAGAACAAACAGAACAAGAACTGCAAGGTGACTCAGGTTCTTGTCTAGTACATAAGTACATTGTTGTTTGCTGCCGACAAAATGCATAGGAAAACAGGAAAACGTGATTTTCTCTGGAAAAATAGCGAAATTCTGACTGAAAATTTGAATTTTCGGGGAGAAATAGCGAGTTCTCAATGGAGCGCATTTGATTTTTCACGTGGATTTGATTTTTAGGCGGGAAAATTGTTTGATTTGAATTTTTTGAAAAAAAAAGGTTCGAAGAGCTACATGAAATGCGTCAGCAAACTGTAATTTTGCTGACGCAATTTTTGTAGCTACACAAATTTCTAACACGAGGCCAATTTTTCTATGAATTCAAATTTCTAAATAAAAAACGTGAAAATTGAGAGCACGTAATATTTTTTCGTCTTTTCATTTCGGGATTTTTCCGGATCTCAAAAATGTGGACACGTCGGTTTTTCGATGTGAGTTTTTGACAAATTTTCAGCCTGAATTTAATTCAAATTTCAGATCGAATCGTTCTTTTTGAGCTTCTTGAATATGCCAGTCATGTTCATTCTTCAATATCTCAATTTTTACTACAAGGAAAGTGTTTACGATTTTTATATGGCTAGATTAAAGGGAGAAGTTACGCGCGAGAATTATTTCGCTTCGTCTGATAATATGTGGGAACTGACGTTTTGGCCAATGATTAGTACACTTATCAATGCTGCTTTATGCTTTGCGTATATTTTTCTAAAAAATCGGATAATTCCGATCTCGATTTGTTTTGGAGCGGTGAGTGTTTTCGGGCGCGTCGCGGTTCAACATTGAGGTTCTCTCCATCTCTAGCTCTCAAAAAAATCCAAAATCAAAATTCCAGTGTGTCCAATTCCTCTACCTCAATGAATACTTCCGACTAACTCTCGAACAATACCACATAATCACCGAATCCGAACTCGAATTTCAAGAATACTCCCAACTTCCAACCGAATTTCTCGCCAATTCCAGAATTAAAATTGTGTTTCTAGTTTGCGCTCAGGTGATTTCTTTCATCACAATTTGTGCATATTTTTTCTGCTCACTGATTTCGAGAAAAACTCCGCGAAAAAAACAGGATTTTGTGAAAAATGAGGGAAAAAAGCATGGAAAACAAAAGATGAGATGAGATGAATTTTTTTTGTCGAATAAAGTTTTTTGAGTTGTTTGAAGCATTTTTTGTAGCTATTATAAAATTCATATAAAAAACAAGAAAACATTCACTTTTTCCTAATTCGCCGACCCGCTCAGAGATTCGCTAGCCAGCTGGTCACTAGGTGGGGTCGACTGCCCATCTGAAATTGACACGGACAACCACATCGCCCGTATTTTTTGCCAGACGACCTAGGTGGTTCAGTTCATGCAGACCACCTCGCCCAGGTTGTCCAGCTCGACCCGACCTCGCGTCCAGATCGTCTCGCTTAAGAGAAAAAAGACCAAAAAACTTGTGAATCCGAGCATTCTAGAAGAAATTGGCTCATTTTCTGTTTTTTCGGAGTACTAGAAACCTTAGGAAGTGAAAAAAACAGTAAAAAATGCACTATTTTGAGTACAAACCACCGCCTTGCTAGCTTTCCAAGATTTCAAACACACAGGCCACGTGGCCGGAAAACTCGAGGCGACCTGGTGGCCGATTCAAATTCAGCTCGTTTTGAACTTTCCGGCCACCTGGTCCTGATCTAGTGGCGAGCTGGCCAGCGAATCTCTGAGCGGTTTGGTCATTTCAAAATAGATGCATAAAATATAGACAGCAATTGTGAAAATCGAAAAAGCGAGAAAGATTATTGTCAGTGGAATCATAAATTCCAGATTTTCCTCGAATTCCGACGCATATCTTCGTGCATTTCGTAGATCTTGAGCTTTTTCGCGATGAACTGTGTGGAATTTCCAGATTAATGAGTAACAAAACGATTGACACATCTGGAATCATTTTTAGATGATTTTGCTGAGCAGAAGTTATGACATGAATTCCAGATTTTTAAGAAACCCTCAATGTTTGCCTTTTCCACGTAATAGCAGTTAAAATAAGCAATTTTCAAAAAAAGAATCATGATTATCTCGAAAAATACTCACCGCAAAACACACAATAATACACGGTTGAATATCATACACAACTGTGTAGGTCAGGCAGAAAAAGCATAGCAAGAATGAGAAAATGACAGCCGCCAATACCAATGCCCAATAGATGTTGATTCCTTGCAAAATCCAACGTCTAACCCCATCATCGGCCATTTTCGCCAGGAAAAACGATCGACATTGTTGAACATAATTATAATAGTGGAAATAGAAGGTGGCAAGGGCTAGGAAGACGTGGACAAATGAGAAGAAAAAGGATTCGATCTGCAAAAATTATTCGATTTTTTTCCGCAAGCTTCCGGAAAACTTACATCGAAAAAGTGCCGTATCCTCATAGCAAAATCGGTGTTTCATCAATTAAATTCATGGAAATGATAACACGTGGCCAAGGTCACGTGTACACGTTTTTATTTATTTTTTGTTCAATAGAGCATATTTGCTGCTTTTGGGCATTTTTTTCAAAAATATATATTTTCAAGTTAAACTAATTCATATACCGAGAAATTCACTTTTTCTTATCGATTCGCTTCGATTTGGTACAAACAATATAGACACATAAAGTGTAGAACAAAACCGTAAAAATCGATATAGCCAAAAAGATAATTGTCAATGGAATCATAACATAGACCAGATTCACATCGAACCTTTTCGCGTGTGGCGAAATTTTTTTCAATTTTTCAGCTTTTTCATGATGAATTGATAGCATTTTGTAGATTAGTGTGTAGCAAAACGATTGGAACATCTGAAAAATTTTTTTGATTGAAAAATCATCTTTAATTTGAGATTACTCAGGTTATCTAGATGCCCTTTTCATCAAAAATTGCTCACCGCAACAATAACCATCATAAATGGTTCAACATTAAAATAATTATATATATAACAGAAACAGCAGAAGAATTGCAAATAAGAAAAAATGACAGCCGCCGTCACAAAATACCAATAAAAATTGATTTCTTGCAGAAATTCACGCACTTCTCCATCAGTTTTCAAAGCCGCCATGAAAAACAATTGACTTTTTTGAGTATAATCAACATGGTGAAAATAGCTGGTCAATAGGGCGGTGAATACATGCACGACGGCGAAGAATATCGATTCGATCTGCAAACAATTATTGATTTCTTGAAGAAGAAGAGGAAATTTAGCAACTTACATCGAAAAATCGTCGTTTCATCACCATTTCGCAGTATTTTTGAATTAAAATTATGGACAATGAACAAAAAATGTGGAAAATTCACGTCTACACGTTTTCTTAACATTTATTATTCAACATTCTCGATTTTCTCACAATCTTTCATCCCAAAAATTGGCTTCTTTTTCGGCTTATTCGACCAAATAAATGCGAACATGGCACACGTATAAATCGATGCAAATTGTACAAAAATCAGAAAAATTATCAAATGTTTGGATTGTTCCAAAAAAGGCGAAGCATCGATTAGACATGTTGATGAAGATTGAAGTGTTCTCGCAACCGAAACTTGGGTGAATTGTAGCTGGCAGGTTTTTAGAAGCAGATGGAGGCAAATGTTTTGAAAGATCTGAAGAAAAATTAAATTGATTGATTTTATTCGGGAAAAAGCTGAAAACTCACTCCAAACAAGACAACAAAAAAAGCGACCAATTTTCCAGGAATATTCGCATGCATCAGGCAAAAAAACCCGAGAGATAGGTTGGAAATAACAGCAAGCCAACTGACATCGGAAAACTCTTTCAAATCTCGCGCAAATTGCGCATGCGTCAAATCAGACTTCATTTTAGCGATCGAGAATTCTTTGATATGTTCGAGAGCCCGTTTGTGGAATAGGTAGTAGATTGCAGCAGAGACTAGACAATGTTGAAATGCTGCGCAAATTGAATGAAGCTGGAAAAATTCAAGATTTTAAATTTTGAAACAAAAGGAAAACATTTTACCCAAAAGGATTTCGGCTTGGTTTCCATTTTTGATCGGTTGAAAAATTGAAATAAAAATTGGAAAAATTACCAACATTGCCACGTTTCACGTCATTTATTTTTGAATCGATGAATTTTCATGTTTTCCAGCAGGTTTTTCGTGAACATGCGTGAAAATCCCAAACCTAAAGAAAGATCCCAAACCTAAAGAAAGAACGGAAAAAATAAGAGTGTATGTCAACACCGACTGCCCGCAAACACCAAATCCTACGCGCAACCTTGGCGCGAAATACGGGCTGTGTGTTTTCGCGAAGAAATTTCTGGGGATTTTTAAAAATTGGGAACCCCCCCCAGATTTTAGAAATGGACACGTTCAAATTATAACATATGGGAACCCTGAGAATCTCTCCAATGTCGCTTTTCCCTTGGAGAATACTAGTCTCAAAACTTCGAAAAAAAAAGAAGAAAAAAACTTTTTTGGTTTTTCAGGCCAAACAAATCTCGGCCACATCACGGTTGCTCTGGAAATTTGGCGCGCGATTATATTTGAGCGATTTTACTTATTTCGCCATGGCGCCCGAATATTCGAACATTCGAACATTTTCAAATTCAGGATGCAGGATCGACTTCTAAGGACTCATGACAAAAGAGTAAGTCCAATTTTTGTCAAATTTATTTATTCCAAAAAGAATAGGCCCGTAAAAAGTTAAAAAACACAAAAAAATTCGAAAAATTATTGAGATTTAGCCTTATTAGCTCCACCGGTGCTCTTCTTAATATAGGCTTTGTAGAAGAATTCGGCGAAAAGATAAAGATAACTCAAATACATGACTCCACCAATCGATAAAACATTCCAGCTAACAGCGCATCCTGGAACCAAATCGTAGGATTTGATGAAGACGAGATGAGCGAAAATGTAGCAGGAGATGACGAATTGGGTGATTTGAATGGTGGTAATGAATTTGGCGACTGGTCGAGGTGTTTTGATGTTGAGAGCGCGGACTCCGAAGTAGCTGGAAATGAGGTGGGGGTTTTTTGGGGATTCTTGAGAGCTTCTGGGGCTTTATTTTGAACCCGGAAGATAACAGTTTGGGATCACATAAACTAATCATATTTGAGCTCAAAATTTCAAAATAAATAACGAGCTAAGTTACCCCAGCCTTATTTAGGCTCAAAATGAAGCTCAGAAAAATCACTTACAAGTACATAACAGTATGAACAGTCAAATTCAAAGCCAAAGACCATCTAGCCCAAGCTTGATGTTCCGAATAAGTAATAATAGCATAAACAAAAGTAAGAGCATGATGATACCAATGCATAAAAATCACAGGCTTCTTTCTCAACACCAAAAACATGGTGTCTCCCAATTCCGGCGCTTTCGACATAACAAAAGCCCATCCCCAGAATCCGGTGCTTGCGTCAGTGTAATAACTCTCGTTTTGACAATAACTCGCGACAAATCCGTCCTTGGCAAAAACGCCGATCAATTCTGGGATGAGTTTGTAGGCGGCGATGCCGGAGAATAGGGAGAACATGAAATTCCAGGCGGCGAGCAGACCTTGCAGCTCGAACGGTTTGCGGTTTTTCATGATTTTTTGACCGAAGTAGATTGTGATCAGGTAGCCGACAGCGATCTGGAAATTAATGAGATCGTAGAAAATATTTGGATGCCACGTGGATTTTTCTAGAGGTTGCCACTAAATTTTCAGTAGTTGGAGAAATGTGTCACGTGGCTTTTTGGGACCTAAAAAGCTAGCTGTGCATACTTTGTCGCCACGTAGATTTCTTAGATCAAGAATGTTCCTTTAATTTTATATGCCACGTGGATTTTGGTTTAACATTTTTGGAGTTACAAATCTATGCCATGTGGATTTTGGGATTTCAAAATAAAATTTTTGTATCAAAAAAATTTTCCACGTGGATTTCTGGAACCTGAAAATCTAGTTGTAAATGTGTAGTTTTGCCACGTGGATTTTCCGAACTGAAAGTTCCGAATTCAATATTTTATTCAAACAAAAAATCCGTTTTCCCGCTAAAAACCCGAATTCAAACTTCTCTCACCTTATAGGTCAATGGCACAAATGTGTTTTTCATATACGAGTCGGTTTTGGCCAAATTCCACGGTTGAAACATGACATCATTGAATGTTGCCACTTGTGAAGTTGCCATTTTCTAGAAAAATGTTGGAATTTGAGGTTTGGGATAAGATTTGGGCCGAAATAATCAAATTGAATTTTGAGCTCAATGTTATAAGCTAAAGTTAGGACTCTAGCCTAAGCCTAAGCCTGAGAAGCCTAAGAAGCCTAAGGATTTAGGAGTCAAATCCTAAGTTTGTTCCTGCTTGAGAATCAGCCTAGGTTTGGGCTTGAGCCTATCCTTAAGCCTCAGCTTAAAACTCAGTTTAGATTTAAATCTAACTTGAGCCTAAGCCGAGATTTAATAAGCCTAAGTGGAGGCCAACACATCTAGAACAAAAAGTAAAATAATCAGTCGAAAAATTGAAAATTGTAATTCGGAAATAACCGCCGATAAATAGTCGCGTTTTTCTTGCTGATAGATAATCACGCCATGGGAAACTGACTGAGGAGGTGGAGACAAGGCAAAAATGTATTTCGATGATAAGAAATCAACAGAAAAATGGTTTGCTTGGGTGAAAAATTGGAGAAATGAGAAGAAGAAGATCAAATGAACTTCAGAGAGCACTCAACTTTTGTGGAGTGATTTTTGGATTTTTCGATTTTTGAGCGTTTCGGTGGATTTCTGGAGTTCTGGAGATTCCGAAGCTTCAAAATAAGCCCGGGAAATTTTCAGAAACCCAAATCATGACCGAGAAATCCAAAATACAACATTAGGGTTAACCTGAGCAATCTAGGTTTCAGAATTTAGCTGTGATTTTCTTAAAGACACGTAGAAAACTAGAAATGTGTGTTCGTAATCTTCAAAATTTGAACGCACGCCTTTTTTTCAAAGTTGTGTGTTGTTCGTTTGAAAAAAGAAAAAAATAAATAAAAAGTGGTGGTACGGTATGCTAAGAATGCACACATGTGCGGCAAATCATGAACATTTGTGCAAACACCAAATTTTGCGTCGGCTGAGCGATTTCAAAAAAGGCAATTTCTTTTTTTGACTTTCGCTAAACTCAATATTTTTCAATTTTGTTTATGTACTTCCACTATTTGAAGGATGATAAAAAACATGCAAATAATGGTTTTTGAACGATTTCTAGTTTTCTACGTGTCTTTAAAGCAAAAATTTGAGCTTCTAAAAATCCTGAAACATAGAGCTCTTAAATTTAAATTCAGGCTAATCTGAGCAATTTCACTGCAATTTTATATATAAATATTTGGCTTCAAAAAGTTCTGAAAGTAGTTTTGGAGCAAATTTTCAGCTCCAAGATCCAGTTAGGAGCTTCTAGAATTTAAATCAAAGCTAATCTGAGCAATCTTTTGAGGCTCCTGATATTTAGAATGTCAATTTTTGAGCCAAAAAATTGTGTTCTTCGTACTCAAGAATAAAATTTTTAATGATCTAAAAAAGAAAAATTACATTTTTACGACCATTTTTCATTTGACACCTTGGCTTATCAGAAAATTTTATGAGATTTTTTGAACCAAAAAAAATAAATAAAATTCAAGATTTGTTCTGAACATCTGTCCTTGAAAAGGTGATTTATATAAACTATTTTGAGATAAGAAAAATTGAAGAAATTTTTTTGCAAAAAATATTTCAAAAAGGTTTTTGAATTGCTCAGGTTAACTGGAATCTGCTCCAAAATAAATTTCAAGATCTTTTAAACTATTTGAAATATACTTGAAGCCAGGAGCTTTATTTTGCAATCCAGATTGCTCAGGTTAACCTAAATTTAAATTCAGGAAGCTCAATCAAGCTTGGAAGCTTAAAAATGCTGATTCAAAATTATTTCTAGGATTTTTTAAGCTATCAAAAATATTCCTAAGATTGCTCAGATTAGTCTGAATTTGAATTTGGGAGCATTTTTTTTCAAAAAAAAACATTTTTTTTTGAGCAAGAATGTATAAATAGGCTACATTTTTCTTCTCGCCAAAAAAATTTTTTCCGACAAATATTTGAGAAAAATTATATAAATAAACATGTAGGGTACATTTTGAGAACATGTTGGGAAAATCGGGAATTGTTTGATAATTGGCTGGGAATTGGGGAGAATTGAACATTGAATTAATAAGAGAAAATGAACATAATTTTCAAAAAAGCCTACAAATATCTAGAAAGCCTTATTTTCACAAAAGGCCCTTTATCCTCAAACAGCCTGTAGGAAATCCTAGAAAGCCCAAAAGCCCAAAAATTTAAAAAAAAACAGTGCAAAATCAACAAATTGCGCGCGTTTAGTTGATATTTATTTACGAAAAAACCCGCCTGTTTTCTCTCTGCACTCTCACTCAACTCTCTCCATTTCACACACTATTTTCACCCCACAACTCGCACCATTTCCTTTCCATTCTGCCCTTTTCCTTTTGTTGCTGTTGCTGTTGCTGCAGCCAAAAAAAACACACTCACAACACAAAAATCAGCCCACTTTATGTTGGAATATCAAAATGCGGACAACAAAATGCGACCTTCGCCCCGATGCAAAAAAAAGTTTTTTTTTCAAAAATTTTTTTGGAGCGGCTGGGGAAAGTGCAATTAAAATATTATATTGATAAGAGAAAGTTTTGAGAGAAAAATTTGAAAATTTAAATTTACCGCCAAAAATTCCACAGTAGTCCTTGATTTTTATGGGAATTTGAAACTCTTCCAAAATTAGAGCTGAAAATTCTCAGATTTTTTGACTTCAAAAGAATCCACGTGTTTTTCAGGCCAAAAATTTGGTTTTTTTTCTGATAAGACTCCAATATTTTTTGACATAAATCGAATGTTTTTTGAAAAAAAAATTTTTTTTTCTGATCGCTCTCAAAAAATAGTCGAACCATATGTTACCATAAAAAACACATTTTTGCAAAAAAATAATAATTGGACAACTTTTTTATCAACAAAAATTGTATTTTTGACAAAAAAATTCAGAAAACACTCAAAGATCACTCAAAAAATTGCAATTTATTAGTGGTAGGTAACTACAGTACTCTAAAGGATTACTGTAGCTATCTACAGTGGCCTTGTGGTACTGTAGATCTAGCCTCGACTAGCTCCACAATCTCCAATTGAGCAAGCGACTCCAGCACGGGCTCCCATGAAAATTCCATCAGCCAAAACCTGAAAGAGGATTTTTGCGGCATGGAAAAGGGGCGTGGCCTGATTCTGCAACCCTGGCACACCACTCACAATATAGTTAACCATTCCATAACCCTCCAAAAAAGCGCTGCTCGTCGCTTTTGGCTTCACGCCAGCCGCTGGATATTTTGTGTAGAGGTCGAATTTCGTCGGCTTCAAACTGCAAATCATTCCCTTCAGACGGATTTTCTCGGTTTTTTGATCGCCGTCGAATGTGTAGCTGAAATTGAATTTTGAAAAAATTTTCGGCGTTCCCAAAATTTGACCTACACTGGACTCTTCGTATCATTGTAGAACGTAGCTTGAACGTAGACTTTGGCAAAAGTTTGCGGCTCGATATTCACCAAAATATCACATGATTTGACAAGGATAATTGAGGAGACTAGAAGAGTTAGGCTAAGTAGCATCGAGCGATTCGACATATTTTTTTTTCGGAATAAAATGGGAGACTGAGAAAATGTATGGAAAATAGAATAATAAAGTGATACTAAATGAAACAAGATTGGTTTTATTTTATGGATTCGGGACAGAGATAACGAATTTGGATTTGATCGGTCAGTTTTATTGGTCAAATTTTTTTCTGTTAGGAACAATTGCCACGTCATAGCAATGCTTGTGCTGAAATTCAGTTTCGCCGCGTCATAGCTTATTTTGAAAAAAAAACAGTTCTTCAAACAATTTTAAATTTAAATTCAACCGATTTTTGACCTTTGGAAAATGTGATTTCTAATTGTTCGTTCCAATCAAAATACATTTCGCCCCCGCCTAATTCAAATTACATAAATAAATACCTTTCCCACATTTTTTTCTCGAAATTCGAACAATGCAACAATTCTCGAAGAAAGTATCCTTGACCATTTCGCACTTGAAAAAAAAATTCGTGCAATTAAAATTTCTCTCCTTTTTTGTGGAGGTATAAAACCCAACCACAATAACAACAAACACAAGTAGTTCGTAACCAGTTTCTGCCAATCATAAACGACCATAAAACAATCTCAATGTCAAGTGCCATTGACGGAAACCGAACTAAAAAAACTACAAATAGCATTTTTTTCGAGAATAAAATCGATTTGTGAAATTTTCAAACAATTCCTCATTTTCAAATAGTCTGGAACACAATGCTTCATTTATTTTACAAATTGTTACATAATGGCAGGAATTTAGCGCGAAAATTATGAGAAAAAAAAACAAAAAATTAAAACATATCTCCTCGGTTACCCGTGTTTGAGTGATTTATTTATGCTCTGTATCCTGAGTCGGCTGATTGGACTTCTGGAGCGGCAGCGGCTGGTTGGTATGCTGGCTCAGCGGCTTGTTCGACTGGAGCTGATTCGATTGGTTGAGCGGCTTCTCCGGCGGTTCCAGCTGGAGCAGCTTCATCTCCGTATGAGTTTTGGGCTTGTCTTTTAGCTCTGTATCCCGAGTCAGCAGATTGGACTTCTGGGGCAGCTGCTGGTTGTTCAACGACCTCGACAGTTTGCTCGACTGGGGCTGGTGCAGCTGGTTGAGAGACTTCAGCGGCTGGGGCAGCTGGGGATTCGTCTCCGTATGAGTTTTGGGTTTGTCTTTTAGCTCTGTATCCTGAGTCTGCAGATTGGACTTCTGGAGCAGCGGCGGCTGGTTGGTATGCTGGCTCGGCGGCTTGTTCGACTGGGGCAGATTCGATTGGTTGAGCAGCTTCTCCGGCGGTTCCGGCTGGGGCAGCTTCGTCTCCGTACGAGTTTTGGGCTTGTCTCTTGGCTCTGTATCCTGAGTCAGCAGATTGGACTTCTGGGGCGGCAGCTGGTTGTTCAACGACCTCGACAGTTTGCTCGACTGGGGCTGGCTCTGATGGTGTAGCTGGTTCTCCTACAGCTGCAGCTGGGGCTTCATCTCCGTATGAGTTTTGGGTTTGTCTCTTGGCTCTGTATCCTGAGTCAGCAGATTGGACTTCTGGAGCAGCAGCAGCTGGTTGATAGGCTGGCTCGGCGGCTTGTTCGACTGGGGCAGATTCGATTGGTTGAGCAGCTTCTCCGGCAGTTCCTGCTGGTGCAGCTTCGTCTCCGTATGAGTTTTGGGCTTGTCTCTTGGCTCTGTATCCTGAGTCAGCAGATTGGACTTCTGGAGCAGCTGCAGCTGGTTGGTATGCTGGCTCGGCGGCTTGTTCAACTGGAGCTGATTCGATTGGTTGAGCAGCTTTTCCGGCAGTTCCTGCTGGTGCAGCTTCGTCTCCGTATGAGTTTTGGGCTTGTCTCTTGGCTCTGTATCCTGAGTCAGCAGATTGGACTTCTGGGGCAGCTGCTGGTTGTTCAACGACCTCGACAGTTTGCTCGACTGGGGCTGGTGCAGCTGGTTGAGAGACTTCAGCGGCTGGGGCAGCTGGGGCTTCATCTCCATAAGAGTTTTGAGTTTGTCTCTTGGCTCTGTATCCTGAGTCAGCAGATTGGACTTCTGGAGCGGCAGCTGGTTGTTCAACAACTTCGACGGTTTGTTCAGCTGGGGCTGGTGCAGCTGGTTGAGCAACTTCTACAGCTGGAGCAGCTTCATCTCCGTAAGAGTTTTGAGCTTGACGACGGATAACTAAAAACAACTTGTTCATAAAATCAATAAATCTTTCTCGGAAACTCACCAGCTTTCGCGTTAACCGCGGCGAAAACAGCCAAAGCGACCAACAAAACTCGCATAATTGATACCTGTAAAACTTTTTTAATAAAAAAAGGAATAAGAAATTTATGAAGGTTGGAAGGTGAGAAGAGGAAGAAGAAGGCACTACTACAAATTTATGACCACCGAAAGTTGGCTTTTATAATAACAGTAATTGCCCACGCCCACCACCTACAATTTCCTTGCGCAATTCCTTCCTTCCAAAAAAGCCTTCCTTTTTTGTCATTTCTTCATTTCTCAACTGCTTACCAAACCGGTTGATTGAAGAGACCTTGTGAAGTTGAATGGAATGAACAATTTTTGAAAAAAAAAATAAATAAAGACGAAAAAATAATGAAGCGCGTAATTTTGAAAACTTGCGCGCGCCTGATCTTTGACTTTTCATTGAAGAATGTAGTTTGGAAGTGGGTATTGGAACCTTCGGAGCAGAGGTTGGCTGACATCGGATTGATAATAGTCTAGACCGGAAAACTAGCGTTAACGCTGCAAGACTTTGAATCGGACCAGTTGAAAAGTGTTTTATATAGGAATCAAACGTATACGCGGTATACCCATACCTATACGTGATGGTCAATTATTTTATATTATAAAAATAATACTCATGGTGAAAAAACTCATGCGAAAAATAATTGACCTACGTGCTACCTAAGAACCTATACGTTGTGTCTATATCTATACATGGTACCTACATGTGCAACTTGTACATATAAGGGGTACCTATACGTATAAAAGATACCTAAGTGGTGCCCATACCTATACGTGGTAGCTGTTCGTCCTACCTGTAGTTCATAGAATATTTTTTCCAGGTGTTTCGGGAAAAAACCCTTGATGGTGCTATTTTTCTTGGGGAACCTTTTTAAAGACATTTTTAATAAAATTTTTGTGGTATTACCCCTAGAGGGCCCCCCACACCAATTTTTTGTAATTCAATTGTGAGCCTGGCAGTTTTTTCACTGATTCTTTTTTTGAAAGATCTGTTTCGAAGTTTATGTGGTTTCAAGGACACAATCTACCTTTTCTAACTGTTTTTTGTTTACCATCCGTTTTTATCATCAAGGAACTGACACCTTATCGTTTGAAGATTGTTTTTTTCACGGTATACGGACAGCAAAAAACGAACAGTTTTTTCCTGATGCAAAAAAGGGTTTCTTCGAATCATTAAGTTTTCATTGCAACCCAACCGAGATAAAATTAACATAATTGTTGTACTTTTTTGTTGGCTGAAAAAAAGGTCGTCTAGAAGGTCACACCCTTTATGGATGATGATGATGATAATAATGGAAACATTTCGGTGTTCTTGTTGATCAAATCTGAAAGTGAAAGTTAGGAATCATATTTTTTGTGATCTTCGAAGTTCTCGAAAGTTTTTTGTCGGGAAGAAGGAAGCATACTTATCGATTGCGAGCTTCAAAAGTCGTGAGTGTAGATTGCAAGCTTCTGCGAACGCGGTAGTTCGGTGTCAGGGTAAACCTTCATAGGAAGATTGCCGCGATTTTCTAATCTTTGAAGTTCTCGAATCTTTTTTTCTTGCCAAAGGGAACCCCTTATCATGCAACAACATCAGTTTCGATTTTAGCTGACGCAATTTTTTCTTCACAAGTCATTTCTATCATGTTTACGGACGGGAAAGAAGTAAAGAAGTAGTACTGCTAATTTAAAAGGTCACCTGTTGTTTTTTTTCGGAAAAACTTTTTAATCAAAAAAAGTTCGATGGAACGAACGAGAGAGAGATCATTTATTACACTATTTTTTTTGAAAAAAATTTAATTAGTGAGTAATTAGTTAATTAATTAATTGTTGCTATTTTCGTCCGCGACATTGTCCGAAGGCGCAAATCATGCGGTCAGCGCGCACTGCGGAAGGCCCGGTTTTGGCGTGAAGCTGGAAGAATTTTCAGGAGTGAAAATCTGGTATTTGCCACGTGGATTTTCAAGGACTAATAATTTAATTTAAATCAAAGCATTTTTTAACATGAGCAATCTGTTTTCGTGGACCCCAGAAAATCTTCCCACCTTATAATACATCACACCCATTCCTTCTAAGTAAGCCGAAGTCTCACCCAAAGGCTTGTCGTCTTTTTTCGGATATTTGGACCAAGCCTGAAATTATGAGCATTTTAATAAACAATATTTAAAAAGGTAGAAAATATTCACGCACTTTCAGAATTGTCGGTGCAAAATTACAGAATTTTCCAGATATTGGCACAGTTTTGTTCTGTCCGTAGCTGCTGAATTGCATTCTGAAAAAACACATTTCTCCTATGAAAAAAAAATGTTTTCCTATGAACTTAGCCTAACTCACAGCTCGCTTTGCGTTTTGTTATGAAACGTGAATTGAGCCCATAGCTCGTGCTCAGTTTCAGATTGGATTACAGCCTTGAAATCGCAGGCCCAAGTTAGGCCGATAGTTAGAAAGACTAGGAAATATTTCATTTTGAAACAAAAATAAAATGAGAATTGAAATTATCAAGGATAGAAAGTATCTATTTAGGTTATCAGATTAGATGACGAGAGAGTGAGAGACGCAAAGAAAAAGGTGAAAATGTTCTTGGATTTTAAATCATCACGTCATGTTTTAATTAACAATCTGAGTCAGATTTCTCGACTAGAACACGGTGTTTTGTACTGAAATCCACGTGGCAGAATTATTTAGGTTATCAGATTAGATGACGAGAGAGAGAGAGAGAGAGACGCAGAGAAAAATGTGTTCTTGGATTCGAAATCATCACGTCATATTTTAAATAACAATCAGAGTCAGATTTTTCAACTATAACACGGTGTTTTTGCACTGAAATCCACGTGGCAGAATTCTTGGAATATTCATGAATTCTGAATTTTGCTTAAAACCTTGATTTCGGTTTCCTGGGGCTGAAAAACCATAAATCTGGAAAAATAGATACGAAATAAATCCACGTGGCTGGAAAATTGGAGAGCTCGAAAATCCACGTGGCATAATTTTTGGAAGCACTGTGATTCCTTAATTTCCAATTGTTTTGTAAAATCCACGTGGCATACAATTTTCCCGCCAAATTTCCTTTTTTCATCATTTTTTTTCAAAAATAATCAATTTTGCTTCTTATCACCAAATTTTGAGCGAAAAAAATTATCTACTCAAGTATATAAATAAGAAATTTTTCTCAATCAAGCTATAAAATGGTGCTCACAAAAATCTGGCTAATTCCGATTTTCTACGGTTTTTGTGCAATTTCAGCCACTGCCACCAAGTATTTATTCGTTTCACTGCTGCAGAAAAATCCCACATTTTTACCGTTTATCAAGTGGGTTTAGGAACTTTTGTTTGGGTCGTGAAGCGAAAATTTTTACGTATTTTCGTGCCGAGACCCCAAAAATCCACATTTTTCCAGCCATAAAAATGCGTCTCTGTTCGGTGAATGTGTTTTCGCGCACCTTGTCACATATTCTGCATTTTTGCGTGAGTCCTCGCGTTTTCCCTCTTCTACAGTATCCCCAATTTCCTACAGTAATTCTCGTGATCTACCTACGTCATCGACAAACCGTCGAATATTATTTGCATCGTTTGAAGTGGGAAAGTTCGCTCTGGCGAACTGCGAGTACGGTAATTTCTGGCGTCGGATTTTTGGCCGCAATTTGTGTGACGATTATTGCACATTGTGAGGTGGGCTGAGTATTCAATGTTAATAAATTGGCTGCGTATCTTTACCTTCCCTGAGTATCTCATGCTTCCATATTCCAGGACCCCGAACTCGCCCCAATCCACGATCTCGCCGACACTTTGGCCTTTTCTCTAGGCCTGGCCTATGCTTGGGCTCAGGCTATTTTAACGTATGTGTACATTTGGCTGCGTACTTAACTGAGTATCAAATGTTTTTAGATTTTCACTGATTCCAAGAATGTGCACATTGAAAGTTTGCATTTTTCGATTTCTGATTGTGATTCTGGAAAGTGCCACGTTTATTTTTTGTGAGTTCGAAAATCTTTGGTGACAAAAATTTGTTTCTTTGCAGATAGGATCGCCAAAAATTCACCCAAAGATTATCCGGATTGGGCGATTGAGGCTAGTTTATGGACAATTTCAGGTAGATTTTCAAAAAAATCGTGGTAGGACCTAAAAAAATCTCAATCTTTACAGTATGCTTCCACGTGTTCATCATCACATTTTTTATCGAACTTCGATTTTCGTATTTGCATTCGCCTAAAGTGATTTTTGTGCGGAGTGCCGAAAATTATGAAAATTTAGTGGAAGAATAAAAAGGTTTTTTGCAACTTTGCGGCACAGTTTTTCAAAGAATTAGCAAATTAACAAGTAAGTTATTTATTTAGTAAAGTTACCCGAAATTCAACAAAAAATCTCCAAATTCTCCTCAAAAAACAATCGAATGACACTTAAAACTTCCATGATTCACCGTGCAAAATCGATGATTCGTCTCCTTGGGAAAAGTGAATTTACGCGAAGTGCAAATCGATCCCATACTTCTTGCCATCGGATACATTTCCGTCATCCAGCCGATTGTTAATTGGCGAATTTCCAGACGATTTTGAATGCCTGCGCGATTTGCTGCCTGAAAATTTTTTTTGCATCGTATTTTTATTGGTAATTTTCGCCAGGCAGAGAGACTGGCCGCGTGGCGCAATGGATAACGCGTCTGCCTACGGAGCAGAAGATTGTAGGTTCGAATCCTGCCGTGGTCGAGAATTTTTTAAATTTTTTTTTTGGAGAAAAAGTTTTTCCAAGGTCTACGTTTCACTATTTTTTGAATTGACTGCGTGCCTACGCAGCCAAATTTCGCACATTAAATACTCGGTCAAGCTAAAAACCCCACCTTCATCATAATATCGTACAAATCCTGATCATTACATTTCTCACCATCAATAAATTCAGAATTGTCGCCAAAATCCTCTTGATTTTGGCAATTCACCAAAGAAACCATAAAAAATACACAGAAAATCAGAAATTTTACCATTTTTTAAGTCTAATTGTAAAGAAGTGAAATGTGAAATTTTGTGTGTTTTGCCGGCTTTTTTATAATGAGTTTGTTTTTTACACCAAACAAATTTTTGAAGTTTAAAAAACTTGATTTTTTGTGTAGTTCTTAGTTTTGTTTTGTTGACAACAACAAAAAAACAACATGGTGTTTTTGTAAAAAAAAAGTACAACACATTTTTTTCAGGCCAAAATTTAAATTTTGAAAAATTTCCCAAGGAAAATGTGTCTGGAGAAAATATCAAAAAGGCTTTTTTTTCAGAAAAACTTCAAAAAAATGAAATTTCTCCCCATTTTCTCTATATTTTCGATTTATCTCACGAATTTCTCCACATTTTGCATCGAACGTTCAGTGCGAAAGTACGACGAAGGAATTCCACAAATCCTAGAATACAGTGCAAAATTATCGCTGGCCATCAAAACGCGTGACCACGTGGCACTTTTTCGACTTTTTGATGAGCATTTTCAACTTTTTCGCTGCTCGTTGAATCTGAATCGTGACCAAATTGTTGAAAACTTGCTCACTTTTCCATATTTTCACGATTTTCAACCGTATGATGTGAGAAATGATGGACAAAAAATGTATTTTAAGTCGAAATTTGGGGATGATCGAAGAATTTCGTGGTTTTCGATGATTTTTGATTTTCAGCAGGAAAATTGGGTTTTAAGTTCGTGGGATTTTGATACATGTAATAAGCTCAACTAATTTAATAATGAAACTCATCTGCTAACCAATTTTTTTCAAAAAAAAAACAACTAAAATTTAACCCGTTTTTCCTCAAGGAAAATCATCTTCAGTGATATTTTCGAAGATGCATCAACTCCAACACCAACGCGGATCCGCGTTTGAACGGTTTAAAGCTCCAAAATCAAGTCTTTTTGGCAAAATCAATTTTTCGACGAAAAAACCCCAAATTTTTTTTTCAAAATGCACACAAACCGCGCAAGCGCCCACACAAAATGCGTCAGTGTAGAGTCTCAGTCTCAAAAAAAAAATTATTTTTGTTTTTTGGTTTTCAGAATTTTCAGCCTGTGAAGCCGGCATTTTCCTTGTCAGGATTCTCTCAAGAACGATGCAATTTTCAGATTTTCGTCTCCAATCAACTTCCTCCATCTTTTTGCAGCTACGAATTATGATAATTGATCTTGTTTTTCTTTGAAAATAAAAATATGTGTTTTTCTTTTCTAGTTTCGTTTCATGTTTTATTCCAAATAATGTTGTTCAACATTGGAAATCTTATTTTTTTAAAATGTTATTCAGCAATCTGGCGGAATCTGAGAGGTGAGTTGAATTCTTTCAAGTTTTCGATGATAAAATTTGAATTTTCAGGTTGACAAACGTTTGGAATTGCGAACGGATTGCCGGGAGGAAATGTGAGTGATTTTTGATTGATTTTGACCCGCTGATCACGATCCCGATGTCAAAAACTGCGAATCTCAAGTGTTGATATGAGTTATGACGTGGCAATTTCAAGAAATTTGTCACTGAAAGTTAGTTAGATTCAAAGCATTTGTTAGAATAATTTTTGAAGCAAATCAACCAAAATGTCTATGATTTCACGATTTTTTCACATAACTCATACACTGCTCCACAAAAAGATAACCTCACCCCTCATTTTTCAAAAAAGCGAAAATTTGAATTTTTTGAAAAAAGTTTGTTTTTGAAAAACATGTCAAATTCGGATACTAATTCATCCCTGAAAACAAATTTCAGGTTTGGTAAGCGCTGAAAAAAATTGAGAATTTTCAAAAAAAGCCGATTTGCCAATCCACATAATGATAACCTCACCCCATGTTTTTTGACGAATTCGGACTTTTTAGTCGGAGTTAGTCACCCAAAATGTGTTAATGTGTGGTTGGTGAGTTTTTAATCTTAAAAAAAGCCAGTGCCACGTTTCCAACAAGTTGTGAGCATCAGATTTGGAGCATTGCGATGTAAAGAGCATTTTTCAAACATTTTATACAGATGTTGCTATTTTTTCATTTTTTTTCAATGTTTGAAGTTCAAGACGATCCAAATGATCTGTTTTAAGCTCATTATGTTAAAAAAATTGGAAAAAATTGATAAAAAAGAAGAAAACAATCGAGATGCGAATTTTGAATTTCGCGCCGATTGAATATTTGGAGCACCCACGACGTAAACTTTTGAAAATTACTGTTTTTTTTTGTTTTTCAAATTGTTTTTTAATGATCAATACTTTTCTAACATCCCACATCAAATTTTCATCCAAAATGCCGCGAGGAAAGCCTCTTTCTGATTTTGAAAAAGGGCAAATTACAGCCAAAAAAGATCAACGAATTACAAATCGACAAATCGCAAGAGATTTAGGCCGTAGTCCACGAGTTATCAATAATTATGTTAACGATCCGCGAAATTATGGCACCGGAAAATGTCCTGGTCGTCTGAGCTTGCGATTTGTCGATTTGAAATTCGTTGATCTTTTTTGGCTGTAATTTGCCCTTTTTCAAAATCAGAAAGAGGCTTTCCTCGCGGCATTTTGGATGAAAATTTGATGTGGGATGTTAGAAAAGTATTGATCATTAAAAAACAATTTGAAAAACAAAAAAAAACAGTAATTTTCAAAAGTTTACGTCGTGGGTGCTCCAAATATTCAATCGGCGCGAAATTCAAAATTCGCATCTCGATTGTTTTCTTCTTTTTTATCAATTTTTTCCAATTTTTTTAACATAATGAGCTTAAAACAGATCATTTGGATCGTCTTGAACTTCAAACATTGAAAAAAAATGAAAAAATAGCAACATCTGTATAAAATGTTTGAAAAATGCTCTTTACATCGCAATGCTCCAAATCTGATGCTCACAACTTGTTGGAAACGTGGCACTGGCTTTTTTTAAGATTAAAAACTCACCAACCACACATTAACACATTTTGGGTGACTAACTCCGACTAAAAAGTCCGAATTCGTCAAAAAACATGGGGTGAGGTTATCATTATGTGGATTGGAAAATCGGCTTTTTTTGAAAATTCTCAAATTTTTTTTCAGCGCTTACCAAATCTGAAATTTGTTTTCAGGGATGAATTAGTATCCGAATTTGACATGTTTTTCAAAAACAAACTTTTTTCAAAAAATTCAAATTTTCGCTTTTTTTGAAAAATGAGGGGTGAGGTTATCTTTTTGTGGAGCAGTGTACTAAATTGAAACCAAGTGTGATATTAATAAAAATCGCAAGAAAACATTCGAGTTGATATACCAAAAACACCTCATTTTTTTGCTGTTACTTCATCAGCAGCCGAGCTTGTAACAGCAGAACTCTGACCTTCTATTGTATCCTTGTCCAATTCAATGTCATCTACTTCAGTTCCTATAATATGCCTTTCGTTCAAGGATTCATCGAAATAAACTCTATCGAGCTTTATAAATTTACATGGTGGAAGCCTCTTGCGCAAGCTGAAATCAGAAAATGTTTAAGTCGATGAATAAAACGATCAAGAAACTAACATCCTCAACTGTGACATTGGCCGGAATGTGGATTTTTCTCTTAACTGGGAATTTCACAGACTTAGTGTCTTCCGCATGTTGTTTTGCCTTATTCTTCATATATTTTGCGTGCTTCTCCTTTTGTGAAGGTGTCCATCGACCATCCTTTGGTCTCTGCTTTTTTTTCTTCTCTGGCTTATTTTCTTCACCTTCATGTGCATCCTTAACGTTCCCCTTCTCTTTCTTCTTCTTGTTTTTCTTTTTTGCCTCCTTCCTCTTTTTGGCAAAATTGGATGTTGTTGTTGCAGTCTTTGTTCCAGAAGTTTTTCCAGTAGCTGATGCAGTTGTAGTTGCAGTTCTTGTTCCAGAAGTTTTTCCAGTAGCTGATGCAGTTGTAGTTGCAGTCCTTGTTCCAGAAGTTGTTCCAGTAGCTGATGCAGTTGTTGTTCCACACGTTGTTTTTGTGTCCTTTGAATCGCTACTCTTCTTACTTTTAGCCGATTTGTTTTTTCGTTTCTTCAGCTTTTTGCGACGTCGTTTCAAATCCAACAAAGCACAGATTGAAAAGACGACGAGAAGTACAATTAAGATAATTAAAAGAGGGATCAAGATCAAAGTTATGATTGAGAATTGAGATTCTGATTTTGAAACTGTAGGAGCCGGTGACTTGTTGGCAAGACTTTGAGAGACACTGAAAATGTTTCATGAATTGTTGAAGTTAAAGAAAATTTCAATGAAAGTTTATTTTGATATCATGTCTATGTTTTCGAAAATCGACAGTAAGATCGAAGAATATTCGTCATACTTCTTTTCTTTTTAAATTCTATCGTTTCAAAAAATCTAGTCTCAGGCTTGTAGCACTTCAGAAATCCTTCGTGAAACTCACATTCGCTCAGTCAATAAGTGAAGCTGTGGAGATTCAGGATCTGTTGTTTTTATTGGCAGCATGGCATATTCATCCATAATCACAAATAAATTCGAATCAATACGATATTCATAGAATATTATTAACAATCTTGTCCAAAGCAACATCAAAATTGACACATTTATACAAAGAGGGACCTCGAGCAACATGATGTATTGAATATTCTTGCGATTTTTGAGAATTGGTTCGTTTTCAAATGATTTGATATGTATATTCAAGCGAGAACAGAAATCATTAGCTCCAGTTGTTTGATTAGCAAGCGTTGAGTCGAGTTTTTTCACGATTCCATCATTATTCACAAGATCTACTTCTTTCACTGGTGTTGTGATACTATCTGATCCGATGTGTAGAATATGTGATTTGATGTTGTTGGAAATCGGGATGTCGCAGGCAAATTGTTTGAAAATGTATTTGAGGGAAGCAATCTGAAGTTAGATAATTGGTTGGATAAATAAAATTCCTCAACTTACCTTTAAGGGATCAAATACTCGATCTATAACGAAAACAAAAAGTGAATCGTCATATTTTGTCTTGTTGCTTTTTGGCGAACAGTTCGGATTGGGATTGGGATTTGAAAGGGCACTTGAAAGAATTGGGTGGATTGTTGAGATAGCAAGAATGGTTGCGAGGAGGATCGCATAGTTCATTGTGTCGAAATTGTGAGAATTTCTGTGCAATTGACTTGGTATCAGATTTATAGTCAATTGTGTTAGCTAGTAGGACTATTTTCCAGTAGAGAAACTGATTTTTCGTCGTGGAATCTCTCTTTTATAGTGCAAAATAACTGGGTCACGTTCACGTTTTGAAAATTTCGCACATTTTCATGAATCTGTTTTTTTCTGCAAAGTTATTGCTTCTAGATCTTTTCTTGTGGACTTTTATCGAAAGAACTACACGGACTTTTTTCCGATCTCAAAAGTACTAACTTTTCCAAAAGAACTATACGAGATTTGGAAAGATAAAACATCTTTGTAGTTCGGTATGTTGTGTGATCAATCTTCACCCCACAATTCGAGAAATCAGATAAAAAACGTTCATTCTCGAAAAAATATGTCTTTATGCTTCTTTCATTTGCTTCGATATTCCGCGTATCTTAATAATGTACAAAATACTGGCAGCAACCAATAAAATCACTATGATGACAACGGCAGCTAACAAAATCGCCTCAATCATTCCGAATCCACTTTCAGATTTTTTGTTTTGAGCCTTTGCAGGTGGTATGATGAGATTTTTGGAAACTCTGAAATTTTTACATTAACAACGATGCTCCGCGTTGACATGGGTTTTCTGCAGTGTAAATGCGGAGCATCGTAGTTTTGAAAAATAAGCTCACATTCTTCTCGCCATTTCTTTAAGTTTCTTCGAATTTGCATCTGCAAGGAAATAAGTGATTTTTTTTGTTAAAAACGAAATTACCAGTTTGATTGATTTTCGCAGCTCCTTTCGTATCAAAAATATAGAAATCTTGACTCGAAATACGATAAAAAATGATGTAGATTTTACTTTTATCGACCACCAAATTCGGACAAAAATTTTCCGTTGTGAAAAACATGATATATTTGATATTGGTGCGATTTGAGACCATTGGATTATTGTCGAAATTTTTGAGATGTTTTTCGATTCTTTCACACGGTTGCACGTTCAACCCAGCTGAAAACAGGAAAAGTATTTTGAAAACTCAAAAATGTTCCTTACTTGCATTATACGAGGCTTCAAGTTTTGTCGCAGCTTCCGAACTTTTTACGAAATCTCCAGCTTCAACTGCTTTTGGTGCATTTTGCCCATAATATAAAATAGATGTCTGAAGGTTTTCAGATGTCGGAATTTCGCAGGCGATTTGTTTGAAAACGTAGCGCCATTTGTTTTTCTGAAAATTGCAACCAATTTTAAAATTTTAAATGTGTTTTTCTACTCACAATTGATTCGTCGTTATGATGATCCATAACAAACACAAAAAGCGCATCTTCATATGTGATGTTGGATTTTTTTGGTTTACAACTTGGTTTTGAAGTATCTTCAGCTTGACCAAATACTCTAATAATTGAAATTGCGAACAATAAAAATCCGAAAAATATTGAAGTTTTCATATTTTCCAGCGAAAATTTCGTAAAAATGAAAACCATGTGGAATCTTGATTTTTATATTCGAAATGAACTAGAACACGTTTCACGTAATTCTAATTTGAGAATAGTATTTTTGGTATTTTTGTGTACCATTTTGGATAATTTCAGTGAAAAAAATCAAATTTTCTGGCCAAAAATTTCGTGACCTAGAAAATTCGATTTATCTTATCTTTTCTTTCGGCTCTCCAATCATTTTGTGTAAACAAAACAACAAAACAAAACGGACCAATGGTCCCGATTTTTCTACTTTTCATCGCTTTTTTATCGATTTTTCCGGAAGGTAAATTTTTGGTTGAAAGTTCTACGTGATAAATTTTAGACCTAATATGGTCCTAAATATCCAGAAAAATGCCACAGGGTCCAAAAAACCCGAAAAATCCAAATTTCCAGATCTAAACGCTCAAAAATGTGCCGAAAAACTATATCCGGGAGCATTTCGAAATCAAGTTTGTGTTTGTAACTCAACATTTTGCGATCAAATTGAACCTGTAGGAAATGAGATTCCGGAAGGAGAAATTGTGGTTTATCGATCGAGTTTGGAAGGAGATAGAATGAATCGATTTGTAATCAAATTTGGAGATATTCCTGAATTTAAAGGTGAGTTTTTAGTTGAATTTTGGAAAATTTGACGAATTTTCGATCAAGTTTTTGAAAAACTTTGCCTTGTCATAACTCGAAAAATAACAAAGACTATCTCAAATTCCACGTCATAGCTCATATTCTCACTTTTTCAGTCAACACCACAATTCTCATCGACGCTTCGCAAAAATATCAAAAAATCATGGGATTCGGCGGCGCGTTCACAGATTCGGCAGGCGAAAATCTGGCCGCCATTCCGCAAGCCCTTCAAGATCAAATCTTACGAGCCTATTTCGGCCCTAACGGCCTGGAATACAATTTGGGCCGAGTTCCGATTGCGAGTTGTGATTTTTCGACGCATGAATATAGTTATGATGATTCGAAGGAGGATTACGAGTTGAAGGCTTTCAAATTAGCCAGGGAGGATTTGGAGCTGAAGGTGAGCCTGGAAAATCCACGTGGCAAAAATTTGAATTCTGAAATTAATACGTCAAAAATGCTACGTGGAAAACTCTTTTGTTCAATTTTTCTGGCTGTCTAGCTTCTCTGCGTCTCTAACTCGTATTCTGAGTTTCTAGTTTTTTCAAACGATGCGTCTCGTTTACGCACTCAAAATTCATGAATTTTCAAGCAATTTTCAAACGACACTCCGCATTTACAGATTCCCTTTATCCTGCGTGCCAAAACTCTGGCTCCAAATCTCCAACTCTTCGCGTCACCCTGGTCCGCACCAGGTTGGATGAAAACGACCGGAAAAATGCAGGGAGGCGGAAGCTTGCGGAATTCCACAAAAATCTACGCGAGTTACGCGAACTACTTCGTAATGTTCTTCGAAGAATATCAAAAACGCCACGTAGATTTTTGGGGAGTGACAATTCAAAATGAACCGAGCACTGGAGCCGATTTGCAGTGGAGATGGCAGGGTATGAATTTCACCGGCGAGACGATGCGCGATTTTTTGAGAGACTATTTGGGACCGGTTTTGAAAAAATCTGAGGTGACACGCGATTTGAAAGTGATGATTTTGGATGATGGAAGAGGATTATTGCCAGGTTGGGCGGATTCTGTAAGTTTTTTTTGGCTGAAAATCGAGTTTCTAATGAAATTTGGATTATTTTGACATCCCACAAGCCTAGGACGAAGGGAAAAAATCCAGGTGGAAATGCGGAGTGTCGTTTTTCTCAACATTTCAAAAATTGATAAATTGTGATGGTTCAAACGATGCTCCACTTTTACGAGCTCGAAATTCATGAAAATTATTATTTTCAAACGACAATCCGCGTTCACACCATCAAAAATTGTGGAATTTCGATAGAAATTTGTATTCCCATTTTTCAGACCTTCAACGATTCGATCGCAACTCAATTCGCTGATGGTATAGCTGTTCACTGGTACGGTAATCTCTATTCGCCACCAATTTTGCTGGATATCACCCAAAAACGGCATCCGGACAAGTTCATTTTGGCCACTGAAGCTTGCACGGGATATTTTGGACATCGTGGTCCGATTTTTGGCGATTGGTTCCGCGCTGAATCGTATGCTGATGATATTCTGACGGTATGCTTCTGAGAATAATCTGGGCTCATTTGAGCTCAAAAAATGCGGAATTTTGAGCTCTGAAAATCCACATGGCATTTTTAATCTGAAATTTTCAAATCCGGTCTTATTTAGCCTCGAAAAATCTGCACTTTTAAGCTCTGAAAATCCTCGTGGCATATTTAATCTGAAATTTTCAAAACCGGTCTCATCTAGCCTCGAAAAATCTGAAATTTTGAGCTCTGAAAATTTTTATATTTATAAATTTTTGAGCCTAGGATTGTTCCGGCTCAAATAAGCCTAAGTTTCCGGGCCTAGGCTCATCTATTCTCAAAAATTCCCAAATTTTTGCAGGATTTGAATCATTGGGTGACCGGTTGGGTGGATTGGAATTTGGTGTTGGACGAGGCTGGCGGTCCGAATTGGGTGCTGAATTTGGTGGATGCGCCGATCATTGTGAATCGAACGGCCGGCGAGTTCTATAAGCAACCGATGTTTTATGCAATGGCACATTTCAGGTGAGATTTGGCGGTGTTTTTAGAAACCAAATATGATCTTGCGCTAAAAATCCACGTGTTTTATCGCTAAACGTGGCTAAAAAATCGATTTTTCTGAAACCCTTTATCATGTTTGATGTCAAAAATCGGAATTTTCCTGAAAAATTCAAATTTTGCCACGTCGAGTCCTGTATGACTCCAGGAATTCCAAAATTTCCAGCAAATTCTTCCCGCGCAACTCGACCCGAATCGACACCAAAATCAAAGGTTCCCAATTCATCACAGCCACCTCGGTATCAATTTCGGGCGGTCGGCGAGCTACAGTAATCCTGAATCGTGGCAATTCGAGTGTTTCCACGCGTATTTCGGATGTTGGAACGAAACAAAGTGCTCTGATTGAAATTGCACCGAGAAGTATTCATACTTTGTTGTGGGATAAGAAGAAATCGAGAAAAATCCGGAAAAATTGATTGGTTTTGAATAAAATCTGGTAATTTTGATGGATTTTGAACGCGTAAACGCGGAGTATCGTTTGAAATTGAGAAAATAATTTATTAGTTATCATAACTCATAACTCCAATCGAGATCCAGAATGTGAATAGAAAGATTCTTGAAGTGACATTTTCCTGGGCCTCGGCACCGGTTGAATTGTATTGCTCAGCACTGTGGGACCTGCGAAAAAAGAGGCGTGGCCTAAATATACGGCTCAAAAATGCTTCGAATTTTACCTGTTAATTGATGAAGTTCTGGAATTTTTGGTGGTTTTTTAAGGGCCAACGCGAAGCCTAAACAACATAAGCAAAGTTGATCGATGACCAAAACTTGGGCTAAAAGATACGGCCAGCGAAATTGGCAAAGTCCGATTTGATATCTGCAAATTAAGAGTTCCGCGTGCGCGGAAGGCTTGCGGAAACACTCACTTTTTCGATTCGCAAATCTCACGAACCCGCGGATTTTCCCAGCCATTCGGATAGATTATACAGCCGGCTAACATGAAGATGACTGACAAAAAATTTGAATTTTAAAATTTTTAGCAACAAAAAAAACTCACATGCAAAAAAATGCAGCCAACTGCAAAGTATGAACGCGTGTCGATCTCGCAGCAAAACCAATAACTGAAATTGGTTTTTTATTGTTAGAAGCAGACGCGGAAAGATTCCGCCTACGCGGAAGCTACTCACCAAAATCGAAAAAATAGCCAAAAAGCTCAAAACTGTAGCTGCTAGCACTAAAAATGCGGAAATTTCAAACCAAATGCTCAAAGGTCGAATTTTGAACGGGCTCCAAACACAGTCATTCGTGCCACAGTAATCATATAGGCCAAAATATCCGCCTTCATCATTTCCGATCCAAGTTGGATGAATTAGGACCAAAGTTTGGAGAAGAGCTATAAAAAAATGGAGCAGTGGGTAGAGAGTCTGCCTGGGGGTAGGGAGGTCGGGGGATCGATTCTCAGTGGGGGTGAAATTTTTTGATGGTGTGAACGCGGAGTGTAGTTTGAAAATTTTAAATTTTATGAATTTCGAGCGCGTAAACATGGAGCATTGTTTGAAACTCGAAATTTAAGTGAAAAATCCACGTGGAAAAAATGCATTTTTTTGGAAAATTAAAACTTCTGAGAATATTTACATGCCACGTGGATTCTAATTGTAAGCTCGTCCAAAAATGTTTTCGATTTCAGAAGACTACCGTAACCTTTAAAAGTTTAACATGAGCAACACCATTTTTTTCTGTTTTCAGATAATTTTTGCCGCGTGAAAATTCAAATTTTTCCTTAAAAATTTTAACATGAGCAATTTCAAAAATTTTGCTGCTAATTTCACGGTTTCTTGAGTTCTATATAACGTGAAAAATCCACGTGGCATTTTTTTCAACAAAAAAGCCTTTGCCACGTGACATTTTCAGATTTTCAGCTACAAAAAAAACAAAAACTCACTGGTACACAGCCCACACAACACCCAAATCGCACCAACCACACGCCAATTCCTCGTGTAAATCGAGTGATAACTTAGCGCAAATTGCTGCATTTTCTGGAAAATCTGGAACTTTTTCTGGGATTTTAGGCGAAAAATAAGGTTTTTCATGAAAAATTAGCCAGAAATCGTGGGTTTCAGGCGAAATTTGGTCAAAAATTTTCAAATTGAGAGGTCCGGGGATCGATTCCCCATGAGGGCGAACTTTTTTTTAATAATTTTTTTTTGGATGAAAAATGCCAAAAACTCAAAAATTAAAAAAAAATCACGTAGCTTAAGGAGTTTGACTGGGGATTGAGAGGTGTGGGGATCGAATCCCAGTAGCGGCGAACTTTCCAAGTTTTTACATGAAAACTGAGCGAGTTCTGCGGTCAAAATACTGTGTTTACCTATCTAGGTAAAAACTATTCAAGCATAGACAAAAACAATTTGACACAACACACAAAACGAAACAAAAAAGAGGGGTATAGAAGTACAGAGAAGAAAAAGAGGGGACTCGCGCGCGCGGGAGCCGATGGGTCAACAATAATGAGCACGACGACAAAAAGAGCACACACAGCACATTTATGGATAGAGACAAATTATTATTTTATTATTATTATATAAAATTGATTTGAAATTTGACAGACATAAGATAAATAGATTATATCATTTTTGTTTATTTGTCTTCTATCGCCCCAAATTTTGAGGAGTGTACAGAAATTAGAATTCAGGTCAACTGGAGAGCTCGCGACTTGTTTTGCTCGAAAAAATGGTTGCAAAAATGCACGTGGCAAAATTTTATCACTTTTGAATTCTGAAAAAAAACTACAATAACTTTGAAAAGTTTAACATGAGCAACACGATTTTTTTCTTCATTTTTCGAATATTTTTTCCAGGTGGTTTTTTGGAGTAAAAAAACAACTTTAAAAATTTTTTCTGCCACGTGGATTTCAAGTCCAAATTCGAAATATTAACATAAGCAACACGAAAATTTCCAAGAAAATTCTAAAAAGAATTAACATGAGCAACATAATAATTTATTTTCTCAAATAAAAAATCTCATTTTCATTTTCCACCATCCCAAATCACAGTCTGAATACTGTTTGGTGCAAGTTTCACCAGAAATTCTCGATTTTCTTGAATATCCACCAATTTTGCATTGATCTCTCGTGGTTCACGATTCAGAATGACGCAAGTTCGACGCGCGGAACGCGGAAGGATTGCGCACGTGACTTTTGGATTCTCTTGATTTTCAGTAGAGTCGCTAATCTTCTCGTGGTGGATTCGGAGAGAAGCGGGAGGAAGGAATTTGCTGAAAAAATGTCAAGCTGGTGAACGATGCTCCACAATTACACCATCAAAAAAAGAAAGTTTTAAACCAAACAAGCTCACCTAAAATGTCCCATCGAGTAAAAAATAGGCTGCTTATAGAATTCCTGTGCCGTCTGATTCACCACAATCCCAACATCCACCATATTATTCACCCAATTCGGACCGCCCTTCTCATCCAACACCAAATTCCAATCCACCCAACCCGACACCCAATGCTCCAAATATTCGATTTGGCTCCACGCCAACTCTTCGGCTCGAGACCAATTTCCCAATTTCGGACCTTCGCCGTCTTCGAAACCCAGACAGGCTTCTGTGGCCAGCAGGAACTTCGACGGATGATTTTTGTGAGTGGTGTCGTAGAGTGAGATTGATGTGAAGGCATCGTCGTACCAGTGAACTGCAATTCCATCGGCGAAGGAGCTTGCGATTGGATCGTTGAAGATCTAAGTTGAAAATGCAGGTGTAAAGGTGGAGTTTCGTTTGAAACCTTTCTAATATTCAAATTTCTGAGTTTTCAAACAATACTCCGCTTTTGCACCATTAAAAATACTTAAAAATTGATAAATTTCAACAATTCCCTTTTTTTTAGAAAATCTTAAACGATACTCCGCAATTACACCATCAAAAATCTATCATTTTCGTCCAAAATTTCACAAGTTTCTTACCGTATCGGCTTCTTCCACAACATCAGTTCTAACATCATCCAAAACCATAATCTTCAAATCCCTAGTCACATTTTCAGCTCTCAATGTGGGTCCCAAATAGTCGCGCAAAAAATCGCGTTCCATTTCCCGTGTCAAATTCAAACCCTGCCATGTCCAACTCGTCATTCCACTCGTCCGCGGCTCATTTTGCACAGTCATTCCCCAGAATTCCACGTGGTTTTTGGCGTATTCGGTGAAGAATTGCGTCAAATAGTTGGCGTAGCTTTGATGGATTTGAGAAGTTGGGAGAAGCGAGCCGCCGTTGTGCATTTTCTGATTGGTTTTCATCCAACCTGGTGGAGACCAGGGTGAGGCAAATAATTTGAGATTTGGTGAGAGAGCTAGGGCACATCGGATGAATGGAATCTGCAAAACATCTTTTTTAGGGAGATTTCGCCACATGGCATTCCGGAGGTTTAAACAAAACTCCGTTTTTACACCATTACAAAATTTGCATTTTTTTGAATTTCAAGATTTTTGACATCAAACATTTTTTTCCAAATATTGGACTTTTGGCCTAGGAATTGCCCCAGGGTCTAAATTTTCTGAAAATTCCGATTTTTCAAATGTTCTCCCTTCCCCACCTTCATCTGCAAATCCTCATTGCTCAGCTTAAACATCGTCAAATCCGTGTCATTCTGCACTTCATCCAAACTATATTCATGTGTCGAAAAATCGGTGCTACCAATCGGGACTCTCGCCAGACTATAGTCTAGTCCATCGGGGCCGAAATAGGCTCGCAAAATCTGATCTTGAACTGCAACATCTAGACTGTTCAGATTTAAACCGGTAGAATCGGAAAATGCGCCTCCAAATCCAATGATTTCTTGATACGTGGATTTCGCGTCGATTTGGATTGTAATGTCCGCTGAAAATGAGGTTTTTGAGCGAGTGTCATCGCGGAGTGTCGTTTGAAAAGCATTCACCCACCCTTCTCATCACCAGCTCCCAAAAATGCTCCATAATATTTTCTCAATCGATCTCCAGCCTCACTGGATCGGTATATCAAAAACTTCCCACCCAACGTGTGATTTTCGGCTGGCTCAATTCGATCGCAATACGTTGCGTTACAAACACAAACCACATTTTTCGACGAATTTCCCGTGATTCTGGCGGCACATGGGAATTTTTCGGGTATCAAAACTTCGAGAAATTCACCGCCTGTCGCGAAAATCAGCAGAAAATAGAGCGAAACTAGAATCATGAGAAAAAATATATTTATTGTGGGCGATTTTTGATTCGCTATTTATGCATTTTTACGATGAATCTGTTTGACGAGATGATCGAATCATTTGATCAGCAAAAACAAAAAAAATTTTGAGTGGGGCTTATAATTTCGATGTTGTCAGACCTGTCGTTTTTGGGCGGCCGGGCCGGGCCAGCCCTTCAAAATTCAAAAAATGCGGGCTATTTCGGCCCTCCGGCCCTTCTTTTTTTATGAGAGGCTGTTTCAGCCCTTTTCTCGGCCCTTCATAAATTTTTGATGACAATTCGGGATTTTTACAAATGGATGATTTTGCTCAAATTTTCTGCATTCGGGCGAATTTCGTAAATCAGAATAACTTAAATTGGTGTTAGTGCACCAATATTTCTTCGAAGTACTGTTTTGGTGCAGGATCGTAATGGTGTAACACATGAATTTCAATAAATTTTACTTTTATTATCAATCCACCATCAGAAACACGAAAAACGGCAATTTTCTTCCGCCAAAATGCAAAAATTCGAAAGAAACACCATTGAAAAATAGTGGATTTACACAATAAAATTTGTTTGAAAGGCCGGGCTGAGCCAGCCCATTTTCCCTATTTGGGCTGGCTAGGCCGGCCCTTCAAATGGCTGGCCCGAGGGCCGCAAATAGCCGCAAAACGACAGGTCTGGATGTTGTATACAACATCGAAATTTCTTTGATGTTCCAAACAACATTCCGCGGTTACACTGATTTTAAAAAATTGTAGTCTAATTTACTGGACACATTTTTGTCGGATTCTCGGCCACGCCTCTCGTGTACTTCTCTCGGAGTTGTTTCGTTTTCATTTTTTTTGGAGTCCCCAATATTTATGTGTTATCTCAAATTTTTCTTGCCCATCCAATCAAAACCCGAGAAATTGATAAGACGAGGTCAAAAGATTTTTATTTCCGTTACTTTCCGCGAGGCGCTGCGAACGCGGAAACCTAACAATTATAAAGCTTAAAGTCTATGCAAAAAAATTTTAAAAACGCGTTTACGTGAAAAAAAAATCCAACAGAAATCAATCATTTCAAAATTTTATCAATTCAAAAAAGGGTTGGTTTCGAAATGAAGTGAGTTTTATTGAAAATTAGGCAAAAATGCAGATTTCCATGAAAATTCCGTGTTTTTGAACTGAAAACAACACAAAGTTTGCATTTTCTGCATTTTTTCGTAAAGTGTATTATTTCTACACTGAAAATTACGCCAGAATGCAGATTTTCAAGAAATACCGTGTTTTTACACTGGAATTGACGCGAAAGTGCACATTTTTGGTGTTACCCACTGTGTTTTTTTCTAATAGAAAAATGCAATTCCGAGGAATCGCAGACAGAGAGAGAAGGAGGCTGGTCTCGACACGCTGTGTGTCTGCCACACACTATTTCTCTCCCTTTTTCGGCGAGAGATTTGTCTGCCCACGTTAAAGTCTGCGTCTCTCAGAACTGGCAAGAAAAAATACAGTTGGTATACCAATTGAAATTAACGGGAAATTTTCGATTTTTCGCTATTTTCATTGGATTCTTGTGTTTCGTCACTAAATTTCACGCAAAAATGCAGACTTTTCATGAAGTACCATGTTTTTGCACTGAAACTGACGAAAAAATGCAGAGTTTGCACTGAAAATGCGTTTTCTGCAATTTTCCGTAGAATCCAGTGTTTCTACACTTCATATTCAAATTTTCCCACAAAATGGCGTGCAAATACTTACTTTGATACTTTGATGATCCATTATATCAAGCCATAATCATCATTGATCGTAACTGTGAACCAGACAGCTCCATTGCTGACCATCTTGAGCCATTCGTAGTTAGATAACTTCCCAAAATCGTCTGTTGGCACCGATCCAAAATGATCATCATTTTGCCCTTCCCTTCCATCATCTACCTGTTTTCTGTCTCTCTCTCTCACTCACTCTCCTCGTTCTATACACTCTCTCGCCTTCCCCTATTTTTCCCGCACCCGCACTGCTTATCAATTGCCCATCGCTTTTTATTCTATTATTATTATTCTACATTGTTTTTATATGTTTTTGTTTTATTTTTAGGCGTCTGTTTGAAAATTGTTGGATTTTTGCCAAAAATTTGGGATTTTTTGTTGGTCTGAAATCTTGTATTCCTTGAACTTCGAATTTCTCTAGTTTTATCTGAAAATATTAGAATTTTTCATGTTTTCAGTTGTTTTTTGAAGTTTAGCTATAAATTCTAGAAAAAACTTGAAAATCCGCAATTTCGCGTCAGATTTTGTGTGAGATGAAGAAACTACGCGAAATTGCAGATTTTCCAAGTTTTCACACCCTAAAATGCGAATATTCAAATTATCTGTAATTTTTCGTCATATCTAGTGTTTTTCGACAAACATGACGCAGCAATGCAGATTTTCCACATAAAATTCAAATTTACATTCTCTCCCCTGATTTTTTAATGTTCAAACAACGAGTATTCTTCTCCATCTTTCAACAAAGATCAAACTTCTCCCGGAAAAACCATCTGTCCGAGACAAAAAATCGTTCTTTTCTCCCACTTCACTATTTATTATCATCGTTTTTTTTTGCTTGCTGGGTTGCCCCCAAAAATCGGAAAAAAATTCGCAACATTCGAAAATGCGATGTGTCCATGACAGATAGAAGTGATAATTATTGTATTTATCAAAATAATATCGACCATTATATTTTACGAGGGCAAAAACTTGCACTTTTCGTGTACTTCTCGTGGAAAACACGGATTTTCACGTAAAATCTGCATTTTTTCGTCATTCATCATGTTTTACACGGGGTATGACGCAAAAACGCAGATCTTTCAAAAACTCTGCATTCTTTCGTCATTTTCTACTTTTTACACCTCATATTTCGCAAAAATGATGATTTCTCAGCACTTGACTCTGTAGACTGACTGTACAAATTGAAGAAGTGTGAATACAGCGAATGAACGCTGTACCTACACTTTTTTTCCCGAAAATCGTAGGTTCATTTTATCTTCAGCGTAGCTACGAAAAAAATCAAATTCGTAGCTACGCAGATGATAAATCGTTATTACGCACACCTGAAATTTTGACGAGAGCTGCCAAGCGTCACACAATCAGAGATGAAAACGTAGGTACAGCGTATCTCCGCTGTAGCTACACAATTCGCGGACAGAAATGAAGTGAAGTGACCGCTCTATATTGTTTTTGAATCCGTAGCTACGCCGTTGCTGTTCTGTAGCTACTTTGTAGATAAACGGATGTTACTTATGTGCAATTCTCTCTTCCCCGTTTTCGTACAAAGTATCAACGAAATTTGTACAGTCAGTCTACAGAGTCAAGTGCTGAGTTCGTTCAAGTTCACGTGTACTTCTCGTGGACAAGTGTGTTTTCTACTCACTAGACTCTAGTTTGTTGCATTGGCAAGACTCCAAAACAAAAATAAACAAACAAAAAGTGTTTTTTTGTATTTTTTGGAGACGCAGAGAAAAGATGTGACCCTTTGATAAGGATAACACATGTTTCGATCAATTTATTTGGTCATATATATTTTTTGCGTGGTTTTTTAATGTAGCACGTGGATTTTTATGAAAAATCTGCTTTTTTGCGGCATTTTTAGTGTAAAACATGAGTTTTCTGCGAATTTGCGTCATCTTCAATGCTGTACACATTAAACTTCACGCAAAATTGCACATTTTGTTCGACTGGTGTTCCGCGAAATCTATCATTTTTCGAATTTCCCGCCCAAAAAAATAAATATTTTTTCTTGCAGGGTAGTTCTCGGTGTCAGGTCTCTGAGCAAAAAGGAGCACTCGAGTCAATCGATTTTCTCCCCCAATCGCCTGCCAGGCGGCCCATAATTGAGCCCGAAATTTTCCAACGAAGCCCAGATGGCCCACATTTGATCTACCTCCCACCAATTCACCCGAAGAAAATCAATATTATTGATTGATTTTTGAAGAAGAAGAAGCAACAAGTGCGCTCCATTGAGAATATTCATTTTTGCCGGTTTATTTTTTGAAAAACAAGGAAACGCGCTCCATTGATAATATGATACCAAATGAGCAATTTCAAAAATTGTTGTATGATTTGTTTTGTTTGTGGCACAGTGTGCAGCGGCATTATGATCCACCGATTACGGATTCTGAGGAGCAACGAATGCATAAAGTAAGTTTTTGAGGAGAATTTTGAGTGTGGGTGGGGACTAGAAATCCAACATTTTTAGAGGTTCTAGGCCACAGAATGTCGTTTTTCGGTTTCTACAGTCCACCACATAATTTTACCCACAGGGAGACTAGAAAAGTAAAATGTTGGTTTATTAGGCCATGAAATCGACACAAATTTGGGTTTCTAGGCCACCGGGGACTAGAAACGTACATTTTTGAGTTTCTAGGTCACCAGAGACTAGAAATTATAGATTTTTGGCTTTCTAGGCCACTGACCACAGTGTCCCGAACGCGTATTGCGCCAGCACTCCACACTCCACACACTCTCTCGTTTTCTCTCTATCTCTCATCCGTCTCTTCAACAAAGCGCACTCTCTCATCTTTTTTTGCGCTTTTGTTTTCTTGCTGAAAAATGCTGGAAATGTTATTTTTGTAACTAAATCGAATATGGAGAAGCCAGAGGAAGAAAAATTGAAGCTATTCCAAGTTGTTTCATGAAAAATGGTTGAGAATGAAATGAACAAGAGCTCTTCAAAAAATACCTTGTGCAAAAACATCATTTTTGACCCAGGAAAGCTGATAAAATCTAGTTTACTGCTTCCAAAACATTGAAATAGGACTCCTCGAGTATGTGGAATCAATAATAATTCAAAATTATGCCGTTTTTGTTATTTTCTTTTCCATCGAAATTCGCCCAAAATTGAACAAAAAACCAGATTTCAGAAGTTTATTTTGATCAAATGATTCTTAAAACACCTTGAAAGTATTCTAATTTACATATTTATCATGAAACAAGTGCCGAATCACATTTTTCCTTCATAAAATTTGAATTGTTTCTCTTCAAAAGATATTAACTAACTTATTTTGAATCCAATCTTCACATTTTTTATATCAAAACGTTCCTCTCATTATTCTCCAAAACATATAGCTCAGTTTGGGAGTTTTCATGCAAGTATAACTGAATTCTAATCGTTTCAAGAAAAAACCTAGTGTTAAATTTTCAAAAAAACGACAAACAGGCTTGTGCGCTCTACCGTACATGCACGAAAAATGCGCACAACTTTTCTCTGGCTACGCGTTGGGGGCACTGTGCTGACAAGTCTCTGAAAATCCCAAATTTCTTTCCACGTGGAAAATGTTATCAGAAATTCAAATTTTTCAATTTTAAAATTCCACAAGGCAAATTTGGATTCAAAAAATATCGTGAATTTTTCCAGGTAAAAAGTTTGATTTGCAAACTTCTAACCGAAATCGACGGCCGCGTCAACCGAATCAAACAAAACAATCAACATCCACGTGGCCAAGATTTCTACGAAGAATGGACAATGTTGACGTGGAATGTTTTGTGTATAACAAGTCGCCTGCAAAATTCGATAACCTCAACAATTGTCTCAAACGAGGATAAAATGATATATTCGCGATTGAATCAAGCGTTGGTTGAACTCGTCAATTATTCTCGTGATTTTCTGCCTTTCCCAAGTTCCGGCGATATTGATCCCGAATATTTGAGTCTGAAGGAGAAAATGAATCATACGATGATGAATTTGCATGGATTGTATCGACAAATGAATAGTGAATTGTATCAGACACCAGATGATGTTGAGGAATTTAGATTGCACTTGCAGGTGAATTTTTGGGAGGTTAAAACATGGAAAATGAGCCTGGGAGGTGGTTTTGAGGCTGAAAATCATGAAAATTTCCCCTCAAACCCTCAATTTCTTTTTCCAGCAATTTGGTGAACAATTGCTCATCCCATGTCTTGAACAATACAAAACATTTTGCAACAAAAATTGTCAAAACCTCTGGCATCAAGTTCGCTCAATTCAAATCGCCAAAATGCGCGAGCAAACATCGGAACCAACCACGGAAAATCCAAATCCGAACACTGAAATCGAGACGCTCGTCACATTCTATTCAAATATGATGTATGTTTTGGCTGTTTTGGGAGCTCGTCTTCAAGGATTTCGATATGATTTGACGGTGAATAAGAAGTTCTTCAATTTCGATCCGGTTTTACCACTCAGTGAAGCGGTTTTCGCTAGTTTGGAGCTGCTGATGAGCAATTGTGTTTTGGCGACTGAACCGAGCACTTCTGCTATTTTGGTTACCAATAATTTGTTCGCGTGAGTTTTTCGGGAAATCGTGAGCCCCTGGAGATTTTTAGAGCCAAAATTTATTATTTTTGAGTATTTTTGGAGCTTGGTAGCTTTTTGGGCCTAAAACCCAGATTTTGAGGATATTTGGACAATTTTGAGCCCAAATTCACCATATATCAAGCCACGCCCCCTTTTTGCGATTTTCGGCATGGTTTTGAAGTATTTTGAACCTAAATATGACTAGATTTAAGCCACGCCCCCTTTTTTCAATTTAGGGCGCATATTCTGAAACGTGAACGTACTTGGATTCAAAAACCATGCCGAAAACTTGCAAAAAAGGGGCGTGGCTTAATTTTGGCCAACAACTAGCCTTGTTGGGTATCAAAATGATCCATTTTCCATATGAATTTTGAACTTTCACCTCAAAATTTCAGAAAATCCCAATTTTCATGAAAAATAGGCTTTTGAGATATCAAAATGATCCAAAATTTCCCACCAAAAACCTAATTTTCATTGCAGAATGAATTGCGGAGCTCTGGCACGTGGAGTTGTTTTCAAAGATTTCGAAATTCAAGTGGTTTCCGAAGAAACTGCCGAACACATTCAATCGGACATGTCAAGACAACGACTCCTACAACATCCGGCTCCAATTGGTCTGGCTCCATCAGCTGCACTTTTGGCAATGAAACCGACGACTGGAACGAAGAGAAGTAATGCAGCTAGTAATGGAGGTGAGAAATTTGCTCATTTTTTAATTTTTTCATGAAAAATCTGATTTTTTGATACCAAACATGCCTAATTTTAACACCACGCCCATTTTTTTTGCAAAATAATGTTTTTGGAGCATTTTGATCCCAAATATGCAAAGAAAATCCCCCCTGAAAGGGGGCGTTACCTAATATATTTCATATTTGGCCTCTAAATGCTCCAAAAAGTGTGCCGCAAATTGCAAAAGTGGGCGTGGCCTCAACCCAGCCATATCTAGGCTCAAAATGTACCCCAAAAACCCGAATTTCACTCTGCAGATTCCGCCAACAATACGGCTCACAAAAAATCCGATGTGAACAGCAAAGAAAGTGTCATCATCTATCCGGTCTACAACTCGAAAAATCGATATTGGGCCGCAAATTATCCGCATCTATTGTGCACAACACGACAAAAAGGCCGACATTCGATGCAGAATTCGTTTCAGGTAGGCAAATTTTTTCGGGATTTTTGTAGAAATTTTTTGAAAATCTGAAGTTTTTCCACCATTTTTCATTAAATTCTGAAAAAAAACACGATTTTTACACCAAAAATTGAGCATTGCTCATGTTAGTGAAAAAATAAAAATTTTGCCACGTGGAAAAACTTCGTTTTCAAAAACATTTTTGAGCATTGCTCATATTAGGAAATCCGAAAAAAAAAACAATTTTTAAAAAAATATAAGCATTGATCATGTTATGGATCAATTTATGGGGTGAGTCATAAAAATAAATTTCGCGACATTTTTTGTCGCGAAATTGCAATTCGTGAAACGACACAAAATAAACACAAAAATAAATGGGGCTATTCATGTTATTTTTCAACGCTGAGAAAACGGGAGAAAAGCGGAGAAAACCTATTCAGGTAGGCTGAGAAAATACGAAAAAAGCGGAGAAAATGTATTTCCTCCGCATTTCTCCTGTTTTCTCAACATGCTGAGAAAATACATGAATAGCCCCAAAAGGAGAAATATTAAAGGGATACGTGATCGCTGCGAGACCCAACACACGAAAAAAGAATTTCCTCTTTTATTTTATTAATTTCGTGTCGTGTTCGCGAATTGCAATTTCGCGACAAAAAATGTCGCGAAATTCATTTTTTCTTCAGATGAATTGATCCATTAGGAAAATTTTGAAAAAAAACACAGATAGCTGGAAAATTTTTGAAAACTTAGTTTTGAGCATTGCTCATATTAATAAATCCCAAAATCTTCTAAAAATAACGACATTGCTCATGTTAACCAATATTTTTCCGCAGGATCTATCGCCGTCTTCACAAATCGACAAATCCTCCAACGGAAAACGTCCGATTTTTTATTTTCACATTCGAGCCACAATGTTTAGTCCATCGGGAAGATTCGCCACAGCTCACACACTTTCACTGCCTTTTACAATTGCGACACGAAGAAATCAGGTTAGATTTTCTGGGGAATTTCAAAACGCCGTGAGAAACGCGTTAAAATGAGCCTTAACATCATAGGGGTCTGAGAGTTGACTTTAATTATCTTATGAACTTTAAAAATTCATCTTACGAACCTTAAAATGACTTCAAACAGCTTAGGTACCCTGAAGTTGACCCCAACTTTAATTACCTTAGGAACCCTAAAATTTCCCTTATTTCAATTTATGTTTTCCCTATCATGTTTATGCTCATTTTAAAGCAAATTTCCCACGAATGTTACCCTAGTCACCTTAATTACCCTAATTTTTCCAGGATTGTCAAGTTCAACGAATGATGTCCTCCTACACGGCCACAATTTTCTGGCTTTATGGCTGTAATTCACAAGATGGACTTCTTCTACAATGGATTGATGGTGGAATGCATTGGGATCATTTTAAGCATCTTTTTAAGCAGCATTTTAAGGTAAGACTTTAAGGAACTTTACAAGATTAACCTGAGCAATCCCTATTTTCTAATGCTTGTTCAGTTGTTTAAAAAATTGGAAATTGCTCATGTTAGTCCCAAAATTATTTAATATTAGGATGATTTCTAGGCAGAATTTCGAATTAAACTAACCATATGAGCAATTCATATTTTTAAGCTAGTATTGCTCATGTTAAACCGTTTATCGATTTTTCTTAGGTCAACGCTGCTGTCCAACGAAGTCTGGTCGATGGAGATTTCGATCTTCTGAAGTACAAACTTCAATGTCCGGATTGTTGCTCAGGTCAAGATGGAGCACGTGTAAATGGAGCACAACGTGAGTTTGAAGCCACGCCCACAAAACCCTGCCGCACCCGTTTTTCTCTTGAAACTCTTGAAATTAGGCCACGCCCATTTTCTGCAACCCTCACGTTTTTTTCAGAAATTGTCACGTTCAAAAATGTGCTCTGTCCTCATTTGCGATATGAATGTGGAAGTACAAATGTTCGATTTTCGGTAAGTTTTTTTTAGCATTGCTCAGGTTAGAGCTGAGCAATGTTTTTAACAAGCTTTGAAAATAAAATTTCTCATATTAAAAAAATGTTGGAACTTTGATTAAAATCTTAACCTGAGCAATGCCTATTTTAACTGAAAAAATAAAATTGCTGAAAAAATAAAATTGCTGAAAAAATAAAATTGCTAATGTTAAAAGTCGAAAAAATAGTTCAAAAAAAAGAAAGTTGCACTGCTCAGATTAAAAACAATTCCCAAATTTAATTCCAGGTTTGGCGTGGAATGCTGGAATTGCTCCAAATTTTCCACGATTCTAGAAACAATGTTCGAAAATTGTGGGAAATGGGACTATTGATGGGATTCTTGGAGTTTGCCGAAGTCGATCAGATTTTGGAACAACACAAATCGGCGCTGATTATGCGGTTGAGTTTTGTCACCGGAGGTAAGGCTAAAATGAGCAATTTTGAGCGAAAATGCTCAAATTTGAGCAAAAATCACGATTTTTTGCACCCAATTCCACCCCAAACCCTCAATTTCTCTACAGGAACCATATGCTTCACTGTAAAATCCACCGCACATACTTTGGACGCAAAAGCCACGCGGCCAATTCATTTGGAACCTCTGGATCTGAAACGACTTCAGCAGAAATGTTTGAAAGATTATTTGCGAGATATTTCGGATGCGGAAAAGGTGAGTGGAGCATTTTTGAGCCCGAATTCACATTTTTTAGCCAAAAAACTTAATTTTTGAGTAAAATTTATGAATTTCAGCGATTTTCATCCTAAAAATCCCAAATTTTTCAGGTCAAATACATTTTAAATGCGCGCCAAGAAGTTGTTCGAATCAGTGACGTCATCGAACAACTCGGACCCGGAAGTCAACAAAATGAAATGACAGATAGTCGAGATATTTCGAGTAATATTACACATATGGGCGATATTGATACGATGCAACATATTAGGTACGGTATTTGGGGATTTTGGTCTAAAAATGGTGAAATTTGACCGATTTTGAGCATTTTCAGCCGAAATCTGAAAAACTTATGAAATTTTGGACTTGAAAACTTTTTGCCGTCAAAAATTGGCATAATTTTGAGCATTGTTATTGTATTTCACATAATATGAGCAATGTTGCAGATTCACCGCCATGCGAATTGCTGTTGTGACGTGTAAAGTCAAACCGCCATCAGCTGATCAGGACAATAATTTGGAAATTGAGAGACAGTGAGTTGCTATGACAGGCCTAACAAGCCTAAAAGGCTCAGGCTTTGTAAGATTAACCTTAAGGCCTTAGCCCAAGCCCAATTTTGCAGCTTCTCCAACTACGGTCGCCTCCAACCGATCTACGGAACCCGCGACGACGATTTTCTGCGCGAATTAGTCCAACTCGCAAATTCTTACGGTAAATCCAAACAGGATCTTTTTGAAAGCCTCGATTTCGTCCACGATCCCACATTTTCCACATCAAACGGTGGACCGATTCTACGAAAAGCCTCATCGATTTATGACTCGTCCGGGCCGTCGTCGATCACTGGACCTTCTGCACAACATCAGATGATTAGTCCACCACCGATTCCACCAAAGGTAGGGGGAATTTTGAGCTGATATACTGTAATTTTGAATCCCAAACACCAACCCCTTACAGTACCTTTTTTTCAGACATCTCCAACTCTTCCAACTTTTGCTCATCAGGCTGAAAATAATTTGTTTGAATTTTGAGTTTTTTTCTATTCAGCGGGTTTTTTGTTATGTTATTTTTGTATCATTTTTGAAAAAAAAAGTTATTTTTTATTATTTACATTTTTACAATTAATGGGAAATTTTTTCAAATTTTCATAATTTCAGCGATTTTTCGCAGAGCTGAAATTTTGTAGGAACCACCAAAATGCTGAAAATGATTGAGAAGATGATAGAGTTCGTAGAGGAGAAGGCGATTCTCGAAGCCCGGCTGAAAATGAGCAGAATTTGAAATTTTTCAGCTCAAAAATCTGAAATGTTGCTCATTTTCTCACCGCAAAATCGACCAACTCAAAATATTTCTGCCTGAATTCTCGACTAATTCCACCGAACAAACTCATAATTCCGAATTCGAATTCGGGATCGCTGAAACTCGAGGCTGGATCGAAAACCGCTGGCTCATTTTCGAACATTGCCCAATTTCCGCTCCACAAATCACCGTGCACCAAAGATGGTGTGATCTGCAGGCAAAAATGGTTGAAAAATTTGGGTTTGTCGTGAAATTTTGAGCAGAAAATTGAATTTTCAGTCAGAAATTAGTGAAATTTCAGATTTTTCTCAGCCTACCGTATTCCGACACTCCAACAATTTCCACGTTTTTTCCAACAACTCGTGCAATTGCGCTCCGTCGCAAACATTCTCCAATTTTGGCGCCAAACGATTTTTTGTGAAAAATTCGCGCCACGTGGAACACCACGCGTTTTCTTGCGCTAAACTTCCGCAACACGTTGCCACATGAAATCCAAATTGATTTTCCGGATTTTCTGGAGCAGAAAATTTGAAATTGTGCATTCTGAAAACGGAATTTTGAGCTATGACGTAGAAAAATTTGAAAATAATCTTTCCAGAATTTTATTAAACTTTCAAATTTCCTATTGACACTCGAAAGATGTTAAGAATAAGAATTACATACAAATTTATTAAAAATTTCGAGTTTTTTTAATCGAAAAATGACTCGTGGCAAAATCAGGAAGGCTTCCTAATTTTGCCATGGATGACGTCATCGATCAATTTTTCAAAAAAAAAAAACTTTTTAAATTATTTTTTTGTATTGAATGTACTCGGAAGATGTTGAGAATACGAATTACAAACAAATTTATTAAAAATTTCGAGTTATTTTATTGAAAAATTACTCGTGGCTAAATCAGGAAGGCTTCCTAATTTTGCCATGGATGACGTCATCAATCAATTTTTCAAAAAAAAAATTATTTAATATTTTTTTCGTATTAAATGTACTCGGAAGATGTTGAGAATACGAATTACAAACAAATTTATTAAAAATTTCGAGTTATTTTATTGAAAAATTACTCGTGGCTAAATCAGGAAGGCTTCCTAATTTTGCCATGGATGACGTCATCAATCAATTTTTCAAAAAAAAAATTATTTAATATTTTTTTCGTATTAAATGTACTCGGAAGATGTTAAGAATAAGAATTACAAACAAATTTATTAAAAATTTCGAGTTTTTTATCGAAAAATTACTCGTGGCAAAATCAGGAAGGCTTCCTAATTTTGCCATGGATGACGTCATCGATCAATTTTTCAAAAAAAAAATTATTTAATATTTTTTTCGTATTAAATGTACTCGGAAGATGTTAAGAATAAGAATTACAAACAAATTTATTAAAAATTTCGAGTTTTTTATCGAAAAATTACTCGTGGCTAAATCAGGAAGGCTTCCTAATTTTGCCATGGATGACGTCATCAATCAATTTTTCAAAAAAAAAATTATTTAATATTTTTTTCGTATTAAATGTACTCGGAAGATGTTAAGAATAAGAATTACAAACAAATTTATTAAAAATTTCGAGTTTTTTATCGAAAAATTACTCGTGGCAAAATCAGGAAGGCTTCCTAATCTTGCTATGGATGACGTCATCGATCAATTTTTCGAAAAAAAAACTTTTTAAATTATTTTTTCGTATTGAATATACTCGAAAGATGGTGAACACAAGAATTACAATCAAATTTATTAAAAATTTCGAGTTTTTTATCGAAAAATTACTCGTGGCTAAATCAGGAAGGCTTCCTAATTTTGCCATGGATGACGTCATCGATCAATTTTTGAAAAAAAAAACCTTTTTAAATAATTTTTTCGTATTGAATGTACTCGGAAGATGTTAAGAATACGAATTACAAACAAATTTATTAAAAATTTCGAGTTTTTTATCGAAAAATTACTCGTGGCAAAATCAGGAAGGCTTCCTAATTTTGCCATGGATGACGTCATAGATCAATTTTTCGAAAAAAAAAATTATTTAATATTTTTTTCGTATTAAATGTACTCGGAAGATGTTAAGAATACGAATTACAAACAAATTTATAGAAATTTTCAAGTTTTTTTATCGAAAAATGATTCGTGGCAAAATCAGGAAGGCTTCCTAATTTTGCCATGGATGACGTCATCGATCAATTTTTCAAAAAAAAAACTTTTTAAATTATATTTTCGTATTAAATGTACTCGGAAGATGTTAAGAATAAGAATTACAATCAAATTTATTAAAAAATTTCCAGTTTTTTTATTGAAAAATGACTCGTGGCAAAATCAGGAAGGCTTCCTAATTTTGCCATGGATGACGTCATCGATCAATTTTTCAAAAAAAATTATTTAATAATTTTTTCGTATTAAATGTACTCGGAAGATGTTAAGAATAAGAATTACAAACAAATTTATTAAAAATTTCGAGTTTTTTTATCGAAAAATTACTCGTGGCAAAATCAGGAAGGCTTCCTAATTTTGCCATGGATGACGTCATCGATCAATTTTTCAAAAAAAAAATTATTCAATATTTTTTTGAATTAAATGTACTCGGAAGATTACAGAAAAAATAGATAAAAAATTCGCCATTTCCAGACTGAAAGTGACGAAGATGAAGAAATTGGAGACGAAAAACCGACAGTTCCAAAACAATCGAGAAAAAGAGCTAAAATTGGAGCAGCTGCCAAAAAAGCCGATTCAACAATTCCAGACCAATTTGCAGATTTGGATAATTGGAAAATTCTCACAAAACTGCAAGAATAACTGTAGTTTTTGAATGTTGTTTTTAGGGTTTAAGGTTTACTGTAAATTTGATTATTTCAAACTGCAAAGATTACTGTATAAATAAAATTGACACATTTTCAAAAAACCATTAATTGAACGTGGTGTTCTAAACGTGACCCATTTTTCTGAAAAAAAACAAACAAAAAAAAAAGGTTTGTCGCCATTTTTCGAATTGAAAAAATGAGTAAATCAACGAGATTTTTATCTCAATTTCTAATTTTGCATTGCTTCGTCATTTTTAGTGTTGTTTCACAAGGTGAGTTTGAAAATTTGCGGTAATCAAAATAGAATCAATAATAGATTTCATTGAAAATTAGAAATTCAGGGTTTGACGAGTTGAAATGTTATGCTGGAGATTTACCAACTAAACCACCTTGCTCAAATTCGCAATACAAAACCAATTTTTCGAATTATGATGATTTTTGTTGTGGTAAGTCGAAACTTTTTTGATCATATCTGAACGTTTTCACATTTTTAAGATCTTGGTAAATTGAAATGTATCGATGGAAAATCGCCGACAAATTTGCCATGTGCACAAAATCAATATGAAGCGGAGTTTCATGAAAATACTACACTTTGTTGCGGTAAGTCGAAACTTTTTTGATCATATCTGAATGTTTTCACATTTTGAAGATCTTGGTAAATTGCAATGTATTGATGGAAAATCGCCGACAAATTTGCCATGTGCACAAAATCAATATGAAGCGGAGTTTCATGAAAATACTACACTTTGTTGCGGTAAGTCGAAACTTTTTTGATCATATCTGAACGTTATCACATTTTTAAGATCTTGGTAAATTGAAATGTATCGATGGAAAATCGCCGACAAATTTGCCGTGTGCACAAAATCAATATGAAGCGATGTTTCATGAAAATAAACTTTGTTGCGGTAAGTCGAAACTTTTTTGATCATATCTGAATGTTTTCACATTTTGAAGATCTTGGTAAATTGCAATGTATTGATGGAAAATCGCCGACAAATTTGCCGTGTGCACAAAATCAATATGAAGCGAAGTTTCTTGAAAATACACTTTGTTGCGGTAAGTCGAAACGTTTTTGATCATACCTGAACGTTATTATTGAATTAAAAACACGTGAGAAATAAAAAAGGAGGTCAAGTGACGTGGATTTAAAAACAATATAGGTAGCCATGTCGTCAATTGCGATGCGGTTCTGCGATGCGTGTTGACCTCGATGTTTTCCATTGGATTTTCCAAATTTTCATTTCTAAAAACGTGTCGCTCACACGCATCGCAACTAACGACATGGGTACCAATACTGTTTTTAAATCCACGTCACTTTACCTACTTTTTTATTTCTCACGTGTTTTTAATTCAATAATACCACATTTTGAAGATCTTGGTAAATTGCAATGTATTGATGGAAAATCGCCGACAAATATGCCGTGTGCACAAAATCAATATGAAGCGAAGTTTCATGAAAATAGACTTTGTTGCGGTAAGTCGAAACTTTTTTGATCATATCTGAACGTTATCACATTTTGAAGAGCTTGGTAAATTGCAATGTATTGATGGAAAATCGCCGACAAATATGCCGTGTGCACAAAATCAATATGAAGCGAAGTTTCATGAAAATAGACTTTGTTGCGGTAAGTCGAAACTTTTTGATCATATCTGAACGTTATCACATTTTGAAGAGCTTGGTAAATTGCAATGTATTGATGGAAAATCGCCGACAAATATGCCGTGTGCACAAAATCAATATGAAGCGATGTTTCATGAAAATAAACTTTGTTGCGGTAAGTCGAAACTTTTTTGATCATATCTGAACGTTATCACATTTTGAAGATCTTGATAAATTGCAATGTATTGATGGAAAATCGCCGACAAATTCGCCGTGTGCACAAAATCAATATGAAGCGATGTTTCATGAAAATAAACTTTGTTGCGGTAAACAAAATATAATGAAACCTATATAGATTTTATCGAATTTCAGGTCTTGATGGATTGAAATGTCATGGCGGAGCTACACCAACTAACAAACCATGCTCAAATTCACAATTTCAGGCGGTTTTTTCGAATCTTGGTCAATTTTGTTGTGGTGAGTCAAGATTTTTTTTAATTGCATCTAAAAATTATCTCATTTTCAAGATTTTGGCGAATTGAAATGCGATAATGGAACATCGCCAACCAATCCGCCATGCTCAAAAGATCAAAATCAAGTAAAGTTTAGTGAATATCAATTTTGCTGCGGTCAGTGAAACTTTTGAAAAAGAAACTTTAAAGAACTCGAGCTGAAAAGAATTCACGTTTTTTTCTTTATTTTAATAAAAACTAGTGGTTCCTGGGCGTGTTGTTCAAACTTATTCATTCACTACCCTTTCATAACAATCTATTCACTTAGCGCAAAATTGATAAAAATTAAATTTATTCAAACCAATTTTCATACTGTTTAGATATATGTTGGGCTTTCGGCCCGACAAACAGGAAAAAACAAAAAAAAAACACAAAATGAAAAAAAAACACACGCCACTTTATTGTTACCGTAGTCATCGCGACAAGAAAAAAGCGAACAATTGGCTGTCCCTTTATCCGACCAAACCACCCGGGTACCCGTTTTTGGTTTTCTTTTCTTTATGTAAAGAAGATTATTCGTGGCTAAATCAATTCTTGAACAATGCCAATGGCATCTGAAGAATCAGGTTTTTTCATTCATGGGTCACTCAGGATATTTTCTCGATTCTCTCTTTTTATTGAGCTCTTTTCATTCCATCTTCTTTTTTCTTTTTTGCCGCGTTGGAATGATCTAAAAATTGAAAAATTCATGAAATTCTGACCTGAGAATATTGCCAAAAATGTTCAAATTTAACATTTTCGCGCGAAATCCTCCCAGAATTTTATGAAATTTTCAAATTTCCCACCAAAAATGAGCTATGACGTGGCAAAAATGCACCAACCTTGCCAATTTTTCCGCCAATTTCGTCTCATTTCTCACTCGGCCACTATTTTCCATTTCCAAAAATTCGGTTACCAGCCCGTAATTTTTTGCGTCAAATTTTATGGTGCAAAAAGGGGCGGGGCATCGAATGGAGCCAGTTTGGCGAATGAATTTCAGCGATTCCAGTTCGCCTTCAGCGAGCTCGCGGGTCTGCAAAAATCTGAAATTGCTTATTTTCAGTCAAAAATGCACTGACTTAGATAAAAATTTCAAAATTTTAGATAAAAAATCTGAAATTTCACTGATTTTCGCCCAAAAATCAAAAATTACCTCACAAATCTTCACAAACATTTTTCCTCGATCAGTTTCAAAAATTATCGATTGATTCGTGCCCGCGCAACTTCCCACCTTCTTACAGTACTCCAGCTCCATCTCATTTTTCAGCACTTCTTCCATTTTGTCTAGAAATCACCGAAAATCTGGAATTTTTTGGGAAAATTCGATAAAAACGCGCAAAACGCATTGGAAAATGGGAAAAATCGATTAAAAATCTGATTTTTATTGGCACAAAGTTGAAAATTTAAAAAATACAAATAAAAAAGTTTACCCGGGGGCATGGAAATGTGGGCGTGGCTTGAAAATTAAAGATTTTCTGACTGAAGCTCTATTATGGCATGCAATAAATTAATTTTTGGAAAAAAAGTGGGAAAAGCTCTAAAAAGATCAAACTACAAATATATACAAGTCAAAAGATCAAACTACATTTTCTTAGTTCTCGGCGATTTCGAGTGCAATTGCGCGAATATTTTTTCAAATCGATTTTGCGGGAACACATTGCACAACACGCGCTCCAATAACACATATAAAAGGCGCCGATTCAGATTTCGATTTTGGAATGCTTCAGTGATCAAATCGATTCCCTGATATGTTGGATCGGAGCCAAGAATCATTCTCAATTCATCGGGCAACGTTGAGAGCATCAACGTTTTGGCCAAAATTCGACAGCGGTGATGAAAACTGGCGGGTTTTGGGGGGATTTCGGGGGCCAATTGACCAGATGGCCACATTGAATCTCTGAAAGGAGAAAATGTTGCTTTTGGCTGGAAAATTGCATTTGACACGTGGAATTTTCAGGCTGGATTTTGCCACGTGCAAATGTTGAGTTTTGAGCCAGAAACATACCACGCCCAGGGTGAGGCATTTGCACGGCGCCAATGAAAAAATACGGAAATTCACGTCGCCAATTTAAGATTTTCTTGAAAAACAGCAAATTTTTTGCTTGTTTTTCCGTTAAAAAGTCGTATTTTTCAGTCAAAAAGGTTGTTTTCACCTCGCCAAAAATTTTCAAAACCCACACCGCCAATTTTAAAAGTTAATTTGCACGAAGCTGGGCGTGGTATGGCCAGAAAATTGAATTTTTGACTGAAAATGATCAGAATGATCAGAATTTCATGAAAAATCCAAAATTTCCCGCCAAAAATGCTTACCTAAACGCATTCAAATATCCAGTAACTTGTTGTTCCGAAGTTAGCCAATTAACAACATCAATTATTCGATTATTGATTGAGGTTCCAAATGGTGTGACAAATTGGCGAATGACAATTACCTGAAGGAAAAAATTTCAGATTTTTGCGCGAAAAGTGTCAATTTTCTCACCATTTGTCGTCGAAACCAAGCATTTCTCGATTTTCCACCAAAAACCTCGTCGACAAAAAGAAGAAGAACACGGAAGGGAATATTTTCAGAGTCCTGGAAAAAAATGGGGGGTTTTTGGGGCCAACAAAAAATTGACGATAAGTTCCCCTGCGCGGGATCTCAAAATCTTTCACCAAAAAAACCAACCGTATCCGGTAAACTGGCAGCAACTCGATCAGTCTCCGCATTTCTCAACTGTCCACTCGAATTTCCGCCTCCACCAATAATTTTGGCCGCATTTCCAATTCCAGCTCCAACTTTGCTAACACCTCCATAAACCTGATCAGGAACTGCCATCACCGTACTTCCCACAGCTTTCACACCCAATTTCACAGGGTCAAATATGGCTGACATCATTTTCTTGGTCAGCGGTTCGCCTTTGGTTCCCGTATATTCTTTTTGTGACAAAAAATCGTAGATAACTTTTTCGAGTTCCGGATAATTTCTCAAAAATCCGGGCTGCAGAACACAATCCAGATATTGATTTAGGGCTCGCGTACGTTTTTCGAGAAAATGTTGATCGAGGTTGTTGAAGGTTTTTTTGCCGGGAAATGAGAGAGAAGCCAGTTTGGGATACTGCAATTAATTTTTGAATGATAGTTAGGCTAAATTCAGGTGTGTTTGGTTTTTCCGATTATTTTGATATCAAATGTGACCTAGAAAACCAATTTTACCGATTTTTGGTACAAAACATGGCCTAGTTTTGGTTTTCTAGGCCATCCTAACCATTTTGAAACCGAATATGGTCTAGAAATCGTAAAAATTGAATTTCTAGGCCATATCCAATATCAAAATGATCTGTTGGCCTAAAAATCAAGAAAATTGGTTTTCTAGGCCATGTTCACAGCAATTTTTTTTCTACGTGACCTCAAATAAAAAAATCATTGCAGAATGTGTTTTTCACGCGGCACACACATCTGGGCGGTGCCTAATAAAATCCTGTTTTTACTCGTTTTTTTGAGGATTTGAACCCGAATTTCAGGGAAAAGTTGATTTTTCACTATCAGAATCGAGCAAAGAAGGGTTGAGGGAGGTCCGGAAGACAGAAAATTGCTTATAAATCTTCTAATTCCGCTCAAAATGACGTTTCTCCATATTTTTCTCGATTTTCCCAGGAAAGACAATAAACTTTTGATTCAAAAAACTATTACTACTTGAAAAATTATCAACTACTTCTAAAAATGTAGTTTGAGCATGTTTCCTTCGGTTTCGGCTTCAAAAACACATTTTTTGTGAAAAAAAACACAAAAAAAAAAAATTTTTTTGCGAAAATACTGTAGCGACACGTGAAATTGTGCAATGAGAAAATGCGTAGTGAAAAATTTGCTGTGATGTTTAGTATCAAAATGATCAGAATAACCTTACCTTTTGCGTCAACACCGAATGCAGCGTATGAAAATCGGAATATCGTCGCAAAACATTCCAACCACTGATTTTCTGTCCGTTGACAGTTCGATTGACTCGAACATTGTACAATGCAAACGACGTTTTTCCTTGCTGTCCAATTCCGAGAGTTTCGACTGTGGCAGTCATTACAGGCTCGTCGGCTAATGGCGAAGAAATTGGGGGCAAATCATCGAGGGAAGGCTGGAAAAATGCAATTTTTGGTTAAAATTGAGCTGAAAATCATGAATTTTTGATAAGTTTGTGTAAAATCCATCAAAATCCCGTGAAAATTCAGTTTTTTCAATAGAACATTGGTTTTCTAGGCCATGAAATAGAGAAACTAGTCCGCGGCCTAGAAATCCAAGTTTTTGCGGGGCTTTTTGGTATCAAATTGATCAGGGTGGCCTAGAAATTCGAATTATCAGTTTTCTAGGCCAAAATTTAGTATCAAAAATTAGGCCACGGCCTAGAAAACCAAAACTATGTCATATTTCATATCAAATTAATCAGGACGACCTAGAAATCATGAATTTCGGTTTTCTACGCCATATTTGGTATCAAAATGCACAATTTTTCAGGAAAAAATCGAAAAATCTCACCTTTCTCTCCTCTCTCGGCTCCAAATTCGACGAATTCATCGATCCAACACTACTAGCCACTTCAAAATCCTCCGAAATCGGCGTTTCACTTCGTTCCTCCTCAATAATCCCCAACTCTTGCAACATTCTCAAGTAGTGTGCCGATTTTTTGAAGGCCGGGTAAAAATGATCGTCAGCCGTGAGGACTTCCACAATTTTCTCCTGAATTTGCTCGAACCAAACATCACTTGGCTCATCGTTTCTGAGTCGAGACAGGAATTTTGCCACGTATTTTTCATCGAGGGGAACGCGAGTTATGGCTTCTTCTGATAAATATTGTTGATACATGAAATGGGCGGCTTCTTTTATTGTTTCATAGGCATCACGGTCTACTAGTTCACCATTTGCCAGCGTTCGCATTTGGTGCTCCACTGAGACTTTGAAGCCCTGAAAAAAATTTAGATTAGAAATTTTGCGATAAATTCAGTTTTTTCTAATTTCCCGCCAAAAAACCCTCTGACCAACCTCAATCGCCAAATAACAATCAATATAATTTTGTCCGCCGACCGACTTCAGAAAATCGATAAAATACGAGACACCGATGGAATTCGTCAAAACCACGTGGATTGGAAGTTGCACCAGTTGATCGTTGTCTTCGTTGAGGCGGGACTGGAAAATGTTTGGTTTTTTAGGCCGCGGCCGAGTTTTTTGATGGTTTTGATACCGAATATGGCCTAGAAAACCAATTTTTAGAAGTTCTAGGCCATCAAAATGATCAGGATGACCGTAAAAATAGATTTCTAGGTCAAATTTTGTTTCAAAACTACCTATATTTGGTTTTCTAGGCCAGCCTGAACAATTTGAGCCTGAATATGGCCTAGAAAATTTTTACATTTTCTAGGCCATATTTTATACCAAAATGATCAGGATGGCCAGGAAATCGTAAAAATAGATTTTCTAGACCATATTTGATATCAAACCGCTCCAAATCTCACCCCAAAACTCTTCGAATCCATTCCACCATTGGTCAACACCGCCATTTTCCTCTTTATCAAATTCTCAACAAACTGCAAACTCGCCAATTGTTGCCTTACAAAAGTGTCTTCAGCACCGCCCGAATCCTTGCCACGCATCACTGTTTTTTCGTCCAAAATGCTCTGGAAAATCGCCTCGAGCTCCTCGACACTTGTACTGTTTTCTAGGCACAGGATGAAGTCTTCGGGTTTTGGCTCGACTTCGGAGAACTGCAAAAAAGTTGATTTTGGCGGAAAATGAGTCGAAATTTTGGGTTTTTCATGAAAGATTGCTTGAAAAATTACCAATTTCCGTAAAAACTCGAATGAACTTTTCAAAATTTTGGATTTCAGCTTGAAATTTTCAGCCAAAAATCCACGTTGATCTTTTTAAATTTTAATTTTAGATCTTGAGGTTAAGCTCAACTAAGAAATTCTATGAAATTCAGATTTTCAGCCCTAAATCTCACCAGCTTCCCCAGAAAATCTTACCAGCCAAACAATCAACTGAAAAATCTCATTCGGATCGCTCAAATAATCCAAAGTTGGCAACAAAACTTTGCCCACCACAACTTCGCGCAGCAAAAATCGAAGAGGTCTGCATCGAAAATCTTCAGGTGGCATAATCAGATACAAAATGATGTCTACAAGATCGTGTAAGTAGGCATTTTCATAGTGTGGAGTTGTGCTAAGTAGATCTCGACATAATGTTTTTTCCATCTCAAGTTCAAAATCGAAAAAATTTGATAGAAGTTCCTCATTTCCTTTTTTCTCTTTTTCCTGTGAAAGTTTCTCAGTTTTCTCTTTGGCTTTTCGATACAATCTCAAATGCGATGCAAAATCATCAACCACGTCATGAGTCAAAAGTGGAACCCAATCAACTTGTCTCAAACACTGCACTAAACTCGCAATACTTCTTCTTGAAGTTCTCTTCAAACTTTTCTCAAAAATCGCATCATTTGTGATATTTTTGTACCAACTTCCAATATAATCTCGTGTTATATAACCCAACATTTGCTCCAAAACTTGATCAAGAACTGGGCTATTTGCCATTGAATGCAGTTCTTCGGTATATTGATTCATCTCGTTTAGCCGATCTTTGTTTTTTAGCAATTGTTCGATGCCTGATTGAAATTTGGCAGTGGCTAGCACTTCTTTCAGTTTTTTCTCCAAGTTTTTGGCTTCATTTTGACCGTGTGAATAGGCTACGTAAAGCGCGCTGAAATTTTCTACATTTTCCATGTAAATATAACATTCTTACCCAAGGAGAAATAGAATTATCGAAGCTGGAAAAACTATAAGTCCTGTCACTCCGAAAGTCGCAAGGAATAGCAGAAATCCTAGGAGAATATAGTGCCACATGACGTCCTTTCAATTATCAAACATTTTTTCTGTGCTGAAAATTGATATTTTAGCTGAAATTAGAGGTTTTCCCAAAAGTGCAAAAAAAAAAATAAAAATATTGTTTCGATAAACAAGCATGTGCGCTCTGTTGCACAGCACGCGACGCATAAGCGGCGCGTTTGAAAAAAATATTTTCGAAAATTCATTTTTTGTTTTCAGCGTTTTTTGGGTTTTGGCTTGTTTTCGAGGGTTTTTGGAGGATTTATCGTGTTTTGAAAGTTGAGAATTATCGGATTTCATGTGGGAAAACCTAGAAATCCAGAAAATTTCCAATTTTTTGAGCGAAAATAGGCATTTTTCAAAATTTTGTGAAAAATGTGTTCTCTAGTTGGTTTGGACGCGCTGGTCACGATCACGTTGTCAAAAATTGCTTAACACAACTCTGAATGTGATTAATTTTTGTAAGTGGCGAAATTTGAGAATTTATTACTTAAATTACGTTGAAAAAGGTTTTCAGGAAATATTCTGGGGCATTTCAGCCTCTTTAAAATTCAGGAAATGTTTTTACTGATGAATTAATTTTAAAAAACTAGATCACGTTTACGTACTTACTTAATTCGAAAAATTCAAGAATTTTTTGCCACGTCATAAATCACATTCAGAGTTGAGCTGAGCTATTTTTAACAACTCTAACACAGAAACCTCGAAAAATTGTAGAAATAGAGCTTTCTAGGTTTCTTTTTATAAAATTTATCAACTTTTAAATCACAAAAGGTTAGGAGCTCAAACATTTCTATTTTTCCAGACAAAAATGACATCAGTCGGAGTTCCAATCAAAATCCTCCACGAAGCTGAAGGACACGTTGTCACACTTGAAACAGTCACCGGCGAAGTGTATCGAGGAAAATTGATCGAAGCCGAAGACAATATGAATTGCCAAGTCGCCGATGCCATCGTCACATTCCGCGACGGACGAACCCATCAATTGGACAATGTTTTTGTGCGCGGCAACAAGATTCGCTTTATGATTTTACCCGATATGCTCAAAAATGCGCCAATGTTCAAGAATATTGGAAGAGCACAAAAGGGAGCTGTTGGTATGGGTTTGGGAGGAATCGAGAATCCGAGAGGAGGACGAGGTGGACGTGGAACTGCTTTCAGAAGGTAATTTGTATAGGCATTCTCGACTTGCGGTTTTGGATGAAATATATATTTTCTAGTAATTTTTGACCAGCTAATCACGATCCTGTTGTCACAAACTGCAAAGTTCAGCTTCGACTATGAATTATGACGTGGAAAAGTTGAAGAATTTCGAAAATTGTGATTTCATGACTATCTTCAAAGCATAAAGTTGTTCAGGAGCGTTGATTGCATAAGTGCAGAAGATCTATTCTCAGAACAATACTATTCTATCAGATTTCATGAAGACTTTGTGATATCACGATTTTTCGATATTTTCCAGCTTTGCCACGTCATAACTTATATCAGGAGTTGAGCTAAGTGATGTTTGATAACAGGAATAAGATTAGCAGATAAAAATTAGTAGAAAATTCATTTTCTATTTAAAATCTCTACTGCAAGTTCTCAGAAATATTATGAGCTCAAACATTTGAAAATTAATTTTAAGCTGATCATTTTTTTCATCTCAATTTTTAATTCTAAAAGTTCCTATATCTTTCAAAAGTTAACTCAACTCTCAAACCCCGAATATAATTTCAGGCCAACAGGACGTGGAGGACCAGGCGGCTTCGGTGGACCACGCGGAATGTCCCGCCCAGGCGGAGCTCCACCAGCTTTCCGCGGCTAAATTATTGATTATTTTCGCCCTTCCTTATTATTATGTGTAACTTTTTCCATTTCTTTTTTGTGTCCCTCCCGAAGAATTTTTATCGGATCTCTTGACATTTTGGTTACTTTTTCTTGTTTTTTTCGCTCTGTTTTCTGTGTAAAAACTAGGGAGAAACCTGTTTTACATACATAAATTATAAGATATTATCCGATTTTCTCCGAATTTTTTATTTTATGCACCATTCCACCTTTGGAACTCTGATTTTTTCGATTTTCTGGTTTTTGCATCTGAGAAAATCGCATGATCGAGCATTTTCGAACTTGGATCGAAGTTTTTTGATGTCGAGGGCTGATCTTTGTGTTCTTCGAAATTTGGAGCGAAATCGCCGGGATTTTGAAGTGGTTTTGCCGATTTTGGTGGAAAAATGTGCGCTGAGCGAATATTTCAAACTTGAAAAATATGGAGAGGTTTTTACGGCTTTTCCTGTTTTTAAGGTGATTTTTTAAGCAAAATTTTAAATTCAAAAGTTTACGCCAAAAAGCTTTTTTAAAAAAGTACAACTGAATTTTCAACGCCAAATTTTATTATTCAAATTTTTCACGTAGTTTTTTTTTCCACCAAATGTTTTTCGAAAATAAAACAATTCAAAAAATTTTCAAAAATGCCGAAGCCGCTGGAACCAAGATCAACAACATCAAAATTAAGCTAATCGCTGCAGCAGCTGGTGGTAGGAAAATGTCGCGTGAAATTGTCGAAGAATGAAATGGTCAACCAAAATAAAATATAGGGAAAGAATAAAGATTTTTGCATTAAAAAAAAAAACTTAAATTTTTGGATTTGAATTTGCCACGTGTTTTCTCCCGCGAAAACCCCCGAATTCAAAATTTCCAGACACATCTCCAACAATGCACAAAATACATTTTCATCGGCTCAAAAACTTCTTTGCTCGAATCCACAAAATCTGAAATTCTCGCCTCAAACGAGTTTCGCTATATTGGATGTGAAGCTGAAATTCATGAATATTACCAAAATTTTTCGAAAAAATCTCGAAATTTCGAGATTTTTGAACATTTGCTGATTTTCGATAAGATGTCTGAATTTCCAGAAGAAATTCTGGAACAAAATGAATTCCTGGCTTGTCAGGTGACTTTTAGAATTTCAGCTGACAAAAATCTGTTCTTAAAAATTTTGGAATCTGAAAATTATACAATTATGAGTGTTTTGAAGTTTGAAACTTATACACAGTAAGTTTGAATTTCGAACAAAAAATTCAGGAACAATCATCACATTTAGGGTCTACTTATTCGCCAGCTCAAATTATCACTGTATGATGCGATATTTTTAAAGGATCGTAAAATTTATAAATTAGAACGAAGAATAAAACATTTGATTATTTAATTGAGAGATCATCTAACAAGAACAATTTATTAGAACTTGAAAGTATTTTTGTTCGAATATCGAACCAATAATTTTGGTGTTGGTGGTGTGAAGGGGGTGAAAAACGGGAAAAATATAACGGGGAGGCAAAAAAAGGGGATAAATAATAATATAATAAAGGGAGAGCAAAAACGAGGAGATCTCAAAACAAGTCTTCTTTTGATTCTTCCAAAAATTAATCGACCTCTTCGATGGTTGGTCCTCCAGCTCCTCCGGCGGCTCCGGCTCCTGGGGCTCCAGTTGGTGGGGCACCTCCGGCTTGTTGGTACAATTTGGTGATGATTGGGTTGCAGATGGATTCGAGTTCCTTTTGTTGGTGCTCGAATTCGTCCTTTTCGGCGGTTTGGTTGCTGTCGAGCCATTTGAGAACTTCGTCGCATTTGGTTTCGATCTTGTTCTTGTCTTCAGCGGAAAGCTTGTCCTTGAGCTGAAAAATATTCGAATTAGGTTTAGAATTTTGAAGAAAATACATTTTTTCTTGAAAATTTTCGAATTCCTAAAAAAATGAGGAAAAAAACCAACCTTCTCGTCTTCGACGGTTTGCTTGATGTTGAAGGCGTAGCTTTCCAAAGAATTCTTGGCAGCAACACGGTCCTTTTGGAGTTCATCATCGGCCTTGTATTTCTCGGCTTCGGCAACCATCTTTTCGATGTCGTCCTTCGACAAACGTCCCTTGTCGTTGGTGATGGTGATCTTGTTTTGTTTTCCGGTCGATTTGTCGGTAGCGGAGACGTTCAAGATTCCGTTGGCGTCAATATCGAAGGTAACCTGGAAAAAATAATTATTTAGTAAACTTTTGAAGAATTTTTTCGAATCTTACCTCGATTTGTGGAACTCCTCTTGGTGCTGGTGGGATTCCGGAAAGTTCGAATTTTCCGAGAAGGTTGTTGTCCTTGGTCATGGCACGTTCTCCTTCATAAACTTGGATCAAGACTCCTGGTTGGTTGTCGGAGTAGGTAGTGAAGGTTTGAGCTGTCTTGGTTGGGATGGTGGTGTTTCTCTTGATCAAGGCAGTCATGACACCTCCAGCGGTCTCGATACCGAGGGAAAGTGGAGCGACGTCGAGGAGCAACAAGTCTTGGACGGCTTCGGATTTGTCTCCGGAGAGAATGGCGGCTTGAACAGCGGCTCCGTAGGCAACAGCCTCATCAGGGTTGATGGATTTGTTGAGTTCTTTGCCGGAGAACAAGTCGGACAACAATTTTTGGACTTTTGGAATACGGGTGGATCCTCCGACCAAAACGATGTCGTGAACTTGGCTCTTGTCCATCTTGGCGTCACGGAGTGATTTCTCGACTGGGTCCATGGTGGATCTGAAGAGATCAGCGCAGAGTTCTTCGAAACGAGCACGAGTGATGTTGGTGTAGAAGTCGATTCCTTCGAAGAGTGAGTCGATTTCGATGGAAGCTTGGGATGAGGAAGAGAGGGTTCTCTTTGCTCTTTCGCAAGCGGTACGAAGACGACGGAGAGCACGTGGGTTGGAAGCCAAGTCCTTCTTGTGCTTTCTCTTGAATTCGGCAACGAAGTGGTTGACCATTCTGTTGTCGAAATCTTCTCCTCCAAGATGGGTGTCTCCAGCAGTCGATTTGACTTCGAAGATTCCGTCTTCGATGGTCAAGATGGAAACATCGAAGGTACCACCTCCAAGATCGAAGATAAGAACGTTGCGTTCTCCAGCTCCCTTCTTGTCCAAACCGTAAGCGATAGCAGCGGCGGTTGGTTCGTTGATGATACGGAGGACGTTGAGTCCAGAGATAGCTCCGGCATCCTTGGTGGCTTGACGTTGAGAGTCGTTGAAGTAGGCTGGGACAGTGACAACAGCGTCCTGAAAAAATAATTTGTTTATTTATTTTTTCCTCATGGAATATTCCTGCAAACTTGCTGGAATATCAAGTTTCAAAACTAACCTTGACGGTGCTTCCGAGGAAAGCTTCAGCGGTCTCCTTCATCTTCAACAAAACCATCGATGAGATTTCTTCTGGTGTGAAGATCTTGGATTCTCCCTTGTAGTCGACTTGAACTTTTGGCTTAGCTCCTTCGGCTGAGATGACCTTGAATGGCCAATGTTTCATGTCCGATTGAACTGCTGGGTCGTCGAATTTACGTCCGATGAGACGTTTGGCGTCGAAGACTGTGTTGTGTGGGTTCATGGCGACTTGGTTCTTGGCGGCATCTCCGATGAGACGTTCGGTGTCGGTGAAGGCAACGTATGATGGAGTTGTGCGGTTTCCTTGGTCGTTGGCGATGATTTCGACCTTTCCGTGCATGAATACTCCGACACAGGAGTATGTTGTTCCCAAATCAATACCGACGGCGTTAACTTTAGCCATTTTGAATATTTACTGAAAAAAAAAACAGAAAAATTAGGTGTGGAAGAGAAAGGAGAGAAAGAAAGAAAATACAAAAATTAGCTTAAAAATTAAAAAATTGGTTAATTTACAGCCTTCTTCCATGTATTACAAGCCTAGAAACTCAGAAAGTAACAGGAAAAAATATGAATTTAAATACGAGAAAATTCTATTTTTGGGCCTAAAAATTTTCCCAACGAAAAAAACGGCCTAAAAAAGCCTGCTCACAGTCTCAATCTGCAACCCTAGGAAGTCTGAAATTATCTGAAAATGTCCCAAAAAATCTGAAAACCCCAAAAATAGCGCAGCGATTTTAGGCACACACCCGAAAAAGCCAATAGGAAAAATTCAGAAAACGAAAAATTCAAAGGCAGAAAAGCCTCCGCCATCGAATGTTCGCGAGAAAAGGGGGAGGAGAGAGCGCACACACTCGGTTTTTCCCGCTTTTCTGACGGTTCCCCATGTTTATATATAACATTTGATAGGGTTCCAGAAAGAGGAGAAGGCGCTGGAAATACTGATATGGTTTTTGATAAACAAATTGCTGCTTCGAGAGAATTCGATTTGGGTTTCGAAACTGGCGGTGATTCGAATTTTCGCGAAGGTTTCTTTTGTGCGTCACCTTCTCGAAAACCAAGTACACAGTGATAACATTTCGAAATTCACACTCATAATGCCTAATTAAGAGACATATACTTATTCTAACTTGAAATTTCAGTTTTAAAACTAGAAAGTTCAAAGTACACACAAACACACATTTTTCTAACCGTCTCGCACTCTCTCTTGTTTTTTTTTTCTTGCGCGGTGTTTGTTTGTGACAAGCCTGCCCCTCCCTTTAATAAGGAGCGAGTTTAAAATTAGCAGCACCTGGCTGGCCGGTTTTACCCTAACATGACAAGAAGAAGGTGCAATTTTAGGATTAGAGCATTTTTGTTGCGAGCGAAAAACAAGAAAACGTGGGTCAGCTGTTTTTTTGTCCTTTCATGAGTGAAAAAAATGCGTTGGTCATCTCATTTCTAGATAAAATAAATCGAATAGGAAAAATGGAAAAATATCAATTTAGTAGCAAATTTGTGGGCGAGACGAGTACCGATTGGACCTATGTTTCCGAATGTGAGTTATGACGTGGCAAACAGTTCTTATAGGGGTTTACATAGAATTTGAGCTAGGAAGTTAGTTTTTTTGAGAGATTTCAAAAAAAAAACCTGAAATTAATTTCAGACCTCTTTTCGATTCTCGCAATTTGCATGGCATTTCTCATAGTTTATTTAAACTACAAAGATTCGGGTGAACTCTCATCAAAACGTTATAAAAATACAAAATTTGTTGTTTGGCATCTGGAAGAGGAGATAAGAAAAGCGAGGGAAAAGAAGAATTTGCGACGAATGGACAGAAAAAAAGGACGAAGAGATGCGACTGATAATTCGCATAGAAAATCGAGAAGAAGTAAAGAGAAAGCATAAATCTAGTAGTGTGATAAATGTTTTGATCCAGATCATTTTGATACTGTAACTGGGTATTGTAGAGAATTTCAAGGCTTGAATATCTTGGGCTACTGTAGGTACAGTACTTTTTCAAAAGTTTTAAAATGAATCAAAGTCCGAAAAAATCAAAATTTTCAAGTTCTCACAATAAAATCTCAGAAAATGCAAATTTTTGTGGTATAAAATAGTATTTTTCAGAGAACTTCAGAGAAAAATGCTGGAAATTCTGATATTTACCCTAACTATCCTGAATTCAATTTTTGCTGTTGAAAACCCAGGATTCTCAGCCAAAAGCAAAGACGCAATTGTCTCGCTTCACAACGATTTTCGAAGCAAATGTGCTCGTGGAGTTTTGCTCGACAAAAACGGTCAAAAAATCGGGCCAGCCAAAAATATGCGAAAACTCTATTGGTCAAATGTGCTCGAAAAATCAGCGCAAAATTTCGCACAACTTCATCCAAATGGCCCAAATTTGGAATATTTCGGCAATCTTACAGTGAATATCGATTATTTTGAGACAACTCAAAGAATTTCAAATTGTCAAGAAATCGCGCTGAAAGCGGGCCTTAATTGGAGGGACCGAATAGGCAGTGCCACGTGGAAAGGCCCAGTTATAACTAGAGAATATTTGGAGGAAATGGATGAATCTTTGAGAATGTTATGGGCTGAAACAACTGAAATTGGATGTGGACTGAGTTCGAAAATTCGGCCTGGAAAGCCTAGTGAAATTTATGTTGTTTGTATTTATCATCCGGGTGGTTTGGATGTGGGAGCTGAGATTTTCAAAAGTGGAAAAACTTGTTCTGGTTGCCCAGCGAATACTAAATGTGAAGAGAATACTGGACTTTGTATTTGATTGTGAGGTTGAATAAAGTTTCTTGTAGAGCATTTCAAGGCGCATATTTTGATACCTAAAATTGATAAGTTTGGGTTGGGTTACTGTAGGTACAGTAATCCTGGTATGAAGAAGTGTAATTTTCTCAATTTTCGCAATTCAAAAATTTTAAAACACAGTGTTCCTCGCATTTATGAGAAATTACTTTTTTCCAAATTTCAGATTGAAAATTATAGCTACAGTACTTTTTGCAGCTCGAAAATATATTTAAAAAGTTCAAAAAAAATATAAAAAGCTACAGTATTCTTTGGAGTTCGAGAAATCACCGATATTCAGAAAAATTTTTAACTACAGTAATCCTTGCAGTTCTGAATTCGTTTTGATTTTAGATTGAACATTGAATCTACAGTATTCCTTGCAGTTCTGGATAATTGATTTTTAGACTGAAATTTAGAAGCTACAGTACTCCTTTGCAGTTCGAAAATACATTGAAAAAATTATTTTTGAAGTCGGTATTACTGTACCTACCTGTAATTTTCCCACAAAAAAAACAATAACCTTCCCATTTCCCACAGTAAATTTTCAGAAAATGCAAATTTGTGGACTATAAAACGACTTTGAGCAGAGCAAAAATAAAATAAAATATGACATTGCTCAGATTAATCCTGATTTTGAGCTCTCTGAGCCAATGCTACGCCCAACTGACACCAAAAATGAAAGAGCAAATAATGGCGGTGCACAATGATATGCGAAGCAAATGTGCTCGCGGAGTTTTGGCAGGTCGAAATGGCGAGCAAATTGGTCCAGCCGCGAATATGTGGCATATGCGATTCAATGAGAATTTGGCGAAATTAGCGCAAGCCTACACCAACACTTTTCCGACTGCTCACAAGTTGAAATACACTACGAAACAGCAATCGGATAATTATTATTATTACGCTTCGCCCAAAAAAATTGATCCTACTAAAGCTATTCTAGAAGGTTTGTGGAGCGATGCGGAAGCCACGTGGATTTCTTTGATTTTCCAAATTTTTTTTGGAAACTTTTTTTCAACTTTTCAAACTCAAAAAATTTGCAGGCTTGGCAATTTGGAGTGGACATGTCACCCAGAACTCATGGGATGGAAATGTGTTGACACAAACTCATTTGGCGCGTAAAATGGCGGATTCTGTGCGAATGCTTTGGGCCGAAACTGGATCTGTTGGATGTGGATTGACACAAAGATCGAGACCTGGAAAATCTAATGAACTATTTTTTGTGTGCTTTTATGGGAATGCGATGGATGTTGGAAAGGAGATTTATAAAAAGGGTCCGACATGTTCTGCTTGTGCAAAAGGGGCGAAATGTGAAAAATCGACTGGACTTTGTAAGGGAAATTGGAGATAATTGATTCACTTTTTATATTCATAAATGATTCGGGAAGCAGGAATATAAACTAGGTTTTGGAGAGAAATTCAAGGCGCACATTTTGATAGTCTAACTTGATTCATTTGGTCTACTGTAGGTACAGTAATCCTGGTCTGAAAAATATAAGTCTGGTGGAGTTGAAAATTATTCTGAACTACAGTAACTTTTGCAGTTCTGAATAAGTGTTGTTTTCAAGTTTAAGATTAAAAATTGAAGACACAGTACTCCTTGTAGTTCGAAAATATATCGAAAAGTTCTAAAAATTAGAAAACTACAGTATTCTTTGCAGTTCGGAAATTGAGTTTTGCACGGAAAATTCACTATAATTATGAAAAAAAAGATACCGTAGTTGTTCTCGAAAAAAAATAATTATATAGAATTATTTTTTCTCACCCAATCTCAGTTCAACTCAAAACTTTGATGAAAAGTTTTTTAATCTGAATTTTTAGCTTTTTTAAGATAAACACTATCGGTATTTTCTAAGATGAGCAATGAAGGGTTTTTCCAATAATTTTGAAAAAACATTTTTACTTCTCTAATATGAGCAATGCCTCCGCAAGCTTCCGCAAACGCTGAAAAATAACATTTTTTCAGAAACAAAAATGGATTACGATACTCTAATGATAATAATATTTATTCCACTAACATGTCTGATTTACGGTATATTTGTGCTTCACATAATGCTCTACCGGAAATATAAGCAACATTTGGCTCGCCTGAAAATTGCTGGATTCCAAAAAACATTGCTCATATTTACCGCAATTTTTGCGTTACAAAGTTTGGCTGGACTGATTCTACGAGCTGTTTTGTTCTATCAAAATGCAACTCGTGCCAAAAATGAGCGTCAAAGTGCTGCGAAGAGTTTTATGATCGTTGCCATAACTTTTATAAATTATCATCTGACGGAAACTTTCGGAGCATTTTCCAAATTGTCTGTGGCTCTTTTCTTGGGCCACTCTGTACTCTCCAGATATTTTTGGCGATTCGAAAAAACTCGCAGATTATTTTTCGTCCTCGAAAAAACTTTTTGGAAGTTTCTGGTTTGGCTCGCAGCAATTCTATTAACTCGCCCAGCTATTGCTCATTTTTGGGTGGTTACTGTACTTGTGAACATCATGGTTTTCGGCTATTTTTTGGTGGTTTATCTGAAATTACCGAATCAGCAAAAATGGGAAGAGTATAATATTATTGCGCAATTTATTTTGATCAGTGGCGGACTTGTTGTAAGTAGGGGTACTGTAGAATTTCGTGGCGGGACCCAACGATTTTGTTTTTGAAAATCCGTGTTTATTCGAACAACAAGGATTACTGTATCAAATTCAGTATATTTTTCAGTTCTGCGAAACGATGAATCACGGCGTGTTTGGGGGCCAATATTTCTGGTCCGTTTTTTTCACCACCGACATCCAATTCAATCTATTCATTCCCTTCTCATTCCTCATTTTGACTCGATTTTTGAAAATCGAAAATTTAGGGGAACCACAAATCGCCTACACTGTATTTCAGCCGAGAGAAGTTACCGAGTCAAGGATTACTGTGGATATCAAATGAGATAGGCTATTTTTTGATACTAAATTTGTTATATATTTGGATAAAGTATTTATTTCGTGAACTGCAAGGAGTACTGTAGCTCTAGTTTTCAATTAAAAAAAGAAAGAAAAAAAAAAGAAAACGTGACCTCATTGAATTAGGCTTATGTTTTCGTTTTTCCGAAATGCGACTTCGACAAATGGCAGGAATTTCTTGTGAGTTAGATAATTTCAAATTGCCACGTCATAGTTCAAATTTGCTCCAAAAAACAACAACATTCTTATAATATTTTTCACTATCTTGCTCATTTTTTCGTTCTAGGCGGTGCTCATTTATTTTTTTGTTGTGCTCCCCACTCGGAGCCCAGAGAAGCAGACGCGTAAACAAAAAAAAAACAACTTTCTTTCCTATTTTTTTCCCTTTTTTCTGACCAGCGTCCATTTTTTTCAAATTCCCGCCAATTTTTTTTTTTGAAATTTGAATTTCCTGCGAACTTCAAAAATTCAAATTTTCCATCGATTTTTCGCCTTTTTTCAAATAATCGAAAATAAACTGATAGTAAAGTGGGTGGCGAGAGAGTGCGAGGTTTCGAGAGACGCACAGATACACACAAAATTTTTGTTGTGGGGGTTTTTTTTTGAAAATAGCAACATTTTTCTAGTTGTTTCTGTGGTTGGGCCCAAAAATCGGAGAAAAATGATTTTTCAAGGTTAAGAAATGTTTTTTTTTCTTCTAAAAAACATCAAAATCCCATCATTTATCTCAAACAAATGTTTATTACAACCGAAAAATCGCAAAAAGTTGAGATTTGTTGTGAAAAATTGGTCCAAACACCTATTATTTACATATAAATTTGGTTTTTTTGCCATTTCTTATCGATTTTTTCCCTGGTTTTATTGGTTTTTGGTATGAATCACGCCGTATTGTTGTGTTTTTGCTTGGGAAAAATAAGAAAATAAAAAATAAATCCAAAAAAAGTACGGTGTTCGTCGTGAGACCCGCAACATTTTGTGTGTGCGTCTTCGCAAAACTACGGTACACACATTTTTATTTTTTTATTTTTTGCGAGAATTTTCGAGGTTTTCGAGAGTTTTGAATGAAAATCTGTGCATTTTCGAGGTTCTCTTGCTCAAATTAGTGAAAAACAAGGATTTTCAGCTAATCTCAGCTAAATTTTCACAATATTTTCAAGGAAAATTGATTTCCCCTAAGTTTTCTCATCATTTTTTTTGAACGCGTGCCAAAGGCGTCCTTGTCGCCATAAAAACACCCGGGCGCGCGCAATTCTTCTCTACGTCTCTCACTCTCTCGTTTACCTTTGATGTTGTGTTTTTTTTGCCATTTCTCATGAAAAGTAAATATTTGTTGGTTTTTTCTGTACAAAATCCACGCGTTCTTTTTATTTTTTTGTAAAAAAAATGGATTTTGAGAAGCTTATCACGATTCTGTTGTTAAACATTGCTCAGGTCAATTTTGAATTGAGTTATTTTTTGAAAATCTAAAAGTATGCCTAACGATCAGCTTTTATAGCAGGATTTTTCAGAAAATTTTGAAATTTGGGTGAAATTTGGACCTGGAAACCTTGAAAACCGGATTTTTTTGCGTATGGGGCTGAACTGAAAAATCTGCATTTGCACGGAAAACTTGAAATATGAGCGATTTCTGATAATTTTTGTGACTTGGAACCTAAAAATTCTAGATCTACTTGGAAACTAACAAAAATTCAGGTAGAACTCGGGTTTTCCGGTTCCAGACACAAAAGTTATAAAAAGGCGCTAAGCTTTCAAGTTTTCCGTGCAAATACAGATTTTTGAGCTCCATACCCGAAAAATTCCGATTTTCAAGGTTTCCAGGATCAATTTTCACCCAAATTTCAAAATTTTCTGAAATATTCTGCTATAAAAGCTCATCGTGAGATATACTATTAGATTTTCATGGAATAACTTAATTCAGAATTGACCTGAGCAATGTTCAACAACAGAATCGTGAAATTCATCTCAAAATCCATTTTTTCACAAAAAAAAAAATAAAAGAACGTGTGGATTTTCTACGTCGTGACCTCAAAATTAATCTAAAAATTCAGTATTCTGTTTTTTTTTGCAGAAGTGAATGCGGTAGAGAAAATATGGTAGTTCCGCCGTGGTTAAAAGGGTTCGCCGTCAAGGTGATCCTTCCGATTTCGCTTCTAACTGGTGAGTTTTCCGCGAAACTTTCGTGACTCAGAAAATTCCGCTTTTCAGCCGCAATTCTACGCCCAAGTTTTCTCTCAATCGGATATGTGATTTTGGCACTGATCTCCGCGGTTTTGCCAACAATTAGACCAAATTATCCACTTCCCAGTGAGTTTTTTTTTCTGGTGAAAATCTAAAAATTTCAAAATTTCATTCAGAATCTGTTGGGTCTTTTGTCACTCTCACATTTTTGTATGTAATTGCTGTTTCCCTTGGTGTTGGAGGTTATCAGGTAATTTTTGAACTATAAACGGGAATCTTGGCCCTAGAGACCAAATTTGATGATTTTGACCCTAAAAATCCACCCTGAACCGATTTTTGATCTTTAGAATCATGAAAAATTACTTCTGACCCCTGTAAAAATTGGTTTTTGAGCTTCAGAAGCTGAAAATTGATGACATTTCATGAAAAAAAGTTTCAGAAGCATTTTCCAGGGGTTCCAGGTACAAAGTTATAAAAATTCGGCTTTTGAGATCAAAAATTTGGTTCTGGGTGAATTTTTTAGCTTGGAAGCTGAAAAATATTTTCAATTTCATGAAAATTTGTCTGAAAATGCTAGAAATATATGAAAAGTTCACTGAAAGCCTCAAAACTTCTCGAAAAATTTTAATATTTTTTGAAAATCTAACTTGAAGATCCCAAAATTTAGTTTTTGGAACAAACAAGAAGTTCAGAAATCGTCTAAATTTCCAAATCCCCAAATTTTCTCCAGATCTCCGAAATCATCACCCACGAAAAAGCAAGCACATACATTTGCGAAAGATGGGATACAACACTATTCCGAAGTATCGGTCTGGTTCGATTCAAACCCACTGGAACTTTCGACTCATATCGCGCATTTCTACCCGAAATCATTGTGCTAACCTCGTCGTTTTTGGTATTTATTGTGGTTATGTTGTTGTCGCATCGAAATGAGAGATTAGATGTTGTTGGAGGAGAAGGAGAGAATGTTGTGAATGTTAGAAATCAAGCGGGAGCTGGAGCAGCTGGGTGAGTATTTTCGGGGGAAAATTCACCTAAAAGTTGATGTTCTGTGATAAAACATGACAAAAATTGCATGAAGCTTCCGCAAACACGAAATTTTTTAAACCATGGGGAGGCTTGGACAAAAATTTAGATTTTCATTGAATAAGAAACTATAGTCTAGTTTTGACTAGAAAACCCGATTTTCATTCTAACGATCCATTGCAATTCATAGCACTGAATTTTTTTCTAAAAATTCAAATTTCTTGGCCGAAAAAAATTTTTGAAGTTTTCAAAAATGTGATATAACTTTTATTGATTTCAAATCTCTCCAAAATTATTTCGTTATCTCCCCATATGTGCTGACATTTGTGCAATTTCTGAAAATTTTTGGGATTATTTTCCAACACCAAAACATTCCTCTAAAGCTCACAAATAAATATTATTTGTTTCGAAGTTATAACGAATCGCGGCCGCTTTGATTTTCACACCAGAATCGTACTCTCGCTGATAACGATAGAAAAAAATTCCGTTTATTATTATATCATAGTGATCTGCGAAAATCCTGCAGAAATGTGTAGTTTTGTAGGATTTTTTAAAGTTTTTTGAACCCACTTGATTTTCACGGTATTTATTTTGTTCACAAGAAGTGGGGATGTATTGATATTATGAGTTAAATGCCAGGCATCGCGCATATCCCAAAGCGCAGCCTGCTGGGTTAAGAATTCCAACCATAGAGAGGAATTTCTATATATATCAGATGGTGAACCCAATCCTCGATAAAGCGTAACATCGAATACTATGACGGTGGCATTTCCAGTGAAAATGATTTCTCCTGTTGAAATTTCCGAGTTGAATGAGTAAAACTGGATTAGAGATTTTTTCGGAGACAATTTGTTCTGAAAACTAATCAAAAAATATATTCAAGATTTGTTTGTTTTCACTTCTCCGCATTTAATTGAAACCACATCGCTTGTCGACACACCGGCAGCCTCCAAACCAACCCAAAAAATCAAAGATGATACTAGAATTGTTCTTAACATTTTTGATAATTTCTAGAATTATCCTTCGGTTTTAAAACCCTTCAATTTCCATAATTATGAGAAAATCCCACTAATTCAAATGGAAATTTTGAGAAAATTCAAAAAGGTCAAACAATTTATTGAAAATTGATTCAATTGTTCTCGCCATATGTGCTGACATGTGTGCAGTTTCTGAAAATTTTCGGAATATTTTCCAAACCTAAAATGTCTCCTGGAGCTCACAGATAAATTAATGTTGGTGCGAATCCGTATTTAACTGTAGCGGCTTTGAACTTTTCGCCGATTTGGCTCAATCTCTTGACATCAGCAAATAATTTACCGTTGACTATAATTTCGAAGTGATCCGGGAACATTCTGAAGTCCTATTTTACTCGAAGTTTTCAAAATTTCGACAGGCTCACTTGATTTTCACCGTGTTGATTTTATTTAGGAGAAGGGGGCACGATTGGATTGTATCACGTAAAAAACTCAATTCTCCCTGGAACACCAAAATATTTTTTTTTAGAGACTAAACTTGAAACTCACGTCATTCTTGTATTCGTATAAATTGGTTTTAATACCAGTGGTAAAGGCCAATTGAAGAGATACATTCTTGTTAAGACTTGACGGAGATCCGATTCCTCGGTTTATATTGATGATGGTAAGATCTTTTTCTGTTAGATTTCCAGTGAACATTATCTCGCCGGTTGAGATTTCCGAGTTGAATGAGTAAAACTGGATTAGCGATTGTTTTGGGGACATTTTGTTCTGGAATCATTGGAAACTTCTTTCAAAAAGGTTATGGCGTTGTAATGCATCATAAAATTGGGAAAATTGCGACAAAAACCAGAACATACCTCTCCGCATTTAATTGAAACCACATCGTTTGTTGAATCTTGGGCTTTCAACCCAATCCAAAACATCAAAGATGATACTAGAAATGTTCTTAACATTTTTGATCAATTCTAGAAGAATCGCACGATTTTAAAACCCCGCAATTTCCATAATTAATATGAGAGAATCTCACTAATTCAAATGGAAATTGTGAGAAAAATGTATAGTTTGCTGACCGATTTATTACACAATAGGAATATAATTTACGAAGATTCTCCGTTTTTGGTGAGCCCATTGCAATTCAGATCAATTGAGGATGTTTTGAAATCGCCGCCAATGACGAGGCCTTGGATTTTTCCATCTTTGTCGAATTTACGAGGGATGGTTTGCAAGAGTTGGCCATTTGTGAACACCTTGAATTCTTCTGGGAGGAATCTGAAAAGAAAAATGATATTTTTGAGTGAAACTTGACCAAATTCCCACTGAATCTTGATATTGTTATCCGAATTTGCATTCAACCGAACTCCATCCAATTTTCCTTGATCCACTTGTTGTCTTTGCGAATTAATCAAATAAAACTCGGTGCTCGGTCCGAATGGATTGAAACGTGTCCAAAATGTCAGATTTTCGCCTTGACTTGCTGTTGATGGAAGTCCACGATAGACGTAGAAGTCCACATGTTGACTGATAGCTCCAATTTTTCCCTCCAAATAAACCTCACCGGTTGAGATTTCTTGACTGAAAGCGTGGAATTGAATGAATTCCGGATTGGTGATTTCGGTCTGCAAAATTTTTCTCTGAACTGTAGTTTGCAGCAAAACTCACCTTTCCGCAATCCAACGCTACCGTAGCCTGGAGAATCGCAAGAATTACAAATGTTCCGATCATTTTTTGATTTTACAGAAGAGTCCAATCTGCTTTTGAACTAAATTTTTTGGGCGGAGAATTGAAAATCGAATTAGATCGGAGAAATGTTTGATGTTTGGTATCAAAAGAGCAGAAAATTCACTTCCAGAAATTTCTATTGTTCAATTTGACACGTGGCAGAGTTTTGGGATGTTAGGAACACTGAAAATCCTCGTAGCGTCTTCTAGTATATTCTGGAATCCACGTGGCAAAATCATTTTTTTTGAGGCTTGCAAAATCCACGTGGCGAAGTTAGCTCATCTCCTTGAAACCCGGAATCCACGTGGCAAGGTTTCTGATTTTTCCGAGGATGAATTTCATGTGGCAAATTTGCTCCTTTTTTGAAATCTGTAATCCACGTGGAAAATTTTCTGAATATTTTCTAACTTCACAAAATCCCAAAAAATATTCATCAACCCAAAAAATCTAAAACATATCAAATTTGAATTCCAACATTATGTCCAGAGCCGAACGTGGTGTTGGCACAAAGTCTGAAAATTTCAAAAAAAACTCAAGTTTTCACAAGCCTGCTGACTCACAAATCGATTTGTCGTGTATAAAATTGTCCCTCAACACCGGCCGCCTTGATATAATATCCTGGATATTCTCGCCGGAAGAATGTGTAGAACCAGTCTTGATTGATGAAAATCTCGAAGCGTTCGTGGAAAATTCTGGAAGATTTGGATCTGCTGATCATGCGGCTGTATTTAAAATGGACTTAGCTCAAATCTGAGCTTCAGGGCAAGCTTTAGGATAAACCCAAGAAGCTCCAGAACTCTTACTGAATTCGAATATTATTGTATTGTCCACGTTTCAATGGAGAACCCGAATGATTTTCACCCAGAAACGTAGTCTCCCCGTTTGCCTTGAACTTCAGGTTCAAAGTATTATTCGATTCCATATTATAGGCATCACCGATTCCACGGTATAAGTACACGTTGAACCAGTTCATATTCTCGTAGACTTGTCCACTGAAAATGATCTCGCCTGTTCGAATTTCGTCGTTGAATGCGTAGAATTGAGTATGCGATTGTTTTTTGATGAGAGTCTGGAAGGTTTTGGTGAAAAATCGGTATGGAAATCCACGTAGCATTTCATCGTTCCGGAATGTTTTCTCGAAAAATCGAATTTTCAAAGTTCCATGTGGCAAGAATCGATATTTTTTCTTGCAACAGAAATCCACGTGGCATGATCCTCGACTTTAAACTTTCACGTTGTCTGATAATTTTTTAGCCATAAGGTTTCCTCAACAAGTACTATTTAAACGGACTTCTAGAGGTCTCCATTTCGATGCCACGTGGATTTCCAGCAAGACTGAACAAACTCACAGGTCCACAATTTAGCGCAACATAGTCATGCGTGCCCAAAGCACGAATTTCCGAAAATTTCCAGAAAATCGCAAGAATCCAGAAAATTTTCAACATCGTTCTTCAGAATGAACCAGTTTAGAAACTGTAGTTTGTTTTGTACACAAATTAAAATAAATGTAAATGAATGTGCGAAACAACAAATTTATTCAAGAATTATCTATTTGACATCTTGTCTTGCCTTTGTGCAGTCCCTGGAAGAATTGTTTTTGAGTGGAAAAATTTGAGAAGCTCGATCCAAAATCTGCGAATTTTCCGCATTTTTTTGAAAAACTTACAAATAAATTTTGCTTGGATAAAAGTTGCCCAGAAGTCCGAGATATTTGACAGGTTCTCCCTTATCAAATCTCGGAAAAACAACAAATGGAGTTTCATTCTCATTCACGTAGATCTTGTGGTAGTTTTTGAGGATTCTGGAAAACACGCTTGTTTTCGACCCAGATTATTTTGTTGTTGTTGTTGTAAAACTCACTGAATTCGAAGAATGTTGCCTGTTCTTGTTTCATATTTCAATGGATTTGCCAGATGTTTTATTTCAATTTGTTTTTCTCCCTGGGAAAAAAAATCATCTAAAATTAATTTTCGACTCCGAAATTCGAACTTTCCGCCTTTTTCTTACAAAAAATGGAACAAAATTCGAAAAGATTTTTTTAGATTTTGAAATCCCCAGAGAAACCTATCGTCATTTTTTGTTACCTTGTCATTAGTGCTTCTCAATACGGTTCCCTCTTTCAATGTAAAAGTAATACTCAACGAATTCCTATCATTTGGATGGGTTTCTGATCCCATTGTCGAGAATAATTTGATCGTACCATCCGCTGGACCATCCAAGGCTCTATATCTGAACGTAATGTTTCCCTCGAAGATGAATTTGCCCAATGTGAAAAATTTGAGATGTGTACCTTCGTTTAAGACTTCGCTCAACTGAAAACATTGATTTTTATAAGCCCAAAGGACCAATTCTTTGATCTGAAAGCCCAAAAACTAACCTGGGAATTGCATTTGATTGTTTCAGCACGAACTGCGATGAAAATCGTGACGAAAATCAAAAGTATTTTCATTTTGCTTTTCGTTTTTGGCCCCGAAATTCGCTTTTTAAAACCAAATTTTTATGTAAAGTGATTGAATCATTCGATTATTCATGACAAAATTCTTTTGATAGGGAACCAAATTTTTGTAGCGCTTTGAAGTTTGGAATCATATTTGCAGAATTTTATTGGAAAAAAATCCGGATCCAAAATTTTTGGTTCAAAACCAGTTTTCGACCTGGAAACTTTAATTTCCCGCGGAATTTGGCACCAAAAATTTGTTTGATCAATGATTTTGAGATCCCGCGTAGTTGAAAATTTCAACATTGTTCCAAAATTGATCAAAGTATGATTTTTTGCCCTAAAGATCGTCGAAACTCAAAAAATTGACTAGAAAAAACAGCCAGATCCAAAATCTCCGACCTATCATTAATGTAGACCTCGAAAATCAAAGTCTTGCCTTTTTCATGAAATGGCGCTAAAAAACATTTTGAAAATTAAACATTTATTAACACAAAATGTTAGGACACCCAAAAAACCCAGAAAATCCTTGGTTGATTGAGATTTTAGGCCCGGCATTCCCTGAAAATTGAAAATTTCAAACTATATTTCCGCACAAAAATAATTACAAATCAATGCTGGTTATATTGAAGTTGCCAAGGATTGTAGCAGATTTCAAATAAGCTCCAGCATCGATTTCTCTCGGATATTTTTGAAGGAAAGTTTCACCTTCGGAGATTCTATAAACCTTTCGCGAGATTCTGTAACTTTTCACTGTGATTCTAAAATTCTCTCGATCGTGATTCTAATTCTCACTCGATTTTCAAGCTGTTGGATTGTCCTTTTGCCAATCCGCAAGCTTTGAACTGTTTAGCTGGCGTCCAATTCTTATTGTCCTGAAATTTTCGTCATTTATTTTCGGAATTTTTCTCAAATATACCAAGCTTCTTGTATGAAAATTTGTCGGTTCGTTTCCTTTGACTCCAATAAAAAGAGTGGTATTGTAATCCACGTCAAGAGCGTTTCCCACTCCACGGTGAAGGTAGAAATTGATTGCCTCAATTTTTTCCGGAACTCTTCCATGAAATGTGATTGAGCCTTCGTTGACTTCACGGTTGAACGAGTAGAATTGTTCGTTGGATGTTTTTGTGACGAAGTTCTGAAGAATCACTAGACCAGATTAGTTATGACGTGGAACATAAACTATTTCAAATTGCAATTTTCAATGATGTATGTTTTCTAGTAGTTTTCGATCCGCTTATCACAATTTCGCTGTGTAAAATTTCAAAGCTCAATTTCTAACATGAGTTATGACGTGGCAAAATTTTGGACTTCTAATTGTAAGGTTTTTCCTAAAGTCCAGAATTTTTAGCCACGTCACTCATGTTAAGAGTTGAGTTTTGCAGTTTTTGACAGCGGAATAGTGATCAGCGAGTGGAAAACGACTAGAAAACATAAATTTCATTAATAATCTGAAATTCTCACCCTTCCACAATTCAACGATACAATATCGCTTGTTCCACCGTATCCCAGTGCAAAAATCGCCGAAAAAATCAGAAATTTCGAAATCATCTCGATTTTTCTTCGAAGTATTGCACTAAATTCGATTTTTATACGGAAATGTAATCGAATCTTGAATTTAATCCATGAAAACTAAAATTGATGTTTTTTGAAGCGATACAGAGAATAAGGGGAAAATCAATCAGGGGACCTTAAAAAATAAAAAATTTCGAAATTTTTAGTCACACCTGAAAATCTGAAATTCCATGCTCCAAAAACCCGGAAATTTGTATTTTAAATATAAAATTAACTGAAAAATCGGAATTTCTGTACAAAATAACTCTGAAAATGTCTAAAAATATGGAATTTCTTTATTTTTCCAGCCCATCAAAAGCTCAAACATCTCGCCTGTTCCGCGCAGTTCTCAACTCGCTTCGTCGCCTCACCAACTTCATCATTTTCCTCTTCACCGCCTATGTTGGAGTCGTCAAACCGTCGTTGACAAATTTCGTGTATTTTGCCGCATTTTTGTTCATTTCTTCGTGGTGGGCTACTTATAAACCGCTTAGACATGGAGTTTATAATCAGATCAAGAAGGTAACCTTTTTTCGCGCTGAAAAATGATGTATTTTAATAGAGAAAAGTGTGCCAGTCTTGCAAAATAGGCCACGCCCACTTTCTCCAAGCTTGACATAGTTTTCTGATCATTTTGATACCAAATATGGTTGGGAAATGTGTGCCAGACTTGCAAAAATAGGCGTGGTCTCAATAAATTCTGGATTTTTCTGAAAATACAAGTACGTGAAAACGTTGAAACCTTGCCACGTCATCATTTAAAAAAATTAGCGAGTTCCTGGATTTTCCCCTCATTTCTCAATGAAAAAATGGTGGAAAAACTCGACTTTTTGATGTAAGACATAAGCCACGCCCATTTTCTGCAATCCTGGCACGATTTTCCTGAACATGTTTAGCATCAAAATGCTCAGAAAACCGTGCCAGATTTGCTGAAAATTCCCCAACAACTTGAATTTATTGCAGTTTCTCATCTTCTACTCGGCCATCCATTTCATCTTGATCTATACCTATCAAATCCCGCTGGTTCACACTTTCTGGCTTCCAACTCACTCATTTTTGGCTCGACTTTTCGGGTTGAATGTGTTGATGGAATCGAAATGCCCCAACTATTGGGAATTTCCATTTGTTGCACCCGATTTGGACAACACGAATTTGATGATGAAATGGCCGTTGTATGCGAATCCTGTTGTGGTTTTGGTGGGTTTTTTTGGGGCTGGAAATGGTCTAGAAACCTGAAAATCGTGAATTTTCAGCCAAAATTGATCTAGAAACTATTTAAATTTCAAAATTGTTGACCAGAAAATCTTAAAAACAGTCTAGTTTTGGTCAAATTTTCCCCGAACGACACTCCGCATTTACAGCTCTTCTACTATCTCACAGTTGCTCAATTCAAATTTACCCGCGACGGCTCCAGACAATACATTGATGATAATGATTTTGGATCGAGTGTTCATGAAGAGGTACGGTTTTCTGTTTTCTTTGCGTCTCTCTGAATTTTTCTATCTCTCTCTTTTTGTCCATGTTTCTGTTTTGAAAACAACTTTTTTGTGTTTCGTTTTTCTGGCGCGGGAAAATTTGAAAATTCAAATTTTCCCGCGCTTTTTTGAATTTTTCTCCAAAAAAGAATTTAGCGATTCACAGTTGAGTCGAATCTGGATGATGAGCTGATTTCGATTGAAGGAGTTGCGAATGAGACATCGCCGAGTAGAACACGTGGAAATACAAGGGTTCGTAGACTAGACTATAGTTTTTTGTGTTGTGTGTGTTGGGAGATGGGGGTGGGAAAAATGACCTGTTTTTTTAGTAGATCAAGTAATTGTTTATAGCTTTGCTGACGCATTTTCTGTAGTCCAGACTACACAATTTGCGCCAGCAATCAGCTTTGTCGAAAATTTGCCTGAAAATTTCGATTTTCATAGGAAAATGCAGGTTTACTTGTGTTTTCACATGAAATTTTGGGATTTTCAGACAAATTTTCACAATAAACTCTGAAAATCAGGATTTCTAATGCTGAAAATTTGAAATTTCACTGAAAACTGCGATTTTTTCAGTGAAATTTCAGATTTTTGGCATAGATGCAGAAGCTATGCCCAACTTTTGCTGAATTCAAAATTTTCCTCCCATCTCCTTTTAATTTTTGTATCTGTGTGTGTTTGTCTGCGTTTTTAGTTGCTCATGTTAGTAACCAATTTTTCCTCTCACGAAATTCACCCAGCTTCCCGCCAGCTTTTTTTTTGGTTCAAAAAATCTCACCTGCCCTGTTTTTGCAGCTTCTCTCCAGCGACACGTCTACAAATCATCTTCAAACTGGAGAAGCACCGCAACGCGACCGTTCCGCATCGCCAATCCGCGACGGCGAATCGCGTGACGCGATCCCAATGCGAAAAGTGACGTCGCAAGTGGTGGATCGCAACAAACTTAGTCATATTTTCAATGTACCGGGCGAAAATGAGTCGGCTGCTTCAAAGGGAATGATTGCTCTCATCAGTTTTGTTATTTATCATTCGTATTCGATTGCGTTGACTGCAATGATGGTAAGGAGATTTTGGGAAAGCTGAAAATGCAGAAAATTTCGGCAAAAATACGTTGAAAATGGTAAAAAAAATACCTGAATTTGACGTAAATATAAAATTAAAAATTTTCAGCACTAAATATCCACTTGGTAATTTCAGGATATTTTCAATTATCAAATTTTTTCTAGTTCAAAATTTTGAAAATCTGAAATTTCCAGCTCTTTTTGGACCTGAAATTGACCAAATAAACCAGGTCCCTTCCTGCCTCAAAATATCCTTATTTTCAGACTTGGGCTCTTCTCTATCACTCGATTTTCGGCCTCATTCTATTGATCACCACATGTATTTTGTGGATCTTCAAAGACACCCGAAGAACAGCTTTTCTGGTTGCACCATTGCTTTTGATTTATGTTGAGGTGAGTTTTGAGCATTCTGAGCACAAATTAAGCCACGCCTCTCTTTTTCGCCATGAAATTTGGAGCATTTTGAGTTCCTCATATGTTCCTTTAAATATTTCCTTTTTTCCAGTTTCTTCTCTGCTTCCAATACTTTTTATCGTTGGATATTCACCAAGATATCGGAGATCACAAATGGATCACATTTTTGGGAATCAATTGGATCGAGTTGCCGGTTCATGCCACGATGATTTTGATGGTCCAAGTGAGAAAATTTGGGGAATTTTGATCTAAAATTCATGAAAATTGGCCAAAAATGACCCAGAAGTCAAGGTTTTCAACCTGAAATTAGAATTTTTGACCAAGATTTGAGCCTAAAAAATTTCGAAATTTATTATGTGATCAGCTGTGTTTACAACACGTAGTTCATTTTTTTTTTGCTCGAAAAAAATATTGAATTTCACATATCTGTGGCCTTTTTTTTCTACAACAGAAAAAAATGAGCAAAATTTGAGGAGAAGCTGTCATCTTTCCTCATATCATATCATTATTAGCTAGTCATGAACTATGAACTAGCTGTACTTTATCTTTATGGATTAGTCATTTTTCCGGTGAGATTTTGAAGGGTTTTGGGCTGGAAATATCTAATTTTTATCTGAAAATTTGAAAAAATGAGGGGAAATTGACCTGGGAGCCTTGTTTTTGACCTGAATCAAAATCAGGTTTACTGACTGAAACTAATTATTTTTGACCTGAAATTCAGAAAAATTGACAGAACTTACCTCGAAAACTCAGAAATTACAGGTTTATCTCAAAATTCAGCATTTTCACTCCTGAAATTAAATATTTAATTCCAGACTCTTCTCAGTCTTCCCGTATTTTTGCTTCTTCGTTTGGCAAGAAGAGAAAAATACTACGAATCACTGACGGATTTCGAACGACAACGAAGAATCAATTCGTATGGAACTTTTGGCGCCTCAAAAAGTGGATCTGGAGGAGTTGCGGTAACTAAGGTGAGCTCTATTTTTTCTCCGAAAATTTTGCATTTTTTTCAAAGTCAAAAATCAATTTTTCTTCCTAGCACAACAAATGTAAATTTGTGAGAAAATTGGAAAATTCCCATTTTCTCCCTAAAAATTGTCATTCGAAAAAAAAAATGAAATTTCTGAAATTAATTTCAGGAATTTCCAAACATGTCTTTCGTTTTTTTATTGTGAGTTTTTTCGCCGAATTTTTTTGAAACAAAAAAATCAAAACATTAATTTTGAATCATTCCTCAATATGTTTTATTCGGGAATTTTCGGGGAAGTTATTGATTTTTTGAGGGAATTCGGGATTTTTCTGAGATTTCAGCACCCAAAAGCTTGTGAAAATTGTTAAAATTATCGATTTTTCACCAAATTGTTCCACCATTTTCCTCCTAAAAAATCACAATTTTTTCCAATTTTCAGGACCCAAAATCGCAAAGCTTCGCCAAATTCATCGAATATTTATCGCACAAAATCACCGTATATTTCGTGTTTTTGGTCGCATTGGTTTTGCTAATTGTTGCCACGTCATTCAAACCAACTTTCTATACAATCGGATTTTTCTGCATTTGGGCATTGTTGGTTTTGTATTTGAAGGTTTGTGGATTGTTTTGTTTGAGCTGAAAATGCTGAAGAAATCAATTTTCGACACGGAATTTGATTAAAAATGAGCTAGAAATGCTCAAAAATTCATTTTCGGCTCTTAAATTTGAGAAAATTGCCTGAATTTCAGGATTTTTGAACTACAGTGATCTATTTTCATTTACAGTATTCCTTGATTTTTGGCGCGAAAATCTGAGCCCTCAGAAAACTTGTTAAAGAAATATAAAATTGTCAAATATTTACACAACTTTTACTTTTTGTTCTCGCATTACTCATTTTTCCCAAAAAAAAAGAAACTTTTATTAATTTTTTCTCTGCCATCCACTGAAAATTTAAAAAAAAACTGCCACAAAAAAATTTCCGGTTTTTTTGGAGTATAATAGGTTTAGTTTAGAACCGTAAAATTGAAAGTTATATACTTTTTTGTTGTTATTTTTTATTTTTTGTATGTTTTTTATGAAAAAAAGTGAAAATTTGGTCAATTTTTGAGCTGAAATTTGAGAAAAATGAGAAAATTAAGTGAAAACTGAACTTTTTGGCTGAAAATTTAAAAATTTTGGTTAATTTTTAAGCTAAAATATTTCTGATTTTAATTTTTCGTCACACTTTGAGAGCTACAGTATTCCAAAAAACATTTTTGAGATTTATTTTATTTTTATTTTTTTTTTTTGAGATCTACGGTATACTAATTTTATACATCAAATTTGAGAGCTACAGTATTCCAAAAAAAATATTACAGTATACTAAAAATACCCATTTTTTCCAGATCTCATTCCGATTGTTCCGCGGTGTCGCCTACGTATTCTGGTTGTCATTATCATTCTACACATCGCTGATTATTATCGGTCTCTACATTTTTCAATTTCCCGGAGTGAGTTGGGCTAACTGTGGGCCTAAAGAAGCCTATGAAAACAGCATAAGAGGCCCTAAAGAAGTCCTGAAAGGCTCTTTGAAACTAGGTCTGAAAGCATTGTGAAGAACCTAAAAAGAGCCTTAAAAGCCCTAACTTAAGGGCTTGAGAAAGACCTTAAAATGGCCTTATTCTCAAAATCCTTACTTAAAGACCTGAACACAACCTTCGTTAGATACATCCTAAATGACAAGGGCCCTAAATGGACCCTGAATGTTTATTTGAAAGCCTTAACATATCCTTAAAAACTAGGCCTTAAACAAGCCTAACTTACAGGCCTAAACAAGGTCTTGGCCTAGAATTGTTTTTGTTTCCCACGCCCCGATGTGAAATTCAACACCGTTTCCTCATTTTCAAAAAGTTTTCCCTCCCCCAAAAATGTTTTTGCAGATTGCTTCATGGGTCAAAACAACAACCGGATTATCGGACGAATGGCTTAAAGCCATTGGATTGCAAGATTTTTCGGCAATTGGAAAAGCTGGGTAAGGATTGGGTTGAAAAATTGGGGGGAATTTGAGATTTTCGAGCTGAAAATGAGGAATTTTAGCTCAAGAATCTTGAAAAACATCACAATTTTCCAAAAATGATGAATTTTGGGTGAAAATAGTCAATTTTTCAGTCAAAATTAACGATTTGCAGACGATTTTTCCGGGCAAAAACTCTGAAAATCGCGCGAAATTTTTCAGAGTCCTATTTCTGCACCTCCTTTCACCAATTGTTCTTTTCGTCGTCACGATGCTTCAACTCAAATTCTTCCACGATCCATGGATCCGAGCAACTTCGAGACAAACACAATCCGAAGCCGAACAACAAGCACAACAAGCTAGAAGTTTGGAAGAGGGACCAAGTGGAGCTGGTGAGTTTTTTTGGGGAAAAAATTAGAGGTTTTTGACCCAGAAAATATGGAAATTTGGCCTGAAATTGAATTTTTTCTGATTTCCTCGCTAAATTTTAACCGGAAAATCTGAAAATGTTTGCTCTGAAAATACCTATTGTCATTCCGAAAATAAAAGAACCCCCGTTTGAATTGGCGCTCACGTACAGTAGACTAAAGATGACGTGACACATGCATATCAAACTGGTTGGCAAATAGCCAACGTGTAAATTTCGCATTTTATTTTTCAAATAGACTCCAAAATTTCGCGAAGTCTACTGTGGTCTTGGTTTCCTAGGCCATTTCGGTTCTCTTCCAAGGTTCTTTTTTTTTCGGAAGGACAATACCTGGAAATGTACGTTTCAACAATTTTCTAAATTTAGTTATCCTAATTTGAGATGATTCCCCCGTTCCCAGCCTTAAAATGATTTTTTGGACTATTTTTGCCCAAGAAACCTTGAATTTCACTCTAAAAATGAATTTTCACCTGAAAATCTGGAATTTTGACATGTTTTTCACCGAAAAATTTTTCTGATAATCAATGTTTTGAAAAAATAAATTTTTGGGGACGCGGAAAAAGTTGTGTTTAATAAATATGAAGAGTGAAAATAAACAAAGCTTCTCTGTGTTCCTTTTTCGCCTTTTTCTTCTTTTTCTAATTGGTTTTTGTGGTTTTACTGTTTTTCTTTGTGAAATTGGTGAAATTTGGGATTTTTCACTATAAATCATACGAAATATGTCATTTTTGACCTGTTTTTCTCTGAATCTTTGATTTTGAGATTTTTTGCTCAAAAATGCACAATTTTTCATGTGGAAAATTGGGGACATTAAAAATTCTCCGAAATTTTTAATTTCAAATGTTGCGGCCCCAGAATTTGTGATTTTTAGCACCAAAAAATTCCACGTGTATTTTTTTTTTCAAAAAAAAAAAACATAGAAAAAATCGGTTTTCTGACTGGAAATCTCCTTTTTAACCCAAAAATCCGAAATTTCCAAATTTTTTAATAAAGAATAGTCAACTGTTTATTTGAAAAAAATTAAAATTCCGTCAAAAATATTGAATTTTTCCTAATTTTTGACTAACTAAAGTCATTTTTCACCTGAAAATCACATTTCTTTCTCCTAAATCTCTCATCAACTTTTTTTTGGCCGTGTTCCAAAAACGAAAATGAAAAGATATCGGTTGATGAAGAAAAGTGGAAAAAGAAATGGAAAACAAGTCTTCTTGACCACATATTATAAAATGTACAACAACACATACACAAATCGTATTATTATCATCTTTTTTGTCTCTTTTTTTTAAAGAGCGCGAAATTTTGGGATTTTCAGTCATTCTCGACAAGTTTTTCGACGTTTTCATTGAAAAATTGATCATTTTCACTTAAAAAACACCCAACCCCCTATTTTCACCAAAAATTCCTCATCTTTGACCTATTTTTCTCTGAATCTCTGATTTTCAATGATCTCTCGCCCCCAGAAATTGACAGTTTCCGCTTCCTTCATCAACCTTTTTTTTCTCCCAAAAAATGATTTTTTTTTGGAGAAAAAAGGACCTACTAAGTTATGAATTTGAGCCAATTTGTGTGCATTTTTTGGTGCAAAAAATTGATTTTTTTGAGGCCGAAATTGGAGTTTTCTGGGAATTTTGAAGATTTTTTAGCCTGAAATCAATTTCAGACTAAAATGTGAGCACCTGAAAATCCACGTGGCAACTTTTGATTTTCAGGATGAAATATTTTCTGTTTGCACTCTCTCAATTTCCCATAATCTCTAATCTAATCGAAATAATATTCTGAATGTGAATTTTCAGCTGCAGAAACTTGTCTGAAATTAATTTCAGGCTGAAAATTTGATTTTTTGTATTTAATACAAGTTTCCATCTATCTATTTTTTGCCCCCAAAAAACCGTATGACTAATTCCCTCTTGAAACTGTGAAGCATTCATATGTATTTTCACGGTGTTTTGTTTTTTTCTGTCCAAAAAACATACACGGTGATTCATTTTGTGTTGTTCTCTCTCAACCCGAGAAACTACTATTTGCTTTTGCTAGTTTTTGTACACACAGTGATGTGTTCTTGAATTTTGGAGCTCTGAAATTGGGTTTTTGAACTGTAATTCTGGATTTTTGGACATCTTTGGCCTGAATTTAGAAATTTCGACCAAAATTCATTTTTGCACCCGAAAACCTTGTACCTTTAATCCCCTTCATTTTTAGCCCCAAGAAAAATGACTAGAATTAGTTTTTGCACTCAAAAAATAAAAAAAACATGAGTTTTTACACATTTTTGTTGTTTTCTGGATGAATCAAACAGATGAAAATTGAGAAGAGAGAAAATGAGCTGTGATTAAATTGATGAGAAACATCAATTTAAAGGGATGTGGTGATTTTAGGTGCTGGAAAATTGATTTGAATGTGAAACATTTGGAGTTTGAAACTTTTCGCGGCTAAAAATCCACGTTTTTTGAAAATAAAAAAATCCGGAACTTTTATTTTTAAAAATTTAATTTAAAATATTTTCTTAATTTGTTTTATCTTCAAAAAAATCATGAGAAACATTTCGAATTTCAAAAAAATGAAAATTTGAATGGAAAATATTTTTTTCCGCAAATTTTCCACCATTTTTTCAAAAAATTTCGCATCAGAAACTCAATTTTCCAAAAAATCCTAATTTTCCAACCAAAAATCAAGCGAAATTATAATTTTAATATAACCAAAAATCAAGGCTCAATCAAAATTTCAAAAAAAAAAATAGAAAAATTTTGCTCTTTGAGCTACACAATGATGATGAGTCGGAAAAACAACAAAAAAAGAGGCGGAGTCTTGTAGAGCATCTTTTTTACACACTTTGCTCATTTCTATCTATTTTCTCTTCACTTCCATTCTGTTTTTGTACCCAAATTTCACACGCCACAAAAATGGTTTACGGTGAATTTGTGCACATTTTGGACTATTATTTGAGGCAGTTACGCGATTTTTCGCGACAACAATACGAGGAACATCAGGAAGAGAAGAGAAGATCGAAAAGTCCCAGAAGGAAGCCTCTAGATGCGATTCGAAGTTTAGAAGAGGGTAGGAATCCGAGGCCAACATCAGCACCAGTAGGAGGAACATCACAGCAAGATCAACAGAATCCTAGGAAAGTTTCGTACCTCCAAGTTGCCCGAACTTATTCCGATAATCGAAGATCCCTTTATAAAGTCGAGCTAGACAAATATTGGGATCCGATATTTCTCGAAAAGATTTTGCCCTCCCCATCGGAGCGGAATATGCTAACAAAGTCTCAGAGCTCAGCAACAGATTCGGGAATTGAAATGCCGTTTATTGATGAGGATGACGACTTGGCTCCGATTATTTTAGCGCGCGAAAGAGCTGGGCAGAGTAGAAGGTATCGGCCGGATGGATGGATGTCGCCTAGGCAGATGTTCAGACGATGGTGGAGTGAGTTTCTGTGGAGGAGGAAAATCTGAAGCTTGCGGTTTATATTTGCGGCTCGGCCATAGAATTGCTCATATTATAGTTTCCTTGAAATTCATGAACTTCTAGGCTTCCGCTCTAATTTAGACTTAGGTCCGTTTCTAAGCTTATATCTTTGCGGAAGCTTGCGGAACTGCCGCTTCGCGGAAGATTGTGCCGCTTCGCGTAAGCTTGCGGTTCACACTCGCGACTTTGTCGCTCGAACAAAAACAAAAACTCCGCGTTTCTATGGAAATTTTCTGAAATTTTTCCAATTTTTAAAACAAAACACTTGAGTCTTCCAAATTTTGAGGGTTTTTGTCCATAAAAATTCTCAAGGACCACTGAAAAAGTTCAAAGGTCCCACAGATTTTCAAACAGTTTTTTGGCCTCTCAAAAATCACCTCCAAAAATTGATTTTCCAAAACAAAAACATTAATTTCAGTGTCACTTTTAGTGATTTTTTTCTGACAGAAAAATATCAGGTGTTGTTTTTTTTCTCGAAAAAAAAAATTTCGAGCAAAAAAACAATAGTTCACAGGGCCGTAAAACCCACGATTTATTTATTTTTGAGCAGAAAAATTGGATTTTTTGGGGAGAAAAAAGGTCTCATGAAAGTAAAAAAGCTCACAATCAGAACTTTGAAAATTTTTGGAATGATAGTTTGAGCTTAAATTTAATACATTTCTGGATTTTTACAAAAAAATTTGAATTTTTGAGGCTTTCTAAAAATATCTCAAAAAAGTTTCAAAATATCCAGATTAAAACACGAAAAAAAGTTTTATGTCAATCAAATTTTTTTCTATTAGCGCACACGACAAAAAAGAGGAGACAAAATTATGGGTTTTGACAAGTTTTGCAACAGAAAAAACTGCATTTTTTGTTTTGAAAAATGTAGGGATCTCGCCACGAAATTACACTACAGTATCCTGAAAAGTTAGCCCCAAAATGTGGAATTTTGAAAAACTTGGAGTTTTTTGAGCTAAAAAATTATTGAATTTTAAAAATTCTTAAAAATTTCAAAAATAGGTCCCAACACGAAATTCAGCTACAGTAACCCTGGGAATATTGATGCCAAAAATTTTTGAATAAAATTTTTTCCAACTCAAAAAAATGGAAATTTTCCTCCAATTTTAGAAAATTCCTAAATTGGGTCCCACCACGAAATTAAACTACAGTAACCCTCAATTTTTTGCAGGCGATACTTTGGTCAAAAAATTGCACAAATTGGCCAACGAATGTGTCGAGCTATTATGGCGATTTTTCGAAGTTCACATATCAAAAATTGTATTTATTATCATTGCCTGTTTTGTGGCCAATAATGTGAGTTGTTTTGTTGTTTTTTTTGGAAGAAAAAACTGTGCCAGGATTGCAGAAATGGGCGGAGCCTTGGACTCTCAAAAATCAATATTTTTTTCCAGATTTATGCGTTGTACATTCCGCTAGTCATATTACTCTCATTAGCAATTTGTCTTCCATCAGCAGCCGATGGAATTTTCTCAATTCTCATGTGCTCCTATTTATTCCTGGTTGCCATTGCCAAAATGATCTATCAATTGGATGTGATTCCGGAGTTATCGAAAATCGATCGTGGAAATGGAGCCGATAATTGTACGTGGAAAAATACAACAATGGCTGAATGGTTTGGATTATTTAAAGAGAGCCAGCAGCCGCCGATTTTGATGTTATGGGTGAGTTTGTTTTTGAGCCGTGAAATTTGGAGCATTTTGAGCCCGAATATAATTTGCGGCATGGTTTTTGGAGCATTTTGAGCCTAAATATGACTGGGTTTAAGCCACGCCTCTTTTTGCAATTTACTAACGACACTCCGCAATTCCAGGGTGTAATAATAGCTGTCGTCGCAATGGCATTCCAATCAATAATCGTCTATCGCCAACGATATTTCCGAAGTCTTCGAGGTCTACCAGAATCCCTACGTGCACGAGTCTTTCCCGATTTTCATCATTCGAATTATGATCATAGTCTCAAACACGGTGTGCAATTTATCATTGATTACGGTTTCTACAAATTTGGACTCGAAATTTGTCTGGTTGCAATGGGTGTTGATGCGTGGGTTCGGATGGATTCATTGGGAGCCAGTCAATGTTTTTGGATTGTCTTGTTTTCGATGAATAAGAGGTGGGCATTTGGGGGAATTTTGACCGAAGAGTTGAGATTTTCGGAGTTTTTTAGCCTAGAAAACCGAATTTAGACCATTTCTTGATCATTTTGATACCAAATATGGCCTAGATTTGGTTTTCTAGGCCATGTTAGGTATCAAAAACGAGGCCATGGCCTAGAAAACCAAATTAAGTTATTAAGGTCATACTTGATATCAAAATCATCTAGGATTCGTAAAAATTGCATTTCTAGGTCATATTTTGTATCTATATGATGATTGTGGCCTAGAAATCGTGAAAATTAGATTTCTAGGTCATTATTTGGTATTTGGTAGTGATCAACATGGCCTAGAATCCCAAAAACTAGTCCGCGAGCTAGAAATCCATAGAAAATGGGGATTTTTGAGCTGAAAATAATGCCACGTCCCTTTTTTTGCTCCTGAAAATTTGAAATTTTTGAAAAATTCTAATCTTCAGGTTTCCTAGAAACTTCAGAGTTCACCGAAAAAAATCTGAAAAATGGGTGCCACGTGGATTTTCAGCCTAACTTTTCTCAAATTTTCAGACCATTTGTTCGACGACTCTGGCCAATTTATTTGGTCTATATGGCGATTTTGTATCCGCTTCAATTTGTGATTTATGTTGGATTGCCGCCCGATAGTTGTATAGGTAAGTTAGTTATGACGTGGCAAATTTATCTAAATTTTCTTGTAAAATTTGAGAAATTTGATTTCTTGTGAAATTTGAGCTATGACGTGGCAAAAATCGATATTTTCAGCCTATCCCTGGTCGAATCTTCTTCCCAATTTCTCCGAAGCTGCAAATCACAATCTGGCCACACTTTTGGACCTGCCAACTTATGGCCAAGCATGGCCGCCAGCATTCCTGTTGGCCGATTTTGCGGTGCTACTTTTGGCCGCTTGCCAACTCAATGTTTTCCGACGAGAAGGCGAGGATAATGATTCGATATATTCGGATGGATTGTATTTGATCAAATCCGCCGAAAATCCACACTATGATTTCATTGATGTGAAAAAGTAGGCTTTTGTTTTTGAGCCATGAGATTTGGAGCTTTTTGAGCCCAAATTCGATTTGCGGCACGGTTTTCGACCATATTTATATGACCATATTTAAGCCACGCCCTTTTTGCAATTTGCGGCATGGTTTTTCTTGAATTTTGACTCAGAATGATCCAAAAACCTTGCAAAAATGGGCGGAGCCTAAAAAACCTCTATTTTTTCTCCACAGATCTTCTGTCGACTACTTCAAAACCCTCATTTTCCACTACGGTCACTGGATTACACTTGCCGCAACTTTAGCCGCCGGAATCGCCGGAACCTCGTTGTTCGCCTTGGGTTATATCATTCTAACCCTCTGGCTCCTCTGGCAAGGAAACAATTTGTATGTGATGAATTCGCGCGGAAATTCGTTCCAACAAACACTGAAACGATGGAATTTGATACTCGGATATACGCTTTTCACAATTACGATGAAGGTTTTATTGCAGGTAGGAGGGAATTTGGAGCATTTTGAGCTCAAAAATGACTAGGTTTTTCCACGTGGCATCAAAAATTCTCAAAATTTGGAGCATTTTGAGCTATGACGTGGCAAATTCTAAAAATTACTGTTTGCAGATGTTTGGTTGTGTCTTCTTGAAATGGTTCGAATCAACAGGCAATTTCCTATGTATAATCCGCCAACTTTTCTCAATAACCTGCATTTACAACTACGGTATCACACAAGAAATGCCGATTTCAAAAGATTTCGAAAAATCGTGCCCCGTGGATTTGAAAGAGGCCAAAATTGGCTATGACGTGGTCGCGTTGGCGTTTTTGGTTCTACAAATTCGAATTTTCCACTCTTGGTATTTCCAACATTGTATGGTTGAGTATAGAAGTGAGGTGATTTTGGCGAATCGGTGAGTGCAAAGGTTTTGGGAGGAATTTTTGGCGGGAAATTTGAAAAATTGAGCTAAAATTCGGGATTTTTCGATAATTTTGACCCGCAAATTGTGAAAAATTGGTAAATTTGACAGAAAATTATGAAATTCAGATGGTTTTCAACCTGAAATTTATGTAATTTGGACGTTTTGAGCAACAAAAATGTGCAGCTCAAAATTCTAGAAAAAAAATTTAAATTTTGAACCAAAATTTGCGAAATTTGATGATTTTCAACCCAGTATCATTGAAAATATGAAATTTTGACCTGAAATTGCACTTAAATTTAAATTTTCAAGATTTTCTGGAATTTCATAGTAAGTTTTGTGTGATTTTTCCTCATTTTCAGTTTTCCCGGGTTTTGTTTTCAGTTTCCAATGTTATTTTCATCGCGAAATCCCCTCATTTTTTCCAGCGGAGCTGTGCTCAAAAATCAATTGATCGAAAAAGAGATGAAAGAGCAAAATGAGCAACAGAAGAAGAAGTTCAACGAAATTCGCCGAAGAACCGAAGCGATTCGAGAAAGATATCAAAAACAACAGGAATCGGGAAAAGAGACGGCCGAGATCATTTTTGAACCGAAAACTTATGGACAAGGTGAGTTTTGGGACAAAATTCGGGTTGTTTGGGAAGTTTTGGAGCATTTTGAGACCTCACAAGCCATGAGCCGTGAAATTTGGAGCATTTTGAGCCTAGATTTAAACCACGCCCACTTTTTTGAACATTGCTCAGGTTAAACTTTTTTTCTCGAAAATTTCCGATTTTCATATTCAAAAGTTTTCAAATTTCCTGACAAATTTCACTATTGCTCAAAGTAAAATTTAGGCTCCGCCCCTTTTCTCCAGGTCTCAAAATGCTTAAAATATTTTATTTTGGGTGTCTTTTTTCTGGTGTCGGGATTTTTTTCAATTTTTTGAATGTCATTTTTTCCCGCCGAAAAATGTCTTGCCACGTTGCAAATCCTAAAAATCCAAAAAATTTTAGACCCCGATGATCCTTTTCCCTTCTATGATTTGAGAATTTCTGATGCTGATGGTAACTCGCAAAAAATTGACCTGAATTTAATTTTTGAACTGAATTTTAATTGAGTTTGGCACCCAAGGCTGGATTTTTCAACTCTTTCCCCCTCTTTTCCTGTGTTTTTTACTAACCCTGGGCAAATTTTGGACCCTACAGTAGTAATTTTCCATAAGCCCCATTTTTTGGGCCTCTACAGTATATAATTTTTAAATCTGCGGAGAACTTTTTTGGACCCTACAGTACCCCTCATTCCCGGGCCCAAATAGATTTGCAGAAATATCAAAAGTGAGACGAAGAAAATTGAATTCGTTTCAAAAATTTGTGCACAAAATTGTGATAAATAGACGGGTTTATAGTGTTTATGGGAAAGGTAAGCACAGAAAAAATCTTGGAATTTTTGTCCAGAAAAACTGAAATTTTCTAAAATTTGAAAAATCTAACAGTTTGACTAACACTTCCAATATCTTTTAACTAATTTTTTTGAGTTTTTGGGTTTTTTTATTAGTTGGCTTAGCTGAAATGTGTTTTTTTGCTCCCTTTTTGCTCCCCAAAAACCCTATATTTTCAGCCAAACGCGCTGGTGACTATTACATGTTCCGCGAGGATCCGGAAGCGGATGATTTGGTTCAACCTGTCGATTCGTTTGTTCCGGAAGTCGATCCAAAAGCAACGGAATATAACAGACTTGATCCTGGACAAATAATGTATGCGGCAACTGCGCATGATATGGATTTGCAGAAAACACTGGGACAAGTGAAGAAAGGCGATCAAATTAAGGATGCGGAAGAACGCGCGCTGGAAGCGGTTTCGGAAGGAAAAAAGAATCCGGAAGATCCGGAAGAACCGGATGAATCGAAAGTTGAATCAGCTGTGAAGTTTGCGCAGAAAATGATATCATCTGCTCTGGATCTTTGCTCGGTGACACTGAATAAGTTATGTAGAGAACATCGATATGTTGGATATGTTTTGTCGAAAGAAAAACAGAAATTGAAAGCTGGACACTCGGAATCCTTATCGAATACTAGTAGAAAATTGACGGAAATTCGAACGGATGTTGATTTGAAAGCGTTGCAATTGGTTCATTCGGAAACTGATGTTGATAAGTGAGTTTTTAACGGAAAATATAGAAAATACACGTTATTTTGACACCAAATACGCTCAGAAAAATTTTGGGATTTTTTTGACAGGGTTTAGGAGTTCTGTAAGCTTAATTATAATATGAGTTTTTTTTGCAACCTTAATTACAATTTTTCCTCTTAAAATTCGCCCTATTTGGTGTCAAAATTGGATAAAAGTTCAGAAAATCTATAATATGAGCAATGTTTTTTTTCCTCAAAAATTCGGTTTTCTGCAATTTTTGACCCCTGGAAGTTTTCTCAAGAAAAGTTGGGATTTTTGACACCGAACATTGCTCATATTATGCATTTTTGAAGTAAAAAGTATAATCTGAGCTGTCAAATTTGAGATTTTATGTTGGAAAATTCCCAAAATATAGTATAATATGAGCAATTCTGACTGAAACTTTTTACCCAGAAATCTCTTATCTCAATAAATTGCTCATATTATACTTGTTTCGAAAGCTTCAGCGAACGCAGCCAGGAATCCAGAACAAAACGAAATTCAAAATTTGTAACATGAGCAATCCTATAATTATCTTATTTGGTATGAAAAAATTCCAAAAATCTATCGGATTTTGCAGAATGGAAACCGAAGCGGTCTCAGATTGGCAACAAAAATCATCAATAATGCGATTTGTGAACGCAGTTGTGAATTGCATCGGAGCCCACACCGATATTTTGTGCTACTTCTTCTCGATTATGACGCAAGTCATGACTGGTGGACTATTGACAATGCCTCTTCCACTTATGGCACTTTTCTGGGGAAATTTGTCGAATCCGCGGCCCAGCAAATTCTTCTGGGTTACTATGATCACGTATACCGAATTTGTGGTAAGATTTTGGGAACAAATGATTTTTGAGCTAAAATTGATCCAGAAATGTAGAAAAATCGCGGGTTTCATGAAATGTTGACCCAAGAAGTCCAAATTTTGAGAAAAATTCAAGGAATTATGAACTCCCAGAATCTAGAAAATTTGAAAAATCACGATTTTCGTGGAATTTGAATATAAAGAGTCAAAATTTGGGCACAGATCTATAATATGAGCAATGGTCGATTTTTAAGTTGAAAAATTAGATTTTTCATGAATTTTGAGTACAGCTAAACCTCTCTCAAATATGAGCAATCTCCTAAATTTCAGGGTTTTTAACCTCAAAAACCAAATTTTCTGCAAAATTCTAACATGAGCAATGCCAATCGCAAATTGTTGCAGATCGTCATCAAATTCATCTGCCAGTTCCAATTTTTCACATTCAACTCCACCGAATACATCACCCAAAACAATCTGAACCCGGTTTCCGTCGACAAAGTCATCGGTGTTTCGAAACGCGACTATTTTGCTCTATGGGATATCATTTTGCTCTTCAGTTTATTCTTCCACAGATATATGTTGAGAAAATTGGGACTTTGGAAGGATGCCAATTTGACTGACACGTTTTTGAGTAGCTCGACGAGTTCTACCGAAAATTCGGCAAATTCTGAGCCGCGCGTCTCGACTGGAAAAGAGTTGGATACTGTAGAGACTACAGTAGACGAAACCCAAAAAGAGTCTAGTCTATCGCAAGGAACTACATCAAATTCGGAAATCACAATTTATTCAGCTGATCCGGTTGTTGTTACACAGGAACCTGTTCAGACTTCGGAAGAAGGTTCGAAAGTTGGACCGATTGGAAGATTTATTCAACAGTTGTTCCATCCCAAGTTTAGATATATTCGGTGGGTTTTTTGAGCTAAAAATCTATGGAATTTGGTCAATTCTGACCTATTCTTTCAAATTTTGACCTGGGATTAACCCAAAAATCATTTGTACAATATTTGGCTGAAAATGAGCTGAAATTCGGGGAATTTGTGGAATTTTTAGCTGAAATTCATGAAAAATGACCTAAAATGTTAGGAAAAAGCTGAAATTTTTATCAATTGTTCATTTTTGTTCCAGAGATCTGTATCCAATAATGTTCGGAATCGATGTGATTTGTTTCCTCACAATCACATTTGGCTATTCATCATTTGGTGAAGGTGGATCTGGAAATGTATTGAATGATGTGAAAGCGTCGAGAATTCCGGTCACTCTAGTTGTTATGTTGGTTGGAATGACATTGGCGATTATTGTTGACAGAGCGCTGTATTTGAGAAAATCAGTCTTGGGTGAGTGAATTTGGCTGAAAATGAGCTAGAATTCATGAAAAAAGGTTAATTTTAACCTGAAATTCGTTGAAAATTGTCTATTTTTTTCCACGTGGAAATCCTAATTTCAACTAAATATTCCAGGAAAATTGATCTATCAAATCTTCATGATCACATTTTTGCACATTTGGATGTTTTTGGTGCTTCCCGAAATGACGACTCGCGCAGCAATCAATAATAAAGTCGCGCAAGCTCTCTACGTCATGAAATCGTGCTATTTCCTCGTTTCCGCGTGGCAAATTCGAAACGGTTATCCGGAATTGTGTATTGGTAATTTGTTGACACACTCGTATGGTATGATCAATATGATTGCCTTTAAAGTGTGAGTTTTTTGGGGATCTCTGGAAAATTTGGCGCATATTGATACCCCTCACGACGTATTTTTGAGTTCTACCCGAAATGCGCCAGCAACTGAAAAGAGTTTCATGGGAACCAAGAATTTATTACTTGAAATGCGTCAGCAAACATCCTTGGCGCACCTTTTGTAGCCCTCCAAACTCTGTCATTTTTGGTCTCAAAATATCCGAATTTTTCTGAAAATCCCGAATTTTCCAGTTTCATGCTCATCCCGTTCCTCTTCGAACTTCGAACAGCAATCGATTGGACTTGGACCGACACATCAATGCCTTTGATGGATTTCTTCAACATGGAAAACTTCTACGCGCACATCTTCAATTTGAAATGTGCTCGTCAATTCGAAGCCGATTATCCGGCACCACGCGGCGTTGCCAAAGGAAAATTGGTGAAATATATGATGGGTTTCCCGTTGATTATTGGAGTTGTTTTATTCATTTGGTCGCCGTTGTTGTTGGTGTCGCTTTTGAATCAAATTGGTGAGGGTTTTTTTTTGCCACGTCATATCCTTGTTTTTTTGTTTTGCAGGAACCATCAGTATGCCTGTCAAAGTCACATTGCGAGTATCGATCGAAGGATATCCGCCACTGTATGAAATGGAAGCACAAGGACAAACGACAGATAATCGAGAATTGCAGACAATGAGCTGGGGACAATATCAGACATTGACCGATATTATTTCGAAACGGTGAGCAGCATTTTGAGCCTCGTGAAATTTGGAGCATTTTGAGATCTCATAAGGCAATTTTTTGAAAACTTCGTACAATTTGGAGCATTTTGAGATCTTATAAAGCTAATTTTTGAAAACTTGATAATGGGGTGATTCAGGTCGAAAAAAAAAACTAAAAAAAAACGTTTTTTTACAAAAAATTTCGATTCAGCAAATGTCAAAAAACTATATTTTTTTCCTATTTCTCGACATTTTTTGACATTTTTTTCATTGAAACATTTTCGCTGCGAGATATCTCTCATTTTTGTGTGGAAAAAAATAGGGTTTTTTGACATTTGCTGAATCGAATTTTTTTGTAAAAAAACGTTTTTTTTTTAGTTTTTTTCGACCTGAATCACCCCATAAAATTAGGAGCCTTTTGAGATCTCGAAAGGCTACTTTTCGAAAACTTGATGAAATTTGGAGCATTTTGAGCCTAGACACGCCCACCTTTTTTCAACATTGCTCACCAAAAATTTGAAAACAATGTTAGCCATGCTCATATTCAACAGTTCTTGGAAAACTGACCATTGCTCATGTTAGTCTGAATTGTGAAGAATCCCACAGTTTGCCACATCATAACTAAACTATTCAGGAAAAATAGGCATTGCTCATGTTGACTGCCGATGTCAAATTCCTAATTTCCCCCCGATTGCCACGTCATAACTCGATCTATTCGTTTTCCAGATATCAAGCCCGTGACACCGAATCAATTCTACGTTCTCGAATGTCTGGATCATATCTCAAAGGTTTCACACCCGAAGATATTTTGATTGTTCGTTTCCGACCAGAATCTGAAGTTTATTGGCCAATTTCACAAGATTCCATCAATGCGATGATGTGAGTTCTGAAAAAAATTGGAGATTTTTAGCCGAAAATTCATATTTACAGAAATAAATTGGAAGGAAATTCATCGGCAAATTTCCAAGTGACATTGGCTTTCACGAGACCTTATAATTCCAATGATAATGCGGCTCTAACGCATTCGAAATCGTATTTAGTTCCAATAGATCAATCGCCTGATGTTAGAGCGGAGATTATTAAGGGACTGAAAGGTGGAGATATATCAACACCTGTGAGTATTTTTGGTGGAATCACATAACCCTTATTCTTCCTGAATTCTTTGCAGATCACCATCAAAACCGCCCTTCCATCATATATTCAAGTGCCGAATTCGGGAGAACTAACACTTCCAACAGCGATTGGAAATTCGATAGTTCTAGACTCGAATGGTGGATATCCGGCCGATTTGCCATATGCTGATCTTGGAAAAGCGTGGTTCGACACGTTGAAATTGACATTGAAGCCGAGCAGCACACAGAATACCGTGAGTTTTAAGCTCTAGCATTTTTTTAGATAGGTCGATTCATTTGTGATCCTATTTTTTTTGCAGAAAGTCTGGCTGCTCTCTCAAATCCATCCTGGTCTCTCGAATGACACCATGTTTTTGCCAGCCGAAAAAACATCATATGGAGGAGATCGTGATTATATTCAAGTTGTCGGTTTTGTCGACAGAGCTTTTCCATCATTTTTGGGTGAGTTTTTGCGATTTTCCAGGTTTTTTGCTGTAAAAATTGGATTTTTCATCGAACTTTGGTCCAGAAACGTTGGATTTCGACAAAAACCGATTTCAGTAGAGAAAAGTCAATTTTCGACCGCATCGAACCAAAACCAAGAAAGAAAATTCGTTTCACTCAATTTTCCCCTCCTGAAAATCCCCATTTTTTTCCAGCTGCGGTCTACAAAGGCGGTGTAATTGCAATGTATTTATCAGTGGTTGTAGTTGTTGGTCGAGGAGTTGTTCGTGGCTTATTCACATCGCAACCAAGTAGTGTCATGTTCAATGAATTGCCGAATGCTGATCATTTGTTGAAGATTTGTTTGGATGTTTATTTGGTTCGAGAGGCTAAGGATTTCTTCTTGGAACAGGTGGGCCCAGGCTTCAAAAATTTGAATTTTTCACCAAAAAATTCGGTCGGGACTTGATTTTTGGCTCTGGAAATTTGAATTTTTCATGAAAAATGCCCAAAATTCAAATTTTCCGCGAAAGCTTTTCCCGCCAAATTACAAGTTTCCGGGTCCCGCCACGATCTATAGTAGCCCATAAATAATGTTAATTTCAGGATCTATTTGCCAAATTAATATTCTTATTCCGATCGCCGGCCACATTAATCGAATGGACTCGAATGAGCAAAAAGAAGCTCGAATAATGTTTTTTCTGAAATTGTTTGGAAAATTCCAGAATTTTCTGAATATTTCACCATGTTTTTTTGTCTAAATTTGTTTTATCATTTCATTTTTTGTATTTTTCTATCTATTTTTTCTTCTTTTTTTTCACACCTCCGATTTTCGGGTTATTTCTCGTGTTTTTCTGTTTTTCTTCTCTGTTTTGCGATTTTTTGTGCGAAAATAAATGTTTTTGTTGGAAAAAAATGCTTTAAAACTTTGAATTTTGGTCCCTGTAGCCTGTGTTATTTATTTTTTTAGATTTGCCACGTGGAAATGTATTTTTCAACAAATTATTGATTGTTTTTTTCCGAAATTTTGAAATTGAATTTTTTCGCGCTAAAACTAAATATTCCGAAAAAATTATCCAAAAATTAAGAAAACCTACAGATTTTTTTCAAATTTTGCCACGTTGCAGAATATTTAAAATTTTCCCTGAATTTTTCATTTAAAAATTCAGAAACAAGATCCACGTGTTAAACAAAAAGCATAGATTTTTCCTCGATTAAAATTTTCAGCTTGAAATTGGTCATATTTCATTTTCCCACCAAAAAATACGATTTTCTTTCAGATCTCAAGAATTGAATATGGGTAGTCGAATTCGCGAAAAACGTCGACACACAAGTGTTGATGCAATTGAGGAAAAAAGAAATCGAGTGAGTTTTTCATGGGAAAATTAGAAAAAAATAGGTTTGTCAACCAAAATTCGACAAAAAACTCGAATTTCGCACCAAAAAACTTGGAAAACCCTGAAAGAATTCTGAAAACTTTTCCAGAAAAGCATTGGAATTCAAGTGAATTTGGTTGAAAAGGTTGAAACTATTCAAACAACACAATCAATCGTGAAAATTGAGAAGCCTTGTTGTCGAATTTGCGAGATTGATCTGAGCAATGCCATCAAATCGACCGAAATTCCCGAAAAAACTGATGAATTTCTCAGATGGTGTAAGATTTTGGGAAAGCAATTTCAGAATAATGTTTTTCAAAATCAACAACCTCATTTGATTTGTTTGACTCATGTTTTTGAGCAAAATTGGAAAAATTTTTGAATTTATAAATTTGTTTTTGTTCGAATATTTTTTTCAGAAAATCTTGCTTGAACACGGTTTGGGCCGATATTATTATTATTTTTTATTCGCGGAAGCTTGCGGTTTTTTATGCCAAAAACAGAGAACACATCTCAAACTACTGCTACAGTAGTTTTTCGTCACAAGACTCTGTTGGCATTTTCTGTGCGCCTTTGAATTTTTTTTCAAAATATTTCCGCGTGACCCACAAAAACTGACGTGGCCACAAAATTTTAGAAAAATTTCAGTTCTAGATTTTTATGATGTCAGAAAATGTGAGTTTTTGGACCTATCTGCCGAATTTTTCCCCGTGGCAAAATCCACAAAATTGCTCAGATTAGCATAATTTGTCCCCTACAGTACTCTTTTATATCAGGAGCTCCCCAAAAAACTCGTATTTGTTCCTCTTTTCCTCTTTTCCCCAGAAGAACAAAACCACAGAAGAAATAGTGTGTGAAATGAGGAGAGTGCGAGACGGGAGACGGGAAGAGTGGTTCGTTGGAGCATGTTTGCTCGTTTTCATCACTATTCCTCAGGTTTTCGCCCATTTTTTGGCATTTTGCACGTTTCCAGTCAATTTTCAGCTAATTTTGCAGCGCACTTGTGGAATTTTCGAATTTTCGCGGTGATTTCGATGATTTGATCGCGATTTGGTCATCAGGAAAATGCGAGGACGTCGAAGTTTTCAAGAAAATGCGACAAAACCGCGAAAATCTGCGGCAAAGCCGGAAAAACGCATGGAAATGTATGATGAGTTCTATTTGGTGAGTGAGAGGATTTATTGATTTTTGAGCGGGTTTGGAAATTCAAACACGAGTAATTTGAAGACTGGAAATTATCGATTTTTGAGGGAAAGCAGCTGACAATCGATAATTTTGGGAATTTCTGATTTGCGCGGCCTAAAAGATGCTCTGAGGGACTTGACAAGGATCAAGGCCTGTGAAATTATCCTGAGCAGGCCTGAATAGGCTAAGACTTGCTCAACTCTTTGAAAAAAGCCCTGAAAAGGCAGTTCAATGGGTTTAGAAGCCTGAAAGACCATTTGAAGAGCCTAGGCTCATTTGGGCTCTTCGAAAGTAGCCTGAGCAGGTCTAGGTAACCTCAAGATCTACAAAATCAGCCTGAGAGGCCTGAATTGCCTGCTTGGTGATCTAAGGAGCCTAAATTCTCTAAGGACTTTAAGGATAAGCCTAACCAGGCCTACTTTAGCCTAATTTCATGTTAAATAATCTGGAAAAGCCTCAAATCACTTTGGGGCTGTGTAATAAGCCTAACCAGGCTGGAAAATAGCCTAAGCCTATTCATGACTTGTGAAACAACCTAAAAAAGCTTAACATAGGTCTGAGAAGCCCGAAAACTTGGATGTAAAGCTCTTAAATCTTCTGAAGCCTGTAAATCTATAAAATTTCTAGAAATCTCAAATTTTTCCAGAATTTCGAGCCTCCCCCACTCGCCAAAATCTACACACCGACAGCCGAAGAGTTTCTCGATCCCATCAAATATGTCGAGAAAATTCGAGCCGAAGCCGAACAATTTGGAGTCGTCAAAATTATTCCGCCAAGTGTACGTGGTCTTTTTTCACAGAAAAAATGGGGAAAATAAATGAAGTTATTGAAATACCGTGTAAAATGCTCTGAACCTTGATTTTCCCAGAAATCCTTAAGGAATTCTAGCAAAATCGATGATTTTCAGAACATTTTACAAGGATTTCAGCGGAGATTCGGAAGCTATGCCCAATTTTTGAATTTTTGCAGACCTTCAAGCCGCCTTTCGTCATCGATCGTGAAACTTTCAATTTTCGTCCCAGGACCCAAAAAATTGAATGAAGTTGAGGCGATGGTCAAGGAGAAACATGTAAGTTTTTTAGGCTTAGGCCTAGGCCCACCTAAATAAGCCCAAATTTTTGCAGACTTTTGTGGAGCGAGTGATAAATTTCAATCGAATGTCTGGAATTCCTTATGAATTACCGTATGATAAAGATGGCAAAGTTATCGATGTTTATAGACTTCATAGGGTAAGCGAACATTGCTCATGCTAGACTCAAATACAAGAAAAATGTTTTTCAGATTGTCCAAAACATGGGCGGTTGCTATAAAGTGAATCATGATGAAAAATGGCGAGATGTTGCGAAAGAAATGATTCCGGTGGAGAAATCGGCGAAATTGTTGACGGCCGGATTTGTGAAAATGATTCAGAAACACTATAACAATTTTATTGAGCCGTTTAATCGAAATTTGAAGGTTAATTGAGAATTTTGCTGAAAATTGGCTAATTTTGTTATTGCTCAGATTAGCCTAGCCTACTTTTACTTTAAAGAAATGATCTGAAATACCGTTTAAAACGCTCTGAGCGCTGATTTTTCTAGAATACCTCAAGGAATTCTAGCAAAATTGATGATTTTCAGAACATTTTACAGGGATTTCAGCTGGGATGCGGAAGCTATGCCCAAATTTTGAATTTTCAAGGAAACATCGTTAAAAATTGGTGGCCTAGAAATCCAAAATAGTCCCTGTCCTAATTTTGACAATTTTGAAAAATTTCCCCGAAAAATTACGTTTCAAAAATTTCATATATTTTTCCCGGATAAATTATAGGATGATACGGTGTTTTTAGATGTATCGTGTGAAAAAATGTTTCCGCAATCTTCCGGGAGCGCGGCAAATGTTGCGAGCCACGCGGAAGATTGCGACGCTTTGTAGGCCTAAGTTCTTGGGAAATTCTGAAATACCATGTAAAATGCTCTGAGCTTTGATTTTTCTAGAAATCCTTGGGAATTCGAGAAAATTCAATGAGTTTCAGAGAATTTTACAAGGATTTCAGCGGAGATGCGGAAGCTATGCTGGAATTTTGAATTTGTAAAGGAACATTGAAAATTGGTGGCCTAGAAATCCAAAACTAGTCCCTGACCTAATTTTGACCAAAATTTTTTGCAGGAAAAAGAATCGCGTTGCGACGACAGTGACGATGATGATGAAACGGAAGAGCTGAAGCACAAATATCAACATCATCACGGAACAATGAGAACTGAAAAAGAGGACGATGACGTGGAATATGTGGATGATGAAGAAGCAGAAGAATGTCCGCCGTCGATGCAAGGAGGCGGAAGACGACGCGGAAAAAAGAAGACGGAAGCGCCGCAACGACAATCCCGAATGATGGCTGGCGGTGTGAAGAAGCAGGCGAATTTGCCGACGAAGAAACGAGTTATTAGTGAGTGCCACGTGGCCAAAATTGTCTTCTGAAATGCCGTGTAAAATATTCTGAGCTTTGATTTTTTTTAGAAATCCTCAAGGAATTCTAGCAAAATCAATGATTTTCAGAATATTTTATAAGGATTTCAGCGGAGATGCGGAAGCTATGCTCAAATTTTGAATTTTTAACGGAAATTGATTGATTCGTGGCCTAGAACTTCAAAACTAGTCCCTGACCTAAATTTTCCAGTGAATCTCATCGAAAAATCAATAATTTTGCAGAAAAACGTGCTTCGAGCTCATCAGATGAAGATCCAATGGACACGGTATTCTGTATATCCTGTACCGGTGGAATGGACGAAGATCTGTTATTACTTTGTGATATTGAAGGTTGTCAAAATGGTCGACACACTTATTGTTGTGATCCGCCACTCGAAGAAGTTCCGCAAGGCGAATGGAGATGTCCGAAATGTATCGAAGCGGAAGATTCGAAAATCGGATTGGATTGGGGATTTTATGATAATGATGTGGAGTATAATTTGAATACGTTTGCCGAATTTGCTAATGATTTTAAGTGCAAATATTTTGGAGTTGATGCGCCGATGGTAAGGGTTTTGAAATCTGGAAATCTCGAAGCTTCCGCGAAGCTTCTTGAAATTCTGAAATACTGTGTAAAATGTTCTGAACTTCGATTTTACTAGAAATTCTCAAGGAATTCTAGCAAAATCGATGATTTTCAGAATATTTTACAGGGATTTCAGCTGGGATGCGGAAGCTATGCCCAAATTTTGAGTATTTCCCACAATGTTTTTTTTTTTGCAGTCTGTGGATCGTCTCGAAGTCGAAAAAGAATTCTGGAAAAATGTGCAATCACCAATTTCGGTGTCCGTAAAATACGGTGCAGATTTGATAACCTCAAAAATGGGAAGTGGATTCCCACGAAAAGAGGACAAATTCCATGGACCCGAATCGAGAATTCGACAACAATACGCGAATCATGCGTGGAATTTGAATAATTTGCCAGTTTTGCGAGAATCTGTCTTATCACATATCAATACTGGAATTAGTGGAATGATGGTCCCGTGGGTTTATGTTGGAATGTGTTTTAGTACTTTCTGTTGGCATACTGAAGATCATTGGACTTATAGTATTAATTATAATCATTGGTGAGTTTGGTTTTGGGGGGGAATTTGTGATTTTCGAGTTAAAACCATGAAAATTGGGCGTTTCTGACCTGAAATTGAGTTAAAATCCGAAATTTTTCAAAACCTATAATCCACGTTCAAAAATTTCGGCAAAATCACCAATTTTTGGACTGTAAATGTTTTTTTTGAGAACAATTTCGGGGAAAAATTACGTTTCAAAAATTTCATATATTTTTCTCGACAAATTATAGGATGATTACGAAATTTTTTCTGTGTCGTGTAAAAAAATATTTCTGCAATCTTCCGCGAGCGCGGCAAATTTTGCAAGCCACGTGGAATATTGTAGCGCTTTGCAACCCAAAGTTTTTGAGATTCTGAAATACCGTGTAAAATGCTCTGAGCGCTGATTTTCCTAGAAATCCTTGAGAATTCTAGAAAAATCGCTGATTTTCAGAAAATTTTACAGGGATTTCAGCTGGGATGCGGAAGCTATGCCCAAATTTTGAATTCTTAAAGGAAAATGGTTGAAAATTGGTGGCCTAGAAATCCAAAACTAGGCCTTGACCTAATTTTCGGTCAAAATTCAACTGTTTTTAACAATTTTAGTGTCAAAATGACTGAAAGCATACAGAAATTCTGAAACTCCATGTTCTTACTTATAACACAGGTCGAAATTCCTCAAAAATTACGATTTTGCAGGGGCGAGCGTAAAATCTGGTACGGAATCGGCGGCGACGACGCAACAAAATTCGAAGACGCCGTCCGCAAAATCGCTCCAGGTCTAACCGGACGCCAACGCGACCTATTCCATCATATGACGACTGCCGCCAATCCGCATCTCCTCCGCAATTTCGGCGTTCCCATCTATAAAGTCGAACAAAATGCCGGCGAATTTGTGATCACTTTTCCACGCGCATATCATGCCGGCTTCAATGAGGGACTCAATTTTGCAGAGGCTGTTAATTTTGCTCCAATTGATTGGGTTTGTTTTTTTTAGCTGAATTCCTAATTTTGATCAGAAATCTTCACAAAATCCATTTTTCAAACTTGAAACTCACATTTTCAACCAAAAATTCCCGATTTCCAGCTTCAAAAAGGTCGACTTTGTATGGAAGAATATTCAAATGTTCGGCGATTTTCTGTATTTTCACACGATGAATTGGTTTTCAAAATGGTCGAAGCCAGAGATCGACTCGGAATTTCGATGAGTTTAGCCACTTTGGATGAATTGTTGGAGGTACGTTTCCGGCTGAAAATCTGGAAATTCCAAGTTTTCCGCTGAAAAATGCATGTTTTCCTCTAAAAAAAACATGAAAATAGACTATTTTTGACCTAAAATTCAGATTTTTCACTAAAAATGTAGACTTTTCATAAATTTTTCACCTGAAATTCAATAAAAATCCAATTTTCACCTGGAAACCAGTGTTTTTTCCAGATTCAAAGACGCGAGCAAAAAATGCGAGAAATGGTTGTGAAAATGGGAGTGGAAGAGTCGGAAAAAGTGATTTTTGAGAATCTTCAAGATGATCAGAGGACTTGCAGGTGGGGTTTTAGGTTGATTTTGGGCTTTAAGCTGGACCTAATTTTCAGCCCTATTTTAGCCTAAGTTTAGAGGTTCTAGGCCAATTTCCAGCCAAATTTTGAGCTGAAAAATATCAAAATTCCAGACCCAACCTAAAATTAATTTCAGATATTGTCGTACCACATTATTTGTCTCAGCCATAACTTGCAAACATGGAAGAAGTGTTTGTCTTCATCATTTCGATCGAATTTGTAAAAAATGCACAATTGATCAATGTGTTATGCAGTGAGTTTGTTAGGGATTGCTCAGATTAGAGATTTTCCTCGAAAAATGGGATTTTTGCTTAATTTTGAAACATTGCTCATGTTGAATCTGAAAAAATTAAAAAAAAATTAGAATATGAGCGATGCTCATACGTCGCATGCCAGGGGTAATCGACCCGTGGAGGGGTTATCCCTCACACCAAATTTTGGAGGGGGTTGTCACTTGAGATAAAAAATTTTATGAAACTTTCTCAGTTTTGATGATAATTTTCTCTACATATTCTGCCATAGGGATACCAATTTAAGCCTCAAAACAGTTTCCACATAAATATCTAATTAAATTAGCGGTAGCAAGCCTTTATTAGACCCCTATCAACTATGCTCCACAATAAAATCCAAAGAATTAAGCCTGGTATCAATATGGGACCACTATGTCATTTTTCACCTGTGTTATCAAAGAACACAGGGGTAAAAAGTCAGTAGGGGTGTCTAATGAATACCAATGAATATTAGACTTGAGTTAGGGGTAGCATGCCTTTATTAGACCCTTATCAACTATGCTCCACAATAAAATCCAAAGAACTAAGCCTGGTATCAATATGGGACCACTATGTCATTTTTCACCTGTGTTATCAAAGAACACAGGGATAAAAGTCAGTAGGGGTATCTAATGAATACCAATGAATATTAGACTTGAGTTAGGGGTAGTATGCCTTTATTAGACCCTTATCAACTATGCTCCACAATAAAATCCAAAGAACTAAGCCTGGTATCAATATGGGACCACTATGTCATTTTTCACCTCTGTTATCAAAGAACACAGGGGTAAAAAGTCAGTAGGGGTGTCTAATGAATACCAATGAATATTAGACTTGAGTTAGGGGTAGCATGCCTTTATTAGACCCTTATCAACTATGCTCCACAATAAAATCCAAAGAACTAAGCCTGGTATCAATATGGGACCACTATGTCATTTTTCACCTCTGTTATCAAAGAACACAGGGGTAAAAAGTCAGTAGGGGTGTCTAATGAATACCAATGAATATTAGACTTGAGTTAGGGGTGATTTACCTTAATTAGGTTCTTATCAACTATTTCCAAGAAGGGAAAATGTATTAATTTCAAAAACTTGACCCTAAATCAAACCACCAACTCTGAGAAAAAAAATATGATCGTAATTGTAGATTACATTACTATTCTGTAGATCGCTGACTTTTAATGATATTAAAATATAGATCGCGGATTCGATAAAGTAAAAAACCTTACAGATTTGAAATCGAGAATTGTTAATTTTGAGAAAAATGAAATTTTGTTCATCCAAGAGATTAGTTTTGAATAGATCATATCAAATCTAGCTAGTTAAACGAGACACTAAATAAATTAAATTGTGCAACCACATTGATCCATATTAATTTTGAATAACTGTACATTGTCGCCTAATCATAATTTTTGCAAATATTACAGTTACTAACTGTCAGTTGATATGTGAAAAAATGACATAGTGGTCCCATATTGATACAAGGCTTAATTCTTTGGATTTTATTGTGGAGCATAGTTGATAAGGGTCTAATAAAGGCATGCTACCCATACATCAGTATCCCCGGATTTTCGTCCGGAGGGGGTCTGGCTAACTTTGGAAAAAAGGGGTGGGGACCGGCTAACTTTTTGAAAAAATAGCAATTTACCCCCCAAAAACCAAGTTTTTTTTCTTTTTTTTTTGAGGGGTCTGGCTAATTTTTGTATTTTCACATTCCGGGGCTGGCTAATTTTGAGACCCTGACCGGGAGAAACCGATGTATGATGCTACCCCTAACTCAAGTCTAATATTCATTGGTATTCATTAGATACCCCTACTGACTTTTTATCCCTGTGTTCTTTGATAACACAGGTGAAAAATGACATAGTGGTCCCATATTGATACCAGGCTTAGTTCTTTGGATTTTATTGTGGAGCATAGTTGATAAGGGTCTAATAAAGGCATGCTACCCCTAACTCAAGTCTAATATTCATTGGTATTCATTAGATACCCCTACTGACTTTTTATCCCTGTGTTCTTTGATAACACAGGTGAAAAATGACATAGTGGTCCCATATTGATACCAGGCTTAGTTCTTTGGATTTTATTGTGGAGCATAGTTGATAAGGGTCTAATAAAGGCATACTACCCCTAACTCAAGTCTAATATTCATTGGTATTCATTAGATACCCCTACTGACTTTTTATCCCTGTGTTCTTTGATAACACAGGTGAAAAATGACATAGTGGTCCCATATTGATACCAGGCTTAGTTCTTTGGATTTTATTGTGGAGCATAGTTGATAAGGGTCTATTAAAGGCATGCTACCCCTAACTCAAGTCTAATATTCATTGGTATTCATTAGATACCCCTACTGACTTTTTATCCCTGTGTTCTTTGATAACACAGGTGAAAAATGACATAGTGGTCCCATATTGATACCAGGCTTAATTCTTTGGATTTTATTGTGGAGCATAGTTGATAAGGGTCTAATAAAGGCATGCTACCCCTAACTCAAGTTCAAAATTCACTATTTGCCTCATTGATGTAAATTCTGAGCTTAAGCTCAATAAAATTGAAATTTTCAGATTTCTATAGCTGGAAATGAAAAAAAAATGAAAAAAGGGGGGGGGGGGTTATCCCGTTCGCCGAAAATTTTCAAAAATAGGGGTATGCCCTGGCGGATTTGAAACTAGGGTATGCGACGTATGGCGATGCTCCAAATACGATGGATTTTGAAGCATTGCTCATATTAGCCTCACAAAAATCATTGCTCATATTGAACCCATCTCATATTTCTAGGGATATTGAAGCATTGCTCATATTAGAGAAAACAAACGATTATTTTAGCACTAATATGAGCGAACACATATAATTTCCGAGCATTGCTCATATTATACTCAAAACCCTGCTGTTTTTCCAGATTCCGCTACGATTTAGACGAACTTCCAATATTCATCGACCAACTCGAAACTCGAACCACCGAATATCATTCATGGAGAAGTCAATCGGATTTGATTTTGCACGAATATGAGAAACCTGGTAAGAAAAATTGAGATTTTACAGCTATTTCTGAGTCGGAACAGCGATTTTCAGCCAAAAAAACTTAAAAATTTCCATTTTTCCACAATTTTCCACCTCAAAAACCTTCAATTTTCTCTCAGAAATGTCAAAAATCGATGAGCTCATCGACACGGCAAAATCGAAACATTATCCATTCACCGCCCACATGCAAACTTTGTTGGCAATCCGTGAAAACTATGAAAAAGTCACGACAAAAGCCAAAATTCTGCTAAATGGAAAAGTTCGAACTCGAACCGGAACTCGAAATCAACGAGCCGATACTCGATTCGATGTCGAAGGTGTCCGGAGATTTATTGAGGAAATTCAGGAGATGCCGATTGAAATGACGAGTTGGGTCGAGAAATTGGAGGTTTGTCACGGATTTTTGGATTTTTTGTGAAATTTGGAGCATTTTGAGCCCAAGTTTTCCATTTCCCACATTTATCTGATCATTTTGACACCCATTTCGATATTGTTACGAAAAAGTGGGCGGGGCTTGCAATTTTGCGGCGCGATTTTTGAAAGTTCTCAAAACTATGCGAATGGGAGCTCAAAATGTCCGTAATTGTCTCAGGAATCTGGATATAGCTAGAAACACTAGTGAAAAATTGAGCCACGGCCACTTTTGCAAGTTGCGGCATGGTTTTTTTTTTGAAAATTATGAGAATTAGGTCAATATGGGTCTCAAAATTACCGTAATCAACTCAGAAACCCACATTTTTCCAGGAGCTTTATCAAAAAGTCGAAAATTGGCGCAAAAGAACGGCTGAAGTTATCGAAACTCAAGTGAAATTGGAGGGCGAAAATAATTCGGAAGAAGTCAAAGTTTTTGCGGTGAAACCATTGAATTGCGAAGATTTTGAGGCGATAATTGAAGAGGGCGAAGAATTTGATATTAAATTGGATGAGATTGGAATGTTGAAAAAGGTTGGCAGCATTTTTAGCTCGAATTTAAATATCAGAAAATGACGAAATTTGTCTGAAAAATTGAAAAAAATGATATTAGACTGAAAAAAACGTCAAATGTTGACCTAAAACTTTTCAGCTCAAGTTTATCAGAAATTAGCTGAAAATGTCCAAAAATCTGTTAAAAGGCTGTTTTTAGCTCAGTTTTACCTTCGAAATAATCAAGTTGACCTCTATTTTTCCAGATAATCGATCTGAAAAAATGGGAATCTCGTGTAGAAGTTCTGATCTCATGGAAACCATCAAACTTAATGGAACTCGAAGAAGAATACGAATATTCGAAACGTTGGACAACCGACGAAGTTTTGAGCCTAATTCGAGACGGCTCAAAACTTGCTATGCAAAAAATGGAAAAACTGCAAAAACTCCAGAATATGCTGAAAATGGCGCATGTTCATGACAGTGATGCTGAAGTATTCATGAAAAATCCGACGATTTCAAATTTGGCTGAAAATTGGAAATCGATTCGAGAAAGTGATTGGTATACTGGGAAATGTGAGTTCTTAGGCTGGAATTAGGCCAAGCCCCTTTTTTGCGGTGAAATTTGGAGCATTTTGATCCCAAGATTCGAATTGCTCATACGATTATTTTGACACCCTAATTATAATTACAAAAAAGTGTGCCAGAGTTGCAAAGTGGGCGTGGCTTGCACTTTTGTCGCATGGTTTTTGAAAATTGTCAGAATTGGGTCGTAATTAACTTACAAGGGAACCTTTTTTACTCAACACTTCAAATCATGATGAAATTTGGTCCATGGACAGCTTTTGGGACCATAAGAACACCCTAAAAATTTTAGTCTCCCAATGGACCTCTGAGCCAAGTTCTGGGCTCTCAAAAGTTCAAAAAAGGCCTAAAAATGGTCATAAAAGTCATCATAGCTCCATTTCAAATTTTTTTTTGGGAGAAATGAAGTTTCAGATATTGATCAGCATGGTCGATTACCTAAAAATACATCAATAAAAAACTTTATTTCGAAAAATTTTGAAGTTTTTTATTTTTGGGCTGAAAATTCATGAAAATTCATATGTGCCCCTGCTCATTCTTTTTTTCAAAATCAAAAATTTTTCTGAAAATTCGATTTATTGATGATTTTTGGGTAAATCGACCACGCTGATCATCATCTGCTACTCAGTTTTTCATAAAATTGATCGAAAATTGAGTTATGACGTGTTTTATGAGCCAATTTTGGCAATTTTCGAACTTTTGAGAGCCCAGAACTTGGCTCAGAGGTCCATTGGGAGACTAAAATTTTTAGGGTGATCTTATGGTCCCAAAAGCTGTCCATGGACCAAATTTCATCATGATTTGAAGTGTTGAGTAAAAAAGGTTCCCTTGTTAGGAAACTAGCTACATCAATAAATATTGATTATAAATTAAGCCACGCCCTTTTTGCAATTTTGAGGCATAGTTTTTTCGAAAAAATTCCAACAAGCTCAAAAATCGATTTTAAAGTTTAAAATTTTTGATTTTAGGGTTGAAAATTGTCCAAAATTTGATTTTCAGCTCAAATTTTCAAAAAAAAAAACCCTCCCAAATTCTTTCAGACATTGATAAAATGCGCACCGAAATGCTCGCCGTTCAACAAATCACTCAACAAATCGACAAAATTTGCCAAATTCCAGAAGATTCCCCGAAAAAGTCTGAAAATCCCCAAAATTTATCGGAAAAACTCGAATTTCTGTCCAAAAATGCTCCACTCAAATTTGCGGATATCGTCGAATTGAGTGCACTTTTTGGCGATTCCCGAATTTTGTCGGAAAGTTTGGAGGCCGAAAAATTGGCCGAACTCAAATCGAAAATGGAGAAATTCACACAGAAAATTGGAGCCTTGTTCAAGAAAAATGAATTTTTCAGCATTTTTGAAGTGGGTTTCCTCTACGTCTCTCGAAATTGTATACTCTCTAGCTTCTTCTGCGTCTCTAGGCTTTCTGTACTCTCTAACCTCTATATTTTTGTTGCAGATTCTCTCCGAACGTGAAGATTTTCCTCAACTCATCGAGGGACAAACATTGCCGAAATATTCGAGATGTTCCACGTCATCTGGTAGGTTTTTTGAACAAATAGGCCACGCCCCTTTTTTGCAAATTGCGGCATGGTTTTTGGGAGACAATTTGGAGCATTTTGATATCTCACAAGCTCGGGAAAAATTTTAATTAGGCCACGCCCCTTTTTCTTGCAAGCCTGGCACAGTTTGGTCCCAAAATGACCGGAATTTTAAGCCACGCCCACTTTTTCTTGCAAGCCTGGCACAGTTTGGTCTCAAAATGACCGGAATTTCAAGCCACGCCTCTTTTTTCTTGCAAGCCTGGCACAGTTTGGTCTCAAAATGACCGGAATTTCAAGCCACTCCCATTGTTTCTTGCAGCTTGCGACGAATGGAACGAGATCACCGAATTCGACACTATCGAACAACTCATGCAACATCAATCAACAATGCGAGATTCGCGCCAAAATTTGATAGGTTTGTGTGTAGTTCTCGTGGAAAAGCCGACTTCTCCACGAGAAATACACAAAAAAAAATGATTTTCAGCAAATTTACAACAAAAAAATGATGCTCGCGGATTGGAAACGTGTATTTGTTTGAATTCGGACCCCACATCTGCTTCGCTAGATCAACAGAAAATTGTGATTTGTTTGATGTGCCGTGCAAAGTATCACGGTAAGCCTTGGAGCGTTTTGAGCCCAAATTTTACTAGGTTTAAGCTCCGCCTCTTTTCTGCAAGCCTGGCACAGTTTTTACCATTTGAATTTGTACTCAAAATACTAGGAAAATTAAGCTCCGCCCATTTTAGTGCAATTTCACCGCACACTTTTTTATTTTCATTTTCAAAATTCCAAATTTTACTTCCAGTTTCTTGCGTCGAATGGTCGGATTTCTTGCAAAATCTGCCGGAAGGAAGTTATTTGTGTATTCGATGTTTGAAAGGTCGTCGACCGATTTTGGAAGATGTTCAGCTCGCCTGCTCCGATGCACCCGATAATTGTTTTGAGGTGCGTTTTGAGCAATTTTTTGAGCAGAAAAATTTGGAAAATTGCATGCCACGTGCATTTTCCCTCGCAAAATTTCAAAAATCCCCATTTTTTTCCAGATGAATTTGGTTCGATGTCTGATGTCTGAATCTCGTGAAATATCTCGGAACCTTCTCTCATCCGAATCCGAACAAACCCTGCTCGATTTTCTCAGCTGCGAAATTTTGAATTTGAATTGCCTGCCGAAAGTTGGAGAACTGATTCGCAGATTTTATGGCAAAATTTTGGAATTTCAGTTGGAGTAAGTTTAGCAGTTTTTTGACACTAAATTTGAATTTCACCTCGAATTTTGAGCTAGGGAAGTTTTCGAAAACACGTTTTTTTCGAATAAGAAGGTTCGATCCCCGGTGCCTGCGGAAAATTTTGTTTTTTTCCCCAAAAACCCCTGTCTTCTTTCAGAAATTGTCGATTGTTGCGAAATCGAACCACTCCTCTTCAAATGCCTTCAGCGATTTTTGTGTCGCGCAACGCGTCAACTTCGCGACGCGGAAAACGTGGATCCGGACAGATTGGCAAAGATATTGCACGGAAAATCAAGCGAAGAAGCGGACAAAAAGGAGGAGGGGATATTACGGCCGCGTGTTCGGCCGAAAAGTGCTTGCAGCCGTATGGTGAGTGCGAATTTTGAGAGAATTTGAAAGATTTGCTATTTTTTGGTGTAAAATTCATGAATTTTGACCCTGTAAACGTGGAGTATCGTTTGAGATTTAAAAATTCCGGATTTTTGAGCCTACAAATTCAAAAAATGGCCTCGTAATTGCGGAGTGTCGTTTTACGTCTTTTTTCAATCCTAAACAACACTCTGCCATTACATAGTGAAATTTCCTCAAATGTTGCCTCCCCGTCAACGCGGAGCATCGTAACTTATCCAAATATTAATTGCAGGTCAAGTTGGATGGGTTCAATGCGATCCTCCAGGATGCAATCGTTGGTTTCATTTTGTGTGTGTGGGTCTAACCCATGAAGGTAAATTTTCAAACGATGCTCCGTGATTCCGAAGAAAAATCACGGAGAATCTTCGTAAAAACCCTCAAATATATATTCTTCAGAAATCGACTCAATCGAAAATTATACTTGCCAAAGATGTTCAAATGGCGGTGGATCGACAGGATCTCCACTTTCATCGTCTTCAGATTAGGAGGCTAATCTAATCTGCAAAATTTATCGATGTTTCTCTCTTTAAATCTCACATTTTCTTTCTTAACCACCAAATCTGATGATCTTTTCTTGTTTTGTTTTCTGAAAAATTGCATATTTTCCTGGTATTTTTTTCTTCATTCACATAAAATGTTTTACTTTTTTACCTTACTGTGCTCCTAAATGGGCGGAAGATGGAATGAGAAATAATATTTGTGGATCCACTCCGAATTCCCGATTTTCATCTTTTATGATGAGTAATCATATTTTTGACACTACAATAGTGCATTCAAACTCAACTTTTTTTGGTCAAAAATTTGTAAATCTAGAAGAGCAAAAATAAAAATTGCACCGTGCAAAAATAAAAATTGCACCGTGCAAAAATAAAATTGCACCGTGCAAAAATAAAAATTGCACTGTGCAAAAATAAAATTGCACCGTGCAAAAATAAAATTGCACCGTTAATCTTTCGAGCATTTTGATACTGAATTTGTCTAGAAAAACTGTGTTCGGGTTGAAAAAAATGTTTTTCGTGTACTGAAACAAAAAATTTCAACAAAAATCGAGATTTTGATTTTCGTGTACAGAATCGAAAAATTTCAACAAAAATCGAAATTTTGATTTTCGTGTACAGAATCAAAAAATTTCAACAAAAATCGAAATTTTGATTTTCGTGTACAGAAGAACTTTATTGTTTTTTAACAGTGTTAAAAAGAGTCGTTATATTCATTATATTCCAGAAACTAAATAATTCGAACGATGAATGATATTCATTATTTCTTTCAGAAATTGATATTATTTATATGCTGAGCACGTTTTGATTGCTCTCTTCAAATTATACTATATTTCTCATCAACTTTTTTGGCTAAATATTTGTAAATCTGTAAACTGTTCCACCCCGGCAACAAAACGATATTTATATTTATTCACATGATTGATTATCATCAAATAATACTTGTTTTTGTTGTTTCATTCGTCGCCCGAATCTCGATTTTCGGTGATGATTCCACCCTGAAATTTGCAAAATTTTGAAATTTTACAAAGCAATCACGAAATTTGGCTGGAAAGTTATCAAGCTTTTGCCACGTGACATATTGAAGTCGCGAAATTTGGAGTAGAATCAAAATTTCGAATAACTGATTTTTAGGAATTTTTGCCACGTGGATTTGGGAAATTTCAGCCAAATTCCCCCAAAAAGTTAGGCAAACTATTTAAGACTCACATCAATATCTCTACCCTTCAATCTTCCCACAGTGAACGCATCCAAACACTCATTCTTTACCATTGCCGAATGAATAATTCGAAGACAATTTTCGGATTCGGCGCGAAGTTCGGGGAATTTTTTGAGCAAATTCACGCATTTCGACGTTTTCGCATAGGTGCCGATCGCTTGCAATACTCGATTTCCATTTTGAATTGCCGTGATGATTCGCTCGATTTTTGTGCTGATTATTTCGAAGTTTTGACCGGTTGTAATGTTGTCGACGAGATAAATAAATGAGCTGCAAAATTTGGAGCATTTTGAGATAAAACTTTGCCAGGCTTGCAGAAAAGGGGCGTGGCTTAATCTTCTGATTATTTTAAGCTAGAAAAACCGTTCCAGACTTGCAGAAAGGATCGTAAAACTCACCAAAATTATGCCATGCTTGCAAAATCAAGCCACGCCCCTTTTCTGCAATCTGCGGCACGGTTTCCCTCATAATCTGTCAAATTCGGTATCAAAATGATGAGAAAACCCAGACCAAGCCCCTTTTTGCAATTTTGCCGCACGGATTTACCTTTTTCTCGACACATTGATGAAGAATTGTTTTCCCTCCTTGATTGCCGTGTACAAAACATTGACAGTTCGAATTTTGGCGACACGTAGCAAAAGACAAAGAATCAGGAAACACGAGGAGGCATTCTCCCAGTAGGTCAAGCTGTCTTCTTCTGAAAATTTCGAATTTTCGATTGAAAATTGAGATTGCTCATGTTAAGACAATCATTTTGAGCTCCATATTGACCTAGTTTTATCAATTTCGAAAACTATGCCGTAACCTGCAAAAGTGGGCGGAGCTTAATGTTCAACCAATTCCTGAGATGACTACGATAACTTTGAGACCGATTTTGATCATGTTTTGTGAAAATTAAGGCCCCGCCCATTTTGCAAAAATGCGGCATAGTTTTCCCATCAAATTCGGTCTCAAAATGATCACCCCGCCTATTTCTGCAACCCTGGCACACTTTTCTTACCTGTAATTTGATCACTTTTCAACGCTTGTGCACTCAATTCCTTTTTCGTCACACACGAATTCAACATCGAGAAGAGGGTTTTGAAGATGAACGGGAAAGTTGACCTGAAATTTAATTTTGAAATTTTTAGAGCAGTACTTAGGTAGATTATAAGAGAAGAACCATTTTGATGCCCATAATGATAGTTACAAAAAATTGTGCCAGACTTGCAAAGTGGGCGTGGCTTGCAAGTTTGCGGCACGGTTTTCAAAAATTATCAGAAATAGATCAATATGGGGCTCAAAATGACCGTAATCGTCTCAGGAATCTAGATTTCGTGCCCAAAAAGGTCCACTCACTTATTAATACAATAAAACGGTGCATTTTCGTCCTCTTTTTCCATCAAAACATCCTCAGATTGTTGCGAGAGTACGGTAGATTGGCGTTTATCCGTATCAGGAACCTGGAGTTAATTTTTTTTGGATGATATTTTTTCTTTAAATAGAAAATCTCACCAATTGCACAACTTTATTTGTCAAAAGCCATTTGATAGCCGAAATTTGCTCATTTTCTTTACGAAGACTGATGTAGTGTCTGCAAAAGAATAGATAAAATGTGCGAGGGTTGCAAAAAGGGGCGTGGCTTAATTTTCCGAGCATTTTAATACTAAATTTGTCGAGAAAAACTGTGTGGTGGGCGTGGCATAATTTTTAACAGAAATTCATTAAATTACCTGGATTCTTGAAGTGATCACGATAACTTTGAGACCCATATTGATGTATTTCTGAAAACTTTCAAAAAACCATGCCGCAATTTGCAAAAGTGGGCGTGGCTTAATTTTTCACTAATTTTTCTAGCTATATTTAGCTTCCTGAAGTGATTACCATAATTTTGAGCCCCATATTGTCTTAATTCTAAGGATTCTCAAAAAACCATGCCGCAAAATTGCAAGCCACGCCTACTTTGCAAGTCTCGCACACTTTTCTGTAATTATATCAATATGAGTGTCAAAATAATCGCAAAAGCCTCAGGAATTCTAATTTTCAGCCCGAAACTAGTAAAGATGGTCAAAATTCTTCAAAATATATCAAATTTGGGCTCAAAATGCTCCAAAATCCATTTCTACCACACTTACCTCAAAATATCCCGCGCAGCCGAATTGAATCTGGCTCCTTTTCCATCTGAAGATCCGCTCCAATCTTTCTTCAAATAACTCAACGCAAATTTGGCCATATTTCTGGAGAGCTCCGATTTTTCCGGCGAGATTTTCAAGTTCTCAAAAGTCTCCAGTATAAGCTGAGCAATCGTTGGATTCATCGCATTTTTCGCGTTTTTCAGTAAATATTTGGCGATTTCAAAACGCGCCGCTTCCGGATCGCTTTTTGAGGTTGCGGAAGCACTTTCCGCATTTATTTTCCGCTCCAAAATCATGAAAATCACCGATTTTTTCTCATTTTTCTCGGCATTCGTCAATTTTTCATTGGGATTTCCAAAAAGCTCGGCTCCAAGTACAAAATTCAATATTTTCAGACATTTTTCAACCAAATTTTCCATGTCGCGCTCCAATTTTTCGCCAGAATTCTCCACATTTTCTTCCAAATGCTCAAAAAATTCAAAAACATTTTCAATAATCGACCAAATTTCCTCCATCGATTTTTTGATACAATTCCAGATTGTCAGCGAATCGCCGTGATAAAATTTATCGATTTTTTGACGGCCGCACGGTTTTGTGGGCGTGGTTTGTTGACGCTGCGCTAAAAATCCGGATATCGATTTTTTGGCGCGCATTTTGATCAGGTCTTGAATGATTTTCGAAAGTTCATTGCATAGGTAGATCAGGCAACTTCTTTTGGTTCGGGCAAGCTGCAAAATGTATTTTTTTTTTTGCGGCATAGTTTTGGGGGCGTGGCTTAATTTCTAACAAATTTTTTATTGACTTATTGCGATTCCTGGAGTGATTACGATAATTTTGAGCCCGAAATTGACTAAATTCGGTTAATTTCGAAAAACCATGCCGCAAAATTGCAAGCCATGCCCACTTTGCAAGTCTGGCACAATTTTTCGTACTTTATCATAACGGGGGTCAAAATAATCGTCGTAATGTAGACAATTCGAAATTTCAGTGAAAAATCACAGCAGTCGGGAGGTTTAAGAACGGTTGATTAACGGTTTATAAACCAACTTTAATGAAATTAATCAACGAAGTACCAATATTTAATCCACGGTTGATCCCCGTTGATTAACCGTGGATTAAATCATGAAAATTTTCAAAATTTTTAAAAATACTTAACACCCAAAAAAGTAGCCGGGAACCTATTTTCATTGATTTGGGTAATTTTCAAAATTTAAAAATTGGTTAATCCGCGGTTCATTAACGGTGGGTTAAGCGTTGGAACTCCGTTGATTAAAATCAGTTTTTACCAACCGTTAATCACACACCTCGGCCAAAATCGTGGTTTCCACAATAAAAAATTGTACTCTAACTTTTTACAGTACAAAAATTTTGAATTTTTAAATTTTTGTCCTCTAAAAATTGTGCTTTTTCAATTTTTGATCTCTAAAAACTGAAATTCAGATTCTTCAAAAAATTGTACTCTGGCCAGCCACGGCTTGGCCGAGGTGTGGTTAATCAACCGTTGTTAAACTTCCCAGCTGCAGTGATGTCCAAGCCCCACCCACAAAACCGCGACCCACCTGCAATAAATGGGAAACTGGTCGAATCTTCAAAGGCACATAATACTCGCGCAAATTCGCCTCAAGACCCAAATCATCCACATTTTCCTTTTCCTCCACAGCTTCTTCTTCAACCAAAACCTCATTTTCTTCGTTGATTTTTCGTTTTTTTGCCCGACGCTTTCCGGGTTTCGCCGCAGCCTCAATTTCGAAATTTTCAAAATCGAGATTCGGAATTCGCCACGTGGCAACATTTTGGATGTTTTGAAGCAACCTTTTCTCGGCATCCATCATTTGGTAGAAGATTTTTAGCGACGATTTTGAGATGTTTTCATCGATTGAGGATTGACCGAAAAATGCGTTGAGAAGCTGAAAATTGCTATTAAAGATTATTTTAAGCCTATATTTAGATTTGTGAGATGATTACAATCATTTCGAGCCCCATATTAACCTATTTCTGTACAATTTTCAAAAACCATGCCGCAAAATTGCAAGCTACGCCCATTTGCAAGCCTGGCACAGTTTCTCGTAACTACGCCAATATGGGTGTCAAAATGATCGACCGAGAGTGATCTACCCGACAAAACTCACACTTCTACACCATTGAATGACAAAAAATTGCTGGCGCATTTTTTCATCACGTGTCACTTCAGAACTGGCTGGATGAGTGAAGATTTGAGCTTCGATTGTGAAATTGAGCTCGGTGAGAATGTTGATATCGTAACTCGATTGCATCGAATCGTCGTCATCTTCGTGCCAACGATTTTGAAGAACACACAGCTCCTGAAAATCGATTTTTGAGAAAATGTGCCCTAGGATTCAAGACTTTTGGTTTTCTAGGCCATGTGATTTAAAAAATTGGTGAGATGTGGTGCCCTTTGGACAACGTATGCTCCGCCCACCGACACGGTGCCGACTAGATCATTTTCTATATAAGGAGGAGACGCAGCCTGGATAGGCAGTCTTTCACTCATATAGAGGTTTGCTTACATATTTATCTCTCATTTATTTTAACCTTTTCATAGTAAATCCTTTTCATACTTAAATACATTTATACTCATTTCATAGAATATTCACGGGGACAAGGTTTAGATTAGGAAGGGATCATTCCGATGGAGGTTCCACCGCCTCGGCGGTCGGACAGGAAAATTTCTACCCTAACTAGGCCCGAGTCTTGCCAACAAAAAATCGTTTTCTGATCGCCAAATAAATTAGGTATTTTCCCGATTCCCATTACACACTTCTGTTTTTGTAGAATTTATCCAACCTCTGACTTGTCTGGAATACATGTATTAAATTGCATTGCTGATCTCAAGTATTACTTGTTCTGATTTTGTAAAATTCTTATCTCTGATCCAACCCACCCGTCTGTCGAGCAAAAATAATTTCAAAATATAAAAATTCCAAATTTCTTTATTTAGTTCAAGAATTTCAAATTCTCCTTTTACTTGTCAAAAAAAAGAGACAGACGGGGAAAGGAGGAGCTACAGTAGTCAAAAAACGTAGAGTTTTGGTTAAAAGAAAGGAAATTGGGAGAGCACAGCGGGCAACTGAATATACGCCACACGTTATACCCATCTACCAATGGAAACAAACATCCTTTTCTTTTAATTAAATCTATACAAAACATATACGACCCTCGAGAAATTAGACATGTGGTGTAATTACGTTGTCTTTTATTGTATTACTCATATTTCGTTTCGTGGGGGGGGAGGGAATGATAATGAGGGAAGGGAAACATATATAGTTAAGAAAGAAATCTAGAAAAAAAAGAAACATAATACACGCCTTTTTGAAACAAGGAAAATTTGCAAATTTGAAGAGAAACTGAGAAAAAGACAAATCGAACTGCAAATTTTTTTCGCGCTGCAATACCAGTCAAATGTTTATTCATTTTCCATTTTTTTTTCACTTTTTTGGCTGTTTCTCTTGCTTTTTTCTGTTTGTCGCGCGTAAAAATAGATCAAAAATACGGAATTCGAGAAGAAAAACCGTAAGAAAAAGTTTTAAAAATGGAAAATGAATAAATTTTTGACTGGTACTGCAGCGCGAAAAAATTTTGCAGTTCGATTTGTCTTTTTCTCAGTTTCTCTTCAAATTTGCAAGTTAAAAAGGCGTGAATAATAGTAACATATATACATGCTTGTGAGTAAAAATAGTTAGAGGTTCCTTGACCCTGCGGCAATGAACACCGCGGGAAAACAGAAGAAATAGAAATAAATTAGCGACAACGTCAAACATAGAATAGGAAGTCACATTTTAATATATACAACACATATACAACACCGACCCCCACCGAAGGACCGACCCCCACCGAAAACCGACATATAAGTATAAATATGAATATGAAAAGATCCCGGGAGAGGCGACTCTGCGAGCGCGCGAGCTCGACACAATGAGTTTGAGTTGTGGCGCCGCCATTCGCCAACGCTGCCGACTAGATAATTCCCTATATAAGGAAGAGGCGCAGCCTGGATAGGCAGTCTTTTACTTACATAGAGGTCTTCACTTATTTTATATGTTTTAACTTTAATAAACGCTTTTACGCTTAACCACTTCATATCTAATCACCCACAGTATAATCACGTCGCGTAATAACCACGGGGACAGGGACTAGAATAGGAAGGGGAACACTTTAGTCCCGCATGGAGGTTCCACCGCTTCGGCGGTCGGAAGGAAAAATTAAAAAAAAAAAATCTTTACCCTAACTAGGCCCGAGTCTAGAGAGAGCTAATTACATTACACACATGTCGTTTTCTTTTCTTTTTTCTCGTGGGGTATGATAAAAGGGGGGAAAGGAAGAAACATATTGGTGGGGAATTTTCAAAAAAAATTATATATATATAATAATAGTAAGAGACGCACGTGCTTATAAATAGAAACAGTTAGAGGATCCTTGATCCTGAGGCTACTAACACCGCGGGAAACAAAAGAAATACAAATAAAGTAGTGACAACACCAAGCATAAAATAGGATGTCACATTTCAATACATACAACATACATACATATGACGAGCTGTCAGAGGTGCCGGGTCGGAGTGCAGTCACACTCACGGCTTCCGCAAAAAAGTACATAAGTACCAACTAAAAGCCAAAAATATATAAAATAAACCACTGCATGTAACTAATCTTTTCAACATCAAGACGCTCAGAAAATGAGAACGATCAATAAATTTTCAAGATTTATCGCGTCGGTCAATTCCAACAGACCCAAAAAGTTATTGGATTACGGATGGAAGAAAGACAAGAACACGTTCTTAGAAAACTTTCATGGAGTCCGAAAAATACAACCGCTAAGGATTACATAAGATGAAAAACAATTTAGTTCCAAAAATTGGAAACTCTTCTTCTACTATAACGTATTACAAATATTCTGGAACCAGTCGGAATGCGATACGAAGAACAACTTCGACAAAATAGATAGTCAAAAAACATTTTGAAAAATACCACACATGTCAGAATCGAGATGGAACCAAAAAGATCGGGAAGCTTGTTGCGAAAAAATAAATTGGTCCAAATCACCCCAAAACTAATTTTGAGGAATAATATAATCAACAGCATTTACTCGATATTCGATAGCAAATCGCTAGCTCTACGATGTATTGATAAAAGCGACGCAAACTACAAGAATAGTCGAAAAAATGCCTGCTGAAAAATGTGAAACTAAGAGAAAACCGAAAAAACAGTACATTTGACAATGTTCAAGTGAAAATTTATTCTATTTAATTTTTTTTTCAAAATGTAGACCTTTGCCCAATTTTTTTTTATTTTTGTACATATTTTTAGGAGAATCATGAATTATCTACATTTTTCCGATATGATTTTTTGTTTACCAATTATTTTTTACATTGTTCAAAAAAGTAATATTATTTTATGTTTTTTTTGTGAAAATTGAAAAATAAATTTTGCTTGTACATAAATATACTGTTTTTTCTGCAAACTATATAAAAAATTGCCTGATGAAATTAAAGACCTTTTATATGTATTAATAGTCACTTCGTATAATAGCCATAGGGGCAGAGTTTAGGATTTCGCAACTATATCAATATAGGTGTCAAAATGATCGGAAAACTCCCATGAATTCAAATCTCACGGCCTAGGGAACCAAAAACTTGGTTTTTTCGGCCACTCAGCTTGTGGGATATCAAAAAAAAAAATGCTCACCTTAATTAAATTAAACATCGGTACAACTTCCAAAAATCGTTCTTCATCCGGTTTGAGCACAAAACCCATTGCACCATCTTCGGGTTCGGTGAAGAATTGCGTTTTGAAAATTGTGCCAATTTTGGCGGCGAATTTTGAGACGCATCGAATCTCCTCGTTTCGTCGATGATTTTTGACAATTTCGGCGAAATGTGCATAGAAGGCGCCGCGCAAAATCGACGAACTTTTTGTGGCCGTCTCGATTTTAGTGAGCGATTCTTGAATTGCAGTTTCTTGGGCTTCAGTGTGTCTGAAAAAATTGAATTCTTGATGATTTTCCAATAATTTTGATATCTCACAAGCCTAGATGGCCTAGAAATCCAAATATCAAGATTCCTAGGCCACCCAGGCTTATGAGATATCAAAATGACCCAAAAATCTAACTCACTTCTTCGCCATTTCACACTGAACCTTCATAATCATAGCCAACACTCCAAAAAATCGTTCCTTCTCATTTTGGGCCGCCAAAAAGTTGAAAATCAGCTCGTCGATTTCGAAAGTTCCACTCGACTTTGCCGACATCAAAATCATCACTTGGAAGAGTTTTTTGACGTTTTCGATGGTTAATTTCATGATACATCCTATGCTTTCCTGAAAAAAACGCGATTTTTTGTTTTTTTCAGGTCATTTTGATATGACCTAGGAATCACAAATTCGGATTTCTAGATCATCTCAGGGTTTTAGGTCAATTTTTTGAATCAATTTTCAAAGTCCCTGAGCTTTTCCCGTTATTTTGATATAATGGCCTGGAAATGTGAATTGGGATTTCCAGGCCATGTCGAAATTTCGATTTTTACAAGTTCCCTAATGTTTTCTGATCATTTTCATATTCGAAAACCACGCGAAACCCCGAGACGAAAAAGAGATAAGGCAGACTCCGCCCACTTTTTTCGAAAGTGTTAGAAATATTTCACAATTCTTATACGCTGTTCCTCTCAAAATTTCGTAAGCCAACAATCATTCGATTGTTTTAACCACAAAAATGGCGTATATCGATAGATGTAAGTGAATTACTGATGAATAGAGTCATTTTAAGAACAAATTGATTTCAGACGGAAATGTTCGCGAGGGAACAACAAGACGTGGCCGCCAGCAAAGAGGAAATGGCGGACAATCGGCATTTTATGGACTTATTTTGTTGACCCTACTATTATGTGCACTCTACTGGTACAATGCTCGACAAAAGGGATTTTTTGAAAAAGCGTTAGATCATTTTTCTCAACTCGGTTATTCGACGGACTGGACTGGACTACTCAACGTTGGCCGATTACTCAACACTTTGAATAATATCGTTTTCTTTTTCTTTTAAATAAAAATATGATTTTAGAACGAATGAGTATTTTTTAGCAAAAAAAATTTAGAAGAACTATTTTCTGTGGGGGGAACTTGAATACAACAGCAAGTGACACCCTTGTGTCTGACAACTGCTGGTGACTCGCAACTATTGACAACATAGATTTGGAACTCGCCCAAGGTATAGCTATGACGTGGCAAAGCCGCCATCCTTGTCAAAATCGTGCCTCTTGTGTAATTAAGTTTCTTGGTGTCACATCTGTTCCTTGAATCTGTTGACTCAACAATTTTACGACAACCGGAGGGGATCAACATTGATTGAGAGAGTGCAGAGAAAAAATAACAATTTATCATCGGGTTGTTGTTGTGTTTGTGTTATGCTTAGGAACATTGCGAAATTCAACAAGTAGTATGAAAAATTGTTCTATTCGTTTCTTTCATTCTCGAAAAAATGGGACAATCACAATCGGCCTCAAGGTAGGTAGTTTTTTTTAACTTTTAATATTTAAGAATTGTATTTCAGCCTAGAAGAGAAGAGAAGATATGAGATCATAAAATCAGATTTCCTGAGTTTGGAAGTAGATGATGACAAGGATGGAAAAGAATGCACAATTTCAATTTCACCTGAAAAAATGGATGAAATTGGAATTCTCCAAGGCGATCATGTTGTGCTGAAAGGCAGAAAGAATACAAAAACATGTGCAATTGTTTCGTCATCTCAAAATCTTTCGAATAATACGAAGATTCAAATGAATCGAGTTATTCGAAATAATTTGCGAGTTAGAGTTGGTGATTTTGTGCAAATTGCAGCTTGTGAATTGGAAATTGCGGAAACTATTCGAATTGCACCAATTGATGATACGATTGATGGATTTGAAGGGTGAGAACAACTATTTTGAAATAAGCAGCGCAGAGAAAATAATTTCAGTGACTTCTACGAATCATTCATCAAACCTTACTTCCTCGAAAACTCTTATCCAATCTATGAAAACGATATTTTCACAACGAGAGGATTTGTTAGAAGGGTGGAATTCAAAGTAATTGCAATAAATCCTGGTCCAGCCGCAATTGTAACATCAGAAACAAATATTCGAATCGATACTGAACCAATTAGAAGAAAAGATGTTGATGAAGAGAAAAATCGAATCGGATATGAAGATATTGGTGGATATAACGAAGAAATCAACAAAATTCGACAAATCATTGAAAATCCTCAAATTTTTGATGAAATTGGTGTCAAACTACCAAGAGGAATATTATTATATGGACCACCGGGAACTGGAAAAACAAGAATTGTAAAAGCAATTCAAACTGAAATTGATCCGAAAATCTGTTTTCGAACTTTGAATGCACCAGAAATTATGTCGAAAATGTGTGGAGAATCGGAATTGAATTTGAGAAAAATTTTTGAGGAATGTGAAGAGAAGAGTGATGGAGCTATTCTATTTATTGATGAAATTGATGCAATTGCTCAGATTAGAGAAATATATGGAGGAGATGTTGAGAGAAGAGTTGTATCACAATTATCAACATTATTGGATGAAGTTAAAGGTGAGGATCGTTATAAGGCTTCTAGAGCCTAATTCAAGTCTAATCCTTTTCAAAAAGTGTTTTCAGATACTTTGGTGATTGGTGCAACAAATCGTATTGATTCAATTGATAAATCACTTCGCAGATTCGGAAGATTTGATCAAGAAATCGAATTTGGACTTCCAAATGAGATCGGAAGATTAGAGATTTTGAAAATCCACACAAGAAATATGAAATTGGCCGAAGATGTTGATTTAGAGAAGATCGCACAAGAAACTGAAGGACTTGTTGGAGCAGATTTGGCAAAAATCTGCTCAGATGCTGCTCTTCAACAAATCCGTGAGAAACTGAAATTGATCGATTTGGAAGATGACTATATTGATCGCGAAGTTTTGTTTTCTCTGACAGTTACCATGCAGAATTTCCGATGTGCGATGGGGAAATCAGCAGAATCTTCATTGGGAGAAGAAGGGCCGCTAAAAATCTTCAAGAATGAGGTAAAACCAAATCGATTGATTGTTGAAGATTTGAACATCGATGATAATTCAATAATTCGTTTGTCGCAAGGAAAAATGGACGAGTTGGATTTGTTCAGAGGAGATATCGTTTATTTGAAGGTATTTTTTAAGAATTTTGAAGGGGTTCTTTATGAGAAATCAAGCACATAATCTTATAGGGTAAAAAAGGCAAGGAGACAACTGCTATGGTTTTGTCGGATGATGAAGGATGCAACAATGAGAAGATCAAGATGAATCGCGTGATTCGCAATAATTTGCGTGCTGATCTTGGCGATGTTGTGAAAATCACACCGGCTCCACAATTGCAATATGGAAAAAGAATTTATGTTTTACCAATTGATGATACCGTTGAAGGATTCACTGGGTAAGAAATTTTCGAGTTATCGAAAATCAATCGTCTGATTTACAGAGATCTGTTTGATGTTTTCCTTAAGCCATACTTCCTCGAAAAGTATAATCCAATTCACAAAGGTGATATATTTACTGTTAGCGCCGCCATGCGAACTGTGGAATTCAAAGTTATCGAAACTGATCCTTCTCCAGCATGCATTGTTGCACCTGACACACTCATTTTTTATGAAGGAACACCAATTAAACGAAAAACCATCGAAGAAAACTTGAACGATGTTGGATATGATGATATTGGAGGAGTAGGTAAACAACTTGCACAAATTCAAGAAATCGTCGAATTGCCTATAAGACATCCACAACTATTCAAAGTAATCGGTGTCAAACCAACAAGAGGAATATTATTATATGGACCACCGGGAACTGGAAAAACAAGAATTGCAAAAGCAATTCAAACTGAAATTGATCCGAAAATCTATTTTCGAAATTTGAATGCACCAGAAATTATGTCGAAAATGTGTGGAGAATCAGAATTGAATTTGAGAAAAGTTTTTGAGGAATGTGAAGAGAAGAGTGATGGAGCTATTCTATTTATCGATGAAATTGATGCGATTTCTCAGATTAGAGAAAAAGACTTATGGAGATGCTGAGAGGAGAGTTGTATCACAATTATCAACATTGTTGGATGAAGTTAAAGGTAAGGATCCTCATAAGGCTTCTAGAGCCTAATTCAAGCCTAAGCCTTTTCGAAAAATGTTTTCAGAAACTCTAGTGATTGGTGCAACAAATCGTATTGATTCAATTGATAAATCACTTCGCAGATTCGGAAGATTTGATCAAGAAATCGAATTTGGAATTCCAAATGAGATCGGAAGATTGGAAATTTTGAAAATTCACACAAAAAATATGAAATTGGCTGAAGATGTTGATTTAGAGAAGATTGCACAAGAAACTGAAGGACTTGTTGGAGCAGATTTGGCAAAAATATGCTCAGATGCTGCTCTTCAACAAATCCTCAAGAAAAATGCGGAACATGCTGTAACAATGGCCAATTTTCGAAATGCTATAAATAATCGTTAAATGTGTTTTACCAAGTTATTTACGCCCTTTAATTATCATCAAATCAAAAGAATAATAAATATTTTTCAAAATTTCCAAAAACAAAAATTCCCAGGCCATATTATATATCAAAATGTTCGCCACAGCCTACGAAACACTATAATCCCAACAAGAAATCTTGAAAATGCTGAAAAACATTCAAAAATCCATCAAAACCTCCAAATTTCCCAACTGTGTGCATTTTGTCGTCAAGTCCGCAAACACCGTACAACCCAACGTCATTTATTTTTTCTGCGTTTTTCGGGTTTTCTTCATTCTTCTTGGTTTTTGTGTAACACAAAAATGGCGTATATCGATAAAAGTAAGTGGGATTATTGATTTTTCCGAATAAAGCGTGTAAAATAATTAATTTCAGGTGGAAATTTGTGCGAGGGGAGCAAACAAAAAGGGATCATCGAGCTGATTTTGTCATTTTTCGCGTGTATTTGGTTATTGTAAGTGAATTTTTGGTATTGAAAATGTCGAAAAATTCCGCATTTCAGCTTCTCCTCAATGTTCGGCGGCTCCTCGAATCAATATCGTCCAACTAATCAAGACTATCGACAAGTTGTGCGTGGAAACGGGAATGCGGGAGGAGATGGGAGTACGAATTATCGTCCGGGAGGAATTGGTGGGGGAGGTGATGGGATGCGGAGAAACATCGGACGATTGGCACCAGTTTCCGGAACTGCTCCGCCACCAATGGGTGGTGGATGTTGTGGGGGCGGCGGGTGCGGCTAACTTTTTGCCCGAAAATTGTAATTTTTTGTACAAAATAAAGTTATTTTCATATGGAATGGTGTTACCCAGAAATTGTCTCTAGGCGCTTATCCTTGACAATTGGATTCTTCAGGTGTGGCTCCTATAAAGACCGGTTCTCTAGAGTCAGCTGCTAGAAGCTCTTAAGGCTCGACTCCTTGACAACTAGGCTTTCAAGGCTCAACTACTTGACAGATTGATTCTATAGGTGTGGCTAATTGACAATAGGATTCCCTAGGCTTGACTACTTGCCAGAGAGGTTCTCAAGGCTTGGCTGCTTGCTACAAAAGCTCCCAAGGCGCGGCTCCTAGACAATCCGGTTTTCTAGGCTCGGTTCCTAGCTAGAACCTCCCAAAACTCAAAATTCACCTGAATCTCCTGTCCAAATTCCATCAAAACATCCGAATTCGTTCGGATAACTTTGAAAAACACATCCAAAACCGCATCGCATTCCGTGTCACTCTGTGTAAAATGTTTCATCAATTCCGAAAATACAAGTTTCCTCTTTTGATTTTCCATTCCAACCAAAAGGGTTTTATAGATCGAGACTCCAAGATTTCTGACATTCGCTTCTTGCGACCATAAACAATGACGGGAAACGTGGATTAGGGAGGAGATGTGGGCGATAGAGAACTGAAAAATTAGAGAGTTTAGAGAATTGCAATCATTTTGATATCAAATAAGTCTATACTTAAGCCACGCCCCTTTTTGCAAATTGCGGCATGGTTTTTGGAAAATTTCGAAGTCAAATTTGAAATCCAAAACCTGAAATCCACGTGGAAATGATTTCCGCACAAAATTCAAAATTATTGCCACGTGGAATTCCATGAATTTAGAAAATTTCTAAGCCACGCCCACATTTGCAAAACTGCGGCACGGTTTTCCCATATAGAAAAATCATGCAAGGCTTGCAGAAAAAATAACCCAACCTTTCTGAATCCTATACAAAGATCAACAATTTTCAAAAACTTCGCAATTCCAGTCGGCGAACCTGCGGCCAAATCCGTGATTTTCGAATTCACCGCCGAAATTAGCGCCGGCGGACAACATTCAGAAGACAAAATCGAGAAGATGAGCAAAACTTCAAAGGGATTCTGAATCTGATGCTCTTCGATGATTGAGTTTTCTGCATTTTCATCGGGGTTTTCCTGATCTTCATCCTCTTCTTTGGCAATTTGGCTGGAAAAAAACGATTTTAGCAATTTGCGGCATGGTTTTTGGAGCATTTTGAGCCCAAATATAACTATATTTAAGCCACGCCCCTTTTGCAATTTGCAGCATAGTTTTTGGAACATTTTGAACCAAAATTCTCTAAAAACCGTGCCGCAAACTACCTACCCTCTCTGAGAAGCGGGTCTATTGATCCACGTCGTCAAATATTTCCATCCCTTCTTATCCAATTGTAAATATCGCAAAAAATGCGAGAAAAATTCCAGAACAATTGCATCACTCTCATTGTCAGCTGCGATTTTCTCGATTTTCAGAAACTTCATGAAATCCTGAATGAGTTCGTGGAACAAAACTTCATTTTCTTCAGATTTTTGAGCATTTTGGGGTAAAAGTGAGCCAAGGGAAAATGAGACGAGAGCCGGAAGGCAGCCAACATCAAAACGCATCGAATTGTGACAAATGTTGCGGCGAATCTGGAAAATATGGGGTTTTTGGGGGAGGAAAAATATGCCAGGCTTGCAGAAAATGGGCGGAGCTTGATTTTCTTTACAAATTTACATAGGAAAACTGTGCCAGGCTTGCATTTGCCCCGTAAAAAACTGACAATTCTCGCATTATCTCCATCCATTCTCAACAATTTCAGCGTCTCCAAAATGGTCATCTGAAAATCGCGCAACTCTCCGAGGATACTTTCCGCGTCCAAAATCATGTCGTTCAGTTTCCGCGCCGCTTCTTGTTGCTGTCCGGAATCCGCACCCAAAATTTCGGGAAGCGCCGAGATCAGCGAGTCGCGCGGCAACGCGTTCCAGTGCTGGAAATTGTGGGCGAAAATGAGGGTGGAAATTGGTGCCGGCTCGAAGACACGTTCGATGGAGCGAAGATGACCGACACAGATTTGGGAGAGGTTCAGCGATTTTTCATCGCTCCTGAAAAACATGCTGAATGTTGTCTGAAAATGGTTAGCTAAACTCTAAGATGAGCAATGACGTGGCAAAAAATTTTGCCACGTCATCCCTCATCTTAGAATTTAGCTAAGCTTAATCCTCACTTTCTCGCAAGTTGATTCAAATTCTGTAAAAGCAGCTCGACTCCAAGTTTCTGACTGGTTTTGCTGGCCAAAAACGCGCTCAAAATTGTGTCTTGAATTCCGAATTTCGATTTTGTGGGTGAAATATAGAGTTCGAAATCTTTGGCGCAAGCTTGTGAGAATTCTTCGAAAATCAAATTCGAGCCACGGCCAGCCGACATTTTTGAATCCAGATTTTTGGTGAAATCGTGGTGATTTAGCGAGTTTTCTATAAAAAACACATGTTTTTTGGTAATTTTTCAATGAAATTGTTACCGAAAATCACAAAATGTTGCATTTCATGATCATCATAGCCAATACGAACACCAAAATCCTTCAAAATTCCCTCGAATTTGCTCCTTGGCTCCAAGAATTCCAGATTAGCTGTGTGATTTCGACCGAGTACATTCTTCGATTTTCCCAGTTTTTTGAAAGTTTGCGAGCTCATTTGATGATATTCTCGGTTTTCGTCCTCATCTGGCTCCTCTCCAACTTGCTGTTCATTTTCTATAGGAAACACTTGTTTTTTTGTTGTTGTGAAATTTCATAAATTATACCTCCAGAACCTTGCGCTAGATCCTCCACATCGAAGTCGAAGAAATCGTCGTCAGACATCTGAAAAACTTAAAGTTTCAGTGAAAGAAACACAAAAAAACAAAAAATTTCAAATCTCGCGCTCTTGTCCGAGAGAACTACACGATTAAAGGCGCACCTATTTCTTCAGCAGGGTCTTGCGGCAGAGAGACAAAACCGATTTTTTATTTTCTTTTTTTCGGGGCGCGTGTCCCTAAATTTTGGGGTTTCAAGGAGTTTTTGTGGTTTTTCGGGATAAAGGTGTTAATGATAATTAAAATTGCCTCAATTAGACTGTTCTCAGAAGAATTTTCATGGTTTTTGCTTGAAAATTGTGTGTTTTGAACGGTAACTAGGAAATGGAATTTTTTCTCGAAAAGTTGAATGAATCTTTCTCCAACGCGGAAGAATGAAATAAGTTTTTCTAACGCATTGTTTTGAGAAATCCTACCTAAGAGTGAACTTCGAGGAGTTGTTGCGTTGATCTTCTACCAATTTCATTCATCCAGCCATCTTTGAATAACCTGCGAAAAAAACAAACATGAAAATAGAAAAATCGAGATTTTCGAAGCTTTATCTCTCATTGCCCATATTTTTCTTTCCCACCTTTCACCAAAAAAACATCATAAACGATGCGCAAAACCCCATGCAACTCCCGTCACTGTTTTCCGGCCTCAGCAAAGGGATTCAATGAAGAATCCTCACTCATGTGAAATGAATGGCTCTGGGTTTCAAAAGCTGGTAGGCGGTAATAACTCAGGGAGCGCGCGCAGACTTTCTCTAGTTTTTAAGGATCCGGGTGGGCGATATTTCGAATTTTTTAAACGCTTTTTGTTTTTGAAAACATGAAATCACCCCCGAAAAACTCATCTTTTACATCCTCGTTCGGCAAAAAATAGAAAAATGATGTAAATTGCAAAAAAAGTCGATCAGCGTCCACGAAAAATAAAAAGTTAGCGGGGTAGATCAAAAAATTTTAGATCAAAATTTTTGGATTTTTTGCTTTCCAACTATTTTCCAATGTGAATCGAAAGCAAAACTGATCCCATTTTGAGAAAAAACCACATTTTCAGGTTGACGTTAAAAAATGTCACGCGAAATTTGATTTTGAAAAATGACATTTCCTAATTTTCTAGATAGTTTAGGATTTTTTGAAAGTTATCTCAATTTTACTCTTCCAATAAATCCCCAATGTTCCACTCACAAATGTTTGTTTTTCAGGGTTAAAACATGTCTTTGGACGGTCTTCTCAGCGAAGTTAGAAACTTCCACTCGCACAACCTTGATGTTGCACTTGGTGAGCAACTCTTCTACGGAAACAAGCGTGTCTTCTCCGATGTTCGACCAGGAACCTCGAATCAAGGAGGTGATAACCAAAACAAAGGAGGAAAAGGAAATAAGAGCGAGTTGAAGGGCGCCATTGACAACGCCAAGAATATTGCCAACAAGGCTTTGAACGAAGGACCATCGGGAACTGGTGAGTTTAATCTTTGCGGAGTCAATTTAGTTTATTGATTTTTTGATTTCCAGATGGGGCTGTCGTCGATTCTCTTCGCGCTGATCACAGCGAACTCGCCCAAAAGGTCGATGCTCTTTCGGATCTCATCAAGCAACTTCAACTCGAAATCCAATCGTTGAAATCTGGAAAGGTACTTATCCTTGGTGATGGAAATCTATCATTTTCCCTCTCTATTGCCCTGTCTAGACCACTTTCTCATTTTACTTGCACAGTTTTTGATTCTCGTGAGATGTTTCTTGAAAAATATGGGGCTTTTGAGACTTTAGATGAGTTGAGTAATTTGCATAATGTTGAGTTAGTTTTCGCGGTTGATGCGACGAAATTGGAGACGAATTCGATGTTGGGTGGAGGTTTTGATGAAATTATCATGAATTTTCCGCATCCTGGAGGGAAAACGAATCTGAAGAAGAGTCGCATATTGTTGAGCGGAATTTTCAGGAGTTTGAGGAAAATTATGAGCCCCGAAGCAAGATTTCGGCTAAGTCTTGCTATTGGACAATCTGGTCTTGATTTCACCTCAAACATCGAAATGGAAACTCTTCCTCTTCACAAAAAAGACTCCTGGCAAGCGATTTACTTGGGAGCTGAAGAAGGTTTCACCTTGGAGAAGCTAGAAGAATTCGATCCAGATTTGTATGCTTCATATAAATCTGCTGGTTATAAAGAGACTAAAAAGGGATTCAATAATCGAAAAGGTCTAACCTTAGTGTTTCGAACTTCACCAATCGATAATCAAGAAGTTCCACTAGAACAATGGAAAGCTTTGAATGAAGAGGAGAATTCGCAATCTTTCAGCTATATCCGCCCATTTTACATTCAAGATCTATCATTTCTATTCAAAGAAGAGGAATATTCAGGTGAAATTTTGGCACTGAATCTTGTTGAAAAGTTATCTGGAAGTTGCATCGCTGAGATCAAAGAAGTTGGAGAGCTTCGATCAATTTGTCCAAATCCCGAACTTCCAAATCGTATTTATCGAATAATTTGGCAAGGGAGAAAAGTTCCATTTGGAAGAGCAACTTGTGCTAGAATTCATGAGGAATTGAGAAGGAAAATTGTTGAGAGAATTGAGAAGCTTAATTTGCCTCTAGTTTTGACCTAGGTTTCATCTATAGAGAATTCTAGAATTTTTGGATCTCATTTTCTGAGGGAAAAGCCTTACCCCCTAATTTTTGTTGTAATTCACGGGTTTTTGAATTTCATAAACTGTTTTTTCTGATCTTCTGAACATTTCAAACAATTCTTTGATTTTCAGACGGCTGCTCCAGCTCCAGCTGCTGCCGCCCCAGCCGCCGCTGCTCCAGCTGGTGACGACGACGATTTCGATTTGTTCGGATCGGACGAAGAAGATGATGAGGAGAAAAAGAGAATCACCGAAGAGCGATTGAAGGCCTACAACGAGAAGAAATCGAAGAAGGCCGCTGTCATCGCCAAATCCTCGGTTATCTTGGATGTTAAGCCATGGGACGATGAGACCGATTTGGCTGAGTTGGAGAAACTCGTCCGAAGCATCGAATTGGACGGTTTGGTCTGGGGAGGTGGCAAATTGATCCCAATTGGATATGGTAAGGAATTTGAGTTTTTGAAATGAGGAAATTCACTATTCAGTTATCGAAAAATAACTGGCAGATTTTTCTTGAAGAAAGTTCTAGCCTTATGAAGTCAATACTTTACCACTTACAATTAGAATTCATATTCACATGTTGTCAAAATTGAGCAAAAGTAGAAGAGATTGTGAACGCCTCAAATTCTACTTGAAAAATTCCCTTTCCAAAAATATTTTATTCCAGGAATCAAAAAACTCCAAATCATCTGCGTCATCGAGGACTTGAAGGTTTCGGTCGACGATTTGATCGAAAAAATCACCGACGACTTCGAAAGCCACGTCCAATCCGTCGATATCGTCGCCTTCAACAAAATCTAATTCTAGGTTGATTGATTTCCCTGAATTGCCTTTCCGGTTCATTTTTTTGGTTAAAGAATAAAGTTTCTATATTTATATTGCATATCTTCTTATTTTTCATATCAAATAAAGGTTGCTAGATTCTTCATACTTGGAATTCACTTTTAATGTTTTTTATTTTTCATTAGTCTTCCCAGGAAAATTTCCGTCAGTTGAACAAAAAAATGACGCAAAAACGAGAAAAATTCAAAATGCCGCCCAGTCGCCGAAAAGACGCCTACAAAAAATGCGTCAGTGTTGAGCGCGTGTTGGAACACAAATTGTAGTTTTGACGAAAAAATCGCATTTTTTTATTTTTTCGCGGAAAACGTGTGAAGGTGAGTTGTTTTGGGTCGGGTTTTCTGAATTTCAGGTGTAAAGGGCTGAAAATCAGATGTTCTGTGAGTTGGGTTCAAGAAATTCGTGATTTTGAGTTGGGAAGGATTTTTTGAAAAGTTTGCACATTTTCGAAAATGGTTTTCACTAAAAATTTCAACGTTTTGGATTAAAAAGCTATCATATGAGCATCTTCTGTTCTATAATTTTTCTCAAAAAATATATTTAAAAATTTTTTAGCTTCGAGAATGTCAAGCCGTTCATCTCGTCGAAGTCAAGGCGGAACAGCCGGTCAGCTGAACATAGCTACAATAGGATTATTGGACAAGGGAAGACTAGTCAAAGAATTATCGGAACGTGGTCTTGACACGATCGGAAACAAAGATGCATTAGCGCAAAGATTGTATGATTTTATTGTGAATGGAGGAGCTGTCGAAAATGTTGTGAAGGCTGCTACCAGCGCGAAAAAATCGACACCAAAGAAGAAAATAAAAGTGGAAGAACCTGAACCTGAGCCGGAAGAGACGAAAGAACCTGAAAAAGAGGTCAAGGTGACGAAAACCAAGAAAGCGCCAGCAAAAAGAGCTGTGAAGGTTAAGATTGAGGTTGTAGAGCCTGAAGCAGAACCGGAACCTGAGCCAGAAACAGAAGCAGAACCTGAGCCCGAGCCCGAGCCTGAAATTCAAGCATCAAAATCAAAAAGAGGACGGCCGAAAAAAGTGATTGAAATAGTCGACGATGCTCCGGATTTACAGTTATTGGATAAAAAAGTGGAGGTGACGGAGGATAATGTGAAATCGATAACAACTAGAAGTGGAAGAAGAGCGCAGGTTAAAGTTGAGGTTGGTTTTTGTCGGATTTTTTAGCCTAAAATTGTGACAAATTCATATTTTCAGACTCCTGAACCAAAATCATCAAAAGAATCTTCCGCAGAGCCGGAACCGGAAAAACCCGCAGAAATCGTTCCGCCAGCAAAAATCATCAAAGAAGAACCACTGGAAAAGCGCAAAAAATCAGTGGAAGAAGAAAAACCCAAAATCCCAATTCAAACTCCAGCACCAGCTCAATCAGGCCCGATAAAAAGGCCGCGAGTTTCGTCCGGCGCCGGGCCATCGACTTCAGATTTGATGGGTGAAGTTAAGCGAAGTAGATTCGAGGAAAAAGAGAGGAGGGAAAAAGAGAAAATTGTGGTGAAGGCGCCGAGTTGGAAAGAGAAATGGGCCGAGAAAATGAAAGAGGTGAGGATTTTGAGCTAAAAATTCACATTTTGACCTCGAAATTATTCAAAAACACAGAATTTTCAAGCTCAAAATAATTGTAAAACGTGATCATATCACGTCAGAAACCAAAAAAAAATCCAAAATCAATATTTCCAAATTTTGCAGGCTCGAGAAAAGACCGAAAAAGAGAAGGAAAAAGAGCAGAAGCCGAAAATCGTCGAAAAACGCAAGGAATCAGTGGAAAAACCGAAAGAAAGTCCAGTTGAAAAGGTAAGGAGCCTGACTCTGAATTTGAGTTATTTTTGTAATTGGTAGAATTGGTTGGAAACTCTGAAAAATTGTGGCTTTACGAGGGTATAAGTTTTTCTGAAAGTTGAGAGCCTGATGTAAAAAATTACAATAATGATATTGCTCAGTGAATGAAAAATCAATATAAATTCAGCGATTTTTTTTTGAATTTATATTGATTTTTCTCTGAGCTATTATTGTAATTTTTAACATCCGGCTTTTAAATTCCAGAAAAAAATGCTGTACTATGAAATCAACCCCTCTTCAATAATGTTGTGCTATCAGATTTACAAAAATATTTCATATTCAGAGTTGAGCTAAGTAATTTTTGACATCAGACGCGTGTCAAAAACTATCAAGCTAAAATAATCAAAATTTTCAGGTTGACGTGTTGTCAGCAATTATATCATCAACAACTTCGAAACCAAAACCACCGAAACCAGAAGAACTTCCAAAAGCGTTGAAAATCGAAACTTCATCGGATATGCGAGCTCTTGGTGGAGCTGATCTTCTTCGTCAAACTCAAAAGGCATCTCCTTTCGGTGTACATCTTCCATCCCCGAAGATTGTGCAGAAGTCAAGCGATATTCCACCGCCGCCCCCACCAAGGCCGAAACCAGTTATTGTAGCTCCCCCGCCCCCACCACCACCAAAAGTCTTGGCGCCAGTTGTCAAGACGATTTCTGGAGTACCGCCTCCACCGCCGCCAAGAGGTATAGATCCTTTGCTGAAAACATGAAAGTCTGCAATTTTATACTGAAAATTACGGGATTTTTGAGCTCACAAGCTTGAAAACAGCGATTTTTATTGTGAAATTTGAAAAATTCGAGATTTTTCAAGTAGAAACATGAAAAATTACTAAACTTGCAGAAAATGCATAATTTTCCAAATTGCCACGTCATAGGTCACGTGTAAAAATCTGAAGAAGCCGGATCTAAAATCTTTGACCTTAAAATATTTTTAGACCCCGACATTTGAATTTCTCGTCGTTTTCTCAGAGGAATGGTGCGAAATTTGAATTTTGGGGCTGAAAATTTAAATTTGATCGAAGATTTTGAGATCCCGCATAGGAAAACCTATCGTCAATTTTTTTTCCAAATTTTCCCACGTGGATTTTTCGAACGCGAATAAATACCCTAATTTTTTCAGTGAAACCTACAGTAACTACAGTTCCATCACCTTCAAAAATCGCTCTTCCACCAACACCAGCTCCAACTACAGTAATCCTACAACTCCTACAGTACCAGCAGCACCACAACCCCGCCGAAAATCGCGTTTCGATCAACCGCCACCCGAATTCTTCGAGCAACGATTCAAGGAGCTCCAGAATTCCAGCTCGCAACCAAAATTGGCGACTTCGCCGCTGAAAATATCTGGAACTCCGCCAAAATTAGACCTGAAATCGAGAATCGCCGAGGTTTTTGAGCTGGATTTGGGAGCTGGAAAAGAGCCAAGCCCTGAGAAAATTGCTTCTCCAGAAGCTCAAGAAAATTCAGATGAAGAAGAAGATTTTGTGATTCGAGAAACTGTTGTTGAAACCTTGCCACCTATCGCCACTTCTGTTAAAATTGAAGCCCGGCCTGAAAAAAGCCCGGAAATTTTGGAGGATGAAGAAGAATATGATCCATTTGAGAATACGACGATTCAGGAAGAATGTGTGGAATATTATCCGAGTTTTGCCACACAGGTTTGGTTTTTGGGTGGGAAAATTATGGGGGGATTCGAAAATTACACGATGTTTTAGGCCGTAAGCTTGAAACTTTGAGTTTTCTGAAAAATGATTCAAAACTGGAAAAATGAAAAATTCAAGATTTTTGAGCCCATAAGCTTGAAAACTTTTTTTCATTATCTTGAAAATAACAGAAAATTCGAATTTTCAAAGCCCATACGTTTGAAAATGAGGTTTCACCATGAAAAATGATCTGAAAATTGAAAATTACGAGTTTTTTGAGATCAAAGACTACAATATGAGAGTTTTTTCATGAAAAATGACCAAATTGATCATTTTTTAATAAAAAATACTAGAAATTCCCGAAAATTTGCAAAAAGCATAATTTTTGAATTTGAAATTAGATTTTCAAAATTTCCACGTCATAGGTCACGTGTGAAAATCTGAAGAAGCCGGATCCAAAATCTTTGACCTTAAATCAATTTTAGACCCCGAAATTCGAATTTTCCGCCGTTTTCTTATAGAAATGGGGCACAATTTGAATTTTGACGCTAAAAATTAGATTTGATCAAAGATTTTGAGATCCCGCGCAGGGAAACCTATCGTCAAATTTTTTCTGAGTTTTGGGGCTGAAGATCTAAAAGCCTGAAAATCCTCCAAATTTCAGAATGACGAAGAAATGGAAGATGAAGAAGGTCCAAGTACAAGTCAACAAAGTGAATATCAAGAAGAAGATGATGAATCTGAAATAATTGTAGATGATTCAGAATATAACCCAGAAGATACAACAGTAACAGAATCTGATTTATCAACCAGAGATTTGCTGAAACTCGCTCTTCCAGTTCTTCAAAGTTTGACAAATAAACTTGGAGAAACTGATGAAAAAGAAGGAAAAAATGACGAAGAAGAAGATCAAGATTTCTGTCAAATAATTGAAGAAAGTGTGCTACTTGAAGAGAAAGAAAATCCGGAAGATGTTTATTATCATGGAGATCCGGTGCCGGAAATTGATGAGAATGAATTGTTCGAAATTGCGGCGGGTATTAAACCGGCGAAAAAAAAGGAGAAGAAACCGTTGGTGCAGATTCCGGATGAGGAAAGATTGCCCGCGCAGAATTTGTGGGAGTTGGATTATTGTGAGTGAAAATTTGGAATTTTTGAGGTTTGAATCCAACAACAGGAAAAAAATGATAGAAAACTTGAAATTTTCAAGACTTTAATCAGAAAATCGATTTTTCCACAAGAAATTCGAATGTTTGATAATAACATTGATTTTTCCGGAAAGAGTTATACTTAAAATCGAAAATGACCTCTAGTGTCAATTTTCAACAAAATGTTCAGAAATCTAGTCAAAACGACCCTAGAGTCAAATTTTTGTAAAAATTCATCTCCTATTGTATTTTTTTTCGAAATTCTCAGATTTTCTGATGGAAAACGGCTCCAGAAGTCAAATTTGGAATGTAAACCATGATTTTGAATTTAAAAACTGGATCTACGGTCAAATTTTTGAAAAAAAACTATTTTGAGTTCAAAAATCACCTCACCAAGTCATATTTTCTGAATTTTCATTTAAAAATTACCCCCGGGGACAATTTTTATCCATTTCCTCCAATTTTTACCTTAAAATCAATTTTTTTTTTGCAGACAACGCAAGTATCCACCTAAAATCAGCCGAAGATAATATTTGGAAAATCGAACCATTTCAACAAGATGGTTTAGCATTAATGTGGGGAAGTGTTCGATCGAATTTCGGCCTGAAAATTCCAGCAAAACATTGTCGAAAAATTGGATTTCAAATTGAAATCGAAAGTTTTCCATCGATTCAACATTTGCCGACCGAATTTATGCATGAAAATGGTGATGTTCGAGTTGGATTTTCGTTGGGAAGCGCACCGTTGATTGTGAGTTTTTTTGGGGCGAAAATTGGCTCAAGGGATGATTTTTGAATGGGAAATCTTAAAAAACTAACCTAAATTTGACCCTCTAGGTTATTTTTAGTCCAAAAATTGATGTTTTCCTATGAAATTTTGCCAAGGAAGTGGTTTTGAGTTCAAAATTAAGATTGACCTCGGTTGAAATTAGCTAGAAAGAAAGAAAGAAAGAAAAGAAAAGAAAAAAAAAAAAAAAATTGACCTCGGTTAAAAAAAAAAAAGAAAATTGACCTCGGTTGAAATTAGCTAGAAATTAAAAATTTCTAATGAAATTTGAGCCTTGAATAACTTACTGAATTTTCGAGCCGAAAAATTCCACGTGGCTAAAATCTGAAATTGTATTCCAAAACCTTCATTTTTTGCAGCTCGGTGAATATTCTGGAACCTGGTGCATCTCAAGTTCTGGCAAAAAAGCGACCAACAATATTTTCACTGATATTTCGACAAGTTTTGGTGTAAATGATATTATCACTTGTGTTTTGGTGAGTTTTTTGAATGAAAATTGGGGAAAAACCTGAATTTGGGGCCTACGAGGGCTGGATTTCAGGCCTGAATTAATACCTGAGAAACCTAGATTTATGGCCTTAAAAAGCCTAGATTTCATTCAAAAATCAATTTTTGCAGGATCTCGACAAATCCACAATTGAATATTCGAAAAATGGCGAGGAAATTGGTGTGATTTTTGTTGATTTGGCATTTTCGGATGGCGACTTGGTTTTTCCGACGATTTGTGTAAAAAATGCAATTGTTAATGTTAATTTTGGACAAGAATCGGAAAAAGACGAGGCAAAATGGAAAATGTGAGCATTTTCAGTTTCGAAATTGGAATTTTGAACCTGAAAATTTACCTGGAAGATGAAACATCTGACATTTTCAGCCCTGGAAGATTAAAAACCTGAAATTTCATTGAATAACTAGCCCCAGACCTGGAAAATTCTTTTACGCTCAAAAATCACAGATATTTTATTTTTAGTGGAAAAATTGGGATTTTCTAGATTGAAACATGGAAATCTTGATATTTTTCAATTAAAAAATCTGAAATTCATCAAAAATTTCCAAATTTTACCCAAAAACCATCTTAAAATTTACCAGAAAATCCTGAAATTCAATTTTGAACATTCCAATTTTCAGCCCATCTGATCGTATCTGGAAATTCCCCACTGAAATCCCGAACCTGCCAGATGTTCTCGAAAGAACTCGCCAAGCTCCCGAATCCAAAAGTGCGTGCACAGTTCTAATGACAGTCGGTCTACCAGGTGTCGGAAAAACCACGTGGGTTCGCCGCTATTTGTCCGAACATCCGCACGAGAATTGGACAATCATCAGTGCGGACACAGTTGCGGATGCGATGCGGATAAACGGAGTGGCGCGAAATCGACAGACCAATCTGAAGCGACCCGATTTTTTGAGAGGAATTATTGGAAAATCGATGGCGAGACTGATTTTGTTGGCACCGAGAAGACGGAAGAATTATGTGCTCGATATGACGAATTGTTTGGTCGAGAAGAGAAAAAAGGAAATTGATGGCTTTTGAGGTTTGATTTTACGGGGGAAAATTTGGGATTTGGGGGGATTTTTGAACCAGGAAACGTTAATTTTTGATCTATAAACATTTCGGCGCCAAAAAGGCTTTTGAGGTGGAAAATTTGAGATTTTGAGATTCACGAACGAAAAAATGTCGAAAAAACATGGTCAAAATAAGTTTTTCAGCCAAAAATGATGACAAATCGAGATTTTTGAAGCTTCTGGAAAAATTTCTGATGAAAAGTGACCTTGGAATTCACTTTTCAAAAGTTTTTGCTAATTGTTCGTGAAATAAAAAAATTTATCAAATTTTGATGAATGTCGAAAAATTAATAACATGAGGTGAAAGAGGGTTCCCGAAGCTTATTTTCATCAGAAATTAAAATACCGTATATACTAAAAAATACCGTATTGCCTCCCCCCCTCCCCAGAATCTATAAAAATCCCCAATTTTTGCAGGATTTCAATCGAAAATGTATGATTTTTGTGCCATCCGAAGATGTTCATCTAAAACGTCTTATGAAACAAGAACACGAAGAAAACGAAAAAGTTGACACAGATGCTCTAATGCAACACAAAGCCGCAATAAGTCTACCAAATCTTGAAAATGATCCATGTGAAAGTATAATTTTCATTGATCCACCAGCTCCATATGAACATTTGGCTTATGAAAGAGTGGCGAAAATGAATGCGGATTGTAAAAGTTGGCTGGTTGGACAGGGAAATCAACGAAAACGCGGAGGATTTCAGAAGAATTCGGCGAATTTGTCGATTAACACTTATAATAATTCCACGTTTAATTCGTCATCTGGACCGAATAGCGATTTTTCGCCACGTGGATTCAATGTCACGCATACCACGTTTTCGAGTTTGAGAGAGAAAAGTCCGCCGGTGGTTATTAAGACTGATTTGACGGTGAGTTTTGAATTTTTTGGTGGATTTTTGAGCCCTGGAAATTGAAATTTTTGGCTTGAAAATTGGTTTCTGGGGTATTTTTGACCCCTAGAATGCAATATATTTTCAACAATGTCTGACATTGAACTATTGTCTTCTTTTTCCAGAAGCCATTATTCCTGAACATGTCAACACCACAACAACAGCAATCAACTTATCATCAAAATCGTCGATCATCGGATTCGAATGGTCCCGGACCACTTTCTTCTTCGACCACCACACCAAATACACAACAACAACAACAAATGACACCAACAACAGCATCGCCACAATTGGTGTCGACTTCGAGATTTGCGCCGCCAATCGGAACATCTACACCAATGTTTCCTTTCCCGTGTGATGTTGTGAGTTTTTTTTTTTGGGAGAATTTGGAGCATTTTGAGTGGAAACTTGATTTGGTCTGAAAAATATTGGAAAAGTTAAACTTAGGTTGAAAAAACTTAAACTTTGAGTCTAAATATCACGTGGCTAAAATTTAAAGATGAAATTTTGATTTTTGAGCTCAAATCCAACATTTTGTCTAAGATTTTCAAAAATTTCAGTTGAAATCCACGTGGAAAATGTTCTCCTCGAAATTTGGAGCATTTTGAGTGGAAACTTGAACATATTCACATGAAAAAAATTCCCCAAGCCCAATTTCTTTTTTGCAGAACCTCCCACCACCAAATTTCTCGCTCCCACCTCCTTCATTCACCCAGCCACCTCCTCAACAACTCTTCCAACAAGTTCCGCCACTCCTTCAACAGCCACCACCACAAATGTATCATCATTACGGAGCTCCGCCTCCGCAATAATAGGAGACCGTGAAATTTGGAGCATTTTGACACAAAATTTAATAAGCTCCGCCCACCTTTTTTTTTAATTTTTGAAATTTTGCGTCAAACTTAATCTCGGTTTTATGCTCTCTCAAGCTCCGCATACTTTTTGAGCCCTCTGTTTTTGCTCCCTTTTTCTTTTATTTTCGCTGTTCTCATTTTTGACAAACTGGTATTTTTTTAATTTTTGTTACAATTCATATATAATTTACCCCCAATCTGCTGAATATGAAGTTTTGAAATTTTTTTTTCAAAATTTGCCACGTCATAGTGGAATTTTAACTGAAATTTCATACAAAAAATCAATTTATTTCCAAATTTAATTACACGGTGTCTTCCGAATCTCAAAAATCTTATAAACTTCCAAATTCTCATCCTCGGGTTTCGCAAAAATCACCAACTCGTTTTCCGATTTTTGCGCGTCTTTGAACATCAAAACTTGATCAACCGAAAATTGAATCGAATTATTTGTATATGGAATCGGGTAGGCGAATTTGACAGTTAGCGAAACTTCGGATAACTCGGGAATCAGGGTTTTGAACTTTTTCTCGAGGTATTCTGAAAAGTATTGATTTTTGAAGGTTTTTTTTGTGAAAAATCGCTGAAAGTTGAGATTTCTCATGAAATTTTAGCTAAAGTTAGCAAAACTTTTTTATTTTTTCAATTTTATTGCAGATTTAGGCCTATCTAAATTCAGATAGGCCTAGGCTTAGCTTAGGCCAATCTAACAGTTTTGGCTTAGGCCAATCTAACAGTTCAGTATGTAGATAAAGAAATGGGCCCGAAGAAAAAGACTAGACCAGTTTTAGGCCTGTCAAAATAAGGCTAGGTAAATTGTAGGCTTGTCTAAATTCATATAGATAAACATCAGGCCTCTCCAAATTTCAGGCTTCTCAGAACCTAGCTAGGATCATTTTAGGCCCGTCTAAATTTATCTACATGAATTTTAGACTTTTCAAAATCCAGCTAGTTTCATCTGAGGCTTGTCCAAACTCAGCTAGGCCTATCTCAGGCATGTCTAAATCCATATCGATAAATTATAGGTTTTTAAAAATTTCAGGCCTCTCAATATCTACCTAGGCTCATTTTAGGCTGTGCAAAAAGGTAGACCAATTTTAGGCCTGTGAGACATTTTTTTCTGGATTTTTGGATATAATTTTCGAATTTTCAACAAAATTTCAGCTCCCTCAATGTTTTCAAAATAGGGACTTCCTTAAAATTGACCTTAAATCTCCCTTACCCAAACTTCCAGCCTCTCCACACTCTTCAACAATCACATCATCAGTAAACAATTGCGAGACTTCGGCATTTCCACCGCTCTCCAAAATATTCTTCAATTGATCCGTCAATTTGGCGGCTGTGTATCTAGGATGCTCATCGGCGAGCACAACAAAAATTCCGGTGAAAATCAGAAAAAGCTGAAAATATTGATTTTCGCACGGAAAATTTAGAAAAAGAAGAAAACTCACCAGAAATCGCATTTTTGACAAAAAATATGAAAATAGTTTACTTTTTTATGATGATGATGATAAGCGAGCAAGAAGAACAGCTGTTGGTTGGAAATTTGACACGGTCACATTTTTAAAGATCTTTGGAAATGAACAAAAGGCGGATATTTCCTGTATAAATGGCACGTGGCAATTTTGGAGCTGGAAAAATGTGCACAAAATTTGAAAAAATTCGAATTTGCTAATACGTGGCATTTTTGGAAATTTTCAGTTTCAAACTGATTTTTTTCGAAGTCCAGAATGCCACGTGGATTTTTCAGATTGATTTCTGCTAAATTTGAAAAATAATTAATTAAAAAAAAATAGTTCAAAGTTTGCCACGTGGATTTTTGGTAATGAACTTTTTACAAATTTGAAATCGGAGCTCGGGTGGGTTTTCAGAGAATAAATTCTATGTGGATTTTTTGACCTAGAAATTGAAAAACTTTAAAAAATTGACTTTTGCTAAATTTTAAAAATTTGCCATCTGGATTTTTGAATCTGAATTTAGCTTGTGAAATTTTTTAACCTAAATTTTTTGTAATTTGGTTTTTGAAATTGAATTTTGTGGATTTTCAGAAAATCCTCTTCAGAAAAATTGCCCAAAAACCTTGAACCCAATCTACAGTACCCCAAAAACCGAACAACAAAAAATTTAATCATCTTTTTCTGAAATCTGACCTTCTCAAATTTATTTGTTCAAAAAATTTTTTTTCGAAAAAAAAACCAAAACAAAAGAGGTCACTTCAAGAAAAATAGATGCGAAATTTTGATTACACGATGTTTTGTGAAGATTTTTATCTAAAAGTATGAAAGAAGGAAGGTAACTAACTAGCAATTGTAGAGTAGTTGGTGGTATAAAAACAGGTGTAACCTCCAAAAATTCTATTATTTTTCTTTTGGTTTTCAAAAAAATTTTCTGTTGTTTATTTGTTTTCCATGTTTTTCAACCTTTACGATAAAAAATGATAAGGGAAAAATCTATATTTTTTGAAGACTTATTTTTTGGTGATTCAAATGTTAGGATTTTTTCATGGCTCATCTGAGCCCAGCCTGTTTTTTGACCAAAACATTTCCAAATCCCCCCTCAAAAATACTACAAAAGCAGCTGATTAAACATACTATTTTGTACAAATTTTTGCTCTATATAATAACAAAAATGTTGTTATTTTTGGTCATTTTATTCTATTCTAGCATGGAAAAACAACGAGACTCCGCGATTACACCAGTTGTTGAAGAAGAAATCGAGGAGAAGCAAGAAGAGGAGGATATTGTGGATAAAAATGTGCATTTTTATCTCGTCGCCATTTTTCTATCGATCTCAAAACTCATTTTTACGTGGACAAATCAGACGGATTTCAATTTTTTGAGAATTGGTAAGTTTTTTAGGCGCTAATTTGAAAGTTTCAAATTGAAACCCGATCATTTTGAGACCAAATATGCCTAGGGTTACTGTAGATCTTTAGCGCCCAAATTTCAAATTCAAATTTTTTGCAGACGAGTCCAACATAATTTTCGCTGTGGAGATAATCTCAATCCCATTATCAGTCATAAATCCATCGGCCTGGTTTGCTATTTTCATGACGTCACTATCCACACTTTGCATCACAACAGGTTATCCAACTTTTGCCATTTTATCAGCATTGCTCATGTTTGTCACGATTTACGGGGCCGAATATCATAAGAGTTATTTAGCGAAGAATCGCGGGAAGATCTATCAATTGGTCGAAATTTCGGCGGCCGAAAAAGAGAAACCAATGATTGATGAAAAAATGTGGGCTGAAATGATTTAATAAATTTGTTTTGTTTTTTTTGAAGGGAAAAACCATGCCGCAAAATTGCAAAAAAAAATCAAATTTTTCGTTTTGAAAAATTTCGCCTGATCTCGGAGAAAAAGCTACCAAATCGAAGCTCGTAAAAATTTTAAAAAAAAATCGATCTTGACACGTGGACAATTCTGAAAAAAAATAATGTTTCTCCAGATTATTTTCAGCTTCAAAAATTCAACTTAAAGCTGATTTTCAACTCCGAATTTAGCCAGATGCTTACAGAAATCAGCTTCTGATCAGGATTCAGGAGTTCTAGAGTTCTAGAGCTCAAAAATTGGTCACAGGTTAATTTCAGCTTCACAAATTGATCTAGATCACTGGAAATTACCTGATCAGAATCTTGGAAGTTCTAGATGTTTGAATCTCAAAAATTCTCCTAATACCCTATGTCTTATGCAAACTTCTTTATTTTCACCGAGAAATACGTGGATTATTCATTTATTTTCCTCCTGCGTGATAATGATAAGAGATTGTGGGTAGCAATTGTGATGATCACATTTTGAAACATGACTATGTCTTTTACAAGTTGAGTGATCATGACAAGGTTGACCATCAGTCCCCAGAACTAAAACTGCAAAAATAAGCAAAGCAGCGAAAATATTCATTGTTTTTTATTTGGAATTCTGTATGAAATTTGGTTTGTTTAGCTGCTCTTTTGTACTAATAGACATCTCAGATTCCCAACATGAGAAAAAATGATTTTTCTTTGAAAATTTATGATTTTCAGACAAAAGAATGTTAGCAAAATTTTGATTTTGTTCAGAAAATCAACGGGAAAAATGATGGGTGAGCACAGTTAAAACAATCAGAAATTTCCAAATTTTTGCGCTGAAAATGTTCCGGAATCTTTCTTCAAAAAATCTGGAAAGTTTCGGTTTCAAAAATTATAGCCATTAGTTATGACGTGGCAAAACTAGAATCTGAAATTTCTTATTTTTTCAAGCAAACAAAAAATGAAAAAAAATTTCACGTAGAAAAATTTCCCACGTGACCTCAAAATTCCACGTTTTACAATTTATTTTTTCAAAAAATTTTTTGTTATTTTTGAAAAACCGAAATTTTGAAATAGCAAAGAATGGGAGATTTTAAAAGTGAGTTAGCCTAAGTTCCTGATTTGAGGGTGTACTGTATTGAGTTATGACATGGAAAAAAATGTAAGATAACAAAAATGACTTGGAATCTGGAACAGATAAGATATTTGTCAGCTAGAAGCCAAAAAATCATATTTATTAGATCTCAGGTCATTTTCAGCTTAAAAACAGATCTGAAAATTCAAAAATTCACTGCGAACCTCATTTTTCTGAAATTTACATGATTTTGTGCTCAAAAGATTGTCTAGAGCCCAAAAATCAGTTTGCATTCAGAAATTTGGGAATTCTAGGGTTTAAGAGCCAAAAAAACACGGAAGTCATGTTTTCCCAAGAGCAAATTAATTTCCAGCCAGATTTTTCTCTTTTTCTAGCTCCCAACACAAATCCCCTTCTCCTTCCTTCTTCCGCGCTGACCACAAGTCTGCGTCTCTCATTTCCACACACTCGCTCTCCCCTTCTCGCTCTCACTTCGAGCTCTTTTTTTGTGAAAAGCGACACAAACAAGTTGGGCTCTCCATTTTTTGAACACTATTTTCGATATTGTGTTTTTTTTGAGAGAGGGAAGAAAACCAAGTTGTTTTTGCGCGCGCCTCTGGTTTTTTGCAGATTAAAAATTCGATCGCACCCACTGGGGCTCGAACTTTCGAAGCTAAATTGATAGCAGTGCCTTGAACCACTAGGTCACATAGTTTTTTCGAGCCGAAAATTCTTGAAATTTTTTCATGCTTCACTGGATTTTTGTTTGAATTATGTGCTTTTTTGCTTTAAAAAATTCCTTCGAAAAAATCCATTTTCAGTGTAAAAAAGAAATCCTTTGAGAATTTTAAGATTATCTTTTCATTTTGTGTAATTTTCAAAAAATTGATCTTTTTTGAGATTTTTTTGCTGCCAAAAATTGAAATTCCTCTTTCTTTTGATAAGCTTTTGGATGGAATTTCAGACCTCAAATTTTCAAAAAATCTATAATTTTTCTGAACTTTCTCTTTTTCAACCCCCAAATTAGCTAACATTTGCAATTTTTTGATATTATTCATCGTTATTTTTTGTAGTTTCATTTGAATACAAAAAAACGGGCGGTTTCCTAGGAAACCGCCCATTTTTTATGCTCTTAATCACTTTTCCAAAAAAAATTCTGATAAAAATATGATTTTCCACTAGTTTCCGCTATTTTGCCGTGTTCGCGGAAGCCTGCGGTTTGGACTTTGCGCAAAGTTAGAAGATTAATCTTTCGATTCTGGGATGAACGTGAAATTGAAGATGGCCGAGTCAGTTTCTAGGCCCCGTTTTGAAAATTTGCGTAGGCAAAAAAACGAGGCACGCTCCTCTTCCAAAAATTTCTGATAAAAAGTTTGTTTTTGATCTACGCGCGCGCATTTTTCTCTCTCTCTGACCTAATCAAATTCATTTTTTTCATTTTTTATTTTTCAACAACCACGAATGTTTTTCCTTACTTTTTCCAACCACAGCCCAAGGTCGTTCTGACCTTACTTACATTAAACTACCGATTGTCTCTGCGCTCTCTTATTTTCGCACACTCTCTCATCATCTCTCTCGTGTTTTTTTTTTACTTTGTTTCGAGGTCTTCATGATTTTCGTATTGATTTTGGTGATGTCGAAATTTTTGTTTTTTTGAAAAATTTGACCTGGTTTTTGAGTTATAACGTGGCAAAACTCGAAAACTATACTTTGCGATTCAAATTTAGCGCCGAAACCATGCTTGAATAAAATTTGAATTTTTATTCTGGCTCAAAAATTAACTTTCAAAATTTATTTTTTTTTCGAAATTCAAAATTTTTAAAAAATTTCGATACTTAGCCTAGAAACCGACTCGGCCATCTGCAAATTCTCGTCCCTCTCAAACCAAATTTTTTTTCACGTGTTTCACATTTCAAATCCAAAAATTGCAGATCCCGGCAAATGTCGGTCGCCGCTCGACATCTAATACTCCTCTTCCTGTGTTGCTCAACAAATCTCGCCGCCCCTCCCACAAATTCCACGTCACAGTCCGATGGAGCGCATTTGACCACAGACGACGGCGGTTTCCTCACAGTTATTCAAGGTTTCGCCACTCAACTTCAATGCGTTTTGAACACGTGTAGCAATGATGTGGTTTGGTATAAGGATGGTGCGCAGATTTCGCAGGGAACCAAGTTTTTGGTGAATTCGACGGAGCAGGAGAGAGCTTATAAATTTCAGCATAGTATTGAGGTGGATTATGAGAAAGGTATGCGATTTTAAGCTAAAATCAAAGCATTTTAAAAAATCTTTAAAAAACTAGGATGGTCTAGAATCCGACATGCAATTCCTAGTCCCCCACAACGAAAAAATGTTCCAGGTTGTTCTGGCGAATGCGACGATTCAACTCCATGCGGCGACGGATTCTCCTGTGTCGACAATCAATGTTGCTCATGTAAAAAAGAGGATTTCACCCTGGTGCTGCGAAATTTGACATTCGACGAATCCGGCAAATATCGTTGTCAACTCGGCAACAAATCCGAATTGCTCGAATTCCAGGTCGAAGTTTTGGAGTCGGGTTTGAAGGGAGGATTCCATTTGAATATTACCTATGATCATTCCGAGTGCTGTCAAAAGAAGGGAATTTCGCCGTTGTGTAGAGGAATGTGTAAACCATCGGAGATGGGAAATTATCATTTTGATCCCACTAGGTAGGATTTTTGTTGCAAATACGCTCTACTGATAATCATTTTATCAGTGGCGCAGAATATTTATCCGTTGTCTCTAATCAATGTATTTCTGAGATTTGTCAATGGGGCGCAGTTAAACTTTCAGTAACTGAAATTCAGTTGTCTTTTGAAAGTGCGCTCTAATGATAACTAGATTTATTCGAAAGTTGGAAACGCGCTCCAGTGATAAAATAGAGCGTATTTTAAAATTTGAAATTTTTTTGTGTTCAAAAACATGCTCCACCGAAAATTTCAAAATGTTTGCAGCTGCAAAACCGAAGACTACAAACATTTTCTCGAATGTGCCACCGAAGAAGGAACCCGAAACCATCTGCATTGCTGCAAAACCCAACTTGTCCCAAGTTTTTGCTACGATTTTTGCACCAACGATTTTCAAATGCTGCGAAGAACCCACAAACTGTGCTTGTATTATCTACCGGAAATATTCTCGTGCCTCGATCGAGCTTCGCGTATGTTCTCTTCAAAATCCCGTGCACCTCCCAATTTTTCGGCATTTCAAATTGATAAACCGATTATTGGGGGATAATTGTTTGAATGATTTACCCTGCATGTGTTTTTGGTTGTGTTGAGAGGGGAAATGTGCAAATTTGCTCTATGGAGAATTATTTTTCTGTACAAAAATCGTTGGCCTAGGTTCCGACAAGTTTTCTAGGCCACTGTGTTTTGTTTTGAATTGCACATTTTCCCTCTCATTTCGCATGTTTTTTGTGTTGACAATAAATGCATGTATTTTTGGTGTCTGGAAATTCCGCAAGCTTCCGGAGCTTCCGCATCTCAAGCTTCTTATGAGCAAAGCCAGCGGAAGCTTGTGGATTAGAAGCGGACTTTTACAATAAATTTACAAGCAAGTATTTTGCAGGCCCCTACCCAGATCCACCGCAAAACATCGAAGTAAACGCCGTGGACCATGATAAATTGTCAATTTGCTGGGAACCCGCCAAATTATTCGATTCGAATAAAGACTATCCGGTCCAAACCTACACGGTATTCTACAAGGAGATTCCGAATTTTCCGCTTTTGGGCGGTGATGTGGCATTTCCACTTTTGACTGGCGATTATTCGGATATTGGTGATCTTCAGGACGATGATTATCAGGAGGAAGGTGAAGAAGTTCATGAGGATGAGGAAGTTCCGTCAGCGGTCAAGAGAAATTTTGATATAGGAAGTGTTGAGGTTAAGGTGAGTTTTCATGAGATTTGGAGCATTTTGAGCCCAGATATGACTATTTTTCAAAAATTTGGAGCATTTTGAGATCCCTAAAGCCTATTTTCTGAAATATTCATGATTTTTTACTAGAAAAAGTACATTTCAGAGCTCTTCTCGTGACAAAAGATCAACAATGGTTATCGTAACTCGAGATGATAACACAAATTCAACAACAGTCCGTGAATTCGCATTCAAATCCCTAAACACCACTGAAAAATGCGCAACCCTAAGCGATTTACGAAGTGCTACACGGTATATTGTTTATGTCACATCGACAAATGATTATGGAACAAGTATTCCATCGGTTCGAAGTATTGCGTCGACAAATGTGCATACTGTGAGCAATGATGGAGTTTTGCCGGATGCGGATAGTGAGTTGGGTTGGGGTGCGGAAGATCCCGCATCGTTGCTTGCGGAAGCTTCACTGGATTTTTTAGACATGAAATTGAATTTCTGAAGGGTTTTTGATCCCGGGAATTTTGAATGAATTTTTCTTATGAAAATTAATATTTTTCAATTTTCAGCAATCGCCCCGAAAATGTACGTTTCAAGCATTTTTTAAATAAAATTTAAAAAATTGATATGTAATTTCGATATGGATTTCAACTCCCAAAATCTTCAAAGAATATTTTTTTTTCAAAATTCTTTAATAATTCAAAAAGTATCAATTTCAGGTCTAAAAATCCAATGAGAAATTAGAATTTTCTGAATTTTGAAAAACACGTGTCAACCCAAAAATCAATCAATAATTATTTTTTTCCATCCAGAATGCTGTCAAGCTGCCAATGTCTCAACATTTTGTGCCGAAAAAATGTGTCAAGTGGCCACTGATCCATCATCACTCTCAACAATCACAATCGCCACAACATGCCGTGCAGAATGGCCGAAAGTGTCACCGTGTATTGCGGACGGACGGAATCATACGGAGTGTTGTTTGAGAAAAGGTAAGGAAAGTTTGGGTTCGGATAATTTTAAGCCACGCCCCTTTTTGCAACACGGTTTCGCTCACTTAATTTATGTTCGAAACGCTCCAGTAAGCATGCCGCAGATTGCAAAAAGGGGCGTGGCCTAAATCTAGTCAAATGTGACCTCAAAATGCTCCAAATTTCATGAATTTTCAAGGTGTTCAACACGATTGTTTGGAAATTTGCGCGGGAAGCACCAAAGAACTAGGAGTTCACTCAGTTTTGTGTCTAAATTTGGATTTGCAAGCGATTTATCAATGCTTGAGACAAGGTTATGAAACACATCCGAGTGCACCAAAAGATGTTACAATTGGTGGAATTACTGCGCATAGTGTGACTGTGAAATGGGAGGAGCCAGAAGTGAATTCGCATTTGGTCGAGAATTATACAATGTTTATAAGGTTGAATGAGCATGGACAACCTGTGAAGACTGTGAGTTTTTTGGGGTTTTGAGCTCAAACTTGGTTAGAATTTTAATTTATGAGCTCAAGAGCTCCATTTTGAGCCCAAACTTGACCGAGTACCATTGTTCATGTCAGCTCAACAATTTCCCAGAAAAATTCAATTTTTCCCGCAGATCCGCAACGTCATCTCACCGCACACTGAAATCGGTCTCGATCCCGATTCCGAATACGTTCTCACCATTCAATCACATTCCGCCAATGGAACATCACTTCCATCAACTGCCAAATTATTCTCCACACTTCCAACCACTCGCCCACCACTTTGCACAATTGGTGAACCGATTTATGAAGATGAGGGAAATCGGGTGGCGAGTTGTGATTCGATCAAAAATCCGTGTCCAAATGGTTTTAAGTGTGTTGGAGGAAATGGTGAGATTTATTTAGCGCATAGAAAATTTGAATTTCAAAAAAAATCGTGTCAGCATTTTGTTGTCTTTTTAGACTGTCCAGATTTTTTTTGAATTATCTAAAGCCCGAAAATTATCTAGAAGGGTTTAATATTTTTCCTGGAAAATTTACGTTTCAAAAAATTCTTATTTTTTGTGGAGATATTTCAGTTTTTGATACAATTTTTTTGTAGAAATTTGATTTTTTTGGGTTCAAAAATTTGAGCTAAAATGATCTGAAAATAAGTTTAAATTTCAGAAGTTTTCAGCTGGGTTTCTAGGCTTTTTTAGACTGTCTAGATTTTTTTGTTGAATTATCTGAAGCCCGAATAATCTGGAATATTTTCCTGGAAAATTTACGTTTAAAAAAATCTTTACTTTTGTGGAGATTTTCAGTTTTTGATACACTATTCATTACAAAATCAAAAATTTTTGCAGGTCAAAATTATTGTTGTCCCAGCGATGGAAGACACAATAATGAAGAATTCCAAAGTTGTTGCAAAGAGCTGAAAATGCCCCAAATGTGCCAGTCAACTTGTTATTATAACGCAAGTCTTCCGCTTCCTTCTGAATGTGAAATGAATTTGAATATTTGGGTGAAATGCGCTTCCGAAGGTCACGATCATTTGAGATGTTGTTTGAAAGAAGATGTATCGAAGAATTGCCTCAGCGCCTGTAAACATCCATTCGAAATCGATGCTAGTTGTAATCTGGAGACTCCGAAATTATCGCGATGTTTTGCTGGAGCACACTTGCGACTTCCGGCAGCCATTCGGAATTTGGAAGTGACTGCGGTGTCGCATGATTCCGCAACACTTTCTTGGGAAGATATTGAGGCGGATATTTTGACGTATCATGTGCAACTTTTCGATAAGAAATTGGGAAGTTTGCTCAAGTCGGTGAATAGTTCTGCGGATATTTATCGATTTTCATTGCTGGAAGCGGATCATGAATATTCGGCACGGGTTTATGCGGTGAATGCGGTTGGTGAGGGACCTGGATCGTGGAATGTGACGTTTAGAACGAGAAGTGGCACGGGTAAGTGTTTGGGGGCTGGCAAAAGAGAGGGCAAACCTGTGGTTTTCAAAAGTCAAAATTGTACGCTACCTTCCACGTGGCATTCCTACGAAATTTGATTTTTCAACCCTTGAAAACATGTAGAACATTATTCTAAAATTCTCAGAAGCTCGAAAAATTCAAAAAGTTTTTTTGCGCCAAAAAAAAGTGCCACGTGGCATTTTTCGAAATTTGGATTTTTTCGGTTCAAAAATTTGAGCAAAACTAATCCGAAACTAATTTTTAATTCCAGGAATTTTTGAATTTAATAGCCCTAGATTTTTGACATCAAAAATTGAGTTACAATAACTCTGTAAGAATTTAGGTTAGAGCTTTAGAGCCTCAGAAAAATCAACGTGTCGTTCCGCAAGCTTGCGCGAAGCGCCGGAATCTTCCGCGGATGCGGCCACGTGGATTCAAGGGCTCCCTGAGCTTCTCTAATAAGCAGAAAACAATTCCAAATGTCCCTTTTTCCAGCCACGGATATCGATCGACCTCTCGCACCATTTGGCCTAAAAGTCGCCTGGAATTCTGGACCTCGCGCAAATATCACATGGAAACCTGTCACAGCCCGTCTCAACGACGAACCAATCAAAAATCAAATCGAATACACGGTCTATTATCTGGACACGGAAAATAGCGGAAGTTGGACACAATTACGCACAAATAACACGTGGATTGTGATTCGAGAGTTGCGCGAAAACTCACTTTATCATGTCTATTTAACAGCGAAAGAGGATGATTGGAAAGTTAGCCGAAGTTCGAGTATTATTACGATTTTAGCGCAGCAGGATAGTCTTGGATTGCCGGAGCCTGAGATTCTGATCGAAACTGAAGGATCGTCTGAAAATCCGGATAGAATATATTATAAAGCTGGAGAGAAGCTGAAATTAACTTGCAGTATCCCGGAAAATTCGTCGAAAAAAAGTTTGAATATTGATTTGAGCGTTGGCCAATCACATATTGTGCAAAATGACCATGGAAGCAAAAAAGTGGTGTTGGAATTGGAGGCCGATGCGGAAATGGAGAATACGGCGACGTGTACGGTTGCGGACACCGATGGAAGACAACATGTTGCGATGCGGCATTTGATTGTGGAAAGTGAGTGATTTGGAGCATTTTGAGATCTCATAAGCTTGTTTTTCACAAATTTCAAGAAATTTGGAGCATTTTGAGCCCGAATTTCATGCTTTTCTGAAAATTCTGAGCTCGAAAATGCTCAGAGCTCAAATTTTGAGTTTTCTGGGAGATTTGGAGCAATTTCAGCCGGAGAAAGCCTAGATTTTAACCACGTGGAAATTTGAGACTAGTTTTAGACAATTTTGTAAACTTATAAGCTTGTTTTTCACAAATTTAAAGAAGTTTGGAGCATTTGGAGCCCGAAAAGGCCTAGATTTTTCCAGTCTCCCAAAATCTCAGAAATCTCTAATTTTTTCAGAATCTGGTGGCACAGTCTCGATGAAAAATGAGAAAATTCGAATTTTGGATGATCAATCAGTGGAAATTGAATGTATTTATCAAGGAGGCGAACGAAATCCGCGAATTCATTTCGAAAAAGACGGCCAACCTGCTCGACGTGGATTTTTGCATCTGAAAAAGACTGGAATCGGATATATTGCCAAGTGGATTGTGAGTTTTTGGGAAATTTGGAGCATTTTGAGCACAAATTTAAATGTGTTTGGAAAACACTGTCCCTCACAAATTTGAGCTCAAAATGCTCTGAATTTGAAGCTTGACCTAAATTTAAGTTCAAATTTTCAAAATGTTTTTTCAGATCACCCAAGTCAAACAAAAAGATGCTGGAACCTACAAATGTATTGTGGAATCTGAAGAAAATCCGAAAGAAAAACCACTTGAAACCACTGCCGAATTGATCTTCACCACCGAAACTTTGCCCATGAATCCGAAAATGATTTTGCAATGCTGTGAAGATGCTGGAATCACTGGAGATTGTTTGCAGGTTGGAAATTGGGAAATTTAAAGTTTCTGCTGAAAATTTGCAAGTTTTTGATGTAAAATTTGAATTTTTACGTCAAAATTTGAGCTCAGAAATGCACATGGCCAATTTTTTTTTTGAAAAATCTGAATTTTTCTCCAGTTTGAGCCGGAAATCATGAAATTTAGAGTTTATGCTCAAAATTTGCAATTTTTAAAGTAAAATTTCAATTTTTGTGTCATATTTGAGCTATGACGTGGCAAATTTTGAAAATTTGAGGGTTTTTAGCTCCAAAAAATTAATTTTCAAAATGTTTTCCCTTTTTCAAAACTCTTTTTGTTTCCAGGCCTGTTCCATCGGCAAAACTGCCCTTTCCCCCGTCCAAAATTGCACACAATTTGCGCCAGCTCTCCTCAAATGCGCCAGTGATGTTCGTGATCATTCGGATTGTTGTATCACAAGTGGAGTTCAGGCGAAATGTCTCAGATTGTGCTCTGGCGATTCGGCGGAAAGCCCCGAAATTCAAAAACTATGCGCAAAAGATGCGGTGAAAATTATGTCGTGTTATGTGAAATCGCATGAACATGTGCCGGAAAAAGTGACGAATTTGAGAATTTCAATGGAAGATTCAGGAGAGGGTGAGAGATTTTGGGAAGAAAATTGGGCCTAGGATTTTTAGGCCTGGTCCGGAAAATCTGAATTTTGAAAAACGAAAAATCTTTACAGGAATCCACGTGGAATGGGACTATCCACCAACCCAAAACTACAAATATTTCGCAGTTTATTGGCGAAAAAGTGCGGCCGAAAGTAGCGATTGGCAAATGTTGAAAACTGTCAAACAGTCTGCAACTCTCCCAGAATCTGATGAAAATTTGGAAATTGGAGTGCTGGCTGCCAACGCGCTGGGACATTCCACATTGGTTTATCGAAATTATGAGGCGGCTGAACAAATGCCCGAAAAATCGTCGAAACGCAAGGGAAATTCAAGATTCTGGATTTTGATTTTGTTGGCGATTGCTGGAAGCATGTTGGCTGGTGAGTTTGTGAAATTTGGAGCATTTTGACTCAAATTTTTGAGCCTAGAAATGACTAGGTTCAAGCCACGCCCCTTTTTTTGTAATTTGCGGCATTGTTTTTGGAGCATTCTGAGTCCGGATATGCTTAATTTCCTTCTGAAACCGTGCCGCAAAATTGCAGAGTTCAAATTTTACTTGAAACTCCTAAAATTCTTCCAGCTCTCATGGTGCTCTCGAAACGTCGTGATCTACCGTACCCGCTGGGAAAATTCATTCGAAGACGAAACGATTTGAACCAACCGACTGTGGCTTTTGAAAATCCGGCTTACGGTAGGTTTTGGGCCAGGCTTTAGGCTGTGGGCTTTTTCAGTTCAGAACGAGGAAAAATCTGGATTTTTTTCAGACGCTTTTCCTGGAAATGAGGTGGAAATTCGGGGATTGGGAAGCGGCGCCAATGCAACAACAACGGGAAATGGAAATGCGGGAAATACGGGAGGAGCTGGAGGAACGGGAAATGATTGGCAAAATGCGAATTTGGAGGCGAATAATGAAAATGGACACGAATATCGAAACGGAATGCGATATGCCAAATTGGAAACTTAATTTATTTTTTGACTAACTTTTTTTGGGAAAAGGCTTGGGCTTAACTAAGGTTTTACAAGGGAACCTTTTTTACTCAACACTTCAAATCATGATGAAATTTGGTTTATGGACAGCTTTTGGGACCATAAGAATACCCTAAAAATTTTAGTCTCCCAATGGACCTCTGAGCCAAGTTCTGAGCTCTCAAAAACTCAAAAAAGGCCTAAAAATGGTCATAAAAGACATCATAGCTCCATTTCAAAATTTTTTTTGGGAGAAATAAAGTTTCAGATATTGATAAGCATGGTCGATTACCTAAGAGTACATCAATAAAAAACTTTATTTCGAAAAATTTTGAAGTTTTTTTATTTTTCGGCTGAAAATTCATGAAAATTCATATGTGCCCCTGCTCATTCTTTTTTTCAAAATCAACAATTTTTCTGAAAATTTTATTTATTGATGGTTTTTGGGTAAATCGACCACGCTGATCATCATCTGCTACTCAGTTTTTCATAAAATTGATTGAGAATTGAGTTATGACGTGTTTTATTAGCCAATTTTGGCAATTTTCGAACTTTTGAGAGCCCAGAACTTGGCTCAGAGGTCCATTGGGAGACTAAAATTTTTAGGGTATTCTTATGGTCCCAAAAGCTGTCCATAAACCAAATTTCATCATGATTTGAAGTGTTGAGTAAAAAAGGTTCCCTTGTTAGGCTTTTTCTAAAATTGGGCTCAGGCACCCTAAAATCTAAATCCCTAAGAAATTAAGCCTAAGGGGCTCATTCTAAGTCTCTAAGCCCAAACTTTTCCCCCCTACTTACTTACTTATTTATTTTTGTGAATATTTTTTTGTCAACTCTTCTTCTTTTTTTTTGTGATGACCGAGATTTTCTGATTTTTCCCTGTGTTTTCTTGTTTTGTCTTGCGGGTTTCTTCTTTGAACTATTTTTTTATTTATTTTGTGAAAAAATGATTATTTTGAAACTTTTTTTGGTTTACAAGATGCCACGTGGCAATTTGGAAATTCCATTGAATTTTTCATATTTTTTTGATGATTTTCTATCACATTCGAGAATTCTACGTGGCGGAATACGGAAAATGCCAGAGGTATGATTTGAGACCTGTTTTTGCCACGTAACAATTTTGAGAACATTTTCTAAGCTAGAAAATTTCAGCACAAACATTTGAATCAAATTTTTTTTCAAAAATCTTTTCTGAAATTCTTTTTTTGAAGCTTAAAATCCACGTGGCATTTTTTTAGAATTCCTGAATTCTTGCTCCAAAAGGCATAGAAAAATTGCGAAAAATTAGTACCAAAATTTTTCTGCAAAAATACAATTTCTCAAAAATGCCACGTGGCTTAAAAAATTTAAAAAATTCTAAATTCAAAAAAAAACTATTTATTTTCAGCGTCACGTGAAAATCCACTAAAATCTGCTCATTTTTTATTATTTTTTCGCACAAAAATGGGAAATTTCTCAAAAATTATTCTATCAATCATTTTTCTACTTTCAATCAAAGAATTGCTCGGAAAATCGCCAAAAGATGTTCACAAAAATGAGCAACGTCTTAAAATGAGCAAGATTTTGAAACCGCGACTTGGTCAAGCCTATCAAAGATGCTATTCTTTTGTGACTCCAATGGAATTGATCAAAATGGAAACTCCGCCGTTTTATTGGATGAGCAAAAAAATGCTGAAATTGATGAATTCGGAGAGGAATTTCGAGGTTTTTTGTGATTATGTGACTGAAACTATGGTCAAGAAGAGGAGTGTGGATTATTTTGGGAATAGTTGGAAGGGTTTGGTGAGTTTTTTGGGGAGAAATAAAATTTGATGTTTTTGAACAGTTTTAACCAAAAATCATGTAATTTGGTGAAGTTTTACTCGAAAAATAAACGTGGCACTTTTTTTAAATTTGAAAATGATAAAAATTTACTTGACACGTGGAAATTGACGTGAAAAACAATTTTAAATTTTTTTTTTGGAATTCGAAAAACAATTCATTTTTCCTGAAATTTTATCTGTAATTTTCTTATTTTCAAAAATAACAAAATTTTTTCTTCATAGAAAAATTTATTCTTAATCAGGACAGAAAAAAGTTCATAAAATTTTCACCCAAAAACCTCCGAAAATTTTTAATTTTGATTCAAATTTCAAAAACAAACTTGTGATCCTTATTCATATCCTCAGAATTTATCCGAACATTTTTTGCGATTTGTTCAAGGCACAATTTTTAGCGCACTGAAAATTGTCTTCTAGGGACGTTTTTTTCCGAGAAAAAACCCCTAGGAACAGAAACGCCGTGAAAAATCGAGTTTTTGTTGGATTTCTTGATTTTTTGTGGAGGAGATGAATAAGTTCAACAAGTTTTTAAGGAAACATATCGGGTTTGGAGATTTTGAGGAAAAAGTCAATAAAATCAGAAAACAAATCAACAATTATGAAATTGATGCAAATCTTGTGAAGAGTCTGTAAAAATTCTGAAAATTTTCCCTGAAAATCCAAGAAAAAAAAAGTTCAGTGTGAAAAATAGTTTAGAAAAAAAAGAAAAAAAAGTTCAGTGAAAATTTCAATAAAATTGGAAAAAATACACTGTGAATTATGTAGAAGGCTCAAAATGGATGATTTTCTAGGCCGTGGACTAGAATTTCAGGTTTCTTGGAATTCTAGGCCGCGGATAAGTAAATTATTTTTATTGCAAGATTTTCAAAAGAAATGGCCTAGAAAGTTTACGTATTTCTAGGCCGAGGGACTAGGCCAAATTTAATCTTTCCGTCGCTTTTTCGTGATCCTGTTTGTTTCCTCAACTTTTTTTCATTGTAGCTTGAATTTTTGTCGTTTTCTTCAATTTTTTTCGCCCAGAGTCGTATTTTTGAATATCGTGTTCCTGATTTTCATATTTTTTTTTCCGCGCTGATCTCGGTGGAACTCCCACGTGATGAACTTTCGGAGCGTGCCAGTCGGCTACTCCCTTCCCGATTCCTATCCCTATCCCTTGGTTATTCTGTGAAGTGATTATATGGGTGATCGGCCCTATGATGATCCTAACTACTGGAATTACGGATTCCGAGCTACTCATACTGCCACTATTTAAGGGGACTAACCTTTGTAAGTCGCTAACGCGCCATTAATTAACATTGTCGAGTAATAATGTTTATTCAATAATATAGTATCAGAGAAAAGTACTTATTAGCGAAGCATAGAGGAATGCCGGGGGGCGGAGCATGAATGAATGTTGCGAAGTTCGTTTATATACGGTTTCAGAACAATTACAGCCGTTCCATTTCTCATCACTAATCGGGCCTCATCACTAATCATCTCTAGTCCGCACCATATGTTCCCATTGGTGTTCACGGTCCAAACCATCGTCGCTTTTTCCGATTGACAACTTCCATGTGTGTATTCGCACGTGTTGAGGTCCATCGAGATTAATAAGAGAGAATAATAAAGATCAGCAATACAATAATAAAAATAATAAGAATGATCAGCACTGCAATAATAAAGATCAGAGCGTTCTAAACTACAATAATTGAATTATGGAAAGAATAATAGAGAGAATGTTAGAAGGTTAAAAAAAAAAGAATTTCTACTAGACTAAATGAGAGATGGGTTAGTAGCCTAAATAAGAGCTATACTATTGAATGGGACGTAGGACCAGTTAGAGGTACAATGCTAGGGTAAGGTGTTACTTCGCCCTAGTCCACATCTCGGTGGAACCTCCATGTGAAGGTATGTTAACCTCCCTTCTCTAACTAGTCCCTGATCCCTCGGTTATTACATGAAATGGATATTGGTATGAAATGAATAAGAGTAACTATTTATTGTGAAGAAAACATATAAGAGAAATTACATAGCGGGGAAAAGGTAGACTGAAGTGGGCGGCGTCCTATGGCCTTTTTATTGTGCGTTGAGGCGATGGGCGGAGCATGAGGGCCTCACAGTGGTACTACGATGTTGTGGTGACGTCGGAAGTATTGTCGAACCGTCATGTTGCCGTATGTTCTGTGAGTGATACGGCTATTTGACCTTCAATTCGCAGCGTTCTTTTGAGAGCCATTTCGACGTCGGCATACGTATTCGTCGGCTCGAATCCCACGAGTTGTTCTTAGATGTATGTTTGGTGCGCTGACTAGTGCAAGGTTTCATTGTAGCCTTTCTGGTGTCATAAAGGTGACAAATGAAAAATATATTTTTTTAAGATAAAAATCGTACGTTCGTAGCTTTTTGCGTATAAAATGCATATTGTAAGAAAACCCTTTTCGTTCGTAGCTTTGAAAAAAAACTTCGTGAATAATTTTTTTATGCCAGAACTCTGGCTGCATGAAATTTGAAAAATTGTACGTTCCTAGCTTTTGCGTAAAAATGAAAATCTTTCCCATCAATTCGTGCTTTTAAAAACTTCGTAAATAATTGTCAGCCAAAGTTTTGGCTGCGTAAAAAATAAAAAAAAACAATAAAACTTGATTTGAAAAAAATAAAACGTTCGTAGGTAGCTTCTGTGTAAAATTAAAAACAAACTCTTTTTGTTCTTATCGCGCTGAAAATTAAATTCTTTCTAATTTTGAGCTCGTTTTTAGAAATTTTTTAAAGCTCTAATTTGCCTTAGGTTAGAGACCAGGGTTCCGAACCGATTCTGAATTTTCGGTTTGGGTCGGGTCCAACCGAAAAAACCCACCCAAAACCACCCACTTATACCCAGTTCTAAAATAGAACCACCCAGAACCGAACCCGAAAAAACAGTTCTGGTTCAGACTCGACCCAAACCCGACTCGAACCAGACCCACCCAGAACCAAACCCATTTTTAGAGAACCAACCCAGACCCAGACTCAATGGATCAGACTCGGGTAAGACCCAAACTCATTCGAGAATCAAAAATACCCACCCGAACCAATTCAACCCAAATCCAACTCAAATCCAAACCATGTGGACTCGGGTACCCGGGTAAAAATTGTTCTGAAAAAACAATTCAAATTTATTCGATAATATAATAATTAACCAGTTTTTTCCAGAAATATTTTAAAGAAGTTTATGTTTCGCAAATTTCAGAAATTTTTAAAACCATAACTAGCGGGTATAGAGAAAAAATTTCAGTTTTTGTTGAATTTTTTCAACGAGAATCAAAATTTCGGTTTTTGTTGAATTTTTTCAACGAAAATATTTGTAAATCTGGAAGAGCTTCCAGTTTTACAAATCCATCATTTTCGAGCCAATTTTCATGATTTCAGTCTAAAATTATTTGAAATTCATTTAGTGGTCATCATTCGAGTAATATTCAAAGAAAGCGTTTGAAAAAATAGTTGAATAGTCGATCAATGAAAATCGAATAAATGTTTCGATAACTGGTGCATTATTTTATTATCGAATAAATTTGAATTGTTTTTTCAGAACCATTTTTACCCGGGTACCCGAGTCCACATGGTTTGGATTTGAGTTGGATTTGGGTTGAATTGGTTCGGGTGGGTATTTTTGATTCTCGAATGAGTTTGGGTCTTACCCGAGTCTGATCCATTGAGTCTGGGTCTGGGTTGGTTCTCCAAAAATGGGTTTGGTTCTGGGTGGGTCTGGTTCGAGTCGGGTTTGGGTCGAGTCTGAACCAGAACTGTTTTTTCGGGTTCGGTTCTGGGTAGTTCATCCATTTGTTTGTTCTGGATCTGGGTCCAACCCGCTCGAACCAGACCCGATCTGCCCCAAGAACCGACCCAGTTCGGAACCCTGTTAGAGACTGTGCGTAAATTACAAACAAATCCCCCCTAAAAATCGTTCAAACTTACCTTAACATCACAACGCTCAACAATTCAAATCAATAAAAATGTCTAAAAAAAAGCGATTTCAATAAGTTCCGCGAAACAACATTGTATTGTACAAGACGAGACCGTGAGAGACGCAGAGAAAAACACTGTGTACTTGACAGACATTGACCGAATTTGGACAAATTTGCGCGAAATGAGGAAAAATGAAGCGGAAACTGGATTTTATGGCTAATTTTGGGGGAAAATCAATGGTTTTAAGGAACATTAAAAAAAAAGTTTTTTTTTTCAGAAACACGTGCCAAATTTGATAATCTACAATGTGACCAACTCGGTTTTGATGATTATGTCGATTTTGACGATTCGATTTGTCCCTGGAACTTTTGAATTGGTTGGAAATGTGAGTGAGAAATTCACTGAACATTTCAAGAAAGAAAAAAATTGAAGTCAAATTTTCTGCCTTCCAGACGCTCAAAATAATCCGAAAATTTCGATGGTCCACAATTATTCCGGTCTACTTGTGCTATCTTCTTTTCTGCCTCTCATTTGAATTCATGTTTGCTGCGCAAATTGCCGAAGATCGATTGAAATTGGGCGATGAATGGCATGAACTGTTTTTTAAGAGTGAGGATTTTAGATGGGATTTTGGGGCTGAAGAAATGGAAGAAATTTGATAATTCTGAAATTTTAACTGAAAAAATCTGAAATTTAAGAGGAATTTGGGGCTGAAAGACACCTCGTTAGCCTAGAAAATGTTTGAAAATTCTAAAAATTTTTGAATTAAAAAATCTGAAAATTTTTGATTTTTCATGAATTTTCAGTCCCAAAATAAAAAAAAATTAAAAAATACGTTTCAAGATTTGATATTATTTTTTTCAAATTGTTTTTTCAATTAATGATTTTACTAGCTGAACTTCATACTGAAATTAGAAAATGCTCAAAATTTAGCTGTAAATTTGAAAAATCGTGTGGTTTTTCATTGAAAGTTTATTACCAAAATTTCTCCAAAAATTCCGATTTTCAGCAAGATTTTCTCATGAAAATTTCCCACTTTTGCAGGCCACACAACTTGGGTCGACACAAAAATTGATCAATTTCATTGCATCGTCGATGAATATTGGAAAGTTATGAACATTTTTCGAACTTGGCTGAATCCCTATGAAGAATATCGTGCAATTCTCAATTCCACTTCTGGAATTTTTTTCAAAAATATGTCGCTTGGAGAATTTATGAAGATTAAGAATATGCCAGGTAGGGGATTTTGGGGTGATAGATTATCTGGAAGCCTAGAAAAATCTGAAATTTTTGGGCTGAAAGATAATCCGGAAGCTCAGAAAATATATGAAAATTGAAAACAAGCAGAATAAAAGAATATTTATGCTGTACATTATGAAAAAAACAAATAAATTTCAGTTATTTAAAAAATATAATTTCGTGGGCGTTCGGACAACATTTTTTTCTTGAATACTACCATCAATGGTTCCAATCTCAGTGGAACCTCCATGTAGGAAAAGGTAGCAAAATTTTGTGGTTTACAAGCGCCAGAATGGTGATACTCACGTAGATCAACCGGTTTTCTGATCGTTGGGTTTGCTGGCTTTGATGGTTCGAGTCAATTTTCGCAGTTCGTGATCCTGGGTGCTGGTGCGAGTGGTTTTCCATAATTGTAACTCAGAATCCGATATCTCTCCTCTTTGTATGCGGCGGTTTATAATTCTGCTACTCTCACTGTCCAGCTTTCGGTAACGTTTGATGAATCGACGTCGCCTTTGTATTTCCGCGCGGCAAATCCGTGCAGCGGGTCCAACAGGCGCCAAGTATTGCGTTCCGCGATGCTCCGTCGGTCAATTTTGTGTTCGCTTGAAGGAATCTCCGTGGAACATCCATGTAGGAAGATCCCCCCCTTCCTCTTCACCAGGCCTATCCCCTAGATGAATGAATCAGAACGAGACAGAAATGTAAGAATTTATTCATAGCAATTCTAATTAAGCAGAAGCGACCGACCCAGAGTATTTCTGAAGTCGGTTTATATACTATCTGAAATGGGCGGAGTTGAGTGGGCCGTTGTTGTAATCGTAATTTTCCGTGGGTTTTTTTTAAAAGATAGTTTCGAGGTGTCTTCACATTATATCTTTTTTCGTAAGAATAAGTAGCTTGGAATAGGTTTTTTACTACCCGGATTATAAGCTTTGTTGGAAAGAAACATTCTTTCACAAAAATTTACAAAGTCATTTAATGGGGTGAGTCAATTTTATTTTTTGACGATTAATTGACACAAAAATTGAAACGTGAAATTAATCGCCCTTTAAGACTCACTTTTTTTGTCAATTAATCGCAAAAAACACGCCGATTAATTCGATTGACTCACCCCATAAGAAAAATAACGGAAAATAAAAAAAAATTTCATTGCAAAAGTTAAGGTAACTCCAGATGAGTATAATCCCCTTGGGGTTTCACGATTCAAAAGGGAACCCCTTTGAAAATAATAATAATAAAATATAAGAAGAGAAAATTTTCAAGAGAAAAGAACGGATAAATAAATCTGAACTTTTTACACAATGTCCAACATGTGTTAGGTGGGCACAGATATTTTCTATACTTTTTTAAAGAAAAAAAATTGGGGGACTTGATTTGAGATAAGGATGTGAATTCCGAGAGACAAGTTTTTCAGAGCGCCAATTAGATGTGATAACTCAAAAAGTGGTCGATATTCTTCACAAATATATGCTGAAACCACCGAATCCAGCATTGGCCAGAACGAATGATTTGAAAGGATTGGTGTCCACTTATTATAACAAGACATTGCAATTACCGGTGAGGAGTTTTGAGGCACTTTTTGGGAAGAAAGTGGGAGGAGCTTGAATTTGGAGCATTTTGATAGGAAATAGATGAGAGAATTTTCTATCCAAAAATTGTAATTTTACGATTTTTAGTAATTGAAGAAATTCGCGTGGCATTGCTCAGATTTGAAAATAAATCTGTAGTTAATTATTCCAGCTTCAAGAAGATGTGTTGTTCCTGAAATTGGCAATTCCATTAATGTCAATGATAACAATAATAATTGGAATATCCGTATCGATTTTGGCAATTTACCGTAATTTTGCGTGGCATTCAAAATTATTGAACGTTTTCGAAAAACTTCAATTCATCATTTTATTCATTATTTTTGCCAAAACTTTCATTTTTGTGTGAGTTTTCTTCAGTTTTTCCCTTTTAAAAAATTCCCAAAAAAACATTTTCCAGAGTCGGTTTGGCGCAAGTTAGCGGAACTTATGCGGTTCAACGAACTTTGAGCGGCGGGAATTTTACGTTTTTGAAAAATGCGAAAACTAAGCACGGCATTTCGATCGGCGAACTTTTTAGCGATTCGTATAGCACAAATCGGACGATTTATCAACTGATGGGAAGAAATTGTGGGTTTTTACGGGGAGGGGTGGAAGTTGAAGATGGGTTAGTAAAACTAGACTTTAGTTTGACCTAGTTTAGAGTTGATGTTACTTAACAACAAACTACAAACAAATATGCATATAACTAGGTCAAAATAAAGTATAGTTTTACTCTAGCCATTTTTTTCTCTCGCGGTTTTTTATTCAATCGTTTTTTTTTCTGAAAAAAATATATTCCAGCAAAATTTACGTTTCAAAAATGTGAGATTATCAGATTTATATTTGAAAATTGATGAACTTCGGACTTTAGCTATTGATCAGAAAATATTGATTTTTTTATAGCAAATTCAAATTTGAACCTCGGAAATTTACGTTTAAAAATTTTGATATCTTTGAAAATTTTTTTGATAAAGCTGGTTACACTTCCCTTCAATAGAGAAATGAAAATTCACAAATAAAGTTTCAAATTTTGATTTGATCTACCTAAAAATAAGTGCGCGAAAAATTTGTTTTCTGTGTTTTTTTTTGTTTTTATTTTGCAAAAAAATCAATTTTATGTTGCCCACGTGGCTAAAATTTGAGATTTTTACTTAGAATTTGCCATGTGGAACTTCACAATCTTTTTCGAAAATGGAAATATTTTTTGAAATTATTTTTTCCAGGCTATGGTTTTGATTCTCGTCCCGAACGCTTCAATCCCCAGATTTTGCTCACCAATTTCACATTTCTCAACGCGATTCTGGGCCCAAAAGCCAACGAAAACTTCAACACCAAACCAATTTTCCGCCACTTCGCACATCATTTTGGATTCCAACTCCAAGAATCGCCGAGATTTTTCAACGCCATCTTCTTTTCGCTCAACTTTTCCCGCTTCACCAATGCTATTATGAAACATGTTATTGTGCCGGTTAGCACCCCTGTTTGGTTGTTGGGTGAGTTTTTTGGAGGTTTTGCGGGGGGAAATTTGGAAAATTCAGAAAATTTGTGACAAAATGAGCCTAAATATGGTTATGGTTACTGTAGGAAGATTTTTGGTCTGAAAATCTTGGAACTTGTCCAATTTTCATTCAACTTGGATTTTTGTTTAATATGAGCAATCAGAAATCCCCTTTTGAATAGAAATTAGTACCCAGTTAATATGAGCAATCGAAATTTGTTGATTAATATGAGCAATGCTCCAGAAATCCCATTATTAATCAAAAATGATCAATTTTTCTTGAATTCATAAAATTTTTCTTGAATTCATTTTTCAAATCCACGTGGTATTGCTCATATTAAACATTTCTATATTTCAGCAATGATGCCAGTCCTCCACTATATGATTGCCCTTTATGTGATGTTTGCTATTCCGAAAATCAAGCGAAAAAATTCGAGTTCGGCGAGCGAGGAATTCATTTTAGAAGGTGATTGATTTTATTGATTGGGGTTCTGTGTTTTTTCTTACTCTAAATATTTGTGTTAACCTTTCAATTAATTAATTAGTTAATTATTGTGATAAACTTAATAGTTCTTGCAATTAGCTGGAATTTTATTCAAAAGAACAGTTAGTTAGAAATATTTTAATAATCGATTTTTCAATCTTCAATTAATTAATTAATATAATTAGTTAATTATCCAATTAATGATGTGTATGATTATTGTGATTATGTTCAATATGTGGATGTGAATGAGCGTGTCCTTCTGATCCGTGTTCGTGTCCCATGAAAATTTGCAAAATTGTGACCAACGCAAAACCGACAATAATCCAGAATAATTGTTTGAGATGATTGAATTGATTCGATTTTTCAGAAGCCATTATCTAGATTTTTGAGTTTTGGAAAATCCTATTTTTTCTATAATAAAATTCACCAACCTCAATAAATGTGACATAAATAAAAGTACCGGCTGCCAAACTTTCTAGGAATAAAATTGCACATTCTTTATAAATATTGGTCTCGACATTTTGAAGAATTGAGCCGATGACAGCGCCAAGTGGAGCCATCATACTGTAGATTAGAATTGTTGACAAAACTGTGCGCATCTGAAATTTTGAAAAATGCAAATTTTGTTCTGAACTTTCTGGAATACCGTGTAAAAATATCTCCAAGAATTTCTAGAGAAATTATTGATTTTTAGCACATTTTACAAGGATTTCAGCTGGAATGCGGAAGCTATGCCCAAATTTTGAATTTTCAAAGGAACATGTTTGAAAATTGGTGGCCTAGAACTCCAAAACTAGTTCTCAAGCTGATTTTGACGAATTTGAGTTCGAAATACACTATTTAGGATTTTTTATATGACTGAAAATGCTCAAATTTTCAAAATTTAAAAAAATATTTTCACTCACCTTATTCGAATTAGCCATCGAAATTTGTAAACCAACCGAAAACGCTTCGACACTTTTATGCAATAAAAGTGAGAAAAACAAGGCGACAATTCGTTGAGTCGAATCCTGAACTCCCAAAGCGAAACCTTCCAGAAGTGAGTGAAGTGACATTGCGACGGCGAATGTCAGCGATTTTAGAATGTTTGATTTTTCGTCCGAAACTACCCACGTGGAGGCTTCTTCTACTCGAAGGCTGCAATTTTTGAAGATTGTGATTTTTTAGAATTTAGAAATTCAGACTTTGAACTACTAGGATTAATTCTTACCAAAATTTTTACTATTAAAAAATTTGAGGCTGAAAATCTAGATCTTCAGATATCACAAGACTTGCGTCTCTAAACTTAAGCTAACTCACTTTGTAATATTGATACTTCCTTTTCTCTCCGCAGCCCGTGTTTGTAAATTATGTGAATGACCGTGTTGAGCTTCAGTACCCGCAGCTCCAAAAACAAAAGTCGTAAATTCCTCGATAAAATAAATGAAAAAGAAGCCGCAACACGTCACAAATTGTGGATACGCAAAATGCCACGATAATTCATAGGTGGCGAGTAGATCTTCGTAACCTTCGCTGAAAATTAATGCCGCGTGGATTTTGTCGAATCTCGATTTTCAGAATCAGAAATATTTCTAGAAGTTGGAATTTTAGAATTCATAGGGACTTCTTTTTGAACTGCCACGTGAAACTCTAGGAATTGAAATTCTGAAGTGCTACGTGGAATTCAGAATTCTGGTTTTAAGAAATAGAATTTCAAATTGACCACGTGGAATTTTAGGAATTGAAAAATTTGACTGAAAATACAGTTTCAAACTTTTCTCACCGGAATTTCTAGTAAATCCACCTGTCAAAATAATTTCAAAATTTTCTGAAAAATGTTTTCCCTCTTTTTTTTCGAAACTTACTTTATATGAGGAATAATGTCCAAAAAACACGTGGCAAGAAATACACCACCAGCAAAACATGTCAAATACGAAAGCGCACTGTTCTCCTCGTTTTCACGTTTTTTCATGTAGCGAACGATCTGCAATTTGTTTTTGTTTTGAAATTTTTTGAAAATTACCTACAAAATTTGGCACGACTCCAAAAATTGCGGTAACTGCAAACATGGCAAAAGCCAAGGAATATTGAAGGTATTGATTGTTGTCGTTTTCCATTTTGTGCTGCAAATTTTGAGGATTTTTTGACACGTGGATTTGTATTTTAAAAATTCATAATCTGAGGCTCGAAATTCAGAATTTCTAGAAAATTTGGAATCTCGAATTTTTAGGTCTCAAAAATAAACATGGATGTTTTTTCCTGAGTTTCTTAATTTCTCAATATTCAATTTTTTAACTTGAAATTTCACGTGGAATTTTCTAAATGAAAACCACAAGAAAATATGAAAAGTGACAATTTACACCGAAAAATCTCAAAAAAGAAAAATGATGTCAATAATTGGAAAAAACACCTTTATATAGAAAAGATAAGATAGTGCGCAAGAAAAAATGTTTTTTTTTCTCAAGAAAAATGTTTGTTCGTCAGGTTCCACCGATTCCTAAACAAAAACGATGACTAGAAAATTGGGCGAATGTTTTCTTTGCTACGAGGCTGACCTTGGTTGAAAACTTAAAAATATTTAATTGGACGTTTTAGAATTTGTTTTAATGATTAATCTGTTCTTTGGACACGGGAGGGGGGGAGTTTTAGAGGAAGTTTAAAAATTGAAAATCGAAAAAATTACACATGGATTCCGTAATTTTGAGTCATGAAATTCAAAATTTTTAGTTACAAAAATTAATTTTAGAAAATTAAGACTTCCACGTGAATTTTCAGCTTTTTCATCCTATCAAAAATTACACAACTCTGAATCCACATGGAATTTTGAAGCTCTGAAAATACTGAATCTTTCTAGAAAGTTTTTTCAATTAGAAAAATAAATTTCAAAAAAGAAAAATAGTTTGATTAGAAAAACAGACAACACAATTGACTTTCAAATCGAATCAAATCAAATTGTCTGCGTCTCTTTTTTTTGCTAATTAAAATTTTTTGTGACGCAGAGATAATTAATGACTCCGAAAAAAAGCGAATCGGGAGTCTTTACCGCAAGCTTCCGCGTTTGGATGAGATCAGGCAGCCGACATTCGCGGAAGCTTTCGGTCTACACTCGCGACTTTGTCGCTCGCAAGGTCACCAAAATTAAGGGCTCAACTTATTTTCTCGAAAAAATCGAGAAATGTTTTATTGGTCTTGTAATTGCTGAAAAGAACAAGTTTTTCTTAATCGTTGAATTTGTGTTTTCAAATTTTGATTTTGAAAATTGGAAAAATAAGAGGCTTTGGAGACATTTTGAAATTCAAAAAATCTCAAAGATCATCTGAATTGTGTAGTTCTCGAGGAGACAGAAAAAGATCATCTGAAAACTCGTCTGTTTGCAGTTCGAAAATTGAATTTTGTAGTTCTCTCGGAGAAGTTTGAAGTTCTTGAAACTTCCCTGTAGTTCTGTTGGAATAGTCTTTCTTGGAACTAGTTTTGAAAAACTTTGATGCGCGCGAACGAATTTGCGCTAAGTCGCGCGGACAAAAAATACCAAAGAAAAGGGATTTGTAAAAAAAAGAGGAGGAGGAGGAGGAAAAGCTGAGGTCAGCTGAAGATTTATGAATATATATCTAGCATGGCTAGATTGAGATTTGTATTATAATATGGAAGAAGTTTCGACTTTTGAAACTTTTTTTTGTTCTTTGGGAACCTGGGGAAAATTCTAGAAATTCTAGAAGATCTCTGAAAATTTTGAAGTCTAAAAATTTAATTTCAAAATTTCCAGTGATTATTTTTCTAGGGCGAATTTTCAAATTTCTTGACACGTGGCTTTTCAGCTCAAAAATATGAGGATCTGATTTGTTTTTATGAAATCAGGTTTGAGGTTTTTTTTCGATGTGAAATTCTGAAGCCGCAATTTTTTTCAGAAATCTTTTAAGAAGATTTGCCACGTGGATTTTCAGAAATGAGGGGATTTTTAAGCTGGATTTTCAGGCTAACATTTTCGTGTTGCTTCCTTTTCCCATTGTCTTTTCTCGGATACGGTCATTTTATTCCTTTTCCAAAATTTTCCTCCTTTTTCTCCTCCTAAAACCGGTCAACTAAAAAGTGAAATTAATAATAGGATTAGGAAACTGAAATTAATGATCCATACGTTTTTTTCCTGGTTTTTATATTTTTTGTTTCGATTAGGGCCATTTTCTAGGAAAAAATTATTTGAAAAGTTTGAATTCTTAAGTTCAAATTTGCCACGTGGATTTTATTTTTCAAAAGTCCGTCTCAAATTTTGTACTCTCAAATTCAAAAAATATTCATTTTGATCCACGTGGAAAAATTTTCAAAGTTTGGCACGAAGTTCTGAAAATTCGAAAATTCAAATTTTTGCGCTAGCAATAACGTTTCGCCACGTGGATTTCTTATATTTCAGTTCAGCTTTTCTTCCTTCAAAAATACATATTTATATGAAAAAAATGAAAATAATTGTGTGTGTTCCCCCCAAAACCAACAAGTTTCTTATGAAAAGTTTTTTTTTGGTTGTAAAGTTTTTTTTCGCTTTTTTCTGGTTTTTTTTGGCATTTTTCAAAGTATTCACATTTTTTTTGGTTTATGAAACTTATTTTTTCTCATTCTCACCACTTTTTTATTATTTATCTCGATTTTAATCTATCTTGAATTAATTCACAGCCTCTTGAAGTTGTGTTAAATTGAATTTCTGCTTGAATATACGTAATTAATTAAAAGATGATTGAGATTAATTAATTTAGACCTTTTAGAAAATACCTACAGATGAGGAATTTTAGTAATTTATGAGCGTTTCTTATTGTAAGGTAATTAATTATATTTTGGATAATTAATTAAAATGAAATCTTGAAAAAGTTTACAAAATTGTTTCATTGCTCATATTAACTTATTAATTTTAACTAATTCAGATTGCTCATGTTAATATTTGTTTTAATTTTCACTAAATCTGAAAATGTTTAACCATTGCTCATATTAAATATTGTCCTGAAAATGCTATTAAAAATAAAATCCACGTGGCAAAATTCAACGTTTGAAATTCTCAAGGTTTCCCATTGAATTTAGGCTAAATAAAATTCAAAAATGAATGGATTCATTTGAAAAAATTATTTGATTCACAAAAAGTTTCATTTCATTTCCAAAAAACCACCAGTTTTCTCATTATTTTCTTTTTGCCCAAGCTTTTTCCAAAAAATCCAGAAATCTTGTTGTATTTGTTCAATTTATATTCAAATTTTCTCTCTGGTATGTAAATCTGCCCAAACACACAGTCGAAAAAAGTAGCGAAAGTAAATAAGACCTTCTTTTTTTCTTGAAAATTAGTGTTTTCCGCAAGCTTGCGCGAAGCGGCCACGCGGATAGCTTTACTAGAAGAGCTCAGGGAAACCTTCCGCGTACGCGGAAAGTTCAAGTTTACACTTGCGACTCAAAAAAAAGTAGCGAAAGTAACCTTCTCTCGAAAATTAGTGTTTTCACCATTTTTTGCTTGAATAATGCGGAGATTAGAATCTAAACGTTTAATGATGAAAAGTTGGGTTTTTTTGGCGTGATATATGAGTAGAAAAATGTGATTTGTTTTGTTAGGTTTCGGGTATAAGTGTATATAAAAATGTGTTTTTGGACGCCTGGCTGATACATTTTTCCAATTTATTTTGTTTGAGGATTTTATTGGTTTTGGATTGGGATTAGGTGTGTTGAATTGAATTTCATATTTTTGTCTGAAAGTTTTACGTTAATTTCCATGAAGTTCAAATTTACGCTATTTATATATATTTTTAATTAAATTTTATTTTTTTTTACGTATTTTTCAAATAAATCTACGTGGATTTCACGTTTTCACGTTAAAAATCAATGTTTTTAACATTAAATTTTATTATTTTTAAAGCAATTTTTCACGTTTTCACGTAGAATTTTATTTTTTTTAATGAAATTTCATTTTTTTACGTAATTTTCAAATAAATCTACGTGGGTTTCACGTTTTCACATATAATTTTATCCTAAATTTTCTACATTCTCTGTATTTTTCTCTGCGCCTCTCTCTCTCTCTCTCTCTCTCTCTCTCTTTCTCCCATAAAAGTTCACCTAACAATTTTAAGCAGTTGTTAACATGAGTCATGCTTCTTCTTCTTTTTTTCTGATGATTCTCGAAAACAACCTTTTATGAGGTGTGTGTATAGTCATACTATTACACACTCGAATTTTTCGAACAATAGCGACCTTCCTCCCATCTTTTTTTGGCTGGCGCGTTTCTAGTTTCTTTTTGGCATTTTTCTCGAGAAGCTGAAAAGAAAATGAACATTTTTATTTTATTGTTTTATTTTTGAAAAATTTTGGGGTCATCCTAGATTTTCAGGAACTCTAAGCCCAAGAAAGTAATAATAGTTGTAGTTAATTTTTGAATTTTAATCAAGTCTAGATTTTTCTAGTTAAGCCCCTGATGTCTGAGGATTTTTTTTTAACGCTGGAAAATTTAAATCTCAAATTGTTACCTAATTTTTTCTGCGTCTCTCAAGCTCCCACTCTATTTCATGTTATTTTTTCTTCAGAATGTGGCTACCTCTACTTCTCTACATGTTATTAACGAGTTCCGCGAACTCTCAACTTTCTTGCGATCGGATTTCGATCAGTTTTTGTTGCACAACTCGAATTCGTGAACAATGTCCAACACAGTGTGCAAATGTGAATTGTGATGATGGTTTTATACATAGTTGTGAGTTTGTTTGGGTTTCTAGGCCGCGGACTAGTTTTTTTTTCAATATTTGTTTGGATTTCTAGGCCATTGGGATTAGGAATTTAGTTTTTTTGGATCTTTATTGTTCATTATAAAGCTCTGCATCTCAATTTAATTAAAATTCGTTTTTAACATGAGCAATCTCAATTTTTCATGAATACCTAATATCAAACTAAAATTCAAGAGGATTTTCAAGAAATTGCTCACATGGAGCATCAAGTTTCCGCTTTCTTGAAGGGTTTAACATGAGCAATCCCAAATTTTATTTTAATAATTGCTCATAATAAACTTTCTTTCAGTATTCTCAATTGATAGTCCCAAAAGTCAGGCAAAAGATGGCAATACAAAAACAAATGTGGAAGGTTCGACGTTTTCTGGTAAGTTTTTTCAAATTTCTAAATTTTCTTGAGTTACCCTAACTAATTTTGTCCTTTTGTAGAAATTGATACTGATTTTGTTGTAACCAAACCTGATCAATTGGCTCCGGTTCCGCCTGCTCCGAAAATCGAAAATTTTGCGACGTTAATCCATTCCACGACTGAACTTCCAACAACTACATCTAGAAGTTTTGCGACGACGCGGAAAGAACCGCGTCGACGAACCACACCGGATCCACGTATCATCAGACCGCCCGAATCGCTAGTGGTTATTGGAGATTATGATGAAGATGAGCCGGCTTCGGAAAATGCTGTCGTTTTTGTTGACTCACCACAGTGTATGTGTTTTTTGGTTGGAGTGAAAAATTTGGGATTCTGAGGGGTCCTTTAGAAGTTTAAAAGGTCCCTCAGAAATTCAGAGAATCCCTGAGAAGTTTAGAAAGTCCTCCAGAAGTTTAGGGGGGAACTTCTGAATTCTGGGAGGCCCCTTAGAACTTCGGATGGTTGCTCAGAACTTCATGGGGATCCTGAAAAATTCAGAAGGTCTCTCGGAATTTTAGAAGTTTCCCTCAGAATTTTGGGAGGTCCCTTAGCTTTGAAAATTGCAGCTCCACTACAAACCACGACCGAATTTCCGTTGCCACCTCCAACAACATCTTCCGCATCCGCATTCATCAGTAATTCAGGAGACACTGGTTTCAGATCCAGAAAGGAGATTTCTGATGGAACAGCGTCGCGCAGGTAACTTTTTTAAACAGGGCGAAATACGTTTCATAATGTAAGATATCTGAAAATCGGGCCCCTATGGCTTCTAGGCTTCTCATCCTGAGTTCTCTAGCAAACCATTCTACCGTCGCCGCGCTTCAGCCGCTTCAAACCGGCTAATCTGCCGGATTTTCACGCCGGGCCGTCTGGCTTGCGATAGACGAGTCAGATCGCTTCAAGCCGTCGGACCTCCCGGATTCTCACCGGTTCCAACTTCGACTACTACTACTACTACAACCGTGCCCCCACCGATTTCGCCGCGCCGCCGACCAATTTGGCGTGGTGTTGTGCGACGCCCGTCGCTGCTGTCGCGAGATCAAAGACGCCGCAATTTTTCGACGAGTCGCATTCAAATCACACCGTTTAATGAGGAATTGTTGAGGAGAAGACGGAAATTGGATAGGTGGGCAGAGATTTGCATGAAAATGGTGGATGATTGGTGGAGGATTGCACTGCATGAAAGTAGTTGTACTAACTCAGGGGGAGGAAAATATCAGAAAAATGTATCTTATTCTAACATGAGCAATACTTCTAACACAAGAATTGTTCATGTTAATAACACCATATAAGTTGAACTTAACATGAGCAATACCTTTAACAAGGATTTTCTAAAAATGTCTTAAATTTGGAAGCACAGCTTTTTTTCTGCATGATAATCACTTTTCCAATTCTCACACAAAACTCGATCCAAAAATATTGATTTTAAATTTTCCAGAGGTTCATCTGCCGAATGGAAAGTCTCCATAATTCCCCGTCAGCAGAAATTGCTGAAACCCGATATTAATGCGATTCCAGCGTTGACTATTGATGGAAAATCCGATGAGAGATTCAATAAGTTTTATAGAAGTGGGTTGTGGAGAATTTCGATCCAATCAAAAATCAATATTTTTTCCAGATTTTGGAAAAGTGTTCAACAAAATGACGGAGCCCGATCCTGTTCAACCGAATTCCGAAGTTGTTTCATCGGGATCCATAGAATCATCAGCATCGATAGCGCGACCTAGAACTACAGTCTCGCCGGGCACAACAAATCGAGTTGCACCCAAAATCTCGGCGACAACTCGTGGACCACCAGCAGTTGCGCCAAAAACTTGCGGTGTTGCCCCAGATTTTGTGCCATGTGTTAGTAATGAAGTGGCGAGTCGGGAACTATTGGCGTGTTGCCAGCGGAAGAATTTACCGGCTGGATGTCAGTCACTTTGTCGGTATGATGTCACGCAAGCTGAGGTGATGAAATAGCCACGTGGCAGCTTCTAACTTTCACTTTTCCAGATTCGTTTGGCTATGGATCGTGGACAATGCGGAATTTTCAGCGTGGCGCCGTTCCTTGAGTGTGCCTCGCAAGGAAAAGACAACTCGGAATGTTGTCGACATCGTGGAATTCTTCAAAAAACGTGGGTTTTATCAGAAAGCTTACCGGGATTTCAGAAGCCCTAGAATAATTCCCCAGATGTTTTATGAGCTTCTGAAAACTTCAGGGAATTTTCTAGCCTTTAGAACTGTTCCTGGGTTTTCAAAAGCCCCAGAATAATTCCCCAGATGCTTCAGGATTTTTTTCCGGGCTTCTGAAAACTTACAGTGATCTCCAGGGCTTTCCAGAATTTCTTAAATTGTTTTTTTAAATCAGGAAATCATCTCTCGACCTTCTGAGGTCCTCCTGGATTTTCAGAAACCTCATTTGCTAAACTTTTGAAGTTTTCCGAGGCTTCCGAAAAATATTCAAAGATGTCATGGGTTTTTTAAAATCCTTCCAGGCCATTTCAAAAAGGGGGTTTCTAGGATTTCCGGAAATCTTCCCAAGGTTACAGAAAATTCCCAAAATTCTCTAAGTCTTCTAGAATTCTTCCTGGCTTTTCAGAAGCTTCAGAAACGTCTTCTTGATCTTCAAGAACTTTTCCACGAGCTTCCAGAACATCTCACAAATCCCCTGAACCTTCTAGACCTCTTCCCGAGCGTCCAAAAATAAATTCCAAAATTTGCAGCGGTCCACAATGCGAGCAATTCTGCCGACCAGCTCAAGGCCTCACAGCCCTCGGCATTCAACATCTGGTGTGTGGCGGCGCAGTTGGTGACATGCTTCATTGTCATCATTCTGGTGTCAGGATTTGACTTGAGATTTAAAAAAAATGACCCAGGAATTCTCGAATTCTCTGCCATCTTTTCTAGTCAACCTATTATTTTTTTTTTGATAAGTTAAATTATCTGTATATTTGCTCAATGAATAAATATGTATTTTTTTTATTATATAATTTTGAATTTGAGTTGACATTCTGATTTTTTATATTATATTTTTAAAATTAATTACTATCTAATAACCCCGAAGTTTTCCAGGAAATACCAAATTGTATAGAAATTATTTCTATATCAATTCATTTATGCATGAGAGAGATATGAGTGATAAGGACAAACGAGTTATCTTCTTCTTCTCAATATTATTACTCAATTGCGGGATTTTTGCGGGGCGACCAAAATAATCTCGTCCTCGTCCCAAAAGAAGATATTATTCATCCCGAAAAGTAAGTTGTTTTGGTTGTGTCTTGTATAATTGTTACCGCCTATTTTATAGAAGACTGTGCGCGATTATTATTATTAATAAGAATAGTGGTAATTTTAGCAATGTATAGATGTATTCTTTGAAACGTATTTTTTTAGGGTATCATTTTTCAGTTTTTCAAACTGAAAAAAAACCACACAGTCCACGTGGCAATTTTTTCAGAATTTTTCTTGAATTTTCATATGAAATTGTTTTTTTTTTTTGAAATTTGAAATTGTAAAATTTTGATCTGAAAATCCCACGTGGCAATTTTTTTCTCAGAAAAAAATTTGTCCCAAAGCCAACTCCGCCACCTCATGAAAAAGCAAACATGTAAAAAAAGTGACCTCCATAAAATTGCATTTTTTAATACCTCATTTAACACATAACTTTCTAATCGGTTTTTATGCATATTTTTGATGGATAGTCAATACATTTTACTCAATGGGAAAGACATTTGGTAAAGTACTGGGTTCTGAAAGGAATTTTCAGTTTTTTTCCCTTGGCCAAGTTCGGTTCCAAAACCTTATCATGTTTACCCAAATGTTATAACATAAATATAGGTATTTATGAAAACTGTTCGCCTTCTTTCTTCCATTCCATTCTCCCCCTCCGCCACCTCATGTTAATCCTTATTGTTTCATCTTGCGCGTACACATCAAATATAGTTTTCGTTTTTGCGATTCCGATTTTATTAGTATTTTATCAGTATTGTTTGGTTTGGTCACTCACTCGTTTCCCCTTCCCTTTTCTCTATCTATATTTACCCTCTACTTGTCCAATCTTCCAACCCGTGCGCGGAACGATCTCAACAACTTATTTTTGTCCACTCATATCACCTAGCCAAGCGCTTTTGTGGTGCTCTTTCAAGTTTTTGGGGTTTTACTCCGTCACTTTTTTGTATTGTGTAATAGAATTTTGTGTAGTAACTTTACGGTTTTTTCAAAATTTAATTCACGAGTTTTTTGCTCAAAAAATCATGTTAAAATAATAACTCAGATTTTAAGAGCTTGGGTTATTTTTCACGCTGAGTTTATTTTTTAAATAACATTGATTTTTTTACTCAAAAGATTTTCTAAATCTGATATCAACTTTCTAAAAAAAACTTCTTTTAGTAAAACCATTTATTCCATTTATTCCATTAAACGCATAGCACATCTATTGTTATCTACAACTAGCACATATGGAAGATGATCCATGAGAGGATCATAAGCCTGAAATCTTCTTTACATAAAAAAAAGAAAACCAAAAACGGCTGGTTTCGTCGAAAAAAGGGACAGCCATTTGTTGAAATTTTGGGTCTTGTCGCGCGAGAGTACTGTAACACTCGAGTGGCGTGTGCATTTTTTCTTTTTTTTTTCTTCTTTTACTTCGTTTTTCATTCAATTTTTGTCGCCTTTTTTGGAGGTTTCAATGCGTAAGTCAAACTCAACTTTCTATTTGATATTTTCAAAAAACGTTTCTTTTCCAGGCGCTGCACTTGAAACCACATGGATATGGTCAACAAGGGAAAGAAGTGAGTTATTCACTCTCAAGAGACAAACTGCTCTATTTGAGAAACATGCGCTTCTATCAGTTATTAGGAAAACAGTGGTTTTCTAGAAATCTTCGGTTCATACTTTGAAGAAAATTGAACATTGAACGCTGCTAAGTTTCTCTAGGGCGTTCCTTGTGAAGTCCTAGAACGGAGCTGATTTCTTCTAAGTTCCTTTTTCCAGATGAGCTGAAATATTATCAGCCATGTCTTTTTTATTCATCCATTTCCAATCGATTCCAATTTTTGGTCGATTTCGAGCACTTTGTTATTTTTAGATGGAATAAGTTATAGGATGCGGCCAAATACTGAAAAGGTTGAATTGGAGTGAAAAATACAACTTGGTTCGAACTTTTCTAATGAAAATTAGAACATGGCCCATGATCGCAATTTTTCTCAGGTTTTTCAGCAGCGGTCAGAGATTATTAGCAATTCACAGAAATCTGAATTTTTCACAACAGCGCATTCTATATATTCATCTTACAACCAGCATAGAAATATAAAATAAGAAATTTACTTTTTCTTAATGTGAAATCACATTTTTCATAAAGCCAGATTTCAAATTTAATAAAAACATTCTTACAGGTCAAAAAACAATGGCGCTGATGAACCGGGGAACTCGTCACGCGGAAACCTCATGTGAGTTTTTTTCTAAAATAATTTTTCAACAATAAAAATTGCTTTTTGAAATCAAAATAAAAATTTAAGATAATTCCCATACCAAAAACCTTCTTCGGTAATAAACACCTGGGTTTTTTCTAACAAAAATCCTAGCTTCATTTCTGAATCTCAAAATGTAAAGAAAAAAAAACAAAAACAGACGACAATAAATTTCTAACAAAAAGTGCTCATTTCATCGTCGAAAAAACAGTTTCCTATGAATTTCATCGTAATTTCTCATACAATTTCAAAACCAATAAACTTTTAATTTTTAATTTGAAAAAAAAAACATTTAACTCCAAATTTAAGATTAATTTAAAATAATTCGCAATTCATTTCAAGTGTTGAATTCAAACACTATTTTAAAATATAATTCAAATTTTTAAAAATCTCTAAATTTTTTAATTCAAAAATTGTAAGTTTCCAATGTTTTTTGAACTCAAAAAATAAATTTGGCGGTTTTTCGAAAAAATTCAAGTTTCAAGTTCAAGAAAAATTGAAAATTTTACGGCCAAGCTTAGAAAATCAGAAAAATGAAAAATAATGATATTAATGAGAATTTTAGTTGTAACATTCAGAATAAGCATCGATTTATGATCCAGTTTAGAAGTTGAAAAACTACTCAAATCCGAAATTGAATGATATTTCTTTCTGTCCTCGCTTTTTTGCCAAATTGTTTTTCCAATAATATACACTTTCAGAGACAAACAATTATTATTGACCTAAACTCCAAATTATCAAAAAATTTCGATGAAATTATCATTTTCTCATATCAATCATAATTCAACAATTTTCAGATGTCGACATCAACAAGGACATCGACAATCGGAAATTCAACTTATTGGTAATATTACTTTTTATTGTTTTATTTTCAATAAATATTGGGAAATCGCTATCGTTGATAATTTGTTTTCGCCTTTCATCCGCTTGCTTGAACTGTGAGGGAATTAGCCTTTTAGTCTTAGTATGGGCCTTCTGGCCAGACTTTGATCACGCTTAGACTTAGCTAAGTATGGGCCGAAGGCCCAGACTATGTCTAATCAGTATGAACATTGGTTTGAACGTATGTTTTTTTAAATTAATTTTGCGCCAAGTGTTACGCCAGGGTGGTTAATGGACAAATTTGAACAACACGCCCGGAAACCACTAGTTTTTTAGAATAATTTTCAATCTTTCAAAATGTTGATCAACTCACATTTTGGAAAATTTGAAATTGATCAGGTGTGCATTCATATCTGATGTATTCTCCGAAACATACAAAAAACTCATTATAGATATTGCTTCCCGTGATATTGTATGTTCTATTATCGCACACATGATTCCAGTAATATTTTTCCATTTGAATTGCACATGAAACGAAATCATCTTCATACATTCGATTAATTAGTTTACATCCAGTTCTCGCAACATCAAATATTAATTGATTTTCATCGCGTTCTGAATCTCCAGAACTGTCAACAATAGCCTGTCCACACTCTTTCACATAATTGCAAGATTCGATACGTTTATCGATTTTTTCGATAACTGTGTTGTCAGGCATAAGAATCAGATTCAAACCCTTCTAAAATTAAATCACAAACACAATAATTTAAAACTAAATGAAACTCACAAATCCACACTTGAAAGCATCCCAATATTTGCAAGCAATAACCGAAGTCGGAGCCAAAATCACCAGAAAAATCAGAACGGTGCGCATTTTGTGGTAGAAATGAGATAGACTAACTATAAATGACTAACTTGGAACATCTTTGGCTATTAATTGCCTTTGGGAAAGGTTAACTTAGTTATGGGAAGTTGTTTGGGAGGAGAAATAGTGGATGAGAGACTTTAGAGAAAATATTAGATTTTTGGGAAAGTTCATTGTGCGTCAAAAAAAAATGTTTTGAATAAAATGTAACACTTCTAGGATAGTACAAAATTGCGATTCTATAGATTTATGACACAAATATAACACTTCAATTAGCAAGCTTTACAACATATGGAAGATAATCCATGAGCATATTGCGATTCTGAAATATTTCCATCATAAATTTAAAAAAAACGTTTAATAACTCACCTCTTTAAAAATGCGATATTGATCATCTGTACATTCCTTCTTGATGTGTTCTTCAACACATCCAGCAAATGCATCATAGATATTAGTTCCAGATAAATTGTATGTTCTATTATAGCAAACTTTACTCCAATAATGTTTTTCCAAAGCAATAGCACATGACACGAAATCATCTTTATACATTCGATGAATCAAAGCACATTCAAATTTGTTCTGATCCACGGCTTTTTGCATTTCGAGTTTTTTAAAAGTTCCTTCTTTGGAGCAGTCTACAGTAACTTGTCCACAATCTTTGAGAACATCGCATTGCTTGACACGACTGTCAATTTTTTCGAGCATTGTACCACTAGGCATACTATCAGCCCGCCAAACTTTCTGAAAATCAAAAATTTCACCTACTGAATTTTTTTTTTTGAAAAGCATAACTCACATATCCGCATTTCGCCAAGCTCCAATAGTTGCAAGCTGAAATTGCAGCCGGTGCAAAAAACACTAGAAAAATTAGAAAAGTGTTCATTTCGTTGGTATAAAATGAGCAATGAGGCTGGCTATTTATTGAGCATTTTTGTTACACTTTTGCAGAGCTATATGATTTATTAGGGTGCGATGGGTCAAGTTTAATATGAGCAATGTGTGTGAGATAGTGTGTGATTGGATGAGGGAGGAGAGATAGAGGCGTGGGGTGGGCGGTAGAAGGTTCTGGATGGCAAAAAAAAACCTATGGTTAATTTTAGATTCGAAAAGTGTTGTCGAAAATTGAGGAAAATGAAAGGCAAAAAAATAGAGACTCAAAAAATTTCAAGAATTTATCAGCATTTCAAAATTCCACATGGCTTCTAATTAGTTTTTTTTTCGAAATTTCACTTTTTTCATCATGAATCTAGAGGTTTTTAAATTTTTCTCAATTTTTCCACGTGGAATTTTTTCCATGTTTTTGATGATGAAAGTGCATTTTTTCCAGGAAAAATTAGATTTTTTAATCAAATTTCGACTGTATTAAATCCGCGTGGCAAATCCTCTTTTTTGAATAACATTAGAAATTTTATAATTAGCTAATTAAAAAATTTTCCACGTGGTTTTCTGAAAATTTTAATTCTAAATTTCAAGAAAACATTTTTTACCTAAGTTAATATTTTAAAATTTATATGAATTTCCCAGAAATTTTCTACGTGGCTTTCAAAAAGCTGTTTTCTTATTTTTGAAAATTCACTGTTTTCAAAAAATTAAATAAAATTTTTTAATTTCAAGAACTCACAAACCTTTCCAAATCCCACGTGGCTTTCCAAAATTCCCTGGATTTCTAGTCATATCTTTATTATTATTTGCTTAGGTACCAAAAAAAGCATGCCCCCCCCCACAAAAAAGGTCAAATAAGGTGGCGGGCTAATGAGAAATGTGTTATTTTGCTGCTTTCTTATTTACCTCTCTCTCTCTCTCCTTATTTATTTACTGTCTTTTTGGACTTTTCGAGAATAGCTTTGGCCTTTAGCTTGGAACTGTATTTGATTTGCATATTTTTTTTCTGTTGGTGTATTGATTTATTTTTGGTTGGGATTCTTTAGGCCGTGAAGGTTTTGTTTTGAAAATTTTAGTGACCAGGTCTTCTTAGGATAGATAAGCTCCAGAAGTTCTTAAATCCACGTGGCTGCTAACACGGAAGCTTGCGGAAGGCTAGGTTCTCACAAAAACTTTTATTGTTCACGAACTTTCCAATTAGCAAAACCCACTTATTCACGAAAAATATTTGTTTTAATAAATGAAACAGACATACACAACATGTATGTGTGTACAAATAAAAATAAATATGTATATAATTTGAAGAGCTTTTTCCGCGCGGCGCCGAAGCGCGGAAAACATGAAAGTGTCGATTTCTAACACATTTTTTTCTCTGGAGGAGCTATATTTGGAGCCTTTTGCTCGCTCGACTTTTTGGCAAAACTTTTTAGACTTTTGAACTTTTGGAAATGAGTTTTTCATTTAAAAAATTAGGAATTATTGCCACGTGGAATTTTAATACTGCATTTTTGGAATTTTCGTAAAACACGTAGCAATGTCTATTTTTTTGATCCAATATTTTGGAAAAAAAATTCTGAAACCCAATTCTGAAGTCTTTAAAAAATATTTTCACGTGGATTTTGTGGTCCAAAAATTTTCATCTATTTTTTTTGGATTAAAATTTTGAAATTTCTAGAGAAATCTTGCCACGTGGATTTTTCCGGCCAAAATTTGATTTAAAAATTATTTTTTTCTGAAAAATCTTTCATTTTCCTAGCAAATTTCCTTTTTTTTCTAATTTTTCTTTTCCAACTTTTGATCTTTCGAATTTCGAAATGCAAAAAGTGTCAAAATTTTTGCTGTGTGATAATAACTTTGTTTAGTTATTATTACCGAAAACAAATATCCCATCAACTTCCGCTTTTCCTCGATTTTTTCTGTTTTTTCTCGGTTTGGTCACGGCTTATCTGCTTTTTGGGATCTTTTTTTCACATTAAATTACCACCAAATCTTGATACAACTTTTGTTGACATACTTTTTTGAACCACTTTTTATTTTGTTGTTATTTTTTGGAAATTGGAAAAATTCTTCCGCAAGCTCAAGCGAAAATAAAAATTAAAAAAAAACATTTTTTTTTGCAGAAGGGAACATTTTACCACCACCAACATCAAAATGATGTTGTCCGGATTGCGGATAACATTATTGATTTTGCTGGGATTGGCTACAATTATACAGGTTGGTTTTTGGATTTTTTAGGGAGGATTCCACGAATTTTCAAAAATTTTCCGGAAAAAAAAAAGATTTAATTTTTTTTTAAGATTTGAAGATTAAAAAAAAATTTAAATATTAATTTTTTAGACCTAGCCTCAAATGCTTCAGCTTAAAATTAGCCTAAGTTTATTTCTCCTAGAATCCTTAACCTAAACTTTTAAGCCTAAGCCTAGGAGCCTTAACCTAAACCTTCAAGCCTAAGCCTAGGAGCCTAGAGATCTTAACCTAACGCTATAGTCTAGCCGTCGAGCATTATCCTAAGCTTAAGCCTAAAGATATTTTTGAGGCTCCAAATTCAGTTCAAAAATTCACGTGGAATTTCAGAATTTAGTTTTTCAGCAAAAAATCAAATTTCAAAAAAAAACGTGACCAACAAAAAATCCACATAATTTTTCCACATGTTTTTCTTAATTTTTTTCTTCTCCCCCCAAAAAATCCGCCATTTCGATTTGCAGTGTCACACCACAAAACCCACCTCAACAATATCTCAACTCTCAAATGTCGAGCTGATTTGTCCGGATGGCTGGATTCAGCACGGCTCGAAATGCTATCAACAATTCAATATTCAACAAAGTTGGCCATTTGCACTTGCCACGTGTCAGAGATACGGTAGCAATTTGGCGATGATCAAGACGACGTCGCAAAATCGATTTATTGCCAATTTGTTGGCGAAACCGACGAAGGCGGCGAATTTCAAAGAGATTTGGATTGGTTAGTGGGCTTTTGGGCATTTTTCTTGATTTTTGGGTTTAATTTTAGGGTTCTAGATTTTAGACTTGGCACGTGTGTTTTTGACTGAAATTTTGCTACAAAATGAGCTCAGAAATGTCACGTGACAAAATTTTTGGATTAAGAAAGTTGTTGAATTTCTAATTTTTTTTTTAATGAGGATTGCTCATATTAGGAAAAAATTAATTTTATTTGAGAAAAAGATGGTTGCTCATGTTAAGCACAAAAAACTAGTTCTCTGATTTTTTTTTAACAAGCTAATTTTTGAGCTGAAATTTGATTTTCTGAATTTTTGAGCTTTTTAATTCGGTTCAGTTTGAAGAAGGTCTGAAGAAGTTTTTTGAATATTTTTTCTAATATGAGCAATCCCCCTTTAACATGAGTTTTCTAAAAATTCAGAATACAAGGGATTTTCTTAATATGATTTTTCTTAATATCATTTATCATTTCTTAATATCATTCGAAGCCTAAAACAAATTCTGAATATTTCTAGGCCTCACAGTCGAAGTCACACCAACCGATGAGCAATTCATATGGTCTGATGGTTCTCCAACTTCAAGATACAATGGATTCTGGCGTCACGATCAACCAAATTTCATAAATGGAAGTTGTACTCTCGCCACAATCGATCATAAAGAACTCGAATGGCGGCTCGAATCATGCAATTTGTTAAGAAAATTTGTGTGCGAGAGACCAGCTTGTGTTCGTGGCTCATATTTCTGCTCATCTGGCTCATGCATCTCCGAAAAGAATAAATGCAACGGTGTTCGAGATTGTGATGATGGAAGTGATGAATTGAATTGTCCCAGTGCTTTTCAACCAGCTTGTCATACTTATGAAAAAGGAGAATCCGGGCAAGTCAGTTCGCCGAATTATCCGAATCCTTATGATCCGAATTTGTCGTGTCGACATGTTTTGGAGACTTCGATTGGCTCGAGAATTGAAGTGACTTTGGAGCATTTGGAAACGGAACCTGATTTTGATGTTTTGACGATTTTGGAGGGTGGACCAGCTGAGAATTCGACACGAGTTTTGGCAAGGCTTTCTGGATCACAAGGTGAGTGTTCAAGAAGCAAACGGGGCAAATCCAGTTGGCTTGGCGGAGACATTTTTCTAACATGAGCAATCCCCATTTTTTCCGGAAATGCAGGAATTTGCCTAACATGAGCAATGTTGCAAAACATGCCACGTGGCATAATGTTTCGGTTTTTATTTTTGAGATAAAAACATTGCTCATATTGGAGCACTTCAAACTATTTTCTTTTCAATTTTTGAAAAAAAACACCATTGCTCATATTAAAAAAATTCAGTTTGTATCCTGAGTTTCCGAAGAAAAATAGCGATTGCTAATGTTAGAAAAAATACCAAAGAAAAATCGCAATCGATTTTTATACAAAAAAATCATTGCTCATATTAGACAAATATTTTTTGTATCGTAAAATTAAGAAAAAAGTAAGATTGCTTAGAAAAGTACATTTTTTTGTACAAAAACATTGCTCATATTAAAAAAAATCAGTTTGTATCATGAAATTCCGAAGAAAAATAGCGATCGCTCAGGTTAGAAAAAATCCCAAAGAAAAATTCGCAAATCGTGTAAATCAATGCTCATATTAGATAAATTTTTTTTGAAACCTAAAATTGAGATAAATTGAAATTGCTCATGTTAGAAAAAAAACAAATTTTTTGTACAAAAACATTGCTCATATTAAAGAAATTCAATTTCTATTCTATAACTTATTGTTAGATTTTCAAAAAATGAGAATTGCTCATGTTAGAACAATTTTCTACGCCACAAAAGCCTCATCAATTCTTTTTCCAGTTTCCGAATCCGTCAAAACCTTCACCTCCTCAAGCAACATCATAATCCTGCAATTCCGCTCCGACGCTCAATCAAATCTCCGCGGCTGGCAAATCAAATGGCGTGCCGTGCCGTTCAGCTGCGGCGGAAAACACATTGCACAAGCCTATCAACAAAGCTTCACATCGTCCGGATATCCGATGGCTTTGCCACGTGGCGCGGAATGCGTTTGGATTCTGGAAACTGTTCCTGGACAGGTTATTAGTCTTACGATTGATGATATTGATTTGGGAGATGAGGATCAGATCATTTTCTATGATGGTGCTACTCCAGCTGCGCAAGTTCTTGGGGTCTCGAAGTATCTCACATCTTCATCAAATTTCATCTATGTCTACCTGGTAACATCTACAAATTCCAATACAAAACGGGGATTCTCGATATCTTACAAACGTGGTTGCGATCTTGTGATCTCTGCAGACCCCAGTGGATCTATCACATCCCCTGGAAACTTGGTGAATCGCTACCCGAATAACCTTCAGTGCACTTATACTATTGAATCATCTGATGAGACCAGAAGTATTTCAGTTGGTTTTGAGAAATTCGACGTGGCTGATGATGATTCGCTGAAGATTTTTGAGAATTCTGCGAAGGGACGAGGACTTCTAGATTCACAAATCAGCAAGCCGGATAATAATCAAATAGACTCGAAAGTCTCGCGTCTCCAAGTGATTTTCAAAAGCAGTGCAACTCGCAACGCAATGGGATTCAATTTCACATTTTCCGTCGATTGTGCCCCATTGAAATCGGTTCCGATGGTCACATTATCCACCAAAGATCGCACAGTGAATACGGTAGTTGTGGCAAGTTGTCCGGTTGGATTCGAATTTGCGTCGGGAGAGGGCATGTCGAAGCAGATGACGTGTCAGATGGGCGGAAAATGGTCGAGTGATGAGATTGCCACGTGTCAACGTGGGTTTTTTGGGGGGGGGATGTGGGGAACATTTTAGCATTAGGTCTACTGTATTTTGCCACGTGGAAAACACGTTGTTTCTTCGGAAATTCTCGAAAAATCCAGGTGGCAAAATTTAGTTTTTGCCACGTGGGATTTCGAAATTTAAATTTTTTAGGGCAAAATCGCTCCAAAAATCCACGTTTTTGATCAATTTTTGAAAAAATTCGGAAAATCCTGATCTAGCCGAAAACTTCCATCACAAATAGAACAGCCCTGGTCCATAGAAAAAATCTATAATTTTCAGCAATCTACTGCGGCTCGGTTCCCCAAATCGCCAACGGCTACGCAACCCAAGCCACCAACGTCAGCTACGGTGGTCAAACAAAATACACCTGCTACAAAGGTTTCTATTTTGCTTCCGGAAAAGACACGGAAACCGCCTACTGCGCGGAAGACGGAAAATGGACAACTCCGCCCCAATGCAAAGCTGCCACGTGTCAACCGTTGCTCCAATTCAGCAATGGAAATCGGAGGCTTGAATTCGGCGATGGAACCGGATATGGAAGTGTGTTCCGTTTCGATTGTCATTCTGGTTATCGTCGTGAAGGTGTCGAATCACTTTTGTGTAAATCTGATGGTCAATGGTCATCGAGTCAACCAACGTGTGCTAAGGTTACCTGCACAAATCTGCCACGCATTGCCAACGCGAAGATCGAAACTCCACCATCGCGATTCGCTTTTGGTGACGTGGCACGCGTTGTTTGCCACGCTGGATTTATTCTGGATGGTCCGGAAGAGATTCGATGTTTGGCGAATCAGACTGTTTCCGCAACACCGATTTGTGAAGATATTGATGAGTGCGCGACGGGAGTTAGCCAATGTCAAAGTTTGGGAGCGAAATGTGTGAATTTGCCGGGAAGTTATACTTGCGAATGTTTGAAGGGATATCAGCCGCAATTAATGTGTCTTGAAGCCACCAACATTTTAGTTGTAGCCAAAGGGGAACCCTTGAGCCCGATTCCGATCACACCAACGGTTTCTTGGTGTGTCACGTCAACTTCTAGAAGCATCTCTCTGAAATTTGATATTCCAATGATTGTCGAGAAGATCAAGCTATCCGACTCGCTAAAAGGATCAGTCAAATCTGTCTCGATCAAATACAGCACTTTACATTCAACTCGCCCGAAGAAACTAGTAATCGATAATCAACAAAACTTCCAAGTCGATGAGGAAACCGGAATAATTGATCTTCCAGTCGCCATCGAAGCCCAAATTCTAGAGATTCAAGCAGTTTCCATCGATGGAACTCCGTGTCTTCAAATTGAAGTTCTTGGATGTCAACGAACATCTTGCGCGGATGTTAATGAGTGTCTTCGTGACAACGGAAAATGCGATCATAATTGTATCAATACTCAAGGAAGTTATAAATGTGAATGTCGAAATGGTTATGATTTGGATGTTTCGAATAATCGAAGTTGTGTTGCGCGAGAATGTAATGTTGTAAAATCTCCAGAAAATGGAAAGCTTTTATCAACATCGAAGCAATTTAAGTATCCCAATGTTGTGCAGTTCCAATGTGATTTCGGATATCAAATGATGGGACCAGATTATATCAAATGTTTGGCTGATGGAACTTGGAATGGCACGGAACCCTATTGCTTGCCTGCAACTTGTCAAGGTTTATCGCTCTCCAATGATGGACTTGTGGCAACTCCGAATAATCTAACCATCCCATTTGCCGCTAATGTCACCCTAGAATGCACAGATCCTGAGAGACCTGGCAGAAAGCTTCGACCATATCGACAATGTATTTTCGATCCGCAAGAAGATGGAAGAGATTATTGGCTGAGTGGTCCGCAAGCGGAATGTGATTATACACAATGTCCAGCACCACCAACAATGCCTGGAGCTATCTATATTCCGATTGACAGCTCTGCAGAAGACATTGTTGTTGGCTCGAGAATGGAGTTCTCTTGCAGAAAGCCTTACACCGTTGTTGGAAGATCGGATAGAACTATCAAGTGTCTAGCTGATAGCACGTGGGATTTGGGAGATTTGCGATGTGAGGGACCGGTTTGTGCAGATCCCGGGTTCCCTAATGATGGAAATATCGATTTGAATAGCGTTGAAGAGGGCGCAACTGCCAAGTTCTTTTGCAATCGCCCCGGCTACACACCATTCCCAAGTGACACTTTACAATGTACCCTTGGTGCAGCTTGTCTGCTCTCCGAAGATGTTGGAATAACTTCGGGATTCGTGCCAGACGGCGCGTTTTCTGATAATTCTGATTCTACTATGAGTGGCTATGAGCCGCATAAATCGCGAATGTCGTCGACGGGATGGTGCGGGGCGAAAGATGCGTTCATCTTCCTCAGCGTAGATCTTCAACGGGTTTATACATTGACCACTTTGCGGATTGCCGGAGTTGCTGGAAGTGGATTCTTGAAGGGGCATGTTACGAAGCTTCAGTTGTTCTACAAGACGCAGTTCTCGAAGAATTATGATACGTATCCAGTGGAATTTGAGACACCTGCTGGCAATCATAATGCGATGCATCATTTCGATTTGAAGCCGCCACTTCGAGCCAGGTATATTTTACTGGGTGTTTATGAATATGAAGGACAGCCTTGTATGAAGTTCGACCTGCAAGGATGTCTCGCACCGACGCAGAATCAGAATCTCAATCAGAATCTCGAGAAAGAGTTGATTGGGTGGAATGGAAGTGTGCCAGAATGTGTTGATATGCAACCCCGGAATTCGTGAAATGTCCAGAGGAGATTGTTTTTGTGAAAACTGATGAGAATGGTCAATTGAGAGCGGTGGAATATGAGGAACCGGTTGCGAAGGATAATAGTGGGAAGATTGCGTATACACAGATTGAGCCGAGTGGAATGAGAAGTGGATTAATGATCACAACTGACACTGATGTCACCTACACTGCTTTTGATAGTGCGGGCAATACAGCGGTGTGTGTTGTGAAGATTAGGATCCCAGATACTCAACCGCCTGTCTTGAAGTGTCCTGATTCCTACACTATCCCGGTTGCGAATTCCTCAATTGATCTTGAATTCAATATCTCAAGTGTGGATCTTGTTGTCCATGACACGTCTAACGTCACAAATATCACATTCGAACCCGCGTCGAAGACCCTGAAGATTGGAGAGTTTGTCGAAGTCACTGCTACAGCTGAAGATGAGCATGGAAATCGGAATTCGTGCAAATTCCAAGTCGTCTACTCGCCCGAACTTTGTTCACCGGCTAGTTTGGCGATTTCGAGTCATGTTGTGAAAGAGTGTAAACACGAGGATGGTGCGGTGATTTGTGGTATCTCGTGTGCAGCTGGATATCGATTTGTGGATCCCGCGCAAACTACACAGAATTTTGTTTGTAATACGAAGGATGGAAAGTGGAGTCCGAGGAATAATGCGCCGGCTTGTGTGAAGATTCGTGAGTTTCTGGGCTCTTTATTGGGGGGTCCAAACGATGCTCCGCGATTACGCCAACATTTTTTCGAAGTCTAGAAAATGTTGTTTTGTAATTTTGAAAGATTCAACGATACTCCGCAATTACGCGCTCAATTTTCTAAATTTTCAGCTGAACAACCAGCCGGTTTCCACATGAATGTTGGAATCAACTATCCCGTGGTATCAGCTGTTCCGGATCATTGCTTGAAGGTGAGTTTTCCAAGCCACGCGGAAGATCCAGATTCAAAACCTCAACTTCCAGGGCTACGCTGAACTCGCTGCCAAATCTTTCGACGATCTCGACAAAGTTCTCAGCGAACGTTGCTCCAGTTCTGTCCAAGTTTTTGTCCGACTTCTCAAACTCGACTTCGCCAATCAACCCGGTCATCTCAGTGGAAACTACACCATCCAAATTCTCCCGACCGTTCTTCAAAGCGTCTTCTACGATCTTTGCGGTTTGACCCTCAGAACTATTTTTGATCTTCGAATTCCTGGCGCCACTGGACCTATCAAAAATCTGCTGACCCTGAATGGCGACGCGATTTCGTCGCAGAATGTCGGATGTCCGACGATTCAGGCGACTGTGTCGAATGTGAATCAGGGATTCGCGTGTGCAAATGGAGAGGTTTTGAGACAGGAGCACAAGGATAAACTTCCAGAGTGCAGTGAGTTTTTTTTTTTTGGGGAGGAAAATGGTTATGACGTGGCATTTTTTTAAAATCAAACTATGTACAAAAATAACCAGGTCAAACTAGACTCTTTTTATGCATATTAGAAAAAACATGATTTTTTTCTCTGCGTCTCTGCACACTCTCCCTTTTCATCTCTCTCTCGCTCTTTCCCGCGCGGGTCATTTTTTATTTGAAAAAAAGCAGTTTCTTTTTTATTTTTTTTATTTTCCACGTCATAACATAAGTACGTAGATTTTTGAATAACTTTTGATTCTTGAAAATTTCTAGTTCCAGAATTCATAACTTTCAAAAATCATTCATTCTGAAATTGTTTTTTGAAAATATTTTTAGGCTCTTCTGATTTTTCATCATGGGTTTTGTAATTTTCTAAAAAAAATCTGATTTTACTTCCCAGAATATTCCGAACTCCACAAAAAAAATATTTTTCCAGTGTCATGCCCAGTCGGATCTGTCAACATCAACAACACCTGCATCCTATGCTCCAGAGGCTCATATCAAGATGAATCCGGTCAAACCACATGTAAAGCATGTCCAGCTGGAACCTATACTCTAGACGAAGGTTCGCATTCAATCTCAAGCTGTCTAACCACCTGCGCCTTCGGAACTTATAGTTCAACCGGTCTGATTCCTTGCCAACTTTGTCCACGTCACACATTTTCTGGTCTTTCACCAATCGGTGGCTTCAAAGAATGCACCGCCTGTCCTTCAGGATCCTATACATCGAAACTTGGAGCATCGTCACCGGCGGAGTGTCGTTTGGCATGTAAACCGGGAAGCTTTAGTAATTCGGGATTGGAACCTTGTTCAGCGTGTCCCATCAATTTCTATCAATCGAACGCGGGACAGCAGAGCTGCGTGGAATGTGCGAATTCTACCGCAACGCAAGAAAGCGGAGAGGTCGCGGAATCCGCGTGCTTGCCGATTGATTGTAGCGCGAAACAATGTGAGAATAAGGCGGAATGCGATGTTTTTATGCATAAAGCGCAATGTCGGTGTAAACCTGGATATATTGGAGATAGATGTGAGGAGATTGAGGAATTGTGCGCGACAAGACCGTGTTTCAATGGAGGGAAATGTGAACAGATTGGAACTACTTATCGGTGTAATTGTCCTAAAGGTGAGTTGGAATTTTTCAATTTTAAAAATTTCACTTCCTCCTCAAAAATCCCAAATCTTCTTACAGACTTCACTGGTGCTCGCTGTCAATTCGAAACCGATGATTGCATCGGAGTCGTATGTCCAAACGGCGGTGTCTGTCACGATCTACCAGGCCACGGAACTCGAACCTGTCTGTGCCGAACTGGCTTTGCTGGATCACAATGTGAAGAGGTCACTGATATTTGCTCGACTGCAAATCCATGCAAAAATGGTGCGAGATGTATTGGCGAAAAATTGGGGCGATTCAAGTGTCAATGTGTACCTGGATGGGATGGACCAACGTGTGATCATAATATTGGTTAGTGGTGTTTATGGGAGATCCCTTGTTACAGTACACTTTGCAGTTTTTTGAAATACAGTAGTCCTGAGGCGGCTGTAATTCTAGTAGTCCGAGGGTTTTTGAGATACACTACTCTATAACAATCAGTAAACCGTGTGGTTTTCTAGCTACAGTAACCCTTGCAGTCCGTGATCATTTCGTATAGTTTTAAGCAGATACAGTAATCCTTGCACTTCGAGGGCTACAGTAACCCTAATCTATAGTAAATTTTGTAGGTAAGGACTAGAGTCTATTTCGCAGTCTGAAGGCTACAGTAACCCTGACTTTAAAGTTTTGGTACAGTACCTCTCTGATTACAGTACTCTTTGCAGTCTGAAAATCGAATATATTTTGGCACGCAATTTTTTTTTGAAATTCTATTTTTAGCGGGAAAAATCCCACTTTCAATTTATTTTTGGAATTCCGGAAATTGACATTAACAAATATTTTTCGTCAAAAATCGGAAATTAATTTCCGATTTTTAATCTTCTCATGAAAGAAAACGTTCCCAAAAATCCTGCAAGATTTGTGAACTCTCCAAAATTTGTCACATCCAACCAATTTCCCCTTTTTTTGGCTCCATCTTTTGTGTTGAAATGCAGTGCACACATTTTGTTAATCAACCATTACCCTTTCTGTTTTCTGTTTTCTTTTGCTCCATTTTTTTGAGCCACAAAAAAGGAGTATTCTTTGGGGGATCCAAGAGAGATGTTTTTGTTTATTTCTAAGCCTGGCTATATTTGTCCTTCTTGAGAAAAAAATGAGGAAAAAAGGAAAATGCATGCATTTTGTTTCTGAAAAATGTATGAAGAGAGAGCAAATTGAGTTATTGACATGAAAAAACAGAAAAGGGAAAATAATTTATGAGATCTAGATGTTTTTGTGGCTAAAAATAGGGTGGGAAACAATAAAGTTTCAGATTTTCACACAACTTAGCCTAACTATGAATTGAGTTATGGCGTGGCAAAGTAGCTAAAATTTATATTTCAATTGGCTGCGTACTTGACTGAGTATCTAATGAAACACATAAAAGCGAAAATAATTCATGAGATCTTTTTTCCAACTAAAAATAGGATAGGAAACAATTAACAAAATAGATTTTTGATCTTAACTCAAGCATCATTTGGGTAGTATTTAGTAGGTGGTGCTCCAAAATCAGGATTGTAAGATTGTTGAGGAGCTGTGGGTTCAGTAGAAACAGCTTCGAAATCATTCAAAGTTGATTGAAATTTGAAAGTTAGCCAAAGTTGAAAGATGTTATACATGAAATAAGTCGAAGCCAACACCAAAAATCCGACTCCATAATAGCGAAGTTGATGTTTATACTCATTCCGTTCCAAATCCTCCAATTTCTCATCGGTGAAATATTCGATGATCGAATAGAGCATCTCATTGAGTTGAGTGGAACCTTTTGCGAAATAGTAGATCAGGAAGACGATTGCGGCGAATGAGCAGATTGCCAAGCCGCCGATGAGAACTAGACGGGGGAGGCAGTAGCGAGCGATGTTTTTGCTGGCCGCGCGGAAGATTAGAACTGTGGCGAGGAGTTGGCAGACTAGGAAGAAGGTGAAGAAGAATGTGCTGAAGATTGTTGTCCAGTGCCTGTAAAGTGTATTTTTGCTTATCTCATTGTTTGACTTTAAACGATGCTCCGCGATTCCGAAGCTCATTTTTCAAACTCACAAATTATTAATCGTGTCCATAAATGTGTCGATGCAATTGTAGGCGAAAATTGCGATGACAAGACTGTCGAAACATGAGAGAAGCTAAAATTTTTAAAGTTTTTGTTGAAGTTGCTAGAAGATCTTTGGAATTCAGAACATTTTCAGGATTTTTTTGGCGCGAAAATATTTTTAAAAGCTGTAATTTCACGTGGATTTTTTTTAGAAAGTTTTTTTGGAATTTTTTTCTCACAAAATAATCCCCCCTCTCTAACGTTAAAATGAGGTTTGCTCAATTTTTTTATTTTTTTTTTCGTGCCAAAAAATCTTCAAAAAGCATTTTTCCTCCATCAATAATTCATCTTTTTCGCTATTAAAAATTCCCAACTTTTTTATTTTCTGCCAGAAATTGGACAGCGAAGAAAAATTTTCTCAAGTACTCTTCAAAATTAAAATTTGGAAAAAAAAAATCAAAAATTAACTTACCTTAACAAGTTTCTGAATCGGCCAACAACAACACAAAAACATTTTTGTGCAAGTAATTTTCAAAATCGATACGCAACACGACGAATTCTCCTCCTCTCTTCTATTTTCCTCTTGTGCTCTTTCCGTCGTCAAGCCAGAAGCTCTAGGCTCCGCCCAGTTTCTGCCGCCGCCCTCTTTTTTGTTCGCGCGCATTTTTGAAATTTGAGATGAGGATTTCTGTAATGGTGGGTATTAGGATTGGAATTGGTTCAGTCAGACACAGGAAAACTTAAGTTCGCTTTAACTCAAGGAAGCCTAAGCCTAAAGCACTATAAGGAAAGCCTAAGCCTAAAGCACAATTTACCTTGAGTTTAAATTAGTTTAGAGTCGAAATTTAGCTAGGTTCTAAATCAAGCTTTTCCTTAAGCCTTTTTTCTGGAATACAGGGTTTTTCAGAAAGTAGAGGGCTTTTAGGGATTTTTCCCAAAAAAAATGGAAAATTAATAACCTTCGACTAAAATAATACTAATTTATAAAATTTAAATTATTATCATTCAAATTTCCAAAATGAAAACATAATATTCTTATCAAAACAGAAAAAAAAATTTGGCGCCATGACTCATTTTTCTCTCTCCAAAACTAAAATTGAAAAAAAACAGCCGAGGGTCGTACTTTTTGAGGTGATAAATAGAAAAAAGAAAAAAACAAAACAGGTGTCAGGTGGGAGAGGAAATAGTTGTTTAATGGGAGAGACGGCAGACAGACGGGCAAGGTTAATATGAGCAATGGTTTCTGTTTGGTTCTCTCAACACATGTTCCCTAATTGCCACGTGTTAATAAATTTGTGATTTTCAGATGACTGTGCTGATTCTCCCTGTGCCCTGAATTCAACGTGTATCGATTTGATCAACGACTTCAAATGTCAATGTCCGAATGGATTTTCGGGAAAACGTTGCCACGTCAAAGGTATGTATTTTGAACGGAAAATTTTTGAAATTTTGATCAATTTTTTTTGTTGCGAAATTTGCACTTTTATCTAGCAAAATTAATTAAATTGAAAAGGTTTTGGGGGAAAAACAGCCAAGAATATTTGAATTCAGCGAAGAATTTTTTGATTGGGGCCAATTTTCCAAATATGCCTAATTGTATGCATTTTTCTGGAGTATCGGCCTGAAATTAAGGCCCTTTTTCTGACTTACAGGCGTCAGGCTAGTATTTTTTTCCATTTTTCTAGTTGTTGGATTTTAGGCCTAATGGGGTGAGTCAATCGAATTAATCGACGTGTTTTTTGCGATTAATTGACAAAAAAAGTGAGTCTTTTAGGGCGATTAATTTCACGTTTTTGTCAATTCATCGCATTCATTTCTTGGCAAAAAATGCGATTAATTGCATAAAAAATATAATTAATTTGACCTATATTTCAAAACGTGACCCATATGAGTTGGAAATATCAACAAAAAATTGTCTTCTCTCAATTTTCTTTCATTTCGAAATGAATTCAAAAAATAAGCACTCAGGAGAACGACCGCGAGATCTGCGCGAAACGCGAACCCCAGAAGTCCGCTAAATCGCCGCGCATCCGCCGCGGTTTAGCGGTGTTGTTACAGCGTTTCGCGTAAATTTCGCGGTTTCATTATCGCGTTTCGCGTAAATTTCGCGGTGTCCTCTCAATTTCAAAACAAAATGTCATCATGATCGATCCTCACATTCAGGTGATCATCATTTGTATTTATCACACTCACCCAACCTCGAACCCACAACCTCTCACCTCGAATACATTTGTTTTACCCACTTGACCATGCGCGCACGTGACGCGAATAGCGAAATAGTTTTTTATATACCATGCTACTGCGCGAAAATGTCGCGAAACGCTCCAATTCGGTCGAGGAAGCCCGCGAAATTTCCGCGAAACGCGAAGTTCCCCGCAATTCGCGCAAATTTCGCGACGTCCAGTCGACCGAGTCCCAGATTGCGCGAGGTTTGTGCGAAACGCGTGATTCTCCCGCGAAGGTTGAGCGAATCGCAGAGACCCCGCTTTTCGCGCAGATTTCGCGGTCGTTCTCCTGAGCAGTGAATTTAGGACACGTTTCAAAAAAGAGGTCAAATAAATTCTATTTCATATTGAAATTCTTCATTTATGAATGCAATTAATTGCAAAAAAAGATGGAATTAATCGACAAAAACGTGAAAAAAATCGCACAAAAAAGACTCACTTTTTCTGTCAATTAATTGACAAAAAATAAAATTGACTCACCCCATAAAATTTCGGTTTTTTTGAACTATAGGCTTCTGGCCTGAATTGTAGGTTTTTTTTTCTAACTTTTAGATCTACCGCTTGAATTCCAGGCTTTCCTAACCTGAATTTCAAGATTTTTTCTCAATTTCAGGATTTTTCAGATTAAATTATGGGCTTCGGTCCCGAATTCCAGGGTTTTTTCAACTGGTAACTCTCAGGTCTGGAATTCAGGTTTTTTCTGAGAATTCAAGGTTCCGAATTTCAGGTTTTTATTTAAAATTTCAAAAAAAAACCAGGAAACAAAATTGATTTTTCCATCAACTCTCAATATTTAAGAGTCATTATTTGAAAAAAGGGAAATTACGAGGATAGGCTCTGTACAGAAAAATTGATGGTCTCAAAAACGGCTCATATTTTTTGTACAGACCTTTTAACTATCCAACAATAAAAAAAACATGTTTTTGATTCAAAAAATTTCAGTTTCAGTGGGGAGGCTGAAAATGGGTATGCGCAACTCGCTTTGAAACGTTGCGCAACCGTAACTCAGCTTAACGCTAACTATTTTTGATGATCAAAAAAGCATTTTGCTCGTCTTTTTGTGCTCTACAAGCAGGAAAATAGCTCCACACAAAAAAAATTTTTTTGAGCAAGTTGGAAAAAACCAGTTCGCAAAAACTGACATTTTCGGATTTACAGACAAAAAAGGGCGACGTCTAACCGCATTCAATCGATTCCTCTTGATTTTTTACCCCTAGGCGCAAAGTATTATCAAAATCGGCGGTAACCATCATGTTCGTTTTAGACCTCGATTCAAAAAATGACCCTTCTGAAAAAACTTTTTTTTCAGTTTTTTGAGATTTTTTTATATTTTAGGCTGAATAAAGACTGTTTTAACATCAAAATACTTCAAAAACACTTTTGGTTATTGAAACTGACTCAAATTGTGAGGTTTTACCTATTCTTATAATCTCATTGATGTTTTCGGTAAGACCATCGGACAAGATCTGAAAATACTTGAAACTGGACTCTGGGTGACAAATTTTTATCGAATTGTGCCTAAAACACTCTAAAAACATGTATTCTAACATTTTTGATCAATTTCCATTCAAATACGGATGTTTTTACTCGATTTGGACATTACTGGAATTCCGATGTTTGTGTTGATCTCTGATTTTCGTCATCGAAGACATCAACATTGAATAATTTTGATGGTATTGACTTCAAAACAAATTTTCAAGTTTTTGAAACTCATCTCCAGAAATTGTACAAATCAACATTTCTCCAGGCGAGGCTGATCGTAGATCTTTTTATTGATCTTCTATCTGAATCTTATATCACTGTTTCCATTGTACTAAATGTAGTTTAGAAAACGTTTTTCTTTTGAATTTATTTCATCTTGCCTCAAAAACAAGAAAAAAGTCAAGATCAATCGCTGATGTCAACGATGGAATGAGATCAGAGATCAGGATAAACATCCTAATTCCAGTAATGTCTGAATCGCGAATAAACTGCACATTTTGTCTGGGATTGTTCGGAATAGTGTTTTTTCTGTTCACTTTGATGTTTTGCACATTATTCATCAATGATATGAGTAATATGTCGATAAAAATCATCTGATATAAAAATCAGGATTTTTTCCGATGGCCTTACTGAAACTTCAATTAATTTCGAGACTCACTATAAAATTGATTCTATTCATTATTATGATGATGAAATTAGTACTTCTCATTAGTCCCAGACAAAATGTGCAGTTTATTTGCAATTTAGACATTACTGGAATTAGGATGTTTATCCTGATCTCTGATCTCATTCCATCGTTGACATCAGCGATTGATCTTGACTTTTTTCTTATTTTTGAGGCAAGATGAAATAAATTCAAAAGAAAAACGTTTTCTAAACTACATTTAGTACAATGGAAACAGTGATATAAGATTCAGATAGAAGATCAATAAAAAGATCTACGATCAGCCTCGCCTGGAGAAATGTTGATTTGTACAATTTCTGGAGATGAGTTTCAAAAACTTGAAAATTTGTTTTGAAGTCAATACCATCAAAATTATTCAATGTTGATGTCTTCGATGACGAAAATCAGAGATCAACACAAACATCGGAATTCCAGTAATGTCCAAATCGAGTAAAAACATCCGTATTTGAATGGAAATTGATCAAAAATGTTAGAATACATGTTTTTAGAGTGTTTTAGGCACAATTCGATAAAAATTTGTCACCCAGAGTCCAGTTTCAAGTATTTTCAGATCTTGTCCGATGGTCTTACCGAAAACATCAATGAGATTATAAGAATAGGTAAAACCTCACAATTTGAGTCAGTTTCAATAACCAAAAGTGTTTTTGAAGTATTTTGATGTTAAAACAGTCTTTATTCAGCCTAAAATATAAAAAAATCTCAAAAAACTGAAAAAAAAAAGTTTTTTCAGAAGGGTCATTTTTTGAATCGAGGTCTAAAACGAACATGATGGTTACCGCCGATTTTGATAATACTTTGCGCCTAGGGGTAAAAAATCAAGAGGAATCGATTGAATGTAGTTAGACGTCGCCCTTTTTTGTCTGTAAATCCGAAAATGTCAGTTTTTGCGAACTGGTTTTTTCCAACTTGCTCAAAAAAATTTTTTTTTGTGTGGAGCTATTTTCCTGCTTGTAGAGCACAAAAAGACGAGCAAAATGCTTTTTTGATCATCAAAAATAGTTAGCGTTAAGCTGAGTTACGGTTGCGCAACGTTTCAAAGCGAGTTGCGCATACCCATTTTCAGCCTCCCCCCACTGAAACTGAAATTTTTTTTTTGAATCAAAAACATGTTTTTTTTATTGTTGGATAGTTAAAAGGTCTGTACAAAAAATATGAGCCGTTTTTGAGACCATCAATTTTTTTCTGTACAGACCATTTTCCCTTTTTACAAATAATGACTCTTAATTCCAGACGATCTGTGCACCGCCTCTCCTTGTCTCAACGGAATCTGCATCGACAAATTATTCTCGCGTGAATGCATCTGTGAAGCCGGTTGGGAAGGCGAAAACTGCGACAAAAACATCGATGAATGTGCCAAGAATCCATGTGAAAACGACGCGAAATGCATCGACGAAATCAACGGATTCAAATGCGAATGTGCCGCCGGCTATCAAGGCCAAAACTGCGAACAACTCGTCGATCATTGCGCAACTTTGCCATGTCATAACAATGCCACGTGTACAAATATGGGTCCAACTTATCATTGTGATTGTTCGTTGGGTTTTGAAGGAGTGCATTGTGAGATGAATATTGATGAGTGTCAGGAATCGAGTAAATGCGATTCTATTGGAACTGAATCTTGTCGAGATGGAATTAATAGCTATAATTGCATGTGTAAACCTGGATATTCTGGAACATTCTGCGAGAATAAAATCAATCAATGCGCAGATTCTCCTTGCTTAAATGATGGACAATGTGTAGATATGGGCGGAGCATACAAATGTAATTGTAAATCAGGTTGGACTGGACCAAGATGTGAGCAAGATAATGGATCGTGTGCCAGTAAACCTTGCAGAAATGATGGATATTGTGTGAGCTTGATTGCTGACTATTTTTGTGTTTGTCCTGCGGGAGTTTCCGGGAAGAATTGTGAGACTGCACCGAATCGTTGTATTGGCGAACCGTGTCATAATGGAGGAGTTTGTGGAGATTTTGGATCACATTTAGAATGTTCGTGTCCGCCTGGATTTAGTGGAAAAGGTTGGTTTTTTGGTCAAGTTTGGGCGAAAAAAATTGTCAATTTTTCCAGGATGCGAGTTCAAAAACATTGGATGCGATGAAACATCGTGCAAAAACGGTGGTCAATGTGTGAATGTTCCAAAATCTGGTTTCGCCAAATCCTGTCAATGCCCTCCAGGATTCACTGGAGATCACTGTGAAACAGATATCGATGAATGTGCCACAGCTCATTGTCCGGTTGGAGCTTCCTGCCTTGATCAAGTCAATGGACATATCTGTATGTGTCCGTTCAATCTCACTGGAACAAGTTGCGATAAAACAATCAATACAAATTATGATCTTCAATTTTTGGATCCTTTCCGCGCGGCAAGCGCCTCACTTTATGCGCCATTTAGAATCGAATCTGATGCGATCTCGATCTCTGTTTGGGTGAAGTTCGAAAAACCATATCAACAAGCCAAATTCTTCAGTCTCCACGAATTCGGAAACTCTTCAAATGAATTTGTTGGGATCTCCTCGAATATGATTAAATTGAGCCTGTTCAATGATTCTCCAGTTGAATTACCATTATCAACTTCGCATCAATTGAACAACGCAAAATGGAATCATCTTCTTATAACTTGGTCCGCAAAATCTGGAGCTTATAGCTTGATCTGGAATTCTCTTCGGATTTATACCAATGATGGATATGCTGTTGGAAAACACATTGATGTTCAAGCTGGAATCACCCTTGGATCTTCAGAAGCTTCGGGAGCCTTTGTTGGATCATTGACAAGAATCAATGTCTGGAACCGTGTCCTTGATTTCGAGGAAGAACTTCCACAGATGGTTCAACATTGTCAACGATCAGATGAGATTTATAAGGGTCTTCTGGTTCGATTCGAAGGTTACAACAAGATTATCGGACGAGTTGAGCGAACTCATAGAAGTTCGTGTGGTTTGGAGAATCTTGCGAAGTCTAGAGAGACCCACACAATCATCGTTGAGGATTGTCCAGCTGATATGATTATTTCGACACAATCTAGAGAAACAAATGTTACTTGGGAAGAACCATTATTTATTGGTGTTAACGAAATCATCAAGATCGAGAAGAATTTGAAGCAAGGACAAATGTTGACGTGGGGTGAATACAATGTGGTCTACATCGCCACAGACAATCAGACGAATCAAGCGGAATGTAGTTTCAAGATTCGAGTTGGTCGAGAGAATTGCGAAGAACTCGCGGATCCGGTCAATGGGCTGCAATCGTGTGAAAACTGGGGACCACAATTGAAATATAAGGCATGTTCGATTGAATGTAAGGATGGATTTGAGTTCCCGAGAGAGCCAGCGGTATTCTACACGTGTGGAGAGGATGGAATGTGGCGACCGAAGCAGAGTTTGACTGTTTTCAAGTATCCACAGTGTACCAAGTGAGTTGAGAGAGGTAGAGACGTGGGAATGATCCGGAATGCGTACCTGACACTTAGGCTTAGGTTTACGAGGAAAATGTGTTCCCGGAGATTTTACGTATGACTTTGTACAGTTTTCACGCCGAGAAATATCTGAAAGACTCGTTGTTCAATAGGGTCGATTTCATACATGAACTGGGACTCCGAATTCGAAGGGAGGGCGATTAACTTTAGGTGCATTTTTGGAGGTAGGGCCCTCAACTTTTGAAAAAAAAACTCACAAAAATTGGTTAGGGGGGTTAACCTTTTGAAAAGTTTTCCTGGAAGGGGGGGGGGTTAACTCAAGGGTCCCCGGAGCGACTAGTTCATGTATGGTCGATTTACCAGTCTCAGAACTTCAAATTTTCCGAACATGCTCGACTTTTGGTTTATTTTCAGACTTTTGAAGTGTTGTCAGCAAAAACTGTACACAATGATATAAACCTCACCCTTGACAGAATTTTCCCATGATAATCAAATTCCAGACACGTTCCGGCGACTAAAGTTGTGGTGGTTCGTCTTGGCTATTCGTCATCACCAGCTTGTACAGAATCATCGAAAGAAGCATTCATTCTGAAGGTTGAACAGACGATCAATGAAATTGATAACAGATGGAAGATGTGTAGCTTAGCGTAAGTTTTGAGCGACATAGCCGCGAGTGTCCCGATGACCTAAAAAATCCCCATTTTTCAGCGATGCTTCTGGATGTGTTGGCACACAAGTTCGTGTCAGCTGTGATGGAAAAGGTCTCGCACTCAAGAGTCGTAGACGACGATCTTCTGCACCTTTTGAAATCGAGATCGAAATTCCTGTCAAGCGAAAGGTTCTTCACGATCCTTCAAACAATCGGGAAATTTCGGTGCGCGATGCTCTCCACACCGAAATCATCAATGGAATTCTGAACTTTGAGAAAATTATGCCAAATGCAAGACCTGATTTATCAACACTGCAGATTTTGGAAGAATATAATTGCCAGGCTGGACAAATCGTCTCGAAAGATCTTTGTGTTCCATGTGCACCTGGAACTTATCATTCGAGCACAACTGGAAAATGTGAACTTTGTCAAGTTGGAGAATATCAACCATTGACAGCTCGAACTGAATGCTTTAGATGTGCTCACGGACAGATTACGGAGAGTGGAGGAGCACAAAGTGAGCAAGATTGTAAAGATAATTGTCCACCTGGACATCAATATGATTCATCTACGGCATCTTGTGTGAAATGTGGATTTGGTTATTACCAACCGATGGGCGGCTCATTCATTTGCCACGCTTGCGGCATCGGAAAAACAACTCTATCCGACACAGCTGTCAGCGAAGATGAGTGTCGTGATGAATGTCCGGATGGTGAGCAACTATCGAGCTCGGGAATATGTCAAGCTTGTCAAATTGGAACTTATCGATCGAAAGGCGAACACAAGAAGTGTATTGTTTGTCCGCCGGGAACGACGACAGAGGGTGAACGAGCCGTGAGACGGGAGCAATGTAATACGCCGAGATGTAAGGCTGGACAATTTTTGGTTAGAGAAACGTGAGTTTGAAAAAGCCTTTGGGGAGGGGACTGTCTAGGACCTTGGGGGGCTTTGGGGACATTTCGAAGGCCTTATGGGGCTTCAGGGACCTCAAAAAGGCTTCGGAGGGCTTGAGGGATCTTTAGGAAGCCTTGGAGGGCTACAGAGACTTTCAGAAAGCCTCGGAGGGCCTTACGGCTTCAGAGGGCTTGAGGGACCTTAAAAGGGCTTCGGAGGGCTTCGGGGACGTTAAGAAGGCTTTGGAGGGCTTCGAAGACTTTTAGAAGGCTCCGAGGGTCTTCAGAGAAGTTTAGAAGGCCTCATAGGGCTTGAGGGACCTTTAGAAGGCCTCGGAGGGCTTTGGAGACCTTTAGAAGGCCTTGGGGGGCTTTGAGGACCTTTAAAAAACTTCAGAGGGCTTCAGAGAATTTCAGAAGGCCTTATAGGACTTCAGGGACCTTAAGAAGGCTTCGGAGGGCTTCAGACTCCGTAGAAGATCAAAGGGGTGATATGAGCTCCGAGAGCTCTCAAGTCCACCTGGATTTTCTACAACCAACTCTAATATCCCTTAAACTTCAAAAATTTCCAGCAAGAACTGTCAATTCTGTCCCCGCGGAACATTCCAAAACGAAGAGCAAGAAACGGTGTGCAAACTCTGTCCACCCGATCACACGACAGCTGCACAAGGAGCCACCGCCGAATCACAATGCTACTCAACAAATCAATGTGCAACCGGCGAATACAATTGCTCATGGCACGCGAATTGCATCGATCTACCCGATGAGAATGATATCCCGAGTTATGAGTGTCGATGCAAACCCGGCTATCGAGGAAACGGAACACATTGTAGTGATGCTTGCAACGATTTCTGCTTGAATGATGGAATTTGCAAGAAGAACAATTTGGGAAATGTGGAATGTATTTGTAAAGAGTATTTCAGTGGTGACCGATGTGAATTGCGATTCCAACCGAAGACCGCAAAAATGTCATTAATTGCGATGGCAATCGGTGGAGTTGTTGTGATTCTGATTGTTATTGTTGTCATCGTGTTTATGATCTCGTTCCGATTCAATCAAGTTCAAGATCAACCGGAGAAAAATGGTTCGACGTTTGCTGATTTATCGCCGACTAGTAATAATATTTTGTACGGAAGTCCGCCGGCTGTTTGTGAGTGTTTTTTTGGGGAACTTTTGGCCAGAAATATTGATTTTTTTGGATCCCAATTAAGGATTTCAAGTAAACTGGGCCTAAATTTCAGTTCATCCGTTTTCCGAGTCTTGAAGGCTCTCCGGGCTGAAATTTAGGCTTTTCCTGAGTTTCAGATTTTTCTGGGCCTACATTGAACTCATTTGATTTTTAGCCTTATCAGGGGCTTTCTGGACCTGAATTTCAAGTTTTCCAAGCTTAAATCTAGGATAACAATCTTCAAGCCTAGATTCAGGTTTTTTCTTAAGCGTAGGGCCAAATTTTTTTAGCTTTTCTTCTTCCCAAGCCTTTTCTCAAATTCCAGGCTTTTCTGGGCCTAAAGCCCGTAAAATCTAGAAAATCTGTTTCCAAAATTAATTTTCTTAACTGCCACGACATAAGTTCACGTGTTCAAAATTAATCAATTCCCCCCGTAATGTTCCAATTTTCACAATAACAATCCAAAAATGCTCGAAATATTTGCAGGCGAGCCAACAATGCCTCGAACTTTCGGCTATTATTACGAAGATGACGATGTCTACGAGACGAAAATGATCCAAGAACGACGGCCGACAACATCTACAGTAGCCTCGATGGGCGGCGCAAATATGACACGTGCCATCGAACAACACAAATATGAGCAACGAATGCGACAAGCGCAACAACACATGTATCAGCCAAATAACAATAACGATGAATAATGTTCCTTTGAAGGGACATACCGTATCTAATTTATTTGTACATTTTTGACGGGTGTCAACTTTTTTTCTAGAAAACAACACACACAAAACTCCCCCCAGCTTCTTCTTGCGTCGAAGAAAAATTTATGTTTTTTTTATTTGTTACAATTCTCAACTACTATGTGTTTCATTTTATGTGCCTTTACCTCATATAAATTATTATTATTATTTACTTATCACGAAGTTTTTAGACTTTTCAGGCTGAAATTTGGGCTCTTTTACAAGCTCCAGACTTTTTCTCAGATTTTCATATCCCAAGATTTCCAAAGATGTTGATCACAAGAATTACATTGAAATTTATTAAAAATTTCGAGTTTTTTTATCGAAAAATGACTCGTGGCAAAATCAGGAAGGCTTCCTAATTTTGCCATGGATGACGTCATCGATCAATTTTTCGAAAAAAAAACCTTTTTTAATTATTTTTTCGTATTGAATATACTCGAAAGATGGTGAACACAAGAATTACAATCAAATTTATTAAAAATTTCGAGTTTTTTATCGAAAAATGACTCGTGGCAAAATCAGGAAGGCTTCCTAATTTTGCCATGGATGACGTCATCGATCAATTTTTCGAAAAAAAAAACTTTTTTAATTATTTTTTCGTATTGAATATACTCGAAAGATGGTGAACACAAGAATTACAATCAAATTTATTAAAAATTTCGAGTTTTTTTATCGAAAAATTACTCGTGGCAAAATCAGGAAGGCTTCCTAATTCTGCCATGGATGACGTCATCGATCAATTTTTCGAAAAAAAAAACTTTTTAAATTTTTTTTTCGTATTGAATATACTCGAAAGATGTTAATCACAAAAATTACAATCAAAAATTTTCACTTAGGCGGGATAATCATTTCAATTCACGCCCGAAGTGAAATTTTCATTTGGGCGGGATTTTTTAAAAAATTTCAAAAAACAAATTGACAGAAATTTTTTTTTTTAATTTTTTACAGAATTGGCGGAAAATTTTAAAAAAAAAGGGACGATTTTTTTCATTCAGGCCGATTTTTTTCATTCAACAAAAAAATCGGGCCGATTTTTTTCATCTAACAAAAAAATCGGGCCGATTTTTTTCATCTAACAAAAAAAATCGGGCCGATTTTTTTCATTCAACAAAAAATTCGGGCCGATTTTTTTTCATTCAACAAAAAAATCGGGCCGATTTTTTTTCATCTAACAAAAAAATCGGGCCGATTTTTTTCATTCAACAAAAAAATCGGGCCGATTTTTTTTCATCTAACAAAAAAATCGGGCCGATTTTTTTCATTGAACAAAAAAATCGGGCCGATTTTTTTCATTCAACAAAAAAATCGGGCCGATTTTTTTCATTGAACAAAAAAATCGGGCCGATTTTTTTTCATCTAACAAAAAAATCGGGCCGATTTTTTTTCATTCAACAAAAAAATCGGGCCGATTTTTTTTCATCTAACAAAAAAATCGGGCCGATTTTTTTCATTCAACAAAAAAATCGGGCCGATTTTTTTTCATCTAACAAAAAAATCGGGCCGATTTTTTTCATTCAACAAAAAAATCGGGCCGATTTTTTTTCATCTAACAAAAAAATCGGGCCGATTTTTTTCATTGAACAAAAAAATCGGGCCGATTTTTTTCATTGAACAAAAAATGGGGCCGATTTTTTCATTCAACAAAAAAATCGGGCCGATTTTTTTTCATCTAACAAAAAAATCGGGCCGATTTTTTCATTGAACAAAAAAATCGGGCCGATTTTTTCATTCAACAAAAAAATCGGGCCGATTTTTTTCATTCAACAAAAAAATCGGGCCGATTTTTTTTCATCTAACAAAAAAATCGGGCCGATTTTTTTCATTCAACAAAAAAATCGGGCCGATTTTTTTTCATCTAACAAAAAAATCGGGCCGATTTTTTCATTCAACAAAAAAATCGGGCCGATTTTTTTTCATCTAACAAAAAAATCGGGCCGATTTTTTTCATTGAACAAAAAAATCGGGCCGATTTTTTTCATTGAACAAAAAATGGGGCCGATTTTTTTCATTCAACAAAAAAATAGGGCCGATTTTTTTCATCTAACAAAAAAACTCGGGCCGATTTTTTTCATTGAACAAAAAATGGGGCCGATTTTTTTCATTCAACAAAAAAATAGGGCCGATTTTTTTCATCTAACAAAAAAACTCGGGCCGATTTTTTTCATTCAACAAAAAAATCGGGCCGATTTTTTCATTGAACAAAAAATCGGGCCGATTTTTTCATTCAACAAAAAAATCGAGCCGATTTTTTCATTTAAAATTTCGAGTTTTTTATCAAAAAATTACTCGTGGCAAAATCAGGAAGGCTTCCTAATTTTGCCATGGATCAAGTCACCCATCAATTTTTCGAAAAAAAAACTGTTTCAATTATTTTTTGTATTGAATGTACTCGAAAGATGTTGAGAATTACAATTGAATTCATGAAAAATTTCAAGTTTTTGATTAAAAAATGACTTTTGGCAAAATCAGGAATGCTTCCTAATTTTACCATTATTACAGACTGTAAAGATTACTGTAACCCAAGAATTCCACTCTAACTCAGAACTTCACGCATTTGATAGATAGAAAATCAAAAAAAAAACGATAAATCAAAATAATTTTCATACCAATAAAATAAAAGAAACACGTAATTTCACAGATCAGAAAGAGGTAGAAAAAAGTTGATAACCTGAATTGTGGCGCAAAACATTCAAAGGGGTAAAAATTGAGAAGGAGATCGGATATTATTTTCTCTTACATTCCAACATCAAACATCTATCGACAAATGCATTGGGTTTATAATTCGGTTTGAGCTCAGCTTTGACCGTATGACATGCTCGGATGAATTCGACTGATTGAATTGTGAGACACGAAATACTTTTTCCATTATCTTTTTCTGGTCGATCAAGAAGATAATATCGACGAATCGCATTTACACAATCTTTGGTTTTCAATAAAAATCCATATTTTTCATCGCTCAAAATTTCATCAATCACTTCGTTTTTGAACATTTTTCTGACAATTTTCAAAATATATTCGGCTTTTGATGGCATTGGGCACCAGAAGACCAGATCTAATGGATCCAATCTGAAAAATCCAAAATTCGCATGTTTTTTGTGGCTTGAATTGAGAAAAGCCAAAATTCAGGGATAATTTTAATTTTTCGTTTTTTAGTAGAATTTTTAGGGCTCAATTTTTCCGAAAAATTTGAAAAAATTGAATTTTATTTATTAGCGTTTAAAAATTAGATGTTTTCAGAAAGATCACATTTTCAAACTACAGAATTGAAAAAGACCGCATTTTTCTAGAAAATTTGAATTTTTTCAGATTTTTTTGATCCAGGAACGTTTTATAGCCAAAAAAACCGAATTTTGAAATTTTTAATCAATTTTCAGTATAAAATAACACAATTTTCTCGAATGATTGACTTTTTCGGATTTTTCGACACCGAACACCTTTATTGGTCGAATTTTCTTTAAAAAAATGATTTTTTTGGAAAATAATTCAATTTCAGATTTTTCAAATTCAGATTCAAAAAATTCAGAATTTTCTTGAATATTTCAATATCTCGGATTTTTTCGATCTCGAATACCTTTCTAAATCAAAATTTCCCAATTTTCCTTTATTTTCAGTCAACTTTCAGTCAAAAAACTCACTTCTCTTCCAATTCTTCCGGCGAAATCATTTTCAACACTTTGATATGATTAATCGGTCTTTTTTGATTCTCCTTGGTCGAATAATTTTCAGTCAATTCAGTCAAAACTTTCAAAATATTGCGCAATTGTGAATTTCTCAAATATCTCTCATTTCCGCTTCTCAAAGCACGCGTAACTTCATCGAAAAATTCCAATTTTTGATTGATAACCGGAGGCGCTTCTCTTCCCAACCAAGTATCGATTGATTTGAATTTCTTGACTTCCGGAACTGCTGCCGGTTTTCCGCTTCCGCTTCCGCATTCCTCTTCATCAACTCCAACATTTCTCTGATATTTTCTCGCAATTTGCGGGTAGACTTTAGTGATCTCAGGTTGTTGAACTTGTTTCAATTTTCGAGGTGGACTTGTATCGATTCGGGATGTTCCTGATTTTTGTCTTGGGATGTTTGGTTTGAGGACTCGAACTGGCGTTTTCTCAGGTGTTTCTGACACATCGATTCGACTACTGGATTTCGGCTTTTTCTGGAAAAAATTAGGGATTATATTTCTAGAATGTCTATGAGATGTTTTTGGATTTTCAAAAAGATCTAGAACATTTCTAGAATCCTGGGAAAACTCAGAAGATCTGTGAAGATTCTCTCAAGCTCTATAATTCTCTCAAGCTACTAGAATATTTCTAGAACTTTCTAGAACATCTAAAATTTCCAGATTTTTTATTTCTGAATTGTTTATTTTTATGTTAAAAAATGTGCATTGTTCAAGAGATTTTGTACAAAAAAAACATATATGTTTAGTTTTCCAAAACTCAAAATTTGTTCAATTTTTGAAATTCCCCAGCTGTTTCGCCCCCAAAAATCCGAGTTCTCGCAAGTTTTTCTGGGCAACGGACCCTCATGACTATGAAACTCTTGCACAAAAACGTGTATGTCAAGTCATAAGGTTACATTGTCCAGAGAATCCGGTTCTCACAAATGAATAGAAATATCAGGACACTAAAATTTAGAAAAAAGTGTAACTGAATCAAAACTTAAGCCAGTCATGTGACATTTATTGAGGGTTTTCTTTAATTATAGGGTTTCTGACTGACTAATTCACAGAATCTGAGCTAACAATAAATTATTAGTCTTGCGCCAGAGAAACAAAAACCAAGAAACCAAACAACTATTGGCTAAAAATGGACTAAAAAACATTGTGGCTAAAAAATTCTGAAAAATTCGATAAAAATTGCCACGTCATAATCTAGATTGTTCTCTGATGATTTTGTTCAAAATTTCAGCCTCTAGGTCAAATTTGGATTATTTGGGAAACTTTGCAAATTTTCAATTTTGAACAAAAATCTCTCTAGACTATTATGTATGACCTGGCAAAAATTTGAAATTTGAATTATTTTAAAACTATCAATTTATGATTTCAGGTCAAACTAGATAAATGAGTGACCAAACTAGAAAACAATACATCAACCAAAAAGTGGAGCTAACCAATGTTTTATGAATTCAGGTCAAACTACAAAACTGAATGATCAAACTAGAAAATAAAATTATCAAACTAGAGACAGATCATGAGTCCCTAGAGCAGAAAAGCCTTGATTTTTATTCCTAGCTTTTCCAAAGCTCAAAATGCTCCCAAAAAATCAAAATTTCCCGCCAAAAAACTCCAGAGACACAAATTTTCGACAACAAAACCATCATGTTACACTTTTATTCCAAAACGAGGTGTAACAATGAAGTGTTGTTGTCAAAAACAGGCGAATTTTTTCGCGAAAAATCTAGACTAAGAAAATCGTGTAATTGTGACGAGAGGAAAATATGTATTCAAAGTGCATAAAAAGGACACGACTTCTTCTAATTTATACGAAAGATTCGAGAAAGGCTTCATTGAATGAAAAAATATGGCTTCTACTAGGAAAATTGACAATTTTGTGATCGAAATTGAGAAAAATCAGAAAATTTAGGTAATTTTGATGAAAATACAGAATTATTGATAAAATTTAATTTTTCTAGTAGTTTTTAACCTGCTGACGAGCACTATCGTGATATTAAAAATCATTCATCTCAACTCTGAACATCGGTTATGACGTGGCAAACTTTTGGACTTCTAGAAAATGGATTTCATCGAAAATTCTTAGGATCTTAGCTGTATTTTCATCAAAATCACCTATATTTTCAGAAATTTTAGATCATTTTCTTTGGAGAAAATGAATTTCATCAGAATTTCCAAAAAAAAAACTCACTCTCATCGCCAAAATCTCATCAATCTTCTTCATACTCTCCTGATTCTTCTCCACATTCTCGATATTCTTCTTGAATTGCTCAGTTCGATCAGCCAATTCTTCATCATCCATTTGATCGATTTCCGACAGAATACTATCATCTGAATCATATTCTTTTTCCGGATTGGCTCCGAAAAAATGATGGTAGATTTGAGTGAGTTCCTGGAAAAAATAATTTTTCCGCGTACGCGGAAGCTTGCGGAAAAGATAAACTCACAGTTGTTGTTATTGGTCGAGTTCCTCGAACTGCACTGCTTGAAACGCCATTCATCGACATTTCCTGATAATTTTCGAATTTTTATTCTGACTAAATATGACCTAGAAAATCAAATCTAGGCCAAATTTGGTATCGAAATGATCAGGGTCACCTAGGGAACCAAATCCTGATAATTTTGATATCAAACATGACCTGGATTTGGTTTTCTAGTCTATATTCGGTACCGAAATGATTAGAATGGCCTAGAATTCAAAAAATTGGTTTCCTAGGCCATATTTAGTATCTAAATGATCGACATGGCCTAGAAATCCAAAAAATCAAGTTTTCTAGGCTTAAAAAATAAAATAAAATCAAGGATCTTCAGAACCTTTTCAGAAAAAACCAAAAATTCAAATAAAAGCTATTTTTCTATTAAAAATGACCCGTTTCAAATTGAAAAAAACCAAAAACAAAAACAAAACAAAAATCTGTCTATCCTAAAAATCTACTCCAAATTGTGTCACCAATTTTTCTCGATCGGCGATTCGATTGCATATCCATTCAGATCGAAAATCGCTCTTCCGACATTGAGAAGTGACGGGTTGAATTTGACGAGACCGAAAAGATCGGAGAGTTGATCGAGTTCGAACCACGTGGCACGCGATAGGCTGGAAAATTTGAATTTGAGAGAAAAGTCAAGGCAAAAAGGAACCTAACTAGAAAATCAGAATGACAAACTAGAAAAAAAGGAACCTAACTAGAAAAATAAACCAAACTGGTGACCAAACTAGAAAATATAATCTCAAACTAGGAATTTGAACTTTGCTCAAATTTTTGAATCAGAAATTCAACTTCGCTCAAATTTCAAAAGAAAAACGGGGAATTCTTGACCCACATCCCAAATTTTCCCAAAAAATGCATACCGCGAGCACAAAATCGTCGTCCACGCCAACTCAATATCCGAGTTCCTTAGTCCGATTGAATAGGATCTAGAAGCCCGTGAAATTGTTGAAACCATCAGCAAATTGTTCTGAAAACTGATTTTCACGTGGAATTTCGATTTTTTCAAATCATACCTTCATAACATTGACAAGTGCTTCAAGGCTTCCATAATCCTGTTCAATATTCTTGCCCTGTGACGTCATCAATTTCGAAATGACCGTGTTGATTCGAGTCATTGAGTATTCGAGTTCTTGGCAAGCAGCCTGCAAGAAAAAAAATTAAATTTTGGGGACTTTTTTGTCAAAAAAAATCGCCCCAAGTTATTTTCCTGGCTCAAAAACCACATTTTGCTCACCTGTAACGAAGGATGCGCATGTTCTGCAATATAATGTGTCAGACCCGGATTTCGCATCTCATCACTCTCCTTCTCGTTTTTCAGCCATCTCTTCAGCGTGCTCACAATTCGTTTATGCGAGCTCGACGTGGCCCACGTGGAAATCGTGGCCAACGCGATTTGTTCCACGTCATTGCTGTCGTCGAACTGCAAAAAATGGTTTTCCGCACGTGTCCGCAAGCTTTCCGCGTGTAACTCACCAAGCTCAAAACCGTTGTGATATCTCGAATATTCTTCTCATATGGAAAATTGGAATCGATCGCTGCGAGACCATTCAGCTCCAATTGCACAGAAATCATTGATTGGAGGGTTTCTCGAGCGAGCATCTGAAATTTGAAAATACATTAGATACTCAGTCAAGTACGCAGCCAATTTTCCCCAAAAACCCACGCACACTAATCAAAGCATTCTCAATATCAACAACAACCGAAATTCCTTCATCAATCATTCCCGACAAATAATAAACAGCTGATTCCAACGCATAAACCTTCAGCGCCAAATCCGTCACAATTCTCTGTGATCTACTATCATCGGCCAAACTTGACCGTGTTGTTTTGCGGCTTGGCGTTCGATTGCACCATGCGGAAAGGTCGCGGAGTGTCCGCTTTGCGACGCCGATTGTCGCAGCAGCGAATGAGAGACGACCACCTCCGATGAGTTCGGCAGCGACTTCTTGACCTTGAGATGGGTTTCCGAGAATATTTGAGTCATCAACAAGGGCGGTTAGATCGAGCTTGCCAACTGCAAAAAATGAAAAATAAGAACTGATGAAATGTGCATCTTCACGTGGAAAACACGTCAAAAATCATTTTTTTTTGCAAAAAAATGAAAAGTTTACCATCCAACCCTTTCAATCCAAGCGTTTCATCTCTTCGAAAAACCACTTTATCCCCAGTTCCCAATTCCGCTTCCTCAATCAAATAACAACTATTATTTTCACCAAAAACCACGAAAAAATTGGGATTGTGTCGTCCAACAATCCTCAAGTTCTCCACATTCAACAATGTTTTGCCAGCAGATTGAGTGATTTGGCAAGTGTCCAGCGAAGTTGCTGAAACTGCAAAAGCTGCGCGAAGTTGACCTTGCGCTAAAAGCGGTAAATATTTTGATTTTTGCTCTTGTGTTCCGTAGATTGTTATGATATTGGAGACGATTAAATTGACATGAGAATTTGAGAAAATATTCCAATCCACACTCAATTCTTCGAAGATTTTTGACAAATCCTTGTTGTTCAATGCCAATCCTCCAAATTCTTTTCCAATTCCAACACTAAAAATCGCATTATTTCGCAAAGTTTCCAACACTTCTGCTGATAATTCGCCATCTTTCTCGATTTTCTTCGCATCTTCTGTGAGGCTCAATGAATTGCGCAAAACTTCGCAGAATCCTTCGATATTCTTCACATCATCCGAATCGCTATACTCGGGATAAATCATGAAATCCTTTTCGAATCGATTCAAAGCCAAACCTCTGCTCAAACTCCGTTTTTCAACATTCTCGCTTGTTTCCAAGCTTCTGATAGCAAATTTAGGTTTTTCATCGGTTTTTGTGACATCCGCAGGTTTCGCTGATGATGCGCGAGTCGCCAATCGATGAATTGACCTTGGCACAAGTCTAATCATCTGAAAATTGCAGTTGAAACGTGTGTTTTAAAAATTTTTCGGGGGAAAAACGCGCGAAAAAACGAAAAATAAACGGTTGTCCGAGAGAAATACACAAATGATTTGAGCGTGGCCTAGGAACCGACTCGGCCAATTTTTTATTTTCGAAAATTGTTTTTTTAAGCGCTCACAGTGCCCCGAACGCGTAGCCAGAGAAAAGTTGTGCGCATTTTTCGTGCATGTACGGTAGAGCGCACAAGCCTGTTTGTCGGTTTTTTGAAAATTTAACACTAGGTTTTTTCTTGAAACGATTATAATTCAGTTATACTTGCATGAAAACTCCCAAACTGAGCTATATGTTCTGGAGAATAATGAGAGGAACGTTTTGATATAAAAAATGTGAAGATTGGATTCAAAATAAGTTAGTTAATATCTTTTGAAGAAAAACAATTCAAATTTTATGAAGGAAAAATGTGATTCGGCACTTGTTTCATGATAAATATGTAAATTAGAATACTTTCAAGGTGTTTTAAGAATTATTTGATTAAAATAAACTTCTGAAATCTGGTTTTTTGTTCAATTTTGGGCGAATTTCGATGGAAAAGAAAATAACAAAAACGGCATAATTTTGAATTATTATTAATTCCACATACTCGAGGAGTCCTATTTCAATGTTTTGGAAGCAGTAAACTAGCTTTTATCAGCTTTCCTGGGTCAAAAATTATGTTTTTGCACAAGGTATTATTTGAAGAGCTCTTGTTCATTTCATTCTCAACCATTTTTCATGAAGCAACTTGGAATAGCTTCAATTTTTCTTCCTCTGTCTTCTCCATATTCGATTTAGTTACAAAAATAACATTTCCAGCATTTTTCAGCAAGAAAACAAAAGCGCAAAAAAAGATGAGAGAGTGCGCTTTGCTGAAGAGACGGATGAGAGATAGAGAGAAAACGAGAGAGTGTGTGGAGTGTGGAGTGCTGGCGCAATACGCGTTCGGGACACTGTGGCGCTTTTTAAGCTGAAAACCTACACTATTGTGTACCCTTCGCGCATTTAAGTTTGTACGAAAAATTTGCCACGTCATAGGCATGTCAAAAACATTTATTTTTTTCTGTTCTCTCTTTTATCTCAGAAAAAAAATTACGCATGTGTTACAAGAGAAACACCAGTGTGTAACCACAAAATTACCGATGTGTGCACACACTGGGTACGCATCGGTGTGGTAGTCGTTACACACTGGTAGCGAGTGGTCACACACTGGTGAACCACTTGTCACACACTGGTAAATCGCTTGTCACACACTCGCATTTTACTTGTTGCAGCATCGCTTTTCGACCCTTCCCTACCCATTTTTCACCAATCCGACCAAATTTTAAACATTAACACATTTTTCAAATCACTATTTATTAGTTAAAATAAAAATCATGAACATGTAAAGAAAAACAACATGTAAAATTTCAAATTGAGTATAAAATACAAGAAATCTTAGAAAGTTAGGTATTTAAGATGTTGGTGTGATGCCTGAAATGGTGTTGTTGCTGTTGTTGGTGGTTGACGGGGGTCTTTTGGTGGTTGGAGTTTAGTTTTTGTAGTTGATAAATTGTTGACTGAACCATGGCGGGGCAAGCTGTTGTTAGATCGACTCTGAAAAAGGAACCGTTTACATTTCGAATATTTTGAAAAACTTTTTTTGGTAAAATGCTTCGTTTGTATTATTTTCTCATAGATTTTCAATTCTAAATCTCTAAATGACTTTTGGTTCCTCTCGAATGTTAATTTTGACGATAATTGTCAAATGATTAGAGTTTTTGTGATTTGGATGATTCTTTGGATATCGAAACTTATTTTCAAATCATATGTATAGCAACTTCACGATTATTAAAATTTTACTTGACTAACCTTTGTTTTGTTCGTTGAATTCCAGTGACGGCAATTTCCATTTTTTGTTCGATTTTCCGAAAATAATCAATTTTGAAATCTCGCCGGTTCTGAAAAAAATAGGGAATTACTATTTAAGTTTAGTTTTTCAATAAAAACCAACCTGACAATCAGAAAACTGCACATGTCAACCAAAATTGATTGAATCCATTCCAAAAACTCGATTTCGATCCAAAACGGGACTGAATCGGCTGAAATTTTGAACAGTGATAAAATAGAAACTGATAGAAGTTATAATTGTACACATATGAGAAAAGAAAAGTATGAGAAACCCCCAAAAACAGTAAAAAACACAGTTTTAGGCCGAAAATTGAAAAGAAAATGAAAATATTTTCACTCGATGAAACGCGCTGCCCGAAGTGATTTACCAGTGTGTGACAAGTGTGCACACACTAGTAAAACTGCTGTGGGGACTTGTACACGCGTGTGCAGCTTGTGTGCTGCCCGCCAATTCGAATTTATGGTCAATTTTTTTTCCCAAGCTATTTTTCCCAAATTTTTTTCCCAAGTTGATTTTTCATTTTCCCAAGTTTTATTTTTCCCAAATTTTTTTCCCAAGTTATTTTTTCATTTTCCCAAGTTTTTTTCCCAATTTTTAGTTTTTTTCCCAAATTTTCGGATCGCATGAAATTGGTTCGTTTTTTAAGAACATCAGGGTTTTTGATTCTCTATATAGAAGGGTCCGTCAAAAATAGCTACTAGAAAAATAAGAGTTTTTCTTGTGTAAAGTGTGGTGTGTTTTTTTCAATTTTTGGCGAGTCTGTATGTTTCCAGGAGGGTTTACTAAGCCTAAGCCTAGAAAGAATAATAGAAAAATTAAAAAATCTTATTTTTGGCATCTCAACTTCAGAATTAGGCTTAGGCTTAGTTAAACGCCCAGAAAAGTGAATGTTGGTACATTTTTTACAGTCGGCCTCTCAAAATATCAGTCTGAATCTGCTGTTTTCGTTCCGACAAACTTGTGAAAAATCACAATTTTCATTCCAAAAACAAAATTCTTTGTTCGACTAATTTTAGCATTTTCGCATTTAGGAATTGCATAATTTCAGGTTATGACCGGTAGAAGCTGATATGTGGGATCAGTACTCAATTGGCTTTGAAAAATAGGAAATACCGGAAAAAAAACTTGAAGAATTGGGGAAAAAACGAAAATTTGGGAAAAAAAGAAAAATTGGGAAAAAAACTTGGGAAAAACAAAAACTTACTTGTGAAAAAAATTTGGGAAAAATAAAACTTGGGAAAATGAAAAATCAACTTGGGAAAAAAATTTGGGAAAAATAGCTTGGGAAAAAAAATTGACCGAATTTATTTTTCACAAGTGTGTGACAAGTTGGGACACACTGGTGCGACTGGTATTGTTGCTGTACCACTTGTGAAACTGCTGTATTTAGTGGTGGAGCTTGTTACACACTAGTTGTTGTCGTCACACATGCGTAATTTTTTTTCTGAGTTAAAAATCTGAATTTTCCTCATCTTGCAATCTTCTCTTATTCATTTCTTCATATATCAATTGTTTGACTTGATAAATTCGAAATGACATTCCGGCAGCCATCAAAACCAGAGCTACGCAAGTTCCGATAATAATGTACAAAATATGTTGGGGAAATGGTGTTTGGCGATGTATGTCTTTTGGAAAACCTTCAGGCAAAACAGGACATTCCATTTTGAAAAACGGAAAAAATTGGAAATATTGATTTTTTTGAAATCGAAAATTTATAAATTTCACGCATTGATAAATAGAAAAATTCATGATTTGTGTACATTTTTACGTCACGGTGTTTCAGAAATTCTAAAAAATTGGGAGCTTTATTGACCAGTATGTGAGAAATTATGCAAAAAAAAACAAACAAAAATAAATACAAGAGATCTTCAGATGTATTGCTGGAATAATAATCAACATGGAATCATTTCCTAAAGGAGACATTTCTTAGCAATTCGCCAATTTCTCCAACAACAATCGATGCCAATTACGCGAAGTCGACGACGAATGATCGAGTTTCGGTGGTGGATGAAGTGGCTCGAACTGTTCGGCTACTCGCGCATCGATGAGCTTTGACGATTGTTGATGAAGCGGGTGATGATGATGATTGTTGGTGGGTGTGAGAACTGCGAGTTGAGCGGGACCGCCCGCTGTTTCGAGCAATTGATGACATCTGCAATTGGAGCATTTTTTGAAAATATATGAATTTTAGTTGATCAGCGAGAGAAAAAGGGTGCGGGGTTAGAATCGCGGAAATTTGTGATTTGTGTGAAATCGGTTTTCGTTCTACGTGTAGCTATGTTGTTTTTACATCAAACAATCGTGACAGCGAGTGAGGTAAAATATTTGGTTGTAATTGTATTCATAAGGTAGAGAAGTCTAAAACTATCCGGGTGGTATAAGTTTTCATGACTTTATGTTATTCATAAGTGACTTAGTGGCTTTTAGGTTGTGTAACTCGATTAAATGTCACTCATAGATAACGTTAAGTCTTGAATATGGCTTTACCTTAGTCATAAGTGATCTTTAGTCAATCGGCTTATCCAATAAATGTCACTAAATCACTTATAGACAACGTAACGTCATAAAAACTCATATCATCCTGATTGTCCCTGTCTATCCTATAAATACGATTAAAATTCAATATTTCAACTACCTCGCTTGAAAACTATGAAAATCATCTATAATCTGTTCCCTTCCCCTGTGGAAGGGAATTTCCCCTTGTTTAAAATTTTGAAAAATTCATGCAATTTGGTTAGTAATAGTGTTAGAAGCTGTAACTGAACCAAGCACCAACAAAAAAAATTCAAAAAAAAAACCAATTCCTTACAGCTGGTGATTCTTCACTCGATGTCGGGTTAACAATTCCAGAAAACCGTGAGCGGTTACGAAAACTGAAGAAAACTGAACTCATCAAAGAATTACGAAAGAAAATGAATATGGTGTTAAGTTGAACATAACACAAAAGTTTGTATCGTAGAAGTTTTGAAAACAAACCAAAAACTCGAATTATTGAGCTACTAGAACTTACCTTCTGCTCGCGTTGTTATCATTGAGAAGGCGGAACTCGCGGAATTTTACGACGCACGGTAAAATACGCGAGCTGAAAAAGCAGAAACCTTCACGGAATCTGGCATTTCTGACAAAGTAGACGACGGGGTTGACGATTGAGTGCAACATTGCCAACCCGTGAGCAAACCACCTGCAAAAATGTGGGTTGAGTTGGGCTAGTAGCTTTGCGAAAGGTTGCGGTGCACAGGGGCTTAGGTTTCTGAGCTTTTAGGTATCTTAAACTCTAGTTTAGCCGCTTTGCGGATGCTGGGCGGAAGATTAGGTTTCTAGCCTTAAGCTAGGCAGGAATACCGAGCGTCTTCCGCGAAGCGGCCAGTCCTAGCTCTGGGTTCAGCACTCTTCCGGAGACTTATCCGGAGCTTCTTGTGCGAGTGTACCGCTCTTCCCGAAGCGAACTTCTCTAATTCAGCTTCAAAACTATGCTGGCCAAAACCCAACTTACCAAAAATACAAAATATTGCTGGAACTATTAATACTCGGATAAATCACCGGCAACACATTGATCAATAGCAAAAGTGGAAGCCAACAAAGTGCAAAAAGTGCAGAAATCAAAATAACCATCGGAATGAGCTTCTTGACACTCTCATGTCTATCAACAATCATTTTCTTTGTCGCACCACTGGTGATTCCCGGCACTCGACTATTCCACATTTTGATACCAATATGTGTGTATGTTATGACCAAAACTGCTTGCGGTACTACATATTGTAGTACAAGCACCATAGTTGAGTAGAATTGCATCATTCGTTCGCCAGAGTCTCCGAAATATGTCCAATCCTCGTGACAATGTTCGGTCTGCGTTTCGTTGTTGTAAGTGGCACGGGTTGTGAAGAGAAGTGGCAGAGCCATCAGGATACTGGAAACATTTAACATGAGCAATGCTTCGCGCGATCTACAAACCTAAAAGTCCACGTGAAAACCACGAGATACATAGCCCGTCTTGTTGTTATTCGAATACTTGGTGTCAGCACAAACATGATCGCCATCCATCTGTCGAAACTTATCACAACTAAAGTCCAGGCTGATAGAAAAACCGGCATTGCTTGAAGGAATGCTAACAGGGAACACATAGTGGGCCCGAAAATCCAACGTTGATCGTCGAAGATCAACACTTGCCAGTAGGAGAATGGCATGCAGAAGACGGCTATCAGAAGGTCGGCTGCAATGTTGTTTTGATGTTCAGGTGTAATTCTAGGTCTAGTTTAGATTCTAGAGTCTTAGGGTTAGCCCTAGGAAAAAGCTTAGGTCTAGGTACAAGCTAGCTTTAAGCTTAGGGCTTGTTAATGTACAAGGCCCATATTTCCCTGTTCATCAAATTCCTAATAATTTCTGAAGTGCCCTACAGTATGTACTCTCGATTACTTGTTTCCAAAAGAAAAAATCACATGACTAATGTACTTTGTAGTGTGATTTTTCCCACTTTGTAGATCAAAAAACCAAGTTTTTATAAAAACTCACCAACAGCCAAATTCAAAATCAAGATATTCGTGGCGGTTCGCAGTCGTTTAAAATACAATACGACTAAAATCACTAGCAAGTTTCCATAAACACACAAAACGCATAGAATACTGTAGAAGAGAATTACGAGAAGTTTCATATGGGCGGGTAGAAGCTGAATTCCAGCACCGCCCGTGTCATCTAGTTTTACTGCTTCGATTTCGCTCATTTAAAATTCGAATTTCGAAATTTGATCGCTGAAAAAAATGCGTTAAAAAAATTAAAATCAAGGGTTATTTATAGAAAATTGCACGTGAAATGTTTCAATCCGCTTACAAAAAATATTGATAAGAAAATCGGAAATGGGAGGTTTTGATGCGAGTTATCAGAACTTATTTTTAAAACACACATCAGAGACAAATTGACGCACAAAAATTATTCAAGCTTGTAATAAGTGATTTTAAGAAATGAATGAATGTTATTTTGATTTCAGCCAAGAAAAATCGTACTTTATTGTTTCTTGGTGAAAGGTTTTGTGAAGAAGAATAGAGAAGAAAACGAAAATAATCAACAAAAAAGCCTGCTAATCACAAAATCAAATAAAGAATCGGATTGGCTTCTTGACGCAAAAATCAGTCTAGATATATTCTGTAGTGCACTTGTAATTTGCCATTTTTCATAAAGTCTAGTTGATTTTCTTTGAATTTAGCAGAAGATTTGGAGCATTATGAGCTCAAGATTGGGTATTTACAAGAAAAAATTGCTCTTGAAATCCACGCTCAACTCAAAATGCAAAAAAATTGAGACAAAGGAGAGAATCTGAACAATTATTCATCTCAGGACAAATAACATTTTCTTACACTAGCACTTTTTTTTGATTGATCGCAATACGAAAATTTTTTGGAGGGGCGTGGCCTAACTTTACATTTATTATTTGTATTATTATTAGAATCATTTAGAAAATAATAATAATAACAGAAAAAAACTAACTCAAAAAACATTTTGTTGAATAGAGGACCCGAGGTTTTTGATGTTTTATGAGAGTAAATTGGACAAAAAAATGAAAAAAAGGGAGGGAGAGTTCAAAATGTTGTGTGTTTTACTTTTAGGATTCAAGCTTCAATATTAGGATTCAAGCTTCAAGATTTTGGCCCCCTGAAAATCTAAAAAGCCTAGGCTTTTCTGGGCTCAAAAAATCAAAATTTTCACCTCGGAAACAGTAGAAGTCCGAAAAGCAGAAAATTCTAGGCTAAAATCCAATATTTCACATCAAAAACCTACGCTTCATTAGGCTTCTGAAGACCTAAAAATCAAAAAATCCCGGATTTTCAAAAATCATCAGCATTTTTGAGATAAAATTTCTATCAGTTGAAAATTAATTTCAGGTGGGAAAAAAAAGTTCTAAAAAAATGTCAGGTGTTCTTATTTTGAAGAAAAGGAAGTGGCGAAAAAAAAAACAAAAAACCACGTGGATTCGGAGAATTGGGATTTCTAGTTAGGAAAAAATGTATACTACAATTTTTTTTGAAATAAAAATATTTTACCTGGAAACTAGGAAAAGCCTGGCGCCAAAATTTGATCTACAGAAACCATAACCATAATAACTGACCCTTAAAATTTATTTTTCGAAAAAACAACATTTTTCTTGAAACTAGAAAAAAGGAAGAAAAAATTAGTTTGCATATTAATTTTGAGCCGGAAACACGTCATAGAAATCAAATATACGTGGATTTTCAAGGGAAACGTTTTTGGAGCGAAATTGTTAGCCACGTGTCAATTCTGAGCGCAAAAAATTTTCAGAGTCAAATCGAAAAAAGCAAATTCTGAAAATCGCTTTCTCGTCAAAAATCTCGCAAATTATGCGCGCGAAAAATCCAAAAAATAATAATAAATAAAAAATTTGTTTTGTTTTCGCTGTCAGAAAAAAATTGGGAAGAGAAAAAAGAAAACTTTTTTTGTTTATAGCCTTTTTTGGTTGGTAAAACAAAAAAAAACTGGAATTTTTCAGTCAGTCACCATGAATTTTGAATAAATAGCTGAGGAAGTAGAAAAAATAAGTTGGAATTTTCGAGGACTAGAAAATGGGTTTTTTGGGTTTCTAGACCACGAGGACTAGACCACCAGTTCTGAATTCAAAAGTTTTCATTTTTCAAAAAATAAACAATATATAAAATAAAATTTTTGAAACAGATTTTTGGTCTGATTTTGTGGGGCTAAAATAGAAGTGTTTGTTCAGCTGAAGCTAAAAATCATCACGAAAAAGAGATTTTTCGAAACAAAGAAAAAAGTTGGGTGGAATATTGATGAGAGGTTACTACTTTTTGCTTTTGAAAAGGGTCAAGAAGAAAGTTTGCGCAGCGGATGGGAAAATTTGAATAATTGAATAGGGGAAGGCCAGATTTTTTGTGCAACATTTTCGACTTTTGGACTTTTACAAAAAAAGAAGTTGGAGCTTTTTTGTAAGAAATCGAGAAGATCAGAAGTCCAGAACTTCAGAAAACTAGATTGCTCATGTGAAGATTGAGCAAGCTGAACTCCTTCAAATTTAAAAATTTTGGGATTGCTCATATTAATCTTGACTAACTTTTTTCCACGTGGCAAAGTTCTCTCAAAAAATTTCATTATTTATTTTCCTAGTCATGGAAACAAATGTTTTTATTATTTTTGTTTTCATTTTCATATTTTTATTACTCACCGTGTCTCCGAAAAGTTTCAAAAAACAAGAAAACATTTTGAATTTCAAATTTTTGGCCCCAAGCGAAAATTCCAGGTTAAAAAATTTCAAAATGATCCACGTGGCAGAAAAATTAAATTTTAAAATTCTTCACTCCATATTTTTTTTCAAATTAATCACAAAATTCCAAAAAAAATCGCCACGTGGCAAAGTTCTAGAAAACTTTCAGAAAACAAAAAAAAATCAATTTCGCAGCTTTTTCTTCCTCTACTTTTTGTCTGCTTAAAAACAGCAATTATCTGCGGTTTTCTCATTTTACTATCTATCTTCGAGACGTTTTTTCGTCTTCAGAAAAAAAAACAGACAAAAACGAAAAACATGGAAAATTCATCAAAAAAATACTTGAGAACTGGTATTTTCACACCTTTTTGGGAAAGGAGATTAAAAAGTCTGGGACTGGAGAAAAACATGTAAAAATCGAGAGAGGACTTGAAAATGGGGTTGTTGGATTTCTAGGCCACCACAAGCTTCCGCTCCGCTCGAAAAACACGGGGACTAGAAAAATACATTTTTGGATTTCTAGGCCACCTAGTTCCAGATCGAAAAAAAAATTTCTGCAAAGCAAAAAAAACACTTGAGAGGCTCATAAAACGTTTTTTGTTGTTTTCTCAAAAGCAAAACGGAAAGGGATGTGGATTCCGCGCACCGGCCACGTGGATTCAAGGGCTCCCGGAGCTGCTCTCACAGTAATCCGCGTGGCCGCTGACGCGGAAGCTTGCGGAAATATTTTCAGACAAAAATACTTGAAAAATTTTTGGTTTTTTTTATTCACGAAATATTTTTCAAGACATTTTTTTTTTGAAAAATAGAATTGAAAACAACAATTTAGATTCATTCAGATGATAATAGGAAAATCAGAGCAAAAAAAAAAATATTTTTTGAGAAAAAATGCGGGAAAAATATTCAGTTTCTAGTTTTGTAAAAGAAAATTTTAAAATTCTTCACCCAAAACAAAAACAGCAAACTTTTCCCAGACTTTTTTTGTGTCTTCCGAAAAAGCAGGAAACTCGACAAAAAATCTCAAGTACGCAGGTCAGAAAGAAATCTGAGAAACTTTTGGGATGATAAACTTTTTTTGTGTCTGAGGAGCTCAGTTCACAAGAAAAATATCAAATTTCTTCAAAAAGTCATAGACTTCGGTTCAAAATCCCAAAAAAAACCAATTTTTTAGTCCCCGTGGCCTAGAAATCCAAAAAACCTCACTTTCCTAGTCCTCGTGGCCTAGAAACCCAATTTTCTAGTCCAATGGCCTAGAAACCTAATTTTCTAGTCCTCGTGGCCTAGAAATCCAATAAGCCCTATTTTCCTCAAAAACTCAAACTTTTTGCAAATCTGAAAAGTTCCACACAAAAAAATATATCAAATTTCTCCAAAAAGTCATAAGAAATTTGATTCAGAAGCAAAAAACGGCAAAGAAGAAGCGCCTCTCTATTTTTCATATATATATTCTTATTCATTTTTTGTATGTGACAACAACTGAAAAAAAAGAAGCACAAAATTCTTTTTTTTCTCGACAAAAACAACCAGATCCTAACCATTTCCTGGGAACACAACAAAAAAGGAAGAGCGAATTCCAGATTTTTTTGGAACTTGAAAATGTTTTTGGCTGAAAAAAGATTCGGAAAATTTTGTGGACTGATGTGATTTGGTTTTCTAGGTCACAGGGACTAGAAAAGTGGATTTTTAGGTCATGGGGGCTTGCAAAATGGATTTCTAGGCCACAGGGACTAGAATAATAGATTTTTTGAATTTTTAGGTTGTGAGGAAGCTCTGTAGCTTTGTTAGAAATCCCAAAAACTTTTTTTCAAAAAGCGAATTTAGAATTTCAAGAAAATTTTTAAGCTCTTCAAAATTGAGTTCAACAAATCCAAAACAATTCTTTGCTCTCACTCCAAAAAATTAGCCGCCATTAAATTTTTCGGTGACAAAACCAGAAAATTTTTTTTTTCTGCAAATGCAACAAAAAATGGGCCAGAAAAAAACAATTTGAAACAAATCTCGTTAAACTTGTACACTTTTTATTTTATTACGTTTTGAAACGTACTGGTCATGGGTTCCAAAAAAAGTGTGTGAACCGCAAGATTCCGCAAGCCGAGTTGCGGTACCAAAAATTCCTAAATTTAAAAAAATGGCTCAAACTACAAAAAAAATGAGAAAAAGGTGAGTAAATAAAGTGTTCGAACATTTTTTTTCTCGTGTTTTACAAGCGCGGCCGAGATTTTTTGAATTGAAGTGGGGAATATTTTTCGGAGGGGGGGGGCCTAAAAATTTTGCCACGTGGAATTTTGGATCCAGAAAATTCAGGACGCAGCTGAGCCTCTGAGAAAATTTTCTTTCAATTTTCCACGTGGAATTTTGAAGCCAGAAAAAAAAATTTAAAATCACTTGAAAATTTCCCAGAATAAATTTTTTTGGAAGAGAAATTTGAGAGAAAAATTATTATTTATGAACTAAAGTAGATACATTCCTAATTAGACACATAGACCGGAAATAAATGAATATTTTTCAGAAAATATGGAACTAAACTTTGTTCACAAGAATAATTTCAGGGCCAAAACGGGCTCATGAGCTCTGGAAAATGGTTCACTAATATTTTTTTTGCCACGTGGAAAAATAAATTGTTTCCAGAAAAATCAGATTTTCTAAAAAAAAATTTTCAAACTGCAATAAGTGGAACTAAACTTTGTTCACAAGAAAATTTTGTTGATTTTTCCAAAAAAAAAACTTTTTCTCGCCCAAACCGATTATGAGGTAGTTAGAGGTTCAACAAATTCGGTAAACTTTTGTATTTTGCGAGGACAAATAAAAGATTGTGAACATAAATATAGTGCGCTAAGTAAGAAGTCAGTCGCAAGAGAGCAAAAAAGTTTGGTCAAAAAATTCTTTCACGGGATTTTTTTTTGTTTGGGTGCTTGCTCTTGACCGTGAGAATTTTACTATTTTTTTGAATGGGACTTTAGGAAGTTTCAGCGTTCGCGGAAACTTGCATTTAACACTAACACTTCTCTCGAAAAAAGTTTTTTTTTGTTATTTCAAAATTGATTTTTTCAACTTGTGTTTCTTCATCATAAAGAGAAACTTGAGATGTGTCATAAGTAAATAGCGTTGGAATTTTTTTGTTTTTTTTGAAACTTTTTTCATACAAGGGAACTTATTTTGTCGAATTAGGGCCTAGAAATACAAACGACCCTATTTTTCTAGTCCTCATGGCCTAGAAATCCAAAAAAAAAACGTTTGCCACGTAGCAGACTTTAAAAATCACAAAAAATCTCAAAAAATGTGAACAATTGCCACGAGAACGGATACTGTACATTTTCAGAAGATTAATTTGAAGCTCCGCCCACAAAACTGTGCGGCAGATAACAATAGGCTCTAGAACTATAACCGAAAATTAAGCTCCGCCCACAAAACCGTGCCGCAATTAAATCTGGGCTTATGGATATCAAAATGAGCCCCAAAATTTCCAGCCAAACGTTCTCTCAAAAGTTCAAGTTAGCCCAACTTCAAAGCAAAAAAAGCAAAAAAAACCGCGTAAATATAGAAATCATCAAAAATCCTCCCATAAATCCAACACAACACAGCAAAAAAAACCGCGCACCTTTCGAAATCTGACAGATGTGATCATGTGTTTGTACACACACACACACACTTCGCCTCCTTAAATAAACTCGGCTCAGCCGAGCCAAGCCAAAAAACATATCCCGTATTGTGTAGAGCTCAGATTTAAGTACAACAACGCCTGCGCTCTATTTTGGAAACAAAAGTGTGCGGGGGTTGCATAAAAAAGGCGGAGCTTAGAATTTACCAAATTTTGAGATCCAACATTACAACATTCTAATTAAAAACTATGCGATGTAATTGCAAAAAAAGGCGGAGCCTAGTACTTTGAATAGAAAAGTGTGCGAGGGTTGCATAAAAAGGGGCGAAGCTTCCCAATTAACAAAAGCTTGCGATGAAATTGCAAGAAAACAGGGTTTTTCTATTGTAAGAAATTTATTTTTCGATTAGAGCTCCTCTTTTTTTTTTCGAAAAAATAGAAATTTGATATGAAAATATAGTTGTGTTGGTATATTTTCCAAACAGACAAACAAACAACGAAAATTTGATCAATGTGAATAGAAATTAGTTATTATTGAAGGGAAAAATTCGTTTTTCACAGAATTACAGGAGCCAAAAACGAACAAAAACAATTCGCGGCCACCAATTTTTAAAGAAAAATGACGTGATAATATATTATCCGTGCTCTCAAGTTCGACTAACTTCAACACCAATGATACTATTACGGATGGGTAAACAAATAAAACAAATTTGACACTTTAAAAGAACAAGCCTCAAAAAACATGATATCAATTTCACACAGTTTTCTGAAAAAAAATGACGCTGAACTTTGTGGTCAGCATAGAAAATTAGAAAATATTTTGAAGTATTCAAGCCCCGCCCCCTTTGGCAACCCTGGCACAATTTTTTCCATCAATAACATTGGCTTTATCAGAAAACCAAAAGATTGATTCAATATTTCGGTTTTCTGATAAAAACCAAAAAATTTGGAAGAAAAAAGGTAAAGTGTTTGTGAAATTCGATATTTTTTACCTTTTTTGAAGGGAGAAAAGCTCTAAAGTCAAAAATTTTTGAACAAAAAATAAAAATTCTTTAAAAAAATGAATTTTCAGACAGAACAACGTGAAAATCCACGGAAAACTCATTTCTAAAAAAAAAGCGGGCCCCAAAAATAAATAATAAATCGCTGTGACACACAGGCATAAATTCTTGACTTTTTTAATTCAGAAATGCCTGTCGCAGAAAAAAAAATTTCTCGCGTGAATCGGGAGGCGGGATTTATTTGGCAAGGTGCGGCACGTTTTTTTTCAAGCAAAAATAATTTATGATTTTTTTGCATTTCGAAATTTAGTGAAGAAAAAAAGATGAAATCGAAAAATTATTTAAAAAACGTGAAACGTGTAATCGTGGCAGGGGGCGGAGCCAGCAAGAAAAAAAGTCAGCAATTTATGCCTGTGTGACATGATGAAATTAGGCCGAAAAATGTTCAAGTAAAAATATATTATTATATCAACTCAAAAATCATATATAAAAGAAAAACGTGAGCAAAACACAACAAAAAAAACGAAGAAAACCTTTTGAAGGAGATCGAAATGACAATAAAAAAAGCGCGGGGAAAACAAAGTTTTGACCTACACATGAAAAAAGTGTGGGGCCTAATGAAAATGAAAAAAGGGGTGTGGCTTAAATTTCTGACAAAATTTGGAGCATTCAAAAATCAACAACTTGGCCCAAATTTATTCTCTACGCGGAGCACGTCTTTGACGAGTTTTTCCGGCCGATTTCGCTTTTTCCTCTTCTTCATCCGATGAATCTTCAGCCGAAACTGTTGGCGAGACCTGGAATTAAATTTTGAATGTAAAATCCTGATTTTTTCTCAGAAGTTAACAGTATTGTAGAAGATTTTCTCAAGATTTATCCAGATTTTCTCAAAAATTTCAAATTTATTTTCCCAGCCTCCCTGGCCATAAAAATTGTCAAGTGTAAATTTTACGAGAGAGGTCTTCTAATTAGTGAAATGTACTTTCTTCTTTATTTTCCAGGAAAAAAACAACGATCTTCGAAGTTTTATCTTCTTGCATCGTGGAACTTTACATTTTTGAAAAAGCATGAAAAGCCATTTAGACTTTAGAAAAGGGATCTAGAATGAAATATGATTTTTGGTGTCAAAAAAAGAGGGATTATTTGCAACTTTTTTGTTTGTTTGAAGTTTTGAGGTAGAAAATGTGGAATATTTTGAGTTAGAACTTTAAAAATTCAAATTTTCAAACAAGTCTGTGTTTTTTTTTGAAGATCCGCCAAATTTTCAATAGAGCGCATCTTCAAATTCTAGGTTGTAATTTTGAATTTTTCAACTTCCCGGGGTTAATTTCGGCGGGAAATTTGAATTTTTGAAGTTATAGGATAATAAAAATGTCCAACCTTATTTCCACCTCGTTTCAACAATCGTTTCCTCTCTCTTCTCGCAATTTCCTCTTCATCATAATCCGAATCCGAATCCGATCTGACATCTTTCGCTTGTCCTCCTCGAGTTGTTCGTAATGCGATTCGAACAATGATGAAGGTCCAGAAAATGTGGAGGAAGAACAGCAAAACCAATGCGAGGACGATGAGACGAGGAGCGTATGGGGGCTGGAAATTTGGGATTTTTTGGAAGAGAAAATTACGGGGATTTCAAGAAAATCATAAGATCTAGGTTTACAAAAATCAGTCAAATTTGAACTCAAAATTTTCAGAAAACTTGGATCTTCAGAATTCTGAGTTCTTCTGGAGTTTTCTGTTGCAAAAAATTGTTTGCCTATTCAAAAATTATCACAAAATATAGGTATAAAATTCAAGTTTTTCAGATTCAGAAACTGATATTTGGATCTTCAAAATTCTGAGATCTTCTGGAGTTTTTTGAAGCCATAGTCAATAATTTTCATTAGAAAATTCAGGTCAAATTTCAGCTGTAGATTTTTAAGTTTCTTGATTTTTATCGCAAAAATTTGTTGTTCAAAATCCAAATCCCGAAAAATATCTCACCATGAAAATATCATACAAATCATAATCAGCCTGAATGAGTCCAGCAGCTTCAGTTACTCCAGATCGAATAACAACAAATGGATAATAAGTGAGGCGAGTCAGGATCCAGCTGAATTTTATTTTTATCTACCTTTTTAATAAAATCACGATTGAGTGGAAACATTACCTGGAGAAGAAGAGAACAAACATGAAATTGGTGAGATTTTTATTGTGCGCATCGTATCTCACCAATTTTCCACCCTCCAAAAAATACGTCTGAAACGTCGTGCGAGATCAAGATCAGGGTTCCGACTCTGAAAAAATTAGTTTTTCATCCAAAAAATTGATCTCTGAATTTGCAAATGCGCTCTATTGAGGATTTGGCGGAGATTCGAAAAATTCAAAGTTTTAAGCAAGCCTAAATCTAGCTTTTGGGATTTTGGATATGAAATATGACGTGGTAAAGTTTAGGTGGCCATTAAAATCAATAATTGGATCCAAATAAATTCAAATTTCAAATTTCCCGCCGAAATTAACCGCGGGAAGTTGAAAAATTCAGAATGACACTGAAAATTTCGCCAATTCGCTCTATTGAGGATTTGGCGGGAATTCGAAAAATTCAAATTTTCAAGCAAGCCTAAATCTAGCTATTTTTCGTATTTCTAGATCAATTCAGGTTGAGTTTCTAGGCCATTTTTCGAATTTCCAGGCCATTTATCACCAAAAAATCATAAAAAATCGCCGAAATTAATCGCCAAATTTGCAAATGCGCTCTATTGAGGATTTCGCGGGAGTTCGAAAGATTCAAATTTTCAAGCAAGCCTAAATGCTATTTCAGGCCAACTGTCATCAGAAATCATAAAATATTACCTAACAAAATTGATAGTCCAACTGGAAGACAATAAAAACACGGTGATAATATGATGAACCATAAGTTGCCAGAAATCCGAACGTCTAACATCGAAGGTGGAAGCGATCAGAAGAGAGTAATAGAAACCAGTTTCAATCATATAGTACCACCTGGAAAATGAGGGGTTTTGAGCTCTTCAAAATTAAAATTGAAAATAGCTCTAAAACTACAATTTTAGAGTGAACTTCACAGGATTTTCTGTGAAAAAAACGCCTACCAGATTGAATTTGGAACTTCATGAAATGGATAACCAATCCAGCATTGTTTTACATCAGACAGCCATTCTTTATCAAACATAACATAACACCCGTAGATAAATGCAAATGTGTAGTAGCTGAATCTCCAGAAACATTCCAGAATTTTTTTGGCGCGAGATTCGGATGCAAATCCACCGGAGAGATGTTCCCACATCTGCAAGAAACGTTTTTTTTTGAATTTTTTAAATTTTTTTGAAAAATTTCAATTTTCCCCCATTTTGTATATTTTCTTGTATTGATTCCTAACTATACACTCTTGTTTCATTTTTCTTATCAAATTGATGTTCCATGATAAATTATCACAAAAAAAAATTAGGCTCTGATAACATCAGAAAATCATAAGTCAACGTGAGTTGGCAATAAAGCACAACATAAAAATGAAATATGACTCACCGCTCCCAATAGCGTGATATTTTTCCTGGATTTGTAGGCATTTGTGCGGAAGAATAAGTAGGCGACACCGATTGTCGCTTCCCAGAAGATTCTGCAAAAAAATATATTGATTTTTGGATGATTTCGTGGAGCTTGGAAATATCTTTCAGTTTTTTTTTCAAAATTCAAAATTAGGTTCATTTTGTAGAGCTTGAAAATCTGCACAAGATAAAAGTGGATTTAGATCAGAGATTAGAAATAAAGTCAAAGAAAATTATTTTCAGATTCGAATTCCAGATGTTTTCAAATATCACCATAAATCAAATCTATTCTGATCTTGCGCAGATTTTCAAGCTCTACATACAAAATGAGCTCAACTTCACAAAAATTCGGTCACAATTATTCTTCCATGATTTGTAGCCTCCAAAAAATCAATAATTTCCGTTCGATTTGTGCAAACATTACAGAAGAACATAAGCACATCATAAAAACAAATAAGAATGTTTTCGAGGGAATTTTGAGTCTACATTATGGCCAAAAATCGATTTGAAACAAAAAAACTAGTTTTTGCTGGGTTGCTTTAGTCAGGATTTCAGCAATTATGAAAATATGGCTGAAATTTACGGGTAGGGTTATTATGAAGATATTGAAAATCTTGAAATCGAAGGAAACACGATTTTCAGAGATTTCCAGATCTAGCTCAGACAGATTTACCATCTCTACAAAATAATCGTACCCCCAAATTTCAGCAATATTTTCGAAATGCTGAAAATCTAGCCTGAGCCCAACTGGCCAGAAATTAGACTAAATTCTCTCGAAAACAGTCTTACTGTAATGATTTTCAAGTTTTTTTTTCAAAAAAAAAACAAATTCCAACCTGATAACAACAAGAGGCAGTGCCAAATAAATGGGAACTAGCAAATCATTGAATTTCGGCGGAAGTTCTTCCCACGAAACATTTCTAGGCAACCAATACGTCTCTGTCCACAAATTGATCATTTTTTCATTGGCTGCCTGCAAAACTATTCTAATTTGATTTATATAATTAATTGCCACGTGGCGGGCAGAGCAAGAGAAATAATATACTTATTTGTATATAGTATAAAATACATAAATATATGAAAAGGGAGAGGTGAATGTGCAATGGGAGAAAAGAGATGGAAAAGAAACTTTTCGGAGCGACCGCCCAGACAACCAGCCTGTCTGTTTTGTTCGCGACAACCGTTGTTATTGGAGATTTTGGCGAGGCGATGATGAGCACTTCGAGCTCGTTCGTGAGGAAAATTTGAATTTTTTCGAACTTTGGAGGAATTTTTAAAACTTCGATTTTTACGTCAAAAATCTCCCAGGCCTTTTTTGACACGAATAACACGACTAGAAAATCATGAAATTCTCAAGTTTCCGTCCCAGAAACCTTCTAAACGCCGAAAATTTTACTGACAACTCGATTCGCTTTGTCTAGAAACTTTTTTATAGTTTATAACTTCAAAAAAACATTTTCAGGAGCCCTGAATCAAAGAAAATCGAATTTTAGCGGTTAGGAGCTCTGAAAATCACAAATTTCTCAAGATTTCTGATTCAAAAGCCTTCTTAACGCTAGAAAATTAACTGAAAATGCAGAAAACACGATTTTCTTTGCCTAGAAGCTTAATTAGTGAAAATTCAAAATAGCCATTGAAATTCCGTTACAAATTCACTTCAAAATTCAATTCCTTAATTTTCAGCCTGAGATTTCACAACTCTCACTCAGCTGATAAAAAATAGAAGCTGAAAACACTCAAGAACCAGCTCCGAGCTCCCCGGAGCCCCGAAAAAAAAACAAAATAGTCAATCATGCAAGTGCGCTCTAGCGAACACTTCAAACGTGGCGGGTTTTCGAAAAATAATTATATTTCTTTTTTGAAAAAAAGGTTTATTATAAGTACAAGAAAAAAGCATGGTGAATTGAAGGTTTGTACAAAAAAAATCAACATATTTACAAGTTGGTTTGGTGGGTTTTGGAATTATAAATAGTGGAAGAAAAATGGTTGGAAACGTAGTAGAAGATACCCGCAAAAACACATAAAGTAATTAGAACAATCAAGAAATATTCTACTTAAATATCAGGTAAGATCATGGAAAAACATATGCACAAGGGATGGATGAGTGGTTTAGAAATCCGCATCCCATCCCGATTCTTCAGCTCCTACAGCAAAATTATCAAAACTCGGGAAACTGTCAAAATTGGAAGTGTCGATTTCAGATGAGACAGTTGGGATGAATGGTGGGCGCATTCGATGCGCGCGAAAATCGACGAAATCGAATCCGTCGAACCAGGAATGATGGCGAATTTCGCCCATATCACCGAATCCGAGACGTTCGGTTGGTTCGTATTTACATAGGGAGAGCATAATGTCGATGGCTTCTTTGGTGATGAAACGTGGCCACGCCCATTTTTCGAGTCCTTTTAGGATGGCGTTGTAGGTGACCATTGGATCGGATGAGGAGAATGGAGGTCTGAAATTGATTGAAAATTAGAAATCTTCGTAATTTTCAGAATATTTGATGAAAATATATTCTCTAGTATATTTTTAACGTGTTTCTCACAATCTAGCTGTCAAAAACAGCTTTTCTCAACTATGAAAAGAGTTATGACATTAAAAGTTAGGCTAACTTTGCTCAGCAAAATCGATTTTTGCTTGGCTCCAGATTTCTGCCCCTCCCCCAAATCCCCAGAAAAAATGCACTCACGATCCAGTTAACAGCTCGCACATGAAAATTCCCAACGCCCAAATATCCACCGACAAATCGTGGCCCTTGTTCAACACAATTTCAGGTGCCACATATTCGGCAGTCCCGCAGAACGTCCAAGTTCTTCCGCCGTTTTTCAGCTTTTTCGCAAATCCGAAATCGACGAGTTTTGGGTAGCCTTGACGATCGAGGAGCATGTTTTCGGGTTTCAAGTCGCGGTAGACAATGTTGCGGCGATGGAGATATTCGAGCGCTTCTAGCGCTCCAGCGCAGTAAAATCGAGTGAGATCATTGTCGAATTTTCCTCTGAAAATCGGGGTTTTTGCGAAATTTCGAAAAAAAATAATTATCATGGCCTAGAAATCCGACAGGATTTCTCGGCCACCTGAGGAAAATTTCGAAAACCACTCACTTTCTATGCAAAATCGTCCAAATTTCACCGCCTAAACACGGTTCCATAAGCATATAAATCTTCTCACTATCTCGATATGTTTTATACAATCTGACGATATAATCCGAATCGCACGACATCAATATTCGACGTTCCGAAACAACGTGGCTCTCTTGTTTCGTTTCGACAATGTGTGCTTTGTTCATGATTTTGAGGGCGAAAACGCGGTTTTGTGGTGATTTGACGAGTTCGACGCGACCGAAGCCGCCCATTCCGAGAGTGGTGACGCGTTTGAAGTCTTCCAATTCGACCATATCACTGACCTCTTCTATTGTACTACTGAAACAACATTTATTATAATTTTTGATTTCGAAGAAGATTTCCCGCTCAAGTCTGAGACGAGTTATGACGTGGTAACGCTGTTTTCCTCAGATTTTCATGAAACCCGTGAATATTTTCAAAACGAAATGACTTTCATCGGACAAGTGTCGTTGGGTGCGTTGCGGTCTCGCGCTGCTTGTTTTCAGAAAACTTGCCCTTGTGCTTTTGATTTGAAAATCTGAGTGAAACAGTGTTGCCACGTCATAACTCATCTCAGATTTGAACTAAGCATATGAGGTAAGTTTTTAGGCCATCCCAAAAAAACAAACCTGGCTCTGGGTCGTATCTCATCATCTAAATCCGTCGTGTCCAAAGCTTTACATAACTGTTCAACGTGCATTTTCAATAATTGACAAGGTCCGTCGAGGACAAAGAATCGTTCAAAACGACCTCTGCAAAAATTAAAATTTAGTTAGTTAGGATATTCAAAACTTTCAGAAATCCATCAAAAAATGAAACTGAAACTAAAAATGTTGATATCGAAAAAGGGTGAGAGAGAGAGAGAGAGAGAGAGAAGAGGGGCGGGATGAGAAAAATTAGAAGGATAGGGCGGAGACAAAAATTTGGGTTGGTTGGTTGGTTGGCTGGGGCTGGTCACGTGAATTGTTTTTCTCTTCCCCGCTTCCACGATTGATCAAACTACAAAGAACAATCAGATTTTTTTTTCGATTTGAAATGTTACAAAAAATTTTTGGAAGAGGCGAGGAAAAATGTTACGATTTTTATGATTCTTTATATATGTTTTTCAGCGGTCGTAAGGTAGATTTTCAGCATTTTTTAAATTCTGAAATTGTGGTTGGTGAATTTAGAAAAATGTAAATCAATCGGGACAGCTCAGGGAGCCCTTGAATCCACGTGGCAACGTTCGCGCAAGCTTGCGGCCGCCATAACATAATTTTTTGGCTAAATTAAAATTACATATAAATGCCACGTGGCGCTAAAGAGAAAAACCATGCGGTAAGGCTGCCACGTGGCACCAGTTTGCCACGCATCAAACAGCTTATATCTATCAATTAGTAGAATCTATAGAACAAAGGGCTGATCGGGGCGGAAAACGAACGAAAAAATGAGTGAGTGATGAGCAAACCTGGAGCAAAAAGAGAGGGAGAGAGATGAGCCAACTGGTTTCTTCGAACAAAAAACGCATGTTTTCTGCACGTGAAAATCGGGCCCCGGAACAACAATCGTACAAAGTAGAAGATGAAATGGAGAGAACGAGCAAAAGCTCGGAAATATTTTTAGTACAAAAAATTGATTTTTTGTGGTAGGACATAGAAAATACGTACTTTTTGAGGTCAGACACGAAAAAATCGCAATTTTTCGTACCAGGACTGATAAAAATAAATTTTTCCGTTCCGAGACCAAAAATATCGCTTTTTTAGTACGAAAAATCAATGTTCTCCTCCAAAGAAGCTTAGATTTCTTCTTCTCTTTCTGGGTCAGTCAATATTTAGAAGAGCATGTTGAACAAATAGAAATCAAGCAGAAAAAAGTTTTGTATTTTCATTGATCAATTATTTGCGCGCGTATCAGAAAATAAAGCGAAAAATGTCATATTACACAGTCTTTCAGTGTGTGAAGAGAAAATACAGAAAAAAAACGAAGTTGAAGCTTTGATTTTATTGTTCTTATCTAGAGAAGTAAGTACTTTTTATGAGACAAAAAATTGCTGAAAATTTCCACGTGGCATTTGAAGATAGGCTAGACGATCAGAAATCGGAAAAAGTTTTCCGCAAGCTCGTTTCGCTCGGCTTTAAATGCCACGTAGAATTTTCAGATACTTTTTTTTTCATCATTTGAACTCATAAAAAGTGCTCCTGAACTCCAAAAGAACTAAAAAACTCCAAAGTTTATATTTAACCTAACCAAAATCAAATATTGACAGAAAAAAACCTCCGGGTTCACAAAAAAAAGTTGCACCCAAAAGTATAATTATAAAATGTCGCCACCCAAAATCACAACACAATCAATACTCTCTCGCCAGGAGAGACGCAGACATCACAAAACTTTTCTCTCACACATGTCATTGGCACTGGTCCATTATACATACACATAATACATAAAACTACGTGCAGGCGGGCGACGCAAGAATGAGACGAATAAATAAACAAAGATCAAACATCCAAAAATTATGCGCTTATGAATTTTTGAGTATTTGATCTTGATCTGCCACCGAGACAAAGATTGCACTTTGAGATAAATTATTTTTGGGGGAACAGGGGGGGGTGGGTTAGACTAGACTATAGTTTGGAGTACTGTAGAAGACTAGACTATAGTTCTGATTACTCTAGAAAAAATCTAAATGTTTAAAAATGGTCTAGAATTCCGAAAAATGCCATAAAAGCTAGATTGTTTGAAATTTTGAATTTTTCGAAAAACCGCCGAAATTTCAATAGAGCGCATTTGCTAAATTTAGGGTGAAATCAATTTCGGCGGGAAATTTGAATTTTTAAGGTTCACTTAACTTTGCCACTTCATAGCTCCTGTCAGGGTTGAGCTAAGCCATTCAACATTATCTCTCTAGGATTCAAAGTAAAGGAGCACACTCCCCCACGTTCACTTTGTCTTAAAAATCCACGTGTCTACCACATGCTCCAAAAATCAAAAAATCAAAAACAAAAGAAGGAAGCTACAAATTTTTGCAGACATTGTGAACTTCAAATTTTCACTTTCATTTTCCACGTGATGTGTGCTATCAAAGTGTTATCAGTTCTTTTTTCTTGTACATGAACCGCAACGAAAAAACTTCTCGTACAGTACAAATGTCACCCCACGTGTGTAGGAGTGCAAAAAATAATTTTTTTTTTCTGTGTACTGATGTTTTGTGCTGTCCTGAAGACGATTGTGAAATGTATGTGTACTTTGATCATTGAAAAGTGATACTTGAAATTTTTGAGAAAATATTTGAAGTTTAGCTCAAAAAATGATTTTGAAACGTGGATTTCATTTTTAAAAATTTAAGACTTTCAAATTCAAAATTCTGACACGTGGATTTTCAGTTGAAATTTAGAAATTCTAAACTTTGCCACGTGGCATCAAAAAATAAGAATCTCAAAATGTTGTGAAATGACATCATGAGCTAAAAATTTTGCGCTCGAAATTCAAATTTCCAGAATTTGCCACGTGGATCTCATTGTTTGAATTCCAGAAATTTTTCAATCGAAAAATTATTTTTTTCCAAATTTCGACCCAAATTTGAAGCTCCGGATCTCGGCTCACAGAATTCATTTCTCAATATCCTAGATTTAAAATTCCCTCTGTAAACACATTATTTATTTACTTTCTCTCCTAAAGACCACTGCAAAAATAACAGAGAAAATTTAATGATAACAACAACTGGAAAGATGCCAGAGAGAGAAAGAAAAAAGAGAAAAGAGAGACTAGAAAAACAAAACACATACTGAACTTTGATCGAAGCAAAACAGGAAAATATTGATCGATTTTCTTTCGTTTCTTATCATTTTGATGACTACGTGAATAATGAAAAAGTACACAATGTCAGAAAAAAAAATGTCTAGGGAACTTAGAGGTGAAAATTTGGGAAAAAAGTTTTGAATTTTCAAATTTCGCGCCTCCAGAAATTGCTCGGTAGACTCGAATTTTTGAATTCGGCGTCTCGAAAAATTGAGCGGGAAATTCCAAAATTCATATTTTCTTTAAAATCTATCAGCTAGACTAGACTATAGCTCCCATTTTCACAGTTTCCGACTTCAAAAAATCATTTTTTTTTGTTGATTCCCACATGGTTTTCCACGTGCAAAAACCGTTCTACTTTGATCGCTATTATTTATTTTTTGGTACACAATTGTACATAAAAATGTGACCAGACCAGACCAAACCATCAACAATTTTTCAACAAAAATGTATAGATTAGATAACCATAAGAGCATAATCCTCTTTTCTAGCTCCACGCGGAATTTTTCCGCGTAGCTGTATACAGCAAGCTTCCGCGAACGCGGCAACAATCTGAAGTCGCGACTTTAGGGCATGACTCTTCTAATTAAAAAAACATGAAATTTTTGCCAGCATATTTCCACGTCGAATTTTTCCGCGACTTCAAATCGCTGCCGGAAGCATGCGGAATCCAAAAACAACTCACTTTCTACCACATCTGACTTCAAAATCCTGACCGGCTTCAATTTTGTGCATATCACCCTGATCGTCGCAAATGATCTGCAAAAATGCATTTTTTTTGTAATTTTTCTATTTTGAATTTTTTTGTTGATTTTCCCCGTGATTCAGAAAAATGCATTTCGTCGCCAAGTTTTGTTTCATTCAATTTTTAGATTGATAATATAATAATAATGACAATAAATCATAAATAAAAAATTTCAGCAAGAAAAATCAGAGAAAAAATTTTGGTTTTGAGATAAAGTGTCACGTTTTGCAAAAGGAACACGTAGATGAGTTATGACGTGGCAAAGGGTTTCTAGATGTTAGGCTAGAAGGCTTTGGGGGCTTCTAGACTTCTAAGATTCAAGTTTGCCACGTCATAGATCAACAAAACTAAATAGCAAACAAAAATTTATATGAACGTTCTGAACTTTTTTCCATCGCATGCTATTTTCACATGCCTCTTCTACAGTACCCCGCGCTCAAATCAAGTCAACAAATCGGAAATTCGATTCGACAGCAGCAGCAGTTCGGTTTAATTTGAAGATGATTGTGGACATTAATGGTATCTAGTCATGTGTTTTCTTGGAATACATTTTGTTTATTTACAAGGGAAGTTGCGCTAAATACAAAATTGTTTTTGTAATTTTTGAAACCTTAACTTTATTGCAATAATCCCATGGTCTTTTATTTCATCATGGGGATTTTCTAGAAAAAGTTTCTCGAATTTTTTTAAAATGAAAATTCGTGGAAGTAAGCCTAAATACAGTTATGAAGAATTTTTCCAGCTTCAGAAAACTGATCAAAATGTCCAAAACTTCGCTCTGGATGACTAAAAATAATGCCAACACTTCCGAAAACCTCTTATCTTATCAACAACAATAAATAAATCTCAACATCTGTTTTCCGAACAAAAATCTGATCTCTATCATTTTTTTCTAGAAAAAAAAAGAAAAATCTGAACGCCACGTGGATTTTTGAGCCAAAATTATTCAAATTTCAAACAAAAATTGCAACGTGGATTTCTAAACCCTAATTTTCAAAATTTCAAAAAAAAAAGTGCCACATGGATTCCAGGACCAAAATTATTCCAATTTCAAAAGAAAAATTGCCAGCTACATTTTCAGCCAAGATTTTCAAAATTCCACGTGGCTTTTCCCGCACCTGTTTTCTAGCTTTCTCTTTTTCAGCTGTTTTTTGTACTTGACAAAAGTGCTCACACTTGTTTTGATAATAAAAAGTCTCAAGGAAAAAGTGCGAAAAAACAGTTTTATAGCGCCCGGTTTTCTGATGTGTTATGTATTTGTTATCATTTTGAACTTTTTGTTATTGTTGCGTGGGAATGTGAAAGTTTTGCAAACGATGGGAAAAAAACGAAATTGAGGGGTTAACATGAGCAATCTCAAAAAACATGGGATTGCTCATATTAAAGATCCTGATCTGAGAAAACTAAAAAGAAGCCTTATGTCCTAATGGTCGAGAAAAAACGTTGCCACGTCATAACTCATATTTAGAGTTAAGCTAAGTCATTTTTGATTAAGGGGGTGTGATGAGCAGATTGAAATCTACTATGATTAATGAACACTAGAAAAACTGTGACGTCATCCAAAAGATCTTTGATATAACACAAAACATTTCTTTGAAAAAAAAACAATTTTCTGGTAGATTTTGACCTGCTGATAATAATTCTATTGTCAAAAATGAGTCAGCTCAACTATGAACGCGAGTTATTTTTTTAATTCAATATTTCCCGAATTTTCCAACTTTCCGGGGTCAATTTCGGCGGGAATTTTGAATTTTCGAAGTTTTTGGGGTGAAACTATTGACCATCCAAACTTTGTCACGTCATAACTCATGTTCAGAGTTGAGCTAACTCATTTTTGACAACAGAATCATTATCAGCGCGTCAGAATCTATAGTGACGTCACCCAAAAAGATCTTCGAAAACAATCGTAACCGGTCATACCGGAAGTTCAAAGACCCAAACAGTCAACATCTATATTTAGCCTAACACCGCAAAATTTTTACAACCTAAACAACAAAAAAAACATCACGTGACTCATATTATTTTCCTTTGTGTTGTTCTTCACTTTCAAAAAATAAAAACCCGCTTACGATTTTTGAAGGTTTGATCTCAGCCTAATTTTCGTATATTTCATTTTACACCCAGACAACAGCTGATGTAAAAAAATTTGTAGATTTTTGTTTTGCTGATGATGAAAAAACTGGGGAGATATGTTTTGCAACAATTTTTCAATAATCCTAAAATTAAATATTTGTGTGAAATTTTTTGTTTTCCAGATTTTTTATGAATGAATTGGAAAAATCAATCATCAACCAAAGAAAAAAGAGAAACATGTTGATAAAAAATTGGTTGTTATCATTCATTCACTTAAATATAGAAGATTATTGAACACATAATATTTTATGATCAAAAAGGGGTTGACATGCAACTTCGTAGTTTAGGATCTTTTCCGCGAGCTTCCGCAAAGCCTCGAAATCTTCCGCGTGTCAAAATGAGCAGCTAGATAATCTTCAACATTTCCGCAGTTCGAAAAAATACGGGCTAATTTTTTCCTTATTTTTTGAAAGACTTTTTAGCAATTTACCCTAACAAAAGGCTTGGAAAAATGTGCCACGTTGATTTTTTGAAGTCCGATAAATACCTTGTGAAGTATTTCTAAACATCTAAAAAATTATATTTTACGCTAAAATTTGTTGGAAAAAATGACACGTGGAACAATTTTAGCTCTGATGTGAGAGAAAAATCAGAAAATCTAATTGTAAAGAAAATCCAAATTTTTTTGAACAAAAAATTCCACGTGGCGATTTTCAGTAACTTCTTTTTTGCTACATAGTTCTACCAAATCAATAACACTGAAAATTTTCAGCAAAAATGTTCAAAAACCAGTTTGCTGGGTGCAAATTTCAATCACATGTCCTTTTTGTGTTCGACTAATTCGAATTTGTTCAAAAAAGTGTGCGTGTTCATTTTCTTTGTTTTTTATCAAATCAAATTAGTCAATTAATTGGACACATTTTGTCTTTCAAGATTTTCATTGATCGCACAAAAAACGCCAAAACTTCTTATCAAATCAAATCAGCCGGGGCCTGGTTACAGTATCCTAACAGTAGCAGAGAAGAAACAAGATGATCCACGTGGTTTTCACATGGATGTGTTACACAATGTTCTGGGCGGATGATAGTTCGTTTTTTTGTGTTAGGCTAACAAAAAGTTGAAGCTGAGGGCATGGGAACTTTTGCGGGGGGTCAAAAAGAGAAGGTTGGGTTTAAAAATTTGATTTTTTAAGACTAGAGACAATGGGAAATCGAGAGAGCACAGACAAAAAAGGTTCTGTATTTTTTGTTCAAAAACAAATTGTGTTGTCTGCGCTCTCTCAATTTTCCATCGTCTCTAAGCAAAACATTTATATTTTGAATTTTTGAAAAATTAATTTTGAAATTTCTCAAAATTCAAGTGTCAAAAAGAAATAAGTAAAGATTGGGTCGAATTTTGAAATTTAAATTTTTCGAGACTTTTTGAAGCTATTGAAAAATTTTCAGACATTTCAAAAATTAATTTCAATACGTAACCCACATTTTTTCTATCAGATTTTCAAAAAATTCTGTTTTTCAGGTGAGAAATTCCAGATTCTTGAGCGCACGAGAATTTTTTTTCAAATTTTTTGCCACGTGACATCCCAAAATCCAACTCACCGTTCCACGACAAACCAAATAAACATATTGCGGTTTGACGGGAATCTCATCACGTATCTCAAATCGAACTTCGGCACAAAATTCCGAGATCGCAGTCAACAATTCATCCGGATATCCACCAAAACGAGCCGACCTGCAAGAATATTGTAGTAGTGCATAGCTACAGTAGCTACAGTACTCCGTACTTACCATTTAAGGTGGCGCTTGAAACTCGATGTTTTTTCTCTGGCCGATTCGACCATTATTGCGTGATACACATTTCTTTCGATTGCCCAGAGCTTGCAAGGTTCAATGGCTGCAAAAAACATTGGATTGCTCATATTAGACTCGAGCTCAACTCATTCTAAAGCTCTTGAAATACCATGCCGCAAAATTGCAAAATGTGGCGGAGCCTAGGCATGTTTAGGCTCATTCCAAAGCCCCAGAAAAACCTGACTCACCTCTGACAGTCGCAGTTCTCTCACAATGATGAAGAATAGCCAATTCACCAAAAAGTGCACCGTCTTCCATGGTGCGAACAAAACGATTGTCTTTGACAACTTGAACTTTGCCTTCTGTAAAAAGGAATTTTATACTGTTTCAAAATTAATTCAATTTTCAAGGTGAAAATAATTTTTTCTATAAAAATTGGCCCCAATTGATTGTCTGATCTTTTTGATATTTTGTTGATTAGAAACATTTTTCGATGTTTTTCCGGGCCTGAACGAGGCAGGGCCTTTAGAAAGGAAGAGCCTGAAACAGGGCCCAAACCAATCCCAAACTCACACTTCACAATTCAATAATCATGTCAGCCATTTCGACTGACGCCACAAATTTGAATTGATTTTGACTCGATTTTTTTTCAGGCGGGAAAAATTGGAGTCACGTTTTTATTTTTTTAATAGAAAATGTATTGTTTTTGGGCAGAAATTACATAGCTATGACGTGGAAAAATTGAAAATGAGTTTTCACACAGAACGAACCTTGTATGACATACATGATACTTCCAAGTTCACCCTGTCTTATAATAATTGCACCAGCCGCCACTTCCACTGGATACATTGACAATGCGATTTTGTCCATCTGACTTGAATCCAGGTTTCGTAGAAAGGCATTTCGACATAATGCGTTGCCGATTGTCTCAAATGCTCTAGAAGAAAATTTAGGCTTGGGTTCTTAGGCTTTTAAGTCCAGTCTCTTAAGCTTAGGTTTGAATTTTCAGCATATCTGCCACGTGGATTTTTAGAGTTAAGAAAATGTAGATAATCTTAATTTTTGCTTTTGAAAATCTATATTTTTTCATGTCAATTTCAAGTCCAAATTTACAACATTAACCTGAGCTACACGATATTTCGGCGAAAAACTGGAATTTAGAAAAAAAATTTAGATATTTTTTTATACAGTAACCTTCAAACGTTTAATATGAGCAATACTTATTTTTTTCAGAAAATTCAAAATTTTTTGCCACGTGGTTTTCGTGCCCAAATTTCTTCTACAAGTTCTGGAGTGTGGTCTTTTTCCACGTGGCAAAATAAGAGCCCAATAATTCCACGTGGAAAAATAGTTTCAAAAAAAAATTTGCACTAACCTTGTCGGAATATACCTAGATGTTCTAAATCGGAAAAGATCTCTACGATATCTCAGAGATTTCATTCTAGTCAAATTCGAATTCAGGAATGTTCCCTTTGAGAAATAAGGCAAGTTAGACTAAATGAAATAGGAATGGGAGGGAGGAGGTTCGAAAATTTAGAAATGATATATGATGATACTGTGAGCACAATAAACAGTTTGTAGACACACATTGCATTGCATTGCGCAGCGGATTATTTTTGCGAAGTTGTTGCGAAGAGCACGAAATTATTTCGGTCTTTCGGAGAAAGCACAAATTTGTTATGACGTTTTTCGTGCAAAAATGCTACTTTTCGCCGGCGTTCGTCATTGGAATTTAAAAAAAAAGTTGGAAGGTGGGAAGAGCCTTAGGAATTTTGTGCAAAAATGGTTTTTTTTCTGATTAACATGAGCAATCCTATAAGATGTCTAATGTTAATTTTTTTTTCTTCTAATACAAGGTACCCCGAAAGATTACTCATTAAAGGGGGTATACCCTATTGTCTCTCGTGCAAAGTGTGATACATCATTCGATTCAGAATTTTGTGTTATATATGCACAAAAAATTTTAGCTCGCAAAACGGATTCTAAGTACACGTTTTTTGCGTCCAAACAGGACCAAAATCTGCTCGAAATAAAAAAAAGAACACACAAGAAAGAGAGACGCAGACTCTCGCTGTCTGCCAGCCAGCCAGCATGTGTATTGTTTTTTCTTCTTTTTTTAAATTTTTATAAGTTTATTACGGTATATTCAGACTTACCGTAGTTGTTGAACACAAAATTCAAAAAAAAACAATACACATGCTGGCTGGCTGGCAGACAGCGAGAGTCTGCGTCTCTCTTTCTTGTGTGTTCTTTTTTATTTCGAGCAGATTTTGGTCCTGTTTGGACGCAAAAAACGTGTACTTAGAATGCGTTTTGAGAGCTAAAATTTTTGTGCATACATAACACGAAATTCTGAATCAAATGATGTATCACACTTTGCACAAGAGACAATAGGGTATACCCCCTTTAAAAATTTCTGATTAACATGAGCAACCCTTTCTCTTTATTAATGTTAACTTCTTTTCATTAGCTTTCTAATATGAGCAATCCTATTTCTTCAAGATTTTTTTTGAGAAAAATTAGGATTGCTCATATTAGATCTCTAAAGCTAATGAAGAGAAATTACCAATTGCACAGGTTAATCAGAAAAATGTATTTATATTTTGATTTTGATTAACCTATGTTTAAAATTTTCAGAAGAAAAAATTGAACTTTTTTGATCTACAGAAATTTTACAGTAACCCAACCAAAAATATTTAAACTAACTCATCACTTTTCCCAATAATCGTTCGATTCACTTGAACATCGGGCTCAGAAGAAACGGCAGTTTTTCGAGTCGAATTTTGCATTCGATAACTCTCGAGCTCTTTTCTCAATTGTTCTATGATCTCATCTTTGAGTTCGAGTTCAGCCAAAAGAGCTTCGCGAGTGAATTCCATCTGGAAAATTGAATTGGGGTATTTATGTGTTCGGTTTTTTCAGAGAGAAGAGCTAAATTTTTGTAGCCCTTTTTCTAGAGGTTTCCTGTATTTTCCAAAGTTCAAGATCAGCCAGACTTCGAATTCAATTTTTTTTGTTGGAAAAATACTCAGGTCAATTTTCTTCTTATTATTTTCTTCTCGGAAAAATGAACACACTTATTTTTTGTCTATTAATCTTCAAACAAATAGTGTCGACTAAAAACTGCAGAAGAAAATAGTGCAAAACGACGCAGACAAAAAAATCTAACGGGGGATGAAGGCCGTGTGGACACGCAGCGAGATGGTCTGCAACATTTTCACCACGCTGAAAAATACCCGCGTAGCCTAGTGGTCTAAGGCGCTGCGCTCAATCTAGCGGACATTTTGCAAGGTTCGATCCCGCATGCGCGCTAATTTTTTTGCTTTTTTTCGAGCGGAAGCTTGCAGTTCACATAACAAAACGAATCAAAGAAAAATCTGAGAAAGGCGCAAAGTCATCTTCAGAAGAGGGAAAATTGTGTGTCCCCGGAGGGCTTTTTGGCTGAAATGATAGATGTGATGTTTTTTGTTGGCTAGAAGAATGTGAATAAGTCAGAAAGCAAAAAAAGAGTGAGTTCGATGAACTTTTTGAAAAAAAAATGGGTAAACTTTCTTTTTTTTTTTTTTGAAAAAAAAAAAGATTGAACGTGTCTTAAAAGTGCAGTTTTTCTGGGAAATTTTGAACCCTTTGGGGAATTTTTTTTTGGAAAATCTGGGGGTCTTAAAATACGTTTGGCTAAAAACAGCTAACTAAAATTCAGACCACCCACAAAGCTATAAAACTACCGTAGTTCAAATTTCATTGCCTCTTTTTTCGAAAAGAAAAGTGAACTCAACTAAAATGAAATGAGAAAGCTCTAAAAAAGGCATTTCTCAAGGACTAATGAAAAATTGGTGGGATTTCTTTCTTTTCTCCCTTTTTTCTTTATGCAGAGAAATTTTTAGCCTAGCTTCTGCTGAAAAAATGTGCGCTTGTCAAGAAAAGTGCACACAAATTTTTCATCAATTTCAGATGAGTTTTGTGAGCGAGAAAAAAATTCTGGAAACATTTTCTGCGTGAAAAAATTTGAAAAAGTCCGAAAAATAGAATTTTGCGGGGGAAAATCGTCAGAAAAGAAGAAGTTTTACCCACACAAAAAAATAAATATAATATTCTCTCGGGAAAAAAATTCGAGCGAAAAAAAAGATCGCACTTTTTGTGTGGTGCTTTTTCACAGCAATTAAAATTGATTCTTGATGTTTGGAATAATTTTGAGCTGGCGGAAAGCGGAAAATCCGTGAACACGCAGCGAGATGGTCTGCAACATTTTCGCTGCTTCAAAAAAATGCACGCGCAGCCGAGTGGTCCAAGGCGCTGCACGCAATCTAGCAACCCTTTTGCTCGCAGGTTCGATCCCACATGCGAGCTACATTTTTTTATTTATTTTCAACTAGAGCAGCTGAAAATTCGCCAATTTTTTCAGCAGAAGCAGCTGAAAATCTAGAATGTTTTTTCATCTTGTTGACAAGAAAAAAATCCGGGTGTAATTTGGGCCTAGCAATATACTCCTTGGGGAATTTTCATGATCTACTGGCAAAAAAACATGGGGTGTGTTATTCAAGAGGCCACATAGATTCTGAGGTTTACACATCATTTTCAGATGTCACAAAAATCTAAAGTGCACCCTAAAGGCATTTGTTCACTTACAAGGAAAGGTTTTCAATGTTCCCCCAAGGAAAAAATCGAGAGTATGTGGAATGTTGAGGGTTCCCATGGGTAAGAAAAACCCTAACGGGAATAAGGAGAAAAATGCCTTGTTTTAGAAAATTTTGGTGTTATTGATTTTTGCGATGAAATTTTTTAGAAAAATCGAAACTTTTTTCAAAATTGATGAAAAATGTCAGTCTAAAAATCCATTTGTAGCGCAAACGGCGTACTTTAGTATTACTTCGACTAAAATTAGGAATAAAATAATTTTGGTCCCAAAAGTCCACTAAATCAAAAATCCAGTTTGAAAAATTCATAGAAAATCAACGTTTTCGTTGTGAAGGAGAAGTTTGTGTGAATCGAGACTATGATTTTTGGATTCTACGGACCAAATTACGTCTGTTGACCGTCATAAATTTTTCAAGTTCCGTTCATTTGAAAATGGAAAAAATTATTTTTTGTGTTTTTTGGTGACCATTTGATCAGAAAAACCCCGACTAAAAAAACCAAATTTCAAAAAATGTCTAATTTTTTGATAAAAAGTTTCACAAACACGTAATCGACCATTCTGAACAATTTCCACGACTCAAAAGTTCATGAAATAGATTCAAAATCGAGTTACAGATGCTCTAAAAATCAAAAAATGGTGTAAAAATCGACCTAAAATTCATTTTTTCTCGAGAATTAGGCATTTTTCTCCTTATTCCCGTTAGGGTTTTCTTACCCACGGGAACCCTCAACATTCCACATACTCTCGATTTTTTCCTTGGGGGAACATTGAAAACCATTCCTTGTTAGAGGAACTCCCCGAAGATAATTCAATTTTTATTTGACAGAAAAACCCCCCGTGGATTTTTTAAAGAGCAAAAAAGATCGAAAAATGACTCTTTTCTTTCTTATTTCTAATTTTATCCGGTTGAATTCCGCAAGGAAAAAAAGATGAAAAAAGGTCGAATTGAAAGAGCATAATTATCTAGCTATGTGTGAAAAAAAGAAGGGGAAAATTAAACCGGAAAAAATAACGTGGCAATTTTTTGGAGGAAAAATCTGCAAATTATTTCAGAAATTCTACGAAAAATATATATGAAAACACATTAAAAATTCAGGAGGATTCCAAAAAAAAAACTGAAAACATAAGTATTCTGATTCTTTACAGATTTTTTTTTTCAAAAAATATACCACGTGGAATTTTTAAGGACAAGATCTGACTATAATTTTTCTCAAGTAAAAAATTCACGTGGCTTTTTTTTCAATTTTCGAGAAATTTTAAATTTTAAAATTTTCAGGACCTTAAAATTTCAAAAGCTCAAAAAACACATACAAATCTAAGATTCAGCAAGCTTTCTCCCGCCCCAAAAAATATTCAAATTTCCGTAAACATTTCAAATATTTTTGTTGTTTTCAATGTGTTTTTTCCGCCTTTTTTGGTGGTCCACGCAAAAAGTTGGCGAAAAATATAAATAAATAAAATGAGAGGAGCGCGCGCGGACGGAATAAAAAATGCGGGGCAAAAAAAGCCGAAAAACAATCGAGCACCACCAAAAAAAAAGAAAATAAATATTCTCAGTCAAAAATGAGGATGAGAAATGATGATGGATAAATATTCGCATTTTTGGCAGAATTTCGAGCGGGCTGCTTTAGAAATCTAGAGCCTTTTTTGAATTTTCAAATTTTCAGAATTTTTTTCAAAAAAAATTTACCTCTCCAAAAAATCGTCGTGTAGTCAAATTTTGTAATTGTCTTTCCTGAAATTTTCAGATATTTTCTAGGATAAATATCGTAGGAGTTTCTCAACTGCCAAAAAAATACAAAAACAAGAAAATTCACAAAAAATTCATAATTCAACAAAAAATTCAAAAGTCGCCATGGCGAGAAAAAGTTGCGAGGAGAATGTGACAGGCGGCGAAATTTTGAGCAAAAATCTCAAAATTTGTGCGAAATGTGGGGGATAGAGGAAGTATTTGGATTTATAATTCGGAAGCAATGTCTACGGTTTGAGTATCGAAATAAACACCTTGAGTTTGAGTTTCTTTGGAATTCTCATTTATATTTGAAGAAGTTGCGATGTTTGGAGCATTTATCGTTCTGAAAATAGGATTCTAGATTTTTTAGAAGTTCTAAAAAAATTTTATTTTAATTTCAATTTCGTGTCATTTTTTTCAATGAAAAAAAGCTTGAAATTCGAATTTTTTGAGTTCTAGATAATTTTTGACGCGAAAATTCAATCTTTCAATTTTTTCAATTGAAAAAAAAAGCCAAAAAATCCTGTTTTCAAGTCAAAAATATCACTTTATCTCCCCTAACCCAACTCACGTCAAAACAGTTGCGGGTGGCAATCGAAGCGTTTCCAATTGTTGCTGAATCACTCTCTTCAACGGCAAAAACAATCCATCCGAATCCTCAAAATCCTCGGGAATCAAATAGATTCCTCGCTCATTCGAATTCACATGATTATTATTTCGGCCATGCAAACAAACCCCATCCGAACCATTTCGATTATAATAATGAAGATTTGTTAGACATACAAAATCGCCGGATTTCAGGCTGGTTGTTAGGAATTCGACATGTTCATCATAGATGATTATATCCAAAATTTGATCTTCGGGGACATTATAAATCGGTTCGACGATGAAATATGAGATGAAATCGGGTTTACATACAAAGAATTCACTATAATAGGCGCTGAAAATATTTAAAAAAAAAAGATTTTTATCTTCAAAGATTTCAAAAAAAAAACTCACTGAACTTGCAACGGAATCATCTCCATTCTAGTCAACCTCAACACATAACAGCTTCTCGTGGTTTTGACTATTGAATGGACCACTCCTATTGCATCGAAATATCGGAGTCGATGTTTTGGCAAATCCTTCATACCAAATGAAAGGGCATGGCTGACACGTGTTTCTAATTCCATCTGAAACAACTTTTTTAAGTTTTTTTTTGTTCACATCAAGAATCAAATCTGAATTTTTTAGTCTAGATCGACTTTCTTTCTGAGACAGATCTAGAAAATTTTAAAATGAGTTATGACTTGGCCAATTTTTGATTTGCTCATTAATTTTTTTTCAAGAACTTGACTCTGTCCAAGAATATTGATTTCGGCTTCAAAAATCTCCGTAATCTGCAAATTTTCAAAAAAAAAAAACAGATAATTTCACTGTGACTAGCGAACATTTTCAGAAAACCAAAAAAAAAAACAAGAAAAAAAATATTTACAATTTATTATTTTTCAACAAAATATCAAAAACCCTAGAATCATATAAATTTTCTCGAATTTCGCCAAACTCTTCTCGATTCATTGGAATATCCACGTGACACAACTTTCTGTGGAATTTGTATTCCACAGAAAGATATGTGCGTTTTTCGAAGGTTGGTGATTCGCCAGATGCTGACACTGAAAAGAAAAGTCTTGTTCTGAATTCCAAAAAAAGATCTGAAAGTCTCAGATTTTTAATACTGAACAATCTTCGATACTTTTCTCAAATTTTTATCCAAGAAATTCTAATTTCCAGAAAACTTACGGATAAAGCTGAAGCCCAAAATCTCAACTCCATCCTTCGCCATCTCTTCTGAAATCCTGAATTTTTACTAACAAAGAAACTTTTTCTCAAACAATAACAATCGGGCTGAAAACCCCATCTCAATCTCAAAAAAAATTTCCGAAAAAAATATAAAAAATTTTATTCACAAAGAGAGATCATTGGTAAGTTTCAAATACAAACAATAAAAAATAAATGTATTTTTAATACAGGTTAGGTTTTGGAAAATCGATATATTATTCATCATCTGCATCTGAATCATCACATTTCATATCTGTGTAAGCTTTCTTTTTATCTGATTTGTCTGGGGCGGCGGTAACTGTGCGATTGCTAAAAAATTTTGAAGATTGATTTGAACAAATGGAACTTTTTTGAGCTTCCATACGGTAAAAATGAAAAACTTACGAAAGCTTGAAACTTGGTATTTGCGTTATTTTATCGCTAATCCTATCCAATCTAACAAATGATCCATCTTGCAATGCTGCAATCAAAATTCTTCCGCATGGCGAAAAAACTACTTGTCGAATCACAATTCTTCCAATATCCAATTGAAAATCCGGAAGTTTTCCCTTGAAATTCGACAAACTCCAGAAAAACACATCTCCTCGATTATTTCCACATGTTATCCATCGATTCAGTGGATCCAGGTCGAATTTGACGAACCACGTTTCACCATTTGGAATTAATTTCTCGAGCATTCTCACAGAACTTGTCTCAACATGAGCTTTAGGAATTGTATCATTTTTATCTTTTGTAATTGTTCCAAGTCTTGACATATAAATTACACTTTCTTTTCCACATCCCTTCGAGAAAATATACTTTGATTCATTGAAAAATCTCACACAATCTACATAATCTGTATGAAGATCGGCGATTTTTCCATTAGGGAAGTAGAGTGGTAAATAGACATCGTTTCTGTCAGGTTCGAGGTCTCCAGCAAAATCGTGTACTTCGTCCATCAATTCTATAGTTGATTTCTGATTTTTAGATTCAGATTCAGATTTTCTAATAGGTTTTCTGGTATTCATCACATGATCGTCGACTTGAACTTTGAGGGTATTCCGAGTAATACACGCACATTTCTCGCAAACCGTTTTCAAGACATCCTCCACCTTCGCATCCTTCATATTCCAAACAAAAATCGTGTGATCCATTCCACTAGAAATGAGTTGTGAACCATCAAAAGACCAGTCAATTGAAAGAATTTGATCTGCGTGAGCATCACGTCCGGCCAAAACAAAAATGCAGGTCTCATTTCGAATATGGTACACACGGGCAGTCCGGTCTTTTGAGGCGGTTGCGATTAGATTGCTATTTGCTGGATTGGTTCGGATCTCATTGATTGGTCCGCCGTGACCATAGAGTTTCTGCAAAAAGATATGATTTTGATATTTGAATAAAGTAAGATAACTTACATTAACCAATTTCTGCGTGATTGCTTCAACAACATAAATATAACCATTGTTTCCAGCGACTGCAAATTGATGAGGATCCAGATTGTCAAAAGTATCATAAACCCAAGTGCTTGCAAACAATGATTCTGTTTCAGAAGTGCATTGAAATGCGCCGATTGGTTTGATGTTATTTGAATTGAGGAAACATTCGTAGACATGGGCGTAACGATCGGCGACTGTGAGTAGGATTGGGTTTGCACCTTCAGGGGTGTATGGATTGAATGCGCAACTATAAATGGGTTTTCCATGCTTTTCCTGAAAACAACAATTTATTTTTTCGAAAAGTTTATGTGGAAATACTGTTTTGAAAAAAAAACTCACTTCTACCCTTGCTGTTTGAATCCAAGGTGTTTTGGCATGATCTCCGGTGTCTTCCCGATCGTTGTGGCAATTGAAGATCGTAACATTCTCAGCTTTCGTCATCTGAAATTGATTTTCAGCACTTTTAGGCGTGCGAAAAATAAAAGAAAATAAAAAAAACAAATATTTGAAATGCCGGGAAGTTTGCTGGGTCTTACCACGATTGTGTGCGCGCGACGCGTGTTGTGCGGTGCGTGCGCGTCATTTTGTTTTTGTTTTTTTTTGGGACCACCAAAAAAGGGTGTTTTCTACGTGTGAGGTGAGTTTTCCGTGTTTTTATGCTTTCTATCGTTTTTCCGACTTATGATAATGTCTTTACGGTCGTTTTACTTGAAATTTTGGGTTGGGTAGACGAGAAAATGCTAGAATTGTTATTTTTAATCTGTTTGAACGGGATTATCTTGACTGACTGAAGAAACGATTGCAGTATATGTTAACGAGAAGAGCCAGTATAATCGATAAATAAGTTCAAAAGAGCAATGGTGGAAGAATTAGAAGAATTCCTAGAGGCAGAAGGCGTCATCCACGCTGCGTTCTTAGGTGTCAAATTATATTGTCTCTCCTACCCAACCCATTATTACTTTTATTTTCTCAATATAATAGCTCAACGAGAGTAAATTCCACCGAGTTAATTTTCCCTATTTCAGTGATCTTCAACCAATTGATTAGGGTAGTATACGTGCAACTAGCCTGATTAAAAATCCATTTAAAGCTAACTGAAAATCGTAGCTCTTGATTGCAATCGACCACAGTATCACTACTAAGAATTGTAAAGAATGTCTGAAGGAATCAAAGTCGAGGTTACGTTTGTTTAGTTTATTATTATTATTCTAACATTTTGTAGGTGTTAGGTAGTCTTCATATTTATTTTTTCAACTTTTTAAATTGTTAATTTACAGGAAAATGGAGCCGGAGACACAGTTCTTGAGCCAGAGAACTTGCGCAAAGTGTTTGTTGGTGGACTCACCTCCAACACTACTGATGATATGATGAAAGAGTTTTATGCCCAATTTGGAACAATTACTGATATCATCGTCATGAGAGATCCAAGCACAAAGCGTTCCAGAGGATTTGGTTTCGTCACATTTTCAAAGAAAACTGAAGTTGATGCCGCAATGAAAGCTCGTCCACACACCATCGACGGAAAAACGATTGATCCAAAGCGCGCCGTTCCAAGAGATGACAAGAACAGAACTGAATCCAACGTATCCACAAAAAGACTTTACGTCAGTGGAGTTCGAGATGATCACACCGAAGATATTCTCAAGGACTACTTCTCTCAATACGGAAATGTCACAAAATCAGAAATCATCTTGGACAAGAACACCCAAAAACCAAGAGGATTCGGATTCGTTACCTTCGATGATCATGATCCAGTTGACCAATGTGTTCTTCAAAAATCACACACCATCAGTGGACATCGTTGCGATGTGCGAAAAGGATTGAGCAAGGATGAGATGAATAAGGTGAGAAAAATTATAAATATGAATTTTATTTGACAAAATAATTTTTTTCAGGCTCAAAACAGTCGTGATCGTGAAGGACGAGGAGGTCGTGTCGGCCGAGACAGTAATGGAAGAGGAAACTTCAATGGAGGCGGACAAGGATACGGTGGTGCTCGTGGAAGTTATGGCGGACCACAAGGTGGATACGGCGGTGGAGCCGGTTATCAACAAGGTGGTTGGGGAGGCCAACAACAAGGCGGCTGGGGTGGACAGCAACAAGGCGGTTGGGGAGGCCAACAACAACCACAACAAGGAGGATGGGGTGCCCCACCACAACAACAAGCTGGTTGGGGAGGCCAACAAGCAAACGGCGGCAGTTGGGGTGGACCAGCACAACAACAACAACAAGGAGGCTGGGGAGGACCACAAGGAAATGGTGGTGGTTGGGGAGGACAATCCGGTGCACAACAGTGGGCAAACGCTCAAGGAGGACGATATTAATCTGATAAAAATTGTTAATTTTGTTGTTTCTTATTCGAAAACACCCCCTGAAAAATCTCAACATCTGTTATCTCGTCACCCTCCTTCAACCTGTATTTTTTATCATCTTTATATTTATTGATTCTTTCAGTTTGTTCACACAATAAATCAATCTGTCTGAAATCCATGTGTTTTTATTTTAGGCTCTATACAGGTGAAACCACCAAAAATTCTACTTGGATGAACTTCTTGGAGACATTTTGAAGTTTTCAGAATGTCGGGGATATTTGGTGTCATTGTTTCTGGCCGGCTACCCATTGAGGTTTTGCCAGTCTCTGAAACTGAATTTTCCTGTGAAATTTTCGATGCCGATTCGATAAATCATGTTGTTGTATTTTTGACCGGATCTCAACCGTTTCCAGATGGTTTTGGTGGTTCTGGTGAGTGCGTTTTGATCTGAAAATTGAAAAAAACTTGGAATTTCAGTTTATATTCGATGGCCGACGTCTGAGAGCAGTATGAACTGGCATTATTTAGGATTTGTGTGCAATCAGAAGCCAAGTGCAATTTTCAAAGTGGCGCAGGTGAATTATTTTGATTTCGAAACTTTTGACGGCAAAAAATTCACGTGGCAAGAGAAAATCAATTTTTTATTGAACAATTGATGTAAAAATTCCACGAGGCATTTCTAGAGTTGAAAGAAAAGCATATTTTCTGGCTCCGAAAAACCCACGTGTCATCAACTTCTTTTATTTTTGCAGCTCCACAAATCTGCTGCTCAACACAGTCAAGTTTTCGGTGGTGGAATGTCGGAAATGTCGCATTCAAGTGGATCAGCACAAATAGGATTGATTGTAGAACAATTGTCGATAATCGAGGGAAAACAAGCATCGGAAGGGACAAGTGCGAGTCAGCAGGTGATTTTTCAGTAGATTTTGAGATGATTCTGTTGTCATTGTTTTGCTCAATTTTGACTTGAGTTATGACGTGGCAAAGTTTTTTTTTGAAAATGATAATCTAGTGGAATAACCTTTTTCGAAAAAAACTTGAGTCTGAATCTACATTCAATTCAGTTCAGAAAACTGTTCAAATAATATGAGAAATTGTTAACCAGAAGAATTTCCACCCAAGTTTTGAGATCTTCTCGAAAATTGAGCTGCTGGATATTGAGAACCTTGATTTCAGACAGAAAGATTGCTCTAAAGTTAGCCCACACCTCGGCCAAACCGTGGCTGGCCAGAGTACAATTTTTGGAAAAAACTGAATTTCAGTTTTTAGAGGTCAAAAATTGAAAAATCACAAATTTTAGAGAACAAAAACTGAAAAATCCGAAAGTTTTGTACTGTAAAAAGTTAGCGTACAATTTTTGTTTTGGGAACCACGATTTTGGCCGAGGTATGAGTTAGCCATATCACAATATTTGTCACGTCATAACTCATCTTAAGAGTTGAGCTAAATCATTTTTGCCGAAATTCCCATGTTACATTTTGTATCAAAAATTGTTGCCCGCGCGCGCCAAAAAACCAGCTATCATCATTTTTGTGTTTCGCTAACCCCGTAAAAAGTAATAAATCACACACTCCTCCGCAAAAAACTGTTTTTTAGTCAACATTGGTCGAGTTTGCGGATAAGATGATTAGGAATTTGATCAATCACACCGAATCATTCACTGTCAAGTTACCCAATGCGAATGGTATGTGTTTCTTGGTTGTTTTTGGGTTTGGGGCAGAGTTCCGAATTTGCAACACCTTGAAACCGTTTTATACCGACACCACACACTGTTTCGGTTTCATTAGGGTGTCGTTAAACGACACCCGAGTGAAACCCATCCTCGGTGAATGACACCCTAATGAAACCCATTGCTGAAATTTCGCATTGAAGTTGAAATTTTTGTAAATCGTCTGAAAATTAGTTTTTGAGAAGGGTGAAGCTTGAATTTCAGCTTCTGCTATCACTGTAAGCTTAAGCTTCAACCCAGCAGCTGTTATCAGTAATTATCAGTGAAATTTCAAAATTATCGGATTGAGCTGGGAGTTGGAGGAACTGATGTTTGGTAATAGTAGATGACATTTTTGATAAGTTTAGAGCTCCAGCTTCATCTCAGAAGCTCTTATAAGTCCTTATCACTAAATTATCAATATGCTCAGATTGAGCTCAAACTTGCAGAAAATGATGTCTGGGGCTAGTAGAGACTATTTTTGATAACTTTATACATCAAGCTTCATCTCAAAAGCTACTATCACCTGTTATCACTAAATTATCAATATCATCTGATAAGGCTGAAAATCGGGATTTTTGGGTTTTCGAGTATGGGGAATCGTGTGCTGATAATCATTTTGTCTGAAAACCACTCTTAAAGGACCCCATCACTCAAAAAAAATTTTTCGAAAAATTATGTTCCGGCGTTTTTCGGTACGGGGAGTCATGTGGTGCTGATCAATCGACTCAAAACTCGTTTTTAAAGGCAGTAAACATGCAAAAATTAATTTTTTTTTAATTTCAAGATCAGTGGTTTTTCGGTAAGAGGAACATCGTGATAATACCCATTTGATCTAAAAATGACTTTTTTTAAGCTTAAAGTGATAGCAGAAGCTGAAATTCAAGCTTCACCCTTCTCAAAAACTCATTTTCAGACGATTTACAAAAATTTCAACTTCAATGCGAAATTTCAGCAATGGGTTTCATTAAGGTGTCATTCAACGAGGATAGGTTTCACTCGGGTGTCGTTTAACGACACCCTAATGAAACCGAAACAGTGTGAGGTGTCGGTATAAAACGGTTTCAAGGTGTTGCAAATTCGGAACTCTGGTTTGGGGTTTTGGGAAGAGCTGGGGGATTTTTTGAAATGAAAATTGAGATTGAAAACGTGAAACGTGAATAATGACGTGGATTTTGAAAATGTTATTTCTGATTTAATATTTCAAATTCACAATCAGTGTAAATTTTTTTAATGTCAAAAAAGGATCTTTTCGATCAACGTCCCAAAGAATTCGCAACATTTTTCAAGTTTGCCACGTCATAACTCATCTTTAGAATTGAGCGAACTAATTTCAAACATCGGAATCGTGATTTGCGAGTTGAAAGCTCCAATTTTTAATCCCAAATTTTACACTGACTTCAATTTTTCAAAAAACAATAATTCTACTGATCAAAATTCACATGAAATTTCAATTCAATTTGTTTTGTTCAATATAATATATCCTTATCTCTTATGAAGATTTCGTTCTCATATGACTATGTTTTTTTTTCTAACAAAGAACGATTAAAAAATGTCACTTCCTTGCGGATTTTCATGGTCATTTTCTATTGGGAGGTCAGATAGATCAGCAACTATTTTTTTGTGGGATTCTAGGCTTATGGCGTGAAAAATCCCCCAATTTTTCCAGGCCAATTGCAAGAATTCATCCCAGTGAACGCCTTTCAATCGTGGTACAACTCATTTTCGCGACGATTCACAGCAAATCCATTTTTCTGGAAAACTTTGAATAATACCTGACGCGGGCTGGAATTTATGAGGTATTGTCTATTTTTTTTACTCACACACATAAATGTTTTTAGCTCAAAATTTTCCTGAAATTCTTGTTTAGAAATTGTTCGAATAACAATTTTTGATATTTTTTTGTTGGATTTTATAGCTGATTTTTGAGTTTTGTGATTTTAGCGCGAATTTTTGAAAATTCAAAAATTCAAAATTCCACCCCAAAACCCTTGTGCCGCCCAGCAAACAACCCTGATCTTTGAGCAAAAATGAGTCCTCGTTCTTTGCATCCCTCTTCACTATCTTATGCTATTTCGCCTAAGCTCCGCCCCCAATTTTTCTCCTTTTTTTTGAGAGAGACGAAAAAAAACGCTTCTCCTTTCCTTTCTCGCTTTGTGTTTTGTTTCTTTTTTTCTTATTTAAAGGAACATGGCATTTTTTACCTAACCTGAATTTTTGAACCCACTGATTTTCTGTCAGTTCTAATTAATTTTCGAAAAATTTTTGTTGAAAATTTAATTAGATAAGATAACTAGTGCAAATTAACTATTAACTACAACATACAGTAATTAAATTTCGAAATAAAATTTTTTAGTATCAAATTAAATCGTGGTCAAGGAGAGATCTTTTTCTTCAGTTTTGCTATTTTTAAATGTGCGTTTTCCTGCAGAGATAAATATTACACAAAATTGTGTTCTACGAGTCAAGAAACTCTTTTTTCTTCTTTTTTCTTGCTCTCCCGATTCCCTGAAAAGATGAAAAAGGTCCTGAAAATCTGGTTTTTGTGCGGAAAAACGGACGGGTTTCCGCGCTCTGTTTACACAGTATTTTATCTTTACGCTCGTATCGATTTTTGACAGTTTATTTTTATTTCAAATAAACTTCTGATCACGATCTTGTAGTTAGGAATCGCTAAAAAATCAGAAAATTATGATAATTTTTTATTTTGCAAAAAAAATCACCATACTAAACTCTAGTTTGGTTTTCGTGTTTCCCACGTGTCATAATTTTTGTCATCTTTTATGATGTGATGAGTGAACCCGAAGCCCCGCCCTCTTCATTTTTCAGCAAACTTTTTTGCTACTCCACATTTTCCACGTGGTTTTTTCTTCGTCCACTTAAATACTCAAAAATCAACAAACCACGGCATTTTTGAGCCGCAGAGATTCCATCATTTTTTACAAAAGTGATGACATAGTTGTTTCTATCTCTGGTCGCTCTACAGTTTTAGCACTCTCTCGCCTTTCTGGTAGTAGATATTAATTATGCATAGATAGATATAAGTTAACTGGTTTTGTGACGTCATGAGTTTTTCGGCCGGACCATAAGAAGAATCTGTTACACGGAAGACTCGCGGAAAGCGCTCGGAATCAGGCCTAAACCTAAAAGTATTACCCCGAGAGCTTTGCGCGAGTGTATACCGCAGTCTTCCGCGAAACGGCCAGGGCTAGAAGTCCAAGCCCCACCCAGGGCTTTTCCGCGAGTGTAACCCGCTTCCGCAGCAGTACAATCTTCCGCTCAGCGGAAAAGGTTATGTCTGGACGGAAGCCTTTTTGTTCTTTGGCCGAGCACAAAACAAAACCGCCATGACATTTATTAATATTTTTGCATTCTTATCACGAGCTCAATTCTCTATTTTTTATCAATAATAATCGAATAATTTTGACATTTTGTAGAAATAAATCGAGAAGAAGGAAACGAAATAAGCGTATGCATACCGGTTGTTCGAAGTTTGAAACGCAAGTCTTGGTAATTGGTGAGTTCGAACATTTTTTTGGGTGAAAATTGAATTGAAAATTGAAAATCATCAGTATTTCCACATTTCCACACAAGAAAAATAGATTTTCTGCTTTTTCAAAGCAAATTTTGTCCATTCTTGGTAAATTCGTTGAAACCGAATTTTTCCACGTCATAACTCAAATTCAAAAAAAATTTTCTTCAGGAAATGGTCCGGCTGGCATTGCACTCTCCGCGTTCCTCAGCGGCATGCATCCGTTCTACAATCCGCATCGACCTTGCCTGAACCCGACGGTCGACGAAAAATTGCGCGAAAATCAACATTTCTCGCTGCTTGATCAGGTTTGTGATTTTCTTTCGAGCCTTGCGATTCACACTCGCGAATTTGTCGCTCAAAAAATTTCACAATTTTTTTGCAACCAAAAAAATTTGTTCGTGGTCTCTGCCTTTCATGGCTTCTACTCTTTTTTTTTCACATGGCCATCTCTAAATCTCTTATTTGTCATCATCTCTCGCTTTATCATCATATTTCGATTGGTTTTTGATCTCTACAAGATTTTTGAGAGCTTTTTGGAGAAAAAAAAGAAGAAAAAAGTTAGTTTACTAGTGAAACCAATTGAAAGTGGAACCGAAAATATAATGTAGTTTTAGTTTTTGGTTTAAAAAATTATTTTTGGGGGTAAATAGAAGAAGTTATGACGTGACAAAATTCGCAATTTTTGCAGGATCTCTCATGGTCAACAGATCTCAGCGAAATCAGTCAATCTGGTCGACCTCTAAGCGTGCTTTATGATATGTTAGTCAGACCTGGAGCCGATACAAGTTGCGAAGAATCCGAAGGCAGTTTGATTTGGGAAATGGATCGATCAAGAGAAATAGATCATATGGTAATTGGAGAAACTCGAATCGGTGGATCTTGGAATGAATATGATCCCGAAATGTTGACTGTTTCATTCAGCGATTGGTTAGATATGCCCGGATTTTCTGTGGAACAATGGTTGTGTGGAAAACCTTTGATCAAAAGGTTGCCATCGATTGCGATTGTGAATTATTTGAAAAGTCATACGGAAAAATTGAGGATTCGGAAGAGATTCAAAACTGGGTTTCGAGTTACGTCAATTCGAAAAGTTGAGGATTATTGGATCACTGAAGGGCGAAGGATTTCTGATAATCGACCATTTGTTATCAAATCGCAGAATGTTGTTTTGGCTTGTGGAAAGACTGCACAACGGAAATTGGGGATTTTGAGAGAAGAAGAATTGGAGGAGAAACGCAAGATTTCATATGATGTGAAGGAGTTTAAGCGGATTTTCAGTGAAGAACCGTGAGTTTTTAAAGGGACATACAGTACCAAAGTATTCTGGAGATTTTTCTGATCATTTTGATATAAAATATGCCGCGTGGAATTTTTGGCACTTTGAAAAAAGCTTTTAGCTGAAAAAATTTGAAAATTTCAAATTTCAGACCAATCGCCACGTGGCTTTTTTGGCCCTTGAATTTTCAAATTTCCAAAAAAAAATAAATATTTTATCTGAAAAAAATTGAATTTTCCCAAATTACCATTTTCAATAATTTTATATCGGAAGTTCAGTCGAAGATGATTTTCTGAAATATGTAGTTCCAAGTTCTAGACATTTTCAGAAAAAATGGATTCGAAAAATTTCAGAGGCTTCAAATTTTTTTCAATTAGGAGAAAAATATTCAGATTTCAATGAAATTTTTAGTTTTCAACAAAAATCTTTTTAAAAAATCCTCGAGTTTTCGAATTTAGGAAAATTTTCGAGTCAAAATTTGGGACAATCCTAACCTAAAAATAATTTTTTTTTTTTCAATAAAATTTTTTAATTTTGCAGATGCACATCCTCATCCTGCGCTCCAGTAATTGTAGTTGGCGATGGAATATCATCAGTAGATTGTGTTCGACATTGTCTAGAAAATGAAATCCCCGTGATTCATGTGATGCGAAGAAGTCTGAAAGAATTGCGAAATGTGATGATGTCTCGATTATCACCGATCTATTATTCCGAATATACAAAGATCTATCAGATGATGATCGGACGAGTGAAACATCCGAATTATCGACGATTTTTGGATGCGCAAGTTGTGAAAATTGATGAAAATTCTTGTGAAATAATGCAGGGAAAAGATGGACGCATCGAACTTCCATTTTCACACATGGCAGTTTGTATTGGACGAGAATCGACTTTTGATCAAATCATAAAATCTCCAAATTCTTATAATTTCCATGATTATCGAAGTTTGGAAGATGAGACACTTTTTGCTGTTGGAAGTTATGCTGGCGATCATTTTGTGAGGTTTTTGGTTGGTGGATGTCTTCGAGTTGGACAACATTTACTCATGTCGAATAATCTACATAATAATAACAATCTTGTTAAATAATTCGTTTTTTGTTGTAATTTTTCGGGTTTTTGGGGTGATTTGGATGGAGAAAATTTTCTCACAGAAAAATTGAAGATTTTTTGAAACCTAAGATTTTAGCGCCAACCAAATCACCCCCTCATTTATCGCTGATTTCGATGTTTATTTATTTTTTCATTTTTTTGAAATTTATATACTTACGCTGTATTGAACGGGATTCACATTTAAAAAAAACAAAGGAAATGAAAACTTTTTCAAAATTATTTTTTAAATATTGATTTTTGAAATCCTTGCATGAGCTGGATATTTTACTGTGAAATTTTTGAATTTTTATCTCTTGGAAATCCAAGTTGGAATATTGCCACGTGGATTTCAAAGCGCTGAAATGTTCGGGTTTCAAAAAATTTCCACGTGGAATTCTTGGCGAGAAATTTTTTCTTGAAAAAGCCACGTGTTTTTCTCCTGAAATGTTTTAATTCGTTTTCTTTTTTTTGTTTTCCTAAACCTGTTTACACTTTTTCTCTCCAATGTAACCCAAAAAGTCCTTGACCAGTCAAAAAACACACAAAAAAAGGAAAACAAATTTTTGATCACAATCTGTTACATTTATTTTGTATTTTTTTGTTACGCGCAGTTGATCGATTTGCAATGGAAAGTTTCCCGGCTTTTATTATTGATGCTTTTACGGAAAGAAGGTTTACTGGAAATCCGGCGGCTGTTTGTTTGATCCCCAGGGTGAGTAGATTATGATGTTACATGAAAATTTGAAAATTTCATGAAATTTGGATCATTTTAAGCCTAAATATGATGAAAAAAAATCTAATTTCAGATTTTTGAGCATATTTCACATTTTTTGCTATAGAAAAACATGTTTCAGATCCTCGAAGACAAAGAATATCAAAAAATCGCGGCCGAATTCAATCTCTCCGAAACCGCTTTTCCAGTTCCAATCGGAGGCATCACCGATTTCCGAACTTGTTCTCAATTTTCTCTCCGATGGTTCACACCAACCACCGAAGTTCCACTATGTGGACATGCCACGTTGGCCACATCTCATGTGCTTTTCAACGAGGTTGGAAACATCAGCAAGGAGATCAAATTTGATACGAAATCTGGGGTTTTGGTTGTGAAGCGGAATGAGAATGGAAGTGTTCAGATGAATTTCCCGAAATATGATATCACTTCGTTGCGATTTAGCCACGTGGAAAATAGGTTGCATGGAATATTTTCGGAGTTTAAGGCACCGCATTTTCTTTGGGATTTGGTGCAGTGTGTTGTACCGAAAGAAGTGGGTTTTGATTGATTTTTGGATTATGATCTGAAGAGGAGAACTCCAGGAGGTTCACCTTAAGATCTGAATCCAGCCAGGCCCAATCTGCAGGCTTCAGGGTTTCAGATGTCTGAATCCGGTTTGGTGCGATGTTCAGAGTAAACATCGCATCAGATCTGATTTTCAAGATGTTTGTACTGAGTCAGATTCAATCTTCTGATTTTCTGGATCTAGCCAGGCCCTATCCTCAGAATCAGCTTCCTGAATTAAACCATCTTCGATCCAGCCTGATCTACATCGAAATTTTTCCATTTTTCTAGATTGTTGTGACTGATGTTGCTTACGCGGCTCAAGCCAAGAAGTTGATAATTGTTGTAGATCCAGAGACCACCAAGTTCGAATTGGAGGGAGTGAGTTTCCTTTTCATGAACTCGACCAAAACAATCTTCTAGATTCGAATTGATGATGCCAAACTTCTCGAACTACACGATGGCTCATTTGTCAGAGGTGTCGCAATAACTCTCCACCCAAAATCAGCAATCTACCAAGGTTTTATGAATTCATCCAACGAGGAATTCGACTACGCTTGTCGATATTTTGCACCTTGGGTTGGAATCAAAGAAGATCCCGCAACTGGATCTGCCCAATGTTGTTTGGGGCCATTTTGGGCAAAGCTTCTTGATAAGCAACAACTTTATGTGCTCCAAGCCTATCCGAATCGTGGTGCCGAGTTTAGAGTTGGAATTGAGGATCAGAGAGTGATTCTAGATGGAACTTCAGTGACGGTTTTGAATGGATCAATTAAATTGGATGAGCCAAAATTCTTCTGAATTTTGTAATAAAATTTTGAGCTTTTAACGTGAACTATATTTTCCCCCAGATTTTTTTCGTCGTTTGATTTCACTCATTTCTACATTTTCTAAAATAATGGATCATGATTTGGACTTTGTCGAATTTACAGCGTAAGACCTTTCTGACTGAAAATTTTCAGCAAAACTCCATTCCAGATCTAACCTAGTCGACAAATTCGGATCATTTACAAATCATATTCAGAAAAAAAGATTCACAGATATGATTTCCCTTATGTCGATGATTATGATTGTTGTAAGCACAATTGCCACCACAATTTTTCACTGTATGGAAAGTTGCTCGAAAAGTTCGAAAGAGAAGAAGCTGAAGAAGAAAGGAGATCAAGATGCTTTGGAGGAACCAATATCGATAGTTATTGAGCCTTGTAGCTCTAAAAGCACTTGTGATAACTCGAAAAGTCAGAAGAACTTCAGTTTGAATAGATTATTTGTGGTGAATCCGTTGGGCAGAGTTGTGAAATTAAAGAAGAATGAAAATAGTGGAGAAAAATCGGAGACGAAAAAATAAATCTTTTTTGAAATTAGACCTTGTTGAATCTTTTTTTAACGTGACATTTATCTAAAACGTCAAAATGAATCCAGAACCTCAGTATTTCTACAATCAAAAAATGAGCCAAGAAGCTAAACTGTATGAAATAACTGATGGATTGAACAGTCTTTCGAATAAACTAGATCAAGTCAATAAAAAATATGATCAGATTTTGATCATAGATACGGTAACTTGATGCAACCTTTTCCTATCGAAAATTGAAATTTCTCTAGATCTTCATGGGTGCTCTTATCATGATTGTCTTTTTTACACTCCTCAATTTGATTTTATTGATTTGCACCTGTTCGAGTTCCGATGAAAAAGAGAAAGAGGAGAAGAAGAAGCAAGAAGCTTCTCAAACTCAAGAATCGCAGAAGTCTCAAGCTAGTAAATCACCAATGACTATTTTCATCGAACCAGCTTGCTCGAAACCAAATGTTTCTGTGAATACTCAAGTCTTGCTCAGAGAATCTACTCTGATGAAGGGAAAATCGGCAGCGAAGAAGAAAAATGAGAAGATATCAGATTCAGATTTGAAGACTGCTCGAAGTGATTCAGAAAAAAGTGAGAATAAATCGAAAACGAGCAATTCGATGACGTCATTTACAGTTCCGGAAAATGGAAATAGTTTGAAAGAGTCATCGAAAAAATCTATTGAAGTCTACGTGCCAGTTTTGACTATCAAAGATGATATTAAGAATTGATTGAGCCGAACTAACTTGTACGGTTTTAGTATCCTACAACTTGAAATAAATTTTTATCGTAAATAATTTTCCGGATAAAAATTTATGACCTAAACGTGACCTAATTATTTTTTTTGGTTTCCCATTTGTGGAATCCCTATTTCAATTTTTCTTTCCTAATTCAAAATGAGCCTGATTTTGCAGTTGAATTTGTGAGTTTCTTCAAAAAACATTCAGACTATGTATTTTCAATACTTACAGAGATATTTTGAAGCAATACCTCGAGTCTATTGAGAAAAATGTGGACACTTTGAAAGTGAAACAAATTGTGAGTTTGCTAGCTAAGTATTTCGCTGTACGGAAGTTCGCGGTAGGCTAACTACGTCATTCCAGGCTTACACGGTCTTTGCAGTTTTGGTTGCTATCTTAGCATTTGTGAATTTTATAATGGGAGTTGTTAGAATTCCTTCAATGGAAAACCCGAAGACTGAGGAATCAAAGAAATGAATTCGAATTTATTTGTTACTTGCAAGAAAAGCTGAAGAATAAATTATACAAGCAAAGATGTCAAGTTTCTTAACGACGAGTTCCATCCTCGAAGAAGATTCCTCCATCAATAGCGCAGTATTTTGGACAGATTCCTCTCTCTCCTGGAGTTCCTGGTGGTCCGACTGGTCCTGGTTGTCCTGGATTTCCGTCAGCTCCTGGCTTTCCGTCTGGTCCTGGTGGTCCCTTTGGTCCTGGTTGTCCTGGAGCTCCGTCGTTTCCTGGTTGTCCTGGTGGTCCGGTTGGTCCTTGTGTTCCTGGCTCTCCGGTTGGTCCTGGTTCTCCCTTTTGAACTGGTTCGCAAACTGCTGGCAATCCTTCGTCTCCTGGAGTTCCTGGTGCTCCTGGCTTTCCTGGTGCTCCATTTGGTCCCTTTGGTCCTTGCTCTCCTGGAGCGGCGTCTTGTCCTGGTTGTCCTGGTGCTCCGGCCTCTCCCTTATCTCCTTGCTCTCCTGGAGTTCCTGGAGCTCCTGGTGGTCCTTGTGGACATGGCTTGCATGGTGGTGGGGTGACTTGTTCGCAAGGCTTTTGTGGCGCTTTTCCTGGGTTTCCTGGGAATCCAGGTGCTCCTGGCTTTCCTGGACGTCCTGGTTTTCCTGGTGCTCCCGGAGCTCCTTGAGGTCCTGGTTGACAACATCCCTCGCAACCACTGTCGAAGTTTGGTCCGTTTCCGGCAACCGCGTCGCGACCGTAACGAACGGCACGGGCGGTACGGTTAGAAGTGGCGGCATCAAGACGAAGATTGTGAACATCAGCCCAAACATCCTTGAGAGATCCCTTGCATGTCAAAGCTTCGTTATGAAGTTGACGACGAACGGCGTGAACGTAGTTATAGACGATTGGAAGAGTGATGCATACCTTGAAAAAATAGATTTTAAAAAATCTCATGAGTTACCGTACTTTTTAATTAGTAAAACTCCCAAGGGATTTTCTCAAATTGCCAAAAAATTTTACGGGGTTATTTACACGCCCTTTTGAATAGGCTAAACTCTTCCGAAACTCACCGACAAAACAGCGATGACCGAAAAAACGACAGCCGAATAGGCGACGAATCTGTACGCCTTGATCTTGGTGTCAATATCCATTGCTTGCTGCGTTTGCGAAACAATGTTCTGTACACTGACTAGCGTCGACGTATTTATAGGCGATGTGAGAAGTCGGGCGCACCCAGCCGCCGCGCTTATCCAATCCGAACGAGATTTTCTCTGCGCACTACACCTGTGTGCGCGGTATCTCCCTGCTTTGCAAGTTTTTGGCTTAGAAGGTTTTTCGTGGGGCGCGTCGAATATTAGAAGAAAAGAGAAAGATATCACGGGGTAAAATTTTTTATTTTACGTGAAAATATTATTTTTGGACGTGAAGCGAAACGTGAAAATTTATTATAAATAAAAAAAAACATTTTCGAAAAATGACCAAAAATTAAATTAATTAAGACAATCAGTAGTTGTCCCGGTATATTTATTAGCCAAATTGAGAGTTCCAATATCATAGGTTCGATCTGGATGATAACCCCACGTGACATAGTCATCAGGAATGGTTATTCCAAACTTTTTGTAACAAAGTCCCATATAATTGCATTTGTGATAAACATTGACTTTTGGATCGATAGTTGAGATTTCACGTTTTCGACCTGTTATGAGGAATTGCCCATTTGCGTCGGTGTAGGTTTCGGCCATTTTTCTATCGAGGACTATAATTGAAGGTTATATCAGTTGTCTCATGAGAAAAACTCACAAAATTCCTTTTCGTACATCTTGATCTTAACACCCGCCGCTGGTCTTCCATCACAAATCAATCGTCCGCTGACAGCCACTGATTGTTGTCGACCAACTCCAACCAAGCCGCTGACAACGATTGTTAGATACGAGAATAATAGAAGTTTCCATAACATTTTTGTTTTGAAAAATGTGTGAATGAATCAAAACGAATAACAAATGAATACAAGGTTTTACATAAATTAACCTTTTGTTGTGTAGCGTATGTGGAAAGGTGTGAAAGTTTTGAATTGCCTTCGGGAAATCCAAGAATTCGCTAGAGCGCGTTTACATGATTTGGTTGGTTTAATTTTTTATCTCAGAATTCTGAGAGTTCCAGTAAAGGTATGCTAGAAATCTGAAAAACTCAGTTATTACGGAAAAACTGAATGCGAGACCAAAATCAAAATTGTGTCCAGATTTTTATTTTCAGCTGATTCCTTGAAAATAAGACAGATTTTGCAATTGAGGCTGACTTTGTTTACTTTTATAGATATTTTCCGATCAGAAATTAACCGAAATGAAAAAAGGCGAACGCCCGCCGAGTTCGTATCTAGTGCATTTTTGGGTGGCGGTGTGTGGTGTTTGCAGACAGCCTTTTTTACTTTTATTTTTTTGCGCGAATAGGGCTTTGTCTGATGGTTTTTGACCGATTTTTGAATTTTCCTGAAAAATGTTGATCAGCTGAAAATAATAAACAAAGTCGTGAATTTTTTTTGGATAAAAAATTCAAATTCCCACCAAAAATAGTAGTTATTTGTTTTTGCTTTCCTTTTTCTCTATATCCAATATCTCCTCCATCATCTTTTTGTCTGCGATATTATATATATAGTAAAAGTCCTATGACTCATACCTCTTGTTCCTGTTTTTTGTGTGTCTCTCTGTGTTGTTTTTTTTTCGTCGCTTTTTCTTTTTTTCTCCCGCATAAGTGTTCTTCTCTCTCTAAACTCTCTCGTTTTCTCGTTTCGTTTGCCTTTTTCTTTTACTTTTTATCAGCCCCAATTTCGCCACCTTTTTGTCAGGCAAACACGTATATGAAATATTATGATTCTTCTGTTGATTGTATGGTAATGAAAAGTGTGGACGAAGAACAGCAGAAGACGACGCCGGGAGCTATTCGAAGAATTGTGGCCGAATTCGAGGGAAATGGTGGGATTTTAAGGAGAAAAGATGAGGGATTTAAGCGACCTATATTACCAGGTAAATATTGATTTTTTTTTCTAATACAAAGAAATCTTTTTTGGGAAAGTTAGCCTAACTTTGTAGCTGTTCTTCATGATTCAAAAATCCAAGACTCGCTTTTTTCAGCTCCTCGCTCACCATTACCACCAGTTCCACCACCACTTCATACAAAACCACCGATCTCGCCACCAGCGCAATTCACCCGAAGCGCTTCGACTTCTGAAGTTGGCCTTAGGAGAAGCGCTGGCCCGAAACCGAAACTTGCTCCAAAACCAACACATTTGAATGGATTGGTAAGGGTTTTTGTGGGAAATTTGTGAAAAAAATTAAAAAAGATCTCTGGGCTCAGTTATAGAGATCTACATGATGAAAAATTGTGGAAATTCGGTGAAAAATGATTCTAGCAAAGTTCTTTAGCCTCAAGAAGTTAGGTTTATTTCGAAAAAATTATTTTTTTTTAACTGAAAATCTCTTGAATGTTCCCTAATGGAAGGTGAAAACTTGTAAAATGATTTTTCAATAGGCTCATGTGCCTTTAAACATAAATATGAATGTTTGTTTTTTCGGCGAAAAAAATCACAAACCCCCCGAATTTTTTTTTTGAAAAGTTTGGACAGCCGGTGGGGAGGAGACTATCGATTTTCACCTTGATTTCACTTTTTTTTCCTCGTCCTGGTAGGAATAATCCGACAATTTTTGACTCATCATTTTTAGTTGCCTTTTTTGTTGAGAGAAAAAATACGTAGTATTTTTATTGTTGTTGCGATGAACCTTGAGGTTTGTTTTTTGGAAAATTTGAAAAAAAATCGAAAATTTCTCGAATTTCATGGATTCTAGGTCACAATTCATACATTTCACGTTTAAAAAAAATCATCCTGGTTCTGAAACCTGATTCAAATTTCAGCCCAAAATTTGAAGTTTTTATTGGCTCTTATAGGTTTCCTAAAAATTCTTCCAAAATATTTAAAATTTCTAGGTAAAAAAAATCCGTTTTTCATGAATTTTCTCAAAGCCCAAGTCAATTTTCATCGATTTTTTTCAAAAACTGAAATTCCAGCTACCTTCCACTTCAACATCTGCTATTCCTGATCTCCCACCGAAGATTCTAGTGTCACCAGTTCCATCAAGTATGTCACAAGCTGATGAAGATGATGATTCTCTTGAAGTTTTCACTGCGGAAACTGTGGGTTTTCTTTTTTTTTCAATTCAAAGGAAAACTTCTAAATACTCTCCCATTTTCACAAAAAAAGAAACAAAAGGATTAGTGTTGTTCATTTGACCTTTTGCAGGGCGAAGAAGAGGAAAATGGCATCAAAAATCGCGCAAAAATGCTGGAGGATTTAGGATTTGTACCAAGAAGTCAACAACAGCTTGCGATCAATGGTAATCGATCTCGCCCAGTTTCCGAAGTTAGTGATGATTTTTTCGACGATGGAGATACGACGGCTTCAGAAGATGAAGATCGGATAAGTCGAATTAGCAGAAGACGAAGTAATATTGGGGAAGAATTGGCGTTGCCCAGGAATGAAAGGAAGAATACTGCGTGTACGACAACACATTCGGAGATTATGAATGAGTTACAGGAACTGATGAATAGTCAGAATAAAAAACCATCAAAACTTCGACGACAATCGAATTTGGATGGTCGTGAAATCCCGGCGGAAATTGGAAAATTGCGAGATAAAAAGACTGGCCGACACAATTCATTGTTTGTTGGCTCGTCTGATTTATCCGATAGTCATCTATCACGAATCACCACCAATAGTAGTATTATGAGCGATCGAAGTAGCACACTAACGAATACGAGTGGAGTTGGAGAGGTTCCGGATTATTATACGGGAGATGAGGAGGAGGATAAACGATTGAAGAAGTTGCATTATGCGGCGATGGAGTTTCAGAAGGTTCAGGGCAATTTTGTCAAGTATTTGAGTGAGTTTTTTTGGGGGGTGGAGCTGCGCGGAAGCTTGGAAAATCCACATGGCATTTTTGCCCCGAAATTTCGAATTGATCAAAACATTATTAGAAAGATTCCACGTGGCAATTTTGACCCGAAAATTCTAAATTTCAAATTTAAAAATGACGCGAAAATATCCACGTGGAAATTTCGCGTAAAAAATTAAAAAAAAAAACCACGCGAAGTTATCCACGTGGAAATTCGTGTTTCTTTAGTTTTTTGAAAAGTCAAAAAATTTCGAAAAATTAGTTGCCACGTGGATTTTTCTTCAATACTTGATTTTCAAATGAGTATTTTTTCCTCAAAACATTTGGTTTTCGATTTGAAAATTTTCCTTTTAATTTTTCACAAATAAATCAGAAGAAAAACGGCAAAATCAGGCCACGCCCTCTTTTCAGAAAAAAAACAGTTTTTTTTTTGTTCTAAAATTTTCAACAACATTTTTTCCAGCTGAAATGGCTTATTCTTACCCGGATTATATGGAAAGATTTGGAAAAGGAATCGGAAAAGACCTATTGCAAAATGATAATGTTGTTCTACAAATCAAAAAAGTCCTACTTCAAATCCTACCGATTCATAAAAATATTCTCGATGAAATCAATGGTGTTATTTCGAATTGGAATTCTGAAACTCCAAATATGGCGAATACAATAAATCGATATGCGGAATTTCTGAAATGTTGTCAACCATTTTTGGACCATAAAGCTGAATTCACTGCACAACTTCTCGCTTTGCGAAATGAGAACAAGGATTTCGATGATGCGACTTCGCTGTTTGAAACAGATATCTTTAAACGAGGCAAGAAGGGTGCAGTTATTCAGCAATTGGATCAAGTTCATCAGAATTTTATGCGATTCAAATTGTTGATGTTGAGATATTCGGAATATTTGAAAGATGAGACGGAAGAGAAGAGGATTGCATTGGAGACGATTGAGAAATTGGAACGGGTGACGCAGGCGGTGAATCAGAAGATGGGTTTGCCGACAACGGAGGAATTGACCAAATTATATTATCGGTTTCAGGTTGGAATTTTGTGCAATTTGAATCTAGATTTGATTCTGAAAGTCATCTTGAAACATCTGAAAGTTTTTGATTTGGTTCAGTTTGTAGAGCTTGAAATTCTGTACAAATACATTTTAAACTCGCTTCTGAAAATTTAGGCTTCTGTGAAATTTTTAATGTAAATTTCTGTTTTCGGCTTCATTTCCAGGGGTTTCAAGATTTTTTTTTTCAAATCCAAGTTTATCCCAATTTCGAAGAGCTTGAGATTCTATACTTTTTGAGTCTAAATTTGATTCTGAAAATATCTGAAAATGGGGTTCGAAGTTTCTTTTTATCTTTCAAAATCCACGTGGCGATTTTTTTTCAAATTTGAATTTCTGGCCTTAAAAAATGTACAATTTTTATTTGTAAATTTCTGAAGCTGATTTCCTTGAGCCAAAAAATCTGAATTTTTTTTTCAGTGCCAATTCAATGTTTTGGAACCGGGCCGAACTCTAATCCGACAAGGAGATGTCATGAAACAAACGCGCAAAGAAGAACAACCTCGATATCTCGTATTATTCACAGATTGTCTATGGATTTGTCGAGTTGGATCAACACGTGGATCGCATTTCGAAATGAATCGATCATATCGAATACCATTGGAAGGAATACGAGTCGAACAACCGGATCATGAAGATTATTCGAGATATTTGGTGATAAAAAGTAAAGTGAAAAGTGCTGTAGTGATATTTGGAACTGAAAAAGAGAGAAATCAATGGATGGATGATATTCAAAAAGCGACTTATGATCGAAAATCGTATCGAAGAAGGCAATCTGAAGCGATTGAGAAACATGAGAAGAATCTGAGAACATTGCATAAATCAAGGAGATCGATGATTGGAATCGATGAAGAAGAAGTGGAGAGACCTTGTGAATTGGGAGAGGAAAGATCGAGATCGACGTCGAGGAGTGGGGATTCAGGTGGTGATGGAGGATTTTCGAGTGTTCCGATGACACCAGCTGGTGAGTGTTGGGGGGGGGAAGAATTGGAAGAAAGCTTAGCAATTTTTCTGAGATCTCTGAAAATCAAAATGAGTTCTCATAAGAATCCTGAATTTTCTGATACCGGATCAAGCTCCGCCCCTTTCTGCAAGCCTGGCACAGTTTGTCTTCGACCGCAATCCACCAAAATTGTGCCAGGCTTGCAGAAAAATTGCGGTTTACACTTTTCCAATTTTCCAGAAGTCGATGATTGCCAAAACAGTCCTTCGTCAAGCGGAATGATGACAATCGGACCGCCCAAAAAACAAACTTCCGAAGTCAAACCGGTCTGGCTACCTGACAACATCTCAAGTGAATGTCTCATGGAAAAATGCTCGACCGAATTCAGTTTGATCAATCGGAGACATCATTGTCGAGAATGTGGATGGGTGAGTTGAACTTGAAGTTTTCCCGAATGATCTTCTCCTTTCAGCTGATATGTAAGAATTGTAAAGGTCAAGCGCCATTGTCGAAGTTTGATTATAAGAAGCAAAATGTGTGTCCGGAATGTTTTGATAAAATTGACAAGTTGTGTAAGTTAAAGCAGAACATTTTTTTTCTCATACTGGCTATTTTCAGATAGAGATGGTGTTTTGTTCCCAACAAGTCGATTGATTACAATGAGCGATGGTAGATATTTGATTCGAATCGGAAGAAAACATGAATCGGAAGCCATCGAACCCCAGAAACTCTTCAAAAATCCAATCAATTATGGATTCGAGAAACGAAACATCGATAAAAAGCGAGAATTGGGAACATTCGGCAAAATCTACCTTCGAAATCGAAAAAACGCCGAAGTTGTTCGACACGCCCTATTTCGAACCAAAGATCTACACCTGGTTTTGTATAAAGCTGAACTCGATTCGAAGCCTGTGTTTGATTTGTTGATCTATGGATATTCGTTCTGTGAACGATATACGGATAAGAATAGTTGGATTTTTGAGTTGAGACATCGGAATCAGTTTAAGACGAATGATTCGAAAGAGGATGTGATTAGATTTCGGGTGGATAATAGTGGCAGCGCTAATAAGTGAGGTTTTTTGAGGGGAATTGTGGAGAATCTGGAAATTTTTAACTTCTGCCTGAAATTCGAGGGAAATATTGCTGATCTGAAAATTAGCAAAAAAAATTAGAATTTTGAAACTTTTGGTTTCAGAAATTCACTTCTATAAAATATATTCTGAAATTCTCTTGAGCCCCGATTCTCAGAATTTCCAAAATTTCACTGAAATTCGAAATTAGACTCATTTTGTAGAGCTTGCAATTCTGCACAAAATCATATTTAATTTGAAATGTTGTCTGAAAATAGGTCTGAAAAACATTTTTTCATCTGAAACTTGTCTGATGCGTTCCAGCTTCTCGGCCAGAATTTCAGAATTTTGAAAATGTTTCGTAGAGCTTGAAATTGTGAACGAAATTATTCTAGATTCAATAACTTTTAGTTGAAATTTGAGTTCTGAAAATCCCTGACCACAAAACATTTTGTTCACAGAACTTTTCAATTATTCTTGTTTTTTTCCATGTTTTCATTTTATTTTATTTTATTTTTTTGAAAAAATAATAACATAAAAATAAAAAACCAATTTTCCTATTCTATCAATTTTTCCAATTTTTCCAGATGGTCGTCTGCTTTCAAGGAACATTTGATGGAAGAAGAATGTGTCAGTGATGAAAATTAAGATTTTTTGTTTGTGAATAGTTTTTTTGCTGTTGTTACTTCTCTTGTGAGTAGATTTTTATATACGGTTATTTTTTGAGAATATTTTGGAATTTGTAAAAAATGCATTTCTAGTCATATAAATTTTCTCTTTTTTTCCTGATGATGCATCATTTTTTCCTCCTGAAAGCCTACGCCTTTTTTTCTTTACGCAAATGTGTTTTTTGAATTTCAATATAACACAAAAATGTGTCATTGTCAGGAATTTTTTGATTTTTATGTTTGTATATTTTTAGTCTTCTGAAACTACGCGTCGGGTTTTGACACATTTTGAACTTGCCCCCAAAATTGCAACGTGGCACATTTTCTTTCACTAAAATCCCCTGAACTTGTAATTATTTTCTTCAACATTTGTTTCCTCCCAAAAAAACTCTCGAAAAAGGTCATTTTGGCCAACACCCCCTCGATTTTTCTTTGTGCTTCCTTTTCATGTCTAAAATTATCGGCCGTTGGCTATTTTTGGACATCTTGTTTGCAAGTTCAGTCAGAAAAACACACAGAGAGAAAAAATAGGGAATTTCCTTTACGCCTGTCTGATTTTGACATCACCTTTTACTACTTTCTTGAAAATATTTTTTCGGTGAATCTTGAAAAATTAAAAATTTCTTGAAAAGTTCGGAAAATTTCTGCCACGTGGATATTTTTTGAGGCCAGAAGTTCAAAAACCTAAAATTTGAAAATTCCTGCCACGTGTATATATTTTCTAGCTCTAAAAATTTCAAATTCGTAATATTTGCCACGTGGCAATTATTTTTTGTTTCGAAAAAAAAACGTCAAGAGAAAATAAAAATCTCATTCAGTGTCACTTTTATTTATTATGTGGGCGCAGAAAACAATTTTCATCTCGTCAGAAAAAAAATAATTTTTTTGTACGAAAGTACGAATTCCTGAGATTTCTTGATGCTTGAAATTGACACGTGGCACACACAAATTTTGATTTTGAATTTGAAACTCTCGGCGCTAAAAAATCCACGTGGAAACCAATTTTCAGGTAAATTTTAGACGTCTTGTTTTTCTGCTCTCTCTTTTCTTTGTACTCAAAAAGTTCGTTGATCGAAAAAAAAATGATGTGAGTTTTTTTTGTCAAGCACTCTTTTTGTACCCCCCGAATCTGACTGAAATTTTTCAGTCAAATTTTTTAGAGTCTCGAAGTTCTTGACACGTTTTTTTTGACAAAAAATAATCTGAAAAGCCGATTTTGTACGTAGCTGAAGCTTTCGAATGGCTATTTTTTAACATCGGCAATACTAATCTGAGAGAAGATTTTCAGATTTTTTGAAATAAGTTTTCGTAAAAAAATGTCCCCGAATTTAATTTTGGTTTTTGGGAACATTTTCGGAAGTTTTCTGAATTTCAAGATCAGGTAGATCTTGAAAATCTGCACAACATGAATCTTCATTTGACTTAGCTAGAGATCCGGGCTGAAATTTACTTCTATGTGGATTTTTTCAGACTTAATTTCAGCTTCATCAAATATTTTCTGAAAATCAATTAATAGATCTTGAAATTATCATAGATTTGATAACCTAGGGCTTAAGCTCCGCCCCTTTCTGCAATCCTGGCACAGTTTTTTTTGCTTCCAGAATTTGATGATCATAGTCTGAAAAATGATGAAGAAGAAACATAACACATTCATTCATTTTTCTTTGTGACGTATCTGTGTTTTTTCTTATGAATTGTGTCGATTTTGGGTCTCTTATTTTCTTTCCTCTTCTTGTGTTTTGGGATCCCCTAAAAATATTTGTAAATAATTTTTTTGCTATAAGAGGGGATTTTGGAGGATTTGCAAATTTTTTCCGAAGTTCGAGTAAATCTTTTGGAATTATTTCTGATCCGTGATAAGATTTGTTTTTGTGAGGGTGTTCTGGAAAATTGTGCCAGGCTTGCAGAAAATGGGGCTAAATATTAGAACACTTTTAGCTCCAATTTTTGAAATTTCAAAGTTCAGAACCTTTTTTAAATTTTTTTTCAAAATTTAATTCAAAAATTTCAGATTTTTTTTTCAAAAAAAATTTATGAAAACTTTAAATCAGAAAAATCCACGTGGCAAACTCTGATGTATGATTTCCCGATTGATTTTTGAGCTCTCAACTCACAAATATATAATATTTTTCATCCAAAGATTTTGAAGGAATTACAAATTTTGTTCTGTATATATAAAAAGTTTAAGGGGTTATCCGGTGAGATTTGACTGATCTCCAATAAAATAATTCCTTGTGTATCTCATTTTGATGGAAATAAAATAAATATATTTCGAAAATCAAAGATTGCTCGTGAAAAAGCGAAAATTCACGTTCCAATTGTGAACTAATAGGAAATGACAGTAGTAAATCAACATTTTTTTAATCAAGAAAAAAATTTTCACATACATAAATCAATCTGCAGAACCCAGATTGGAAAAATTACGTCAAAAATGCTATCTGCAGGTGAATTTCTGGAATGTGTTCTGAATTAAAGTACACTTCAAAAATAGATCATTTTTCTCAAGTTGCAACAAATCTACTCCCCCACTTTTTGTAAGTAAAGAAATTCAATTTGGAACTTTTTCTTCTGGTTTTTTTTCAACACTAATCAAATTTATTACGGGTTTCAGTTCCAAGCAACTCAGATTCAGCTCATCGAGCGAGGCAAAAATATGACGCCACTTTTTTTGAGCTCCAGAATTTTTATGAAATTCAGGATTGGACTCTTTTTGTAGAAATTCTGAATTTAATGAATATCTGAAAATGTCTGAAAATCGGGTTTGAAAATACAATTTTTTGGATTTTTCTGAAGTAGATCTTGCAATTTAATTTTTGAACACCTGAAAATCAAAGCTGAAACTAGAAAAAACCTGAATTTTGTGAAAATTATCATGCCTGGCACAGTTTTCTGATATGTTTGATATCGAATAAGCTCCGCCCATTTTTCTGCAACTCTGGCACAGTTTCTCAAGCGCTTTACGCCTCTCCAGCTCTACAAAACCTAAAAAACTGACGTCACCGAAGATTTATCACCGCCCACTTTTATTGGGGTCTAATTTATTCCCAGAAAAAAATCATTTTTGGGTCAGCTCAGCTCATTCATTCATTCGTCATTTCTATTTTCTCTCGAACCACAAACACGCACACACATCTGATCATAATTCAATGTGGTTTCTGAATCATCTGAGGCTCCATATACATCTATCTCAACCCAATCTTTTCTGAAATGTTAATTGAATTATTTCGAGCAGCGCTGAATGAGCTGAGCTATTTCTAGGCTTCTTTTTTTGTGTGTGTATGTGTGTTTTTCGAGATTCGGTTTTTTTGTAGATCATTTTTTTTTATTTTCCGGATTTTCTTCTTACTGAAAATCTAGATTGGTTTTGTTTTGTCCAGAATTTCAAGATCTACATATCTAAAGCGGTTTTTGAATTTCGGTAGAATTTTAGAAATACTGGAACCTAATTCTCAGAACTTTCTGAAAGTTAAAATTGGCTCATCTTGTAGATATTGAAATTCTGAACATGATAAGTCCAATATCTGAAAATCAAGGCTGAAAAATTAAGCTGAAGTTGAAACTCTACCAAACAATAATTCTGAAGTTTTAAAGATCAGAGCTTATTTTCAGACCCTGTGAAAATTTTCAGCATGTTCTCAAGATTCCAAAAAAAAAGTGGTGTTTGAAATTTGGGCGTCAACATTTTCTTTCTCGAATTTCAAAAGCTTAAAAAAACCGTTGCAAACGTGGGCGTGGTCTTCCCACAAAAAATTATTCGAACTTCTGTTATTTTTTTTATTTCGTTTTTATTTGGACACCAAAAACCGCTCGCGAAAATTTCCGGTCACGAAATTTCCCACGTTTTTCAAAAATTCAGTTCAATTTTTTTTGTTGAGTTGAACTAACTTTTTTTTGTGTCTAGAAGCCATGTGTTTATTTCATTTTTGGAAGTTTTTTAGTGAGCTTCTGACTGTGTTATCCTTGAAGATAAGCTGAATCAAATATGTTCTTGTTCTAGTCATAAAAAACACAAATGTGTATGTTTTTTTTTAGTTTTTGCACCGGAAATTGGTTTAATGCACTTTTTTGGAAGAAAAATTGGACGATACGTTTTTTTTTGCAAAATTCTGTTTTTATTTGTGAAGGGGATGTTTTTCAAAAGCTGATTTTCAGTAAGATCTAGAAAAATCTGAAAATTGAAGCTGGCTCATTTTGAAGAGGTTGAAATTCTGCAAAAACATTTTCAATGAGGTCTGGAAAATTCTGGAAATTTTCTGAAAAAAATTCCCTGAAACCAAATTTCCAATTATTTGTTTTGTGAACTAAAATAATCTCCTTGTTTTTTGAAACATACAAATTTTATTTTTAGTTAGATATTTAGTTAATTCCGGTCTTGTGATTCAGTAGATTAAATTTAAACTAATAAAAATCCAAAAACATTTAATTTCAAATTCCCTTTGAACTCCCATAACTTCCGTATCTCATTTCCTTTTATTATTATTTATTATTTTTCCCAATTTCCAGCATCACTTCTATGTATTACGTGTTCCAAATTTGATTAGATTAGTTTGCACTTTTTCCTTTTTTTCTACCTTTGTTGCCAAAACAATGACATTTCTTCGATGTAAAAGTTTGCTGTTTGACCGCCTACCCAAAAATAGAGCAATAACAACAAATTGAGAAGAAAAAAAGCAGATGCAGATATATAATTTTGATTGTTCGAAATGTTAAGCTTAGAAAATCATTTGTGGTTTTTTTCACCCGGAAAAACAAATTTTTTTGCCGGACAACTTTTAGAATCAGAATTTTCAGTCAGAAATTTTGGAATCTCAAGGAGCCTTTTGAAACTTGCTCCAACTATTTTTGAATATAATTTCCTAAATAACCGTTGCCACGTGGATTTCTTCTGAAAAATTTACGTGGCAGACATATTCCAGAAAAAAATTTTGAATAAATTAACACAAGACCATTGACTAATTTTTTGAATTAAAAACTATTAGACAGCAATTTTGCCACGTGGAATTTGCAGTATTTTTCTAGATTTTTTAATTGAAAATTCAGACCACGAAAATCTAGATCTAACAAAAAATGTTTTTCGAAATTCAATAGCTGAATTTTTAATGTCTGAAAATTCAGAACTTCTATGAATGATATTTAAATATAAAAAATTGCAGCTGAAAGTCTCCGAACTGTTTAATGTTCCCGGAACATTGTTCTAAAAACGTCCAGCCAAACAGAGAGTCCACCTGTTTGATCTGTGAACATTACGATAATACGGATTTCCGTTTTTTTCCGTCGTCGTTGGTTGGAAAAAAATATGTGGTGTTCCCTTCTTTTTCGCGAAAATTTCCTTTTTTTGTCGCTGGCGCCTGCTCACTGATCAGTTGAGTGTAAGTTGTTGTATTTACTTCTGAGAGCTCATAATCACCACCTACAAGATTTTCAAGCTTTTTCGGTCTGTTCATTGCTTTTTTTCTGGTTGAGATAGAGAAATTAGGAAGCCCAATGAAAATTAATCAAATTTTTAATAAGCTTCATTGTTTTTTGTCCACCCTCACTAATCCTTGACATTAAAAAAATGTATATGTGTTTTTTTTTTGAGATTAGAGAAGTTCTGAACTCTTAGAGCTTATTTTTCAAGGTGCGGAAGCGGTTTACTCTTTGATATATGCGTAGCCGCTTTGCGGAAGCGTGGCCGCTTCGCGGAAGCTTGCGGTCTACACTCGCGCAAAGGGCTCGACTGAATTCTGAACTCTTAAATTCCAGTCTTTGCTCTTTTCTCCCATGATTCAAGTCAGATCGAATTAGGGTTTCATTTCGTATAAATTTTCAAAAATAAATTGTGACGAGGATTTATTTTTGAAATGAACTTGTGATATTTTTAGTAGCAAAAGTTTGCATAAAGTATTGGTTTTCACATATTTTATGAGGAACATTTTTTTTTTCAGAAAAAAATCTGAGAACCTCTGGATGGGGTTTCAGCGTTTCTAGAATTTTTCTGAATTCTTAATTTATACTCTTCTTGTAGAGCTTAAAATTCTGAACAAGATAAGTTTAAATTTAAATTTAGGAACGCCCTCTAAAAATCAGGGTAGTTCAGAACTATTTTTAAACCTGAACTTCAGCATTTCTAGAATTTTTCCAAATTCTGAATTTATGCTCATTTTGTAGAGCTCTGAACATCTTGTTCAGTCTGAATTTTTTTTTGAAAACCTAGGCTGAAAAAGTACTCTAAAAATAGTGTTGTCAGACAATTGTTGATTAGTACCAATAGTTATTTTTATCACTTCACCTAAATTCCCAGTGCACTTGAAAAGTAGAAAACACGAAATCTTCACGAAATTCTGGTCGATGAACACCTCCTTCAAAAAAAAATCTATTTTTTGTGTCACTCACTAATGTACAAAAAATCTATGGTTTCCACCCATGGTTTCGTCACAGAGATAATATTTTTTTTGTGTTCGAGGATTTAAATATCAAAAATTCTCTCTCACTACTTCTGTATTTATTTGTGATAAGAAGAATATTAAGTGATTAAAGACCGGCCGATCGGTTCGTGATTTTTGAGATTTTCCACAAGTAGCAATTATATTTCTTCACCAGCCAACTCTTCTATTTCATTCATTTTCTTATTTTCTTATTCTCCCAAACTCTTTTGCCCCTCGTCATTTAAATTAATTCAAAAATTAAATTATTTCAGAATACCGTCACGTCTTCTACAACCACAAATATTTCTTGAAGTCTCAAGAAAGCGGCATCGCAAAAATCGCAAAAATCATAAATTCTATATAATAGGTGTATAAATGAAAACTTATTGTGATCGAATATTAACCCGAGCATATTTTTATTTGAAAATTACGGTATGTTAAAGTTCTTAGAGTTTTTAAGCTTGCGCTTAGCCCTTAAAAAGTGAGCTATTTTTCAGAGTCGATATTTATTTAGCGATTCGAGACAGAGGATTGTGTTCACTTACTACGTGCTTATTTATCTTTGTTTTTTCACCACACCCGTCACGTCTTTCGTATTATATTCAGGAAGTGAGTTGCTGTAACTTTTTTGGAAAAATAGAGACGCAGAGAAACGAAAGAGCTATAGAAAAAAGAGCACATAAAGTTGAGAGTATTAGAGAAGCGCTGCAGAAAAGAGAGAAACGAGAGTACATAGAAATGAGAGTGTTAGAGAAGCCCTACGGAAAAATAGTGCAAACAATTGAGAGAGTGCCAGAGAAGCAAATTTCTTGAGCCAATCAAATTACCCCAATCATAATATAATTTTTGCAGCAACCCCAAAACTGGAATACAAAGGTGCCCATATGATACGACAATTATCACCCGAAGAACGTAAAGTGGTTATGAATTATTGTAGAATCGTATTAGTGTTCCCAGAAAAAGCGAAAACGATGATAACATTGGATCAACTAGAACACTCAATACCAATATGTCATACCCTAGTACGAGGAATCAAACGGTTAAAAGATTTGGAGTTACGGAAACGACCATCATAGTCTGGAGTCTGAACAAACAAGCTTCTTCTTCTTCTTCGTCATACAACAAATCAATACAAATCAAAAAGGGTGTCAAATATTTTCGGAGTTATTTTCATTCATTTAAATATCATGTTTTTCTCGTGCAGTATTCCTAATTTTTCACAAAATGAAATTGAGCATTTATTATTATTTTTCTTTTCATGACGATTTTTGAACGTGTGTGGGTAATTCAAAACTTGTGAAGGACGTAAAATAAAAAAGTTCGAATTACATATTTGACGTATGTGTGATGGTTTTTGAGAAACACCTTTTTTTTGGCTCAAAGTTCTGGAACATTTTTGGGCAGGAAAAATTTCAGAAGTAAAGAGCTACTACAAAAACATCTGAATTTTTGTACGCTAGAGCGCGCTTGCTTTCAGAAGCTCTAAATGACATTGAGATTTTACGAAAACTTGCACTTGAAAAGTTTATACCAGGGTCAGAGAACAAAGTCAGAAGCTATCTATTATTTACACCCCCAATGCGTGCAATTACATACTTTTTATCAAAAAAATGTTCTCATGTGCTTTTCTGTGCTTGATCATTAATTAATTAAGGAACAACTTTTTTGAATTTCACAACTTCATAATTGTATTACACAACGTTTTATTTGCAAATTTAATGTTCACAAGATGATATCATAACTGATAACAAGATGTGTTTTCTCTACGAGTTTTGGTCGCGAAAAAATCAAGAAAAAGTGCCGATTTCATTAGTTTTGTGATAAAAATTGGGCATATTTAAAATTGAAAAATGATAAGGAAATTGTCATTTTTTGTCATCGTTTTTTGGGTCGCAAAAAATGATAGTTTTTATATTTTTGGTAGCATTGGTGGTGAGTCAAAGAAGATTCAGATGTTCTGACTGAATTTTGTAATCAGATTTAGGACTGTTAACTTGACTGCAGCCCGAAATTAGAACGGACCATTTTCAGTCTTCTGGGCTGCTTCAGAATGGACCAAACTTTTTCAACTCAAAAAATGATCCGCTTTCTGAGTTTCGTAGAAGATTGCCACGTGGATTTTTGAAAAATTAAAAAATAAAACACGTGGCAGGAATTCTTGAATTTGACTTTTAATTCAAATACAAAAAAGGGGTTTTGGCGCTAAAAAATCAGGGTTCCAAAAATTCCCAAAACTCAAATTTTTTCCAGTCAACATGCACTGCATATCGACCAGGATTCCAAAAAAATCGTGAAATTGTGACGAGTTCCTCATCAGCTATTACAGTAAATGTCGGATATTTCAATCAAAAATTGGATCATTTGAATCTGATGAGCAATGTTAACTTCACACAAAGATATTTATATTCGGATCATTATACGACAAATAAAAAGCTTGCTCTGCTTTTGATCTCGGAAGAAACAAGTTTTGAAGCGGGATTTGTGAGTTTTTGATTTTCTGAACTTGGACTCCAAACATCAATGAAACCGACCGAATTTATTGCGCTTTTTTAACACCCTTGTCCTTTCCTTCTTATCAGCAATCCTTAAAATAATGTCGACAAAAAGAACAAAAAATTAAATTTTTTAAATAAAAAAATTCAAAAAATTTCCTTCCAGCTGACCGATGAATCAAGTCAAATCGCCAAAAACGCTCAAAGATTCGGCGCCACAACTTTTGCCCTTGAACATAGATTCTATGGAGATTCAAAACCATTTCCATATCTGAACTCAACAAGTCTCCGATATCTTTCATCACTTCAAGCAATTTTCGACATCTCCGAATTCATCAACTACGCTAACAAACAATTCAACTTCGATTCAGATGTGAAATGGGTGTTATTCGGTATTGGTTATGGTGGAGTTTTAGCCGCAGAAGCACGAAAAGTTTTTCCAAATCAAATCACTGGAGTTATCGCAAGTTCCGCTCCAGTCAAACATGTTTATGATTTCTGGCAATACAATGATCAAGTTGCAGTTGGTATTGAAAATATTGGCGGTGATAATTGTGTTGCTAATATTTCACAAGCTTTCAAAGATGTTGCCAATCTTATGACTACTGTAGAAGGAAGAGCTAATCTTTCGGATGCTTTTAGATTGAATCCAAGATTTGATCAAACTAATTTGACTGCTAATGATATTCAAAGTTTCTATGCATCTATAATGTTGCCAATTCAACAAGTTGTTCAATTCAATAATGAGGTAATTCAGGTTAACCTTAAAATATTTAAAAAATATTTTTTTTGTAGTTTGGTGTTCAAGTAAGTCGTGTGTGCAATATTATGGCCAACAACAACTACACTTCAATTCAAAACCTGTATCTCGTAAACAATTATGTGTTTTCTGGACAAGAACCCATATTTTCATCATACTCGCAAGTTCTTTCGTATTATACAGACGTGAGCAGCACTTCACAATATTCTGAAGCTCGAATTTCATTCTGGCAACGTTGCACAGAATTCGGATTCTTTTTCACAACTAATTCGGATAATACCAACAGTATTTTTGGAGCCATTTTGCCTTCCAGTTATTTTGTCAATTTGTGTATGGATATTTTCCCGGATGCCAGTATTTCGGCGACAACTATTCGAGATGCTGTTGAGACATACAACAGCTTCTATGGAGCCGCAGATGATTACAGTGTGAGTTTTTCGGGTGTTTGTTAAAAATCCAATTTTTTTCATAATTTTCATATATTTTTCAAATTTTACAAAATTTTTTATCGATTTTTTCAATTTTTCCAAAATCCCTCCCCTAAAAACTCACCAATCGCTTCTATTTCTCAAAAAAATCATTGAAACTCCGAAATCCTCCAAGTTTTCCACATAATTGACATTGAAACCCAATTGTTCATCAATATTTCAAGCTGAAAATAAGAAAATTTGAATTTTTCATGTGCCATTGAGTTCTGTTAACTCCATTTCTGTTTCTAGGGGCTCTCTGGGTCTCACAACAATTTTCCAGCTATTTTTTTAGAAGTTTACAGCAAATTCTTACCCTCTCCAGTTCGAAAAATCAATAATTCCAGCTTGCTCCAAAGTGTCATTTCCAGAACATGAATTTGACATAAAAATCATGCGAAAATCTCAAATTTCGTCAAATTTCCATCTAACATCGCTTCAAATTCAACCAACAAATCATTTTGACCCTGAAAACACTAAAATTTCAATTGAAACAGTGTTTCTCTAGAAAAAACCCACATTTCTTCGATAATCCTCGAATTTTCCGTTGGAAGCGATAATTCCAGCCTTGTAGAAAATCTAAAATTTCAATTTTTGCCTGAAATCCACTGATTTTTCCCGGAAACGCGAAATCCCAGCGAAAAAAAACGAAAAATAAAAAATATTCTCGTGTTGCGCTAAACAGTGGGCAAGCGGAGTGTCGTTGTAAAAGTCAAACAAATTCAATAAATTTTCTATTTTTGTGTCAATATATATTACTTTTTATGTGTTTTATTTTCTCAGAGAATTAAGGTTCAAATTTTTTTCCGGAATTCTCAAAAAAATTCACAAATTTTTCCAGGGAACCAATGTTGTCTTCACAAACGGTTGGTACGATCCAATGGGTCGAATGGGAAAAACAACATCCAAAGACATTTCGGTTGTCATTTTCCTCATCGCCGAAGCCTCGTATGGAGCTGATATGCTTGCTGGAAACGGAACAACTCTATATATTGAGCAAGCTCACGCAATTGCTACTGATAATATTAACACCTGGTTCAATAATCCACCAAATCCCGTGACATTTGTGAACACTACAAATCCTTGGACACGCCCACAAGGATTTGGACAACAAAGTGTTCCTGTTGCACAATTTTCAGCGCTTCCAGAAGATCGACCAACTAAGAGACAGTATCCGAAGTCAAAGCTCAATAAAAAAGTGCTTCTTGGTCGTCCACCACATGGATTCAAACCTGCTCCAGATGGCAATGAATTATCGGATTTGCCAGTTGGATTTGAACAAGGAACATTCCGCCAAAGAGTTGATCATTTCGATAACACAAATTCAAATTATTTCCAACAAAAATATTTCAAAAATTCACAATGGGCGAAGCCAAATGGTCCAAACTTCTTAATGATTGGAGGTGAAGGTCCAGAATCTGCTAGATGGGTGTTGAATGAGAATATCACTTATTTGACATGGGCACAGAAATATGGAGCAACCGTATATTTGCTCGAGCACAGATATTATGGAGATAGTATTGTTGGAGATAATAGCAATTTGCAATGGCTCAATTCACTTCAAATGCTTTATGATCTTGCTGATTTTATTCGAGCTGTCAATCGAAAATCGACAACTCAAGCACCATGGATCACATTTGGTGGATCTTATTCGGGAGCAATGTCGGCTTGGATGCGTGAAGTTTTCCCTGATCTTGTTATTGGTGCTGTCGCATCATCTGGACCGGTCTACGCGAAAACTGATTTCTATGAGTATTTGATGGTTGTTGAAACATCTATCCGAACCTATAATTCAACCTGTGCTGATAATATCAAAGCCGGTTTCGATCAAATGAGAATTTTGTTTAATACCAAGGAGGGAAGAGCAAATTTGAGCACACTTTTCACGTGAGTTTTTGGGTGAGAGAGTTGAGGGAGTACTTTTCACTGTGTATTTTTATTCTTCAGAACTAGTGTATAGTATTTTTTTCAAATTAGAGCGCACTTGCTCTACAGAAGAATTCAGGCTCATTTTTTAAGGAGTTTCCACTGCTTCACAATTGTGCACTAAATTTTTTTGGATAGCCAAAAGTTTCAGAATTTTTTGTGATCTATAAATTTTAAGAGTCCTCAAAATATTTATATTCGGTTTGTAGAGAATAAAAAATCTGTACCTAATTTTTTTTGATAACCAAAAGTATCAAATTTTTTTTCTATCAACAAAATTTCAGAAAGTGTTTAGATTCATTTTGTAGAGAATTTCAAGAGCTTCAAAAATGTGTACCTAAATTTTTTGGATAGCCAAAAGTTTCAGAATTTTTGCGATTTAAAATTTTTTTAGAATCCTAAAAATGTTTATATTCGGTTTGTAGAGAATTTCAAGAGCTTCAAAAATGTGTACCTAAATTTTTTGTTAGCCAAAAGTTTCAGAATTTTTTTGATCTACAAAGCTTCAGAATCCTAAAAGTTTTAGACTAGTTTTGTAGAGAATTTCAAAAGCTACAAAAACGTGGAACAAATTTTTTTGATCATTTCATCTCAAGTGTTTTGTTTCCAGTCTCAAACCAGCATTCGGTGACACAATTCGCGATGTTGACAAGCAATACTTCTTCTCAACAATCTATTCCAACTTCCAAGGTGCAGTACAATACAGTGGTGATAATACTGGTCCATATGCATATGGTTACGGTATTCCGGATATGTGTAATATTATGTTGAACTCGACAAACACTCCAATTCAAAATATTGCCAATTTCAACGTTTTCATGACAACTTTCTATAATGTGAGTAGTTTTTTAGGCCAAGGCTTAGGCTTTCAGCTTTGGGCTCATGTCTAAGTACCTAAAGCCCCCAAGAAAATTTTAAATTCAAATATTTTTCAGGGAGGTTTCGGAGGCACTGATAACTTGTATGAAGACATGGTCGACGATATCAAAAATGCTCAACAATATGGTCCTGATTCAGCTGCTGGACTTTTGTGGACTTGGCAAACTTGCACTGAATTTGGATATTTCCAAAGTTCCGACTCTGGAAATGGTATTTTTGGATCTGCATGTCCAGTAAAGTAAGCTATAATTTTGAAATTCTAGATGACCACACAGAAAAATATTTTTTCAGCATGTTCGTTCAACTTTGCGAAGATGTTTTTAATGATTTCAATCGGGCTAGTATTGATGGAATTATTGATTATACCAATTATAGATATGGATCAAGAAATCAATATAGAGTAAGTTGAAGCTTATTCAAAAGATCTAGAAAATTCAAAAATATTCTAGGGCACAAATGTCGTGTTCCCAAACGGCAACGTCGATCCATGGCACGCTTTGGGACTTTACACATACGGTGAAGATACAATTGTGCCATATTTAATTGATGGAACAGCTCATTGTGCTGATATGTATCCAGCACGACCTGAAGATGTTCCAGGTCTCAAAATTGTTCGAGACCTCGTTGACACCAATATTGCGCAATGGTTGGCTCAGTATAATAGTGGAACAGTTCCCCCAACTTCTACAACAACAACAACAGTGATTCCGGGAACACAGGGAACTGGAGCTACTGTTCCGGCCGGTAATAGTTCAGTGGCGACGTCGACGACAACAGTTGCAGCAACAACTTCAGGAGCTAGTGGAATATCTGTTTTATTAGTTTTTGCTTTGTCTTTTTTGTTTTGAATTTTGAATTCTGATATCTATATTTTATGAAACAATGAACTTTTGATAAAATTTCTGTGAGTTCAAAAGTCCAAAATTCTGAAAAACGAAAAAAAAATCATACATCATGGTTTTGTAGGTCTTGAAATTCCTTACAAAATTATCCTAAATTCTTGTAAGGTTACTGTAGATTTTCTCAGAGCAAGCGCGCCCTAATGTTGAAATTAAGCTATTCAAAAAAAAATTTTTTTTTAGCTCTTGAAGTTCTCTACAAAATAGTCCTGACTTCTTCCGGGTTTTGAGCTTTTTGTAGATCACAAAAATATCTGAAAAACTAACCATGAAATCTTGTAGGGTTACTGTAGACTCAAGATCAAGTGCGCTCCAATCAAAATGTTCCAAAATTGTAGTTCTTCACTTTCCTAATTTCTTTATGTCCAGCCAGCCGTTTATCTTTTTTTTATTTCTTTATTTCTCCATTTTCCAACCTGTTATCAAGGTGTACTCTAGCCATTCTCTACCCTCTCTCATTTCACACACTCTCTCCTCTTCACATTGATTGCTAGAGTGTAGCAAGTGTTGATTTTTTTTCTATTTTGTTCGTTTTTTTTTGAATTTTCGATAAAATTCCAAATTTCCAGCCAAAATGAAGTGCAGTATTTGCGATTCGTCTGCAACTTCACTGCATTTTGGAGCGCCGAGTTGTAAAGCATGTGCGGCATTTTTTCGGAGAACTGTCGCGCTGGATATCACGTATGAATGTATTACTGGGAAAATGGATTGTGAAGTGAATTTTGGTGAGTTTTGTGAAAATCTGATTTTTTTTGACACCCCACAAGGGTTATTTTTGAGAGTTCTTGAAATCAAAAATTCCATTTTTCAGAGCGGCGAATGGCTTGTAAACATTGTAGATATGAAAAATGTATCAAAAATAATATGAAGAGAGATAGTAAGTTATACTGCGAGTTTCTCTCTCCCAAAAACCATTTTTTCAGTGGTGCAATCTAAGAAAGGTCGTTATGAAGCGGGAGTTTTGGAACGAGAAGATAGTCCGTGCACTTCTTCAGCTTCCGAAGAAGTTCGCAAATTCATAGATCATATTGTGAAAATGGATTCGAATTTGAACAAAAGTCGAAGAATGGCTTTTACTGATTCGACGCTTTTTGATATTTTTAGCGGAACTTGTAAAATGGTGGGTTTTTTGAAGTAGGAAAAAGTGTTTCTAGATTTTTTTCGTTCTTAGATTTTCAAGATTTTTCTCCGGCCTTCAAAAATGTTTTTAATTTAAAAAGGCTCCCAGGTCTTAATAACTTTTCTCCGAGATTTTAAATTTTTTATTTTCAGAAACTTCTCCTCGACTTTCTAGATTTTTTTTTAGACTCTGAAAAATTAGAACATTTTTTCAGTAGGCTTTTCGGCTTTCAAAAAAAATCTCCCAGATCGTCTAGATTTTATATCGGGAGTCCAATTACTTCAAAAATTCTCCTAAGCTTTATAGAAATTTTCTCGAGTCTGAAAAAAAGTTCTAAAAATTTTCCTAGGATTTCTGGAAATTTTCCCTAGCTTCAATAAAAATTCTGACTATTTCCAGCCCTTCGAAAAACATCAACTTCGCCCATTCGACTTCCGATTCTACAACGGTTATCAGAAACAAGAATACGTAATGATGTTCAATTATTCAAACGCGATGCCCGATTTCCAACAACTTTCAAATGCCGATCAAAACTTTCTATTCAGAATTGCTTGTGGCGTCGATTTTGTAATGAGCAGTGCATTTTACACATATTGTATTGGAATTGAGAACAATTTGCTGATAAGTCACGATGGAACTTATATTCAGATGTTACCATTGCCATTGTCCGGAGATGAACCTGGAGCTGCATCGATGTTTCCGAAAAAGGATGAATTTGAGAAGTATAAGTCAGTTTGATCTATCAAAGAATTATGAAAAATTGATCCAGTGTTTTCTAGAAACCTTGTTCGCCCCAAAGTCAAATCTTGGCTAGAATTCGTCCCATCATTTGTTCGAATGGAATTCACATTTGAAGAAAATGCTCTTCTCAAAGCGCTGTGCTGTTGGCATATGGTATATTTCAACTTCGATGAAGCTGGAAAAGAAATCTGTAATAATCAGAAGACAAAAATAATGCAAAGTATTTTGCAACATTGTCAAGATAAACGGGGCGAGGAAGAAGGTGCGATTCGAGCTGGAGAAATTGCACTTTTTGTATCATTGATTAATGTGAGTTTTGCTAATTTGAAAGCTGAGCTCATAAAAATTCAAGTTTTTCAGGATGAAGTAATGGAACTGGTCAGCACCCTTATCATAATGTCATTTTTCGAAATTATGGAAGGCGACACTTTGATTCAAGAAATTTTACGGACAAGTAGTTTATTCTCCTGAAAAATTTCAGAAATTCTCTGATTTTGTACATTTTTCATTGTGTCTTTCATAAAAATTGCGAGTTTCTGAATTTGTACATTTTTTATGTGTAAAAAAGAAAAAATAAGAAGAAGAAAACAAAACAAGGGGGGCAAATTCTTGTATGTACAAAAAAAACACGGGAAAAGGAGGAAATTGTTGTTAGAAGGAAAAATGGATGCCTAAAAATCGGCGATTCGAATCGAATTTCGAGAAAAAAAGAGAGGGGTTTCCAGAAAAATCACTAAACCGTTGAGGAGGAAAAAAAACATATGTGATGCCTATTAAAAAAATGGTGTCAAAAAAAGGGAGGAAAAATGAAAATGAAAATGTACATGGCATAGTAGAATGGAGAAGCGAAAATAAAGCAAACTATGTACAAGTTTTGTTAATAGTATATAGTATATTTGTCACCAAAAGAGCAAAAAAAAAACAATCAATCAATCAATCAATAAATCCCAGCCATCATAATTGTGTTTATATTCATGAGTAATCCATTTGATGATAACCGCCACCATTCACATTTCCACCTTGTTGTTGTTGTTGACCGGCGGATGAGGAGTTTCCTGGATCTGGCGAGAATCCAGATGCATCCCAATGAATATCGGGTGACATTTGTGATTGGCCAAAGTGTGGACTTGGATGTGCACCGGCGGCGGAAATTAGTGGATCTCCTCCATTCATCAATGGGTTGGTTTGGATTGTATTCAAGTCATCCATCATAAGATCCGGGAAATTGTGATGTGAAGGCATTTTCCAATTTGATCCTGGAATATTTGTTGATTGAAAATCTTCCTTTTTTTTGTGCACAAAAATTCTCTGTCCCCCCTCAAAACCCCTATACTCACTGTAATCCGGTGGACTAGCCGATCCAACCGAGAAAAAATCGGAATTCGTTGATGTGTTCATAAAATTGTTGGACGATCGATTTTCTTGTGGAGAAGTTATTTGCATGGCGGCCGTGTTGTTTGTTACTTCGGATAGGAATCCAGATGAGGACTGGAAAATAATTGTTGAGCAAAATTGTAACGTGAATTTTCCGTTTAAAATTATAATTTTAGCATGAAAGTGTCAATTAACTTTTAGAGCTTCGAAAAAAAATTTTTTTGAGAAAAATTTCCACGTGGCTTCTTCTCTTGAAAATCCGAATCATATTTCAAAAGATCCAAGTGGGATTTTGGGTTCAAAATTGAAAATAGAGCTTAAAAGTGCCACGTGGATTTTGAATTCAAATCTGGAATTAGAGCTCAGAAGTGCCACTTGGATTCTTATTGTTAGCTTGAAAATTGAATTTGTAGCTCAAAAAATTGCCACGTGGATTTTTAGCTTCAGAATTAAATTTTAACATCAATTTGCCACGTGAAATTTTAGCTTAAAAATCAAAATTATAGCTCAATAGTGCCACGTGGATTTCCCGTTTCAAAATGAAATTTTTCAAAGAAAAAACAACTCACAACAAAAGATCCAGTTGGTGTTTGATTAGTCGGTGAGCTATCCTCAATTTCCTGTTTAATAGGTCGATCGATAAATCGTGGCATCGGTGGAAGTTGTGATGGAGGAATCTGCACACCGTGCATCTTCATCGATTCTTCAAGTTCACGAATTCGATCGGCGTATTGTTTGGCGGTACTTTCAAAAGATTTGACGGCTTGTTGTTGTTTCATCATGATTTCTCGATCTTTTTGTAGAACTCGAATGTAGTCACACGATGCTTTGAGAATTGTTCCTTTGTTCAATTTCATGTCTCTGGAAGATGAACCAGTTTCATTCATCCTGTAAGTTGTGGAAACACGTGGATAAGTTTTCCACGTTCACAGGAGAGGTTCAAAATGTGCCCAATTTTTATTCGAAAAGTTTATCGGAAAAAACTAGAAATTTACTGGACACATATTGGACCTCTCTTGTCAAAATTGGAGCCAAGAAAAAAAGAAAAAAAACTCACTCAGCTGAAGCCTTTGGCAACATTTGTCCTAACTCCTTGATCCGATCGTTGATGTTGTATCTTCTGCGTCTTTCAACTGTAAAATAGTTTTGATTTTCCAAAAAAAAAAATTTCGGAGTAAAACAACTCACTCATATTGTGAATATCCTTCTTCCTACGATCACGATAAAAATCTTCACCACCATTGTCGCCGCCACTTCCAGCGCTCATCATTTTTTCGATATCGATTGAGGATGTTGGGGCCGAACTTGAAACTACCTGTCTGAAATTGTTGCCTAATGCATTTGGGATTCCGATTGGACTGCCAGAGTGTCCTGAAGCGCGGCTAGATCCTGGAATCGGACGAGCCATCGACATGTGTTGCTGTTGTTGCTGATGTTTCGGATCGTTTGACAAACCAACAGACATCGGACGGCTGACACGTCTATCATCATCGTAAGCTCCAATAATATCATCAATTAGAAGATCGTCGAGTTCGTTACTATAAGATCCACTGGTTGGACTTTCGCCAAATCGACGGATTTTATCACTTCCATCACTTGGTGGTGAATTTCGTTGCTGGAAAAAAATGAAATTTTTTGAGAAGGTCGGGATTTTTTTAAAAGATCAGATCAGATCAGTGAAACGTATTTTTCCCCACAGAAATCCACGTCTGCTACGGCAGTGCTACCTTTTCCACAATTTTCCTAACAGTCACAGTCCTATAGGGTCCACTGATAATCGCGCCACGTGTCACAATTTTTCCAGTTCCCGCCGGTGGCGATGGTGTTTTCTGGTGACTACCCGTCGTTACCACCGCATAATTCACTAGTGGACCCACACTTGGCGCCGACACCAAACGCCGTCGCTGATGTTGGATGTTAGCGACTTGCGGGAAATGAGCTCGCCGAGCAGCACCCATTGAACTCATTGGGCGCTGTGATGTGGTGATTTGATCAGTGGTTGATGTCATTGTTGAGCATTTAGATTTGGATTAGATATATATGAATGAATGTGCTGAAGAGTAAGGATTTTACTAAAGAGCGTTTGAATAAAAAGAAAATGTGAAGAAGAAGAAGGAAACATTGTTGAAAACTAAAAAAAGAAAGAATAATAACAAAACTAGAGAATTCCTCTCTCTTTTTCCATCTTCCCGAATCAATATTTCTCTTTTTTTGCCACAACAAAACACAAACAAAAATCAGCGACGAAATAGTGGGGAAAACTTGGAGAGTTTCGGGGAAAAACGAGAGAGCGAAAGCGAAAAAAGAGACATGTCAAACGCGGGGCGAAAATTGTCTGAAAGTGAATGGAGGAGTTTTTTTTTGTGCTTGGACAGCATAACATTTTTAAGTGGCGGGAAATTAAAAAAGTCGATTAGATAAGAGAGGGAAAATAGCTGGGTATGGAGAAAAACATTGACAGTAATTATTATATTGTGAGTTCGAATTGATTTCTGATAAAAATTGTTTTCGAAATATTTTTGAAGAAAACACGGGGCTTCTGAGAAAATACAGGGGGGGGGGGGTTGAAGAAAAATACAAGTTTCTTTTAAATTCTCTAATTAAAAAGCAACTAATTTTCCTTGAAAGCTTTTCAAGCCTTTCAGGTCCTAAAAGTCTTAGAAACCTTGATTAAAAGCTTTAAGAGCCTTAAAATCCTTTGAAGCCTCGAACTTTTTTTCCTTGAAAAATTCTTAAAACTTTAGAAGCCTTCAAAAAAGGCTTTGAAAGCTTTGAAAGCCTACCAAGCTTCTAAAGCCTTGAAAGCCCTAAAAGCATTAAAGGCCCTGAAAGTTTTGAAAACTTTGAAGCCCGTGAAATCCTCAAAAGCCTGTGAACAATTTTTATATGATAAAAAAGGCCGAATCGATTTCACACAGCAAAAATTCTGGTTTTTCTTTTGGAATAGAACAAGCAACGCACCCAGAGTTTCTGTATGTTTTGGCTCGAGCAAAAGGCGGGAAAACATACATATATATTCGCCCCCTATTTATTTATATTGAATTACTCGTCCATCTTCTTCTTCTTCTTCTTTTTTTAAAGGGACACAAATCGATGGTCTTTGTTTGTTTATTTTTTCGTGAATGAAAAAAGAGAAAAGTAAAAGTGGTAGTGACAAAGGGAAGAGATTCAGAAGATCAAAATCTTTCAATTAATTTGAGGTGAATAAGAGTTCGGCTAATTAACTCCGCCAAAAAATGAATATTTATGACAGCTGTATACACAAAACAAACTAGGGGGAAGAAAAAATGAAATCGAATCAAATAAAAATAAAACCAGAACAAATGTGAGACAATCAATATGTTTATATAACATTTCAACTATGTCGCGTAAATATTGGAAAAAATTTTTGATCAAACTTTTTTGTATAGAATTTTCAAAAATCGAACAAAAAGAATTGGGAATTGGAAGATGGGAATCGAATGAAGGAAGCAAGCAAAACAGGTTCCTTCACAGACCGCGCCAAAAATTTCGCCCCGCGAAAATTGTAATAGAAGGATGGATGGATGGCATCATAAAGTGTATATTTTGGAAGAAGAAGAAGAAGAAGAAATTGGAAGGAAAAGGAAAGAAAGAAGAAGAAATATACCATATAACAACCAAAACTATCGATTTTTATTTTTAATATTACAATCGTGTTAGGAAACTTATAGAAAAAAGAAGAAGAAAAAACTATTTGGACACGGTTATTACAGAAAATACGTATGATTGATGTGGGAAGGTTTTGTGATCCAGAAAAGTTTGGAGAATCTAGAGATCTTATTGTCAAGATCTGAAAAAGTCAAGTTCTGAAATATCCACAGATCTGATTTTCTGAAGATTCAAGGAATCTGAAAAGCTAAATCTGGAGGTCTGATTCTCAAGATCTGATGTTCAGAAGTTCTGAAGCTTTAGAGAACCAAATTCTAAAATTTTGAAGCATCCGAAGATCAAGAAGAAAACCTAGTTTTCAGATCTGATGAATTCAGCTAACTGATTTAGAAATTATCTGGAAATTTTCAGTCAGGAATTAGAATTCGGGAATATCAGAAAATTTCTAACGCCAGCGAAAGTTCAAAATTCTCTACATATCTGATCAAGGAAATATGTACTTGAAAACCAGTTTCGAATAAAAGTCCAAATAATCAAAAATCGGACGCGCCACACACCAAACAAAAAATCCGAAACAATAACAAGGCAACAAAAAGCAACAACATAATAACTGGGTGTAAGTTGTTATATGTTGTCTGGCGAAGGTCTGCCTGCTTGCCTGGCTAGGAGACACACCAATTACTTTCTCTCTCTAGCACCCTCTCCTCTTTGTTCTTCATTATGGTGAAAATTTAGAGAGAGAGAAGGAGACGAAGAGATGAATACATATGGAAATTACCCAGCCCGTTGTTATTGTTCACACAATGAATAAACTGGGGGCAAAAACGGATGATTTATTAATGGGATTAGAAATTGAGACATTTTGGCGATGGGTGAAATATGTTTGGCGGGCGGATTTTTTTGATCTACAGTTTCCGGAATTTTCAAGGGGGGTCAACTATTTATTAGGGATTCAAGTTAAAAAAAATTTTTGTTTGTCAAAAAATTTTTCAAATTTTTTTTTCAATTTGAATCAAGAAGCTGCTAATCGATATATATTTTTGAATGCATAAAAATTCCATCCAATTTTTCTTATTCGAAAAAAAACCAATAGAAAGAAAAAAGAGGCAGACCAGAACCATGATGAAGTGAAAAATAGCCAGGCACACATACGGAGAGAAAACAGAGAGAGACAATGATCGAAAAGTGCATGAAAAGGTCAGCGGGACTTTTTCTTTCCGATACCCGAAAAAGTCTGATTCCACACACATACATACATATATATTTTTAAGAAAATGCTGCTTGCACGATTTTTTCGAGCCCAGAAAAACATTTTGTTTATTTGTTTTGGTACGACTGGTTGGAATAAACAACAAAAATAACACGTTTGAGTGGATCGCCAGATTTATTATCGTTTTTTCTTTCGAAAAACATCGTAAACATCGAGTTCAGAAGTTGGAACATCCACATCATATATTTTTCACCTGGATTTTCAGTTTGATATTTCGAAAACCACGTCGAGTTGTTTTCCTCTTCACTAAAATGTTTGGATATTCCGGAAATCAGATTAATGTTTGATTCCCGTTAATCCAGGATTAAACTTCCAGAGTTTGTTATCAAGGAAACTTCAACCAAAACTTGCAGGAATGATTTTTGTAGATCAAAAATAGTAGGATTACTGTGTGAAGCTTGAGATTTGGAATTTTTAGATCAACAATTTTCTGAAGATCAAAAAATATTCAAAATCAAATTTTTAGTGCCGAAATTTTGAAGTACTGTAGAATATGGGGTTCCGATTTTTTTGTAGATGAAAAAATCTAATTTTCAAATTTGCTGATAAAAATTTAGGATTACTGTAGTTTAAAGATTCCAATTTTTTTAATATTGAAAAATTCAAATTCCAAATTTGCTGCCAAAAGTTCGAGATTCCATATTTTTTCAGCCCCTCAATTTTTTCAAACTCCAATTTCTAGACTTTTTTTTCATTATTATCATGTTAACATGTTTATATTTGTCACCTAGCAACGTAACAACGTAACATTTGGCCCCGCATCAAATCATCAAACCCCTAAGCAGCCCCTGATTTTTGTGTGAGTGTCTCTCTTCCACTAAATGACAAATATATCGAGAGAGGCGGAAAAAGTCAGTCATCAGTTCATCAATAAATAATTTTTTTCTGGGCGCCTGCGTCGTGTTTTAAGACCCCCGAACTTCTCTCGTCTAGCCGACTGGCAGGCGGCCAAAAACACATTTGGCCGGCAGCCAATTTTTTTGTCGACCAGGTAAACAAAAAATGAGAGAGATGGAGAGAGAGGCACCTCCGGGCGAACGACAAAAAATGATGCGATTTTTTTGTCATCGATCGAATTTTCACGATGATCAGATGATAGATGAATAGAACTGTGGTGCGAGAAAAAACCACGTGGGAATGAAATATAATACTTGGATGTTTGCCAAGATAGATTGTAGTCTGGCACTGCTTTTTTTTATCTACGAGATGTTCGAGACTGGTTCTAGGTTTCACAGAATTTCAGGATTCACCTGCCATGACGTGGATTTTATGAGGACCTCTAAGGCTTACTGAATCTCCGCCACGTGGCACGTTATCACGTGGAATTTGAGCAGATCTATAATTTTAATTTACGAAAAATCAATTGTCAGCTTTTATAGATTAGTCTCATAATTTTTTTGCGAATTAAAAAAAACCCCTCCAATTTTTTGTCAATTATTTATCAACATCATAAAATAATCGAAAAAACGCTCGATTTTTCTCGTCTTTTTTTCAGTATCTTATCTATCTCGATATTATTATTGATATTATCAACACATCAACCCCCAAAAAAACCGCATTTCGATTCGATCGACGCGATGAGACAAAACCATGGATCCCTTACTTCAGAAGTATTTCGAAATCGCAAAACAAAGACACAAAAAAACAGATTGTGAGAGAGCGCAGGACAACAAGAGAGTGTAGAGATAAAGAGAGGAGACCACGTGATGGTCGAAAACAACATATTTTATAGTTTGTTAGAAAGAGATAAACACAAAAATATTTACCGACCGGGAAAAATTACGTTTCATGTCTGATCTTTTGAAAATACTGTGAAATTTTGGCTTTTCAGAAAAAAATCTGGTTTCTTGGAAACCCTCTGAAGTTCTTTAAAAGAAAAGGAATTCAGAGGTCTCCAAAACCCTCTATTTCAAACAGAGCCAAAATCCAAATTAAAAAAAAAACTAACCTGTGGAATTCCCACACCGACACTTCCAAAAATCATCTGTGGTCTATTCCGTGGGCTCGTCAGACCGCCACCACCACCAAAGAAACTTTGAGTTGGAGCCGATCCGAAAGCTTGAGTGTTGTTTGACAGCGCTGGACGTTGAGAAATTGGGATGAGATTTCCCGTCTCGCGACGTTCCATTTGGAAGATCTGGAAGAAAAAAAATATTTATTTGGAAAATTTTTCTCACAATCAGTTTCAGAAACCTATCCCCCCGTTTTTTCTGCGAAAGAAAAAAAAAGGAAAATTAGCAAGAATTTTCTCTAACAGTTGTTAACAATTTATCAACATTAATGGGAGCCGCGGGATTGAAAAATAACAATTTCAAGAACTTTGTTGTTGCTGCGACTCACATTATTTTTGTGAAGCTGTGTGACATTAGCCTGATACGGTTCATCATCATAAAATTGTTGATTATGATTACTATTGTGATTTATCATCACATTATTATTTGTGGCAGGTGGTCCTCCGCCACCACTCGAAAATTGTGGCCTTATTCCCGGGCCACCCGGCGAATTTATTCCGCGAATCATAATGGTTTCGTTGAATTTTGAAACAGTGATAATCTAGAAGAAGAGAACAAAAGTTCAGATTTGACGAGAGAAAAAAAAGGAGAGAAAAAGTAGCAAAAATGAAAAAAGAGCGATGTGTTTGGAAATATTGAGAGAAATGAAGAGAGGCCACAGGGCAAGCAACAAAAAATTGCTAGATTATTTATACAATTGAAAAAAAAAATGTGGTCAGAAAAATTTCTGCTCTCAGAATTTAGAATTTTCAGAAACAAAAAAAAAAGAAAATTTAATCTTGCCCTAAACAAACAAAAAGAATTGGATAAAAAAATGATGATGTCATTTATTTTTTTCGGAAACAAACAATGTTTCTTGGACCCATTTTGAAACAGGGAATTTTTTAGAAAAATTAGACTACAACAAGACAAAAACTACAAACAAGCCAAAAATACGAAGAAAAAAAACTGTTTGGGTGATAAGAGAACACAAAAAATGTCAAATGGTATATCGATATCTCTCCATTCTCTTTCATTCATTTTTTTGTGAGAGAAGAGAGCGATTCTTATCACTAGGCGGGTTGGAAAAGAGAAGAAGAAGAAAAATCGGAGGGGCGCTACTAATCGATGCAGATTCTCTTCTGTGCCACTCACTATTTCGTCGCTTTCTCGCGCCTCGCAATGGTCTTCTTTTGCGTCGCGACCCCGAGAGACGCGACAATTTTCAACACAACAAACAAAACAGGGAGCGCAGCGCGCGTTACTTGATGGTATTTTTAAGAGTCATTATTTGTAAAAAGGGAAAATGGTCTGTACAGAAAAAAATTGATGGTCTCAAAAACGGCTCATATTTTTTGTACAGACCTTTTAACTATCCAACAATAAAAAAAACATGTTTTTGATTCAAAAAAATTTCAGTTTCAGTGGGGGAGGCTGAAAATGGGTATGCGCAACTCGCTTTGAAACGTTGCGCAACCGTAACTCAGCTTAACGCTAACTATTTTTGATGATCAAAAAAGCATTTTGCTCGTCTTTTTGTGCTCTACAAGCAGGAAAATAGCTCCACACAAAAAAAAATTTTTTTGAGCAAGTTGGAAAAAACCAGTTCGCAAAAACTGACATTTTCGGATTTACAGACAAAAAAGGGCGACGTCTAACTACATTCAATCGATTCCTCTTGATTTTTTACCCCTAGGCGCAAAGTATTATCAAAATCGGCGGTAACCATCATGTTCGTTTTAGACCTCGATTCAAAAAATGACCCTTCTGAAAAAACTTTTTTTTTTTTCAGTTTTTTGAGATTTTTTTATATTTTAGGCTGAATAAAGACTGTTTTAACATCAAAATACTTCAAAAACACTTTTGGTTATTGAAACTGACTCAAATTGTGAGGTTTTACCAATTCTTATAATCTCATTGATGTTTTCGGTAAGACCATCGGACAAGATCTGAAAATACTTGAAACTGGACTCTGGGTGACAAATTTTTATCGAATTGTGCCTAAAACACTCTAAAAACATGTATTCTAACATTTTTGATCAATTTCCATTCAAATACGGATGTTTTTACTCGATTTGGACATTACTGGAATTCCGATGTTTGTGTTGATCTCTGATTTTCGTCATCGAAGACATCAACATTGAATAATTTTGATGGTATTGACTTCAAAACAAATTTTCAAGTTTTTGAAACTCATCTCCAGAAATTGTACAAATCAACATTTCTCCAGGCGAGGCTGATCGTAGATCTTTTTATTGATCTTCTATCTGAATCTTATATCACTGTTTCCATTGTACTAAATGTAGTTTAGAAAACGTTTTTCTTTTGAATTTATTTCATCTTGCCTCAAAAATAAGAAAAAAGTCAAGATCAATCGCTGATGTCAACGATGGAATGAGATCAGAGATCAGGATAAACATCCTAATTCCAGTAATGTCTAAATTGCAAATAAACTGCACATTTTGTCTGGGACTAATGAGAAGTACTAATTTCATCATCATAATAATGAATAGAATCAATTTTATAGTGAGTCTCGAAATTAATTGAAGTTTCAGTAAGGCCATCGGAAAAAATCCTGATTTTTATATCAGATGATTTTTATCGACATATTACTCATATCATTGATGAATAATGTGCAAAACATCAAAGTGAACAGAAAAAACACTATTCCGAACAATCCCAGACAAAATGTGCAGTTTATTCGCGATTCAGACATTACTGGAATTAGGATGTTTATCCTGATCTCTGATCTCATTCCATCGTTGACATCAGCGATTGATCTTGACTTTTTTCTTGTTTTTGAGGCAAGATGAAATAAATTCAAAAGAAAAACGTTTTCTAAACTACATTTAGTACAATGGAAACAGTGATATAAGATTCAGATAGAAGATCAATAAAAAGATCTACGATCAGCCTCGCCTGGAGAAATGTTGATTTGTACAATTTCTGGAGATGAGTTTCAAAAACTTGAAAATTTGTTTTGAAGTCAATACCATCAAAATTATTCAATGTTGATGTCTTCGATGACGAAAATCAGAGATCAACACAAACATCGGAATTCCAGTAATGTCCAAATCGAGTAAAAACATCCGTATTTGAATGGAAATTGATCAAAAATGTTAGAATACATGTTTTTAGAGTGTTTTAGGCACAATTCGATAAAAATTTGTCACCCAGAGTCCAGTTTCAAGTATTTTCAGATCTTGTCCGATGGTCTTACCGAAAACATCAATGAGATTATAAGAATAGGTAAAACCTCACAATTTGAGTCAGTTTCAATAACCAAAAGTGTTTTTGAAGTATTTTGATGTTAAAACAGTCTTTATTCAGCCTAAAATATAAAAAAATCTCAAAAAACTGAAAAAAAAGTTTTTTCAGAAGGGTCATTTTTTGAATCGAGGTCTAAAACGAACATGATGGTTACCGCCGATTTTGATAATACTTTGCGCCTAGGGGTAAAAAATCAAGAGGAATCGATTGAATGCGGTTAGACGTCGCCCTTTTTTGTCTGTAAATCCGAAAATGTCAGTTTTTGCGAACTGGTTTTTTCCAACTTGCTCAAAAAAAATTTTTTTTGTGTGGAGCTATTTTCCTGCTTGTAGAGCACAAAAAGACGAGCAAAATGCTTTTTTGATCATCAAAAATAGTTAGCGTTAAGCTGAGTTACGGTTGCGCAACGTTTCAAAGCGAGTTGCGCATACCCATTTTCAGCCTCCCCCCACTGAAACTGAAATTTTTTTTTTGAATCAAAAACATGTTTTTTTTATTGTTGGATAGTTAAAAGGTCTGTACAAAAAATATGAGCCGTTTTTGAGACCATCAATTTTTCTGTACAGAGCCTATCCTCGTAATTTCCCTTTTTTCAAATAATGACTCTTAAACACACATTGGCTTTGGCTAGGTTGACTATAAATAACGGGTTGAGAGATAGAGACGAGACAATTCTTTTCGATAGTACAAATCGGTCAAAATACACGTGGGATGGTTGGAAGGTGATATGGGGGTTAGCAAAAATCTAGGCATGAAATTTATATTGAATTCTGGTAAGGTCCCGATTTAGAGAGGGCTTAGGCTTCTAGGGAGCCTGAACTTTGGCCGCTGCGTGGAAGCTTGCGATTCATACTTGCCTAACAAGGTCCTGAGTTAAAAACCTGAAGGTTGGAAGCTTGCGATTTACACTCACGACTTTGTAGCTCGGATTAAGATTTCTAGGAAGCCTGAATGTAATCCTAGATCAAGGAACTGCCGCTGATTTTCTGAATATTTTGACAAAAATCGCAACTTCGACCGATAAATAATTTGAAAAAAACAACACTGTCTCACTGGTTTTGGCGCCAAAACGTCGAAAAAAATCTGATAAAATAAGAAAAGACTGTGTGAGCGAGCGAATGAGATTCAAGGACACGACGCAAAAAAGTTCTTCGAATGATGGATTGATGGTGAAAATATCGAAACGGACTGGGGAGAAAAAAATCATCGAGGGGCGAAACATTCAGAGAGAGAGAATGCGAATGATGATCGATTTGTTCTTCGACGAAAAAGTTTTATCATCAACACACTTTTTTTGCTGTGTGTGGCTGTATATTTTTTTTGACCAGTTGGGTGATCTCTGATTGTAAGTTTGAAACAAACTGAACATAAAATCAGAATCACAAATTTTTGTTGTTTTAGCGTGAAGAGATGAGATGAAGCTCAATTCAGAATCAGAGATCAAAAATGGGAAAGGTTTCACAGGTTCATACAAATTCAAACATTCGGAAGGCTCCCGAGATTCTTTTGGACATTTAGAAGGCTTCTGAGTTTTTCAGAACGTTTAGAAGGCTCCTGAGATTCTTCAAGATATTCACTAAAATTCTGAGATTCTTCTAGACATTCGGAAGGCTTGTGAGATTAAATTACAATGTGAGATACAGATTTTCAAAAGTTCTGTACGAACAAAAGTTCAAGAAACCTGTGGAGCTTACTTGAGAAATTCTGAAAATGATCTACAACATTTTCAAAAAAACGTTTCCCATCAATGGACAATTAGTGACGTAGTTGGAGTAGATCTCAATGCACTTTTTGATTAATTCGATGAACATAGAGGTGGTTGAAAATTGGAAGAAGAAGAAGAAGAATTGTGCTTGGCTGTGACTCCGGAGAGAAGGAGAGATAAAGTGCAACACACACACACACATAATTTTTGCACACACCGACTTTTTTGCACTTTTTTGCCGAATGAAAGATGGAGGGACAGCGAGAATTGCAAATTTGTTTTTTGGACTCGAGCCAGGGAGAAAAATGTTGCTATTCAACTATTTTTTCATCATCTAGATGATTATTCCAAATCCCCAGGCAACCCAAATTCAACATTTTGAAAGCTGTGGTTTGTTACGTCACATGTATAATCTTAATCTGATTTTTGAAGCGGAAATCAAAGAAAAATGGCAGCTTGGAAAAATAGTAATGAAATTTTTTTAAACTAGAAAAAAATGCACTTTTTTTCAGAAAAAAGAAAAATCTCATTAGCTAAAGTATGCCAATTTGTGAAAGCTCTTGGATTTCCGCCAACAATGATTCAGAATAATTAAAATTCCCCCTGAATTGCGAGAAAATACTAACCTCATCCTCGAATAAGTCCATTGGGAACTCCAGTTTTGATTGCGTTGCGTTGCGTTTCTGATTCCGCTTGTATTCAGTTTTTTGTCTGAAAAGAAAAAAAATCAAATATATAATGGCCTGGGAAAAATACGTTACAAGTTTACGAGAAAAAAATGCCTGGGAAAAATACGTTACGAATTTGAAGAAGAAGAAGATTAAAAGTTCAGACCTTTTGCTCTGTTCGAAAATAACACGTAGGGATCAAACACCGCCAATTGTTATTTTATTATTTTTTGTGTTGAGCCTAGTTAGACTAGAAAAATATTTATTTAGAGGAATAGAGAAGAAAGTGAGTAATAGTGCAGATGTTCCTTATTTCAGAGATCATATAAGAAAAGGAAGTTGTGATAAAATTTGAAGCTTGAATTGTAGATAAAATTGAACTATGTAACAAGCAGACACTGTTTAAGAAAACAATTTCAGAATCTTTGTTGAACAAAAAATTGAACTTCAGGAAATCTACGTAATTTCGAGTTTGCACTCTTTGTCGCTCAAAAATAATGAAACCAAAAAGATCAGAATTAATTTGACTAATCGAAAAATTCTAGAAATTTTTAGATCAGAAGATTTTCGTGGAACTATGTAACAAGCAGAGACTAATTAAGCAAAAAAAAATTCAGAATCTTTGTTGAACAAAAAATTTTAAACTGAAAAATTAAACTTCAGGAATTTTACAAAAGCACTCTTTGCGCCCACAAATAATGAAACCAAAAAGATCAGAATTAATTCGGCTAATCGAAAAATTCTAGAAATTTTTAGATCAGAAAAGTTTTGTGAAACTAACAAGCGGACAATTTTTCAAAATCTTTGTTGAAAAATCACGTGGCATTCTCGAACTTCAAGGGAAAGATTTAGTGTCTGAAATTTCACGCGAGCTTTCAATTTAGACAAATCAAAAAATTCGAAATAAATTCACAACGATCATTTTTTTTTCATTAAACCACAAAAAATGTCAACATCTCAAACCAGCAAAAAAAACCAACGTTTGAAACATGCGCCTTGTGAGTGAAGAAAAATCGATGAAAAGAAACGAAGGCCAACGAAGAGTTTGGCAAAGAGCGAAAAAATGTGTGTGAGAGGAAGAAGAAAAAAAAGAGTGCTGTCTCTGTTTTTTGGCGGGGGGATAGATGAAAAATGTATGTATGTATGTGTTGTTGTTCTTCTAACTGATGCTTGAGATTTTTCCCACACTCGTGTTTTTTTTTCAAACGAAAAGAAGAAAAACTAACTGCCAAAGTTTAAAAGAGGAGAGGAAAGAGCTTGGAACAAGGCATTTTTTAAGCAACAAACTTCTTCTTGATTTCGGAATCTAATCTTGAAAGCTTAACATTTTCAAGTTTCTTTTGTCAGAATTTGCAGAACCCTATCAGGAACAATTTTTTCTAGATTTTTTTTTCAAATGCAAATCATGATTAGATCAATAACATTAGCAATCTTCTAAATATAAAAATCACATTCCTGCAAATTTTTCTTGGAAAAAACATGAAGTTCCTTGTTTTCCTAATACTTCTTCCCTTCATTGTTCCTACCAAAATCCCAGCTGAAAAATCGATAACTGAAAAAGAGGCAAATTGGCGACGTGGAGCGATCAAGAAACTTTGGGATGAGAGAAAACGAATGGGACACACTCCGCTTATCAAATATCAACCACCCGGTTTTCCGCATACAATAATTTATATGAAGAATGAGACAGCTACACCCACACGGAATTTGAAACATCGATTCGCATGGGCTTTATTGTTATGGGCGATCACTGAGGGAAAAGTTACATCGAGAACTTCGGCGATTTATGAGGCGACTTCAGGAAATACAGGATCGGCTGAAGCTTACATGTGTAGACTTGTTGGGGTGAAATATGTAGCGGTGGTGTCAGATAGTTTGGAATTAGAGAAAGTCAGGCAGATTGAGAAATTTGGAGGGAAGGTTCTGAAGGTGAGACTTATTTTTCAAAAAATCCACATTTTTCCCTATCTTCCTTCCAGGTACCAGCAAAACTACGAAATGAAGAAGCCCAGAAAATCGCCGAAAAAAACCATGGATTTTTCATGAATCAATTCGCCAACGCTGAAAAAGCTGAAGAATTTCACGAATCTGGAAATGCCCGTCATGAATCCTCAAATGTTTTCCACGAGATTCTAGTGCAACTCAAAAGAGTTCCCGATTATTTTATCCATGCCGCAGGAACTGGTGGAACCATAAGTTCAGTAGGCAGATATATAGTTCGATACGCTTTGTCAACTCGTGTAATTCTCTCGGATGCGCAATTTTCACGTTTCTATGATTATGTGATCAGAAATAAGTTCTCATCGTCAGAAAACAATGAATCTGACAAGCATTCTGGACCTGGTGTAGCTGGAACGGGTTACGAGAGTAAAAAAGATATAGTTTTGGGGAATACAACTAGTTTGGTGCGGGATGTGATTTCGGAGGCTGTGAAGATTCCGGATATTGCGACAGCCGCGGGGATACGGGTTTTGAGCGAGATGGGATTTGAATTTGGGCCATCGACGGCCTTGAATTTTTTGGTAGCTTTAGTCAAGGCGCAGCAACATGAGAAGAGGTAATCCGTGAACTTTTTCCACGTCATAACTCTTTCTTTCCCAGAGATCCGTGGAAAACTCAAATCCTAACAACTTTGGCTAACGATCCTGCTGATTTCTACACTTCCACTTATTTGAATAACACCTGGCTTGATCGAAAATTCGAGGAATTTGGAGGATTTGGAGGGATGAAATGTTGGAGAGCTCAAATCATCAAGGCAATCAATTACGGGGCAGATTTTTATAAATCTGGGTTAAAAAATTGTCCAGGAGACTATTGATTTTCTCTGAATTGCATGATAAAGTATTCACGATTTTTTGTGTCAAATTATTTGTTTTCCACGTCATACGTGAACTTAAAAATTGAAAAAAAAAATTGGCATTCAAATTCGCCCTCATTTTTAGTATATTCCTCGTGAGAAAAACGTTCTCGCAAAAATCGAATTAAAAAAATGAAAAGTGTGAATCAGAAGCCAAGTCCCAAGGAGCAAATTATCGATTCGAAGAGAAGCGGAAGGAAACCTCCGCGACAGGTGAATAAATCGCAAGCGTCGCGAGTCAAAGACCCAAATGCGACAGTGGAAAATGGAGCGACGACAGAGCAATCGGGACGCAGTTCAAATCTATCCGGAAAGCGGAAATCGATGAAGAATGCGCCGAGCGGAACGGATTTGCGACTAATTCAATCAGAAGACAATTTGCCGCGGAGCAATTCGGGAAGCAAAAATAATCTATCGGGGAAGAAGAATAATTCGGCACGGAATAATTCGGGACGCAAAAATGCGCTGGGAAAAATCCCGGCGGCTTGCGAACCCAGTGCCGATGCTCAAATCATTTCGTCCGATGAGACATGCGCTGGAAAAAGTGGGAGGAAGAAGGATAAGAAGGGTGCGGTGCCTCCGGCGACGAAACCGCGCGATGTATCGAAGAAGACGCTGAATGCGCGGAAACAGCGAGACGTCACTATTCGACAGATGTACAACAAGGCAAAACACAAGTTGATCAAACCGACGAGAGGAGAAGGAGTTCTGTGAGTTTCTAGTTTTGGGCGGTTAGTACGAGGCTCCGCTTTGACGCAACTTCCAAACGTTTGAAATCTGTTTTTACAGCTGCCCCGATGAAATCTCGCAACAAATCGATGTTCTTGATGAATATGAAGGAGGTGCCGAGCCAGTCGAGCCTAAAATCGACACTCCTGTGAACAACGAAAATAATGGACACTTGTTCATCAAAGGAGTGCCGTTTTGGGCGACGAAAGATGAGAAACCACCACAGGTGAACTATGTTGGAACATCGCAAATGTTGAAAGATATTATGGATCGGAAATTGGTTTTGTTGAAGGATTTGAAAGCGCCGTGAGTTCTTGAACGCTGCCAAAAAACCTGGGAAACAACATCTTTTCAGTCCAAACTTGGATCCCTTTCACGAGATGTCCATGTTAACATCTAGAGATAAAGAATACTACGATCCTCATCGATTGATCACAAATACAATCAAATCATTAGTTGGATCAAATACAGTTCCACCAACTCGATCAACTGTGACTGCAAGTCCTGGACCAAAGAAAGATCATAATATGGTATTCGAGAATCCGACGGTGATGAATGTGTACAATCGAAAAAATCGGGAGGATAAAATCAATCAAGTTAAATTTGTGCCCGGTGCTTTGGCGAAGAAAAAGAATGGCATTTTTAAAAATTGGTTCTTTTAACTTGTTTTTTCGAACTTGTCATTATGAAGTTTGCTACTTGAAATTTTTTTTGGTCAAGTTTTAGCGCCAAAATTCAGATTTTCAAAGTTAAAAAATATTCAAACCGGATTAAAACGGAAAACAGAAAAATGAAACAATTTAGCAAAAAAACGAAAAAAAATTAAATCCCTTATAAAATTTAACGAAAAATAAAACAATTGCCTCTCCCTTAGAGAAAGCGAAATCAAGGAAAAATTGGCGTCACATCAAGTGTTTCAATGTGCGTGTATTGACTTTTACAACGACACTCCGCTTGCCCGCTGTTTAGCGCAACACGAGAATATTTTCATTTTTCGTTTTTTTCGCAGGGTTTTCAGGTTTTCGGGGAAAATCAGTGGATTTCAGTCAAAAATTGAATTTTAGATGTTCTACAAGGCTGGAATTATCGCTTCCAATGGAAAATTCGAGGATTATCGAAGAAAGGTGGGTTTTTTATAGAGAAACACTGTTTCGATTGAAATTTTTTAGTTTTCAAAGCCCTCGGAAATCTATACAAACAGAAATGGAGCTAGCAGAACTCAATAGTATATGAAAAAATCAAATTTGCTGATTTTCAGCTTGAAATATTAATGGTCAATTGGATTTCAGGTGAGTTTTTTGGGAGGGATTTTTGGGAGGAAAAATTGAAAAAATCGATAAAAAATTCTGTGAAGTTTGAAATTGAGGACTCGTCAAAATCTAGTTAGAGAAAAAAATAAATAAAAATAGGACACGCCCATTTTTTCAAATTCGGGAAATTGTCGCACACACATTATGCAAGAATGCGGCATGCTTTTCGGGTTTCTTGATTTTTTGCACTCAGAGATTCGCTGGCCAGCTCGCCACCAGATCGCTGCGGCCACCTGGAAACCGCATGGCCGCCAGGTCGCCTCGAGTTTTCCGGCGACGTGGCCTGTGTGTTTGAAATTCTGGAAAGCTGGCAAGACAGTGGTTTGTACTCAAAACACTGCATTTTCTACAGTTTTTTCACTTCCTAAGGTTTCAAGTGCTGCGAAAAAACAGAAAATGAGCCAAATTTTTCGAAAATGCCTCAATTCACAAGTTTTTCAGACATTTTTATGAAAATTCATTTTGACGCGGCGAAGTGGCCACCACATGGTAGCCATGTGGCCGTGACCTAGCCAGAGCCTGGCCACCTTGCCAGCGAAAAAAGACCGGGCGACATGGTTTCCATGTGGTTCCCAGGTCAGCCAGCCTCCCCACCTGGTGGCGAGCTGGCCAGCTAATCTCTGAGAAATTTTTGCATTTTTTTTTGATTAGTTGACTAGTCAGTCGACTGGAGTTGAATGTAAATCTATTCTATTATTTTTGATGTATTTTTCTTCGAATTTCATGGCTTCTTACCGAGATAATCACGGATTCTCTATGTTTGTCATATGGAATACAAATATAGTATTTTGTGATTTCTCGGCGAGGTTGCCACGTTTTTTTTTCAAATTTTGAACGCAGTAAGAGGAAACTGGATGGATATATGAAGGAAAACATCACTCTTCATGAAGGTAAATCATTTATTGCAAAATATTGAAGCAAAGAACCATTTTCCTAGGAAAATGGTTTTTTTATTAATTTTTTAAAATTATTGTTAAACGTGACCTTTCATAAAATTAGATTCACGAATACAAAAAAAAAGCCATTTTTAATATTTTTGAAAAATGAATAATGATGATACGAGCAATGGTGGTTTTATGGTGAGTTAACATTTTTGAATTTTTTTAACCTAACCGTTCAATTTCAGTGCATATTTCACGCCCTTTCAAGTGGTATGATAGCTTTAGGATTTGCAGCTTCAATTCAGGCAAATCGGCAAGTTGTGTAATCTCTAATATGAGCAATCTTTATATTTTTCAGAGAATATCGAATAAATTTTGAAAGTGTTCACAGCACTTCCTACAGCTATAAAATATGCTCGATGATCAATTTAATTCCATGTATATTCGCAATCGGATTTATCGGAAATCTCGCCGCAATTTTCCGCAAACCCTTCTACTATATATTTCTTCTAACTTGTTGTGCATACACATTTCTCATCTCAACAATTTCCAGTGTACAAATAGCCGAAGAACTCGCTACAATCGAAAGCGTTGGAGGGAAATATAAAAACTTGAAGAATTTGGATTGGTTTACCGAGTTGCCAGACGTTTTATATTTAAATTGTGTGATTATATTTGCTGAATGTTCAACAAGTTTGGGATTGGTTGGAATGACTGGATATATTTTTGTGATGAAGATTTTTAAAAAGAAGAAAAAGGAGGGAGAAAGAACTGAAGTAATTCAATATGAAAAGGATGTTACGCAAAGTGAAGAAACTCGTGAGAAAGTAGATGAAACTTATCATCATTAATGAATTTGTTGATGTTGGGGTGGAAATTTTGGAGATGGAGTTTGAATATAAATTTCTTGATGAAATCCTGAAATTTAAAAAATTTCAAAATTCAAATAAACCAAATAAATTTATTATCGAGTAACAGTGGTTTGTGTTTGAGTAGTAGTAGTAGTAGTAGTTGTTTCTGCACTCATTTCTGCATTATCACTTTTGCTCCCTGAATCTCTCCAAGCGATTAACCGTCTAACCAAAATCGTACTCGAAGTTACACCCACTGCCAAAATCAACAACATCGCGAAAAATATGATCACAACGTTCATGAAAAACATCGACTCCAAATCCACAAACCACTCAAATTCGCTCAAACTCCATTGCGTTTTCCTGGCCATCTGCCACTTGTCCCATTCATCGCTCAAATGCATCGAGGAAAAGATTAGCATGAGCAATGCGTAAAAACTGTATATAACTGCGAAAATTGAGAAAACGGTTTCTTGAAAATGTGCGTTGAGAAGTCCGAAAAATCCGATGGTGAAAATACATGGAATCAGGAGGACCATTGAGTTTAATTTGTAGTAATAGGTGTTGATTTGATAACTTTGGAGACTTATTTGGTATTCGCTGGAAAATACCGTATTGCTCATGTTAGTGCAGGGGAAGATTGAAATGGATAACATCTATGGTATCAAAGCGTCGTTAGATACCATAGAAGCAAGCTATCAGCGATTAGAGACGCAGAGAAGCTAGACAACCATAGAAAACTCACCGATGAGCTTGATTAGCAGCGACAAATCCGAGAAGTATCAAAATACATGAAACACCTTGAAGAAACAGTTTTACACATACATAGAACGTACAATTATCACGCATTTTTTAGCGGCGAAAAAAATATAAATAAGTAGAAATTTTGGGATTGCAGAAAATAAATATAGCGGGAAGGTCATCACGTAAAAAAACAACAAATTTATTTATTCATCTCTAATTTTGGTTCTTGTTTTGTTTTGGATTTCGATTTTTTCCTCGCTTCAAAAATTCTTATAATAATCATAGTAATGATAAAAATCAACAGACAAACAATAAATATTCCAGACAAAACAAGAAAAACTACATACATTTGAAAAAAAGGTTCTAGTTCAATAAACCAATCAAGTTTCTGCAGATCTTTGTCACCATCGGCAGCATTTCGACGATAAAGTTGATATTCCAAAATAACCGAAGAATATGCGATGAAACCGAATGCATTCAAGCACAATACGCCGAGAATTATGAGGTTTTTGGTTTTTGGAACGAGGGCTGTGAAGTTGCCGAAAAATGCGATGGAAAAATAGACGGGAAGCATGAGGAGCATTATATTCTTTGTGTATTTGAAGGGAATGTGCACTGGAGAACTTTTAATGATGATTTGATATTCCCTGAAAATGTTGACAATTGCTCATGTTAGGAAAAATTGGGTCGCTTTTTTCGACTTACCAATTAGCCAAATGCGATGCAACAAAACCTAAAATAAGCAACGCATTTGATAATGCTTGAAGGACCAGCTGGAAGTCTCATACATATTTTCAAAGTTATCAATCTCATAATAACTTACTTTAGTAGAAAAGCTCTGCTGATCGGTCATTTTTGAAAAATGAAAAATAAATTTATTAATTTTTTGTTGGAGAAAATGAGCCGCAGAGGAAAATGGGTCACGTATGGAAATTTCCGGTTTTTTGGGAGGCGCTCAGGATCTTGAGCTCGATCTGATACGGTAATCCTTGCAGCCCTAAAAAAATCCAAAAAAAAACAAGGTAAAAATGTTTATTTTAAAATTTTTCAAATTATTATTTTTTTTTTGACTTTGCTGAGATCTGAAAAATAGGAATACAGTTTTATTCTACAAAAAAATCCAAAACCTACTGTATTTTTTTTTTCTAAATTTTTGGTCCCATTTTGTAATTCACTGAAGGACCTGCAAATATATATCATTATATTTGTGTTTTGAAGCTTATTGTAACTTACACAATGATATCACCAATTTGGCTTCTTTTCACATTAGATAAGTAAAATATCAATCGAAGAACTGTAGTGTAGATACAGTTGAATATTTCTGTAGAAAATCAAACTACTTTTCGAAAAAACTTGAAATGAACCTGACCTACTTTTTCTTAAATGTTATGTTCGTACAATTTTGAATTTTGAACATGAAATTCGTCACCATCATGGGCTTTTGAAATCTGAAAAAAAATCCTGTTAATTTTTTTCAGAACAAAATTATTTCAACCTACTTTGACCTCAAAAACAAACATTTTGTTCCCGTTCTGTGGCTCGCTAAAGGTTGTTCTTTTTGTTGAAAAACTGAATTTGAGAAGTACTGTAGTGTAGATACAGTAAGATCTGATTAAATTCTGAAAAAAATTTTATGAACATTTTTAGGTAGAAAATTTTCGACCTACTTTTTTTTTCTTCTCTTTTTTGCGTCCATACGGATCACCTCCGAAGTTACAGATTTGAAAAACTGAAAAAAAATCTGCTCCATTAAATTAAAAAAATAAATGAAAATAAACCAACTTTTTTCTCCATCAATACATAAATTTGTTCCCGTTTTGTGGCTCTGAGTAGGTAGATCAACAATAATCTGAAAAAAATATTGATTGAAAAAATTGAGAAGAAATTCAGCTTACCTAAAATTTTGCTCGAAACTGGGTTGTATGCTGAGGCACAAAAAACATATTTTCTTATAAATTGAATTTGAGAAGTACTGTAGTTTAGATACAGTAAGTAACATGGTCAAATTCTGAAAATTTTAAAGATAATATTTACATTAGGCAAGAAATTTTTGGACCTACCTTTTCTTTACAAAAAATGGAATTATCGTCGTATATTTTTTGGTCTTTGTGTTACCCTAAATTCATTGTCGAAAAATATACTGAATGCTCTGTTTTCAAGTTTCAAATCTCAAATCATTCCAGCAAAAAAATTTGCAAAAAGCATTTTTGCTCTCACATTGGATTTCTCCGATGACCTTTAAAAATCTGAAAAAAACACTATAGAATATTTTTCTGGAAATTTCAAACCTTTGAAATTCAGTGAATTGAAAGTCCGATAGAGTACTGTAGTTTAGATACAGTAATAATATGTACACAATTTTATAGAAAAATATTGCGAAATAAAAAAAAGTCGCATTTTCTCCTGCCTACACAAAACGCGTCAGTCTTTGATCAGCTGGAGCAAAAAATTAAAAGACACTTTTTGTAAAAATGTAAACTTTGTAACAGAGTCTCGGACAAAAAAGTCATGATCTCAGAATCGGCCCAATTTTTTTTCTTAGTAAGCCCCATGGGTGGGGAACTTTTTCCACCAGGTTAGAGATCATAATATCGTTTCGGCAATTTGGTGGGACCGGGTGAAGGGGAACATTGTTTTTCGAAAATTTATCGTAAGTAGGGTTAAAATTCATATTTTTCGATGATCAAAAAAGCATTTTGCTCGTCTTTTGACGCTCTTTTCGATGGAAAAGAGTATGCATTTCGAATATTTTTTCTAAAAAAAATTTTTTTTTCGCCCTATATAAACATTGCTCAGGAGTCATTTCCGCTCTTTCTAACCGGTTCCAAAATGTTCCTCGTGCCTTTTTACGTAGATTTGACTACTTTCAAAAAAATTTTTCGGGGTCCCTCATCTTCAAAAAATCACGTTTTTACGGTCAATTCATGTTTTTTGCGCGCGCACACACACAAATTAGCATAAAATAATCGGATTTTTATTGTCCGAGAGGTCCTGGTTCGATTCCTCACCAATGCGAATTTTTTAAAATTTTTTTGTCTTCTGTCTGAAAGTGTCAAAAAAGTATAAATAAGTGTATTTTTAAAAAATTTAAAAGAGATTTAAGGGCATACCTCGGCCAAAATCGTGGTTTCCAATATAAAAAATTATACGCTAACTTTTTACAGTACAAAAATTGTGAATTGTTCAGTTTTTGTTTTCTAAAAATTGTGATTTTTTTATTTTTGACCTCTAAAAACTGAAATTCAGATTTTTCCAAAAATTGTACTGTGGCCAGCTTGGCCGAGGTGTGTTTAAGAGTGTATTTAGTAAACAAAGATATATGTATCTTTTTATTTGACTTACAAGAAATAGATCCCAATGTGACCCCCTGAAAAATTTCGGTTTTATGTTCAAATAGTGTCTTATGGGGAGTTATGAAAAAACCGAAAGGAATTTTGTAAGTAAAAATTACTTTCATGAGAATTCCTAGGTCGAAATTATGAGTAATTTCATAAAGACAAAAAACTTTCTATTTTTGAAAATTCGTAATTCAGCTCAAACTAAACGAAAAAAACTCGATCAAAACCGTATTTGGAAGCTTGAATTGCCCTCTTTTCAGTTATTTTGGAACAGTTATCAAACTTTCAATTTGATACATGAAAAAATAAGATAAACATTAAAATCATTTTTTTATCGAAAAATGGCGTCAATTTTTAAAAAATTTCACCGTGGATTTTTCAAAAAAATCAATTTAAAAATTTTTCTTTTTTTTTATGTATCAAATGCAATGTTTGATAACTGTACTTTAAAAAAACCGAAAAGAACGCAATTCAAGCTTTAAAATACGGTTTTGATCGAGTTTTTTCGTTGAGTTTGAGCTGAGTTACGAATTTTCAAAAATAGAAGGTTTTTTGACTTTTTGAAAAATATTCATAATTTCAACAGCCGGATTCTCATGAAAGAAATTTTTACTTACAAAATCCCCTTTGGATTTTTCATAACTCCCCATAAGACACTATTTGAACATACAACCGAAATTTTTCAGGGGGTCACATTGGGATCTATTCCTTGTTAGTATAAGTCTCAATTTCACACTTGGATACAATGAACATTGAATTTTTTGTGTTAACCCGATTCAACTTTCGATTTAAGTTTAGTAACCTTCTTAAAATATCAGCTAAACATTTAAAAATCCATAATATTCACCGTTCTATTGACGGATTCCAAAAACAAATATGTTATTCTAAAGTTCGTGATAATCTGAAGTTCTAAGTGAAAATAGGCAATCCAGGAGTGTCAAAATCATGTAAAAAATTTTTAATTGACATTAGAAACTCAAATTTATACTTTTTTTGACACTTTCAGACAGAAGACAAAAAAATTTAAAAAAATTCGCATTGGTGAGGAATCGAACCAGGACCTCTCGGACAATAAAAATCCGATTATTTTATGCTAATTTGTGTGTGTGCGCGCGCAAAAAACATGAATTGACCGTAAAAACGTGATTTTTTGAAGATGAGGGACCCCGAAAAATTTTTTTGAAAGTAGTCAAATCTACGTAAAAAGGCACGAGGAACATTTTGGAACCGGTTAGAAAGAGCGGAAATGACTCCTGAGCAATGTTTATATAGGGCGAAAAAAAAATTTTTTTTAGAAAAAATATTCGAAATGCATACTCTTTTCCATCGAAAAGAGCGTCAAAAGACGAGCAAAATGCTTTTTTGATCATCGAAAAATATGAATTTTAACCCTACTTACGATAAATTTTCGAAAAACAATGTTCCCCTTCACCCGGTCCCACCAAATTGCCGAAACGATATTATGATCTCTAACCTGGTGGAAAAAGTTCCCCACCCATGGGGCTTACTAAGAAAAAAAATTGGGCCGATTCTGAGATCATGACTTTTTCTTTGTCCGGTGGGTTTTGCAGTCTTACAAGGAGTGTCTTTTAAGAACAAAAAAAAGTGTTTATTATTCATACAATTTGCGGTAACTTCCAACAAGGATCAATCATTTTTCGAGCTTTCCATGAAAATTCGGCCATTGTTTTACAATCAAATTTCACTTTTCCATAAACTTCATCGATTTTTTCGGCTATTTTTCGTGTCAAAACTTTGGAAAACCTTGGATTTAACGGGGAAATTGAGAAATTTTCATAATCATTTTCCCAATTTTCACCGAAATCTTGGAATTTTGTATTGCGATAGTGTCGGAAATGAGCTTTTTCGGGATTTTGTTGGATAGCTTGGACACCGGGATATTTTGCAATAACGTAGTGAACGGAGAGAATTGCGATCTAAAAAAAACTATGCCTCAAAATTGCAAATGGAGGATTCCTCTCCTAACCTTCTCCGGTCTAACAATCAATTTCATCGCATCCCACGTGGCCCGCGTCGCATTTTTCCATCTAACATGAGCAACACTTCGCCCGATGTTCTCCAGCTTCCCATCATATTTTTCGGGATAATCCCCAGTTTTTAAAATTCGCTGAACTTGCATTTGAATCTCTCCGATGTTTGGATTTTCGATAAGTCGAAGTTCATCCAAAAATCGATAATTACCGAAGACTTCGAGTCGCTCATCTAAATCAATAAATGCTACCCATTTTGCGTGGTTTTTCGAGCGTTGGTGACAGTCCTGAAAAACGAAAAAAAGTTGGGAGGCGGGTGGAATCGAACCCTGGTTTTGCAAACGGTATGCAGCCGTGTATACCACTTGACCACGCGACATTTTTTAAACCTTCTCTAAATCGTCCCCTTTCCCTTACCTGTATCTGAATTTGCTGATATAACAAAGCTGGTCTCTCGAATTTATCCTGAATCGGAACAATTTCAATAAATCCCGATTTCTGATAGTTATTCAATATTCTTTGATCATAAGAAGAAATTGATAAAATATAAAAATAGAAGAAGGAAACACCGTGAAGTTTGTGATTTTCGATGAATTCGGTGATTTGCAGCCATTTTGGTTCGGTTCCGTATAATGGAGAAATGCAGATAGCGAATTCGTGTGGGGGAGCTGGAAAATATTTCTGAAACTTGAGTTTTTGGTCTCAAAATTGGATTTTTGAGGTTAGATTTTACACAAGAAACCTGAAACTTTTTAGTTTCGACTAACTTTGAAATGTTTTCCATTCAAAAAAAATTGGCTATAGCTTCGCTACCGCCCGAAAGCGATACAACACACAAAACACGCGAATATATAAATTTGTGATGTGGGCGACGGTTAACGGGTTGTGTGTGTTGCCATTGTTTGTGTGCAAGAGGGGCGGGGCTTAATTGAGGGAGCGCGTTTTTTCGCAAGTTTTCAAGTGAATTTTGATGAAATCTCTGATTTTTTGCGTGAAAAATGAAGATTTTCATTTATATATGGACAAATAGTGTCCAAAAATTAAACAAAACTATTTCAAGATGTGTTTAATTTTTTTCCTCTGAAAATTCTTTCCCAGGAAACATAGACTAATTTGGTGTCAAATTGAAGCTCTAGATCTCTTAAACCTCAAAAAATTCCCGAAAATCAATATTTTCACTCCTACCTTCAAAATCCCTCCTCCTCAATTCCACACTCTCCCCAACTTGCTCATCCAATTTCCTCGTCACCGAAATATACCTAACTCCTTTTCTCCTCGGACAAAAAATCACAGCTTCCGGAAAAACCTCACTCTCATACGGCTCCCCAATTTCCTTCCGTTCACAATCCAAAAATCGACAAAACATTCGAGATTTGTACAATTTTTGAGAAGTTATCGTAACACTTATATGATCTGCGAATACAAATCCAGACAGAATCGAGAAATCTTCACTTAAATTATTTTCACGAGACAGGTTCAGGTATTTGAATAAACTGTGTGAAAAATAGTGAGGAAGGTAGCGGGTCTCGACACGATTCCAAGTGTCCACGTGGCAAGTACTGTAGGAGATTGATATTGGAGAGAATGGCAAATTTGAGTAGATCAAAAAAGAAGTTGTGAAAATTGAGAAAAATATTAGAAGCTTTGATTTTTTGGCCATTTTTGAAAATTTAAATTTACATTAAAAATTGGAAAATAAATAAATAAATGAATAAAAGAAGATCTGATAATTATTCTTATAATATAATTAATTTTAGGTAATTAATGAGATTTTTATTGAAATATCGGATTTTTGGGATGGGTTTCGATGTTTCTTTGAGATAACAAAGGAACTTTTTTGAGGGATTTCAGGATCTGAAAGGCGTGAATTCGAGAATTTTAGGAAATTTTTTAAACTTTAAGTTCCCTTCTGTTTTGTCCATATTTGTAATAAAATTTCAAAGCTTCCAACAAACCTTTCTACTTTCAAACAACAAAAGTTGCCTCGTGGAAATATTTTAGAAAAAAAAACAAAAAAAAATCTATTTTTGGTCCTGAACTTCCCCGGTGGAAGATAAATTTTTTAAAAATGTTTCAAATAATTTATTTTCTCAAATCAGTAATATGTGGAACTGCTCATTATGTCGGTACACAAAAATGTATGGAAATCTTGGGTTCCTTACCATTTCGATCTATGTATTACTGTAGTTTAAATACAGTAATTATGATGATCTGAAAAATGATTGGAATTATGGAAATTGGGAACTTTTTTGAACTCACTTCTTTTTTTTAGGAGTAATCAACATAATGGTGACCGTAAAATTCTTAAAATTCTCAATTTTTTTTTTTCAAGAGGTCGTTGGACGTTGACAGGAACCAGATTAGGACTTATTGACGTTTGTTGAAGAGTCATTAATTGTACACAATGTGTTTGACGCAACGTTGTTAAATTCTTCGCTATTGGTTTCCAATTTTTGAAGATTCTGAAAAGTTCCAAGGTTTTTCAAATTTAATTTTCTGAAAAAAGTTGGATTTCCTACCATTTTGAACTATGAATTACTGCAGTTTAGATACAGTACTAGAGATGATCTGAAAATAAATAGATATTTGTTTGATGTATGTTTCGGTAATTCGAGAATTTGTTGAACTCACTTTTAATTTTAGAAGTAATCTACACATTGATGGGCGTTAATAATCAAAATGTTCTATTTAACAAAATGTCAAAGTTCTTTTTATCTCGAGGCTGAAAAAAATTGAAATTTGAATATGAAAAAACTGTGAAAAACTATAACATACGGGATATGTTTTCATTTGGAGCAAAGCAGTTCTTCTAGATTGATTTACATTTTTCGAAGATTCTGAAAAATGTAAAGATTATGTATTCAAAACTGACAGATTCCCTACCATTTTCAATAACATTACTGTAGTTTAAATACAGTATTTGAGATGATCTGAAAATAAATCGAGTTATTTTTTGGGCTAAACAATTTTTGAACCAACCATTTTTTTAATTTCAGTAGAAAGATATTGCTCTTGCTCGGGAAAATTTTTGTTGTAAGTGTTCTGAGTTGGGTCTTATCGTAGTTCGTAATTTTCAGATTGAAGTCACAAAACCCCATTCATTTGGAAGTAAGGAGTTCTTCTAGATTGATTTACATTTTTCGAAGATTCTGAAAAATGTAAAAGTTATGTTTTCAAAACTGTCAGATGCCCTACCATTTTCAAATATATTACTGTAGTTTAGATACAGTACTTGAGATGATCTGAAAATAAATTGATATTATTTTTTTGGTTGAACAATTTTTGAACCAACCATTTTCTTCCAATTTTTCGTGCGAACATGAAATTGGTATTTTGGAAATTGTTTTGATAAAATCTTGTCATAGTTTCGGTTGAAGTTATAAAATTCATTTGAACCCCTGTTTTTGCTCTAACTTGGTCTCATTGGAAGTATTTTTTGTGCATTTCGAAAATTATTCTGAAAATACAAATTCTGAAAATCATTTGATCATATCTGAAATTCAACTTACATTGAAACAATCCATGTGAGATGTTCTGTCTCAATTCAAAATATAACTTTTCAACATAGAAATTAGAAATTCAGGCTTCTTGAATATTACTGTAGTTTAGATACAGTACTAATGATTTTTCCATTTTTAACAAAAATTCTCACAGACCGCCTAAAAACGATGTAAACAAAATAAGATGATATTACAACGTGTGCTAAGGGCCGAAGACTGACGCATTTTGTGTAGACTGACGCATTTCATGATTTTTAGGATAGTCATTTTTCCTATTTTTCTGCTTTTAAGAATTGATTTTTTATGAGTACTGTATCTAAACTACAGTAATTTTCTAGATAATTTTTAAAATATTTTCTCAAATCCGATTTCGAACGTTGGAGTGAGTTTGAGAGCTGAAATTTGAGAAAACTATCATTTTTTTCAGACAAAAATTGATTTCATGGATACTTGGACCAAGTTTGAGTACACAAAGAAGGCCTGAGAAAAATGAGGTAATTTTCGAGAGAAATTAAATTTTTTTTCTATTTTTGATATTTTCAGTGAAAATTGAGAATATCTGCAAAAGCCATAAACTGGACTTCAATAAAAATTAAAGGTAAAACTTTTTGTTTTATTTTTTAAATCCAAATGTGGTTATTTTTTCAGAAGTAGTACTGTATCTACATTACAGTAATATTACGATAATTTCATGCAATTTCTGAATTTCAATCAAATTTGAGAACACAAAGAGAAGAGATTAGGGTAATATTTCAACAAAATTAATTTTTTTTTCCAAATTTTGAATTTTTTAGGTAAAGTTATCTTTTTTGCATATCCTTATGAAGCCATCGGATTCCGAGAAAACATCTATCAAAAATTGATAAAAAGTGAGTTATCAGAAGTTTATTCTCTCATAAAAAAAACCAACATTTTTCCAGGAGTAGTACCGTATCTAAACTACAGTAATGAACTTCAAACTTCAAACAAACTACCCAAGTTCGAAACATCAATGAAGTAAGTGCAAGAACTCAAATTTCTCAAAGTTTATTGAATTTTTTCCAGTTTCAAGTTTGAGTTGTAGAAACAAGCTGGTAAAAATTATGGGATTTAACGTTGATGTAAAGAAAAAATACAGCGCAACAGAATTGGACTCTATGACCGTGAAAAATTGTGAATTTTCCCAAACAAAATGATAAAAGGTGAGTTTCAAGAAATTTTCCACTCATAGAAAATCCAAAATTTTCAGAATTAACTACTGTATCTAAACTACAGTAATTCTAGACAATTCTAAATACTTCATGAAATTACTAATATTTCAATCAATTCTGAGCTTAATTACCCAAAAGAATAAGAGCATATTAGAAATAAAAAAGGTTAGTTAACTTCAGGAACATAACTTGAAAAAACTGCAATTTTTTATATTTTATGTTTTCAGACACCAAACCCATGCAGAAGTTCCAAAATGCAGCAAGTACGAATAGCAAAAACAAGCAAAATGAATTCTAGGTAAATTTTGGAAAAAGTTATTTCATGAAAAATAGAATTTTCTAAATTTTCAGAAGAAGTACTGTATCTAAACTACAGTAATATGCTTGGATAAGATTAAACAAGAAATACAACTTCGATTTCGAAAAATGGAGTGAGTTTCGGAGGCTGGAATTTCAAAATATGAAATAAAATTCTTTTTTTCAGACAAAAAATTGATTTTCGGAAACTTGGACCAAGTTTGAGTACACAAAGAAGGCCTGAAAAAAAGGGGAAAAAATGAGGTGACTTTCGAGAGAAATTAAATTTTTTTCTAATTTTGATATTTTCAGTGACAGAAGGGCAGGGAAAAAAAGGTAATTTTCGAAAGAAAATTTTAAAAAAATCCAATTTCGATATTTTTCAGATTGAGTAAGCTGCATGGCACACAGACTAGAGAGCAATTTGAATTCTAGAATGGTTCCCGCTCATAAAAAATCCAACATTTTTCCAGGAAATAGTACTGTATCTAAACTACAGTAATATTATCGATCAATTTTAAACTCGAATTATCCCAGTTAGTTCAAATTTTTTCGAAATCAAAAAACCGAAACAATATATTTTTCAGACCCGACACGGATATCTGAGAATGGTCAATGGAAGAAGATGTTGTAATTTGTCAATTGAAAAATTAATCAATGAATTTTTTGTCAAAAATAGAAATATTGTTGAAACTCTGCAAAAAAATAATTGCATGTATTTGATTTTTTTTGGATTTTATCGCGTTGCTCAGGTCAGGAAAGTCGATCTGGTCTGAACTTGAAAAAATCTGCTGTTCAAAAAAATTTCAAAAAATGGCAATTTTTTGGATATCAAATTTGAATTCTCTGAACGACGCTGTAAAATCTGAGTTCAACAACCTTGTTTCCTGAATCGAATATATAATTTTGCCACGTCATAACTATATTTGAGATTGTGAACTTGAAGTACAATTATTATTTACTCAACCTTACAATTAGTCGAATTATGGTTTCAGCATTATGTCGTTAATTTTCAGCGCTTCTGAAAATTCTGTACTGTAGTTTAGATACAGTTAGTACACATTCCATGTTTCAAAGCCCTTCTGGCTTAGCCCCTGCAAAAAAAATTATTTAGAAATGCAGTTTTTTCAAAAGCTCTAACTCACCTCCTTGCTCTGTTCATCTATTTTTCATGTTGCCAAGAGTTGAGTTGCTGCATATGGTATCTGAAAAATTCAAATTTTTGCGGGAGAATGAAAATTTCACCAGAGAAATTAGAACTTACCTCAACTTTCGAAATTTTTCCAAAAGCATTCGTTCCATTTAGTTACGTCGCCCTATTCATTGCTATTTCCAGAATTTTCTCTTCAAATTACTGTAGTTTAGATACAGTACATTCCATGTTCCCAAATTTTCAAAGCCCTTTTGCCTCAATCCCTGAAAAAATTTAATTCAATATTTGAACTCAATTTTTTTTCGACAAACCTCTACGCACGTCAGATTCTTCGTAGTATCGTTGTACTCTTCTGTTACTAATATCATAAGTGTTATCCAAATATTACTAGGTTAGATACAGTATTCTCAAGTCTTCTTTTCCCCATACGCCCTTTTGCCTTAGCCCCTGAAAAATTTAGATTCTTACTTTAGGTTTTAAAAATTAACTCACTTCGTTGCCTTTTCAATTTCATAACTGTTTTAAAATAATTTTCTGGAAAAAAAAGTTTTAAAAATCTAAAATCTAATGGGGTGAGTCAATTTTATTTTTTGTCAATTAATTGACACAAAAAAGTGAGTCTTTTTTGTGCGATTTTTTCACGTTTTTGTCGATTAATTCCATCTTTTTTTGCAATTAATTGCATTCAAAAATGGGGAATTTCAATACGAAATATAATTTATTTGACCTTTTTTTTGAAACGTGTCCCAAATTCACTGCTTATTTTTTGGATTCATTTCGAAATGAAAGAAAATTGAGAGAAGACAATTTTTTTGTTGATAATTCCAACTCATATAGATCACGTTTCAAAATATAGGTCAAATAAATTCTATTTTTATGCAATTAATCGCATTTTTTGCCAAGAAATGAAAGCGATGAATTGACAAAAACGTGAAATTAATCGCCCTAAAAGACTCACTTTTTTTGTCAATTAATCGCAAAAAACACGTCGATTAATTCGATTGACTCACCCCATAAGAAAAAATAGAACTTACCCTAACTTTCAAAATTCTTCAAAGCACTCATTCCATTTCGTATTATCGCCAATAGACACTTTTATAAATAATAATTTTTCTTCAAATTACTGTAGTTTAGATACATTACTCTTCACAAATCCATTTTTGAAAGCAAAATAAACAGAAAAATGTTCCTAAAAACTTTTGTTATCTACACAAAACGCGTCAGTCTTTGGCCATTGGTATACATTGAAAAGGTCAACTATCTTCTTTTGCTTTCCTAAAATTTCCAATAGAAAAAAATTTCAAAAAAACTTTTATTTCGAAATAGACGTATGAGGATAGGTTCAAAGATATTTAATTTCTAATTCCAAGTTGATTGAATGAGTACTGTAGTCCAGATACAGTAAGTTGATCGCGCGATTCTGGAAAACAATTTTGAAATATATATATCTAGGTACAGTTTCCAGAAGAAAAATACATACTTTTTTCAACGTGCTTGCGCCGGAAATATTCTCGGATGGTGCTAAATCGTGATTGAATTTTTTAATGTACCAACAAGTACTGTAATTTAGATACAGTAATCCGAAATCTCCTAAAATAGAAAAATATTTTTATTTTCCAATTAAACATATTTTTTCATTTTGCGCGGGTACTTCGATCACAGAGTGCTTCTGAAAAATCGAGCTAAATTATCCATGAAAACAAAATTTTTTAAACAAAAAAGTACTTTTTTTATTTTCCAAGTTGACGAATTCCGGAAAGATTTTTCCGATTTCAAAAATCAAATATTCATTTTCAGAAAACAATATTCAGTACTGCAGTCTAGATACAGTAATCCGAAATCCCCTAAAATAGAAAAGTATTTTTATTTTCCAAATAAAACTTTCCAAAACTGACCTATTTTTTTATTTTGGATGGATATTTGGCTCACAATGTACATAGAGTGGATGTCTCCATGTGAGGTAGAGTTATGTTGAAATTAATATTTGAAAATAAAGTACTGTAATTTAGATACAGTAATCCGAAATGAACCTGAAAATATAAACTCATTAATATCTTCAGAACAAGTTTTTTTCCAAAAACTGACTTTTTTCAAAATTTGTCGAATGTTTTACCACAGCCTGGGCTGAAATATTCCACTTTTTTATATTTCCAATTTTTCACAGATTCGTTGTTGGAGCATTTCTTCGACTTGTTTCCGTACTTCTTCTCTGCTTCTCGGCTTGCCAATGGAATCCTTGAATTTCTCGGTTACATCTTTGGGGTTTTGATCAATTTACTATGAAAAATTTGGTAGAAAAAGTACTGTAGTGTAGATACAGTAATCCGAAATCCCCTAAAATAGAAAAGTATTTTCATTTTCCAAATAAATTTTCCAAAAACTCACTTTTTTTATTTTGGGCGCAAACTCACCTGACATTATGCTCCTAAAAATTCAACAAAACTATTTATGAAAAAATAAATTACTGAAAAAAACATACTTTTTTTCATTTTCCAAAATTTGCAGCCGTTGAATAGTTGTGTTTCGATTTCAAAAATCCTCGTTTGAAAAATATTCAGTACTGTAGTTTAGATACAGTAATAATTGTGACTAGAATTGTGAGAAAGTAGAGAAGTTAGACTAAATAATAAAAGCAGGACGCTTGTTTATGACACAAAGAACAAATGTGCCAGTTTCCGGCCAGCTGGCGCATTTTTGTTGGGAAATTGGAGAAAGTCCTCTCCATCAAAATTCACTCGAAAACTTGATTTTTTCGCAAAAAAACGCACCTTACTCTACTCTTCTATCACTCCTCAATTTCCATTTCGAAAATGTTTCTGAAAATCAAAACAACATTTTTTCAACAAATATTTTATTCCGAAGTAATCCACACATTGATATGAGTATGAAATCTGTTAAATTAAAATGTTGAGTTCCAAGTTGATTGAATAGTACTGTAGTCTAGATACAGTAAGTTGATCGGGCGTTTCTGAAAAAATACCATAGTCTAGGTACAGTAATCAGAAGAAAATTACATACTTTTTTTCAAAGTGTACGTACTGATTCTGAACTTCGCTTTTGATGAAGCTAAATCTCCTTGAAATTGATCTTTTCGAAAAATTGTTGAACAAGTACTGTAATTTAGATACAGTAATCCGAATGAACCTGAAAATATATACTCTTTAATATCTCCAGAACAAGTTTTTTTCCAAAAACTTACTTTTTTCAAAATTTGTCATAGGTTTTACCGCAACCTGGGCTGAAATATTCTACTTTTTTTTCAATGTTTCAGAGATTCCTTGTTTTAGCATTTTTTCGATCTGTTCCAGTACTTCTTCTTTGCTTGCCTATGGATTCCTTGAATTTCTCAGCTTTGGGATTGTGTAATTTGGTATGAACGGTATCTTGTGGGTTTCCTTTCCGGTATATAACTAACCTGAAAAATTGAAATGAAAAAAGTTTTTTTGATTAGAAAATCTTACTTCTTTGGGGTTTTGATCCATTTACTTTACAGTTATCAGAAGAAAATTACATACTTTTTTTCAAAGTGTACGTACTGATTCTGCACTTCGCTTTTGATCAAGATAAATCTCCTTGAAGTTGATTTTTTCGTAAAATTGTTGAACAAGTACTGTAATTTAGATACAGTAATCCGAATGAACCTGAAAATATATACTCTTTTTAAAGATTAAAATATCTTCAGAACAAGGTTTTTCCAAAAACTTACTTTTTTTAATTTGTCAAATGTTTTACCGCAACCTGGGTCGAAATATTTTACATTTTTCTGTTTTCAAGTTTTCACAGATTCCTTGTTTTATCATTATGTCGATTTGGTTCCTTACTTCTTCTCGGCTTGCCAATGGAATCCTTGAATTTCTCGGCTTTTGGATTGTGTAATTTGATATGAATGGGATCTTGTGGGTTTCTTTTCCGGTATATAACTTACCTGAAAAATTGAAATGAAAAAAAGTTTTTTTGATTAGAAAATCTTACTTCTTTGTGGTTTCGATCCATTTACTTTGCAAAATTTGGTAGAAAAAGTACTGTAGTGTAGATACAGTAAGTTTAATGGAATTCTGGAAAAAAAATCAATATTTTCAGAATGCAAAAACTTTTCAGTGAATTGTTCTTACATTTTTTTGTTATGCGATGCTTCGATGTTCTAAATCTTAAAATGTCGTCAAGGTATGCGAAACATTGGGTGTTTTTTTCGAGTTCAAAAAAAATCCTTACTTCATTTCCAATTTTTTTAATTTTTGTGCGGAAACTTAGCTCATAGGGTGCTCCTGAAAAATAAAAAGAAATTATTTAAAAAATAATTTAAAAAAAAACACACTTTAAAAAAAAATTTCCCAAAATTTGCACCCATTCAATAATTGAGTTTCGATTTCAAAAACCCTCGTTTGAAAAATATATAGTACTGTAATTTAGATACAGTAATAATTGTCACTAGAATTGTGAGAAAGAAGAGAAGTTAGACTAAATAATAAAAGCAGGACGCTTGTTTATGACACAAAGAAAAAATGCGCCAGTTTCCGGCCAGCTGGCGCATTTTTTGTGTAGAGTGTTTTTTTTTGTTGGGAAATTGGAGCAGGGGCTGATTTTGAATGACAATGAGTTTTGGCAATTTCTTAAATTTTTATTGAGACAATAATTGTGAAAATTAAGATTTGTTTCACTTTCGGATGTTAATAATGTAGAACATTTCCCAGTGTTTTGTGGAGAAATTGAGGTCTGAAAATACTGAAATTGGTAAGGGAAGTCGAAAAGAAAATCTTACATCTAACTTTGGGACCAAGCTGCATTAGGTCTCCGAATTTGGAGCCATCAAATATGAAAATCGAATGGAGGAGAACGAGTACTGTAGTGTAGATACAGTGATGATTGAAATTCTGGAAAAAAACGATATTTTCAAGTTGCAACAATTTTTGAGAAAAAGGTTCTTACATTTTTTGCAATGATAGTTTGCTGCGTTGTCGGTTTTGAATATTCGAATTTTTATCAACCTTTTTTGATCGGAATCTGCAGAAAATCTCCGACACACTTTAATCCATTTAATTTTAGAATTTTATAGATCGAGGACTGTAGTGTAGATACAGTAAGTGATTTGTTGACAATCTGGAAAAATCTATATTTTGAGGCTGCAAAAACTTTTCTTACATTTTTGCTGTGATAGCTACCAGCGTTGTCGGTTTTGAATACCCATTCTGATTTTCCTTGAACGGTATCTGTAAGCGGTCTCCGATGTGTTGACCCATTTGATTCAAAATTTCGTAGGAATAGTACTGTAGTGTAGATACAGTAAGTTGTAAAGAGACAATCATTTTTTTTTTTAATATTTTCGGGCGGTAGTTGTAGTAAATCTCCGAATTTCAAATAAAAGTTTCGCTGGGCAAGTACTGTAGTGTAGATACAGTAAATTTTTTGTTGAACATCTGGAAAAAATTGAATATGAAGAGGGTTTCACAGGGAGTTTCTCTCACATTTTTGCTATGATAGTTTTCGGCATTGTCGGTTTTCTAGACACTCTTCAATCCTATTTTTATCGAGGTGGAATTTTATGAAAAAAAATCTTAAATTGTCGTCAAGATATGCAAAGCATTGGGAGTTTTTCTTGAGTTCAACCTGAAAATTGTTTATCTTTAAAATCTACAAGGGAAAATTCTCACTTTATTATCTCACTGAATATTGTTAGAAAATGAGTACTGTAGTGTAGATACAGTAAATTGGATGAATATCTGAAAAAATCAATATTTTTAGGTTGCAAAAAACTTTTCAGAGAAATTTTCTTACATTTTTTGGAGTGATAATTGCCTGCGTTATCGCTTTTGAATATTTTTATTTTTTATCATTCTTTTTTGATTGGGATTTGTAGAAAGTCTCCGTCACACTTTGATCCATTTAATTTTAGAAATTTGTAGAAATAGTACTGTAGTGTAGATACAGTAAGTTGCTTGATGAAATTCTGGAAAAAGCGATATTTTCTGTGCTGAAATCTTTCCTAAAACTCACATTTTAAGTTTTTTCCTGGCATTTTGAATTAGAATTTTTCTCTTTAATTTTTCTATTTGAGACGGAATTTCCATGTTATACAGGTTGAATTTCAAGACGCATGGCACATTTTTCGGTCTTTCTCTTATGGGCTATCGTGCATCTGTCTTTAAAAATCTTGAAAATAGAGTACTGTAGTTTAGATACAGTAATCACTGCAGAAATAAAATATTACGAAATTCGGAAAAAATGAACGCCGTTTAGAAACAAGCTAACAGAAAATGCGTCAGTCTTTTGGGAAGCTAGCGCTTTTTGGGTAGTTCTAGAGGAGAAAGGGCGGAGCCTAGAGAAAATATTTTCTCTTTATTTTAAAATGAACAAGGATGAAATGACCGGCTTCGCCCGGTCTTCATACTTGAGTATAATTATCAAAAAAAAGAAACTAGAAATTCTGTAAATTATTTCGAAAAATTGGGTGATGACGTCATCCAATACAAGATTCAAATTGATTTGTATTTTATACCGCTTGAGAAAAAAACAAGTCACAAAAAATCACATAACAAAAACAAACTTCAAAAAACGATTTAAAAAAAAATAAAAATATAAAACATAATTTCCGCTTTATTGTTACCATTAAGGGACTTTTTGATGAAATAACTTTTTTTCATTTTTCACCAAGATACTTGCCCATATCCACAAAAAACCCAATATGCTGCTCTAATCGCGTGAAAATCTCCCTTTTAAAAAATTCAAACCCAACTCATTCTTACAAGGGAACCTTTTTTACTCAACACTTCAAATCATGATGAAATTTGGTCCATGGACAGCTTTTGGGGCCATAAGAACACCCTAAAAATTTTAGTCTCCCAATGGACCTATGAGCCAAGTTCTGGGCTCTCAAAAGTTCAAAAAAGGCCTAAAAATGGCCATAAAAGTCATCATAGCTCCATTTCGAAATTTTTTTCGGTGGAAATGAAGTTTCAGATATTGATCAGCAGTCGATTACCTAAAAGTACATCAATAAAAAACTTTATTTCGAAAAATTTTGAAGTTTTTTATTTTTGGGCTGAAAATTCATGAAAATTCATATGTGCCCCTGCTCATTCTTTTTTTCAAAATCAGAAATTTTTCTGAAAATTCGATTTATTGATGGTTTTTGGGTAAATCGACCACGCTGATCATCATCTGCTACTCAGTTTTTCATAAAATTGATCGAGAATTGAGTTATGATGTGTTTTATGAGCCAATTTTGGCAATTTTCGAACTTTTGAGAGCCCAGAACTTGGCTCAGAGGTCCATTGGGAGACTAAAATTTTTAGGGTGTTCTTATGGTCCCAAAAGCTGTCCATGGACCAAATTTCATCATGATTTGAAGTGTTGAGTAAAAAAGGTTTCCTTGTTAATTTTTATCTGCCATGTTTTATATATTTCTTTGTTTTTGCTGCGAACACCTTCAGTGTCGTCATAAATTATTATTATTATAAAAAACCCAATATATCCCCCCTTCTTGTCTCAAAGTTCACACATGCCTAATTCATATTTAAAAAAAAAAAGAAATCATATTTCTCCCGACCTAAAACTTCCTTTCAAAAGCATCCTCGCTTCAAAATTCTACAGAACTCCCTCCGACTAAAACTTCACTACTCAATCGAACCCCAAAACAGAACTAACCTTTGAAATTTCGACCATTCCTCGATCAATCTATCGCTCAAAATTGATTTGCTTCATGTTCTCCAACAAAAATCATCTCGAATATTTTCATCCACGACTAATCTGAAAAATATTTTCAATTTAATAAAAGTTTTGGTTGTTTTTTATTGATTCAAAATGCTATTTCAAAAAAATATGGGCGTCCATGAGAGAGAGAAGAGACAAAAAGATATCTAGTGAAGTCGCGCGTGATCTACAGTCATTTAAAAACTTGCGGGAGTAGGTTAGGAATTTTTTATTTAAAGGGGTTGTCCTTCTACGTCGAAAATCAAGTCCGCAATAGTGCGTCACTTTTTAAAACTAACTATAAGCAAGCCTAAAGCTGATTAAAATCACTTTCCATAGTTGAAAAAGGTTAGGAAATACGTTTCGCGAGAAATACACACAAATAAATTATGTGTGTGAAGAGCACACATGTTTTTTATATGCACTAAAACCTTAAAACCTAACAAAAACATGAATAAAATGGTGAAAACTCGCTCTAAAATCAAAATAAAATATGGAATGTTTCAGGAGCACCTTAGCTCTATCGAATTAACCTAAGTTTCCCTGTAGCAGGACAACCCCTTTAACAACAAAAAAATATATTCGCGGTGTTTTAGTTGAAAAATAACAAATAATCGTGAAGAAAGGTGTGAACTAGAGATTCTAAAGATTTTAAATTTGATTCCAAAACTGAAACGAATTTCGGCGTGAACCAATTTTGTCAGATTCAAAAAAAAATCCAAAAAAATTTTTTTGAGGATTCATTTTTGCAAAATGTCACAACCAGAAAATGTACGAGAAAAAACTTCAGATGAGTGAGTTTTGAACAAAAAAAGCGAAATTCGAAAAATCAAAAAAAAAATTTGCAGAAAAATGCAAGAAATATTGAATCGTCCAAAAAAGAATATCATTGTGGTGAGTTTTGTGAAACATTGAAAATCCTGCAAATAAAGATTTTCTTCATTTCCAGAAAGTTCACCCAGATCTAAAAGTGGAAGGAATCTGTAAATGGTGTGCTTGGGCGGCTGATCGAATTCATGAACAAATGCCGCCAAAAGAATTTGGAACTGTTGAATTGGTCATCAAATTGGATTATGAGGGAATGCAAAATATAACGAGAGGAATCAAAAGAGCTATTATGAACGAATTATTTGAGCATACTATTAGATAAACACTTTTTGTAGAGAGAAAATGGAAATGGAAATAAATAAAGATTTTGAATTTTGTTCAGGGCTTAATGCAAAAATGCAGATTTTTCATCGAATTTCCCTTGAAAACTTGATTTTTTCGAGAAAAAAACACTGTCCCTCAATTAAGCCCCGCCCCTTTTACACACAAACAGTGGCAGCCCACACAACCCGTTAACCGTCGCTCACACCACAAATTTATATATTCGCGTGTTTTGTGTGTTTATCGCTTCCGGGCGGTAACGAAGCTATCGGCAAAAATTTTTTGAACAGAACATATTTCGAGAAAAAGCTAAAAAAGATGCTGACCAATTTCAGAACATTACTCAGAGATTCGCTGGCCAGCTCGCCACCAGATCGCTGCGGCCACCTGGAAACCGCATGGCCGCCAGGTCGCCTTGAGTTTTCCGGCGACGTGGCCTGTGTGTTTGAAATCCTGGAAAGCTGGCAAGATAGTGGTTTGTACTCAGAACACTGCATTTTCTACAGTTTTTTCACTTCCTAAGGTTTCAAGTGCTGCGAAAAAACAGAAAATGAGCCAAATTTTTTGAAAATGCCTCAATTCACAAGTTTTTTAGACATTTTCATGAAAATTCATTTTGACGAGGCGAAGTGGCCACCACGTGGTAGCCATGTGGACGTGACCTAGCCAGAGCCTGGCCACCTTGCCAGCGAAAAAAACCGGGCGACATGGTTTCCATGTGGTTCCCAGGTCAGCCAGCCTCCTCACCTGGTGGCGAGCTGGCCAGCGAATCTCTGAGTACCACCAATGAAAAATAATCTTCATCTATTCAAAAACTATCACAAATTCCTTTCCAAATCGGTTTCACTAATTCCAATCCCAATTGACTCAAATGTTTTCCATTTGTCAACAATTCAATTCCATTTTCATCGAAAAATCGAAAAGTTTTCGTGTCATTTCGATAAAACAATTTGAAATAATCGACGAGCTCACATTTTTCGCCGCAATCTTTTTTCAATTTTTCATATCGATTTCTGGCAATTTCATAGTTGTTTGGCTCGAATAACGTTTTCTGAAAATAAATTTATTTAATTATCTTGGTCTTTTGAAAAAACTCACATCAATCTCCACAAACGATTCATTTTTCCTAATCCGATTCGCTAATTTATAAAGTTCAGGAGTATTTACAGTCGGAATCGCATTAACAAAATAAATTTTTCGTTTGATATATTTCAGCAATCGTTTTGTCTGATTCAACATTGCCTGATACACCGTGTCAATTGTTTTTTCATTTGATATCTGACCGTATGAAATGTGTCGAGTCACGTGGAACACGTAATCAGGGTTGAGATCTTGAATATGTTTTTCGAAGTCGTCGATGTATTTTTGAGTGCATTGGTGTTGGCTGGCAGGAAAGAGAGGTTCACAAGCTGAAAGTTTGGGAAGGATTTTTTGGAGCTTGGCTTGAATTTTCTAAATTTTTTCAAAAAACATGCCACGTGATCAGCTACAGTAACTTGTTCGGTTTCGAAAAAAGCCAAAATTTGACAAAAAAATCTTTGACTTTCAAAATCCCACCTCCATACGATCCTTGCACAAAAATGTTCATTTTCTTCCAACAAACATCATAAATCATTTTTCCATGATTCGCAGCCCAACTATTTCCAATCAATATCACTTTATACTTCTTGTTATTTTTTCCATTTTCTCCTGATAATCCCGTATGATTACACCATCCATCCCATTTTCCAGTTCCACTTCGACATGTTTCAATATTCAAATTAAATTCATCATTATTATTCCATTCTCGATTTTGCTCATCCACTTCTCTCCAAGAAATATTTCGTTTTGCTAATAGATTTTCACGGTTCATATTCAATAGATCAATGTGTTTTGCAGAAGGAGAAGATAGAAAAATCCTTTGATTTGAGACAACTAAATTAGCCAGAATAAGAATTACAGACAATGCAAAGATGTTGAAATTTGATAACTTCAAATACCATTTTTCGAAAAATTGATAAACCAAAATTGCTAGGAATATTGATATGAGAAGTGCTGAGATCAATGAAAAATCCTTGAAAAAACAAAGAATCGGCCAATGAATCAAATATAATGAATACGAAATATCACCAAAATAAACCAAAATTCGATTTTCCAGTAAAATATTTCCAGTTTCAGATAACAATATTAATAGGCCAGTGAGAGAAGTTATAAGTGGTCTGAAATATATTTTTTAAAGTTTGTAAGCTTCAAAACTAAAATTAAAACTAAGTACCTGAAAAATCTTGAGTCTAGTGGTTTTGGGCAGAAAATAATTAGCATCAGGAAAATCGTGGTTGAGGTTGTGAGAATTTTATTTTTTGGAGTTGCTTCTTCGGATTTCTCGATGTTGATTGGCTGATTTGTGTGTTCGGGTTGAGCAATGAAAACGAGCATGCCTGAAAATATTGGATTTTTGGATTTGGGAACGAATATTTGATCTACAATTTTAGTGCAAAAAAAATGGGGTTACTGTAGCATACGTTTTGACGGGAAAAATTTAACTACGGTAATCAGACTTTATGAGTTGAAAAAATATTGAACATTTGAAATTTTTCGCTTCAAACACCCAGGATTACTGTACCTCTACAGTAACCAACAGCCAAATGTTAGGCGCTAAAAATTTACCTACAGTAATCAGAGATAATTCATTTCTTCTAAATTGCCACGTGGAAATTTGAAATTAATTTTTCAGTAATTTTTTCAATTTTTTTAAAACTATCATTTGTGCACATCTAAAAACTACAATATTTTTTCCAATCTCAAAACTGACCAATCAAAAATTGCCAAATCCTTGCAAAAACATCCAGAAATGCTACATCACCAGGAAGAAAATGCCACCAGCAAAAACTTACCATCAAAACCCCACCCATAACCACTATTCTCATCCTTCCAGCTGGCGACAAAAATAAAAATGGTGCCAAAATATAAAATTGAATTTCGACAGACAACGACCAAGTATGTGTGAAGATATCGATTGAATTCAGCAACATCGCAAAATAATTCTGATCCGCTGGTTTCAATTGATTCGATGCGAAGAAGATGGCTTTTAGAGCGGACTCTTCGTTTTTGCGGAGTGTCGTTTGATAAAATAAAAGATTTGCGAGAATTAGGGAAGTTAGAATAACAAATTGATAGAGTGGAATAATTCGGCGAAATCGGCGCATGTAGAAATTGGAGAAGAATTTGGATTTTGGCAAGTTTTCGGATTTGGTGAGAAGCATACACATAAGATAACCAGAGAGAACGAAGAATCTAAAAAATTTGAGCCATGAAACATTGGATTTTTCCCCAGAATTCCCCAGAACTCACTGATCAACTCCATAAAATCCATTTGGAAAATATTTCGGGAAAAAATGAAATCCCAAAACTGCCAAAATCGACAAGCCACGCAATCCTTGCAAATCCAATCGCTTCATTTTTTTCTAGAAAAAATGTACGTTGTTCATTGAAAACACGACAAAAAACAGCAATACTTTTTTGCCAAACTATATTTATTTATGATGATTCTACGTATATTTTGCAATCTCCAGGGGTGACATTTCGTGGGGGAAAAATCCAATAAAAAAGTTTATGCTTTTTTTGAAATTAAAAAATTTAATTGGCCGAAAAATTCAATATTTTGATTTTTTATTTTCTCATAAAAATATTTTTCTATATTATTTCGATTAGAGACAATGTAAAATTGAGAGAGTTTAGACAGAAAGTTAGATTATTTAAATTTTTGTTCGAAAATTCAATTTGTAAATTTAATTTTGGATTTGTAATAGTTCAACTTTTGTGATGATTTTTTTGAGAACAATTTGAGATTGATGATTCAAAATTAAACTTTATAAATATTTAGCAAAAAAACGTGAACTTTGCTACGTGGAAAAATGGTTTCATTTTTAAAATGTGCATTTTTTATGAAAAAATGTGTTCAATTGCGGCTTTTCACAAAAAAAAATGGTTTGTTGTGAAAGAAATACTAATTGCAAAATGTTAAAAAAAAGTGAAAATTGAAATGAAAGGAATGATAATTGAAAAATCTTTTGAAATTCAATTTTGAATTTGCAAAATTCGTGTCAAGTTTTCATGAATTCTCAAATTAATCCACACAATTTCCCAGTCTTTTTTTACCACAAAATTTAGATTTTCTCGGAAAATTATTTAAAAAAGTGTGTTATTGAAAGACCTACAGTCTAGAAATCAATAACAAAATTCAAATGCAATTTGTTTTCAAAAATAAAAATCTTCATGTAAATGTAAAGGATCTCTTTTCTCTTCATCACTGCGCCAGCCATCTGAAAAAAAGTTTTTCCAGAAAATATGGATATTTCAAAAATCTTACCAATCCTCTCTGGATCTCGTATCTTCTCTAGTTCTTCCCGAACTTCCATACTTCTTCTTCCTCTTTTGTTTTCTTCCACTTTCAGATTTCGACGAAATCGGGTCCAATGGTGTATTTCTCTTGAACACCTCAATATCCTCATCCGGCGATAATTTCTTCAAAATCTCCATAAAACTCGGGCGAAATTCCGGTTTCTTTGCAAAACAATCATACATAATTGCGGCAATATGTTTTGGTGTATCAATTGGTGCATCCATTGGTGGACTTTTTGTTCGAATAATATCCTTTGCTTCCGCATTTGTTAAACCAGGAAATGGATCACTTGAACAATATGCCAAAATCTCCCAAATCGTCACACCAAATGACCAAACATCAGATTTTGTGGTGAACACCAAAGTATCAATTGATTCAGGTGCAAGCCAGCGGATGGGAACTTTGAGTTTGGTGCATTTCACTTCAGCTTTTCCACATTTCGCCAAACCAAAATCGGATATCTTCACTTCCATATTATCACCAAGCAACAAATTTCTAGCCGCAACATCTCGATGAATAACCATTTTCGATGCCAAATATGTCATTCCCCTTGCCGTATCAATACAAAATTTTGCCAAATCATCAAATGTCACAGTATTTCTACTATTCTCTTTCTTCAAATGACTCTTCAAACATCCATTTCCCGCCAATTCCAACAATATCATCAATGGTTCTTCAGTTGGAGCAATTCCAACAAATCTAACCAAATTTGGATGTGACAAATTCATCATTAATTTCGCCTCTCTGACAAATTCCTTCAACATTGCCTTCTTAATATTTCCCTCTTTCAATCTTTTCACAGCCACTTGAACCTCCTCTCCTTCATTCATTCTTTTCCATTTTCCTTTCCAAACTTGTCCAAATGCACCACTTCCCAATTTATCAGTCAAAAGAATATCATCGTGTAGAATATAGAATTTTGATCGAGATATTGCTCTCACCAAAATCACACTATTATTTGGTAAAAGTGGTTTTCGTTTGGATGTCAAATAATTGAGCAACTCGACCAAATCTTCAAATCTTTCCGATGTTTCGAGTCCTTTCAAAGTCCAAAATCCATTGACATTTAGGAGCACAAAATGGCGGGGTTCTTTGTCATGAAAAACAGTGAGACAGAATATGATTTTTGATTTTTCAGTTGTTCGGCGGACCAAGAAATCACCATCTTTCTGAAAAAATATTTGGAGATTTTCGAAAAACAATGAGTTGGCTGCTAATATGAGCAATATACCTTCAACAAGCTATTTGTATCCTCTCTCGGCATAACACCATGATACCATTCTCTAGTCACCAACTTCTTCGACCAACTATCAATCCACGGATCACACTCAACAATCTTTTCAGAAGTTCCAGCAGATCCACCCGTCAATTCTTCGGATGACACAGTTTTACAAGGTGCTGCTGAAGTGGACGGTCTTCTCGATCTCGATTTTCCCTTTTTCTTGCGATTTGTTCCCGAATTCGATGACAATCTTCCAAAATCCAAAGTATTTGGCAGCATTGTTGATGTATTATTGTTCCTCATTGTATTCGTTGTGTTGTTGTTGGATTTTCCTTTATCAAAATAGAGAGCATTCTCTGCAAAAAATAGTTTTGGAGAGCTGTAAAATCTTCATGAGGTGAAAAAGGAGATTGAGCCAAAAAAGCTGCAAACGCCGCAATTTCGGGTTCTCATATCTGTCCATTATTACTCACCAGCCATGATTGATATATTCTGAGAATTATAGTTTTTGAACTAGCGTTACAAAAATAGTTAACTACTACTATTTGGCATAAAATAAATGAGCTCTGCGATGTCTCCGAGCACTTTTATAACTAGTTTTGCCAACTTGGCTAAACAGAAAAAAGTGGGACACGTTTGAAAAAGTTCACGTGAGCTCTATAAATAGCGGAGAGCAACTACAGTAGAAAATTCTCATTTTTTCTAGTTTTCAATACAAAATTTGGCATGTGGGTTTTTGGAGCAGATAATAAGGGCGAACGCTTTTTCCCGAAAAAAAACAAAAAATGAAAAAAAAGGTGACGTTTCTTTGTCGGTGTTTGCAGAATGTGTGCATTTTTGCGTAGTTGAGATACGGTATTGAAATTATTTTTCTTTTTTTTTCTTTTTCGGTTGCTGGATCGTTGCTGGATGGTTGCTGGATGTCCGGACAAATGTGGATTTTCATCGATTTCCGAGGTAAAATTTTTATTAAGTGGTATTGAGACATTGAAAAAAATCATGAGAAAATACCATTTTTCGTAAATTTTTGAGAATTCCTGGAATTTGAGTTTATAAAAAGAGTTTTTCTATTTTACTTATTTATTAAAAAAAAATACAAATAATTATAATGACAAAGAAACGCGAAAATAAAAATAAATAAATACAAAAAATATTATAAATTATCTTTTGAGCATTCTAATAACTTTCGCCATAAGTGGTGTTTTTTGGCGGGTTTTTTAGATGGAGCTTGGCGGGAAATTGGAGCAATTGGAGCAGTTGTAACTGGAGCTGGTTTTGGTTGAGGTTTGGCAGATGTTCGAGGCTCCGATTTTTGTTCCATTGTTGGAGCTTTTGGTGGGTTTTGAACAGTTTTAGTTGGACCACGACGAGGTTTCGCCTCAGAAAAACCGATAACAATCTACAAAAAAGGTATTATATTTTTGAATTTGGAAGATTTTTCAAAAAAAACTTACAGTCTTTCTTTGCTCTTTGTCATTTTGTTGATGAGTTTTGGCAATTCGTTTAGTCAACATTTCCAATTTCTCATTTTCCTTTTGCTTTTTACGAATTGAAAGTCTGCAAAAAATTCAAATTTTTTTTTGAAGAAAAATAGATAGAGAAACTCACTTTTCCAATAATTGTCTCCATGTCAAGTCCTTTTTATTTTCCTGATTCGCTTGTTTCGGGAAGTCTTTCTTGATAAAATTCAAGAATAATTCATCAGAATCCTTTGCCAAATGTGGATTTTTAAAGAGAACTTTTCGCAAATCCTCCAAATTCAATTTGATCAATTCAGGCTTCAATTCTTGATAAGAAATTTGACTATTGATATTTCCATCTCGAATATTGATTTTTCTCGAATTTTCAGCCAAAACTTGTTGTTTTCTTCTTCCAGCAAACACTTTTTGTCGCTCATTTCTTCTTGTAACCATATTTTCGTCAACTTTTGGCGCTTCTGGAGCATTGAATTTGATTGAACTTGCTGAAGTTGGGCTAACTGAAGATGAGCCCGAGCTTGTTGACGGTGTAGAATCAGAAATTGGACTTCGAGTTGAAGGTGTTGGAGATGGTGTCTTTTTCGAAATCTGAAATTAGAAAAAAATTAAATTTTGTTTTAAAAAAAAGATTTTCTAGAAGAACTTACTTTATATTTTGAATAATCGATGTTCATTGCAGCTCCAGTTGATATCGAATTTCCACTCATTGCAATTGCAAAAATATTATCCGATTCTTCTTTTGACAATTTGATTTGTTTTGCATTTGGATTGAAGGAGGAGTCTTGAGATGGGCGTTTCAATGATTTGGAGATTTGGCAGGACATTTTGAGGTGAGTTTTCTGGAAGAAATAATTTGATTGAAGGGAAAATGAAATTTGCGGAAAAAGCTTAACGAAAAATAATAGAGATATTTCAGAAAATATTTGGAAGTTATAGAGATTTATGGAAATTATTTAACACATTTCAAAAGTTCAAGAAAAAATTAATTATAAGAGATCGAGAAAAAATAAAAATAAAAAATTCAAATTGAAAAATAAAGCCTAGACATAAATCTAGTTAAGATATCATAAGAAGCACAAAAAATGACAAAGTGATTCGAGCTTTTATAGTCATCTCGGCCCCCTTGCTACTTTTGGCCCCGCCCACCTGCAAGCCACGCCCCCTTTTCACACCAGATGTTGTTATAAAGACGCGTGTTGACCCAGGACAACAGGTGTTGGGGGCCGTGCCGCCCGTGTCGACCAACGTTGATCCTTTTTCACACCAAGGTGTGAAACTGGGAAAATATCTTCTTTTATTTTTGGGAACATGCGGGTTACTGTAGTGTTTTGAGAAAATGAGAAATTTAGATTTGAATCGTGCTTGAAGTGAGGCAATAAGAGCTTAAAAATTTTTTCAGAATGAATTTTATTTCTGAAAATTTCATGCTTTGAGTCTTCTCCAAGATTAACCGACTATCAAAAAATTGGAAGAAGCCGAAAAATATTATAAAAATTCTGAAACGTATAATTTACTGGAAACATTTCACGTAAGTTCCAAGTTGTAATTTTCAAATAAAAATTGACTCGAAAAATGTGAATAAAACAAAATATCAGGAAATTATCAATTTTCTTTTTCGAAAAAATGAAAATTTCTTGAAAAAAAACTTTCCTAATTAATTTTTCAATCAAATTACAGTAATCCACATCTTCCCAAAAATATGTGACAGAATAGATTTTCCGGTTGACCCAAATTTTCCCAGTTTCCTAACTACAGTATCTCTTCGCCGCTCGGTCACACTATTTGGATTTACCCAGGAAACACGCGTATCATTTTATCACACCAGGGTGTCAAAAAGGGCCAAAAAACTTTATGAAATCAGATTTTATTTTAATTAATTAAATTTTTCTTTAGTTTACGTCAGTTAAAATTTATTTAGTTTTGAATTTCTTAATTTTTGGATAAGGTAAAAAAAATATTTCCCGTAGGTTTTTCAACCCAAAAATTATACGTTTCAAAATTTTCATAAAATTTGAACATTTTGAATACTGTTTGATGGCGTGTATAACCAATGACCACTAACCTATCAATTCGACTACGCTGCTGAAAACGTATCCTAATTCAGAAACTGGTCATTTTGAGTTCTTAATGAGCTTTAAAGCCACAGAATTTTTCAGCAAAGTTTGGTGCAAAACACACCATTTTGCAAAATGGTAAACACTTTTGAAACACGAAAAATTTATTCACACAGAAAAATTAGTCAATTTTCAACTTCAATTTCTTGATTTTCCGAAAGACCAAAACTACTCCCAAAATGAAACAGCTCACAAAAATGATCAAAACCAACAAAAAATCCAAAAAATAATACTGAAATGTTGGGATTTCTGGCAAGTCCAAATCCATTTTCCCAAATTCGGCAGCAAATTTGAAATTTCGCACAAATTTTTCTCGAACTGCGAAATCACTTTCCAACTTTTTCTGAACTCTTTTTGCATTTCTCAAATATTCTTCATGATTTTCCAAAATTTGTTGAATATTTTCAATAATAATATTTGGATAAATCAAATCATATTTGCTCAAACAAATCGACATTTCTGATTTTTCTAACATTTCTCTTTTTATAAAATTTTTTTTTCGGTTGCTGAATCGTTGCTGAATGGTTGCTGGATGCCCGGACAAATGTGGATTTTCATCGATTTCCGAGGTAAAATTTTTATTTAGTGGTATTAAAACATTTTTTTAAAAGATATGAGAAAATACTCTTTTTCCTAAATTTTTGAAAATTCCTGGAATTCTAGTTTATAAAAACAGTTTTTCTATTTTACTTATTTATTTAAAAAAAAACATACAAATAATTATAATGACAAAGAAACGCAAAAATAAAAAAAAAATACAAAAATATTAAAAAAAATTATCTTTTGAGCATTCTGATAACTTTTGCCATAAGTGGAGCCTTTTTGGCAGGTTTTTTGGAATTTGAAGTTTGGCGAGCAATTGGAGCAGATGGTTGAGTTGGAACTGGAGCTGGAGCTGGTTTCGGTTGAGGTTTGGCAGAACTGCGAGCCTCCGATTTTTGTTCCATTGTTGGAGCTTTTGTTGGGTTTGGAACAATTTTAGTTGGACCACGACGAGGTTTCGCCTCAGAAAAACCGATAACAATCTACAAAAAAGGTATTATATTTTTGAATTTGGAAGATTTTTCAAAAAAAACTTACAGTCTTTCTTTGCTCTTTGTCATTTTGTTGATGAGTTTTGGCAATTCTTTTAGTCAACATTTCCAATTTCTCATTTTCCTTTTGCTTTTTACGAATTGAAAGTCTGCAAAAAATTCAATTATATTTTTTTAAAGAAAAATAGGTAGAGAAACTTACTTCTCCAATAATTGTCTCCATGTCAAATCCTTTTTATTTTCCTGATTCGCTTGTTTCGGGAAGTCTTTCTTGATAAAATTGAAGAATAATTCATCAGAATCCTTTGCCAAATGTGGATTTTTATACAGAACTTTTCGCAAATCCTCCAAATTCAGTTTGATCAATTCAGGCTTCAATTCTTCATAGGAAGTTTGAGCATTGATATTTCCATCTCGAATATTGATTTTGCTTGAATTTTCAGCCAAAACTTGTTGTTTTCTTCTTCCAGCAAACACTTTTTGTCGTTCATTTCTTCTTGTAACCATATTTTCATCAACTTTTGCAGTTTGAATCGAATTTGGGCTAACTGAAGTTGAAGTCGAAGGTGAAGAATCCGAAATTGGACTTCGGGTCGGGATTGATTGGGAAGGTGTTGGTGTCTTTTTCGAAATCTGAAATTAGAAAAAATTTAAATTTTGTTTCAAAAAAAAAGATTTTCTAAAAGAACTTACCTTATATTTCGAATAATCGATTTTCATTGCAGCTCCAGTTGATTTGGAATTTCCACTCATTGCAATTGCAAAAATATTATCCGATTCTTCTTTCGATAATTTGATTTGTTTTGCATTTGGATTGAAAGCAGATTCTTGAGATGGACGTTTCAATGATTTGGAGATTGGGGAGGACATTTTGAGGTGAGTTTTCTGGAAGAAATAATTTGAAATCAAGGGAAAATGGAATTTGGAAGAAAAAAGGTTAACGAAAAATATTAGAGAAATTTCAAAAATTCAAAAAAGTATGACTAAAACTCAATGAAAAAATATATAGGTTTTAAATTTGATGTGAGAAAGTTTAGAAAAATATTTCGAAGAGATAAAGATTTATGAAAAAATATTCAACAAATTTCAAAAGTTCAAGAAAAAACAGAAATTATAAGAGCTCCAGAAAAAAAATCAATAAAAAATTCAAATTGAAAAAAAAAGGAAAAGCCTAGACATAAATCTAGTTATGATATCATAAGAAGCACAACAATTATAATCTGACTAGAAGCTTTTATAGTCGTTTTTGGGCCCTTCCTATTTTTGCCCCGCCCACCTGCAAGCCACGCCCCTTTTTCACACCAGATGTTGTGATAAAGACGCGTGTTGACCCAGGACAACAGGTGTTGGGGGCCAAACCGACCGTGTCGACCAACGTAGGCCCTTTTTCACACCAAGGTGTGAAACTGGGAAAATATCTTCTTTTGGTTTTGGGAACATGTGGGTTACTGTAGTGCTTTTGGGAAAATGAGAAAATAAAACATTTTGATTTTTTGAAAAGCAGTAAGAGCTGAAAATTTTTCAGAATGAATTTTTCCACTAAAAATATCAAAGACACCGTAGTTTATTTCGAAGCTACTCAACACTTGACTGAAAAATCCAATCCGGAATTCAGTTTTGAAAAATTTCATTTTTTGAGTTTTCTCCAAGAATGACAGATCCACGGGGTGTAATTTACTACCTCAAATCGCTAGACCTCAAATTTTTCGTTAATTTTTGGGTAGATCAAAAACCATTTTTCTCTAAATCTCTCGTTTTTGTGTTGAATTTCGTCTATTTTGGTCCCACCTCTAAGATCATGTCAGGTCTCAAAAAATGCGCGAAATTTTTCGGGTAGTGAATTACACTCTCTGCAAAGACTATCAAAAAAATTGGAACCCGAAAAATATTATAAAAATTCTGAAACGTATAATTTACTGGTAACATCTCACGTAAGTTCCAAATTGTATTTTTCAAATAAAAATTGACTCAAAAAATGTGAATGAAACAAAATATCAGAAAATTATCAATTCTATTTTTCGAAAAAATGAAAGTTTCTTGAAAAAAACTTTTCTAATCAATCTTTCAATCAAATTACAGTAATCCACATCTTCCCAAAAATATGTGACAGAAGAGATTTTCCGATTGACCCAATTTTTCGCAGTTTCCCTTAGCCTTTCGCAGTTTCCCTTAGCGCTCGGTCACACTATTTGGATTTTTTCCATGTGAACATGCGCATAATTTTATCAATCATACCAAAGTGTGAAAAAAGAGCCGAAAACTTTATGAAATCAGATTTATTTTAATTTGTTAAATTTTTCTTTAATTTACATTAGTCAATTTTTGAATTAGGAAAAAAATATTTCCCGAAATTTTTCAACCCAGAAATTATACGTTTCAAAACCTTTATTATATTTGAACATTTTTAATACTGTTTGATGTATATATCCATTGACCAGTAACTTTATAATTCGACTACGCTGAAAAAGAATGCGATGTCATAGAATTGTCATTTTGAGAATTTACGGAACTCCAAAGCCGCAGAACTTTTCAGAAAAGTTTGGTACAAAACACACCATTTTGCAAAATTTTTGACATGGTAAACACTTTTGAAACACGAACAATTTAATCAATCAATTTTCAACTTCAATTTCTTGATTTTCCGGAAAACCAAAACAACTCCTAGAATAAAACAGCTCCCCAAAATGATCAAAACCAAAAGAAGATCCAAAAAATAATACTGAAATGTTGGGATTTCTGGCAAGTTCAAATCCATTCTCCCAAACTCGACAGCAAATTTGAAATTTCGCAAAAATTTTTCTCGAACTGTCAAATCACTTTCCAAAATTTTCTGAATTCTTTTTGCATTTCTCAAATATTCTTGTTGATTTTCCAAAATTTTTGAATATTTTCAATAATAATATTTGGATCATATGTGGATTTTCATCGATTTCCGAGGTAAAATTTTTATTTAGTGGTATTAAAAATTTGAAAAAAATTATGAGAAAATACTATTTTTCCTAAATTTTTGAGAATTCCTGGAATTTGAGTTTATAAAAACACAGTTTTTCTATTTTACTTATTTATTTAAAAAAAAATACAAATAATTATAATGACAAAGAAACGCGAAAATAAAAATATATACAAATATAAATACAAAAATATTAAAAATTATCTTTTGAGCATTCTGATAACTTTTGCCATAAGTGGAGCTTTTTTGGCAGGTTTTTTAGAATTTGAACTTTGGCGAACAATTGAAGCAGATGGTTGAGATGGAACTGGAGCTGGAGCTGGTTTGGGTTGAGGTTTGGCAGATTTTCGAGGCTCCGATTTTTGTTCCATTGTTGGAGCTTTTGGTGGGTTTGGAACAATTTTGGTTGGTCCACGACGAGGTTTCGCCTCAGAAAATCCGATGACAATCTGCAAAAAAAAGGTATAATACCAATTGAATTTGGAAAATTGAAAAAAAAACTTACAGTCTTTCTTTGCTCTTTGTCATTTTGTTGATGAGTTCTGGCAATTCTTTTTGTCAACATTTCCAATTTCTCATTTTCCTTTTGCTTTTTACGAATTGAAAGTCTGCAAAAAATTCAAATATATATATTTTTTAGAAGAAAAATAGAACTCACTTTTCCAATAATTGTCTCCATGTCAAATCCTTTTTATTTTCTTGATTCGCTTGTTTCGGGAAGTCTTTCTTGATAAAATTCAAGAATAATTCATCTGAATCCTTTGCCAAATGTGGATTTTTGAAGAGAACGTTTCGCAAATCCTCCAAATTCAATTTGATCAATTCAGGCTTCAATTCTTGATAAGAAATTTGACTATTGATATTTCCATCTCGAATGTTGATTTTGCTCGAATTTTCAGCCAAAACTTGTTGTTTTCTTCTTCCAGCAAACACTTTTTGTCGTTCATTTCTTCTTGTAACCATATTTTCGTCAACTTTTGGCGCTTCTGGAGCATTGAATTTGATTGAACTTGCTGAAGTTGGGCTAACTGAAGACGAGCCCGAGCTTGTTGAAGGTGTAGAATCAGAAATTGGACTTCGAGTTGAAGGTGTTGGAGATGGTGTCTTTTTCGAAATCTGAAATTAGAAAAAAATTTAATTTTGCTTCAAAAAAAAAAGATTTTCTAAAAGAACTTACCTTATATTTCGAATAATCGATTTTCATTGCAGCTCCAGTTGATTTCGAATTTCCACTCATTGCAATTGCAAAAATATTATCCGATTCTTCTTTCGATAATTTGATTTGTTTTGCATTTGGATTGAAAGCAGATTCTTGAGATGGACGTTTCAATGATTTGGAGATTGGGGAGGACATTTTGAGGTGAGTTTTCTGGAAGAAATAATTTGAAATCAAGGGAAAAACAAATTTGGGAAAAAGGTTAACGAAAAATATTAGAGAAATCTCAAAAATCAGAGATAGGAAAGTTCAAAACTGGAGAAGTTTAGAAAAAATTTTCGAAGAGAGAGATTTATGGAAAATATTCAACAAATTTCAAGAAAAAACAGAGAAAAAATAAATAAAAAATTCAAATTGAAAAAAAAACCTAGACATAAATCTAGTTATGAGATCATAAGAAGAAGTAATATGACAAAATGATTCGAGCTTTTATAGTCATTTCGGCCCCCTTCCTATTTTTGCCCCGCCCACCTGCAAGCCACGCCCCTTTTTCACACCAGATGTTGTGATAAAGACGCGTGTTGACCTAGGACAATAGGTGTTGGGGGCCAAGCCGCCCGTGTCGACCAACGTTGGGCCTTTTTCACACCTTGGTGTGAAACTGGGAAAATATCTTCTTTTGGTTTTGGGAACATGCGGGTTACTGTATATAGGGAAAATGAGAACAGACTATCAAAAAAATTGGAATCCGAAAATTATTATGAAAATTCTAAAACGTATAATTTACTGGAAACATCTCACGTAAGTTCCAAATTGTATTTTTCAAATAAAAATTGATTAAAAAAATGTGAATGAAACAAAATATCAGAAAATTATCAATTCTGTTTTTCGAAAAAATGAAAATTTCTTGAAAAAAACTTTCCTAATTAATTTTTCAATCAAATTACAGTAATCCACATCTTCCCAAAAATATGTGACAGAATAGATTTTCCGGTTGACCCAAATTTTCGCAGTTTCCCAACTACAGTATCTCTTCGCCGCTCGGTCACCCTATTTGGATTTTCCCAGGTGAACACGCGTATCATTTTATCACACCAGGGTGTCAAAAAAGGGCCAAAAACTTTATGAAATCATATTTTATTTTAGTTAGTAAAACTTTTCTTTAATTTACATCAGTTAAAATTTATTTAGTTTTGATTTTCTCAATTTTTTGATATCTTTCAGCCCAAAAATTATACGTTTCAAAATTTTCATAAGGTTTGAACATTTTTAATACTGTTTGATGTGTACAGCCACTGTCCAGTAATTTAATAATTCGACTACGCTGAAAAAGAATCCGATGTCATAGAATTGTCATTTTGAGAATTTACGGAGCTCTAAAGCCGCACAACTTTTCAGCAAAGTTTGGTGCAAAACACACCATTTTGCAAAATGGTAAACACTTCTGAAACACGAAAAATTCATTCACACAGAAATCTCATAGAAAAATTAATCAATCAATTTTCAACTTCAATTTCTTGATTTTCCGAAATACCAAAGCAAATCCCAAAATAAAACAGCTTCCTAAAATCATCAAAACCAGAAGAAGATCCAAAAAATAATACTGAAATGTTGGGATTTCTGGCAAGTCCAAATCCATTCTCCCAAATTCGACCGCAAATTTAAAGTTTTGCACAAATTTTTCTCGAAGTGCCAAATCACTTTCCAACATTTTCTGAACTCTTTTTGCATTTCTCAAATATTCTTGTTGATTTTCCATAATTTGTTGAATATTTTCAATAATAATATTTGGATAAATCAAATCATATTTGCTCAAACAAATCGATATTCCTGATTTTTCCAACATTCTCGAATTTCTTCCCTGATCTCCAAATATTGGAATTGTAATACTTGGAATTGCCCCATACTGAATTAATTCATAAATACTTGATATTCCACCATGTGTTATAAAAATCGATAATCTAGAATCTTGCAATAAATCAGATTGTGGAATCCAATCAAAAATAAATACATTTGAAGGTAGATCAAATTCTGGTTGTTTTTCTTCATATTTCCAAATAAATGTGATATTTGATAATGTTTGAAATACTTTAATCAATGATTTTTTCATTTCAATTGGCATGTCTTTGCTTTTTGTAACAGATCCAAATGAAATCAACACATTTTTTGATCTCAAGTTCAATATTTCATCAAATTTCTCATCCAATTTCCCAATTTTCCTCTCTTTTTTCTTAGTTTCAGTTTCATATCCAAATCCTCCAATTTCGACAAATTTATTTGTCGAAAAACTTGCAAAATCCAAAATCCGATTCGAATTCACAAAATTCAAAGTTGTTTTTGCAAATAATTTCATCCAATCATTTTCTCCATTATAAATTGTTCTATTTTTCGAAATTAAATCCATTTCAGCTTTATTTATAGTTGATAAATAATATTGATTTGCTAAAATATCGATTAAATTCCGAATTCTTTGTTTGAATGAAAATGGTTGTTTTGGAGAATTCGAGAAAACTGGCGGGAGAAATGAAGCTGTTAGAAGAATTGGGAAGTTATGTGCCATTTTCACTGATTCCAAACCAGTATGGCAATCCATTGAGATTCTTGTGGGGATTTTCAGATGATCAAGGAGTGCTGGAAAAATTAAAGTTTGTTTGGAGAGAAAGTTTCAGAAGCCTCAGAAGTACAACTGTTAATTTTGTTTTGCAATTTAGATACTTTTTTCGACGTCTCAAAATAATAACCATTCATAATAAAAAAAACTCTTTGGAATTTCAGTGGTGATAGAATTACCCGGAAATCATACGTTTCATCATACTGCTTTCAGAATTTTTGAAATGTGATTTTGATATTTTTTTTTATCAATAATATTTAAAAAAAAAAAAGAAATTTGCACATTCTGAATTTTGAAATGTTTTGAATTCTCAAAATACTTGCCAATAGTATCGCAAAAAATGAAGGAGCGCGTTTTTTTTCGCGAAAAAATCAAGTTTTCAAGTGAATTTTGATGGAAAGTCTGGTTTTTATTAATTTATTTCGCTCAAAACTCACCAAATCCACAAGCATACAATGGTTCAGCAATTCCAACATCAAAATTCATCTCTCGAAGATCTTCAATCAATTCAAATTGTTGGAAAACATCTGAAAATCTAAACATTGTCCTATTGAAGTTTTCTAAATTTGAGAAGGCTTTTGATAATCCATTTTCGTCTAAAATTCAGAAAAACTCGAAAAAAGACCAACGTTCACAAGTCATCGCATAAAGATCACTGAAAAAATGAGCAACTTGAAGAAATCCCAAAATGCTATTATATTTCCACAATGCCTTTTTCTGTTTTTGCCAATTTGATGGATGATAAATATCAAAAATTTTCGAATTGAATGGAATAATTCGCAAATCTTTGACTTTTTTCATTTGTTCCAGTTTTTCCAAAGGAAATTCAAAGTCCATAATTGGCATTACAACGGTCTACAATATCATTTTTTCCATAGAAAATTCAGAAATTCTAGCAAAACTCACAACATTATAACCTTCTTCAACTAACACATTTGCATAATTTGCAGTAAATTTCAAATTTGAATGTCCTCTTAAACTTGAAAATATCAATACTTTTTTGTTAGCTGAAGATTTTTGAGCAAAAATGAATAGCAAAATAATGGAGAGTATGAGGGTTTTCAGCATTTTCAGAGTGAAAATTGATAAATTGACTGATAATTTAAGTATTTTCAGAGCGAAAAAAAAAGAAAACTTCAGCTCCGCCCATTTTCAAGTTTATTGTTATCTGAGCTCATAAAAATTGATTTCGGAAGATATTTCAAAATTTTACTAATGGAGAATACGTTGGTTTTCAGCATTTTCAGAGTCTAATTGATAAATTTTCTGATAATTTATGTGCGAACGAAATTATTTTGAAGTTCTTGAAATTGTCTAAAAAATGAACTACAGCGATTCTAGTTTGATTTTGGATTCCAAAATCGAAAATTTGGAATTTTTAAAATAATGACATTCCTGATCTATGAATTTTTACTCTCCACAGTTACTGATTTCTTATCAGCAGTCAAATTTTCAGAAAAAATGTCTTATCTAAAGTTTTCTGCAGACTGAAACTGTGTAGGCTTGTAGCCTGTTTCTAAGAAACCGGATTCTGGAAAAAATTTAATTAAAATAAATAATTACATTAGTTTAGAGAAAATAATATACATAGATAGGGAAAAATTACAAAATTAATTAACATACTTTTTAAAAATCATCAATCTTTCTCCAAGTTCCCATTCTTCATCTTCATCTTCGTCATAATAATCTTCAAATTCTTCAATTTCTTCCAATAAATCACGCGAAAATAACCGTTTGTAAGCCATTTTCGGATTGAATTTTGCCCATTTCGTCTCAATTCTTTCAATTTCTTCCAATCGATTTTTATACATTTTCTCAACTTTCTCAAATTGTTCTTCTTGTTTTTTCTCATTTATAGCTATCTCGCAAAGCATTTGCAATGCTCGAAATTCCCTGATTCGTCTGCAAAATTTTTCAAAGGTATTTGAAAGCTAAGACAAAATGTAAAGTTACCTTCTAACTTCAACAACCCATTTCGGAACTGGTCTACTACTGATATTCTGATTCTGCTGATTGACCATATTCTGCATTTGTTTCAATACATCCTCATAACTTCCAGCTGTAAATCTTTGACGACATCGAACTTCAGTGAAACCATCGATCTGCAAAAAATAGTTGATTTATTTTTGCAAAAGTGGGCGTGACCTTAATGCAACTGTCGCACACAGTTTTTGCAATTTCAAAATTAGACCAAAGTCCTTTGAAAATTTTTAACTCACCGTTTTGCTAATCTGACACAACAAAGTCAAAATAAACTTTCGATAAAGACAATAAATTGGTCGAACTGTTTTATATCCCAATTGTTTCTGTTTGTCACGCATTTCAAGATTCAAAAAATGCGAAATTTCCGCTTCAGTCGCCAAATCGCCGAGCAGTTTTTTGAGTTCCCCCAAAATATCCTTGAATTTATAAATTGGTTTTAGTGGAATATCGTAGATTGGAAATTCGGTGACATACGATTGAAATAATTCGTCGCGAATTCGATTCGAGATTTCGTCGATTTTCCATTTTTCGATGAACCACGGGAATTTCTTCCTGCCAAAAAGCGGCTCAAATTTTTCCAACCAAACAACAAGATTCCACATTTTCTCCCTTTTCATTCCTTGAAATATCTTCAAATTCACCGTCAAAACCTCAATCACATTATTAAAAGCGGACAAATTTGAAAGACAAAGTGTTCCGTATGGCGAAACTAATGGATATTGTGAACATTCGCTGATATTTATACAACGAATATCATTGTCTGGCGATAATTTCAGGATTTTCAAGATTGTTTGGAATTTTTCGAAAGTGATTCCGGTGATGATTCCAGTCTTTTTCGAATAATCATTCAACGGGAACATTCCAGATGGATATTTCTTTTCTGGATATCTTTTTGCCATTGCGACTTGTAGACTTTCCTCAAGTTCTTGTGCGAATAATATCTTTGATCCATTGATATGAAATATCCGCACAGCCGCACATTCTTCTTCCTGGAAAAAATATTTTTTTGGAGAACATGTTTGACACGCGGTCAAAAAGCTTTGACCGCAACGCGTTCAAAACTTACAATATCACAAATCAATAAAGGTTTCAAAATTTCCTTATAAACATGTTTACAGCGTGTTGTAATTATTTGAATTTGTACATAACTTGTGATATATAAATGTTGATATTTTGCAATTGGCCATTTTTCATTCATCACATTGATTTTTTTCATAAAAACTTTGTCAAAAAATGTTAACCCTCCCACATCAGACTTGCGGAAACAGTTGCGAAGCTTCAAAAAATGATCGATTTTCAATGGCCGGACAAATGGCAATTCAGTGACTTTTTCGTAGAATTCATGAAACATCATTTGCATCACAGAAATCGGCAAATATGTATATGTTCCATTCAATGATTCGAATCCTTTTGTGAGAAATGAAACAATCCATTTTTTCAAAAACATATCAGCAATATTTGTATATTTTGTTAATTTCATCATATAATTGATACCCAAAACCATATCTTGTTTCGAAAATAAACCAACTTCAGTTGTTGAAATGAGTAATCGTGGAATTTCTGTTTGCAATAATTGTTCAATTGTTAGACTTTTATGAATTTCAGGATACATTTCAATATGTTGAACCATATCCTCGACATTACTACTTGATCCATAAAAATCTGGTCGAAGTTTGCATTTATTATATAAATAATCCACAACTTTTCGCACTTTTTCTCTTTTGATAAAAACATCGGATTTATCGATTTTTAATTCGTTCAACGAACATTTGCTGAGGCTCTGTAATATTTCAGAACATGACGTGTTTTTTTTTTGAAAAATAACCTACCTTATTAACATAAATCATATTTATACAACTTATTACTTTTGCAATTGTCCATCTTGGACGCGTTGAATTCATTTTACCAATAAATTGCATGAATTTTCTGAAAATAGTAAAAAAGATAAGTTCTGCCCAAAACTGAGAAAACTTACGTGTAATGACATGGCTCATCATCATAATCATCATATTCTTCTTCTACTTCTTCGAAGTGCGATTCCAGCATTTTTGTGAGTCGAATGAGGGTTTTCCCGAATTCGGGAAAATAAGTTTTTCGTTGCAAAAAAAATGCATAATGAAATTCAAAAAATCGCGGCTAACGATTACGGTATATTTTCAAAGGAACACACACATTTGTGAATGAGTCTCGCGGCGCATTTTCAAATTTTTGTGTGTCTTCGATTTATTTAAAAAAAACGTGTACTGTACATTCCACGCGTCCATTTTTCGCACGATAATTCATTTTCTTGTTTTTTCTTGTTGCGAAACCCCGCGAAATGACTTCGAATGTCAGTTTGTGAGTTTAGCAACATTTTATACATTTTCATTCTATGAATTTATGAACTTTTTTTGCAGAAAATCTTTGTTCGATCCCGAGAAACCGTTTTCAATTCCAAAAATATTGAATGGCCTAAAAACAATTCATCATGATAAGGTAGGAAGAAAAACAATAATCCTTGAATTAAAAATGTTTTTTTTCCAGGCACTCGATGATGTTTCATTTCAAGGTTTGGATATCAAAGAATCGGATGTTTTCTATGACGACAGAACTTTCAAAAGAGTTTTAGAATATATCTTCAAAAAATGCAATCTTCGTGCAGATTTGTATGGATCGATTGATGAATTGTGCCTCAAAATTCGATTCGATTCATTTGATCCTGAAGTTCACACTCATCTTACAATGGAACAAATATTAGATATTGTTAAACCGGAAGTTTGTAAAGCGAAAAATATGAATATGTTTGTATCGAAACAAGAAACAATTATGGGGATAAGTTATATTGTTCGATTATCGAAATATACAATTCTTGCGGATATTTTCTTGAAAAAATGGATTGCATCATTTATTGAAAGGGAATTGAAATTATTGAAAGAAACCTACTCGTTTTTGCCGTTTGCTGTAATGCAACAAATGTTGAAAGAATTCAAGAAAGCTGAAATATCGATTGGCGAAAATCTGCTAACTATTCAAGATTTCTCGAATCTTCGCGATAAATTTGAGGCATTCGATGTTGAAGGATTGCATTTTTTCGACAAAGTTTTCATGAAAAAAATCAATTTTATGAATCGAAAAACACCGATTTCTACAAATCAACAACTTTTTGTCAATACTTATGTGCAGATTCAAACTATTACAACTCGCTGTGTACATGTTTTGGAAGAGGTTTTGAAACCTGTTTTGATTTGTGATATGGTAAATTTTTCTTCAAATGTTTTGTTTGATAAACATACTTAATTATTACAGAAAGACGAGAGTGCAGTATTGCGAGTATTCTATGAAGAACATAAAACATCGCGTGAAACTGAAAAAGATGTGATTCTTGCAAAAGAACTCGATGAAGTACTCCAAATTGCGATGAAAAAACGACTTCCAGACAAAGAATACAAAAGAGAACTTTTTAAATTGGAAACTGAAGAAGATCGAAAAAATGGGATTGTTTATGGACTTTATTACGAATCTCTTCGTCCCATTTTGAAATCGCATAAATTGGCAATTCTTCTGGATTTGAGTCTTGTTATGATTCCCGAAGATAAATGTGTGTCATCTTATGGAACAATTTGTCAACTTTCGGATGTGGCATTTCGAAAAGTTGTCCAGATTTTGGCGATTGAATTGAAGGTTTTTCAAAAGATAAAAACGAAAAAGGATTTTGAAGGAATTGTGGCTGTACTCGAAAAATATGAACATGTTTTTGGAAGAGGAGTTCGTTGCTTTTTTTGTTTTGGAAAAAACTTATATCTTATTTCAATTTTTCAGGATTACCCATACTTCATCGAGACTTGGAAAATGAACGAAGTTATCAATGAAATTCGAAGCCAAGTCTTGAAATATGCCAGAAATTGCAAGATTTATCAAGTTCGACGAGCCAATTCTAGCATGGTTGAAGCATTTGCAGAAGTCCAGAAATTGTTGGCGAATACAAGAACTATTTTTCAAGATTTGCCAACAGATGTTAAAATTCCAGTTGTGAACGCGAAAAATTATGATATTCGAATGGTTTATGAACATTATTCCAGAATGATTGAACAATATTTGAGCTTGGAAAGTGAAAAGGTATGCTTTTTTGAAAATGTTCAAATATTTATGAATGGAGCTCTAAATTCATTTACTTCACAAAAAATTTAAAAAAAATCGGTGGCCGAAAATTGTCGGGAATTCGGCCAAAGCAACAAACTCGCTCTAATGTTGCAAAAATCCTTGTGTTCCTTTGGCTGAATTCCCGACTTTTCCCGGTCACCGAAATAGGTCGGTCACGTAGTTTTTTCTGAAATTTTTAATTTTTTGTGCAGTAAATTCATTTTGAACTTTTTTTCAAGATAAATGGATTTCTGAATCCAACTGAAGAAGAATACGATATGAATAAACCTGGAACAAGTAATCAATAGTCGCTAATTAGTGTTTTTTTTTCTAAATTATTTTTAGTAACATATTTGTTTATGCACTTATCGCTCGCTGTTAAATAAAATTGCAGATTTTTAGTAAAATAATTTTATTACTTCGTATTTTCAACAATAAATCAAGGAAAAGTGAATTTTGAGAAAATATAAATTTGATTATCCGGCCTAGTAAAATCGATATATCAGATAGATACGATCAGATTCGGCTTGAAAAATAACCCCTAGCCAATTTTTGGTTGAAATTGAACAGTTTTGAGTATATCTACATGAAAAACTAGTTGTGTATATCTATTTGGCCATACTTGTGAAACGCTGCGGATGTACAATCAATAACACAATATTTGTATTCATAATTGTTTATAATTTCATATACAAAGTAACGGATTTGACTGTGAATTTTTCCGTCGATGTGAAACTTTCCGTCCTTGAGCATTTTTGAATCAAACACAGCATCCAAATTGTGTGGAACACTAAGTGGCTCATTAAAATTCCTAACCCACGGCGCCTTTAAACTAAAGTTAACCCTTTTTTCCCAAAGGACCCCAGCAGCAAAACTAGCGCATTTTTTATTTAAATCTATTGAGGGGACCTAGAAAAGATATCCCTATTTTGAGCCACCCAGTGTCCACACTCCAATTTCGGATCCATTGTTCTGCATCTGAAAAAAAAGTATTATTGAAAAAAATACGTCAAAAAAAGATTCTACTTACCATTTGTGTGTTGCCTTCTTATTTTGAGCCAGAAAACCTTCATTGATCCAATTATCCATATAGTTCGTCTCGAACTTCTTTTCGTCGATCCAAAACTTACCCAAAACTTACCGAAGTTCATCGCGAACTTCTCCAAAACTTACCGAAGTTCATCGAGAACTTTCCTCCGTCGATCCAAAACCTACCGAAGTTCGTCGCGAACTTCTCCTCGATCCAAAACCTACCGAAGTTCGTCGCGAACTTTCCTTCTTCGATCCAAAACTCACCGAAGTTCGTCGCGAACTTCTCCTCCTCGATCCAAAACTCACCGAAGTTCGTCGCGAACTTCTCCTCCTCGATCCAAAACTTACCGAAGTTCGTCGCGAACTTCTCCTCCTCGATCCAAAACTTACCAAAGTTCGTCGCGAACTTTCCTTCTTCGATCCAAAACTTACCGAAGTTCGTCGCGAACTTCTCCTCCTCGATCCAAAACTTACCGAAGTTCGTCGCGAACTTCTCCACAACTTACCGAAGTTCATCGCGAACTTCTCCAAAACTTACCGAAGTTCATCGAGAACTTTCCTCCGTCGATCCAAAACCTACCGAAGTTCGTCGCGAACTTCTCCTCGATCCAAAACCTACCGAAGTTCGTCGCGAACTTTCCTTCTTCGATCCAAAACTCACCGAAGTTCGTCGCGAACTTCTCCTCCTCGATCCAAAACTCACCGAAGTTCGTCGCGAACTTCTCCTCCTCGATCCAAAACTTACCGAAGTTCGTCGCGAACTTCTCCTCCTCGATCCAAAACTTACCAAAGTTCGTCGCGAACTTTCCTTCTTCGATCCAAAACTTACCGAAGTTCGTCGCGAACTTCTCCTCCTCGATCCAAAACTTACCGAAGTTCGTCGCGAACTTCTCCACAACTTACCGAAGTTCGTCGCGAACTTCTCCTCCTCGATCCAAAACTTACCGAAGTTCGTCGCGAACTTCTCCACAACTTACCGAAGTTCGTCGCGAACTTCTCCTCCTCGATCCAAAACTTACCAAAGTTCGGCGCGAACTTTCCTTCTTCGATCCAAAACTTACCGAAGTTCGTCGCGAACTTCTCCTCCTCGATCCAAAAACCTACCGAAGTTCGTCGCGAACTTCTCCTCGATCCAAAAACCTACTTAAGTTCGTCGCGAACTTCTCCTCCTCGATCCAAAACTTACCGAAGTTCGTCGCGAACTTCTCCACAACTTACCCAAGAACTCACCGAAGTTCGTCGCGAACTTCTCCTAAACTTACCGAAGTTCGTCGCGAACTTTTCTTCATCGATCCAAAACTTACCAAAAACCTACCGAAGTTCATCGCGAACTTCTCCACAACTTACCCAAGAACTTACCGAAGTTCGTCGCGAACTTCTCCTAAACTTACCGAAGTTCGTCGCGAACTTTTCTTCATCGACTCCGCCAACGATGTGAAACTTTCCGTCCTTCGAGCATTTTCGAATCCAACACCGCAACCAAATAGTATGGAAAACCAAGTGGCTCATTAAAATTCCTAACCCACGGCGCCTTAAAACTAAAGTCAATAATTTCTTCCCAATGGACGACCCCAGTAGCAAAACTAGCGCATTTTCACTTATATCTATTGAGGGGACCTAGAAAATCTATCCCTAATTTGAGCCACCCAGTGTCCACACTCCAATTTCGGATCCATTGTTCTGCATCTGGAAAAAAGCTATTATTGAAAAAAATACGTCAAACTTCGGATTCTGAATCAAAATCCTCTAGATCTACTCCCCTCATTACTTACCCAATCTCCAACCTCTTTCGCATATTTCTTCCTCAATTCCTCATTTTCATTCAAAAATCAATTCCATCTCCAATTTCACCTTCGACTGCACCAACAAATCTCGAAAATTCTGCGCTTCTTCTCGACAAATCGTCCGGTGACAACAATTTCGCTCCCGGCAAACTCAAATCCACATTTTTCGAAATAAACAAAAATATTCTTTCCGAACTTTTCGATTTATCCATCGCATTTTTCATCATTTCAGCTTCCAACAATACTTTTTCCAGTTGTTCTTTCGATTCCCGCGAGTCTGGCGGTCCTCCTTTTATATTTACTTTCTTATCTGATTGATAATATAGAACACGTATAAATTCAAAACATTTATTCAAATCTTTCTAATTTGTGCCCTAGATTTAAATTTAAAATTTGACGTGAATCATTTTGTTCATTTCTGATTTTTCAAAACGCTTGGATTGCCGCATGTATTTTCTGCATTATTTTTTGAAATGAAGCAAAGCATATGAGTTTCTCTTGAAGTAAGAAGCTAAAGAAAGAATAACTTCCTATAAAAAGTATTTTTTTCAGTTCAATTCACGAATCCAATTAACGTAGAATCGCTCTAGGATTTGAAAAACTTCAAAAATGAACACTTTTTGGTGATCAAAAAATTTCGACGGAATTCAACATCATTTCCAATTCATTTACGGGAAAAAATATTTTTGAAAAATATGTTCAGAAAAAAATTAATAATTTTTATGATCAGAGAGTCGTCTGCAAAGATTTCTCAAAAAAAATTTACAAAAAAAAAGACTGTAGTTTAGATACAGTAATCCACTCTTGATTCCAATTTTGATATTGTCATTTCCAATTCATTTTCTGAAAAAAAAATATTTTTGAAAAAAATTTTCAGAAAAAAAACTCACAATTTTTTTTATTTTTATGATCAGAGAGTCATCCCCGGCAAAGATTTCTCAAAAACATTCACGATAATATGAAGTACTGTAGTCTAGATACAGTAATCCAATTTATTTCAATTTTGATGTTGTAATGTTCAATTCATTTTCTGAAAAAAATGCTATTTCAGATGAATTTCAATTTTTGTGATAAAAAACTCACAAAATTATTTCAAAAATTGGTCCCGTATATGTCATCTCCAAAGAATTCATAAAAAAAACAATTCTTCGAGAAAAGTACTGTAGTCTAGATACAGTAATTTTATATAAATCCTCAATTCTTCAAAAAATAAAAGCTAGCATTAAAATTTATTGATCATACACAATGGCGAAAACAAAAAACACGTCAATTCTAAGCAGCTGGCGTCAAAAAGGTAGTATAAAAATTTGAGAAAATAAATAAATAAATTATGAGGGGACTTTAAAGGGACATACAGTAATATTTGGATTTTTAAAGAAACATGAAGAAAAATTATAATTTCGGGAAAAAAATCAGAAACTTTTGAGTAAAACAATATCAAATGTTCACTTTAAATCTTCAAAATTCCTCAAAAACTTTCAAATTTTCACTCAAAACCCACGAAATTCTCCCTATGTTCCTTTAAAACTTCTCAAATTTTAACTCTAGCAACCCAATAATTTTCATCATTTCCTAATAACATATATCCATTTCCTTCATCAATTGCACTTGTTATTCCTTGGAATTTTCCAGTTGAATCATGATAAGATTGTGAAATTGAGCCAGTTTCGATGTTGATTTTTAGGACAAGTCCATTTGAATTTGAGAGAGATTGAGCGAGCCAATTGAAAAGTTGAGGAGAGAAGATCTGGAAAACATATATTTGGGTCTTGGAGGGAAATTTAGAGGAGTACTGTAGTTTTATTGCTGTTAATTAAAGCTCAGAGTACTGTAATTTTGGATTACTGTAGATCAAAAGTAGTGTTGTTTTATTTTTTTTTCAAAAAAAAATTACAAAAATCTTCTGGCTTTTGAACTGGGTTACTGTATTTGTGATTTTTTTAAATTTCATTTTTTCAGGCTCAGATTACTGTAGGTTGGAAGGTTACTGTAGTTTTGCTTTGCTACGGTCTCAACACGAGAATTAGTCAAGGTCCTGACACGAAAATCTCCAGCCCACAGTACTCTGTTTCTCTGCGTCTCTCTCTCTCTCACCTTTGTCACATATTCTCTGACACGTGGCAATTTCTCCAAAAATCGATCATCTTTTGTTCGTTGCGCCGGAATTGGTACCAATAATTGGGAACCTAAATAAATACAATCAATCAAATTACAGTAATCTTCTGGAGTACTGTACTCTAATACCGTACCTTTTTGTGTCAATCGAATATTATCGGGATATCCGGGAAGATTGTCGATGAGCACTTTGGTTCGAATTGGTGATTTTGAGTAGGGATCATTTGGAACCCTGTAAAATTGATTATATGAGGGTTAATATGAGCAATGTTAATATTTTTCTTCAAAATCTGAGAAAATCTTGACATGAGCAATGCTAAGATTATACAAAACACCCGATTAATATGAGCAATGTTGAAAAAACACAAACTTTTAATAAAACACGATTATCAAAAGAAATCAGAGGGAAAATACAGCATTGCTCATACTAAAGTAGTTATTTTTATTGCTCATGTTAGTCCACTTTCAAAAATTTAATTTGTTGAGTAAAAATTGTAGTTTCAGGTAATTTTTTTCTATCATGAGCAATCCTCCTCCGTCAAAAAAACCAACCAAATAGTCATAATTCTAGCCAATCCCATTTCACTATAAAATACTCGAATCGGATCATTTTTTCCAACTCCTTTCTCAACAACAACTTGAACACCATTCGGAAAATACAATCCATCTTTCAAAACTCGCAAATCCTTTTTCCTCGGATCATAAATCAATAATCGACCATTTGGTCGATGCTCGAAAAATATCATAAATCACATCGCGATCATCGAATTTTGTCGAGGATTCGGAGAGAACAATTCGACCATCGGGCAGGAAATCGAAATCATTCAAATATCGAATTGGTGGAGCATTTTCGTCGTTGATTGGAAGTTCGCCAGCTCCGAGGATTTTCACGGTTTTTTCTGGAAAAATTTGTGTTATGACGTGGCAATTGAGACATTTGCAGACAAATTCGATTTTCAAGATATTTTTGAAGTATTGCTCATATTAGGATAGGTTTATGGACATACGTCGCATGCCAGGGGTAATCGACCCGTGGAGGGGTTATCCCTCACACCAAATGTTGGAGGGGGTTGTCACTTGAGATAAAAAATTTTATGAAACTTTCTCAGTTTTGATGATAATTTTCTCTACATATTCTGCCATAGGGATACCAATTCAAGCCTCAAAAAAGTTTCCACATAAATATCTAATTAAATTAGCGGTAGCAAGCCTTTATTAGACCCCTATCAACTATGCTCCACAATAAAATCCAAAGAATTAAGCCTGGTATCAATATGGGACCACTATGTCATTTTTCACCTCTGTTATCAAAGAACACAGGGATAAAAAGTCAGTAGGGGTATCTAATGAATACCAATGAATATTAGACTTGAGTTAGGGGTAGCAAGCCTTTATTAGACCCCTATCAAGTATGCTCCACAATAAAATCCAAAGAATTAAGCCTGGTATCAAGATGGGACCACTATGTCATTTTTCACCTCTGTTATCAAAGAACACAGGGATAAAAAGTCAGTAGGGGTATCTAATGAATACCAATGAATATTAGACTTGAGTTAGGGGTAGCAAGCCTTTATTAGACCCCTATCAACTATGCTCCACAATAAAATCCAAAGAATTAAGCCTGGTATCAATATGGGACCACTATGTCATTTTTCACCTCTGTTATCAAAGAACACAGGGATAAAAAGTCAGTAGGGGTATCTAATGAATACCAATGAATATTAGACTTGAGTTAGGGGTAGCAAGCCTTTATTAGACCCCTATCAAGTATGCTCCACAATAAAATCCAAAGAATTAAGCCTGGTATCAAGATGGGACCACTATGTCATTTTTCACCTCTGTTATCAAAGAACACAGGGATAAAAAGTCAGTAGGGGTGTAATAATATCTAATGAATACCAATGAATATTAGACTTGAGTTAGGGGTAGCATGCCTTTGTTAGACCCTTATCAACTATGCTCCACAATAAAATCCAAAGAATTAAGCCTGGTATCAAGATGGGACCACTATGTCATTTTTCACCTCTGTTATCAAAGAACACAGGGATAAAAAGTCAGTAGGGGTATCTAATGAATACCAATGAATATTAGACTTGAGTTAGGGGTAGCAAGCCTTTATTAGACCCCTATCAAGTATGCTCCACAATAAAATCCAAAGAATTAAGCCTGGTATCAAGATGGGACCACTATGTCATTTTTCACCTCTGTTATCAAAGAACACAGGGATAAAAAGTCAGTAGGGGTATCTAATGAATACCAATAAAAATTAGACTTGAGTTAGGGGTAGCATGCCTTTGTTAGACCCTTATCAACTATGCTCCACAATAAAATCCAAAGAATTAAGCCTGGTATCAAGATGGGACCACTATGTCATTTTTCACCTCTGTTATCAAAGAACACAGGGATAAAAAGTCAGTAGGGGTATCTAATGAATACCAATGAATATTAGACTTGAGTTAGGGGTAGCAAGCCTTTATTAGACCCCTATCAAGTATGCTCCACAATAAAATCCAAAGAATTAAGCCTGGTATCAAGATGGGACCACTATGTCATTTTTCACCTCTGTTATCAAAGAACACAGGGATAAAAAGTCAGTAGGGGTGTAATAATATCTAATGAATACCAATGAATATTAGACTTGAGTTAGGGGTAGCATGCCTTTGTTAGACCCTTATCAACTATGCTCCACAATAAAATCCAAAGAATTAAGCCTGGTATCAAGATGGGACCACTATGTCATTTTTCACCTCTGTTATCAAAGAACACAGGGATAAAAAGTCAGTAGGGGTATCTAATGAATACCAATGAATATTAGACTTGAGTTAGGGGTAGCATGCCTTTGTTAGACCCTTATCAACTATGCTCCACAATAAAATCCAAAGAATTAAGCCTGGTATCAATATGGGACCACTATGTCATTTTTCACCTCTGTTATCAAAGAACACAGGGATAAAAAGTCAGTAGGGGTATCTAATGAATACCAATAAAAATTAGACTTGAGTTAGGGGTAGCATGCCTTTATTAGACCCCTATCAAGTATGCTCCACAATAAAATCCAAAGAATTAAGCCTGGTATCAAGATGGGACCACTATGTCATTTTTCACCTCTGTTATCAAAGAACACAGGGATAAAAAGTCAGTAGGGGTGTAATAATATCTAATGAATACCAATAAAAATTAGACTTGAGTTAGGGGTAGCATGCCTTTATTAATTTTGAATAACTGTACATTGTCACCTAATCATAATTTTTGCAAATATTACAGTTACTAACTGTCAGTTGATATGTGAAAAAATGACATAGTGGTTCCATCTTGATACAAGGCTTAATTCTTTGGATTTTATTGTGGAGCATAGTTGATAAGGGTCTAATAAAGGAATGCTCCCCCTAACTCAAGTTCAAAATTCACTATTTGCCTCATTGATGTAAATTCTGAGCTTAAGAAATTTTCAGATTTCTATAGCTGGAAATGAAAAAAAAAATGAAAAAAAGGGGGGGGGGTTATCCCGTTCGCCGAAAATTTTCAAAAATAGGGGTATGCCCTGGCGGATTTGAAACTAGGGTATGCGACGTATGTTTATGGAAAACAATATATAAAAGAAAATCTAGTTTTTTCCCCGAAATAATATTTATTAAAAAAAATTTTGAGCATCGCTCAGGTTATACTCTTTTCAGACATGTCGCTGCAGGCCGGGCCGGCCGGGCTGAGCCCGAAGTAAACACAAAAAATCGGGCTTTTTTCAGCCGAAAACCGATTTTAACATGTGCGGCTTTCGCTGGCCCGATTTTGGGGCCCGCTTATTTTTTCTTCGATTTTTTTTTCATTGAAAAAATAAGTTTTTCGTGGTCAAAAAGGAATTTTTAATGAATTTCAAACATTGTAAAGAGTAAATATAGTAAAATAATATGTATGTGGAAGAGAATTCACTTGAATTTTGAAATTTTTGCATTTTATTTTTCGATTTGTTACTTATTTCTATTTTTATTAGCAAAATATCACATTCTAATTTGATTTTTTACTCATATAAATACAATCCAACATCGAAAACATCAAAAAAAAAAATCTGAAATTGGCCATTCAAAAATATTGTTTGGGCGAGGCCAACCCCGGCCGCTTTTAAATTTTCATAAGGCCGGGCCAGCCGGGCCCGTGATAAATTGAGCGGGCTTTAGGGGCCCGAATTCAGCAAAAACGACATGTCTGCTCTTTTCAAAAAAGCTCACATTTATACATTTATGATTGCTCATATCAAACTCATCCAAAACGAAAACCAGAGCATTTCTCATGATAAACCCTTTGAAAAATGATCCAAATGTCTAAGAATCGCTCAGATTATAGTTCCAATTAATTTCGAGATTTAATCTCATTATCTTATTTTTTCAATATTCAGAATTTTAAAGGATTTCTCATATTATACTTTTTCTGAATAAAGCCCAAAAATTATTATGCATTGCTCATATTAGCTCTATTTTCTTAGCGAAAAATGTAATTTTTTTTTGAAATTTCCCCGCCAAACTCACCATCATCCCAATTAATAGCATACAATCCCAAATAAGCATCAACCACCAATAATTCTCCATGTTCATTAAATCTCATTCCCAAAGGCCTTCCACATTTATCCATTTGACTATAACTTCCATCACAATTCTCAACCGAAGTTAGCCGAACTGCTCGAAGAATTCGAGGATTCTTCAAACTCGCGTCGATTTCACAAATTAATCCGGTTTTTAGACCAGTGTAAAGTAGACCATTTTTGGAATTTATTGCGAGGGATTCGGGGCCGAAAACTTGATCTTCGAGAAGAATTTCGGCATTTGTTATAAGATCGTTGACTTTGAGAACACCTTCCAAAGCTATTGGTTCACCAAGACTGGAAATTAGATGGTTTTGAGAGGAAAATTTGGGTTTTTCTGGTCATTTTGAGTCTAATCATGATTATTGCCCTTCAAAAATTTAATTAAAATTTTTAGAACAAATTTGACCATGTTCCCTGTAAAATTCACAGAAAAAACTCACTCAAAACACTCTGCATTAATCTTCGGCTTGACAACAAGATGTGCCAATCCCATGGCTCCGAAAATCGACAAAATACATCCGACCACGAAAATTTTGGGTGTTGGAATTACGCTAAATCGCTCAGGTTTTGGCTGAAAAAATTTACAATTTATTTTCAAAGCCAAAAATTCGAAAAAATATTGAAACCAACCTCATTTTTCGTTATTTTCTTCTTCAATTTTGGTGGCGGTGATCCAGTTCTTCTTTTCATTTTTTTTCAATTAAAAAAATGGTTTTTTGGGTGGGTGGGAAAATAGATAAGAATGGGGAAATATAGAAAAGGGAACAGAAAAACTAAAAGCGATGACCAATGTTGTAAATATATAAATATTGTTTTTTGGCTATATTATTTACTTTGTACAGAGACGAACGACACACATGAAATAGTGTTAGAAACATGGAGAGATTAGAGAAAAATGGTACTTTTGCCATTGTTGAAAAGGGTCAAATAGTAATATTTGCCAATTTATGCTAATATCTTTGGGGAAACGACAAAATTTTTTGCAAAAAGAAAAAAAAGAAAAAATAAATTTGAAAAATAGAGTGAGCGGGGTGAATCGCTGCGAGATATTGTGTGAATAATGTTGTGCGCCTTTTCTTACTGTGTTTGCAAATTTTTCGAAATTTTTTTTGCGAAAAGTTTGGTGGTTTTTGGAGCTTGCGTGCAAAATTAGCAATTTTCTTCAAAATTTCCCACCAAAAAATGAATTTCAGCGTGTTCCACATTTCTCCTCACGTGTCAAAAATGACCGCGCAAATTCTATTGTTATTATTTTATAAAATTGGAAATGGCGGTAAGTTAGGCTAACTCAATTTCCCAACCCAGCTTAACATTTTCAGAGTAACCGTGAACTCCCTCCAGCTGCAACATCTCCAGGAGCTCCAGGAGCACCAGTTGCTCCACAAACAGTTCAACCAGTTGTCAATATCACACAACAACAACAACCAGCAACCGGTTCACTTCCAATCATTGATCTACCTGAAGATATCAAAAATTGCGCATTTTATCACGGTCGAATTCCACGCGTCGAAGCGGAGCTCAGTTTGCGAACCGCCGGCGATTATTTATTGAGAAAGGCGGAAGGAATTGAGGGAATTTATTTGGTGGTTTCGGCGAGAAATTCGATGACCTATTTTCATTTTCCCGTTTCGCAGGAGAAAGAGACTTCCAAGTTTTATTTGGATTCGATTAAAGAAGCGAGTGTTTTGGATTTGTTGAATGCTCATGTGTAAGTTTGGGAGATAGTGCGCTCCATTGCGAAAAATGGGGGGATACATATTTTTGAATTGTATTTCCGAGTCTTTGTGTGCCTTTTCCGTATAAACGGAATTTAACAATATTCCCATGAATATTTTCTCTTTCCTCGAAATTTATGATCTTGTTTAGCTCATTCGTTTTTTCGATCCACATGCAAATAGCTTGGTGGTGTCCTGTAAGGTGCGAATGCACCTGCTTCAATTTGTCTTTCTGCGGTTCTGTGTTGATTTTCATATGTTCTTTTTGATCTTTCCGCACCTTCCTTGATATTCTTCTTGATTATTTCATGGGTGTCTTTGAGCAAATTTTCCAATTTTGTCAGATATTCCTGTGGGTATATCTGACCATTTCTATTCAGCTCTGGATGTGACGATGATGACTTCTCTGTTGCGGAGGCGCTGGAGATATTGTATGGTTTTTATGAGACCATTTCTTTTGAAGATCTCTGGGCACAGGGCAGTGTGGTCTCCACCTTGGTCACAGCTTCCACATGGTGTTTTTGACATCTGTTCCTACAGCTTTGCAAACATTCCAAACATCTTCCTTCCTCCCGTATAAATTTTCTTCGTTCTTCTATTTCCACGCGTCGACAATGTTCCGATGGATGTGAGTCTCCGCAGAATTTGCAGATATGGGCGTTTCCTTGTATAGTTATTTTTCCTTTGTTCCCCATATTTTTGTGCTCGCTGATTTTCTGCTCCAGCAGCTCCGTTACGTTGTTCTTCTCAATCATTTTTATTTCTTTGTATTTTAATAGCATCTTTATTTCGTCAGGGATTTTTGTTCGAATTTTCCTTTTCCTTCTTCTTTCCTCTTCCTCTTCTTTCTTGTTCTTTCCCAACTGTCTGATTGTTTCCGATAGTTTTTTGATAATATTTTCTTTCTTCTCCAGTTTTTTCAATTTCCTCTGTTTTTGCTTCACTTCATGTTTGGTGTTGTTTGATTGTTCCATTTCTGAATAACTTTGGTATCAATTTCGGTGTTGTTTTTTCTTTGTTCGGTTTACATTAGAACTAGGATGATGCCGCAAGTCTTTCTTCGATTGTTCTGTGGGTTCTTTCCATGGTGCCATTACCATTTTGTGGTATGGTGCAGTTGTTGAATGTTTTGTTTTGCACAGTTTCAAAGATGTTTTGAAAGTTTCCGAAAGATATTGTTTTCCATTGTCTGTCAGAGTTTCCAATGGTGTTCCGAATGTGAGGTGCGAAAGCGCCTCCTACTTCGGTCCTCAAATATGTTATGAAGTGATATATATATGTATTTATGATAAATAATAAAGTAATATAATAAACAAAGAAGGATAAAACTATATGTTCACGAGCTCCATGGTCGTCTGCTGGAGGGAGTGAGCTCTTGGTGGGCAGAGCCTGAGTGGAGCTGGAGGCGAAGTGTTGGGTTCAGTTGGGCGGAGCTTAAGTGGGTCCTGAGGTGATGTGGTACTGTAGCTGTCCGCCTTACACGAACACGTTACACGCCCTCATGCGGATATAATATGAGGTGCCGATAGGCGGAACCTTTTTTCTTTGTGCTCCTCTAACGTTCTTATGTATTTGTCTTTTGATTAAAAGTACTGTAGTCTAGATACAGTTGTATGTACAGTAATCATCACATATTTGGTTTGCTTCTACCATTCTGAGGTCGTTTATGGTCATGTTTTTTATGTCTGTGGAGATTTCTATTTTTTTTCTTTAATTCCTTTTCGTCTTGTTCAGCTACATATATTTTGGGTTTGGCATTCTTCTGCAACTACTTCTCCGATATTGTTGAATTTCTTATTGATTTGTTCCATTGTTATTTTTCTGTTCCGTGTCTCCGACTGTTTCTGCTTCTTTTTCACCAAACATCATCTTTGTGTGCAAAAATAGTTTTTTCTCTTTTTCAAAGGAGATATTTGGTCATTTGGCTGCGGTCACTCGAAACGGGCAAATCAGTCAATTTGTTGGGTGGTTCTGATCTTCGAATAAAAACTTCATCTTCGGATTCAATTTCTATGTTGGTTGGCATATGTTCTTTTTGATCTATCCGCACCTTCCCCACACTTGATGTCTTCACAGGTTGCTAAGCATTGGTTTTTTTTTATACAAAGTACTGTAGTCTAGATACAGTAATCATCAAATAAACATTGAAAAATAAAAAAACAAGACAAAATAATTAAAACAAAACCCAGAAACCCACCCAAAACAAAAAAAAGTGTAAAATTCTATCCGTTTTGTTTTGGGTGTGGCTCAATTGAGCTCACAACAACAGATACATATTTCGCAATAAATCTTATTATTCTGTCGGTATGCACGAGACTTTTTGTGTGATATCTTCTCTTTTTTGAGTTTATTCGGATTGATGCAGGTTTTGAAGGATTTGAGGGATTTTTGAGAATATTTTGGACTTGGGAAATGAGATTTGTCGGGATTTTTTTTTTTGAAAGTTTTTGAAAAACGAATTTTTCTGAATGAATTCTGAATAATTTTTCAAAAATCTGATCATTCACGCGTTTTCGTTTGAAAATAAGGTTGTAAAAATAACAAAAATGTTCTGAAAATTCACTAAATTTTTCCAGAACCCAAGCAATTCCCCTTTCAAAAACCTCTGGATGCCTAATAACTCGTGCTGTCCCCCGTCCACAATGGCTCGTCAAACATAGCAGTCTAATCATGTACAAAAAATTGGGAGCCGGCGCTTTCGGCGAAGTTTTTCTGGCTCGGATGGAAGATCCAACATCGGAAATCATGTTGGATTGTGCTGTCAAATCGATGAAATCTGAAGCGACTTCAGAAGCGAGACTTCGATTTATGAAAGAATCGAGAATGATGCGAAAATCGTATCAACACAAGAATGTTGTGATGATTTTGGGAATTGCTGTTATGCATAATCCATTGTTGATTATTATGGAATTGTGTCCAAGTGAGTGGGGTTTTGAGAGAGGTTACTGAAATTTGGAACAAAATTTGGAACTTTTTGAATAATTAATTAGAAGAGCTTGAAATTCTGAACAGAGTGGTGCTAAATTTTAATTATTCAAAAATTCTGAATTTCACTAGTAGTTTGAGGTTCTCCGAAACTTAAATTTAGACCCTTTAAAAAATTCAAATCAGATTTTCAAAATTTTCTGAATATCAAATTTGGTCTCATTTTGAAGAGCTTGAAAATATCAACAAAATGAGCCCGAATTGGATTTTTGAAAAAAATCTGGAAGTTACTGAAAATTGGGGTTAGAATCGAGGCTAGATTTCCCTTTCTAGAAAGGTTTGGGATTTTCTGAAAGTTCTACTGAAACTTTAAATTTTCCAAAGTTTTCTGGAAATTGAGTTTGAAGCTTGAAATTTTTTAGCAAAAGCTTCAAAATTCCGGAAAATCTGGAACTTTCTGAAAATCAGTCGAAAAAATCTGAAATAAAAAATTTAGTTTCATTTTGAAGAACTCACGATCTTCAAAAAAACTAGAGTCTAGTATAGGGAACCCCCCTCCACGTCCAAAAAAAATCAAACCTTTCTCCAGACGGCTCGCTCGTCTCCTATCTTCGAAAAAACAAAGGCACAACAACAATCCAAGAAAAATTGCGATTTGTAACCGAAGCTGCCTCAGGTCTCGCTTATTTGGAAGCAATGGGTTGTGTTCATCGAGATGTGGCTGCAAGAAATTGTCTACTTTCAGCAACTAATGAAATTAAAATATCAGATTTTGGCCTGGCTGATGATAGATGTTTGATGATTGATAACACTCTCGAAAAAATGCCCATCAAATGGTTGGCGCCTGAAACGATGCAGGAAAAGATTTATTCGCTGAAATCGGATATTTGGGCATTTGGTGTTTTGTGTTGGGAAACGTATGCGGATGGCGAGGAACCGTATCCGGGATTGACACCAATTCAAACACGCGCCAAAATTGTTGTGCAAGATTATCGAATGAAAATGGCGGATGACACACAACCTGAAGTTGTCAAAATTGTTGAACAGTGTTGGGAGAAAAATGCGGATAAACGAGGAACGATGAGAGAACATTTTGCGAGTTTGACCAAATTGGTGACACCTCCTGTGGCGATTAATTAGAAGAAATTAGAGAGATTTTTAGATGAAGAATTCTGCATTTTTTGTTTTTTTTCGGTGGGAAAATTGATTTGGGAAGGTTTCTAGAGAATTGAAAATCGATTTTGAAAAAAAAAACAGAAATTCCCGTCACGTGAAAATCCAACCCAATGTCTTCATTTATCATTTTCATTACCAAACAAAAATGAAAATTCATAATTCTTATTCTAGACAAGTAATTGAAGAAACAATAACAAAATGCAGTCGATTTTGTGGTCCACTTCGAATTCCAAAAAAGGTTCCACCAAAAAACTATGAAAATATATTGAAAGTTTTGCAAACTTATTCGAATTTTGATTTGAACAAAAATTGGTTGAAATTGATTGCAGATCAATTTAATGGAAAATATATCGATTTTCAAAATGATCAATTAATGACTACTTATACAGCTAATGTAAGTTTTTTATAAGATTATTCCTGAAAATAAAAAAAATGTTTTTTTCAGTTCAAAACTCGTTGGATGTTTTTCTCAATGTTTTTCACAATTTTGACAATGATATTTATTTATTTTCTATTTTCAATGTCAAAAACTCTAACAAATCGAGTTTTGAAATTTATAAAATTCCGGAAATATTACACGGGATATACAATTATCCCAGTTTTTTGTTGTATTATGATTATCTCAATTACTGTAACATTTGGAAAAGAAGCAACGAAAGCTGGAATTGCTATACAAAATTCGAAAAATTGGAGAGAAACTGCGCAAAAACGTGGGTTTTTCACAACTTCAACTCTTTGAGCTACAAAAATAGTTCCTGAGCTCAAATTTTGCAGGTAGCAGATTTGTGCAGGAGCAAACTTGGGACGAAATGAATTGCTCAACTTTTTTCCCACCTATAGATTATCGCGTTTTAGACAACATCGAATATGGAATGTTCGGGATAACAACAGAAGATATAAATGGAGCCATCGAATATAAATTAGGTTTGTATAAAAGTCTCATTCAGAACTCTGGTCTATTTTTTCAGGAAAATATTTGCTAAATGAATTGACCGATCTTTTTGTTGAAGCGTTGTTGCGTTTCTACCAGTTTCAACATGACGTGGTTTTTAATGAGATTTTTTTGCTGAACGATCGAACTTATGAGTTGCTCAAAATTCCGAGTGAAAATCTGATAAATACTGCAAAATATACGATTTTTGTGGTTTCGATGGTTTCAATTTGCTTCACTTCTTTCATTTGTTTAATGGTTTTTCTGGATTTAAAGAATAAATGTGAGTTATTTTACTGAGAACAGAACAGAGCTTCTTCCTTCTTTTTCCGTAATATATTTTTTCCAGATCCACAAATAATAAAATGTATCCAACTATTTTCTCCAATTCTCCTCTTTTTTATAATAATTGGTTATTTCTTCATCTGGTATATTTTCACTTCAATTGTCGGAAGTTATACGGTATTCTTGCATTTAACACATTCTCAAATTCAAGATGATATTTATTTTGATCGATTTGAAACTCAACAATTTTTCGACAGTTTAACAACTCATAATATTATAAGTGTTTCATATAAAAGTATTGAACAAGAAATGAATTCAACATATTTATCGATTTTTGATATTTATCCTCGAAAATTGATCGAAGAATTGATGAGTAAAACAATATCAAATCCGGATCCGACTCATCCAGATTATCCGCATTATCATTTTTTCTCACGATGTGTAAGTCATTGAAAACTTGTGTTCCAAATATTATTGTTTTGCTCATTTTTGCAGCTCAAAAATGAGACTTTATGCACGTGGAAGCCTTCGGACTTGTTTGCGAAGCTGCCGAAATGGATTGTCTTGCGATCTTTGATTGAACCTGATTTTCGTGTGCCAGCAATCAGTTATCTTCGATATTTATCATTTTTCCAACAAAATACATTTGTACCAATTGCTGGCTTGGTTTGGAATATTCGTAAGTTTAATTAATTATTGGAAAATAATTTAAAATCAATATATTTCAGTTGCTCTACCAGCTCTGATCTTCTTCAATCTGATGTTTATCCATTTCGCAACTCCTTTGATTCGTAGAAAATCTGAAGATTCAAGCACTGATGGTTTCATGTGAAGAATTAATAAACCTTTAATGGAAAATTCTGAAAATTCTAACAGGGAAAAAATATTAAGGAAAAAAATTCATATTTATAAATGTTTGCGTCACGTGAAAATCCAGAAAAATTTCACTATTTTTTAATTTTCTCTCCACACGAAACGGTGAAGTAAATACTTAAAATGAGCAATTTGCGAACTCATTCGAATGATGTATTAATTGAAAGAATAATAAGATGCAGTCGATTTTGTGGTCCACTTCGAATTCCAAAAAAGGTTCCACCAAAAAACTATGAAAATATATTGAAAGTTTTGCAAACTTATTCGAATTTGGATTTGAACAAAAGTTGGTTGAAATTGATTGCAGATCAATTTAATGGAAAATATATCGATTTTCAAAATGATCAATTAATGACTACTTATACAGCTAATGTAAGTTTTTGATAAGATTATTCCTGAAAATAAAAAAATGTTTTTTTGCAGTTCAAAACTCGTTGGATGTTTTTCTCAATGTTTTTCACAATTTTGACAATGATATTTATTTATTTTCTATTTTCAATGTCAAAAACTCTAACAAATCGAGTTTTAAAATTTATAAAATTCCGAAAATATTACACGGGATATACAATTATCCCAGTTTTTTGTTGTATTATGATTATCTCAATTACTGTAACATTTGGAAAAGAAGCAACGAAAGCTGGAATTGCTATACAAAATTCGAGAAATTGGAAAGAAACTGCCCAGAAACGTTGGTTTTATTGATAAGCTCTCATTTTAATTCTTACAAAACGTATTCAGGCGCCACATACATTGGAAAACAAACGTGGATCGAAATGAATTGCTCGACATTTTTTCCAGCATTAGAGCCAGAATATCTAAGAAAGTTTGAAGAAGATTTATTCAAAGTAACATCAGAAAATATCAACAAAGCAATCAAATCGAAACTAGGTATAGTTTTCAAAAAATCCAAAACTTATAAGAATTCCAGGCAAATCAGTGGATAATAGTTTAACCCAAATACCTGTCACCGCTGTTTTAAATTATTATAAAATTCATCATGATATGGTTTTTGATGAAGTTTGTTTACTGAACGATCGAACTTATGAATTGCTAAAAATTCCGAGTGAAAATTTAATAAATACTGCAAAATATACGATTTTTGTGGTTTCGATGGTTTCAATTTGCTTCACTTCTTTTATTTGTTGGATGGTTTTTCTGGATTTAAAAAATAAATGTGAGTTATTTTGCTGAGAACAGAACAGAGCTTCTTCCTTCTTTTTACCGTAATATATTTTCCAGATCCTCAAATCATAAAATGTATCCAACTTTTCTCTCCAATTCTCCTCTTTTTTATAATAATTGGTTATTTCTTCATCTGGTATATTTTTACTTCAATTGTTGGAAGTTATACGGTATTCTTGCATTTAACACATTCCCAAATTCAAGATGATATTTAGGCGATGTTGCAGATGAGTTTCTCCTCCGAGGAGAAATGAGGAGAAATGGGGCGAAATTCAAAAAATACATTGTTTCGCCTCCACGTGCAACACGTTTCTCCTCTTTCTCCTCAATTAGCCCCGAGGAGAAACTAATCTGCATCATCGCCTTATTTTGATCGATTTGAAACTCAACAATTTTTCGACAGTTTAACAACTTATAAAATTTTAAGTGTTTCACAACCAGCCGTAAAACAAGGTTTGAATGAAACTTTTCTGTCAATTTTCGATGTTTATCCTCGAAAATTAGTTGAAGAATTGATCAATAAAACATCGAATGTTGATATTATGAATCCTGAACACAAATATTTCAATGTACTGTCAGAATGTGTGAGTTAAATGGTCATGTACGGAGTTATTATAAATTGTTCTTGCAGCTCAAAAACCCAAGTAAATGTGAATGGAATTCATACGACGTTTTGGCAATGATAAAAGGAGCAGGGGCTTATTTCCAACCCACCGCAGATCACGATTTTCGTGTTCCAGCAATCAGTTATCTTCGATATTAATCATTTTTCCAACAAAATACATTTGTACCAATTGCAAGTTTGGTTTGGAATATTCGTAAGTTCAATTAATTTTCTGGAGATTAATTAAAATCAATATATTTCAGTTGCTCTACCAGCTTTGATCTTCTTCAATCTGATGTTTATCCATTTCGCAACTCCTTTGATTCGTAGAAAATCAGAAGATTCTAGCACTGATGGTTTTATGTGAAGAAGTTAAGTTATTATAAATGAATGAAGTTGAAATCAGAATTTAGATTTAGCCTAGTTTTACTGTTGTCTAGTAACCGAAAAAAAATTCTAGAATTTCTATAGATTTTCGATAATTTTTCCCACCGCTACGGAAATTTCGCACAAATAAAAGTTCATAAAATTCCTGAATTATGCAAATACTTTACTATAAAATCAGAAATCTAGAATAAAAAAAGATAACAAAAATGTTGAAACTTCTCGTCTTTTTCACACTTGTCATAGTGGTTTCAAGTATCAAGTTCCAATTGTCAGCTCAAAATGTGATCGTAAATATGCATAATACTCTTCGAAGCAAAATTGCGAAGGGAACCTATGTTGCAAAAGGAACACGTCATGGTCCAGCTACAAATATGCGAGTTCTCACTTGGGATAACACTTTGGCAGCACAAGCTGAAAGACATGCGATGTCTCAACAAAAAGGACATTCAGCTGGATGTCGTAATGGACAATACGGTGAGAATATGTGGTGGTATTTCAGTCCAACGCCAATTTCAAATGTCAATGAATATGTTGCAAAAGCTTGTGCTGGTTGGGAAAGTGAATTTCAAGATTATGGATGGAGGAATGCTAATGATCTTGATGGTAGAATTCTACATGCTACTCAGATGGCTTGGGCTTCAAGTTATCAGATTGGATGTGGAGGTGCGATTTATCGAGAGGGAAAATGGAATAAGGTTATGATTGTTTGTCAATATAAGGTTAAGGGAAATATGCATGGAACACCGGCTTATAAATTGGGAAGAACTGCGAGTGATTGTAGATTTAAGACAGGGCAAGGATTGTGCTCGAAAATGTGATGGGATTGGGAATTTTTAAATAAAGTTTGGTTGGCAAGCAGGCTTTTTTGTACACAAACAATGGTCTTCAAATTGAGATTTTTGAAAATTTTCAATTATCCGAAATTCCGGATCAAAACTAGAAACCTGAAAATGTTTGTAAAGTTACTCTGCGTCTCTAACTGTCTGGTACTCTCTAGTCCTCTCTAAAAATTCAACAATTTATTATCCATTCGATTCGTCGAAAAAACCAAAATTACATTGGACTTCGCGAAACTTTGTAATCTTTCCGAGAACCGAAACTTATCATACTAATTAAACGATTTCGATCAAAGACAAATGAATTTCGGTCAGAAACATATTGAGAGACGATTGGCTTTAGAATTTTTGATTGAAGTTTCGCAATATCCAACATTTTCTCGATTTCTTCTTGATTAGTTCCAGTCAGAGTTTTGATAACTCGCCTGCAAAAAAAATTAATATAAAAAAAGTTTCAAAAAAATTACCCATTTTGAAGGAGCAAAAATGTTGGAGTACAATACACATCGAAACGTTCAGTGATTCCTGAAAAAAAACATTAAAAAAAAGTTTTTGTGGCGTCAAAACCCAATTTTTGATCACCCTCACCCTCATTTTGATCTACATCAATTTCCAAAAATTGGAAATATCTCGCATATTTCTCGGCGAATTCTGCGATTTTTGGTGAGATTCGTTGACATGGGTTGGACCTTCAAAATTAAAAATTTTTTGAAAATTGAAAAAAATTTAAAACTCACCATTCCGCTTTGAAATAGGCGAAAATTGGTTTTGTGGGTTTTTTGGCATCAAAAATTTGGTCGAAGTGTTTGGCATTTTCGATGTGGATCATTTTTCTGAAGGAAAATTGAATTGAATGAGAATCAACAAGGAAATTCTATGGACGAAAAAATTTTCATTAAATTTTTTCCGACATGAATCATCCCATTGATTTTTCTGAAAATAATTGTAACATTTTTTGTTTCTAAAGAAAACCAAACATCTTTTCATCATTTCTTTTCCTCTCTGGAAAATAAAATGTTTTGATTGATTTTTTGATTTTCATTTTCAGAAAAAACAATGAATCAGTTTCTGCTGCTTTTTCGGAAAAATTTGATAATTTGGAGACGCAATAAATTATGGACATTTTTCGAAATTATTCTCCCTTGTGTTTTGACGCTACTTTATTTGGGTATTTTTGTGGGTGTAAGTTTCTTTTTTTTTTGGAGAATATCTGGCAAAAATTATTTTTTCATGCAGAGAAGAAGTTTACATTTTGCGGATACAAATTCACTGAATTTTCGAATTCAAGGAAATGTTTATGATATATCAACAAGTGTCAATTATTGTAGCCCACTCATCAGACTTGCATATTCGTAAGTGTCACCTGAAAATTTTTTGAAATTCAAAAACTTTCCGACTTCTCAAAACATTTTCAATTGAAAAAAATTTGCCGATAGCTTCGCTACCGCTCGAAAGCGATAAACACCTCAGAGAAAGCCGGCGACTAATCGGCGACGAACTTACGACGAATCGAGATCAGGCGACTAATCGTCTGCCAATCGTAAGTTCGTCGCAAGTTCGTCGGCGAAAATAGTGTGTGTTTCCCGGAGACGCAGACGAAAAAGTTTCAGGCGACTAATCGGCGACCAATCATAAGTTAGTCGCCGATTAGTCGCCGATTAGTCGCCTGAAACTTTTTCGTCTGCGTCTCCGGGAAACACACACTATTTTCGCCGACGAACTTGCGACGAACTTGTTGGTCGCCGATTAGTCGCCGGCTTTCTCTGAGCACACAAAACACGTGAATTTATAAATGTGTGGTGTGGGCGACGGTTAGCGGGTTGTGCGCGCTGCCATTGTTTGTGTGAAAGAAGGGCGGGGCTTATTTGAGGGAGCGCGTTTTTTTTGCCTTTCAGCTCATCATCGACTTGCAAAAATGAATCCACGAAAATTATGAACATTATGGAAGATATTTTCACAACTTCACACTCCTATTTTGAATTAACGGAAGAACCATCAGAAGATTCACTTGAGAAAAAACTACGAGATGCCGTGAAAGAATATAGCTTTGCTTATCGTTCACATTATTTCTGTGAGTTAGAAAGAATTGGTATTTATTTCGATGAAATCGATTTTGACAAACAAATCTTGAAATATCGTCTGATTTATGCAAATTCTGATGGGAATTGGCTTCTCGAAAAACGAAGTGCTATGTCCAATGGTTTTGGTAAAAAGTTTGCAACAGATTATGAACGCATGGGATTTCTAACATTTCAACATGCAATTGAAACGAGTTTCATTAACATCATCAATAATTCAAAAAATCAATTCACAATCAATTTTCAATCTTTTCCCGAACTTGAAGTTGCTATAAATCTTCATGCAAGACATTTGAGTATTATCCCATATTTATTATCGATTTTCATTTTCACAAATGTGATTCATGTTACACGTGAAATATCGGCTGAAAATGAGCATTTGAAAGGATATTTGATGACACTTGGATTATCAAACTTCAATTTTTATTTGACACATATTCTGAGTGGATTGTTGAAATCTAGTTTTCTATTTTTCATCACAATTATGGCATTTTGGATAAATGAATCTGTGAGTTTCAAATCATTATGTGAACAATCGGGCTAAATTTTAGCAAAATCTTTTTTTTTCAGTCTTATATCAATCATATTTTCACATTGTCAATGATTCTATTTTTATATGGTTTATCTGCAATAACTTTCGGCGCATTTATCGCCTCATTTTTCTCGACATCAGATTCGGCAGTCAAAGCGTCAATCACATTTTGGGCAATTTTGCTAGGAATATTATTTTTATTCAAACCTGAAAACCATCAAGAAATATTCAAATGCCATTTTTATTCATTGAATCCAATTATAGCATTTTCACTATCTCTTGATATTCTCGCAGAATTAATAGTCGATGCAAAATCGCTGAATATTTTCAACATTTTTAGTGGATTCTATAACAGATTTACATTAGGAAATGCGATTTCAATGCTTATTTTTGATATCATTTTGATGTTTGGAATTTCTATTTTTGTTGATAATTATCGAAGATCAAATGATGTTAGTTTGATACAATTTATAACATCACTTTTTGCTTCAAAAAATATTGAGAATATAAAAATGAGTGAATTGCAAGCGTCAGAAGATCTATTAGATGAAGATGTTTCAAATGAGAATCGAAATGAAGATGAAAATGGGATTATAGTTAGTAAATTGGTGAAAATTTGGAAAACAACTGGAGAAAAAGCTATAAATGGATTGAGTTTCGAGGCGAAACGCGGGGAAGTTACGATTTTATTCGGGCAAAATGGTGATGGGAAGTCAACAACTTTTCATTGTATTGCAGGAATGATTCCGCCAACTCAAGGTATTTTTTGCAGATCAAAAAATATTATTTTTATTTATTTATTTTGAGAAAACTTTAAAAAAAAACCTTTCGTAGAGAAAAGTTTTTTTGTGAGAGAAAACGAGACAGAAGAGACGCGAGACGAAAAAGGGATATGAAAACTCCGCCCATTTTTTGAATATCCGTAGCTAAAGCAACCATTCTTAACCTCAAAAAGATTTCGAACTCAAAACTTTTCTTTAGGACGAGTAATCATTTCTGGCCGCGAATCCAACCTTAGACCAAATATTGGACTCTGCCCCCAATATAATCCAATTATTGATCAATTAACAGTTGAAGAACATCTTTGGTTTATCAATGGTCTAAAAGGAAATCGAGAAAATCGAAAGTTTCGATCTGAAATGAATCGATTGTTGGAAAATGTGAATCTTATGGATAAAAAACATGAATTCTCTTCGAATTTATCCGGAGGAATGAAACGGAAATTATGTGTTTGTATGGCGCTGATTGGATCATCTGAAATTGTTTTATTAGATGAGCCCACAGCTGGAATGGATACAGGAGCGAGAAAAGATGTGCAAAATTTATTGGAGATTGAAAAACAAGAAAGGTAAGGCTTTTTGGATACTGTAGCCCACAAATTTAAAATTGATGTCATTTTTCTAATTGTCAGAACAATTCTATTAACAACGCATTATATGGATGAAGCTGAAAGACTAGGTGATTGGATTCTTATAATGTCACATGGTAAACTTGTCTCATCTGGAACCACAAAACTCCTGAAACAAAAATATGGAAGTGGTTATTTATTGACAGTTGTTTTAGATGATAATAACGATAGAGATAGAATCTCTGAAGTTTTAGAAAAACTTTGCCAATTTTATATATCAGAAGCGAAAATTGGAAATAAACATGGAAAACAAATTGAGGTCATTCTTCCGGAAAATCGGAAATCTGATTTTCCGATATTGTTTAGAGCATTGGAAACTGTTCAGAGGAAAGAGTAAGTTTGGCCAAGTTTAAAATAAAAATAAAAATATAATAAATATTTTAGATTTAGCAGCGAGATATTTTTCATTCTCCCAAGTCAATTGAAAGATAAATTAAGAATTTTGCAAATCACAAATTATGGGTTATCCCTAAACACATTGGAGCAAGTTATTCTAACTATCAGTGAAAAATTTGGAAGTTCAGAAACTGATGGAATCGTGAATCAAAATCACGAATTCGAAGCGAAAAAATTCGAAAATCTCCTTGAAAACCAGTCAAATCTTCTCCCGGTAAAGCAAGGAATTCCTCTATTCCTCTCTCAAATCTCGGCAATTTTTCGCAAAAAATATATGTACACAAAAAGAAGATGGAGTCAATTAGTTGGTCAATTATTCATTCCACTTATGATTATTGCACTGATTTGGTTGATTTCAAAAATGAAAGTGCATGAACAACTAAAACCGGATAGCATTGAAAAAAGTTATGATTTGCAAGAATTTTCGCCGGCCGCTGTTATTTGGAGAAATCCAATGTCGGAAAATGATTTGAAAATGAAGAAAATTGTGGAGAGAGCTTCTTTGGGATTTGAAAATCATATATTTGACAAATCAGAAACCTTGTTGAATATATCAGCACCATTCCATGGAAAAATTCCATCCCTTCTATTTGGTTTCGCAGAAAATACAACACTTTTCGATTATCGTAACCAACATATTATCCCATCTCTAATTACATTAAATAACCAAGCAAGATTATGGGAAGGATCGGATATTGAAAAAGTGCCAAAAATCGAGTGTCAAATAAATTTCCATTTGGAAAAAAAATATGATGATTTGGATAATTCGCACGAAGTTCTTATTGCATTTTTTATTGTTATTTTCTCATTGGTCACATCGTCTTTTGTCCTGTTTTTAGTTGAAGAAAAAGTTTCGAAATTTGCTCATCAACAATTATTAACAGGGATTTCACCAATTACAATGTATGCTACTTCAATGATTTTTGATTTTCTTGTATTTTCCGCGATTTGCTTGATATTTTTGGTATTTTTCTATCTCTTCGATTTCCTATTGTATCGATTAGGAATGTAAGTTGTTCTTAGAAAAAGTCTTAAAATTTTCATTCACGCTACTATATTTTCAGCATAATCTTCTCATGGTTCCTTTATTTCATCTCAAATGTTCCATTCATTTATCTAAGCTCACAGTATTTCAAATCACCTTCAAAAGCGCGAGTTTTTCTAGTCATTTGGCAGATTTTCATTGCTTCCGCTCTCTTACTTATCCGAGGTATTTGGAACGATTATTTTGCTTTCATTTTGGAGGTTTGTGATGGGAAAAAATCTTGACCAGGTTTACTGTAGTTTTAGGTCCCGAAACTTTGGCATTTTTTGAAATCAAAAAAGCCCAGAAGTACTGTAGGCGCGAAAAATCAAGATTTTTTGACACCAAAGAAGTCTAGGAGTATTTATGAAAACAAATTTTTTGCAGTGCATTTGCTCATTTTTCGTACCTGCATTCTCATTTGGAAATACTTTGATCGAAACTATGAAACCTAGTTTTTCACAAAATTATAGCAAATATTTAACTTTTATGGTTTTATCCGCAATTGTTCCATCAATTCTTTTTGTGGTTTTGCAATTCAAAACAGTTCAAAAATATTTGTCATCTCGGAAGATTAACGAGAGGAATCAACAGAATGAGAATGATTTTAAACTATCGGATTCGGTTGTTCAAGAAAAACAGAAAGCTCGAAATGCAAATCCATTGGATTATTCTCTTGTTGTAAAGGTAAAGTGGTTTCCGAAATCCAGATTTAAACAACAAAAAAAATGGAAAACTGCTTCAGAATCTCACCAAAAAATATGGCAATTTTACGGCATTGAATGATTTGAGTTTTACAATCTCAAAAAATGAATGTTTCGGTTTATTAGGAGTAAATGGATGCGGGAAAACAACGACTTTTGATATTTTGACCGGATATTCTTTTGGAACTAGTGGAGAAGCGAAAATTGGCGGGAAAGATGTGACGGAAAGAATTGTAGGTCACTGAAAATTTAGAACTGCAAAGCACAGAAAAGATTTTCAGATAATTCACAATTTTTCTAGGGAATCGGATATTGTCCACAATTCGACTCAGTTCTTTTGGATTTAACTGGTCGAGAAATCTTGGAAATTCTCGGGAAAAATGCACGGATTCCAGAATTATCAACAAAAAGCTGATATAATATTAGAAAGTATTGGAATGCAAAAACATTCGAATAAACTAATCCGATATTATAGTGGAGGACAAAAACGAAAAATATCAATTGGAATAGCGATTTTATCATCAAATCAATCAATGATAATATTAGATGAACCAACTGCTGGAATTGATCCGAAAGCGAGAAGAGAAATATGGGAATTATTAATTTGGGCAAGAGAAAATTATAGAGATAGTGCAATTATGTTGACATCACATTCAATGGATGAATGTGAGGCATTATGTTCTAGAATTGCTGTGTTAAATCGAGGAAAATTAATTGCAATTGGAAGTAGTCAAGAACTCAAATCATTATACGGTAATACTTATACAATGACCCTAACTTTAAACAACAAACAAGATCGGCAAAATATTGTGAAAGCGATCAACAATCAAATTCCCGGTGCAATTCTTCAAACTCCAGAAACCAATAAAACATTGGATTTAGTCTGGTTGATCCCAAAAAGTGCAGAAGATGAATGGTCGGATAAATTTGAAATGGTTCAAAATTTAGCGAGGCAGTTGAATGTGAGTTGAAAGAAAAGAGGAAGTTGGGAGTCTAATTTTTTAATTTCAGCTCAAGGATTATATTTTATCTCAATCGTCTTTGGAAGAAACATTTCTTCAGTTAGCTCGCAGAAATCAACAAAATCTCTTTGAGGTTTAAATTAGCTTCTTTTTTTAAATCTTATGTTACAAAAATAGGAAATAAGACATACTTAACCTCTACTGAAAAAATTGTATTTCTTCGCGGAAACTTGTGCTAAATCTTTAAGAGGTGCTTCTGGAAAAGTACAACAGCTAAAGCTAAAGTGTTTCAATATTTTTAATTTTTCTGTGAACTTCAGGAAAAATTCCAGCCAATGGTTTTGGTTCCCCAAAAAACTAAGAAACCCATTTTCCAAATATTAACGATGCGAAACTTCCCACACTCTTTCTATAATATAAAACCCCCAAATTTTTCTCCAATCACAAAAATGTTGAAACTCTTCGCAACGTTCTTCCTAATCTCCGCAACACATGCCGTTTTCGATTCGGCCGCTCAAAAAGCCATCGTAAATGCTCACAATGCTCTGCGTAGCAAAATCGCCAAAGGAACCTATCAACAAAAATTGGGACGCCTCGGACCGGCTGCCAATATGCGAAAAATCTCATGGGATAAATCGATTGCTGCAAAAGCGCAAGCCTACGCGGATAGCCAACCAATGGGACATTCTGCCACAAAATACGGGGAGAATATCTATTGGAAATATGATATGAGAAAATTATCAACTGCAAGTCTTGGAAAACTTGGAGCAAAAGCTTGCGAGGTCTGGGAAAACGAGTTCAAAAAAACCGGAATCAAATCGATAAAACAAGGTTCGAGTGTAGGTGCACAAACTGGACATGCGACACAAATGGCATGGGCTGATACGAATAAAATCGGATGTGGAGTTGCAAGTTGGAGAGGACAACAATATATGGTGACTGCTGTGATTTGTCAATATTCGACTGCTGGAAATGTGTCAAATACTGATATGTTCAAAGCGGGAAATGCTGGAAGTCAATGTCCAAGTGGAACTAATGTTGAGGCTAGCAGTGGATTGTGTGTATAATAAACTTATTGGGATGAATGAGATAAATATATTGGTTTTTCAGAAATTCCGAGTTTTACAGATTATTTTGCACCTCGAAAATGACATTTTACCATAAAGCTGCTAAAATTAAAGTGAAAAAAAAGATTATTTTTGAAATCGCTCAGCCAACGGGAATGTGCAAAAGTGTTTGCACACAAAAAAAACGGTGTGCGATAGAGCGCACATGCTTTTTTCCTGTCATGGGGTGAGACACAGAGAAAAAATCCCTTGCTTCAAAGAAAACAATACGTCTTGAAAAAATCCGTAAACAAAATCTGATTGCACCGAACAAGAAACACTACGCGCAAACCCTACAGTACCTCCCGGAAAAGTGTAACGGGGAGTTTTTAAAAGGAACTCTGATATTCTCTAACGAATTATAATCCCGGGAACTCTGAGAATCTCACAAGCTTCACTCCTAGTTTCACAATTATTATTCTTAATGATCTTAAGATATATCACAGCCAATGTTTTGAATGCTTTCATTTAAATAAATCACAACAATACTTAAGCGCACAATCCAGATTGACGTTCAGGTCTTGTTCCGGCTGGACATTGACTTGCAGGTGCTCCCGCTTTATACATATCAGAATTATAGTTGTTTCCCGCTGGTCCATACCGACAAACAACACAAGTTTTGATATATTTTCCCATCTCTCCAATTCGAAACACCACACCCAAGTCTGTATGATTTAGCCCAAGCCATTTGAGTAGCATGTCCATTTGCACCAACACCACTTCCAGTTCTTATCCCGACCATTCCAATTGTTTTGAATTCATCTCCCCACATTTTGATAGCTCGTGGAGCGTGTGAATCGGACGAAGTCGGTCCCATATCCCACATCCAATACAAATTCTCTCCAACAGGTCCACGATTTCCATCATGCCAAGTGGGACGGGTATTTGCAAATCGTTGAGCACCAGCTGCAATTCCCGCATCCCAAACCATTTTTCGCATATTGGCAGCTGTAGGGAATCGTCCGTTTTTTTGGTAGTATTGTCCTTTGGCGATTTGACTACGGAATGCATTGTGTCCATCGACGAGAGCTCGGATACCGGCTTGGGTAAAGACCGCAGAGATAACTGGGAGTAAAGAGACGCAGAGAAACAACACTTTCAGATGCATTTTTGTACATTTTTTGAAGTTTTTGAGAGCGTTTTTAAAGCACTATTGTTTCACATAGTAAAGTTTCGGAAACTTTTTACTATTCTAAATTATTCATTTCTCGAGAAAAAATTTACTATGTGAAAACAATAGTGCTTTAAATACGCTCTCATAACTCTCAAAAACTGTACAAAAATGCATCTAAAATTGTTGTTTCTCTGCGTCTCTCTGATCCCTGTTATCTCTGCGGTATTTACCGCAGCCGGTATCCGAGCCCTCGTCGATGGACACAATGCATTCCGCAGAAAAATCGCCAAAGGACAATACCACCAAAAATACGGAAAATTCCCGGAAGCATCAAATATGCGAAAAATCCATTGGGATAGAAATTTGGCACAAGGAGCGCAAGCATTCGCAAATCGTCATCCAAATGGACACGATGATAATTGTAAAACGGGAGAAAATATGTATTGGATGTATGATATGGGACCGACTTCGCATGATTCACACGCTCCGAGAGCTATCAAAATGTGGGGAGATGAGTTTATTAGTCTTGGAATGGTCGGGATAAAAACTGGAAATGGTGTTGGAGCAAATGGACATGCTACTCAAATGGCTTGGGCTGATACAAGCAAGGTAGTTCTTCGTAGTCTTTTGAAAATTTTTAAATTCTAAAACTAAAATTACAGCTTGGCTGCGGTATTTCGAACTGGAAAGATGGAAAATATATGAAAACTGTGGTTGTTTGTCGTTATATGTCGCCAGGAAACTGGCCAAATGCTTTGATGTATAAACCGGGCGCACCTGCAAGTCGCTGCCCAGCTGGAACAAGACCTGACAATGGATTGTGCGCATGATTTGATTTATTTTTGGGAGTAATGAAAGAATTTTTATATATCGAGATTTGCAGGAACGAGAAAAATCCCGAAATGCAAGTCATTCTGCGCTGCGAGACCTTTCTCAAAATGTTATGCATGCGTCTTTTTCTTACGGTTTCCTTTTCGAGACCCGTAAGACCAGTTTCTCTGCATCTCTAATGTTCTGGTGATCTCTAGCTTGTTTTAAAACTGTGCCAGACTTGCATATCAAGCCACGCCCACCAAAATATTATTAAAAACGTTCATGTAAATAAACTAACACTTCTCATTTTCCTGCTCCTTCAAACATCGGATGTTGTTTGATCTTCATCGCGCAAATCTTTGACATCTTGACGGCCATTGAACTGAAATTTTCAGAATTTATGGAGGAATTTCAGTTGTGTGGGATAAACTCACTTTTCTGCGCAAAACGGTGAAAGACAATTTGCTTTTGGCCGGAAGAATCGCTTGGAATTTTCGAACAACTTTGCGGCCCTGGAAAAAAAAGATTGCGGACAGCCGGACTCGAACCCTGGTTCCGAGGTTGAAAAACTCACAACACTCGAATTTTTGAAAGGCTTCTCATTTTTCGTGTATTCTTTCGCCATTTCGAGCCACTTTATCTCCTCTTCAGTCAAATCTCGACCACATAAAACCGAAGTTGTTGAACCTTTTGCTGACGAATTACAAGTGTTCAATGATTGGATGTTGTAATTGGTGTCAGATGAACCGATTGAAGAGGTTTCTGTGAGAAAAATAATGCGGCATGGTTTTAGGGGCGGGGCTTACCGTCACACGTTTCTCCTGAAGTTGTCCACGGAGTCGTTTCGGTTTCAGTCGGATCACTCGACGTCATTTCAAATTACGAGAAATAAAAAATGTCTGGTTCAATTTTCGCGAAAAAAAAATCCACGGTGTTCCTGGTGACGTGTCACGTTTTCACGTTTTTTTTCTATTTTTAAAAGAATTCATTAATTTATTTTCGATAATTTATTAATTGTTGATATTCATCTCTCAATTTTTGTCCAGCAAATCCATGAACACCAATAAAATCTGGGGAATTGTATTCTATTTGGGAGATTTGGTGAGTCCAGAATACGAAATTCGGGTTGTGGGTGACGGGAATACGGGCGGTTTTGGCGAGAATTCCAGTGAAAACATCGTCGAATGGGAAAGTCTGGAAATAATTGGTGGTTGAAATAATGTGTCAGGATTGCAGAAAGGGGTGGAGCTAATAGAATTTATAGCAAGCTGGAAGAGAGTTTTCGCGGGATTAAAATCTGTGCCAGGATTGCAAATAAGCTCCGCCCATTTTCTGCTCCCAAAAATCAACCTTACCTTCAGCTTTGGAATGTTCTCATGAAAAACACTCGCAGTTTTTCGAGATATCAAAACTGCGCCAGCTGAAACATAAGGTGGATATTGAGAATATGGATATTCTTCGAGCGAAATTCGATGTTTATGTAAATTGAAGCGGAATGGAGAGGAATTGAACACGAAACCAGTGTAGAGCTGAAAACGTTCTCCAAGTTTTTAGAGACCCAAATCAGAGGGAATGCTTACATGTGCTCCGGGATTTTTGAATTTTACAAGATTCTCCAAGTTTTTGATATTTACTAGATAATCATCATCGACTAGAAATATGAAATCAGGATTTCCACAGGTTTTTATGAAGTTTATAGCACCGAAAAACTTCAAAGTATTATTTCGATAACTATCGATTATATCGAGCTTCAAAATATCCTTGGAAAATTCGGAATTTCCTTTTCCTACGATGAAAAACAAATCGTAATTCTTGTTTTCTTTGCCCCAGGTTTCTCGAATCGCATTTCTGTGCTCAATATTCTTCACCGCTGACTTCACGAGCACTAAAAGTCGTTTTTCACATTTCACCGGAGTTAGGAACGTTGGAAATTCGAAATTATCATCTGCTGAAGGCCATTGGAAATCGTCAAAGGATTTACTGTGCAAATGATCGGTTAAACCGAAAAACCAGCAGAAAATCAAAAAAACAGCCAAACATCCGAGAATATTCCCTGAACTCGCATATCTGAAACATGAAATTTTCTCAAAAACCTTTTAATTTCAAATGCTCACCTTTTCATCTTTCTATAGCACCCATTCATACCCGTTTTTACCCGAAAAAACACTTCCCAACGGCAAGAAGAAAGAAAATAAAAATAATTTATTATTTTTTGGGGTATACGGTAGACAAGTGTGCAAACACCGCCAGTACGCAGGCATTTTAATCGACGGCGCATTATTTCATTTTCTTTTTTTTTCGCAGCGTTCATTCTGGTTTTTCTGGGTTTTTTGGGTTTTTCTCGTGGGCTACGGTAGAAATATCGATCGGCGTTAGTTTTCTGGCCTAAAATAAGCTATTTTTGTTTGTTTATTCGTGAATTTCGCAATGGTTTGCCTAGGGAAATCTAAAATTTTTATTTTCAGGGAATTATGTCTTCTGACGAAAGTGATGAAGATTTTGTAGAGAAGAAGAGTGAATCTGGTTCAGGATCTGACGAAGAACCGACACCAAAGAAAGATCGAAAAAGACGCATTGAATCATCAGGCTCGGAAAAGGATTCTGAAGAGGAAGAACAGGATTCTGAGGAAGATTCGGAAGAAGAAGAGGAAATTCGACGAAGTAGCAAGAAAAACAAGCAAAAGAAGAAGAAGAGAAGAAAGGGGCCATCAGCTCTCGATTTCATCATTCAAGATGTTGATGTGGATGATGACGAAGAAGAAGATCAAGATTACGATGATGACGATGCTCGAGATCTTGAACCAAATGAAAAAGAAGAAGCTGAAAGAGCAATGAAAGAAATGGAAAATAACAAAGCATATCGGGAAAGGAATAGGTTTGCGAATATGACTGAAGAAGAAGTTGGAGAATATTTTGAGAATAAATATAAATCGCAAAGAAATGAGGGAATTATTGATGATGATGATTCAGCAATTGATGATATTTCGAGGTAAGCTAAACCCTTATTATATAAAATTCAATGAATTAATGTTTTAGAAATGGTATACTTCCATCGACAAAAGATCCAAATTTATGGATTGTGAAATGTCGAATGGGAGAAGAGAAACTTGTCGCATTCCAATTGATGAGAAAATGTCTTGCATATGAAAATACCAATGAACCGCTCCAAATCAAAAGTGTTGTTGTTAAAGAAGGACTTAAAGGAATGATTTATGTTGAATCATTTAAACAATCACATGTTATGTCAGCTATTGAAGGAGTTTCGGCTTTGAATCAATTCACAATTACGGTAAGCGATGGAAATATTTTCTAAACTATAAAATAATCAATATTTTCAGATGGTTCCAATCAAAGATATGGTGGATGTTCTTCGTGTTGTCAAAGATATTCCACAACTCAAAATGGGTGCATTTGTTCGATTAAAAAGAACACTTTTCAAAGATGATTTGGCACAAATTGATTTGGTTGATATTTCACAAAATCGAGTTAATTTGAAATTGGTTCCAAGAATTGATTATCAGAAAAAACGCGGTGCGATGCGAACGGAAGCCGATAAAAATTATAAAATGAAAAGAAGGCCGATGCAGAAAATGTTTGATGCGGATGCGGTTAAGTAAGTGGACAGTTTTGGGCGGTTTTTGGGGGAGATTTGAAATTTTGGGTCAAAAATGTAAAAATTAGGTCTTTTTTCATAGCGACCTCAAAAATTTCTGAATCAATTGTGTAAAATTCAATATTTTTTGAAATTTCTCAATTCTGGCGCTAGATTGAAATATCAGTTTTCAGTATTTCCATGAGTTTCAGGACGAATTTTCAGCCCAGACACAATTTGAACAATATTTCAGTTTAAATTTTTGAATTTTTGATGAAAAATTATGATGAAAACTCACTGTTTCAAAAGTTTTTCCCACAAAAAATTCTTGAAATATCTGAAAAATCCTCTAACTTTATCGATTTTCAGAAATTCTCCTAAAATCCCCTCATTTTTTTCAGAGAAATTGGTGGCGAAATCCTCAACGACGGAGATTTCAGCATTTTCGAAGGAAATCAATATCGACACGGTTTCTTATACAAATATTTCCCAATCAATGCAATTGTAAGCTTTCTCTGAAATTCTGCTGAATATTTCATTCATTTTCAGCTCGCCGATGGTGTAAAACCGACTCTGGCAGAACTCGAAAAATTCCAAGATGCTAAACATGATTTGAAAGAGCAACGTAAGTCATCTACAGTACCCATTTTTCTCTAAAAAATATATTTAAAAAAATTTCCAGTCGAGACCACAACGATCAAAGATACTGAAAATCCATTCATTCCTGGTGATGTTGTTCAAGTCAAAAATGGTGAATTGGTGAATTTGCGAGGAAAAGTATTGTCGGTGGAAGGACATAAAGTGGTTATGATGCCGGATCAAGAAGGACTTACTGTAAGTTCGGGAGATTTTTGGGGAGCAAACACACGTGGGAAATTATGATTTTCATGAAATTCTGGGCAGAAAACATATTTTTCCTGGAAATTATTTAAAAATGGGAAATTTCTCGAAAATCTGAATATTTGACCTGAAATTCAGGTGATTTTTCAGAAAAATTATTTTTATGACTTCACCTACTTATTTTATTTCAAAATTAATTTCCCAACGTGACCCTATTTTAGTCTCATTATTATTTCCATCAATAATTCATCATTTTTAATTTCAAAACAACATTCAAACAATGACTTTTGGTCAAATTTTTAGTTTTGGAGGTTAAAAGTGTTTCTAACCGCGGTGACTTGAGAAATGGGATCTCTAGGCGCGGCTTCTTGGCATAGAAGCTCTCAAGGCTCGGCTCCTTGACAATTAGGTTCTCTAGGCGCATCTACTTGAGACTCAAGCTCTTACTTCCAATATCCATTGTTCTTTTTCAGGAACCCATCACATTAAACGCCTCAGAACTCCGCAAATTCTTCAAAGCCGGAGATCACACGAAAGTAATTGGTGGAAGATATGAAGGACATACTGGTTTGATTGTTCGAGTCGCTGATAGTACAGCTATTATGTTGTCGGATTTGGGAATGGAAGAGGTTAGTGAAGTTTGGGGGGAAATAGGGGAAATTCATGAAAAACTGGTTTTCGAGCTTAAAAATGAAGTTTTTCATGCGAAAATCAGGTTTCTCAGGTTAAAATCTGGAAATTCACATATAAAATGACGTTTTTCCTCTCAACCACCGATTTTTCCAGCTAAAAGTTCGTGTTCGAGACTTGCAACTTTGTGCAGATGTTACAACTGGAGTTGATTCTCTCGGCCAATATCAATATCATGATTTGGTTCAAATAGATCAACACGGAACTGTTGCTGTTATAATTCGATTGGAAAAAGAGAATTTGGAAGTTTTGACAGCAACTGGAAGTGTTCAAAGAATTAAACCACAATCGATTGTTTCGAAAAAAGATGTGCGATTTTCGAGAGCATTGGATAGTCAGAATAATTCGTTGGAAGCTAAGGATTTGGTCAAAATTGTTAGTGGACCAAATGCGGTGAGTTTTTGGAAAAATCTTGAGATCTATGCTAAATTCCGAACCAAAAATCAATCACTCTTCCAAATTTTCAGCGCGATCGTGAAACCGACGACGAGCCAATCGGTGAAGTTCTCTACGTTTTCCGTGGAGCAGTCTTTGTCTATTGCCGAAAAATCACTCAAAACGGCGGTGTTTTAGTATGCCGTGCCAAACATTTGGCCCTCCAAGGAGCCAAAAAACAAGATCAAGCGAATCAAATTCATCGAATGTCATCGCCAAATCCAATGGCTTCACCGCGACATTCAGGAAGTATGACACCACGAAGTCAAGCTGATAATATGTCAAGTGGATCGAGAAGTGTTGGTGGACAAACACCAAGACAAAATGAAAATGGACATGGAGAAGGTGGAGGAAGAGGCAATTTTGGAACTGCTGCACAACAAAGAATTCGAAGAGATATGACATTGATTGGAAAAAATGTTAGGGTTATTAAAGGTGAGCGTTTTTGGCTCAAAAATTGGGATTTTTGAGCCAAAAATTATGAAAATTCACAAGTTTTAGAGCATTTTAAGCTGAAAATCGATTTTCTGAGGATTTTTGTCTCAGTTTTAAATTCTAATTTTGGGGCCAAAAATTTTGCTGTTTATAGAACATTTTAAGCTGAAAATCAGAAGCTGGAATTTTTGTGTTCATTCTCAAAAATCCTCAAACCCTCTTGTTTTCCAGGACCACTCAAAGGATATTTCGGAATTGTTCGAGATGCGACTGAAGAAACTGTTCGAGTCGAACTTCACACTCAATGCAAAACTATTTCGGTTGATCGAGCTCGTGTTAAAGGTTGGTCTGTTTTTGAGAAATTGTAGAGTTTTTATTCAAAGTACACTTGAAACATGCTCAAAAATTTATATTTTCCACCCAAAACCATTGATTTTTGCAGTTGTTGGAGATACTGGCGTCACAACTGGATACGGTGGAAATACGGGATTCTACAGCTCAAAAACGCCAATGCACGACTCATCAAAAACTCCAATGTATTCTGGCTCAAAGACGCCGATGTATGGAGCACAAACACCAATGTATGGATCGATGACACCAGCATATGGAGATGGATCGAGAACACCTGCTTATGGTGCAAAAACACCCAGTTATGGACAAGATGGTGAGCAGTTTTGTGGATTTTTGTTATTTTTTCGAAAAAATAGAAGAAAATCGCTGAAAATGTACCTAGTTTGGTCAAAAATTATCTGAAAATGCTGTAATTCGCCGATTTTCGATAAAACATGAGCAATGCTTCATTTTTTCAAGGAATTCTTGAATTTTTGAGCTAAAAACAAAATTTAAAAAAAAAAATTAATTAGTGAATTCAAATCTAGAGAAAAATTTGAATTTCAAGAATTTTGAGGGAAATTTCGGTTGTTACAAAAATTCTAGAATTTTCAGAATTCGAGAAATTCTGGTATTTTTGAACTCAAATTTAGTAAATCTGGAAAAAGTTAGAGAAAAATATCTGAAACACAAAATTTGAATGATTATAAAAATTCCAGAATTTTCAGAATCCAAAAAAATCCTGGTATTTTTGAACTAAAATTAAAAATCTTCAAATTTAACCAGGACCGAATTTTATACGTTTAAAAACTGCATTTTCCCCAGAAGTTCTAAATTTATCCCAAAAACGAATATTTGTTGCAGGTTCGCGAACCCCGGCCTACGATGGTGGTCGAACTCCGGCTTATGGAGATTTGGATGGCTCAAGAACTCCAGCCTATGATTCATCCAGTCGCACCCCGGCCTACGAAACAAATTCATCAGCCAGAACTCCAGCTTATGACGGTGGACGAACACCCGCATATGAATCGAATTCGGCCAGAACTCCAGCTTACGAATCGAATTCATCGGCTCGAACACCTGCTTATGATGGTGGAAGAACTCCGGCATATGAATCGGCTGGAAGTAGAACACCTGCGTATGAAGCGAGAACACCGGCTTATGATGGACCTGGAAATGGAAGAACACCGGCTTATGAAGGAGGTGGGGAAAGTCCGAAATATGATCGAGATGATGATGAGGAGGAGGAAGAACATCACCAAGAACATCGAGAAGAAGATCGTGAAGAAGATCAAGAAGAGGAAATGGATACACCACATTCACCAATTTATGATTCACCATCTTCACCATCTTATATTGTTCCGACACCCGGTGCAATGCTTAATCCAGCCACGCCTGGCGGTTATTCCGTAGACACCCCACAAAATTTCGCCGCACCAATGACACCTGGAAGTGGTGGAAGTTATGGTGATTATGTTGCGCCGTCGCCGTTTCCTGGTGGATTGTCGACGAATGCGTATGATTCGAGTAGTTATGGTGGTGGAATGGCTGAGGAGACGATACGTGAGTTTTTGACCGGGGGTTTTTTGGCTCCACAGAATTATCTACAGTAAAAAAAGATGCATTTTGACTCCGAATTTACTATATTTTGGTTCCAAAATTTGATCTACAGTAACCCAGATTTTAGAGCGGAAAAATGCAGAATAAAATTCAAATGTTATTTTTTGATACCAAAAAATCGAACTACAGTAACCCGAATTTCGGAGCTAAAAAATTTCAAAAAAAAAACATATTTGGTGCAAAATGCCACGTGTCGACAAAAATTCACAAATTTTACTCTTATTTTTTTTAGCCGATCACTTTTTGGCGCAAGGAATTTGGATTATCAAAAAATTGTACGTTACAATCAAAGATCACGATTCAAAATATAATGATAGAGAAGCGGTTGTTAGAGAAGTTTATGTAAGTTCCCCCAGTTTTCAATTCAAAATTCGCAAAATTGTGTTTCAGGAAGGAAAAGCTGATTTATATGTTCCGGATTTGAAATGTAATATTGAAGCGGAATTCGAACAAATTCAACCGATGAAACCGCAACAAGGAGATGATGTAAGTTGAAATTTGGGGAATTTTTTAGCCTAAAAATGCTCACAAAACTTCAAACTGTTTTTCCAGACCCGTGTGATTTTTGGAACCGAAGCCGGTCACAGTGGAACTCTTGTCTCAATGGACGGAAATGAAGCTGTAATTCGATCAAAAGAAGATTTATCCGATATGAGAGTTGTTAATATTGGATTGTGTTGCAAATTGGCCCAATAAGCCCCTAAATTAGACCTCCCTCAGCCCACTATTTTTTATCCCAATCCCCCCAAAAAATGGTTTTTTAATTCTTGTTTGTTTTTTTAAGTATTTATTTATTTATCATGTTTCTTTTCTTCGTTTTTAAATTAATTTCTTTTTTTTGTCTGAAAATAAATAGAGATCTGAAAATGTTTATTGAAAAAATTTCAAGGAAATAATGTATTTCTTCTGATCTGGCATACCACGCCCAGGGTGAGGCATTTGCACGGCGCCAATAAAAAATTTCGGAAATTCACCTCGCCAATTTGAGATTTTCTTGAAAATCAACAAATTTTTGCTTGTTTTTCCGTAAAAAAGTCGTATTTTTCAGTCAAAAAGGTTGTTTTCACCTCGCCAAAAATTTTCAAAACCCACACCGCCAATTTTTAAAGTTAATTTGCACGAAGCTGGGCGTGGTATGTGATCTGGTAAAAATTCATGAAAAAGCGGAGCATCGTTACGCATTACAAGTGGAATCCCGGAACATTGTTGAAAACACAATGAGTTTTGGGAAAAAGATTTGTGTTAAGGTCTCGAAAGGATCTTTCCGGAAAAGAATTGTTTTTTGTTGGGAAAAAAATAAAAAATTTTTTATAATTTTTATTTTCTTTTATGCGTCACGTGACCTATTTTACGTGGCATACGTGTATAGAAAATGCCAACCAGACTACGAAAACTCGATCAGTTCTATATTTATAAAATGTCAGAAAAGACAGAGATTTATGACAACTCAAAAACCAACAAATTTGTTTTGGGCCGATTTTTGGAGAATGCGATTCGCTGGCCATTTTGATGAGTCAAGCTGAAATGCCACCAGATGTTAATTATATCATGTTGTGATGTTATATCGGGAAATGTTTTGGTGAGTTTGACAAAATGTGGAAATTTGGCTCACGGCAAAATTTCTACATTTTTTTTTTTTTGAAAAAAAATTTATTCAAAATGTAGAAATTTGGCTCACGGCAAAATTTCTACATTTTTTTTCGAAAAAAAAAAATTTCAAAAAAAAATTATTCAAAATGTAGAAATTTGACTCACGGTAAAATTTCTACATTTTTTTTTCGAAAAAAAAATTTCAAAAAAAAATTATTCAAAATGTAGAAATTTGGCTCACGGCTAAATTTCTACATTGTTTTTTCGAAAAAAAAAATTATTCAAAATGTAGAAATTTGGCTCACGGCTAAATTTCTACATTTTTTTTCGAAAAAAAAAATTTATTCAAAATGTGGAAATTTGGCTCACGGCTAAATTTCTACATTTTTTTTCGAAAAAAAAAATTATTCAAAATGTAGAAATTTGGCTCACGGCTAAATTTCTACATTGTTTTTTCGAAAAAAAATTATTCAAAATGTAGAAATTTGGCTCACGGCTAAATTTCTACATTTTTTCGAAAAAAAATTTATTCAAAATGTGGAAATTTGGCTCACGGCTAAATTTCTACATTTTTTTTCGAAAAAAAAATATTCAAAATGTAGAAATTTGGCTCACGGCTAAATTTCTACATTGTTTTTTCGAAAAAAAAATTATTCAAAATGTAGAAATTTGGCTCACGGCTAAATTTCTACATTTTTTTCGAAAAAAAATTATTCAAAATGTGGAAATTTGGCTCACGGCTAAATTTCTACATTGTTTTTTCGAAAAAAAATTATTCAAAATGTAGAAATTTGGCTCACGGCTAAATTTCTACATTTTTTTCGAAAAAAAATTTATTCAAAATGTAGAAATTTGGCTCACGGCTAAATTTCTACATTGTTTTTTCGAAAAAAAAAATTATTCAAAATGTAGAAATTTGGCTCACGGCTAAATTTCTACATTTTTTCGAAAAAAAAAATTATTCAAAATGTAGAAATTTGGCTCACGGCTAAATTTCTACATTTTTTTTCGAAAAAAAAATTTATTCAAAATGTAGAAATTTGGCTCACGGCTAAATTTCTACATTTTTTTTCGAAAAAAAAATATTCAAAATGTAGAAATTTGGCTCACGGCTAAATTTCTACATTGTTTTTTCGAAAAAAAATTTATTCAAAATGTAGAAATTTGGCTCACGGCTAAATTTCTACATTTTTTTTTCGAAAAAAAAATTTCAAAAAAAAATTATTCAAAATGTAGAAATTTGGCTCACGGCTAAATTTCTACATTTTTTTTCGAAAAAAATTCTATATTTTTTTGAAGGCAAGCAAATATCATTAGAATTTACCCCAAACCAGGAACACACTGAATTTTTTCTCCAGGAACACACTGAATTCCACACTCGCTTAGCCACCTAACAGTTGCATCCAATCCAATTCCACCGCAGCTCCTCAATCTCCACAATATTCTCATGCTGCTAGTCATGCACCATCAACATCTTCTGAATCACCTCCAGCTGGACAAGTTCATTATAATATTTTTTATAAATCGTTTTTTAACAGTCATAAAACCTGCAGGCTTACTAACATGAGTGATGAAAATTTGAATTTTTTACATTAAAAAAATCGTGGAAAAAAGTACTGTAACTCAAGGCGTATAATGTTTGTTTCCTCTTGGAATGATTTATTTATTCATTTTTTTTTATATTCACAAGTTTTACAATTATCTAGGAACTGGGATTATGCTCCAAAATCCCATGTTTCGTCTCTAATTCACAAACAATTCTCACAATATCATTGCCTTTTCCAATAACAGTCTCAAAAAACAATTCATCATTTTCGACCGGCGAAGAGCCGCGCAATCTTCGCATAAATTCTTGATGTTTAGGAAGAGTGAAGAGCGCTCCACTGACAACAGTTCGAACCGCCCATGAATGAAGTGGCGCCAAATGTTGATTATATGCAAGTTTGGCGAATTGTCCAACATATTCTTCGGGATTTCGCTCATTTCGCACTTGTTCCAGGAAGGTTATGAGGAATTTAAGGGCGCTGGAAGTTTTTCAAAATTATAATATGAAAAATATATAATGGTTTAAATACCCACCAATTCAAAACTCTCACCAAACTCGTTCCACTTCGATTCGGTTTCGGCCTTCGAATAATTTTCGTCTTCTCCTCAAATTGCACCATATTTCTCAAAGTTCTATAAGTTTCCTCATTATTTTTCCGCATCTCTTCTAATTTCTCCACTTTTTTCATCACATCTTCCACCACGAAGCCGAACATTACACCCCAATTTGTCATCATTCTTTGAAAATTTGATTTTTCGAAGGAACAGGGAAATTTAGGAGGTTACCTGCATATATGATGCCAGAATTGTATGTAGTGTGATGTCTCGACATCTTCAGATACCACCGATTTTGAAATTGAGTCCACGATTTGATAGATTATATCGTTTTCCATGATGAAATCTCAAACTTTTTGAAAAAAAATATTTTTTTCAAAAATGGCCTAGAAAGCCAACACTTTTCGGCCACGCGTTCCTCGGCCATCAATTTTTATTTTTTGTGTTTTTTTCAGTTTCCTCGCCAAAACGTGATTTTCCTCAATATCTCACAATTTTCCAGCATGACAGATGAATCTGAATGCGTTGGAAAGTATATAATCCACGATGGACGACTGATTCGCTCGCAAAAATCAAAAATTGTGCCGGAAAAAGCGAAAATCAAATTTTTGGACATTCTGGCGACGACAAGTGTAGAAAAGCAATATAATTGCAGACAAATCGATGGAAAAATAGAGGAGGCGGTGCAGACTGTGGAGAAGAATACAATCGAAAAAGGATTGGTGCGGAATTGTCCGCCGATAACTTTTGGACCAGCGCTGAATATTTTGGTGAAAGATCCGCAACATGAACATTTGTCCAAACTTTTTACAAAAGATGGTGAGTTTTTCCTTGCTGATATCATATTTTTATATAGAATTTTGTATTTTTTAGCCGTCGATTCAATAGGATCCTCTGTCCGTTTGGTTCTTCGATCTCTAATCGAACAATCAAAGAAAAATGCGCATCATTCGAATCGAAAGCGAATTATACCTGCAGATTTGGATTTGGCATTTGGAATGCTGAAATTGAAGCATAATTTGACTTGTCCGGTGATGGAATCAACACCGTATACTGAAAGATGGTATTGGGGAAGGAAATATACGAGAGCACCGCCTCATGCAAATGGTGAGCAAGTTTTAAAAGAGGGATAGGTAAATATTCAAAATGGTTTTTATTAAATTCTGAGCATAGGGTTCTCCAGGAGGCTAGATTACATAAGTACAGTAGGATTTTCTGAATTTTGTAAATCTATCCTCCTGAAAAAATGCTATACTATCAGATTTTCATTAAAACCATTTAGAAAGCTAGTTCTGACCTCCTCAATTCTCAATTTTGCCACGTCATAACTCATACTATGAGTTGAAAACACAAATTCCCCATTTCCAGCCGCAAATTCGACAGATTTCATAGCTTCCGAACGTTTCTGTGATTCCCTAATAATCAAAGATCATTGGCTTTGCATCGAAGGAATTCAACCAATTGTTCCCGAAAATTCAATAATGGAAGAGGTTCGCGAAAAGAACTATCAAACAATTGTCGAAGCGCAAAAATTGCCGGAAAATGTGACGAAAAAAGATATAATGGCTGAAAAACGAATGACAAAACAGATATTATCGATTGAACATCAAATATTGTATAATGAATTGGTGAATTTGTTGACGAATGGAACACCGCTTGAAAGACAGGTAGATTTTGATGGAAAGTTTGAATTCTACTCGAAAAATCAGCCCAGAAACTAAAAATCTGAAAATTTTACTCATGATTAATTCTTACGTGAACTATGACGTGGAAATTGAGAAAAATTATTGTTAATTTTATTTTTCACCATAAAAAATTGATTTTTTAAATTTAAATATTTTTCTCGCGTGAACTAGTAATTTTTATCTCATTTTTGCAAAAATTCAGAAATTGTGAGTTTTTCTGGGATTTTTTTAATGAAAATTCAAATTTTTTTGTGTCAAAAAATTTCAAGTTAGAGCAGAAGAGCAGAATTTTGAAAAAAAAAGCAATGTCTAGGCGCGGTTACTCCACCTAGAATCTCTCAAGACGTGGCTCCTTGCCAGAGTAGATCTCAAGGCGCTGATCCTTGACAGTCTATTTTTCAAGGCTTGGCTTCTTGGCTATTATTAATCACGGAATTCAATTTTTCCAGAAAGCTCTTCAATGCATCGAAGCCGATACAGGCCTCCAATTCCTTTCTGGTCGATTTGTCATTCTTTTCGCCGAAGGAATTCGTGTAAATATTGGAACGAGAAATATTCGAGCAATTTCGAATTTGTTGAAATTAGCCTGGAGTTTGATGAAAAATAAACATATTCGAATGGAAAGATATGTGAGTTTTTGATGGGTTTTGGGGAGAGAAAATCGAGTTTTTTGTGGGTTTCCCAAACTGAAATTTTGGATTTTCAGTGGATCTCAAGGCGCTACTCCTAGACAATTGAACTCTCTAGGCACGGCAACTTGAGAACTATGTTTTCTAGGCTCAACTACTATTATATTTTCACCTAAAACCCCCAAATTTTCAGCTCTACGTCCTTATTCCATCTCTGATCTCATGTGTGATAACAAAAACGATAATTCCAATTCAGGATCAGGGAAAAGTGAGTTTTTCTTTCTTTTTTGTTTCTCGGAAATTTCAAGCCCCTTTTCAGAACACAAAAAATCGATCGCTGAGTTTGGAAGATGAAGAAAGGCTGGTTCGAGATTTGGAAACTGAAATCAGAATTCGAGAAGCCGCGTGTAAATTGTTGTTCAAATTGGATGAGTTAGTCGTTTTTTGGGGCGGGGCTTTTGGCTTTTTGCCGCCTACAGTACTAAATTTTCGCGCGCGAATTCAAAAATTCAAATTTTTGCAGACAATATCCCATTCTGGGACTACAAATGCGAATAATTGTCCTAATTCGACGCGTTTTTTCGGGAAAATTCGATCCGTCGGCAATTTATGGAGCATTGAATATGTTATTCAATTTTGGATATTTGGTGAGCTTTTTGGGATGGAAAATGGGAGAAATTTTGGATTTTTCTGGATATTGTCATCAAAATTCACCAGAAAACTAGAAATTCCAAAATTTTTTAGTTTAAGTTTATCAAATTGAAATTCAAATAATTTTTCAGACTATCAAAACTACCGTAATCCCTCGTTTACACGATATTTATTGTGGTCTCGTTGCATATTGTGATCCTGAAACGATTCATGAAAAAATGGAAAATTCGCGAAAAATTGTTGTTGAAACTGAAATTAAAAGAATTGAATTGGCTAGGAATCGATTGATTGAATTGGTTATGGTGAGTTGGGTTTTACCTGGGTTTTAAAAAATAAATTTGAATTTTTGAATTCGCGCTAAAATCTGAAAAAAAGCTCTCCAGGCACTGACACTTGAAACCTGCTTTCTCTAGGCACTGATCCTTGACAATTGAATTTACTAACAAAAGCGCCGCTACTTGTCATAGACGCTCTCAAGGCACGGCTCCTTGCTACATCGGATCACTAGGCGTGGCCCCTTGACACGCCCACTTGCTCTCCATTGTGTTCTTTTCCAGAAAATCCTCTACGAATACGAAAGTTGTGAAGTGAAACCTCGAATGGCTGATCCAAAAGTGTTTATTGAAAGTTATGCCGAATTCGGAGTGATGTTTTATAGGTAATAAATTTTCAGACACCTTTTTTCAGTCAAAATATTTTTTTCTAGCTTCATAATTGAAACTGGAAAAATCGACGACGATGGCCGTGTAATTCCCTCAAAATCTCCAATTTTACACCAAGTTGGCAGCACATTTCAAACAGATTCCAAGCATTTAACGCCACCGCCAACGAAAAAATCAGCTCCAAAACCGATTTCAACAAAAAATGAAATAATTGACGAGGAAATGCTTATGATGACTGATTTATTAGATGATTCACATCGAAAATTTGCGAAAATCGCGAAGAAATTGGAAGAAGAAAATGAGGAAGAGGAGAAGAATCGGAAAATCAAATTGAGAGATTCGTTTTTTGGAAATTCGAAATTGGTTTTGGTTAGGAGGAATGGAAGTAAGGATAATTGTGAAAATTCAACCTGAAATTACGATTTTTCGAAAAAAAAAATTTAAATAATTCAAATTTGATTCAAAAACTGGAAATTTTACCGACTTGGGATACAAATTTGAAATTTCAAGGATTTTTGAAAAGAAAATGCAGTTTTCTAGATTCTGTAGAAGCTTCTGCTCTGTCTAGACTCTCAATTGTTCATTTTCTCCAATTGAAAATATTTTTGGAAAATCGAAATTTTTCGAATTCTCATTAGTTCCTCCAAACCTCCCCCAAACACCGTGTTTTTTTCTAGATAAAATAGCATATCTTCGACCATTGGAATTAGCCCATATTCCATCAGCTCCATCAATTCCATCAAAATCTCTACCTCGATCAATTTCAACAACAACAATTCGAATGAGTCGATCAGATGAATCTACAGTACCTCAAACGGGTCTCGACGCGTCCGAAATTCTTTTCCGTCGATATTTATCACGTCCTTCTATTCAATCAGCTGCAATTGTTTATGGACGACCACTCGAAATGTCGGAAAATGGAAAACTGAAAATCGATCAAAAAATTAGCGAAATGGCACGGAAATTGGCACAGACTCGTCTCAAAAAATTCGATAAATAGTCTGGGATTCGAGGTGCCGTATAGAGCACGAAATGAGCATAATCGAGGCAAATTTTTGAAAATTTCGGGAGCACATCGATTATAGTTGAAAATATGAACAAATTTAATGGTTTTCAAACCCTCTTGTTAAATAAATAAATATATAAAGTTTTCAATAAATTCTCGAAATGTTTTATAAATCTAGAATAAATCCGAAAAATTACACATCAGTTACAAATCTTGAATTCAAAAACCAAGAATAAATATCAAATGATCAAAGATGTTGTGGTGGATTTGTTGAACTCTTATCTTCGGCTGTTTTTTGAAGTGTCATCAGCGATTTTCTTGTTGTGTCAAAATCCGAAGTTCCGATTGTGCTTGGGTTCAATTCGATGTTGTCGACATCTGATCCAATGTCAAATACCTAGAAAAATTGGGATTTTTGTTGAATAATCATCGGAATTGATAAAGTTCTAATAATTTTTCTATAAGAAATACGAAATTCGAAAAATGTTCAATCTTTTTGTTTTATAAAAAATCCAAAATGTTTTTTGAAATTCCCTTCAAAAACTAACCTCATTCCCACTTGGATCATAAAAAACCTTGTCGAGCTGAATATTATCTGGCGCCTCACATTTCTTCAAAAATGCATCATCATTAACAGCATGCGGTATGAATATAGTTCCACTCTTCTTGAAGTTCTTCAAATCGCCGTCCTCCTTTTCTTGTTGTTTGCATTGTTGAATATATTTTCGATGTCTCGCGCGAGTTTCCGGATCGTTTCGATCGAATTTCACATTCTTATTCAATGAATTCTTCTTGTTCTTCTTATTTTTCACACCATTTCCTTTATTTTTCCCATTCTTCTTTGCAGCTTCTCCTCCGGTTCCAGTTCCTTCAATTCCAACATCTTTCGGTGTTTCTTCTTGAGATTTTGGAGTTGCGGCAAGTTGTGCTTGAATTGCTGGCAATTTTGGTTGTTTTTCACGCTTTTCGTTGAGTTTTTCTGGAAAAAATTGAAGTTGAACGTACATTTTTTCAGAAAAAAAAAATGAGATGTGGCCGAGAATTGTCGGGAATTCGGCCACAGCAACAAACTCGCTCTACACACCCGTTCAAGCCACGCAATGAGTGTTTTCTACTGTAAAACGAAAAATCTGCAAATGAAAAAAACTGTGCAAACACTTTTGTCTAATTCTCTCTGTTCGCCGTTATATTTCGCACTACAGTATTAAAGGAGCATGATAAATTTCACGCGTTGGGTCTTGTCGCGATTGCTAACTTTCTTCGTAGGACCTCAAAAAATAAGAGAAGTAGCAAGTCAGGTAGAACTCGATGCGCTGATTTTCATGCTATATTTAGTTTTTCAAGAAGCTTATCTAGGTTTTGAGCTACAGGGTGCACCGTTTTTACAGCGTTTTGCTGATTTTTGTGTTGCTTGAGCGGGTGTGCTAATGTCACGAAATTTAGTGGAGCGTGTTTGTTGCTGTGGCCGAATTCCCGATAACTCTCGGCGACCTCTCATTTTTGGTTTTTTAGACAGTTTTCGAATTTAACTTTAAGTTCGGAAAATAATTATCCAGAATTTTAACAACGTTTCAGATTTTGGGTGAAAATTTGCAATTTTCAGTTTTTTCCCTAAATTCCCAAAACCAAACTCACTCTTCGAAATTGCAAAATAAATCACCAACGCAACAAGAATAACGAACAAGACAATGAGCAATGCCAGGAAGACATACAAGAGAAGTCCAGAGGTTTTCCTAGAAAAATCGATAATTTTGGATAACTTCAGGAGATCTCTGGGAAAGAAGCTTACATCTCATTCGTGGGCTTTGGCTCTTCCTTTTTCAATTCATCACAAGACATCGGACAAGTTTGTTCTTCGGATGAGCATTTCAAAGGTAGAGAAGCTAGAAAAGTTGGTGCAGCTGTGGTTGGTGCAGCTGTAGTTGCTGCAGCTGTGGTTGGTACAGTTGTGGTTGTTGCAGTTTTGGTTGGTGCAGCTGTAGTTGTTGCAACTGTAGTCGGAGCAGATGTGGTTGGTTTTAGAGTGGTAGTTGTGATAACTTTGGGTGAAGGCGTGGTTGTAGTTGTGGGTTTCGCAGTTGGTTTTGGGGTTGTAGTTGTTGTCTTAACTGTGGGCGAAGGCGTGGGTTTTTGAGTTGGAGGTTTGGTTTTCGCAGTTGATGTTGTAGGTTTTGTTGTTGGTGGACTCGGCTTTATGGTTGTTGTGGTAGCTTTTGAGGTCTTTGTGGTTTTTTTCGTAGATTTTGTTGATTTTTTCGGTCCAGGTGGTGTTGGTGGCAATGTTGGCTGTACAGTCGGAGGCTTTGGTCCAGGCGGTTCTCTTACAGGTGGTTTTGGTGGATCTGGTGGATTTCCCTTCGGAGCTTTTGTTGTTCTTTGACCTCCTTCTGGTGGCCCTGGTGGTCTTCTCTTCGGAGCTTCTGTTGTTTTTTTACCTCCTTTCGGCAGATCTTGTGGTTTTTTTGTTTTCGGTAGTTCTTGTGATTTTTGTCCAGACCCATGATTGGGTTTTCCAGGTGAAGCTGTTGTTCGTTTTCCTCCGGATGTTTTTGATGGTCCCAACTTGTCTCCAGTTGCCACAAGAGTCTCATTCGTCCCAGCAGGTTTCCTTGGTCCCAACAACAACGAGAAAGTCTCATCTTGCTCATCTCCACTCACATTTACACATAGAAAAAGGATGAACAAAACGATAGGTGGTTCTGCAAAACATTTTATTATGAATCAAAATCTGAAATGTTTATTCAACTCACTCATTTATATCGCCGCTAAAAATTGAACTGACTAGATTTCTGACGTCCCGCCCATTTCATTTTTTTTCTTCTTGCCACGTCATTTGGGGGGACACGTCGGAACGTGCTGTTCCAATTTTTGCGAATAAATAGCCACTGCCAGCCTTGAATCAGTTATTTCTGATTTCTAATGAGTTCGCAAAATTTGGACGATCTTGAATTGGAGAATGGACTTGATACAATTGAAAATCAGGAAGAGAATCGAGATTTTGGGGAGGAAATGAATTATTATGACAATGATGACAATTATTATGAGAATGAGGGACAATTTGTGGGCGAATTTGGTGAATTTGAGGGGGAATATGAGGATGGTGGAGTTGGAAAATATGGTTTAGAAGGAGATGAGGAAGAGGAAGATGAAGGATTTACTTGGGTCGGTTTTTTTGTTTTGCGCGACTGATTTTCTTGGGAGCAATTTTTATGGAACAAATAACATATCATTTTTCTCGTCTTGAAGAGACAAATAGATTGATAATTTCAGAAATTTCTGAAACACCCTATTAGATGAGGAAATCTGAAATTTCAGCAAGCGCAAAATTAAAAAAAATAAGTTTAATGTGCAAACACCGCGACGGACAAATGCACACAATTTTGCGTACCGTATAAAAAACTTTAAATTTTTTCCAGTGGTTCTGGGCAATTCTTGCATGTCTTGGCGTATTTGTAGTGTTCGTGGTGATTGGTGCCACATTGTTTTTCGTTCTTTCCAGCGGAGACTCGACAGCAGCAGATGATAGTGGGTGAGTCTCTTCAAAAATCGTTGACAAAAATTAATCAAAAGAAATTTCAGGCCTCCGACTTATCAACACAATCTTCCGAATCTTGTCTCACCGATCGAATACAATCTTGATTTTCAAGTTTTTCTGCCTGGATATTTGTACAAAATCGATGAGAGAAATTGGACATTTGAAGGAAATTCATCGATTAAATTGAAGGTTTTGGATGAGAAAATCGATAAATTTTATATGCATTCAGCCAAGAATCTATCGGTCAAAATATCTAATATCTCAATTATCACAAACGAAAATCAAATATTCTTGGATAACCTCAAAATTTCGAGATATTCCCCAGATGTAATTGAGATTTCACTTGGAAGATTTGTTGAGAAAAACGCGACACTCAAAGTGGATCTAAGTTTTGCGGGAAAAATCGAGAACAATCCAGGAATCTATAAATCGATATTTTATAATCAGAAAAATGAGGAGAAAAATGGAATTGTTACGAAATTCTCTGGAGAATTTGCAAGATTTGTTTTGCCTTGTTTTGATGAACCAAAATGGAAAACAATTTGGAACATTCGATTGATTCATCCGAAAAAATCATATTCTTATGGAAATCAAGTAAATACATTCAAAGAAAAAGATGTTCAATTCAGAAATGCTATTTTCCAACCAACTCCACTTATTTCAACAAATCAAATTGGTTTTGTGATCGGAAATTGGGATTGTAACCATAAAACAAAGTATGATAATCGAGTTGAGATTAAAATTTGTGGAAGAGGAGAAATCACTCAAAAAATGTCATTTGTAAAAAACGATGCGGTCAAAATTCTGAAACAATTCGAGGATTCATTTGCTCAAAAATATCCGCTAAATGTTTTGACAATTTTGGCGGCCCCTGATTTTTCTAGTAAGTTATCACAACTCCAAGATTTCCCCAAACACCCCTTTCTATTCCAGAAATCTCATCAAAACCTCAATCAAGTCTTGGTCTAATTTTATTCGATGAAAATGATTTGTTATTAGAGGAAGATGAGGTGGAAAAAGCATATTCTGCAAAAAGATTGGAAATTCGAGCAAATTTCATTGGTCAAATCGCCTCTCAATGGTTTTCTGGGAAAATTGTTGGAAATTGGAATGATGTTTGGGTGAATGAAGGTTTGATTGGATTATTTGGAGCGTTTGGTGCGAGTTTTCTGGCAACTTCGGATTCTATTCGAGAGGTATGAACTTTAAAATTGAATTTGGCATTCTAGGTCATGTTCTAGATTTCTAGACTGTCTAGAAATCACGTGGTTTACAAAAAAAGTACAATTAGCTCAAATTATTTCCAGAGTCGAATCCTTGTTCCAAAAATTCAAAAACTCGGCCTGGAAAACCCAAATCCATTAACCTTCGATCTACAAACCGAGAAAAATCTGCCCGAAAAAATTGAAAATATAAATTCTGGAAAATCGGTTGGAATTATGCGAATGATTCGAAAAATGGTTGGAAAAGCGATATTTTCGAATTCAATCAAAAAGTATTTGGAAAATGACAATTCGAAAACACTATTGGAAATTATTCAAAAAGTTTATGATGAATCACAGGAAAAACCGAGTGGACCTTCGAAAATTGTGGAAGTCGCGAAAAATTGGGCAGAAAATGCGGGATATCCGGTGATTTTTGTGGAGAAAAATGGAAAGGAAAATGTGAAATTGACGCAGAAAATATGGAATTTTAAGACGGGAAAAATTGAGGAGAATGAACTGAAATTTGAAATTCCGCTCTTGTTTTGGAACGAGGAGAAGAATAATGAGAAATTGATGTGGTTGAAAGGTTTGTTGAAAAAAAACGCGCGCTGTCGTCAACGCGGAGTATCGTTGTTTCCAATGTTTTCAATTTCGTTTCTAAAATTACAATTTGCATGAAGAATGAGAGCAAATTTTGTCCTGAAAAACCACCAAATCTTTTATTTTTCCAGCTGATCCTCTCATCATCCCATCAAAATCTGGTCCATTTATCCTAAATCTTGATTCAATCGGCTTCTATCGTGTCAAATATTCTGATGAAATTTTCGAATCAATCGCCTCCAAATTATCTGAAAAATCCGATTTTTTGACACCGAATACGAAATTTCGAATTATCGAAGATGCTTTGTTTTTCAATAATTCAAAAATTGAACTATTGAATAAATATATTTTGGCAGAAAATCATCCGATTCCACTTACTGCATTTTTGAAAAACCGAAAAATTGAAGAGATTTGGAATAAATCGAAGGAGATTAAAGGAGATTGGGAAATTGTGGAGAATAATTATAGAAATGATTCATTTATTGATCAAGTGTAAGTTTTTATATCAGAATTTTTGACCTAAATTTAAATTTTGTAGAGAATCAAATCTTCTTGTGATCGCTGAAAAATGTCGCTCAAAAACTGAAGATTGTTTGAAGAAATCCAAGTTTTATTGGGAGAATTTGGAAAAAGATTGTAAAAATCATGAAATGCTATCGACATGCTCCAAAATTCCATCGCCAATTCGAAAATTTGTGATTTGTCTTGCAAATTCGAAAGAAACTGAAGAAAAATTGAGAAAATGGAAGGAAAATGAGAAGGATTTGAATGTTTTGGAAGATTTGGAATATGCGATAACTTGTGGAGGAGGAAAAACAGGAGAGAATGAGAAGCGTAAGAATTATTCAGATGATTACTAGAAAATAAAGATTTTTCGGAGAATTCTGGGTTTTTGAGAAGAGTTGGGGAGATCTAAAACCTGCAAAAACTACGTTTCAAAAATTTCCAACAAATTTTTTGTTAGAAATTCAATCGATATTTTTATTCTCCTATGGAATAAAGAACAGAAACGAAACCTTTTTCTGTAAATTTTGATAAGAAGCATTTTGCGTCTCGAATATAAAGTTTATTACTGAACATTTTCAGATAAGAAATTTATAGCATCCTTGAAACAAACATCTATTTTTCGCACAAATCACACATCAAACATTTATTTCTGATTATATTGCACATGAAATCAATTTTCAGCTGAAAATGGTTCAGATAAGAAGTTTAGAGCGCCCTTAAAACACAAATTACTGTCAGAAAAAGTGAAAAGAATTCTGGTTTCAAAAAAAATCAAAAAGGTTTCAACTAAATTTTGAAGTTTCTAACATAAAAATCGAAAAATGAATTTCAATTAAAATTGGGATAATAATGAAACGGTTTCACTGAAATTTAAACATTTTCAAAGCCTGAAATATTTATTCTGTGATGTGGAATTATCCAAAATCGATCACATAATTTGATTTTATTTGAAAATTCCATTAGCATTCTTTGCACAAATGATAAAATCAGAAACGGAATTTTCAGAAAAAAAATCATAAAGCAAACGATTATCATTTCATTGCAGCAGAAATTAATTTTGTGCTGAAATTTTCAGATAACAAATTTATAACTGAAAAATGTGGCTGAAACTCCTGTTTCTCTCATTATTTTTCGCGTCAGTTTTTGGCTCCAAAAAAGTATTGATCTACTCTACAGTAACCGGACAATCGCATTTGAATTTTATGTCGAAAATTGGAAATTTGCTGCAAGATGATGGAAATTATGAAGTTGTGAGTTTAGAAAAGCAGAAAAAAATCTAGCAAGGTTTTTGCAGACTCTTTTACTTCCTGTAGTTGATGTAACTGCAAAAATCGATAATTTTGAGACGAACAAAATTCATAGGGTTATTGTTGTTGAGCCAAATCGGGAGTGAGTTTCAGATTTTCTGTGCTGTAAATTCAATTTTTTAAAGAATCCTCGACGCAGTTTCCTCAATGGTAGGTCAAAATTCTCGAATAAATATGTGGGAAGTGTCGATCGGCATAACTGGAGCCATTCCATATATTCAACGTTGGAAACTGTTAGCCAAAGCTGCATGTGACAGTGAGAAGCCACGCCTAGTTTTTCTTGCCGCAAATATCAATTGATTTTCAGATGTTTTCAGACAAGAGGAACTTTTGAGAGAGTTGAGGGAGGAGAATTTTGATGTGGCAATTGCTGAACCGTTTTATATTTGTGGATTTGGTGAGGGTTAAAAAAAATTATCTGAAATTTAGAAACTTTTTCCTATTCAAAAAATTTTTGGCGATAGCTTCGCTACCGCCCGAAAGCGATGCAACACACAAAACACACGAATATATAAATTTGTGGTGTGGGCGACGGTTAACGGGTTGTGCGCGCTGCCATTGTTTTTTTGTAAAAGGGGCGGAGCTTAATTGAGAGTGCGTTTTTTCGCTTCAAAATCAAGTGAATTTGTATTGATTTTTGGGTGAAAAATGAAGATTTCCCACCAAAATAATTTTTTGCAGCTCTTTTCGAATATCTTGGAATCAATAAAACAATCTCAATAGATTCACATTCTGGTCTCGAAGCTCCAAAAATATCGCATGGTTTTCCAATTTCAACTTCATTTCTTCCATCTTCTTATTCAAGTCTTTCAATTCCAAAAAATTTAATCGAAAGATTTCTGAATTTAATCGAAAGTCAATTAGTCTATTTTCAAGCTGATCAACTTCATAATTCTGAAATTGAAGGTGCTCAAAAACATCATCCAAAAATCTCGAATTGGCAGGAATTATTTCGAAAATGCTCGTTGTTTTTCTTGAATTCAAACCCGATTTTAGATTTTCCAAGTTTGAATTTTCCGAAATTTGTGCAAATTGGTGGATGGAATATGATGACAACGAAAAAAGAAGAATTGCCAAGGGAATTTGATGAGATTTTGAACTTGAGAAACCAAAGTGTTTTGATTAGTTTTGGATCGAATACGAAAGCTGAACTTATGCCAGATGAAATGAAGTAAGATTAAAAAATAGAGTGCCACGTGGATTTTGTGAAGAGAAATTCAGGATAATTTTTTCAAAAAAAAATATATTTGTGCACTTTCGGACACATTCTTTTTATTTCCCAAATTTAGAGATCAGAAACGAAGCAATATTTTTGATAAGAAAGTATTTTACGTCTTGCTGAAAATTTTCAGATAAGAAATCAATGAAACAAACATCTAGAACAAATTTTTCGTTCATAAAATAATTGGCGATAGCTTCGCTACCGCCCTCAAGCGATACATCACACAAAACACAAGAATATATAAATTTCTTGTGTGGGCGACGGTTAACGGGTTGTGCGTGTCGTCATTGTTTCTGTGTGAAAGGGGCGGAGCTTGTTTGAGAGAGTGCGTTTTTTTCGGTTCAAAATTGAATTTTTCAGTGAATTTTGATGATTTTTTTTTTGAAACAATTCAAAACCCTTTCAAATCTGTCAATAATTTATTTTTTTCCAGAAAATCGCTCCTCTCCGTATTCAATTCAATGCCGGGAACCACATTCATCTTCAAATATTCTCCAAAATATCCCGACATCGATGAAATTTCCAAAAATCTTCCCGCAAATCTCCACATTTTTCCATGGCTTCCTCAAAAATCTCTGATATTCGACCCACGTCTTTCACTTGTTCTAACTCACGGCGGAATTTCGAGCACAATTGAAGTTGGATATTCTGGAAAACCTGCCATTTTTATACCAATTTTTGGAGATCAAACTAGAAACTCGAAAATGTTAGAAAGACATAAAAGTGCAATTGTTTTGACGAAATACGATTTGAAGAATTCGAAAAAACTGCAAAATACTTTTAATTTAATTTTGAACCAAGAATATGAAGAATATTCAAGAAATGCTCAAAAATTGGCTCAAAGACTACAAAACCAGCCGGAAATTCCTCGTCAAAAATTCATTGCTCATTTCAATTTTGTGGCCAAATTCGGAAAAGTTGAGGAAATTGATTCGATTGCTCATCAAATATCGACTTTTGAATATTATTATTTGGACGTTATTGCTTTGATTTTGACAACTTTTTGGATTGCTGTAGTGTTTATTCGATTTTTATTGAAACATTTTCGAACTCGGAAAATCAAAACTCTGTGATTTTTTTTGAATAAATAATTTTTCGTGAAAAATTACTAATGTAATCTTAACTGTGTGCAAACACACCGGGAACTACACACATTTTAATTGACGACAATTTGCAAAACATGTTTTTTTTCTTCGTGGGCGGTTCAAAACGTGTTTTATTTGTTTTTACGTGACTGACCTTTTTGAAAAATATTTGTTCATTTTCAGATCTGTACTAGAGCTCAAACCTTGAATTTCGTCACACTTTGTTGATTTGAAAAATTTCTAACGGTGGGTTTCTCTCTAACAAATGTTTTCTTATTTTATCCTTGTTTTTTTTACAGATTCAGATTCTCTTTACAACGGAAACGCCTGTTTTTCTGACTGGCTGAAAATGTCTTCGAAACAAGTGAGTTACCTTAAAAATTGCTTTATTTTCCCATTACAACACAATTTTTCAGGGTTTGTCAGAAGCTTTGAAAAGCATGAGCATTCGAGATGATTCAACGCATCCTTGGCATAAATATTACAAAGTTGATCCGCCTAAAAAGGAACCCAAAGGCTACAAACAACTCTTGTCGAATTGTAGCTTGCACCAAGTTCAACAATTCCGAAATATTTCGAAAAAAGTTTGGCTGACCGCAAAAAGAACAACGAATCCATCGAAAACCAATAAAACAACATTTCTAACATCGGATAGTTTTCCATCAACACCATTTGCATATTATTCAGTTGCTTATAAAACACCAACTTTCATAATTCTTACACCAGTTTTCAACGAAGTTGTAGCTGATGATAGATTGGATTTGCGAATTGTAGCACTCAATAAAAGTGCGTGTGACACTATCAACCCAGGAATTATCGATTTTGATGATCATCCACAGCGAAAAAAAATTATTTTTTTGTACACAAAAAATTCGTTGCGGAAATTCAAAAAAATAGGCGGAGTTTTCCACACGCAACCCCTGGCAGCGTCTTTCTGCAATATTATTGCATGTGCGCACGGTTTTTGTGTGTTCTCCCCTTTTGTTTTTTGTTTTTTTCCTTTGTGTGTGCAAACACTTTCTGTTTTGCGCACCGTACCACACGGAAACAGAAAAAATAATTTTTTTTCGCTGTGTCATCCAATCGGCGATGTTTTATGTGTCACCAAATTACAACCAAAACAAACTCTCGCGAATAAAAAAATCGATAAACTTGTGATGGATGATGTGAAATCGGTGAATGGAAAACAATTTTGGGAAGTCAGCGAATTCTATCCGATGAAAAATGATATCATTGAGAATGTTGTGACAACTCCATATTTTGAAAACGTTTCGGAGAAGTCCAAAGCTCCGAGAAAATTGATGTGTGTTGGATCGAACATGGGAAATATATTTGAGATCAGTGAAAGTGTCGCGCCAAAAGTGCAAGTGAATGATATTCTATTGACCTCGGTTTTCCTCCCAATCATCAAACCTGGTCAATTTTTATCAAGTTTGGAACCGGAACATTGGCTGACAGTTGCAAAAATGTCACCAAAGTTGAGGAATAGTAATTCATATCTTCCAGTTGTTGTCAAATCAAAAATTGCCTCAGAAAATGTCAAAAGAGTTTTCGAAAATTATAAAGAGGCATTCAAAGTTTATCCGCGGGAAGCTGCTTATAATGCATTGAGAATTGTTGTTGAACATGGTTCAAATGGTTTGAGATCTATTAAAGATTCAAAAATCGATCAACATCAATATACAACAAAGATTGAAAGTTACAAAATGCTTGATTCATTTGTCAATTTCACTTTCAAACTTATTGGAGCTAGTGTCACACCACCAGCTGTTAAATGGAATCGAAGTGTATCAATCAAAATTATCAGCCCAATTTGTGCACCTTTTTATGCTGAAGTTTTGGGAGCACAAAAACATGGAGTAGATTTGAAAGTGAAAGCGAGAGCTCCTTCAAATACCTTCACTGAAAATATTCTTCGAAGCTTGAAAAATCAAGAAATCTCAGTTCGTCAAAGAAGAGAAATGAAAAAGAATGAAATTGATTGGAATGTTCAAAAAGGATCGAATGCTGACAAATTCATTCAAGCAATCTATGGTGGTCCCCCTTTGAAAATACCAAAGCTCCCGAATATTCCACGCATCAAAATTGGTGGATTAGAGCTTCTCGAGACACAGACTCGTTATGCTCAATTGATCTCAAATGAAAATGTTGCAGCAATTATTGGTTCGAGTTCTTTTGGTTGCGGAAAAACTGCAGCAATCGCATCGGCTGCATTATACGCGTTGAAAAATGATGAAAAATCGAAGAATTGGCAAATGTTGACAGCTGTGACAAACAGTGCTGTGGTTGCTTTGGTTGAGAAATTGGTTCAACTTGATTCGAATGTTCAAATTGTTCGAATTATTACTCCAGCAAATATGGAACAAGTTCCATCAACTTCTTTGACTCAATTCGATTATCCTACTGTTTTATGTGAATTATTGAAGGAACAACTTATTAAAGAAGATGTGAATTCAATGAATTATGATTATGAAATTCCAGAAGATCTTGTCAAGCAAATGCTAGCTTATCTCAAGAAAAATGCAAAATCAACAAGTTTTTTGAAATCTGAACGATTGCAAAGATTGGTCAAAAACGCGAAACATCATAATGAAAGTGATCTTCTCAATTATTTCATGGATTTCAAAAAACCAACAATAATCGTTGGAACAATTCAAACAATTCTCAACTCATTTAACATGTCGTGGAGACCATTTATCGGAGCAATTTCAAATATTCAAATTGATGAAGCATCAACAGTTCCAAGAGAAACACTTTTGCAATTGGTCACACTTTTTCCGAATTCGAGATATTCTTTGGTTGGAGATTATCGACAACTTTCGCCATATTTTGAACAAGATGCTTCGAAACTTCTGATTGATACTGCAATTGGAGAAACACTTCGTGATTGTGTTGAGGAAGATTTGTTGCCATCTGTGTTTTTCAATGGAGTTTTCAGGTTAGTTTTTTACCAACAAATGTTTTTCGCAAGCTAAAAAAAATAAAAAAAATGTTTTCAGATGCCCACCTGAAATCACTGAACAACTTGGAAAACTATTCTACAATGATTCGTTGAAAAGTTTTTATCGAAATTGTGAAACTGTAAAAGAGCTCGAAAAATGTTCCGCTTGGCGCTTGAATTGCTCAAATAAATTCTCAACAATATTCATTGATACAATCGGATCAAGACAAAGATATCGAGGAAAATCATTGAGAAATTATCAAGAAGCTGAAATTGCACAGAATTTAGCTGAACATTTATCGCAATTCATTTCAAGAGAAAAAATCGCGATTCTTTGTTTCTATCGCGCACAAATGTTGGAATTACAAGATTGGAGTGAAAATCGCGGAATTCATGTGGGATGTGTTGATTCTGGACAAGGAAAAGAGTGGCCGGTTTGTATTGTTTTGACAACGAAAACTGCAAAAGTTCAAGATAATCAATTCATTTCGAATGCACGGCGTATTAATGTGGCACTTTCGAGAAGTAGACATTTGAATTTTATACTTGGAAATAAGAAGAGTTTGAGTGGTTCGGATTTGTGGGCGAGTATTATTGGAACTTGCAAGAAATCCAACACTTTGGTTGCTTCCAATGTTTTTAATGAGATTATTAATTCAGGTTGGTGATTTTTTGGAAAAATTGGGTTTTTCTCGAGAAAAACTATGATTTTTTTAACCAAAAATTAGATCATCCAGGTTACTGTAGAAAAATATTTTTCAAGGCTGAAATTTTGAAAATTCTGCATTTTCTTGAAAAAATTTCATCATAAAATTTGGTTTCACAAAGGTGTTTTCAAAATTTTGAACCAGAACTTTTTTCTGAAACCTCAAAATCTTAATTTTCAGACACAAATTCTGCGGAAGATCTTCAAGATTATGATGATAATTTCGAAGAAGAAGAAGTAGATGATGATTTCGAAATTATTGAGCATGAATAGGTTTTTTTTGTTTTTTAATTAATTAATTGTTTATCCCCCTTTCCAATTTTTCTCTCTAAAATGTTTTTGTCATCCCGAAATTCCAAAAATAAACGCGTGTTTATATTGTGGCGTGTGAAAGAATGTCGACATTTAAATGTTGACAAATCGAAAAATCTCACCAAAATATCAAAGAATGCAATTGTTTCTATTTTTATTATTCAATTCAGTTTTCGCTAAAAAATACGAGCTGGTTTTTGTGCAAATGGTTAGTTTTTATTGATTTTCAGATGTTTCGAAATGGATTTTCACAGATTTTTCGACATGGTGATCGAGCTCAAGTGTTTTTCATCGAAAATGATTCGATTCAGGAAAAAGATTGGATTCAGAAGTATAATTTGAGGATGGGACAAATTACACAGGTTCGAAATTTTCCACGTGGCAAGATCAAGTTCTCTGTTTTTTATAGCTCGGAAAAACTCAAAGTATCGATTTGGGAAAATCAATCGGTGAAAGATATATGCAAAAATTCCCAAACTTTCTGTCAAAGAAATTAAAAGCCGAACAAATCCACTTTCGTTCAACCAACAATTCTCGAACAACACAATCGGCTCGACTTGTTTTAGAGGGAATGTATCCGCGGCAAAAAGCTGCGCAAAAAATCGATTTGGAAATATTCGCGAATCGACCGAAAGATTGTGTTGGAATTATTAGTTGTGTTTGTAATCGAATGTTTTCCAAAAGAAAACGATACTCCGTGTTGACGACAGCGCGCGTAGTTTGAATTTATTTATTTTTTCTGTTCCGAGTTTTTTCTAGACAACAGTAAAAATAAGCTAAATCTAATCGTAAGAAAAATTGGACTCTTTACAGCGAAAATACTTTATGGATCGACTTCGCCGAGAAAATCGTTGGTATTCCGAGGAAATGTATAAAGGCCTTCTGAAACTATATTATAAAGCGAATGATTTTTATTTCGGGCATTTCGAAAATCCAAAAAAGACCGTTGTTGATGATATCGATATTTCAAAAGAAATGCTCAAAATGAGATTGAGTCCGGGAAATAATGAAATTTTGGAAAGATTGAAAAAACGACTGGAATGTTTGAAGAAGAAATCGAAATGTAAAGATCGATTATTATTTCATGCTTATTCGGCGGTAAACAATTTGAATTTGAACAAAAAATGGTTTCTATCGAATTTCTAGGCGTTAAAAATAATTTAAATTACAAATATTCAGGTTTCGGGTCAAAAAATTCTGAAAAATTCCATGCTAATTGAAATTTTGCAGCATGATATGATGATTTATGCACTTTTGACAACATTTGGTATCAAAGATCATACAGGTTTGGAGAAAGGACATCTTCCCGATTTTTCGAGCTCAATTTATATCGAATTATATTTGAATTCACAGGAAAAACCATTTTTCAAGGTACTAACTAACAAAGATTTGTTGATTTTTCTCACAATCTAATTCCAGGTTTTATTTCGAAATTCTGAAAAGGCTGAATTTATGGACTTGACAAGCAAAATTCGAGGTTGTAAAGGAAAGGCATATTGTCCTTTCAAGATTTTTGAACAATTGCGTGATTTTTATAATTTGGATGAGCCAATTATGGAGCATTGTGAAAAACGGCTATGGATCGATGAAATTTGATAAACATAAATGTTTTAAGCAAAAAATCAAAACTTATATTCAAAATTCACAAAACAAAAATAAATAAAAATAAAACCCTGTACATAAAATCAAAAATAAAAAACCCAGAAAAAAAAAACATACAAACTATTTCGAAGTGCTTGGAAATTGTCCAGATTCTTCAAAATTCTCCGGAACTCCTGATAAATTGAGCATAAAATTAAATACGTTTTTCAAATCCTCATCCGTTTTTTTGCCCGTTATTCGTTTCTCAACTTCAAACATTTCTTGAGCATGCAATTTTCGACGTTTCTCCAAATTCTCGAATTCCTCCATTTTCCTCTCCATTTTTTGTTTTGGCGTAAGATTCTTTGCATTTTTCTTGGGATGATTTTGACATCGAACTTTGCCGCCAAATTGTTGGATCTCGAGTAAAAGTCGATTTTTTTCAGCTTCCGATGGTATATGAAAAAGTGGAAGTTGTTTTGAATAACAAGATAATTCGGTTCGAGCCAAACGCAAAATTTCGTCGATTTTCCATTCTTCGATGAAAAATCGATAAGTCTGTAAGGAAAAATAAGGTAAATTAGAGTTAGAGTAACTTTTTAAAATTTTCTGTTGCCAAGAAGCTGCGCCTAGAGAACCTATTTTCCAGTAGCCAAGCCTTGAGAGCTCCCGTGTCAAGCAACCGAGCCTTGAGGAACTAGCACTCAAGCAGCCGCGCCTAGAAAGTTCAATTGTCAAGGAGCAAGACCTAGAGAACCTATTTCTTAAGTAACCACGTCTTAGGGGTCTTCTTCTCAAGCAGCCGCACCTATAGAACCTTATTGTCTAGGATCCGCGCCTTGAGAGCCCAGTTCTTTAGTAGCTGCGCCTTAGGGGTTTTTTTACTCAAGCAGTCGCACCTATAGAACCTTATTGTCTAGGATCCGCGCCTATTTGAGCTAGAAAACTTTTTTAGAACAATTTTTGACTTAGCTCTGAATTTTCACGACCTAACATAAAATAATTTCTTATTTGAATCCCCGCTCTAAACCTTACCCGATTTTTAAAAAGCTTTTCATATTGACTCAACCATTCGACAACTTCATTAATATGATTATATTCACCAACCAAAATTCTCATATTATTTGTCAAAAAATTGACAATTTGTCGATAGGCACTATATTTTGTTTTACAAAGTGTTCCATACGGCGAAATGAATGGAATTCCCACGTCATAATTTCCACGATTTTCTGCGCAACAATGTTTTGAGATTCCAACTGTTACAATGTCGAAATCTTTGCTGATATCTAGTTCATGAAGTTTTGCGAAATGAACAAATCTTTCGAATGGAACTGCCAGAATTATTCCAAGTTGTCGCTCTTCTTCAGTTTCAATTTCGAATAAATTATCGATATATTGACGATTTGGATATTTTTTCGACATTGTTATTCGAAAGGCTTGATCGAGTTCTTTTGCAAAAACTAGGTCGTTTTCGATGATTCGAACTAATGGTCCTTCGAATTCTGGTACTATTTCACGCTGAAAAAATTGGATTTTTAAAGGGTTTTGGGTATTTCTTAAGGGTTAAAGGAACTGTTAAGGTTAAAGGTTGGAGCAGAATAATTTTTTGAGCCAACCAAATATTTTAAGAAATCCTGTAGTAAATCCGATTATCCTCCAAAAAGGGCCTAGAAATCTTAATATTTGAAAAATTGAATTTCTAGGCCACGACCGAGTTTTTGAGCGAGAATCTTTTCGAAAAAAAAAGATGTTCGCTCCAAGACTTTTAAAACTCAATTTTAAGGGAACTTTTTTGGGCTGTGAATATTCGATGACTCTAATCTTAAAATACTATCAGAATTTTTCTAATTTCAATCTGAAATGTGAAATTTTATTTATTCCCATTGAATGCCTATGGAAAATTGGAAAAATAATGGATGAAAAATTATATCAAAATTTTGAAACGTATATTTTTTGTTTTTCAAGAATAATAATTTTTCAGTCAAAATTTGAAAAAAAAATCCATGACGTGTAGATTTTCAATTCCTCCCCCCCCCCCCAAACTCTCACCGATGGCGCAAAAAAGCTCCTAAAAGTCCACAGAACATTTCTAGATCGTTGAATTGTTGCAACAATTTGCACATAACTTGCAATAAAAACATGTTGATGTGTTTCAATCGGTGTTTTCGCATTCATCTCCAGAACTTTTTTCATAAAAACATTCTCAAAAAAATCGTATTCATGAAATGGCAAATTATCACGAAGCTGCACAAAATGATCAATCTTCAGTGGCCGAATAAATGGAAGTGTTGTCAAAGGCATGAAAAAATCTTCAGCCATAACTTTGAGAGCTGTATTTGGCACATATTCATAACATCCATGCAATGATGCCATTCGATTTCCAATCTCAAAAACCATCCATTTTTTCAAAAAAATCGTTGCAAGATAGCTAAACTTTGATAGTCGAAAGAAATAATTAACCGATAGCAAAAAATCATTTTTCGATAAATATGCCACTCCATTTATAGTTGTATATGGCCGTGGAGCTTCAGTTTCCAGTTTTTGCTCAATTGTTAATTGATTATTGACTTCAGGCGAATTTTCTAATATTCTAATAATATCAATTATTTGATCAACTTTTCCATAAACATCCTCCCGAAGTTCGAGTCTTTTATATACAAGATCTAACACTTCGCGAAGTTTTGAAGTGTCTTCAAATACATCAATTCGAATTTCATTGATTGGAAGGGTTTCTATCACCTGAAAATATTCGGAAAATCAGGAATTTTCATATAAAAACTTCAAAAAAGCAAAACCATACCTCATCAAAATCGACTTTCCTCAATAAATGCAAAACTTTAGGCACTGACCATTTCGGAAGCCTATTTCTCATTCCCTCAATTATTGCCCACATTCTAGCTACATTTCGCTCTTCTTTCGGATTTGATTCCATTCTTCTGGTCCAAAAACCAACCTGAAAACTATTTTTTTTTTCAAAGAAAAAAAATGAAAATAAAAATGGTTTACAGTAATATGTTCAAGGCGCACACACAAATTGCATTGGGTCACGCAGCGATTGTCTTTTTTTTTTCAAATAAAAAATAATTTTTTATTTTTATTTCGAGAAAAAATCAGGAATAAAAGGCAAAGGCGAATCGAACATGTGCAAAATGGTGTCTCGGCGAACGAAAAAAAATTATTGTCTGTAGCCTCCGGTTTTCTCTAACTATCTCACACGATGTGCCCATTCTCTCACCGCCTTTCCTCATTTTTTTCTTGTCGCGCGCGCGCCAAAAAAACTATATCATCTTGGCAAATTGCCAATTAATGTGGAAAAATGAAATTTTGTGGAAAAGGAAAAATAAAATGGTTTTGGGGACAATTTTTTTCCAACAAAAAATTGTTCAAGGTCATTTTCTTTTGTTCTATTTTTCTCGGCTTCAGAAAAAAATTTGAGATTTTTTTTTGGGAAATACGGTAACTTTCAAGGTTTTTAGATAGATTTTTTTGAATTTGCAAGTTTCCCGCTCTTAAAGTTCAAGAAGTACTGTAATTTTTGGCGCAAATATTTTTGTGCTTTCATCATCTCGATTTCTCTCGAATAATGATCAAAATCAAACCTATTTTGTCTGTCAAAAAAAATTTTAATCGGATTTCCCAAAATCGTCACTCTCCCCTCATTTTTTAAAAAATCCTTTCTCTCTCGAAAATTCAACATTTCACTCAAAAAAATGTTGAGATTATCTAAAATTCTCATATTTTCTTTGTTATTTTTTCAATTTCTAGTCTGTTTATATTTGTTCAATGGGAAGAATACGAGTCTAGGAAAAGCTGTCAGTAAAATTAATTTTTTTTTATTTCGAAAAACTGAAAAATTTAAATTCCAGAAATCCGCGAAAATCTTGGTACCTGAAAAATTGCTGGCCGATGATCCATTTGATCAACCCTTCCTGAGCCGCGCCTCAAATTCGACAATTCGTTTCGAGACCCAAAAATATTCCACGCATTTTTGTGTCGCCTACAATGTTACCAAGGCTTCCGGAAAGTTTGTAGTTTGATTTGATTTCAAGAAAAAAATGTTAAAAATTTGAATTTTGCAGTTTTCGCGCCGATGGTTTGGAGCCGATCACGTTGGCAATTCATGCCACGTCACATTATATGACGACGATTGAGGGACAGGTGAGTGAGAGAAGAGATATTGGAGAGGGTTAGAGAAATAGAGGAATGTTGAAGGTGGAGAGACGGAGAGAGTATAGGAAATCTAGAGACGACTAGAGAAGAAATTGAGAGAGTTGAGTGAAACTGAGCGGCTAGAGAGTACATGGTTCTGGGAGTGTACAGACGATTAGATTGGGTAGAGACGCAGACAATCGGAGAGTTTAGAGAAGCAAATAGAACCCCGGGAGATCACAGGAAATCAAAAGACTCCAGAGAAATTTATATTTTTTCAGTGTTCGTCTAGAAATTGGAATGGTCCAATATCTGTTAGCTTGTTTGTCGATCGATATTCGAGTAATACTGTAGAATATATACACGAGGTTCATCGATGTTCATCAAAAATTAATCAAAAGGTTTGTCAAGCTGAAAATTCCAAAAATTTGGATCATTCAGGTTACTGTAGAAACGTATAGTTGAAATTTTGAGCTGAAAATTCTTCAAAATAAGTATTTTCATTATTTTCACCTGAAAATTTAGGTCTAGAAACTCCTCAAAAGGTACTGTAGAAAATAGTGCCAAAAATTCCAAAAATATTGTTCTAGGCTGAAATTTTGTGCTGAAAATCTTCATGAAATTTTCTTCCAGCTCTCTGTGCACATCGTCTACCGAATGGCACCATTTCAAACCACCTGCGATCCAATCTACATTCCAAGATCCACCAGAAAATGTCAAGATTTTGGAGCCGTCGAAAGTGAGCTCTTCTCATTTTCTAATTTTGAATTTCAAATTTCAAAAACCAAATTTTCAGGACAACACGAACGTGCCAAAATCGTTCCACCATTCCAAATCTATCCGATAAATGTGATGCGGAATGTGGCGCGGAAAGGCGCGTTGTCTGAAATTCATATGATGGCTGATGTTGAGATGGTTTTTAGTGAGGGATTTGCGTTGAATTTGAAGAGAGTTGCGAATAAATATATCAATGGGAAGGATAAGAATGTGCTGGTTATACGGTAGGATTTATTGATTTTTTTGAAGGTTGTCTGCGCTCTCTCAATTCTCTATACTCTTTCTAGTCTCTGGTGTTTCTTTCTCTGCGCTCTCTCAAAGCTTTCGAAGAGTTTCTAGACCCAAATTTTGCGATGAAAACCATAAAATAACTGAAAATTGCTAAAAATCTCAAATTTCTAGCATTTTCAGAACAAAATTCTAGTCTAGAAAAATATTTTTCTACAGTAACCTGGATGATCTAAATTTTTGGCACAATTTTCTACAGTACCTTGTAAAGAGTTCCTAAACCATATTTTTCTCTGCACTCTCTCAAATCACTGCTTCTCTGATGTCTCTTTCACCCATAGTGATATTTCACAATCTCTTGCCCCTCTCTGACTTCTCTGCACCCTCTCAATTCACTGCACAATTTTTCCTAGACTTCTATGATGTCTGATTTCTCTGCGCTCTCTTCAAAATCCCTCTATTTCCAGTCGTTTCGAAGTTGACATGAAAGCCAAAATCCCCAAAGACCATCAACAACTCTTCCTAATGATCAAAGCATTTCGCGCCTTCGAATTCCATCATAAATATTTCCCAGCCGGTCATACCATCGAATCCCTCTGGACCTGGTTTCGAATGTCTCGAAATGCCACTGATGTTTATGCGTGGCCAATTGAATACAAGTACGTTACAGTACCTAGCAGCTACAGTACTTCTACAGTAATCCATATTTTTTTGTAGATCAAGTTCTTGGGAGGCTCAATTGGTGTTGCATCGAAAAGATCCGTACAATCCGGAATATTTTCCGACGCGGATTCGAGATCAACAATCTTTGGTGGGTTTAAATTTTGCAATTTTGCGGCATGGTTTTTCTTGAGTTACGAGATGAGAGCTTCAAAATAATATAGAATAAGCCTAGGCTCCGCCTATTTTTCCATTTTCCGCAGGTTTACAATTGTTGTCGCGCAAATTATCGATTTCTCATCGCGTCACACGTGTTCAATGTTCACCGTGGCGTCAAAACCAGTGAATCCAACCTGTCATCAGCAGTGTTAACGCATCAGAAAAAGTTGAGATTACGGTGGGTCATTTTTTTCACTATTTTCTCATTCATTTTCAAAAAAAAGGTTTCAGGGCTTCGAAACGTTTCCAATCGCTGATGAATGAGACATATCCCAATACGTATCAAAGATGCGGAAAGTTTTTAATGTGATAGGCTTTATATTTTGTGTGTTTCAGCGGGGTCTCGCAACGATTTTTTACGGGTTTTTTGAATAAATTTAGTTTTGGCGCCACATGGGGTCGTGGCCGAAGTTTGTTTGAAAAACCTAGGCCGCGTCACTTTTTTCTTTTTCTTTTCGTTTCTCTCGCGTTTTCGGTGTTTCTGGTGTGTTTTCAAGGCGTGAAGATGGATAATGATTCACAATGGACTGTTGACAAAGTTATGAGTTGTCTGAAATGGATTTTACATGGAGAAGTGAGTTTAAAACTGAGAATTATTCCAAAAAAGGTGAAAATATTAAATTTCAGTCATTCGATCAAATCTCATTCAAAGACTTCCATATCAAAAAAACCGATAAGTTCAAAGATATTCAAAAAATCAGGCAAATCATTGAATTCGTCTCTCGAAAATACGGCAGAAAAATAGAGGTTTATGGGACAATTGATGAGATTCTGAGGGATGTTTTGAGAATCAGTGATATTCCTGAGATACATCGACTTCCATTGGGTGGATTGACGACTGAGCAAATCTTGGAGACGGAAATATGTTGTAGCAGTTATTTGGCACAAGAGGATAATGAGTTTTATGCGAAAAACGATGTTTTCATACTTCTCAATCGATTTATCAAAGAATATGAATATTCAAATATTGCAAGATGTTTTATTGACAAATGGTTCGCATTATTTGTCAGTGAAAAACTCGAAGAAAATAAAGATGTTCATGAATTTGTTACAAAGGATATTTTAGAATGCATCACTGAATCATTTTATCAGCCAATAGATCGAGGAATACTCGACTTTCAAATAACAATCGAACATTTTCAAGGATTTCGAGAATTTTGGCCGAAAGATAACAAATTCTTTGACGAAGTTTTTATCAAAAAATTGAAGAATAAAGCAAGAAACATGCCAATGGCTACAAATCAACAATTCTATAAGGAAACATTTTTCGAAATTGTAACAATTCTATCACGATGTCCTGAAGTGTTTCGAATTTACGGCGAATTTCTGAAACCCAACTTGAAAATCGAAGAAATCAAAATTTTCACAAATTTCCCAGTTGCACGTTGTTTTGAAATGTATACAAACGGAAGAAAATTAATGTTCACCACAGAAATCGAATATGCGATTCGATTATCGATTGCGAGAAAAGGGCGGGTTTTGGAGGAGGGATTTTTGAGTTGTGGAATTCGAGAAGATCGAAAAATGGGAATTGTTCTTGCCATTAGTTATGAAACTGTTGAAAATGTTATGAAAGTTTTAGGATTATCGATTGAAAAGGATATTAATGTGAGAAAGAGAAGCTGCGTTGCGTGTGCGTCGCGGTTGAGGGTTCCAGAAAAAAATTCGCTCTACGGGCGACTGTTTAAACTTGCAATCAAGATTTTTAATGAAATATATGTTTTCTAGTAGTTTTCGACCTGCCGATCACTTTTTGATGTCTAAAATTGCAAAATTCAACTCCTAAAGTGAGTTATGACGTGGATTTAGGAGCTGAGCTGAAAACAAGCTTCGAAATTCCTAAAGTCCCAATTTTTCGACATTTTCGAAATTTGCCACGTCATAATTCATATTACGAGTTGATTTCTGTAATTATAGACAACGAAAAAGTGATCAGCGGGTCGAAAACCGAAAAAACCGCGACGCACACACAGCGCGTCTGACTTCATCTTATCTGCACACAGTTTCAATTTTTGCAGATAATTCACTTACCAATGACTCGAAATTTCGATGGAATCAGTTATCCAGTACTTTCACAATATTCAACACATTGCAAATATTCAGAAGATTGTTTTCGCGAAATTCAAAGTTATCTTTGCTCCTGGCTTCGCGTTTTTCAATTCATCACATCTCACAATTTTGATAGACTCGTGAAATGGATCGAAGATTTGAATGGATTATTTGCGTATCGGGTAAGAATTTGAATATTTGCCACGTCATAGCTCATTTTTTCAGAATATGTCATATTTCATTGAATGTTGGAAAATTGATGAAATCATTAGAAGAGCAAAAAAAGAGCTGAATTGCTTGAAAACTCGAACAAATTCATATAAAATTCCTGTGAAAGAAAGCTACACAGATTTTGAAGTTATACAAGAAGCTGGAAAATTGATTGGAAAAGCGAGTGAAGAGGAGATTATTGGTTTGGGAATGGTTTTGAATGAATATAAGAAGATGTTGAAAGTGGAAGATTCATTGACAATTCGACATATTTGGAGTGTTTATTGTAATTTGATGACTATTAAATTGTATCAGAAAAGTCAGAAGGTTGGTTTTTAAAAATCAATATTTTCCCTATGCCAGAAAGTCGTCTGAAACCAAGTTTCCAGAATATTATTTTAATTCTTGTCTAGACTCTCTCAATTTTCGGTTGTCTCTAAGCAAAATAATATTCTGGATATTTTGTTTTTTATACTCAGAGATTCGCTGGCCAGCTCGCCACTAGATCAGGACCAGGTGGCCGGAAAGTTCAAAACGAGCTGAATTTGATTCGGCCACCAGGTCGCCTTGAGTTTTCCGGCGACGTGGCCTGTGTGTTTGAAATCCTGGAAAGCTAGCAAGACGGTGGTTTGTACTCAAAATAGTGCATTTTTTACTGTTTTTTTCACTTCCTAAAGTTTCTAGTACTCCGAAAAAACAGAAAATGAGCCGATTTCTTCTAGAATGCTCGGATTCACAAGTTTTTTGGACTTTTTTCTCTTAAGCGAGACGATCTGGACGCGAGGTCGGGTTGAGCTGGACAACCTGGGCGAGGTGGTCTGCATGAACTGAACCACCTCGCGACCAGGTCGTCTCGCAAAAAATACGGGCGATGTGGTTGTCCGTGTCAATTTCAGATGGGCAGTCGACCCCACCTAGTGACCAGCTGGCCAGCGAATCTCTGAGTAGAATTTTCTGAAAATAAGTCCATTTTGTATCAAATATCCTTTGTTTTCAGAAAATTCCAGAATTTTTTCAGATTGTCCAAATGTTCCAACTCATCGATCATGATAATTGTACAGATTTGACTGTCGAACAGGTTAGTCTTATTTAAAAAAAATAATTTTCTAATTACCTTATCACAATTTTCAGATCATGTCTCATGTCCAATTCGCAATTCATCAGGAAAACTTTTTTTGTGAAGATGTTGGTTTTTTGTTGTTGAAAATTTTAAAGTTTCACCTAACAAAGAAATTTTGAAATTTTAGGGTCAAATGCCTTCAACTTCAACAGCGGATCAAATAACAACAACAACAACAAATTCGAATAGAACTATAAAAATAAAATCGATAAATTTTGTGAAGGATGGGAACGAAATGACGGTGACAATTACAAAAGATGCGAAAAGTCAACCAACGTGTATTTTGAAGAGGAAAATTGAATTGTGGGGGGTTTTCTCTTTGAAAAATAATAAAAGTAAAATTTTGCAGAATTCCTGAGAAGAACACTGAAAATGAAGAATCGGAAATGAAAAAATCTGTGAAAAACGTCGAAGAAGAAAAAAGAAAATGATTTTTGTCAACCTGGTCCAAGCAATCGACAATAATTGTGATTTTTACACTATTTTGAATTTATGTACTTACCCTAACTATGTAACTTATTTTTGTTGTATTTTATGATTGGTTTTTAAAAAACGTTTTGTGATGAAAATTTTCAGAATTTGAAAATTTGAAAAAACAATTAAATACGTGGCGTGACCCAATTTTTTTTTTGGAAAAAAAAAACATTTTGTTATTTAATTTTAATCATTTTTGAAAAGAAAATGTGGACAATTGAAACGCTCCTAAATTGTGCTCAACGATATTTTCCGAGAAATGTGAGTTTTTACTAATTAGAATCTGTGGAAAACCCTGATTTTCAGAAGTTCCGCGATCTGCATCAAATTTCGTCGAATTTTCCGAAAAATGAGATTTTTGATCGAACAAAAGCCATCAAAATTTTGAGCTTTATTCTGGAAGAAATCGAATGCTTCAATAATCCCGAGGATTTTTTGAGAGATTTGGAAGAGTTTTCGAATTTCCCGAATAATTTGGGATTCATCTCGTCAGCTTCAGATTCAAAAATATCGATGAATTTTTTGAAAAAACCAGAATATTTTAATGATCAAAATGGCGATGAATATTTGCTGAAATCCGAAATGTTTTTGGAAATTTATCGAGATTTTTCGAAAATTCAAGATGACGGAGATGAGATTTTGGAGCATTTTTTGATGTCTTGGGGAAATCGAATTTATCGAAAAATTTGTTGGGGATTTATAAGTCTGGAAGATATGCTGAAATTCCGAGAAAATTGTCAAGAAATATTCAAAAATGAGATGAATTCTGCAAAAAAGCTGAAAATTTCCTTGGAATTCAAGAATCTCGATTTTCTGACAAAATTCTTTGATGAAGAATTCGATTCGGAACTTATTGAGAAGCTCAAAACATCAATGAACAAATATTTCAAATCAAAAACGGTTTCAAAAAATTTGGAATTTTATGAGGAAATTTATCGAAAACATTTGGCTTTTGATAAAATGATGGGGAAAATGAGCGAAATTTTCGAGGAAAATTTGGAAAATCCGAAAGTTTTGAGATGTTTTGAGGATTTTGATGGAAAATTTTTGATGGAATTTGAGGTCGAGAAAATTGTCTTTGGAAAAGGAAAAGAAAATGAGAATGGTATTTGGAAGACTCTGAAATATGAACAATTTTTGAAGATTTTGGAAGAAAATGGGAATAAAAGTGATGATTTTAAGGTGAGAAAGAAATTTTTATTCATCAATGAATTTTCAAGTGAAAAATGTTAGTATTTCTATATTTTTCCAGATAATAACTCAAAAAATCCATCGAAAATCTCGAAAACCAACTCCAATTATTTCACCAACTGGAACAATTTGTAAATTGGCAATCGACGCATTTTTGGATATTTTTGAGAATTTTTCCGAAGTTCAAGAAGGTCTTGAAGAATGGCTGGAAAATCTGAAAATATTTGAATCATCTGAAAATCGATATTTTATTGAGGTTTCGAAAATTGATGAAATTATCGATGAAGGATTTGCCAAATTTTGCATTGATGAGAAAAAATGGAATTTGAAAAATGAAAATAAGAAGTTGTTTAATAAAGATGAAACGATTTATGAGATCAAAAAGCGGATGAAAATTGATGAAAAACATGTGAAATCGAGATTTTTCAAATATTGCAAATTGTATAAAACACCATATTTGACGATCAAAATGATTTATTTGATTTATGAGGATTGTTTGAGACTACAATTTTTGGAGAAAAATGAGAAATTGCGCGAATTTGTATGTGGACAAGAAGCTTGTCCGATGTTTGTTGGATTGAAATGTTGTTGTCAAAATTATGCGGGAACATGGAAGGTGAGTATTTGACAACATCTTTTTTTTGGCTAAATATTCCAGTTTCACAAATCCATCATTTTTGAGTCAAATTCTTATGAAAATCTGATTTTTTTTGGTTGAAATCGAGATATTTGACAATTTTTAGCTTCATGAACCATCAAAAGAAGATGTTGAAATCCTGGACGCTGAAAACGTTGAAGCAAATTATATCAAATATCTGGACACTTTCAAATATTCACTAATCACATCAAAATCAAATCAAAAGTTCTATGAAAATGAAACTTGCTTTCATAAATTGATCGATTCAATTTTGCAAACTTCAAATCCAAAAAATCACGAAATAATTAAAGCGGTTTTCAAAAAAGAACAAAAAGAAGTTTCGAATTTCAAAGTATTTTATTTGAATGAGTTGGAAATGTTGGAATATGTGGAAAGAAATTTGAAAATATTTGAGAATTCCTTTTCTGAAATTGAAAATGAGAAAGAAGAATTGAATCGAAAAATTATTATGAATTGGGAAGAAGCTTGCGATAATTTACGTGGATTTTTTTGTGCGGAAGATTTTGAAAATGTTCAAAAACAATTGAGAAAAGAGCATGGAATTGGGAAAAAACAAGGAATCGATTCGAAAATTATATTCAAAATGATTTGTGAATGTCGAAAATATCGGAATTTTTATCGAAAGTTTGCTGGTTATATGAGAAATGTTGGAGAATATTCCAAGAATTTTTTGGAAACAAAAAAGAGGAGGTGGATTTTGAGAATAATGAGTTCTATTCGAGTTGAGGATAAACAAGAATGGCATGCTTTTATTGATGAAATTATTGATGTTTTGGATGTTTTGATTGATTCAAAGCCAATTGCCCAGAAATTTAGAGGTTTGGATTTTTAAAAGGGAAGATTTTCAGAAAAGAGTTTTAGAAAAATTTTATTTCATTTCTGGATTCTGAGCTAAAAATAAGTTATGATCATTTGAAAGAGCATGTTCTAATTAGCACAATCGAAGGATTTTTCTGGAGTGAAACAGCGTGTAATAAGGCTTGAAAGTCCAGATGTACAGTAATTTCCAGCTGTGAAAATTTGTCAATGACTTTTTTTAAACCAGAAAACAAACTTTGGAATTGAATTTTATCGATTTTTTATCTCAGAATAAAAAAATCTTCATGAAATATTATTTGAATTTTTTAAAACAATAATAATTCCAAAAAAGAACCGAATTATTCAGATTTTCTCACTCAATATGCATACAAAAATTATAACATCGAACTGGATTCATATTTAAACGTATCAACTCTCAAAAAACTTCTAAAAGCTGGAGAAATGTGTGATGCGATAATTTTGTTGCCAGATATTCAATTCACAAAACAAATGATTGAATTACCGCTAAAAATGAGCTATGATTGTATTTCAATATTATCACCAAATCGACAAATCGTTTATCATTCAAATCAGGCACTTTTTTTGATATTTCAAATGTCGGCTTGTGATATTGATTTGAATACAGAAGAAATGGAATGTTGTAAACATGGAAATTGTACAAATCATTGGAAAAATAAAGTGATTGGTGTAATGAAACAAATTGGAGATGGTTATGTTATGAAAGAGGTTGTTGATGAAAAAATGGAGGAATTGGATTTGGATGATGTGACTGTGTTGTCGAGAGGGGTAAGAGAATAAAATCAACGGAAATTTAGAAAAATTAATATATATTTCAGCAAGGAATTCAAACTCCTTTAATTCAAATTCATGGCTCAAAATACAATGATATAATAAGTCGAAATATGTTTTATCGAATGATTGATCGAATGAGTTATTCAACTGATGTTCAAATGAATGTTTTTCTAAAAGCTCTTGGATTCAGAAAACCTGACGAAGTTGAAGTTATTGAAACTTGGCAAGCGAAAATTGTTTTTATGATGTTTTGGATTGATGCATTTTTGAAAAGAGAACCGAAAGTAGGTGAAAATTAAATTAACCATTTTCTTTTTTTTTTCAGCTTAAATTTTGTGTTAAAACTGCTTGGACTGTTTGTTTGCCGAATGCTTTAAAATGTTCAGATGAACTTGAAGAATGGTGGAAAAATCCGAAAATTGGAGATTCCGAAATCATCAATGAGTTTGCTGAAAATCTGAAAATCAATGAAAAATTGAATCCGAAATTCAAAATATGTGATTTGGTTCAACAACATCGATGGGAATCGAGAATTTTTAATAATATTCAAAGAAAATCGGGTGGAAAAAAACAAGGTGGAAAAGAAAAACAATTGAAAATTGCACAAAAATTGCGAGATGATCAGAATGTGAAAATCAAAACGAATGCGGAAGTGTTGGAAATTGTGGCGACGAATTTTGTCGAATATTTTGCGCATATTTCCGATGAAAAGTTTGAGCCGATTTCGAATTTTAAAAAATTGATTGAATTGAAATTGTGTGATATTTTGGATTATCAGGATTCGAAATGTTTAGATAATGTGAGTTTTATTTTGAAAATCCAATCATACTGTTCAACTATTTTTCATCTTCGAGGAAACCCGAAACCGCTTTGATTTTCAGATTTTTTCCAACAAAAAAGAATTTACGTGGCTGGTTAAACGATTAGAAGCTTTTATATTCTTCGAATTTGATGAAAATGGCAATTATATTTATAAACGAAAACCATTTCCAATTCCAAATGCAATAAAAAATAATAACAAAGAGCAATTAGAAATATTGATTGAACAAGTTGGAAATGAAATATATTTGGAAGAGAAAAAAGATCGAATGTTGTTTAAAGAAATGAAAAAGAAGGCGAGAAAACAGGCGGCAAATTTGAAGAAAAATAATCAAGAAAAAGTTGGTAGAAAACCGATGGAAAAGGAAAAGAAAAATGAGCAAATTGTGACGAAATATATAACTGAAACGAAAATTGTGGAATTTTGTGAGAAATGTAATGAAAATTTGGAGGAATTGATGGGAAAAAATAGGAAAATTGAGGATTTGGAAAGAAGAATTGAAGAAATGAAAAAATATTGGGATGAAAGTGAAATGGAAAATATCGTTTTAAAAAGGTAATTTTTAATTGAAGTGATTGAAAACATTAATAAAAGTTTCAGCCAAATTACGGAGAGCAAAACAAGATATCGAAAAGAGATTCAGAATTATAAAATTGAGGTGGCAAATAGGGAAAATCGAATTATTCAATTGCAAGATGAAATGAAACAGTTAGTTTTTTTTTCTGCAAAATTCTGAAAAATCCAAATAATTTCTAGAAATCGCGATGATTTGAGAGTTGAAAGAGAAGAATTGTATGTGGAAGTTGAAAAAAGTTCGAGAAAAGCGAATGAAAATATTCGAAAAATGAAGAATGAATTGGAAAATATGAAATTTATTGATAACAAAAAAACGAAATTGATTGAAGATTTGCAAAAAAGAAAATGATAGTTTGAAAATCGAAATGCAAATTATGAAAGAGAATTTGGAAGAGAAGATTTGAAGTTTATTGTATAAACCATGATTATTTACTTGATTGCATGAATAAAATATTTTTATGGAAAAAATATTCTCTTGAACATAAGTATTCAGAATTCAATTTTATTGTTATTTCAATATCACAACGTTCCGAAACGCAATTGGGTGAGAGGAGAGAGACTCTAGAGAAAACATACGTTTTTAGTGGGCAAACGTGCTCAAATGAGAACAAAAACTCCATTTTTTCGAACATTTTCTGAGAGGTCGTTCAAACGTATCGCCGACATTGATCAAACAAATGGCCAAGCGCTATACACACATGTATTTTTTTTCTTTGTGTTTTTTGAAAAATGAAGCGAGGCGACAAGAGTTCACGCGAATAATCAACAAAACGTGAATTCTTTTATATTTTTCTCTAAATCTCTTCCTCTCACCCTATTGCATTTTATCATTAGCCTAAAATGTTGTGATATGTAAATCCTATTGAAACAAGCGGAAAAATCTGAAAAATTGAAATAAAAAAAATAAATCAATCAATCAAAGGCACACAAAAATTTGAAAATGCGCTTCGAGACCATTTGATAAACATGTGTGTGCCTTCAAACTACGGTGGCGCGAAAATTTTATTTTTCTTTTCGCAACAAAAGTCGCCGAGAAATTTCAGTTGATTCGCAGCTGTTCCGAAGAAAACGATGACAAGGTATGTTTACACATGTTTTCAGCAAGTTTCTAAACTTATCAGCTTCTCTTTTTCAGGGATTTCTCCGAATTTTTGAAGAAATTGAAAGAAGCACCGACAAAATGGACAGTTGCGAAAATAATATGCTGCCTCAGAAGTCGTTATTATGTTAATATTGATCTTAAAAAAGAAACGTTTAATGAATTAACCTTCGAAAAATCAGAAGTTTTTGAAGAAAGAGAGAAAGTTGAACAAGTTGTCAAACATTTTTATAATAAATGCCAACTTCAAATTTATGGACCACTTCACGATGTTATCAACGAAATTCATAAGGTGACACTTTGCCCTGGAGTTCACAAGGATTTAACAATCGAAGAATACTTTGAAACTGAACAACCTAGGATAATTCCAAGTCAAAATAGAGATGACTATTGCTTCAAACATGATATGATTTTTGCGATAAATTCCATAGCTCGACAATCGAAATATACATTTCTTGCTGAAATGTTTTTGAAAAAATGGATTGCATCATCCCTTGGAAAAGGTTTCGATTTATTAAACGAGACATATTCATTTTTGCCGATTTCTGTTATGGAAAAAATGTTCAAAACATTTTACAAACCAATAACTGAATTGCCATTTATTCGACCATTGAAAATCAAGGATTTTGAAAGCTTTCGTGGCTATTTTGAAGCCAATGATTTGAAAGGATTGCGTTTTTTCGACAAAGAATTCATGGAAAAGATTAATTTGATGGATAAGAGCACACCAATTGCTACAAATCAACATGTTTTTATTGCAAGTTATGTGCAAATTCTGACAATTTGTTCGCGATGCAAATTTGTTTTCGATCGAATTTTGAAACCAAAATTGACGTGTGAAATGGTAAGATTTTCGAAACAGATTCAGAAAATTCTTGTTTTTTTTTCAGAAAAACGATTGTCCAGTGATTCGAATTTTTGATATGAGCTCAAAAATGGTAATGTTTGCCTTGGATGTAGATGAAGCTGTTCAAATTGCAATCAAGAAAAATCATCCAGAAATCACGTATCGAACAGGATTATTTCCTTTGGAAGATCATATATCTAGAGCTGAAAATGGTGTGATAAATGGGCTGGACATGGAAAAATTCGGAAAAATTTTGCAAATTTTGAACCTTCGACCAGTTGTTGATATTGATTATGTTTCAATTGTTGCTCAACCTGGTGTTTCAATTATTTCTCCTTATGGAACACTTTGTCAAAATTCGGAAGATTCATTTGAATTTATTATTGGAACATTGGTTTCAATTGTTCAATTTTTTCAAACGATGTATACAGACAAGGTTGATCATGTGGCTGTTTATTTGGAACAATTTGAACCGACTTTTGGCAAAAAAGTTTGTTTGCTTTTTATTTTTCAAATTTTGATATAATTTTTTTTTAGAAATATCCAACATTTGTCGAAACAAAGAAACTCGGTGAAATCGTCCATCGAGTTGTTAATGAATTGAGATTTTGTCTAAGTGAAGAAAGTTTCAATTATTGTGTTCCTTACAAACCATCTTATACATTTCCCGAAGTTGTTGATCATCTTCAACGATTGATTGGTGATTTAGAAGAACGAAAGTTGGTCAAGATATTTGCAAAGATGAAGAAGAATGAAGTTATTGAAATTGAAGGATATTTTAGTATTCGATCGATTCATTTACTCTATCAACATTTTATTAAAATGCGATTGGGATTGGAGAGCGAAATTGTTAGTTTTCAAGAGAGAAACGAGACATTATGAGCACATTTTAAAAATCTTCAAATTTTTAAGAAGCTTCAGCTCAAAATGCATTTATGTCACAAAAATTGAAAATTTCATACGTGGCCGAGAAATTTCGAGAATTCGGCCAAAGCAACAAACTCGCTCTAATGGTGCGAAAATCCCTATCTATTTTAGTTGCTTTGGCCGAATTCCCGACAATTCTTGGCCGCCGAATAGTTCGGCCACATATATATTTTCGGGTCGAATTCAAAAACTCCCTTATTTTCAGGTTACTTCATTTGGTCATAAACAATTGGCTGTTAGAATGGAAGAAGACACTGGTCGACTAGTTTCCAAAGTTTGGAACGATTCTCAAGACGAAGTTTTGAGTCGTCCGGGACCAAGTAATCCAACACCATATCAGTGAGTTTTTTATCTATTTTTTCCAAAATTTAAATAAAACATTTCAGCCAACAATTGGTTGGACAACAAATCCGAATGATATTTGTTGGCAAAATGTTAGGAAGAGAAGTTCATCGTCAATTGAAAAGGTCTGAATTTAAGTGCACAATTGCTAGAAAAAAAAACAATATTTTTCAGACCAAAGATCATTTGCGACCTGAAATTTGAAGAATTGAAAATGCGGCAAAGAAACTTGAACGATCAAAATCGAAAGTTGGTTGTGAAATTGAATATGATGTTGATGAAAATTGGAAGAGGTGAAAATGAGCCAAGCTGTTCTGGAGAACCATCAGAATAATAAATTGCAAAAAATACTGTATTTTTACTTTTATATGTACTTACGCACTAAAATTCCGAAAAATTTCTAACCTATGTATCTTATTTTTGGTTTTGCTTTATTAATTTTGAAATAATATTTTTAGAAAAAAAATTTGTTACGTTTTGAACAACCCGAAAATTATACGTTTCAAAATTTCGATATTTTTTTGTTTATGATAAGGCAAGGTTTAGTGCCAGTCACGAGAGTGCTGATAACAAAAAGTTATAAAAGAAAATGCCAACAAACAAGAAGGTATTAGTTGATAGATAGTGCAATTCGGATTACTGTATCTAAACTACAGTACTTATTTTTAAAATTAATTTTCTATTAAAGCCTATAAAGGAGAAATGCATTGATCCAAAAATTGTAAGTTTAATAAAAAATTTTTTTAGAAATTTATAGAAAACTAAGTATTTTCAGAGTAATTGGAAATTAGGAAGCTCAAATAAAATTATCGCGGTTGGATTACTGTATCTAGACTACAGTACTTTATTCTGAAAATCATTGAAAAATCATTTTAAAAATGGAGAGTAATATCCAATAAAGTTGTAAGTTTTCTCTTAAAATCTTCTTCAAAAAATATTTATTCAATTTTTTCAGGCTAAATTGGAAATGATGAATTTACTAACATAAATATTGAGAGAATCCAAAAAGCTTGAAATTTCTATAAGTTTCTATAATTCTAATTTTCTCTTTAAAAACAAATTGCGTTTTTCAGTCCAAATTTGCAGCGAATACTTATTGATGATGGATTACTGTATCTGAACTACAGTACTTTTTCTACAACAACACTCGGGAAAAGAACCGCAATTGTGGAAAGCATTTGTCTGCGGCGGCACACAAAAATTTTGAATTTGCTTTTGGCGTTTTTTATAGCTTGTCTTGTTTGATTTGACGTTTGTCGAAGTTTTTTTTGAATAAAATTATTTTAGCGCTACGATTTCTCGAGCAATTTTGGAGAGCAAGATCTTCACAAAAAATGGGATTCGGAAAGTTCTATTTTTTGTTTTTATGAATTTTAAAAATAAAATCGTTTAAAAATAAAATCATGAACATTAACTTTTTTTTTGAAAATTATTTGGAATTGTGGAAAATCGTCTGACATGAGCAATGCTGGATGCATCAAAATATCGAATCAAACACTTTATTGTTGAACATTTCTCGTCTGAATAAGTTGCCGAGGAGATATTTTCTGAAAAAAATAGAATTTTGTTGTTAAAATTGAATTTTTCATGGAAAACCTTACCGTATTCTGTAGTTTAGATACAGTGACTTGAATTAGCAGAATTATTGTTGATGGTTGGTAGAACATCCCAATTCAATCTAAAAATTCTAGATTTTCAGATTGAAAAGCTATGACTGAATTAGGACAACTCACTGTTGAACTCTTTGAATGTTATTTTGGCACTTCGATGATTGTTTGCTGTTTTGAAGTCACCGCAATTTGTTACTCGGAAGATTTGATCATTTTTTTAATAGTTGTAAGCTACTAGTACTGTAGTTTAGATACAGTAATGTGTAGATTTTCCTGGAAAAATTTGAAATTTGAACTGGTTTCTTGTAAAATTCTAAAAAACTGAACTCACAATTTTCTCACTTCAAAAATGAGCAGTCGCAGATAATTGTTTGTGATAATTGTTGTAGAACATATTCTTGAGAAATGAGTACTGTAGTTTAGATACAGTAATTGGAAGTTGAACAATTTTGAGAAGATTTACATTTTTCTGAAAAAAAAACTGATTCCAACGTACCCTGACCCAAAAAAACTCACTATATCATGTAGTCACAGTCACAGACAATTCTGGCATGTCTCTTTGTATTTTGAAAATTGAGTAAATAGAGTACTGTAGTTTAGATACAGTAATACATATTTGATAAATATTTAGGTAAATAAATATAAACTTGTGTCCTAAAAACTTCCGTTCCTTCCAAAAATGTGTCAATAAAATAGGGTGATTGGCGCATTTTTTGTGCCTTTCCTTCAAAAACAATGTGTGGACTTGATTGATTTATTGAGGAACAAAACTTTGCGCGGGAAAACTTTGAAGGAAAAGCACCAAAAATGCGCCAATCTCCTTATTTTGTTGACACATTTTAGATAGGAAGGGAAGGTTTTTAGGACACAAGTTTCATTTACCTAAAATATTTTTCGAAGATGGATTACTGTATCTAAAATACAGTACTTTTTTATTAATATTTATTCATAAGAAGTAAAACGGAACACCCATAATGTGGGTTTATTTGTCAAAAATCAATCAATAATTACAACATAATTGGATCTTAAAGCGAAGGCATAATTGTTATTTTCAGTGAGTTTGAAAATTTTTCAAAAAACCCTAACAGACTATTTGTTTTCCAGAAAATCCTGAAATTCTCTCAATATTGCTCGAATTTTGAATACTGTATCTAAACTACAGTACTTTTGACTTTCAAACTTTCAATTTTCTACGAACCTTGTTAAAATTGTTGCCTCTATACTCCACAAGACTCAATGGTCATATAGGTGAGATTTTTTAAATTCCCTGGAAGATTTTTCAGCCAAGTTTTTTTTGTTTCAGAAAAACCTTCAATTCTCTGACAATCAATATTGCTCGAACTTCATTACTGTATATAAATTACAGTACTTTTTTGGCACAAGCATATTTTCAATATTTTTTGAGGAGCTTCGTGTGGGGCGACGATAATAATTTGGTGTTGAAAATCTTAAGTTTTCTAAAGCATTTCATCAATAATTTTCGAAATTTGGACTACTGTATCTAAGCTACAGTACTGAAATGCTGAGAATTGAATAATTGGAAAAATGTGAGCTTGTTTAATTTTCAAAATGATAAGAAATCAAAAATATTTTCACAATAAACTAAACTTTGTGAGTTTTCAGAAAAAAATTGAAAATTTTCAGAATAATTTCTACTCCGATACCAAATCCATAGTTAGAAATTATGACAAAAAATGAGAAAAACGAAAACGTTGCAAACTGAAAAAAATGAGAAAAACGAAAACGTTGCAAACTGAAAAAAATGAGAAAAAACGAAAACGTTGCAGCGCGAAATACGCGCTGTGTGCTTTCGCAAAGAAATTTCTAGGGATTTTTAAAATTTTGGAACCCCCCCCCCCAGATTTTAGAAATGGATATGTTAAAGTACAACATATGGGAACCCTGATAATCTCTCCAATAACGCTTTTCCCTTGGAGAATACTAGTTTTATAAAAAAAATGTGTCAAAAAAGTAGGGTGATTGGCGCATTTTTGTGCTTTTCCTTCAAAAACAATGTGTGGATTTGATTGATTTATGGTAACTCAAAAATGTGCGCGGAAAACTTTGAAGGAAAATCAAATTGCATGTTGAACCAAGTTTTCAACAAAATTTCATTAGAATTTATTAATAAGTAACATTTACAAAGTGTTTTCAAAAATAACAATAAAACAATCTAGACAGATGGCTTGGCGTTTTTAATTTCAAGACTCTTCAAAACTTTTGTAATCGATTCAACTTCTTCTTCATTTTCAGCTTCATATCTCATTTCTTCGAGTCTCTCACAAAACGCTTCGAAATTTTCCTTCGAGAATAATCCTTTTTTATCATTCCAAGTATTCAATAATTTCTTATCGGAAAGAATCAAATCATTATATTTTTCATCTCGTTTTGATGGAATCACTTTTCTCTTAACCAAACATTCATTTTCGCTTGTCCATGCAAAATCGAGAAATTCCGTATATTTCAAGCAAATTTCAACATATTTCCTTTTATCTTCAACTTTCTGAAAAAATACTTTTTTGTTTTTGTTGGATTATTCAAAAACCTACATAAACACAACGAATTGGTCCACGATTCGAAATATTTGCATTGATTCTTTCATTCAACGCTTTGAATGTCATTTTGAAATGAAGTGGGATTGTTGGAAGAATTTTCCTGAAAATTTTCAGCATGAACTTCAACTTTTCATTCTTCACTTTAATGGAGTGATTCAATTCCTTTTTTTAACGATTAATTGACAGAAAATCCGAGTCATTTTTGTGCGATTTTTCACGTTTTTGTCGATTAATTCCATCTTTTTTTGCAATTAATTGCATTCAAAAATGAGGAATTTCAATACGAAATAGATTTTATTTGACCTTTTTTTTCGAAACGTGTTCTAAATTCACTGCTTATTTTTTGAATTCATTTCGAAATGAAAGAAAATTGAGAGAAGACAATTTTTTGTTGATAATTCCAACTCATATAGGTCACGTTTCAAAATATAGGTCAAATAAATTCTATTTTTATGCAATTAATCGCATTTTTTGCCAAGAAATGAAAGCGAGGAATTGACAAAAACGTGAAATTAATCGCCCTAAAAGACTCGAATTTTTTGTCAATTAATTGACAAATTCACGTCGATTAATTCGACTGAATCACCCCATAAAGATGATTTTCGCACTGATTGTGAGCATGGAGTATGAACTGCCAACGCCATTTTTAAAATCTTGTATTTTTTTTAGTATTTTTCACATTCTCTCAATTTCACAACTTCCTGTAGTCCTCCAGCCTCACGAACCAATGGGGCATGCATTTGTGTGTCGCCGTGTTTGCACACAACTGCGAGCTACAGTAGTCTGCCACACAAATTTTTCGAGAATTCGAAAAAAACTGTTTACAACAGAGCGCACATGATTGCGTGGCCGAACTTTTCGATAAACCGCTTGTTTAAATTTTCTAGGCCAGAATCACAAAATGCTCAGTGCGAAAGTCATCTTCAACACTGTATTTTTTGCAATTCGAGGGAGACGCAGACTTTAACGTGTGCAGACAAATCTCTCGCCGAAAAAGGGGGAGAAATAGTGTGTGGCAGACACACTGCGTGTCGAGACCAGCGAGTGTCTGCGTCTCCTCGAGATTGCATTTTTCTATTAGGAAAAAACACAGTGTCAAATTCTAGACTTCAAAAACAAAAAAACTTACATGAATTCCTCTTCTTTCATTTTTTTCAAATCTTCTTCTCCAATTTCAACTATTTTCGTGTTCACTTCTGGTAAAGTAGTCGAAAAACTAAAACTCAAAAAATACCCTTGACTCGCACAAAATTTGTCAACTTTCTTATTGCATGCAATCATATAATTGAAAATAATTATTCGATGTGATAATAAAATATCAGATGGCCATAGAGTGGCAGCAAGAGCAGATCTTTCATTCATGAAATTATATCTGAATTGGAGAGAAAGCTCTTCGTAATCTGTTGACAATTTGCAAAGTTCCTTGATAGCTTTGAATTTTTGGCAATCTCTGAATGGGGCCCCTGAATGGGGCCAGTTTCTGAAAAAATGGGGCCACCTGAATGGGGCCACTTGTGTGGCAAATTCCCTCAATGGGGCCAGCAAGAAAAAAGTAAGAATTTCTCCCTTTTTCCTGAATGGGGCCACCTAAAAAGATGAAACACATAATTTCTGCATAATTCCTCAATGGGGCCATGTATTTTTTGTGCATTTCCTGAATGGGGCCCGTCTTTTCATTTTTATACATCTTGTGACGTCATAGTGATCGTGAATTGAAATTTCATGAAAGTTATCAAATTTTTTAATAGCGTATGTGAGTTATAACTTATTCATATGCCGAGTACCACGTATGCAAATGTTGGGTTCTGAAGGCATGAAGCCTCTCTTACATAAAAATTCCCAAGTTTCAATAATTTTTGAAACAGTAAAATTAAATGAAATATTTCTTTTTGGAATTCAAGTCTTGCTTTTTTCAAACACTCGAAAACTATCAAAAATCACAGAGAAAATTCAGAATTTTCACAAATTGGAGAAAAAATATCAAATGTTTTTTCTCAAATTTTCGGGTCACGAAATTTTCGGGTTACTACGCATTAAACAATTCGAAAATATTCACAGAAGCATTTTTTGAAAATTGAACCAAAATCTGGAAGTAGTTCGTTAGATAATTCTCACAAAAATTCTATATAAAATTTGAAAACTATTGAAAAACATGTCATATAAGTTTTCACACCTTGGTATTTTGGCACCTTGCCCATAAACAAGACACGGACATCGCGCAAAAAAGGTGTGTTTTTTGGGGACCCCGATGAGTTTTTTGGGAAGTTATCCAAAAACTTGTTGTCAACTAGCTAAGAATACGATAATAACCAAAACTTAATGAAATGAAAAACTTATTTTAGAAGAAAACATCAATTTAATTGAAGAAAATAATTGGGAAAATGTAAAGTTTACCCGGAAAAATTATTCGAAATATTCGAGGAAAATTTAAATATTTTCATCATCAGAGCCTGAAAATTTGAGAAAAAGTTACATTCGAAATGTTTTCAATGCTGACAAGAATAAAAACCACATCATAATAACGTTATTAAAAATTTGAAAACTTTCATGAAATTTCAATTCACGATCACTATGACGTCACAAGATGTATAAAAATGAAAAGATGGGCCCCATTCAGGAAATGCACAAAAAATACATGGCCCCATTGAGGAATTATACAGAAATTATGTGTTTCATCTTTTTAGGTGGCCCCATTCAGGAAAAAGGGAGAAATTCTTACTTTTTTCTTGCTGGCCCCATTGAGGGAATTTGCCACACAAGTGGCCCCATTCAGGTGGCCCCATTTTTTCAGAAACTGGCCCCATTCAGGGGCCCCATTCAGAGATTACCGAATTTTTTCATAGGAAAATTTGGAAGTTTTCGAATTGACTGAAAAAATGATTTTTTTTTGAAAAATAATCAACATTTTATAAACATACCTTGGTCATAAATTGTTCTAATTCAATATAAGCTCGATCAATAATTTCTTCCAATTTCCAAGTTTCGATCAAAAATCGTTTATTCCAATAAGCACTAAATACTTGATCATTTTCAGTCAATTTCGCAAACCATTCGATGATTTTTGGAAAATTGTCCTTTTTCAGACCTCCTCTTCGGAATAGATTCATTCCATTTGCAACTTCATCGAATAACGCAATAAATGAATTCAAAGCCAATTTACAATAAGTTCCATAAGGAGTTGAGATTGGAGATGTGTGACCAAAATGTACTTCTCGAATTGGCACATCAAGAATATAAATATCAGTCATCGATAATTTGAGAATTTTTATGATTTTTCCAAAAGTCTCCCAATCCACAATCTTCAATATTCCCAGTTTACGTTCTTCTTCGGTTTCAATTGAAATTAGACCTGAAATTCAATAGAATAAATGTATTTATTATAATTTATTTGAATACCTTTAGGAAATGGTTTCGAATATCGTTTTTTCAATGCTATTTCCAGCGCATTTTCCAATTCTTTTGCCATGAAAAACTTTGATTTATCACTATTCTCATTAGTTTCGTAAAATCCTTGAACAACTGGATATTTATCATGAAACCAATGATTGTCCTCAAAAAACTTTCGAATATTTTTCTTCCAGCATGATAAATATCTATGAATGAGAGAATATTGTAACTGTTTGTCCGAATATGATAAACCCAATGTTACTTGATGGATTCCCGCAACCATTTGCAACATCAAATCAATATCATGTTTCGAATCAAAAAGTCGTGTGATTTGATGTATTTCGACAGCTTCGATATAAGGCGAGAATCGAGGAAAATAGGTGTTTCTAAAGTGAAGGACATTTTCATGCAATAATTTGAAAGGAATCATTTCATGGCTCTTGTTGTTATCTTCCAAATTTCTTGAGATTTCTCGAAGAATCGATATCTTCATTAATTCGCTGAGTGTAGGATATTGAACTAAATGCACTTCTTGATGAAAAACTGCCAGTGCATCATGTTTGGTAATAAATTTAACCTCATTTATATCAATGGAACAATAGAGTTGGGTGTTGAAGTTCAATCGACAACCAAAATATAGCATCTGGTTTGAGAACATTTGAATTGCAATTATGTTTTTCAACAAATCATCTTTGCTCTTATAACATTCATGAATATCATTCGATTCATCCTCAAATAATATCTCCAGCAACTTGTGAACATCTTCAATTTTTGAGTTTTTGAATTTTTCTGTGATTTTCTGTAATTTTTTCATTGAAATCTGAATAAAATCAAGAAAAACTCACATTTCTATGAACAGTTTTTGTCACAAGAGCTTTCACATATTCATTACTCCAATTCTTGGTATATTCATTGATTAGATCAATTTCGGTTCCATTCATCTTTCAAATTTTGGGTTCTGCTGTTTGTGTGGAACTCCGGAAAAAAAAGAAAAAAACAATGTGCAAATGTTCGTGGCGGTGTTTGCACACACCGTAATGCGTGATATTTTTCGAAAATTTTTCAAAGAAAGAAAAAGTTAAACTAAAAATGGAGAAGATGTGAAATAGAATTCAACACGTTTGAAATTAGGAATATCTAAATTTTTCCATACTTATCTTTAACTTGTTCGAGCGAAATCTGCAGTGAACTCTCTCGAATATTCCTCCTTTGAGTTTAGTTAGACAGTTGAACAACTTCGAGAAGATTTACATTTTTCTGAAAAAAAAAGAAATTTTATTGACTTAATTTGGAAAAGTACAGTAAAAACTCACATTTTTTCGAATCTGAATTTGATTTTTAGTAATTGCACACACTATAATCATGGTACCTCCGCTTTAATTTGATATGTGTCAATAAGAGTACTGTAATTTAGATACAGTAACTTGAATTCGGAAAACTATTGATGGTAGGTGGAAGATGATCTCAATTAAATCTGAAAAAGTTGTTTGATCCAGGCAAAAAAAACGTACTGAGTTAGGATAACTCACTGCGAAATTTCTCAAGTGTTATTGTGGAATATTTGTTGTTCTGCATTCGCTTGAATTGGTCATTTGGAAGTTTTGATAAGTTGTTTCGAAGCAACATAGTACTGTAGTTTAGGTACAGTAACTTTCTCATTCAAAAATGAGCAATCTCTGGTAGTTGTTATCGTCGATTTTCGGAACACATATTCTGAACTTAAAGACACATAAGCCACTGGAAAAAACAGATTTCCCGCATTTATTTTCAAATGACAAAAACAGCATGTGCGCTCTATTGCTTCGTTGTGTGCAAACTCTTTCGAAAATCCCGTCGGCTGAGCGATTTCAAAAACAATTATTTTGTTTTTTTTCACTTTTGCCAGACTCAAAATTTTTTCTTGATTTTTATGAATTCCGATTACTTGAAAGGTGTTATGAAAGAATAACAAACTCATTTTCTGTTCATTTCTAGTGGGTTGTGTGTCTTTAAAACATTTTTCAATGTTCAATATTTGAAAACTGAACGACTAACCTGAAACATAAATATATTGCATTACGATCGCGCCCAAATATATGAAAATGAAATAGTTCAGGTTTCGAAAATGAAATAATTATTGATAAGATTACTGTAGTTTAAATACAGTAGTTTGTATTCGCAAAACTTTTGAGAAGATTCAGATTTTCTGGAATGGTTTTATTATTGATTTTTAAAAATGAATTTGAAAAAAATGAATCTTACTTTTTTCTCAATTTTTGGCATTATCGTTTACGAGCTTTTCGAAATTCTTTCATGGAAAATATTGTATTGTGAAGAGTACTGTAGTGTAGATACAGTAATTAAAAGTTGAACAATTTTTTGAGAAGATTTACATTCTCCTAAAAAAAACAATTTCCAAAGCCCCCTGACCCAAAAAACTCACTATATCATGTAGGTACAGTTGCAGACAATTCGGGCATGTTTCTTTGTATTTTGAAAATTAAGTAAATAAAATGTACTGTAGTTTAGATACAGTAATCCATCTTCGATAAATATTTAGGTAAATAAATATAAACTTGTGTCCTAAAAACTTCCGTTTCTTCCAAAAATGTGTCAATAAAATAGGTTGATTGGCGCATTTTCAGTGCTTTTCCTTCAAAAACAATGTGTGGACTTGATTGATTTATTGAGGACAAAACATTTGCGCGGGAAAACTTTGAAGGAAAAGCACCAAAAATGCGCCAATCTCCTTATTTTGTTGACACATTTTAGATAGGAAGGGAAGGTTTTTAGGACACAAGTTTCATTTACCTAAAATATTTTTCGAAGATGGATTACTGTATCTAAAATACAGTACTTTTTTATTAATATTTATTCATAAGAAGTAAAACGGAACACCCATAATGTGGGTTTATTTGTCAAAAATCAATCAATAATTACAACATAATTGGATCTTAAAGCGAAGGCATAATTGTTATTTTCAGTGAGTTTGAAAATTTTTCAAAAACCCTAACAGACTATTTGTTTTCCAGAAAATCCTGAAATTCTCTCAATATTGCTCGAATTTTGAATACTGTATCTAAACTACAGTACTTTTGACTTTCAAACTTTCAATTTTCTACGAACCTTGTTAAAATTGTTGCCTCTATACTCCACAAGACTCAATGGTCATATAGGTGAGATTTTTTAAATTCCCTGGAAGATTTTTCAGCCAAGTTTTTTTTGTTTCAGAAAAACCTTCAATTCTCTGACAATCAATATTGCTCGAACTTCATTACTGTATATAAATTACAGTACTTTTTTGGCACAAGCATATTTTCAATATTTTTTGAGGAGCTTCGTGTGGGGCGACGATAATAATTTGGTGTTGAAAATCTTAAGTTTTCTAAAGCATTTCATCAATAATTTTCGAAATTTGGACTACTGTATCTAAGCTACAGTACTGAAATGCTGAGAATTGAATAATTGGAAAAATGTGAGCTTGTTTAATTTTCAAAATGATAAGAAATCAAAAATATTTTCACAATAAACTAAACTTTGTGAGTTTTCAGAAAAAAATTGAAAATTTTCAGAATAATTTCTACTCCGATACCAAATCCATAGTTAGAAATTATGACAAAAAATGAGAAAAACGAAAACGTTGCAAACTGAAAAAAATGAGAAAAACGAAAACGTTGCAAACTGAAAAAAATGAGAAAAACGAAAACGTTGCAGCGCGAAATACGCGCTGTGTGCTTTCGCAAAGAAATTTCTAGGGATTTTTAAAATTTTGGAACCCCCCCCCCCCCCAGATTTTAGAAATGGATATGTTAAAGTACAACATATGGGAACCCTGATAATCTCTCCAATAACGCTTTTCCCTTGGAGAATACTAGTTTTATAAAAAAAATGTGTCAAAAAAGTAGGGTGATTGGCGCATTTTTGTGCTTTTCCTTCAAAAACAATGTGTGGATTTGATTGATTTATGGTAACTCAAAAATGTGCGCGGAAAACTTTGAAGGAAAATCAAATTGCATGTTGAACCAAGTTTTCAACAAAATTTCATTAGAATTTATTAATAAGTAACATTTACAAAGTGTTTTCAAAAATAACAATAAAACAATCTAGACAGATGGCTTGGCGTTTTTAATTTCAAGACTCTTCAAAACTTTTGTAATCGATTCAACTTCTTCTTCATTTTCAGCTTCATATCTCATTTCTTCGAGTCTCTCACAAAACGCTTCGAAATTTTCCTTCGAGAATAATCCTTTTTTATCATTCCAAGTATTCAATAATTTCTTATCGGAAAGAATCAAATCATTATATTTTTCATCTCGTTTTGATGGAATCACTTTTCTCTTAACCAAACATTCATTTTCGCTTGTCCATGCAAAATCGAGAAATTCCGTATATTTCAAGCAAATTTCAACATATTTCCTTTTATCTTCAACTTTCTGAAAAAATACTTTTTTGTTTTTGTTGGATTATTCAAAAACCTACATAAACACAACGAATTGGTCCACGATTCGAAATATTTGCATTGATTCTTTCATTCAACGCTTTGAATGTCATTTTGAAATGAAGTGGGATTGTTGGAAGAATTTTCCTGAAAATTTTCAGCATGAACTTCAACTTTTCATTCTTCACTTTAATGGAGTGATTCAATTCCTTTTTTTAACGATTAATTGACAGAAAATCCGAGTCATTTTTGTGCGATTTTTCACGTTTTTGTCGATTAATTCCATCTTTTTTTGCAATTAATTGCATTCAAAAATGAGGAATTTCAATACGAAATAGATTTTATTTGACCTTTTTTTCGAAACGTGTTCTAAATTCACTGCTTATTTTTTGAATTCATTTCGAAATGAAAGAAAATTGAGAGAAGACAATTTTTTGTTGATAATTCCAACTCATATAGGTCACGTTTCAAAATATAGGTCAAATAAATTCTATTTTTATGCAATTAATCGCATTTTTTGCCAAGAAATGAAAGCGAGGAATTGACAAAAACGTGAAATTAATCGCCCTAAAAGACTCGAATTTTTTGTCAATTAATTGACAAATTCACGTCGATTAATTCGACTGAATCACCCCATAAAGATGATTTTCGCACTGATTGTGAGCATGGAGTATGAACTGCCAACGCCATTTTTAAAATCTTGTATTTTTTTTTAGTATTTTTCACATTCTCTCAATTTCACAACTTCCTGTAGTCCTCCAGCCTCACGAACCAATGGGGCATGCATTTGTGTGTCGCCGTGTTTGCACACAACTGCGAGCTACAGTAGTCTGCCACACAAATTTTTCGAGAATTCGAAAAAAACTGTTTACAACAGAGCGCACATGATTGCGTGGCCGAACTTTTCGATAAACCGCTTGTTTAAATTTTCTAGGCCAGAATCACAAAATGCTCAGTGCGAAAGTCATCTTCAACACTGTATTTTTTTTTGCAATTCGAGGGAGACGCAGACTTTAACGTGTGCAGACAAATCTCTCGCCGAAAAAGGGGGAGAAATAGTGTGTGGCAGACACACTGCGTGTCGAGACCAGCGAGTGTCTGCGTCTCCTCGAGATTGCATTTTTCTATTAGGAAAAAACACAGTGTCAAATTCTAGACTTCAAAAACAAAAAAACTTACATGAATTCCTCTTCTTTCATTTTTTTCAAATCTTCTTCTCCAATTTCAACTATTTTCGTGTTCACTTCTGGTAAAGTAGTCGAAAAACTAAAACTCAAAAAATACCCTTGACTCGCACAAAATTTGTCAACTTTCTTATTGCATGCAATCATATAATTGAAAATAATTATTCGATGTGATAATAAAATATCAGATGGCCATAGAGTGGCAGCAAGAGCAGATCTTTCATTCATGAAATTATATCTGAATTGGAGAGAAAGCTCTTCGTAATCTGTTGACAATTTGCAAAGTTCCTTGATAGCTTTGAATTTTTTCATAGGAAAATTTGGAAGTTTTCGAATTGACTGAAAAAATGATTTTTTTTTGAAAAATAATCAACATTTTATAAACATACCTTGGTCATAAATTGTTCTAATTCAATATAAGCTCGATCAATAATTTCTTCCAATTTCCAAGTTTCGATCAAAAATCGTTTATTCCAATAAGCACTAAATACTTGATCATTTTCAGTCAATTTCGCAAACCATTCGATGATTTTTGGAAAATTGTCCTTTTTCAGACCTCCTCTTCGGAATAGATTCATTCCATTTGCAACTTCATCGAATAACGCAATAAATGAATTCAAAGCCAATTTACAATAAGTTCCATAAGGAGTTGAGATTGGAGATGTGTGACCAAAATGTACTTCTCGAATTGGCACATCAAGAATATAAATATCAGTCATCGATAATTTGAGAATTTTTATGATTTTTCCAAAAGTCTCCCAATCCACAATCTTCAATATTCCCAGTTTACGTTCTTCTTCGGTTTCAATTGAAATTAGACCTGAAATTCAATAGAATAAATGTATTTATTATAATTTATTTGAATACCTTTAGGAAATGGTTTCGAATATCGTTTTTTCAATGCTATTTCCAGCGCATTTTCCAATTCTTTTGCCATGAAAAACTTTGATTTATCACTATTCTCATTAGTTTCGTAAAATCCTTGAACAACTGGATATTTATCATGAAACCAATGATTGTCCTCAAAAAACTTTCGAATATTTTTCTTCCAGCATGATAAATATCTATGAATGAGAGAATATTGTAACTGTTTGTCCGAATATGATAAACCCAATGTTACTTGATGGATTCCCGCAACCATTTGCAACATCAAATCAATATCATGTTTCGAATCAAAAAGTCGTGTGATTTGATGTATTTCGACAGCTTCGATATAAGGCGAGAATCGAGGAAAATAGGTGTTTCTAAAGTGAAGGACATTTTCATGCAATAATTTGAAAGGAATCATTTCATGGCTCTTGTTGTTATCTTCCAAATTTCTTGAGATTTCTCGAAGAATCGATATCTTCATTAATTCGCTGAGTGTAGGATATTGAACTAAATGCACTTCTTGATGAAAAACTGCCAGTGCATCATGTTTGGTAATAAATTTAACCTCATTTATATCAATGGAACAATAGAGTTGGGTGTTGAAGTTCAATCGACAACCAAAATATAGCATCTGGTTTGAGAACATTTGAATTGCAATTATGTTTTTCAACAAATCATCTTTGCTCTTATAACATTCATGAATATCATTCGATTCATCCTCAAATAATATCTCCAGCAACTTGTGAACATCTTCAATTTTTGAGTTTTTGAATTTTTCTGTGATTTTCTGTAATTTTTTCATTGAAATCTGAATAAAATCAAGAAAAACTCACATTTCTATGAACAGTTTTTGTCACAAGAGCTTTCACATATTCATTACTCCAATTCTTGGTATATTCATTGATTAGATCAATTTCGGTTCCATTCATCTTTCAAATTTTGGGTTCTGCTGTTTGTGTGGAACTCCGGAAAAAAAAGAAAAAAACAATGTGCAAATGTTCGTGGCGGTGTTTGCACACACCGTAATGCGTGATATTTTTCGAAAATTTTTCAAAGAAAGAAAAAGTTAAACTAAAAATGGAGAAGATGTGAAATAGAATTCAACACGTTTGAAATTAGGAATATCTAAATTTTTCCATACTTATCTTTAACTTGTTCGAGCGAAATCTGCAGTGAACTCTCTCGAATATTCCTCCTTTGAGTTTAGTTAGACAGTTGAACAACTTCGAGAAGATTTACATTTTTCTGAAAAAAAGAAATTTTATTGACTTAATTTGGAAAAGTACAGTAAAAACTCACATTTTTTCGAATCTGAATTTGATTTTTAGTAATTGCACACACTATAATCATGGTACCTCCGCTTTAATTTGATATGTGTCAATAAGAGTACTGTAATTTAGATACAGTAACTTGAATTCGGAAAACTATTGATGGTAGGTGGAAGATGATCTCAATTAAATCTGAAAAAGTTGTTTGATCCAGGCAAAAAAAACGTACTGAGTTAGGATAACTCACTGCGAAATTTCTCAAGTGTTATTGTGGAATATTTGTTGTTCTGCATTCGCTTGAATTGGTCATTTGGAAGTTTTGATAAGTTGTTTCGAAGCAACATAGTACTGTAGTTTAGGTACAGTAACTTTCTCATTCAAAAATGAGCAATCTCTGGTAGTTGTTATCGTCGATTTTCGGAACACATATTCTGAACTTAAAGACACATAAGCCACTGGAAAAAACAGATTTCCCGCATTTATTTTCAAATGACAAAAACAGCATGTGCGCTCTATTGCTTCGTTGTGTGCAAACTCTTTCGAAAATCCCGTCGGCTGAGCGATTTCAAAAACAATTATTTTGTTTTTTTTCACTTTTGCCAGACTCAAAATTTTTTCTTGATTTTTATGAATTCCGATTACTTGAAAGGTGTTATGAAAGAATAACAAACTCATTTTCTGTTCATTTCTAGTGGGTTGTGTGTCTTTAAAACATTTTTCAATGTTCAATATTTGAAAACTGAACGACTAACCTGAAACATAAATATATTGCATTACGATCGCGCCCAAATATATGAAAATGAAATAGTTCAGGTTTCGAAAATGAAATAATTATTGATAAGATTACTGTAGTTTAAATACAGTAGTTTGTATTCGCAAAACTTTTGAGAAGATTCAGATTTTCTGGAATGGTTTTATTATTGATTTTTAAAAATGAATTTGAAAAAAATGAATCTTACTTTTTTTCTCAATTTTTGGCATTATCGTTTACGAGCTTTTCGAAATTCTTTCATGGAAAATATTGTATTGTGAAGAGTACTGTAGTGTAGATACAGTAATTAAAAGTTGAACAATTTTTTGAGAAGATTTACATTCTCCTAAAAAAAACAATTTCCAAAGCCCCCCTGACCCAAAAAAAACTCACTATATCATGTAGGTACAGTTGCAGACAATTCGGGCATGTTTCTTTGTATTTTGAAAATTAAGTAAATAAAATGTACTGTAGTTTAGATACAGTAATCCATCTTCGATAAATATTTAGGTAAATAAATATAAACTTGTGTCCTAAAAACTTCCGTTTCTTCCAAAAATGTGTCAATAAAATAGGTTGATTGGCGCATTTTCAGTGCTTTTCCTTCAAAAACAATGTGTGGACTTGATTGATTTATTGAGGACAAAACATTTGCGCGGGAAAACTTTGAAGGAAAAGCACCAAAAATGCGCCAATCACCTTATTTTGTTGACACATTTTTGATAGGAATTGGAGATGAATTACTGTATCTAAACTACAGTACTTTCAAGATCAATGCGAAGAACTGTCGCACTAAAACCAATCAGAAATATTATATCCAAAAGTTAGAAAGCAGTTGTGCAACCAGAAAAATAAGGTAATTAAATTATTTTAATATAAGTATACTTCGAACACCAGATGCCCATTTTCTTATTCCTAACTATCATCTCAAGAATGTGTCATTCATTTTTGTCAACTTTTCATTGCAGATCTTTGGGATTACTGTACCTAAACTATAGTACTTCTCAGCATTTGCGGGCGTAGCTTAAACGTAGACAGAGGGTGCATTTAGCTAATTCGTAGCTACGGTTTAGCTACGCATTTTTACAAGCTGACCGCGTTGCAAGGCGAGTACTTTCGAGTGCGCTGCGGTTGCTCATTTTGTTTTTCATTTTTGTTTTTCGCGGCCTAAAATTGCTACAAAATCACAGTTTCGTCTACTTCAACCGGTTTTGAGAAGGTAAGTTACATTAAAATATTAATTTTACCATATGTAATGTATAAACTTGCAGAGAAACCGTTTGATTCGCCCAAAAAATTGATTTTTGGACGAAAAGAAGATTTCAATAGGAAAAATGTGAAAATCTCGTCAAGAAGTGAATTTTGGAAACAAAAAGTGAGTTTTTGTTTGATTATTATGATCGGTAGAGTCTAGAAACGGAGGACTTTTGGAATTTTCGTCCAATCTTTTGTAATAACGTCACTTCTCTTGAATCTCTAGTTCTTGATAAATATTTTCACTTCGCAGTCTATTTTCAGTTCAATAATTCAGTTTTTCAGCTTGGATTCCACCACCGATCAATCAAAACAGAAGTAGCCACCTTGCCAGCCAGAAAACAATTCCCACCACCACCGAAAATTCAAATAAATTTTTCTATGTACTCAAAATTCAATTTTTATTTGTTGAAATTATATTTTTATCATTTTTACATATAAATTGTATAATAAATACATCACAAGTTCCATTCTATGTGTTAAAAATAGAAAAATTCCTAGGGCGACTGAAAAATGAAAACAAAACCCATTTCCGGCACACAAACACAACTTGCGTAGCTAAACCGTACCTATTTGTGTAGCTAAACCGATGTCAGCGGCTGACATCGGTTCGTCTACGCTTAAGCTACGTACGCAAACGCTGAGTTATATGTCAAAAATAAATCAATAATTACAGCATGATTGGCTGAAGAATCGAATCCATAATTGTTATTTTCAGTGAGTTTTTAATTTTTTTTTCAAAAAAAACTTCACCAGCCTATTTGTTTTCCAGAAAATCCTGAAATCCTCTCATAATTGCTCGAATTTTGATTACTGTAAATAAACTACAGTACTTTCAACAATCAATTTTACCACAACATTTGAAAAACATCCTAACGATGGAAAATAAGAAGTCATCTCGAGCTCCAATAAATTGCCCAGATTGCTCATTCCAACAAGCATGTCGCAAAAGCGAAGTCTCACATCAATGGCAAATCTGTGTTTCTACATATTTTTTTCTAGTTTATAGTGAGTTTCTAGTTTTTCCAAGTTTCTAACAAAATCTAACTCATTTTCAGAAATCTTCTCAATATTTGCAACATTTGGATTACTGTATCTAAACTACAGTCCTTTCAACAATCACATTTTCAATTTCATATTTTTAAAATGTCGTTAGCAAACAATCAGACGCAAGGCAAAATATTTTTGAGTTGAGATGCAATAAATGTTTTATCAAGATTTGATGTTATTCACAATTAGTGATGGAAAGCCAGACACAGGCATAAAACAAATCAGATATAATTTAAAAAACACGTGCCGCTTCCCGATTCACGTGAGAATTTGTTTTTTCTGCGATAGGCATTTCTGAATTTAAAAAGTCAAGAATTTATGCCTGTGCCAGAGCCTAGCCACCTTGCCAGCGAAAAATAACCGGTCGATATAATTTCCATGCGGTTTCCAGGTCAGCCAACCTCCCCACCTGGTGACGAGCTGGCCAGTGAGTTCGTTCGGGTATATAAATATTCAAAAACATCGCGCATTACGGTGTGTGCAAACACCGTCACGAACATTTGCAGACTGTTTTTTTCTTTTCTTTTTTTCGCGAAAATTCTCAAACCAAAAACCTGGAAATGGATGTTCTTAAAAATGCGTATGAAATAACCAAGAATTGGAGTAATGAATATGTGAAAGCTCTTGTCACGAAACTTGTTCATAGAAATGTGAGTTTTCATTGATTTTATTTTGATTTCAATGAACAAATTACAGAAAATTACGGAAAAATTCAAAAACTCGAAAATCGAAGATGTTCAAAAGTTATTGAAGATTTTATTTGAAGACGAATCAAACGAAATGCTCGGATATTACAACAGCGAAGATAATTTTTTGATGAATCTTTGGGCACTTCAAATGTTCTCAAACTCGATGTTGTATTTTGACTGTCGATTGAATTTCGAAAAAAAATCGTTCAATGTGATGGACATGAAAAATGTTCCATTTCTCACAAAACATGAAATGATCGTGATGTTTTTTGGACGTTTGAAAAGAGAAAACCTTCCTTCGCATCGTTTGAGCGATTTAATGGGGAAATCGACTCTTCGAAAAATCGCAAGAAGTTTAAAAGAAAGTAATGAGAGTCACGAAATGATCCCTGGCATGTTATTCGACGCGAATATCAACCAATTCGTTGAATATTATATATCTGGATATCCGAAAAATCTCGAGTTTGTCGAAATCCATCAAATCACACGACTTTTTGATTCAAATTGTGATAGTGATTTAATGTTGGAAGCTGTTTTGGTGATTCATCAAGAAACATTGAGTTGTTCAATTTCGGAAAAACAAGATTATTATTCAAAAGTTTATAGAGATTTATCATATTGGAAGGAAGTTATTCCAAAGTTTTTTGAGGAGAATAATTGGTTTCATGAGAAATATCCAGTTGTTCAAGGATTGTATGAAACTCACAAGGAAGGGGATGAATCAAAGTTTCTCATCGCAAAAGAACTGGAAAATGCGCTGGAAATTGCAATGAGAAAACGATATTCGAAACCGTTTCCTAAAGGTATTCAAACAAGTTATATATATTCAATCATTTTTCTTTAAGGTCTAATTTCAATTGAAACCGAAGAAGAACGTAAACTAGGAATCCTTCTCAGCACTTGCAGATGTAGCTAATTCATAGCTCAACCGATCGCAGCCCTTGACACTTGCGTTTTATTTACGAACAGTGTGCGGTTTAGCTACAAACACACACCGAAGTCTGTTTTAGCTACGAAACACACACGCATGTTTTAGCTACGAAAACTGTTTTCCTGTTTATTGCGAAATACTGCTCATGCGGGTTTCTTTCTGTATTTGGCGTAGTTAGAAAACTTGCAAATATAAAACATTTATTCGTATTGAAACATACAATAACATAAGAAAATGAAATTATAGTCAGTTATTCACCAGAAACACTTATTTTTCTCGCAGTTGTTTGATAGCTTCTGGATCCTGGACCGGCCGAATATGGGATAGAAAAGCAGCATTTACAATTTCCCAATAGAGCGGTAGGCTTGCAAAACATGACGATGTGGTGTTTGTGCATATTTAGGAGCCAAATTGGTCGAAATCCATGACATCCGGCTTTTTTCTTGTTATTGACATCTGTAAATTGAGAAACATTGTGGAATATTGAAAATTTTGTTGGAATTACCTCATTTATTGAAGATTTCACCATCACTTTCCACTTTTTCGAGAAACGCAACAAACTGACTGTTTTTCTGCAAAAATTCAACGTAAAACGTAACTATTAGATGAACTTACTCGTTCCCCATCGATAAAACACTGACGCGTAGACGATATATTATGTAATCAGCACTTTTCTAGGCTTTAAGTCACGAAAATCGCGTCGAAAAACAAAACAAAACGAAGAAAACATGTTTGCGCGCCAAAAAACCGTAGCTAAAACGTATGTGTGTTTTAGCTGAGAAATCGGTCAGAAACACTGAGCTAAATTTTTGCTTCGATTTAGCTGGAGATTCAAGTTCTTTCTACGATTCAGCTACGAAAACCCTCAAAATATGATTTAGCTACATCTGCAAATGCTGAGTTAGAATTGTGGATTGGGAAACTTTCGAAAAAATTATGAAAATTCTCAAATTATCGATTGATGATATCTATATTATTGATATGCCAATTCTAGAAGCATTATTTGGTCACACATCTCCAATCTCAACTCCATATGGAACTTTTTGTAGATTGGCTTTGAATTCATTCATTATGTTATTCGATGAAGTAACAAATGGAATGAATCTATTCCGAAGAGGAGGACTAAAAAAGGAAAATTTTCCAAAAATCATCGAATGGTTCACAAATTTCACCAAAGATGACCAGCTTTTCAGTGCTAATCGGAATCAACGATTTTTGATCGAAACGTGGAAATTGGAAGAAATCATTGACCGAGCATATATTGAACTTGAACAATTTATGACTGATGTGAGTTTATGGAAAATTAAATGATTCTTTTCAATTAATAAAAAGGAAAAAAAAGATTAAAGGAATATTTTAGAAGAGAGATAAAAAAGGAAAAATAAACAAGAAAAAGGGGAACTCTAGCGCGCTATCGTCTCGACCTTTAAAAGGGTCACCTTTTTAATAGACGGTATTTATCTATTTGAATTACCCGATTATATTTTTAAGTTGAAAGTTCCTGAAAATACTGAAACTTTTTTATTAGAAATTGATTATAATTGCTAATGTGATTCAGGTCGAAAAAACTTTAAAAAAAAACGTTTTTTTACAAACACACCTCGGCCAAGCAGTGGCTGGCCAGAGTACAATTTTTTGAAAAATCTAAATTTCAGTTTTTAGAGGTCAAAAATTGAAAAATCAAACTTTTTAGAGGACAAAAACTGAAAAATTCACAATTTTTGTACTGTAAAAAGTTAGCGTACAATTTTTTATTGTGGAAACCACGATTTTGGCCGAGGTGTGTTTACAAAAAAATTCGATTCAGCAAATGTCAAAAAACCCTATTTTTCCACACAAAAATGAAATATATCTCGCAGCGAAAATGTTTCAATGAAAAAAATGTCGAAAAATAGGAAAAAAATATAATTTTTTGACATTTGCTGAATCGAAATTTTTTGTAAAAAAAACTTTTTTTTTAGTTTTTTTTCGACCTGAATCACCCCATAAAAGAAAATCAACCTTATTATTTAAAAAAAAACATGTCATTTATTTCAGCCAATTCAAAAACTCCCGAAACCACCAATTGAAATATCATATGCATTAAAAGAACTTTGTAAATGGTCAGAAGATTGTGAAGATGTTTGCTATCAAATCAAATTAGCTATTGAAGGGGATATTCACAGCGGTTTATCATTCAATATTCTTCTCGAACATCGGAGATATGTTTTCAATTATATTCTCACCAAACATTCGAAAATTGATAAGTTTTGTGCGAATCAAGGATTTTTCCTAAAAGTTAGATATACCTCTAATCCTGTTGCGGATACGAAGCCAGTTCAAGTTTCTGCTAGCGAGATGATGAAACTTCGAGAAGAAGAATTTATGTGAGAGTTTTTTTTACAAACAACGTTTTTTTTCTTTGAAATTTCAGGAAAATTCTTCCAACAATTCCACTTCATTTTGAAATGACTTGCAAACAATTGCATAAGAAAATTGAAGAAAATATTTCGAAACGTGGTCCCGTTTGGTATGAATGTGTAGGTTTTTTGAATTTAATACAACTTTTAAATAGTCATTTTTCAGGAAATTGAAGATCAACGCAAAAATTTAGAACTCTTCGATAAATTTATGGAATTTATCGATGTTGCTATAACAAAAGAACATGAATGTTATGTGAAAAGAAAATTGATTCCTTCCAAACGAGAGAAAATTTATCACGATTCCTTATTTTCTGATAAGAAACTGTTGAACACTGTATTATTTCAAGGAGGTCCATTTTTAAAAGCATATCGTGAACGACTTGAAGAAATCATGTATGAAACTGATAATGAAGAGGTCGTGAAATCGATTACAAACGCTTTGAAAAATTTCGAAATGTTTAATTTCGAACCGCCTGTATAGATTTTTTATTGTTGTGTTTTTGAAATTTTGTGAAATTCTACTTTTTTAATAAATTCCGATGTTTTATAATTTTAAGTAATAGTGAGTTTTTTGAATTATTGTGACTATTTCGCAAAATGAAATTTCATGTCATAAAAATATTCCAAACATATTTTTGACAATATAAATTTCCATTTGAAATAAAACAGGTGCAATATTGACTTCAAAAATCAAAATGATGACATATGTAGTCAAAAAAAGTGAGTTTCAGTTTTTTCCAGAATTCAAATTGAAAAAATAGTTTCCAGAAAATATTGCTCATGTTTGGAGTACTGTATCTAAACTACAGTACTCTCAAGAAATCACCTCAAAGTCCAATAATTTTCCCAGATTTTTCATTCCAAGGAGCCAGACTATGCTGCGTCGAATATCTTCTTCATTTTTCAGTTCCCGTGAGTTTTTATATTGATTTTTCAATTTTCAAAATAACTTTTCAAGCAAAATTTGCTTATTGATTTCACCATAACTGTTTACAAATTTCAAAATGTTCATTGTTTTTTAATGTATCTGAATTACAGTACTTTTAATTGATTTGATATTCAATAAATATTTTATCCAAAAAAAAGTTCAAATGAGAAATGTGAGTTAATGTAATTCAATAGAATTGACAATTTTCTCCAATTCAATAAACTGCTTATTCGTAAATTTCAAATTCGTCCTCAAATAAAAAGTTTTCCTGAAAATGTCCATCAATTTCTGATCCACATTTTCAAATTTTTCATCAAAAATTAAGACTTCAATTTCCCTATATTTCCGGTTGTTCAATCGATATAAAATATCCATAGCCACATCTGAATTATTCGATTTCAATCGAATTTTTTCAAGTGAAATCCATTTGAAGTCTTCAGCAAGTTTTAAAGTCTACAAAATTTATATTATTCGAATTTTAGAGAAAAATTGAACCAACATGTTTTGCGTTTCCAATAACTTCCTCTAATTCCAAATACAAATATTTGATGTTCTCGGATTTTGCAAGAAAATAATATAGTTGATCAATTTGACTGGTTGAAATATCAAAAGCTTGAAGAAGCGGAAAATTATCGATTGATTTATTTTTGATGTGAAAATCGAGCTGAAAAAAAGAATTGGGAAAATAAAAAACCGTTCCGAATTCTTCTAGACTACAGTAATCCTTGTAGTTCATACAGTACACCTTGCATCTAGTCAATATTTGAGCATCAAGTGTTGATTTACAGGTACGGTAATCTTTGCAGTTTGAACTTTGAAATTTAATATTAGGTTACAGTTCTAATCTACAGTAATCCTTGCAGTTTTTGATCTTTTAATTTTTCTGAGGAACTTGATTTTTGTGAACTCCGAGTTTTTATCACAAAAAAGAAACTCACTTTCCAAATTTTCAATTCCCGCAGATTATTCCTTGATTTCATCAAAATGTGCTTGAAAAACCTGACAGCCAAATTTTCAGCATTTCCAGTAGATTTCCACATAATTTCTCCACTTTGTCGAATTTCGCATAACTCTCCAATTTTTTTAAATGTTATCTCAAAAGTGAAATCAATTGTCAACTTGAAAATTGTGTTCTTTTTTCCTCGGGTAATTTTTTCGATTGTCAAAGATTCAATTTCTTTTTCTTCTTGCAAAACTTGTTTCAAACAGGAAAATGAGCATTGCCCGAATTTTAGACTGAAAAAATGATTTTGAAAAATATTTTCAGATAAATAAATTACCGCTCTTTTCTGGTCAAATATTGGAAAACTTCGAGTTTTAATTCAAATGGCAAATCATTCCAAATAATCATTTCGAAAAGAAATAAAGAAAAAATGTTGAGATAAAACTAGAGATTTTTTTGTCAAAATGATAAGTGATAAGAAAAAAAATTAAGATGAGTAATATTTGTCATTCATTTTTTGGGTTTAAAAAAATTCAAAGTTATTTCATTTTTCGAAAAAAAAAGTCCCCAAAAAATATGTCACAACTTTTCCGCGCAAAGTTTTGAGTTACTATAAATCAATCAAATCCACACATCTGTATAGAAAAACGAAGAAACACATTCTGTGTGTCACCAGAGAAATAAGGAAAAGCACCAAAAATGCGCCAATCACCTTATTTTGTTGACACATTTTAGATAGGAAGAGAAGGTTTTTAGGACACAAGTTTCATTTACCTAAAATATTTATCGAAGATGGATTACTGTATCTAAATTACAGTACTTTTTTATTCATATTTATGCATAAGAAGTAAAATGGAACAGCCATGTTATTATGTGGGTTTTTTTTTGAATTTTACCCAAATTTTTAAGGTTTTCAGAAAACGAAATTCAAAATTTTCAGAATAATTTCCACCTACCCGATACCAAATCCATGGCCATAAGTCAAGAAAAAAATGAAAAGCAAAACTGGTTGAACAAAAATTGAATTGGAGATGAATTACTGTATCTAAACTACAGTACTTTTGAGATCAATGCGAAGAACTGTCGCACTAAAACCAATCAGAAATATTATATCCAAAAGTCAAAAAGCAGTTGCGCAACCAGAAAAATAAGGTAATTAAATTATTTTAATATAAGTATACTTTGAATACCAGATGCCCATTTTCTTATTTCTAACTGTCATCTCAAGAATGTGTCATTCATTTTTGTCAACTTTTTTATTCCAGATCTTTGGGATTACTGTATCTAAACTACAGTACTTATTTGTCAAAAATCAATCAATAATTACAACATAATTGGATCTTAAAGCGAAGACATAATTGTTATTTTCAGTGAGTTTGAACATTTTTCAAAAAACCTTAACAGCCAATTTCTTTTCCAGAAAATCCTGAAATTCTCTCATAATTGTTTGAATTTTGATTACTGTATCTAAACTACAGTACTTTTGACTTTCAAACTTTCAATTTTCCACAAACCAAATTATATCAATACCCAATAATACACGTGTCCCCATTCATCCTGAAAATATGTGCTCATTCAAAAATGTATTGTGAGTTGGTTTTTCAGCTTTTCTATAGAAATAATGGTTTATTTTCAGCAAATTTGATTACTGTATTTAAACTACAGTACTTTATTGTGATCCGAAAACTTGATATATATTGGTGAGTATTTCATCTGAACTACACATATACAGCAAAATTGATTTCTTAAGAATCGAAACACTAGCAGAATGGCTGGCCATTGAATATTTATTGTTGAAAAATCCAAAGGTTTGTTATATTTTATTGGAATTCAATCAATAATTCTCGAAATTTCAGAAGAACTTCGAACACAACTTTGCTGCGAATATATTTCAATACTTTGAAAAAGTTATACTACTGTATCTAAACTACAGTACTCTTCTTCATATGCTCAAAATTGAAAAACAATGTGAAAAATTACGATCCGACCGTAAATTTGCTGGTGAGTTTTTATCAAAAAGTTTTCCAAGAAACCATGTTTTTTTTTACAGAAATCTCCAAATCTTCAGAATATGTGTTCCAAATTTGATTACTGTATCTATATTACAGTACTAGTTACCTGTTACGATTGAAATTTTAATGTAGTAAGTTCAAACTTGATTCCGATTTTCTCAAAAATCCTAGAATGATTTGCAGATTTACTTTGAGACCGTAACGGACTACTTCTGAAAATTCACTGATTGAAATAATTGCATTGTTTTGAAGTTTTAATAAATTTTGTTTGCAGTTTGATGTTTTTCAGTCTACCTTTTAATAAAATCCCGATTGGGTGATGTCTTGATGGAAACAGGATCTCGATTTTTCTATAAAAAATAATAGGTAAACAATAAAATAAAATAAAAAAGTATAGTTTTTGTCGACGTGTCGTATAAAAAAACTGGTCTAAACTTGAATCGAACAAAAGATAGAGACGAAAAGATACAAAATATTCCGCTGAAAATTTTAAATTTGCAGAAAAATTTTATCTCTGGGTTTCAACAAAAAGCATCATTGTGAACCAATTTATTGATCGGTTTTGCTGGTTCCATCATGCATTGAGTAGGCGAAAAGAAACAGTTTCGTTGCATGTTTGTGTTGAAAGACTTGATAACAACATTGCCACCATTATAAAGAGCGCTGCAAGATTCGGAGATTTTTGAAGCGAAGTGAGTTTTTTTTTAAACTCACCCTAAAGCCTCTAGGTAATCTGTTGTCAAACCTGTTGTTAAATCTTTTGGCGAACAAGTGGAAAACAAAAAAATTAGCGCAAAAATAACAGTTTTCATTATGGGGAAATTCTTATAAGAAAGGCTCTGAAAAATAATGCTTTTATATTCCTTGAACATTCTATTTTTAATGTGGAAATTGGCTAGACCTCATAAAAAGTTTTGGAAAAAATTCCGAGAAGAATCTCAAGAAAAGCGAGCTGTTTTTTTTTTGTTTGAAATACATTTTTTGAATTAGAAATTTTTCAGATTCTTCTTAATGAAATTGAAAAATTCAACAAGTTTTGAAAAAGTTTGAAATCTTCGGGTTCTCAAATCACACACTTTGTATAGTTAAAAACAATTTATTCAATAAAATTACTTTGTGGATAACGGAATAAACAGATCCGTTTCTTTTTTCTTTTGAATTCATGTTTTTATTGTTTGAATTCTCGAATTTGGCCCTTGAAAAAGGCGACAATTCCGGAAATGCCGATCTGAAAAAATCAATAATTTTTTCTGCTAAATATTTGATTTGAAAACTCACAATTTTGAAGATTGAATCAAAAGTACTGTAGTTTAAATACAGTAATCAAATTGTTGCGAAATATTGAAGAATCTGAACAAAAAACGAATGTTGTTTTTGAAATATCAAACAATTTAAAGCTCACCATCAAAAGATCTTATCGAGTGTGATATTCTCAAGCATGAAGAAGTTTTCAACAATACTGAAAAAATCTGATTTTGTTTTCCATTTTCAATTTTTAAATGTCTAAATTGGAATTAAATTTGAAATTACCTTATTAGCTCATTTCTGTTACACAACTTATGATAATTCAAAAATATTGTCCTAATGTTTACGGTTGATCCAATTATAATGAACAATCTAAAAAAATTAATATTTCAAGAAATCTCTGATGTTTGAAACAACTTACTTCAAATTTCAAAAATATTAATCGATAAATTAGAGTACTGTAGTTTAAATACAGTAATAAAAATGTGGCAAATATTAAGAAGTATGGTTTGTTCATTTCTGAAAACAAAAACTTGACTAGAAAAGTCTTTTGGAAATATTTAACTCACTGATGTTTCTGATGTTGTGAAATCGATAAGCAAATTCATAGAATGTTTGCGATTCTTGGAGATTTCTGCTATAAAAACTTGGAATTTCAATTTTTTTAAAGAAAAAAACCAAAATTATTACCTTAATTGATAAAAAGTACTGTAATTTAGATACAGAATTTCGAACAATATTGATTTTTTTGCAATCAGTAGAATTACACCTTCAAAATCGATCCCGTGTGTTGCATCTCATGTGTTATTCTCAAATTCTCAAATTTGGTCTTATTCCGTTTTTTAATGAAGAGTACTGTAGTTTAGATACAGTAATCCAATTGAGATCATTATTGATAAGTTGTGAAAATTCTGAAAAAAAAATTAATTTGAGACTCCAATATTTTTTTGTTTTCAAGATCACTTACACTAAAAATATCCAGACCTCCATTATTTCCATGTCATCGGGTGAGTAGAAAAATTACTGTAGTTTAGATACAGTAGTTTGAAGTGTAACAATTATTGGGAATATATACAAAACCTGAAAATCAGATAAACTAAAATTAAAAAAAAAAATAAAACTTACAAATCTGGCACATACGGTGTATTCAGACTGGAAACTAGCTCTCAACCATTTTTAAAACTGATAAAAAGTACTGTAATTTAGATACAGTAATCCATATTTCATAAATATTTTAGGTAAATAAATATAAACTTGATCCTAAAAACCTTCACCTCCCAAAAATGTGTCAACGAATTAAGGTGATTGGCGCATTTTTAGTGCTTCTCCTTACTTCTTGGTGCCAGACACAAAAACAAAAATGTGTGGACTTGATTGATTTATTGAACGCTCAACACATGTGCGCGGGAAAACTTTGGACTAAAAATGCGCCAGTCTTCCTATTTTGTTGACACATTTTTGGAGAATTAATTCATGAAGTTGTCCTAAAATAATTATGTATTATTTACTGTATCTAAACTAAAAAAAAAAACTCTCAAGTTAATTTTTGGTACCTGGTAAGTTTCTGTTTTTTGTTGAAAAATTAATAATGTTTTCTATTTTTCAGGAGTCATCACAATATATTTCATTTTCAACTTGAAGAAAATAATTGTGAAAATGTGTAAATAAAATCAATATCTTCCAACTCGAATATACTGTATCTAAACTACAGTACTTCTTATCAAAACAATGTTATGATGAAAAATTGATGAGTACGAGGGTCAAGAAAAGTTTGACTTTTTCATGTCGAAGTTTAAATTTTGCATTCGAACAAAAGTGAGGATCCAGGCTTCCAGTTACACGATTTTTGTCTAGATTTATTCCACCAGACGCCCTGGCAATATTGAGTTGCTACATATTTTCCCTAGCTTATAGTGAGTTTCTAGTTTTTTCAAATTTCTAACAAAATCTAACTCAATTTCAGAATTCTTCTCAATATTTGCAACATTTTGATTACTGTATCTAAATTACAGTACTTTCACCAATCACATTTTCATTTTCATATTTTTAAAATATGCCTTAGCAAACAATGAGACGCAAGGCAAAATATGTATTTTTGGTTTAAGATCAAATAAATTTTTTATCAAGATTTGATGTTATCGAATTTCTAGAATACTTTCAGAACTTCTGAAGACTGTAGCTTCTTTGCTTAGGCTTGCATTTTGTGCTGAAAATGCTGGAAATCCTCGAAATTTCCGGTTGATCCACAGTTTCGGAATTTTTGAAACTTCAAAAAACAAGTTTATTTAATTTAAAAATTCAACATGATTTATTATTTTGCTGGTTTTCCAGCCTCCTTCTTCTTATTTTTCTCAACATCTTTGTTTTTGCGACCAATTTTCTTCTTTCGTAGAATAAACATAACAATTACACCAATAATCAACAAAATCAGAATAACCACAACTGCTGCTATAATTATATAAATTACTGGAAATTCTTCTTCTTTTTCAGATTTTTGAGTTGTAGCTTTTGGGCCTTGAGAAGCACGGTGTGTTATTGGTTTTGTAGTTGGCAATGGTGTTGTGGTTGGTTCTGTTTGTCTTCTGCGACCCAAAATATCATCGACGCTGAAATGAAATAAATTAAATTTAAATTTTGAAGAAGAAGAGAAAGACGAGTTTCTCACTTACAAATTTCTAGTTGCAATTTGAAGTTTTTGAGAGGCGATGGCTGAAAATAACTTATTTTTTCAAACACCAAGTATAATATTATTTTTTTTAATCTTACGCTTGGTCACATCAACATCCTTGAGATCCACATTTAATGTTGCCGAATATCCACTAGTTGGTTTTTGATCAAATTTAATAAGTGAAAATTCGTATCTTGAGTCGAGTTGAGATCTATTGAAATGATTGATACGAGTAATAGTAGCCGCACTTGGAGCCTGATGTACAATCATGAAGATTTGTGTGAAATGTTCGAGCGTTTCATTAAGAGATACTAAGGTATCAAGATCATGCTCTAAATGGAAAAATTCTCTTATATGATTTTTTTCAGCAAGTTTTTTCAATGAATCACGAGTTTGATTATATTCCGACGAATGATGAATTTCAATTGATTCACTGGCATCCGCAAAAACCGCAGATCTCGCTTGATATACAACTGGAAGCCAACATGTGACTTGTTTCAATACATAGAACACTTCTTCAGTCTGTAAAAATGTGATGATTATTTTTGTCGAAATCAAAACAAACTCACATTTCTTTCACCAAATCCAACCATAAAAAGAAACAAAATTTGTCCACCGGGAACATATTCCTGATTCGGTTTTTGTCTACATTCGGGATAATTGAAATTATCGGCAAATGTGATTGAAATACTTGTTAGAAATATTATTGATACAAAGGGTACAGTTCTCATTTGATTCGACTGGTTTTCTAGACTAATTTTATAGAGAAAGAGCGGGGCTGTTTTTTAATGTCTCGGGGTCATAGCTGAATGTCATCGAGGGTTTACGTCACGTGATAATAATAACGTTCACGTTTCACGCAAATATAAAAAAGCCAAAAGCCTGGAAGCCTACTTGACTTTTATTGCGAAAAATCGAATGATACCACGGCCTAATGTCTAATATTTATCTGATCGTTGTGCAAAAACCTTATCGTGAATTCACAATGCTTCACCAAAAAAAATATATGTTGTCAAGATTTAGCATAATATAATTTCCGGGAATCTCATCAAAATCAGTCGCAAAGATCAGTCGTTCACAATTGCAGGTGTTTTTAATAAGCTTTTTTTCTTCGTTCATTCAACATATGCATGGAGGCGTACCTTCTGAATAATTATACGAAATGTCCGCCAACAACATTATTGGAATCAAATGAATTTCAAGTAATTATTTTTCGAACATTGTCAATTATCACATTTCCATCATTTGTTTATGGTGTATACTTGATTTTATATGTCACTCCAGAATCGATGAAAAATGTCAAAAATACATTGATGTTTGTGCATATTTGCACATTTATTTTTGATGCAATCGTTAATTGTCTAGTCCAACCCTATTTTCTTCTACCTACCACAGCTCTTTATTTAAATGGAATTCTTTGGGTTTATCTTGGCTTACCTTTTCACTTCATATGTTGGATTGCACAATACTCGATGTACTGTAAGTGAATCTATTAGTTTTTATTTGTTTTCAATATGTTTCAGGTTTGGGAATGTCAATCATTTATTTATTCCAATCTCGTCACAGTATGATAATAACTGTGAAATATCGAATGACTAAAACTAGCACAAAAATAATATATTACACCATAGGCTATTTTGTTGGTGCAATCGGTATGGCTTCCTATCATTTTCAAGATTTTGATAACGAAGAAGTTGAGCTACAATTTCTACAAACCGTGTATCCTTGCCCACCAATTGAATATTTCGATAAAAACACTTTTGTCGTTACAAACAATATGATGGTTATCGTAATCGGTCAATGTATTGTCATATTTTATGCTTTTGCTCATGCTATTTTCTGGATTTTCTCAAGTGTCTATCAATTGACAAAGAAAACAGCAAAAATCTCGAAACATACTCGAGAAATGCAATTAAAGTTTCTGAAAGCAGTTAGTATTCAAATATCAGTTCCATTATTAGCAATTATGTGCCCTGGAACAGGTATGACAATTATGATTGCTGCTTCTCAAAAAAGTCAATTAATGAATAATATAATTATCAGTGCTTGTGGATTACACGGATTAATGTCCAATCTTTGCCTGATCTTTGTTCAAAGAGCATATCGTGATTTCACTTTTCGATGTTTCAACAGAAATCGGATGTTCTCAAAAGTTAGCATAGTAATAATACACACAGATGTTTTATAAAAGCATTTTACATAATTGGTTTTTGATTCGTAAGAACGTTTCATAGATTAATTTCGTAAATTTGTTTTAATGCCAATAATTGTTATACATTGTTCAATAAAACATCGTTTTTCTGATGTTAGAAAACTTCCGTTTCACAAGAGCAATGCACAATTTCCAGGTGATTTTTTAAACCCAATTGACTCATTTTAAATGTTGTCTCAATTGTTTGCCAAAAATGGGAAAGTATGCACTTTGTTTTCATCATAACAGGTGATTATAATCCAATTTTCACGTTCAAACTGATTGTGAGCGAAAAAAAGTGGATTTGCTCATATTTCAAATACAGTATATGTACCTACTGTAATTTGAAACTCAAATTCAAAATTTATAAAGTTTGTGACTAGTGGCCCCTAATAGTCTTCTCATTTATTTCAGTTTCACTTTTTTATGTGATTAATGTCAATTTTCCACAGAATTTTCTGTGGAAAATTGACTTACAATCAAGTTTATAGAACATTTTAAGTTTTTTGATCGAAAAATGACTCGTGGCTAAATCAGGAAGGCTTCCTAATTTTGCCATGGATGACGTCATCGATCAATTTTTCAAAAAAAAATATTGAATCTCTTGTTTTTTGTATTAAATTAAATGTACTCAAACGATGTTTTAAAAACACAAGAATTACAATTGGATTCATTACATTTCTTTTTTGAATTGAATTCCGAAAATCATACCTTCGCGAACCGATCCTAGATCTAACCACTTGACCATTTCTGACACAAGAAATGACTGTATCTTGAAGAAAATTTTGACGTGAGAAAAAAAAAGAAAAAAATCAAATCAAAACTGGAAATCGCGTGCATAAAAGTATGAAAACATGAATCTATCTATGAAAATTTCATAGTTTGTTTTTCAATAAAATCTGGAAGCTGATCTACAGGAAAAATATATTTTTGAATTAGAAAATCCAATACCATCAAGTTTAATTCAAAGCTTCATCTATTGATTTAAACATAGTAATTTTTATCCAATATTGTCCAATGAAGTTCAAATCTCACCTATTAGTTTTGCCCCCCCCCACCCCAATCTCAAAATAAACTAACTTGAATGGCCCGTTCCGTGAGAAGTTGTTGAACTCTTTGAATATCCTGTCCAAACGAAACATCTTCTTGTTCGGAAGCCTGAAACTTCTACATTCTTTTTCTTTTTAAAATTTTCGCCTATTCTTAAACTTACATTACAAATTGACAATAGTGGATTTGATGGGACCCCTGCATTCTGTGACGGTTGTCTCTAAAAAAATAAGAAAATTAAAAAATGTACCAAATCACCCTCGAAAACCAGAAAAAAAGCAAAAAATAAAAATGTCGTGCAAAAAAATAAGAATAAAAGCGAAACAACGATACTCCGCGTGCGCGTTGTTTAGCGTGTTTTTTTGCAGGGTAGATGAGAGAGTGTGGGAAATTGAGAGAGGGTTAGAGAGAGAGAGAATATGTTTTTATTTGAAAAGCAATTATTGATTTTGAAATTCAAATTCAAATTCAAAATTTATAAAGTTTGTGTGAAAAATTTCAATTTATAATTTCCTTATGAAAAACTCACTGTAACTTATAATTTTACTTCACAATCATATTTGTTTGAGAATGCTTTTTCTATATCTAAAGATTTCTAGAATTTTTCTGAAAACAAAAGTGTTGTGAAAAAATTCGAAAATATTGATATTTAATCGATAAAATTTTATTGAAAAATCGATCAAATTCAAAAAAAATTCATTTTTGTATGATTCTCATACAGTCGGGACGAACTGTTCCATTTTGATGGGGAGATGAGATTCAAGTCTGAAATTGAAATTTTGAAAATAAAAAAATAAAATGAAAACTCACGACTTCAATACTTTATATCTGAAGTACTGTAGTATAGATACAGTAATAAATTTGGAACGCATATTCAGAAAATTTGGAGATTTCTGAAAAAAAACATGATTTCTTGGAAAAATTTTTGAAAAAAACTCACCAGCAAATATACGGTTGGATCATAATTTTTGACATTGTTTTTGAATTTTGAGCATATGAAGAAGAGTACTGTAGTCTAGATACAGTAATTCAACTTTTTCAAAGTATTGACACTAGCCGCTTTTTCGTGTTCGAAGTTCTTCTGAAATTTCAAAAATTATTGATTGAATTCCAATAAAATATAACAAACCTTTGGATTTTTCAACAATAAATATTCAATGGCCAGCCATTCTGCTAGTGTTTCGATTCTGAAGACAACAATTTTACTCAGATGTAGTTCAGATGAAATACTCACCAATATATAACAAGTTTCGGATAACATCAAAGTACTGTAGTTTAAATACAGTAATCAAAATTCGAGCAATTATGAGAGGATTTCAGGATTTTCTGGAAAACAAATAGGCTGGTGAAGTTTTTTGAAAAAGTTCAAACTCACTGAAAATATCACATATGAATTCGATTTTTGTCCTGATTTGTACTCATTATGTTGAACCGTTATGGTGCAATCAATTAACCAATTTTGCCTGGAAAAAAAATTGAGAAATTGAAAATTGAAAAATCAAACTAACCGAGAATTGACATTTGAAGAAAAATATTCGGCGCAGCATAGTTGAACTCCTTGGAATTCAAAATTTGGGAACTGGAGATGAATTCTTGAGAGTACTGTAGTCTAGATACAGTAATCAAAATTCGAGCATTATTGATAATATTTACATATTTACAGAATGCTTGTGTGATTGTATCTTCTGAAAATTCAAGAATTATTGATTGAATTCCAATAAAATATACAAACCTTTGGATCTTTCAACAATAAATATTCAATGTTCTGTTTCACGATTATTTTTGGGTTCCTGCAAAAAATCAACCATTTTTTTATATACCGAAAAAATCGAAGTTGGGAAGAGGGGAGAATGATATTCGAATTCATATTTTTAACTTCAAATAAAATACTCACCAAGTTTTTCAAATTTTTAGCCTTTGGCAGAATTTTTATCTGAAAACAAATTTGAATTTCGTTTTCTGAAAATCCTGAAATTCAAAAAAAACCCACATTACAACATTTGGCTGTGCCTACTTCACTTCTTATCAATAAATATGAATAAAAAAGTACTGTAGTTTAGATACAGTATTCCATCTTCGATAAATATTTAGGCAAATGAAACTTGTGTCCTAAAAACTTCTCTTCCTTCAAAAAATGTGTCAACAAAATAGGAAGATTGGCGCAAATTACGGAGTTTTCAATAAATCAATCAAGTCCACACATTTTTGTTGTGCCTGGCTGGCACCAAGAAGTAAGGAAAAGCACTAAAAATGCGCCAATCACCCTACCTTATTGACACATTTTAGTTAGGAAGGCCAACTTTTTAGGACACAAGTTTTATTTACCTAAAATAGTTATCAAATATGGATTACTGTATCTAAATTACAGTACTTTTATTTCAAAAATTCGGCAAAAAATGCAATGAGATAACGCGCAAATGTTAGGTAAGGTAATTTTTTTTGTAATGGTTTTTCTGACTTCATGATACAATTTTCAGAATGAGTGAACTTGGATTACTGTATCTAAACTACAGTACTCTTGGCTGAATCCAATTAATAAATATCGGAAATTAACACATGATGATAAGGACATTATAGATCTGGATATTTTTAAAAAAAGAAAATGATAGTTTGAAAATTGAAATGCAAATTATGAAAGAGAATTTGGAAGAGAAGATTTGAAGTTTATTGCATAAACTATGATTATTTACTTGATTGCATGAATAAAATATTTTTATGGAAAAATATTCTCTTGAACATAAGTATTCAGAATTCAATTTTATGGTTATTTCAATATGTAAATCCTATTGAAACAAGCGGAAAAATCTGAAAAATTGAAATAAAAAAAATCAATCAATCAATCAAAGGCACACAAAAATTTGAAAATGCGCTTCGAGACCATTTGATAAACATGTGTGTGCCTTCAAACTACGGTGGCGCGAAAATTTTATTTTTCTTTTCGCAACAAAAGTCGCCGAGAAATTTCAGTTCTCAGAGAAGTTGGACGATTAATCGCCGAGTAAAGTGAACTTACGATTAATCGCCTGAACTAAATTAACACAGGCGATTAATCGGTTAGCCAGCAGCTAATTCAAGTTACTAGGCGATTAATCGTCCAACTTCTCTGAGTTGATTCGCAGCTGTTCCGAAGAAAACGATGACAAGGTATGTTTACACATGTTTTCAGCAAGTTTCTAAACTTATCAGCTTATCTTTTTCAGGGATTTCTCCGAATTTTTGAAGAAATTGAAAGAAGCACCGACAAAATGGACAGTTGCGAAAATAATATGCTGCCTCAGAAGTCGTTATTATGTTAATATTGATCTTAAAAAAGAAACGTTTAATGAATTAACCTTCGAAAAATCAGAAGTTTTTGAAGAAAGAGAGAAAGTTGAACAAGTTGTCAAACATTTTTATAATAAATGCCAACTTCAAATTTATGGACCACTTCACGATGTTATCAACGAAATTTATAAGGTGACACTTTGCCCTGGAATTCATAAGGATTTAACAATCGAAGAATTCTTTGAAACTGAACAACCTAGGATAATTCCAAGTCAAAATAGAGATGACTATTGCTTTAAACATGATATGATTTTTGCGATAAATTCCATAGCTCGACAATCGAAATATACATTTCTTGCTAAAATGTTTTTGAAAAAATGGATTGCATCATCCCTTGGAAAAGGTTTCGATTTATTAAACGAGACATATTCATTTTTGCCAATTTCTGTTATGGAAAAAATGTTCAAAACATTTTACAAACCAATAACTGAATTGCCATTTATTCGACCATTGAAAATCAAAGATTTCGAAAGCTTTCGTGGCTATTTTGAAGCCAATGATTTGAAAGGATTGCGTTTTTTCGACAAAGAATTCATGGAAAAGATTAATTTGATGGATAAGAGCACACCAATTGCTACAAATCAACATGTTTTTATTGCAAGTTATGTGCAAATTCTGACAATTTGTTCGCGATGCAAATTTGTTTTCGATCGAATTTTGAAACCAAAATTGACGTGTGAAATGGTAAGATTTTCAAAACAGATTCAGAAAATTCTTGTTTTTTTTTCAGAAAAACGATTGTCCAGTGATTCGAATTTTTGATATGAGCTCAAAAATGGTAATGTTTGCCTTGGATGTAGATGAAGCTGTTCAAATTGCAATCAAGAAAAATCATCCAGAAATCACGTATCGAACAGGATTATTTCCTTTGGAAGATCATATATCTCGAGCTGAAAATGGTGTGATAAATGGGCTGGACATGGAAAAATTCGGAAAAATTTTGCAAATTTTGAACCTTCGACCAGTTGTTGATATTGATTATGTTTCAATTGTTGCTCAACCTGGTGTTTCAATTATTTCTCCTTATGGAACACTTTGTCAAAATTCGGAAGATTCATTTGAATTTATTATTGGAACATTGGTTTCAATTGTTCAATTTTTTCAAACGATGTATACAGACAAGGTTGATCATGTGGCTGTTTATTTGGAACAATTTGAGCCGACTTTTGGCAAAAAAGTTTGTTTGCTTCTTATTTTTCAAATTTTGATATAATTTTTTTTAGAAATATCCAACATTTGTCGAAATGAAGAAACTCGGTGAAATCGTCCATCGAGTTGTTACTGAATTGAGATTTTGTCTAAGTGAAGAAAGTTTCAATTATTGTGTTCCTTACAAACCATCTTATACATTTCCTGAAGTTGTTGATCATCTTCAACGATTAATTGGTGATTTAGAAGAACGAAAGTTGGTCAAGATATTTGCAAAGATGAAGAAGAATGAAGTTATTGAAATTGAAGGATATTTTAGTATTCGATCGATTCATTTACTCTATCAACATTTTATTAAAATGCGATTGGGATTGGAGAGTGAAATTGTTAGTTTTGAAGGGGGAAACGAGACATTATAAGCACACTCAAATTTTGATGAAAGCGTCAGCTCAAAATGCAATCACGTCACAAAAAAATTGAAAATTTCATATGTGGCCGAGAAATTTCGAGAATTCGGCCAAAGCAACAAACTCGCTCTAATGGTCCTTATGTTAGTTGCTTTGGCCGAATTCCCGACAATTCTCGGCCCCGAATAGTTCGGCCACATATATATTTTCGGGTAGCGAATTCAAAAACTCCCTAATTTTCAGGTTACTTCATTTGGTCATAAACAATTGGCTGTTCGAATGGAAGAAGACACTGGTCGACTAGTTTCCAAAGTTTGGAATGATTCTCAAGACGAAGTTATGAGTCGTCCAGGACCAAGTAATCCAACAGCATATCAGTAAGTTTTTTTTTAAATATTTTTTTCCAAAACTTAAATAAAACATTTCAGCCAGCAATTGGTTGGACAACAAATTCGGATGATATTTGTTGGCAAAATGTTAGGAAGAGAAGTTCATCGTCAATTGAAAAGGTCTGAATTTAAGAGCACATTTGCTAGCAAAAAAACAATATTTTCCAGACCAAAGATCATTTGCGACCTGAAATTTGAAGAATTAAAAATGCGCCAAAGAAATTTGAACAATCAAAATCGAAAGTTGGTTGTGAAATTGAATATGATGTTGATGAAAATTGGAAGAGGTGAAAATGAGCCAAGCTGTTCTGGAGAACCATCAGAATAATAAATTGCAAAAAATACTGTATTTTTACTTTTATATGTACTTACTTACTAAAATTCTCAAAAATTTCTAACCTATGTATCTTATTTTTGGTGTTGCTTTATTAATTTTGAAATAATATTTTTAGAAAAAAAAATTGTTACGTTTTGAACAACCCGAAAATTATACGTTTCAAAATTTCGATATTTTTTTGTTTATGATAAGGCAAGGTTTAGTGCCAGTCACAAGAGTGCTGATAACAAAAAATTATAAAAGAAAATGCTAACAAACAAAAAGGTATTAGTTGATAGATAGTGCAATTCGGATTACTGTATCTAGACTACAGTACATTTTTCTGTAAAATTTTTTAAAAGCATCGAAGATTCACCCTCCAAGATGACTGAGAGGGTTTCCCCAAGGAAATTGTAAGTTTTCATCGAAATTTTATGAAAATTTATCTAAAATTTAAATTTTTCAGAAAATGAATTGAAAATCCTAACATCAAAATTGAAATCAAGATTGGATTACTGTATCTAGACTACAGTACTTTTTTCTGAAAATCATTGAAATATCCATACAAAATAGGATAACACAATCAATAAAGTTGTAAGTTTTCTCTTAAAATTTTCTTCAAAAAATATTTATCCAATTTTTTTCAGGCTAAATTGGAAATGATGAATTTACTAACATAAATATTGAGAGAATCCAAAAAGCTTGTAAGTTTCTATAAATCTAATTTTCTCTTCAAAAACAAATTGCGTTTTTCAGTCCAAATTTGCAGCGAATACTTATTGATGATGGATTACTGTATCTGAACTACAGTACTTTTTGAAGATATTCTTGGAGGCAATGACTGCCGTGGACACACTTCCTTTTTTATGAATTTTAAAAATAAAATCATTTGAACATTAACTTTTTTTGAAATTTATTTGGAATTGTGGAAAATCGTCTAACATGAGCAATGCTGGATGCATCAAAATATCGAATCAAACACTTTATTGTTGAACATTTCTCGTCTGAATAAGTTGCCGAGGGGATATTTTCTGAAAAAATAGAATTTTGTTGTTAAAATTGAAATTTTCATGAAAATCTTACCGTATTCTGTAGTTTAGATACAGTGACTTGAATTAGCAGAATTATTGTTGATGGTTGGTAGAACATCCCAATTCAATCTAAAGATTATAGATTTTCAGATTGAAGAGCTATGACTGAATTAGGACAACTCACTGTTGAACTCTTCGAATGTTATGTCGGCGTTTCGATGATTATTTGCTCTCCTGAAGTCACCGCAATTTGTTACTCGGAAGATTTGATCATTTTTTTAATAGTTGTAAGCTACTAGTACTGTAGTTTAGATACAGTAATGTGTAGATTTTCCTGGAAAAAATTTGAAATTTGAACTGGTTTCTTGTAAAATTCTAGAAAACTGAACTCACAATTTTCTCACTTCAAAAATGAGCAGTCGCAGATAATTGTTTGTGATAATTGTTGTAGAACATATTCTTGAGAAATGAGTACTGTAGTTTAGATACAGTAATTGGAAGCTGAACAATTTTGAGAAGATTTACATTTTTCTGAAAAAAAAACTATTTCCAACGTACCCTGACCCAAAAAAAAACTCACTATATCATGTAGTCACAGTCACAGACAATTCTGGCATGTCTCTTTGTATTTTGAAAATTGAGTAAATAGAGTACTGTAGTTTAGATACAGTAATACATATTTGATAAATATTTAGGTAAATAAATATAAACTTGTGTCCTAAAAACTTCCGTTCCTTCCAAAAATGTGTCAATAAAATAGGGTGATTGGCGCATTTTTTGTGCCTTTCCTTCAAAAACAATGTGTGGACTTGATTGATTTATTGAGGAAAAAACATTTGCGCGGGAAAACTTTGAAGGAAAAGCACCAAAAATGCGCCAATCACATTATTTTGTTGACACATTTTAGATAGGAAGGGAAGGTTTTTAGGACACAAGTTTCATTTACCTAAAATATTTATCGAAGATGGATTACTGTATCTAAATTACAGTACTTTTTTATTCATATTTATTCATAAGAAGTAAAATGGAACAGCCATGTTATTATGTGGGTTTTTTTTTGAGTTTTATCCAAATTTTTTGGGTTTTCAGAAAACGAAATTCAAAATTTTCAGAATAATTTCCACCTACCCGATACCAAATCCATGGCCATAAGTCAAGAAAAAAATGAAAAGCAAAACTGGTTGAACAAAATTTGAATTGGAGATGAATTACTGTATCTAAACTACAGTACTTTCAAGATCAATGCGAAGAACTGTCGCACTAAAACCAATCAGAAATATTATATCCAAAAGTCAGATAGCAGTTGCGCAACCAGAAAAATAAGGTAATTAAATTATTTTAATATAAGTATACTTTGAACACCAGATGCCCATTTTCTTATTCCTAATCTCAAGAATGTGTCATTCATTTTTGTCAATTTTTTATTCCAGATCTTCGGGATTACTGTATCTAAACTACAGTACTAATTTGTCAACAATCAATCAATAATTACAACATGATTGGCTGAAGAATCGAATCCATAATTGTTATTTTCAGTGAGTTTTTAACTTTTTTCAAAAAAACTTCACCAGCCTATTTGTTTCCCAGAAAATCCTGAAATCCTCTCATAATTGCTCGAATTTTGATTACTGTATCTAAACTACAGTACTTTTGACTTTCAAACTTTCAATTTTCTACGAACCTTGTTAAAATTGTTGCCTCTATACTCCACAAGACTCAATGGTCATGTAGGTGAGATTTTTAAAATTCCCTGGAAGATTTTTCAGCCAAGTTTTTTTTGTTTCAGAAAAACCTTCAATTCTCTGACAATCAATATTGCTCGAACTTCATTACTGTATATAAATTACAGTACTTTTTTGGCACAAGCATATTTTCAATGTTTTTTGAGGAACTTCGTGTGGCGCGACGATAATAATTTGGTGTTGAAAATCTTAAGTTTTCTAAAGCATTTTATCAATAATTTTCGAAATTTGGACTACTGTATCTAAGCTACAGTACTGAAATGCTGAGAATTGAATAATTGGAAAAATGTGAGCTTGTTTAATTTTCAAAATGATAAGAAATCAAAAATATCTTCAGATTGAAATCACCTCAAAGTCCAATAATTTGACCAGTTTTTTTATTCCAAGAAGCCAGACTATGCTGCGTCGAATGTATTCTTCATTTTTCAGTTCCCGTGAGTTTTTATATTGATTTTTAAATTTTTCTAACAATTGTTTTCAGGCAAAATTTGGTTATTGATTTCACGATAACTGTTTACAAATTTCAAAATGTTCATTGTTTTTTAATGTATCTGAATTACAGTACTTTTAATTGATTTGAGATTCAATAAATATTTTATCCAAAAAAAAGTTCAAATGAGAAATGTGAGTTAAAGTAATTCAATAGAATTTACAATTTTCTCCAATTCAATAAACTGCCTATTCGTAAATTTCAAATTCGTCCTCAAATAAAAAGTTTTCCTGAAAATGTCCATCAATTTCTGATCCACATTTTCAAATTTTTCATCAAAAATTAAGACTTCAATTTCCCTATATTTCTGGTTGTTCAATCGATATAAAATATCCATAGCCACATCTGAATTATTCGATTTCAATCGAATTCTTTCAAGTGAAATCCATTTGAAGTCTTCAGCAAGTTTTGAAGTCTACAAAATTTATATTATTCGAATTTTGGAGAAAAATAGAACCAACATGTTTTGCGTTTCCAATAACTTCCCCTAATTCCAAATACAAATATTTGATGTTCTCGGATTTTGCAAGAAAATAATATAGTTGATCAATTTGACTGGTTGAAATATCCAAAGTTTGAAGAAGCGGAAAATTATCGATTGATTTATTTTTGATGTGAAAATCGAGCTGAAAAAAAAAAGAATTAGGAAAATAAAAAACCTTTCCGAATTCTTCTAGACTACATTAATCCTTGTGGTTTTTCTGAGGAACTTGATTTGATTTGATTTTTGTGAACTCCGAGTTTTTATCACAAAAAAGAAACTCACTTTCCAAATTTTCAATTCCCGCAGATTATTCCTTGATTTCATCAAAATGTGCTTGAAAAACCTGACAGCCAAATTTTCAGCATTTCCAGCAGATTTCCACATAATTTCTCCACTTTGTCGAATTTCGCATAACTCTCCAATTTGTTTGAATGTTATCTCAAAAGTGAAATCAATTGTCAACTTGAAAATTGTGTTCTTTTTTTCCTCGAGTAATTTTTTCGATTGTCAAAGATTCAATTTCTTTTTCTTCTTGCAAAACTTGTTTCAAACAGGAAAATGAGCATTGCCCGAATTTTAGACTGAAAAAATGATTTTGAAAAATATTTTCAGATAAATAAATTACCGCTCTTTTCTGGTCAAATATTGGAAAACTTCGAGTTTTAATTCAAATGGCAAATCATTCCAAATAATCATTTCGAAAAGAAATAAAGAAAAAATGTTGAGAGAAAACTAGAGATTTTTTTTATCAAAATGATAAGTGATAAGAAAAAAAAATTAAGATGAGTAATATTTGTCATTAATTTTTTGGGTTTAAAAAAATTCAAAGTTATTTCATTTTTCGAAAAAAAAAGTCCCCAAAAAATATGTCACAACTTTTCCGCGCAAAGTTTTGAGTTACTATAAATCAATCAAATCCACACATCTGTATAGAAAAACAAAGAAACACATTTTGTGTGTCACCAGAGAAATAAGGAAAAGCACCAAAAATGCGCCAATCTCCTTATTTTGTTGACACATTTTTGATAGGAAGGGAAGTTTTTAGGACACAAGTTTCATTTACCTAAAATATTTATCGAAGATGGATTACTGTATCTGAACTACAGTACTTTTTTTATTAATGTTTATTCATAAGAAGTAAAATGGAACAGCCATAATGTGGGTTTTTTTTTGAGCTTTACCAAAATTTTTAGGATTTTCAGAAAACGAAATTCAAAATTTTCCTCCATGATCATAAATCAAGAATGAAACGAAAACGTTGCAAACTGGTTGAACAAATATTGAATTGGAGATGAATTACTGTATCTAAACTACAGTACTTTCAAGATCAATGCGAAGAACTGTCGCACTAAAACCAATCAGAAGCAGTTGCGCAATAAGAAAAATAAGGTAATTAAATGATTTTAATATAAGTACACTTTGAACACCAGATGCCCATTTTCTTATTCCTAACTATCATCTCAAGAATGTGTCATTCATTTTTGTCAACTTTTTCATTGCAGATCTTTGGGATTACTGTATCTAAACTACAGTACTTATTTGTCAAAAATCAATCAATAATTACAACATGATTGGCTGAAGAATCGAATCCATAGTTGTTATTTTCAGTGAGTTTTTAATTTTTTTCAAAAAAAACTTCACCAGCCTATTTGTTTTCCAGAAAATCCTGAAATCCTTTCATAATTGCTCGAATTTTGATTACTGATCAATCAATAAAAAATCAATCAATAATTACAACATAATTGGATCTTAAAGCGGAGACATAATTGTTATTTTCAGTGAGTTTGAACATTTTTCAAAAAACCTTAACAGCCAACTTCTTATTCAGAGAATCCTCTCATAATTGCTCGAATTTTGATTACTGTATCTAAACTACAGTACTTTTGACTTTCAAACTTTCAATTTTCTACGAACCTTGTTAAAATTGTTGCCTCTATACTCCACAAGACTCAATGGTCATATAGGTGAGATTTTTAAAATTCCCTGGAAGATTTTTCAGCCAAGTTTTTTTTGTTTCAGAAAAACCTTCAATTCTCTGACAATCAATATTGCTCGAACTTCATTACTGTATATAAATTACAGTACTTTTTTGTCACAAGCATATTTTCAATGTTTTTTGAGGAACTTCGTGTGGCGCGACGATAATAATTTGGTGTTGAAAATCTTAAGTTTTCTAAAGCATTTCATCAATAATTTTCGAAATTTGGACTACTGTATCTAAGCTACAGTACTGAAATGCTGAGAATTGAATAATTGGAAAAATGTGAGCTTGTTTTATTTTCAAAATGATAAGAAATCAAAAATATCTTCAGATCTTATGCATCGTTGGTCTGCAGAGACATGCCGTGTTAAAAATTCAATTTCTGAGATTGTTGAAAAATCCAAGGGTGTGTTATATTTTATTGGAATTCAATCAATAATTCTCGAAATTTCAGAAGATCTTCGAACACAACTTTGCTGCGAATATATTTCAATACTTTGAAAAAGTTATACTACTGTATCTAGACTACAGTACTCTTCTTCATATGCTCAAAATTGAAAAACAATGTGAAAAATTACGATCCGACCGTAAATTTGCTGGTGAGTTTTTTCCAAAAAATTTCCAATTAAATCATGTTTTTTTCAGAAATCTCTAAATCTTCAGAGTATGTGTTCCAAATTTATTATTGTATCTATATTACAGTACTAGTTACCTGTTATGATTGAAATTTAAATGAAGTAAGTTCAAACTTGATTCCGATTTTCTCAAAAATCCTAGAATGACTTGCAGATATACTTTGAGACCGTAACGGACTACTTCTGAAAATTCACTGATTGAAATAATTGCATTGTTTTGAAGTTTTAATAAATATTGTTTGCAGTTTGATGTTTTTCAGTCTACCTTTTAATAAAATCCCGATTGGGTAGTCTCTTGATGGAAGCAGGATTTTTCAATGCCCTCCCCCGTTCTCGATTTTTCTATAAAAAATAATAGGTAAACAATAAAATAAAATAAAAAAGTATAGTTTTTGTCGACGTGTCGTATAAAAAAACTGGTCTAAACTTGAATCGAACAGAAGATAGAGACGAAAAGATGCGAAATATTCCGCTGAAAATTATAAATTTGCAGAAAAAATTTATTTCTGGGTTTCAACAAAAAGCATCATTGTGAACCAATTTATTGATCGGTTTTGCTGGTTCGATCATGCATTGGGTAGGCGAAAAGAAACAGTTTCGTTGCATGTTTGTGTTGAAAGACTTGATAACAACTGGGCCGCCATTATAAAGAGCACTGCAAGATTCGGAGATTTTTGAAGCGAAGTGATTTTTTTTCAAAAACTCACCCTAAAGCCTATAGGTAATCTGTTGTCAAACCTGTTGTCAAATCTTTTGGCGAACAAGTGGAAAACAAAAAAACTAGCGCAAAAATAACAGTTTTCATTTTTTTTCCAGCCTAGAAAGTTTTTAGTTATTGGGAAGCTCTTATAAGCATACCTTGAACATTCAATTTTTAATGTCGAAATTGACTAGACCTCATAAAAAATTTTGGAAAAAATTCCGAGAAGAATTTCAAGAAATTGATGATTTTTCAGATTCTTATTTTAATGAAATCAAAAAATTCAACTAGTTTTGAAAAAGTTTGAAATCTTCGACTTCTCAAATTACACACTTTGTATAGTTAAAAAAAATTTATTCAATAAAATTTTATTTTGTGGATAACGGAATAAACAGATCCGTTTCTTTTTTCTTTTGAATACATTTTTTTCTTGTTTGAGTTCTCGAATTTGACCCTTGAAAAAGGCGACGATTCCAGAAATGCCGATCTGACAAAATCAATAATTTTTTTCTGCTAACTATTTGATTTGAAAACTCACAATTTTGAAGGTTTTGAATCAAAAGTACTGTAGTGTAGATACAGTAATAAAAATGTTGCGAAATATTGAAGAATCTGAACAAAAAACGAATGTTGTTTTTGAAACATCAAACATGTTAAAGCTCACCATCAAAAGATCTTATCGAGTGTGATATTCTCAAGCATGAAGAAGTTTTCAACAATACTGAAAAAATCTGATTTTGTTTTCCATTCTCAATTTTCAAATGTCTAATTTGGAAATAAATTTGAAATTACCTTATCAGCTCATTTCTGTTACACAACTTATGATAATTCAAAAATATTGTCCGAATGTTCACGGTTGATCCGATTATAATGAACAATCTAAAAAAATGAATATTTCAAGAAATCTCTGATGTTTGAAACAACTTACTTCAAATTTCAAAAATATTAATCGATAAATTAGAGTACTGTAGTTTAAATACAGTAATAAAAATGTGGCAAATATTAAGAAGTATGGTTTGTTCATTTCTGAAAACAAAAACTTGACTAGAAAAGTCTTTTGGAAATATTTAACTCACTGATGTTTCTGATGTTGTGAAATCGATAAGCAAATTCATAGAATGTTTGCGATTCTTGGAGATTTCTGCTATAAAACTTGGAATTTCAAAACTGTAATTTAGATACAGAATTTTGAACAATATTGATTTTTTTGCAATCAGTAGAATAACACCTTCAAAATCGATCCCGTGTGTTGCATCTCATGTGTGTTATTCTCAAATTTTCAAAGTTGGTCTTTTTTCGTTTTTTAATGAAGAGTACTGTAGTTTAGATACAATAATCCAATTGAGATCATTATTGATAAGTTGTGAAAATTCTGAAAAAAAATTAATTTGAGACTCCAATATTTTTTTTGTTTTCAAGATCACTTACACTAAAAAATATCATTTTGATTAATTGGATTCAGAAAGAAAAAGTACTGTAGTTTAGATACAGTAGTTTGAAGTTGAACAATTATTGAGAATATATACAAAACCTGAAAATCGGACATAAATCTTCATCTCAAACTTCAACTAGAATTTTTTTTTTTGAAAAAATTAAAACTTACAAATCTGGCAGTCATCGAAAATGCACTCTTGAAACTAGCTCTCAACCATTTTTAAAACTGAATAAAAGTACTGTAATTTAGAAACAGTAATCCATATTTGATAAATATTTTAGGTAAATAAATATAAACTTGATCCTAAAAACCTTCTCCTTCCAAAAATGTGTCAATGAAATAAGGTGATTGGCGCATTTTTTGTGCTTCTCCTTCTTGGTGACAGACACAAAAACAAAAATGTGTGGACTTGATTGATTTATTGAACACTCAACAAATGTGCGCGGGAAAACTTTGGACTAAAAACGCGCCAGTCTTCCTATTTTGTTGACACATTTTTGGAGAATGAATTCATGAAGTTGTCCTAAAATAATTATGTATTATTTACTGTATCTAAACTACAGTACTCTTGTCTCAAGTTAAATTTTGGTACCTGGTAAATTTCTGTTTTTTGTTGAAAAATTAATAATGTTTTATATTTTTCAGGAGTCATCGCAGTATATTTCATTTTCAACTTGAAGAAAAGAATCGTGTAAATAAAATCAATATCTTCCAATTCGAATATACTGTATCTAAACTACAGTACTTCTTCTCAAAACAATGTTATGATGAAAAATTGATGAGCAAAGTTAGATTTTTTCATGTCGAAGTGTAAATTTCGCATTCGAACAGAAGTAAGAATTGAGGCTTCCAGCTACACGATTTTGCCTAGATTTCATTCCGCCAGACGCCCAATATTGAGTTGCTACATATTTTCCCTAGCTTATAGTGAGTTTCTAGTTTTTTTCAAATTTCTAACAAAATCTAACTCATTTTCAGAAATCTTCTCAATATTTGCAACATTTTGATTATTGTATCTAAATTACAGTACTTTCAACAATCACATTTTCATTTTCATATTTTTTTGAATATGCCTTAGCGAACAATCAGACGCAAGGCAAAATATTTTTGGTTTAAGATCAAATAAATTTTTTATCAAGATTTGATGTTATCCAAAAAATTTCTAGAATACTTTCAGAAATTCTGAAGACTGTAGCTTCTCCGCTTAGGCTTGAATCTTGTGCTGAAAATGCTGGAAATCCTAAAAATTTCCGGAATGTTTGGCATAATTTTCTACAGTACCTTTGAAGGGTTTCTGGCCCCAAATTTTGTGCTGAAAGTCATGAATTCACTAATTTTCCGTGATTTCACGTGTTTCAGCACAAACTCCTAAAAGGTTACGGTAAAAAATTGTGCCTGAAATTCCAAAAATTTGGATCAAACCCAGAAATTTTCTGATTTTGGCACAACTTTCTATATTGAACTTTAAAAAACAAGTTTATTTAATTTAAAAATTCAACATGATTTATTATTTTGCTGGTTTTCCAGCCTCCCTCTTCTTATTTTTTCTCAACATCTTTGTTTTTTCCACCAATTTTCTTCTTTCGTAGAATAAACATAACAATCACACCAATAATCAACAAAATCAGAATAATCACAACTGCTGCTATAATTATATAAATCACTGGGAATTCTTCTTCTTCTTTTTCAGATTTTTGTGTTGTAGCTTTTGGGCCTTGAGAAGCACGGTGTGTTATTGGTTTTGTAGTTGGCAAAGGTGTTGTGGTTGGTTCTGTTTGTCTTTTGCGACCCAGAATATCATCGACACTGAAATGAAATAAATTAAATTTTGAAGAAGAAGAAGAGAAAGACGAGTTTCTCACTTACAAATTTCTAGTTGCGATTTGAAGTTTTTGAGAGGCGATGGCTGAAAATAACTTATTTTTTCAAACACCAAGTATAATATTATTTTTTTAATCTTACGATTAGTCACATCAACATCCTTGAGATCCACATTTAATGTTGCCGAATATCCACTAGTTGGTTTTTGATCAAATTTAATAAGTGAAAATTCGTATCTTGAGTCGAGCTGAGATCTATTGAAATGATTGATACGAGTAATAGTAGCCGCACTTGGAGCCTGATGTACAATCATGAAGATTTGTGTGAAATGTTCGAGCGTTTCATTAAGAGAAACTAAGGTATCAAGATCATGCTCTAAATGGAAAAATTCTCTTATATGATTTTTTTCAGCAAGTTTTTTCAATGAATCACGAGTTTGATTATATTCCGACGAATGATGAATTTCAATTGATTGACTGGCATCCGCAAAAACCGCAGATCTCGCTTGATATACAACTGGAAGCCAACATGTGACTTGTTTCAATACATAGAACACTTCTTCAGTCTGTGAATATTTTATGGTTATTTTTGTCAAAATCAAAACAAACTCACATTTCTTTCACCAAATCCAACCATAAAAAGAAACAAAATTTGTCCACCGGGAACATATTCCTGATTCGGTTTTTGTCTACATTCGGGATAATTGAAATTATCGGCAAATGTGATTGAAATACTTGTTAGAAATATTATTGATACAAAGGGTACAGTTCTCATTTGATTCGACTGGTTTTCTAGACTAATTTTATAGAGAAAGAGCGCGGCTGTTTTTGAATGTCTCGGGGTCATAGCTGAATGTCATCGAGGGTTTACGTCACGTGATAATAATAACGTTCACGCTTCACGCAAACATAAAAAAAAGCCAAAAGCCTGGAAGCCTACTTGGCTTTTACTGCGAAAAATCGAATGATACCACGGCCTAATGTCTAATATTTATCTGATCGTTGTGCAAAAACCTTATCGTGAATTCACAATGCTTCACCAGAATAAAAGAGATGTTGTCAAGATTTAGCATAATGTAATTTCCGGGAATCTCATCAAAATCAGTCGCAAAGATCAGTCGTTCACAATTGCAGGTGTTTTTTAATAAGCTTTTTTTTCTTCGTTCATTCAACATATATTTATTGCATGGAGGCGTACCTTCTGAATAATTATACGAAATGTCCGCCAACAACATTATTGGAATCAAATGAATTTCAAGTAATTATTTTTCGAACATTGTCAATTATCACATTTCCATCATTTGTTTATGGTGTTTACTTGATTTTATATGTCACTCCAGAATCGATGAAAAATGTCAAGAATACACTAATGTTTGTGCATATTTGCACATTTATATTTGATGCAATTGTTAATTGTCTAGTACAACCCTATTTTCTTCTACCTACCACAGCTCTTTATTTAAATGGAATTCTTTGGGTTTATCTCGGTTTACCTTTTCACTTTATATGTTGGATTGCACAATACTCGATGTACTGTAAGTGAATCTATTAGTTTTTATTTGTTTTCACCATGTTTCAGGTTTGGGAATGTCAATCATTTATTTATTCCAATCTCGTCACAGTATGATAATAACTGTGAAATATCGAATGACTAAAACTAGCACAAAAATAATATATTACACAGTAGGCTATTTTGTTGGTGCAATCGGTATGGCTTCCTATCATTTTCAAGATTTCGATGATGAAGAAGTAAAGCTACAATTTCTACAAACCGTGTATCCTTGCCCACCAATTGAATATTTTGATAAAAACACTTTTGTCGTCACAAACAATATGATGGTAATTGTAGTCGGTCAATGTATTGTCATATTTTATGCTTTTGCTCACGCTATTTTCTGGATTTTCTCAAGTGTCTATCAATTGACAAAGAAAACAGCGAAAATCTCGAAACATACTCGAGAAATGCAATTGAAGTTTCTAAAAGCAGTTAGTATTCAAATATCAGTTCCATTATTAGCAATTATGTGTCCTGGAACTGGTATGACAATTATGATTGCTGCTTCTCAAAAAAGTCAATTAATGAATAATATAATTATAAGTGCTTGTGGATTACACGGATTAATGTCCAATCTTTGCCTGATCTTTGTTCAAAGAGCATATCGTGATTTCACTTTTCGATGTTTCAACAGAAATCGAATGTTCTCAAAAGTTAGCATAGTAATAATACATACAGATGTTTTATAAAAGCATTTTACATAATTGGTTTTTGATTCGTAAGAACGTTTCATAGATTAATGTCGTAAATTTGTTTTAATGCCAATAATAACCTTGTTCAATAAAACATCGTTTTTCTGATGTTACAAAACTTCCGTTTCACAAGAGCAATGCACAATTTCCAGGTGATTTTTTAAAGCCAATTGACTCATTTTAAATGTTGTCTCGATTGTTTGCCAAAAATGAGAAAGTATGTACTTTGTTTTCATCATAATAATGCACAGGTGATTATAATCCAATTTTCTCGTTAAAAACTGATTTTGAGCAAAAAAAGTTGATTTTCTCTTATTTAAAAGTATATGTACCTACTGTAATTTGAAATTCAAATTCAAAATTTATAGTTTGTGACTAGGGGCTGTTAGCCCCCAGGCGTAACAGTATTCTCATTTATTTCAGTTTCATTTTTTTCCGTTCAAAAATTTGTAAATCTGGAAGCTCTTCCAGTTTTAAAAAACAAAACTGAAACAAATGATAAGACTGTTACGCCTGGGGGCTAACAGCCCCTAGTCTACCTTTTTTTTTACATAGATTATAAAACAAAAAAATCAAATAAAAACTGGCAATCGCGTGCAAAAAACTATGACAACATGCATGTACCTATGAATATTTCATAGTTTGTTTTTCAATAAAATCTGGAAGCTGATGATCTACAGGAAAAATATATTTTTGAATTAGAAAATCCAATACCATCAAGTTTAATTCAAAGCTTCATCTATTGATTTAAACATAGTAATTTTTACCCAATATTGTCCAATGAAGCTCAAATCTCACCTGTTAGTTTTGCCTCCCCCCCCCCCGCCCCAACCTCAAAATAAACTAACTTGACTGGCCCGTTCCCTGAGAAGTTGTTGAACTCTTTGAATATCTTGTCGAAACGAAACATCTTCTTGTTCGGAAGCCTGAAACTTCTACATTCTTTTTCTTTTTAAAATTTTCGCCTATTCTTGAACTTACATCAGAAAATGAGAATTGTGAATTTGATGGGACCGCTGCATTCTGTGACGGCTGTTTCTAGAAAAATAAGAAAATTAACACTTTCTGCGCTGAAAAACCACTCGAAAACCAGAAAAAAAGCAAAAAATAAAAATGTCGTGCAAAAAAAAAGAATAAATGCGAAACAACGATACTCCGCGTGCGCGTTGTTTAGCGTGTTTTTTTGCAGGGTAGATGAGAGAGTGTGGGAAATTGAGAGAGGGTTAGAGAGAGAGAGAGAGATGTATATATGTTTTTTGTTTGAAAAGATATTATTGATTGAACGTTTTTTTTAAATTGTTGTAATTTGAAATTCAAATTCAAAACTTATAAAGTTTGTTATGTGAAAAATTTCATTTTTTTTGTTTCTAATTTATAATTTCCTTATAAAAAACTCACTGTAAGTTACACAGTCTGTAACTTATAATTTTACTTCACAATCATATTTGTTTGAGAATGCTTTTTCTATATCTAAAGATTTCTAGAATTTTTCTGAAAACAAAAGTGTTGTGAAAAAATTCGAAAATATTGATATTTAATCGATAAAATTTTATTGAAAAATCGATCAAATTCAAAAAAAAATTCATTTTTGTATGATTCTCATACAGTCGGGACGAACTGTTCCATTTTGATGGGGAGATGAGATTCAAGTCTGAAATTGAAATTTTGAAAATAAAAAATCAGATGAAATACTCACCAATACATATATAACAAGTTTTCGGATAACAGTAAAGTACTGTAGTTTAGATACAGTAATCAAAATTTGAGCAATATTGAGAGCACTTCAGGATTTTCTGGAAAACAAATAGGCCGATGAAGTTTTTTGGAAAATTTCAAACTCACTGAACATATCACATATGAATTCGATTTTTGTCCTAATTTGTACCGATTGTGTTGAACCGTTATGGTGCAATCAATTAACCAATTTCGCCTGGAAAAAAAATTGAGAAATTGAAAATTGAAAAATCAAACTAACTGAGAATTGACATTTGAAGAAAAATATTCGGCGCAGCATAGTTGAACACCTTGGGATTCAAAATCTGGGAACTGGAGATGAATTCTTGAGAGTACTGTAGTCTAGATACAGTAATCAAAATTCGAGCATTGTTGATAATATTTACATATTTACAGAATGCTTGTGTGGTTGTATCTTCTGAAAATTCAAGAATTATTGATTGAATTCCAATAAAATATACAAACCTTTGGATTTTTGAACAATAAATATTCAATGTCCGCATTCACGATTATTTCTAGGTTCCTGCAAAAAATCAACCATTTTTATTCTGCCTATTTTTATCAGCGGGTCTTGCACCGAAAAAATCGAAGTTGGGAAGAGGGGAGAGTGATATTCGAATTCATATTTCAAATAAAATACTCACCAACTTTTTCAAATTTTTAGGCTTTTGCAGAATTTTTTTTGAAAACAAAGTTGAATTTCGTTTTCAGAAAACCGTGAAATTCAAAAAAAAAACCTACATTACAACATTTGGCTTTGCATATTTCACTTCTTATCAATAAATATGAATAAAAAAGTACTGTAATTTATTGTTAGATACAGTAATACATATTTGAAAATTATTTTAGGCAATTGAAACTTGTGTCCTAAAAACTTCCATTTCTTCCAAAAATGTGTCAACAAAATAGGAAGATTGGCGCAAATTATGGAGTTTTCAATAAATCAATCATGTCCACACATTTTTGTTGTGCCTGGCTGGCACCAAGAAGTAGGGAAAAGCACTAAAAATGCGCCAATCACCTTATTTTGTTGACACATTTTAGTTAGGAAAGGCACCTTTTTTTAGGATCAAGTTTATATTTATTCACCTAAAATATTTATCAAATATGGATTACTGTATCTAAATTACAGTACTTTTATTTTAAAAATTCGGCAAAAATGCAATGAGATAACGTGCAAATGTTAGGTAATTTTGATTTTGTTGTAATGGTTTTTCTGACTTCATGATACAATTTTCAGAATGAGTGAACTTGGATTACTGTATCTAAACTACAGTACTCTTGGCTGAATCCAATTAATAAATATCGGAAATTAACACATGATGATAAGGACATTATAGATCTGGATATTTTTAGTGTAAGTGATTTTGTCAACAAAAAAAGTTTTCGAGTTTTCAAATTATTTTTTTTTTCAGAAATCATACCAGCTCGTCAATAATGTTCTCAAATGGATTACTGTATCTAAATTACAGTACTTGCGGTATAAAATTTCAATTTTCAGTTTATCTGACTACAAGTTTGGTGAAAAGCCTTCGGTTTGTTAGATTTCATTAAAAAATTGAATTTAAAACAAGAAAAGTTTTTGAATTTTAAGGTCTATTTGCCATTGCGAGCAATAGTTAACAACCGAACGCTATCAATATTTTGGAATAAATATGCTACTGTATCTAAATTACAGTACTGTTGAATCAATATTATAAATTCGATTTAAATTGATGTGATGGTAAGTTTTGTAGTTGACTTTTATATTAATATATAATTGCATTTTTCCAGAACTCCATGGAATGGGACTCGAAAAAGATTGGAAGGAAAGTGAGTAAAAACATTCTTTCAAAGATTTGAAATTGGAATTAATCAACAGACATTGAATGATTTCAGGCTTCTGAAATAGAAAATGCATGCTAATTTCAATATTTGTGAAAATTGTATATTACTGTATCCAAACTACAGTACTTTTGATATTCAACTTTTAAACGTTCAATTCGAAATCGTGAGTTTAGCACCAAATTTTTTTAAATAGATGAAAAATAATTGAGATTTTTCAGGCATTTTCGGAATCATAGCATTCTACAAGGGCCAAATTCGATAACTCACATGAACATTATGGATTCAACCGAAGAAAAGCATGGATAGTTCTATTCCAAATCTTTCACCAAATTTTATTGAATAAATATTGTTAAATATACAAAGTGTATATTTTATTTGATTGCTAAAACCGCGAAATTTTCAGAAAAATCTTCCCTGGTAGACCAAACATTTGTTTTCTCTAAACCTCTTATTTTCGAATTGGAATTTTTGACTCTAGTTCCACCCCTAACTGTGGAAATATATGACTATTTCCTCAAAAATTCCATTTAACCCGATCATTTTAATTTCCAATTTTCTCCAAGTTATCGAAAGTCCTCAAAAACTTTGTTTATTTCTACTGTCTAGACATTTTCCCCACATCTGCTTTATCTCTTCTTTCTTCTGACCTTTTCTCATCTGGAAATATGTGCATACTGTGTTCCTTTTTGTATATTACACATCTGTTTGACCTCTGAAATATAATCATTATACATTTTCGTCGCAGTGACTTTGTAATTTGAGCACATAACTTACTTATGAGTAAATGGGCGTGGCTACTGCTGGAGATATAATATTTTATTATATTGTGTTCCTCAATATTTATTTCACTTTATCTAGACTACAGTACTTTCAACACAAAGTTTTGGCATCTTGTTTTGATTCACAAAATGTTCCAAGTGAGTTGAATATTTTCATCGATTTTTAAAATATATATATATTTATTGAACCACACCGATATACATTGTGAAAGACAAAAGAATTTAAAAAGAAGAGATAGTAGAGAAATGATAATCGAGATGACTGCAATAAAACAAAAAGGCCCGTAGGTCCTATAAAAAAGACAAGTTGGGCCATTTGAGAGGATGTGACTATGTGAATAATAAATGTGGTTTAACATGATAGTGAATAAGGATGCATTAAAGGTAAAATAAAGAGGGGAAAAGGAGTAAAGACAAAAAACTGAAATATGGGGGGGAGAAAGTTTAATGATGAATATTTGAATTAGATGAGAAGTTAGAAGTTAGAAGTTTTGACTCAGAACGAAGTTATTTGAATATAAGATAAAATGAGAGAATTAGAAATCCAATCCCCAACCCTCTGCAAACGCCTCCTTCCGTAAAAGGCCTGTTGGTCAATTAATCGGACCATGGCTAATATTGGTCAGGAGCGGACCAGTAACTTTTAGGAAGGGCTATTTCGGCTTTGCAGACAAGTATAGGAAGCAGAAGTCCAAGACAATCATTGGAGGCTAGAAAGGGTAACTTCGAACATCATTGTCATGAGGTGTTATTTACATGCGAGGAAAAATGAGAATAAATGAGTGATAGGAATAAGATATAAATATATACACGGTTAGGGGCGAGGCGAAACAAAAAAACTGTTTGGTAATGCGCGGATGGTTGATTTGAGCATTGTTAAGCTGGTGTCGTTTGTAAGTAAGGTGGCCAACTTGTTCCAATGTTTGAAGATATAACTGAAGAAGGTTTTGCAGAATCTCTTATCATTAAGTTTTATTGCTAGAGGTGTGCGAGGCGAAGATGAACTGGAAAAATATCTTATTTTGTCGGGGAAGTGGATTAGGTTTTTGCTTATGGAAAACATGATTGATAAAGAATGTTCTAAACTACGTCTGGCTGATGTAGTATAATCAGCCTGTTCGAGACGATTGTCATAGGAAGAGTATTGAAAGTTACATCTTCTGAAGATGTTCATAGTAAATCTGCGAAGAGGCCGTTCTAATAATACTTCCAATTTCTTGGATATAAACGGCCTATATACACAGCAGCCATAGTCAATGATTGGAGCAACGTAGGTTTTAAATATGAGTATGTATGGTCTGATATCCTTAAAACTGAAACTTCTCTGAATTTCCCGACATTTGGTCAATGTTTTTCGAACCGTTTCATTGCAATGATATTCAAAATTCAGCTTTTCGTCAATATAAATGCCCAAATCTCGGACCACTGGTACGGATGGAATTTGGATGCCATTAATAAAGTATCGATTCTTCTTGTTGTTTTTACCAAGGTGTAAGACAGAAGTTTTTGAGGGGGCCATAGGCATATCCCACTTCTTGGACCAGGCTACAATTTTGTCCAATGTAGATTGAAGTTTCTCGGGGTTACTGCTTGATATCTTGATATCATCCGCAAAAATTGTTGCCTCAACCTCATCATCAACCTCTAGTAGAACATCATTGATGTAAATAAGAAATAACAGGGGACCTGTTACAGTTCCTTGAAGAACACCTGAAGTAACCTGAAATTGATTGGATGAGATGTGATTGTTTACTTTGACTTGTGAGGTGCGGTTGAACAGAAAAATCCCCCAAAAATTTTCCGCGTAGGTCTCTCAGAAAAAATTGAAATAATTTTTTTTTATTGGAAAAGTTCACGTTTTATTATTTTAAAATTAATTTCTTTTTCAAAAAGATCCCTCAAAAAATTCCCGCGCGCACATTTTCGAGTTACCATAAATCAATCAAGTCCATACATCTTTTCTTGTGTCTGTCACCAAGAAGTAAGGAAAAGCACTAAAAATGCGCCAATCACCCTATTTCATTGACACATTTTTGACAGGAAGGGAAGTTTTTAGGACACAAGTTTCATTTACCTAAAATATTTATCGAATATGTATTACTGTATCTAAACTACAGTACTTTTCATTCAATTTCAGAATATTGCTAGTGGAAAACGCATTTCATACCAAAATGGTGAGAATTGAGTTTTTGTTAGGATTCTTCAGCAAAAATCAGTAGAAGACTGTTCAATTGAAAAAAAATTAAATAATTTCAGACTTCGGCCCAGGAAAAACCAGAAACTTTGGACGGAAATAGTTGGATATTTTTAGTGTAAGTGATTTTTTAAATACAATTTATAAACAGTTTTTGCCGGAAAAAAGGCTCGAATCCTAAATTATTTCAGAAAACATCAGAGCTCATCAATAATGTTCCTAATTTGATTACTGTATCTAAACTACAGTACTCTTGATATTCAAATTGCTATTAACAAAAACGAGGAAATTACACCGATATTGAAGAGATGGAGGAGGCCTGATTTTGAAGAAAAAATTATCACGAGATTACTGTATCTAAACTACAGTACTTTGCTTTGAAAGCTATCATAAAGAGGTGAGTTTTTTTTAAACCTTTTCAGAATTTTTAAAAGTTAAAAAAAATTCTAGATTCTCTGTCACGGATCATTCTTTTTACAAATTGACGATTGATTTTGGATATTTTCCCGTACACCAATGGAATATGGGTGATTTACGACATTCTGGTGAGTTTCAGATTTTTTTTAGACTTCTGAAAAAAAAATTTTAGAACACTTCAAATTTCACCAAAAATGTTTTCAATTAGATTACTGTATCTAAACTACAGTACTATTTCATCGATTTATAAATTAAGGTAAGCATTTCAGTTATTTTTCCTCCGACAATTCCAAAAAAAACCTTGTTAGCAGAATGCCAACAAATTTATCTTTTTGCCCATTGGTTTCCCAAACTTTGTCCAAATATTTCCAAATTTTTTTTTCAAGCCACGTTTTTGTTTCAGAAACATCTCCGAAACTTCTCAATAATTGTCAAATTTGTATTACTGTATATAAACTACAGTACTTTTATTCAAAATTATTCGAAATCGGTAAGTTTTCTTATCAAATCAAAATTTAGTTACCCCAAATTCGAAAAATTTTATTTTTTCAGGACTACGACGCAGAAACGGCAGTTCAGGGCTTTTAATGGAAATTTGTGAGATTTCTTCAAAATAAAATTTCAATTTTCTCTCATTGGACATTGAAGAAGTTTCGCTAAATTCAATATTTTCGAAAGTGAGTTCATTAATTTGACAATATTTTAAAAGCCCATTTTTTTCCAGAGTTCTCACCTCAACAGACATAAAAAACGATCTCTGCACATTGGTAGCATTAAAACTAAAAGGTTAATAGTAAGTTTCAGTTTTATTTTTCTATTTTCATGATAAAATTGTTTTTTTTAAGAAAAAAAAAATCAATACACATTCGGAAAACACATTGATTACGAAAATTGGAATGCGTTGCATTACTGTATCTAAACTACAGTACTTTCATGCAAAATGTAATATTCAAATGAAAATTGGTGAGTTTTTTAGCAATAAAAATGTATTTGATTTGAGATTTGATTTTTCAGACAGACTGATTTCACCGAACATCGAAGAAGTTCGGCCAAATTGAATTTTTTTGAAAGTGAGTTTTTTAATTCGAAAGTTTTTTATTCGAAAAAGCCCATTTTTTCAGAACCCTTCACACAACATCAGGATTTTTGATATCGAATCCAGAAATAAATTTTTTGAAAATAAAGTTTCAAATAATAAACATTTAAAAATGCTAATCCTGATGTGCACATGGGTATTCGCTTCCCTTTCTAAATTTATTCTCATCATCATTATGTTCGATTCGCAATTTTCTAGCATTTACAGTCATATAAACTTGACTCAAAGCCACATTCTTTTCTGCACTTTTCGTTTTTCTGTGAAAATCCACACTATCATGATATTGCAGTTCCTCTGAATTTACAATCCCATCAGAATCTTTGAAAAAATATTTGAATTTCGTGCCATCGCAAAACTTCATTTCAAAATTATCCGCGAATTAAGAAAGAAGAAATTTTTTTGTACGCGTTCAGCACACTTTTCGTACCAGTTCAATCCCTTTTCAGTGCGAGATCGCGAGCACAGTCAATTCCAGCACTCAACTGGAGATAAACCGGAACATAAAAAGAACTGAACTAGTACAGAGCGCTTTTTGGGGAACTGAACTGGTACGCGCTTGCTTGCGTCGCTCGCTTGAATGTTCTGAACCTGTACACTTTTTCTATTGAAAAAGGCGTTTTGCGAGCAAAATTTGTACTGAACACGTACACTTTTATGAAACAAAATATTTATTGATTAACTAATGTCAATTATTTTACTGTTGGTGGGTTGACCTGATGGAGCGGCTGTGTAGATTTTTGCCAAGTCGGATTGAGAAGTCTTGATGGATCGGCATTTGTTGACTGGGGATTGATGTTGTTTTGCTGATCCATGAAGATATTGTTGTAGTTGACTGACTGAAAGAAAATTTTGTTCAAAAATTCAGATTTAAAATGAGATTTATCAACCATAACCTTGAAAAATGAACATGTTTGAATGTTGGATTATTTATTTACTAGGAAGAAAAATTTTCCCAACTTTTTGTACAGAAAAGCACAAAAAATATTTCAAATGATAATTTTTTAAAGTGCTTACCTTTTCTAATTATCCTCATTTCCAGCCGCGCTTCGAAATTAATTAATTGTCTGCTTTTTGATAGTTGTAGTTGAGGCAATAATCATGATTGCTCTGAAAGTTTGTTAAATTACAATTAAACGTTGAAATAACCCAAAAAACGCAAGAAGAATATTTCGAAAAATAAAAATTGTGAATAAAAAGACGGATTTATATTAAAATAAGACAAATTCAACATGAAACGACAATAAGCATTTTTCTTGAATTAATTTAAAAAAATCAATTTGAAACGACGTTCAATTCATCAAAAAACGATGAAAAACAAAAAAAGGCCCAAAATTTTCGAAAACAAAAAATGAGAAATTCTCCTGGAGTTTGGCTGAACCTTTAATTCGTGTCGAGACCACCGTGCTCGTCAAAAAGTACTGAACCAGCACAGCACAAAAGTGTGTCGCGTGCAATAACGGACTGTACCGGTACGAAATTATTTCATTTGTGTACGGGTTCAGAACATCTATCAAAACATGGCATTTTCAAGCCAAGCAGCTACACAGACTGACCGTGGACTCGCATAAGTTTGAACGCGTACTCGATGGGAACTGAACGCGTACAAATGCACAAAACGTGCTGATCGGGTACAAAAAAATTCCTGAGATTGTTTAGTTAGAACTTCTCTTCCATTTGTTGCACTTTGTCTCTCTTCGAAAAAATTATACAACTCCACAACATTTATAATTTTTAATTTCAAATCATAATTCCAACCCACCACTTGATTTTTCCATTTTTTACAACTTATATCCATCACATGTGTATTTCTCCAATAAGAAGTTACATTACCTTTCTTCCTCAAAACCCAATAAAAAGCTAATCTATAATAGAATCTAAAATTTTCCCACGAAAAATTCCAATATAAAATCAGTTAGTCTAGCCATTTCCCTCCAAAAAACATGAAAACCAAAATTTTCCTCCTAATTTTCATCAAATTCTTCCCAATTTTCGAAACCCTCGATTTCGATGAGATAACTTATCGTAAAATCCCAGCAATGGACTTCTCAACAAAGCTTCTGAAATCAATTCAAGAACAACAAAGGAAAGTGGATGTAAAATTTGTGAGTTGCGTTGGAAAATGGGATGATGAAACATTGTTTGATGTTCAACATAAATTCAAAAACTTTGAAAATTCAACAATTGATGTTGCTGCAATTCGATACGTTGGAGATCAAACAGTTTTATATTTCGAAGTATTTTCAGAATCATCAATTCATTATAGATTAGCTTTTTATTGGGTTTTGAGGAAGAAAGATGGTGTTCCTTCTTATTGGGGAATTTCACATGTAATGGATATAAGTTGTAAAAAATGGAAAAATCAAGTGATGGGTTGGAATTATGATTTGAAATTGACAATTGTTAGTGTTATAGAGTTGTATAATTTTTTCGAAGAGAGACAAAATGCGACCAATGGAAGAGAAGTTCTAGCTAAACGATTCGCGGATAATTTTGAAATGAAGTTTTGCGATGGCGCGAAATTCAAATATTTTTTCAAAGATTCTGATGGGATTGTAAATTCAGAGGAACTGCAATATCATGATAGTGTAGATTTTCACAGAAATAATGAAGAGGATAAACTAGAAGGTATAAGTCAATGTTATATGACTATAAATGGTAGAAAATTACAAATCGAGCATAATGATGATAAAAATCAATTTACAAAGGGACGGGAATATCCATGTGATTAGAAATTTAACATAATGATGATAAATAGGGTAAAACGCAGAACAGGCCCCCACCCCAATTCAGGTCCCCACATCCCAGGAGAAGCCCCCACTTTGGACCCACCCAGTGAAAAAATAATATTTTGGGGTCCTCATTTTGGGTGGGGGTCTATTATTCAGTGGGGGGCTCAACTAACTGTGGGGGCCTCATCTAAGATAATTTTAATGAGTGAGGGGGCCTCATCTACGGTCTCAGGTTAAATCTTAGATCAGCACCCCACCCATATCATTTTATGCCCCCAATTCGGAACTCTGTTTCAGGCCCCCAAAATCGTCTTAGTTCAGGCCCCCATTTTGAAAAATTGTCTTAGTTGAGACCCCCACCTAAAAAATTTGTCTTAGATGAGGTCCCCACAATGAAAAAAAATTAATTAAAAATCGGAATGATTAGTTTTTTGCCAATTTTTCTGAACAAAAATTTGCTACGTGCAGCTTTCTTTTTCGCGGGTAGGTCAAAAAAAAATTTTGTTTCGTTATTTTTTCCATAAATTTTTGTTTTTTGAAAATACCGCGCGGGGGCCTGTAACATAGTTCCGAATCGGGGGCATAAAATGATATGGGTGGGGGCCTGTTCTGCGTTTCACCCTGATAAATATTTAAAAAAAAAACGGTTTGACAGAGTCAAAATTTGTATTTACCAAATAAATTTTTGATCTTCGTCGCGAACAGGTCAAAAATAATTTGCAAAACAAATGCATTATTTTTTATTTTTTGCGTGACATTTATTTACCAAAAAAATCTATGTCTGCGTGGATCCTGTTATTTTCGAATTTCGGAAGCTTAAAAGTAACTGCAATTTTTTTCCCGGATAATTCGTTGAAAGTGCGCTCAATTTTCTATAACAGGTAATATTTTTCTCATCTCTTCTGAAACCTATGTGCCCTAAAAACCCCTTGCGCGCAAAAAAAATGAAAAAATAAAATCAAGGTACAGCGATTTTTCACATGCGTGGGTCTCGCAGCGAAAATGTGTGCGGCCTCTTGTGTGGCGGGGAAATTCAAAAAAATCATTTCGAGTTTTGGGATTTTTCTTTTTTTCAGGGAAACTTGAGGTTTTTCACCACGTTTATTGATTTTTTAAAAGTTTCTGGGTCTGTAGAGTGACTCTGTAAGTAAATTTAGACAATAAAATCTTAATTTTCTTGCGGGAAAAGTCCAATTTTTCCAAAAAAAAAAATCAATAAACTGCGAAACTGATAGTATCTAGCTAGGTTGGGCTAATCTAATTATAATTATCAGAAAAATCCCTTCGCTTCTTTGCGAACAATGTTTCGTTCGCTTCCGTTTCATATGCTATTTTTACATGTATTTTTTCACGGAACAAAACATTTTCATTTCGCGGGCGGGCCTTTTGACAACAAAATTTCTTTTGTTTTCTGAAACTTTCTGAGTCATTTTTGCAATTTGCGACAACACTTTACGAATTTTTTCCGCTTTCAGCATTTTCTTTGAATTTTCTAGGATACATCGATTCGATAGTAATTTGGATTTTTTGCGTGCATTTTGTGACAAATCGATTTCTTTCTCCTCTTGGACTGCGTCAGGTGTTTCTTTTTCTTCATGACTCCTTCTTGAATTTCTTCATCTTCTCCTTCAGACTTTTTCCCCCACAAGATTTTTTTTGCTCTTGTCTTGTTGCTTGCTTCGCCTGTCGGGTTGCCTGATGGATTTATTTGAGTGAGAAGAGAAACATCGTAGTGATAGGAGTTTTTTCCTCGTTTTCTTCTTTCTTCTGCTTCCCGCCTGATCGTTTTAATTATTTTTTTCTTCTTGATCGGTTTTTATATGAGCTAAATAGATCAAAGAATTTTTCGCGAAGAGAAATTGCAGGATTTTGCTTTTTTCGCCTGCAGAATTTACGATTTTTGTTCTAGTAAAGTGGTTGATAATTTCAATTTGAAGTTATGAAGTTTATGACGTCATAAACTTATTTCTGCTCTTTGACATTCCCTGTGAATGGCCACTAGAGTTAGGTCTATTTGTACTATGAATACTATTAGAACCAAATATTTCAAAGCACATGCTCAAAAATGACATTTAGTTAATTTTCCATAACCTCTTCAGTGAGAATTTTGTGAATTCTGTTCAATACTAAAAAGAGATCTCAGCCTTCAGACAATAATCTGGAATTTCCAGCAACTTCTCCAATTCTTCTTTAATTTCATAATATTGAGGTTTGGGTCCGCCCCGTGACAACATACTTATTTCCGGCTGAAATTTGAGAACTTTCCAGCTCATTTTCACAACTATTCCACGAGAATATCTGTTCCTGACCCAGGTATTCCAAATATTGTTTTCAAAACACCCTTTTCTTCAGATAATCTATAACACAGATCTTTTCGCGTTCCCTATATTCTCTAGGAATTCTTATTCCTACTCCAAAAACAAATATTGTGATTGTTTCCACTTCTTCTCACCTTGTTATTTAATCACATAAATCATTTTTGATCACTTTTATAATAACTGGATATCTCCTATTTTATCTTATCTCCTTTTTTGTCATTTTTTCGTGATAGAAATTGCGGCTATTGTTTTCATAAGGAGGTAAAATTTGATTATTTTCAATTTTTCTCGGGAAAAAACAGGGCGTTGTTTTTTGTTTGTTATCAGCAGTTTCATGAATCACTCACCCCGCTGCCAATAAAAATATGACATTTATTTTTTTTTAATGCAGTTTGTTTTAAAATTTTTGAAAAAATAATTATGTGATTCAAGTAGAACAGTTTTTGACACAAAATTTCGGTTCACCAAATGTCAATTTTTTTTTCCTAATTTTCGGACGCAATTATTTTCAACTTCAAAATGACCCACAACTGATTAGTTCCACGATATTCTCACGAAAGTAATTTTCATTATAATAAAAATCAAAAATGTATATTTATTTATACAAAACCCTCTTACTTTTTCGTCCCGCTCGTTTTCTCTAATTCTCTCTGTCTTCACCATTATTTCTTGGTCATTTCATCCCGCCAACCCCAACGAAATTTCTTCTTCTTCTTTTCGTTCTTTTTTTCCGCATACATAACTTTTTCGCATGTTTATGTTTAACAACAAACTTTTTGTTGTGTTCTTGTTTTTTTTTGGCTGGGAATAGGCTTGATAGGATTAGGATTAACGTTGTTGGCTGACCTGAACTTTCAAATTTTGGCAAAATTTTCCTAGTTTCTCTTGCGGCAAAACCCTGATTTTGTAGGTGTGAAGTCAATATTTGAATAATAAAATATCATTCGTTCATTCCCATGCCATCATAAATATGAAAACGAGAATCGAATCGTGCACATATTTAATAATGACTCATCTTCTTGTCGTCGTTCTTTCTCAAAAACATAAAAAAGTTTTTTTTTCCTATGTTCTTTTTTTTTGAGAAGCAACAGAAATAAACTGTGTTGTGTTTTGCAGCTGCAAACTGTTCTATGCAGCTGGGGCTTTTCGCGAAGTTTCGAAAATGTGTACTTTCTACGTGGATTTTCACATGTAGTTTGGGTTATTTAGAAATAGGTTTATTTGAGATAGTTTGAGAAATTTAGTTGAAAAAAAATTAATTTAAAAAAAAACGTTTTCTAGCAAAAAATTCGATTCAGAAAAAAAGTGGAATATATATTTTTCCGTATTTCTCGAAATCTTTTGTCAAAAAAAAGTTTTATCATTAATTTTTTACGATTATCAACCCATAAGAAATCCATATGTTTTTCAAATAAAAAATTTTCCCCACGTGAACTTTCATATTTTCTACATTTTTCCTTATGTCTCCATTCCGCCCGTTTTTCTCACATTCCTCCATAAAAATTTACATTTCCCTAATTTTCTTCAGAGAAACCGATAGCGATCAATATAATATAGGAAATATTGTTTTTGTTTTCGAAATCGAACACCATCTGAAATATGGCGCAACCACCGAAGCGTCTTGATCAAGAAGAAGAGGTTCGTTTTTTTGTTTTTGGGAAAAAAGTGCTAATAAGGGTTTCTGACGAATTTTGATTTCTGGAACTGTTTTATCAAAAGTTCGTTGTGAGATCTTATGAACTTTCCTCATCAACAAATTTTGATGAGTAATTTTTATTGTACCCCTCCTCCTAGATTGAAGGTTCCCAAAACAATATCATTTTTTGCAGGTAGTTCCAGCGATTCGTCACGACGACGCCGAATGGAAAATCATCCAACAAAACACATTTACTCGCTGGGTAAACAATCATCTCCAAAAGGCGAACGAATCAATCAATAGTTTGGAGACGGATTTGAGCGACGGATTGAAATTAATCACTTTGGCTGGTGTTTTGTCGCAGAAAAATGTGGGAAAATTCAACAAAAAAGTCAATTTCCGATCGCAAAAATTGGAAAATGTCTCGTTGGCTTTGAATTTCTTCCAGAATGAGGAGAATATCAAAATTATCAATATCGGTAAGATTTTGATTTTTATTCAAAAAATTTCCCGGAAAAGTTGCGCGCAAGAAAAAGCATGTGTTGTTTGTTTCTCCAAACAATACACACTATTTTTATATGTATAATAAATATTGTATATTTATTCTTCGGCTCCTGAATGCTTTTACGGCCACCCAATGACCACTTTTTTCTGCTTGTGGCATTGGAATTAGCACTTTTTTTGAATTTTTTGAGTTAGAAGTTTACACGATTTTTTGTTTTGTTAAAAATATAGTTAAAAAGCTGAAAATTAGAATAATAAGCTATTTTTTGTAAGAAATTCTTTATAATTTGACACGAAAACATATATTCTGCGCAAGTTTCTGGCATTTTCATCCATTTTAATTTTTTAAAACTAAATTTTCGCCTCACAAAAAACTTTTTTACAGACAGTACCCACATTGTCGATCACAACAAGAAATTGATTCTCGGTCTCATTTGGACCCTCATTCTCCATTATTCAATCTCAATGGGATGGATTCAGGAAAAACGAGAAGATGGAGTTCCAGACGAAACACCAAAACAAAAACTCTTGAATTGGATCCGTAATCGTCTTCCAGGAATGCCAATCTCAAACTTCACATCCGATTGGAATGATGGTGTTGCATTGGGTGCTTTGGTGAATTCAATGGCGCCGGGAAGTTTGGGAGATTGGGAACATTGGTCGCCAGATGAGGCGTTGGAAAATACGGAAAAGGCGATGAAAACCGCGCAAGATGTTTTGAAGGTTGCACCACTTATTGCGCCGGCTGAAATGATTCATCCGGAAATTGATGAGATGTCGGTTATGACCTATTTGTCACAATTCCCAGCGACTAAGTGAGTTTTATTTTTCATTTTCAGGGAAAATGTCAAAGAGGGGTTTCTTTTTGAAAATCGAATTTCTATTGAAAAAAAAGAAAAGGGATTTAGGACTTCAAAAATAAAATGAAAAAACTACTCAGGTTCAAAAAAAACCTAGATTTTTGAAATTCTAAAACATCAGAATCTGGAATTGTAAAATTATTCTCACACAAATTTCAAACAAAACTCACATTTTTCAATAATTATATTTTTCCAGACCAGTCATCGTCAAACCAAAAGTATCTGCACACATCAGTGATCTCGAAAAAACGCTTATCGTCAACAAACCAACCGAATTCACACTCAAATTGTCACACGACACACACAAGCCAAAAATCACAATTCGAGATGCTGACGGTCAAGATGTTCATCATACACCAACCAAAAAATCGGCAGACGATGAGATTTATCGTGTCAAATTCACGCCGACGAAAATCGGACCACTTAGTGTTGAGATTGCTGCAACTGATTTGTTGACATTCGAAACTGAACCAATTCCAAGCGCGAGTCGAATTTGTGATGTTGTTCCACTTGCCAGATTATTGGAATATGAAAAGAAGGCAAAAGTTGGGGATGAGATTCGATTTACTGTTGTTGATGCGATTCAAGGTGGACCGGTTGAAGCGATTGTTGTTGATGCAAATGGAAAAGAACATCGATTGACTGTTGTTGGATCGGAAACACCTGGAGAATACACTTTCGATTATTTGATTCCAAATGTTGGTTTGCATTCTGTCAATGTTTTCCACAAGAAATTGCCGATTAATGGAAGTCCTTTTCCACTTCGAGCAAAAGCCAAGAATGCGTTGAAAGTTTGGGGAAGAGGAATTCAACCGGAAGGAATTCGAAATGGTGATGTTGTTGGAGTCCATGTTGAATCGGCGGATAAAGATGATTCATTGGCTGATGGAAATGTTCAATTGGAGGTTTTGAAAGGTAGTTTTGATTTTTTTTCACACCCGCCCAAGCCACACAAAAATTAGCAAAACGCTGTAAAAACGGTGCGCCATGTAGCTCGAAACCTAGATAAGGTCCATGAAAAACTAAATATAGCATGAAAATCTTATTTTTTGAGGTCCTGCGAAGAAAGTTAGCAATCGCGACAAGACCCTACGCATTAAATTTATCATGTTCCTTTAATACTGTAGTACGAAATATAACGGCGAAGAGAGAGAATTAGACAAAAGTGTTTGCACAGTTTTTTTCATTCGCAGATTTTTCGTTTTACAGTAGAAAACACTCATTGCGTGGCTTGAACGGGTGTGTTTTAAAACTTTTGAATATTTATCGATTTTTCTAGCCGATGGTTCTCGTCTTCCTGTTTCGGTTGATTTCGATGACGAAGAGAACATACTCAATTTCGCATATTCGCCAACTGAAGAAGGACCATTGGAAGTTGTTGTATCTTCAAATGGAACACCTCTCGAAACACACAAAGTCAATGTTGGCCCGAAATCTGCTTCGAAAATCCGCGCATTCGGTCCAGGTCTTGAAGGTGGAATTGTTAACGAGCCATGTGTTTTTAATGTTGAAATGAATGGAGAATTGACTGATTTATCGTTTGCTGTTGAAGGACCAAGCAAAGCGGAGATGAATTCGCAAGAAAGACCCGATGGATCGGCTTTGTTCTCGTATACGGTGAGATTTTGAAAAATGGGCATAGGAAAATATTCTAAAAATCATGAATTGCTCATATTATACTTAATTTTGAATACCAAAAAAAATCTGGAAATTGAAACGTTGAATTTTAATCTAAAAATCTGTGCTCATTATATACAAAAATAATCATTTACAGCCAACTGAAAAAGGAGTCTACAAAGTCTCTGTCTTGGCACACGGTGAACACATTCAAGATTCCCCATTCGTTTTGCCAATCAAAGAAGCCCCGTTGAATTTCAAGCCAACAGCAGCAAGAGTTACTGGATTGGATGACACAAAAACGTATCCAGTTGGCGAAAAAGTTGTATTCCGAGTTGATACTCGTTTGGTTGGAGCCGATATTGTACCAAAAGTTGAATTGTTTGATTCGCAATTGAATGGTTTGCCATTTGGTGCAAGAGAAGTTACACCGGGAATTTTTGAGTATAATTTCACGCCACTCACTCCGGTCAAACACAATGTTGATGTTAGTGTTGGAGGAGTTTCAGTCCCAGGTGCACCGTATGGAATTAAAGTCATTGAACCGGTTGACGTTTCGAAATTGAGAATTTATGGACCTGGAGTTGATGGACCGGTTTATTCGAAAGAAGCGACACGTTTCACAATTGATGCGACACAAGCTGGACCGGGAGCTGTTGAAGTTGCGTTGACTGATGGATTGGGAGAAAATGTGGATTTGGATGTTTTGAATAATCAAGATGGATCATTCACTGTCAAGTATACTGCGCAAAGACCAGGAGCTTATCAGGTTAGTTGAATTGGGAAGATTTTTGGGATTTTCTCGTTCGGGAAATGTTTCTAGGAAAAAATCCTCTAAAAATCCTGGTCAGAATTCGATTTATTGTTGTGGATCGGAAGAATCTATATAATTTTCTGAAGTTTTACACAAAAATTAATCTATTCAAAATTTAAAATCATATTTTTTCAGTTGAATGTTGTTTTCGCCGGCGAAGAAATCTCACCAATCGCCATCAATGTCAAACCAAATGTTGATGTTTCCGGAATTCGCGTCGATGGTTTGGAAAATGGTATGTTCATGTTTTTAATCGTTTTCTTGTTGTTCTTGTATGATTGGATTTGTCACTATTACTACTACGAGTGATTTTTTCTTCATTGATCTCTTTTTCATAGTTTTTTTTCTAGCTAATATGAATTTTGCACGGTTTTTGAAGTTAATTGGAGTGATGGTGTTTTTCTCACCGATTGTTTTTTATTTTTGTTTTCTATTGATTTTTGTTTGGTTTTTTTGTGATTTGCTGTGAGGAATAACTGAATTATCGTAACTTCATTATTTTTGTTTCCAGCTGTTGTTACGGTGAACGTTGAAAAAGAGATTCATGTTTTTACGACGGATGGAGAAAATACGAGAATTGTTATAACTTCGCCGTCTGGAAGAGTGGTTGAAGCGATTATTGAAAGTACACCAACTGGATTTAGAGTTCGATTTACACCGTCAGAAATTGGAAATTATCGAATTGATGTGACGTATCAAGATATTCCAATCGAGAAATCACCATTTACTCTTACCTCGATTCCTGGAGAACAAGAAGAGCAAAACGGGTCTGGGGAACTCGCTGAAGCTGAATATCTTGTTAGTGGCTCTGGACCACCGAGAGCTGATTTAGTGACAGTTTCTGGTCCTGGGCTTGGTCCTCTTGTTTCACAACGCCCAACTTTTGTTCTAATCGACACTACTAATGCTGGTTTTGGAGATATTGATGTTTATGTCGATGGTCCGAATCGAACCCCTCTTCATTGTGTAGATAATCAAGATGGCATTTTGAAAATGTGTTTCACCCCAAAAACTGCAGGATTGTATTATTTGAGAGTAATGTTTGATAATGAACATGTTCCGAGTAGCCCGTTTCAAATTGTCGCAGTTTCGCCGCCACTTTTAGATACGCCTGGAATTTCGGAACGAAGTGAAAGTCCTTTTTCGTCGATTTCTAGTGGAAGTACTGCAGCTTGCAGTTAACACAACTATTTTCTGTGATTTTCCATTGATCTCGATGTATTTTGTTTTTTTCTCATTTTTTGTACATAAATAAATCTGTTGTAAATTGTTTTATCATCTTTGATTTGTTTTGAAAATGTTCTCAAAACGGAAATTTAAAAAAAGGATCCCAAAATTAACTTTTGATAAAAAATACTACCTCGACCACGCTGAAAAAGGGGATCGTTTTCAGCACTGTCGAATTTGTATGCTTCACTATTTTTTTTCAAATCAATAGTTAATTTCAAAACCTAAAACATTTACGTTTTCAAAAAGTGCATAGGTCCCACAAAAACCTTTATTTTCAGCCAAGGCTTTGGTCGGAACTCGATTCGAGCCAAAAATCGATATTGGAGATTTGAAACCAAAAGGAAAAGGACTCCAAATTCTTGATGAAGTCAACGGCAAAACCTACAATGTTCCACTCAAAATTGATGAACATGGAAATTTTGCGACCGAAATTCCATTGACTGAAGTTGGAAGTCATAATATGAAAGTTCTTTTTGACGAAATTCCGGTTGCCGAGTCGACGATTGAAATTCTGAAAGGAACCGATCCGACCAAATGTAAAGCTTATGGATCTGGTCTAGAAAGTGCGATTGTTGGCGAGAAGGCGTCTTTTGAATTGGACACAAATGGAAGTGGAGAAGGAGCGGTTAAATTGGAAATGAAGGGACCATCAAAAGCTGAGTCGAAGATTCAGGATCTTGGAAATGGAAAATGTGCGGTTGATTATGTTGCGAATCAACCAGGAGAATATGAAATGGCGATTTTGTTTGGAGATGAAAAGGAGAAGAAACATGTTAAAGGTTTGACCAAAAATGTTATTGTCTTATTGTTAAAAGAAACAATAATGGAAAAGATACGGTTTTTGAAACTGAAATTTTCGATCTAAAATTTGAACATATTCTTTATTTTCACCTTTAAAGTGTATTTTTTGCAGGATCCCCATTCAAAACAATTGTTGACTACAAAAAAGACCCGAGCAAAGTCATTGTTTCTGGTCTCGAAACTCCAATTGCTCGAATCAATACACCAGTCAATTTCATCATCGATGCCACAAAAACCAAAGAAGGTCCAATTGAATTGCGAGTTTCACCAGAATTTGTCAAATCTCCACCAAAAGTTGAGAGATCTGTTGAGAATCCGCGAATCTTCAATGCCTCATTCACACCTTCTGATTCTTCCTCAACTGCCACATCAGTTCCATTGGAAATTCTCTATGATGGAGAAGTGATTCCGAAAAATCCACAACCGTTGAAATTGATACCCGAATGTCAACCGGAAATGATTCGAATTGGAGGCGGAAATGCGGAAAAACATGCGCAAGCATCGCAAGTTGCGGATTTGGAATTTGATGTTAGAGAATGCGGAAATGTTAAGGAGATTGGAGCTAATGTTATTGTAAGTTGAAGGAAAAATCTTTTACTATCAGTTTTAAAACTACTGTTTTCAGGGACCAGATGGAGCTGAACGTGAGCATCATATTCGCGCAGTTCCAGACAAAGCTGGAATTTTCGACTTGGCTTTCAACACTGATATGGCTGGAGATTACACAGTCAACTTGTATATCAATGGCCAAAAGGTTGACCGAAAAATCACAATTCATGCGGATAAAATTGGAAAAGCTGATGATGTTTCGAAGGTTTCGGATGCTTTGATTCACGATGATTTGAACAAGCGAAAAATTGTTGTGAATGGAGAAAATTGTGAGATTGGATATGCTGTGCCGGTTGAAAATGCGAAAAAGAACAAGAAGGCTGGACATGCTCAACCACAACTTTGCGTTGTTGCCGAAAGACCGGATGCGGTTAAACTTGGTAGGGTTTTGGGGAATTTTTGAAATAATATCCAGGAGCTCTTTTTTGAAGATCTAGGAATCTTCGTTCTAAATTCTCCGTGATAGAATATCTCAATTAGAAAATTTTGAAAATTGTTTTTTTTTGTGATATCTCAAGAAGTTTGTGTTGAAAATTTCTTCACTTTTCCAAAATAAAAAAAAAATCAATTTCTGTTTATTTTTCCAGAAAGAGTCCGCGAAGTTTCCGAAAATGGCAAAAATATTGAGGAGAAAATCATCTTCACGGCAATCAAACCCGGACATAATTTATTGAATATTTATTATGGTGGAGAACATGTTGATACGGTTGAATATGAAGTGAGTTTTTTTCTGTTTTCTTCAAAAATCTCGAGTATTTTGCCACACACATCTGGCACATAACATTACCCGGACGTATTTTCTCTTTTTCATAAAAACAGATGGTTTCAATTCAGTTTTTTCATAATAATATTTAGCTTGACAACAACAGGAAGAAGTAGTAGTTTTTAATTAAAAAGATTTTTGAATGATTTTCACTTTTCTGTTGTTGTGACCTTTTTCCGCTAACGCAACAAAAAATATAAAAAACATGCGCTAAGTAGAATTTTCGGAAATAGTAGGAGACCAAGAGAGAAAAAGCGAATAAACAAGAGGGCGAGAAAGTGTGAGAAGAGGAGAGGGTGCGAGAGAAATTCTGAATTTCGATTGAAAGTGTGTGTGTCTCTTTTTTTCCGCTGCTGTCAATACATACTTTTTTATTTTTGTTTATTTTCATTGTTTCGGTGTGATGTTGGCAGACTTGTTAGTGTCAAATTGGTGTCTGTTGATCTTTGAGAGATTTTTTGATGCAGAATTTGAGTTTTTGATGATTTATAGTGAGAAAATGCCAAAAAATTTGAACGTTTAAACTATTCTTGTTCCGTCTATATTTTCTGATGTTTTTTCTTGTAAAATTCAGAAGAAAAAATCCTGGTTGTTTTCTCGAACGAACTTCTTTAAAAATCGTTTTGTTCCAAAGATGTTGAGAAATTTTATTTCTAAAAATTGAAAATCATATTTCTCGAGTTTCTTTACCATTTTATTTTCTCTAATTTTTTTTGCCGGTATCTAGATTTCTGTGAAAATCAGGACCATTCATGGAAATTTTGTCCTGAAATCGTTTGAAATACGAAAAAAGAGTATTTTTTTTCGAAGAAAAATTGGCTCGGAAAATAGACATGTACAGAATAGTGTGAATTTTCAATGACCCCACCGAGAACTATCATCTGAGATTTCTTCAAAATGCATAAGATCTATATATGCTCTCATCTATCCAATCTCTAATATAATAATTGTTTTATTTTTGCTCATCGTTGTTTTGTCATGCGACATTCATTTTCCTCTTCGTTTTTCTTTCTTCGCTGGACATGCCTTCTTCTCCTACTGAATTTTTGTTGATAATCGAAAAATAGCAACTGTCGTATTTATCATCTCATCCTCCGTCTGTCTTCTTTTTTTCTCGTCTCCAGCTTTTGTTTCGACCTGAAATCGCTATCCGAGTCTCCTGGATCTTCGTAATCTATCGCATTTTGTTTTGCGAGCATTGATAACATGTTGTGTTTGTCACGTCCGATTGGAAGAAGAAAACGGGCGAAAAAGAGACATACATCAGTTTGGAGACAAAATGTGTAGCTTTCTGGAAGGAACACGATTTTTTTAGTTGTTTTTCTGAAGGTTTTGGGATTTTTTTCCGGCCTAAATTTTGATTGAGAATTTTTCGAAAAGTTTAAGGTTTTTCCACTTCGGAGTTCTGTGTTTATTAAAATTATCTATGAAGTTTCGAAATTACGTTATTTTCAACAAAAAAAATGAATTTCTATCCAGAATTGTGTTCTATTTTCACCTGAAATCCTTTTTCCCTCTCTAAGATTTGACTTATTCTCAATCGAAAGTACATATACATATCAGTTGGTTTTCTATCGATTTTTATCCCGAAGATCAATTTTTCTGAATTTCTGTGAAATTTTCTACACATTCGGCTGAAAATCTGAATTTTCACAAGCAGATTCGGACAACTCATTTTCACTCCGGTTTTTTGACCAATAACGGACCTATTGGTTTTTTGGTCAAAAAATTTACCGAAATTAAGGCACTTGGTGTATTTTCGGCCACGTTCTGACCATTTTTTCACCAATTTTCGAACTTTTGTGAATTGATCAAAATTTAGTCGAAATGACTTCGTCTGTTTCTGCTGAAATTTGCCCATTCCTTACAATTAGATTTTCCACTTTAAATCTTCTACTTCGACGTCACTCATCACATGGTCCAATTTATCATCCGAAAAATCATGTGAAAATTTTTTTGAACTCTGATATCATCAGGCGAGTCCCGGACCACAATATCAAAAAACAATTCCGTTTTAATTGTTACGTGATTCTATGAAATTTCGAAAATTCTCTTGTTTTGACATTTGAGACTTTTCAATCCAGCTCTGCACTGCTCTTTTTAGTTTCTGACAGCTGTTCTCATTTCATTCCAATCAGATTTGTTGGTTTTTTGATTTTTATGAATCAGGAAATTTTTCGAAGTGTTTTCCTTGAAATGACCTGTTGTTTTCTGGAAAAGTACTCGAAAAAAAAAACTGAAAACAAAAACATTTTATCGCATGACTTGTTTTATTTTATCTGAAACAGCTGTTGTAACTCAAAATCGACGATTTTCAGACACTCGAACCAATCGAATACGAGGAACTCAAAGCTCAATACGCTGCTCAAAAAGAAGCAGAAGAAGAACTTGATCGAGTTGCAAAATACGAAAAAGTTTATAGTCAGGTGAGCCATTTTTCGAGTTGAATTGAAAATTTGTGTGGTTTTTTATTAACCCGTTGTTTTTTCTAACAGAATTCGGTAGGAACTGAGACACATCAACCAACACAAAAAGGACAAGAAGAGGAACTTGCCAGAAATCGTGAAATTGACGAAACTCCATTGAAAGTTGAAACCAATAACAATAATAATAGTGGATCGAAACAACCAGCTGTTGGATTTAGCCCGAAGAATTTTAAGGTACTTTATTTTAGAGTTTTGTTTGAAGTGGAATTGTGTGAAAAAAACAAGATGAGAATGAAATTCGGAAATTTTCGAATTTTTTTAAATGAGAAATTTGAAGGTCTGAAATTCGAAAAATGCTCCAATTTTGATAAAAATTAGAAAAATACAGTATTTTTCCCAAATTTCATGAAACCACGTGTACATTTGAAATTTTCGTGAATTTCCTTGATTTCCTTTTGAAATGTTTCCAATTTTAACCGTTTTTTTGTTTCAGATCAATCTCAATTTCCCTGGTGTCAAAGTATCGGAACTTGAAGCTGAAGTAATGCCGCCAACACAGAAAAAGGAAACTGCTGAAATTATCGATAATCACGATGGTAACCTATTATACTTTTTATTTCCCTTTCTTAAATATCATATTTGTTTCAGGAACCATTCTCGTGAAATACACTCCAAAAGTTCACGGATCCCACGAACTTTCGATCCTTCAAAATGGTGCACAACTTCAAGGAACACCAATCAAATTCTTTGTCGATTCGTATGGTGATGGATATGCGACTGTTTATGGATCTGGACTTCAAACTGCGATTGTTGGGGAACCGGCGACTTTTACGGTTTGTGCGAAAGGATCGCATGCTAAAGAATTGTCGGTTAGCATTGAAGGACCAGCATCGAGCAATATCAAGATTCATGATAACAAGGTGAGCATTTTTGAGCTGGGAATTTTGGGGAAAATATTTGGAGACTTGAAGTTTCTAGATTAAAAAATAAATTGCTTTAAAAATTTTGTAGAAATCACAATTTCACTTTTTCAAATTTAAATTTGGACAAAAATCCGGAAAGTCTATCAAAATCATACGAAAATATCAATTTTCTTTTGAAAAGTGGTTTTTTTGTCAAGCCTACACAATAAAAAAATAAAATAAACCCATAATAATTTTTCTTTCAGGATGGAACTTGTTCCGTTGCTTGGGTTCCACCAGTTCCAGGAGAGTACAAAGTCCACGTGAAACTCGGCGGAAAAGCTGTTCGAGATTCTCCATTCAAAGTTTTGGTAATGGGAGAAGGACAAAAAAGATCGCATTTGTCAGTTGGATCAACTTCTGAAGTTGCACTTCCAATCAATGAAACTGAACTCAAAGGAATCAGCGCATCGATCAAATCACCAGCTGGAATCGAAGAACCATGTTTTGTTCGAATTGTTGATGGCGGACGACTTGGTGTTTCTTTCACACCAAGAGAAGCTGGAGAACATTTGATTACTGTGAAGAGAGATGGAAAATTGGTGCCAAGAGCTCCGTTCAAAATCAAGGTTGATAAATCGCAAGTTGGAGATGCGAGCAAAGTTGAAGTTAGTGGAACTGGAAAAGCGAAAGCTGTCACTTTGCAACCAAATGAGTTGTTGGTTGATACAACTAAAGCTGGTAAGTGTTTTGATTTTTGAAGAGAGATTGGAGAAATTTTTTAAAAACAAATTTAAATGGTGCTAAAAAAAATCCACCTTTTCTCGATGTGGAAAAAATTTCCGAAAATTTTTTTGAAAAATTCCGAAATATTTATTAATTTTTTTGCCACCAGTCAATTTTTAATTGTAGAAATTTGGAAAAATTTTCGAACCTGAACTTTTTCACAATCTTCCCATCTTTTTTTTTTTTCATATTTTCCAACCAATTTTTTCCAGGATACGGTGGACTTTCGGTTTCTGTCCAAGGACCATCAAAAGCTGAACTCACTTGCAAAGAAGTCAAAGCTGGACTCATCAAAGTCATCTACACACCATCTGAACCAGGAGTCTATGCTATTGCCATCAAATTCGCTGATCATCATGTTAAAGATTCGCCATTAACTGTTTCGTGCACAGGAAAATCAGCAGGACGTGTTATTCAAACAATTCAACAACGCGTTGAACAACACGCCATCGCACTTCCAGATCAAGAATCTTTGTTGTTTTTGAAGTTGCCAAACACTTCACCAATGGATATAAATGCAAGATTGATGGATCCAAAAGGACATACTGATGATATTGAAATGCGTGATTTGGGACAACAATACTATCAATTGAAATTCACGCCAAAACTCGAAGGTGTTCACACACTTTCTGTTATGTACAAGGATACTCATGTCAATGGATCGCCTTTCCAATTCACTGTCGGAAGTTTCACCGAAGGTGGAGCTCATAAAGTTCGAGCTGCTGGACAAGGAGTTGTTAGAGGAGAGACTGGTCTTCCAAATTCTTTCAATGTTTATCATCGTGAAGCGGGAGCTGGTAATTTGAGTGTTGCGATTGAGGGACCATCGAAAGCGACGCTGGAATTCAAGGAACATAAGGATGGAAATTGTCACGTGGATTATAAGGTTGCGACTCCGGGAGAATATATTTTGGCGGTCAAATTCAATGATCAACACATTCCTGATTCACCATTCAAGGTTTTCATTGCGCCAGCGACTGGAGAAGTTCGAAAATTGGAATTGGCACAATTCCACGATCAAGGAATTCCGGCTGGAAAAGCATTCACCTTCACTGTTTTGACACATCGTGCTAAGGGACATTTGGAGGCGAAAGTTGTTGCGCCGAATAATGAAGTTGATACGATTGATATTGTTCCGATTGAGGTGAGGCGGAATTTTGAGCGGAAAGCTATTTTTGAACCTGAAATTTGGCTTTTAAGCTTAAAAAATCAGAAAATCCAGTTAAAAGACTTGCAGAAATTTTGAAGCTAAAATTTTTTAAATTCCAAGCCCTCCTAAAGGTTCCCACAAAACTCTTTTCTTCTAGGATGGTGAAAGCTATGCTCTTCGTTTTGTTCCAAAAGAAACTGGAAACCACTACATCCATGTCACTTTGGATGGTGCACCAATGCGCGATTCGCCATTCCGCCTTCGCGTCGGCGGAAAAGATTTGTGTGATCCGACTGCGATCTTTGCTTCCGGCGATGGTTTGGTCAAAGGAACAACCGGACAAAAATGCGAATTCGTCATCAACACTGCAAATGCCGGAGCCGGTATTTTGAATGTTCAAATGGATGGACCATCGAAAGCGACTTTGGATGCGTATGAATTGGAAAAAGGATATAAAGTTAGATATACTCCATTGGCACCGGGATCCTATTTTGCATCGGTTAAATATAATGGTGAGTGGGGCATTTTTTTTGTTGAAAAGCTAGTTTACTTGAAATTCTAGAATCTCTAGCTTCGAAATCTAATTCTCGTACTCAAAATCCATGAAACCTTTCCAATTTCTCTTTCTTTGCAGGAATCCACGTTCCTGGATCACCATTCAAAATCCCAGTTGATGGAAAAGAATTGGGTGGAAACGGATATAATGAAACATCACACGTCAAAATCGACGCTGTCGCCAAAACCAGCAAGGGTACTGTAGCTGTTGTTCCCGAATACACTGGAGATGCCAGCAAGGTGAGTTTGAATAAATTGAAATTTTGAAAAAAAAAATTCCCCAATTTCCAGGTCACCGCCAAAGGCGCTGGTCTCAACAAATTCTTCCCGGGTCGCCCGGCTGCTTTCCAAATTGACACCGGACTCGCCGGAACCAATTTGTTGATGGTCGGTGTTGTGACGACACGTGGACCGTGTGAAGAGGTTGTTGTTCGACACCAAGGACAAGGACACTATGTTTGCTCGTATCGAATTCCGGATCGTGTCAAAGGATTCGTTTTTATCAAATATGGAGAAAATGTAAGAAATTTGTGAAATTTTGAGCAAAAATTTTAAAAAAAATTTTGATTCTGATGAAATTTCGGGAATTTTTGAAGAAAACTGTTTTTTTTTCAATTTTATAATTTGGTATGAAAACTGTAATTTGGTATGAAAACAACTGCAGAAAATGGGAGGAGCCAATTTTTCATAAAACATTAAAAAAACAGACAAATTTGTGATAAATCAAAGCTCTCGGAGCTCAAAACAATAACATAAAACCTTTCCGTTTTCCCATTCAATTTTATCTATTTCACCTTGAAATTTCCATAACCTATAATTTTTTCAGGAAATTCCCGGATCTCCATTCGCCATCGAGCCATAATTTTATTTTTGTTAAATATCCCCCCGCCGCTTTTTCAGCCCTGCTTTAAGGAATATTTTTCGAATTTTTACGGTTTTTTCCTTGTAATTCTTCTTTTTTAGCCATATATATCCCCCTGACTTCTTTATTTTATCTAACTGTATTTGTTCTAATAAGCTGCCCCAACCATGTCAAAATGTATTTCTTTTCTGACAAACTCAATCCCCCTTTGAAAATGTGCCTTTTTATTGTATTGTAATCTTTCTGTCCTTTTTTTGTAATAAATCGATAAAACCTGAAGTTTTTTAGAGATATTAGAAAAAATGTGGCAAATTGTGTTGGCCAATTTTCTTGTGATCACTGTAAGACCCAACTTATCCTGATATCCCAGATTTTTTCAAATATCCTTTAGACGTGCTCGATTGGCATTTGGGCGAATTTGCGACTTTGTTGGAAGCTCTTCAAAATTACACCGTATACCAAATATATTCAATGGCATACGATGGCGAAAGGATTGTCGAATGTGGCGACAATGCTTGTTTTTGCAGGGATTCAGATTCCCACTATGATTATGTAAGTGTGCCAGGTTTTCATAAAAATGGGCGGAGCTTGGCGATTTTTGATGGAATTGAAGATTTCATTAAGCCACGCCCATTTTTGCAAGTCTGGCACGGTTTTTTTTTTGAAAAATAGAAATTCTGGGAACAAAACTATGCCAGGGTTGCATAAAATTTTTTTTTGAAGAATTCTGAAGCCACGCCCCTTTTATGCAATCCTGGCATGTTTTATTTTAAAAGAAAAATTTGTGATAAAACAACATCGGCAAAAAATCTCAAAGCCACGCCCCCTTCTGCAACCCTCGCACAGTTTTTCTTTTCAGGAATTGCTCAGTCTACCCAGAAATCGTCTACCGTTATGGCGGTGCTTTGGCAGGTCTCACCATGATTCCAGCTCGACTCAATCAACTTTGTCTGTCCTTCGGAACCTGTTACATCGCCTTCTTCCCATTTCGCCAAATTTCCGATGTTATTTTATATTCTTCAATGGGATTTGCAGGTAAAACGATTTCTCTGCGTCTCTTACTCTCCAGCTGTCTGGTGTCTCTCACTTCTACTTGCTCTCTTATCGACGTATCCTCTGCGTCTCTAACCTCTCAATTTTCAGCTATCCTCGGTCTCGCCATTTTCTCGATCCGAATTCAATCTGAGCAATGCTCGTTCGAATTTCTCGCCTCAACTTTTGCGTGGACATATTCCGATGGAAAATGTGCACAAATTGTGGTCGATTTCGTGTTCTACGGTATCAAATTTCAAATATATTCTGGATATTTTGCCAATTTTCTAACTTTTACCAAAATTTGTGTGGATGTTTTGAAGAAGAAATCATTTGTTGGCAATCAGGAATTGGCGAATCGCTTGAGGAAAACGAAAATTCGTTTGGCACAGTGTGTTATTCAGGATTTTCCATTTTTGATTGATGTAACTGTTCAATTTGGACATGAATTGAGACGTGGCAATTATTCGGATCTTGGTTTTCTTTTGCCATTCCTTTTTAACACGTTATTTTGGAATATTGGGCATACTGTAGATGGGTACGGTAGCGTCCTTTAGAGATCACGAAAAAATACTGTTTTTTCAGCCTCACAATGCTGTTTATGTTGAATGTCACGAAAAAGGTGGTGAGGATCGAGGATTCGAATTCAAATTGATGAAAAAAAACGTGCCAGGGTTGCAGAAAAGGGGCGGAGCATTTTCTGTAATTCTTCTGCACTCCTGGCACACTTTTTTCCCACTTTTCTTCCAAAAATAATAAAAATCTTCATTCAAATCTTGGTAATCTCAGTTTTTTCAATCGATGATTTTCTGGCTCCAGATCCACCCATCAAAAATTGCATAAAATATCCTTCCAGCTTGGCGAATGGCATTTCGAAGAGCAATGTCCAACACGTGGCAAATAATATTGAGCCAAAAACGCACGGCACAATTATTGAGAAGTACTGTAGATGAGGGAAATGGATTTTAAAGGTACATTACTACAGGAGAGTGGGGGTAATGTACTTTAAAAATTTAGAATGAAAAAAAAAAACTAAAAGTACTGTGTTCATTAAGTTTGAAGAAAAACTAAAATTTTCGTTTTGAATTTTGAATCCAAAACAAACAGTACCCTTCTGGCTTGGGTACTGTAGGAGTACTGTAGTTCCGAAATATTTTGAAAAATTGGAAAAGAATGTTAATCAGATTCAACTAAAATATATGAAATTATTTGAAAACATTTTGAAACGTAGTTTTGGCGGGGAAAAAATAAATGATTGAAAATTTTTTCACACATTTTTTTAAAATTTTAAAGGCACAGTACTCTACAGTATCTCGAACTAATTAATTCTAATTTTAAAGGTACAGTACTCTCCAGTTTCCTCTTCCATTTACTTACCGTATAAAAAGCACCATTAAAATGTGGCGGAGCTCTGTCCCAATTAAAATACGCTCCCAAAATCATCATATGACAAAGATAGGCGCAAAATGTGAGTTTTCCAAGGGGAGTCCAAAATTTGAGGCCCATGAATCGACCAATCAAACCTGGAAAAAAACGCATTTTGAAATTTTTTGGTGGAAAAATCACAAATTTCACGGGGAATTCAAAATTTTCTATGAAAACTATCGATTTTTATCCCAAAACCCTTCAAACTCTTACCAGAATGTCCGCGATTAATCGCAAAAATCAGCCAACTTAGGCTAAAACTCCAAGCGATTCGACTGAATGCATAATACGTGGCACGTTCCATTGATGTCCATTTTTCACCTTTATTATAGGAATATATTGAGAAAATTGCGCCGATTGCCAAGATTTTGGCCAACATCCACATGAAAAATGTGACGCCCTGAAATTGTGTTAAATTTTGAGCAGAAAAATCGATTTTTGAGTGAAAATTTGTAATTCTTGATCAAAATGAGTCATTTTTCAGTAAAATTCGCAATTTCAGCAAAAAATTCAATCTTGAAAATATGTTTTTTTCTGGAGAATTGAGGATTGCTCATGTCAACTTCAAAAAAATGCAATGTTCCAGAATTTTAACCTAATATGAGCAATTTTAAGTTCTCAGGAACATTGCTCATCTTAACCTAAGCTGGAAAAAATTGATTTTTTCGAGCATTGCTCAGATTAACCTCCAAAATGGAAAATTCGAAACTCACAATATTGATATCAATTTTTCGATCTCTAGTTTTCCACAAAACATATCCCATAACCATTCCAAACAAAAACGGAGGAATTCGAATATAAGATGCTGAATAAACCAAATCTTGAATCAGATGGATGATTTTGATATCAGATGACATGCTGCAAAAAATTCCGCTGATTCAGAAGTTTTTTCAAAAAAAATTCAAGTCAAGTTCAAAATTTCAGCCCAAAAAACTCACAATGCCTGAAGTAACGTGGCTGGCAGATCATATCTCAAAAACAAGAAATAAGTCAGAGCAGTTGATGCGAAAAGTGCCAAAAATGAGGTGAGAATTCCAATTGTTGGACCAATCAAAAAGGCGACGAGGAAAATTGGAGCAACCAAATACATTTGGGTATCACAGGCAAGATACCAGGAGATTGAAAGGCACTGGAATTGTGGAGTGTTGTTTAGAGGTGTGAAGGTTCTTAGTTCTTGAAACATCGATTTTGTTTAAAACGATACTCCGCTCTAACACTGTCAAAGCGGAGCATCGTTGAAAATCGTCAAAAAAACCCACCGCTTTCCTCGGCTCAATCACATTATTCACATACAACAAATTCTTCCAAAAATATTTCCGGCAATTCTGCATATCCTCCGATCTTACTAATTCATGTGGTCCTACATCTGTCAATGGCCCATAAGTTGTATAAAATAAAATATAAAAAGCATAGGCTGGAGTTAGACGAAGTATCCGATGAATGTAGAAGACAATCCACGTCATAGGCGACATTGCCTTTCGCATACTTAGTTTTGGAAGGAAAGAATATGCTAACATCAAACCGGAAAGGAAGAAAAATGTGTCGACTGATAGGAAAGCATTGATCCAGACCTCATATTCACGAGTTTTGAAGATCTCAACAACTTTTTTCGGATTATCCGCCATTTCCCAATAGCCCCAAGTGTGTCCAGCAACAACCCAAGTGAAAGAAAGGAAACGAATACATTCGACACCTTTTAAAGTGTTTGGATTCTTTGAAATATGCAAAAGTTGACGGCCATTTGAGAGAAAAGAAAATGCAAAAAAATATTTGAGAGCGTTGCTTTGAGATGATTTTGAAGTGGAGGGATTTTCGTAGTGATCGGCGATTGTTGAGAAAATGCAAAGACTTGATATGATTACTAGAATTGCGGTCATTAACCAGAATAATGGATCGGCTGGATGTTCGGTGGGTCTGGAAATAATTGGGTGGAAATGCGGAGTGTTGTAAATAGTGGCGGGGGTTTAGATCGAAAAACTAATATTTTGAGAGCGTAAACGTGGAGCGTCGTTGTTGACTCACCTACAAGTAACCTCACAAACCGGCGTCTGATTAAACCCAAAAGGATGATGAAAATCATTCAAATAATGTTGAATATCCATCTCCGAACACGATTTCGGCATACAAATACTCGATTTCACATCAGCTGGTTTATGTTTTCCACAAGTATTCGATAACATACTCATTGAACTTTCACCCCTGGCGAGCAGTTTTCCAACTGGAAGATTTAGATGTGCCCAACAGAATTGAGTTGAGTAGGCGGAATCTGTGGGGTTTTGCACTTCCAAACATTCGTCGTAGTCGCCCATCCAGATTTTGTTGAAATTCAGGAGATTTGAAGGGATTTTTCCGAATGAATCGAATTCTAAAATAAATCTTCACTAGAATAATTCCTTCAAAATCCGAAGAACTTACGATAAATCGCATAGACATTGTCATGAAAAAGTTGTTTTTTGAAAATATCACATGTTTCTGGATTCGCCAGCTTCGAACATTCCAGAAGCTCGGCTGATAATTCGGTATAACTTGTTCGCCATTTTGTGAGATCCGAAAAACATTTTTCAGAGATTATGCCGGTGTGATTCTGAAAACTTCTCTATTTTTCTGGAAAAAAACAGAGAACTTACAGAAGTATAAGCCTGAACCTGAGCCCCAAAAATACTAAAAATTAAAGGCAATGTTTTCAAAAACATTGGCAGACAGACTGAAATCAAATTTCAACTTCTTCTTGTTTTTTTCTTTTTGATAACAGATTTTTTTGTTTGTATGTTTTTGTTATTTCGAAAAAAGCTGATAAATAGTACGAAAAAATTTGTTTTTTTGTTCTGCCATGTTTTTGGTTGCTCATTGACCAAAACACCCACAAAAACGGGAAAAAGTAGAAAAAAAAAAGAAAAAAATTTGAATTTTTGAAAGTCTGTGCAAAAACCGTACACCGCGACGCACAATTGCGGATTTTTCAGGCGGGCGCGCGAAAAAATATTTGTGTTCTTTTTTCACTTTTTGCGGCTGCAAATTTGATGTTTCCAGTTGAAATTCAGATTTTTCGTGTTGTTCAGCGTTTCTATCGTGAAACTACTGAAATTTTCTTATTTTCAGCAGATGCTGGCTGCAAAATTGGTGAAAATGGGCGGGTTTCAACCCAAAATCGTATTTTTTCCCGTGACCTGTTATTTTGTCCCAGTTTTATCTATTGTTCCGCTCTCATTTTCTTTTATATTTCTAATCACAAAATGGTCGACGAGTCTCTTGCAAAACTGCGTAAATTGTCAGCCGGTTGTTCAAAATCGCAAGAAAAAGAGCTGGACAAAATCGCCACGTTGAACACCTATTTGAAGTACCAAGTTCCGCCCGAAAACCTCGATGAGCAACCTTTGAGATTTATGACATTTAATGAAAAACGACGATTTTTTGAATGCGAATATCCCGGCAAAAAAAGTCCGGGGCAATTGAGAAGAGGAAGAGAGGCGTTGAAGGCGATTTGCGATAATTTGGAGAATTATTCGGATTTTGATGAGCGAGAAAGTCCCGATGTAAGGTTTCTATGAATTTGAAATCTTTTAATCAAATAAATGAAATGATTTTTCAGGAAATCTCAATCTCCCCTCCAAGTCGCGAAAACCTGAAAACTCAAAAAAATGCACCAACAAACCGTGCTTTTCCTGGAAGCGAATTGTCGGATTCATCAAGAAGCTTGAGCTTTGAACCAGAAAATGATTAATACGCAAAAATAAACGATTTTTGAAAATTGTCTGCATTTTCGAGTCATGGTGTTGTGAAAATCACTATTTTATCGTAATTTTGTTATTTGTATAACGTGGCAAAGTTGCTACCAAACAGGAAAAATTTATTAGCTTTTCAGAATCTTCGAAATGATTTATGAAGTGGATACATTTTCGAAATCTGATATTTTCTTCCATCTTGTTGACAAATATGTATATCCCGGCAAAAAAAGTCCGGGGCAATTGAGAAGAGGAAGAGAGGCGTTGAAGGCGATTTGCGATAATTTGGAGAATTATTCGGATTTTGATGAGCGAGAAAGTCCCGATGTAAGGTTTCTATGAATTTGAAATCTTTTAATCAAATAAATGAAATGATTTTTCAGGAAATCTCAATCTCCCCTTTCGACTTCTGCATCCTTAAGTCGCTCTCAAAAAGCTCCCTAGGAGCATCTGTTAACCCCAAATCCCTCAAAACGTCCCTCAATTCGAACTCATTTGATTAGTATATTTATGTGAATAAATTATAAGAAAAACATGCTAAAAATAAGAATAAATACGGGGCAAAAACTAAAAATAGGGGAATAGGGGTCACATTGTGGTTCTAGTGGCAAGACTGAGGAAAACCCGGCCTTTTATAGTCGGGTTTTCGCGGGAAAAGGAATTCGCGGGGCCAAAAAGAGCAAAAAATATAAAATATTTAAACAAAATTATCGCTGGAGCGCGATTTGCTGCTTTTGTCGGATCCTCGGCCAAGTCCCCGGTTGTTCGCTTCCCGATTTTCCAATTGTTCGCCGTCTTTGCCAAATGTTTCGGAAGGTTGCGAGCTACGACTCGCGACACTCCCGCCACCCAACACAACTACGCAGACACCACCGCAACTACTTGGGATCTCAACTGACTGGAATCTCAACTGATTTGTTCTCTCTTTTGTCGTCGTGAAAGAGTAAAGCGAGATGTCCTTGTCCGCACTGGTGACAGATTCGTCTTGGACATCGATGTTGGCTGCTCTTGGGTTTGATGCAAGTCAGGCAAAGTTTCAACTCCAAGATTCTTGCATACTTTTCATACCGCTTAGGGAAAACTGGGCACCCAGCTGGGCGATGGCTCTTTCCTTTGCACAACTCGCATCCAAAACTCGCGAAATATTGGATCCTTTCGTATCCAAATCGATTTCCTCGCCAAATTGGTGTCCATCGCCACTTATCCAGCGAGGGTTCTCGATCAACGTTTTCCATCTGTTTTTCGATCTCTTTCCACTTCTCCTCCACTGTTTCCGGAACTTCTTCAATCTCTTTTCCCGCCGATTTCACCGCATCCAACATCTCTTTCTGAATTTGACCTCTCTCTTCGCTTGGTAGCCTACTCCAATAACTCCTCTCTATCCAATTCTGATGCTCTGATAATTGGAATCTCCAACCCAACTTCTGGCAAATGGCCGATCTTCTGACATCTCTGTCAATCTTCGACATTCGACGTATCTCTGAAAATTTTCATCTTATAAACGATCGGCAAAACAACGAACAAGACAGGCGGAGATAGGGAGTTCTGTTTGAATCTGTTCTAACTATGTTCACTTTTTTTCTTAGGGAATCTAGGGGATCTCTCAGCAAACTTCATAACCTCGTCGAAATTTCAATTTTCTTGCTCATTCGGGTGGCCTACCCAAATGTGGTTACTACTTTTTGCCTCTAAAATTCCTTCGAAACTCTTATCTCTTTACTCTATAGTTGTTCTTACTCTAGCTATTTCTCACCTAAATCTTTCTGATTTTCTCACTTAAATTCCTCTTGAATCTTCGTGGAGCTGCCAATAATCCGCCAAAACCTCAACATTCTTTGAAAGTCCTGGCAGACCACCGCAAACTCCGCCAAAACTGCGTGGAATTCTTGCTTGCAATCTATCTTCTTTGGGATGAGGCTGCCACCACTCATCCCGACTAAACGGTGTTTAGTCGATGCACCATTTCGACTTCTGCATCCTTAAGTCGCTCTCAAAAGCTCCCTAGGAGCATCTGTTAACCCCAAATCCCTCAAAACGTCCCTCAATTCGAACTCATTTGATTAGTATATTTATGTGAATAAATTATAAGAAAAACATGCTAAAAATAAGAATAAATACGGGGCAAAAACTAAAAATAGGGGAATAGGGGTCACATTGTGGTTCTAGTGGCAAGACTGAGGAAAACCCGGCTTTTTATAGTCGGGTTTTCGCGGGAAAAGGAATTCGCGGGGCCAAAAACACAACGTTCCGAAACGCAATTGGGTGAGAGGAGAGAGATTCTAGAGAAAACATACGTTTTTAGTGGGCAAACGTGCTCAAATGAGAACAAAAACTCCATTTTTTCGAACATTTTCTGAGAGGTCGTTCAAACGTATCGCCGACATTGATCAAACAAATGGCCAAGCGCTATACACACATGTATTATTTTTCAATGTGTTTTTTGAAAAATGAAGCGAGGCGACAAGAGTTCACGCGAATAATCAACAAAACGTGAATTCTTTTATGTTTTTCTCTAAATCTCTTCCTCTCACCCTATTGCATTTTATCATTAGCCTAAAATGTTGCGAAAAGAGCAAAAAATATAAAATATTTAAACTAAATTATCGCTGGAGCGCGATTTGCTGCTTTTGTCGGATCCTCGGCCAAGTCCCCGGTTGTTCGCTTCCCGATTTTCCAATTGTTCGCCGTCTTTGCCAAATGTTTCGGAAGGTTGCGAGCTACGACTCGCGACATCCCCTCCAAGTCGCGAAAACCTGAAAACTCAAAAAAAATGCACCAACAAACCGTGCTTTTCCTGGAAGCGAATTGTCGGATTCATCAAGAAGCTTGAGCTTTGAACCAGAAAATGATTAATACGCAAATATAAACGATTTTTAAAAGATATTTTTCATGTTTCACCACTGATTTTTCCTCTATTATCAATGAAAACACCATTTCAGACAAATTCTTTCAATTTCTGTCCATTTTGGCTCGAAAAACACCAGGAAACGCGAAAAAATGCGATTTCTGCGTAAAAAAATGCGTCTGTTTGGACGTTTTTTTTTATTTTTCGTATTTTTTTTCACTTTGGACGATGCATAATATAAAAATCTGAAATTTTTTAAAGTGATTTTTGATTCTAATTTCAAAGAAAAATTACAACTTAAAGACAAGTAGAAAGCTAGAAATCGTTCGAAAATCAGAAAAAATAGATAGCCTTCCATTAAATTCTTGTCTACGTTTCTGATTGGCTCACGTGAATAGGCCACGCCCATTTCATTTTTTCATTTTCAAAATTCATTTTATTTTTTTTTTGGTCGCCAGGTCTATTTTTTGTTGTTTTTACTGTGTTTTTTTCCAATAGAAAAATGCAATTTCTAGGAGACGCAAAAAGTCGCTGTTCTCGACGTGCTGTGTCCCTAAGGGACACTGTCCCTTTTTGGCGAGAGATTCGTCTGCACACGTTAAAGTCTGCGTCTCCCTCGAATTGCAAAAAAATACAATTTTTTTTCCTTGAAAATCTCGATTTTTTGCTAAATTTTTTATACAGTTTTCAAAACTCATATAGATAATTATGTAGGAAAAAAAAGACAAATAAATATACAAGAAAAAACACACAAAAATCACACATACGACTCCTCTCGCTCCACTTTTTTCCGATTTTCCTCGCCATTTTTGATTGACTTGTTCAATGTGCCAACAGAACGGACCATTGAACCCATGTAAATTGACATTTGACCATTTTGGGAGTCGACGTAAGCCGGGCGCGTTCCGTTATTTAATAATGCGAGAACTTCCTGCAAAATTAGGTTAAATTAGAAATGTTTGGTGAGAAAATTTGAATCCATGTACAATAAGTATCGGACCAGGTTCGATTTCCTGAGAAAAATTCTGAACCGGACCCGAAAAATCGGATCAATTTTTGAAATTAAGCCGACTTTGCGAAAGTAAATCCATGAAGTTGTATATCTCTGCCACCGCGAAGACCTCCGAACAACTTAGAAATTCGACTTTTTGGATTAATTGCCCATTTCACGAGAAAAATGGGTAAAAGTGTGAAAATCTTGTTAAAAAATGGAAGAGAAAAGGGGGAGGAGTCAAGAGTGGGCGTGGCCCAGATTTGGTTTTCTAGGCCAAGTGAGAGAAAAACATAGTGTGGATAACTTAACTGGTAGTTTAAGATTTTCGGAGCAAAATCACATTCTAAAAGTCAAATAGCAGATTCCAAAAACTCACATCACTTATTTCAAAAGTTCTGCCACCATTTTTTTGTCCTCCTCGACCAATAGCACCATTTGTAGGTTGTTGTTGGAATGGCACAGGCTCATTTTCAGCGCCACATATCAAGCTATCAATGACCAATGATGGTGCACCATCAGCTTTTAGACGAATTTTCAACTGTATAAAGTATTTGGTTGGCAGTGTCTCTATTATATTCTCAATTAACTTTGAACGTTGTTCATACAAAACATCCAAATCTTCCGATTTTTCATCATATTTTTCTTTGAATCTTATACTTTTATTTAGTTGTTGTATTTTCTTTATACTCTCTAACATATCTTCTGTACGAGATAATCTTTCTTCAAGTCTGCAAAATCAATTAATTAATCGAAATCAAAGATTTTTCCAAAAGCACTCACCTTTTTTGGTCTTCTTTCAATGCATTGATTTGTCTTATAATTCCGTTCATCTTTTTTTTCATTCTTACATATTCTAGCTGCAAAATTTCCTCGTTTTGATTTGGCATAATTTCTGGAAAAACTCATTTATTAGACGTGTTAAATATCCAGCCAAAATTATGAACATTTTTCAACATTTCAATAAAATCAACAGTGCCAAAATAAAGGTAAGGACCATAATCAAACAAACGCAAAGGTACAGACCTTCGCGTTTGTTTGATTATGGTACTTACTTTTTCTCTCCCTGCCTCTTTCTCTTCATTCTACAAACTGTCTCTCTTTTTTGTCGCGTCTACTAATTTGTACTACTACCTTTTCTTGAAGGGTTGGTCCTGCTACAGGAAAACTTAGGCTCAATCGATAGAGCTAAGGTGCTCCTGAAACATTCCATATTTTATTTTGATTTTAGAGCGAGTTTTCACCATTTTATTCATGCTTTTGTTGGGTTTTAAGGTTTTAGTGCATTAAAAAAACATGTGTGCTCTTCACACACATCATTTATTTGTTTGTACTTCTCGCGAAATTTCGCGAAATGCATTTCCTAACATTTTTCAACTATGGAAGGTAATTTTAATCAACTTTAGGATTGCTTATAGTTAGTTTCAAAAAGTGACGCACTATTGCGGACTTGTTTTCTCGTGTAGTAGGACCAACCCTTTAATATATATACTAGCAGCTGTTAGCTTCCAGGAGGGATAGTCTCCTTTTTTAAAATACATCGTTTTTTTCTGACAAGGGACTTACATTAGGGTGATAACGGGTTTTGAAATAAGGCAAGTACAGTCTTATGTAACTCGACGCGCTGATCACGATGCCGCAAAAGTTAGCTGCTGAGCTCCAGTCTGAGCCGCGCACATGAGCTCCGTAGCAAATTTTGATAGAAAAAATTACGAAATTTTTGAATTGAAAAGGTTCACGTTTCTTTGGAAATTAATGCAATTTTTCACGTGAAAATTTTTGACTCAAATTTTGTTGGTGTCAACTTTTCGATGGTCCCAAAATCGACTACAAACACCAATTTTCGCAACGTTTAATTCGGCCTAAATAACCCTAGGGTACTTCTATTCTACCCAAAACTTACTTAGTTCATATGAATATTGAGATTTTCTGAGCAAATTTAGGAGCTCATTTGCGCGGCCCAAACTGGAGCTCAGCAGCTAATTTTTGCGGGATCGTGATTATAATTGTATGTGGATTGTATACCTACTAAAATTACGATTTATGGCTGTATAATTGAATACGTAAAATATCTAATAAAGGAATTTTTCAGAAATTATGCCAAATCAAAATGAGGAAATGTTGCAGTTACGGAATATACATATGGAAAAATGCAGAAATGAAATTATAAAACAAATCAATGCATTGAAAGAAAACCAAAAAAAGTGAGTATTTTTGAAATAATTTTAATTTTGATGTTAATTTGTTTGAGCCAAGTTATAAACAATGATGACGGTTGAAATACAAAATTGATGTAGTCATAGAAATTATAGATTATTTTTACTACTTTCAAGAAAAATTCTTTTGTACTTTTATAGTTCAAAACATCATCCGTTATGAAACGTGCTTCATAAAAATTCTGCTCTGAAATTTGTGAAAAAGACAAATAAATATACACAGCGAAAAAAATTTATTTTTTCTGTTTCCGTGTGGTACGGTGCGCAAAACAGAAAGTGTTTGCACACACAAAGGGAATTTTCGAAAAAAAAGAAGACAAATTAACATCAAAATTAAAATTAATACTTCACAATGCGATTACTTAACTCGTTTTCCCTCCAATTTTTGAAATAACCCTTGATTTTGCTTATGGGGTGATTCAGGTCGAAAAAAAAAACTAAAAAAAAAAACATTTTTTTACAAAAAAATTCGATTCAGCAAATGTCAAAAAACTATTTTTTTCCACACAAAAATGAGAGATATCTCGCAGCGAAAATGTTTCAATGAAAAAAAATGTCAAAAAATGTCGAGAAATAGAAAAAAATATAGTTTTTTGACATTTGCTGAATCGAATTTTTTTGAAAAAAAATGTTTTTTTTTTAGTTTTTTTTTCGACCTGAATCACCCCATTAATTTATTTTTTTAATTGAAATATTTTGCAGAATTAAAGAAAGATTATCTCGTGCAGAAGATATGATAGAGAGTATAATGAGACAACAACAACTAGATGAAAGTGTAGACGAGACGGCGCAAATTATTCAAAAACAACCTAGAAATGGTGCGATTGGTGCATTCAACAATTTGATCGAAAATAGCGAGGAAAACCCGGAAAAAGTGTGGAGAATTGCGACTTATGTTTGATTTTTGTGTGTGTTCTTCCTAATTGTTTATTCGAATTTCAAATGTACTTTTATCATGATTTCTGGTGTGAAAAATTATTGATTTTTGAAAACTCGGAGCCCAAAATCACACACTTTACACGTGTGAAAATTTTCAAAAAAAATGGCAGACAGACTGAAATCAAATTTCAACTTCTTCTTGTTTTTTTCTCTTTTTGGTAACCGTTTTTTTTTGTTTGTATGTTTTTGTTATTTCGAAAAAAGCTGATAAATAGTACGAAAAAATTTTGTTTTTTGTTCTGCCATGTTTTTGGTTGCTCATTGACCAAAAAACCCACAAAAACGGGAAAAAGTGGAAAAAAAAGAAAAAAATTTGAATTTTTGAAAATCTGTGCAAAAACCGTACACCGCGACGCACAATTGCGGATTTTTCAGGCGGGCGCGCGAAAAAATATTTGTGTTCTTTTTTCACTTTTTGCGGCTGCAAATTTGATGTTTCCAGTTGAAATTCAGATTTTTCGTGTTATTCAGCGTTTCTATCGTGAAACTACTGAAATTTTCTTTATTTTCAGCGAATGCTGGCTGAAAAATCAGTGAAAATAGGCGGGTTTCAACCAAAAGTCATATTTTTTCCCGTGACCTGTTATTTTGTCCCAGTTTTACCTATTGTTCCGCTCTCATTTTCCTTAATATTTCTAATCACAAAATGGTTGACGAGTCTCTTGCAAAACTGCGAAAATTGTCAGCCGGTTGTTCAAAATCGCAAGAAAAAGAGCTGGACAAAATCGCCACGTTGAACACCTATTTGAAGTACCAAGTTCCGCCCGAAAACCTCGATGAGCAACCTTTGAGATTTATGACATTTAATGAAAAACGACGATTCTTTGAATGCGAATATCCCGGCAAAAAAAGTCCGGGGCAATTGAGAAGAGGAAGAGAGGCGTTGAAGGCGATTTGCGATAATTTGGAGAATTATTCTGATTTTGATGAGCGAGAAAGTCCCGATGTAAGGTTTCTATGAATTTGAAATCTTTTAATCAAATAAATGAAATGATTTTTCAGGAAATCTCAATTTCCCCTCCAAGTCGCGAAAACCTGAAAACTCAAAAAAATGCACCAACAAGCCGTGCTTTTCCTGGAAGCGAATTGTCGGATTCATCAAGAAGCTTGAGCTTTGAACCAGAAAATGATTAATACGCAAAAATAAACGATTTTTGAAAATTGTCTGCATTTTCGAGTCATGGTGTTGTTAAAATCACTATTTTATCGTACTTTTATTATTTGTATGACGTGGCAAAGTTGCTACCAAACAGGAAAATTTTATTAGCTTTTCAGAATCTTCGAAATGATTTATGAAGTAGATACATTTTCGAAATCTGATATTTTCTTCCATCTTGTTGACAAATATGTGTATAGAACTGTGAGTTTTTCCTTGTAAATCATATTTTTCACCCATTTTTTGTTCAGAAAATAAATCAGAAATTCAAAGATGAAGTGGCGAAAATGGATCCAGAAGAGATATTCAATCGAACAATCGCAAATCATCTTTGTCAAAAACTTTTCGACAAATCAAAATCGATGAAATATTTGTATGGTTCATCAGACGAACTGATATCCACACTGAATCAATTAACAAAATTCCCAGATAATTCGGAATATTTGGGTTTGAAGGACACCGCAAATATGACATTTTTCGCCCCATTGAATGGTAGAAAAGGAAAAGAATATTTGTCGAAGAGTGAAGCATTTGTCGCGTATTTTTATCCGAGAGTTGCTATATTATCAACATCGGATTTTGAGAAACTTGCGATTAATTTTGTTGGAAATGAAGTTTATCGGGAGAACAAAGAGAATTTTCAATTGATCGAACGAGAATATTTCTGCATGACTGTGATGAAACATTTCGATATGAAAATCAAAATTGCACGTGGAATTGATCATGTAAAAAATGAACCAGGGAATTGTTTCAATTTGTAGTCGGGATTTTTTTATGAAATTTATATTTATTTTTTGAACATACATCTCATCAAAAATTTCGAGTGAAAGTTGAACCAGTTTTCTTTTAATAATGGATAGTTTTTCTTTCTAAAAATAATCATTTTTCAGCATTTCCACAAAGAAATTCGAATGATTCTTGAAAAAGATAAAAATTATGTGAATGGAATGGGAAATCAAATAAGAGAAAAAGGAATTTCGTGGAATGACAAAGATGATTCGATTTTCCATAAGATTTTGAATCACGAAAAATTGAAATTGGTTGATAATACAATTGATGAAGTTTATGAGAAGTTTGCTGATCTTTTTGATAGAAATTATGATGAAAAATGTTTTAAGAAATTGAGACAATTGCTTGAGGAAGAGAATAAGGTTGGTGAAGATTTGGTATTTTAGAGACATGAACTTCTGATAAAAAAAATTGAATTTCAGCTCCACCCGATTCGTGATAACTATGATCATTATCAACGCATTTACCGCGACGTTTTGATAAATTACCGAGAAGTTCTTCGATTTTTCTTCAAATCTGAAACCTTCACAAAAATCTATCCGAATCTTCGAATTTTTATCGATGAAGAACATGATGTTGAGCGGAAATTCTTCCTCGCAAAAGACGTGCTCCGAATTTTGGAGATGTTGATGAGTGAAAAGAATAGTAGAGTATTTCCGAAAGGATTGATATCGATTGAAAATGAGGAGGAGAGAAAGATGGGAATATTGAGAATTGTTGAATATGATACTTTTGAACAGATTTTGAAGGTCTTGAAAATATCGATTGATGATATTAATGTAAGGTTTTGAATTTTCATCTTTAAACACCCAAAAATCGTTTTTTTTCAGCTTGTCAACGTTCCACTGAAGTTTACTGATCGTGAAGATGTGATTCCAGTCAATTCTCCCTACGGAACATATTGCAAACTTGCAAAACACGCATTTTGCGATGTTTTTGAGCAAATTTCAATTGGAATGAATTTATGGAAAAGTATGGAGAAACAGAATTTCCCGAAAGTTTTTGAATTTTTCGAAAAATTGACGGAAAATGATGAGATTTTCGGAGCAAATCGGGTGAGTTTTGGACAAAAACATAGAAAATAGATATATTATAAATTCGTTTAGGATTATCAATATTTCGTGGAAACTTGGAAAATCGATGAAATAATCGATTTGGCTTATGAAGAACTGCTCAAATATTCAACAACAAATATGTATGTATTTCCAAATAAAAAATCAAAAAATACATATTCGGAAAATGAAGCAATGAAGGAATTGAAGAAATTCGCACCAAATTTTGAAAATCAAAAAGAGCTTACCGATTCGTTCAATTATTTGGTTAAGAACGAAAAAAGACCGATAACTCAGAAAATAATTGGATTCATTTTTGAAAATGGAATTCGAAATGCTTTTGTGGATTGTCATCCAAAAATTGCGAAGTTTGTTGATAATCAGAATTGTCCACGTCGAATTGAGATTGGTTGTTGTTCGGATGTGAAGAAGATCAGTTTTAGTGAACATTCGGAATTGTATCGAGAAACTATTAAGTGAGTTTGGAAAGTTGAAGAAAAATTAAAGTTTATGAGCTCTGGAAAAATAGAACAGCTTTATCTCCTCACAAAGTGAAATTATAGGGGAAAAAAAGAATTAGAAATTCTTGACTTACCGAAAGTTTTAGATTCTGAGCTCTCAAAAATTGCCGTTTTGGCTTGATAAACTTACTCAACTCACGATAATTTTTGTGAAAAATTCATCTGAAAAATATTTGAATGTATTTTTTATTATAATAATATTCAGTCATTAATTTCAGAAGAGTTATTTCGCGATTCGGCAATGGCACCTATATCACAAAACACGAATTCGATGAAATCATCGAAAATGAGATGAACAGTGATGTGGAACATTTGGGAATTGAAACTGAAGAGGATAAAGCAGCATATATTTTGAATTTACAAGCTGTCGCTGAATTTTTCGAGACGAAAACTGTGAATAATCATGTTTTTCTTCGAAAAAAAGATGCAGAAATGGAGGAGGCAAAAATGGATGAGCAACTCTATGAAACTCCGAGTTCTTCATCGGCTGGAAATTCGAGTGGAAATGGCGGAAATCGAATTTTGAAGCAGAATCAGAGTCAGAATCAAACTTTGAAGGAGAATACCAACAAGAAGCCATGTCAACTTAAGAATTCAAATTCAAATCAGAATTCGAAGATTGAAGGTTCTAGTCAAGCTCAGAATTCAAATCAGAAGAAGAAATTATCTGATTTGAATGAAACGGAAAAATTCAATTTGAAAAAAACTGTAGTATGTGCGCTTTTAAAAAAGCATTTCGAACAATTGGCTGAGGATGAAACATCTTGTAATTGTCAATCTGGAAGTGAAACTCAGGATCAGAATAGAGCTCAGAATTCAGTTGAGAAGCAGAAAACTGGTTCGGAATCTTGTAATGGTCAAGCTGGAGGTGAAAATCAGAATCAGAACCAAGCTGGTCCTTCAAGAAATCTTACTGTGAAAGAAGAATCTTCTGATATCCAATCTGGAAGTGGAACTCAAGTTCAGAATCAAGCTCAGAATCCAATTGTGAAGAAAAAATCGAGTCAGAATCAAGCTGGTCCTTCACAAAATCAAACTGTGAAAAAAGAATCTTGTAATGGTCAAGCTGGAAATCAGTCTCAGAATCAAGCTCAGGCTCAAAATCAAGTTTTGAGCTCTCAAGCTAGTAGCTCCTCTTCGAAAAATCTAAATCTGGTCCCAAATCCCTATGAACATCCAATTGCGAAAGAGGATCGAATTTTGAGAGAAAATACGAATCTGAACTCGAGCCAGAATCAGAATCCCACTCCAACTCCATCTACGAGCCAGGTTTCGAAGGAAGATCAAATTTCGATTCCGAATCAGCAGGAAAATCAATATAGCAATGTTTTTAATGAAGAAAAGCGGGTTATTCGACAAATCAACAAATTGTTTAGGTAAGTAGAAATTCTTGTTGATTTTCCTGAAGATTTTACCCAAAAATCGATTTTTTGCAGAGATCGAAACACGGAATCGAGACAAACAATTCGTCGATTCTTGGATAATTTATCATTGAACATTTAATTTATATTTATTTTATTTTGTATTTATTTTTAAAACTTATTTTGAACTAATTTTCTGTACTTAAACTAATAAATTTTTACTAACAAATTTGGTATTTCGAAAACCTTCAGATGATTTTTCTCCCGGAAAATTTGAAAATTTCAGCTTTTTATCGAAACGAACAATTGCGAAGTTTTCAGCCAAAAAATCAATTTTTCGAAGTACTTTTTTTAATGTTTGAAGGTCTTGCCACGATTTCCAACAAAACGATGTGTTCCTTTAGAATTTCATACGGTATCTGCAAAAACTTTGACCGCGAAATGCACAGAAAAACGTGGGAATTTTTTTTTTCAGCCTGGCCAGCTGGATTTTCAGATTTTTCGAGTAAAAACGAATATTTTTGCAGATATTAACTAACAAATAAATAATGAATCGAGAAGAGCGATACCGAAAAATCGTAGAAAGCAGACAAATTGATGTTTCTGGCTACGTATACAATATTCCGTTGACAATTGCTGCAAGTGAGTTTTTCGAATTTTTGAAGGGAAAATAGACGAAGATTGCAGTATATGAACGCGATGATGAAGATGAAGATGATGAAGATGAAGATCCGATGGACAAGGAGATTGATTTGCAAATAAGAAAAAGAAGAATGAGCGGAGCTGTTTCATCATCAACAATATCAAATGAAACTCCGAAGTCGAGAAGACCAGCAAGAATCTGCAAAGAATCGTCGCCTCCAAATATCTCTACTCCTACATCTTCAAATGATTCTTCGACGTCAGGAAGAGCATGGAAATTCGAAATCTCGCCACCAATTGAAGCAAAGTCAAGTAGATCTCGATGTCAAAAATCCGCAGAAATGTTCGAAATTCGACAAGAAAAAGGAGAAAACGATGAAGAGGAGGAGGTTATACTTGTGAAGAAAAAACCGGTGAGACGTCGTGTGATTATATCAAGTGACGAAGAAGAGGAAATCGAGAAAAAATCAATTGAATATATCACATTAGGTGATTCGTCTGATGAAGAAGAAGAAGATAGAATTTTGGAGCCGGTGAAAAAGCGGGAAAGGAAGCCGAGAGTTGCAACAACTTCTGAGAAAATCGATAAGAAACGAGCTCGAAAACCGAATTTCATGGAAACCGATCCAGCCATCAACCCAGCGGAAATTTATTTGGATATGGTTCACAAGCTTCCGGATAAGCCGCGGAAAAAGAGAGAAGTGAAAATACGTGAAATCTTCGCAACACCGCCGGAACAAACGGATTTGTCGATTTATTTGGGACCTGAAGATGAAGTGAGTTTTTCACCAGAACATACATAAAATGAGTCCCCATAATCCGGGTGAGGGGCTTAACTTTTCTCAAAAATCTAAAGCGAAGGGTGCCTAACCTGGCCAATTTTTTGTTGATAATCTACCTAAATTCCCAGATTTATCCAAAAATTACTCGAAAAATTGAGGAAAGGGCTTTAACTTTGGAAATTTTTTAAAGAGGGACCATAACTGAAAATTTTGGCCCGGGGGACCTATTATATATATGCACCAGAAGCTTGCTATTTTCAAAAAATATTCAATTATTTTCAGCAATTTCAATATTTGCCACACTTCGATGAAGAAGTTATCGAGCAAAATCTCCACGATTTTGAAGTGAATGACTTTATCACTGGTGAAACTGATGAACTTCATCCGGAGGATATTGTTGAAATTGTGAGTTTTTCTTCGGAAAATTTCTTTTTTAATAAAGCTTGGTTGAGATTTTTTCCGAAAATTTGAAACAGGAATTTCTCAAAAAACCGCAATTGACTCAAGGTATTTTTTGTGAAAAAAAAACTGAGTTTTTCAAGATTCAAAAATCGAACGAATTTTCACCGAAAACAACAATTTTGCTGAAAAGTTGCCCATATTCTAATTTTTGCCACGTGGATTTTTTGGTGAAAAAAAAGTTGATAAATTGAAAAAACTTCAGCAAATTGAACTCCCCAATCAAATCACGCCACCTTTGGACTTGGACGAAACTTCGGAAGGAGTTCTAAGATTTGCAGAAATCCAAGAGCAAGTCAACAAGAATCATTCTTACGATATCGAAACAAATGCCGATAAATTTGATGATTTGGTTGAATTTGTAAATTCTCCAACAAACGAAACATCTCTGTGCAATATCCCAATTTGAATGTTTTATATAAGTAATTTTATTTTTGATAGTTTATCCTGTGAATAGATTTATTGTATTTTTACGGCCTTTTTTGAATATTCATTTAATTATACTTGTTTTACTGAAACTTTTCATTTTGAAAAATACATTTTTTATTTTGGAAAACAAAAATTTATTAGTTTTTAAAAAACAAAAACAATATGGCACAACAGATAAAAAATTTAACAAAAAGTAAAAAAAATAAATGAAAAATTATGAGTTCAAAGACAAATTATCGAGAAAACGACGGAATAATCGGCGAGTTTCAACACTTTGTTCGCTGAAAAAAAAATGAATTTGGGATTTTTGACTGAAAAATCTGGAATGGGATTGAAATCTCGAAATTTTCAAAATTCCACGATTTATTTTGCCTGGCTTTTTGAGCAAAAAATGTGTCATCTATTTAGCCCGAATTTTAAAAAAAAAATCACCTCAAAAGTTGATTTATATGTCGTTTAAAAACACGTTTCACTTCTTGAGTTTCTTCATTTTTTCTTCGATTTTCTTTTTCCAATTCTTCTTCATAATTCTGGTCATTCGAAGTACTTTGATGTTCAAAAATATTATTATCATCATTTTCGTCTTGATTTATCATATTCACAATAAAATCCGATGCTTTGATGGGTTTTTCGCGTCTTCGAATCAACATCACATCATTTTCCAATTTCGATTCAAAAAGTTCGAATATAAGTTGAGAATTTTGGGCGAATGCAGCATGGTCTTTTTCCATGAAAACTTCCGAAATTTCATAGTTTGACATTTGATTTTCGATCATTTTATCGAGGTTTTCTTTTGGAATGAAGTTGCGAGTTGAGATTGTTGGATGCATTTTTCTGGAAAAAAAATGAGGGTTTTCGAGCCCCTAAAGCAAAAGACAGTGCCGCCAAACTGTACTAATATTCAATTTTTAAAAATTCTGCAAGCATTCGGGATTGATTTCACGACCTTTCACTCAATAATGTTATCGTTAACCAGCTAAGCTAATCTAGCACAATTTCGATTCAAAAAATTTAAAAAAACGAACCGAATAAAATCTCGATAAATCTCCGAATGTTTTGCATAACAAATCCTTTCAACTTGTTTATCTTCTTTTCCAACATCAAAAAAAATTTGTATCGGATTCAATTGAAAATTCAAAAAATCATTTAATTTCGAATGACATTCAACAAAAGCAGTTCGAATTGCGCGTTCATGAAGAAATCCAATAATTTTTTGAGTAATCGGTCTTTTTTCATTTTCAATCAAATTATCATAGGATTCGATGAGTTTTTGTTGATTTTCAAAATTTGGCGCGAATTTCTTCAATTCCTTCATTGCTTCATTTTCCGAATATGTGTTTTTTGATTTTTTATTTGGAAATACATACATATTTGTTGTTGAATATTTGAGAAGTTCTTCATAAGCCAAATCGATTATTTCTTCGATTTTCCACGTGTCAATGAAGTATCGATATTCCTAAATTAAAAGGTGGAAAACTTTAATAAAAATATTTTTCTAGTGATTTTCGAACTGCTGATTACGATTTCGCTGTCAACAATTTCAGAACTCAACTCATAATATGAGTTATGACGTGACAAAATTTAAAAATATGTAACTTTACAAGTTTTCGAAATTTTCAAACTTTGCCACGTCATAACTCATTAAGAGTTGATTTCTGCAATTTTTGACAACGAATTAGTGATGAGCGGGACGAAAATATCTAACGAATTTTTTCAAATTCATATCCCACAAAAACTCACCCGATTTGCTCCGAAAATCTCATCATTTTCCGTCAATTTTTCAAAAAATTCAAAAACTTTCGGGAAATTCTGTTTCTCCATACTTTTCCATAAATTCATTCCAATTGAAATTTGCTCAAAAATAACATAAAATGCATGTTTTGCAAGTTTACAATATGTTCCATAGGAAGAATTGACTGGAATTATATCACCTCGATCAGTTGGTTTTAGGCGAACTCCAACGATCTGAAAAACATTTTTTGAGCTACGTGGATTTTTGGCACCAAAAACACTTACTCGTAGATCATCTTTAGTCAAATTGAGACTTTCCAAAACTTGTTCAAAAGTGTCGTATTCAACGATTCTCGAAATTCCCAATTTTCTATCTTCCTCATTTTCAATCGATAATAAATTTCTGGGAAATTCTTTCTTGAATTTCTCCTGCATCACAACTTCTAAAACATCAGCCAATTCTTTTGCCATAAAGAATCTTTTGCATTTTACCATTTCGTCATCGATAAAAAGTCGAACATATGGATATTTGATGCGGAAAGGTTCGGAGCGAAAGAAGATTCGAAGTAGACCTCGCCATACTAATTGTTCTTCGTAGATGCGTTTGAAATGATCGAGATTCAGCGGAATTGGATGAGTCTGGAATTGATTTTTTAGCACAAAATCAAATTTCTCGAAAAATCACTAACCTTATGCTCATCTTCAATCAATTTCCTCAATTTCACAAAACATTGCTCATCTTTACTTTTATCAAAAAGATTCGCAAAAATCTCATAAACTTCTTCAACAGTTTCCTCAACAAGATAAAATCCTGGACTCTCGAAAATTTCTCGATAATTCTTGACAGATTCTTGATCCCAACTTCTTCCAGTAATCATGAATTTGCTACAAACTCGATCGATGAAATGAGGATTGCGGAGAAGGGTTTCGGAGTTTATCTGAAAGAAAATGTGGAGATTTTTGAGGTTTTTATTTGAAGAAAGAATAAAAATATTACAACAAAAATTCGACTTGCGAGTGCCAAAATCGTATCAAAATCTGACATAATTGTATCGCAGAAGAAATCTTTTTGAACCAATTCGAATTTTGAATTCATTTCTCGTCCAACTTCATTTCCAATAAAATGTGCTGTTAAATTCACAAATTTAGACTCTTTTGGCTTTGCGATTCGATAAATGAAGAAGAAAACAAATGCTTCACTTTTCGACATATAACTGTCTCCAGCATAATCACCATAGAAAACAACAGAATCAAAATTGAGCACATCTTTCATGCCCAAAAATGCGGCATTATTTGGGAATTCTTGATATTGATAGATATAATGAACCAATTCTTCTGGTGAACCGTATAAATGTTTCATCGATTTCGATTTTTCGAAAAGTTTTTGCACAAGTTGCATTGCAATTGTTCGATTCATCACTTTATCCGGATCCAATTTTGCTGCTTCATCTCTGATCTTCTGATTCATTTTCTGCAAAAAACATAAGTTTTACATAATTTTTCCTTCAAAAACCAATCAACTCACCGATCTGAACACATATTTATCAAGGAGATTAAGGAGAATATCTGGTTTTAATTGTGGTTCTGAGTCGCGCATTGTGAATGACTGCAAAAGTGTGAATTCGCCGTGAAAACAAACAGAAAAACGAGAAAAAACACACCCGTTCAAACAATGAAAAAATTAGAAATTTCGTTTATTCACACTGCGCCACAATTTTCAAAGGAATTTGATAACCAAATAGAAAAAGTAAATATACCATTAGAATCAGCACATCGAGATCTGTGTGAGACTACGCATTTCGAAATTTTTAGGGTCCTGCGAAGAAAGTTAGCAATCGCGACAAGACCCAACGCATAAAATTTATCTTGCTCCTTTAATACTGTAGTGCGAAATATAACGGCGAACAGAGAGAATTAGACAAAAGTGTTTGCACAGTTTTTTGTTTCGTTTTACAGTAGAAAACACTCATTGCGTGGCTTGAACGGGTACCACGCTGATTATTTCGTAACATTTGGCCGCGAGAAGAAAAAACTCGGCCGTGTGCACTAGAGCGCACTTTCCCGATTTTATGCAACGATCGCACGGTTTTTTTATTTGAAAATTAATTTTTTTCTCGAAAAAAATGGGGACATTTCCGAAGTGTTCAATTTCATCATTATTGATGTAAAATTTTATTTCGCCGTCATGTATAAGAGTAAGTAACTGTTTTCGATTTTCTAAAAAAAGGTTGGAACAAATTTCAGGTTCAATTCTGGTTCATTCGATGTTATATTCTCTATTCATCTAAAATTGTTTTGTATTGAAGACTTATGTTACCAAGAAGACTTTCAATGAACTATATTTGTATTTTAAGATCAAATAGAGTCTTTGCGAGAATTCTTGGTTGAAATAATGTCTATTCCATGTTCTTGCGAAGAAGAGACGGGTAAGATCGATTGAAAATTGAAAACAAAGTGAAAGGTAAGAATTTTATTGAAACAAAGTTAGTAAAACACAATTGAAATTTGAAAGAAAATGTTTGACGTCGAAAGCAGTACAAAAGTTGAGAAAATGGAATTGGAAGTTGAAAAATAGACCAAATTATTTATCATAGAAACCACTATCACTAGTTTCATTCATAAAAAATAATTTTTTCATGAGAGCATGACCTTTTTTTACTAGATCTTTGATTGCTGAAAGGTCTCTATTCATTATGTTGATTTCGGCGTGTTGGGCCTCCGCGCCTTGTTCAGATGTTTTTCCTAAAGTTTTGTATTTATCAGCAAAAACCGGGAAATGCTGAACCATAATGTGCAATTTAGGTGTCACCGATTTCTCCGGGTAAACTTTTTTCATTTCGAGAACCATATTATAAATATTATTCTTCAAATCTTGGATTTCAAATTCTGTCAGATACGTAGCTGAACTATAAGTTTCAATTTTTGATAATCTCAACATTATATATTTCAAAGACCTGGTAAAGTTTGAATCAGGGAAGATTTCGAAAAGTTTTTCAACGTTTTCTTCTTGCAATAGCAAATGCATGTGGTTTCCATTGAAACTTTTTGTATAATATGCTTGTCTTTGCGCACCGATCTCGTTGAAAAACTCTTCTAATTTTTCCTGATACATTCCTTTTTCTGAATCTTTCAATTTTTTAACAGATTTTTGAAGAGTTTCTTGGACTTTGCCAATTTCAATGGTCTCTTTGAGAACAAATTCGCGATCTTGTTTTAATTCGCCATAAATATTCTCATATGACATGTTCCGGCATTTATAACACTCGAAAATCTCTATACCATATAAAAGTTCGGTTCTCTTTCTTTTGTCCAAAATACCGATACATTCCATGTGGAATATGTCGTGACATTTAGGACATTCGACAGAACCATGTGACGTGTAACCATCACGCATTTTAACTAAATCAGGTACATAACAATATTTTGAGCATTTTAATTCGGATGAACATTTCGCACCAGTTCGTCTAGAATTATCCAAAATGATGAGACAGTCATTTAAAATTTCACCGTCTTCATCAAATTCATTTACTTCTTCATGAACATCGCCGATTTTTGTGGTGAGCAATTCGATGGCGCTTGATTCTTCAAGTCGTTTCTCGATAACATCCAATTCTTCAGGAGTGGTTGCATCGAGTTTGAGAGCATGAATTGTCAAAGGGACTATCACATAAGCATCAACAACACCCATTTTCACATGCATTACCGCGGGAACTGTGTGATCTACTTCAACTTCTTCGAAAATACAGGTAGAATTTTTATTTACGCTGTTTTCGCCATTAACAGCATCATTTTTATAATCTTGAATTGTTCTCATAACAAGTTTAACATGAATATTCCAGTTTCCGATATTCAAACCAGTCAACTTAGTTTTATCATTTTTATGATAACAAATCATACAATTTTCAGAAGCGTTGGGCCCTTTATGACCGTAGATTGCATATAAATACATGCAATCACCGGCCACAAATGGTTCCACTCTTCTCTTAATTGTGTTGCCAAATTTATCTTTATAAGTTATAAATTTCAATTTTTTAATTTGATCAATTAAAGTTGGAAAATAAAAAGTCATTTCTTTTTGTTTGTCAGATCCATCGAAAATCCCAATGCAGAACAAACCTTTACAACTATTAGATTTAATAATATCCCAGAAAATTATCCACCATTTTGTGGAACCTCCACCTTTATCACCGATATAAGTTATTCTTGCTGGTTGATCTGGATTTTCGAATGTTAAACAATCATATTGAGCCATTCGAGTGTATCGATAATCAATGGCACTTTGAAGATCGGTGCATTCGCAGACTAAACTTGTTTTTTTATTTTTCGTTAAACTCGGTTCAGTTCTTATGGAATAATATTTGATCAAATTAAATAATTCCTCGAAATCTCGAAGTTTGTTCAATGAAGGATATGGATCAAAATTAAACAACAGTTTGAATAATCTCTTAAAATTTTGCATCTCATACCAAGTCCAACGGAAGCGATTTCTCATATGGAAAAAATCGCTTACCGTTAATTTCAGTGAACATTCTGGATGGAATACAGCCAACCATCGGTTAAATCCTCCAAAGAATGGTTTCAAATTTATTTCTTTTGTGATATCAAGAGCCATTTCAAAATAATAGGCGTGTCTCAAATCTTTTTCTTTGTTCTTTGGTAAACTATTATATGGTTTATAGCCGAATTTTCCGCTGAAATTTAAACCGGAATTTTTATGAAATGACTTTTTCAATTCTTTACATTTTCCTTCTGATTTATCTTTATCACTTTTCAATATTTTAATCTCAAGCTCCAATGAGGATACTTTTGATTTCATTTTTTGCTCTTCTGCTTTCAAAGTCCTTTTCAATAATTTATTTTCATTTTCAAAATTTTCCAGTTTTTCTTTATTTTCAGATAGTGAGATCCCAAAAGAATCTTTGGAATGTTCAGCAATTCTGAATTCATATTCTAAAATTTTAATTTTGTTTTTCAATTCTTCGATTATTTTATCTTTATTTTTATTATCATTTTCCAAAATTTCAATCAAAGTAGATTTGACCAAAATTTCATTTTTCAATTCTTCTTTTTCAATTTTCATTTTTTCCACCATAATCGCATGATCTTCCTGCAGCTTCTTAAATTCCTTTCCATTTCTTTCGCCAATTTTGATAGCCAGTTCTTTTTGCTTCGCTTTTCTCGTTGGAGTTCGTCCCATCTACAATGAACACGCGAATTACAGAATAGATCAACAAAATGTACGCCGAAATGACGGAATCAATCAACATTGAATCCTTTTCAATAACTGTGACAATTGACAATCTATGTATATCATAAAAATATTCATTATTTCGAATAAACAAAAACAAACAGGTCAACAACAACAACAATTAAAAAATCAAAGATAAAAAGTAGAGCATTTTAGATTAACCCATCAATTCGTAGCAGAAGTTGTTTGTTGTGCCTGGAATGTAGATATATGAGTATACATACAAGAAATTCAAAAAAACTAACTTTAGCAAGTGAGTCCAGTAATCCATTGATTTGGGCCGTCTTTCCATCCACAACCACCTTCAATGCCTCAAAATCCTCTTTCCATTTCAAAGCATTTTCTTTACATTCTTTCAATTGTTCCAAAACATCTCGATTTTCGCTGACTGCTGTTTCAGCTTGCAATTTCTGAAATCATCAATTTAGGTTGTGAATCAATGTTTGGAAAAATCATCAACTTCAAAAAACTTACCGCATCTTCCAGTTCTATTGATAAGTCACGCGCCAGTTTTCTTGATTTTCGATGTAATACACGCTGCAAAAATCAAAATTCTCAGTGGAAATGTTGTATTTTACGCTAAAACAGAAAAATACCAACTTCATTTTCCAAATCCTCCTTTCCAATGTCGATTTCGCGCTTGAGCTTTCTGTTGTCGCTGCGCAATTTTTTTTCATTTTCTGATGGAGGGGGGCTGAGAAAAATGTCGAACTCATCTGAAATAATGAACAAAATTATGAAAAAAACAGGAGGAATTTGCGAGGAGACCATTAATACTGAAAGAAAAATGAAAATTATATGTGGAAAGAAACATATTATTTCGGTAACAGAGAAGTAAAACGAGCTGAATATAGACCTAACACCATTATTGAACACGGAACTACACCTTATGTCACTTTCATTTCATATTTCTCAAAAAAACTGAACGGTAAAAGTATTATTTCAAAATTCAATAACATCTAGAAACATTCAAAGCTTAATAAGTACATGGTTTCGCTCACTTAAAGCTCATTCTTAGTCATGAAAGACTCGTAGAAGAATTCTCTACGTTCCCATCGTTCGTTTTTTCGGTTAAACGGCTTGAGAACTGAGAAAAATGATTGTTTCAAAAAAATTCTGAACAAAAAAAACAAAAAAAAATTAATTAAAAAAGGTGGGCGGAGTCTGCAACTCTGGCACATGTTTGTCGGATCCTAGGCCAGAAGTTACGAAATAATCAGCGTGGGGTGCACGCTGATTATTTCGTAACATTTGGCCGCGAGAAGAAAAAACTCGGCCGTGTGCACTAGAGCGCACTTTCCCGATTTTATGCAACGATCGCACGGTTTTTTTTATTTGAAAATTAATTTTTTTCTCGAAAAAAATGGGGACATTTCCGAAGTGTTCAATTTCATCATTATTGATGTAAAATTTTATTTCGCCGTCATGTATAAGAGTAAGTAACTGTTTTCGATTTTCTAAAAAAGGTTGGAACAAATTTCAGGTTCAATTCTGGTTCATTCGATGTTATATTCTCTATTCATCTAAAATTGTTTTGTATTGAAGACTTATGTTACCAAGAAGACTTTCAATGAACTATATTTGTATTTTAAGATCAAATAGAGTCTTTGCGAGAATTCTTGGTTGAAATAATGTCTATTCCATGTTCTTGCGAAGAAGAGACGGGTAAGATCGATTGAAAATTGAAAACAAAGTGAAAGGTAAGAATTTTATTGAAACAAAGTTAGTAAAACACAATTGAAATTTGAAAGAAAATGTTTGACGTCGAAAGCAGTACAAAAGTTGAGAAAATGGAATTGGAAGTTGAAAAATAGACCAAATTATTTATCATAGAAACCACTATCACTAGTTTCATTCATAAAAAATAATTTTTTCATGAGAGCATGACCTTTTTTTACTAGATCTTTGATTGCTGAAAGGTCTCTATTCATTATGTTGATTTCGGCGTGTTGGGCCTCCGCGCCTTGTTCAGATGTTTTTCCTAAAGTTTTGTATTTATCAGCAAAAACCGGGAAATGCTGAACCATAATGTGCAATTTAGGTGTCACCGATTTCTCCGGGTAAACTTTTTTCATTTCGAGAACCATATTATAAATATTATTCTTCAAATCTTGGATTTCAAATTCTGTCAGATACGTAGCTGAACTATAAGTTTCAATTTTTGATAATCTCAACATTATATATTTCAAAGACCTGGTAAAGTTTGAATCAGGGAAGATTTCGAAAAGTTTTTCAACGTTTTCTTCTTGCAATAGCAAATGCATGTGGTTTCCATTGAAACTTTTTGTATAATATGCTTGTCTTTGCGCACCGATCTCGTTGAAAAACTCTTCTAATTTTTCCTGATACATTCCTTTTTCTGAATCTTTCAATTTTTTAACAGATTTTTGAAGAGTTTCTTGGACTTTGCCAATTTCAATGGTCTCTTTGAGAACAAATTCGCGATCTTGTTTTAATTCGCCATAAATATTCTCATATGACATGTTCCGGCATTTATAACACTCGAAAATCTCTATACCATATAAAAGTTCGGTTCTCTTTCTTTTGTCCAAAATACCGATACATTCCATGTGGAATATGTCGTGACATTTAGGACATTCGACAGAACCATGTGACGTGTAACCATCACGCATTTTAACTAAATCAGGTACATAACAATATTTTGAGCATTTTAATTCGGATGAACATTTCGCACCAGTTCGTCTAGAATTATCCAAAATGATGAGACAGTCATTTAAAATTTCACCGTCTTCATCAAATTCATTTACTTCTTCATGAACATCGCCGATTTTTGTGGTGAGCAATTCGATGGCGCTTGATTCTTCAAGTCGTTTCTCGATAACATCCAATTCTTCAGGAGTGGTTGCATCGAGTTTGAGAGCATGAATTGTCAAAGGGACTATCACATAAGCATCAACAACACCCATTTTCACATGCATTACCGCGGGAACTGTGTGATCTACTTCAACTTCTTCGAAAATACAGGTAGAATTTTTATTTACGCTGTTTTCGCCATTAACAGCATCATTTTTATAATCTTGAATTGTTCTCATAACAAGTTTAACATGAATATTCCAGTTTCCGATATTCAAACCAGTCAACTTAGTTTTATCATTTTTATGATAACAAATCATACAATTTTCAGAAGCGTTGGGCCCTTTATGACCGTAGATTGCATATAAATACATGCAATCACCGGCCACAAATGGTTCCACTCTTCTCTTAATTGTGTTGCCAAATTTATCTTTATAAGTTATAAATTTCAATTTTTTAATTTGATCAATTAAAGTTGGAAAATAAAAAGTCATTTCTTTTTGTTTGTCAGATCCATCGAAAATCCCAATGCAGAACAAACCTTTACAACTATTAGATTTAATAATATCCCAGAAAATTATCCACCATTTTGTGGAACCTCCACCTTTATCACCGATATAAGTTATTCTTGCTGGTTGATCTGGATTTTCGAATGTTAAACAATCATATTGAGCCATTCGAGTGTATCGATAATCAATGGCACTTTGAAGATCGGTGCATTCGCAGACTAAACTTGTTTTTTTATTTTTCGTTAAACTCGGTTCAGTTCTTATGGAATAATATTTGATCAAATTAAATAATTCCTCGAAATCTCGAAGTTTGTTCAATGAAGGATATGGATCAAAATTAAACAACAGTTTGAATAATCTCTTAAAATTTTGCATCTCATACCAAGTCCAACGGAAGCGATTTCTCATATGGAAAAAATCGCTTACCGTTAATTTCAGTGAACATTCTGGATGGAATACAGCCAACCATCGGTTAAATCCTCCAAAGAATGGTTTCAAATTTATTTCTTTTGTGATATCAAGAGCCATTTCAAAATAATAGGCGTGTCTCAAATCTTTTTCTTTGTTCTTTGGTAAACTATTATATGGTTTATAGCCGAATTTTCCGCTGAAATTTAAACCGGAATTTTTATGAAATGACTTTTTCAATTCTTTACATTTTCCTTCTGATTTATCTTTATCACTTTTCAATATTTTAATCTCAAGCTCCAATGAGGATACTTTTGATTTCATTTTTTGCTCTTCTGCTTTCAAAGTCCTTTTCAATAATTTATTTTCATTTTCAAAATTTTCCAGTTTTTCTTTATTTTCAGATAGTGAGATCCCAAAAGAATCTTTGGAATGTTCAGCAATTCTGAATTCATATTCTAAAATTTTAATTTTGTTTTTCAATTCTTCGATTATTTTATCTTTATTTTTATTATCATTTTCCAAAATTTCAATCAAAGTAGATTTGACCAAAATTTCATTTTTCAATTCTTCTTTTTCAATTTTCATTTTTTCCACCATAATCGCATGATCTTCCTGCAGCTTCTTAAATTCCTTTCCATTTCTTTCGCCAATTTTGATAGCCAGTTCTTTTTGCTTCGCTTTTCTCGTTGGAGTTCGTCCCATCTACAATGAACACGCGAATTACAGAATAGATCAACAAAATGTACGCCGAAATGACGGAATCAATCAACATTGAATCCTTTTCAATAACTGTGACAATTGACAATCTATGTATATCATAAAAATATTCATTATTTCGAATAAACAAAAACAAACAGGTCAACAACAACAACAATTAAAAAATCAAAGATAAAAAGTAGAGCATTTTAGATTAACCCATCAATTCGTAGCAGAAGTTGTTTGTTGTGCCTGGAATGTAGATATATGAGTATACATACAAGAAATTCAAAAAAACTAACTTTAGCAAGTGAGTCCAGTAATCCATTGATTTGGGCCGTCTTTCCATCCACAACCACCTTCAATGCCTCAAAATCCTCTTTCCATTTCAAAGCATTTTCTTTACATTCTTTCAATTGTTCCAAAACATCTCGATTTTCGCTGACTGCTGTTTCAGCTTGCAATTTCTGAAATCATCAATTTAGGTTGTGAATCAATGTTTGGAAAAATCATCAACTTCAAAAAACTTACCGCATCTTCCAGTTCTATTGATAAGTCACGCGCCAGTTTTCTTGATTTTCGATGTAATACACGCTGCAAAAATCAAAATTCTCAGTGGAAATGTTGTATTTTACGCTAAAACAGAAAAATACCAACTTCATTTTCCAAATCCTCCTTTCCAATGTCGATTTCGCGCTTGAGCTTTCTGTTGTCGCTGCGCAATTTTTTTTCATTTTCTGATGGAGGGGGGCTGAGAAAAATGTCGAACTCATCTGAAATAATGAACAAAATTATGAAAAAAACAGGAGGAATTTGCGAGGAGACCATTAATACTGAAAGAAAAATGAAAATTATATGTGGAAAGAAACATATTATTTCGGTAACAGAGAAGTAAAACGAGCTGAATATAGACCTAACACCATTATTGAACACGGAACTACACCTTATGTCACTTTCATTTCATATTTCTCAAAAAAACTGAACGGTAAAAGTATTATTTCAAAATTCAATAACATCTAGAAACATTCAAAGCTTAATAAGTACATGGTTTCGCTCACTTAAAGCTCATTCTTAGTCATGAAAGACTCGTAGAAGAATTCTCTACGTTCCCATCGTTCGTTTTTTCGGTTAAACGGCTTGAGAACTGAGAAAAATGATTGTTTCAAAAAAATTCTGAACAAAAAAAACAAAAAAAAATTAATTAAAAAAGGTGGGCGGAGTCTGCAACTCTGGCACATGTTTGTCGGATCCTAGGCCAGAAGTTACGAAATAATCAGCGTGGGGTGTGAAAAAGAAAAGTAAAAAAATTGTGTGTGAACACGGCGACGAGAAAATGCACACATTATTGATTACCGTAATTTTTAAAAAATATATTTTTCAAACAATTCACCAAAAACGGGTTCAGCTGAATTTTCAGTGATATATTTATTACCCAAAAAGTTCAGATCTTTTATAAAAAATTCAATTCTAATAATAAAAACCAACAAAAACACATTAAACATTTTCTCGACACCTACAAAATCAAAAACATTTCTCTAACTAGGTCAAACTAAAATATAGCTCTACTCTTATTCAATATAATACAAAAACTCTTTTTCTCTCTCACTCTCTCTCTCTCTCTCTCTCTCTTTCTCTCTCTCTTCCTTATTCCTCCAATCATTTTTGATGGGCGTCATTTTTTAATTTTTCTTTCTTTTAAATTTATTCCTAATCTTTATTTCATTTTTTGGATTCAACTGTTTTTGCTTCTGAAACTGGTGCTGTAATTGAACTGGAAACGGGATCTGATTTTTCAATGGCAATTGAGATCTAAAATTTTGTCTATGAACTTCCAAACAAATTCCCGAATATTTCTCACCTTATTATACAATCTTTCCATTGGCCATTCAGTCATCGATTTTTTCCAAATATACTTTGCAATCTCGGTTTTATCCGCATGATTTTCGGGTCGAATATTTGCTGGAATTTTAAGATTTTCCACCACAATTTTCAACTGTTTTCCAGCATAATCATTGATTCCCAAAGGCCATTCATCACATGGCAAAAGGAATAATTTGATAGTTTGTTTTTCGCCAGCCGCCAAAATACCGTGATTATTTGAGCCAAGACGGAAGATTTTTTGACGAGCTGAACGGAAAAAATTGAGGTGAGTTATGATGGGGCAAAAAAATAAAAATAATTTCAAGCTTTTTTAAATTCCCAAACCCTGTACCTTTAATCGAATAAACAACCGGAAATTTATCGCGATTTTCTATGAAAAATTTGGCAGCACACGGTTTTTTATATCCATTTTCCGAATAGAAAACAATCCATCTTGGATAAATAACAAGTTCATGATCGGGTGAACCACAATTTATTGATTTTTCCACAATTTCCGACACATTTTTGATAAAAATCTCATTTTTTTGCTCATTTGTTGCTGCTGCCATTTTTCACTCTTTTTATTTTAAAAAATGAGGGATTTTTTATTTTTTCTTTTCTTGAGAAAAAAATTATGAACAGGGTCACTCACGTTAAATAAAAAATTTCGAAATTTTTTATCCAATAGTAATTTCTATCTTTTGGTGGCCTAGAAACCGACTCGGCCATCTCTTGATCTCGTGCAAAATACAAAAAAATTGTAAAACAATAAATCATCGCCATTTCTTTCCACATTTTTTTTGTTTTTTTCTTGTTTAGTGTTTTATTTTTGAAATTTTTTGTTCAAAAATGTTGTTTCTCTGTATATTTTCCCTGGTTTTTACTGGAATTCAAGGCTATCATGTTTACGACGCAGAAACTGATAGTTTAACAGTTCATTACGAGGAAAAGAAGAAATGTGGTGGTGGAGAATTGATAAGTCGTGTTGTTGTTGAAAATGCGTTGGGTTATAATAGCAAGAACTCGGATACTTCGACTTCAAGTTCCAAAGCGACAACAAATCCAACGACGACTGAAATTTCAAAAACTTCTCCAGCTACATCTTCAATAACTTCTAAAACTTCCCCAAGTTCAAGCTTAACCTCCACAATAAATCCAACCACGCCTGAAATTTCAACTACCTCTCTAGCTACAACTCTCTCAACTTCAAGTTCAACGTCCACATCCACGACCACATCAACCACAACATCTACAACTACAACTCCAGTTCCAACCACAACGACAAAAGCCCTCAATTGCTTGGCAGGTGGAGATTGGATTCAAAGCTCACGAAAAGGTTATAATTGGTGTATGCAAGTTTTTAACGGAACAGTTACTTGGGAACAGGCTAGAACTGCTTGTAACAGTAGTCACAAAGCTGATTTGGCTGGATTTGAGACGCAAGACGAGAAAGATCGGGTATTGGGTGAGTAAAATGTTGCGCATGAAACATTGTGGGAATAATGATTTTAACCATTTTTTACAGCTCAGGCGAAAGAAAAAGTTAGGAACTCTGTTATATGGATTGGATATGTGACCAACGGTAGATGCAAAAGTTCAACTACTGCAGAATGTGACACAGGTTTTTACTGGATTGATGGTGATACAGTGAAAAACTCTGAACTCACCAAGGGGTGGTGGGCTAGTTATCAACCCGATAACTCAGAATACAAGCAAAACAAAACAGTTATGCACGTCGGAAATTGGGGCTTATTCATGGATGGAACTTTTGATGATCGTCCCATGAATCCTGATCTGCTTAGCAACCCTCAACCAACTGGGTTTGTGTGCGGTAAAAAAGCCGAATATCCATAATTTGTGGGTTTGTGTACACGTTTCCTTCTGAAAATCTCATAAATTTTCCTGTTATATTTCTCATATTTTGTTCAGACTTTGTACATAGGCAGTCAATCATTCTTTGCCTAACAACAAAGTTAATGTTTTTTTTTTCACGGAGTATTTTGTGTATGCAGAAGTTTACAATATCCAATAATCCCATCAAATAAAATAGGTAGTTCCAAATCACCATGGAAAACCTCATCAAAATGTTCCTACAAGCAATCGCATTTCATTTTTCTTGAATAAGAAAATGAGTCGAATTTTCTTCGCGTTCTTCTATTTTTCACTTTTCGTTTTTCTTCAATCTTGTGAAATCAAGAAAACCAATTTGTATTATACTTATGATAGTGAAAGTGATAGTCTAACTGGTCATTATGAAAGATCAACTTATGATAGTGATTCTGGAAATGTTACAATTGCTAAATGGATTGAGACAATTGAGGGACCATTGTTGAAACCACCAACTACTACAACTACAACTACGACCACTACAACAACTCCAAGTATAGATTGGACAACGCGTTCATGCCCCAATGGTTGGACGAAATCTAGTCGTGGAACTTATAACTATTGCTTTATGGCAAAGTATAATCAAGGAATTAGTCAAAACAGTGCTCGAAATGATTGCGAAAACGATGGTGGAAGTCTAGCAGGGTTTCAAACAAATTCAGAACGAACAACTATGATGAGTAAGGTTTTTTTCAGTTGAAATTTTAATCATTTAGATGCGAAGAAATACCGTTTTTCCCACTAAAAGAGTTGGAAAGCATTGAAAAAAGATTGTCTAACAAACCGATTTCCAGAGAAAGCACAAACAGCATTTTATCCGAAAAATGAAGCTGCAGCATTTAGTAATGTATGGATTGGACTCGAAAGCTCTAATTGTGTTAAGTACAAAGCAAATAGTTTCTCCTGGATGGATATGACAGATGGTACAGCTGGATTGAATTGGGCAAGTCAACAGCCAGATTGTACAGGGTGAGCTAGGAAAACTTAAGGGAGAGTCCGAAAAACAAAAAAAAGTTCACTCCTGTCCATTTCTGTTCAAACTAAAATATTTTTCTTCAACGTTGAATAACTATGATTAGAATTCAGTTAGCTATAAGTAGATCATTTTTTTTAAATCAAAATTGGTCAGGAAAAATATAAGTTGGTTTTTGGGCGCCCCGTGATAATATCTAGAAATTTAATATGTTTTATATTTATAGATCTTCCCAGCCATGTGTAGTGATGAATGTGTCGAGTGGTACATTTGATGATATTTCTTGTATTCCAACAAATGGTTATCCGTTGGTCGGTTACATTTGTGGACTTCGTGCAAATCTATAAAGAAATAATTAGAATAATAAGTTGTTTTTGTGAAAAATGAATAATTTTTGTTATGAAGTGTTCACTTTTAGAATAGAAAGAAATATTGCAATATTCATGAATATGATCTCGTGCTTTTTAAATGGTGAAAAATATAATAATTATGCTACAGTAACCACAACATGTCAAAAAGCAATCGGTGAGAGTGAAAGAGACGAAAAGATATTGAAATCGCGCGTGATCTACAGCGAGTTGAATTTGCGGGTGTAGGATTTGTGAAATCTAGAAATAGGCTTCAGCTTGATTTTTGAGAATTCATTTTTGAATTTTCACTGCACAAAGCGACTAAAATTCATCCTCAATTTTTTTTCGAAACAAAATATGTTTACCAACCGCAATTCAACAATTATGGATTTTCAGACCCACAATTTTTGATGTACCTTTGATCTATTTTTCTCTAAGTCTCCTTCACTCTCACCGATTGCCAATTTTCATTGGGCTGACATGTTGTGTAACATCAACAAACATGTTAGTTCCATTGGATCGCTGCGAGATCCTGTCACTTTATGAAACTTCGCGAGTCACTATTATTGTTGACGATCATGCCGCAATTAAGATCTACTGACAACAACCTTCCATACTGTACACAAGCCAATAAGAATTTTACAGTAAGAATCCCATTCAATAAAGTAGCTAGTTCCAAATCACCATGGAAAATCCCATCCCATACCATCAAAAACAAAACAAAACATACATTCAAAAGCTCCTACAAGCAATCGCATTTCATTTTCTTGAAAAAGAAAATGAGCCGGCTTTTCTTCGCGTTCTTCTATTTTTCACTTTTCGTTTCTCTTCAATCTTGTGAAATCAAGAAAACCAATTTGTATTATACTTATGATAGTGAAAGTGATAGTCTAACTGGTCATTATGAAAGATCAACTTATGATAGTGATTCTGGAAATGTTACAATTGCTACCTGGACTGAGACAATTGAAGGACCATTGTTGAAACCACCAACTACTACAACTACAACTACTACGACCACAACCACCACAACTCCAAGTATTGATTGGTCAAAGTATTCTTGCCCTAATGGTTGGCTACAATTCGAACGTGATACTTACAAGTACTGTGTTTTACCAGTTCTTTCAAAAGATATTAGTCAATCTGATGCTCAAAATGCCTGTGGGAAGTACAACGCAGATCTAGCAGGTTTTCGGAATCAAAATGAAAGGACTACATCACATAGTAAGTGTTCATCTCATGAGTTTCATAAGGAATCCGTTAAAACTTATTTCAATTTCTTCAGCCAAATTCCTCACCATGTTCACTCCATATTTCAATATAGATACTTTTGCATGGGTTGGACTAACTGCACAATCTAGTTGTATAAAAGTTACCGATCCGAGCAGTTACACTTGGATGGATTCTCTGACAAAAGGAACTGGTGGAATGAAGTGGGCTGCTTCTCAGCCTGATTGTACTGGGTACTTTAAAACACCTTACTTGAAGTTATTTTAATGTTTAATTTATAGATCTTGTGTAAGTCTCTTCCTATCGAGTGACTACGGTCAATTTTATGATGTTACATGTTTTTCAACAACAGAAAAACCAATTTCTGGCTATTTTTGTGGACTTCGTGCAGGTCCATAAGAAAGTTTTACTGCAAATGTTAATAAAAAATTGTACTGTTGTTGAAGATCTTCTAGAAATCAAAAAATCGAAAATGTAAAATTGAAAGTATTTCCGAACAAAAAGATGTTTTGTATAAATTGGAGCGATTTAGCGGACTTCTGGGGTTCGCTTTTCGCGCAAATCTCGCGGTCGTTCTCCTGAGGCAATCCAACATAAGGAAATCCGTGAGAGTAAAAATAAGTGTTTGCGCAAAAGGGCCGCGAGACGAAAAATGGATATGAAAACCTCCGCTTATTTTTTTTTGAATTTCCGTAGCTAATGTGTTTGATTTTTCCAAAAAAGCTTAGAAACAATGAATAATTTATGCAAACTTTATGAAACTTCCGTTAGATCTGATTCGAAAGTCCAATCAGAATAACAGCCACAACTCCAATAATCGAAGAGATTCCAAGAATCAAATATGATTTTTGACCCTGAAACCAAGCTTCATAAATTTCACACGATCTTCATTCATGACCTACTTGAATACTCTTGAAAACAAAAACATCCAAAGCTCCGGAAATCAAAGGTGGAAGCCTAGCTGTACATGGATACGCAACAACTTGTGATAACTTATCACTTGATACAAACCACAATGTCATTCCTCCAGTCCATAACAATCCATATAAAATTGAAGGAACTATGAGAGATTTTTCAATATGAGAAGAATCTCGGCGAATCAGACAATAACCAAGGAAATAGATTGTTGAGAATAGAAAAACACTGGTATAAAATGGAAAAATATAATCGAAGATTTGGAAAGGGTCTGTAGTTGAAGCTGAGGGATTATGTTGTTTGAGATAATCGATGGGAGACATCATTAGACCGTGAAGACAAGCAAGAATACAAGCCATCAAAATAAAGGGAATTTTTCGAAGATATGATTTGATTGTTGGATTCTCGGAAGAGGTTGGATCTGGAACACACATTTGAAAATATGGAATTGATGTTCTCGGAATTGTTTACTGGGTTCTTACCGCTAGATTTCTGAGGTTCCTCTTCTACTTCTCGATGTTCATCTTTATTTTCTGAATCTTCTTCCTCATCTTTCGTATCTTTCTCTTCAACCCTTTCCACAAACAACAACAACACTCCACTAACAATCGTCAAAACAATTCCAATATAATTCAACACATCATTCTTTACATTCTGTGGTGCAATCCAACCAAACAATCCAAATCTCGCAACTCCCCATCCAACAATAATCTGCAAACTTGACCAAATCAAAAAACCGATTCCCATTCCGATTCCTTCAATTATTGGAACACTAAATACATTTCCAGTTGCATAAAGAAGTCCTCCAATGCAAGCAATTGGCTCGAATTTTGGGAAATCACGAGAAGCGTAGATTATTGAACCGATTATGAAGACAACTGAACATTCGATCCATTGAACAAACATTCCTAAGAGAAGAGTTTGGATGAGTTACTGTAACTTTTGCGGCGAAAAAAGCAGGTTCTTTGAAACCAAATAAGGATAGGTTCGTGCTTTACATTTTCCAAAAATTTCGAATTTATGTTATTTTCAAAAAATCTTCCCATATTATAAGTTAGGGCTTATTTGGTGTCTGAAAATCTGAAATGTTTGCACAAAAATGCCCCTAGGTTTATCTGGTGTCAAAAAATTCGCATAACTCACCATCTCCGCACTTCTTTTTCCTCAATGGCACAAACATAGTTCCAAATGATAAACATGATAACAAAAGCGCCGAATAACCAATAATCTGTAGACTTGTTTCAGACAACATTTCCAGCAAAAATAAGTGCAATTTATTGATTTTCTAGTTTAGATGCAATGTAACAAAAAAGGCAGAAAATTTAATTAAATTTTGGGTTTCATTTTGAAAATTGAAAAAAATGGGAAATCAAGGCAATTTTGAAAATGAAAAAAAGTCGTAAAAGTTTGTGTTTTGTTAAGAGAAAAAATGATTTTTTGATAAGAGTTTTTTGGTTTTTGGGAAAACCCACTTATCTTTTTTTTCGAACAAAAAAACACAAGGAAGTGACGACTTTTTTTTGAAAATGAAAAATAATCAAAAATCGTATAAAGGTCACGTGGAAATTGATTATTTTTCTTTTTTTTTTCATAAAAAATATTTTTTCCTGAAAAAGAACAAAAACAAGTTTTTACTTACCTTGGTAACGATAGACGAATTATTTTTCCTGTGGAAAAACTAGAGTAGAGGAAAAATCCGGAACTTAGGAGATTTAAAAATCAAAAATGTTGAATAATTAAAATTTCAGAATCTTGATGAAAAAAGCATAAATTTGCCACGTCATAACAAAAAAATCCTGGAGTTTCTCCCACATTAACATGAACATTTCATTTAACAATATAAGTTTTTTTTTTCAAACTTTTAAATTCGCCGGTTTTCCGCAAACAAAACCATGCAAAATGAAATCCTTGGTCCCCACATAATCTTCTGGAACATCATCAAGTTTTCCACTCAAACCATCGGATTTATTCGATGACATGAACATCACAACGTAGGGTTGCATTAATCTGTAATTAACATTTGTGATAATTTCCAATATTAAACTGACCCCGAATTATCCGGATTTCCTGGAGTCCACCAATTCTTCTCAAGTAATTTGGTATCCATATTTGTACTTCCATCAGTCCATTCAAAACCATTTCCAGTGTTACAATTCGTTGTATTTTTATACCAACAATCTTCAGTTCTTTGCAAACCAATCCACACGATTCCGTAGGAAATTTTCGACAATATGAACGAAAAAAAACTGATTTCAGCCAACTTCTCTTGAAATTTTTTTCGAAAACTTGTCAGCCATATGACCCCCTTCAATCTCATTTTGAATTCCACTCAAAAACGCATTATCAAGATTCAAACAATTTTCAGATGCTTCTTTGTATTTTGAAGTTTTCCAAAATATTTGCCAGCACCAATTATAGCCATCACGTTTCTCCAATGTCCAATTTTTATCTTGGCATTCGAATTGAGTTCGATCTTCTGTTGTAGTTATAGATATTCTTGTAGTGGTTTCAATCCTCAATAAATCTCCAACCTGGATAGCTTTCCTTCCACTTGACCCACATTTTCTCTCATAAACAACTGTAAGCGTATCTGATTCTCTATCATAAACATGATAGAAATCAACAGATTTTGTCAGGAAAAATATAAATAAGAATAGACAAATCATGGAACTAAAAAACATATACGTAATTTGGAAAATAAAGTTCTGTCGACTTGGAAACTATGTATCTATGAAAGAAATTTACAACATAACATCAAAAGTTTTATTAGGGTAAATATGTAAAACTTTAAGCAGTTGCAGGTTTTCCACAAATATATCCGCGTAGCGTGAACATTGAATTTGCATTGAAATCGTTTGTAGCATCGTCAAGTTTCCCACTGTGTTTATCTGATGCATTTGATGACATGTACATAACAACGTACGTTTGAACATTTCTGAAATTCAATTTTTACGAGAAGGTCTCAAGGAGCAACTTGAGACACCTCAGAAGGTTACCAGCATCCGGAAAACCTTTTCCCCGCAATTTCCTCACCCTGAATTATCTGGATTATTGGGAGTCCACCAATCTGTCGTGAGAGATGCAGTAGACAAACTTGTACTACCATCAGTCCATTTAAAAGCACTTCCAGTTTTACATTCAGTCGTATTTTTATTCCAACATTGAGATGTTCTTTGCAATCCAATCCAAAGCATTCCATAATAAGTTGTTCTGGTATTAAGCTGATCCAAAAAATAATTTATACAATTAAAAGTGAAAACTTACTCCGCTGATTGCATTTGAAAACTTCGAACTGAACGCATTAGCTACAGTAGTTTTCTCCGCGACATTTTGAAACCCACTCAAGTTTGCTGATTGTATTCCCAAACACACTGACTGTGCACTATCATGAGTTTCGTTGAACCAAAAAATTTGCCAACACCAATTATAGCCATCTCTTTTTACTTTAGTCCAGTTATCAATGCAATTAAATTTTGTGCGATCTTGGGTTGTAGTTGTTGATGGTTTTGTCGTCGTCGTCGTCGTCGTTGTTGTTGTTGATGTTGTAGTTGGAGCCTTCAACAAATTTCCAGCTTGAATAACTTTACTCCCTTGACTTTTATATCCACATTTACTATCCTCGCCATAATAAACTGTTAAAGTATCAGTATCCCCATCATAAACATGATAGAAATCCAAAGTTTTTATAAAAAATACAAGAAAGTATACAAGCAACATGAATTTAGGAAAATATTGGGACAAAAACATTTATGTTGACTTGGAAACTCATGAAATCGGATGATTTATTAATTTAAGATGCTGCGACTTTGCCGCAAACGAATCCGATAGTTGGGAAAGGATTTGTTTTATTTAGAAGTTTTTTTTCGACATCATCAATTCGACCATTTAATTGGGAAGATGTATCGGTTGTAGCATACATGACAACGTAGTATTGCTGGCCTCTGAAATTCAAGATTATTGAGCCTTGTACTGATTGTGAGTGTAGAAACATGACAGGAATTATATTTCGAAAAATAAAGCGCTTGACCGCAACGCACAAGAAGAACGTCAAAAGACTTTCACGTGTAAATTCACCTACTCGATGTTATCTGGATTGCTAGAGGTCCACCAGCTATTCGCAATTGACATAACTGCGTTCGTTGTCGAATCCATCCATCCAAATCCTGCTGAAGTGTTACATATCCCCACTTTTGATCTTTTGCACTTATCAGTTCTCTCCATACCAATCATAATGGAACCTGCTGAAGGAGAAGTAATGAGAAGCGACTTCGCAGATTCAGCTTTCAAATGAGCTACGACGGCATTTCGAACTTTCACTCTTTCATCATTACTCTGAAACCCGCTTAACTTCGCCTTTTGCGTATTGCACGCTGTGATAGCTTGCAGGGCATTCACAGAACCATAAAATAATTGCCAACACCAATTATAGTTTGATCTTGCTGACAATGTCCATCCGCTTTGACATTTGAACTTTTTGCGATTGATTGTGGTTGTTGGTTTCTTTGTGGTAAGTTTCTTGGTGGTCACAACTGGTTTTTTGGTCGTCGTTTTTTTGGTGGTTGTGGTTGGTTTTTTTGTAGTTGTGGTTGTAGTTGTCGGCTTTTTAGTTGTTGTTGGATCTAGAAACTATTTATTCCACAAATCTCCCATCCTACTCACCTCTCAAAACATTTTTCCCAACAACTTTCGTCTTCTCCACACAACTTTTCGAAGCACAAGAACGTTCGGTATAATGAACAGTCAATGTATCAGTCGAACTATCATAAATATGATAATTCGCTGATTTTTCGCAAGATCTAACTGAATAAATAGGGAAAATTAGAAGTACAAGGGCAGAAAACATACTTTTTCGTAACTACTTGGTTTCGTTGGCTTTGTTGTTAGGCAAAGAATGATTGACTGCCTATGCACAAAGAACAAAATACGAGGAGAATAACAGGAAAATTTATGAGATTTTGAAGAGGAAACGTGTACGGCGAGACAGAAATTATGGTTGATCGGCCTTTTTACCGCACACAAAACCAAATATTGGATGGTCCCGGGATATCATACGCTTTTGCCACCCACATACTTTCAAGCTGTCAACAATTTTTGTTTGAAAAAATGTGGTCAAAATTGAAGAGAGCGAAGAGGTGAGTTCTACAGTAACCCAGGAAAAAACCAGAGCTCTCAAAAATATTGGAAAACAAAGAAAAATCTGATAAAAAACGTGACATTTCAACAATCTCAATTATTTTCACGTGTTCTATTTTTTTTTTGAAAAAAAATCAAAATGAAATCCAAAAAATAATCAGTTCTCGAAATATTTCTAATGGCTACTCGCAAAGCTTTGAAAATAAACAAAAATCAAATTTTAACAATTAATTCAATTAGTCTACTTGAAACTAACAACTTTATTCACTTATTTACCAAAGTTTTGGAAAATGAACTCGAATTGGCTGGTGATTCGAAATTTTATGTCATTTCCAAGGAAAATCATACTTATATATTATTGGGCTTATGTCCCGTTTGACCTATATAAATGCCCCACTTTCGAATTTTTAATTCAGACGTGAAAATCTTTCAATCTTTTTTCATTTCAAGATTCCGAAAAGAATTCACATATCATATCATACTTATATATTATTGGGCTTATGTCCCGTTTGACCTATATAAATGCCCCACTTTCGAATTTTTAATTCAGACGTGAAAATCTTTCAATCTTTTTTCATTTCAAGATTCCGAAAAGAATTCACATATCATACTTATATATTATTGGGCTTATGTCCCGTTTGACCTATATAAATGCCCCACTTTCGAATTTTTAATTCAGACGTGAAAATCTTTCAATCTTTTTTCATTTCAAGATTCCGAAAAAGAATTCACATAATGATCTTATTCCACTTCAATTTTGCTAAGTTCCGGATGAAGAGACCGTAAGAAATTGAATTAAACTATCAAACTCGCTTGAGTGTTACTCTTTTACCTGAATCATAAAGTGAAGTCAATTATCTGCCTGATTCTCATAAAAGTGTCATCTTTTGGTACTTTTTGGGCAGAACTATTAGGTTAATGTTTTGATCTGACTCCAAAAGATGAGTTTACAAATTTCATTTTCACAGTTTGTAATTCACGACCCAAAAAATGTCAAGTTTTTTGAGACCTGACACAAACTCAGGGGTTGGACTAAAAGCGACGTAATTTTTATTAAAAAGTGAACCAGAGTACCGCAAGATTTTGTTTTGTTTCGAAACAAGGCGAAACATGAAACTGAGTTTTCTTGTAAGTGTCACTGATTTTAATGAATTTCGAAACAAAAATAGCACCACTCAAAAACAATTCACAACACTTCATAAATAAAAAATGATCACAAAATGAAAAAGATCGAATTAGAAAAATATTAAAAACGTGACACGGTGCAGATGTGACGTGTTTTCGATGCAAGACATTTTCAAAAAATGAAATGCTTCACGTGTTTTTTCATAACACATTTAATTTCTCGAAATGTGTCACACCAAAAAAGAGTGACACAAAAAAATGTTTCACGTTTTGAAAAAATTAATTGTGTCACACATTAAAATGTGTCACACAATTTTTGTATGACACATTCAATTTTTAAAAATGTTTCATTGGTTTTCAACGAAACAAAAATGATCAGATGTTTTGTTTCGCCACATTTTACCATTTTCTCTATTAGAGAATTTGATAGCAAAAGCGACCTGGAAGTGAATTTGAACACATTTTGAATAGATTAGTTTGTGAAGATACTATTTCACTTTTGAGAACTTATGAAATGGACCCGAAAAGTCGGACCAAGTCAGATTTTTTGAAAAAAAAACTGACAAGGAAACCTTTCGGAACCGCCAAAAAATTGATAATTTTTTTCAGCAAACCTACTGTCCTCCATAAAATTAGCCTCACCGTCAAAATTTTCAAAAATTCGGAAGTTTGATTTTTTCTGAAAAAGTTGGTATAGCCAAAATACATAAATGTGCCCTACTTCAAATTTGAGATGAAAATGAGGCTGAATTGAAAACTTGATTTTTTTTTGAAAAATAGGTGTTTTTATTTTCCACATTAAATCAAATTTCAGAATTTTTGAAAAATTTGGCGGTGAGGCTAAGATTTTGTGGAGGACTTTAGGTTTCTGGAAAAACAAACCTCACGCAAGAACCTGGAGCAGTAGCTGAAAAATTGCCCACCTGGGTTCATTTTTCAAAATTACCCACCTAGTGAAAATGTTTTTCCCGAATGAGGCTGGCCTGGAAAGCCCTTAAATTTTTTGCCCACTTACAAGGTTAGGTTTTCCAAAAAAAAATTCCCCACCCGGAATTCCAGGTATTGGGTGAGGTTTGCTGAAAAAAATTATCAATTTTTTGGCGGTTCCGAAAGGTTTCCTTGTCAGTTTTTTTCAAAAAATCTGACTTGGTCCGACTTTTCGGGTCCATTTCATAAGTTCTCAAAAGTGAAATAGTATCTTCACAAACTAATCTATTCAAAATGTGTTCAAATTCACTTCCAGGTCGCTTTTTCTATCAAATTCTCAAATAGAGAAAATGGTAAAATATGGCGAAACAAAACATCTGATCATTTTTGTTTCGTTGAAAACCAATGAAACATTTTTAAAAATTGAATGTGTCATACAAAAATTGTGTGACACATTTTAATGTGTGACACAATTAATTTTTTCAAAACGTGAAACATTTTTTTGTGTCACTCTTTTTTGGTGTGACACATTTCGAGAAATTAAATGTGTTATGAAAAAACACGTGAAGCATTTCATTTTTTGAAAATGTTTTGCATCGAAAACACGTCACATCTGCACCGTGTCACGTTTTTAATATTTTTCTAATTCGATCTTTTTCATTTTGTGATCATTTTTAATCGTGACACTCGTTGAAAAAACAAAAAGTGACTCAGATAGAAAGTGAAAACATTGAAATTTTGTAAAATGTTCTGCTAAAACCAAGTGAAACTGTTTCACAAAAATGTTTCGTTGCGGTACTCTGAAGTGAACCATCTCCAACATAATTGGATTTTCGGAAAGTGTGTGAAAATGGACCATGGAAAAATTGGTGCTCTTCATATTTTGAAAAAGAGAGTTTCAAACAAAAATAGCTATCTGAAAAGTTTTTGAAAAGATGTTGTTCTTTAAATAGATATGAAGATCAGCTATTTTTCCGGAGCCTGTGTTCGCTCTTTCAGAAATTCAATGCACTTTTAATGAAAAATACAATTTTTGTGGATCATTGTTCGACAACTACAGATTTTTTCGAAATCATGAAAACTCTATTGCTTATTAGCTCTATTGCTTATCAGAAAGAGTATCCAAGTTAGGTACCATTTTCTTTATATTCTTAAGAAAAATTAAGCCCCTCACCTTGATTCTAAGGACAAATTTTATGTATGGAAAATTTTCATCAAACATTTGTTATAATTAAAGTCTGTGCCCTAAATTTCCCGTATTTTCTGGAACTTTCAAGCAACATTGGTTGGAAAATTGGAATTCTTCGAAATCGCACGATTTTTTTTAATTGAGTGGCTAAAGATCAAAAGTTTGGAAATATCTTTTTGATTTTTACTTCTGAATTTGGTCTGCAAACAGAGAACAAGCAGAAAACCTTGCAGATACTAGATAGCTTAATTTTTTCCATAACCGCAGCCGAAGGCTGCGTAGCAAAACAAGAATGAACACCGGCGATAGCCGGTGTATCATTCTTGTGATATATTAATTTTGATAGATTTCAAAGGAACGAAGAAGGGCATAAATTCGAAGGTTATCGCAGAAATTTCAAATGATTTTCTGCTCAAACATTGTTCTGAAAATTCTAGGTAAGACAGCAAATATGAAACACTAATACGCTGGAAAAAATTACAGAATTCTGAAAAATGCTGGTATCAAAATATTCTGGTGCTCCAAAAACGGTCAAACTCATCTCGATTTTTTCTTGTGCCCAGAATACGTTGTGACGGATATTTTCGATTTCGAAGAACTCGCAGATTCTTGCAAAAATGCGCAAGTTCTCAACAAATTGTTTGCTGAAGTATTGTCTGGAAAAACGAAGACACTTTTGAAGAAATTCTGGAATTTTCGAAACTCGTTGACAAAGAATAATAATGATTTTCGACAATTTTTCGATGCTTTGGAAAAATCAACAGGCAATTGGCAAGTTCCGCTGGAATTCGACAATAAATTTGAGATTTCCGAAAACTTGTTGCAATGCAAACTTATGCAATATCAAAAGAAAACTGTAAAATGGATGATGGCACGAGAAAAAATGGCGGAAAATCTGGAATATTTTGAAGAGTTTTTCCAATGTTTCTCAATTCAAGACGACATATTTTATTACCCGGCGATGGGCATTTTTTCATCGAAAAAAATATCGAAGTTTCCAGTGGATTTGATTCCAAAAGGTGGAATTTTGGCGGATGAAATGGGTTTAGGAAAGACTATTGAGATGTTAGCATTGATTGTGTCAAATCCGAAGTTTCCAAATTCCAATAACAATACAATTGATGAATCAAAAGTTGTCGGACAATTAGATTGGGACGAATATGTGAGTTGAAAAAAACTTTTTTCCATGGATTCCTAAAATTTCCCCTACAAAACCATTATTTGTTTCAGAAATCGAAAAAGATCGGTCGATCAAATGGTCATTCACCATCAGTTTTCACCGTTATCCGCAAACAAGATTCTGAAAATGTGAAAACTAGAAAATGCAAAAAATGCCGTGAAACTTGTGTTGTTGAAAGATGCGGATGGAAATCGAAGTTTGACAGCAAAAAGTTCGAGTTTTTATGCCCGTTATGCATAAATGATGAAGAATTAATGGAGGTTAAGACAACTCTGATAGTTATACCGGATTCTTTGTGTGTTCAATGGTATAATGAAATTAAGAAACATTGTTGTCAGAAACTTCAAATAATGGTGAGTTTTAATTGACTAAATGACCTTAAAAATTATTTTTTCTGTGTTTTAGTTTTATTTTGGATTGAACAAAGTTGGATATTTGCATCCTAGAGAAATCGAAGAATATGACATTATTCTGACAACTTATGGAACTTTAAAATCTGATTTTGGTTTTGTCAAGACTGGTGCAAGATGTTCTGCTGATGTTAAATTCTCTCCAAGTTCTATCAATCATGTGAAATGGTGGCGAATTATAGCTGATGAGTCACAATTGGTTGAAACTTCGTCATCAAGTAAACTATCCCAAATGAGCCAATTGCTTGAATCATCTAATAAATGGTGTATGAGTGGAACGCCAATTATGAAAGATATCAAAGGATTGTTTGGACTCTTCAAATTCATCGACTTTTTTCCATTTTCGATTGAGAATATTTGGAATAACTGTATTGTTCCGGAATATTTTGCCAAATCCAAATCACCTGATAATTCTTGGCTCATCAAACTTGGATCACAATTAATGCGAAGAAATACAAAAGCCATGGTTGATTCCGAATTTCGATTGCCGAAATTGATTGAGATTGAAAAGTTGATCAAATTTTCGACGATTGAGGAAAGACAATATAAAGAAGTGAAAGATGAATTGAGAAGAGTTGTTGAAAATGCGATTGGACGAGATTCGAGGGATAATGAAGTTTTGTTGAGTGCTGTGACGGGAAGAGAACGAATTATGACGGCTTTGGCGAAATTGAAAGAAACTCTTGTTTCGTGTAAGCTATTTTTTGGAAGAAAATTGATGGAATTCTGATTATGAGCCTAGGCTTACGAGTGCTCAGAAAAATCCAACAAATCTTTTTTTGCAGGCGGAAATCATTTGATAAAAAGAAAACGTGAAAATATCTTCGAGGAAGTGAACATGGATCCAAACAACGTCACATTTCGCCTAATTCGTGCCAAAAAATCGCAAATCGCTGATAGTTTGCGAGTGATTGGATACGAGCTGAACATATCAGCCGACTATTATTGGCCATCGAAACAATACGAAAAAATTGGTCCAATTTATGAACAATTTGTCAAACTTATCAAGGTTGTGTTTTTGTTGACAATGAGCAAACTGTTGAATTATATTTGTTTTTTTCAGAAAGTTCAAGAGGTCAATGAGAATTTCGAAAGATGTGCCAGACTAGATTTTGAAGATGAAGCACCTCCGGCAAAAATGAGAAGAGTTGAAGTGGACGATGAATCTGAATCTGAATCTGAATCCGAAGAAGATCGAATTAACGCGAGAGCAGAGATTATGGAACTTCGAAAAACATCGATGAAGCCAATCAAAATTGATATTGGAGCAATGGCTCATTTTGTGACGTAAGTATACGGGAACTTTTTTTTGGGTATTTACAGCACTTCGTTTTTTCAGAAATATCAGGGAGTTATCCAATATTTCTGAATCAGCCAAATCATCAATTCAAAATATTGGCGGTGTTCAAAAATTCGAAGACAAACTCAAAACAGACGTCGAAAACTTTTTTGCAACTGACAGGATGGAAATTCAAAAAATGAAATGCGAATTCGAGAAAATTAACATTTTCGATGAAAAATTGGAGATTCAAACGGTTTTTGAGGAAAGAGTTGAATTCTATTCGAAATCGAATTCGAAAAGTTTGGTGGATAATATTAAAATCTCAACAATAACTGTGCGTGGGATATTGGAAGAAATGCCATTTTTGCCGATTTTTGTGAATTCGACAAAACACTTTGAAGATTCGAGCGAATTTGTGATTACTGATACGTGAGTGAAATTGTGTTGATGAAAAATCTATTTTTTATTTCCAGAAGATTTGATGGGCGAATAGTGAAATTCGAAACGCATTCACATCGATCTTGTTTTGGAAATTGCAAAAATTATAGATTTCTCAATCTCGTCGAAAATTATGAGACTTGCACTAACTATCAATTATTCCAAAAATTGCTCGATTTTTTGAACAATCTGGAAGATTTAGGCATTGAATTATTTGATGATTTCGCAAAACTTGTCGATCGTTTTTCGGTGAGCCGTTCTAGAAAAACAGCTATATTTAATTTTATCGCAGAACTCTCCAATTCAATTCATCAATCCCGGAGGCGACAGAATGGAAGTGATTAGTTGTCGACATCAAATTTTGGATATCAATGGGAAACTTTGTCACGATGACACTTCTCGCAAATTGCAGAAAGCGTCGATTGGTGAATGTGAATTGTGTGTGGTTTACCATACTTTGGCCCATTTCCGATTTTTGGTTGGTGTCGGAAGCTTTCACGGTGAATTGATTCATGAGAATCATAAAAAATCGCCGGTGGCAAAATTTGTCGAACATGTTTTGGGATTGGAGAAAAAGAACTGCAAGGGATTTCAAATGGCAAATGAGATCAGGTTGGTAGGAAATCTATCTTGTGTTTGAAACTCTACAGTACCTGAAGATATTCCTATCAAAAATCAAATTTTTCCAGCCAATTCTACCAATATTTCAATAGTCTACGTCAAATGGCGATAACTATTAATCAATGGTGCAAGAAAATTGAGGATTTCTCATTTCGTCTGAATATTTTGAAACAGAAAACACACAAATTGACACTCGAATCATTTCTTGGTGAAAACGACCAACTTCCTGATTGTCCACAGCGAAAACATCTCATGAGAATGGTCAGTTTTTTGTCAAGATTCAAATATACATGTCTGAATTTCAGAAACGAATCGAAAATGCATCGAGATGGGTGTCTTCATATTGGTCAAAATTGGACACTGCGTGTCAAGAGTTGGCCTATCTTGTCACACTTTGTTTGGAACAACATCAACAAGAAGAAAGCGAGGAAGATGAGTCGAAAATGTGCCGGGTTTGCTTGACGGATATGGAAGTTATGGCAATATTTCCATGCGGTCATCGAGTTTGTGAGGGATGTCTCGGCGAATTACGAAAAAGGGCGTAAGTTTGTTATAGAAAAGCCACGTCATAACTATCTACGCAATTTTTCATTATATTTCAGCGCATTGCCAATGACTGTTCAATGTGTGTCTTGTCGTAAGGTATATAATTGTGTAACAATAATGATTGCGCAAAATCCATCAACCGCAAATTCTGTAATTCCTGGATTTACGCTGTCAGCGAAACTGGAATCGACAATTCTGTTGATGAAAGAAATATTGGAAGAGGATCCCGAAAACAAGATCATTGTATTCACAAATTTTGAAGTTGGATCGTGGATATGGAAATATGTTGTGAAGATATGGAAGAAGATCAAAGTTAGTTCAAGTGCCTTTTTCCAAATATGTATTAATCACAAAAATTTCAGTTGCCATTCACTGAAGTTTCTCGTCAAATGTTTGGCAATGATATATCAAATTTCCAATCTGACAAAGATTGTCGAATATTGTTTTGTTCATTAAAAATGTGTGCGAATGGTCTCAATTTGACACAAGCCAATCATATCATATTCTTGGAACCATCTCATCTGCAATCGGTTGTAAAACAAGCAATTGGACGAATATCAAGATATGGACAGAAAAAAGAAATGAAAGTTTATCATTTGTTGATTGAAGGAAGTATTGAGATGGAAATACGGAAAATTGCCAAAGCAAAAACTGCTGATAATTTGAGTGGGTTTTGATATTCATTTATTCTTGTTGAAATTTGGTTTTTTATTTACAGAATCGGAATTGACTGTTGGAAATCTTCGCCAAATTTTTGGTGTCCCCACTAATGCTTGATCTACTTTTACTGATTCTTTGAAGAAAAATAAAGATTTTCTAGATCTTGATGTTCTACTTTGCACACATAAAAAATGAAATTTAAGAAAACCATATTTAGCTTTTAAAATTTTTTCTCTAAAAAAAATCCAAAAATCCTTCATTTTTTAAAATAAACAAAAATGCGCGCATTCATTGTCCATCGGATCTTCATTTTCATCATTATCCTTTGAAATATCGAAAGTCAAAACCTGATTAAAAAACTCACTTATAGCATTTCTCAATGAAGACGTCGCCGAAATCATCGTTTTTCCTGCGCTCTACGATTTTTTATGGCGCTCTTCTCGATCCATTATTTGCTTGTTCGTTAATGTCTGCAAAAACGTGTTTTACCCAGAAAATCTGAAATCCTCCCCTTATAAAAAACGAAATCACTGAAAATTTGGCGTCACATTAAATGTTTCTTTTTGTGCAAACACCGCTTCGTTTTTTGAAAAATCAACGCGCGTTGTGAGACACGAGAGAAAATTTGTGTGCGCCTTTGATGAGGGGTACGGTAGAAGTATTCGTGAATTTTTTTATTTACTCAGAGAAATTGGGCGATTAATCGCTAAGCAACTTGAATTAGCTGCTGGTTGAGCGATTAATCGCCTGTATTAATTTTGTTCAGACGATTAATCGTCAGCTCACTTTGCTTACCGATTAATCGCTCAACTTGTCTGAGTATTTTCTTTTTTTTTGGGGTTTGAGCGCTGCAATTTTTGGAACACGCTTATTGTAACTTCATGGAATTGTTTTCTTCAAAATGGGAACCCTCCCCCCTCTAACTCTGACTTTGAGAATAGATCACATCAAAAGTATAACAGTTGGGAACCCTGAGAATCTCTCCAACTACACTTCGCGAAGAGTATACTAGTCAGGCTAAAAATGAAAAAAAATGCCCACCTTTTTCTGTGCAATTTGTCGTTAAAGTGTTTGCACATACCGTATAGTATTTTGAAGGAACACACTGTTTTGTTGGGAATCGTGGCGAGACGTTCACAAATTTAAAAAGTACAGTACTTCAAAAAATCGATGAACATTTCGAAATTGTTTGATTTTTTTGTTTTTGGGCGTTTTTCTCGAGGCCAAGCTGGAAATTGCTGATTTTCTAGGAGAAATCAGATGAGCTTGAAGTCGCTTTGAGATTTTTTTAGTTTTTCACTTGCAATGCTACTTTTTTCTGTTCTTTTTGTTACGCTTTTTCCTTAAAAAACCTTTATTCAAATTCAATATTCGAACTCTTCTTATTCAATTTCCTATGATGTGGATTGGGAATCGGATTAATATGATGAATATGAATATGTTGGTGTTGATGTTTATGCGGTGTTCGAGTTCCACAAATATTTGAAAGCGGAACGTATTCCTTTTCTTTTTCCCTCTCTTTCTCTCGTTCTCTCTCTTCCATCATAATAATCTCATTTTCAATAACTCTCAAAACTTCTCTCATTCCAGCTCGTTTCTTCGGATCCGCCACATAAATCTTTTCATTGATAAAAACCTTCAATTTTTCCGGACACGAATCTGGTATTTGTAAATACCTTCCAGATACCACATACTTTTTCACTTCGACATTTGTCACATGTTGCCATGGTTCTTCACCTTCCGCAAATATTTCAAAACACATCACACCATAGCTATAAACATCAGTTTTCGGTGTGAACATCAGTGTTGATATTGTCTCAGCTGCTAACCATTTGATTGGAAGTTTTGAAGTGGCCGTCAATTTATAAGAACTTCCAATTCTCGAAAGCCCAAAATCTGATAACTTCACTATTTTGTCAATTGAATATAAGCAATTTCGCGCAGCAATATCACGATGAATACAATTATTTGAATGAAGATATTCAAGACCAAGAGCTGCGCCATGACAAATATTGAGTAATTCAGAAGGTGTGACTTGTTTCTTGTTTTTTCGAAGATACGAATTCAATCCGCCGCCTTTGACTAATTCGAGAAGAATATGAAGAGGTTGCTCATCGACTGCCACACCATAGAACCGAACCACGTTGTTGTGTTTGAAGGCGCGCATTAGACGAGCTTCTTGCATCATTTCGCGGATTTTGATCTTGTTTAGGTCACCGCCTTTCATCTGAAAATTGAATATTTTGAATTTTAGTTTGAAAATATTGTCAGTGATGAAAACTAGTCTTTGATGGGATCTATTAAGACTACGTTGTGTTTGAATTCGGGTTTTCGTGGCCTAGAAATTCTTATAAGTGGTCAACTTTAAGCTTAAAATCAAGAATTTTCCATCAACAACTCACCAATTTCACAGCCACCTCAATCTCTCTTCCTTTTCTCTTCAAAACCCCCGCTCTAACTTCACCATAAGCTCCTTCTCCCAAAAGTGAACCCATTCTCAAAATATCCGAATGTTTGAATTCCCATTTTTGCATCGGAATCGGCGTCTTCAACAATCGATTTTTCTTCGGCGATGTATTTGAATGTTGATAATGTTGCAAAAGTTCATTGATATTTTCGAAAAGTGTCGAAATTTCGATTCCAAATCGTCCTTTATATCTTCTAACCACCAAATTTCGCAACTTTCCCTCTTTTCCTTCATTTTCCTGATTTTCCGGACATTCGAAAACCGATAATATCAAATCCCTCTTAATGTCTTTTGAACTTGCACTTGCACTTGCACTTGCACTTGAATTCGGATTCGAATTCAAATTCTTTCCAGCACCATGCGGCGTCGCAATTTCACTAACTCGAATCAAATAATCGCCCTCGTTTTGCAAAAGTGTTTTCAGATCTTCGCGCGGTAAAAATCCGTGATAACACGAGAGTTCTTGAATACTTTTGAAAAGTGATTCGTCTTCTACAATATCTTTTGTCTCGAAAAACTTCTTCTCCTCCTCTTTGTTAATGATTTTATCTTTTTCTTTTTTCGAATCTGCATCTGCTGGTTTTTGAGTTGTTGGAACTGTTAATTCGGCATCACTGCGAAAATTATCTTCTTCGATGCATTCTGCAAAAATTCAACTTTGAAGATGCATAAGTGAAAAAGCGTCGCGAGACCAATGTTCCTTTAAATTTCTCATTCTTTGTAATGAAAATTTGGAGCGCCGCACCTTTAAAATATCAGAAATTCCGTTTTCAAAGGTGCGCGTTGGTCTCGCTGCGAAATTTCATTTTGAACTCACCGTCACTCATTTTTCACCCAAAAATATGATATATATTTTGAAATTTTCAATAATTTTTAAATTAATAAATGGCTAGCCCAACGTCGGGCTTCCCTTTAATACCCATTCTTATCTCACGGAAAATCTAGATTTTCGAAATTTAAAATGTCACGTGGAAGAAGCCGAACCCCTCAATTCCTATTTTATAACTCGACGAAAAAGGTGAGCGTCTTTTCAGTTAAAAAATAAACTGAAAATCTGAAATTCCCTATTTTCAGATGTGTTTCTCCAAATTAAACAAAAAGAAAAAGGAATGTGAAACAAGTCCGGCAGTTACTCAAATTCCAGAAGTTGGAAAATCGAAGGAAATTGTTGCTGTTCCTGTGAAAGTTGAGAAAATTGAAGAGAAAGAGAAAGAAGAGGAAAAGAAGGAAATTGGAGGAAAAGTGGAGGAAAAAGAGAAGGAAAAGGAGAAAACCGTCTCCAAGAAATCGCCAAAATCTGAGAAGAAGACGCCGAAATCGGACAAAAAATCGGAGAAGAAATCCGAAAAGAAATCGAATAAACTGCTCCCCACAAAACCCGTCTCCCCGCCGAAGGTTTTGATGGCAAAATCGGAAGCGAATGGAGTTCGAGAGCCAAAAGATCCGGCCTATGCGACACTTGATAATGATTATCCGCAGTTTGACGAGGCGAATTTCTCGAAAGGACCTCCGAGTGTTTTGGATAAGACGCAAGGAGACGCGAAGAGTTCCGGGAAATCTGAACCGAAATGAAATTTTTTTCTTGATAATTAGTTTTAGTTTGCTTTTTATTGTTGAAAACTTTAAAAAAGACGTCAAAAAATGTCTAACCCGTCTCGCACGCTCTTCAATTCACACGCTCTCTGGTTGTTCATCAGAGCGCACTTCCCACAGTTCCGTCAAATATTTTTTGATTGTTTTCAAAAGGATCCTGGAAATTTGAAAACATTGATTTTACATCCTAAATGCCACGTCATAGCAATTTTCTAGTCTCCCAAATGTTTCTTTTCCTTGGGTTGGTCAATTTATGTTTCCCGCTAAATCTTCCCAAATCATTATCACCCCCTTTCCCCCATAAAAACCGCCTTTCAACCAAAAAACACACCGCCATTAACACCTGTCATCTAACCAATCATAAAAAGCTGACACCTTATCACCCTTTCCTTTTCCGCTTGGCGGCACAGAAAAAGAGGCGTGGCTTAGCAAACTGTATATAAAAGGAGCTAGGTGAGACTGAATAGCCAGATTTTTTTCTGAAATTTATACTAAATATGAAATTCACTAGTATTTTGCGGAAACTTATCAAATCCGATGACAAAATTGCTGCGAATCCAAAGAAATCTTCAAAATCCAGGGATATTTTGAAATTTGAAAATGTCAAGCAGAAAATCGATAATGTGGTGAGTTATTTTTTTCGTAAATAATTTTTTATAAAAAAATAATTTTTTCAAAATTCTTTTTTCAGTGGCACCGAAAAACGATAATTATTCGAAAAAACGCGGATCTCGATTTTCAACTGTATATTTTGGCCAACTCCGCTTACTCATATTATGAAGTTTATGATTTGTCGAAGAATTTTGTCGAGCAACTTTTTGGTGGGTTTTTGAACAATAAATAATTATTTTTTCAACAAAAATAATTTTCATTTCAAATTTCAAGTTTTTTGTTGTTGTTGAAAATTCAGAAAATTTCTGTTTTTTTTTGAGTTTCTAGAATTTTCTCTCAAATTTTTCAGTTTTGAATATATTCTATATTTCTATAGAAATTTGTTGATTAAAAAATTTTTCAGTATTTTTACTACTCAAATCACCTTTTCAAAAATCAATATTTTTCTAGACAATACTTCTCGAAAAACACAAATCCTCCTGGTCGAAGCCGCAATTTCCCTAAAATTCCAAACCCTTTCCGATAAATGGCGAATGGTCGAATTTCTACGTGCTAATATGAGCAATCCCCATATTCTCTCAACTTCGGGACAACTTATTCATCGTCCAAATTCCCGTGCAAAAACCGGACAAAATGTTCGATGTCTCATCAAATCCACATGTTTATATATAATCGATTACAAGGAAAATCGTGTGATTGCTCATGTTAATCTCAAATTACACGTTGGGTTCATGAGTTGTGTTGGCGACGAATTGTATTTCACCAAATTGCGAAAATCGCAAATTTGTGCGGATAACAAGGATTTTTGGAGTATTCGAATTGGTGCCGCCACGTCATCAATCGATAATTTGTGGCGCGAAATGGCAAGGAATCATCGATTTGAGAATTTGGATCAATATTTCAAATTTGTACGCATTTTTAGAGTTAAATAATTTTTTTCTACTTTTTTTCAAATATTTTTTGTATATATTTTTGTACACTGTAGAATTTTGTTTGTGAATAGTTTTGTTTTGAAATTAATGAATTTATTGTATAATTAAAGGATTACTGTAGCCGCAGAATATCGTGTTATTATTTACACATTTTAGGTACTTATTTTTCGTTCCTAACTGCAAGTATTACTGTATATGATTTTTTAAAAATAGTTTCTCCAGGTTACTGTAGCTTTTGAAAATTCCTCAGAGAAGTTGGACGATTAATCGCCTAGTATCTTGAATTAGCTGCTGGCTAACCGATTAATCGCCTATGTTAATTTAGTTCAGGCGATTAATCGTAAGTTCACTTTACTCGGCGATTAATCGTCCAACTTGTCTGAGTCACAGGAATTTAGAACTGCAAAGATTACTGTAGTCCGAACTGCAACTGGTACTGTATCAATGGATCACTCCATTCTGAACTGCAAGGATTACAGTAGCTCAAAATTGTTCCAAAATTGCCTCAAAGTGCAAGAGATACTGTAGATCAAATTAAAAAATCAAGTGCTTCATTCATAATACAAAAAAATCGATGACGTCGTGATAAATACAAAAAGATAGAAAAAAAGACGCTGAATAAAAAAAACAGCACATTACTATAAAAAAAAGACAAGTATTTACAAGTTTATGATTTCTAAAATCATTTTTTTCGAGTTTCCTTTGTTGATTCGCTTTTTTGACTTGGCTGATCTTTTATTGGATTGCGGCGATATTCGGCGAAATTCTTCAAGAACTTGTCGATCTTTGATTTGTCAACAATGTCGTTTGGATCCTGAAATATATATTCATTATTTTTATCAATAAAAAAAAGTAAATAGAAAAACTAACATTTTTCATCATTTTAAGAAGAACTGCATAGATGAAAATGAATTGAAGTGAATTTTGCACCGCACCATTTCTCATTCGTCTCACTGCGGCCAGCGGTGTCCTCAATTGACGATCAATCTCATAGCGTTTCATCGCTTCAATGCAATATGCAATGGTAATCAAAGTTCCAGTTCGACCAATTCCAGCACTACAATGGACGAGAATTGGAGAATCACGTCCAGAATTCAATTGTTTGACCATCTCAAGAAGATCAAGTGCTGTTTGAGGGTTTTCTGGGATCGAGTGATCAGGCCAACCCAAATATTGAATGTGATTGATTTCTTTTGTGATTCCTTTTCCTTTTTCACAAGTCACTTCAAATACTCTCCAGATGGCTCCCTCGATTCCGCTTTTCTCCTTCTTCTTCTTCATCTTGACCGTATATTCGCCATACTTTCCAGTGGATTCAGAAAAATATGGAGCACATTTTTCGTTACCATTTTCTTCAAATTGGCAGAGCATAACGACAGTTTTGACCTGAAAATTTATTGATTGATTATAAATATAGGAAAATGTGTGATAAGCTAAGAATTTACATTTTCGTGCCAAATCATATGCCAAAAGTCATCCATTTTTTCCAATGTTGGAGCCATTGCCGCAATAAATCTCAATTTCATATCCGGCATATTCACGAAATTGGCATGAATGAAGTACGATGTTCGATTTTTGAGCCTAACTGGAGTTTCCAAACTGTAACTGAAGCCGCATTTACGCATCCCCGGATAGTTTTTCTCTATATTTTCTTCCAACATTGTTCCCATATGAAGATCAGTTTTTATGAACGAGATAAAACTTTTGTGCAACTGTTTGAAAGTCTGTAAATTGAAAAATAATTCAGTCCTGTTTTATGTATTTTTTTCAAAAAGTCTTACCACTTCAAGAACGTTTTCGGCCCAATTCTTTCGAAAAACCATCTGTGTAGCTTCATCAAGAACGTCTGACGGTTCCTGAGTCCCATCCTCTCCCTTGTCCGATGGTTGGGTGATATCCGAGCGGAGTGATGGTGCGGGTGCGGGTGCGGGTGCGGGTGCGGGTGCGGGTGCGGGATCGGGAGCGGAAGCGGTAGCGGGTGGGGGTTGCAATTGTTGTTGTGGGTGTGCCAGTGTTTCTTCTTTTGGATTCGTATCAATTGATTCAGATTTTTCGAAAGATGGCCCAACTCTTCGATATGTGAGAAGATAGAATAACTCACAGATGAATAAAATCAACAAAACGCAGCAATTTATGAAAACAATAATTCCCCGCTCCTTTTCATCTTCATTCGATCCTTGAATTTCGTTGATTTTTGAGAAGGTTTTCATGGTTGATTTGCAATCGATGTTGAGAAGCATGATACCATCCTGCAAAAAATAAAAGCATTATTTTGAAATTTAATTTCAATTTAAAAACCGGAAAATCTAAATTTCTTCTTTTGGATAATGGAACTTACATTGATGTGAAGTCTTCTTTTTTCCACCAAATCTTTGACCACTTTCACACGTTCTTTCAAAACCTCTTTCAATTTTGTCTCCAAGCCATTTCGTGCATCTCCTTTCTTTTGAAACAATCCAGCCAATATTCCCATCGTTCCATTCATTTTCTTAAATTCATTCATAAAAGAATCAATTGCTGGAACTGATTCTTCACATCCTATTGTCTTTTTGATTACTTCCAATTTCTCGACAATTTCGTTGATAATCTTCCAGTTATTCAAAGCATATTTAGTTTTTGTATAGAACTTAAGGTTGTCCTCATCAGTCTCCATTTGCGTTTTCAAGTCATTCAAAAGATGATTTTCCCACTTTTCGAAAAATGTCGATTCTTTAACTAGAATATCATCATTAAGCGAGTCGAGTAGATTTCCAGATGATGTTGAAAGTATTTGATATGAGGATTTGGTGTTGACACTTTCATATAATGGAATTTGAAAGTCAAAGTATTTTGAACTGTCTTGAGGAATTGAAATTTCATCTTTGGTTACAGTAGTTCCATAAATAACATATGCACCACATCCAAATATGATCAATACCATAAGAACAAAACAAATGTGATTAAAAATAAGAAGAATTTTGTTGATTCGACTTTTTGGTGTTGTCCAGTTAAGTGAAATCGATAGGATGATGAAAATAAGAATAACAACTGATGGAATACTCAATAAGCCAATATCAGTGACAAATACAGTTGATTTACTTGATTGTTTCTGTTCCGATAATTTATTGATTCTAACATCAACAGCTTTTTCGTATTTAACAAGTGAACTCTTCCATTCCTTTGCCATACTCTGAAAATGCTTTAAAATAAATATCATAAATATATTTAAATAATTAACCTTTCTCATTTTATTCGCAAAGTCATCCACTGAACGCATTTCTGTTTTGAAATTGTTTTTTCTTTGTGGAATATCAGCCTCCATGTTTGTTCCAAAAACATTCAAGAAATCAAATTTATATCCTGTGAAAACGTTAATGAATGCCTCGAATTCTTCCACTTCCTTTTTTACAAGAACCGATATTTTCGTTAACGGGATACAACTATTCGGTTTTGCTTTTTCATCATCCAAACGCCCGCTGCTTCCGATCAATTTGTGAAATTTGGGTGTATAGGAAAGATGGTTGATTATAGTTGTATTTTCAAGACATTCTAGGATTTCCGAATAACTCAACATTTTGTCAATCGAATCTGCAGAAGGTGTTGCAGGAATTGTAGTCAGCTTATCTTCGGTAGAAATGGCTTTCTGGTTGAGAACTGCAACATTTTCATATTTGTTTCACAATTACACATCACAACTTATGATTTCACTCACCATTAGTCTCATTCTTGATTTCCATCTGAATATTGGTGTTAACTCCAGTCGAACCTCTTCCAAATATAAAAGCGGAAGCAATACAACCAGCAACACAAAGTAATAGAACAAGATGAGCCACACTGAATCCAAATATAACCCAAGGGTTCGACGACATCTTTTTAATCCTATCGAGCTTCGATTTCCAGAATAATAGTACAGCTATAATCAGAAGCGAACCAAGGAATGCAATTCCTAATATACCAAACCCGAATATTTCCAAGAGATTCATCTGTTGATGTTGGCAATCGGATAATCAAGGCAGTTGCTTTGTGGTTTTGAAACCAATACTGATTTGATTCTCGTTTTCTGACTGACGTCACCATTTTGCCACGTTTGCCAACAATTCAGCATTCCACGTTTCACGTTACACGTGGAAATTCTTTTTTTTTTCGAAAATTTTGCTTTAAAAAAATTCAAATTAATAAATTGGCCTAGAAAAACCTCTTCCACATAAGCATGTTCGCTCCACTGCACAATAATATTTTTCTTTTCTTTTTTTCGCAAGTTCAAACAATCATCCTCCCCGCCCCACGTGGTCGCTGATAAGTCAACAAAAACCAACTTTTTTCCAAATTGTTCATTGCAGGATGTTGGGATTGATCCAGAAACGATGCAAATCAACAGCTCCACTAATTCGACCGATTCATCGAGTTTTGATTGCGAATCGCGGAGAGATTGCGATTCGTGTGCAAAATACGGCACGAAAAATGGGAATCGAGACGGTTTCCGTGTTCTCGGATGCTGATCGAAATGCGCTATTCGTCAAGAAAGCCGATCAGGTAGGATTTTCAATGTGTTTGAGGGAAATTTTTGAAAATTCTTTTCAGGCTTATCATATTGGTCCACCACTCGCCGCTGAAAGTTATTTAAACATGGATAAGATTATCAACACGGCATTGAAGTCAAATTCCCAAGCAATTCATCCAGGATACGGATTTTTATCAGAAAATGCGGGATTTGCTGAGAAATGCGCTGAAGCTGGGTTGGTTTTCATCGGACCGCCCGCGCAAGCAATTCGGGATATGGGAGCGAAAAATGTGTCGAAACAAATTATGGAGGATGCAAAGGTGCCGGTTGTTAGAGGATTTCATGGAGCTGATCAATCGGATGAGAATTTGAGGAGAAAATCGGAGGAAATCGGTGAGAATTTCTACTTTTTCTGTAGTTTTTGAAAGTTGGAAGGGTTAGTTCCTAAATTTCTAGGATTGGCAAACCCAGGATTTCATAGGTTTTTAATGAAATATGTGTTTTATAGTAGTTTTCGACCCGCTCATCACGATTCCGTTGTCAAAAATTGCGAAACACAGCTCTTATGACGTGGCAAAAAACATGATTTTCCAAGGCTATAACTGACTTCAAAGCGATTTTCATGAGAATCTGATAGCATAGCGTTATTCGGGAGGCTCGAATACATATGTGAACTGTGATCTGTGAACTAGGAACTTAGGTAATCACAATTTATAGTTCACAACAACGCTACGCTATCAGATTTTTATGAAAATCACTTTAAAGTCAGTAATAACCTTGTAAATTCAGGATTTTTTGAAATTTGCCACGTCATTACTCATATTAGAGGTTGAGTTTTGCACTTTTAGACGAAGGAATCGTGATCAGCGGGTCAAAAACTACTAGAAAATATATATTCCCAAAATTCAATAAGAAAATCTTTATTTTGTGCTCATTGAGTTTGCGAAGGTTGTGCCGAAGTAGTTGTTGGCGCCGCCGATCTTGTGCTCGATGTCTTTGTTGATTCGGTAATCGGTGCTGGCGGCACAAATTTGACGGTTGACACGTCCGGAAGTTGAGAAAGTCGAAGAATCTATAAATTTTCTTTTGTGGTAGAAAAAAATCGATATTTTCCCTACCTCGAAGACCAAATATCCGAGAATTATAAATTGGAGCATTTTTGAGAAATGGCCAGATTTTGAGAAATTTTTTTTTTGGAAAAATAATGACACGTGGAATTGAAAAAATGGGTCACGTTTCTGAAATGATGTGGATTGAAGAAATTTTTGAGCTCCAGAAAAGTCACAGGGATTATTTTTCCTTGTGATTAGAAAATAAGTAGAAAACTTCATTTTTCTCAAAAAGCCATGAAAAGATTATTATTATTTTTTGCATTCGCAATATTCGGTTTTCCAATCGATCCAGATTTCACTTTGACACTAACAATATTCCCATTCTTATTCAAAATATGATTCATATCCATCACAAAATAATCAAATTGATCCACATCTGTCAAAACCAACTTAGCCGATCTCTTATTTTTGATTCGCAAAATATTGAAGCCGAAAAGTATCAGGGTTGAGAGGAAAAATAATGCACAAATGAAACAATTGAGGAGGGTCCAAGATTCGGAGATTTGCATAAAATCGAGAATATATTGAGCATTTGAGGGTTTTAATAGGAAGAAGAAGAAGATTTTGAATTGGATTATTTTTTGAAATGAACGCATTTTTGAGATTTTTGGAGAATTAGAAATGGGAAGAGGAAAATTCGAGAAGAAAAATGGAACATTTAGGCCACGTGAAAATATTTTATCAGTTTTGAATTTCAGAATTTTGAGTTCCAAGTTCAAAAGATTTTACCCAAATCTCCATAAATCCTTCAAATTTTCCAGGCTATCCAGTAATGCTAAAAGCAGTCTACGGTGGTGGTGGAAAAGGAATGCGAATCGCGTGGAATGCCCAAGAATTCGCCGAAAAACTCGCCTCAGCCCGTTCCGAAGCAATGAAATCATTCGGCAACGACGAAATGCTCGTCGAAAAATTCGTCGAAAAACCGCGCCACGTGGAAGTGCAAGTTTTCGGCGATCATCACGGAAACTACGTGCATTTATGGGAAAGAGATTGCTCAGTTCAACGAAGACATCAGAAAATCATTGAAGAAGCTCCCGCACCAAATATGACACATGAGAATCGATTGAAATTGGGAGAATCTGCGAAAAGAGCTGCGGCTGCTGTTGGATATGTTGGAGCTGGAACTGTTGAATTTATCATGGATCCGAAAGGCGAATTCTATTTTATGGAAATGAATACGAGATTGCAAGTTGAACATCCGGTGACTGAAGCCATTACTGGAACTGATTTAGTTGAATGGCAATTGAGAGTGGCACAAGGGGAGAGACTTCCACTAACTCAGGAACAAATCCCGCTAAAGGGACATAGTTTTGAATGTCGGGTTTATGCGGAGGAAACCAAGGATGGAGCATTTATGCCGACTGCCGGCAAATTGAATTATGTTGATTTTCCGAGTGAAGAAGCGAGAATTGATACAGGAGTTGTGTCGGGAGATGAGGTTTCGATTCATTATGATCCAATGATTGCTAAGGTAACGGTTTTACGGGGGGAAATATTTGAAAAAGTTTTTGGCGAGAAAATTTTTAGAATATCTTATGAGAATCAAACTTTTCCCAAATTTTTCGAGTTTAATATGAGCAATAATTCGAAAAAAAATTAAAATTAAAATTGAAATTCATTAAAAATCATATTGGCGAAACCTCAATCCTTTGAGAATGATAAAAAATTGATTCTCGAAAACTCCTAAAATTCTCCCTCGAAGCAATATAAGATAATGATAAAATAGTGGGTGATAAATGATGTAAAAACGAATAGGGAAAATATAAAAGACCTATTTCATCCGATTCAAAACATGAATTCAACAAATTAATTGTCATAATTAAAATATGATAGAATGAAAGTGGAAAATATTGATAGACATAGAATTTTTCGATATTCTCATCTATATTTTGATCTATTAAAATACTATAGATGTATTGATAAACTACACTTGAAAATATTGAAATTAATAATAAAATTAAATATTGGAGTTGAGTGAGCCATAAAAATTTAGCACATTTTGGACATGGAATATCAATCTCACAATTTTCGAACTTGAAAATCACCAATATCAATCCTAGTGTCCAAATCAGAAAAATCAGCGATTTTTGCTTGAAAAACCTGGGATTTTTGGAGTTTAATATGAGCAATTTTTCGATGGCTATTAGAAATGTGAAAGTTGAGGTGATGAAACCGGAAATATCGAAAATTGCGAAATAATAGGTGTAGAGAAAGATGAGGTAGACAAATGCGAGAATTCCATCGCCTTCGTCGAGTTTTAGAAATCTGGAAATTTATGGCTGAAAATTTCGATTTTTAGACTGGAAATCCTGCTACAAATTTGTTGGATTTATCATCAAAATTGGAAAATTCCAAAAATTTGTAATAGGTCAGAAAATCTGTGTGGCAGTTGCAAAAAATGGGCGTGGTTCGACTAATTAACTCACAAATCATTAATTGTCCAAGTGCAATTAAAAATCAATAAACACAGACAAATGTAGTAAATATGTTTAAATTTGAAATCGATCGAAGTTTGTTTTCGGAATTTATAGATTCCCAAAAACAAAAATGAAATTATTGAGAAGATATCACAAAATAAAGTGATTTTTTGGAAAAAGTCCATAAAACTAGAGTTGTTTTTTGGCGAAAAGTTTTTGAAAATGTTGGATTTTCAGCTGTTTTCATGAGCTATGACGTACATTTTGCCGGGCAAAAAAACAATGCACAGTTTTTCTGTTGAATTTATAAAGCCGCCCCATTTTTGCAAGTCTGACATAGTTTTTTTTTTCAAAAAATCTGGCAAAAGTTCTCAAAACCCTGATCTAGCCTGAAATCTCATCCTTAACATTTTCAGGTCGTAGTTTGGGCTGAAAATCGTGAAGCGGCAGCCGCGAAACTCAACTCTGCCCTGGCGAAAACTCGAATCTCGGGCCTCCCAACAAACATTGGATTCGTGCGAAAAGTTTTGGATCACCCAGAATTCCAAGCTGGAAATGTCTACACCGATTTCATTCCCGATTATCATGACCAACTTTTTGCCAAAACCGAAAAACCCGCTGAAATTCTGATCGAAGCTGGAATCGGACACGTTTTGAAGGGATTTTTGAGACAAACTCAACCAGAAAATGGAGTTTTCCAGAGTTTGCCGTTTTTCAGAGCCAATTTACAAACTGTTTATAGTTATCAGATTGGTGAGGATTTTTTTCAGGGAAAAAAAATGAAAAAATTTGATTTTTTCAGAAGGAACTGATGTCAAAGTTCAATTCATCAATGAAAATCGAGTGAATGTTAGTTATGCTAACTCGAGTTTTGAAGTTTTGCTAAATGATTTGGAGAAAATTGGAAAAAATGAGATCAAATTCACATTGGAAGCAAATGGAAGAAGATGGAGTGTGAAGGCGAAGGATTTGAACAATTCGCTGATTGTAAGGATTCTCGAAATTTCAGAATTTTCTGAAAATGAAGTCAGGCTAATTATGTTCAGAATTTCAAGCTCTTCAAAATGAACCTGAACATGAAAACAAAAGTTTCATGAAATCCGATATTTTGAGCCAGATTTTCAGAAAGTTCCTGAACTTTCGAAAAATCAAGTTTAGGCTTATTTTGAAGAGCTTGAAATTCTGAACAAAATGAGTCCAAACTTGAATTCGAAAAAAATCTGAAAAGTTCAGAAAATCAGGGTTTTCTAGCCCAATTTTAAGAGTTATTAAAATTTTTCGAAAAATCAAGTTCGGGCTCATTTTGTTCAGAATTTCAAGCTCAACAAAATGAGCCTAAACTTGAACTCGGGCAAAATCTGAAAGTTGCAGAAAATCAGGGTTTTCTAGCCCAATTTCCAGAGTTATTAAAATTTATCGAAAATCTAGTTCGGGCTCATTTTGCACAGAATTTCAAGCTCAACAAAAAGTTCCTATTTTTCGGGTCAAAAATTGGTTCCACGCGGCAAAAGCCCTCAAAAATCAATGTTTTTTTTGCAGATCACCGGATTCGGTTCTCAAGAATACGACACTCCAGCCGCTCACACAGCATTCGGTGATTTATCCGGAGCTGCCACCAATTCCTCAGCCATCGCACCAATGCCTGGAATTATTGAGAAGGTTCTGGTGAAACCTGGAGATGCGGTAACTTCTGGACAAGCCTTGGTTGTTATGACTGCGATGAAAATGGAATATATTATTCGGGCACCGGAGGATTCGAAAATTGAAGCGATCAAATGCCAGCCTGGCAAAAATGTGCCGAAAAAATGCGGTTTTGGTGCAATTTGAGCAGACAGCATGAGAATTTTAGCGAATTTTTTAATAAGGAATTAGAGTATTTATGTAATTATTAGAAATTTTCACTTTTTTTATTGAAACTGGTAAAAAACTTTATGAATCTTATTTTTGAGATTTTTTTGAATTTGGGCTTATTTTCAAAATGAGCCTGAACTTGATTTTTTGAAAAATCGGAATAACACTTAAAATTAGAAAATCCTGGAATTCAAGTTTAGTTTCATTTTGTAGAGCTTGAAATTCTAAACAAAATGAAAAATTTTTGGCATAAAAATAATCAGAAAAAGCCCGTCACTAAAATATAAAAAATAAATTTTATTTAAAAAATTAAATTAGCAATCCCTTTGAAACCATTCATACCTTTCTCAAAAACAAATCTTCTTAAATATCTCGTAGGTTGACTTATCGCATCGATAGCCCCAACAACAGCTCTCAAAACAGGAATATCTGAAACCTTTGCCTTTATTGCATTTATCGCATTTTCAGTCACATTATCGAGTTTTTTGACTGAATTTTCAACCGCACTCGTTCCATTGAACAACAATTTTTCCAAAATTCCGGGAACTTTTGCGAGTTCAACTGGAGAATAGGTTACAAATTCTGAATTTTTCGGGATTCCGATTTCAGATTCATTTCTGCTTTCAGATTTTAAGACTTGAAAATACAGGAAAATTAGAAAGATTTTCGGCATTTTTTGACAGTAAAATGTTTGAAAAGATGTTGTTTAGGGGGGAGTTTTTATGGCTGCAAAATTCTGATTTTTTGAGCTAGATTCTGTCGCTGGGAACATCGAAAATTTATTTTTAGAATTGTCCGAGACCAATAAAATTCAAAACTTTCAATTTAGTTCAAAAAATCAAAAATTTACGATTTCCAGACTATTTTCTTTTGGGAGAACCAATAAAATCCAGGTTTTCTATCAAAAAATCAAACGAAAATGATATTCTCAATTTTTCTGATAATTCTCCAATTTTTCCCGAAATTCTGTAATTCTCAAGCAATTACCGCTGGTGTTATGTTTTTAAAAGCAGCTGACAATGTGTTTGTAGAAATTACGGAAAGAAATGAGGCTCATGAAAATTATTTGAAAAATAATACTCGGACCGGAAGTCAAAATCAAAATCTGGCTGGAAATGGTACCGAAAACCTTTCTGAAAATTCTACCGACACCAGCAGCTCTTCAAGTTTCGGCCAATTCATCGAACAAGGCACTGAAAAAATTATAGATGTTTATTTCTCAGGTTTTTGGGCAGGTTTGAACAAATTTCGCAACGAAACACTTTCAACCTTTTCGAGTTTACCATTTGTTGGTGGAATTGTTGGCAAAACTGTGGAGATTTTGAAGCCGATTCGAGATTTTGAGAGTGGCGTCGTTGATGAGGCTGCGAGGTTTTTTAAATCTGCTGTTAATTTTATTTTTTAGCTGGTCCCAAAAGTCATGAATGTTTTAATTGTTAGCTGTATACCCAACCATTAAAATATTTGAATGTTAAAATTGAAAAAAAATTTTTAACAGTGTTAAAAATTATTTCAACTCATCTTTATTTTTTTTAACTAGGGGTTGTTAGCCCCCAGGCGTAACAGTCTTCGTATTATTTCAGTTCCGTTTTTTTCTGTGATTATTTTCAATTTTCTGTGGAAAACAAATTCATGAAAAAAAATTTTTTTTTGAAAAAACTCGGGAAAACCCAAAAGAAGAAGTGTCATTTAGGTCGACTTCATTTTTACATTTTTGGATTATTCCAAATCTGTTACTTTTTTTTGTTGATACACGAAAATAAAAATTTCACTTTTTGTCAGCTACCCGCTCAAATCGAAATTTTCATTTGGGCGGGTATTTTTGTCAAACAAAAAAAACTCGGGCCATTTTTTTTGGAAAAAACTCTGGCCGATTTTTTTTCTTTTTTCTAACAGTGTTTCACGATGTTGTCAAAAATCTTTATTTCTCCACCCAAATCAACAAATTTGTGTAACTTTTTCAATTTTGATCCCTTCATTTTCATTTTCTCCAACCCTTTTCACAGCCTCATAATTCGCTCGAACTGTTGAATTATTCAACCAAAAATAGGCGTCCAAATCGAATGTGAATCGAGTTTCTTCGGATTTCAAGTTTGAGATTTTGAAGGTATTCAAACTGTGATCGAACAAAATTCTGGTAGCCAACAGAATCTCAAAAAGTGCTCCTTCGAATATCGTGGAATTTCCGAGACAATCGACAAATTCGAGAGGCTCACGAAAAACTCGACGAAGTTCTTCAACACTTTTCGCTTTGTGCGCAACTTCATACATTTTTTCAGCAATTTCCAGATCATTTTCAGTTATTGTTGCCACGTGGCGAATGAGAAAGATTTGACCGAAAATAATCAGAAATTTCATTTTTTTTTCGTGGTTTATGTTTAGGGGCACTGAGGATTGTTTTTATAGCGGAAAATGTCTGAAAATCATAAATTTCTGATTTCTCGAGATAGAAAAGCTAAAAATAGAAAACTTCATTGGTCTGGGAAAATTCTAAACATACGTTTTGAACTGATTTTTTGATCTTGAAAATTTTTTAGTGTGCGTCAGCTTTTAAGGAGATCTCATGTTTAGCCTCATTTTGTAGAGCTTGAAATTATGAAAAATTTCGAACTTCAAACTTCAAAATATTTCGATATCCAAATTATTACTCAAGACCCTGACACATTTACAATCACCCAAGGACAAAAAAGTCAACCCACCCCCGATCCTATCAATCAAATTGAAATGCGAGAAATATATGTTTGTTATATTTAACCTAAAACTTGATCAAGATAAGAAAAATAGATAATCGGTCATGATATCAATTCATTTTGTTGCAAAATAATTTCTTTTTTTCGTTTTGTTTACCTTATTTGTACGAAAGTTTTTCACGAACGAAATGAGTCACGGTACGCTGAAAAAGATGGTACGAACATACGAAGAAAAAAAAGGACTTCAAGATGGCCGTTTCTGACACCGTGAAACATCTTGGTGCCATTTTTTCGGATGGCGAACTTAAGCGAGGAATCAGGGACGCCACCAAATATGCCATGCACCTGGTTCAAGAAGAGGACACAAACACAAAAGAAAAAGAGAGAATTCCCCTCATGGACCCAATGCTGGAAGCTTTGAGCGCCACTACAACACTGCTGGAAAAACTGACAAAGAGAGAAATAGCGTTGGATGTCGCACGAAAAGATTTAATCGAACGAATGCTCATCTGCCACATCAACGACACACAAGTGCACCACGAAGTGGAAAATGATGCGATCAAAGCCGAGAACCTGCTGAAAGCCGAGCTGACTTTCGTCTCAGAAATGATATGTTTATCCTGATATTCTACTTCAAATGGAGGTTCCACCGAGATGTGAATTAGGCTAATATGGGATCTTTTAAAACCCTGGTCTGCTATATGGACTTACCAGCAAAGAGTTCACATAATGAAACCTCACTCAAATGACAAAGTGAACTGCAAGCACTGTACGAACTGTACGAAAATCCGCAAATAGTGCAGTCAAAATCACGAATATCTATTACTGCATCTAAACTGCAGTACTTTTGGGAAAAATCTTATTTTCAACTAGATGCAAACACAGAGAGATCAATGAAATGACAACATCAGCACAACCAAGAGAGGAAGCAAGAAAAAGAGCAAGGAGAAGCCGAGAAACCCCGATCCCAACAGCCGTCACAGAGCTACTAACAAGACAACAGCTCACAATCCTCCAAGACGACGACCTATCATCCGATGAAAAAATCCATCGAGATGATAACACGCGAGGAGCTGGAATTGGGACAGCGAGGAAAGACGAATGCGCCACCAGCCCCCAAGGATTCAAGTGCCACTACTGCGGTCAGAACCACCAATCAAGCGAATGCAGAAATATGCCACTGGAGGAAAGACGTGATCTCATCGACAGGCAACGTCGATGCGTAAAATGTTTGCGAGATGATTGCCGCGGGGCACCATCACGCTGCCGAGCAAGAGGATGTAAAGGATGCGGTGACGGAACACACCACACATCATTATTGTCATTCCGAAAATAAAAGAACCCCCGTTTAAATTGGCGCTCACGTACAGTAGACTAAAAATGACGTGACACATGCATATCAAACTGGTTGGCAAATAGCCAACGTGTAAATTTCGCATTTTATTTTTCAAAAAGACTCCAAAATTTTGCGAAGTCTACTGTATTTTGGTTTCCTAGGCCATTTCGGTTCTCTTCCAACGGTCTTTTTTTTTCGGAACGACAATATGTTACGTCACCGAGACGAGAAGAATCAACAAATTTCTACTCGCGCAGCTGAAAGCACTGGTGAGAGAGTGAGCGATGGTGGACAAAGCCCAGAACTAGATTTTTTTTTGTAACCCTCAGACAAGCATCAAACACCATATGTTTATCCTGATATTCTACTTCAAATGGAAGTTCCACCGAGATGTGAATTAGGCTAATATGTATTGGATTTTTCAAAACCCGAGTCTGCTATATGAAATTAACAGCAAAGAGTTGACATAATGAAACCATAATGAAACCGTACATGACTAACTCAAGTGACAAAGTGAACTACAAGCACTGTACGAACTGTACGAAAATTCGCAAATAGTGCAGTCAAAATGTCGAATATCTATTACTGCATCTAAACTGCAGTACTTTTGAGAAAAATCTTATTTTCAACTAGTTGCAAACACAGAGAGTGCATTATCATCCGAAGAAAAAATCCATGAAATAATCGAGATGATAAATTTGGACAACGGGGAAAGACGAACTCGCCACCGGCTCCAATCGGATTCAAGTGCCATGTCTGCAGTCAAAACCACCAATCGACCGAATGTAGAAATATGCCACTGGACTCCAGTGACTGGAGGAAAGACCCAATATTGGGTGCAGATAAAGCGATCACCGTATTCGACAGGGAAAAATAATGAAACTCTGAAGACCTGTGAGAGATTGAAACGACAATATTAATGTATCTAAATTGCAGTAATTTTGGGCAAGCTTGAAATTTATGGAGAAAAAACCCTTCGAAAAAAATACGGAAAACACGAAAACGACAAAAAATATTGAAATTGCAAACATGAATTGGGTCTTGGCGCGCGCACAAACGCACCCCGCCTTTTTTTTTTTTGAAAAAAAAAAAACAGTTATCGATTTTTTGGTTGCGCATCGAAATTGTCGTGTTTTGGTGAGTTTTTTATGGGTTTTCTGGGATTTTGGTCATTTTCATGACAAATAGTTTAACAGAAAATGTTGCTTTTAAATTTCTCACGTGAAAACGATGACGTGTTGAAAATGGCAATTTTTTATTTCTAAAAATTTATTTGAAAAAAAATTCGGTGAGGGATTTTTGAAAGTTAGAGGTCTGAAAATCAAAAAAGAACCCTCAAGAAATCTATTTTTCAGATTCAATCGATTATTTTTGGCTGAAAATATCGAAGCTGAAACCTAGGAATCGAAATGAAAAAAGGAAAATTCAAGAAGAAATGTGAGTTTTTTGGGAAACTTTTCAAACATTTCGGGAAAAAAAAATTTTCGCGGCGAAAAAATCAAGTAGATCAAAATTTTTTTCAAACCCTATTCCTAGACACCACTCTATGATTTTTGGTATTTGATATATGTATCTCCCCAAAAATTTATGTTATTTTTTCATAACAAAATTTTGACTCCCTCTCTTTTTCCTTCTCTTTTTTTTCCATCTCAAAAAGTACACACACTTTTTTTGTCGAGGATCATTAGTGAGGGGGACCATCCAAGAAAAAAAAATGATGAATACCCGACTGATTTTTTGGGGTGTCAAGAAAAAAAAAGAAGATTTTCTGGTTGGTTCATTTTTGATACACTTTTGACGGGTTTTCCGGTTTTAGAAAATTTGAAGTTTCTGTAATTCGAAAAGTTTTCTAGATTTTAAGATCTGATTAAAATCATTTTGATGAACAAAAGTTCTAGAAAAGTTAATTTGGAAATTCAGTTTCAGAAAAAAATTTCTGCTATAAAATCTAGACCAGAAAATGTTCCCAAAACTTCCAGCTCTGCAAAACTTTTCTTAATATTTAATTAGATAGTTAGATTAATTGCTCCAGAACACCAGATCTCATTTCTTTCCTGTCTTTTCAGCATACCACGCCCAGGTCCGTGCATGTGAAAAATAAAAATTGGCGGGGTGGTTTTTGAAAAATTATTGGCGGTGTGAAAACAAGGTGTTTTTTTGAAAAATTCTCAAAAATTTACTTGAGCAGATTGGCGCGGTGAAAACAAGCTTATATAGACCCAAAACATCAAAAGGACCAATTTGGAAGATGAAAATTACTGACAGTTTTTTATATTTCCCAGGAAGATCATGGGAAAAGTGAATTAATTTATTTATGGAATGATTTTTGTATTCTAATGTATTGTTTGCATGTTTTCATTTGTGATATTTTTTGTTTGAAATGCACGATTTTGCTTTTGTCTCTGTTTTGCTTATTGTATATCTCACCTCAACGTTCTCACAATTTGAAATCAATCACTGGTCGATAAATTTGCACAAACTTCTGGATGATTTTTTTTACAGATTTCGACACCTCACAATTTTTCCTTTCATGTGTGTTTTTATCCCAAAAACTTCAAGACAAAAATTTTAAAAAATAAATAAAAAATTTCGCTGGAAGTCGAACTCGAACTTTGGTCGCCTGACTGAGAGTCAAAAGATTATCCAATAGACCACACACACACCTGCTAACCGCCTTATTTGTTTGCCTTGATAAGTTCGATGTTTTTGTGTGTACAACAGCGATGTTGTTGTTGCGTGGGATAGCAGTTTTTGGAGAATAACTTCAGAATCAAAGGTCCAATTCAATCACATATTGTTGTTGGAGATTCTCCAGTGCCATAACCAGGTGGAAACATCAGAAAATGGATGAATAAAGAAGACAATTTCTGTTCAAATCAACTTTAAATTATTTATTTTTCAAAACTGAAAAGAACATGTCCTACGACATCAAATCTTCTGTTTCAACAGTGAATACATATCAGAATGAGCAGAACTTTCAAATTGACCAAAAATTTCAGACTGAAACCTTCTCAAACTCAAATTATCCTCGACCGTGCAAATCGAGATTTCTCAAAATCAGTTTTTCGACCATAAAAACCTTATTTTGGCTCGTAAAGTGGAAGTTAAAAAACGAATTCGTATTATTTTTCGCTCGTGCACGTTTTGCGACCGAGAACGAAGCGATTGGTGCAGTCTGTGTAGGCCTATTTAAAAATGTGCGAAAAAACGTGCACGGTCGGGGTTTATTCTTCAATGTGCACATAAAACTGTCCAGTTTTTTGTTTCCACCTGGTATAGGCCATTTAGAACCTTATCTCATCAAAAAAAATCAGTCAGAATGTCGAAAATATACCAAACTCTGAAATTCAGACAATTCGAGAGCAAAATAAAAAATTACGCAGGAGACGGGGGTTGATCTGGGGTCTTCGGAACAAAACCAGAGCGCGCCTAACCGACTGAGCTACCACACATTTTGTTGAAGAAGGTGCGATCACAGGCTTTTTGAAGACGTATGCGCGATGTGCGCGCGCGAAGGCGCCAGCCAAAAATAATGGGTTTGGTGCAAGCGCGCATTTTGTCCAATCTGGCAGGTTAAGCAACGTTGACTCGAGTTAGTGGTGAGTTCGGACTCATCCAAAAAGTTGTTTTGTACAGTTTCAATTCTGTTTGGGTAAAGTTTAGGGACTCTAGTGGAGATGATCTTCACAATCAGATGCCAAGATGGTTCATCCTGAACTCCAGTACGACCATCGGAAGATCGAGAGTCTGAAATTTCCATCAAAAATTCAAAGTTTTTGAATTCTTCTCAAACTTTCAGAACATTCTACTGAAGTCTTGTGGCAATCAAAATGATCAAAAATTTCGATTTTTTGTATTCCTGATCTTCAGTATGACCATCAGAAGATCAAGATTCAGGGCGAAATTCTGAACATTTTTGAAAAATTATGAAAATTTCTGAAGTTTGTCTTGGGACACCTTGGACTTCAAGGCCATCAAGATCTGTGATTTTGAATCATCTCGATCTTCAGTATGACCATCAGAAGATCAAGATTCAGGGCGAAATTCTGAACATTTTTGAAAAATTATGAAAATTTCTGAAGTTTGTCTTGGGACACCTTGGACTTCAAGGCCATCAAGATCTGTGATTTTGAATCATCTCGATCTTCAGTATGACCATCAGAAGATCAAGATTCAGGGCGAAATTCTGAACATTTTTGAAAAATTATGAAAATTTCTGAAGTTTGTCTTGGGACACCTTGGACTTCAAGGCCATCAAGATCTGTGATTTTAAATCATCCTGATCTTCAGTATGACCATCAGAAGATCAGAAATCATCATCGAAAATTATCAATTGTATCTGATGACGGTGAAAATTTGATATCGTGGGCTCTCGACTGTGGGGAATCATTATTTTGTTTTCATAAAAATTATTCTTGAAGGAACATACCTACCAAAAACACTTTTTTATGAAAATATCATTTTTTTAAAATCGAAATTGGACTTTTGAAGTTCTTGACTACGATAGACATTACAGAAACACTATTTTCTCATAAAATCCAATTTGTTGGTTTTCATTATAAATGTGATATTCTCTGTATTGCGTAGATCAGTCGCATCACAATCAGCGCAGAACAGGATAAACTCTCGCGAATGGTTTCAAGATCTGCGAAAACTACAAAAAAATTGTATCGCAGAGTTAGTAGTGAAGAGTCAATAGTTAGTAGTCAGAGTTAGGAAGAGTAGTGAAACCACCAAGTATTTTTTCTCGAAACGCCTTCAAGAGTTAAAATTTTTGATCTTACTGCCCTCCTCCCTTTAACAGATCATTAAGCCACGCATTAAAATTAAATTTAACAGTTTGCATCATATCGCTTATCCTACAAACCTCGATTCACAAAAAAAATGATATTTCCATGGGTAGTGCCTTAAAAAATCAGTTTTGAGTCGAATTTTCATAACCACATTGTTTCTCTCATAAAAAATAAAAAAACACAGTGTTCAAGAAACAAGTGTTTTTGATGGGTATGTCTCTTTAAGATTAACTTAACTGAAAAAAATAATGACCATGTGATTCTCCACAGTCGAGAGCCCACGATATCAAATTTTCACCGTCATCAGATACAATTGATAATTTTCGATGATGATTTCTGATCTTCTGATGGTCATACTGAAGATCAGGATGATTTAAAATCACAGATCTTGATGGCCTTGAAGTCCAAGGTGTCCCAAGACAAACTTCAGAAATTTTCATAATTTTTCAAAAATGTTCAGAATTTCGCCCTGAATCTTGATCTTCTGATGGTCATACTGAAGATCGAGATGATTCAAAATCACAGATCTTGATGGCCTTGAAGTCCAAGGTGTCCCAAGACAAACTTCAGAAATTTTCATAATTTTTCAAAAATGTTCAGAATTTCGCCCTGAATCTTGATCTTCTGATGGTCATACTGAAGATCGAGATGATTCAAAATCACAGATCTTGATGGCCTTGAAGTCCAAGGTGTCCCAAGACAAACTTCAGAAATTTTCATAATTTTTCAAAAATGTTCAGAATTTCGCCCTGAATCTTGATCTTCTGATGGTCATACTGAAGATCGAGATGATTCAAAATCACAGATCTTGATGGCCTTGAAGTCCAAGGTGTCCCAAGACAAACTTCAGAAATTTTCATAATTTTTCAAAAATGTTCAGAATTTCGCCCTGAATCTTGATCTTCTGATGGTCATACTGAAGATCGAGATGATTCAAAATCACAGATCTTGATGGCCTTGAAGTCCAAGGTGTCCCAAGACAAACTTCAGAAATTTTCATAATTTTTCAAAAATGTTCAGAATTTCGCCCTGAATCTTGATCTTCTGATGGTCATACTGAAGATCGAGATGATTCAAAATCACAGATCTTGATGGCCTTGAAGTCCAAGGTGTCCCAAGACAAACTTCAGAAATTTTCATAATTTTTCAAAAATGTTCAGAATTTCGCCCTGAATCTTGATCTTCTGATGGTCATACTGAAGATCGAGATGATTCAAAATCACAGATCTTGATGGCCTTGAAGTCCAAGGTGTCCCAAGACAAACTTCAGAAATTTTCATAATTTTTCAAAAATGTTCAGAATTTCGCCCTGAATCTTGATCTTCTGATGGTCATACTGAAGATCAGGAATACAAAAAATCGAAATTTTTGATCATTTTGATTGCCACAAGACTTCAGTAGAATGTTCTGAAAGTTTGAGAAGAATTCAAAAACTTTGAATTTTTGATGGAAATTTCAGACTCTCGATCTTCCGATGGTCGTACTGGAGTTCAGGATGAACCATCTTGGCATCTGATTGTGAAGATCATCTCCACTAGAGTCCCTAAACTTTACCCAAACAGAATTGAAACTGTACAAAACAACTTTTTGGATGAGTCCGAACTCACCACTAACTCGAGTCAACGTTGCTTAACCTGCCAGATTGGACAAAATGCGCGCTTGCACCAAACCCATTATTTTTGGCTGGCGCCTTCGCGCGCGCACATCGCGCATACGTCTTCAGAAAGCCTGTGATTGCCAAGATATATTTTATGTTTTCGGCACTGTAGAAAACATGATGGCTTTGAGTTTGATAATAAATGTCTTGAAAATATAGTTTGTTTCCGTATTCTGAAATTTTTCTGAGAAAAAAAGACAATAATTGAACGACTTTTTCAAATTTATAAGTTTTATTAGTGGTAATTGAAATAAATAAATAATAATATTTGATTAAAATCCATTTGAGATTGGAACTTGAAGTTGAAATGGGCCGTAGTCGTTTGAATCTGTAAAAATTAATTTGTTCTAGAGCCAATGAAAAAAATCCCCTCACTTACCAAAAAAATTTTGGCGTCGTGGATTTCATCAAAATTTTGAAAAAATATTGGCGCCGTGCATTTGTTAACCCCTGGGCGTGGTATGCTTTTCAGAAGATAAATAACGCGACTATAAAAGGCAACAAAAATGTATACGTTTTTTGGCTCAACTTGAGCCCAATTGAGTTTCCTTTCGAGTTTCCAGCGAACACATTGTTTTTTTTTGATTTACGCTAACTTTTTTCCTTTGAGAGACGCAGACAACCCAATCTATATGTGTAGTGTTCAAATTTCCGTGTTTATTTATTCCGGGACTAATTAGGAGGACACGACACTGCAAAAGATGAGGCTAATTTTGTTGAGAGTGTTTAGCCGACGTGTGAGGTTTACATATGAATTTTGATGAGCTCTGCGTCTCAAGCTTTTTTGTAGTCTCTAGCTATCTGGTGTCTGATGGTTTCTGGTTGTCTGCGTCTAGCCAAGTCTCCAATTGTTCTTTGCTGTACTATGTTATTAAAAATAAGTTTTTGAAAGGTTTCCCAATTTTAGTCGTTCTCTGTTTCTAATCAAGTTTGGATAAGAAAAATAAATTTCAGAAGAAGAAATTTTCAGAAGAAATTTGATGATCGCTCCAAAAAGATCAAAATTCGAAAAATTCTTTCATATTTCCGGCTAACGTTCAAATCGTTAATTTTTTTTGATTTCCTAGCCGGAAATCGAAAAAAAAAATTGAAAAATGTTGCCATATATCCGCTTGAAAAATGAGCTTCATAAATTTTTTCGATGAAAAAAAATTAACACCCTCCTTCTTCTCTCAAAAAAAAAATAAAATAATTTTTTTGTTTCCTATTAGCATATATCTCACATCTAATCTCTCTCTCTCACTCTTAAATCGAGACAAAATATTTTATTTATTTTTTTTTGTGGTGAGCCGAGATTTTTGCACGAGATTTTAGTTTTTTTCGCAACATTTTCAGATAATTTTTTGAATTTGAAAATTTTCCAGCTTTTTCTATCCATCCAGGAAGTAAAATCTGAAATCTGAGAAATTTTTCTAAAATAAAATTAGCCTGAAAATTAATTAATTTTGCTTCGGAAAAAGTTAATCCTTCTTGAAATGTGGTGAAAAAAGAAGAAGAAGAAGAAAATGAAGTGGAATTTTTCAATTTTTTCTAAAGAGCAACATTTTTTTGTTTCTGTGCATCATTTTTTTTATTAATTGATGAAACATGCTCTTTTTTGGGGAACATTTTTTCAAATGAATAAAATACAATTTGAGTTTTGGCGCCAAAATATTTGAATTTAAATTTTTTGACACGTAGAACTTTTTTCTGTGCTACAAAAAAATTTTCTCAAAAAAAAACTTTTATTCCCGCTGAAAATCCACGTGTCCTCCTGTTTTTGGCGCCAAAAATTGCCACGTGCCATTTTTCATTTTTCAAGTTTTCATTACACAATTTTTTTGTCATGACGTTTCACAGACAAAAACTCCGGGGGATTATGTATTTTTCTATTCTTTTCTAATTTTTTTGTTGTCGAAAAAAATCTTGTAAATCCTCTCTTCTCCCATTTTATTCCAGAAAAATTCTGAAATCAGAAAAAATCGCACTTTTTCGGCTTGGCTTGACAGGAAATTATAATAACTCCGCCCACCGAAATTTTTTTTTGCTCAAAAAAATAATTTAATTTTTTTTTCTGAGACCAGGTGATTTTGATTCACTTATTTTTCTTCAATTTTTTTGAGATTTTTGAACTTTTTTTGGTTCGAAAAACTTTTTAGAAAAAAAAAGAAAAAAAAGTTGTTTGGTTTTTGAACAATTATGTGTTTTTGAAAGGTTTCATTCATAGTGAAAAATATTTTTTTAGAAATATTTTTTTGTTTTTTGCTGAAAACCTCAATTTTTTCCATCTGAAAATCAAATTGCAGATCACCCAAATGCGTTGAAAAATGCATTTGACGACAATAGACGGTGAAGAAGATCTTCGAATTCATAACATATCGATTTTGCCGTCGGATCAGTGTGCAACTGAAGATCAGAGAGCTGCCAAATGTTGTTGTGGTGATGGTTTCTTTTTTGATTTTCCTAGGAAAAAGTGTGAGGTTTGTTGGGAAAATTGGGATTGATGGCCTAGATTGGTTTTCTATGCCACCTGAAAAAGGTTATTTTCAGCACCAAAAATAACCTTCTGACGTCTTGAAAAACAGAATTAACCAGCCGAAAGAAAATTTAATAATTTTTTTTTTTTTTTAGAGAAAAATAGGAAATAATATTTTTTGAGTTGAAAATTTGGGGAGATCGAGAATTTTTGAGCAAAAATCAATCAAAATTCACTTGAAATTTTTATTTTGAAGCGAAAAAAACGCGCTCCCTCAAATTAGCTCCGCCTCTTTTGCACGCAAACAATGGCAGCATGCACAACCTGTTAACCGTCGGCCACACGAAAAATTTATATATTTGTGTGTTTTGTGTGTTGTATCGCTTGAGGGCGGTAGCGAAGCTATTGCCAAATTTTTCTTGAATCGGACATATTTTAAAATGAGGGATTATTCTGAAATTTTTGAATTTCTGGCCAAATTTCAACATTGCTGGCTCAAAATTTCCCAAATTTCAGATAGCAGCAAATGTGGGTTTCATGTTCGGTCGACTAAACAATGGCTGGAGTCATATGGCAGTTTATGGTTTCGCTTATCCAATGTTATTGCTCATGTTAATTGCACCATTGTGTGCTGTGATGTTAGGAATGGGAAAAAGGGAAAAACGAGAAGGTGATCGCAGATATGTGAGTTTTGGGTGGAAATTTTGAAAGAAAAAATTTTTTTTTGAAAAAAAAAACGCTAAAAGTGCCACGTGGATTGTTGAAGCGAAAAATTTCAAATTTATTTCAGCCCAACCCGCTTTATCAAATGATTTGGTTGTTGACATTTTGTGGATGGTTGAGTGTTTTGAGTCCACTTCCATTCACAGTTTGGTATTATTTTGTTGGCGAAGGAACCAGGTAAGTCTGGAAAATTTGCTGAAAATCTGGAAAAAATCTGTGTACTGATTCCTTTTTCCAAGAATTTCCAAAGTACAAGTTTTTTGTCATCATAAAATGAGTAATCCTAATTTTTTCCCAAAAAAATTTTTGTCATCAAAATCAAATTGAAGGTTCACTTTTTAAAAATAAATCCATTTTCATTCTGAAAATTAGAAAATTCGAGAAAAATATGGGATTTTTGAGGGGATAATCTGAAATATTTATTTAGATTAGTTTTAGATCAGATCAAATTTCGTATAGTTGAGATCAGAAAAATATAAAGTTAGGGGAAGTCACCCCTTTAAAGTCGTCCACATTTCCCTGTGTTATGGCTCTGCCCATCAAACCGTGCCCAGAACATTGCTCATGTTAAGAAGAATATTTTATTTTTCAGATCCCTAAATCAATCAATAATAATGTGTCATTTATTTCGAACCTCAATGGAAACAATTCCCCATATGACTGATACAATGATGACACTTTTCTCAGTTTTATTAGCCGCTGCTCGATTTCTCACACAATACCATCGAAACACATTGAAACTTCGAACTGTCGAGCGATTTTCGCGCGCAATTTGGATGATTATATTTGTTTGCATCGCGCTGGCAATTTTGCGGTTTTTCGAACATGATACACGGGTTTATCAATTTTGTATGGATACGGAACCGACGCCGCAATGGGCTGCGAGATGTATGATTCGAGATGGAGCACTGATTAATATTGTGAATCGGAGTTTTTGGAAGGTACGGTAGAAAATTTGGGTTTTTTTGAGACCAAACATGCCTATGGGAACCAAAAATCAGAATAAATTCTAAATTTCCAAAGTAAAAGTTTATTTTCACAAAAAAAGTAGTTCGGTTAAATATTTTGCAACATCACTTGAACTTTTTCCAATTCCTCTTTCGAATCGTAGATTTCTTGAGATTCAGTTGAATTTGAATTTGGCGCCGAATTCAAATTTTCCACCGATTTTTCGACTGAAGTTGAAGCTGAATGAAGATTTTGATCTTCCGAATTCAAAACCACAACTGACTTCGAATAAGTTGCCAAGAAAATTGAGAAAATCACAAAAATAGCGAGAATTTGAGAAGTTTTAGTGAAAAACATTGTTTTTTGAAAGGAGAGTTAGGCGAAATCGGTTTATATACTGGTTTTTGAGTCATGTGTTTTTTGGTTGGCCTTTTTTGAAAATCAAAAAAGTAGGAATTTGAAAGGTTGATTTTTGGTGCCAAAAATTGAGATGTAAGGTTACTGTAGCTCTCCTACAGTAATCCCAAAATTTTGTGAAAATTTCCCGAATTTTTATGTTTCAAAATTTTTATAATTTTTCATTTTTCACTTTGAGTTCCGATTTTTAATTTTTATTAAGACCCATGTTGGAAAAATAAGTTATTTGAAATTATTTTCAAAACAAGACTACTGTAGGCTTTGAACTACAGTACCTGGAGATATCCAGGGTTACTGTACTTTTTCCCATCCGAAATTCAGAGGTTTTTGATTTTCCCGGATTTTTTAGGTTTCAAAACATTTTTTAATTCTCAATTTTGAGTTTGAATTCCAATGTTACCAATAATTTCTTTAATAAAATTAATAACTAAAATAAGTTAGGCTAACTAATTTTCTGTCCCCCAAAATATCTTTTTTTTTGCACAGGTATTTCTACCGCTCGCCGATTTTGCAGTTCAATTTGTGATTCCCGGAGTTTTGTTGGCGTTTTTACATGTCGGATTCATTCGAGAACCTGAAATTGATATGGGAGATTTGACAAAACAGTAAGTTTTCCGTTTTCCGCGCTCTCTCGGTTGCGGAAGGAAGATCCCCAAATATTTTTTTTTGCAGCAATCGATTTGGTCGAACTCCCCGTGATCAAACTCGAATTCTAATAACTACAGTAACCATCAGTTTTTTGGTTGTTCAAGTTCCGACGGCTTTTATCACAACACTTTCGCTAACTATTAATCATTTTCAAAATAATAGTGCTTGTGAGTTTTTTTTTAGAGCTGAAAAGTGGTGATTTTTCACCAATTTTCAGTAAATTTTCACTAAAAATCCCTAAATTTCCAGTAATGATGTTGGCAATTGTCACTGGCCATCTTCAACCACTTTTATCAATCACTACAATGGCTGCAAATACATCGGCACTGCTGACTGCTTATTATGTTATTGTTAAGGTCAGTTTGGGGAAGTTTTAAGTTAGCCTAACTCATTTTCTGGGCTCTCTAGGAGCGGATCCTTTACATAGTGGTTCTCTAGACACGACACCTTGATACAGCGATTTTCTAAGCGCGGAACCTTGACAAAATGGTTCTCAAGGCTCCCCTAGTTGTCAACTAGGTTTTCTAGAGGTGTCTGCTTGAAACAATGATTCTCAAGGCGCAAGTCCTATACAATTAGGTTTTCTAGGCTCGGCTACTTATCGTTCTCCCCGGTTTTTTTTTGAAAAGTTCAAATTCAGACTAATTTTTTCGATTATTCAAAAAAAATTTGAATAATCCAAAATTGTTGGTCATTTTTTGAACTTTTGTTGAAAAAAAAAACATTTTTGACATCAGAACTTATTTACGAGCTTTCCGCGTTCGCGGAAAAATTACAGTAAGAAAAATTGTTAATATTTCTAGGATGACGATGAAGATGTTGGCGATAGTCGAACATCAATTTCTGACAATGACAACGGCATCAATGAGCATCTATTACAAGCTCAAAAATCACAATCGAGACGTGGTACAAGGCAAGTGTGGAGTCAAGGTTTAAGAAGGTTCGGCTAGAGTGATTTTTGAAGTGTGCAGTGGAGCGAATTTGCTTTTTTGAGTGAAAATTTGGGGATTTATTGGTTAATTTTCTCACTGTTTCAAAACTTTCATATAAGAATTTCGCTTTTCTTCAAAAATAATGTCATTTTCATAAGAACAATTTTGAAAAATTCCTGAAAATTTCTACTGCTTCAAATAAAACAATCACGCAATTTTAATTTTTCATTAAAAAAAATTACAGTTTCAAAATTTTCATATAAAATTTAGATTTTTTCTAAAAATGATAACATTTACTTAGTAATTTCAAAAATCAATTCCGAAATCTAGAAATGCTCTTTAGGCATCATTTTTTAACCATAAAACCTGGAAATTTTAATTTTTGAAAATTTAGAAATTTTCGAAAATTTTCACTGTTTCAAAATTTTCATATAAAAATCTGCAATTTTTGCATATTATTCTGACATGAGGTTGGTAATTGTTGCATATAAAAAAAACTTGAAATTTCCTACTTTTTCAAAATTCTTTATCAAAAAGTTCCAGAATGTTCATTGTTTCATAAAAATTCGTAAATATTTCGTTTCATATAAATTTCTAGATTTTCTCCCAAAACAACTCACTCAAAAGTTTGCCGTGCCTTCTTCTAACCCAAATTTTCAGCCAAATAATTTCTCCAATATTTTTTTCCAGACTTTCCCGTACATATCTGAGTGTTTCTCATTCGTTCGACACCGGCTCACTTCGCTCATTTTCTCGAAAAGGATCCACTTCTGGCGGAGATGATATTTTATAGATTTTTTTTCCATTTTTGTTCAGCTTTCCCAGCCACGGGTCTTTTTTTATATGAAAACAATTTAGGCTCATCAATTTTCGCATTTATTATTTGATAAAATTTTCAATAATTCATGATACAAAAATATGGAAATAAAAATAAGTGATATAGCTATCCGGAATTCAAAAAAAATTAGCAAAAAGATCACTGGTAGATAAGAAAAATGTGGAAAAATAGGAAAAATCGTGTTGAGACCCTTTTTGGTGTGAAGAACAAAGAAGAAAAAACTGGTATCAAAATTTGGCGCGCAAAAATTATGGCAATCGATTTCGGAGACAAGTCAATTTGACAATCGAATTTTGTTTGATTATTTGAATTGCTTCGTCGTGTGTCATGCCTTTTGTTGAATGTCCATTTATTGTTAAAAGTTGATCGCCGACCTGCAAAAAAATCGATAATTTTTTGGGGTACTGTAGACAATTATTAAAAATTACTGTAGTTTTGAAATTTATGCATTTTATTTTTTTAAAAGACACTCTAGTTATCAAAATATTTTCAGAAAATTCTCACTGTTTCAAAATTTTCACATAAATAAGGAGATTTTCTCCAGAAATGATATCTTACGAAGTTTTGGGCACATATTGAAAATTTTCGCTTTGAGATCAATTTTTACCCAGAAAACTTGAAAATTTCAAGACATTCCCAAAAAAATTGGAAAAATTCATGACTTTTATAATCAAACAGTTTTTAATTTGAAAAAAAATGAAATTTTTATTTAAAAACAGTGAAGAATTCAATTTTCAAGATTCCTAGGCTAAAAATCACAACTTCCAGCTCATTTTTCAGTCAAAAATCTCGAATTTTCAGCCAATTTCGTGCAAATCTGCTCACCTGTAGTCTACCATCCCCTTTTGCCGGTCCATCATCAGCAATTCGCAAAACAAACAACGGCATCGAGCCAAACTCTTGTCCGCCACGAATCGAAAAACCAAAACCTTTGACGCCACGTTCCAATTCCACGTCAATCAAATTACCGTTCTGAAAAAAAAGGGAAAATTGGATAAGATTCAGGGGAAGAAAGGAAGGAAAAGAGTTAGGATAACTTGGAAAATTTTGAAAAAAAAAATTAAAAAATAGGTGGGTGCAAAAAGCCGTGCAATTTGAAAAAAAAAAGAAAAAACAAGACAGAAAATAGGACAGGACAAAGAGGGAAAATAGAGAAAATTTGGAGGATTTTGGCCGTAATTTTTAGACCCTAAAATCCTCCCAGACGTTCCAAAATTCCCCCTCAAAAAAAGGCCATGCAAAACTAAAAACTTCAAAAAACAAACCGAAAAACCATCAGCTCCTCAGAAAACTCTCGCATTTCTTCCTCTTCGAAAAAATCCTCACAAATTTCCTGCTCAAATATTTCGGAATACGAATCAATGACTGAAGCACAATGCATTTGTTCGAGTAGCGATTCTTGACTATTTCCACAACACAAAGCCTAAAAGGCTAGTGAAAAAACAACTAGAGAAAAGCAACAAAAAAAAACAATCAGAATTGAAGCGGTGGTGCTCAAAAAACCTAGGCGTGAACAAAAATCGGACAAGGACAAATAAAAAATTAATTTTTCGTTAATAAAAAATAAAAAATAGAAAGTTACGGGGATTTTTAGGAGAAGACAAATTGGAAATTGAAATTTTTGAACCAAATTTCCAGTATTTTGGGTTATTTTGTACGAACATATTTTCACTGTTTCAAAATTTTTATATTAAAATGTTTTGAAACCAGAAAATTCGATAATCTAATTTTGAAACCGAAAAAAGTACGTTTCATTTTTTTATTAAAAAATTTCAAAATTCATGAAATCCGATAATCAAATTTTTATTTTGAAAAAAAACTTGGTAAAACAAACTGAATTTCAAAATATTTTCTGTCTCGATCCAAAATTTCTTCTCCAAAAAATCCCCCTTCCCAATTTCCCCCAGTCAAAACTCACAATCGGAACTCTCGTCTCAGCCAAGCTCATCTGATCAAACGGCACATAAGTCGCCAAATTATTTCTCAAAACCGAAGGTGGTGGCGGCGGCAAACCATGATCCCCATTCATTGTGAAATTCCGTCCGAGGGTCGATGAGACAATCGGTAAAACAGGTCCACCAGCTTCACGGTGTGCAATAGTTAGCCTAACTGTTAGACCAGAATCTTTGATGAGTGCAATGATATCAGGATGGGATAAATTCAAGATATCGATTGAATTTACTGCAATAACTCGATCGCCAATTTGTAATTTTCCCGATTTTGCAGCCGGACTTCCATTTTGAATTTGTCCAATTGTCGAACCATTTCGATTGTGTGAACTCATCAAAACAAATCCAAATCCATCATTTTCACTCCGATGTAATACAACATCAAAACTCTCCGAATCAATTCCAGAACTCAAAGATCCTCGTCGAATCTCATTCATATTTTGATGATTTCTCCTTCTCACCAACAATTTAACATGCTTCATTTGTGCAGCATTTTCGAGTAGAATCACAGCATCCGAATGCGATGCGCCTTCAACATTCTTTCCATCAATTTCAACAATTTCATCGGCTTTTTGAAGTCGGCCATCTTCTTCAGCAGCTCCGCCTGCGACAATTTGACCAACTGATAGAGGGGTTTTCGATTCGGCGCCGCCCAAAAGTCGAAAACCGAAACCGACCGGTTTTCGGATAAGGGATACGGTGATCAAATCGGATCTGCAAATAAATGTGGTTATAACTTTTCTGAGCCAATTTTCGGTAATTTGTCAGAGCTCACAAAATTCTCGGAATTTTTACGTATCAAAATTTTCATAATTTTCAATTTCAAATTTCGCTTCTCAATGGGGAAGGTGGTGGGAAAAATACATTCAAAAAGTCAAATAGACTATACTGTATGCTAAAATTTGATCTATATACAGTACCTCAAAAGAATGAGGATATTTGAATTGTATTTTTTGGGGCCAAAATAGATCTACAGTAGTTGAGTATACCTCTCTTATGTTAGAAGGGACCCCAAGAATCTAATCCTAGAGTTAGGGTTACTGTATACGATTTTTGAGGTACTGTACTGGTAGAAGAAGGCCTAGAATCCCAGAATCCCTACCTTTGCGAGTTCACAAATTCACTAATCGGAATATAATTTGGTGTAGCAAATCCCAAAGTCGTGGAACTTGGTCGAATTCCACGTCCATCAAAATAATCGGTAGAAACAACAGCAGGTTGTCGTTGAAGTGTATTTCGGTTCGAAAATTCATCAGGCGGCATACTAGATTGTCTTCCATTTCCATTTCCAGATACAGATACATTTCTAGATCTCGATTTGGGTGATATTCCCGAATTTCCTCGTTTGACAACAAGTCTTCCCTGATATCCCACAGGTCTTTCTCGTAACATATCAACCAATTGTGTATGAGCAATCGGTCTCACATTTTTTCCATCCAATTCGACAATCGTATCACCTTCCATCAAATTCGGACATTGTTGTGGATAGAGGATTTTCTTGACTCTTTGGCCATTTACACTGTCTGCAATTGTGAATCCGAAACCTTCGGCTCCTTTGAAAATGTCGATTTCGTGCAAGTCTTTTTCGCGATTTCGATAGGCAGACGAGTAGACATTTTCAGTTATTATCTGGAAAAAACAATATTTTTAGCTTGAAAGAATTTTGCAGAAGCCACGTGGCATCTTCCTTCAAATTTTGAAACGCAGATTTTCAATCCTGGAAATTTCAAGAAAAATCAGTTTCCACGTGGCAATTTTTCTTCAAACAGATTTTTTGGAGATAAAAAATCCACGCGGTCTTATCACAATGAAAAACTAGATTGAATTGAGACAACCAAATGGAAGAATCAAATTTCGAAAAAAGATAAATTCTCATATAAAAATTCTGAAACCTAAAAAAGCGCGGGCAATTTTTCAGGGTTTTTGTTGGTCCAAAAAATGCTGGAAAATTTCCACATATTGTCATTCCGAAAATAAAAGAACCCCCGTTTGAATTGGCGCTCACGTACAGTAGACTAAAAATGACGTGACACATGCATATCAAACTGGTTGGCAAATAGCCAACGTGTAAATTTCGCATTTTATTTTTCAAATTGACTCCAAAATTTCGCTAAGTCTACTGTAGTGTTGGTTTCCTAGGCCATGTCGGTTCTCTTCCAAGGTTCTTTTTTTTCGGAAGGACAATAGCATTTTTTCTTTCATGAAAGATTTTTGAGAGAAAAAATAGCTCCAAAGTCTGGTTTCAAAAATTCACGTTTGGGTTCAAAAATCACACGATTTTTCAGTATTCAGCTAAAAATTACTCAATTTTCAATATCTCCGCCTCAAAAAATCCCCAAAAAACTCACTCGATTAGTTGGATCGATAAATAATTCATATCCTCGACAAACTTGAATCTCAACTGGATCTCCAATTGGAATCGAAACAAACACATCACAAGCTTCTTTTTGAGTTGCGCCAAGTAGAACTTTTCCATTGACTCGCACCAAAATATCACCAGTTCGGAGGACACCATTTGCTGCAGCTGGACCACCGGCCAAAACTGATTTGACCTGGAAAAAAGGGAAAGTTTTTGGGAATTTTTTGTAAGGTTTTTGAGGCAAAAGAAATCTGATTTCATTTCAAAAATTTGAATTTTTCTTTAAAAATTCATATTTTTGACACACAAATTCTGGGAAAACAATTTCAAAATAGTTTTTTTTGAAAGTTCATTATGAGAAATTTTCTAGAAAGCTATTAAAAGTATTGCTCATGTTAAATTTTGCAATCAAATTGATCATGTTAATCCCGAGAAAACCTAATTTCTCTACTGTTCCTCATATTAACTCAAAATAACATAATTTTCATGGCATTGCTCATATTAAATTCTCTAAGCACAATATTTGCTCATGTTCTTTTTGAATAGAAAAACAAGGTTGCTCAGGTTAGATGAAAATTCCAATTTTCACGGCATTGCTCATATTATTCATTTTTCCTCAAAATGTTCTCAATGTTCACGCAAAAATCTCCTCGTTTCTAGTTATTTTTACTATTTTTCACCCCAAAAACCTGCGGCTCCAGAAAATCTCCGTCTCAATAATACTAATAATTTTTCTAGTTGAGTTCACCTGAATAAATTCATCTCCTTTACTCGATGCATCATTTCCAATCAATGTAAATCCCAATCCTTTGGGTCCTTTCACAATTTTTGTCGCAATCATTTCGCCGTGCAATTTTGCGGGATCTGTTGTGAAAAGTGGATTGCCGGATCGATTGAATGCATAATCAGAAGAAGTGACTGCAGTGTCAGATGAAAGTGGTCCGTCTTGAAATTTGCGATATCGAGTTGGTGAACTGTCGAATCCAGAATCTCGGGGTGATGACGAAGATTTCAAGGTTCCAGTCTGCAAAAAAATCGATTTTTTGATTTATTCTCGTGGATAATGAGCATTTTTTTCACCTAAAATTCGAAATTTTATTCAAATTTTATCAATCAATTTCAGATAACTCAAATACGTTTCACAAAAATCATCATTAGTTGAATTAGAATCAGAAATAACAAATCACAAAATTTCAAATAAAAATATATAAAAATTTTGAAACCTATTTTTTCCGGGGCAAAAATAAGCTTGAATATTGAACATTTTTCGGATGAAATTTTTGAATTTTCCATGAAAAATTCAACTTTTTCGAATTCTGCTCAAAAATCTCATATTCTGGCTCAAAATCTGCACAATTTCCCACAATTTTCTCATGCCAAAAAAAGAAATGCAGATCATAAATTTTTAACGACATTTTCTCCCGATTTCCCGCATTTTTCCAAGTTTTTTTCGTGAAAAAAAGAAAAAAAAGGTTGCTCACATTATATTGCGAATAGATTCCATTATTCAAAGATTGTCCCATTGCTGGCGGAAGAGTTCCATATTTTTGATGTTGTTGATGATTGGGCCCGTCGAAAAGTCCGGCTCCAAATCCATTTTGGCCCGATCCACAAGGCCTTTCGTATTGCGTTTTTTTGTTGATGTGGCTGCAAAAATAGAGAATTTCAGGGCCAAATTCAAGCTCAGAAGGGCCTTTTGAGCCCATTTTCAGATTTTTCGGTCAAACATCCTTTTTTCCAGATTTTTTTCACCAAATTTTCAAAAAAAAACATGTTTTTCTCATCAAAAAATCTTTGAAAACGCAATAATATTTTGATAAATTTTTATGAATTTTTCATAGAAAAAATTGAGAGAAATCAATCTCTGAAAACTTGAAAATTTCAGATTATTCAAACTTCTGGAAAAATTATTCAAAACTATCAATTTTCAGCATAAAGCTTAAAAATAGGTCACAATTGTGGAGGAAAAAACACTAATTACACAACAACTGAAAAATGTCAAATATAACCACTTCCTGAGGTCAGAACCTCTCAGAAATGTCAATTTCAGGCTCAAGAATCAGCTGAAAATCTCTGGAACTCTAAAAATACCATCTCCCAAAACGCCAAAATTTCAGCTCAAAATCCCCCAGAAGTACCCATTACAAATCAATGATCTAGTCATCATCAAAGGCACTTTTTCCAGCTCATCTTGCTCTTCTTCATCATCTTCCTCATACTCATTTTCATCATCCGAACAACATTTTCGTTGAAATTGCACAAAGCTTTTCGTCTGCGTGGATTGCTCTTTCAATCCCGGATTCTGATGAGAATTTCCAGCAGAAGCGGAAGCGGACGCAGTAAAATAGACGACATTTGAGATGAGTTCAGGTCCGGTAGCCGAGTACATTTCGAGCCAAAAATTAGTAGCTCATGAGCAGAATAACAATAGTTTCCATAGAAAACTTCTCCTCCTTCTTTTGCTCAAAAAAAAACGCGCAAAAAATATAGAAAAGGAAGGAAATGCACAAAAAAGAGCAGAAAAAAAAGTGGGCGGAGTCAGGGATATTCGAAAGAAGAAGAATTAGATAACACCAACCAAAAAATGGAGAAAAATAGGGGGAAAAGGGGGAGAAAAATTGATGATGGAGGATAATTTGGAACGAGAATGAGAGCTCGGAGCATGGAGCTCTAGAGCTCAAAAATAATTGAAAATTGACACTTTTTCCATGGTGAAAAATGATATTTTCAGACTTTTTTGAGGGGTTCAATCTTCAGAAGAAACATGAGAATTTTTAGATTAAAAATCTTTTGAATCCTAGTTAGATAAAAAATTAGAATTTTCAAAAACTTTTACTAAAACTTCTAAAAGATATTTACTAAAAATTCCAAAAGATCCCAAAAATAATAATTATCTTTTGAAACAGTAAACTTTTTTCACAGAAAAAAATATTTTTAAAATTCTAAATCCATCTTCATTTTCCTGAACAAAATTCAAAAAAAAAGTATAATTTTTGCAAAACTTGAAACAGTAGATTTTTTCAGGTTGAAAATTACAGTGAACATTCAGCGAGTTTTGGAGAAAAATTCAAAATTTGAATTCGAGGCTCAAACAGTCCGAGAATCCAATTTCTCCTGGAAAAATTCCCAGGAAAAAAATCAGATAACAACAGAAAAAAAAACAACAACAAAACAAATATTGCGCCTCTCGCTTCAGAGAAAAAAAAACGAGGAGATAACCAAATTTCCAAAAAAAATGCACAAAAAATGAAAAAAAAAAAGAAGAGAGAAAAGTCAAAGCTCCTCGTTTTTTGTGTGCATTTTGGGTGGAAAAAAAACACAAATAGATCCATGTCAAAAAATTTTTTTGGAAAATTTGAAAAAGTATGGAAAGAAGTTCACTGTTTCAAAATAAATGTATAATTTTCAGAATTTTTTTTTTGATTTTCAGAAACTTCTAGAAGTGTGTTTAGAGATTTTTAAAAGCTGACAATCCTGTTTTTTCGCCTAAAACTAGGCTTAAATTGGGACTTAGAAGCCCAAAATGAGTCCAAAAACATCCCCAAAAAACTCACTCAACATAAAACGTTCCATACATCGGATCATCAACTTGTTCCCAACCGGACGGCAATTCTCGTGGATCATCCCATGTGGTTGTTCCAGTATTATGGCTGCAAAAAATTCAGATTCCAGAGTTATGACGTGGATTTTAAATTTTCAGAGAGCCAACAGCTCAATTTTTATTGTTTAAAATCCAAATTTTTCTAGGTAAGACTTTTTAATTGTGTAAATTTTTGAGACCAAAAAATACGTTTCAAAATTATTTTTAATGTTGAAACCGGATTTACTAATGACGAATCACCATCTTTGGAGTCAAAAATTGAGAAAAAAACTTCAATTTTTCAGTAATTCTTTTTTTAGCCAAAAACTAATATTTTCGAAAATTTTAAATTTCCTGTCAATGTTCAGAGCTCAAGTTTTTGCTGTTAAAATTTTTTGTGCCGCAAAAAAGTTCATAGCTCAGAAATTCAAATTTTCGGGGGCGAAAAAAAGTTTCGAAAAAATCGAAGCTTTTTGTTAACAAAAAGAACACTTTTTGCAAACAGACCAGAAAAAATAAATTTTCAACATTTTTGAAAAAAATTCGACTCCAGGGAAATATGGGAAATTCGGGGATTTGGTGGAATTTTCCGGGCAAAAAAAGATGGCCTAGGAATCCAAACAAACAGGAAAAACTAGTCCCTGAAGTTAAAATTCAAATTTGAATTGAAACATTTGAAAAACTTCATGGCCTAGAATTTCATATTGTAATTTTCTAGTCCTCATATGATTTGCGAGTTGAGTACTTTCACTTAATTTTGAAATTCTGGCCTAGAAATCCAGATTCCAAATTTCTAGTCCCTAGGTCAATCTTGGCCAATTTTTCGGCCTAGAAACCCAAAAATGAGGATTTCTAGGTCAAAATTTCTCATTTTTCATAATTTTTTGAATATTTATAACCCAAAATTCACCCTCAAAAAACTCACTCAATAAAATATTTATCACCATTTTCAGTGTAAGCAGTCTCCCAATTTGGTGGCAACAATCCTTCCGAACACATTACCATTTCTTGTTCAGCATAACAATCAACGGGTCGAGGAGTTCCGTATAAATGACCTGCAAAAAAAACGAGGAGATTTTGAAGTAGAAAAATTGAAAGACTGTGAAAAAATGAAATTTGGAAAAGTTCTGTGGAAAAGTGAACATTTTCTGAATCAGTTTTTAAAAATAAAATTATCGTGAAAAAATTTTTTTGAACAAAAAAATTTGTGCATAAAAGAAGGTGAGAGGGACGGTTTATTGATAAACAAACACATAAATAAATAAGCAGCCCCAAAAAAAATATTCATAACAATTATCGATTTTTTGTTTAGACAAAAAGAATTGGAGAAATAATGTGGGAGCATCGATTTTGACAAGAAAACATTCAAATTTACCCTGGGAAAATATCGGACTATTTTCAAATTTCAAAAAAAATTCCGAAAACTCAAATTATTGATTTTCAGGTAAATCAAATACACTGATCATTTTCTGATAATTAGATTTTCACAAAAATCATTGAGATTTGAGTTATGATAACTTCTATGAGCCAATTTTTCTCATTTTTTGAGCTCACGTGTACAAAATCTCAATCTAAAGATGTCTAAACTTAAATTTCAAGCTCGAAAATTTGCCAAGTTCCAAATTTCAGCTAAAAAGTTTCAAAAAATTCCAATTTTCGGCGCTAGAAATTCCCCCAAAATTTGCATACACCTATCAAAAATGGTGTCACACATACATTAAAACACACACACCAACAAAAATGAGTACACATACATATTATTAATAATAAAATAAAAATTGCATTGTTGACACATACAAAAATGTGTCATCTAACCTCTTCTTCTTCTTTTTGTTTGCTCATCATGCAGATCTTACAATATTATAAAACACAACAAAAAAAGAAGAATAGAAATTTAGAAAAAGAAGATGAAATGTATCTGGTAAAATAAATACCTATTCAAAATCTAGTTTGGTTAGAAAATTTTGGCGAAAAAAGTCTAGTTTGATCAAAAATTTAGCGAAAAAAAAATCTGGAATTTCAGATTTCTGAATATCAGAACTTCAGATCTTAAATCAGGATTTTTTGGCCAAAAATTGCAAGTTCTCAAAATTTCCCTAAAATTTGATGTAAAATCGTTCAGAATCCAATTTATGATTTAAAAAAACATCTGAAAATGTTGTAATTTCAGTGAAATTTTTGCTGATCAAAAAATTCTCCAAAATTTACAATTGACCGATTTTCGACAACTGTACAAAAACAGGAAAAACAAAGCGTACGAAGTGAGATAACAATCAATTTCATGGCAAAAACGAACAGTCAGTCACTCATTATCCATACACACACACAAATTTTGTCCCTCGTTCGATTCGATTATTCGGGATGACCAAATGAAGGAGAAATAGTATGGAGAAATGAGAGAGTGACGAGAGAAAAATTAGAAAAAAGGAGAAAGTTTTGTTGTTTGAATAAATAAACAGACAAAATTTTGTAGTAAAAAGTATGGATCAGTGAATCTTATAATATTTTAATTGCGCGCTTGTTGCAATTAAAAACGTTGATCAAAACGGGCAGACAATTTTGGAGAGAAATTTGGGAGGTTTTGAAGGTTGAGGGATATTTTTGTAGTGAAATTCAACAAAAATTACTAATTCAGAAACTCATTCTGAGACAGTCGATGCTTTCCCGTCTGGAAATTTTAGATAAATAAATAACCAGAAGATCAAAGTCAGCAGGAACAAGGAAATCAAATTATCAGAAAAAATGAGAAAGTTTGTAAATTTTTTGAAACAGTGAATTTTTCTTTTAAAAAATATGAAAAATTCAGAATTTCTTCTCAAAGTGCCTAAATTTTGGAGGCAAACAATTTGAAATAAAGTTTTTGAAATGTTCAAGTGAAGGATCAGCAAAAACAATAGAACCAACAGATTTTTCCCATTTTTTTGAAACAATGCATTTTTCCAAATAAAATTTTCCGCCAAGAAATTCGAAAAATTGTGTGCTTTAAAAACTAGTTAGACTAACCCCTCCCAAAACCTTCCAATTTTCGAACTGTAGTTTATTTGGGGCCAAAAATTGATCTACAGTACCCTAACTTTCTAGAATGAGTTTATGATATCCGCAAGAAAATCAAAAATGACAAAAACCATTTACTTTTTCTCAATTTCTTGAAACAGTGAATTTTTCAAACAATTTTGAAATTCACAAAATGTATTTTTTTGATCCAAAAAATCCCACAAAAATCAAATCTACCTCTCGAAAAATTGGAAACATCTTCCGATTTCGTTTTTCTCAGTCTAGCCGCCAACAAAATTCGTCGAACTCGTTGCATTTTCAGTCAAAAAATACTAAAAAGTTCCAAAAAATAAAAGAAGGTTAGCTAATACATTTCGTTTTCTTCCAAAAAAAGGGAAGACTCTAGTTTCTCATTTTTTCCGGAAGGAGAAAAATGATCGTTTGGCGGGTGGGACTTGGCCTAACTTCATTTTCAACAAAACTTTTTTTTGTTTTCTCTTTTCACTTTTGCAAACGAGTAAAAAGTTTTTGTTTTCTTGGAGAGAGAGAGAGAAAATGAAAAATGAAGAAAACTTATCAAAAGTTTCAGACCGCAAAAATTTTTTTAGAGAAAGGTCAGGTGATAAAAAATATTTTTGAAAAAATATGAAATTTTTTAGGTCACGTTACAATTTCTATTTCTAGATTTCTAGAGAAAATAGAATGGAATTTGAACAATTTTTGGCGCCAAAATTCTGAGAATTTGATTGATTATAGGTAAAAATATTTTCTGATAATCAATTTTTTCACAAAAATCACAGAACTCATTACAGAGGGTATTCTTTGCAATAAAAATTTCCAATTTTTCTGGAAGCTTCAATTTTCCAAATCTCATCAATCCAAAAATCAAGTATGTCCGTAAAAATTCGAAAAAGAAACACACACATAAAAAGTGTCTTGTTCAAGGATTTTTGCAATTTTCTTCTAACAACACACAAAAACATTTCAAAACTAAGGAGAAAAATGAAGAAGGATTGGATAAAATGGAGGGATGAAACACAAAATTGAATAGATTGTGTGAGTGTATGTGAGATGCGCGACAATTGAATTAAGTTTATTTGGTGGGAGAAAAAAGAGGAGGGAGTGATTTTTGGAGACAATTCTGGATCACAATCGTACCAGGTTTTCGGGGAAAAATACTAAGCCGAATCACTTTTTGAAAATCTGGACTAAATCAAAAACTATTGTTAATTTTGTATAAAAATTCCGAAAACAATCAAAAACTTTCGAAAGGCCAAAAATTCATACATTTTTCGAAACAGTAAATCTTCTTGAATTATTCTTAATGATAGAATCCAGAAATGAAACAGTATATGTTTTCATAATCGAAATTTTTGATCAATTAAATTTCAAAACTTATCTTGGCCGTACAATTTCAATAAAAATTTAAGTTTGTAATTTTGGCAGTGAGTTGAATTGTGTGATTTCATTGATTTTAATGTCAGGAACTCTAGAAACAGACGCTTCATCAAAAAATTTAGCTATTCAGAAAATACCTTAAATTTTTGAAACAGTTAATTTTTCGGAATCTGAAATCTGTTTTTTTTTTGATATACGAACAGCATAAATCAAAAATTTTGGAAAAAATTCATTAGATTTTTGTAACAGTGAACTTTTTTGAAGATTTTTTCCAAAATTTTTCCAATTTTCAAGTTCAGCACCCCAAAAATTGACAGAATCAATAAAACTACTATGTAAAACTACTCCAAGATTTCAAAAATAAGAAGAAAAGAAAAAGGAAAAAAAGAAACACACACAAATTTTCATGTCAAAAATGTAAAATATCGGCTTCGCGGGGGCTCTTTTTTCGTTGACAACTTCATGATTTACGACTTTTGGGAATTCTTTGGACACGGGGAGAAAAAATGGAAGAAGAGAAGAACATTTTAAATGTGAATAAATTATTTTCAGATTATTTTGGGGCCAGGCTTTTAGGCTATGAGATTTCGGGCTAGAAATTTAAATTTTTCTGGATTTCTTGGGGCGAAAAGTAGGCTTAGGCTTACGGTCAGGCTTAGTATTTAACAAGATTTTTGTGCTGAAAATTCAGATTTTTCTGGATGTTTGGGTAATTTTTTGGTTTTAATACAACTTTTCGATACAGAAAATTCCAATTTTAAGGATTTTTTGACCCAAAACTCATTATTCGACTTTTAATAATTCAAAGTCAAAAACAAAACAAAAAACTACCTAATAATTATACAGATTTGTTCTGTTTTTCCTTCAAAACAAATAAAAAAAAACAATGAATAATTATCGTGTTTTGTTTTTTTTTCTAGGTCTTTTCTAATACATTTTTAATTCGCAAAAGGTCTCGGGAAACGAAAATTGAATTATTTTTATGTGTTTTTTCAACAAGAAAAAATACCTGAGAAAATGTACGTTTCAACAAATTTTGATAATTTCAAAATTAAAAAAAATTTATTATCGTATAAATGTAGAATCTAAAAAATAAATGCTGAATTCACTAGAAAATCTTGCTCGAGGGTCAAATTTCGTGCTGAAAATCACGATTTCCATGGTTTTCAGCGCGAAATTCGATCCTAGGACATTTTTGAGCACTTGAAACCTTCTAGAACTAAACTCAAAAAAAGTACCTAAACCTAACCCTAACCGAAAGCCCTTAACATTCTTAGGTCTAATTTCTTTAAACCTAATTTTATGGCTAGTTCAAAACCCAAAGAATACAAAACAAAAACGCCTCCATTTCCAATTCAAACACACAAAAAATGTCATGTCACAGGTAAAAAACCTTGTCCACAAAAAAAATGGCGGGCCGGCGAGATAGTGTGCACCACAGAAGAGACACCAGACACACCCATGTGTGAATGAATAGAAGAAACCGAATGAGTATAAGAAATTGCGCAATGGGAATTTAGAAAAAAAACGAGGGAAGGGAAGAAATAGTGCGGGGAAATGAGAGAGTAGGGAGCAGGAGGTTAGAGAAAAACGGGAGGTAGGTAAAGCGGGACAAGGTTGGATTACAAGAAGAAGACGGAATTAATGGCGTATATTATATGGTGTACCTTTATTAGCCTACGCTACTGTTTGATATAAAAAATATATAGAGAAAGAGAAAGAGAGAGGGAACATGAAGAGACGCAGAAAGGTTAGAGAAAATTCTAGAATTTCTGATGAATTTCAGGTGAATCGAATATGCAAGTCATTTTCTGACTCTCAGTTTTCTTTAGAGAAAAATTATAGTGAGTTGAGTTATGATAACTATTCTGAGCCAAAAGCATTTTAGAATTTTTGGTTGGAAAAAATTCTACAATTTTTTATGGCTAAAAAATCTAGATATTCAGAGCTTCAAAACTGCCTATTTTTGCACCAAAACTGAGAAAACCCTTCAAAATTTTTCAAAATGGGTCAAGTTTTTTAGTCAAAAAATTTCACAAAAAGTGGGGTTTTTAGATAAATCCTAAATTCAAAACACAAAAAATGCTAATTTTTGAGCTTCAGAATTAAATCCCATGGGAAAAATGAAACCTGATGATTTTTTTTCAAATTTTCAGCAATTTTTGCTCCCAAAAATCCCCTTCCCCTAAAAAACCAACCTTGATAAGTTCCATTTTCCAGCAATTCTCCTTGTTCCAAAAATCGATTAAACTCCTCGACGCTGACAAATCGATAGTGTTCACCATCAATTTCACCTTCTCTTGGTGGACGGGTTGTGTCTGAAAATAAATCGTTGCTCATATTAGAAAAATTTGAAATTTTCTGATTTTTAACTGTGAATAATATACACTTTCAGAAATTTCCTGGAAACTTGAAAAAGTGAAAAATCATTGCTCATATTAGACAAATTCCCCACAAAAATTATCCAAACCATTCCAAAATTTGCGAAAATCCTCAACCGGTAAACTGGACCGTTTCGATAAATATGCAACTTTGATGGGACTTAGCGGAAATATATCAGACATTATAGAAAAAATCAAATAAAATTAGAGATAATGTGAAAAACCTAGGGATAAAAGTATGTGGAAGAAGATGTCTAGCCATAAGGAAGAAGATGTCAAGGAAGAAGATGTCTAGCCATAATTCACTATTTAAACGGCCGGGCAAAAAAAACGAGAAAAATTGAGAAGCAGCTGTCAGAAAGGGAAAAAATATAGGCACCACTGGGAGGTTGAATTTTGGTAATTATTTCATTGCTCATGTTAAATTCAAATTGAAAAATTGAGGATTTATGGTCATACATGCCGAATTGTTCAGGACCAGCGCCTTGAGAGTTTCTGCGACAAGCACGAAAGCCTAGAAATCGTAGTTCTCAAGGAGCCGCGCCTTGAGAACATAATTGTATAGGAGCCACATCTAAAGATGCACTCTGCCAAGGTTCCGCGCCTTGAGAGCTTATATGCTAAGCAGTCGAGCCTAGAGAACCTTGCTCTCTAGTAGCCAAGCCTAGAAAGTCCACTTTTCAACGATCACTTCCAAGGGAGGATATTGCTCATGTCATTTTCCCAGAGTAAAAATCAAAAATTGATCATTGCTCAGGTTAAACTCAATTGAATAAAGAACAAATTTTCCCAATTTCAATTCCTCCTGAAAAAACTCACAAGGCACAGTTTTCTGATACAAATTCTCTCTGATAATTGTCTGAAATTCTCCGCTCGATTTCCGATCAGCCAAAAGTTCAGTAATATCATCGGTGATAGAAGAAGCCGGTAGAACTTCGATTGCGATTTGATCTTTGTCTCTCATCGAATCTTCGAGAAGTTTTACAACTTCCGATTTTATCATTCCAGATACTTTTCTGCAAAAAAAACAATTAGAGGTTTTTGGGAGCAGAAATATTAAATTTACACTGAAAATTAGAGATTTCCAGCCGAAAATTTGTAAAAAAAACTCACACATTCTCCACCGATAATAAAATATCATTTGGATTCACTAATCCAATCAAATCCTCTCTTCTAACAATATCAATCAATATTAGTCGACCCAACGATGCTCCGCCATACACAGAAAACGGAAGAGGATCCCCACGACATGTTGTTGAATTTCCCGAATCTGAATGGCATGATGAAGTTGTTGAGAAGTTTTGATGTGGATTATTTGTGGAATCACACGCGATTCGAACTAGGCGGCGAGCTGATAATCCGGAAGAAGCTGGAAAAAAACATTGGGAGGGTTTGGGAGAGAGAAAATTGGATTTTTCAGAGATTTTCAGGTTTTCAGAATGATTAGAGAGATTTCTTAAAAGAATATTAGAAAATTTCAGCTAAAAATCAAAACAAAATTTACTTCTCATTGGAAATTACAGTTTTTCACCACAAAATCATGATTTTAAGTTTCCGGGGCACTTTTACATGAAAAATCTCTAATTTTCAGTCAAGAGCTATTTTTCCCTCTTGAAAAAATGAATATTTTTCTCAAAAAATCAAGATAACCCCATTTTCGGTGAAACTTATATTTTCCAATGAAAAACTTGAAAATTCCTGGGAAAACCCTTGCAAATCTGGTTTTTCCTGATAACTTCAAGGTCTTCTAACATTCTAAAACCTTTGAAACACCCTGAAAACTCAAAAATTCCAGGTTTCAAGCGAAAAAAAGGTCAATTGTACAATACCTGGAGAACATGCCCTGGAACTGAATTTCCTGTAAAAATGTACAATACCTGGAAAAAAATGTATTGCGTTTTTCTGCTCGTATATTCAAAAAATTCACAAAAACACGTTTTCAAACTAATAAATCCATGTCTAGAAAGATTTTCCAGTTTTTACAGGCAAAATATTTTCATTTTCAACATTTTCATTTTTCGGCAGAGGTCTAGTAGCGGAAAAACTAGACTTAGAACATAAAAATCACATTCTCGGATTGATTTGAGAAATTTCAGATATTTTTCTAGCTTCTAGGTTTTTGTTAAAAAATCCAGGTTTTGTACATTTTTACAGGAAATTCAGTTCCAGGGCATGTCTTCCAGGTATTGTACAATTGACCAAAAAAACGAAAAAAAAATATGAAAATGAAAAACGTGGTGTGGCCTAGAAACCGACACTCGGCCGCACGCACTTTTCTCTTCCATCTCTGCAATTTTCAGCCATTTCCAGCTCACCTTTTTGCTCATTCGCCGAATCGAGTGATGTGCTTGGGCTGCTCGTACAATCGAGCATTTCTTGAAGTGTTGCCTGCAAAAAATCTGAATTTTTCGGAGCAGAAAGAGCACATTTTTGTTTATAAAAAAAGAGCAAAGTTGGCTAGGCTTAAAAGAGTTAGTCTAATTCTTGGTCAAAAAATAAACAAAACAAACCTGCAACTTTTCAATTTCAATCGCAAAATCATCTTTTTCTCCAGAATTGCCTTTGTCGTCTCCAATTTTCAAACAAAGCTCCGCAGCTCCAGAATCCGTCATTTTCTTCAGCAAAAAAGAAAAAACATTCAAAAAATGTCGAAATTTTTCTGGAAAGTCGTAAAATATGATGAAAAATGAGGGCGGCGCGTAGATCAAAACAAAAATGTTTTTTGAGAGAAGAAATTTGAAACTTTTTATGCAAAAATCTGGCGGAAATTGGGAGAGATTCATATAAAAATCTGAATAAAAATAAAGAAAATGTGGAGGAAAAGAGGGAGGACTTCTTCAAAATTTTGCCTACCTAATACTTTTTTCTTTTCTTTGCTTTTTGCGAACATCTGTCAATTTTCCGCGTTTTTCTCACCCAAAACTACTAAATATAAGAGGAAAAAAAGGAAAGAGGAAAACGAAGAGGAAGAGGAAGATTTTGGCGGGAAATTTTTAGGATTTTCGAAATTTGAATAATTTTCCAATATTTCAGAAGCTCGTGATGAAATTTCGAAATTTCTAGATTTCAAAATTTTAGAAAAAAATCTGGAAAACCTATATTTTTGGAAATAGGCAAAAATTTGAAATAATATTTTTTTTCGAAAATTGGAAACACTTGATTTTCGAAAAAAGGTCACGTTTTGAATTTTCGAAAAATAAATTTTAAATTTTTTTTAATGATCAAAAAACCAATCAAAATCCAAATTTCGATGCCAAAATCAATAATAATCAACAAAAATAATAAATAAATATACAGAAAGCGGGAAAAGCTTCCCCACCACAAACATCCTCTTCTTTTCGGTTTTGGGGCGCAAATTTTGTCAAGTGCGCAGACAAATATGGAAGGAAAAAGCAGAAAACGATAGAGGAAAATGTCAATTTATAAAGAGATACAACAACTCCCGAAACAAATCCATAGGAAAAAGTCGAATTTGGAACGGGAAAAAAAGAAAAAAAAGAAGAAGAACATTGATTGGGGCCAATTTATTTTGATGGAATTGCAATTGAAATCGGGAAATAATGGAGAAAGATGGTTGATTTTATGGGAATTTTCCGATTACGGAAGTTAGGGATAGGAAAGAGTACTGTAGATCAATATTTGGCGCTAAAAATCCAGATTTGAAATTTTTTTTCTGGAAATTTTCTAGGGGATACTGTAGATCAGATTGTAGGCGGAAGAAAATTGGGTTCAAATTTTTTTTAAAGATTATCAAGAGGTTACTGTAGATAAATTTTTAGCGCAAAATTTTTTGATCTACAAAAAACTTCCCCTAATTTCCTCTGCGTCTCTCACGCTCTCATCCAAATATTTGACCAAAATATCAAAATCAAATCAAATCAAAAACAAATAAATCAATTCAACTGTCAACCAAAAACGTCATCATCTCAATTTCGCGCCAAAAAATTTATACAAGTAACTTTTTTCTGTTTCCGGAATCCGGATAAATAGATTCGATTTAGAAATAAAAGCTTACGCTTCATAGAATTTTCTTTCGAAAAAAAGTTGAATTAAATAAAAGACTGTGTAAATGTAAATGTATTGGAAAATGGAATCTCATTCTATTTGGATAAGTTTTTTTTTTATTTCGAATTCGGAAAAAGAGAGAAAGAGAGTGTGGGGAGGCGAGAGAATTAGAGAAAAAGTTGATTGAGTAGAAAATTGGGAGGAATATATAGTAAAGTAAAAAAAAATTGCGCAGCGGTTAGGAGTCGAACCCGAGTTGTGAAAACGGTAGGCAGACGTGCGGACCACTCGACCACGCGGCTGTTTATTTTCGAAACCAAAAAATGTCGCATATAAGTAACAACTATCCAGAAATTGTTTTGTTTCGTTTTGTTCAATTTTCATTTTCTCTCGTTTCGACTGATTGAAAATGTGAAATAGTGTGAGAAGAGGAGAGAGCGCAGACAAAAGTCCATTTATCTTTTTTTTCTCGTTTTTCTGTCTGTGCTATGCTAAGAAGACAAAAAGTGTGCAATTTGAAGATTTATCGTTTTGTTCTTGGTTTTGGCGGCACAAAATGGACAAAGAAGGAGAAATTTTGAATCAAACGAGATTAATATGAGCAATGGGATCAAAATGGGGAGGGAAAAGGGGAATTATGAAAACTTGATGAGAAAAATGTCAGAAAAAACCGTGCCAGGCTTGCAGAAAGGGGCGTGGTCCAAAAATACCTTGTTTTAAATTTAATTGAATCAAAATGATCAGGAAAAATGTGCCAGAGCTACAGAATGGGCATAATTTTTTTTTTCAAAAAACCTCAGAAAAAGTTCTCCCACAAAAAGGTGTCACTTGTTCTGTTCACACTAAAAAAAACTGGAAAGTGTGATTTTTGTCACAATTTCTCAGATTTCTTCCCGTCTCCTTCTCTCAAAAACTATACTAAACCTCAAAATAAACACAAACAGCTTATATTTACCAAAATACTTACTTAGTTAGGCTAACTCGAAAGTATTTATAAGCTGAGCAATAATAATAATCAAAATGATAATAATAAAACAAATAAAATTGAGAAAAGTGGTTAATAAAAGAAGAAATTGATGTGGTTAGAGAGAAGAGACGGGCAGAGAAAAAAGAGAAAAGTAATAAAAATCACCCGAAATTTTGGAATGCAAAGGGATTTGAAACATTGATAACATGTAATATATGAATGACATATTATATCTTTTTATCCGAGAAAAATTGACAAATTTTCTCTAGTGACAATTTTCGGGAACTTTCGGGTCTTGATGGGAAAAGAGGTAGTGTAGTGTTTTTTCCAGATCATTTTATACATCCTGAAAAACCCTACAAAGCTTTGCAAAGTCGATGTATGTCTCATTGAAAACTCGAGCTCGAGTTTTTTTCAATTTGAAATATTTTTGTTCGCTGGACCGAACATGCGAGCGTGGACGAGGTTTTTCTAGGCCACCTTTTTAATTTTTCGAAATTTTGAATTCCAAAAAATCATTTTTCACGTGTACCGTGAAACGTGGAATGCTGAATTGTTGGCAAACGTGGCAAAATGGTGAGGTCAGTCGAAAAGCGAGAATCAAATCAGTATTGGTTTTACAACCTCAAAGCAACTGCCTTGAACATCCAAACGCCTACATCTACCAGAAATGAATTATTTCGAAATCGTTGCCTATGTTATAATAGGAATCGTACTCCTTGGTTCGCTTCTGATTATAGCTTCGAGAGTGTTTTGGAAAAAAACTTGTAATTGGGTCCCAATGTTATCATCGAAAAGTTGTGTTATTGGTGGATTCAGTGCAGCTCATGGTGTTCTTTTGCTTTTTGCGATTGGTTTTGTGGTTTGTGCAATGTTATTGGGTGGAAATTCGGAAGTAGCAAAATCGACAGTTCAACAGGAAGTCAAGACTGAAACGAATAGTGAGTGAAATAACAAATTGTGATGTGTAAATATTTATGACACAAATATGAAATGTTTCAGTTCTCCACCAAAAAGCCGTTTCTGCTGAAAATAAGTTGTCTTCAATACCTGACCAGCCTTCTGAGAATGCCATCGATGAAATGTTGGATATTTCGAAAATGGCAACCATTCTTCAAAGTAAATTTCAATTTGTTCTTCCGGATGGTATTGATTATGATCCATTTTCCAACAGCTATTTGAAGGTGAAAGCGGAAAGGGATAAACCGAAAACCTGTAAATTAGTAAAGGATTTACCTTCAACTATCGCAGATCAAATTGAAGCACTCGGAACTGCTGTCGGAAACTTAAGAGGTTTCATTTATTCTTCCTTTATTCGCTCATCTTTCGAAACTAAAATGAAAAATCAGCAAAACTCAAAGAATACTTTACAAGCGGAAATGAAGAAAGTCGACACTCATGCTGATACAATTAAAATGGTAATGTTACTGAAATGAGCCATACTCGTTCTGACAATAAGGAAAAATATTTCACGAATAAAGCTAATAAATTGTCAGTAAATTCATAAGTTTTTGTGATATCTGGTATTTATGGATTATTTAGAAGTTATTTACGATCAGGATTTTGTTCTCAGAATTCACAAAACTTCAAATCCAATCTAATATTTATATATTTTCAGAGTATGACAAAAGATTGGAAGAAATCGCTGGTTCAATATAAAAATGCAGTTGATATTAGAACAAAGAAGTTGACTAAACAAGATAAATCTAATCTTCTATCTGATATTGGATTATTGTATGCCCCATCAGCTGTTATCATCATGTTCATCATTGTGTCTGTTTCAACTAACTGGACAAAACCAAAAAGTCGACTCAATCAAATTCTTCTGATTTTAGATCACATTTGTTTTGTTTTAATAGTATTGCTCATATTTGGATGCGGCGCTTATATTATTTACGGAATTATTACAACTGAAAGTGAAACTTCAATTGATGAAAACAATTCAAAATATTTCGATTTTCAAATTCCAAAATATAATGGTCCAAGCAAATCCTCGTATGCAATTCTATCAAAATCTTCTGGAAATTTATTCGACTCGCCAAATGATGATATTTTAATCCAAGAATCAACATTCTTTGAAAATTGGGAAACAGAACTTGTAAATGGATTCAATTTGGTATCGAACGACATTGAAAGCAAGAGGAAGTTCCTCAAAAATATTGAAACCATCTTGGATAATTGGGAAACAATAAAAACCCTAAACGCTCAATTGTCTGTCATTTTAGCCTATTCAAACTGTAGTTCATCGTTTTCCGTTATCAATGATTTTTTGACTGAATATGGCAAAGTTAGCGGAATCATGACACAACATCAAGATGTATTGAATAAAGGCCAACAATCTTGGAAAGAGTTGCCAAATAAGTTGAGCGAAATAGTGAAGGAACGTGTGAAAGTCGTCAAAGACTACATGGAGAAAAGGAGACATCACATCAATGTGAGTTTGAGCAAAAAACAGTTCTGGAAAAGTTGAAAAAAAGGGTTTTTTTGAAAGCTAAATTCTTATCCAAAAGTCGCTTTCAGAAGTAGAAAAGGTTCATTTGAAGCCTAAAATGAATCTTACCCTCAAGTGTTATGTAATATCAAAATATTCAACCACTGAGCGTATACTGCGATGTTGCAACTTTTAAGCTGAATTTAAAATTTCTCCAAACCTCGCCCAATACCTGAAATTCCAAAGGGGCATTTTTTCTCGGAAAACCTAGGTGGGCAAAAATTTTAGAGTCTTTAAGGCGAGCCTCAGTTAGGCAAATTTTGTTTACTAAGTGGGCAATTTTTGTAAATAAACCCAGGTGGGCAATTTTTTACCCGCTTCTCCAGGTTCTTGGGTGAGGCTTGAATTTCTCCTCCGAGCATTTATTGTTTAAAAAATTTCTAAAATTCTAGATATTTTCTGACTACTCAGGTATTTGAACGATAGCAATTGAAGAAAAAAAAGAAAATAGCAAACTTGAGCTGGTTTTCGTTTTAAAAATCTTCATTTCAGGATGGGATCATGCTTCTCAACATCGATTGCAAATCCACCAAGAAAACCTTCACAAAAATCAACGATATCCAAGGTTCGGAAGATGATGGAACCAAGCAAGGAATTGTTATTCTAATGCATTGCATGATTTTGGTCGTTTTATTGATCTATGAGACCTTCTTTCTTCTCACTTATCGCCGATTCGGTCCAACTGTCGAAAAATCGATTCGTGTGAAAGAAGACTCAAGAAAGAATTGGGCTCATCAAGCGGTGGAATTGGTAAGAATTTGGAGACTATTTCTTCATGAAACCTTAATGATAGATGTTTTTTCAGCTTTGCATTACAATAAAGAACAATTTCATTCAATTCATCAAACCACTCAACTTGAATGAACCAACAATTCATGGCAAAGAGCTGGTAAGTATTAAAAAAGGCCTGTTCTACGATTCATTAAAATTGTTACAGGGAAAGTATAAGGCAACATGTCGATACAATATTCCATGCACCAAAAAAACCCGTGTGATTCTCAAAGATCGAGATGAAAACACGGATTTCTATCATGCGAATTTCGTTGCAATTCCAAATTCCGAATTGAAATACATTGCATCCAGCAGTCCGAAAGATGAAGCAATTCCCAATTTCATGCACATGCTTTATACAGAAAAGATCAAAGTGGTTGTAATGTTATGCCAGTTGAAGGAAAAGGGTAGAACTAAATGTGCCACCTATTTTCCCCAAAAATTGCAAGAAGTTCTCAAATTTGAGCAATATTCGGTGAAATTAGTGCAGATTAAACCAGTTGGTATAAAAGGTGTTGTATGGAGAATCTTGGAATTGACATTTGCAAAAGATGGTGAATCGAAAAAACGCACGATCAACCATATTCAATGGAAAGAATGGCCTGATCAATCGATTCCTGAAAATCCGCAAGATGTATTGGATATCATTGATATGGCCAAAATAGCTAATGATAATGGTCCCACTCCAATTGTCGTTCATTGTAGTGCTGGAATTGGACGCACTGGAACTTATATCGGAATTGAATATTGTGAGGAGAATCTCAAATGTTTTGCTGATGTTAGTTTGGTCGAAAATATGCGTCAATTGAGAAAACAAAGACATGGATCTGTTCAAAAAGCTTGCCAATTTGTCTTTTTGTTTGCAGCACTTATCAAGAAATTCGAGAATGTAAGTTTTTTTTAAACACTTTTTCTTACTCAATGAAATACGGTTATTTTCAGCTCGGATTGATTGATGCCTCAAAAACCAAACCGTTCTTCGATGATTATAAAAAGTTTGTATCGAACGCTGATAACTTCGACGATCCAGAAACTGACGAAGTTGAGAAAAAACTCAAAAACATCGATTTCAAGAAAAAAGACGAAGAGTAAAAGAAACCCGCCGAAGATGCGCACATTTTTTAATATTATTATTTTTCTCTGCAAATCTTAAATTTGCAGAGTTTTTTTTCTCATAGATTTTAGAATTATCCATTTCCTTTTTCGTAGCAATGTGACTTTTCATTTATTCCTTTTGAATAAAGATTTCGCGAAAATTTGTTTTATTTAATAAAGTTTTCAAGGGAATACCCTGATTTTTGCCTGAAACATTTTATTTCTGACTTTCATCCGAAATATATTTAACATCTTCTCCCCCAAATTGCACCCTTTTTCCACCAATTTTTCTCTTTTTCGCACAATCCAATCTTTGTTTCGAAATAATCAAAATATTTTTCTCATCAATAATTTTTGCTTTCGTCATTGTTTGAATCCTCTTTTTCTTAAAAATCTTCTTATTTTTCTTTGTCAATAATTCATCCATTTCATATTGAAAAAATTGAGTTTTTCCAAAATTGCTATATTCCAAAACATTCGAATATCTTCTCGAAAATGAATTTGCCAAAATTTCCACATATTCTTTTCGATCAAAATTTTGTTTACAACCAGAAAATATGAAATCGGGAGAGAAATATGAGAGCAATTGAAGTTGATCTGAGAATTTTGAATCGATTATTCGAGATATTTCAGCCTCATTGTTAATTATTTTTCTGGCAAATCTTTCCTGAGATGGGAGGATTGCTAGAACTGGAAATATCAGAAAGAATATTTGGAAAAACATTTTGGATTGGAATTTTGAGACAGAAATTTCAATACATCTTGATGATATGAAATTTTTATATTTATGATGGGGTGGGAAAAACATTTGTTTCGGTGCCAAAAATTGATTTTTTAATGAAAATTAAAGATTTTTATCAAAATTCATTTGAAAACTTGATTTTGAAACGTAAACAAAAGCTACCTCAATTAAGCCCCGCCCCGTTTGCACACAAACAATGGTAGTACACACAACCCGCCAACCGTCGGCCACACAAAATTTATATATATTCACGTGTTTTGTGTGTTGTATCGCTTGAGGGCGGAGGTGAAGCTATCGCCAAAATTTTGACGATATGAGTCATAAATATTTTGATTTGGCACCAAAAAATTCTTTGGATAAAATAATTGGAAAAATCTGGAAATTTTGAGCCAGAGATTCAATATTTTTCCAAACTCTGAAAATAAAAATATTCTCAAAAAATTTTTACGCTTCAAAATCAAGTTTTCAAGATTTACGAGTTAAAATAGCTACACCCCCTTAATTTTTTTTTGATTTTTCCTAAAAATCAAACATCAACTATTCGTCAGAATTTTCTGCTTCTGCTAATTAATTTTTGAAATAGAAAGACAACACAATTTGTCACATTTCATTTCAAACTTCAACATGTGCTATGACTCAAAATCAATTCTAAATTCCCCATTTTCAATCAAAATCATATTCTGGATAATCACAATTTTATCAATATTCATCCATGTTTTTGGTGCATTTTGTATTATTCGAAAAACTCCAAAAACTGTGCAATCTGCTCGTTTTTGGCTTTTCAATTTTCATTTGTGGGGTCTTTTTTTGGATGTTCTCATAGGATTTGCGATAACTCCATATTTATTTTTGCCAACTTTGGCTTTTCGAGCTTTTGGATTTTTAGAGGGATATGAGAAAATGGTCCCGTATTTTGCAATATTAACATTTGCAGGTATTTAGACACGACATTTTTTGAAAAACAATTTTTTTATTTTTCAGAAACTGGTTACAGTCTCGTTCTATTATTAGAAAACCGTCTAAATTCTCTAACAATCGGAGAAGTTACTAGAAATCGTCAAATTTTTCGCGCCATTTTTTATTTTTCAAATATTATTTTTCCATTTCTGTTTCCATTGATTATTTTTGCGTATATTCCAGATCAAGAAATTGCAAAAATTGAGGTGATAAAGGTGAGAATCGCCAAATATTATTGAAAAGAGAATTTTTCAGACTCTGCCTTGCTTATCTGAAATTCCAAATATTTTCATAATCGTCACTGATTTAAATTCAATTTCTAAAATCCTAATTGTCTTCTCTTTCGCCCTATTTCTAGTCAGTTTTCAATGCATAATCCTAACTTTCTTAATGCTCAAAGCCTTCAATTCCTCCGAAAACCGTTCATCTTCCAAATCAACAATCGCTCTCCAACGAAAATTCATAACATCAATATTTATTCAAAAATGGATTCCTTTGAGTTCCCTTCTTCCTCCAGTTTTCTATGCCGTGTTTTGTGTCTTCAATAATTATCATTGGCAAAAAATGACAAATTTTTTGATTTTTGTGATAAATTCACATGGAATTATTGGAAGTTTGGCGATGATTTATTTACATAAAAATTATAGAACAACAGTTATCAATTTGATATTTCGAAGAAGGATAAAAGAGACACTTTTCGAATCGGAACAATCAAAAATTACAAAAGTTATTATGCAAAATAATAAAATGAATAGTAATATTAATTATTTAATTGTTAAACATAGAATAAGTATGACCAGTATTCGATAATAAATAATTTATTTCAATCGGAATCCGCAAGCTTCCGCGAAGATAGTGCAGCTGCGTGGAAAAAACATTCCACAGGCATCCGGGATCGATCCCGTGGCCTTCAACTCGAAAATTTCAACTTTAACCATCTAGGCTAATCTAACACAATTTTGATGCTCTAAAAATCCAGCTTTTTCATAAATAAAACTTTATCTTAAAATTTTCAAAACGAAAAAAACCGAGATTTCAAAAATAAAACCAAAATTTAAAAAAAAATCGATCGATCGATCAATAATTACGAACAACGCTCTGAAAACAACAAGATTTTTGGGGGGAAAATTTGAAAAAATGAAAAAAAACTGACCTCAACAACATATTCCTTGTTGTATTGTCGATTGACATCTTGGAATCTGGTGTCACCTGGAATTTTTTTTCCGTGTAAAATGCACAGTTTTCAGATTATTTTTTGATCAATTCCAGCATCAAATTTCACTATTATCAAAATAAAAAAATTTGGCAAAAAAACGGAGCCCAGAAATTCAAATGACACTCTTCTCAAGTACGGTGTTTTTTTCAGTCGCTGCGAGACCCATATGTGCGTCTTTGACTTTGTTTCTCTGCCCAATGGTGTGGTCTCGAAACCGTGTTAGTGACGCAGAGGAATACCGTACTTGGGGAAATTGGGATTTGAATTTCTGGCTTCTCTTTTTTTGCCAATTTTTTTTACTTTGATAATAGAAGATCAAAGTTTTAACGAAACCTCTGATTTTTCTCAATTTCCATGAATTTCAACCCAAAAATCCCAATTTTCCCCTACCAGTCGGCATTTTTTCAACAGTTCGACTCCAATGTCTTCCCTCATTTGGTCCATCTCTCAATAATGTGTCCAATTCGCCTTTCCATGTATTTTGATTTTTCTCGTCCAAAAGTCGACCATTTTCATCTTTCCACTTCCAGTTATCCGCTCGTTTTCGCTCAACAACTCCTAGAAGAAATCGGAATGAAATTCGCATTTTTTTTCGGAAGCTTTTTGATGATTGAAAATTTTTAGAAAAGACGTGAGGGTGTTCATCGAATCGAAAAACGTCTCAAAATTTTTATAAAATTTTTGAAACGTATATTTTCCAAGTTCAATTTTCGGTTCGAAATTCAAGGCTTGCAAAATTATGAAGAAAACATTGCTTGAAATTTTGATTAAAAAGTAGCTATGAAACTGTTATTTTCAGAAAGTCTGAAAACATTTCAATTTCTAGAATTTCCCTGAGATTTTCAGAATTTTGAAAAAAGTTATCTAAAAAATTTTGAAAAAATAATTATGATTCTGAAAATCAGAAGCACAAAAACTTGGTTTCGTCAATTTTTATATAAATCTCAAAAATCTGATCAAATTTCTTATCAAAAAAAATTAATTTTTTCAAAAATCCCCTCAAAAAATCCCTACTTCTACACATTGTTGTAACCAATCCATTATCATCCACCATTCCATTTCCACCCGGATTTCCACCCATAAATCCACCATTTCTCATCGAATTTTGCACCCAATCATCTCTTCCATTCACATTATTCGAAGCTGGCGGCCATTTTCGAGCGATATTTTCGACGAAATCAGCGCCGCCAGATGAGTTTGGATAACTAGTGTTTTCTCCGGGTCCAAAATGACGTGTTGGTGTTTTGCTGCGACGAGCTGTGTGAGATGAATATGGAGAGGATCTGGAAAAATATGAGATTGGTTGGGGTGCTGTGAAAATTACAGTAGGAAATAGATAGAGATGCAGAACGTGGTGATAACGAGAAAAGGTCAGAGACACAGATTGAACAGACAACTAGAGCCTAGAGAAAAGTTAGAGACGCAGAGTGTCTTGGAGATATAAAACTCACTTATAAGCCGCAGATCCGAATGGATTTTTCACCGTTTGATTTTGATAGTCGTAACTTTGATCGTGTCTGAAAAATTGCAGATTTTGCCACGTGGATTTTCAGCCCCAAAATTTCATTTGCACTTTCCCCGCAGACTCCAAAACCCCCTAATTTAGCCTAACTCAAATTTCATATTACGTATGGCTTATACCTAAAACCAATTCAATTATTATATATACATATATATTCTCACTTTCTCCTTTTTCTTCTTCTATATAATAATTTCTGCTCTTTTTTCTCTGGCTTTTTGTGCTCCCCGAGTTCTGATAACTTCTTCTTCATCTCCTTTTCTTCTTCCTATTCTACCCACATTTTTCTTATATATAATTTTTAATCAATATCTCATTGTGCTCTGCTTTTTCTCCTACCTACCAACAACCTATAGAAAAATAATTTTATTTTTTTCCAACACTTTTTTCGCGCGTCTGATTATTTTTTTGGGAATTTTCACCTGGGGAGATTATAGAGTTCAAAAATTTCAGAATTTTTTTTGTAGTTTTCTGAAAATCTTGAGAATCTGATAAAGGTTGCTGAACTTTTTGGCGAACTAAAAATAAAAAATATTCTCAATTTCAAATGATTTCAGTGAAATTCGGAAAAATTTATTATTTCAACTAAAAAATTGACCAGAAACTAGAGATCAAGGAAAAATTCTTCAGTTTTTATTGAAAATATTTTGAAACATAGAATTTTCGGGAAAAAATATGGGATTTTTTTGATTTTAAAAATTCTGAAACAGTAATTTTAAGAGAAAATTTCATACAGGAAAACCTCTGGAAAAAAGTGATTTTCAGTTTGCCACGTGGCATTTTCAGCCTGAAAATCATCTCTAAAAGCTTCAGAAAAATCCAATTTTCTTCAAAAAACCGTGTCATTTCGATAATAAAAACTGACAAATCCTAATTCGATTTTTGCCAACACAAAAAAGCTCTCAAAAAATTTTCCATATTATTTTTTCGGCTCGAAATTCGATTATTTTCTCAAGTGTCGGCCCATTTGCTCAAAGATTCCCTCGGAATTTTTCGTATTTTTCTGTGTTTTTTTTTTGCGAAAACGAAAATTTGAGCAAGGTAGATCAAATTTCTCAAAAAGAGGCCGCGCGCGCTCCGAAAAAAAACAACAAAAATAGGCCATGAAGAAATTTCGAGCAAAAAAAGATGGAGAAAAAACGAGAAGCTCTAATTAAAAATTTTTCTTCCTTTTTTGTGGTGTTGCGATTTTTCGGAGTTTATTTATTGTGGAAAATTTGCCACGTGGAATTTTTTGAAGATTTAAATTCTCAGCCAAAAATGCCACGTGGCAAAATACCTTCAAACATTTTTTCGAGCAAAAAAAACAATTTCGCGGAAAATTTCTGATCGTAAAATTTTTATAGAAAAGTTTAAAACTTTATGTTTTCTCTTGGAAAATTTCGAATTTTTTGAAATTTGAACTTTCAGTAAAAAAATGCCACGAGGAATATTGAGATTCCTTCAGTGAAACTCCACAAATTTTCAAATTTTGGCTATAAAAATCCAGTTTTTCATCAAAAAATCTCTGAAAATCATCAAATTTTGTGCTGTTTTTGTGGCAAAAATTAGTCATTCGAGCTTTCGTCGCCAAATTGTATTATTCAAATGTTCTCAAGCGGATCGAATCTCTCTATCTCATTTTTCCACATTTTTTTGTGTGTGTCAAACGCACTTCTTTTTCTATTTTTTTTTCTTTTCTAATTGGCTTTTTTCATCTAAAAAAAAAACGGGAGGAGACATGTCAAATAAGAAGAAATTCGCACTTTTTTGGATTCGATTAATTTCTTCTTTTTTTTTGAGTTTTTGAATTTGCGAAAACTCTGAACTTTTGAACTTTAAAATTCTGAAAATCCTAATTCATAGGCTAAGACTTCCACGTGGCAAAAAAGCTAGATCTTTTCAATACTATATAATATTCTAGTTCTAAAGTAGCCAAGCCTTGAGAACATACTTGTCTAGGAGCCGCTTCTTGATAGTTTCTATGCCAAGTAGCCGCACCTAGAAACCCTAGTTGTCAAGTAGCGCAGCCTATAGATCCACATTGACAAGGATCACCGCCTAGAGAGTCTAGCTCTCAAGTAACCAAGCCTAGTGAGAGCAAGAGATTTTAAAATTCAAAATTTTCAGTATCAAAATGCCACATGGCTAAAATTCCAAATTTTTGGGTCCCGAAGCGATTTGAAAATATACCTGTTAACATTTCTTGATCTTTGATTCTCCATCCAATTTCCGCTCGAATACTGTGGACTACTGTAGCTTTGCTGGTGATTTTTGGCGCTGAAAATTAGGAATTTTGAACTTTATGGACCTGAAATTAGTGAAAAATCTGATTTTTCGGATCTTAAAACTCCAAAAATCACTTTTTGCTCAAAAAAAAACAATGTTTTTTGACAAGTAGCTAATGAAAATGAGCACAAAAAAACGCCTCCACACTCGCGAAAAACACCTGTTTTCTCTGCGTCTCTCAATCTCTAACAGGGGTCCACTTTTTTGTGCAAAAAAAGAAGATTTAATTAATGAAGGAGGAAAAAACGAAGAAGAAGAAGAAGAGTTCGGGGAGTTCGAAAAATATTGATTTTTTTGGAGGTGGCCAAAACTTTTCTATGAGGGGTTTCTAGGCCATGGGAAAAAATTGGGTTAAATTTGAAAATTGAAAAATTGAAGATTATCATAGTCATGGCCGAGGTTTTACGAACCTTCGGCCACCTTTTCAAAAAACCATTCATGAATTCAGGAGCCACATGACAGATTTCAAGCCGAAAATTGAGGATTTTTGAGTAATTTGAAGCCATGGCCGATTTGTCAAATTCTCGGCTCTAGGCCACGGGGTCAAAAATCGCGCTAAAATGTGAAATCAAAAAGATTTCTTTTTTCACTTTTCAAGTTTCTAGACCCAAATTTTAACCCAGAAAACGTAAAAATCACGATTTTCAGCCCCAAAAACCATGACCAACCTATTAATCTCATTTCTCATTCTTTCCACTTCATCCACCGGACTAAATACACTTTTTCCCAACAAATATTGATTCTGATTTTGATTCTCTTGACGGTGTTTGTTCTGATATTCTTCCGATGAATACGTCATTTTTGGTCTGTAAAATGGAATTTTTGAGGATTTTTAGTAGGGAATTTGAGGGTGATTCATTTTTGTAATGATTTTTTTGGAAAAAAATGGACTCACGGTTTTTTGAAATAAAGCGAATTTCGAATTTTTAAAGTTCACGTTGAAAATTAATTTTATTTTGGAAAATTTCAATTTTTTCTGCTTTTCAGAAAATTTTTTATTTTGAAGCCTATTTATTTTTGTCAGATTTTCCCACCCTCCAAAAAAACCAACCTAAAAACAAAACTCGGTTCATCATCATTATTATTATTTCCCTCAATTCGACTAACAACATGTTCCAATTTTCTCATTGATGGTCCAACCGAAGAAGCTCGCTGGGTTTCGCCAAAAATTTGCTCATTCTTCCATTGAGCCATGTCCGGATGACAACTTTGTGTCATTTCGCGTTGAGTTTCACGGGAAGCCGCTCGCGAGCCACGGAGTCTTTGTTGTTCTGAAAAATACGTCAATGTAGCTGAGGTTGACGCATTTTCTGTAGTTTACATATTTCTAGTCATTTTTCGTGCCCCAGCATCTCAGGAGTAAATTCGCTGCTGAAAGGCAGCGCAGCTCAATTCAGCAACTAATCGGCAGCGCTGCTCCGTGGACGCCGCAGCGCTGCTGATTTTCCGAAAATTTCCTGACCGAGCAGCGCTGCCATTTCGCAGCTGGCCTCTTCAGCAGCAATCGGCTTCAGCTGCCATACACAAGGCAACTGTTGCTCATCGCTGCCACACACATGGCAACTGTTGCCCACTGCTGCTGTTCAAATCGGCAGCGCTGTGGCGTCCACGCCGCAGCGCTGCCTGCACTTTTTGAGCAGCCCTGCCGTTCAGCTGCGATTTAGCCTCTGAGCAATTTTTTGACAAAGAAAAAACAATCATAAACATGATTTTCTTTTTTTTACGACATTTTTATGGGTTTAGCTTATGAGTTAGGCTAACTATAGATTCCATTTTCTCTTGGTTTGACTAAAAACCTTTCCACGTCATAACCACTGGATTCCTACCTTCCAACTCATCCATAATATCAGCTCCAAATCCACCAATTCCACCCTTGACTTCTCGTCTTTCTCGAGTTCCAGGAGTTGTTGAGCGAGCTCGGCTTGGCTCACGGGAAATGGGTTTTGGTGGTGGAGGTGGTGGCGGAGCAGGCGGTGGAATTGATTTGGCTCTGCAAAAATCCACGTGGCGTTATTATGTTGAAGATGTTTTTAAATAAAGCAAGTGCGCTCTATCGTACTTTTCCCCTTTTTGTTTCAAAATTTTAAATGTATTTTTTCCCGCCAAATTTGCCACGAGGCAGTATTTTTCAATTTGTTTTTCTCTTACCTAACTGGCGCCTCTTTTTCATAAACCCTTTCCGAATAGAAAGATGAGCTGGCTGGTCCTCCTGGGCTCTTTGGGCTTTTTGGTGGTGGAATTGGTGCAACTCTTGGCACATCTTCGTAAATCGTCGGCTCTTCTTGATCATTATCGATTTCTTGTTGTTTGGTGACGGCGCGCAATTCGTTTTCATCGAATTCGAAAGCGACCTAGAAAATGGAATGGGTGAAACTAGAGTCTAGTTTGAAGGGGTTGAGAAGGAATTCTCCTCAACACTAACCTAAACTAGAGTCTAGTTCAGATGAAACATGAGTGGGTTTGACAGGAGGAAGTGGAGTCACGGCGAGAAAAATAAAACTTTTTGTTCTTCTTCTCCCTCCCGCAAAAAATATAGGGGAGTAGAGAATATGCGCTCTAATGATAATGTGTATGCGAGAGGAAATTTTGAGGATTTTCAAATTTCTGCAGCCTTTTTTTTCGCCTGTACTCTTTTTCTCTTTCTACTAAATTTAAATTTAATGTAATGTGTTTAATTTACCTTATTATAAGTGGGCGACGAAGGTTTCGAAGTATACGGTTTTGGTGTAGATGGCAAAGTTTGTGATGGAACATTTCCACTAAACAAAAATGCACCAATCAACCCAAAAATCCATCGAATTCCTTGCCAAATAAAAATCGCTGTGTTTTTCAAAACTTTCACAATCTTCGATTTTGAACTCTTCAAAACTTCCCATCCAGATCTCGCAGTTTTCTTGATTTTTTCCCAAGTTGATCGCAAAAATCCGCGAATTCCGGAGTGCGACAAATAGAATGATTGGGGTTTTGCGTTCGGAATTGTTGTTGTTGGTTTGGGTGGTGGATTTGGTGGCTGGTGGCGATGACGAACACCGTTTTCACCATCCACACAGCAATAGGTTTTGGCGACGGGTTCTGGCTGATTTTCGCATTTCCATTCTTGTTTTCCTCTGCAAAAATTGAGAGATTTTGATGGATTTTTACAAGAAAATGAGTTCAGTTCTTAAAATCTTGCGTAAATATTGTTTTTCAGCAAAAATCTCTCGAATTTTTGCTAAAACTCAAGATTTCCCTTAAAATTTTCAATTTTTCAACTCAAAATCCCCTATTCTCACCTCAAAATCTAACATTTCCCTCTGAAAATCGGTTTTCGAAAAAAAAAATAATGACAAAAAATACAGTATTTCAAAGGAGCGTGCAAACAAAACGTGTGTCTCGTCGCGACACACAATTTTTTTGCATGTGCCTTCAATCTACTGTACCAAAAAATTATTTTTTTTTCTTTTCTTTTTCCCCAGGTTTTCTAGTCTCCGCTTGTTTTGATCAAAAATTCATCATTTTTTGTTTGATATAATATAATAACTGAGCCGAGTCGAGAGCCGCTTTAAAAGAAGGGATTACCTATTTTTTCTCAAAGATTTGTATCTTCTAATTGGATTTTTTATATTATTTTTTATTTTTCATTTGGCTCCTCTCCGCGAAAAATAGTTATTTGTATTCTTTCGTGACAAATTTCGATTCTTTTTTTGCCTATTTTTCTTCCTTTCTTTTTTTTTGGTTAGCCAATCAATCTTGAAACAACTCTGACACCACATGTAAATAAATCTAATTTTTTTGCGGGGAGAAAAAAGGTTGAGTTCCCCCCTTCCAAATTTTTCTATTTTTTCTTGCTATTTTTATCGCATGAAAACCTAGTTTTCTTTTTAATTAAACCTATTTTTGACATACATGTTTTCAAATAAAAAAAAGTGAACTCACTTGAAAAGAAAATAGAAAAAATAGATAGTGGTCCAAAACACAGTGCTGACAGTTTGTCCGCATTTTCGGACAAAATCCGCCATTTTTTGAGCTGACTTTTTACTCAAAAAATTGTGGGACCGCCGAAAATCTATCTATATATCTCTAGAGGCGAAAGAGCACGAAAAGAGCTCCTGAAAATGAAAATATGTGTAAAAATTGATGTAAAAAGTGAGAGATAGGAAGGAGCGGGAACCCTTGCTAATAATAATAATATCATGTTGTAGAGGGGGGAACTCAAGAAGAAAAAAAAAAGAAAAATGACACAGAAAAAATGTTTGGGGGTGTTTGAGTTGATGTTTGGTAACTTTTGCAAGCAAAACAACAAAAATAAACGTTTTTTTCTGTAACTTCGGCAGTTTGAAAAACACCCCAAGAGATAATTATTCCAAAAATCACCCAAAATATATTTATGACGTGGAAAAGTTGCCCCACTGTCGTAAAACAGATTTTTCAAGTTTTTTCTGAGTTTCATCAAACTTGTTTCGAAAAAATTGAATTTTTGACATGACCTAGTTTTCTACACGTTTTTTGAAACATTTTTCAAAAAAAAATTATTTTCGAAATTTAGCAGATCTGAATCCGGTCGGTGATTTTCCAGGTAATTTCGAAAAACAAAAAATTTCTCGTACCAAAACTTTTTTTCAAAAAATTCTTCATTTTCTGATTTTTCTCACATGACTAAACAGCTGAAAATCTGAATTTTCACCTGTTTTTCTTTCTCAATTTTTCTGTCTCACAACATTACTAACTTAGCCTAACTTATATTCAAAAATGTTTAAATTTTTCTCTCAGCCAAGTGCCGACGAACCTCCTTCTGCTGCAAATTCTACTGAAAATCCCTCTTCAAATTTGCCAGAAATTCCGGAAAAACCACCAGTGAAAAATGGAAGCTCAACAACAAAAAAATCGGACGCAAGCGGCGGTTCGCAACCAAAAAAAGTGAACGCGACGCGCAAGAAAATGTTTCGCGGAAAAAGTCAGTCGAATTCAAATTCAAATTCAAATAATATTTCTACTACTACTATTTCTGCTGCACAACCAAAAAATCGAGAAGAAATGTCGAGTGAAATGAAGAAACGACAACATGTTTCGACGATTTTTGTGGTTGCGAATAATACTGAAGGTATGGGCGAAAAATGGTCATTTTCACGGTGTTTTGGTGGGAAAATTTGAGGATTGTTTTTGCCGAAAATAGAAAATTAACCGAACTAAAATGAATCTGTGGTGAATTTTCATAACAAAATTTTGAAACAGGGAATTTTTTTGAATGAAAATTGATTTGGTTTTGTCATATTTAGATAAAAAATCAAAATCAAAATGTTGTGTTTTTCAATGAAACTTTTTTGAAACAGTGAATTTTTTTCACCCCCAAATTCATCATTGAAATTCCTCAAAATAAATTTTCGATTCCAGAATTCGAAATGGAACGTCAAACATTGTGGCAAGATGTGCTGCCAGAATTGCAAAATTTCGCATTTCAATCGAATTTCGACCTCGAATGGTGTGACGTGGCATTAGAAATCGGAGCTGGAAGTACAGCTGGAAATTCAGAAATCTCCACAAATTCTATTGAACACGTTTTTCGAGAATGGAAAAATAATGAGAATAATTGGATTGTTGTGAGTTTTTTTTCGAAAGGAAATTTGGGGGATGTTCGGATTTTCTGGGGAAAAATTCATATTGTATTTATTGGTCCCACCGCGATCTACAGTACCTATAAAGATCTCCAGTATATGTATTTCAATAGAATTTTCAAATCTACAGTACTCCCCCTCCCTTTAAAACTCTATACATTATTTATTTATTTGCAGTTTCTTCTCGGCAATCGTTATGGCAGTGTTTCTGCTCCGTTATCACTTCGAAAAGAGGAATTCGAATCTATTCGAAGTTCATTGTTTGAACTTAATGTTGGTCAGTTTTTTTGAGATAACAAAACTTTTTCATTGACTTTTTTGAGGAAAAATTTGATTTCCTGTGCTTTCCCCATTTTTTTTCGTTTTTTTCCCCAACAATTCAATCAACCTTTTCTCCTGCTTTTTGATGTCTTTTTTTCGAAAAATAGGGAGAAAATGGAGATTTTTATCTTTTTTTGTTGGAAAATTGAAATTGTATTGAGTTTTTGAAAATAAAATTTCAAGATTTTGTTCAGAAAATCAAAGTTTTTATAAGTTTTCAAGCGTTCCAAATGTTTTCTCTCAAAACAATGTGTTTTTGATTTTTCGAAAAACTTTTCAAAAGTTCAAATTTTTCAAAAAAAATGAGTTTTCAGTTTTTTTTTTAAATTTTTTTTTTCTTTCAAAGTTTTTCTATTTTTCAGAAGATTTTTGACAGAAAATACATTCCACGTGGTAAAATTACTACAGTATAGTCTATTTTACTTTCAAACTAGAGCATAGTCATAGGGACACTTATTTTCTTCCAAATTTTAATCTAGAAAAACATATTTTAACTTCAAGTTCACCCCAAAAATCTGATTTTTTGCAGACGTTCGAATATTAGATCAATGTTACACAATTGATCGAAATCAAGAAGAATATCGCCTAAATCCATCAGCTTTATCCGATTCAAAATTGAAATCCAAACTAACAAAAGCAATTCAAAAAGGAGCATCAGCTGCACACGAAGAAGGAACAATTAATCAAGTGCATGAAAAACGACAAAATCGATTTTTCCAGTCGCCAATCGATTGCTTAGTAAAATATATATTGGAAGCCAATTCGAATCGATGCACTTTTTTGTTGCGAAAAATTGAGGGAGCCAAATTTGAGGAGAAAACTAATTCGATTTTTGTGGAGAAAAGTGAAGGGAATATTAGGAAGATTGAGGATTTGAAGGTGGGTTTCTGAAAAAAAACATTTCTGAAATTTATGAATTTTAGCCCTGTGAAGAAAATTTATAAAATAATTTTTTTGAATGACTTTTCATGAGAAAAAAATCTGATGAAAATTACGTTTCAAAAATTTTGCAAAATAAAAACACAAATTTTTAATTTGATACATTGTTTGCAAACTCTTTTGAAAATTATTCAAAAAAAATATAAAAATAAAAAAATAATTGAAATTTCCATTTCAAAAACCAGGAAAAATTAGTATTCCACACAATCAACCTCTCACATTTTTCCCACAAATATTTTTGCATTTAAAAAATCCAAATCCCAAAAATTTCAGAACGAAATCTCGCTGAAAATGACAGATCGTGTAATGACGCATGTTCTTCGACCCGAAAACACTGATATCGCATATTTCTTCAATTCGCGCGAAAGTGATAAATATCGCGAGAAAATTGCCAGACAATTCAATGATCGTCTCAAGACCCAATTGGGAGAAGTTCATCGGAATTTGAGACCCGATGCACCGGCGACAGCTTATGAAATTGCTGCTAGAGAGGATGCTATTCATATGGGTGAGCATGGGGATTTTTTTGCAAGTAAAATTTCAAATTTCAAATTTGGCGGCACAGAATTACAAATTTTTCCCGGATTTCTGATTTTATATTTTCCAAATTTGAGAGAACATTTGTATTTTCTATTTTGAAAATTCTGAAATTTCAGCCTGAAAGCTGAATTTTTGGTTTTTCTCAAAAAGAAATCTGAAAATTTTAACCGGAAATTCTGAATTTCAGCTGAAAATCCAGATAGTTTTGTACTTCAAAGTTTCTAAATTTTTTAAATTAAAAATTCACTGAAATCTGGAACTTTTTGATCTCAAAAATGTTTTTGTTGAAGTTTTCAAAGAAAAAATATCCGGAGACTTGAAATTTTTCACAAAAAATCTCAGAAAAATTCTGAATTTTCCTAATTTTTCCCTAATTTTTTAAATGATCTCCTCAATAATCCTATTTTGTTTCCAGAACACCTCAAATATCAGCTCTCAATCGGAAATCTTGCTCGCCCAGAAATCGACAAAAAGTTAGACGAAATCGCCAATGTCAAAATCCACCGTGGCGTTTTTCTGATCCAAGGTCCAGATGTTTGTGGAAAAACTCAATCTCTCTGCAGACTTTTCGATAAAATCCCCGATTCTGAAGCTTATAAGATCATCAGATTCACAAATCTCTCATATTCTTCCAATTTTGCTCATGAAATTTGGCGGAATATTTGCCTTTCTCTATGTTATTCTGCGAAAGTTGATCCAACTTCAATTTTGGATCAATTTAAGTTGGGAAATATTCTGAAATGTTTGGAATTGTGTTGTGAACAAATCGATAAACCCGCGTGTATTTTTATTGATGACATACATTTATTAAGATTTGGACACTTTTTGAGCAATATTGAGAAACGTGTGCAACAGGGACCCGATAAATTATCGATTTTTATGACGGCTTCAAATGTTAGTCCAATTCAGGCGGTATTTACGATAACTCAAACGCTCAATATTGATTTTATTGAAGAAGATGAGGCTGTTGAAATGTTGAAGAAATATACGGAAAATGAGAAAAGGAAATTGACTGGGGAAGAATTGAGTGCGATCAAAAATGAGGTGAGGAACTTGGGGAATTGACGCGGAAGCTTGATATTTATATTTTTAGTGGATCTGAAAACAAGATGGAACTAATTTTGCTACTGATTTTTGTATTTACAAAAATGTTGAAACATATTTTTCCGGGGAAAACATTTGAAGTATTTAAATATGAATTGGAAATTTTTGAAACCAATTTCACTTTAGCGAAAAATTGAAACAGTGAATTTTTCCGAAAATTCTCTGATACTCTTTTGGAAAATTTCAAAAGTTTTCAGTTCATTTTCATCATACAAAAAATTTGAAACAGTAAAAAAATTTTAATTTTTTGTTCATGAAACTCTGGTGAAATATCGATTTTTAACTTTTATTTTTCACACTACCAGAAATTTGAAACAGTAAATTTTTTTTTAGAAAACAATTTTTGGTACCTGAATATTCTAAATTATGGTTTTGTGCTAAGAAATCTGGCACGATTAATTAAAAAAAAACCACGTGTTCAAATTCTACCTCAAAAAACCCCTATGACGTGACATTTTTGCAGATGGTAACAGCTCGTGAAAATATGCTCGTCGCCAAAACCTATGCCCATGAAATTTGCACCGAAAGTTATTCCCCAATTTCTGGTGGAATCGAAGGCCGATTTAATAGAATCGAGGAAAAATTTGGGAAAAATGCAGTTTGCTCAATTCTACGCTATTTAGCTGTTTCATCACATGGCCTAACTCGATTAGAATTACACGATGTTTTAAGTTTGGAGAAACCTGTGGATATTTATCAAGTTGCTTTTCCCATTCTATTATTAGATGATATTATTGAAGCGCTTGGCCCGATTTTGCGAAAAGTTTTTATGGATAATAGGGAGATTATTAGCATTGCTCATGTTAATTTGAGCACGTTGATCAAACATCGATATATTCTAACGACAACTGATTTGAAATTAGCGCATGTTAAATTGTCGGATTTGTTCACTGAATTGTATGTTGAAATGGAGACGAATACGCCCAGACATTCGATTTGTTATCAGAATTTTCCGCAGGCTATGAAGAGGGATAATGGATCGGCGAATGTTAGAAAGTTGAGATTGTTGTGGCATCATTTGTTGCATACGGGTAAGCGGAACGGGGAGCGGAAAGGCTTCCGCGCATGATTTTTCTGGGAAAATCCCAAATTTTTCGACCTAACCTTGTTTGGGCTCAAAATACTTCAAAAAATTTTGAAACAGTAAAATTTTTTAGATAAACAAATAGTCATTTTTTTTCCCGAAAAAAACCATTTTTTAAATTGAAACAGAGATTTCATTTTCTACCAATAAACGAAAATTTTAAATTTTAAATGAAAAATTTATGAAATTTTTGAAACAGGAGATTTTTGTGCCCGAAAAATTGAGTTTTTTTTTTGGAAGTTTTCGGTGTACATTTAGAATCCAAAAAAAAATACCAAATTTATTCCCGAATCTCCTTCCTTCCTAGACTATAGTTTATCTTTCAGGTAATATGGATTCATTAAAAGAATTGGCTCTATGCCATTTCGATTATATCGATCTAACAGCTCGCTATTTCGGAGTTCATCATTTATTAACATTATATGAAGAATGTGCAATGCAAGTGTTACATCATGATTTACAAGTGTTGTGTGAGCAAGTATTGCTTCCAGCTCTCACAACAATTGTTCGAGATAATGAGCAACTAGCAGCTGAGGTTATTGGAAGATTGAGATTTACTAGAGGTAAGTGAAATGAGAGAGTTTTTGAGAAGCTGAAAATTGATTTTCTGAAAAATTTTGAATGTTATTGAATTTTTATTAATTTTTAGCGAAAAAAAAAAATTTTTTTAATGAATATTTTCATAGATTTTTGATTTTCTTAATGAGAAAAATTTGGAAATTTGAATTTTTGATCTCAAAATTCATCACTGGCTTTCTGAAGCTCTATAAAGTCCCCTAAAAAACCTGAAGCTCCTGAGAGCTGAAAATTTATGATTTCAAGTTTTTATAGCATTTTTTGAAACAGTGAGATTTTTGAATAAAAGAGTCGTAAATTCTAATTTTTTTCAAAATAGTGTTTTTTTCTGCCAAATTTCTGCCAAGAGGAACGTATTGAATTTTTCAATGAAAAAATTATAACAATTCTGAAACGTAAATTTTCTGGGGAAAAATTGGGATTTTTAAAACAGTTTGAAAAATTTTCGAAACAATTTTTTTTGTAATTATTAGTTTTCAGCTACATATTTAAAAACCATCGAAAAATTCCGATATTTCCAGCCGAAAACAGTCATTTTCTCAACACAATGGTCGAACAAGCAATGGGTTGGGTCGATCTATACACCCGTCAACCTCTCCTAGTTCCGCTAACTTGCTGGATTTCACCGCCAAAAATGAAGACGTGTCGAACGTTTTGCCTGAAAGACTGGAAACCTGGACAGACGATTTTGACACCAACACAAAATCATCAACATATTTTGATAACTGGAAATTTGTCATTTCCCGGAGTGATTTATATGTATCACGTGGCTTCGCAATTATTGATTATTGATTTTAAAGGTGAGTTGGGGGCCTAAATTATGCCACGTGGCTTTTTAAAAATTATTTTTACCCTTAAAAATCACATCAGAAATATAAAAGATGCTGAACCAAAATTCAAAAGGCTTCTAGAAATTTCGGAATTTTTTTTTGATTTATTAAAAGTTTACAGAGTTTTAAGGTTTTTTAAATTACTGTAGGCTTTCGAGACTTGTAGAAAACTGTCTAAAAGTACTGTAAGTTTAAAATTACCAGAAATAATTAATAGGAAATAATTCTAAAAAACAATCCTGGAATAAGAATTTTCTTGAATTCATAAAAATTTTGAAACAGTGAATTTTTGGTATTTTTTCAATACTGAAAATCCAATTTTAAGATTATTCAAAACATGTTTCCCCTCAAAAAATCCAAAAATCTTGCAGGCCACACCGCTGCTGTCACATGCCTAATAACAAGTTCAACCGGCAGCTTCTTCGTCAGCACATCCGCTGACAAAACCGTCCGAATCTGGAGTTATCAAACCGGCGAAACCCTCAAAATTCTAACACATCATACAGCAAAAGTGACTTGTGCTATTCTAACAAATGATGATGAATATCTGATAACAGCATCAGCAGATTCATCAGCCAAAATGATAAATGTGGAAAGTGGTCAAGTTTTGCGAAGTTTCAATGATCATACTGGAAGTGTTGTTTCTTTGCAATTGACTTCGAATAACTTGTTTTTGATAACTGGAAGTGGAGATTTTGTGGTACAAATGTGGGATGTAACAAATGGTCATTGTATTTCAAGAATGGGCGGACTTATGGCTCCAGTCTCTACACTTGCCATAACTTCAAATGATGCTTTTGTCGTAGTTGCTTGTGAAGATGAAACACTTAAAGTATTCAGCACTGTTACCGGACAAGAGTTACACGAACTTATGGGACATGAGGGCAAGGTTAATTCGTTGGTTTGTGCACATGATGATTGTCAATTGTTTGCGGCGACTAAATCCAAGATTTTTTGCTATGATATTCATAATGGACAGATGATTGAGGTGTTGGATTTGCAGGTTAGGTCATTTTAAAAAATTGTATAGGATCCGCGCCTTGAGAATTACTCTGGCAAGGTGCGGCGCCTAGAGAGTTAAAATGTGAAGAATCAGCGCATAGAGCTCAAGTAGCCGATCCTAGAAACTTTAATTGTCAAGGGCCCGCGCCTTGAGAGTTTAGTTATCAAGGATTAGCGTCTAGAGATCCCCAATTTAATTTTGAATTGCTCATATTAAACAAATCACCCAAATCACAGTTTTTCATATAAATATTTGCAGCAACCGTATCCTGTGTGCAGTATGACTATTAGTTCGGATAATAATTTTCTGATAAGTGGATGTGGTTCAAGAGTCACAATATGGAATGTGCAAAAAAGGAATCACGATGCACACGATATTTCAGTAGATAAAGAGGGATTCTTGACGGCAGTCGCAATGTCTTTTGATGAAAAAGTTGCCGCGTGTGGAACTTATAATGGAATTGTGGCTGTTTGGGATTTGGATATTTGCCAATGTATCAATACAGTTGTTCAGGCAAAAGGGATTCCGGTCTCGTGTGTCAAATTCAACAATGATAATACTTTATTGCTATCCGGAAATTCGGTGGGAAATATTGTTGTGTTGGATGCGGCGAATGGACTTCCCTTGAGAGATGTTAATGTGAGTTGTATTTTGGAGGGGGGGGGGGTCTGGGGTCAACCGAATATCTGAGCCAAGAGTTCTAAGAAAATTTCAAAAAAAAATTTTCAATAAATTTTGGACCTAAATTCTAGAAAATTGTTGGAATACATTTTTTGATAAATTGTTTACTTATCGAAAGAAAAAAATTTTTTTGAAAATTACAAATCTTTTGAAACAGTGAATTTTTTTCATATTTTTTGGAGAAATAGTTTTTCTGATAAAAATTGAAAAATTCATGTCAAAAGTTTCTAGATTTTTTGAAACAGTTAATTTTTTTTAATTTTTCAATAAATTTTAGACATAAATTCAGTGCTGAAAATGGTTTAAGAGTCATTATTTGAAAAAAGGGAAATTACGAGGATAGGCTCTGTACAGAAAAAATGATGGTCTCAAAAACGGCCCATATTTTTTGTACAGACCTTTTAACTATCCAACAATAAAAAAAACATGTTTTTGATTCAAAAAAATTTTCAGTTTCAGTGGGGGAGGCTGAAAATGGGTATGCGCAACTCGCTTTGAAACGTTGCGCAACCGTAACTCAGCTTAACGCTAACTATTTTTGATGATCAAAAAAGCATTTTGCTCGTCTTTTTGTGCTCTACAAGCACGAAAATAGCTCCACTCAAAAAAAATTATTTTTGAGCAAGTTGGAAAAAACCAGTTCGCAAAAACTGACATTTTCGGATTTACAGACAAAAAAGGGCGACGTCTAACCGCATTCAATCGATTCCTCTTGATTTTTTACCCCTAGGCGCACAGTATTATCAAAATCGGCGGTAACCATCATCTTCGTTTTAGACCTCGATTCAAAAAATGACCCTTCTGAAAAAACTTTTTTTTTCAGTTTTTTTTAAATTTTTTTATATTTTAGGCTGAATAAAGACTGTTTTGACATCGAAATAATTCAAAAACACTTTTGGTTGTTGAAACTGACTCAAATTGTGAGGTTTTACCAATTCTTATAATCTCATTGATGTTTTCGGTAAGACCATCGGACAAGATCTGAAAATACTTGAAACTGGACTCTGGATGACAAATTATTATCGAATTGTGCCTAAAACACTCTAAAAACATGTATTCTAACATTTTTTATCAATTTCCATTCAAATACGGATGTTTTTACTCGATTTGGACATTACTGGAATTCCGATGTTTGTGTTGATCTCTGATTTTCGTCATCGAAGACATCAACATTGAATAATTTTGATGGTATTGACTTCAAAACAAATTTTCAAGTTTTTGAAACTCATCTCCAGAAATTGTACAAATCAACATTTCTCCAGGCGAGGCTGATCGTAGATCTTTTTATTGATCTTCCAGCTGAATCTGATACCACTGTTTCCATCACACATTTATTGTACTAAATGTAGTTTTGAAAACGTTTTTCTTTCATATTTCATTTTGCCTCAAAAACAAAAAAACAGTCAAGAATAATCGCTGATGTCAACGATGGAATCAGATCAGAGATCAGGATAAACATCCTAATTCCAGTAATGTCTGAATCGCGAATAAACTGCACATTTTGTCTGGGATTAATGAGAAGTACTAATTTTATCATCATAATAATGAATAGAATCAATTTTATAGTGAATCTCGAAATTAATTGAAGTTTCAGTAAGGCCATCGGAAAAAATCCTGATTTTTATATCAGATGATTTTCATCGACATATTACTCATATCATTGATGAATGATGTGCAAAACACCAAAGTGAACAGGAAAAACACTATTCCGAACAATCCCAGACAAAATGTGCAGTTTATTCGCGATTCAGACATTACTGGAATTAGGATGTTTATCCTGATCTCTGATCTGATTCCATCGTTGACATCAGCGATTATTCTTGACTGTTTTTTTTTGTTTTTGAGGCAAAATGAAATATGAAAGAAAAACGTTTTCAAAACTACATTTAGTACAATAAATGTGTGATGGAAACAGTGGTATCAGATTCAGCTGGAAGATCAATAAAAAGATCTACGATCAGCCTCGCCTGGAGAAATGTTGATTTGTACAATTTCTGGAGATGAGTTTCAAAAACTTGAAAATTTGTTTTGAAGTCAATACCATCAAAATTATTCAATGTTGATGTCTTCGATGACGAAAATCAGAGATCAACACAAACATCGGAATTCCAGTAATGTCCAAATCGAGTAAAAACATCCGTATTTGAATGGAAATTGATAAAAAATGTTAGAATACATGTTTTTAGAGTGTTTTAGGCACAATTCGATAATAATTTGTCATCCAGAGTCCAGTTTCAAGTATTTTCAGATCTTGTCCGATGGTCTTACCGAAAACATCAATGAGATTATAAGAATTGGTAAAACCTCACAATTTGAGTCAGTTTCAACAACCAAAAGTGTTTTTGAATTATTTCGATGTCAAAACAGTCTTTATTCAGCCTAAAATATAAAAAAATTTAAAAAAAACTGAAAAAAAAAGTTTTTTCAGAAGGGTCATTTTTTGAATCGAGGTCTAAAACGAAGATGATGGTTACCGCCGATTTTGATAATACTGTGCGCCTAGGGGTAAAAAATCAAGAGGAATCGATTGAATGCGGTTAGACGTCGCCCTTTTTTGTCTGTAAATCCGAAAATGTCAGTTTTTGCGAACTGGTTTTTTCCAACTTGCTCAAAAATAATTTTTTTGAGTGGAGCTATTTTCGTGCTTGTAGAGCACAAAAAGACGAGCAAAATGCTTTTTTGATCATCAAAAATAGTTAGCGTTAAGCTGAGTTACGGTTGCGCAACGTTTCAAAGCGAGTTGCGCATACCCATTTTCAGCCTCCCCCACTGAAACTGAAATTTTTTTTTTGAATCAAAAACATGTTTTTTTTATTGTTGGATAGTTAAAGGTCTGTACAAAAAATATGGGCCGTTTTTGAGACCATCAATTTTTTTCTGTACAGACCATTTTCCCTTTTTACAAATAATGACTCTTAAATTCTTTTTTTTTTTGAGAAGTTAATAACAAATTAATCGAATGAAAAAAAACTTTTGAAAATTACAAATCTTTTGAAACAGTGAATTTTTTCATATTTTTTTTGGAGATCTAGATTGTCTAGTAAAGATAATGTTTTGAAAATTCATGTCAAAATTTTCTTGATTTTTTGAAACAGTAAATTTTTTTTTAAAGACACATCAGCCACTGGAAAAAAACAGATTTCCCGCATTTATTTTCAAATGAGAAAAACAGCATGTGCGCTCTATTGCTTCGTTGTGTGCAAACTGTTTCGAAAATCCCGTCGGCTGAGCGATTTCAAAAACAATTAATTTGTTTTTTTCACTTTTGCCAGACTCAAACTTTTTTCTTGATTTTTATGAATTTCGATTACTTGAAAGGTGTTGAGAAAGAATAACAAACTCATTTTCTGTTCATTTCTAGTGGATTGTGTGTCTTTAATTTTTTCAATAAATTTTAGACCTAAATTTAGTGTTGAAAATTGTTTAAATTCTTTTTTTTGTGTGAGAAGTTAATCACAAATTGATCGAATGAAAAAAAAACTTTTGAAAATTACAAATCTTTTGAAACAGTGAATTTTTTAAAAATATTTTTTTGGAGATCTAGATTTACTAGTAAAAATAATTTTTTGAAAAATTCATGTCAAAAGTTTCTTGATTTTTTGAAACAGTAAAAAGTAATTCTCCTTTTTTTTTTAAATTTAGGCTCAAAATTCTTGATCAATTTCAGAACAAATATGAACCAAAAAAGTTGATTTTGATAGAAAAAAATCCATGCTTTTTCAGATGCATACCACTGAAATCGTCTCAATCTTTTCAATTTTCCCCAACGGCAAAATACTATCATGTGATCGCGACGGAAAATTGGTGCAATGGGATTGTTTTGGTGAAGATGACACGCCCGAAATGATTGCCAATGGAATAAAACCGCCCATTTTCATTCCGCCAGGCGGAAAAATTATGATTGGATATTGTCCGACAAATCCGAAAGAGATGAAAGTTTGGCAATTACAAGAAGACGGAGCACCGATAAATCGAAATAAATTGAGCCATAATGAAGAGATCACTTGTTTTGCGACGGCTTCGAAAGGCGGAAGTTTAGTGGCGACTGGAAGTTTGGATATGAGTTTGAAGATTTGGCAGGCGGATTCGGGATTTTTGACACAGGTTTGCAGAGTTTGGAGATAGGTTTGAGTGGGAAAAGATTCTTTCGGAATTGTTGAAACTTCAGTTTTTTAATTAGAAAAAATTCACTGTTTCAAAAAATTCCGTTTGCTAGAAATAATTTATTCTTCAAAATTTTACTGTTTCAAAAATTTTTTTAAATAAAAATTTTGTCTTTTTTTTTAATCACTTAACAGTTTATGTCCAAAAATGAAAAATTAGCATTTTTATTAATTTTTACTGTAAAAATTTCAATTTCCAGGATTTTTTTAGAGCAGTAAAATTTTGTTATGAAAATTAGCTGAAAGTTGAAAGTTCGACTGAAAATCATCTAGAAAATTTAAATAAAAAACATTTACAAAATTTGCCACGTGGCGAATCAAAAACTTCAAAAACTCAACCAAAAACTAGAGTATACTTGAGATTCCTCCAAATTCACAATTTTGTTTTCTCTTCAGATTCTCGTTGGCCACGAAGATATCGTAACTTGTTGTTGTTTATCGGATGATGAGAGAATTGTGATATCCGGTGCGAGAGATCATAAAATGATTGTTTGGAATGTGATAACTGGAGAGAATATGTGCACAATTTTGGCGGCTGCTCCAATTTCAGCTGTTGCTTTGACTGGTGATGGAACTGTTGCGTTTTCGAGTGAGTTTTTCGGGGGTTTTTGGGCCAGAAAAACTTAATTTTGAGTGGAAAAATGTCTGAAAAACTCTAATTTTCCGCAAAATGAAATACAGAAAATTGTTTTTTTGTTAGAGACATGTTTAGGATTTTTAAAACTGCTTTTTTTTCAAAGTTTTTGAATGAAAATCAGACAGTTTTAACATAATTTAACCCTAACAAAAAATTAGTTTTTTTACAAAATTTTTTTTGAAACAGCAAAATTTTCTTCCGAAGTTTTATATTTTTTGAAATTGTAAAATTTTATTCTCTAACATGAGCAATACCCCATCCCTCAATTTTTCTCAAACTTCCTCCATTTTTTGCAGGCACCGAAGAAGGTTGGGTTGAAGCATGGTCGACGGATAAAGGAAAACGTCTCTCGATGTTTAACACACATCGACCAATTCGAAATTTAATCACAAGTTTCGAAGCGAATCGATTATTAGTTCATTTAACTGGATGTGCACAATTACCTATTTTATGTTTACATAATACACCAGCAGCTGCACAAGAAGCAACTAGAAGAAGAAGTGCGAGAGCTCCGTCGGTTTCGAGTATTACTAATGAACCAGGTGGGTTGAGGGGAAATTTGGGAAGTTTTTTCAAAAATCTCTTCAAGACCTCATATTTTTGAACTGAAAATTAGTATTTAAAAATAGTCTCTGGAATTTGAAATAAAAACTGAGTTTCAAATTTTAATAAGAAATATTAATTTGCCCAAATTTTATATTTGTTACAGCCATTGGAATGTCATCAGCAAGTTCAATAAATGAAGTGAAAAAAGATATGGCATCTTCATCAAGTGTAACTCCATTATTAGGAAATGGTTCACAAAATCAATCAAAAGGTCGATCGACTTTCGATAAATTGGAGAGAAGCAAAAGTCGAACATCAATGATTGAGAAAGTGAGTCGAATGTGTCGAATGTAAATAGGTAAATATTGAATTAGAGAGTAGAAATTGAAGGGCTAATAGGTTTCTAGAAATTTTGAAGATTCGTCCTTTCTTTCACTATCTATTTTTCTGAAATTAATTTTTCAAAACCAGTATCCCCTTAAATTCATCCGAACTCAATAATATTCCAGGATCGACCAACTACTCTTACAAATATTGTGGCACCAGTTCAAAAATCCAATATGTGTAATATTTTGTGATTTTTTATTATTTTCAATTTATTTTTTCTGACTGATTGTGACAATTTTTCTCTTTAATTTTGAAATTTTGAATTTTTTATTGATCTCGATTTTTTTTTTTCAAATGAAAATTATTGTTTTTTCAAATTTTGAGATTGGTTCGGGAGTCCAAATTTTCTCAAACTGAAAGTTTAAAAAAATACACTGTCAACGAACAAATTTTTATCTCGTCATTCTAAAATTCGATGGAAATACTTATCAGTTCTGGTCTCTAGAAATATGCATCCACTTTCTGAAATAACAATCATTTTAAGCTATGATTAGGATGAAAAAAACTCACTTCTGGTCAAATTATAAAAGCTAAGTTAATTTCTTCGGATCTTTACATAATTTTAACATAGATAATCAGTTTTCAGATTGAAATAATTACTGTAATTTAGATACAGTTTCAGATTGGAAAATTGAGAAAATTTCGGAAATATGACGAAAAATGACTCATTTTTCAAAAAAAAAACGTTTTTGTTTATCTCAGGAAGAAGGATGTGGACTAGCCGCGAGGTTAGACGAAAAATGCTATGTTCTCGCGGGGTAACGCGAGATTATTGCGAACCTACACAAAAAACAACTAGCAACACTTTGCTGCTAGTACGCAAAAAAAGAGAGAGAGGAAAAATGAAATTGCGCACTAGCAGCGAGAGTGCGCTAGTTGGCTTTACCCACGTTGGCCTAAAAACCGACAAATGCGGAGTTTTTTCGAATCCGTGCAAAAAATTTTGTTTTTCATGGTTTCTTTCTTTTTCTTCTTTATTTGTTTGAGAATAATGAGGTTCATTTTCAATTTCCAGAAATACGAAACCGTCAAAGAATAAGAAAATGCAGAAGTAACAGAGGTAAGCGTTTATTTTCCCTTTTTTAAAGTAGTTTTGATAAAATTTCTATACAGATTTACAAAAGGCAAAACTGGAGACATATCGGATGGTGCAAATAGGATTCCGAAGATGAAGAACAAGACTATAACTACGAAAACTCAACAATTCTTCATGAGGAAATTATAAAAATCATCAACCATTGATTCGAGTTTATATTTTTGAATCGATTCAACTGAAAGCTTATATAAAATCAAAGTGGTTTATCATGTTGCAAATGAATCGCATGCAACAAAATGAAATTTGTGAGTTTTTTTAATCAGGAGATCAAGATGAAATTTAAAGACAAAATTACAGATTTGCTTCGAGTTATCGGACGTTCGCCAACGTCATCAAATGAACGGAGTATTGAAGCTGACACAACTTCAAGAATCGAAGGATGGAATGTGGAATGAATAATCATCGCACACCTCAATACTTATTTCGATATTGTTTCTCTTGTTACCTTTTTCTCATTTTTCTGATATTTTTGTCGATTTCCCCTATCCCTGTTCTACCTACACGTATATGAATCGCATGCAACAAATTTATTTTTTCTAATTGAACTTATTTTTTTCTAATTGAACTATTATTTTTTCTAATTGAACTTATATATGAAATAATAAAGTTTTGTTGATTTCAAGTCTTCAATTATTCTTCAAAAGCACGCGAAAAATGAATTTGGGGCTGTATTGTGCGATACTATCAACAAACATGCGCTATGTAGCAGCGGGTTTGTGCGCAGTAGCAACGTGTGATTGCCAAGTAGCAGCGTGTGTGTAGCAGCTAGCTGTCAGGTAGCATGACTTATCGCGCTTTGTTCGCCGCACATGGGCGTTTTTCTGCTGCTAGTTTACATCCTTCTTCCTGAGTACAAAAAATGTTGCTTTTCCCTTGTGTCTCTGCGTCTCTTTTAGTATCAGAAAAATTGATTTTTCGACTGACTGGATGAAGATACGAAACATCATTTCAACATTTTACTCTTCATTTTTCCCCAAAATGTTCTACATAATATACTGTATCTAAACTACAGTAATTTATAACTTTTCAAATTGAATTCGATTATTAACCCATGTGATCTTCTGCTGTAGGGACAATTGAAGAAGTGATGGATTTTGAAGGAGAAAGTGAGTTTATCAATGGGAAACTGGCATTGTTTATTTTTTTACAGACCCGTAGAAATTATAACAAGACATACCGATTGACACGTAAATTTGTATTCACCCGAAAATATTTTTGGAAATAAATAATTTATATTTTGATATTTGAATTTTTTTTCTTTCTATGTAGATTAGTTATGCTAACTTTGCTTCTTACGCAAAAAATTTACAGAGAAAATTTCAGATTCTCGTCCTGATAAAAAATCTGGATGAGCTTAAAAATTGAATGTGAAACTCACGGGATTATCTGAATTTTTAATTTGATAATAAATTTGTATTTTGATACATTTAGTTCCAAATTTGTTTCAGGAAAAATTACAGGAAATGTTTTTTTACTAAATTCTTTTGTTAATAAAAACTTGCTTTTAGACGAATGTCAGTTCAAACGCCAATGAAAAATCAACTATAAAATTCACATCTGAATATTGATAAATTTCATTAAACGTATGAAGTTCTGTAATATCAACAAACAAATCTGAGCGCGTGCGGTTGCGAAGCGGTTCGAATTCAACAAAACATAGCGAACAACGATACTCCGGGTTTACGTTCATAAGAATATTGCGTAACTTTTTATTAAATGAGTGAAAATATCAACGTTTACAAAATGAATTACTAGAATCAATATGGCTATTAATTTCCAAAGGGACCGTCCATTTAAGAAGTTGAGAGTCGGAATATCTTTCTGCTAAATTTTGGTAACTCACAAAAAAACATCCTGGCTGTGATTGACACGTGTGATTGAGGACTCTGATGTGTGGTGATAAATTATAATCATGTACTTTTCCAAATAATTCGTAATTGCCCTCTGAATCGGTTATTGTTGAGTTGAGATGAACAGAATCGCGGCCCCCTGAAATTGAACAAATTTTTAAATGTTTCTCTGAAAAGGCCGAGCTTACACAAGTTTAAGTCCCATAATTGAACTTCGAGATTTGGTGCAGGTTCCTCATCGCATAGAACTTGACCAGTCGTTCTGAAGGCAATGTCGGATTTGGTGAAGATTGCTTGAGAAGAAAAGCCGGAGAGACTTAGAAGCACAACAAATTGCAATATCATTTTTCGGCAATGTGTGAATTCAGTCCGCGCAGCCCATCTTTTATTTGGTGATTTTTATGAGGTCTAGTCTTCTGGTGTGAGAATTTTTCAAAAGAATTCTAATTTTAGATTGGAAGATTCAAAAAATCATTAGATGTTTGATTTTTTGATCTCATCTTTTATTTATCAAAAATTTTTCGCACCACCTAATCGGGATTTTATTAAAAAGGTAGACTAGGGGCTGTTAGCCCCCAGGCGTAACAGTCTTCTCATTTATTTCAGTTTCACTTTTTTCTGTGATTATTGTCACTTTTCTGTGGAAAATTCTGTGGAAACTGGAAGAGCTTCCAGATTTACAAATTTTTGAAAAAAAACTTGGAATTTTCAATGAATTTGATTGTAGTTTTTATTGTTAACATCTTCCGAGTACTTACAAAACGAAAAAATAATTAAATAAGTTTTTTTTTCGAAAAATTGATCGATGACGTCATCATTTTTTGATCAAAAATTTGAAGGCCGATTTTTTTTTTGAAAAACTCGGGCCGATTTTTTTTTTGAAAAAACTCGGGCCGATTTTTTTTTTTGAAAAACTCGGGCCGATTTTTTTTTGAAAAACTCGGGCCGATTTTTTTTTTTGAAAAACTCGGGCCGATTTTTTTTTGAAAAAACTTTTTTTCATTTAGTGAGCATCTATTGAGTATTGTCTAAAGAAAATGATATTTTTTTTATCAATTTTTTTTTCGTTCAAAATTTTTTTTCCAGTTTCGGCGAAATAGTGTAGGTGAGACACTCCGCCGGTTGTCCGAGAGTTCGCCGATATGTCGTTTTCTCCGCCGGTTCTCCAGCCTGTTTCTCTGAGCGATAATGATGCATTTGTAAAACTTGAAGAGCTTCCAGATTTACAAATTTTAGAACGAAAAAAAAATTGCTCAAAAAAATATCATTTTCTTTAGACAATACTCATGCTCACTAAATGAAAAAAAATCGGCCCGAGTTTTTTCAAAAAGGGCCTTATAGAGGGTTTTTTCAAAAAAAAAATCGGCCCGCGAATTCATTGAAAATTTTCAAATTTTTTGATCAAAAAATGACTCGTTAGGAAGGCTTCCTAATTTTGCCATGGATGACGTCATCGATCAATTTTTTGTATCAAATGTACTCGATAGGGGTTATTAGCCCCCCAGGCGGGACAATAGTTGACCAAAAAAAATCAACATTTTCTTAAGAAAGTACTCAACAAATGCTCACTTAATGAATTTCAATCATTTTAAGCCTAAAATCTTGAAATTTGTCTCGATAATGATGGATTTGTAAAGCTTCACAGAAAAAAATTTGTTTTTTTCTGAAAAAGGTAGATTATTTTATTTCTCACGTCAACATTTTTTTTATCGAGCATTTCTAAGCAAACTAGGGGCGGTGCCCCTAGGCGAAACAGTTATACAAATCCTCAACAATTCCAAATTTCAAAGAAAAATCATTTTTTTCGCATTTTTAAAATGATCATTTATAAATTAAAGAAATAAACAGGTTTTCACGTAGGCATTCGTGGTCAAGTGGTACGTGACTCTGCCTTGTGATCAGAGCATTTTTGACGGGTTCGATTCCCGGTCGAAGCATTTTCCTATATCCGCTAGGTATGATTTTTAAAATTTCTGAAGAAATGTGAAAAAAATGGTGAAAAAATGTGCGAAAAAATTATAATCAGAATGCATACCAACGGGATTTTATAAAGAGGTTAATTGATGGTCATTTTTTGTGTCAGAAATGGTCAAGTGGTTAGATCACGTGTTTTTTGTTCAGAAGGTCCAGGATCGGATCCTTTTGGCCAAACGTCCGGACGTTCGCGAAGGTATGATTTCGGAAAAAAATCGGCAAAAATGGGAAAATGTCCAAAATTGCGACATTTCAAAAATGAGAACAGGGGGGACCCCATTGAAAAATCCTTCTTCCATCGAGACACCACCCAATCGGGATTTTATTAAAAAGGTAGATACGTTTCGTTTAAAAAATTAGAATGACGTGACGTGTGATGTGGTAGCCTCATAAAATTGGATTTTCAAAAAATCTCTCATTTCGGAATATTTTTGGGAACTGAAAACTCAAATATTTGAAGAAAACATATTTTTTTTTCCAGAGAATTTTGTCTGAAAAGTGAGTTTCCGAGAGATTTTTCTAGAAACTTTTCCAATTTTTTCTCAGATTTCATCATCATCATCGAAAAAATTTGGAACTTTTTTTTTGGAAGATCAATATTTTGGTGAGTTTTTTTTGGGGAATTCAAGAGACTTGAAATCTGAAAATCTGAAAACCTGAAAATTTAAAGCAATTTTTTTAATTTAGGAAAAACCTTTTTATTTTAAAAAACCATATGAAAAATGAGCATTTTTTTCAACAAAAAAATATTAGAAATTTTAAAAATCCAGTAGCCAAGTCAGTAGACCTTGAGACTAACTAACTTTGGATTATTACCATTTTGAATTGCCAAATATAAGCGTCCATAACCACCGTCTGCTGATTTCATAGCTTCTCCATCTCCATTTCAAGTTCCAAATAGACCTTGATACCAACTAACCATGAACGATGTTTGAAGTGTCCTACGAGAAATATGTACATTTTCTCATGGTCTTCATATAGGCTTTACTTTTGCATCCTACATCCTTTTTTCGTATCAAAATCAAGGAGATCTTGATACTAACTAACTATGCATGGTGGAGCTTCTCTTAAGACGTGGCAAATAGACCTGAAGTGTTTCCTCGTTGGGAATAATATGGGGAACTATCAATCTGAACTGGTGCATGCTCAAGAAGTTCTTCTTCTCTTTGAAATTTCTCGTGAAATCTTTTCAACGTATCCATTTTCCTATTTCGTGCCACTGAATTTCCATAATAGCTTCATAGCTTCATAGCTTCTCCATCTTCTTCTAGCATGAAATAATTGAGACCTTGAAACTAACTAACTATGAATGACACAATCGATGTAGATATACCGCATCTCTCGTGAGATCTTTTCTACGTGTCTATTTTCTTATCTTGTGCCACTGAATTTCCATAATGGTAGACTTCACAGCTTCTCCATCTTCTTCCAACATCAGATAATATTGTATAGGCAACGCTGATCATAGTTCGCCTTCTTACTGCTCTAGCCTAAGCTTCATTTTTTTCGTTTTCATCTTCAATTGGACCTTGATACCAACTAACTGTGAACAAATAGTGCTCAATATTTCTGTTGAAAATCTGTCATATTCTGACTATTGTATTCTCCAAATATCAGCTGACAAATCATTCGTCATGGATGGAAAATCATTTGTGATTTCGTGATCAGATCTTGAGGCCAACTAACTATGAACGCTATTTTTTTTTAACATAGCTCAAATAAATCTCTCTCTCTCTACAACTCTCGTTGTTTTGAACCTTTTTTCGGTTTTTCCATGCGTTTGATTGTTAGCAAAGATAAAGGTGATGTGGAGTGTTTCGTGGAATTCGATTTATTCGATCTGTGTTGGTTGCGGATCGAAATCCAATTGCTTCAGTGGAATTGGTTTTATTTTTTTATAATGAACTTATCCGGATTTAGAAGCCTACAAGTTTCCATTGCTAAAATCAAGGGATCTTGATACCAACTAACTATGGACATTTTTATTTGAAGAGCTGCTTCCTGAACATCTTCAAGATGTTGAATTAGAGTGGTGTGAACGAGAATTGGATCTTGAAGATTGAGTTCTATCCTATTTATAAGAGGATGTGGAGTTTCTCTGCTTCTCGAGTTCATCTGCATGGTGAAGTGCCCACAGCATTAGATAATACTTTTTTCGACGACATTTCGTTGAATTTTGAAGATTTGGTTGATTTCTGTAGTTGAGCTTCCGTAGACTCCTACTTCGATTTCTTATATCCCCTTTGCTATTGGCTGCGCCACACTTCAGTGGCCATTTTGGCCAGAAATTCGTTTTTTTAAAATTAATTTTATTTTTCTTATAATCGTTTAAGTGCAATTCGTTTTTTTTTATTTCTAAATTTAGTAGCCTACAAGTTTCCATTGCCAAAATCAAGGGACCTTGACACCAACTAACTATGGACATTTTTTCTAAAATTAAGAAGATCCGGAGTGATTTTATGATCCTCTGGAGCGGCTTCTTGATGAACTGCTTCCTGATCCTCCTCCAGAAGTTGAGTTCGAGTGGTGAGAACGATGAGTTCTATCCTCTTTATAAGAGGATGTCGATTTTTTCTCGAGACTTTTGCCACGTCCTTCTCGAGTTCATCCGCGTGGTGAAGTGCCCGCAGTACTTTTTTCGACGACATTTTGTTGTTTGGAAGATTTGTACAGGGTTCGGTTGATTTCTGTAGTTGAGCTTCCGTAGACTTCTACGTCGATTTCCGCTATCGTCTGTATATTTACGTGTAATTCGCTTTTATTTAATTCCGAATTTAGAAGTCTACAAGTTTCCATTGCTAAAATCAACAGACCTTAATACCAACTAACTATGGATTTTTTTTCTAAATCTTTTCCTTTTTTGATGATTGTTTTTGAAGCTTCAGCCTAACAAGCCTCTGTTCAGATGCTCTATGCTCTCTAGGCTCTCTAGGCTCTCTAGCCTCTCTAGGCTTCTTACGCTTCACGTTTTTTTCTTTTTCGACATTCCTTGGTTTTTTTTGAAGTTCCCAATCAGCCGAATCTTTTTATTTCTTCATTCTTCCATTTCAATTTCGTAGCTTCATCCAATCGTCCTTTTCTTTTTTTCTTCCGTACCTTTCGTTAAATTTTTTTTTTAGATAAATGTAATTTTGAGCTTCTTACGTTTGATTTCTATTCGTCGCTGAAGTTTTTTTTTAATTCCTAACTAACTATGAAGAATCGTCGATGCTGCGATCATTTATCGTGATGGTTCAGTGAACCATCACGAGCATCGAAAATGTTATGAGCTCGAGCCCATTTCGTTTTGAGCCAGTTGAGCCAATTATACTTCTTCTTTTTCTTTAGCATAGATCATTCTTCCAGTATCAAATAAATGAGATCTTGATACTAACTAACTATGCACATCCTTCAGTCAAATATGTGCAATGGTGTTTCCCATCTCAAACTTGTGTTTCTCTTTCATGTTCGCCTTCACGCAGTTTTTCTCATAAAAGTAACGAATCATCTTTGAGTCGAATATCTTCATTTTGAACTGATCATCTTTTTCGACTGATCAATAATTTCCATTGCCAAAATCAAGGAGACCTTGATACCAACTAACTATGAACCGTCTTCCACGGCATGTTGAAAAGCCCACTTCGAGCTTCATCCATGGGTTCCATTTTCCAATTCGATTATGTACCAGAATTTTTCAAATTTAAAACATTTCGAAATCTTCATCGTTGAAATATGTTTCTGGGTTTTTTTTTTTTTTTTGCAAAACCAAAAATTACCCTCACATTTTTACGAGTCAAGATTCATAAATTCATAATTTTCCATCGCCAAAATCAAGGAGACCTTGATACCAACTAACTATGAACCGTCTTCCACGGCATGTTGAAAAGCCCAGCTCGGGCTTCATCCATGGGTTCCATTTTCCAATTCGATTATATACCAGAATTTTTCAAATTTAAAACATTTCGAAATCTTCATCGTTGAAAGTTCTTTCTGGGTTCGTCATTGTCCGGCCGATTCCATTTTCTTGAGGTCCAACTTGAGCAACTTAAACCAGAGGATTCATCAATGTTATTTTCCAAGGGTTTCTAGTGGCTCAATAAAAATGGTGTTCTCACTTTCGTCCATTTCTGTTGGAACAGTTGTTGCTTTTGGCAACTATATTTATTCTTAACATCAACATCTGAGTGATTTTTCGATGGGTTTCCTTTGCATTCCTACGCACACTTGTCCAGCAAATCTTGGACAATCGTCGATCATATGGCCAGCCTCCAAACAGCCCCAGCATCTCGTTCCGTTCCTTCGATCATGGCACGAGTCATGAAGAGGGATTCTTGGTAGATGTTGTTGCCTTGTGGCGGAGTTGGAACTCTTTTCGGGAATGCGCTATTCGATGGGTCTTGTCTCGACATTGACGAGTTGTTGGATGCACTTGACATTGATGGTGTTTGTCTGCCAAATGTCGGTTTCGTCGTGACATCTTTTGCGAGCCAATTAGTTTTGCAGCCGGTGTTGGTGGTTGTTGACTTGTTTCGGAGACCGATGGTTGAGCTTCGCCTGGACCACTTTGAGACGAGTTGGCTTGCACAATGACAATTCCGAATGATCTAGCAACCTTTTCAAGCTGAGTTCTTCTGGCTTTTGCAATTCCCTTCTCAACGGCTTTTTCGGTCGAAGGTGGATGGTTGGTCAGCCGCTTTAGGCTTCTCGTTTTTTTTCGACTTCGCCATTTTAGGAGTTCAGCAGCTTTCTTTGTTTCTTCGAAGTGTTTCAGACTTATCCAATCGTATGTTTCTGTTTTTCTTCCGTATCTTATGTTGAATTTTTTAGGCGTAGCTTCTTACGTTAAAATTTGAAAAAAAAACATTGGAAAACAAAAACAAACACTGTGAAAAAATGCGTTGAAGATTTTTTAAGATAAAAAAAATCTAGAAAAAAATTGAGCTCCTTTGAGCTTTCATTTTTGAAAAACTCGTCGAGATCAGCCTCGAGCTGAATTTTCAAATCACAGAAAACCCTTTTCAAATGAACTTGAATACTTTGAACACTTTGAAAAATTTCTAACATAATCAAGCTCCTTTTAAAAATAAGTGATCATTCTAAAAATTCAAGAAATCAAGAATTTTAAATTATTTCGAACCCCCCCCCCCCCGATCCTCCAAGTTTGGATCTTCAAAAACTATCCCTCCCCCCTTCCCCAAGCATTTTTCTGGATTTCTAAAATATTTTTTGAGTTCAACTTCTGAAGGCCACCAATTTTTGCTCCAAAACTTTTTCCCTCTTTTGCAAATCAATTTTTTTTGAAAATTCATTGTATCTTGCGCTAATTAAGCTAACTTCATTAATCAAAAGAAATTTTTGCTGTTTCAAAAAAAAGTTGTTGTAATTAGAATAAATTGCTAATTATATGTATTCCTACTTTTTTAATGACACCTGTTTTATTTAGAGTTAGTGGAAATACTTCGGGAAGTTTTAATCGAAATTTATTTCATGTTCACAGATCTAAAGTATCCAGAATAATTCGCCTAATCTGAGCAATCTAATTGCTGAATATTCAGTCCGAGAGTTAGGATAACTTCAACTCTACCAAATCCATTATTCGCACCCTCGAATAGGGCCAAAACATAATTCCGATAAGATAATTGCACAATTCCAAGCGGTGCACCAGGAATTGTCTTCTAGGATTTAAAAACCGCCTGAATTTCAAACTGAGCTTGAATAGAAGGCTCCTAGGAACAGAAATTGCAATGATCTTTGAATCGGCTATGATGGAGGGGATTTATGTATATACAGGGGGAGTGGAGAATAAAAATAATAGAAATGGCGAGAAGAAAAAAAAATGGAAAAAGCTTACAATTAGAAACCTAGATTCCAGCCTGGAACTAGAGTTTTCAGAGATTAGATGAGCCCAGATATCGGACTAGAAATTCGAATACTTTTGAGAATAAAGTGAATACATTTTAATCAGAAAAACAACCCTCAAATTTCAAGTTCCCCTAATTCAAATCAAGAAAAAAAAAGAAAAGAAGAACTAATGATCAAATTTTCTAAAACAGGTGTCAACAAAACCGAAAAGAAAAGAAAATGCAGATGTTTATTTGAAAAAAAAGTATGAATACATAGAATTAGCAAATAATTGTAGTTAGTTACTACAACTTTTTTTTGAAACAGCAAAAATTTCTTTTGATAAATGGAATTAGCCAAATTAGAGCAAGATACAATGAATTTGGAAAAAAAATTGATTAGAGTTAAAAAAAAGTTTAAAAATTCTATGAAAATTAGATTTTTGGAAAAAAATTGATCAAAAATTGGTGGCCTAAAAATTCCAGATTCTAGAATATTTTTGGCCTTCAAAATTGCAGGCTCAAATTTCACAAAGCTTTGAATTCACAAATTAGTCCCCAAAGATTCCTAATCCCAAAAAACCCTTGAAACTAACCTGGAAATATCGAAGAAAATCTGACATCAGCGCTAAGCATCACAAACCGACAAATGTCCAATAAACATGAGCAATGAATTGTGTAGTCTCTGAAAATTGAAATTTGAAATTCAAAGCTCAAAAAGTAAATAGCAAATTGTGATTTATTATAACTTATGACTGAAGGGGGTAATAAAAACTGCACTTACGTTAAGTTACATAGAGACGGGGGTCAACAGTATCTAGTAGGAAGATGTCATGTTGGAAGACATGTGTCCAACCTTCTCCATATTACCTGTAAAAAATCAACATTTCAGGATAATCAGATTTTCTAGACTCTGAGCCTTAACAATTGAACTTAAATCTAGACATTTCTACTTAAAGACTGTTTCATTAGGGTTGAAAATTTTGATTTTAAAAAATAATTGAGCTATTTTCTCGCAGTAAATATATGATTCTCTTACAGTAACCCACGAATTCTCGGGCAAAGATTGTAGTGAAAATTTGAGGCCTAAGATACAATATATACTACAAAAGTTCAAAAATCGCGAGTGAAAAATTATTTTAAAAAACTCTAGGTTATGGCCCCATAATTTATGGGAGCTCTGATTTTGCCTGAATTTGTTCAAAATACAGTAGGCCCTCGATAGTTTCATGTTGCTAAAAAAAAGCTCAAAAAATAGATCCTAACAAAAAATCAGATTTCGCAACCCCCAATCAATAAAATAAAATTTGCGAAATACAGTAAACCCCACATTTCTTGGTTACTGTAACTCTAGGTGTGAATTGAGTTACTGTAGATCAAGCCTTTGAATTAGAAGGTCAAAGATTTCAGAAAGAATTTCGAAAAATTCCTTAAAAGAAACATGATTTTTAGGCCCTAATCAAAATAAAATGTATGCCCAAAATAAACCTCTGATGCCAAGTCAAAAAAATTGAAACTCACTAAGAAAATCTGATTTCGCCACCTCAAATCAATAAATCTCTCAAAAAATATGAGCAATAACACGAAAAATATAGAGAAATGAAAAATGAGCGTGGTATAGTCATCGTCTCTTTCCTCCTCCCCTTTTCCTTCTTTTTTTTTCGCCATTGGCTGTTTTATGGCCAGCAGCCGAGAAATAGTATGGGAAAGGGAGAGAGACGCAGACGTATGCGCGGGCGACACGACAATTTTGTTCTCAAAGGACCACCTTGATTTTTCATTGATTTTGGTGATTTTTCGGGTGGGGACACGCAAAAAAAAGCTGTTTCGTCCAACCAAAACATGGGCTGAATTGATACCACAACTTTTTAAAATTTGGAACCTTCCAGGAGCACCTTAATCCTATCTTAACCAACCAAGATCAATTTGAATCACCCCATTACAAATGTGATTCAAACAATATCATTTTTTCAGAAACACCAGTCTCCAATGTCTGATGTATTGATGTTATTGGCATCAAAAAAATACGAATCAACACATTCTTTGGTAAGAAATCATAAAGTTTTCAAAAAAAATTTTTTTCAATAAATTTTGGACCAGAATTTAGTGCTAGAAAATTGTTTAAATTTTTTTTTGAGAAGAAATCAAAAATTAATCGAATGAAAAAACAACTTTTGAAAATTACAAATCTTTTGAAACAGTGAATTTTTTTCATATTTTTTTGGAGATCTAGATTGTCTAGTAAAGATAATGTTTTGAAAATTCATGTCAAAAGTTTCTAGATTTTTTGAAACAGTACATTTTTAGTCATAAGCTAATTCTCCTATTTTTTTGAAATTTTTTTTTCAAAGAAAATTGATCAATTTCAGAACAAATATGAACCAAAAAAGTTAATTTTGATAGAAAAAAATGCCAGGCTCCCACAAAAATCCAAGTTTTTCAGATGCATACCACTGAAATCGTCTCAATCTTTTCAATTTTCCCCAACGGCAAAATACTATCATGTGATCGCGACGGAAAATTGGTGCAATGGGATTGTTTTGGTGAAGATGACACGCCCGAAATGATTGCCAACGGAATAAAACCGCCCATTTTCATTCCGCCAGGCGGAAAAATAATGATTGGATATTGTCCGACAAATCCGAAAGAGATGAAAGTTTGGCAATTACAAGAAGACGGAGCACCGATTAATCGAAATAAATTGAGCCATAATGAAGAGATTACTTGTTTTGCGACTGCTTCGAAAGGCGGAAGTTTGGTGGCGACTGGAAGTTTGGATATGAGTTTGAAGATTTGGCAGGCGGATTCGGGATTTTTGACACAGGTTTGGAGAAGGGTTTGGGTGGGCAAAAGGTTCTTTGGGAATTTTTTGAAATTTCAATTTTTTTAATTCAAAAAAGTTCACTGTTTTAAAAAATTCCGTTCGCTAGAAATAATTTATTTTTCAAAATTTTACTGTTTCAAAAATTTTTTTAAATAAAAATTTTGTCTTTTTTTTTAATCACTTAACAGTTTATGTCCAAAAATGAAAAATTAGCATTTTTATTAATTTTTACTGTAAAAATTTCAATTTCCAGAATTTTTTTAGAGAAGTAAAATTTTGTTATGAAAATTAGCTGAAAGTTGAAAGTTCGACTGAAAATCATCTAGAAAATTTAAATAAAAAACATTTTCAAAATTTGCCACGTGGCGAATCAAATTTTCAACCAGAAACTAGAGTCTACTTGAAAATCCCTCCAAATTCACAATTTTGTTTTCTCTTCAGATTCTCGTTGGCCACGAAGATATCGTAACTTGTTGTTGTTTATCCGATGATGAGCGAATTGTGATATCCGGTGCGAGAGATCATAAAATGATTGTTTGGAATGTGATAACTGGAGAGAATATGTGCACAATTCTGGCGGCTGCTCCGATTTCAGCTGTTGCTTTGACTGGTGATGGAACTGTTGCGTTTTCGAGTGAGTTTTGCGGGCTTTTGGGCCAGAAAAATTTAATTTTGAGTGAAAAAATGTCTGAAACAATTAGGGAATTCAAAAGAAATGCATGTTATTATTTTGAAACAGTAAATTTGTCTTCCGAAGTTTTACTTTTTGTTAGGATTTTTCGAGACTGTGCAATTTTTAAATTCAAAAATTCGACATCTTTATTCTCTAACATGAGCAATACCCCTCTCTCATTTTTTCTCAAATTTCCCCCATTTTTGCAGGCACCGAAGAAGGTTGGGTTGAAGCATGGTCAACAGACAAAGGAAAACGTCTGTCGATGTTCAATACACATCGGCCAATTCGAAATTTAATCACAAGTTTCGAAGCGAATCGATTATTAGTTCATCTAACTGGATGTGCACAATTACCTATTTTATGTTTACATAATACACCAGCAGCTGCACAAGAAGCAACTAGAAGAAGAAGTGCGAGAGCTCCGTCGGTTTCGAGTATTACTAATGAACCAGGTTGGTTAAAGGGAGTTTTTTCTAATCTCTTCAAGATCTCACATTTTTCAACTGAAAATTAGTAAGTCTCTGGAATTTGAAATTAAAATAGAGTTTCAAATTTTAATAAAAAATTAATTCGTCCAAATTCTAAATTCGTTGCAGCCATTGGAATGTCATCAGCAAGTTCAATAAATGAAGTGAAAAAAGATATGGCATCTTCGTCAAGTGTAACTCCATTATTAGGAAATGGTTCACAAAATCAATCAAAAGGTCGATCGACTTTCGATAAATTGGAGAGAAGCAAAAGTCGAACATCAATGATTGAGAAAGTGAGTCGAATGTGTCGAATGTAAATAGGTAAATATTGAATTAGAGAGTAGAATTTGGGGGGACTAATGAGACCAGTTCTAGAAATTTTGAAGTATCTATTTTTCTGAAATTAATTTTTCAAAATCAATATTCCCTCAAATTCATCCTAAAATTGAAAATATTCCAGGATCGACCAACTACTCTTACAAATGTTGTGGCACCAGTTCAAAAAATCCAATATGTGTAATATTTTGTGATTTTTTATTATTTTCAATTTATTTTTTCTGACTGATTGTGACAATTTTTCTCTTTATTTTTGAAATTTTAAATTTTTTATTGATCTCGATTTTTTCAAATGAAAATTATTGTTTTTTCAAATTTTGAGATTGGCTCGGGAGTCCAAAAAGTTAAAAAAAAAACATTGTCAACAAACAAATTTTTATCTTGTCATTCTAAAATTAGATAAAAATACTTATCAGTTCTTGTCTGTAGAAATATGCATCCAATTTCTGAAATCAAAATCATTTTAAGTTATGATTAGGATGAAAAAACTCACTTCTGGTCAAATTGTAGAAGAACATTTAATTTCTTCGGATCTTTACATAATTTTAACATAGATAGTCAGTTTTCAGATTGAAATAATTACTGTAATTTAGATACAGTTTCAGATTGGAAAATTGAGAAAATTTCGGAAATATGACAAAAAATGACTCATTTTTCAAAAAAAAAGAAACATTTTTGTTTGCTTTTCCCTTGGCTGTCTGCGTCTCTTTTAGTATCAGAAAAATTGATTTTTCGACTGACTGGATGAAGATACGAAACATCATTTCAACATTTTACTCTTCATATTTTCCCCAAAATGTTCTACATAATATACTGTATCTAAACTACAGTAATTTATAACTTTTCAAATTGAATTCTATTATTAACCCATGTGATCTTCTGCTGTAGGGACAATTGAAAAAGTGATGGATTTTGAAGGAGAAAGTGAGTTTATCAATGGGAAATTGGTATTGTTTATTTTTTTTCAGACCCGTAGAAATTATTATAAGACATACCGATTGACACGTAAATTTGTATTCACCCGAAAATATTTTTGGAAATAAATAATTTATATTTTGATATTTGAATTTTTTTTTCTTTCTATGTAGATTAGTTATGCTAACTTTGCTTCTTATTTACAGAGAAAATTTCAGATGCTCGTCCTGATAAAAAATCTGGATAAGTTTAAAAATTGAATGTGAAACTCACAGGATTTTCTGATTTTTTCCTGTTATTTGTCAAAAATAGAAAAAGTTTGTAAAATTGAGTTTCTCTGAAAATTTTCAGGCATTTTTGCAGTTGAATTGTTTCGAAAAGACTCGAATTTTGTCTGAAACCTGAAATTTTCCCTGTAAATTTTCTGTGCAATTTGAATTGTAAATTTGAAAACAGAACATTTTTATTTATTTTTTTTTAAATAATTATCGTCAAAACCCTGAAACAGTTCTTCGAATTCAATTTTGAAAAATTGGTCAAAGTTATCCATTTTTTTTCTGGAAATTTTAGAATTTCTATGAAAAAAGATAACCTGGAAACAACTAACCTCATCTCAAAATTTTTCAATAAAAAACACGTGTCATAATCTTCCCATTCGTCATTTTCAGGAAAAATTTGAATTTACAATTAAGATAAATTCATAATTACTGTAGTTTAGATACAGTTGTCAGAAGTTCTTTAAATCGATTAAATATAGATATTGAGGAGCAAACAAGTTTTATTTGTTTATTGTCTGCGTCTCTCTCTATCTCTCCAACACCCAAGATAAATATTATCGATTTTTGAGTGATAGCAAACATTATTTCTTTTTTATTTTCCTCCAATCTTCTACTGTATCTAAACTACAGTAATTATTGAATAATTAACTGATTATATTAAATCTGTAAAACGTAGGAATCCAAACCTGTCTAACATTTGACAACAGGAATATAATAAATTATTTTCAACTGTATCTAAATTGCAGTAATTATTGATTTATTAATTCATTATTATCTGAAATCTTAAAATATTCCCATATATTTAGAATGTGCCCAGACAAATTGAAGAACAAATTGGATTTTCGAAAAAGGTGAGTTTTTACAGACCATTCTCACTTTTCTGCAAGCCTCGCACAGTTTCTGTGCAAACTCATGTGATGTTTGATATCAAAATGAATAGAAAAACTGTGCGGGACTTGCCGTAGTCTATAAAGATTTTTACAGATCACTAAAATGAAACTGCACGATAATGTTTTGGGCACCGAGAACGAATATTTTGAGCTACTACCGATCAGAAGAAAAAATATGAAAATAAAACAACAGTATCTAAACTACAGTAATAACTACAGAAATCTTTAAATATCCCCACATTTTTAAATTATGTGCCGACGGTTTTGAAATAAGTATAAGTGAGTTTTCTCCCCCCGAAAAATATGAAGATTTTCCAAAAATATTTTTTTCAGAAAAACTCATTTCCTGGACTCCAATAATCAATAAAGTTCGGAACAGATTTCGTTAATAAATGTTCATTTTAATCAGTTTTGTATCAGACTTATTAAAAGAAAAATTACAGGAAAAGTTTGGATTTTTGTAAATCGAAAAAAAATGATTTAGAACCCATGGATGAATAAAAATAAAAATGCAGATCTGAATATCAGTTCCATGAAACGTATAAAATCCTGGTTTTTCTGAAACAAAAAATTAAAATTTCAGAAAATTTTCCAACCAAAAAAACTCATATTTTGAGAAAAGTGTTCCATTCTCTCAAAAAATCACTAGAGTGTGTGGTTTTTGAGAGACGCAGACAGGCAGACAAATAACACATTTTCTATTTTTCTTGGTTTCCAGGATGTATTTTTAGTTGTGTGACTAACATGAAAGAAATAATTTTAACTTGAAATAAATCTATTAAACTGTATCTAAATTACAGTAATTTTTTCAAAATTTAAAATTTATTCAGAATATTGGTAAGAAAGGTGGGTTAAAAAAAATAAATTTGAAGATCAATGCCATAATTTTTACAGATCACAAAAGAGAAATTAAGAAACTCCACGATTATATTTTGGGGACCAAATGCAAAAACGATCGGATACACAAAGGCAAATGGAAAAACATGAAAATAATACAACTGTATCTAAACTACAGTAATAACAACATATATTCGGAACTATGAAATTAGTGACCATTGAAGTCAAACTGATATTTTTATCTACACAAAACTGTATCTAAATACAGTACTCATTGTTGTTTTGAAGAAAGGTGATAAAATTTTGATAAATTTTGTTCCAAATTTGTTTCAGGAAAAATTACAGGAAATTTTTTTTACTAATTTCTTTTGTTATGGGGCTATTCAAGTTATTTTCTCAACGCTGAGAAAAGCGAAGAAAACCTATTCAGGTAGGCTGAGAAAATACGAAAAAAGTGAAGAAAATGCATTTTCTCCGCATTTCGCCTGTTTTCTCAGCGTGTTGAGAAAATACTTGAATAGCCCCATTATGCATCTATTCATTTGCGAAAAAAACTGAAAAAAATGTATTTTTTTTACAATTTTTTTCTATTCACCAAAATGCACGAAATAAATGTCAATCGTGACGAGACCCACACACATTTCAAGGAGAAAAACATGCGAGAAAAAAAAAACAAGAAATGAAATTTTCGAAAGCATGCATTTTTCACACTCGTTGCCTTGAAATGAGTGTGGGTTTCGTCACGATTGCATGTATTTCGCGACAATTTGTGATTTTGGTGAATAGAAAAATATTGTAAAAAAATACATTTTTTTCGTGTTTTTTTGCAAATGAATAGATGCATTAATAAAAACTTGCTTTTAGACAAATATCAGTTCAAACGCCAATAATAAAATCAACTATAAAATTCACATCTGAATATTGATCAATTTCATGAAACGTATGAAATTCTGTAATATCAACAAACAAATCTGAGCGCGTGCGGTTGCGACGCGGCTCGAATTCAACGAAACATAGCGAACAACGATACTCCGGGTTTACGTTCATAAGAATATTGCGTAACTTTTTATTAAATGAGTGAAAATATCAATGTTTACAAAATCCACTTCCATACTGTAGATGGGTACGAGGTTTCAAATCGAACTCCCAATTAGGTTGTTCGTAGTCGGAAAATGATAATGCAAAAACATAGTAACTCGTAAGAAAACATCCTGGATTTGCAAGGCACGTGTGATTGACGATTTTGATCATTGGTGAGAAACTATGCGCATGTACTGTTCCAGATATTTCGTAATGGCCCTTTGAATCGGTTATTGTTGAGTTGAGATGAACAGAATTGCCGACCCCTGAATTTAAACAAATGTTCATATGTTTCTCTGAAAAGGCCGAGCTTACACTTGTTTCTGTCCCATAATTGAACTGCGACATTTGGTGCAAGTTCCTTATCGCATACAACTTGACCCTTAATTCTGAAGGCAATGTCGGATTTGTAGAAGACTTCTTGAGAAGAAAAGCCGGGGAGACTTAGAAGCACAGCAAATTGCAACAACATTTTCGGCAATGTATGAATTCAGTCCGCGAAGCCCATCTTTTATTCGGTGATTTTTATGAGGTCTAGTCTTCTGGTGTGAGAATTTTTGAAAAAAAATCTAATTTTAGATTGAAAGATTCAAAAAATCATTAGATTTTTGATTTTTTGATCTCATCTTTTACTGAAAAAATGCGTTTTAAAATATTTTTACATGAGAGTTTGAAAAAATACATTTTAGTTTTGATAAGTTGCTCGCTTTTATTTTTGAAATATTCGATTCAAATGAAATGATTTGTAACGTTGTTCAATTGAAACACATTTATTTATTGGTGGATTTCTAAAGTCTAGACATAATTTGTCTAAAATTCGAATCCATATTTTCATTCTAACATTTTAGTTTCGAAAAATGAAGATTCCTATAATTCTCCTAATTTTGATAACAAATATTCTTTGTTTTTTTGACAGCGAAGAAGAGGTTTGATTTTTTGAGTTTCCCGCTAAAAATAAGGTATTTTTAGGAAGAGCTAAATAAATTAGATCTAATCAGATATTCAAAATATTCTCCAATGGCTGAAACAAGAGAATACATCGATCATCTATGGACAGATTCTCCAGATCATTTTGACAAAAAATTCAGATTCATAGATCATTGTAATGATAGCAAAATCTATGATCAACAATATTTCAAATCAAATATTTTGAGATCTCATCTAATTCCGATTGTCAATCATGTTTCTGATTCATATATTCGAATTGAATGGGAAAAAGAGTGGTGGAGATTAATCGATTTAACTTCAAAAAATAACCGAGGGCAGAAATTCGGGATGCTGTTAAGATGGAAATATTTTGGAAAACCATTGATTTATCAAGTTTTTAGTTATAACTGTAATCATCCAACAAAATTAGCATATCAAAATTATGCAATTATTTTGAAAGCGCAAAAACTAATGAATACAATTTGGCAACTTTTGAAAGAAGAAAGATTTCATGAAATATATCAGAATTATTTTGCTTTTGGGTCTTTTATGACGTGTAGAGGGGAGCATTTCATGATAGAATTTTTTTGAAAATGTATTTTATGGAAGACAAGGATTTGATAAACCTGAAGTGATTGATGCAATTTTAATAAAACGAGATGAAGTTTGGCAATTTAGTGTGAAATGGTTGAATCGAGATTTTGATTTTCAAATGGAAGATGTTTCGGATAAATTGAAGATTACTATTATGAGAGAAATGTGCTATCATTAAATGAGAATAACACAGAAATTTAAATGTTTTTGAATGAAACTTTTTCAATGAGGAATAAATACGTTCCAATAAAATGCGCTGTTTGAATGCGCTCTACCGCACACAAGCTTAGAATATAAGGGGAAACGAAACTTCATTCTAGTTGATAAACAACACTTTTTATCAGTTCCGAAAAAACGCAAAAATCGAATATTACAAAATTTTTATGAAACAATTCCACTGCAAACAGAGAAAAGCTGTTGTTCGGCACTTAAAGTTTTCCATTTGCCACTTGAAATTTCCTGCGCGACAAAAAGTTGGCCGTCAAATGGATAACCCGGTGACCAATTTGTGAGCACTGCTGAAGTTCCATCTGGCCAATAGAATGATGAAGATGAGGAATCACGTTGGAGACCAATCCAGAAGCTTGCATAGGTTGTTGCAAACTTTGAAGAGGCATAGGCTGGAAAAATTTCTTGGTTCAACAAAAAATTGAGTCCAGGAGGGTTTTTAAACCCTTAATTCCCCCTAAAAAACTAACTCACAAGAAATAAATTGAATTTGTGAAAAGTTATCAAAAATCGCCAAAGTTTTGCCTTGCATTTCACATTGTGCTCGAGCATCACTTTGACTCAGCTCATCCCTATTGAAGCTATAACATCGACTATTCAGAATTATATCATCTTGCTGGCAATGGATAGGAGGAATGGTAGGCTCTGTAGCCAATGTGCTATAATCAGTATACGTACATGCAAATGGAAGTAAATTGTATTCATAAACTGATATCCACATCGCATTCCAAAATGACATTGCACTGGAATTATATGTCCAGGGATATCCGTTTTCATTGAGATTTTGAAGATATATTTTAACTCTAAAACTAGATATTTACCTATCAGATGTCCACCAATCACCATGATCATCATAACAAGCTCGAATAATAGAAAATTTGAGAAAAAGCAGAAGAAGAAATAACTTCATTATAGTATGAAATGATAAAAACCTTCTTAACGTCTCTATTTAACTCTGAAGTTAATGTAGTTTAATACTTCTTATCTTTATCATCACTAACACTAATAAAGATAAAATGTGACTTTTTTCTCTGATAAATTGACTAAGAATACTTGAAGATTATGATTGGTTTAAAAAAATTCGAAAAAAAGTATAAATAACATAACGTATGATGTGGTAGCCTCATAAAATTGGATTTTCAAAAAATCTCTCATTTCGGAATATTTTTGGGAACTGAAAATTCAAATATTTGAAGGAAACATATTTTTTTTTCCAAAGAATTTGTCTGAAAAGTGAGTTTCTGAGAGATTTTTCTTGAAACTTTTCCAATTTTTTCTCAGATTTCATCATCATCATCGAAAAAAATTGGAACTTTTTTTTTGGAACATCAATTTTTTGGTGAGTTTTTTTTTGGGGAATTCAAGGAAATTCATCCAGCCAAAAGTTAATAGGAGTAATCTGAAAACCTGAAAACTTAAAGCAAATTTTTTTTAATTTAGGAAAAACCTTTTTATTTTCAAAAAACAAATGAAAAATGAGCAATTTTTTTCAACAAAAAAAATAGAAATTTTAAAAATCCAGTAGCCAAGTCAGTAGACCTTGAGACTAACTAACTTTGGATGATTGCCATTTTGAATTGCCAAATATAAGCGTCCATAACCACCGTCTGCTGATTTCATAGCTTCTCCATCTCCATTTCAAGTTCCAAATAGACCTTGATACCAACTAACCATGAACGATGTTTGAAGTGTCCTACGAGAAATATGTACATTTTCTCATGGTCTTCATATAGGCTTTACTTTTGCATCCTACATCCTTTTTTCGTATCAAAATCAAGGAGATCTTGATACTAACTAACTATGCATGATGGAGCTTCTCTTAAGACGTGGTGAATAGACTTGGAGTGTTTCTTCGAACGCTGAAATCATCAAAAATTTCTTCTAGTTGGGAATAATATGGGGCCATACCTATTTCGTGCCACTGAATTTCCATGATAGTGAATATCTTCATAGCTTCTCCATCTTCTTCTAGCATCAAATAATTGAGACCTTGAGACTAACTAACTATGAATGACACAATCGTTGTAGATATACCGCATCTCTCGTGAGATCTTTTCTACGTGTCTATTTTCCTATCTTGTGCCACTGAATTTCCATAATGGTAGACTTCACAGCTTCTCCATCTTCTTCCAACATCAGATAAAATTGTATAGGCAACACTGATCATAGTTCGCCTTCTTACTGCTCTAGCCTAAGCTTCATTTTTTTCGTTTTCATCTTCAATTGGACCTTGATACCAACTAACTGTGAACAAATAGTGCTCAATATTTCTGTTGAAAATCTGTCATATTCTGACGATTGTATTCTCCAAAGATCAGCTGACAAATCATTCGTCATGGATGGAAAATCATTTGTGATTTCGTGATCAGATCTTGAGGCCAACTAACTATGAACGCTATTTTTTTAACATAGCTCAAATAAATCACTCTCACTACAACTCTCGTTGTTTTGAACCTTTTGTCGGTTTTTCCATGCGTTTGATTGTCAGCTAATATTAAGTTAAAGGGCATCACTTAGGCATGTGGAGTCTTTCGTAATTATTGCGAATCGGTGGAATTTGATTTATTTGATCCGTGTTGGTTGCGGATTGAAATCCAATTGCTTCAGTGGAATTGGTTTTATTTTTTATAATGAACTTATCCGGATTTAAAAGCCTACAAGTTTCCATTGCTAAAATCAAGGGACCTTGATATCAACTAACTATGGACATTTTTATTTGAAGAGCTGCTTCCTGAACATCTTCGAGATGTTGAATTAGAGTGGTGTGAACGAGAATTGGATCTTGAAGATTGAGTTCTATCCTCTTTATAAGAGGATGTGGAGCTTCTCTGCTTCTCAAGTTCATCTGCGTGGTGAAGTGCTCGCAGTACTTTTTTCGACGACATTTTTTTGAATTTTGAAGATTTGGTTGATTTCTGTAGTTGAGCTTCCGTAGACTCCTACTTTGATTTCTTATATCCCCTTTGCTATTGGCTGCTCCACACTTCAGTGGCCATTTTGGCCAAAAATTCGTTTTTTTAAAAATTGATTATATTTCTCTTATAATCGCTTAAGTGTAATTCGCTTTTTTTAAATTTCTAAATTTAGAAGCCCGCAAATTTCCATTGTTAAAATCAAGGGACCTTGACACCAACTAACTATGGACATTTTTTCTAAAATTAAGAAGAGCCGGAGTGATTTTATGATCTTCTGAAGCGGCTTCTTGATGAACTGCTTCCCGATCCTCTTCCAGAAGTCGAATTCGAGTGGTGAGAACGATGAGTTCTATCCTCTTTATAAGAGGATGTCGATTTTTTCTCAAGACTTTTGCCACATCCTTCTCAAGTTCATCTGCATGGTGAAGTGCCCGCAGTACTTTTTTCGACGACATTTTGTTGTTTGGAAGATTTGTAAAGGGTTTGGTTGATTTCTGTAGTTGAGCTTCCGTAGACTTCTACGTCGATTTCCGCTATCGTTTGTGTAATTTTTTATCTCCGGATTCAGAAGTCCACAAGTTTCCATTGCTAAAATCAAGGGACCTTAATACCAACTAACTATGGATTTTTCCTCTTCTGCGTTATTTTAAGTGTATAGATCGATTTCCCAATGTTCTCAATTTTGGTTGCTGGATCCAAATTCATCTTTTCTCTTCAATGCACTTCGATTGGTATTTCTTCAAATTATCTGAACTAATTCAGACGCAGGAAGTATACATCTTTCAGAAGCATTTGAAAAAATTGGTGGCCTAATTTTTCATTTCCAAAAATAATCAGATCTTGATACTAACTAACTTTAAACATGAGTTCTGGGTTGAACAATTCCTATTCGTCAAAAACTTCCATTTTTATCTCAACTTCTCGGCATACTTCAGTCACTTCGGGATATTAATTTCGAACAATCTAAATCTTTTCCTTTTTTGATGATTGTTTTCGAAGCTTCAGCCTAACAAGCCTCTGTTCAGATGGATGAATTTTTTGAAATTCTATTCGCACCAACATGTGGAATTGAAACTGTAGATTGAACTCTATCAATATATAGATAATATGTGAATGCTGCACATAATGTTTTTGATAATTTAATTTCCGTTCCTCTCTGGAGTTTGTCCAATTTGTAATTTCTATTCTCAAGTTCTCAGACCTTTAAATTAACTAACTATGCTCTCTGGGCTCTCTAGACTTTCTAGCCTGTCTAGCCTCTCTAGGCTTCTTACGCTTCACGTTTTTTTCTTTTTCGACATTTTTTGCGATTTTGAAGTTCCCAATCAGCTGAATTTACTTTGAATCTTTTTTATTTCTTCATTCTTCCATTTTTTTATATTTCGAAGCTTCATCCAATCATTCTTTTCTTTTTTTTTCTTCCGTACCTTTCGTTGAATTTTTTTTTTAGATAAATGTAATTTTGAGCTTCTTACGTTTGATTTCTATTCGTCTCTAAAGTTTTGTCGATGCTGCGATCACTTATCGTGATGGTTTAGTGAACCATCACGAGCATCGAAAATGTTATGAGCTCGGGCCCATTTCGTTTTGAGCCAGTTGAGTCAATTATACTTCTTCTTCTTCTTCTACTTCTTTAGCATAGATCTTTTTTCCAGTATCAAATAATTGAGACCTTGATACTAACTAACTATGCACATCCTTCAGTCAAATATGTGCAATGGTGTTTCCCATCTCAAACTTGTGTTTTTTTTGCAGTTGAGTCGAATATCTTCATTTTGAACTGATCATCTTTTTCGACTGATCAATATTTTCCATTGCCAAAATCAAGGAGACCTTGATACCAACTAACTATGAACCGTCTTCCACGGCATGTTGAAAAACCCAGTTCGAGCTTCATCCATGTGTTCCATTTTCCAATTCGATTAAATACCAGAATTTTTCAAATTTAAAACATTTCGAAATCTTCATCGTTGAAAGTTCTTTCTGGGTTTTTGTTTTTTTTTTGCAAAAACAAAAATTACCCTCACATTCTTAAGAGTCAAGTTTCATAAATTCATAATTTTCCATTGCCAAAATCAAGGAGACCTTGATACCAACTAACTATGAACCGTCTTCCACGGCATGTTGAAAAACCTAGTTCGAGCTTCATCCATGTGTTCCATTTTCCAATTCGATTAAATACCAGAATTTTTCAAATTTAAAACATTTCGAAATCTTCATCGTTGAAAGTTCTTTCTGGGTTTTTGTTTTTTTTTTGCAAAAACAAAAATTACCCTCACATTCTTAAGAGTCAAGTTTCATAAATTCATAATTTTCCATTGCCAAAATCAAGGAGACCTTGATACCAACTAACTATGAACCGTCTTCCACGGCATGTTGAAAAACCTAGTTCGAGCTTCATCCATGTGTTCCATTTTCCAATTCGATTAAATACCAGAATTTTTCAAATTTAAAACATTTCGAAATCTTCATCGTTGAAAGTTCTTTCTGGGTTTTTGTTTTTTTTTTGCAAAAACAAAAATTACCCTCACATTCTTAAGAGTCAAGTTTCATAAATTCATAATTTTCCATTGCCAAAATCAAGGAGACCTTGATACCAACTAACTATGAACCGTCTTCCACGGCATGTTGAGAAGCCCAGTTCGATCCATGGGTTGTCCTCATAACTTGGATCGATGCTCTGCAAGCATAGCTTGGGGGTCCAACTTGAGCAACTTAAACCAGAGGACTCATCAATGTTATTTTCCAAGGGTTTCTAGAGGCCCAGTAAAATTGGTGTTCTCACTTTCGTCCATTTCTGTTGGAACAGTTGTTGCTTTCGGCAACTATATCTATTCTTAACATCAACATCCGAATGATTCTTCGATGGGTTTCCTTTGCATTCCTACGCACACTTGTCCAGCAAATCTTGGACAGTCGTCGATCATATGCCCAGCCTCCAAACAGCCCCAGCATCTCCGTCCGAGTAACAAAATTAGGCGCTTTTGGTGGTCATGGAGGCACTCACATTGTGTCGGGTGATGGAATTCCGTGTTGCGACCATAGCACCAAGAGCAGCCCTTGATCTTCTTCTCATACGCGTTGGACGGGTAGAAATGGATGTCGAATTGCTCACCATGCATCGTCATGAATGGTTTCACCGTGAAATCTTTTGCGAGCCAATTAGTTTTGCAGCCGGTGTTGGTGATTGTTGACTTGTTTCGGAGATCGATGGTTGAGCTTCGCCAGAACCACTTTGAGACGAGTTGGCTTGCACAATGACAATTCCGAATTATATAGCGACCTTCTCAAGCTGAGTTCTTCTGGCTTTCGCGATTTCCTTCTCAAAGGCTTTTTCGGTCGGAGGCTTCTCGTTTTTTTTCGACCTCGCCATTTCAGAAGTTCAGCAGCTTTTCCTGTTTCTTCGAAGTGTTTCAGCCTTATCCAATCGTATTTTTCTTTTTCTTTTTTCTTCCGTATCTTACGTTGAATTTTTTAAGCGTAGCTTCTTACGTTCAAAATTAAAAAAAAAACATTGGAAAACAAAATAAAAACTGTGAAAAAAATGCTTTGAAGATTTTTTTTTGGATAAAAAAATCTAGAAAAAATTGAGCTCCTATGAGCTTTCATTTTTGAAAAACTCGTCGAGATCAGCCTCGAGCTGAATTTTCAAAACCCTTTCAAGTTAACTTGAATACTTTGAACACTTTGAAAATTTTCAAAAATAATTAAGCTCCATTAAAAATGAATGATCCTTCTAGAAATTCAAGAAATCCAGAATTTTGAATTATTTCAAAAATCTTGGAAAAACCCGATCCTCAGAGTTTGGATCTTCAAAAACTACCCCCCCCCCTTCCCCAAGAATTTTTCTGAATTTCTAAAATATTTTTTGAATCCAACTTCTGAAAGCCACCTATTTTTGCTCCAAACCTTTCTCCCTATTTTTCAACTCCAATCACTTTTTTAATTACATTGTATCTTGTTCTAATTAAGCTAACTTCATTCATCAAAAGAAATTTTTGTTGTCTCAAAAAAAAGTTGTTGTAATTAGTATAAATTGCTAATTATATGTATTCCTACTTTTTTTTCAAATGGAAAAAAAACACCTGTTTTGTTTGGAGTTAGTGGAAGTACTTTGGGAAGTTTTAATTAAAATTTATTTCGTGTTCACAGATCTAAAATGTCCAAAATATTTCGCCTAATCCAAGCAATCTAATTCCTGAATGTTCAGTCCGAGAGTTAGGCTAACTTCAACTCCACCACATCCATTATTCGCACCCTCAAAAAGGGCCAAAACATAGTTCCGATAAGATCATTACACAATTCCAAGCGGTGCACCAGGAATTGTCTTCTAGGATATAAATACCGCCTGATTTTCAAGCTGAGCTTGAATAGGAGGTTCCTAGGAACAGAAATTGCAATGATCTTTGAATCGGCTATGTTGGAGGGGATTTATGTATATACAGGGGGGAAGTGGAGAATGAAAATAATAGAAAATGGTGAGAAGAAATCAGAGAAGCCTGGACTTAAAACCTAGATTTCAGAGAGATTTACTAGAGTTTTCAGAGATTAGATAAGCCCATATATCGGCCTAGAATTTTGGATATTTTTGAGAATGAAGTGAATACATTTTAATTTGAAAAAAAACCCCTCAATTTAAAGTTCCCCTAACTCAAATCAAGAAAAAAAGAAAGAAAAACTAATGATCAAATTTTCTAAAACAGGTGTCAACAAAAAAAGAAAAGAAAATAAAAGAAAATGCAGATGTTTATTTGAAAAAAAAGTATGAATACATAGAATTAGCAAATAATTGTAGTTAGTTACAACAACTTTTTTTCGAAACAACAAAAATTTCTTTTGATAAATAGAGATAACTTAATTAGAGCAAGATACAATGAATTTGGAAAAAAAAGTTTGAAAAATTCTATGAAAATAGATTTTTGGAAAAAATTGGATAAATAAATTGGTGGCCTAAAAATTCCAGATTCTAGAAAATTTTTGACATTCAGAAATTAGTCCCCAAAAATCTCAAAATCTAGTCTAGTCCCAAAAAACCCTTGGAACTAACCTGGAAAAATCGAAGAAAATCTGACATCAGCGCTGAACATCACAAATCGATAAATGTCCAATAAACATGAGCAATGAAATGTGTAGTCTCTGAAAATTGAAAAAAAATAGCAAATTGTGATTTATTATAACTTATGACGGGGGGGGGGGGGGGGTAATAAAAAACAATACTCAAGTTACATCAAGACGGGCGTCAACAGTATCTAGTAGGAAGAATGTCACCAAAACAGTTGGAAGACATGTGTCCCATGAGAAGAGAATATCTCAGCTCGTATCAAGTTTCAGAATTATTCACTGGCTGAAGTGATCCAAATCGAAAAAAATTGTAAAAAAAACATTTTTTAGAAAAAATTCAGATTCAGCAAACATCGAAAAACCGTTTTTTAAATCAATTTTTTTTCGAATTTAATCACCCACAATTTGAGGGAAACCAAAATAATTGCTAGTTTCAAAATAAATAATAATAATAATAATGTTACCTTAAGTTTATATCCAAAATATCAGAATTATCTTTCATCAAGCCAAATTGTTGATTCGAATTGTTCGATTTTTCTTTCGATACAATTGCAAATGAAATATTCTGAAAAAGAAGGAATACAATCCAAAAAGTTAGTGAAAAAATTAAAACTTACTGGTAAAATTAGCGATTTCAATTAATTATTGGATTTGTTTCTCTGAATTTCTCAATTTTCTCCTGAGAATATGTCTTCAGAAAATTGTGAAGTTGAATTCGGGAAAGATTGAGGAGTAGTCGCATCTTCCTCCATATTATCTGTAAAAATCAACATTTTAGGCACACCTTTTAGATAATCAGATTTTCTAGGCACGGCTACTTGAAAGCCGCTTAATTAGTGTTGAAAATTTTGATTTTGAAAAATAATTGAGCTATTTTCTCACAGAAAAAGTATGATGCTACTACAGTAACCCACGAATTTTCGGGCAAAAATTGTAGTGAAAATTTGAGGCCCTAGATACAATATGTATACTACAAAAGTTCAAAAATCTTGACGAAAAAAAATTATTTCTAGATTATTGAAGCTCTGATTTTGCCTGAATTCGTTCAAAATACAGTAAGTCATCAATAGTTTTATGTACTATACTGTAGATCATCTAATTTAAAAGTAAAAGCTCAAAAAATAATTCGCAACAAAAAATCAGATTTCGCAACCCCAATCAATAAAATAAAATTTGCGAAATACAGTAAACCCCACATTTCTTGGTTACTGTAACTCTAGGTGTGAATTGGGTTACTGTAGATCAAGCCTTTGAATTCCTCCATATTCAAAGATTTCAGAAAGAATTTCGAAAAATTCCTTAAAAGAAACATGAATGTGAGGCCCTAATCAAAATAAAATGTATGCCCAAAATAGATCCCAGATGCAAAGTCAAAAAAAATTGAAACTCACTAAGAAAATCAGATTTCGCCACCTCAAATCAATAAATCTCTCAAAAAATATGAGCAATCGTACGAAAAATATAGAGAAAAGAAAAAATGAGCGTGGTATAGTCATCGCCTCTTTCCTCCTCCCCTTTTCCTTCTTTTTTTCGCCATTGGCTGTTTTACGGCCAGCAGGCAGAAATAGTATGGAAAAGGGAGAGACGCAGGCGTATGCGCGGGCAACACTAAGAATTTGTTCTCGAAGGACCACCCTGATTTTTCATTGATTTTGGTGATTTTTCGGGTGGGGACGAGCAAAATTAACAATTTTCAAACTAAACAAAATAATAATTTAAACTTATAACCTTCCAGAAGCACCTTATTCCTATCTAAACCAACCAAGATCGATTTGAATCACCCCACAAGGCCGATTACAAATGTGATTCCAACAATAACATTTTTTCAGAAACACCAGTCTCCAATGTCTGATGTATTGATGTTTATTCGATCTGTTTTTTTAAATGAATTTTGTGAAACGTAGAATTTCCGGGTGTAAAAATGTTTTTGTTGAAGCATTACAATATGACAAAGTCAAACAGTTCTTCGCGAAATTAGATGATGAACAATACTTATTCGATCTGCTTTTTTAAATGAATATTGTGAAACGTAAAATTTCCGGGTTAAAATACATTGAAAAATCTGATTTTGGACTATTTTTTGATTGATTTTAGCAAAAATTTCTAAAGTCTTTAGACTCAGAAATTGCTCCGAGGCTCTGGGCTCAAAATTTTCTCCTGAGAGTGAAGAGTAAGTCATCGCCTCTTTCCTCCTCCCCCTTTTCCTTCTTTTTTTCGCCATTGGCTGTTTTATGGCCAGCAGGCAGAAATAGTATGGGAAAATGAGAGACGCAGACGTATGCGCGGGCGACACGAAAATTTTGTTCTCGAAGGACCACCTTGATTTTTCATTGATTTTGGTGATTTTTCGGGTGGGGACACGCAAAATTAACAATTTTCAAACTAAACAAAATAATAAACAAGAACTTATAAAATATTAAAAGTTTTGTTCCTGCTGATTTTTTTTCTAAGCGGTTTTCTAAACGGTTTCATCCAACCAAAAACATGGGCTGAATTGGTACTAGAACTTTTTTAAACTCAGAACCTTCCAGAAGCACCTTATTCCTATCTAAACCAACCAAGATCGGTTTGAATCACCCCATAAGGCCCATTACAAATGTGATTCCCACAATAACATTTTTCAGAAACACCAGTCTGCAATGTCTGATGTATTGATGTTATTGGCATCAAAAAAATACGAATCAACACATTCTTTGGTAAGAAATCATAAAGTTTCGAATTAACATTTGAAAAATGTAATTTTTTAGATTTGTTTATTCATATCAATTTATACCACATTGGAATTAGATGATGTTTTTTTTGAAGCATTACAATATATGACAAAATCAAACAGTTCTTCGCGAAATTAGATGATGTGAGTTTATTATTCGAATTAGAGCTGTAAAGAAGTGGTGTTGGTGTGCCGAAATACACTTTTCTGTGTTCGCACAAATACACCACACAGGTGAAACACACGTTCGGGTGCAGTGTATTCGGGTGTCTAATGTGAACGTGTGTTCAGTGTGAAAGTGTGTTAGCTGCCAAAAAAAAAATTTCGGAAAAATTACGAGTCGGAAAATTTTTCTGACGGATATTTTCGGAAAATAAATGTAGACGAATTGTAGACGAATAATTATAAACGCAGACGTATGCGCGTGCTACACGAAAATTTTGTTCTCGAAGGACCACCTTGATTTTTCATTGATTTTCTTGATCTTCCGGCTAAGAACGCGTGAAATTGATAAACTTCAAACTAAACAAAATAATAAACATTGCTCATGTTAAACAAAAGTTGCTCATATAATACTTTTCACGTGGATTCTTGGCATCAAAACATTTTTTTGGATTTTTTATTGAACAATTCATTGCTCATATTAGAAGGTCCACGTGGATTTTTCGGCAGCACTAAACAATTCCAGTTATTTTCAACAGAACATATTGTGAATCCGAAAATAAAAGAACCCCTGTTTGAATTGGCGCTCACGTACAGTAGACCAAAAATGACGTCACACATGCACATCAAACTGGTTGGCAAATAGCCAGTGTGTAAATTTCGCATTTAATTTTTCAAATAGACTTCAAAATTTTGCGAAGTCTACTGTAGTCTTGGTTGGTTCTCTAGGCCATTTTGGTTCTCTTCCAAGGTTCTTATTTTTTCTGATTGACGATAATAATATAAATTGCTAATATTATAATTAATTTTATAAACGAAAAATGAGGCTGCCATTTGTTTTCGGAAAATTGAGTTGAAAAATACGTTTCAAACCGTACATATTTCAAATTCTCAATTTGTCGAAATTAGTTTGCATAATGATTTTATATGTTTCAAATTTTCAATATTTGTCGAAATAAGTAGCATGTCCAACGAAAACACCTGAAAAGAAAATAAACAGTATTTTATCAAACATTCCTCTCAATATGAATAATATATCCTAATTCAGAAGTTGTCCCGATTTGACTAAGATAATAAGTTGAAAAAATAAAAAATAAGTTTTCGGAAATTTTGGAAAACCGATTTTTTGAGTAGTTTCAACAAACTTAGCAGTTTTCATGATATTGTTTTCAGGTGTTTTCGTTGGACATGCTACTTATTTCGACAAATATTGAGAATTTGAAAGAATTTCGAAAAATTCCTTTAAAAAACATTATTTTTAGGCCCTAATCAAAATAAAATGTATGCCCAAAATAGATCCCAGATGCCAAGTCAAAAAAAAGTTGAAACTCACCAAGAAAATCAGATTCCGCCACCACAAATCAATAAATCTCCCAAAAAATATGAGCAATCACACGAAAAATATAGAGAAATGAAAAAATGAGCGTGGTATAGTCATCGTCTCTTTCCTCCTCCCCTTTTCCTTATTTTTTTTTCGCCATTGGCTGTTTTATGGCCAGCAGCCGAGAAAGTATGGGAAAGGGAGAGACGCAGACGTATGCGCGGGCGACACGACAATTTTGTTCTCGAAGGACCACCCTGATTTTTCATTGATTTTGATGATTTTTCGGGTGGGGACACGCAAAATTAACAATTTTCAAACTAAACAAAATAATAAACAAAAAATTATAACATTTTTCACGCGGATTTCTAGAGCCAAAACATTTTTTTTTGGATTTTTTATTAAACAATTCATTGCTCATATTAGCAGGTCCATGTGGATTTTTTGGCAGCACTGAAAAATTGCAGTTATTTTTAACATAACATAATAATATAAAATGCTCATATTATAATTAATTTTATAAACGAAAAATGAGGCTGCCCCTTTTTTCGAAAAATTGAATTGAAAAATACGTTTCAAAAAATTATCCTATAAAATTAACATTCGTGATTTTCCGTTCTTTCTAGTATATAGGCTGGAATAGTCAAGTGTATTTTTTAGCTCTCAATTTTTGTCGAAATTAGTAGAAGGTCCAGCGAAAACACCTGAAAACTAAATTCAGCAGAATAGTGGTTTTCAAAAGTCTGCACGCTTTTCATTTTTCAGTTTTTTTACTCAAGAAAAATTGGAATTGATTTTTAGGATTTAGTAGAAGAGGTTTCAGTTTTATCTCAAAGTTCAAAACCACACAACACTTTACCTCATTATCTTACAATTAGTCAAATAGGGACAGTTTCTGAAGTAAGGTATATTATTATTGTTTATTTTGTTTTCAGGTGTTTAATTCCGACCTACTTCTCATTTCAACAAATATGGATAATTTGCAACATCTCAAATTGCTATGCAAAAAAATAAAAAATATAATATTCCATCTTACATCCTGGAGAAAAGTCGAATGCTGTTTGACTGGAACTCAGTAAAAACTCGGGAAATTATTAAAAAATGAATCTGTTTTTGTTATTTAAATGAATTTTGTGAAACGTAAAATTTTCGGGTTAAAAATGCTATGAAAAAATCTGATTTTGAACTATTTTTTGATTAATTTCCGCCAACATTTTCAAAGTTTTTTACAATTAGCTTCTCAGTAATTGCTCCGAGGCTCTGGGCTCAAAATCTGCTCCTGAGAGTAAAAACAATAGACTGTATTTCAACCACTGCAATCGAGGAAGAGAAAAAAGATTTGAATTTGATTCTGAGGAAAAAATTCAGTAAATGTGTGGATTGTGAAAATCAAGAAATGATTATGTTGAAATACGATGGAAATACTGAATTCATCGCATGGATCG